ACTTTTCAACACTTTCAAAACAGCCCGAACACTTTCAAAACAGGCTCAAACACTTTTCAACACTTTCAAAACAGGCTTGAACACTTTCAAAACAGCCGGAACACTTTTCAACACTTTCAAAACAGGCTTGAACACTTTCAAAACAGGCTCAAACACTTTTCAACACTTTCAAAACAGGCTTGAACACTTTCAAAACAGGCTCAAACACTTTTCAACACTTCAAAACAGGCTGAACACTTTCAAAACAGGCTTGAACACTTTCAAAACAGGCACAAACACTTTTCAACACTTTCAAAACAGGCTTGAACACTTTCAAAACAGGCTCAAACACTTTTCAACACTCTCAAAACAGCCGGAACACTTTCAAAACAGGCTCAAACACTTTTCAGCACTTTCAAACAGCCCGAACACTTTCAAAACAGGCTCAAACACTTTTCAACACTTTCAAAACAGGCTTGAACACTTTCAAAACAGGCTTGAACACTTTCAAAACAGCCGAACACTTTTCAACACTTTCAAAACAGGCTTGAACACTTTCAAAACAGGCTCAAACACTTTTCAACACTTTCAAAACAGGCTCAAACACTTTTCAACACTTTCAAAGCAGCCCGAACACTTTCAAAACAGGCTCAAACACTTTTCAACACTTTCAAAACAGGCTTGAACACTTTCAAAACAGGCTCAAACACTTTTCAACACTTTCAAAACAGGCTCAAACACTTTTCAACACTTTCAAAACAGGCTCAAACACTTTTCAACACTCTCAAAACAGCCGGAACACTTTCAAAACAGGCTCAAACACTTTTCAACACTTTCAAAACAGGCTTGAACACTTTCAAAACAGCCGGAACACTTTTCAACACTTTCAAAACAGGCTTGAACACTTTCAAAACAGGCTCAAACACTTTTCAACACTTTCAAAACAGGCTTGAACACTTTTCAACACTTTCAAAACAGGCTTGAACACTTTCAAAACAGCCGGAACACTTTTCAACACTTTCAAAACAGGCTTGAACACTTTCAAAACAGCCGGAACACTTTTCAACACTTTCAAAACAGGCTTGAACACTTTCAAAACAGGCTCAAACACTTTTCAACACTTTCAAAACAGGCTCAAACACTTTTCAACACTTTCAAAACAGGCTTGAACACTTTCAAAACAGGCACAAACACATTTCAACACTTTCAAAACAGGCTTGAACACTTTCAAAACAGCCGGAACACTTTTCAACACTTTCAAAACAGGCTTGAACACTTTCAAAACAGGCTCAAACACTTTTCAACACTTTCAAAACAGGCTTGAACACTTTCAAAACAGGCTCAAACACTTTTCAACACTTTCAAAACAGCCCGAACACTTTCAAAACAGGCTCAAACACTTTTCAACACTCTCAAAACAGCCGGAACACTTTCAAAACAGGCTCAAACACTTTTCAACACTTTCAAAACAGGCTCAAACACTTTCAAAACAGGCTCAAACACTTTTCAACACTTTCAAAGCAGCCCGAACACTTTCAAAACAGGCTCAAACACTTTTCAACACTTTCAAAACAGCCGGAACACTTTCAAAACAGGCACAAACACTTTTCAACACTCTCAAAACAGCCGGAACACTTTCAAAACAGGCACAAACACTTTTCAACACTTTCAAAACAGCCCGAACACTTTCAAAACAGGCTCAAACACTTTTCAACACTTTCAAAACAGGCTTGAACACTTTCAAAACAGGCTCAAACACTTTTCAACACTTTCAAAACAGCCCGAACACTTTCAAAACAGGCTCAAACACTTTTCAACACTTTCAAAACAGGCTTGAACACTTTCAAAACAGCCGGAACACTTTTCAACACTTTCAAAACAGGCTTGAACACTTTCAAAACAGGCTCAAACACTTTTCAACACTTTCAAAACAGGCTTGAACACTTTCAAAACAGGCTCAAACACTTTTCAACACTCTCAAAACAGGCTTGAACACTTTCAAAACAGGCTTGAACACTTTCAAAACAGGCACAAACACTTTTCAACACTTTCAAAACAGGCTTGAACACTTTCAAAACAGGCTCAAACACTTTTCAACACTCTCAAAACAGCCGGAACACTTTCAAAACAGGCTCAAACACTTTTCAGCACTTTCAAAGCAGCCCGAACACTTTCAAAACAGGCTCAAACACTTTTCAACACTTTCAAAACAGGCTTGAACACTTTCAAAACAGGCTTGAACACTTTCAAAACAGCCGGAACACTTTTCAACACTTTCAAAACAGGCTTGAACACTTTCAAAACAGGCTCAAACACTTTTCAACACTTTCAAAACAGGCTCAAACACTTTTCAACACTTTCAAAGCAGCCCGAACACTTTCAAAACAGGCTCAAACACTTTTCAACACTTTCAAAACAGCCGGAACACTTTCAAAACAGGCTCAAACACTTTTCAACACTTTCAAAACAGCCGGAACACTTTCAAAACAGGCACAAACACATTTCAACACTTTCAAAACAGGCTTGAACACTTTTCAAAACTCTTAAAACATCCATGGCTTGATCTAGTGATCATGCAACTAACCTATTTCCCCCGTGCTAACCATTATGTAGCATTGCTTGCAGGAAAATAGAATTAATAAGGAAAATGGTGTTCGTGCGTAGTGTTTGAGTTGTGTGAACAGTTATTGTAAAGGATGACCACAGCCTATTATCTTGTAATCATTCTTTATGCCAAAGGCAGAGAATAGTACTTATAACCTATTATACCTTGGTGTTGAATCAATATATCCTGCATGTCCATATATTAATTCTACTGTTGTTTCCAACAGCATATTACTCTTGTATTATTACATAATACTGAAATAAGAGACTACGGATCCTTATGAAGGTTAAAATAACCGCGAGTGATAGATTTGTCAGAACAAAACTTTCACGGAAGAATATTTCATCTGTATGTCCGAGACAACATTAGCAATTGACTTTATTTAGAAATAAGATATTATAGTATTTGTAAATTAGATAACTTTATTTAGCACATCAAACCACAATACATAAATCTAATCTACTTAAGCTATTATCTTTTAACTTGTTGATCCTTACTTTAACCCTTTACATTCTGATAGAATTCAATAAGACTGAAATGGAGATATTGGCAGAATTAAAGATAATTTATCTTATCCATCCCATTAGACGTAATGAATCTGCCGAGGTATAGGCTAAAGAAACCTCTAGTCAGATCAACTCACTTACCTTCTTATTCCTGTCCAATCGGTCAAGACACCGCTATAGCATGATGAACCATGCAGTAACAATTGGGTATGTCTTTTCCTTTATCATCAGGTCATCTTGTGCTTAGAGTCCTGATAGAAGGAGTTTTTTACAACATCCACAAATATAAATAGAAGTACTTTTTTCCTACATGGTTTTTGTCTTCATCCTTTATGAGAACATTCGATTAATAAAAGAAGATAACTTGTTTTTCACGGATTTCCTTTTGTTTTCGTTTCTCTTTGTATTTTTCTTATTCGTATACAACACTGGCGACAAGAAAATGGATGTTATTTCCAGACGGAATGGAAACGATTCCCATAGAAATATTGCGAAGTATCAGGGCGTTTCGCGTGCAACAGTTGACAGGATTGCTACCAATCTTGCATGTGCATCTAATGGCAAGAAGGGTAGGCCTGCAAAGATCAGCGCATTGCTCGGTCGAAAGATCGTTAGATCTTTCTACACTGGGCAATTTATTACTGCGGTTGAGGCTGACCAGAATTTTCGAGGACAAGGGTATGAAATATCTGCACAGACAATACACATATTCCTCAAATTCAGCCGATATCGACTCGAAGATCAAAAAGTCGGCATTGTCATTGACTAATGAACGTCGCAATAATCGGTTGAATGGGCAAAGGCTCACAAAAATTGGACGGTTAAAGACTGGAAGAAGTCGTTTTCAGAGACGAAACCAAAATAAATCGTCTAGGATCAGATGGTGGGTCAAAAAGGGAGAACCTCTCCAAGCCCACAATGTCAATTATGCTTATGAAGGAGGTGGAGGAAGCTTGATGTTGTGGAGCTGCTTCACCGAATATGGACCTGACTTAGGGCGGGATGGACGCGCAGTTATACTGCGAAATGCTGTAAGGGGGATTTCTTGGAGACCCTAAAAGATTATGACCTACAGAAGAAGGACATCATCCTTCAACTGGATAATGATCCTAAGCATACGGCCAAAGTAGCTAAGAAATGGTTAAAAAAAGGAGGTAATTGTTCTTGACTGGCCTTCGTACTTTCCGGACCTGAATCCAATCGAGTAATTATGGTTCTACTTGAGCTTTGGGAACGTGTACCCGATGTTTGGTGTAACAAAGGCACTCCCGAATTATGCATGAGGCATGTAGAAAGCATATCAAAGAGAATCGAAGCCGTTATTAAGGCTAAAGGGGGTTGGACGAAGTACTAGTTTGCATAGTTTCTCTTTTATAGCTAATAAACGGGATAAAAATTTAATGAAATTTGGCATGTCTCAGCTTTATTGGTCTACCACCATAATAAAAGTCAATGTTATTATAGAAAGCTGGAAAGATGGTTTTTTCATGTATGTAAGCGTTTTACTAGATTAGTATAGAGATTACTCTCATTATGAGCAGAAGAAGTACAAATTATGCAGAATTCCAAAAACATATTTATTCCTCTTTTTTTATTGAATTTATCAAAAATGAGTTACATCCAAATTCTACTCTCTTGCACGCTATGCGAGAACGATAAATCATTCAAACGCCCACCAAATTTACGGAAACACTATGAAGATCACCATAATAGTGAGAAAATGCAGCTTTTTATTCACTTAAATTTTTTGAATAAACCAAGTATACAAATTTATTCACCATATTTATTACAATTAGTTATAATATACAATGTGGAGTATAAGATTGGTGTTCAGAGATATTTACCCCAGTAATTGACATTTCCAATGATTAAAAAGATTCACGAACTTATTATTCTATTAATGTAGTGGCATGGTGGAAATAAACCCGGAGTCAATGGAAGAAGTAAATGAAAGTTGCTTACTTGTCCAAAACGTGTGTTTTAATATTTTTTTGAATAGGACAAATATGAAACAAAATTTGGCTGTCCAGGATGTTACGATCTCTTCAAAGATTTACCTTCTTTAAGTTCTCACATTTCAATCAAACATGGTATTTTTTTTTTTTTTTTTTTTCTGCAGAGATTTATTTTAACATACTTCATCATTTAGGTTTGACACCAGATGATGAGTCAACTTTCGACGAAGCACTTATTAATTATCAAAGTCAGGTTGAAATATCTTTGCCAGTTGAAGCAGTGACCGCAGAACCTACAGCAAAAATTCCATTAGAGAATGCTGTGAATTTATTGTATCCTGAAGATAATCTATCAAACAGTCAGATACTTCGAAATGTTATTTCAGCGTTAAAACTATCACCGTTTGATATGGATGTTGATTTTAAAGATGGATTCAGACAAAAAATCACAGCCCTTACTACAGCAGATGTTGAAGACATAGAGCATAGAGAAGTAAAAAAAATTAAATTATCTGCACCGTATGACAAGCCTTCTTCATCAGCAATATGCATTCATGTTAATAACCCATCTTCAACCTCAGCATGCAATGAAATCATCAAAAATAGCCCATATAGGCAACTACTCGCATTCGATAATTATACAATGTTGGATGAAAAACACCTGGAGCTTTTGAATGCACACTGGAGGAAGCGGCCATGGATGTACATGATGGTGGGACGTTTGTTAGCTAGTTCGATTTTAGTAGATGGCAGCTACGCGCTTCTTCTTACTGGCGTAGAATCATATTGTAGATATTCAAGCATTGATGCACATGTTGAAAAAGTTCCGCATCAATCATCACTTCCTGATCTTATGTCACAATACCCAAACAAGTTAAAGATTACCAAGATTCTATTTGATAATTCTGAAAAATTAGTCATTGGCTCAAACACTTGCAACATTTTGGCCATTTCAAGTATTCGAATAGACGATGCCAAAATTGCCCCTGAGGTCGGTGCATCAACAAAAAAATTCAGCCCATCAACAAATACTCGCATTTTTTTATCAACTACGTCAATAAAAAAGGCCATGGAGCTCTTTAATGCTAGTAGTGATCGGCTACTCTCCTTGGGTGCAGACCCTCTAACACACATCAGGCAATTACGTTCTAAGTTCAATCAAGAAAGTACATATTCCCTTGCCAGAGTATTTGGGGAATTTACCCAAAATTTAACAGTGCAGCCATTCACAATCTATACTCTCAACAACTCAGTTCATAAAGCTGAAACTGATGTTATTTTAGGCAGTAGAATGTTGGAGCTCATCGCTCACACAATTCATGAGGATCCTGATGCCAAGCTTGCGAAGAAAGATGTTATCACTGTACTGCATAAAACAACATCACAACAAAAGCAGACAAAAGTCCGAAAGGACATTCAAAAAATCTTAGATCTTTTTGAAGAGAACAAGGAAATTGACATCATTGGAAACACCTCTCTTTGTACGTTTCTTAGATCTGTCGCAGACATCACCACAGACGGTCTAAAAAAAGCCAACCAAGAAATCATATCAAATATTTGGAACAAATTTCGCGGTAGTATTTGACACTGTTTCTTGTTTTTAATAAAAATAAAAGTTTCCAAGAATTTATTTTGCGGTATTTGACGACGTGTTAAGTGTAAGTAGCACGTAAAATTAATACTAAAAGTTTAAAACTTTAAATGAATCAAAGTTAGAAACTCTTGAGAAGAAAAATATCTGTAATATTGCATAATTCAACTTTAAATGTAATTCATCTGCCTTCGAATTTAATAAACTCAAATGAACTAATCTGTATTAATACTACAAAAGCCCTCGCTACGATAAATTAATTAGGTGCTGTTGGTATTTATTCCGTGGTTTTGACCATCACCATTCTTACTTTTTTAAGCCCAAATAATCAATGCAAAGATAGGGTTTGGTTCAGCCACATTCAAACTAACTAAGAAATAATCGAAGCATAGACGCTCAAATCAAATTTGTACACGAAATCTTTAATGGTTTCACTCGCTCCCTGGCGAAGATCATGCTATATTTAGCCAACCTACCATCCATGCGAGAACTTAATTAGATTTTACAAGCTAACTTCTTCTTCCAGCTTGGTCTCTGCCCGCTGATACTTTACTGCAGATGCTTCTTTCATTGATCACTCAGGCGTCTACATTTATTTGTATGCCCAGCTTGTCCGCTCTCCAATTTGGCAGCAGTCGTGTATCCTTACCCACGATCACCTTCCCGATGCTGCATCACTGATTTCTGTACATAACTTCTTCATCTACAGCAATGCCACCCCATCAACGCTAAAATTACACTTCTCATTCCCATCCTACCATTTATTGATCTTCCTATGTGGCACCCTATGAGTAAAACCGAGCGTAACCAATGTATCCAATGGTGACTGGGCCGGATTTCAAAAGAGCAGCAAACTTATTGTCTACGATACTCGTCATCGATCCCCACGAAATCTCGCCCGACTATATTTTGTTTCAAAATGGACCGTCGCCTCTGTCTCTTGACTTCCCTTCTTGACCATTAATCGCTTACCCTTAAGTGCCTTCCAACGCGTTCCCTTCCCAGCGCGCTCAAACATGGTATTACCATTAGCCCGCTCTCTGTCATGCCTTTTTTAAATAGATTCTCTCCAACATAATCAGAGAGCCTCCTTCTCCACCGTTTTTGGGGGCAATTTAGACACTGTAAAGCTTAGATATCTCGTGTCCATTAGGTTCCAAAAATCATCGTATTGATGTTGTATTAATCTTTGGGTTCGTGGTTTTTTTCTACAAAACACATAATAGACCATTATCTTTACTAACAGTATGCAGTTCGGTTTTTGTTACCATTTCCATATTTGATGTAAGAACTCGAGTTATTTAAGAAAGCAATCAACTCCCAGTTAAAGTGTTGGCTGTTCTCCGGATAGTAGTAATATGTATGCGGTAATAACCCAATATCAAGTTTTTTATTGCTCCCATGACACAAGGAATGTAATAAAGGGTAGATCTTACTTCAAATTCTGATTATAAATATCAATTTTGTATTTTTTATGTGTCGTTAGTTGAGCAGATACAATAACCTCAGTTAGCATTCTGATGCAAATTCGCATGTCTACTGCGAAACCTTAGTATATCACAACATCTTTGTAAGGAATCAGCACCTGATTTATGCAGGACACACGAACTTGCCATATCAGCATAATACTGATCAGAGCATCCAAGTCTGTTTTTTCTATCTTATCTGTTACTACTCTGCCTTTTAATCTGTTCTTATTGAACCACTACCTTTTTTTTTATTTTCCTATCATTACTATTCTGTATAATAAAAGTCATTTCGTCTATCCTAGTTGCGAGTTTATTCAAAGCTGTAATAACAGCAAATCTGTCATTTGATCGATTGACTTTTTTGCCTTTCAACTTACAACCAACAGGTCCAGAACCCATCCAATATCTTTTCAATCTTATTACGACGAGAATGTAGGATAAAGGAGCCATAAAGCTTGACTTTGCCTTTAATCTTTGTAAATTACCGGCTCGCTATGGTCCAGTTACCAGTCTAGATAAGTCTATCATTTAGTTGTTTACTGCTGGACCTTTATAACGCGTACGTATACAACACACAGCCTCATTCAGTAAACATCCCTATTACTCGCTTATCTTTGATTAATTCTTGCCCTGCTTCAATGTAGTTTGTCAAGCAATTTCCACGGATTTTGTCACAAAAGCCTCTATGGGTGGGCTTTTTTTCCTATTTTACACCTGATACTACATTAGGGTGCGCAAGAACGAATAGATTGCACAAAAGTGGGAGTTTACGATATAGCATTTGTATTTTTCAACCTGCTTTTGTGGGAAATCTTCTGTGAACAACAAACAACTGTGTGAGAAAAGACATGACTAAAAGAGCTTCGGCTGAAGTTTTTTGACCTTTAAAAACTCTCAAGGTCTAGTCGACTATACAAAGACAGACATAACAGTATCAATAGTTTGTGATCCAATGACATACATAGTACAATTGCCCAAAACCCAACATACCATTCTGTCAGTACCAGAACCACATGTACTACTGATTACCATTAACCGACCCAAACAATTAAATGCCTTGAATCCAGCTGCAAATTGGGAATTGCACCATCTCATCAATTGGGCAGAAGAAGAGGAGAGCATTTGGTGCCTTGTTGTAAGATGAACAGACAAAGTGGATGTCTACTGAGATTTCTGATCGTTGCGGTTAACAGAAATACATACACATACATTTCGTACATTGTAGATCACTGGTGTTGGTGACAAAGCCTTCTGCACAGGCATGGATTTAGTGAATGCGCATCAAGAACGTGAGAGCGATCCAAACAATTCTCTTGGTGAGTCCACTTTACCACCCTCCGGTTTCGGTGGTATTAGCAATCGTCGGCGGAGCAGAAAACCGATTATTGCTGCTGTCAACGGATATGCTTTGGGTGGAGGCATGGAAATGGTTGTTGCATGTAATATTGTCGTCGCTAGTGAGCATGCTCAATTTGGTCTACCGGAAGTGAGAAGAGGTGTAGTTATCGCCGCAGGAGGATTAGCTCGTTTGGCACGCTCTGTGAGTTACCAAGTGGCTTCGGAATTAGTTTTAACTGGGCGCTTTTTGAAGGCACAAGAAGCAAAACAGTTAGGTTTAGTGAATGAAGTGGTGCCTGGTAAAGAGCCAAAGGATGTCGTCGATGTAGCGCTCTCGTATGCAAAACAAATAACAGCAAAGTAATTAAATTTTATACGAAAACGGAGGGAAGGCGTAGAGTGATAATGTAAAGTAGAAATTTTGCTAACTGCCTTGAATTTTGATAACCATGTTAAAGCTCACCAGACGCTGTTTTCTTGACCAAACAAGGTTTGTTATTAGCATTGGAAAGAGCTAGTATGACAGACGCCACGGAAGAATGGATGCGGTCTCCTGAAGCAGATGCATGGAGATTAGGTGATAATTTATCTGAAGGCTTAATGGCTTTTGCTCAAAGAAGAAAACCTCGATGGAAAAGTGTTACTACAGCAACAAGAAGCCATGATAAAAGTAAATTGTGATTCATGGTACAAATAGGATAATATAACGATTGCATTCTTGAAATACAATAAACTAGCGCTACAAGGAACATAAAAATGTAGCTGTTATTTGCATAAAGGCACCAGCATTGCTGCATGTATGATGATGTTAAACACCATTGCTGTTGGCGAGGACAATATAATCAAAGCAATAGAAACAGCGGAGCTGTAGAGATCTATTTGTTCCGTTATATCTATCTGACTCGACAGTGTTCATTAACCATTTAGCGACACATTCTATTTTGATAATTGAACATTAGCAGAAAAGTTTGCTGCTGTATTTGAATGCAAGTGCTGTAAGTGAGTTTAAGGTCTTATATCTCGCACCAGTCTTTTATACAGTGGGTTAGCTGTTCTTGAAGAGCCACTGATAGTTAGACCGCACGCTTATGAAAGTGTATGGTGTTGTGAGGACTGATGGGAAGAAATTGTATGCCTTCCATTTGAACGGCAAATTATGATTTCATTTACGAAATGGAAAATCTCTATGAACTGTACCTTCTGCATACCTTTATATTCGTCTCACGAATTCTAGGGTTCTCCAGTTCAGTACGCTCGGTTTTGTAGGATACATGCTCGAGTTATCGAGCATTCCAGCAATAAATAGATTGTTAGCTATAGGCACACTACAAGTATAAGTCATTAATAAAGCTACAACAAGCGATTTACATTATAAAGCACGACAAAACAGCAGCCATGGTGTGCGCCGATTTTAACAGTGGAGTGAAAAATAAAGAATCTCACTAGAGGACATTAAACGTAAAAACTTAACGAAATCAAACCACCGTCTTTATTTCTCTTTCAAAAACAAAACTTTAAAGAAAAACAAAAGAAAACTAAAATTACTGCTATTCTTAAAGAGTTATACTGTTTGCTGTCTACGAAATGAGTGTATCAAAATCTATAGCTGATGCTGGTGTATTATGGTCAGATATACTCAGGGAGTAAAAGAGTAAGCCTTCCCTTCAGAGGGATAATTACTCGTCCATCCCAGAGCGACTTGATTTGTAATGTGTTATCCTGACAGATACAGGATGGCCATGCAGCTATATCTATAATTCAATATTTATTGGCCATCAGTTGTGTATCTCAGATATTGTGAGGATGATTATAGATGTTAGCGAGGGAAAAGATATCTATGCGTGGTATTCTTGACAGCATAGACAGAGTGATTGAGTCTTTTCTTTCCAACCATACTTCAGGAAGCAGCACCGTGATCTATCATATTCTGGTTGTTGAATCAATCTATCTCACGAGTACAGATACCAATCCTGCTATATATCTAAACGTCATATAGCCCACAGATAATCTACGTAAAATATATTTTATAGAGGTAAACTGTTCGGTTCTTATGTGAGAGCTACCTTGCATAAGAACTTTCTTGATTCATAGTATTCTCTTGTTTTATCTTTCTTTATTATACATTTGATAAAAGGCTCAAATGTATGCAATTGAACACATCGCTTACCCAACGGAAACGATGATAGGAGGAGTGCTCATGTCTGAGATCAAAGTTTGATCTTAACATTTCGTTAGACGTTGTGAGTGACAATTGGTTATGTAAAATATTACCGTCGTGCCTCAGAACGACACATACATTCTTTCCTAAGTGTACATACTTAAAAGCGACAGCTATAAATAAGCTTATCACTAATTCACTGAACAAATGCCCAAGAGCCAACCATGTACAATCAATATCAGAAAATAATAGGCAATAATGCAGTAGTCGAAAGGATAGTTGATAGTATTGACAGTTCGCCAGGAATTTGGAAAATACATTCAATAGACAGTAATTTGTCAAACCTCAAGAGACAGAGCCAACATGCCTTTACCGTCGCGTAATGTTGGAAAGTAAACGACACAACTAACCTGATAGCTACTGAATAGCGAGAGCTTGGGTAATATAAATTGTACCTGCTAGTGCAGAAGGATGGATACTAAGTATTAAAAAGAAAGTTACAAGTCTATCGTACAGTTTTTTCAAAGCTTACCAACATTTGAATGGCTCATGAAATGCAATAAAAATTGCTTTTGATTCCTTTGTGCGTCCTTTTATCGGCCATTTTATTTTTCGGGCTAATATTTTGTGTGAACTTGTTATTACGTCCGCCAAAAGTATGCCTTCAACTGTAGCGATATTATATCATGAACTTTTCGATTCAAGCGATGACTAGATTCATGCTTTCCTGATTACTTTGTAACAGTAAATACTGAATTCAGTATTAAAACCAATTATGACTAAAAAATACATAACATGGAATCGAAACGACGAAAAACAATGTGGGGGCAAAGACCGTTTAGAAAACATGAGACAAATTAAAATTAGAACTATAAACTCAATATTAGAGTGAATATGATGAAGTGCAGTTTCTGCAATTATAAACAGGCAGTCATGTACCAAGGTCGTCATGCATTTCGACAACAGATAGTAACGCTATCCAGTATTGCATATCCACTTTGAATACTATTGTTTGTATCCGTATACTCTTAAGCAATTCTTCATGTATCGAGTCGTTTAAAGAGCATTCCTCGCCTTTTTGATCGAAGAGAAGAGCAAATAGTAAGAATGACCACTATTTCACCAAAGCTTTGATTCACAAATATACCAACAAAAAAAAAAAAAAAGTACTTTTTTTTTGGATATTTTTAATCTCTGCGGCCCTTCTCACATGGTATATATTTGGTGCCCTAGTTTATGCGAGATCATGTAACATACTTTATAACATCGGGTCGTTAAAGCTATCTCGTCTTTTATGTTCGTCGTAGTATAATGAGAATGTGCGAAATGCTGAGTGGCGCTTGAAATGGTACTAAATGCCAGTAGAGGAAGAAAGGGGAGTAGCAAGACCAGTGATCGTAGCTGCGTTGGTTGATAATGGTGATGGTTGATTCAAATGAGATTTTTGGATAAGTTTCTTGAAATCATGCTGCTGTTCAGGACTATTAGGAGGAGACACTCTTATGGGTGTCGACTGAACTTGTTGAATATACTGAAGTCGAGGAGAAGACGAAGACTGATGTTGTTTATTATTATCTTTTATATCATACAAGGTCATAATATTGCCATGATCGCCGACTCTATATGATACTGAATAAGGATCAATCCAGAGCACAAGATCACGAGGTAAATGAGTGTGAATCAAGTTAAAAGAGCAGTTTGCTTTATTACATGCTTTACACAGTAGTTGTCGAACGGAAGGAGTGTTAGCTTTAAATAGAAAGTCGTTTAGTCTATTGCTTCAATAGCTGGTTACAGTACCTTCAACGAGGATAGGATCAGCTCCATTAAAATTGGATATAGCCCTAAAACCATTTCCTCTGTTAGGTTGTCGCGGATCCCAATGGTTACTGAACCTTTCCAAGAGTACCGTAACCAATTGTTTTTTGAAACAGAAGACTGTATTTGAATCAACTTTTGATTGTAACAATCGTCCTAAAAAATCGACTGCTTGACAGATCTCAATTTGCATAATGCTTAGTATGTACAAACACTGTATTCAAGCTTATGATTGTGAGTTTCAATAAAAAAAGGGAAAGCAGATAATGAACTGTTCGTAGAAGGACTAATTTTAAGCTAATAATTACTGTTTACCGTAAAGGTAAGAAAGAAGAAAAAATTACCACACCGCATTTTCCAGACTGGGAAGTGAAGTTTTCATTTCGGAAGCTGAAAGAACATAAAGGATGCCAAAAAAAGTTATGCAGAAAAGGGGCTAAAATAATTCTCCGAATAAGCATTTATTGCTCTAAGTTAGAATTTCATTGTCTTCTTTTTTAAAAACGATGCTGTGAAATCCCCCAAATGTTAGATGAGTTTTATTTTTTTAGCTACAGTCAATGACATGATAGCGAAAATAACTAAACTAAAAACGATCCAAAAGAAATAGATGAGATTGTCGTAATCTTTACCCGGTACTTTCACATTCATTCCTAAAGATACAATTCAACTGTTAACAATGCATGTTGTGCAACAGTACTATTTCAGTGAACATACCCCATAAACCGGTGACCAAATTCATCGGTAATAGAACAGTTGCAAATATCGTTAATCGACCAATAACATGATTCGTAGAGTTTGAAGTTTGTGTCAATTCGATTGAAATACGTGCCAGATAGTTTGATTCTGACCTTGATAGTACAGTCTCGTAATGACTGAGATTTTGTAGCATTGTCAATATATGATCTTGCACATCTCCTAAATAGAGGACTACATCTGGATAAATTTTCTTTTCGTCATTAATGGCAACGTCTGCTCTTTCGTTATGGACGGGCACTTTCTCATCAATAGCGGTGGGTGATTGATGTTGGCTGCTCGTACTGGGTGATGTAAAAATAGTTGAAGCAGCCGTGCTTATAGTGCTCGATAATACTCCATTTGCATTATCATCCGATATACGTTTGATCAAGCCTCTCACTACTTCTATTTTTGTACCTAATAATCGAACCATTTGAATGACCTTTTTTCGACAGGTTCCAATCCTTAGAATCATATCAGACTGATCTGTTTTATACAGTAATACCAGGTCGTCGATAGCGTCTACTTCAGATTCTATTTGCTGTACTAGAGGTGCAAAACTATCTGTGATCTCGTCCATAACAGCATAGTTGATCCAATCAGGTATAATTTCAATATAGTTCTCCAATTGCTTTACTCGCTGTTGAACTTGGTATATATGAGGTACGTTACCGAAATGAAAAGTTAATATGTACTTTTGTGTTATTATGTTGTAAAATGTCACTGGCTGTAGTAATTGTTGATTCTGTTGATGATGATAAATAAAGGCTCTGTAACAGACAAATATATAATGTCGAAACACATCACATTTCTCTCTAATTTCGCGCGACATGATATCTTCTGTTGTCAAAGGATGTATGTTGAAGACTTTACTCAGTAACTTCATTTCTTCATGGGATGGCGATGTGATATCTATCCAATAGCTGTCCTTGATCAATAAATCTTGCAGATTCAAACTGTCAGTACAGAGACCTAAGAAAGAGGGACTCGAAACAAACCCTATATCCAAATGATAATAATGAAAGCGATCACGTTCGTTTGATGCGTTATAGTTGCTTGTTATTGTGCTGATAGAATCGTTCGTTGTAGTGCCCATGTTCGGTTGCTGCTGCTCTTTCATTAGCTGTATTCCCTTTTGGAAGTGCTGTTTATTGCTTGGTATCGGTGTATTCATTGTTGTGAATAATAAAGTTCCATTGTTTGTGCCTTGTTTAAAAAGGTCAATCTGATTTAAATCTATGATATTTCTATCTTTTTGTTGTTGACTAGTCCCATCCCGTTGACCAGCGAAAACCTCCTGCTGCTGTTTAGCTATATCGGTAGTAGATGTTCTTTTCAATGGAAAGCATATATCTTGCTCCACGTCGTTCATCTGACTATGTTGGCTGATAACTGAAGAGTTTCTGTAAACAATTTGATCATTGTTGTTCATGTTGACGTACGAATCCATGATAGAAAACCTCTGAAGAGGAGAGAGAGAGTGAATATTCTTTTGAAAGAATAAAGGGCCACATTTGCAGTTTTGACTTTAAGGAGAAGCATCTTTATCATAAATCACACAAAAAAAAAGGGATTAATATTTTTGGCTGTTTACAAATCAAGCAATCAATATGATTGCGTGGAAGAGGCTTGACTGATTAAACTGCCGAATACATTAGCATTTGCAGTTAGAACATGAATTACTGCTGCAGAACAAACTAAGGGGTATTGTTTGCTTTTTTTTTTGGGGTTTTTTTTTTTTTTTTTTTTGCTTACAAGGCTTTCCCCACTGTATACATTGTCAAACCATCCTTTTAATGCGGATCCTTTGAGGGAAATGTTTCTCAATTAATGCCCTTCTTTTTGGATTTCCAACAAACCAGCGATTGACACTTGACTCCAGCCAATGAACGGGACCCACACGCAAGTTTTTATTACAAAGCGGATAATGATTCGGATTCTAAAGTGAACAACATTAAATCTTATCTGCTGTGCGTTTTTCAAATTCGCTTTTTTTCTTGAAATAAAAGGGCAAAATAGTGCATTTCCATTTTTGTTTCCTTTTTCTTTTTCTTCATTACAACCCTTTCTATAATATTGAACATGGTCAAGAAATCCTTCTTGTTTGGTGCTATTGCTACTACTCTTACTGCATTGACTCAAACTGTCTTTGCTGATGTTGATAGCAATGTCATTTCCTTGACCGAAAAGAACTTTGATTCAAAGGTTCTTGGTGAAGATTTGATGTTGGTCGAATTCTATGCTCCTTGGTGTGGTCATTGTAAAGCACTTGGTAAAGTATTAAAAACATCAATTGAAAGACAATTTCAGCAAGCATTTATTGAAGAAAATGGCGTTATGTCCTTGTTTTTTACTGATTGATTTACTGACGTGTACGTGTTCGAACTCAATATGTATGCTATAGCTCCTGAATACGAAATTGCTGCCACACAGTTGAAAGAAACATTACCTCTCGCCAAGGTAGATTGTACTGAAAATCAAGACGTTTGTTCCAAGTATGGTGTCCGTGGTTATCCTACTCTTAAGGTCTTCAGAAAGGGCGAAACTTCTGATTATAAGGGCTCACGCAAGGCCGATGGTATCGTCTCTTATATGAAAAAGTAAGTAGTTATTTTGCTGATGTAACTCGGTAGTTCTGTTTGTATTATACATATGCGTGTGTGTGTGTATGTGCGTGTGTGTGTATGATGTGGGAACTATATTGTACGGCGATTGGTTACGTTTTCAAAAAGGAGTGATATAAAATGTTCAAAAAGTATTTCACAAAAGAAAGCTTTGCTGCGGATCATTGAAACGAACGAGAAAAGGGATTGGAGAAGACTACTCAATCAAATACAACAGCAGAAACTTCCAATTGCAATAGGGTTCTACTTCAATATAATGCGTTCCCGATTTATTTACACCATTATTTTTTCCTTTTTGATCAAATTAGGCAAGCTCTTCCTGCTATTTCACAATTGGATGCCTCGAACTTGACTGATTTCACAACTTCAGATCGTATTGTAGTCATTGGCTACACTAGCGACGAAGCTTCTAAGCAAGCCATCACTGAAGTTGCTGAAAAGCTACGTGATGATTACGTCTTTGGTCTTGTTACTGATGAAGCTTTGGCAAAAGAAAACAAGGCCGAATTCCCATCGATTGTTCTCTACAAGCAATTTGATGAAGGCCGTAACGACTTGAATAAGGATATTACTGCCGAGTCTATTCAATCGTTCATCAAAGCCAACTCTGTTCCTCTCTTTGATGGCATCGACGCTTCCACCTTCCCCACTTATGTTGAATCTGGCTTACCTTTGGCTTTTGCATTCTACGAAAACGACGAACAAAAGGCCCTTTTGGACTCTATTGTTACTCCTTTGGCCAAGGACTACAAGGGTAAGGTCAATTTTGTCTCTATTGATGCAACCAAGTTTGGCGGTCATGCCAAGATCCTTGGTTTGCAAGAAGGTCAATATCCTGCTTTTGCCATTCAACACCTCACCTCTGGTGCCAAATATCCTCTTCGTGATGTAAAGTCTCTCACTGCTGATAATTTGAAGGAATTCTTAAAGGAATACAACAGTGGTAATATGAAGGCCTACTTGCGTTCTGCTGTAGCTCCTGAACAAAACGACGGCCCTGTCAAGGTCGTTGTTGCTAATGAATTCAAGGATATTGTCTTGGATGACAAGAAGGATGTCTTTTTGGAAGTGTATGCTCCTTGGTGTGGTCACTGCAAGCGTCTAGCTCCCACTTGGGAACAATTAGGTCAAGCTGTCGCTGAACAAGATAGCAATATTGTTATCGCCAAGATGGATGGTACCGAAAACGATATTCCCGAAGAGGCTGGTTTCGAACTTGAAGGCTTCCCTACTTTGAAATTCTTCAAGGCTGGTACAAACGAAGTTGTCGATTATGATGGCGATCGTTCTATGGAAGATCTTGTCGACTTTATTAGTAAAAACAGTGCAAAGAACACAAAGATCGTCATCAAAGAGGATGAGGGAGCTAAGGAGGGTGATAAAGCGTCGAACGATCATGACGAATTGTAAATTGCATAAATAATCATAAACTTGTATAACTTTTGAATCGCTGTATTCCCGTATATCATCATAATAATTTTTTTTTTGTTCTTCTCTGCTATACATAAAAATAAACTATTACCTCGCTTGAGTGCTTTTAACAATACGTGTGCTATACAGGGTAGTTACACGTCTACATCTTAATAGTTACAGCTTTTTTATTATATATGATTATGTTTCACTTGGAGATGAACACGAAGAAAGAACTGTCCATAGTCCACATTGATAAGATTCTGATGCATATGCTACTTAATTCTTTTTGCTAGTGGTATTATGATGTTTCTTGGAGGTTTTACTCTTCTTTACGGTTTTGCTCTTCTTTTTGCTGCTCGAATGAGACGTAATTTTGTTGTCGTGAGAATCTTGCTTGGGTAGTGAATGGCATCGAACATATTCTTTAGAGACAGGAATACCTTCGCCACGCGTAGGGTAGCCAATGCAAACAGCAGAAGATCTGTAAATATCGTCGTCCTTATTTGAGCTGGAAGGCTTGGTAGTAGTGTGCGTCTTTTTGGTAGTAGTGTGCTTCTTTTTAGTCGTGGTTTGATGCTTCGTTTTAACAGAAGCATGCTTTTTACTCGTATGACGAACGCTAGTATGGTGTTTTGCGGACTCTTTCGTCTTACTGGCAGTTTCCACACTATGCTTTTTCTTGGTACTGACATCATTCGCCTTTCGAATGGTTATATATCCTATAGTACCACATTAGGTGGGGAGAAGAATTCTAGTTTTAGAGCCCAGACGGCTTCCAAGGGGATCGTACTCAACCTACCGGCAAAAGAAAGGTCCTTAGCACTTGGACCAGCTTCAATGACATATTTTTTAGGCTTGAGGTCTTTGGGTATCTTCCATGAATAGCTACCAGAAGAACCATTGACACGATCAGCAATCAAGCCATTGATGACCAGAGCTTGAGATGGACCAGAAGCATATTGAAGACGAATCTTCTTTGCAGCTTTAGGGTCATTTACTTTCCTAAAGCAAAGGTTATCAGTACGACATGAATAAATACAACCAGAAGTGTCCATTGCTGTAGTCAAGGATACCATTTAATATGAACTGTTGATCCGGTTTCCCAGACTTGATTCGGCTCTGGTTCGGTTAAAGTAACTGAACTAGCCCAGACAGCTACAGCTGATAAAAGCACACTAGCCGTATACAAAAATAAAAACTTCATCTTGTTTTCTCTATCCTAAAAGAGGGGAAGGGGGGGGGGAGAAGGAAAGGAATGGGAGTGATGAAGAATGTTTGCTCTTTTTCTCTTTTGGAAAAGAACAAGAAGAAAAAGGATGATGAAGGTACTGGTAATGGTTCATAATGCTTATATCTAGTAACTGGTGTTTTACAAATAATGGGTAGAGTGCGCCTTTGTTTTACATCAACTAATAAAAAGCAATATACTTAGTGACACGTTTCGAGCAAAATTTAGCTTTGATTTGTATAAAAAACGGTTGGAGTCGATCCTTTTTTTTTGTTTTCAAATCGTTAGGGTGTTACAAATGGCCAGTCATTTTCGAAAGGATCATTAAATAAGAGATATTGTAAAATGAGCATCAATGATTAAAAAGTATCCTTAATAGTATTTTGTGTGCCAACATCTTTAGAAGAGATAGATATTGCAGCACGTCCCTTTCCGCTATTCTTTTTTTCTTGGTATTTCGATCAGAAAGCACCATGCTCTTATCCTTGCTACGACCACGATTCCTTCTTACGCCGCTATGGCTATGTTACACTATTCAAACCTGTTGCGCCAATAAGTGTGATTGTGATTCTTCAGATTTATCATGCCTGAAAGATTGTGGTAACTAAAAAAAAGTTTCCATTGAAAAAAAGTGACTAGTGGAGAGAATTCAACAACTAAGAGCAAGCATGTGTATGGTTACCTTTAATAGTGAGATTTGCAAAAACCTGTGTTCTGGAATATTGCAGTGTTGATGAAACCGAGGAAGGTGACGGTGAGAGTTGTTTTTTAGAATGCCTTTCAGCTCATTGGCCTGTTTCCTTCGATGTCAGTAGTGAGAGAAACAGTGATATGATCATAGACGTACAAGACATTGAAAACGAATTTATGCAAACAGATGAAGACAATGATAAGGACGAACATATGGACGAAAATGAGAAGACTATTGTGGGCGACAATCATTACGATGGAAACAAAAGCAAAGACGTAGACGAGCATGAAGATGAAGACGATAATGACGAGGAAGAAGGAAGAGAATATATCGATATTGCACTGTCAAATACAGAAGAGGAGATAGTGCGAGAGGGAAAAGAAAAAGAAGAGCATACACCAACAAATTTTTATAGCAGACAGGACCCATATCCTCGAATGACTATGGACGTCAAAGAAAGCACCTACCGAACAACCATAAAAACCACCCAAACTGTCAGTACATCAGTAAAAATGGTTACAGGTGAATGAGAAAAGCTGTGATTTACCTTTTACAAAAAGCTCTTTGAAACATGGATGCCTTACAAATATCATATTCTTATATTTGTGTTCTGCTTGAAGCTCATATTACTAAAACTAGCTATATAACTGTAAAACCGACAGATGTATCCAACGCGGAGATGAATAGGGATAATCAAACGAATGAAGAAGAATCTCAGAAAAGGCAAAACGCCGGTTCATCTAGCTCTCTTTATTTTCAACCTACGATGGCGTATCTTGCGATAGCTTTCTTATTAGGGCTATTCTTGTAAAGGGGCCTGTCTGGTTTCTCATAATAGTGCATATTCAGCTTTCAAAAAGGGAAAGCACGGTCGTTTAATTGTCCGAATAAATCTGATGTGTATTACAATGAATTGATTTACGGGCAAGAACCATAAGCGATTTACATTTTTTAATCAAAGGAGCTCGATGTGCATTATCACAATAAAGAAGCTCTTCATTCTATCGTTACAAATTCATATTTTTGTTTTGGAAGAGCTATATATATATAAAAACATTTCTGTTTCTCGAATCTTCTATCAAACAGATATATAAATATAATAAATCAGCAAATATTCGTATAGTTTCTGTCGCGTCCAGTTCTCGTATGCCTCTATCATCTCTACATAACCTTACTTTCTCGCATGCTTATACTATGGTCAGGCCTTCAAAATCAATAAGCACAAGAGTGAACGTAGCGGAGAAGAAGCTAAGGAGTGTTGGCGGCACAGAACATGCACTCATAAATCAACGTCCACTAGACTTCACGTAGTAAAAATCTTTTTATTTTCTGTAAAGAATAATAAAGTCGTGGAATTCAAAGTCAAGAGGATCGACATAGAATTGGAATAGCAAAATAAATACATCCCCAAAGAGAAGCTGGAATGAGAAGAAAGAATAAGAAACAAAAAGAATAGAGATATTTTCAAAACGTATAGACAAAGTTTTGATAGAACGGAAGCAAACGTTATTTGCTGTAGATTGAAAGCTCCGTCATCAAAAAAGACGCACAACGTCTTTGTTACAATCCTATCTTTTTTCCATAAAGGAGCGAAAGAGGATGAGTCTCTTTCATCGCATTTGACTACGAACACTATCCTAACGTCCAGCCATGCATGTCTATCAGTTATGTTAACAAAAAGAGAAACGTATCATCTCGATTAGATTGATTTTCTTGAGAATCAAAAACGATGTATTATTGTTAACACAATGAGCTTAAACAGAAAAAGCTTTTTCTCGATAATTTTTGGAAAAAGATTTGCGAGCGTTGAGCATGTAGTGTAACAGTCAAGCACGTCTCAACTACTCTTAATATAGATAGTCAATATAAAAAAGACAAGCTACAGTCAATGAGTACGTATGTACATGAGCGACAGCTGGATATGCCAATGGTAAATAGCATCTGTAACGATGCAAAACAATCGTGATAATTAGAGCACGAAAATATGGACATAAAGCTATTCAAAAGATTGTTTAAACACAAGCAAAACTACGTCCTTTCTTGATTGTGTGGAATTGTTATTACCGACCAAATACGCAGCTCCAACTTTTTTGCAGTTTGAGGGAAACCCCTATTGAGGAGCAAGTCATTTTCTTTTTCCTGCTTTGCCTTACGAAAAGAAATTGATAATCCTGAACAACCGATTGGTTACGTATATGCTTCATAACAATCTAGGGTTCATTTATAAATAACGGAGGCAGAAAGGAGGAGAAAAAGGGAAACATTCAAAGCTGGATATAGGCAGATACTCATAATGGTTTTTAAAAGGTTTACAATAATAAGGTACTCTGTGGTGAGAACGCTTATATACAAATGCCTGGTTACAGAGGGGCAAGACGAGAGCAAAGAACTTAGGAGACAATGAGTTGGATGGGATTTCAATGGTCCAGCTTGAAGAAAGTTGCATTATTCCTGTATCCAATTTGAGCAGACTAAGCTTTTCTTTTCTTTCAACATCGACAGAACGTCTTTGCTGTAGGATTTATACATGTAGAGAAAGAAAAAGTAAGTAAAAAGAGATTCTTTCCGTATAATTGGAGATGATTAAGGAGAACACTCTAAAAACGTGACTGTGTAGGTATGTGCCTATGTGCACTGGAAGCCATCAGTAGTAAGGCTCCACACCAACATATCAAATGATCTGTATAAGCTAGGAGAGGAAGAGAGAGGAAGGAGCAGACAGAAAGAGAGAGAGTGAAAGAGAGTAGAAAGGAAAAGTCATATGTATGTAATCTAATCAAGAGATATATATTGTATTGCAGATTGCAGAAACTGAAACTGTATCGTTGCGAAGAAAGATCAGATGTTCCTTGAAGCAGATGGCTCTCTCCCTCCTTTGCAGATTATAGAAAATCAATTGCAAGTGTGTGCATGCAAGAGAACAAAGAAATTGTAATTACACATTACAGGTATACTCCTTTGTTATTTTCTATTTAATTCTCTTTGCAAACAATGAATTGTTTAGTAGAATAATAATCTTAGAGGCTGATAAAGCTAAAAGTAGTGATTGAAAGGGCCTAAAATCAAGTAATGTGAAGTTGCCTGTTTTAGATTGAAACGGCCAGCTTTTTAAAGAGAGGACAGGCTTTCATATTGTTAATGAAAATGAAACAAAGCGGGAATCGATCGCACGAACAATAAAACTTGAAATTCCAATAAAAACGATTTGCATCTGTTTTAAAATCGTGTTCTTTGGTTCTCATGGGGAGCGGGGAGAGGGAGGGGGGACTGTGGGGACAGCTTGAATCAAAACCCAAAGGCCAAAGAGCGCGCGTTTGCGTGTGCTTTAGCAATAAGAAGTTTTGTATGACCTTAGTTTCGTTTTTGGAGTTGTTCATCATCCATATCTTACTGTGTAACAACATTGTACCATTAGGATGAGTGTAGTAGACGGGTTTTCGATCTCAACATACTTCGTTGTCCACATTTGTACAATACCGTTTCGCAATATAATTTTTATACGTATATGGACTGATTTGGCCATATGACTCTTAGTGTTTGGAATACCAGTATGGTGAATGCAAAGTTACGTTTCCAAGAAACAGGTATGCATTGCACACCTAAAAGACTTTTTTTTTCCTAATAAAAACTTGTGCTGGAGATTCTCTTTTCCTCCTTCTTCTGTCATTACATGAACAATTGAATTCATATCGCGTCTGATGATGCAAATGCTGTCCTGGCGTCACTTCTATAGCCGGTGGAACATAACAATTCGCGTAAAGAAGCCTTTCCAAATTAAAGGTCAATTACTCTTTATAGAAAGCCTTTGCTTCATTTCATGTATCTGTCATGTCCTTTTTTTTTGCTTTACTAAACTTCCCCTAAATGTAAGAACAATCAATTACTAACTGCTACTATCACTATAGTTTGTCTTTCTCAATTGGTAAACTTGTAATGGAAGTAACTATAAAATAATTTTTATTATAAGTATGCTCCCCTTTGTCCCCTTACCAACTTGCACTTTAAATAGCATTCAATTCATTTGTACTCATCTCCTTTCTTGAAATCTATTAACTAATTATTATTATGAAGACGATGTATACGTGGCTATATAATGTATATAAATAATTCAAGGAGTGTTCTCTCGATAAGACTGTTGTCTGTTACTAAGCATTTTGATGATTTCGTTACAAAAAAGATCATGGGCAGGATGGTTGCACTAAAATAGCTTAAAAGCGAAATGGATACAGAAAAATTAACTCGAAAAAACGCGTTTTGAACTTTTCAGTTATTGTTATTCTCATCTCTGCCCCACCGCTTCTCCCTTCGAAGACATGAAAAAAAAGATTGATCGACATGGAAAAAAGAGGACGTTTTACACGATCAACCGAAGCAACACACATATTTCTGATGACTGCTGAACTGATGATGATGATCGATGAACCACATCCCCTTCCTGATTTACATCTAGACACGCATTCCAGTATTGGTAGTTCTACACGTATACATGGAGTGTCATCTATATCCAAATTTAAATCCATACATTTGAAGCAAACTATTTTGTGTTTGTGTACTGTTTCAACATAAAAAAAAGCTTATTTTTTTAACTTTTTTGCGTTCTTTACCCGACAGAAGCAACCCCTTTTTTTACTACATGTATATAATAAAGATATTAAGGGGGCTTATGTAGGACGGAAAAGAAGGGGTAGAGGCAGCATTGAAATAAGCTACATGAGCTTATAAAGAGACTGAGGGAACGGAAGGGGAAGGGAAAGCTTATTCCAAAAAAGCTTTTTCTTTTCAATATAAAAACATATCAGTCTTCTAACCTTTCTTTTTTGTTCTGAGAAACACTCTGACTTTATCTTCATCAACATGCTTCATTCTACCTACTCTTCTTCTTCCTATCCTATGGCTGCTTCTGCTCCTGTTGCTGCTGCAAAAACTACTACAGCCACTTCTACACCTTTTTCACCTCTATATCTTGTCACTGCTATGCCTTCCACGACACAATCAAAAGTATTATTCAATCCATACCAGCAACCACCGTTTGTGGAGTTGAAGCCTTCGCAAATTCAGCTCAGCATGTTCAACAAGCCATCTTCCAGCCTTTATTCAGCGAAACTACTACCATTTCATGCTGGCGTGTCTACTCCCACTATCAGCACTCTCAGTAATTCATATTCCTCGCCTACAAGCTCTACTTTATCTGATATGTCTTACTCTTCCGCATCCATTTATCCCAACGATACTTTGTTGACTCAAAGTTTCGTTCCTTCCCCAACCGAAACGGTAGTTAGTTTTGAATTCTTTGCTCCCCCTTCTTTTCCTATGGATTCCTCTGCTGAAGCTGGTATTGTCACAGTCACTCCTCCTTCTGTTGCTCAACAACAAGTAGAAACATGTCAGCCACATTCTCAACCTCATCCAACTTATCATCCTTATCAACAACAACAACAACAACAGCAGCAGCGGCAACTTGATGTTTTTTCCTTATCTTCTCTCTCACCATCACCTGTTCTCGGCAATTCATCGCCTTCCTCCACCTCTACGTTTACTTCTTTGTGCTCAACGCCTTCAGGCTCCCCAAAACGCACAATGTCTATTCATAGCTTTCATCATTCTTTAAAAAAGAAGCATGATACGTCCAAAAGTTTTTCAGTCACGACGAACAATAGCTACAACAACAACAACAACAAGAAGGTTCAAAAGCCAAAGCCGTTTGGATGTCCTATCTGTCATCGTCCATTTGCTCGTAAACATGATTTACAACGACATATTCGCGTCCATACCGGAGACAAACCCTATGCTTGTCTTTGTTGTAAAAAAGCCTTTGCGCGCACGGATGCTTTAAAAAGACATTTACGTGTAGAAGAAGAGTGCCAAAAGAGTCATGAAATGCAAGTACACCGTTTCCAACAACGACAGCAGCAGCGACTACAACTACAACAACAGCAACAACAACAGCAACCATCTTTTTTTTTCAATACACATCATCTCCATCCTTATCATCCTCGTTTTTATTATGGTGACAGCAATACAGATCGTAGAGATAATAGCGATGGTGGTAAGAATACTGATCATGCACGTTATCATCCATATCCATTTTGAAAACACTCCATTCTTCTTTCCTGTACATATACATTTTAACACTTCATATACAGTATATTTTGGAATTAGTAAACAGAAAAAAAAAAGCCCTCAAAAACAAAAAAGAACCAACATCCGATTGGTATTACACATTGCATATTATAATTTATTTCTTAACTACTATATACCTTTACTTATATCAATTATTACTCGCTCATTGCGCTTAACCTTGACTAAAAAAAAAAAAAGAAAAGATACATAAACCTTTAGACAGAATTGTCATTCTCTCCTTTCACTCGTACGACATCCTTCTTTCCTGCATCCTTATGACACTTAAAGTAATATGACACTCTGTATCCTCTCTTTGTCTCCCTCTCTCTCATACTTTCTTTGCTGTAATCACTATGTAAAAAGATATGCTTTTCGTACCTTTCACCTTTTGCTCCTTCCTTCACAATGATTGTATATGTATTTATTAGAGGAAAAAAACGATAAAATAAAAACTTATAAGAAAAACAGAAAATGCAAATGAAGGTCTGTGATCAGACCATAGTTCATTTTGATGACATACTATATTATTATGTAAATAGAAAAATGATCGAGTACATGCCTTAAAAGAATAGCCTTTCCTTCTGTTTGGCTGCTGAAAAGGTCTCTTAGCTCCATCTCAAGAATATCACATGTCATATTTAGACGATGACTGTCTGTGTGTTAAAAAACAGGAATAAATAGAAGCTTCCTCTAATACTGTTTGTGTTCCCATGACACGTTGAAATTCTTGTGAGCTGTTATCCTATTGCCTTTACCCCAACATGTATTGGAAGAACTATTACTGCTAAGGACTATTACAAATAATGTCTTTGGAGGTATTTTAGTACCAGGCGGTATCTAATGGTATTCTATTGCCTTTGTATACGTAAAAATAACAACTTGTCGAATTTATCTATATCTATCGATCGATCTATCTACTGACTGTTAAGTGGTACAACAATCTCCTCATCGTGCTCTTCTGCTGGTGATGCTAATCTAGACAGGGTTAACGTTTGAGTGCCTACTCTCTTTTCTTGATCTGGACTATGCGTGATCCAGATGCATGTACGTCCTTGTAACGATTTTTCGACTAGCAGCGTAGTTTCAGGATCCAAAGCCGAGGTAGGTTCTATGCATACCCATTCCAGTAGTGGTGAGGTCCACTGTATTTTGCTGTCTGTTCTGTTTGTTTCTTTGCACTTACCATCTAAAAGCAAAATCTCTGGATTCAAAGCAAGAGCAACAGCTAGTTGACATCGTTGCATTTGACCACCCGACAAGAAAGACCAATTTTCATAAAAATGAGAAGCCGACAAATTCCAATCCATACCAATTTTGATCTAGTATCATTTTATGAAAGATAAGATGAGAGAAGAGAAGCAAAAAAAAAAAAAAACCAAAAAAACCAAAAGAATATCGTTATACGTTACTGGATCATCGAAATATTTTCCTTTTTGCGAGGCATATGATTTTGCCATATTGAACAAATCCATAGGCGTACCCGGATGAAGAGCAGGTCTTTGCGGGACGTACATCACTCTTGATCTCCAAATAGTAATTCCATAATGCGCAGGAGTCTTGCCGTACAAGTAAGTTTGTCCAGCTGTATACGGTTGAAGATGGGCTAAACATTTCAATAAAGTAGTCTTTCTAGCAGCGTTGGCCCAAAAACAAAAAATTCAAACAAGAAAAAATTGCATACAAACAACGACAAAACCCAGTAAAACACATGTTAATTGTGTTGTCTCTCCACTTATCAAAGAATCAATCAACAAAAAGCGTTTACCCTGCTCCACTAGGACCTCTTATAACAAGAGTATCTCCTTTTTCCAAAAAAATATGTACATCCTTGAATAACCAACGATCGCGATCGTCTAATTTTAACGAAATGCCTTTTGCCTCGAACATCTGCTTCTTCCGTCGAGAAACAGCAAAGAGGTTCAATAAAAAAGGTTCAAAAATAACCGAAAATAAGAAAGTTTTCGGGCTTTTTGCTGGATTTATCATCTCATCTTTAACACCATTCTTCTCATTACGTAAAGTAATATCGTCTATACAAACCGAGGAAGAAGGGAGATGAAGAGGGTCACTTACCAACGGAACTTGTGCGGATCACTATAGACCAGGTCCTATTGTAGTCTTTCTACGAAATACCTAGCTAAGTATCCTCAATACAACTGCTATACATCCTCATAACCTATTCATTTTGAAAATGATTGGGTGGCACAGGCATAAAGTTTTGATTGGTTTAAGATGTGTGTGTTTAGCAGTGGAAGTGAAAAAAAAAAAAAAGAAAATTGGGCGTGACCATAACCATGTCCTTTTCTATATACAGTAAAAAGATAATTTGCGACTTTCTAAGGGATGGTAAAAGGGGATACTTCTTTTACGTCTGTGCTTTTTCAAAGAAAAAAAAGAAAAATTGAAGAAAAGTGATGATGTCACTAATAAAGAAAAAGAAAAATGAAAAATGAAAATCATTCCTTTCTCTTTACGAATTTTTTTTTATTGCCTTATAAATTAGAAAAATGTGAACTGCAAACAACAAAAAAGCAACATTTTCATTTGCAGTTTCCAAATCCTATTATTTTTTTATTTTTTTTCTATTTTACAACTTCTTTTTCTTTTCTGATAGTTCGTTAGTAAAAAAACAGCAGTAGATACAACTTCTTCTTTCTGTGTTCTTTCTTTGTGTATCTCTCACTCTCAACTCACTCTCACAGCATATCTTAAAGCTTACCAACGAAACCCCTTTTTTCCTTTTCCTTGATTGTGGTTTGTTTTGTATCTTTACTCAATTTAGTACAATCCAGTTCATTTTTTTGTTTCAAAAAGAATGGCAGAGACAACAACAGCAAGTATCAATCAGCACAAAAGAAAGAGAAGCTGGGAAAAAGAATTTTACAAGAATGGCTATCCAAAAGAAGTGATTGTTATAGAAGACTCACCCACACCACCTCCACCTACCTGTACAACGTTGGTTAATAACAATACTGTTACGAGTAGGAGTAACAGTAACAGAACCTGCTTGCCTCCATTGCCACTTGTCGCTACCACAACAGACTCGTCATCGTCCACAAGTAGTCATGAGTCATTGAGTACCAACTACAACACTAGACAAATTGTTTTGGAACCTGATCCTAAACGAACAAAATATACTACTCAATCCTATCCATCGCATCCATATTACCCACAACAACAACAACAACAACAGCAGCAGCAGCAGCAGCAGCAGCAACAACAACACCAGCAAATACCTCCCTTAAATGCACAACCACCATCCATACCATCCCGTTACCCTCATCCAAATACAGCCCATCCTACAGCTACTAATAGTACAGATAATTTCATAAACCAAAGTAAGTGACGAAAACGTAGTATTAGGATGTATAGACGATGGAACTGATATCTTTTTTCCATTTTTCAACATAATCATAGGCATATTAGCATACCATTTATTTCCGAGTACTTTATACTCCTCACCGAACCCACCACCCCAACTACCATCTGCTCCACCACCCCCACAAGCACCGCCGGTACCTGCGTCATCAGCACTACAGTCCGCAAATAACATCTCACAAATAATACAACAGAGACCTCAGCTAACACCACCATTACCGCCACCACCACCGGCAGTAGCACCTCTTGAAACCACGACGAATACTGCAAATTCTACTACTAATACTACTACCACTACTAATAATTTACATATCAAACACACTGCCTCCACAGCAAAGAATGTGAACGAAGTAAGTACATACACTACAGAAAAGATAAATGATACACTTTTTTTTTTCTCACCCACCCCTTCTCTCGCCAAAAAAAAAAAAAAGCCTTGCGATGATAGAGATGGACATTATATCGTCAGATTACATCAATCTCTCACCAGTCAATACCAAATCGTCAAATTATTAGGGCAAGGCACATTTGGTAAAGTAGTGCAATGCTACGACCATGTGCGAAGAACCTATTGCGCCATCAAAATTATTCGTGCTGTATCTAAATACCGAGACGCCAGCAAAATTGAAATTAGAGTCTTGGACACATTAAAACAGCACGACCCTTTGAATTTAAACAAATGCATTCATTTAATTGAATGGTTTGATTATCAAAATCATATCTGTATGGTATTTGAATTACTAGGCCAATCTGTTTTTGATTATTTGAAATCTGTACAATTTCGACCCTTTACCGCTCAACAGATACAGCATTTAGCCAAACAGTTACTCACCAGTGTAGCATGTAAGTTTTTTTTTTCCAAGCATATGACCTGTACTGATGGAGGGGAACCTCTAACACTCTTCTACCCCGTTTGTATTTGTTCACATTAAACCTAGTTTTGCATGATTTGAAATTGGTTCACACCGATTTGAAACCCGAGAATATTTTACTTGTACGCCCACCGACCACCACAACCACCGCTACCACTGCTACTACGACAGCTACTACCCATGCTGCAGCTGCTGCTAGTGCTTTTCGTTCCAATACATCGTCTACAACGATGACTTCTGTATCGGCAGCTTCTTCTATCCATTCTCTACCGAATAATTATCATAATCCTGTATTAATAGACGATGATGATGACGACGACGACGACGACAACGATGATGAAGGCAACGATGTGAACGAACAACAACAAATAGAGGAAGAATTTACAGCAGATATCCGTCTGATCGACTTTGGTTCAGCAACATTTGAGCAAGATTATCATTCGGCGGTGGTATCTACCCGTCACTATCGTGCGCCAGAAATTATTCTAGGTATAGGTTGGTCCTATCCTTGTGATATGTGGTCGATTGGTTGTATCCTGGTCGAATTTTTTACAGGTGATGCTCTCTTTCAAACTCACGATAATTTAGAACATCTGTGTATGATGGCCACTGTGTTAGGACAGATTCCTCTACGTATGAAGCAGAAAGCGAGCAAGGAAGCACAACAAAAGTTCTTTACAAGAGATGCTAGTAAAAGCTTAAGGAACTATAATCGTCAGCAATTCCTTAAGAAATTTGGCAGAACCGTGAAACCATTAGAGGTGAGTATTTCATCAAAACTGACACTCTATTATATACAGGCTGTCAGCTGAAACAATAACCATTTATATTCCATGCATCATAGGAAATTATTCCGGCTACAAACATTTACAATACCTATTTACTGGATTTACTCAAAAAGTTACTGGTCTATGAACCCGAGAAACGTCTTACTGCTCGTGAGGCACTTCGCCATCCTTTCTTCCAAATATAAAAAAATGAAGACATGCATTATCTATTGTCTTTAGAGAAAAAGAGAAAAAAAAAAAAAAAAAATTAAAAAAACATCCTTATACATATGTATCCCTCTCACTTTTCTTTCTTTGTTCATACATTATCACCCTATTATATATCAATAACTATGAATAGGTTATTCCCAATTTTTTCCTTTTTTTTTTTTTTTTTTTTTTTTCTTTTTTAAAAAAAGAAATAAATCATATTATGTGTACAGCAAAAATCTTGAAAGCTGAAAGCAACAAGATTTGTTTTATTGTTTGGTTTTTCATCCATAATAACATTGTATGGGACATGCTTATGCCATAGGTATATAAAAATGAATGCAGTATGGTTTGCAGAAAATAAGAATCATACAAAATAAATAGGTGCGGAGGCGACATTAACTCTTGTTTTTTTTTTTTTACAATCCTGCTTTGACTAAGGCTTCCTCCATCCATGCTTTTAATATAGGTTTGGTGTTGAAAAGTTCGATGATTTCACTCTCTTGTACGTTTAGATGCAACCTCTTTGATTTGTCATCTTTACCAGATAGTTGAATGATACTGTAAGATTCCAATAATGACAGTACATCATTTAATTCTGTTCTTGACACAGTAGGAATTTTGGCCTCTGTATGACGGCAAAGCTTTGTGTATTTCTCATGGAATGCGCTTAGTGTAAATTGACCCTTATCGTTGCTTTTAGTAACAGTACGCATCATGAGCAGCATCACACCCAGCACGACTTGATGTTGCAAATTGAGTTGCTTTAACTTCTGCTGTGTGCCATTGAATACACTTCCCGTCACTTTCAGAATATGAACCACAGTAATATTCACCACCGAAGGTAAGGAGGCTGCTGTAGTTGATGTTCCTGTGGCTACTGCTGTTGCTTCAATATCCTTACTCTTCTTTGACAAAATGGCATCCTTTGGAGAGACATGAGTACCATTACTATTTTGAACCCCCAGCACTTTTCTCTTTTGCTCCATTTCCACTAATTCGATCGCTTGTCGACAGATATCGAGCGCAATACGGAGATCGCCCATAGCTGCTGCTACTTTGCGTGCACATATCTCGATCGCTTTCTCTTGAAACAGTAACTTTTGTTGTGGCGATCTCTGCTCTTCTTTCTTCTCTTCTTTCTTCTCTTCTGTTTCCGCTTCTTCTTCCTCTTTCAAAAACGTAGCCAGTCGATCACGAATAATCTCTGTAATTTCTTCCACTTTGTAAGGATTGAAATTCAATAACTCTGGTGTGATATTTTTGGCTCGTAATCGAGGTAAAATGCGATCGGTCAAATCCAAAGCATTCGCAATACCAATCAATACCAACCTCGACTTGGGACTATGGGCCCATTCGAATAATTTGTACAACACTTGCTGGTCTCTTGTGATCAAAGAGTCAATTTCATCCAAAACAACAATGTAAAGTAACTCCTTCTTACGGTTGCTGCTGGTGGTATGACGAGCAGTAAAGCATTCTTCTGCTTGTTGAATAGTAGCATCTGTCGCTGTAGACTTCAAAGGTTGATTGAATCGTTCCAATAGAGTTGAGTAAACCATCTTGGGTTCAGTGATGGTCATACAATTCACAACTGCCACCTTCACCGTATGCGTTTTCAGTGATCGATGGGCGGATTCTTGGTTACGCATGATTTCATTCAACATGGCTGTTTTGCCCGTGCCTGGCATACCCGAGATATAAAGCCCACCGGGTTGATTATTCAATACATGTTTTTTCCAAAACGTCATCATATAATTTCGTTCTTCTTCTCGACCAATTAGGCGGGCTGGAATAGCTGTTCGACGGAAAATAGCCTTGGCTCGTTGAAAGACAGTGGTGTTCTTTCTGGACTTATCTGTATCATTGGGTGAAGGTGAACGAACCGCCTTTTCCGTATCGACTATTAAACATTCATGAAATATTAGCAAAAAGGTTCAGATCATGTTGATTAGGTTGGGCCTTCATACTTTTCGTTTCTTTCAAATCTTTTGTAATATCCCTTATTTTAGTATTTTCATCTCCATTTGAGTTTCTGTTTTTGCTACTCAGTGCTGTTGCCCTTTTTTTTACAGATGGAGTGTAGACTTTTTCTGGTATATTTTCTTTGTCGTCTGTTGTTTTTCTCTTTGTACCTGAAACAACCATAATGAAGAGTTAATACCCAAAAGCTGGAAACAAAGTGTCTTATAGATTGTTCCTTACGTGTTCTGCTTTCTACTACTGTACGAGTGCTTGAACGACTTCTTGTCAACATAGCGTAATGTACAATTGTCAATGTGAAGCTTGATGCTGAGCGAAGAAAACTAAAAAAGGAGGAAATCAGGTTCCACTAGAAAGATTTTTCTTAGTCTGCTTTAAAAAAGAAAAAGCAGACGCGTCGACGCGTCACAACTGCCCGTTTAGGATAGAAAATCAAGGTACGAATAGCTCTCCTACTTTTTAAACACAGAGTGAGACAAATTTCATCAGATCAAAAAAGTCCAAACAGCAACAGATTTCAAATACCAATTTATTAAGACGGCCGATAGGCTAGCCGATCGCATTCAATGTAATAGTTTGAGTTTTAACGATCAGATTCTATATCACAGATAGATACGCATACGATGAGCAATAGAAAGCATGCTTTACGAAGGCTACAACTGGTATTCTCAATGATAACAATGTTAGTGACAGAAGGGATTTGCACCATTGTGATTCTTTTGCCATGACTTCCAGTTCACTATAATTGAATTTGGAACAGAATAGACCATTGATACGGGAGAAACTGGCACGGGGTTTAGACTGAAACTAAAAAAATATTGCAATTTGATCTTTCTGTAACTCATAGCTATTCTCAAAAATTGCACACAACTGCAAAACCCAATTGAGAAAAATGGTGAATATAAGAAAGATGAAACTTCCCAATTGGTAGGCAGGCTTGATTTGCCTTTTGATCAAACCACCTGTGACAACAAGAAACTTTTCACAATGAACATTGGTATCCGCAGAATCAATTGTGTGAATAAAAAAGGTCGTCTATTTTAGCGATTGTTCACTGAAAGAGATCGGAAGAAAGTAGAAAAAAAAAAAGCATAGTATGGGACCATTTCGTCACTGGGAAGTACACTAGAAACAGATCAAAGCATTTAGCGCAAATTATTGTCTTCATAAGGCAATATTATATTAAAGAAAATAAACAAAGAATATTATCCACATTCTCGTTGCTGAAAAGTCATATCTTTTAAAATTTATAAAACTGTTATTTTAAACGTACGATTTATTGTATGTAACAGTATAATTAGCATAAGTTAATCTTCACCAATAGATGTTCACCAATTTATTGCTAAATAATCACATCAAGTTCAAGCTGATGACCATAAAAGCATTTTTTCATTGAAAGTTCACCAATACTAAAGTCCTCTGAAAGGCCATATACATTATAAGATCGAACAACGAATTGAGAAAGATATTAAGCCATAGTACAAAGCCAAAGTGCCTTTCCTGCCAATTTTAAGTATATGATGTCTAATGATTAAAATATGTTTCGAATGAACAAGGGTTGCTATCAGAACCAGCAAATTGGAGAACGACGAGACCTTTATCTTCAATTAAGCACCATAACATCAAGTTAGACCAACAATGAATTGAAAATCATTTAAAAGACTCGGAGGAAAGAAGGAGACGCAGACAATGACCACCATTCATTGCCATTTTCCGTGAAAAGTAGAGCCGTAGTATAAGCAGAACGAAAGAAGATGCAGTAGAAAATTCTTGTCTACCAAAATATACCAGCAGTATGTCAGTATAATTGCAGATAATAACAGGACAACAAATTCCTACAGCCCCTCAGTAGGAATGACGATAGATTGACCATGGTTGACTACTTGTATATGTGGTTCACAAGCACACATATAGGTATAATAAGAGGATAGCACCTTATCAAAGAGTCACCGCTTCATTGGTATTCAGATACCATAGATAAAAACTGTCTGTAAAGAATCAACAACCTGACGGTTGACAAACACATAATCTCCAAAGAGTAAAAACCACCAAACTCCTAAACGATAGGAGAAATTAATCCTCAGAGAGTGAAGGACCACCAAACTTCCAAAGTATAGGAAAGATTAATCACCAGGATTTTCGATACTTGGAAAATCAGACGCCGGTTTCTGTAAGATGAACATCCACACTTACAGAAATAAAAAGAAAATAAACTAAAGAACAAAATAGAATACAGAAAATGATTGAAAAGATAAGATAAAGTATTTGTTTTCCTAATAGTAATGGGTGAAGAACTTACATTATTAAAAAAGAAAGCATTAAGTCTTAATTTATAACAAAAAAAAAATGAGAACATGCCCCATACTGCGAACAGTATATGCCTTCCCAAAACCCGTAATAGCAAGATTACACACTATTACTGCATGGTTCTCATTTTTTTTTTTTTTTTTGACAGCAGATGGTAATGGTAGTGTTGATAGTGGCAAGTGGTGATGGTGTGAGTGGCGATGGTGGAAGAGTGAGTGGCGATGGTGGAAGAGTGAATGGCGACGGTGTGGTGATGGAGGAGTGAGCGGCGGGTGGTGGTGGAGGCGTTGTTATAACAATAATCTTTCGATTATTCAAGTCTTGCAACAAGCTTTCTTAGCTTTGGGCCAGTAGCCTTCCAGACTCTTCCATGATGAACCTTCATGAAGGAGAGCGAGCGAGCAGGAATCATCGTTACATCGAAAGTAACGGAATTTGAGAGGGGCGGGATGAGAGCTTGACAGGGATCACAAGCAGGTGCATCAACAGACATAGAACTATCTTCGATGTCCGCAGCAGCAGCCATTACAATGTCCTCCAAAACGGGTGACAAGATAAGCGGGCTAACGTAATCCACCAAGGAATCGGGTCTTGAGCCTGAGACACCAAATTCCTCTGCTGAAATGAAACTCAAGGGAGGAGACAAATCACCAAGAGAAAACAAGTCAGCGGGTGAACCAGAAGATCCTTCCATTACAATGTCCTCCTCTATTAAGATGGGCTGTGAATCACCACTAGCTGTATCCATCAAAATATCCTCAACCATTGTAATGTTCGTCGAAACACTAAGTGAATCTTCCGAAAAGCTACCGGTAAAAGAACCTGTCACTGAAGTAAATGCATCAGGAAAGTAGCTTGAACGATATTCTTCTTCATCAACAATCATGGAAACGGGTGAGAATGCAGGTGCCGAAACAGAGCTGTAATCCCAATCCATCGTTCCCTGAGCAGATCGCTGAGAACGCTGCTGACGACGGTGAATGCGGCTGGCCTTGCCCAAATAATGAGCAATACAAGTACATCGGTCAAGTCTGTAGACTTTGCTGGAATCACCAGCGCGACGATGACTGATACGCATACGCAAGCGAGCACACAAACCGGGCTTGATACCACGTCGAAAGTAGGGGACCGTTGAGCCAGATGAAATGCAATACGAAATAAAAGTTTGAACCATCCAACTACCATCAACAAAAGTTGCTGGCAAATTGAATACTTCAGGCTGAACCATAACAGATATTTCAGATACTGCAGAAACCGGAGCGGATACAACAGCCGTTGCAAGTTTACTAGCACTACGACTAACAACCGGGGCCCAACACCAACTCAATCGTTGACGAAGAGCAGCGGATGTAGTTGAACAGGTAGGCATAGCAAAACGACTGTTGCTTCCAGAATAAAACGTTTCAGCACTGGCGGAAGCAAAAGCACGGGCATGAGAACGAATTTCTTCTTCAGCACGCTTCAGATGACAAGTCAATCTTTCCAGGTTTCTTTCACCTTCACCATTATATAGCCGGCTGCAAAGGGTATGGAGTTCAGGCGAACCTTCCTCCCATAAGAGGATGCAAAAACCATATAAAGAGAGAGCCCAATGTGATAATATCAGCATAGAATTCTTGCAAAAGCAGAGAGCGGCGAGAGCGGAATACCAGAGAAGGTTGAGCAACACGTTGTAGGCCAACGTGGCAAAGGAGAGAGCAAAAGAGACGGCGAACGAGCGCAAAGGACAGAGACAGGAAAAGAAGAGAAAGTCGCAAAACTCAGCAAAGATGCTGGCTATAAAGCTTAGTATAAGCAGCGGTAACATTCTTAAAGTTATTGTAGAAAGAAAGAAAAAGAAACGGCTTCATTTTCTCTTTATATAAACAAAAAATACGCGTGTGTTTCCTCATGTGGTTTCTGTAGGCCCAATAGAAATGCACTCACTTCACACTATTTATCCTATATACGTTTCCAAGCACTCACTTACAGTGTTTGTGCGATCTATCGCCGTCGATTTAAATTGAAGTGCGAACTTTAAACGCTTGACAGTGAGATTTTTGTGCTAACTTACATAGCTCTTCATATGAGGGATTTAATAAAGTTTGCGATAAATCCCTCACTATGCATTTTACGCCCACTATGTGTACCCAGCTCCAAATCAGTGTTGTATAACACAACGTATATAACGCTAAATGATAATTTATTACTTTACGGTTCAACTGTTTCAAATTAAGTCAAATTGATCATTTTCACGCCAACCTATCTACTTATTCTTCTGGTCTTTGTTCTATGTATTCGTGTTCCTTCTTCAAAGGCGTCGTTACTGCATCACAGCGCCAACAGTCAGAAAGCTTTGTCGTTCTTATTTTTAAAGCTTCTCTACGGTTTGATGAGTTTTCCTAAAATGCCTCGTAATCAAGGAGGCGATTTTCACAGCAAGGTTGACGACACATTAATTATTGTATCACAGTGGTGATAAACAAAAGCAAAAAAGGCAAGAAAAGTAGAGGGAGGAAGATAATCAGCTCACTGAATTCAACTTGATCCTATTATTCCTTGTGCTATACCTTTTTGTTCTAGCCTTGTTGCTTTTCGACTGACAGCTGAAAGTAGTTATAGCGCATCGTTGCTGTCGTAATCTCTCTGCTTCTGCTGCTCCAAGTTTTTCATTTCTTTTCAAACGACTATATAAATTCAACCAAAGAGATATATATAAATATATGTGTATACAGTTAATGCTCATAGCTGTACTGATTTAAAGCTGCTGTCATAGACTGGTGAACCGTTTTTTATAGATGCAGCTTACCGCTCCTTTTGACCTTTCTTTTGATGAATCAATCTCAATTCTTGCCATTGGACGTGTTCTGCGTCTAGCAGAGACTCTGATATTTTGTGCTGCTGCTCCTCCGTCAAATGAGTAGCATATTCTTTCTCATTCTCTTCGTTATCTTCAGCATCTGTTGAGATCAAATATTGTGCTATCATTCCCAGAGAACACTAGATGGGATGGGACAATGAGAGTAAGAAACGTGTATAGAATCTTACCGGATAATGTTTGAGAACCCAATCGCAGTCTGTGACTGACCCTTTCATACATATCTTTATCCATTGGGCTGATAAGTAGTCTTTTTTCTTCGATATCAAAATTATATTGAGATGATGGACGATTTAAAGCGACGTGAAAAGAAAAGCTAATGACTTTTTAATCTTCGTTTACAATGATTAATGACGAATACAGTATCATATTTAAGTCGACAGTATTGTAATTAATGCTTGACAAAATTGATATAGAAAAGTATTCACGTGGTATACTCCATGCGCTTTATTTTATTCTGCTTATTTATCTATAGACAAACATCAGTGCAGCAGCAAAGATATGTGTGTCTTTTAAGGGCGCTTTGATTGGGGGGGGGGGTAAATCCATGTAAAATACAGATGATGGGCGTTTAGATGAAAGAAGAACAAAGTATTTAGAAGGACCAGGGCAATAAAATACTACACCTTGCGGATAAGGATCCTTATCACGCGCTTCCCAACCACGACCATTTTCTGGTCCTCTCATGATGTTTATGGATGGTTCCAATTGTAGATCTATGCCTTTTTGATAGAATTCATGGCCCATGTATTCATCACAAGCTCGACTAAAATTTTGTACGATGAAAGAACAATATGGATGCTCGCAAAACGAACAGTAACGTTATTTGCATAATGTTTACCCATGGGGCCATCTTACAAACAAAGAGACGGGAAATCATTGTTTGTCATTGGGTGAGTATTACTTATACAGCTACCACCTTTCCAATATAACAACGTTGGTTTATCGACTTTTTGTTCCAGGCACATTGATTAATGAGTCTGTTAACATAATCATGGACTTCACTCCGTGAAAGAATCTTTTATCTTGGCCTGAACCACATTGGCAGCATTGGCGATCAACAAAGCGATACAGCAGCAATGATAGTAATAGCATGAATGATGGTCAAATTGTACTTCTATGTGCAATCTGACGACGAACAGATTACAGATGAAAGGTTCAATTCAATAAATCACTAATATAGTCCTCGAGACCTATTGTTAGATTCACCGTTCCGATCTTTTTCTGTTAAAAAAAAAATTAAAGGACCTTTTGCGTCCTTTGGAGTTGCACAGGACCTTTATCTGATTTAAAGGTTGGTGTTGCAGTTGCTAAAAAGTCCCGATATATTAAGCGATATAGCTGTTTGTTGTGATGGACTCAGAAAATGCGCGACCAGTATCTTTTTTCTTCCCATGGTAACTGGGATGATACCATGTCATTCTCACAGAAATGATAAAGGATAGCCTTTTTTCAGTGTGCTCGCAATACCTTGTAACTATGACTATGATTACCAACTTGAATGATGTGATAGAATGATATCAATGTACATTCATTCTACTACTGTTGAGGAATTGGACTGTCTGTCTCAGTTACATCAATACAGATTTCTACATTTTGCGTTACATTATATTTTTATTGTCCCCTGAATCAGTGAACCATTAAGTTACACGCATAATTGTAAGCAGAAAATTATTCGTTTTTTAACCAGCGATTGAAGGATTTCCTGATAAAATCATTACAGTGCGTATTCATGTTGAACATGCAAATGAAATACGCGAATTGGCATCAAACGGAAGGTTTATTGTTTGTTCTGTTCAAATTTTTCCCCTTCTCTTTTTTTTTTGAAGAGTAGGTTGTGACATCGTTTGTGCTACACAAAAAGTTGAAAGTTGTGCACATTGAGACTCTCATTCCAATATTTTATTCTGATCACATATTAGATGATAGACACCTCGAAGACACGTAATCTTTAATAGTCATACTGATTGCTTTATCTATTTTCTTTCTTTCAATTTGAAGTATATTATGTAAGACGTTGTTTTTTGACTTAGGCTGCATATTCAATTACTCAACAATTGTACTTTTTTGTCTTGAATGAGTACATAGCTCATTATGTTCTGATCAGTCGGAAAATCATACTATCAATCATCAGAAAAGAAAAGAAGGAGGCAGATGCTTAGATTTATTGGTACTTCTGCAAAATATGATAGAAAGACAGAGGGAGAGGAGAGAGAGTGAGGGACTACAAAAAAAGTACGTGTTAACGTCTAAAAAATGGGTAATGTTGTGTGTATAAATGATATTTGGCAAAATAATAGTAAAGATTAAAGAAGAACATTAAAAAGTTGAAATTATTAAGTATTATTTCTTTTTGGCAAGAGGATGATCGGACGGTGTTAATAATTCGAAACTGCATAATAATTCTTCGCTCACACTCATGATGGCACCAAAATTATCAAATTCACCGCAATAATTAGGCGCACTGAAGACTGTAACTAACGTACGTTCATTGAAGAATTGGTATCCATCTTCGACCACCATGTGAGCTCTACAGACTAAATCCAAGTCGAACTTGGCCAGGAACTCGTTGATGACTTTTTTACCAAAACAGTAAGATACGCCTCTTTCATTATCTTCCCAGTCGACTGGAATATCAGCAGGATCAGCCCATAGTAAGTCGTTCAATAAGCCATAGTCAGGCACATCCGTGGGACGTTGAATATTTCGAATATCGTCCATACTGTGTAAGGACGGCGATAATCCGCCATGAACGCAAAAGATTTTACCTGCAACCAATCCTGCAATGGGTAACGTGTTGAAAACATCTACAAATGTTCGCCACATTTTTGGACTAAGACGGCGTTTACATTCATCATAAAAGCCATAAACTATGTAGATTTACAAAATAAAGGTTAGAATGTGTCGTTGTTGCTGCTACTATCGTCCAGTGTTGGCTGACCATCCCATCCCCCCCCTTTTTTTCTATGCCCCTTTTCGCCCTTATTCCATTATTGAATTCACGGACCTTTGGTAACATTAGCTGATTCATGATTTCCTCTGAGAATAAAGAAATTTTCTGGATATTTGATTTTATAGCATAGCAATAACAAAAACGTCTCTAGACTTTGCTTTCCTCTATCAACATAGTCTCCTAAGAATAAATAATTGGCCGCTGGAGGAAAGCCTCCCATTTCAAACAGTCTTATCAAATCTGTATATTGCCCATGTGTGTCACCCACAATTTTTACAGGTGCTGATAATTCCAGTAAGGACTATGAGTGCGTGATGATTAAAAACCAAGAACATGTTTAGTAACCCATTACATAGTACTAAATGCTGCTAATGCTTCCCACCCCCACTTCTTCCATGAACTAAGACGGATGGAACTTACAGGCTGACTTAAAAATATTTCCATTGCTGCTCTACAAATAGCTGTAACTTCAGAATTCTTCAAGCATAATTGTTTGGATACTTTTGAAGCATAACCAGCATCTAATAGGCGTCGAATATAATCGTCAATCTGGACAATGCCTTGTGTCATACTCATCATTGAATTTACAGTGAGTTGGTTCATCGAGCTGACAGTCAATTGGTTATTATTATCGATATCGTTCACATCTAACGTTTGTCCAGTAGGTTTTCTTGGTGGCCAAAAATCGGACTGAGCCAAAAGTTTATGCTGCTGTGGATGAGCTACTTTGCCCATGAAAGCATCTCTATTTTGAATTGTGTCTTGTTCACTGTCCTCTGCAGCTTCCTGGCTTCCTACAGCTGCTCCATTGCCACTTCCACTACCACCCACAGGATAGTCAGGGTTGAGTTGAGACAGTGCATTGTTGTTATTAGTACTATTAGTGTTTTGCTGCTGTGCTTGTTGTTGCTGATTTCGACGATGTTGAGAGGAAGTAATCAAAATAGAATTGATGGACTGTGCCGTATTTACACTGTATTCATTATCACTTGTTATTGATTGTTTGCCTTGCGGCGGTATCTGTGAAGACTGCCTTCTATTATTCTGCACCGAGCCAGATTTAGTCTTTTCCTTAAGTTTATTCTTTTTCTTCGAAATTTGATTTCCCATGAGAAGGGTTGGTCGTGATTAAATATTGAATAAATAAATAGAGAAAGAAGAAAAGGGAAACTTTTCTCTTATTCTCGTCTTTCCGTCACAAAGCAAGTTACGCGGGAATTGAAATAAGCAGAAGAAAAAAACGTAAACAAAGCTAATGCGTTCTTTTTTTTAACCAATAAATATCAATCGTAATTGAGACGTTACAAGTATTGAATTGAGAAAAATTTATGTCAAAATTCTTGCTTGCCTACATCTGACATTGGATCATTGAAAGCAAAGACCAAAGGTCAGTTCGCTTTTAAGTTCATCGCATGTAAGGGGGGCCTATTATAAGTTATTTACCCTTTGAATTCTATTTTTAAAGGCTTTTAAAGAACCTCTTTTTTGTCAATTATTCTGACAATTTGAAAATTCAATTGGAAATGCACTTGGGGCCACAATTTAAGCCAGTCAGCGTCTATCAAAACCATACAAAACTTCTTTATAATGGAAACGGTATTTTCAGAAAAAGTTGCGCCTTTACACGCTATTTTGAGACAAATTCTGCCATCAAATTGATTTCAATGAGTAAAGGCTTAACCATTTTGCCATCGTTTAACCAAATTATTGCTTACTGTTTTGAAAAAAAAAAAAAAAAAACTATTCTATAAAGTGAAACAAGCTACATGCACCAAAAAAAAGGATAGTTTCCCGCCTGGTGTAAGAATCATGTATATGAAGAATTGTCAACCCCTACTTTCCACGTTTCATAGTCGGCTTCGATATCGTCGATTTTAGAGCATCTTTTCAATTTTTTCGTTAAACTTCTCAGACAAGTGATGTGGCATTTTCCCGCCCTTTTGTTTCACGCAAATTTACATAAGCAAGGATATGAGCATAGAATTACTTTCAACATAACTTTCTCTGAACTTCATTAGATACAGGTAGGTTCATCGGTATATAACCTTTTTAACAGATCATTACGAAAAACATATTTGTCATATATTAGAAAGGCTTAAGCTGATGTGTTAAACTGATCGGGGCCTTTTTTTTTTGTTCTTTTGTACACTTCGTTGATAACAAGGAAACTCTCCCCTTTTTCATGCTGCTGTTCCAAAAAAGAGGCCACGGATAATACTCTACAGCAGGAGCAATTAATTGCATTGTGTATTGTAGGCAAAAAAAAAGGGTGGAGATGAGCAGACACTATTTTTCCGCCGAACTTGAACATTACATGGTGTATTCACGTACATCAACAGTTCGAACCTAATGCAATTGCATCAGCCATACAACCGTAGAATGTCAACTCTTAAGAAAATGTTATTCTTTGATTAACAATTCGGAAGAGCACATTAGAAGCCGTTTATTATAGACAATGAAAAGCTATAAAATTAATTTTCATATTCAGAACACGTTATTAGTCGTCGTCCTCTTCCTCTTGGTAACTATAAAAGTCGCCGAATTCTAAATGACTCCCTTCTATAACGCAACTTTCCAAAAAGTTTATCGTAGTAGAAATAGTAGTAGCAGTAGTATTATTGCTAGATGTAAACGCGTTGCTGTTGAATTCAAGCTCACTCTCTTCGTTAAATGGCTGTTCAAGTTGTTGTTGTTGCTGCTGTAGTTGTCTTTGTAGTTGTCGTCTTTTTTCCCTGTCTTCTGCTAACATAGATATATATTTATAAATCAAGTTCGCTACAACGACTTGCTGTAGTAAAGGCCTTCTTTTCATGAGCTTCATACACGAAAGCTGGTATAGAACGCGTTCAATTGAGGATGGATACCTTTCTGGTAAATTCAACTCTGGCCGATGTTTCGGTGGTGGTGGCGGTGTCGATGCTGACTGATTTAATAGGTCTCCCTGTGGTATTGGTATAGATGTTGACGATGCATGCTTTCGTTTTTTATTGCCAAAAAAGAAAAAAGGTGACGCTGAATGCGACTTTTTGGAAGTACGTGTATGTTCGGTGGTAGAGGCGACAGCAGTAGTATTAGACAAAGCAGAAATAGATGAATTAGAGTGCGAAGGCGAAAATAAGCTACTGAGCCAACTTAAAGATTTTTTAGGTGAGCGTGCAGTCGTTGTCGTAGTAGTAGTAGTAGTAGTAGTAGCACAGGATTGTGGTGGTATGGATTGAAAAGATGTTGTTATTGAAGTTGCTGGGGCTGAAGAGGAGGTTCCCGTCGTTGACGTAGTATTACTAGCAGAATTTGAAATTGGAGATAATTGTATTGGGTGATATGCTGAAAAAGGCGTATCAGTAGTAGTGGTTGTTGAAGTGGTGGTGGCAGGAGTAATAAGTGGTGATGCTGTTGGTAGTAATGGAGACAGTGGAGGGGATAAAGGTGGTAGTGACGTTGTTACTGGCTTTTTCGGTATGTTAATTGTCATTTGTGAGGATCGTTTCCGATACTCTTTGACATTCGTATTTATGAGTGCTGTAATGACATTGTTTTCTCCTCCATTAGACTCTATCCACTTCTCCAATTCACCAGGAATGATATAGTATGTGTTCAATTTTTGTGGGTGTTGTGTCCTGCGGTTAAATAAAAAAAGAGAAAATGAGTATGAATTATATTAATGTTCCGCTTAAAACGATCATTGAACCCTACCTCGTCATGATGAATTGAGGAGAGAAAATAAAGAAAAAGAAAAGAAAGAAAGAAACGGAAAGCAAGTGATAAAAGACATGTCTTTTATCGCGTACAAGTTATTTGATTAAGTACAGAAAAAGGAAATTTAAATTTTCTGTCCTTGCTGTATATATATCGCATAAAGTATTGTACTAAGGCTTTGTACATGTATAATAAAGTCGGAAGGAAATTCTTATTGATTAAGCAATATGTTTCAAAAAATAAAAGCGATTTCTCACCTTTTCATGCTATCTAATGATGACACATTCTTATATAAAAAGAAAGATAGAGCAATGAATTACACCAGAGGATTGCATCAAAAACAAGCTTTTATAAGAGTTTGAGTTTATTGGAAGGCTTCATAAAAACTTATTTAGTTGATTTGATGAATGTTGGATTATTTGGAAGCATAAATTAATCTAAAACGAGTTGACACTTGATACTTTTCAACCTCCTCATAGGCCTCTTTAAGGTTTTCCTCATATTCTTCGTCTGTTACTTTTGTCAATTCGGTCACCATCACCTTAACAGCAGGTAAAGCCATTTTCTGAATAGCCAAGAATAACTCACCAGCCTGTCCGCCCCAAGCACCAATAGGCACATCATAATTGATATCTTGAATGTTTTTGAACTTTGCATCCTGCAAATAACCTGATATTTTGTCAGCAATAAAGGAATCCATGCCTCTTGCCACTAGAGCTTCATTAACTATAATAGGCAATGAGTCAGTTAGCTCACATACTACACTGTGCAAATTAGAGTGGCGTGAATGCTTTACTCCATTGATTAATGTTCTTGAAAGCCGGTCCTGCATGTCCGTATTCATTGACTAATTCCAAAATTTCAATAGCACCATCGGGTTTTAGAATACGTTTCATTTGTTGCACGGACTGAATATATTGATCTGTGGAGAAGCCCATGACAAGAAAGCGTTGGAACACAAAGTCGAAGGATTCGTCTTCAAAAATATCAAGACTTGTCCCAGCATTGAGAAGACGAAATTCAACATTGGAGGGTTTATTTTCTGTGACAAAGACGTCTGCCATATCAACTCCTATGAATTGAGAGTTGGGGTACAGACGGGCCATATCCAAGGTCCACCAACCGGGCCCGCAGCCAATGTCAAGCACGCGAATACCTTTGACTAGTTTGTTATGAATGGGAGATTTGAAAAGTCTACTAGCGAGATTGTTAACGTCGTACTTATATCTACATACACACAGAAGCAGTCCTTTCACTTACCCTCCTACAACAGACCTGCGATAAGAGCAGGAAAAAACAACCAACATGTTATTAATGCTCCATATCTTTCCTGGAACGCAGCACAAGGTAAACTTACTTCCAAAGGTTGTGATTTAATTGTAATCTATCGACTTCTGTTTGATCGCTGGGTAGGATATAAGCGACATCTTGATCATTAGCCAGACGACGACCGTTCTTCCATTCAAACGTAGTGTAGTTGATTTGGTTTTCTTTCTTAACAGTAGCAGCAATTTCAGTTGAGAGCATATTGATCAAATCAGTCAATGGGAATAATTTCAAAGGTGGTTTATCATTAAGACACATTTCTTCAGTTCTCTTTATATATCTTCTCGAGGCTTTCCTTTGATCTTCGCTTCAGTTGTCATACTTCTTTTTGATTGGCCTAAACGCTCAATATCCTGATTTCTGTCAATCACTCTTGTGAGAGGTGTTCCCCGCAAATGACATCATCCAAAAAAAGCAATAATGAGGGGCAAAATCAGATTCAGATACAGAGCATAATGAAAGTAAACAGGAGTTCCTTTTTTTTTTTACACAGTTGTTGAAACAAAGAAAGTTACCCTCTTACAATAATCCATATACATATATTTATTACGTATGCTTGGTGCCAGAATCTTAACACGCTCAACTCGATTGAATACAGTTCGTACAAATCTTATTCGCCGTGGAGGAGGTCATGGTACACCCATTAACGAACCAGGGGGATACCTTTTCAACGAAAAAGTAAGCCATTTCAGCATCGATCAATTCAACATCACACAATTGCAGACATAAACTAATGTTTAACTTTTATATCACATGCAGACTCGAGTAAAGGAGGACTGGGAAAATATTTATTATTGGGGTATGGGAGGTGGTTTCCTTGCCATGGCTGTTGCCTTATATTATAAACCAGATACAAGGTAACAATTGTTGAATATGCGTCTGCAACTAGTGCCAACTCTAAATGTATACATTTGTCGAAATGATTATAGTCTTATTACTTGGGCTAGAAAAGAAGCTGAAAAATCCTTGAAAGAAAAGGGCGTCTCTCTTGAATACACAAAGACAACATAAAGACTTGACTTCCCTCTTCCTTTAACTTATTTTATTTTTGACATGATTAAAGAACATTCAAACAGTGAAGATTATTTGTTGATGTCAGGCCAGATCGTTTTAATTAGCAAAAGTGGAAAGTTATATGAATGAAGCGCTTCTGAATAAGGATACTATCCTCCCAGCTTGGTTGACCGATATGAAATGTAAACTATGACTTTCAAAGAAACTAAGCTTCATATGCCAAAATTTTCACGGATGACAATTGGCAGAAGAGCAGCGAGACTGTTGAAAATTAAGAAAAAACCAATCGGTCCTCTACAACTAACCGTAAAAGAAGCTCTCAATCTCTAAAGCATCTAGTTGCAATTTTGGGAGAGAGAAATTAGGCTTATAGAGTAATTGTAGTAATTGTATGAGCAGCTTCGCGGTCTAAAGAGAGTTTGAACAGTGCTTGGAAGTTGTTGAGGCAATCACATTCACTAAAATATAAAGCAACGGAAGGCCTGATCTTAGAATAAAAAACTGGATATACAGCACCATAAACGAAGAAAAGGCGATGAGGGATGAAATTCGTACAATATGAGTGAGCCTTATTCCAAAAGGAAAATCAATATTGAATAATATCGATAAATATGAACCAGTACCAATAATGACAATTTTACTCCAATAAAACCTCTTATAACTGATTATTCACTCAAGATATATAAAGGTAGAAGTTATTTTTGTCTTTACGGCAATCATATTAGAAGCAAGTTCTAACCTACAAAAAACGATGAAGTCCAGTTAGCAATGGACCAGCTCAAAGTTTTTTGATATCAGGCATTTGGGACCTTTTTTTAGAAAAAAGTAAATTAGCATCGAGTGCTGGAAACCCGAAGAAAGGATCCAAATTGGCAGACATACTTACAGTCTATGTAAATGTATAGTCATTTTCATAAGCAAGAATATGCTGGTAAAAGCTTGCCTTTCGACCAAAGCTGCCTGAAGCAAACATATTAATGCTATGGCTGTAAAGAGAACTATTAACCTTCGTCTGACGAAAACATATCCCTCACATAGGTTAAGGCTTCAGTGGATATGATTCACCTTCCACTGTAGCTATCAAATTAACCTGCATTTCGTGCAATTTGGTCTGATTTTTTCTTAATTCGCTCTTCTAATTTAATCTCAACAATTGTTAAAAAGCATTGACTGCTGTTTTATTATGCAGAAAACAAAGGACTTTCGAACGTGAGGCACAATTAACTGAATCCTCATCTGCTTCATACACATGGCCGACGACAACACTGAATCAGAATATGTAAGACTACTTAGCAGTGATGACTTTGAATTTATTATACATCGTGAAGCTGCCATGCGTTCAGGAACCATTCGAAATATGTTGAGTGGGCCAGGTACTTTACCAAGCAAATGTCGAGTTTTACGCAGTAGTTGTTACTTAACATCTTCATCTTGTACATTGACCCCACGCTTCAGTCCAATTCAGGGAATCAGTAGACAACGTTATCACTTTCAGAGATATAAAGTAAAGTATCAATTCGATTGGAATGATATCAAGTATGTGAGTCTTATAGTGGGTTCAACTTTTTATTAGAGGAGCTATTTTGGAGGTTGTTTGTCGATATTTATATTTTAGATGGAAATATGAAGGCTCGACCACAGAGATACCCGAATTTAAAATCGATACTGAATTAGTACTAGAAGTATTAATGGCTGCCGACTTCTTGGAATGTTGAGAATAAAAACATTTAAAATTGTTATTAGACAAATTATCGATAATAAAACATACGCTTATTTATTCTTATGAACACACAAAAGGAAAAACTTTATACAAGAGTTGGTTGTGCTTTTCCGGAAATCAAACACTAAGAGAAGATTGTTAAATTAAAAGTTGATGGCATTACCGAATGAAGCAATAAGACAGGCTTCACGGAAGGCTTCAGACAATGTCTATTTAAAATGAGAGGAAATGGGACATGTATTGAGTTAGTTTACTGTTTTTCTATATATCAAAAATAATCAGAACTTACAGGATGAGCGTGACAAGTACGTCCAACGTCTTCAGCAGAAGCATTATATTCCATAGCAAGAACACCTTCAGCAATCATTTCGCCTGCATTAGGGCCCATGATGTGAACACCCAAAATACGGTCGGTGTCCGCATCAGTAATAACCTTTACCAAACCCTCAGTGTCATCGTTTGTGCGAGCACGAGAGTTGGCAACGAATGGATAGCTACCGGTTTTATATTTGACACCCTCCTCCTTTAATTGAGCTTCGTTCTTGCCAACCCAGGCAACTTCAGGATGTGTATAGATAACAGAAGGAATAGCATCGTAGTTAACATGACCGTGGCCGGTGGCTATCATTTCAGAGACAGCAAAACCTTCATCTTCGGCCTTATGGGCTAACATAGGACCGAAGGTAGCATCACCAATACAACGAATATGAGGGAGGTTGGTTCTAAATTCGTGGTCGATGACGACACGGCCACGGTTATCAAGCTCGACACCAATATTTTCTAAACCAAGACCTTGGGTATAAGGACGACGACCAATGGAGACTAAGACAGCGTCAGCTTCAAGCTGACAAGCATGAAGAAGATTGCATAAATTAGAATCAGACCACAGCTTTTAGTGCTCTCTTCTTCCTTTCCCTTATTGCCCTTCTGCGTTCATCATCCATCTTTATGTTGTTGTTTTTTTGTTTTTTTAATTCATGACTTACAGTTTCGGCCTTGCCTCCCTTAGATGCTTCTACATCAACTTTAACAATATCCCCTTCTACTCTCGCGCCGTTTACTTTTGTGCTCATCTTGAATTTCAAACCTTGCTTTGTCAACACTTTGTGAAAGTTCTTGGCCAATTCAGGGTCCATACCAGCACCAATGGCATTCAAATATTCTACGACTGTCACTTCAGCACCCAAACGAGACCATACAGATCCTAATTCAAGACCAATAACACCAGCGCCGATCACAACCATCTTTTTGGGTACCTTGTCCAATTCTAAAGCACCAGTAGAAGACACAATCTTCTTCTCATCAATTTCAATACCAGGAATAGGTGTAACTTCAGAACCAGTAGCAATAATTATATTCTTTGCCTTTATCGAAGAGTCTTTATTATCCAAACCGGCAATAGCAATTTCATGAGCGGTTTTGAAAGAACCTGTGCCCTTAATATAATCCACGCCATATTTTTTGAACAAAAATTCAACACCCTTGGTAAGGCCACCGACAGCCTTAAGACGGGCTTTATGCATTTGATCCAAATTGAGTTTCACATCAGAAACCTCGATACCGCGAGATTGAAGGTCATGCTTTGTTTGATGATAAATGTGAGAATTGTTAAGCATGGCTTTGGAGGGAATACAGCCAACATTAAGACAAGTACCACCCAAGGTACCACGTTTCTCTATGCAAGCAACCTACGATATGTTAACGGACAATCATTTGCGTTTCAAGTAACATTATATGTCCCTATTACGTTGCTACGTTGTCTCCTTTATCCATTACCTTCAAACCTTCTTGAGCTGCTTTGATGGCGGCAGGATAACCGCCGGGACCACCGCCGATAACAACAACATCGTATTCTTTCTCTGTTTTGTTTTCAATTCAAAAATTTCTTTTATTACTGATGTCTACCCATTTCTATATTCTATTTCGTAAGAGCGTCATGTCTCCACACCTACCCGTGCTATAGAGGCGATAAAATCCGTTGACAAACGGTGCTCGAACAGTATTTCTCATCGCATGGCGAGAGCAGATCTAAAAAAGAGCGCACTTCAGTTACGATTGCATTGAGACGCTCTATACAAGGTCATGTTTCTTTATTTCATTTACATTAGCTAATGGAGCTCGAGTGGCCACAAGTTTAAACATTTTTTTTTCGAGACTTATGAATAAACAGTGAAAAGTCGGGAAAACTAGGGGCAGGAAATCTCCACACTTTAATATCAGTGTGGGGTTGAAGCCCAAAAGAGGGGTACGAAAATTCTCAGTGGCAAATGAAAGAACATAGTCGGAGAAAAAAATACCTTTTTTTACTGTTGCCGTATGAAGGCAGTCGACAAGGCAGCATGTTTATATATTTCTAAGGGTATCCAACCAATATAATTTAATCCACCAAAACCTCCAACATAATAAAGACCTTGCACATGAAATTCATAAAAATTGAAGTCATGAAAACGGCGCCTGTGACGAAACATCGGGAAATGAATATTACGCAAAATGAAAAATGCACAAAGTGAAGATATACTTACCATGGTTTTGCTTCAGGATGTGTTTGACAAAAGCAAGTTAATGCAGACTCTGTCTATTAAACAAAGAAATCAAACACTATGAGTAGCGTATCAAATGAGAGCGGATTTATGTTTCTTCCATACCTGTGACTCTGGTAGCCTTGTTATGTTGCCGAACAATGTAAACCGAGGCTGTTCTACAGGAGTTGTGTGATTTCCCCAACCTGGGTTGTAATCCTTCAAAGCAGTTACAGTAAATGATACCTTATCCATATTTTTATGCATGTTACGGGCACTCATCTACCCATTTGAATGATTTGTGAAGGAAGAAGATATATGAATTTGTATGTATCACTGTTAAGTTAGCCCTTCGCCGTCTATTCCCTATCCATTTACCTGCAAATCAGACATGAAAAGCAGCAAATTACCATTTGACATGCATTTATCACTGTAGTATTCCATAATGCCGAAAGGGAATCCGCCAAACTCCTCAGATACTGTCTCGTCCATCAATGTGACAATGTGTCCACGACCTTTATAAGAACATAAGGATTACCGAAGGTGAATAAGATGTAGTAAAATGATAAATTGAATTTGATGGCTTTCATTATTACCCGCATCAGATAAGACTTGTCTTGCTAATTTAGCAGCATCTTCTACAGATTGATAAGCAAGCACAAAGGTAGAGTAACAGAGGATGATGCAAGTGAAGCACGCGCGGATAAAATAATAAAGAAACATTTTATGCTGGAAAAAAGAAAAAAAAAAAAAAACCAGACAGAAATTCAGTTGTCGCATAAAATTGCTTTATCACTAAGATTTAGATGTGAAACGATCTGATAAACTGATAGGTAAATCAATTCACCATGTGACGATAATTTCGCCTACCAACACCTATATCATGCTTAAGCATTTTTTTAAAAAAAAAAGACAGTTTAATTTTGACCCAGTATAGGATGACATAAAGCTGCTCATAAATTTATTAACAAATGTACATAGCATATTGGGCTATACAAAAAAACATGCATAAATAATCAACATAAAGTGAATGGTAATTTGTAAAGCTATTGGTGGGTGTTAGGACAAAAATGTGGTTTGCGGGTAGTTGGCTGTTGCTGGAAAATTTTGTGTATTAAAATCGAGCGATGGATTAACAGAATAATTAAATGTTGTAGATAAACCCATCATATTATTGGGAAGAAGATGCTCATTGGTAACATTGTACATGGGTGACTCATGTTCGGCCGTCTCACAACAAAAATAAGGCAAGTCTATAACAGGGTCGCGCATATGGTAGGCTGAAGTTAGCATAGAGATAGGATTGGCGGTTACGCAGCATGGTTGTGGTCCAAAGTAATACGAGGCGGGATAAGCATTAGGTGTATCATCTTCCGAAACCACACTGTAAGGTGTACTGCTACAGCGACTATCAGAAAGAGAAATAGACAGTGGAGTGGCGAATCGTGATGGGCAGCCTGACGAAGCAAAGTCGTTGGCTGAATTTGATAACGCTGAAGGAACTGTGAGATAAATCATATGTTGATTTGTATCGACGTTATTCGGTGAAGAAATGGTAGAACGGCAAATGTTGCGGTTAGTAAGAACTGTATCTACATTCGTTGTATTATTGTTACTGCTGCTATCCACCAAGCGATGATTCTTCTTCTGAATCTGCTTATTGAGAGATATGTCCAGCTTGTTTTGTAGATGAAGCGGCTGTTGTTTGTCATTTTCAATGATTCCGTTATAATACAGCGACAACAAGGTCTGCTTATCGTCAAAATTGCGAGCTACAAGTTGATCAGCGGGGCATCGCTTATAGCGTCTTGGCGCTTTCGTTTTTCTTTTAGGCGTAAATTTGTAACCAGGATATCTGAGAGAAAAGTGTAAGAAATGTGAGTCTCTGTCGTTGTATGCTACAAAAAAGTATGTTGGTATAAGAAGATGTTGAGAAAAGCTTACTTCTTTTTGTGCTCTAATTGCAGTCGATCGGCTTCGTCTATGTAAGGTTGCTTCTCTACTTGTGATAATTCTCTCCACCACTTTGAAATGACCTTTGACATATCGCGATGATTGGCACCCTGACATTTCGAAGCAATCTCCCTCTGCTTTTCGCGACGGAAGAGCATAAAACTGTTCATTGGGCGAGGTATATGTTTTTCTTTTTGTTGAGACGCGCATTCGTTGGTTCGTTCAAGCTTGTCGACAACTTCTCTAAGGCTAGCTGATGAGGACATGATGTTTTTCGTGTGTGCTTTTGTACGTTAAAGTTGAGAGTATATACTTTGCAATCTGAACAAATATCTCTAGCGAGAAAAGGGTTCCTCTTTATATATATTTTGGCTTTCTTGATGGAAACAAGTTTGATTCATTATGTAGCTGTTCATAATTGGGCTACTCGGACTTTGACCTTTTATAGTTCTGATTAGACAACTATATACCGATGTATATTAGATATTTGATTGTTCTGATGTATAAGTATAATGTTATCTGTAATAAAGTCATATACGATCGAGTATCGAAAATTCTAGCTGCAATTTTGCGAAAGCCTTAAATGACATAAATAAATTTTGCAGATAGGAGAAGGAATCAGTTGACGTGCTAAATTTAGCTGTATTCTTTTTTACTCTTTGTTCTTGATTTCTAAAAATAAGATGCCTGCCAATCTATTTTCACTCCTGGAAGTAAAGCAATTAATGCAAGCTTATGAAGTGCACATACAGCAACTGACGATCATTGACTGTGTCGAAATGAATAGTTATATTAATTACAATTTAGGCAGTTAGCAAGAAACTCAACTTTCTATGCGCTTTGATCCAAAACCGATTGTGAAATTTCGCGACCGATTTAAAATAGACGGTGTCACTTGGAAGCTTTAGCATCATCATCAAAGTCTTATCGATTATCAGTTGATTAAGCGTACATCTGTTTGTTGCAGTAGTAGACTATTTTGCAAAAAGACAATACCAGTCTCTTTACATGGTACGCTAAAACCAGCGCTTACAAAATATTAATTCTGATTTTAGAGAACAAAGAAGATAGATATGGTATTAATAACTTTATTTTATTGTCAATTACAAACAGCGTATTTTGTACACGGAAAAAGCCTTTCATCAAACTATGTATAGTTTCATGAGTATGTATATGTATAATTAAAGATGAAATCGATGCGTATCGTCCATTTAATTAGCAAAAGCAGGAATACCGGTAATAGCTTTACCTAGAATAAGGGCATGAACATCATGAGTACCTTCGTAAGTATTTACAGCTTCCAAGTTGGCGGCATGACGAATGATATGGTATTCATCTGAGATGCCGTTACCACCTAGCATATCACGGCATTCGCGAGCGATTGCTAAAGCTTTACCACAGGAATTACGTTTTATCATTGAGATCATTTCAGGCGCCAATTCACCGCTATCCTTGAGGCGGCCTACTTGTACACATGCTTGTAGACCGATAGCGATTTCTGTATTAGCATCTGCCATTTTCTTTTGAATGAGTTGGTTTGCCGCTAAAGGACGCCCGAATTGTTTGCGATCCAAAGTGTAAGAACGAGCTTGTGCTAAACAAGCTTCAGCAGCGCCTAGTGCACCCCAAGCAATACCATACCGAGCGTTATTAAGACAGCCGAAGGGTCCACCCAGACCCTTAGCGTTAGGCAACATATTTTCAGCCGGTACCTCTACATTGTCCATCATAATCATACCGGTGATAGAGGCTCTGAGAGAAAATTTACCTTTGATAGCAGGAGCTTCTAAACCTGCCATACCTTTCTCTAACAAAAAGCCACGAATAGCTCCTCCTTCATCTAGATTCTTTGCCCATACCACAAACACATCGGCAATGGGTGAATTGGTGATCCATGTCTTTGATCCATTTAGCAAGTAATGTCCATTCACTTTTTTAGCTGTTGTTTCCATACCAGCAGGATCTGAACCGTGGTTGGGCTCTGTTAAACCGAAGCAACCCACAATTTCACCCTTTGCTATAAATCCATTGTGCTCATTATTAAACTTGCTTTACTAGGTTTACTTAAAGAATTGTTCCTCATGCTGAAGCTAAGCTTACCGAGTCGAGGCAAAAATTTATCCTTCTGTTCCTCTGTACCATAAGCATTTATAGGATGCATTACCAAAGATGATTGGACTGACATAGCTGAACGGTAACCTGAGTCGACACTGATGATGAAAGCAAATTCGTGTAAGTAACACTGATTCTCCCCGCAAAAACAGGACCGAAAAAAAAACACACTCTATGGACGTACCTCTCCACTTCGCGTGCAGTCAAACCATAAGCTACAGAAGAGACGCCGGCACAGCCATAGCCGTCGATGGTTGAGCCTAAAAATCCAAGCTCACCCATTTCAGACATAATCTCTCTGTCAAACTCTATATTACAAGTTGGAATCAAGTTAGAAAGTACCCAAGGAATTCATTCTCTTAAGAGGCAGAACAATATACGGCGACATTTACTTACTTTCATTCCGATATGCCTCAATGACTCTGGGTAAAAGTCGTTCCTGGCAATAGCTTCTGGCAGCATCACGTACGAAAATTTCATCTTCCGTCAAGAGCTTTTCAAGATTAAGGGGATCTTCCCAATTGTACTTTACAAATGCTTTCGATGCCATGGTTCTGGCAACCAATCGTTGAGCAACCAAACCTTTTGTTGCAATGGTAGTATTGCGTATGAATTGACGGGAAAACATGATCTGTTGATGACTTAGTGTTGACGGAAAAGAAAAGCAAAGGTCTGATGCATTATTAACAAAATCTGAGCTTTTATACCAATTAAGGTACTGTAACCGAATTTTGCGGGGTAAAATGCACACCTTATTTTTTTGTCACTGTAAACGAAGCCTAACTTTTCCCATTCCCACCCACCGAATTTGGGTTTTGAGATTACAAGGTCCGGTGGAAATCGGACAATAACAGCTCCTATGTCAGCTTGATTTAGAGTGAAAAGATTTCCCGGTTTACGGACATTCATCGCCCTGAGAAGGCATTAAGTTTTCGAACTTTTTTGTGGGAAACACTAGCAGACACCTGTTGGAGTATTGTTGCAAAAGTATTAAGCTGCTTCCGTATCTTTCAATCAACTGCTTCCATTATCAAAAGAAAGGCGCAAAGTGTTATCATATAGGTATTACTGATGACGAAATTCCAAATACTGCTATTAATCGAGGAAACATAAGAATACGCTACCCGAACGGTGATCAAGCAAAGTGTATTTTCTGGAGATCAAGCTATCATTTTGTGGTGTATACATTGTAGTGATGAAACTGTCAAAAATAGGAAAGAAGATCGTTTTCTTCTGGCGTAACTTGAACCACAATCGGTGCTACAGTTGGTTTTTTTTTTTTTTTTCTTATTGAATATACTTCCAACTTGAGCGTATCAAAAAATTGTCACAGATGATTTTGATTTTGTCCAACATGCAGAATGTAAGGTAACAGCATATTCATATGAAAAAAGTAAGGTGCTTTATCGGCAAAAGAGGAGACAGAAGGACGCCATGCTATCCATATTGCGATGTTTTCACAAAGTAGGATTGTAGGGAATAAAAAGGCACTTAGACTGGGTATCCTGTGTTTGAATCGTTGATATATTCTCAATAAATACCATTTTGGATAGCGCTTCATCATCTTTATCGTCGAATAACAATCATCTGCTATACTCAACATCTCTCACAACAAACCACTGCGATCTGCGATATACGCAACAAGAACATAAAAACATACTTTCCCCGTTTATGTCACGTTATTTGATGGCTGTATGTAATCGCTGCATATAGATGGTTGTTCAGCAGAAGGCCTGAATATTTGAGAAATAATCAAAGAGTAAAATGACAGTACTAAGCTATATGATCTAGTAACACTCAAGGGCTGTGTCATTAGAAACACGTACGACGCGCTGCATAATAACATTCAGTATGATAAACAAGAGTCCGTGTTTCGTGATTTAAACTCACCTTCCTCTCATCTTGTACTGTTTGCTGCCCACCATTCCATTTTCTTTGTCTTTGAATAACTTCCTTTTGCTGCCTACTGCCTTACAAAATTGATAATATATGATGGCAACTTTTATGAATCTTCCAGCAGAAATATATATGCATATACTCGGTTCTCTGCCAAGAGAATCTATATTCGCTTGTATTAGTGTTTGCAAAGCACTCCATCCCATCGCACTTCAACATTATTACCGTAATTTTACATTCGAATTGCATAACTATAAACAAATCGCTCTTGATTTAGCCGAAGGAAGAGACTTACAGATTGGATACAATAATGTTAGAGTACAGTTTGGTGATTATGTCAAGACATTGACAGTAGGCACATTTTATGGAAAGCAAGTCGGCAAGGCGAGATTTAGGAGGGTCTTACAGTCCGTCCCGAATGTCACTACCATATGTTTGGGACAGCAATGTAACTGGTATCTTGAGCAGCTCATACAGATGACAGAAAACAAAGAAGTGTATTTAAAACATGTCTACCGGATTAAACCAACCCGTTACTTTTATGGGGACTATAACAATCTATATATCCTCTTGAATGAGAAACTGAGTGACCAAATTACACATCTCGAATTTGATCAAAACGACTTGACTCACTTGCGCAAAACAGATGCTGTCGCTGATAAATCAGTTTGCCCTATTGCAAAGTACCTATCCTCTTTTACAAGATTATCGACATTGCAGATTGAAAACGGGAAAGTAGGATTTGATATATCAAACATCATCGCATCCTGCCATGCTTCGCTCCAAGAGCTTTACTACATCACTTACACAAAGTCATTTTACGAGAAATTATCAGAAACATCACCACTTGGAGAAATGTCGTCAGATACTGGGTGGAAGACTGCGGCAGATACAAAGGTTGACTTACGTTCTAGACCATCTGCCACGTCCGTCACACAATGCATTACTGATCAACTCACAACGAACAGTAAGAATCGATTGAAGAAGCTGCACATACGTGCAAACTATCTCACCACAAGCTGTGTTGAATATATCGCTCATCAACTGCCCTTCTTAGAAACTCTAACAGTGGACATACAGCATTATCGCGCGGACGTTTTTTCTAGTGATACGTGCACTGCTCTTCAGCTTCCAGATTTTTTAGATAAGGTCAACATGCTACGCGCTGTGGACATAAGATGGAACAATATCAATCAAAATGACACACATACCATGTATAACGTATTTAATAAGCTGATCGCGGCATGCTTAGGTACATCCATGTCTTACAACAAAGGCATTGTAGGGGGAATTTACAACATAAAGGTAACAGCAAAAATAATGTGGGGAGGTGTCAATTTTTTCAGATTGCGCAAGAGCTGCAATCAACGCTTGATAGAAATTAATGTGTATGATAGCAAGTACGAAAGAAATCTCTTGAGTGCACTTCAAAATCTGTCCAACATCAATTGTTCAACCATCATTGTCGATGTGGAATTCAGAACCGTCTGTGGTCTTTTCAATGGTGACCTTCTAGGAGCCATCAAAGAAGTGTTACGTCTTTGTCCGAAAGTAAGACACATCCAATTTGGAAAGAGATACTACGGTGAGCAGTATCTACGGGCCTCTAGCGAGTGCCTTGAAGTATTGTTGCATCCAATAACTACTTCATCCAACTCTTTCAAAACTACTGCTTTATTGAACAATAATGATGCTGAAGATACCGTGTTACCTTCCTTATTGCATCTCAAGATTGTTGGTCTGCATGTCAACAGAGTATTTAGACAGAATAATGATGGAGGAAAGTCCTATTCGTTGCAGCCTATCATCAATTACACTGTCCCTTATGTCAAATACTTGGCAATGATCGATTGTCGTCTTGAAGCGGGTGAACATAGAAATGCTATAATCAACCTACAGTGCCTCCAGCATGTCCATGAACTAATCTTGGAGTTAAAAGCCAACTTTGCTAATATTAAGGATGTGTATCTGATCGTCCAAAAGCAACCACAAGACGTGACCAACATTGTTTATTACCGCTGTCGTTTAAAGCGTTTTAAAAAAAATGTTTTTGAAAAGACGACCGGTGATCAGCAGAAGAGATTGAATTTGAGATCTACGTTCTCTTACAATATCTGGTGCAATCAAATTGATTACTTACGAGTCAATTTGCAATACCGCAGAACCAGCATCATGTCAGATCTTACACTCTGTGCCAATCCTATTATCAGCAATTCCGGTATGTAAAAATCCAGGCTTACAGCCATCATCCCTGAATATTATTAGCTTGCTATCGTCGGATCATTATGTAATATTATCAGTATAAATTAGTATTTAAAGGGTTTCCATGCAGCACAGATGCTTCTCTCTATTCTTTTCAATTAAATATTGTTGCTATGTACTCCTTTGAGACTAAGTTTCTCTAATGTATTTTACATCTGCAGAAATTGCATTCGCGTCTTTCAATTGAGTAAGCTTATGAATGTTAGGAATTGGGGTTTTTTATTGACTTATTGCTTGAATGATAGATAATACAAGTAAATTTGATAAACAATTTTTGAAAAAAAAATAAAAAAAATAGACAGCAATTGCACAGTATACGATTCATATCATGCCAGAGGAACCCTACTTGCTTTTATCAACATGACGCTGATTGTGCGAGGCATTAGAGTGCTTGCCGGTGTGTTCATCGTTAGAATCCGCTTGTTCTTTATTATGGACGTTAGCAGCGGCTCTTTCATCAGCCGCCTTTTGAGCCTTTGAAGCAGGAGCGCCCTTACCAGTAGACCTACTTGTGCGACTATGGTTTGATTGATTCTGGGTTTCTGTTGGTTTTTTCATGTTGGATGATGAACAGAAACAAAAGGCGTTCTAAACAGCACATTTTATACAAAAACTCAAGGTTGTTATCACACTCTTTGATTTCAGAACGGGCCCAGTGTACAACTTGTATTCATTTTGTTTTGAAACAAATGAATGACACTATGCATTGTTCAACTCAAGAATCCACCCAGCTGTAAACCAGCTAGAAATCACAGATACAGAAGCACAGTAGTTTTGTGACCAAACACCGTGAGAAGCATCCTATCAAACGGTTACTTTTCATGCTGATGCCTTTTTTTGATGATAACGAAGACAGCGATCTTTACTGTGACTCTTAAATCCTTGGAGTAAAAAAAAGTATCTCGATTTTTCCATGATTTTCCAAATCAAAAATATTCTGGAAATTGCATTTCCATCGCGTCTGCAAATATTTTTTTTTTTTTTTTCTGTAAGGTTCGATTCAACTTTTCTTTGTTCTTTGCTTTTTCAACAAAAATACCTATTATAAAGTAGGCAGCATGTCCAACTGGAAAAACGTTAATAACTGGTAAGAATAAAAAAGTCAATAGTTTGCATTATGGAAATGATGGGATAACACTATTTACATATTCACTCTTGATTGTATTTAGGCATTGGTAAGATATAGTCATTATTCAACAAAAGATGAGCCGTATTTTCATTCTGCTGTCAGCCATATAAACACTCACAGTTCCCTATTTTGTGCTCTTTCTTCAGGGTTAACAAGAATTGCTTCAAGTGGGCTGAAAATTGGTTCAACGAACAGCTTGTTGGACTTGAAGGTGAAAAAGACGGAAACAAAGTCAGCGTCTCTAAAGTAGTCGATTGTTCTGGCGATGTCGACTTGAACCAACGTAAAGGAAAGATTATAACCATTTACGATGTTGCATTGAAGCTGAATTGGAAGGGTAAAAAATCAGTAAAGGCGCGCAAAAGCAGTAGGATAGGATCAACGATACTGATATACAAGTGAATTAAAATTGTTTAGGAACTTTGAAGGATGAGACTGAAGTGACTGGATCTATCCAGATTCCTGAAATTGCTCATGACACTGATCCTGAAGATTATGTTGTAAGTCATCGATTATCTGCCACTTGTGTTCTGTTATCATTGTCCTCCATAAATTCTTATCTCCACATTTTATTCTAGTTCGATATCAGCATTTTTGATGACAGTAATGAGAAGCAAGTGATAAAAGAAGCTATTCGTAAGAGTCTTGTGCCTCAAATCCTCAAAAAGTTCGAAACCTTCTCTTCTTCCATGATTAAGGAAAACTGTGAAGATGTATATATTGACGCCCAAAAGATGGGCACAGCTACACCACCTCGCTTGTCTAGCCCCTCCACTACCGTTAAATCGTCCTCAGCCTCCACCACTACTGCTACCGCCTCTAATACAACATCCTCTTCCTCAACGACCGCTAAAGTCATCAATACCACCTCCTTGAACGATCAAGAGGAATTCCAAACTTCCGCCCGCGAACTCTATCTCACCTTAACAACGCCCGAACGCGCCGCAGTGTGGACCCGTGGACATGTCATTTTGAAGCCTGAAGTGGGCGCTCATTATGAATTCTTCAATGGTAACGTGACAGGTGAATTTTTGGAAATCGAACCTGAGAAGAAGATTGTTCAAACCTGGCGTTTGAGAAGCTGGCCTCAAGGTCATTATTCAACTGTTACCATGGAATTCCACCAAGGTTCTGAATCTGTTATGCTCAAATTGAGTCAAACAGGTATCCCTGTTGGTGAACAAGAATTGACCTTGAAGAACTGGCAAGGATATTATTGGAGATCTATCAAGGGTGCCTTTGGTTATGGTGTTAACTTTTAGAGGATGAGAGGGGAAACACATCAATGGAATCTGTCTTAAATTATTTTCTTTTTTTTTTTTTTTTCTCTCTCATGTCCTATCAAACAATACTAAAGGTAGATTAGAACATATATAAGCATTTATAGTGAATAACTAAAGAAACAGAAAATAAAAAAAAAAAAAATAAATCAAATGCAGTATTGTAAAATAGAGAATATAGTGTTTTGCGTGGGCCAAATAGAAACTTTGGAAGTAGATGGATTTTTTTTTTAACCGTGATAGGTCAAACAGTAGAGCTTTTTGACCTTTCATATACACTGTACAATTTCAGTACATATTTATTTTGTACTGAAACTTCGCACTACCTTGTAAGTAATCAAGAATTAAGTAAAGGCCTAAGACTTGAACTAGTCTGTAAGCAAATTTGATCGTGTCTTTCTTGCTCGTTTTAGCCTCAATATTATTGCAATTAGTCTAGCATTTGTTTGCTCTTTCACAGAGCCTTGCGTGACTGATAAGTCAAAGTCTTTCCCTTGCTCCATACAGGCTGTTTTTGAAAGCTACAAACCAGTTGCTAACTTTTTTTTTATTTACGCCAAGGGCTTTTTGCTTGTAGTATAGATCTACAACTACGCGTTCGCCAGAATGGATTCTTTACGGAGCGGGGGTAGGGTCATCCATCAGAGGGGTCATTTCAAACGTTCATGCACACAGCCGCTGCTGTTTTGAAACCCAGAGGGCAGAGGGGCAAATTTCTCAATTTCCTTGTGCATAGCCCGTATCCCTTTGTTGGCTTTGCCTAATCCATTTTTGTGATCTTCAATGAGTGAATCACCACTTCCTCCCAACACACCTTCAACTCCAAATCATAGTAATAGCTCTAACATTACCACAGGGCTTTCATTCAAACGTCATTTTCGACCCTACTTTACCAAAAAACAACTAGCTATTTTGAACGGTTTAAAAAAGTCTGGACAATTGGTTGCTAAAGAGAACAATTTACGGTACACTTACTGTAAATTTATACAAGACGTTGGAAAAAAAGTTGGATTGTGAGTCAAAATACATAATCGTGCTCAAGCAGATCAGTCAATGCTAAGGTTGAATTTATTTCTACTTTGCCATTGATAGTCCACAAAAAACAATAAGTACGGCGCAGACGCTCTATCATCGATTCTACCTTTATTACTCTGTCAAAGATTACCCACCTCAGGTAAGAAGATATGTATCGCTTCCTGAAATAAATAGGTTACTTACGTCTCATTCCTACCTCTATATGTGCGTGGTTAGGATATCAGTGTGACATGTATATTCGTTGCATCGAAAATTGAAGAAAACATCAAAAAATTGAAAGATATCATTGTCGCTGTACATAGTGTTAAACACCCAGATTGGAAAGAGTTGGATCCAGAACAAGTAAATTTTTTTTTTTTGTGAAAGAAAAAAAAGCAAGGAATAAGGCTTTATTTATTCACTATGTTAATGGGTACTGTAGGTGTCAGATGACAGACGACGAAAAATTCTAACATACGAAAAGCTTCTATTAGAAACGCTCAGTTTTGATTTTCAATTACGACATGCCTATGAATATGTAATAAAATTCACAAAGTGGCTAAAAGGTAAATGAAGAAAATGCTGGCAAAAAAAAAACGGAATGATTCTTTACTGATCTCAACTGGAATAGAACACCATCAACCGCAATTGGAACATAAAAGATTAGCCAAAAAAGCTTATGACTTGGCAGTGGATAGTTATAGAACCTTAATTTGTGTGGAATATCCGGCGCACACAGTTGCGGCTGGTTGTATATATTTGGCATCAAAAATGTTGGAAGAGGAAGATAGTGCGTTTAAAGGCTTGTCAGCAATGGAGCAGTGGAATAACCGCTTCTTTTCACGGATGGAGGATATTGAAGGTTAGCATAACTTAGAACGAGTAAATTGAGCTTTCCCTTATTAACGAACCATTGACATGCATCAACAGATGTGGCACAACAAATTCTCGACCTTTATATCAATACTAATTTACATAAAGAAGATATTTACTCATTCACCAAAATCAAGATTGCCCTCAATGAATTAACGCAAGCGAGAGAGAAGAATGAAAATTTGACAAGGAACGCAAAGGAAGGTTCAACGACTTACTTAGAATTGGATCCAAGCTCTGAAAATCCTTTAGAATTGGTGAACACAAACCATCACACGGTTTCTTACCATTTCTCAGTGAGTTGATTGGTGGAAAGTTCGCACATTAGTTTTGGGAAAAGGAAGGAAAAAAAAAATAAAACCCAACAGTGCCGCATAGTACAGATTTATATATAGTTAGACAAATTATGGTATCATTCAAAGGTTAATTGAGTCAGTCATCAAAAGTTACATAGAATGTATTGTTACAGCTGGAGGAAACGGGTGACTTCTTTTTCTAACGACGGAAAATCCAGTTAGACCATCTTTGCTGCTGAGGCTTGCCAGCTGCTGTCTTTGCTTGGCCCACTTCCAAACTGCTGCTGACACTCTCAGCTTCTTCGTCACTTTGTTCAGGGTTTAGCTTTATTTTCATGTCAGCAGTTTCGTCGCGAGATTGTTTCAAAAAAGGCATCACATTAGTCCCACCGGTGCCACGTACAACTTTTGCGTTGGCATCTAATTTTCTCGCTAATCCCAGTTGAGGGAACATTTGTGCCACTTTATCAGCCTTAGAATTCTTTCGAATGCCAGGTGACGTCTCTAAACGTGTTTGAGGATAGAGGTCATTATGAGGAGAAGCCGTATTCGAAGTGTCTACATCCTTTTTGCAGTTGCTATCGGCTTCTTCGATACTCTTATTGGCATTTTCAATAGCAAAGCCGCCATGGGGAATGTTGGGGCCTTTACGCGCTTGGTTGACGATATACAGTGTGACAATCTGAACATGCTTATCGCGGAAAAGTTTCAACTGATGAAGACAGTCATTGTATGTGTGTATGATATTGAGTTCAGCTGATGTAGAGCATCCATTTCTGTAATTTTCTTCTAATTGAATGATAAAAGGTCGGATATTGGTGGCTTCTTCTAAATCTTCCAAAAATTCACGATGACGACGAGGCATATACTTTCGCATGGCTTTCAAAAACGTATTCTTATTTGTACGCTTGTAAGGTGGAGGAGACGTACTTTGCTCTTCTTTTTGCGGAGAAGCAGCCGAAGAAGTGGGGTGCATGTCATCGGCAGGACTTGGAGGGGGTAGCTTGGTATAGCGATCATTAGGCACAAGTTCAGCGTCTTTAATAATAAAAGAAGGCTTCTCGCCTGTTTTATAATGATCGACACCAAACGCGACATCCAAAGCAGCAATCAAACTGCTTTGAGCAGCACTTCCACCTGCGTATCTTCTGTATTGATTGAGTAAGCGCTCTGCTTCGTTCAAATGAGATATATCCGCATATTCATCCGTCTGTTCAGTCCAAAAGCTTTCTGCGCCTTCATAAATAAGGCCCAAAGGTAAGCCAGCCTCCGCCATGTTTTCCCAGCCTGCCAAATAAGGACGAATTTTCCAGTAGAAGACATACGGATCACATTTTTCGTACATACGTTTCAAAACGTCATTCATACTGGCCAATGCCGTGCGAATAATTTCTAGATTCGTTTGTAAACCATCCAAGTGACCCTCCTGGATGTTTGTAATGGCATCGACAATTTGTGATAAACAAGGAGCACCTGCACTTTCAATGGCCGTTGTGACCAGATAAAACCATGATTCATCCAAAGACCCAGAATAAGTAGCCAAGGCAGCCAAGTTACTGTATGAAGGGTGTTGTGGATTGTCATAAAGTGAGAACTCAAATGGACTTGGTTTTCAAGAAGGTAGAATGGATTCATAACAAAAAAGACGCTTACTTTAGCTCGATTGGACCCTCCTTATCCAACAAACGATAGTTCCATAGTACCACTGCCGCATGACACACCACTGGACAGACACCTAAATATTCCGCAATTTCAATCCAAGGTACAGCCAAGTTCGCAGGCAGTGTCTATATTGTTCGTGGGAATAACATTTGAAAGGTTTGTTAATTTCTATGGGTTACGATTCTCCCAACTGAGTTTTTTTTTTTCTTATGAGAGAAAAAAAACTTTAAAAACTGTTCCATTCTCTCGCGAACCCGCGCTTAATACCTCAGAAGCGATTTCGTGTTTCCCCCAGACATAGCTGTGAGATAACATACAAAGAATTAAAAAGGCTCGTCTATATTCCTCGACGGTTTTCAAACGGCGATAATCTAACAATGGGAGCTAATCTATCAGGATGAATAACTGGGTCAATATCTATAGATGTAGTTACCATAACTGTACCTGATGAACTTTTTCTCTTAATTTTCCAGCTAATAGTAAATCATTAAAGTCTGACATCATCTCCTCCCAAGGCGCAAAATAAGGGTCTGGTAATTTCCGTAATGGTGGTGTAGTGGGCAAGAAACCAGTCTTTTCAGAAATATCATAGTATTCCAATGGTTTTAATGGTTGAAAATGCTGCATGTCAAGCAAAAGAATGGTATTTACGACAACGAAGAAAGGAAGAGAAGAGGCAAAAAAGAGCAATGAATAACAAGAAAATTTAAAAAAACAAAAAATTTTCTAGTGTAAAAACAGATCGAGTACAACTACTTATATATATATACTTTTTTTTTCGCTGCATATTACAAATGATGATCTTGATCTTTTATCCAATTATTCAGTAAATGAGTATTATCTCAAAACAGCTCTTCATTTTTGAAAGTCAGTTTACTTGGTTTAATAGTGTTGTTTGACCGTATATGGCACGCCAAAGATAACAAATGCCATGTACAAAAACAACTGTTTGATATGACAAGCAAGGCATGCTGTCAAGAGTGGCGCAGCTTGTCCATCCTTCTGTAAATCGCTTGTATATATCATTGTCTTTCTTTCTAATTGATAAAGAAGGATAGAATAGTTTCCAAAACTTGAAGGAACAAATGATTTTTCATCCTATCTTTGTATGGATGAAAACTCATCATGACTGAATTTGTATGCAGATGGATTATATAAGCAGTTCATTTGATAGACAGAGTCCATGGGTTTAGTTCATTCCTTATTGAACCGTTCTCTACATCATCGTTGGGTTGTTCAGTCAGTTGAAGTACACTGACACTTTGTCCACATTGTCGAATGTATCATCCGTCGAATGAGCAGGTTTGTATCACCTTGTCATTCGTTTGGATTGGAGACTCGAAGCCGCAATTATTCGTTCCTCTTCAACTATGAGGACTGGTCTTCTTTGTCTGTCAACCTGCTATAACCAATTTCATGGACTTCACCAGTTTATGACAGATCTACATTATGCAAAAATTCCTCTAGGGCACGGGGTAGACGATTAATATCTGAAGCTCAAATATGAATGCTCATGATCTTTTGATGTAATAATGTATGATTTCAGAAACACTATCATAGTGCAACATCTTTTGGTTGTCATTGAACCATCCAGAATATCTCGGCTAATATACAGTTTTGTTTCAAAAAAATAAGGATTAGGTAATAACTGCCAAAAGCAAATCTGATATGCTTACTGTGCAGTGTTACACCAGACTTCCTTTTGGAGTCTATCAAACTAGCTATTGTAACGAAATTCAATTTTTTTATTGGAGAGCAGGAGAGGGAGGTGCTTTCACCTTTGACTCTGGTTATACTTTGTCATTCATTATTAAAGACTGTTGCTACCCTTCATGATGGACGATCGTGGTATGAATATATTACAGGTAAGTTTTTCCGGATAATAGCTTACAGTTCATTGTATGTCATCGTCATTGCTCATCTTCAAATCTCTTTGCCTAAGTGACAGATTTCGGCGCACCATGTGTCGTATGTGCATACCCTATGCGCTTACAGTAAAGCTTTTTTAAATACTTGCATGAATAAGTTCAATAGATCGGTCTGATAACAACTCCATATGTGTACGTTTATCTCACAATTGTTGTAGCTGCATTTTTTCTAGCCCTCATAGTAGGCTGTAGCACCTACTATTACAAAATTGTTGAAAACGAGTATTTTGGATACCCTCAGGTAAATGACTGAAAGCCCTGATTGTAAACATATAGTATGTTTAAAAGCGTATCATTATCTCACAGGAATGGTTCCCAAGCGTAAGTGCAGCTACGGGTGATCGTTACCCAGCGCGCGCCATATTCCAAATTCTAATAGCGTTAACTTCAGGGCCAAGGTTCCTGATCGTTGGACTATGGTATTATTACACGACTTACAGTATTCGGTCATCATCGATCCTTTTTGGAAAATTCCTTTTGGCTGTTGGATTGAGTCGAACAGTTTCTTCTGGAGGATGGGTTTATATCACGTCGACAGATGATCATCGAGTCCATGATATAGCCATGGTCTTTTATGTCTTATGTACGCTACCTTGGCAATTTGGTGTTTTGTATACAAGCTCACCTTTGAACAAAAGAGCAAACAAGTTGAGAAAATACTTGATATTGGCCTTCTTTGGCACCTTACCCTTCATGATACATTTTTTCATCCAGCATAAAATTCATCGAGTACCAGGAGGTGAGTAATACTTACATGTTATTTTAAGAATGCTTGTCTGATACAGGCCTTTTTTTTTTTTTTTTTTTTTTTTTTTTTACTGTCATAGCATACACACTTTATGCCTTATTAGAATGGTCTTTAATCCTTTACGATGTTGCTTTTGATGCAATGACACTTTACGATTTTGAAAATTTGGAATTACGACTCACTCAGCCCGTGATTGCCAGACTGAAAGGAGGCAAGGCGTCAGCAAAATACGTCTAGCTGGAGATTGAATCCAACAAGGAATTAAAAGCTTAAGTTTCGCATTCTCCACTTACATAAGCTTTAATGGCTAGTAAAAAGACATAAACGAAGAGAACTTGATCGATCAAGATAATAGCAATTTAAAAAATACAACTGCTCTTATTCCTCATGGTGTTCGTTTCTTAATGATCACAGCGGCGCTATTTAGTGATTTTTTGGTTTGAATGTTTATAGTAAATGCAAGTAGTATACCATTAGTGATGGCTGTGGTTCATAACTGTGTATAGTGAACAAAACTGTTCGTTCTAGGGCAGTATTCTCTACTATATTTACTATGACTGAAAACTCGTATCCTTAAACTCAAAGCTTGAGCGACACATTCCAACTCCGCATGTGAAAGGAAGGCACGCATTGTGCCTGTGGGGAACCCAACAGCAAACTGGATTGGCTGTTTTTTCCTTTTTTAGTACATATAATTCAGGAAATGCGTGCTTTACACAGAAATGCACTTTTTCTATTCATCAGTTAGAATACTCCACCTTTTTATCAAACTTTCAGGCTTTTATCTATCAGCAGACTTTAGCTCTTCGTTCTCCTATGATGAAGACAAAGTCAAAACGCTCTCAGCGAAAAAGGTGGAGAGTAGTAATTAGAATTGAACCACCAAGGGATGCGATGCCGTCATCACATGAGAGAAATAGCAATGGTTTCTCGAGTTTCGACAAACCTGATACCAGTCATCAAACTCGAAGAGAAAGAGTTTACACTTTCTCAACGAGAGAAATATATTATACCAACAGCAATCCAAAGTGCTTTTTCATATTATTGTCACTTATGCTCGAAAGATTTACAAAAGCATTATCCATACATAGATCATTTTAGATACCAGCATCAAGTCTTAATCGATCCTTACAGACGCAATGTAGCAGCATTTATTACATTTGGGAAGGCTGCTATTATGAATCAGGTGCAGAAAGAAATGTACCTTGAAGCCTGCGGGCTCGTGTCTGACCTCCGAAAAGTCAAATCCTATGGATCTTCAACGTCATATTCGGAACATACAGACTTCAGAGCCTGTCATACAGCACGACACGTAACAACTTACAGTCATAATGATGGGCAATCGAGCTCGTTTATATGTTACTTTTGTGACGACAATTGTACTTTTGCTACTTATTATACCCATTTGACAGATATGCATAGCATTATACCAAGAGTAGCAAAAGCCTTGATTTCATCAATACATACGAGTAATAACACCACAGAATCGAGCGCCTTTGGTACTAACATACTCAGCAACATCCTCTCGATGACTAACAATAGCCATGCTCAAATTGCATCATCAGAAAGCACCCGCACATACAGCATTATTAGTAGGGGAACAAATAATTTTATTAATGATGCAGTTACCAACATACCCGCTATTACACAGTCGCTATCAGATACTTCAAATACTACTTTGCACGCATTGAACTCTCCTGAGTATCAATGCGAAAATACACACCGGTACAATGCTAATGAACACCAACAAGAGAAGAAAAAGGTTCATTTTGCCGAGATAATTGCTTCCTATCCCTCATCTCAGACGGTTACAAGAAAAAAAATAATGCCTATCAATTATTCTAAAGTTCCGCCACCACTTGAGAAGTGCGACAGGCACGAGCATGTATGCGTACTATGTAAAATCAGCTATCCATACTTGGTTGATTATCGTCGTCATTTGTAGTCAATACATAATATCCCTCTAAAGTTGGTGCTTCCTCAAAATTTCAGTATCCCATTGGAATCTTATAGATACTGCAGTTTCTGTAAGAAAAATTTTCAACGGCGTTCAGCTTTTCTGAATCATATGGCGCAAAGACATGGAGTATCTGTAGAGAAGCGAGAGTATGAATGTAGTGTGTGCTTTAAAAAATATAAGAAGCAAGATATCTTTTTGAAGCATTTATCGAGATTCCATGGAACGGTTTGAAACAATTGGGATTGGAACTCTTTTACAAAATTGAGTAGGCTAACTGTTTTTTGCTTTTAATTCTCTTTTTTTTTTTAAAAAAAAAGAGCAATCTATTCATTCTTCTCTGCTAAAGCAGCTTGTTTCCTATCTTTTACCATTGCAATGGCATTATTTATTTGCCCTTCACTATTATGTTCTATTCTTTTTTCTTCCAGACAATAAACACTCAACATATGAACAATCAATGAAACGCCTCACGCTTATTGCTAGTTGAAGCCAAAAGCAAACCAAAAACACTTTGTGCCTTTGCATTTAATAACAACCTACCTCTGATTTCATACAAAGTTTCTCCTCTGTAGATGAAGACCACCGTACAATACAGAATCTTGAGATTGTGCTTAAGCAGACAGCCTACACATTAATCCATATGTATTCATTATACTGCAGTTTTAGTACAAATAAATAGAAAGAATACTTTAACTCATCTGCCATTATATTCTTTCACAAGTCTAAACTTCCACATCTCAAATTGATTCTAACACGTCTTTCTTTCTTGTATACAATTTCTTATGCCTTATCTACAAGTGTGGAATGCACGTTACCCGCAATCTGCTGTGAAACAATTGAAACTGTTTCGTAAGTGTACCATTTTTTTGCTTTGGGCACGATTAAATCGTAACAGCACTTGGGCGAACAAAAAATCTAGATTAATTTTGTGCGGAGAATGAACAATGCAAGTTTATTTTGATCAGAATTAGAGTTTCCTTTCATCTTTCTTTCAATTAAAGATAAAAATATATACGATTTAATATGACTCCACCGAGAGTAATGACAATAGCTGGTAGTGACAGCGGAGGGTAATAAACATGTTCATGAAGGCTTTCAAATAGTTGTGAGAACTAATTTTTTCCTTCATTCTTCCTTGAAATTTTCAGTGGAGCAGGTATTCAAGCAGATATCAAAACGCTCACCTCACTTCACGTCTATGCGACTTCAGCCATAACCTCTGTCACAGCACAAAACACAAAGGGAGTGACAGGCATTCACGATATGCCACCTGAATTTGTGAGCCAACAGATTTCAGCTATTCTCAGTGATATCGGTACCGATGCCATCAAAATCGGCATGCTCTCCTCCGTTCACATTGTTAAGGAAGTAGCTTCCGTCCTCAAGAAGTTCCCCGAGCATAGCAAACAAATCGTTGTCGATCCTGTCATGGTAGCTACAAGTGGTTCACGACTTTTGGCCGCTGAAGCTACTGAAGCTTTAATCAAAGATATTTTGCCAATGACCTACATTTTGACACCTAATGTACCGGAGGCGGAAGTGCTTTTGGGTATGAGTCCTGGAACTATCAAGTCTACCGAGGATATGCACACTTGTGCTAAGAAGATTGCTGCTATGGGTCCCAAGTTTGTTTTACTGAAAGGAGGTCATTTGCCTCTCAAAGTGGATGGCGATAAGCTTCAAGTCATAGATATTGTGTACAATTCGATGAATGAAAGTTATCACGAGATACCGAGTGACTACATACAGACGAAGAATACTCATGGTACCGGTTGTACTCTATCTGCTGCTTTAGCGGGTGAACTAGCCAAAGGAGCACAAGGTATTGTAACAGTAGGCGGGTGGGACGGAACATGTTGCCTTTTACGCATCCTAAATCGCGTTCCGTTTGCTCATTGATGATACGCTTCTTTAAACCATATTAGTGGAACAAGCTTGCGAAAATGCGATCCATTATGTCAAGATGGCCATTTCTCAGGGTTTGGGTGACATGGGTCAAGGTAATGGCCCTATCAATCACTTTCATCCTCTACGTTGGTCACCTTACAATGGGTAGGTGAAAATAATCAAGATCTAAAAGGATAATTAGTTGAGTTCCTTTGTATGCCATAAACAGAAGAGAGACTGACCAATATCCATCTTTCTTTTCCCTGCAATTATGATCGTATAGCAAGCCTTTGATTCAAGCCATTAAGGATAGAATGCCTGAAGGTGTCTGGAGCGATTTCATTGATCATCCATTTGTTCGTGGAATTGCTGATGGTACACTTCCTCTCGAATCTTTTACTTATTATCTCAAGCAAGATTATCTTTATCTCCAGCATTACGCACGTGCTGCTTCTCTTGCTGCCTATAAGTGTAAGTTTTTAAACCACGAACTTTTTGTTTCTGTTGTGCAAAAATTCTTATCGGCAATTGCAATCAATGACCGATATAGGCGGAACTATGGATGCCATCAAAAGAAACGCAGCCGTTGTTATGCATATCACTGAGGAATCCGAAAATCACATAAAGTACTGCGCCAGATATGGAATCTCGAGAGAAGATATTTTAAGCACACCAGAAAGTGTCTTCAATTCCGCCTACACGAGATTCGTATTAGATAAAGGTGCTGCCGGTGATATTTTAGATTTAAAGATGGCTATGGCGCCCTGTCTAATAGGATATGGTGACATTGGTCTCAAGCTATATAATGACCCTGCAACCAAGAGAGAAGGCAATCCTTATTGGGAGTGGATTTGCCAGTATGCTGCCGACGATTATCAAAATGCCGTTAAAGTTGGCATCGGTAAGTAGCAATGCTTTATACTAAAAAGTCCCTTTCTTCGTCGTAACTTGTTTTTTTTCCCAATTTTTTACGTCGTAGCTGAACTAGAGGAGTTAATGGAGGAACATGGGGCGTCACCTGCCCGCTACAATGAACTCTGTAAAACTTTTGAGCAAGCCACACGTTTAGAAATTATGTTTTGGGAAAATGGGATTACGTCTGTGTTAAGCAAAATACATGAGATCAGCCATTGAATATTTCCATTACTTATAAATCATCTGATAACCTAATTAACAGTATATCACTATTAGAAGGGAAAAAAAATACTTTATAGAGCAAAATAAATAAGAAGGAGTGTTAAATTTTCTCGTCTGCGCAACATGCAAACGATCCATTCTTTTTATTGCTTAATTGTAATAGTCTGGTTTTTTGACATTTATTCCGTACTCCTCTAGAGCAGATGATAGATCGTCCATAGTCAAAACTGTTTTCTTCTCCTAGTTAAATATAGAAAAGCAAGAAATGCGAATGAGTTCGACTGTCATTTTACCATACATAGCCCTCATTGCTGAACTTACCTTATTCGATTTACTTGCGCTACGGGATCCTGCTTGTCTAACTTTGTTGTATTGAAAAGCGTCTGTTGCAATATCAGCCACAAATTTTTGAGCTGCCAAAGCAAAGAGCTTCTTGCTATATAAATACGTATAGGCACAATTAACAAATTGCATTAATTTTCGTGTTTGACGCTCAAATAACAAAAACAATTATACAATCGCATACATTTTAGCATCATCACAATCAAAGCCTGTTTTGTTTAAATAATAATCAATGACTGCATCGGGTATCTACTTTATCGAAATCACATACGACTGATTAGCACATCGGATTCACTGAAAAAACTAAAATAAAATTGTATGCTCGAACATTACAATAGGTGTATAATTGTCCATAGTCACCAATAGTTCGGCCATCTGTCTTTCTTTATCAGTCTTCTCCTGTTGCTGTATTTGCTGGTTTTGCTGGTTTTGCGTTTGCTGCTGTAGATTTGCCGTCGACGAAGATTGTTCGTTTGTTGAGTTCATACTATTATTGCTATTCATCATATCATTTGATGATGTAACATTAGCATTTGGCATATTTGAAGCGGGAGTATCGGCGTTAGTGTTAGTAGCAGCAGGCATGGAAGAGTCCATAGTATTAAAAGAATTCATCGAAATAGAAGGTGCCGAGGCAGCAACAGAATCTGGATCGGTTTTTATTGACACTGTTGTTGGCGCAGATGTAAATCCTGAATTTGTGACTGATGAAGCTGTTGCAGTAGGTGTCGATGATGTAGGTGTTCCTGCAGTCGTTAAGTTTTCTGGAGCAGACGGACTTGCTGGCAAATCTGTATTATTCGTATTCATATTAAGATTGTGTTTAATAACGAAGAAAAGTATCGCTCAATTGTCAGTCAAACAGAAGGGCATTATTGAAGTACAAAACATCATGAAAAAAATCAAATAGATGCATTCTACAGTGACTGTTCGAAAATTTATGAGTTAGCCCGCTAGATAAACCAAAAAAAAAATGAAGCGATGAACGATTTCTCTGGTTTTTTCTTATAGAATAGTGTCATATCATTCACGGAACGCTCAGCAAAGCATGACAGATTTCGACGTAGTTGCTGCTTATCAAAACTCTTTGAACGATACTGTAAAGTTTCACTGTCTTCTATGTTAGAAATGTAGCGATTTGCTTTTGCAGTATACTGATGCACCATTCGGCATCTAATAGGAACTATCGACACCTGTTGCCGTTTTCAAGGCACTAACCGACTTTGTCCAACATAGCGCAGCGCCCACCATGTCTGAATTTATGCAGACGTTAGAAAAGGCTGCTCAAGCTTTCCGAAATGAGCCTCAGAACATTGCCTCAGCAGAAAAACACAAAAATCAACATAAAGCTGCTATTGCTATTTTAGCCGGTGTCGATCTGTTTATGCGATTTGTAACTAGAAGCTCACACGACTTCTCGGTATGGAATTTCTCTGCAGTTTTTTTGGGGAAAGAAAAAAGTGTCAAAATGGCAGTAGCATCTTATTTACATTATCTTTTTTGTTGTAATGTTAAATATACTTATAGTTATCAGAGGAAGCCGGTAGCTTTGATGATTTCAAACAAAATCTTTTGTCGACAGCATCACTTATTTTAGAAAAAGCTTCATCGGCTCGTGATAGAGCTGCTCAAGTAGGGGCTCAATTTATTCACGATAACGCTATCATTCTAGTTCAAGGTTATTCGCGTGTCATCATGAGTGTGTTATATCATGCCGCTAACGTTCAAAATAAACGATTCAAAGTTTATGTCACAGAAGGACGTCCTCATAGTGATGGGTATATAAAAAAACAAAACAACCAGAATATAACACGCTGTCAAACGGAAGATAGACTGATGCCTTTAACATATCTATAGCATTCAAGCCGTGGCAGCATTGAGAAAACATGGCATTCCTTGTAGAGCTGTATTGGATTCAGCAGTTGGATATATTATGGATAAAGTAGATATGGTCTTTGTAGGCGCAGAAGGTGTGGTAGAAAATGGCGGAATTGTGAACAAAGTGGGTACATTCCAAATTGCCTTAGTTGCCAATGCTTTAGGCAAGCCCGTATATGCTGTAGCAGAAAGGTAAGATGATTAATTCCAAATGTGATGATGTCTGCATTTTCTAACTGGTCTTTTTCAAATGCAGTTATAAGTTTGTGCGTGTCTACCCTCTAAATCAATATGATATTCCTTCAGAAACACCTGAAATTGTTACATTTACGACAAGAAGAAAGTCATTTAGTGCAACTGGTGATGCAGAAACTTTGGATGAGTTAGCGCTGTCAAATCCTTCCGTAGACTATACACCACCTCAATATATAACTTTACTACTGACTGATCTAGGCGTGCTAACTCCCTCTGGCGTATCCGATGAATTAATCAAACTTTATGTCTAAATCACTGTATAATAGTACCCACCAATCCTACATTTAAAAGTAAATTTTTGTTTATATGTAATAGGGCTCAAGTAACTGCTTTGACATTTGATTTTCTTCTGTATGATCAATGCTTCATTTATCTACTTATTGAGATTTGTCTATTACGTCTTATGCTCTTTTACCAAAGATCTTTTAAAAAGTGTAAAAATATTGTTCTGTCATGTTGGATCACTTAGTTGATAATGCGTCAATCTTTTATACTACAGCAGCTCCCTTTCAACCATCCTTTTCTTTTTCTTTTTTTTTTTCTTTTTTTTTTTTTTTTCAAAGGTTCAGCCTGCTTTAAATAATCTAACATTTTATATGATATTGTTTCCATAAAATGGTTATAATTCAGTTTGCATCGTACTTTACGCACGGTAAAGACCCACATAAACGGTCATTGAAACAAGTACGCAACCCAAAAGTTCAACTCTTGAAACATACTCCTGCAGTGGTTATGTAAAAGTCTTAATATCAGAATATATAAAGTGCTAGTACTATCGTTTTACAACGGTTAATATACTACTAATAAGTTTAATTAAGAACATTTTTTAATTTCATTCTTTAATTTCATTCTTTTTTCTTATTAAAGACTTTCATTACAGAAGTGACCTGAAAAACGCAAAGAAATTTATTTGCGTGTGGACGTTAAAAAGTTTTTACCCCTTTTTTCGTTTCATTCACAAATTTTTCTGTCTTGCCTGAACAGTGAATGTCAAAAAGGTCACTCATTACTGATTAGTATACATACATATATATGTGTATATATATACGCTGAATCGGAAACTATTTACTGCGCAATAAAGATTAGAAAGAACAGCAATATTTCGTTTGTAAATTCTTGATATACCCCTATAAGAGACTCAGTTTTTCTTACAGATCGAAATACCGTAACTATAAAAGTTTATCTATATCCAGGTACTTACATAGAACAAGTAGAGCTTCTTATGACTGGAATACTCTAGAAAAAGATGATAACTAACAGAGGCGTCATTATTTACAGTTTATTATAAATATACACCCTATCTGATTATACCGGGATTGACATACAAAACTTATTTAACGACTGCTACAATTTAATATGGTACTCACGGATGAAACCTTCAGTCCTCTTCATATGATTACGTTACCTACAGAAGAAGACATTCGCCACTTAGCTACTCTTTCATGCATGCCAGCTCAAGATATGAAAGATCGGTTTGAAGACGTTACAAAAAAGCTAGGTCAATGGTTAGAGACCGCTCATATGATCACGTTTACTATTGAACAAAGTGTGAAAAGAGGAGACAATATGGATTCTCATACAGTGCAGCCTTTGGAATCAATGGCAGTCAATACAGTACAGCCTTTAATACGATTACTTTCAGATACACTAGACGAAATACAACAGGAACAAGACGAAGATATACAGGATATGATGAGTATGAAGCTATCCTTAACTAAAGTGCAATCAGAATGGTCTGGGCTGCAGCAATTCATCGTCTCAGTTAAGAATCTGATTGATGCGTCCAACGAAAAGATTATGCTGAGGAGATTGATGGAGAATATCTTACTACAAATTGATGATCTGTCCATCATGATTTTTCAATTTCAAGAAAAAAAACATATCATGCAGCAGCAGCAGCAGCAAGTAGACACTAGTGCGGTCACCATAGCCACGTCAATAGCCACTACCATAACTTTTCACGCAGGAGCAACAAATAAGGATGCGAACAGCAGTGTGAGAGAAGACGGTATACTTTTGGAAATTGACAATCGCGTAGGGCCTTTATTCAATAATGTAGAAAAAGTATTTAACCGAATGACATCACCAGACAATCCACCCGAAGACAGTACAGGTTTGTTGACGAGAAAACATCTGCTTGTTCAAGAGCGTTGGGAATTATTAAGGCTAGAAATTGACGAACTGAAAGCAGAACTTAAGGAAGACCGCTGGTTAGCAATTTTCAATCAAGTGGCAGATCAAGTCGACAACATGATGAACGGATTGAATAAGACTGTAGACCAATGCTATTTATTAATACAACAAATTCTGAAACAACACCAGGCTACTCAAGGAGGAAATGGCTATAGTCTACTGAGCTCACTTTCTGCCACTACTCACACGACACCGTCCTCTTCCTCCTCGTCTTCTTCTTCAGCTACGACAACAATAGGCAATGCAATATCGACTCCAACAGACCTACGTGAAAAACTGCGATCAGTAGAAAAGAACTTTGAAGCAAAATATAAGTACTATACCCCCTCTATCTCGAAGATGCTGACGATGTTAGGAAATGGTATAGCATCCAGAGTGACTCAGGCCAGCTCATCCACCATTTTTTACCGTCATGAAGAGATGCTAACAAAATGGAATGCATTAAAGAACACCATGGACAATTTACGTAGAAGAGAATTGCCAGAAATCATGGGATATGATACTTGTTCCAACTTCTCCGATCAATCTAGCAGTATCATCAGTGGCTGGTCACGTTTGAGTGATCGAAGTAGTAGCGACAGTAATACAACGAGTAGTTTCAGTAGAGGAACACCAACGCCTCGGAACAACCACAGCAATAAATATAACAGATCATTGTCGCCCTCTATAGGTCATGTGATGGAAGAGAGCAATTCTCTGTTAGAGCTTACTGCAAACATGGCAAGGTCAAAGAGCCCTTTTAATAACGGCCAAAATCGAATGGTCCGTAGCAGCCCATCACCTTTATTCATTGATGAACAGAGACATCGTGCTGGTCTGAACGATAACAGTGGCAGAAAAACTTCAACTGCATCACCTATTAATGGATACTATTCATCACGTGAACCCATCAATGCATCACCTTCGTCTATAACAACAAGGTTCATGGGCAATCAGCTATACATGAATAAATCTGTCACTACAAATAATATGCGCAGACAGCAGTTTGAAGACGACGGTGATGATGACATTCGTCAATTTTTAACACCGAATAATGTCACAACAACAAATAGTAATGGAAAACAACAACAATTTGTTACATCCACAACGAATATGTTACAACCACCGAGGATGTTAAAAAGATCAGTTACGCCTAATATCTTATCCTCGACTCGTCATATCAGGAGTAACACCCCTTCGTTTATTCCACGCCCGAGAACACCCAATAGCAAGAAAATGGATAGCATGAGGCCCAGATCATCTATGGCACGGATGAACAATACAAAGTTACACCACGATCAACAACAGCAGCAGCAACATTACTTCTATAAACCCGACCCTAAAGACCCCTTGGATAAAGCAATAGCCCTCATTGTCAACCGCAGTCCTATTCCTATTCAATGTTCGAAAAAGACAGGTACTGCAGGAGACGGTAAATACTTCTTTGGTAACGAGTTGACACCATCGCTGGGAGGTGGTAAAAAGATCTATACCTGTAAGTTAATGACGTATGAAAACAGTGGGCGAAGTAAAGTATTGATACGTGTTGGCGGTGGTTGGCAAGATTTAGAGATCTTCTTACTTGAGCACACGAACCTGATTGGTTGACAAACAATATCATCTTTATTGAATAAAAGAATTGTTGTTGTTACGCAAAAACAACAGAAACTTTTTATCTTTAACTTTGTGTGCTCTTTTTGGTAATGAAATGATGATAAAGAAAAAGATTTCATGCTTTCTGTGAGTGGGGAAATTTCTTTACGGAGCCACCGAACAGAGAAGCCTCGAAAAGAAAACTATTTAAAGACACACAATCTTTAGTTTATAATCCTATTTTTTCCCTGTGCTAAGTTTGTTACATTCTACACGTAATTTCAGGTACATAACCCTACTTTATCAAAACGCTTTTCATTTGCTATGAATGGATGGCACAGAGGGGAAGCGAGGCATATGATGACATATGAAATCAGCATGATAATCGTCTGTCTGATTCCGGGAAAAGAAAGGAAGGAGAAGGGGGCAAGAAAATGGCTGCACAGACTGCTCTAGTTTGGATAAACTTATTGAAAAAGAGAATATGGATTTGAAATATTAACCGTTTCTTTCTCTTTATTCTTTTATCATTACTCGCTTTTCGCAATAAGAAACCACAAAACCTCACATACATATACACACATACATACATCAATTAAATCGACTACCATGACAACGGACTCTGCGACGCCTATACGTGAACATTCTGTTGAGACTATTCGCCGGAGCAGTGAGATGCTTGGAGACCTCCGCAAATTGATGGTTGCTAATAGAGGTGTAAAGTATAATATAACAGCAACGTAACAAGGAGATATTCATTTGTATTTCGCGCTTATCCTTTTAGGAAATTGCACTTCGCGTGTTTCGTACAGCACATGAACTATCCATGCGATCCGTAGCAATTTTTTCTCATGAAGACAGGTTATCTATGCATCGATATAAGGTGAGTGTGGTATACAACAAAACTACGTGAAAGTCTGAGTGCTGTTATTTCAGATGTTCCCATTGAAGTGTATGCCATATTATATACGGGCACATCCTAATTGTTCATTCATTGAAACGTAGGCTGATGAATCATATCAGATTGGTAAAGTTGGACAGTTCACACCGGTCGGTGCATATCTTGCTCAAGATGAAATCGTTCGTATCGCTAAGCAGCGTGGTGTCTCTATGATTCACCCTGGCTATGGCTTCCTGTCAGAAAATGCTGAATTTGCTCGTAAAGTTGAAGCTGCTGGTATTACTTTCATTGGTCCGTCACCTGAAGTGATTGAAAGTCTAGGTGATAAGACAAAGGCTAGGACGATTGGTAAGTCTTTTTTCAGTGTTGGACATTCCAAAAAAAAAGGGTTCCACAAAGATGTTCTTCTTACCGGACTGATGTCACTGGTTGTTCTTGCTTATCTTATCCAACTAACTGATTTTATCTCTGTACTACCTTTCTGATACAACTTATTGCTACTGTCATGCTGAAATAGCTATGAACTGTAAGGTTCCCGTTGTGCCGGGTACTCCTGGTCCAGTCAGTGAGTTCAGTGAAGCGAAAGCCTTTATTCAGGAACACGGATTCCCTATCATTATCAAAGCTGCTATGGGCGGTGGCGGGCGTGGTATGCGTGTGGTTCGTGATGATGCTTCATTAGAAGATGCTTTTCATCGAGCTAAGTCTGAAGCTCTTTCTGCTTTCGGTGATGGTACTGTTTTTATTGAACGTTTCTTAGATAAACCTCGTCATATTGAAGTTCAACTCTTGGCCGACCGTGCTGGTAACGTAATTCATCTCTTCGAACGTGATTGCTCTGTTCAACGTCGACATCAGAAAGTTGTGGAAATTGCCCCAGCAAAGAACCTGGACAATAAAGTACGTGAATCTATTTTGGCTGACGCTATTAAAATTGCTAAAGCTGTCAATTACAAAAATGCTGGTACAGCTGAATTCCTGGTCGACAATGAAAACCGTTACTATTTTATCGAAATTAATCCTCGTATTCAAGTGGAACATACTATTACGGAGGAGATTACTGGTATTGATATTGTAGCAGCTCAAATCCAAATTGCGGCGGGAGCTCTTTTACCTCAACTGGGATTGACTCAACAACGTATTCGCCAACGTGGCTATGCCATTCAATGTCGTGTCACTACTGAAGATCCCGAAAAGGGCTTTCAGCCGGATACCGGTAAAATTGAAGTATATCGCTCTTCAGGTGGTAACGGTGTTCGTTTGGATGGCGGTGCTGGTTATGCTGGTGGCATTATTACGCCCCATTATGACTCACTTTTGGTCAAGGTGTCCTGTTCCGGTTCGACGTACGAAGTAGCCCGTCGTAAGATAGTGCGTGCTCTTGTTGAATTCAGAATCCGAGGCGTCAAGACGAATATCCCATTCTTACAACGCTTGTTAACACATGATACATTTATTAATGGCAACTGCTGGACCACCTTCATTGACGATACACCTGATTTGTTCAGACTGGTTCAATCCCAAAATCGCGCTCAGCGTATGTTGGGCTATTTAGGTGATGTTATAGTCAATGGGTCCCAAATCAAGGGTCAAGTAGGTGAGCCCTCCTTTAAAAGTGAGATCGAGATACCTGTACTATGCGATAAAGACAACCACAACACTGTCGATGTGTCAGCCCCTCCAACAGAGGGCTGGCGCAAAATTATTGTTGAACAAGGCCCCGACGCATTTGCTAAGGCTGTACGCGCTTACCCTGGCGTCTTGATAACAGACACAACTTGGAGAGATGCTCATCAAAGTCTATTGGCAACGCGTGTGAGAACCATCGGTAAAAAATTATCATTGAACGAAGAGCTCAAAAAAGAGGTTTCGTTTTGACTAAAAAGCATAAATATATAATTCATTTTACAATGATAGATCTTTTACGTATTGCTCCGGCTACTTCCCATGCTCTTGCCAACGCCTTCTCTCTTGAATGCTGGGGTGGTGCCACCTTTGATGTCGCTATGCGTTTCTTATATGAGGATCCTTGGGATCGTCTTGCTGCGCTTCGTAAACTCGTCCCTAATATTCCTTTCCAAATGCTCCTCCGTGGTGCAAATGCTGTTGGCTACACCTCCTATCCCGACAACGTTATTTACGAATTCTGCGACAAGGCTGTCAAATGTGGTATGGACGTTTTCCGTATCTTTGACTCTCTCAACTACATTGAAAATATGAGATTGGGTATTGATGCAGTGAAGAAGGCAGGTGGTGTTGTAGAGGCTACCATCTGTTATACCGGAGATGTGTCCAACCCACATCGCACCAAGTATAATTTGGATTATTATGTGCACTTGACAGAAGAATTGGTAAATGAAGGCATTCACATTTTGGGTATTAAAGATATGGCAGGTCTTTTAAAACCTGAAGCAGCCCGTCGGTTGATCTCTACTATACGAGCCAAGTTCCCTGACCTTCCTATTCATGTTCACACACATGACACTGCCGGTACAGGTGTTGCATCCATGCTAGCCGCTGCTGCTGCGGGTGCCGATATTGTCGACGTAGCTATTGATTCAATGAGTGGTATGACATCCCAACCTGCCATGGGTGCCATTGTCGCTGGCCTTGAGCAGACAAATCTCGGTACTGGTATTCGTTTAGAAGATATTCACGCAATAAACTCGTACTGGGAACAAGCACGTCTTTTATACTCCTGTTTCGAGGCTAATGTTCGCTCCGCCGATTCTGGAGTTTACGATCATGAGATGCCCGGTGGACAGTATACGAATCTAATGTTCCAGGCTCAACAGCTAGGTTTAGGTACACAATGGGCGCAAATCAAGAAAGCATATGCTGAAGCCAATAAGCTCTGTGGTGATCTAGTCAAAGTCACTCCTTCTTCCAAAGTGGTGGGTGATTTAGCGCAATTTATGGTTTCTAATAGCTTGACTGCCAGTGACGTTGAAGAGCGTGCTTCATCCTTATCTTTCCCTACGTCTGTTATTGAGTTTTTCCAAGGCTATCTTGGTCAACCCCATGGTGGTTTCCCCGAACCTCTACGCTCAAACATTATCCGTGATGCTCAGCGCATTGATGGTCGCCCAGGAGCGACTATGCCTCCTTTAGATTTAGCCAAACTCAAAGAGGAATTGGTTGCCAAATACGGGCCAAGCATTCGGGATTATGATGTTATTTCTGCAGCTCTCTATCCCAAGGTCTTTGCTGAGTACCGTGATATTATCAATCAGTATGGTGACTTGTCTGTATTGCCCACTCGTTATTTCCTAGCCAAGCCTGAAATTAACGAAGAGTTCCATGTAGAGATTGAAGAGGGTAAGACTTTAATTATCAAGCTGCTAGCTGTAGGTCCTTTGAACGGTAACGGAAAACGTGATGTGTACTTTGAGCTGAATGGCGAAGCCCGCGTGGTGGGTATTGTCGATAAAAACTCAGCAGTGGAGACAGTGACGCGTGAAAGAGCCAATTTATCTAATCCTGGTGATGTTGCTGCTCCTATGTCGGGTGTTGTTATAGAGATTCGTGCCAAAGAAGGCACTCATGTAAAGGCAGGTGATCCTCTCGCTGTTTTGTCGGCGATGAAGATGGAAACGGTGGTTACTGCACCTGTAGCTGGTAAAATCGAACGTGTTCCTATCCATGAAGGCGATTCCCTCAATTCTGGTGATTTGGTAGCCAGGATTGTTAAAGAAGCTCAATAAGCTTTTGGCCTTCAGTATACTTACTCGAATATGTATAGAATATTATGAATTGTTCAATTTCCTGTTTTCATGGCATATCCTTGACTTTGCTTTCCAAACTGAATAATGTTTTATAAAGTAAAAAACTTGTTGTAAAAATCGATCTCGTTCTATCCGCAGTAGCGTTCTGTTCCCAAGAACCGGGCTGTTCTGTTATCTACCTCTAACAATGTATTATACAGTATATAGGCTTTATTTGTTCATATTTTCACAGCTAGAAGATATTAAAATTGAATGAACCAAAAATACAGCTATTCGTACATGCTTTACCGTGGCTCGGCGTCTATTTAGTTTATATTTTATACTGAACTTAATTCTAATTAGAAACTTTACATGACTTTGACGGCACTTTCATATAACTCGCGAGACATCTGTTCTCTAATAAACTGGATCAATTTACACTTATTTCTAAACTCGTATGTCTGCCCATTAACCCAGACTGTCTCAACTTGAAGCAAAACTCTGGATGTACTAGTTAGAAAACAGCCTTCCCATGTGTCAACTTCTTGCAGCCGAGGAAAGTCCCAGCGAAGAGGGATGTCATGTTTCTCGCAAATTCCAATCACCAACTTTAACATAGTGCCGAGTAAAACATGATCCAAAGGTGCACAGTAAACTACATTGTCCTTGACCACCAAAAAGTTGGAAGAAATGCCTTCATAAAGTTGGAGTTTGTCATCAATAAGAACAACTTCGTTAAAGTGAATAGCTTTCTTCTTATGCTCGAGTTCTTGTCGATCTCTAACCCATTGAGAATCTTTGATCTCAGGCGCCTTCCTGCATTGCTTTTCAACTAAGATTTGAGCCCTTTCGTTGGCACTGGCAATAGGAGGCAAACATTCAAAGTGAGCAGCAAAATAAGGTTTATGGGTCTGTAAGGTAAGTTGGGAGAATGACTAAATTCAGTAAGCTTGAATTTACATTTACACGCTCAATCCCAAACTTTTTCACAGTACATATGCACTTACATCAAAGCAATAGGTGGCTAGTATGGTCACTTTGACTTCTCCGTCTGTTGTAAGGTGTACTTTTCCGTAAAATTCTGTCAAGCCTACCCTCACGATTTGTACAACTTTCTTTTCCAATAAGACCGGGTCTCTTAAAGGAGCCATTGCTTCTTGTACTTCTTTATGTTTTTCCTCCAAAAAGACCGCTGAATCATCACCATTATTATCGCCTTCGAATTTGATGGAAGCGATTGAGTTGTATAATCTTTTCATGTGTGTGTGTAGTTCAGCTATGGAAGTTTTATCTACTGTCCTCATGCCCGTATAAGCGCCTATGATTGGTTTAGAATCGATAGTGTCAGTGGTTTATAATATTATACTATTGCTTAAGATACGGTACGAAAATCCATCTCTCATAACGTTTAAGACTGTCCAAACACTTACCACTAGGTCGTGATAGAATAAATCCATCAAAATCAGTCGTACCCATATTAAAGCTATATTTGATTTTGCTTAAATCATTTTCGTCGACGTTGAGTTGCTCGACGATCACTATTATGGAATACAGCGGGATATGAAAGTAAATTGAAAGAAGAGGAAGGTCAGCTTTATGAGATCTCGATTCTAATGGAGTATGCAAAGGATGTTCATATTGAGTAATAGCCCACATGAGTTCTTTTCCCTAGTGTTTGTCATGCTGATAATGAATAACGACTAGTTAAAAGCTAGAATAGGAATAATTGCTTTTGAAACAAGTAATAGAAAGAGGACAGTGACATAAGATTGGGAAACAATAGCAGTTTATATATAATGCACTCAGGGTTGAGTGAATTGAGAAAAGTAATTAAGTCCGCTGGAATTTGCCTATTTCATTCGCATAAATGTGGGCATGTGCGCATCGTTTTCCAATTGCGATATCTTTCAATGCTAGAGCAATCATTGTTATTGTTTCGTGTAGGTGTCAAGACTTAGCTGGCAGTGAATCTAACGATCTTGAAAATCATCACAGTACACATTGAGAACGGTACTTTATCTGGATCATTTGTCTTCATATAAAGCAACAGAGAAGGATACGTAACAAAAAGTCTTAAAGTAGGTAACGGTTGCACTAATGTGTGTTTTGCTAGAGACTTTTCACACTGATATCTATTTGAATGCACATACTTATTTGTTGGACAAAAAAAAGAACACTCACGTAGCAGTAGGTCATCGACGTGATCTTCTGTCGTGCTTTTTCACAAAAATTTCAAGTTCCACTTCTTTCTCCTTTGTTGAACCAGCAATTTGCAAAATGGTCAGTCTCTCTTTTTTTTAAACCTCAAGAAAAGTGATCTATTTAGATCATCACTCGATCAACTGTTTCTGAATGACCTCCCAAGAGCCCTCCTCATCCTCATACACCTACATTCAGGAAGGATCTTCCACATTTCGAGATCAGCCAGACTTTTTTCAAAGAAACAACTTATACGACCATGCAGGAGCATTATCATCAACAGTTGGAGAAGCACTTGCGGACTTGACACAGGCTTGGATGAATGAAAGAAATGCTCCAGAAATACTGCCTTTCGAGAGAGATCTAGTGGCACTTTTATTGGATCAAGTGCAGGCGCAGGTAAAAAATTGGAAAAACAAAGTATACATGTAAATGGATTTACTTTTGTAACATGAATTTATATCCATGATGTTAATAGACAGAAAAAATGACGGAACTTGCGGAAAGAAACAGTATCAACACATACCAAAGTATGTTGTATCAGACAGAGGTTGAGCGCGTCAAATATGTATTGAGAAGCTATTTGAGAGCTCGTCTAGACAAGGTAACTCAAATGAGACAGTGACATTCAATTCTTTTTTTTTCTTTTTGGTATTCTTCGATATTGAATACCGCCGTCCGACATAGATTGAGCGATGTACACTATTTATACTACGTCAAGAAAACCTAGAGGAATTACTATCGATATCAGAACTTCATTATGCTCGCGAATATCAGGATCTAATGGAGACTCATAATCACGATAGCTTCCTGCATCGACTACCGAGATCACAGCATAAGCAGGACGAGCAAGGGAATGGCATTAATATGGTAGTGGAGCCTAACTTGGATGCAGCAGTTGTTTGCAAAGTGCTAAAGAGTATCGGGCACGTAAACATTGGTGGAGATGATATTTTATTTGACGTTAACGATGTTTATCTATTACGATATCGTGACGTACGAGAACACTTGACAGCCAGAAAATTAAAATTAGTCTGAACAGAAGAACTTTCCTTTTGAGCCCGAACCAGAAAAACTGACCGCGGCGGTTTCTTTTTTTTTTTTTTTTTTCTTCCTAACTAGTATATAAACGAATGCTTGACTCCACTTTCTCTTGCATTAAATACCAACCTCTTTCAATTTTGATATACACTTTATACATTAAAATAAAATGAATAGTAGCACTAACTATAATAAAGGTAAAGCTAGTTCACGGTGATTGCAGCGAACCAAACTAACAGTATTCTGGTTTACAAAAGACCAATTAAAGTCCACTGGTCATGGTACGGTAGACATTCCATGGTCAGAAAGCAGCAAAGAGTCTATGCAAGTACGCTCAGAAGACCTCCATAAACATAATAAGCATGAAGATAATGTGACCAAAGACACAAACGAGCGTCAACCTGATAGCAAGAATCATGCAGGATTCGGACATACGGTATCACATCAGCATTCACCAAGAAGCATAAAGAGAGATTTAGATAATGTCTAATGACTAGCTTTTAACTGTATTTATATTTACAAAAAGTATGGTAACCATTTTTGATATTGCTTAATAAATTACTTCTTTATTACATATTATTTTCATCCAAGCTTGTTTACGAACTATACTTGCATCGTAAAGAAAGAAAAACATTTATATTTTAACAACATCCACCCTTATTTCCTGTTGATGAGTTATTGCCACTCATGCTTCGTTGACTATCAAAACTACCGCGAGTTCCACGAATACTGGGTGGTCTCAATTGAATTCTTTCACCTTGCGTTGGTTTAGCGTCTCCTGCCTCTGCTCCCTCTGCCCCATTATTGGCTTGCTTTTTTGGTAGGTTACTGTAAATTGTATCAAAGATCGATTGAAATGCTTTGTCGACATTAGTAGCATCTAAAGCGGATGTTTCTATGAACAGGAATCCTTCTTGTTCAGCTAATGATCCACCATCCTCAGTTGATACTTGACGACTCGTTTCACTAAGATCCAATTTGTTACCAACCAACATGATCACAATATTGGGATCAGCATGGTCCCTTAATTCTTTAAGCCAATGTTGAACGTTTTGAAACGAAGATTGGCGAGTAATATCTAATGCAGAACAGTTAATAACCAAGTACCTTTTCTTTACGATTGTATAGACACTTGATCTTTACCATAAACCAAAAGGGCACCGACAGCGCCTCGATAGTAACTATACAGGAAAGAAATAAACGAAAACGTGTAAATAGATCTAGTGTAAACTCCATCAATCTCTGCAAAAGACGATCACTTACGCTCCAGTAATGGCTCTGTATCTCTCCTGTCCACTAGTATCCCAAATTTGTGCTTTCACTGTATGATTATCTGTATAAAATGTGCACAGCAAAAAGTAGAATACAGTATGATGTTACAAGCCGGAAAAGATTGAGTGCTTCGTTCCGATTTGATTCTGCCTTTGAGTTGTTGTTACATGTTTCCTTACCTATTTCAAGGTTCTTGGTTGCAAATTCAACACCAATAGTACTTTTTGATTCCAAGTTAAACTCATTCGACTACAAGCAAAGGGGAAAAGTTGGAATCAGTACATTATGAAATCTGCAACATGTGCCGAAGGTCAGACACCTTTCTTTTTCCTTTCAACAGTCCAAATTTTCAGACACTTTACTGTAAATCTCGATAATAGATTGGATTTGCCTACGCCTGAGTCACCAATCAATACCAATTTGAATAAATAATCATATTCGTCGTCTGTAATCATCTTTGAGTGTGGAGAATATCTATGCAAGTAAGTGAGTTGAAGAAAGAAGAGAAAGAAAGAAGGACACTTCTCCAGATAAAAAGGAACTCAACAGCCAAAAAATTTAAGGTTCCTACTTCCAAAACGTATTAAGCCGTCCAATCAGATGCAACTGTAATTAATGAAGCGTTTTTTCATTTAAAGCTTTTTATTTAATCCTCTGCTATCTGTGCAAATCAGCATAAATCTGTAAGTTTAGATATCATAGTATAATCCTTTCCTTACTAATTTTAAGATGTATGCCGTATAAAAAGACAATTGGGATGATTGAGGTTGGGCTCAGCTAGCCTGGGCTGGCTTTTTTCCGTCTGATATGGCTGGTTGAGGAAGTGTAATATGCACTGTTTATTACTTCAGCCACACTTAGCAATGTGATATACTTTTTTTTCTTTTTTCGATTTAAGGTATCCAACAGCTTCTTCGTAACAATTGAAGAGCTTTGCTTTAGACATAAAGAAGTTTTATTATTGTAGTTGGATGAAATAAATTACTCGTCGGTTAATATGCTGAATACAATTCGAAAAGCAGGCCAAATAACTTGTGCGTATTGGGTACACACAGAGAGATATCATTATCGAGAAGCTTCCTTTTTCTTCTTCATAAAATACACATGACGAGTCCATTTGGTTTTCTTTTTTTTTTTAGTTCTATAAGCTCTATTTCCAGTAATTATTTTTGCTTTAAAGGTTAAGAAGAAATATGTCGGTTACTAATCAAGCTTTTCTTGTTGTGGTAAATCATCAGATGCTAAACTGTAAGTTCTTTCGTTTGTTGCATCAAAAGCATAGAAGTCTGCCAGCGTTAATGGGCGAGTATTAATATTCTGTCAAGTAATATAGTAAAACAGTAAAATTGTGAGCAAATCAATCAACGTAAGAAAAAAAGAACAACCCCATTGTGCACTTACGGCTGTGTCAAAATCTAATAGATCCTTGGAGGCATTTTCACCAGTGGGTGGTTTTATCAGTCTAACATACTCTCGGATCGGAATCATAGCTGCATTACGACAGAGTTCCTTCAAATCACTTCCTGATAATCCTGCTGTTCTCTGTACTAACTCTGTCATATCGAAATCCGATGCTAACTTGATATCCTTCAGAAGCTAGGGGATGGATAGTGTTGAAGAAAGCAGGCGTGAGTATTTAAACTCTTTGTACTCTTTTTATCATCTTTCCTTACCAATTCAAGGATGCTCCTTCTTTGCGATTCAGTAGGTAATCTTACGGAGAACCGTTTCGGCATCCGTCTAAGGATGGCTGAGTCGATATCATTCGGTCGATTAGTAGCTCCTAAGATAACAATACGACCATCTTCACCTGTTGTTAAACCATCCCATAAGCTCATGAATTCAGCCTTCATCATGCCTGTTGTTTCATGATCTGTACTCCTTCGCTCACGTAAAAAGGAATCGATTTCATCAATAAAAACAATGGAAGGTTGCAATTTTTTAGCCAAAGTAAAGACAGCAGAGACCAACTTGTTAGACTCTCCGTAGTATTTATCTGTCAATGTAGACACGTGAATGTTGATGAAAGTTGCTCCACTTTCTTTCGCAAGGGCTTTCGCAAGCATTGTTTTACCGCAGCCAGGCGGGCCGTATAACAGAACACCTTTGGGCGCACCCAATAATCCTGACGCGGAAGTGAAAAGCTCAGGATAACAAAGTGGATAGATAACACTCTCTCGCAGATCTTGAATGATATGATCCAACCCACCAATTTCTATTTTAAATCAAATATGACACATTTAAACATTGGTTTTTGTCTGCGGGGAAAGGCGAAAGTCCGTTCTCCATTGTGCTTACGTTTAAAGTTAACACTGATCTCGTCAGCATGAATGACTTCGGCTGCGATAATCTGTTCGTATTCTGTCAACTTTATATCAGCTGCCTAACAAAACCAAGATTGAACAAATAAACCAAATACAAATTAGCGTGCTGTAAATGACTGGTTACGTTGAACTGGAGGATGTCCTTACTCCTAATTTGCCTAAAATTCGATTACTTTTTGCTTTGGCCTCTTGACGTTTTGCTTTAGTAGGATCCAGTGAGCCAACAATATACTTGAAGGCAAAATAAAATGCTACTTGTGAAAGAGCAAAAACAGCAACTATAAATGATTGGATCAAAGTTTTAGAACGATAACATTGCGATTTAGTTATTGCGCAGTATTTGTCAGCAAAAATTCTTGGTTAGCTACCATCAGCTGCATATTTTTTTGTTTCTGGACGTTGCAACCAAGATCTGATCATAATCGGCAAAAAAAGTTTGGTAAGTTAATCAGGTTGCGAAGGTTGATGTACTGGAAAAAGGGAAGCAAACAAAAGACTATAAAACTGGGGAAAATAGCGATCTTTCATTTGTCCATTGTCTTCAATCACGTGTGTACCACCGACAAAATTATAAATGAAAGAAAAGGCGATCATTTTTTTTCTTTTTTTTTAAGAGAAAATAATTTAGCTTATCAATCGTTTCTATACCAGAAACAATCAACCATCCACAGCTATAACTGCAGCAATCGCGAGAATTGATATCACAGCATCAATAGCAGCCTTAAGCACCTTTCCATAACGAATATACCCTCAAAAAACTGGAGCAAATGCAATTTTTTTTCCGTTCTAAAAATTCCTTTTCTACACATGGATACGGCTCCAACTGTATTTGCTTACGCCAGGTTTTCTATCGTCCGATCAACATAAATACAGCTCACAAAATCCTATTGATTAAATGAACGACAATTGGCTGAGCAACGATAACAAAAGCATTAGCCATTTTATCAAAGCAAGCTGATCGTAACTCACGTAAATGGGCAGCTCCCAAAGAGTCAACGAATTCCAATCATTTAACGTTGTTAGCAGGGAGGCTACACACTCAAATACCGCTGCATTGTCTTCAAAATCACCTTTGATTCCTTGATCGAACACATGATCGCTCAGAAAAGAAACAAGTGAATATAGAATTAAGTTTGTATTGTCAATGCAAGAAAATTGAAACCAGAAGGTAGTAGACAAATTGCCAGACCTCCACCTACAGAAGTATTCCACATACCGCTTCAAATGCTTCTGGTTGAATTTGACAATAGTACTAGTAATGTAAAGAAAAAGAAAAGATGGTGATGAAGATGCAATTTTGTCATTAATAGATTAGCGCGATAGACAGCAAAAATGACATGCTCTACCGTCACTATAAGTGCTTATATCTTTTATTTTGGACATCCTAAGTCTGACCAGTCTTTTCACAACAAAATTATACGGGATAAAAAGCTAATATAACATGTATATGTAATATGTATCATGTCGGTTAACATTTGCTGATCTACTAAATCAATTTGTCAACTACAAGTATGTCATCTTTGAAACAAGTCTTTACTCTAAGATTATCAATGAAAGAGATTTCAAGAGCATACGAGATACTGCCAAGAGACGCATACTTGGGAGATAGTCATCGAATGCATCATCACATGCACAATGCTGCATGAACAGATTCTTAAACAACGGCTTACGTTGTAGAAAGCTGCACAAAGTCAATCTGTTATTCACCAAATTTCATGAAAATCACATGGATAGCCCGCTTCAAAACACAGGTTTCTGTCCAGATACCTTTCTACTTATCTAACCTTTTTCCCTTTTGTACTCTTTTTGTGTGAATAATCTCAATTTATCATCCTCTTTTCCACTTTTCTGTGTGCTTGTCTTGATTGCTGACCGTTTGCTTTCGTATCAATTTTTAAACGAGATCCAATGCAAGCTTGGGCAGAAAAAGGAACCACAGCAACAGAAAGCAGCAGTAGAGGATATGGAAGTAGTACCTTACACTTTGATGAGGCATTATCATTTTTGAGTAAGAGAAAGGAGGTATACGAAGAAGAAGCTAGTACAAGTAATGAGTTTAGAACGAGAGAAGAACAGAAAGGCTTTCCTGCGACACCAGCAAACCATCTACAGCCGTTATTTGATGACTATAGTAATACTATTCCGGAGGATTATAACTCTTCTATATACCAGCAGTTCACTCAACCTGTAACTGCCTATTCGCGATGCTATTTACCAACGTACCATCAGCAAAGTGTAGCGGATGGGTCTGAACTACTTTACTTTCTCAACAAGACGGGCTACACAGATCATATATACGACGATACGCTAAACGCAGGTTCAAAGGAATATCAAAGTTATCGACATCAGGTGGATACACAACATGCATTGTCTGAAAGAAGGAAATTACAGCATCAGTGGGCTGCGGAGCTATTATCATCCGAAGACATTGTGGAATATTTGTCCAAAGCTGAATATACAGAGGATATTTATGGGATCCCTATCCTTGGAGAATTGGTAAGAGAAGCTAAAGAAGAGCTCAATACCAGTGACAGGAACGACCACGGCAAGTTAGCAGCTGTTGAACGATTATCAATGATCCGCAATCATCTAATGGCAGAAGCCAACGGTGATACAAACATAGCTGCCAAAAACGCCCTGGACATGAATGAAAACGATTGGTCTACTTTTTTCTTATAAACAAAAAAAAAATTCTTCATCAAATCTGGACTATAATTTTTTCTGGTGTTTTCTCCTTTTTCCACTCGAAATTTCCAAAATAAAATCAAATAAACAAAAAACGTCTTCAAACTATATTCATTGTATATCACTAAATTAAAAGCACACTATACAAAGTTCAAATCAACGTTTCGATATTACCATTTATTGCGACGCATCCATGCAACAACGTATTCATCATGAGGAAGACACCATTTCTGTAGGCTCCTCGTCCTTATCATCCACACCCACTGAGAGGACTCCCTTGATTTCTAGGCTGCCTGATGATTTCGAAAAAGGCCATGCTAGTTTAGGCTGTGAATTTCGTTGGCTAGTAAAGAACGCTCTTCCAGTTGTCTTTACATTTTTACTGCAGAATTCGTTGCAAATGGCCTCTATTTTCACACTTGGACATTTGGTAGGTTATACAAAACAGTAATAGTTTATCAATTTTTTTGAAATTATGACTCAACTTTGTTTATTTTTTTTTTCTTTATTTGATCTGATTACGATATCAGGGTCCGACAGAACTAGCTGCCGCAGCCCTTGCTAGTATGTTCGCCAGTGTGTCTGCGTGGAGTATTGCGTTTGGCACAGCAACAGCATTGGATACCCTCTGCTCGCAAGCGTGGACAGGAGCCAAGGATAAGACTTTAGTCGGTATTCACCTTCAACGTGCTCTTTGTATTTTAGGACTTATGTTTATACCCATTGCTGTCGTATGGTGGAATTGTACTGCCTTGTTACTGAAGCTCCATCAGGAGCCTGAGTTAGCACGATTAGCCGGCCTTTTCTTACGTTGTTTGATGCTCGGTGCACCTGCTTTCATTGCTTTTGAAGCCACCAAAAAGTTCTTACAAGCACAAGGCATTATGCAAGCCTCCACCTATGTTCTCATGATTGTATCACCTTTGAATCTCATATTGAATTATACCTTTGTCTATCTCCCTCCATTCAAATTGGGCTTTATGGGTGCTCCTCTCGCAACAAGTTGTAGTTATTGGCTTATGCTCACACTTTTGATTTGTTACATCAAATTTGTGGACGGCAAGGCTGCGTGGGGCGGTTGGTCACGGGAATGTTTGACAGGATGGGTGTCGTTTTTGAAATTATCGGTTCCGTCTCTTTTAATGATCACGGCCGAATGGTGGGCATTTGAACTTTCATCGTTAGCAGCCAGCTATTTAAGTACGAATGACCTTGCTGCTCAATCCATTGTTCTCACGACAGCCTCTGCTACATACACCATTCCTTTTGGTATTTCTGTCGCTGCGTCTAATCGTATTGGTAATGCTTTGGGTGAAAGTAATGCTCGAAAGGCTCGTCTGGCATCCATTGTAGCCATTTTATTTGCTGTTTTCTTTGGTACGATGAACTCTACCTTCTTTATGGCTACCCGAGCCAAGTTTGGCTTCCTGTTCACCTCCGATACAGATGTTGTAAGAATCGTTTCTCGAATTATGCCTCTCTGCGCTCTGTTCCAAGTTGCAGACGGATTAGCCGGTGTTTGTGGTGGTATTATCCGTGGATTAGGACGTCAGGAGTTCGCTGCCTATTTGAATATTCTCGCTTATTACATAGTAGCACTCCCCTTGGGCTATTATTTGACATTTGTTCGTGACTGGGATTTGAATGGCTTATGGATTGGTCTAACGCTTGCTTTGTTCTTGGTAGCTAGCGGATCTTTGGCCTTTTTAGGATTCATCAATTGGGACAACGAAGTAAAGAAGGCGCTTAACCGAATTCAGGCAGATGAAGCCAAGATCCATGAGGATACTCAAGGTGCTCCATTCTAAGAAATAGATCATGCATACGGAGGGCATTTTCCAATTGGGGGAACTAGACAATACCCAACCTACGCGAAAGCGCTTTATCTTGACGAAAAGTCTCATTTCTTAGAATTATTGACGATGCAAAATTTTTGACCTTCACTTTTTATTTATTCTTACTCTTATTTATCCCATTAATGATTTTGGTTACCCAAAGTGTATATACTTCTCGTTGAATATCTCTTTTTCCTTCCTCAAAAGTAAAAGACGTTGTCATCTGCACGCGCAAATTGTCTGCGTCACTCTCACAGCTTTATTGATGTTTTTTTGTGCGTCTTTTAAATAAGCAATAATAGTAAAAGTCAAATGTTTATAAAGGGTTGTATTGGAAAGTTCTGAAGCTCGCCATGATCCATTGAGTAGGCTTTTGGAGCTAACGAAATCAGCCTCCAAGCAAAGCTTCCTTTTGAGTAATCAATCAACTAAGAGTATAGTATCATACTTTTCAAATATCTTTTGATGCACTATGAAGGACAATTTCAGTGGTAATGGCTATGAACGCGACTCTTTTGTCTGTATCTTGTGGAACCCTCAACAGCTGATTGAACATCCGCTCTCGTGGTAGTCAAAATCAACCTTATTTTCTTAAAGTTACAATACAATCGAATGTGCTTGTCAAAGCTCAGTTTACTGCGGATGAGAAAATAAGACTTGTTACAAACTTAGTTTCATTAATCAGAAAGAGCCTTGCGAAAAATAAAGAATGTCAATGGACAGGAACAGATTTGCAGCGTCGGGAATGAATATGTCAGGGCCTACTAAAACCTATTCAATTAAAATATTGCTTTTTTTGCTATGAGCAAAGATTTGTCAGCATTTAAATATTCTGTGGTTTTCTTTTTTTTTGGCTGGCTGTTCCTAATTTTACTTTTTTTTTTTTCACGATTTTTTAAGTGGTTAAATTATGGTTGTTTCCAGTATCTTTGTGCGTAAGGCTGTCCATACTGACTTGAAGTATGTGGAAGAAGCAACTAAAGTTGTTAACGCAGCTTATAGATACGGGGGTAGGCAATACAATGAACATGCACGCTCGAAAAAATCAATTAATAATAACCTATGATAAAAGAAGGGGGCTGGACCACCGAAAAAGACTTGGTCGCTGGAGAACGCTGTACAGTCAAGGATATGGAACACTATATCCTAGAGAATGGCCGTCCCAATACACTCTTCCTGGCCTTTGATCAAGCCGAAACCAATACCAATACCAACTTGGAAAGCTCGACTAAAATAGTAGGCACAGTGCTACTTCAACCGTCTGAAAATCCTGGAGAAGCAGAGATTAGCTTATTTTCGGTATTACCATCATATCAATCAAAGGGTATTGGCAGCCGATTGATTCGTACTGTCATGGCCGGAATGAAAGATCTAGGATTTCATACCGCTGTGATCCATGTCATTGAAAGTCGCAGCGAGATTTTGGCTTGGTATAAGAAGCTTGGCTTTGTTGAAACAGGAGAAAGGGTTCCTTTCGTTTGGCCTGAATTACTGAAACAGGATAACTTACATTTCTTGACGCTAAAGAGGAAACTCGAATAGATAGATTTAATAAAGGATAAAATTTGCAGTTACTTTGCCCATTGATGGATATGATTCGGGCTTTATTTTTCCCCTCATTTCCAAGCCAATCATATGCGCTGTTGTTCAAATCTTGAAAAAGAAAAAAGCTATTTTGAATTGCCCAATATCCATAAGTGATCAGTACCTCGTGCTGCGTTACTGAGGTCAAGTCCATTCTGAATCCCTTTATTCCTTCTTTATCTTTTTATTTTACAAAAATTCTGGCGGGGAGGAAAAAACGCTAAATACAAAACAACATGACCGAAAAAGCTCTTATCGATACAGACATAGAGGAGACACCAACAGACAAGTTGGTTGAAACTTCATCACCTGATGAGTTAGATCAGCTTGTAGCAAATACTTCAACCGGAAGCAAGCATGCAAAAGAAGTGAAAGCAGAGAGTGCTAAGGAAGAGAGTAAGCTCTCTACTGCTGTACCAGTCCATGAAGGGGAACTTGACAATGATAAGCATCACAGTTCAGAGGAACCGAATGAAAGGAAAGGTGTTAGAGACGAGGTAAAAACGGAAGAAACGCTAACGAAAAAGCCAACAGAAGAAGACAATGAGGATGATGCATTTGATTTGCACAGTGACCAAAAGAAGCACCTTTTGTCCTCGCTTTCACTCGAGGACTATCATAGCAACGACCCATGGGCTGCTCAACCGGAAGAAGATTCATTACTGAGAAGTGACCAAGACCAGATGGTGGAGGAAGACAACACGGTAGCCACTACGATAGTTTATGATGTCATAGATAATGCGGACGAGACTACACCAGAGACAACAAAAGTAAGCACAAAGAGTGTAGCGACACCAGCACCAGGATCTGCAGAACATGAGCAAAACCTAGATCAAGATACATCAGCAGTGAAGGTAAAAACGCTATATTTATTTTTATTATAATCACTGGCTAAACAAATCATTTTCTTGATTCATAATGCAGGGATTTCAAAATTTCCAAGATAGTGATAAAATCGATGACCTGAATGTGAAAGGGCAACTACCACAATGGCTCGCAGGTGAATACTATACGATAGGCCCTTGTACCTATGATATTAAATACACGCGTAAGGTGGAGATGGAAGGAGAGATTCAGAATGTATCTGCTCTCTTCACTTTCGGACACTGGTTTGATGCGTAAAGTGCACACATAGGAAGATAAAAATGCAGTGCGAAATTTCCCATCCATTTTTCTGACATGTTTGAATTCTTTGATAGGCTGCCCTTGGTCAATCGTTTTGATTTAAACGGTCAAAGAAACACAATTACCTATCGCAACAGATCGACCAGCAAAAGAATAGTTGAAAAAATACGTGATCATCATGGCTATGCGCCTCAACACCCAGCTGGGCTTTTTATGTCAGAAACAAATCAAACCAAGTTGGCTAAACTGTTGGGATCGTCTATCAAGCAATCTAAGCCAGATGCGATTCCTTGTGGCCAACGTGTCTTACCCTCTATTCCAGGCTTGGAGGGTAGACTCTTCGCATTGAACTTTGCTAACCACATACAAGAATTGGACCCATCCGATTTGAAGCCCACTCGTTCCTTGACATGGAATGAAATGAACCCTAAACTGAAGGGTACAGCTTGCCCTAATGGTCAATATGATTCTCGCACTGGCGAATACATTAACTTTAGTATGGAAGTGGGATATCAATCTGTAAAATACCATTTTTTCTCTGTTTCTGATCGCCATCCCAACAAAGCCACCTTGATCGCATCGGTCACAGCACCTATGGCCTTTGTCAACACATTTTCCATCACTTCAAAATACATCATTTTCGTTATATGTCCAATGTATGCTAATGCGGGTGGTATGAAGTTTACTTGGAACGAAAGTATTATGGATTCTTTCTCTTTCCGACATGACGAGCCTGCTCTTTTTTATGTTATATCGCGCGAGAAGCATGAAGTCATTGCTACTTACCGATCGGATGCCTTCTTTACTTTTCATCATATCAATGCCTTTGAAGTGGAAGATCATATTATGCTCGATCTCATTTGCTATGCAGACGATACCATTGCTCGTCAGTTGACGACCGAGTTTTTACGACACCCTGAAAAAATGAATCCTTCTCGATTGGTCCCCTCAGAAGTGCGACGATACGTGTTGGCCAATGTTGAAGAAGAAAACATCAACTATTTAACCAACAATTCCCTGATACCCACGAAAAATAGCGTTACTAGCCGCCTTTTTGGCATGTTTGGTGGTGGTGGTGGAGGCAATAAAAAGGCCGAATCGAGTAGCTCTCCAGCAGCCGTCAACAAATCCTATGCTTGGATGCCAATAGCTACCTACGACAAGCGTATCCCACCTTCTATTGAATTGCCTCAAATTAATCCCAACTATGCAAAGTACAAATATACATTTATGTACGGCCTCGGTTTCTCTGCAGCTAGTTCTTTGAAAGAAGGTGCTATTTGGGACAGCATTGTCAAAACGGTAAGATAGGACGGAAAGATTTCAAAAGAGTCTCTGTAGAATGTACTAAAAGAATCCTTCTTTTTTTCTCTCGCCCCTCCCCCCTGTATCATCGGTAGAATATGGAGACGAAACAAATCGTAGCTTCCTGGCATCAACAGGGTTGTTATCCAAGTGAAGCTGTTTTCGTACCAAGACCTGCCATTGGCCCTGAAGATCAAGTAGGAGAAGATGAAGGCGTTTTGCTAAGTCTTGTGCTGAACTCTGCCAAGGCAACCTCATTCTTACTTGTTCTGGATGCCAATACGTTAGAAGTGCTGGCAACAGCTGATTTGGAAAGACTTGTGCCTCTGAGTTTTGCACACGGTGCTTGCCGTCTTCTTCGTAGCGATTAAAGCTGTTATTTACCGACCCATCTATTTTATTCCAACATATAATACATACAAAGAAATAAAGAAAATTGCAGTCCATAGAAAAAGCTCGAGATCGTCATTATGTTATCACCTAAACATTATGTACAACAAATTAGCTTTTGCCCTGTTTCCAGTTCTTTCAAAAAGAACACCAAATTTGAAGCTACCCTTATTTTATATTATCATGAGCAGTCAACGTACGAGCAGAACTTTCTTAATGAGAAGCGAGAGATGTTTAACAATTTTGAACAAAGAACCGTAGTGACGATAAGAAATTAGAACGAGGAACAATAAAATTCATGCAGAAGGAGGAAAAAAAAAAAAAAAAAAAAAAGCTTCTCTCTGCTTGGGTTACATCGGAACACATAATCGTTCAGCAGCCCTGTACACACATAGCTGTACATCATGAAACTGTAAAGTGCTTTGTGATATCATCAACTTCATTTTTTACCACTTTTGAAAAGCATATATTTAGAGTATTACTTTTCTAGGTTCGGTGCAATTTCTCTTTTTCTTTTTCCCTTTTTTTACTGTTTTTTTCAAACTAATCTTTTATTATTATATAAAATGGCCTTCACTGCTTCTGATATTTGTAAAATTATTGGTGGTAAGTTTATTCATAACATAGTGTTTCAACAAAGAGGGGTGTTATGTTTTATCTGAAATCTGATGTAATATATTACTCTTAGCTATCATTTTGCCTCCTCTTGGCGTTTTCCTTGAAAAGGGTAAGCAGATCAATCAGTTTGGGAAGAGTGGGTAGTGTATTTCTTGTTCTAACCATGGTTTTTTTTTTCTCAACCGTCTAATAGGCTGTAACGTTGACCTCCTCATCAATATTGCTTTGACTTGTCTTGGTTTCATTCCCGGTATCAGTAAGTACTTTGAATGAAACACGATAATTTTTTTGAAAATTAGACATAGGAGACTAATGGATACTCCGCGTTTTCTCACATTCAACACCTAGTTCACGCTCTCTATATTATCTTGAAGTATTAAGACGAGGGTTAAACCATCACAAAGACATCAATGCAATGGGTACCTACTATTACTATCTTAATTCCTTACTGAATATCCATAATACTATTACTTTATAAGAGCTCAATGAACAATTCTCATAATTCTTCCTTTATCATGTTCACTTGTTTTCATACCGAGATTTAACAATAAAGTTGTTCCAATTCTTAGTTTGTGCGTAACAATGAAAGTAAGAATAAATTTCAACAACCCACTCTATAACAGACGTGTTACTCTGTTCCTTGAAAACTGTTTTCTTCAAACAGTACAACCATTTTGTATGCTTAAATAAGAACCGGTCTGGTTGTAATAAATAGAAATTTTTGGATGTAACAAAATTCATTCAACTTTTTTAAAACAGAACCCCTTGTAGCGCCTTTTCGTTCTTTTTTGGCAAAATCCTCGAACAGTGCTTGTAGAGTGAGAGTGCGTTATGGTTGTTCAAAGAGTGCAACAGAATCAACGCCGAGACTTGTTACGAAAGAAGAGGATGCCAAAAAGAAAAAAGGGGTTACACAACATGGCAAAAGAAGGACTTGGCTATTGTTATTGGCATCTTGCAAAAGAAGAGTAGAATAGAAGGATGTCCATGCATGCATACATCACGTTATATTTTGATAGTTCAGATGTATGTGGCTAATTTTGCTTAAATCGTATTATGTATTTCTAATGTATAGGTAAAAGTACATTCTATGGTTAAGGAGACAATGGATCGTTTTCAAATGATACAATGGATTTGAGCAATAAAAGTATAGAAGTACAATGGTTGCTGTTATGTAAATACATATTCTATTGTTACAATGGCTCTTCGAAAAGCAGGTTCTTGTCAGCAGTTTCAAATGCGTCGCCCAAGATTTCTCGCACTAAAAAGGACAAGTGAATTGCTATTTCTGTCCTTGTTATTGTTATTGTTATTGGTTCCTGCTTTACCGCTACCGTAGTATCAATAGTAATGTTATTCGTTTGTTTATTATGGTCATTTTCATCATCATCAACAATGATATCGCTTAGAGAGGCAGTAGGGGAAGACGGCGGCGTTAGTATCAACAAACGTGACCTTTGTCGTGGGCATTCTGATTTCATGAGTTGTGGTGGATGCTGTTTGAGTTCAGGACTCTTAGGAGGCGTACAGATGGGTGCTACAGCAGTTGATGTGGCGATAGCGGCAGTAGACGACGAAAATCTTTTTGTATCTTCTTCGGTGGTGGTAGCAGTTGTGCTCGTGGAAAAGGTCGAGTAGATGGACGTGGACGTTTGGTTCGTACTTCCAGCATAGATATATTTCTGCTGCTGGCAATACGGGGAATTGCTATTCATATTGATCTCTAATGTATCAGTAAAACTATCATCTTCATCAATCTCCACTTTTTCAGTATAAAGATAATTGCTTCGGTTATTGTCAGTTCGGCTGTGTTTAGTTTTGTTGGAGTGGTAGCTGAGGTTATCGATGCCGTTCTGACAATAACTCTGCATTCGCTCCTGCTGTTGTCCTTTGGACGACGAAAAAATGAGGGAAGGATGATGCTGAAGCAATTTGATCTTGAGGTGACTTGTAGACCATCGACTCTTTTTGCTTTTTTGAGCATTGTTGACGTTGTCAGGTGTTACATCAATGTCTTCTTGTTTCTGCAATACGCTGGTCAATTGTTGTTTTTGCTCGTGAGCTGGTTGGCTTATATGAAATATACGACTTAATCGATGTATCAGCTCGTTACGTTGTCCCATGTAGCAATAATGGTACTGTTAGTCAATTGAGAGGAAATCGGCGTAAAATTGAAATAGGCAAATGGAATGAAAGAAGAAGAAGAAGAAAAGGATATTATCAAAAGGAATTCATCCTTGAATTCATCTTTAATCTAAACAGTAGGTGACTTTATGCAACTCTTCTGTATTTTGACTGTCTATGTACAATATATTAATTTTAGATTTATGCATAGTTCTGATACACAGATTATACTCTTCCCTATGTTTGCTTCTATATTTCGCTTGTCCTGTTTGAGATTCGTCCATTGTTCTAAATTCCTGTTGCACTCTGATGGCTTTTTACAGCTTAATGTAGCTCAAATAGGCTACAGAGCCTTTCAACAATGACAAAAATTATGTTTACAACTATACGAATGTACCGACTATATTAAGGAACTGCCCACAAAAGGGGCACCCACAAGGGCATAAAGAGCCCGTTGCATTATTTTCGCTGCTAAACGACCCAAAGTTATAAAGCACACTTTTTGAGAAATCTTTTGTTGCTTTTAGTATGTTGTCTATCGATATATGTACTAGCCAGTACATCCACATTTCTTTTTAGCACTATGCAAATCAAACCAAGCCTTCGATCTGCGAGCTTATTGGCATCTAACAACCGAAAACTTTATTCCCCGCTTATAAAATGCGAATGGCCCTGTCAAACCCGAATTTTTTATAGTCCTTTCAGTTCATTCCTTTTTCTTTTTTCCCTTTCTCCTCACACATTTGATACTGCCACGACGACAGTAACTTTGGCTATTTTCATTCCATCCATCCATATTACGTCAAAGTAAACTAAAAAAGAAGATAAAAAAAAAAATGTTGAACGCTGTTATTCGAAGCACGACCAGAGCCCCTCTTTCAACCTATTGCTGTCGTCAACTTTTGTACAGACGACAACCCCTCGCCGCGAGTACGAATGTTTTGTTAAAGAACCAACGGCTTCACACCACTTCTAAACGCAATCAATACGAGCAAGATTTCCAACAACATCCTTTTATTCAAAAATTAAAGCAGAATCCACATATAACACAACAAATTATGGAGTTATCTATCACTCTACAGAGCAAAGGTTTGACAGACACTTCCAATCCTTATTCGCAGGTGAAAAAATGAGAAAACAAAAAAACAATTAAAAACTCTAAAACAACGAAACTCACTCCTATACATTTGATTCCACAAAAACAGATGCTTAAAATTATGAAGGATAGTGATTTGAGAAAGAAAATGACACAGTTGACGGAGGATATGAAAATTGCAGGCCTTACATTGGACATGAAATCACTCCAAGAATTACAGGAGATGATGATGAAGCAGCAAAAAGATTTACAAGCTACTATGACGCCTGAGCAAATTAATGAAATTCAGCAAAAATATAAGGAACAACAGGAACAGCAGCAACAGGAACATCAACAAAACCAAGAGAATGCAGGTGTTTGGGATAAAGTGAAAGGTTTATTCAAATAAATATTGGATATCTTCAACAATATTACTTTACAGTGTTTGTACACTTTTATTGCAGATATAAAGCAACAATACTACAGGGGGAAGTAAATCTACATAGAAGGCGGCTCATAACATTGTGGAAGAAATTCATGGTTGTAAATTTTCTTGGGATCTACACCAAGCTCTATTGCCTTTGCTTGTGCAGCTTGAATTTCTTCAATAAAGGGTGGTCGTATAAGCTTCCCTTTTAGCTTTTTCGGCGCAGAAGTAGAGGGTTTTTGTGCATCGGCATTGGTTGAAATAGCAGCAGTGGTACCTGTGTCTTCAGTCTTTATTGTTGTTGTCACAGATGATGCTGTCGTGACCGCATCTGCTAGTGTTGTCGTTGTAGCAGTAGCAGTAGCAGTGTCAGTACTGGTTTCCGTAGACTTCAGTTGTGATAATGATGGGTTTGATGGCTGCGACGTCGAGTGTAAGGTTCCCGCGGGTTGTAGCGGGCTTGATGCTGCTGCAGGTGCAGTTGCAGGCATAACAGACGATGTGCTTGATTCTGTTTTAACCACCACCGATGATACTGGTGTGTTCATTGATGTATTTGAAGGGGCAGTAGGTGTATTCATTTTCTTACCAGGGGTACTGCTGTTTGCGGTAGGATTCTTTGGTCCAAATAAGGCAGATAAAATATCCTCAGCGCTCTTCAATTGCTCGCTCGTTCTTTGATATTGCTGCTGTTGTTGCTGTTGTAGCTGTTGTTGTTGTTGTAGTAGTTGCTGTTGTTGTTGTAAATGCTGATGTGGATTAATTGGTAAAGTATATGGTTGCGGCGGCTGCGGCTGCGGCTGCGGCTGCGGCTGATATCGTTTCTGTCGCTGTTCTTGTTCAGTCGAAATAGTATCATATTCATCCAATAGATCAGCATAACTTCTCTGCTGTCGTGCAGGAAACTGTTCTGCAGGAAATTGATCTTCGTAATTCCTGCCTACACTTCTATGATCATGGTCAAAATGCTGTATTTTGGGTGTAGTGCTTGCTTTTTTCTTTTTATTCTTTTTCTTCTTCATCGCTTTGAATTGTCTTTCCTTTTCATCATCTGAGAACTCCATTTCATTTTCATCAACTTCTTCATCAAACATGTTACTAGCGTCAGATCCCTTGAGTTGTTTTAATTTCTCTAATTCAACCACACGTGTATGTTCATAACTGGGCACATAATAGATAGGGTCATCACGTTTACATGGTTCCTGTTCTCGTTCTTCAGCAGAGTTGAAACGAATCGAATAAAAGGGACGTTTAACAGGGCCGAAGGTTTCAAATATTTCACCCAGAATGGTCCTATCCTCATAAACAAGCAAAGAGCCTTGATCTAGAGTGGTATGTTCACTATGAGGACGGCTTTGCACCACAATGACAGTATCAATCATTTGAAAAACGCGTCCAGCAAAGATGATTTCCATTTGAGGAGTGATTTCGAATTTGGGTTTCTCAATTTTAATATTGATAATCTCGTGAGCTGTCTTGATTACTTCAGTAGGGTTGTTACCTTCGTCATCTGAAATATCTATCGGTTCTTCCGCTGCGCTTTGCTGATCACCCTCGTCGTCGCTATCATCATCCGTACTACTACTATCACTGCTGCTGGAATTATTGTCTTTGTTCTCTTCATCGTCTGAAGAAAGCTCGAGATCACTGCTTTCATATCCATCTACTTTCTCGCCAGCAAGAGCAGCATCAAGGGCAGCATCTGATTTAATGTCTTCTACTTTTACAGTTAAAGTTGGCTCCACTGCTTTATCTGGCATTGTAGTGTTATTTGTCGTATCAGGGATAACTTCCATTCCATCTGATGGTTCTTCCATTTTCACGGCAACTGGAAGGTCTACGGTTGACTCCACCTTGATTTTATCAACGTCACTCTTGCTATCAATAGGGGTAGCTTCTTCCATTTCAATGTCCACAGTGTCTTCGATTTTGATCTCGGCAGGATTTTCAATGCCTATAGGAACAGCAGATGATAAAGTGGTGTCCTCAGCAAAATCACTTGTAGTAGAATCAGCAACAACAGGCGGTAATGCTGCATGCTCGCTCGCAATTAACAGATCGTCCATCATGTCGTTACGATTCATATTGATGAAATGAGCTGGTGAAATCGTGAACAGAAGTGAAAGGTTTTTTTTTTTTAAAAAAAAAAAAGGAAAACGTGAAAAATTGTCGAGTCACTTTTTGTCAAAGTCATACTTCACTTTTATGCACAAAGGAAAAAGAAGTGGGCCGTTCATTTATCCGCTGTGGAACTGAGTTCATTTCTTGAACAGGAAAATTTTGGGGGCACAAGCTACAAAGAAAAGCATTTTTGCCTATGAAGTCATAGTTTTCTTTTTTCTCTTTTCTTTACTCTTTATTTACAGACTTCTTTTATTCCTCTACCTTGAACAAAAAGCATGAGTTGGAGAGTATGTTGCTGCGAATAACCTGAGTAGAAACATAGCGCCATTTCTGACGTAAATCAACTTCTCTTAGGGGTTTCAAAAAGCCGTCAGTCGATTACCACATCAGTTATTATCAAAGAAAAGTGAAGGTACAGTGATATAAAACATTGCAATATTCTGACACGATACTGAGGATTGAGTTGATTATTTTAATTTCTAACAAAAATAGCTACAAAGGATCTCGAATATACTGCACTCGAGAAGCAATTTAATGATTTTTCGAAAATAATTGAAGTTCTTGCCACGGATGCCAGATTATTTCGTGATAGTATTTCTGGTAAATAACCATTTCATTTCTTTATACAAAGGACGAAATACAATGAAACTTTCAACATTCTGATAACTTTTATCAGATCATGTGCAATCTATTTAATTTGCTTCAATCATGTCGACGTTTTTTGCTAAGCTTTCCTTTCTGGTGTGGTACACACCCTTTTTTTTTTTTTTTTTTCTTTATACCTTACCAGCGTTATTGTCAAATCAAGCAGCTATGGCACAATACTTGGCAGGCATCTATGATTCAACTTTAGGCACTCAAGTACCAGAAGGCGCCGTTCAGAAACGATTTCAACAAACACCCGCGATTCAACTCCAAGCGGTCAACGATGCCGAAGCCGCTATGGCTTACTGTCGAGACGAAGTACTTCCTGAGCTGGACGTTGTGGATCGTGATATAGTGCGTCCTCTTCTAGAACTCACCGAAATTATTAAAACTGTACAAAAGACAATGACCAAACGGAACCACAAACTGATCGATTACGACCGCCATCGACTTGCTTTACAAAAACTCCAAAACAAACAAGAACGCAGCTTCAGCGAAGAAAAACAAATATTCAAAGTACAGGCTTCACTGGATACCGCTACACAAGATTACAAATATTTGAACGACATGCTCAAGGCAGAACTGCCCCAGTTTTTCCAGCTCAAAACACAGTTTATCCAACCTGTTTTCGAAAGTCTGTTTAACATGCAATCACGTATATATGGCATGATTTATGCTCGTTGTTATGAACTACTGAATCAGAATTTAGAGGCATTCACGACGAATACAATGGGTATTGAGGAAGGATACAATTATCGCAAATCACAAAGAGATGCGAGAGGTGAATTAGAAAATATGGATTTGTTGAAAAATGGAGGAAAGGCTTGGTTGGCTGCTTCAGGAGCAGGCCATAATTCAAAATTGTCTCTTCAAGAAAGAGCGGCTATGAAAAAGCAAGAGGAAATGATGGCTGGAGGGTCCTTGTCCTCGGGTTATTCTTCTCCTTCTCCACCATTCCAACAATTACAGTCGTCCATGCAAGCACCGCCGCCATCGCAGCAACAGCAACATGATTATGCAGCACCACCACCTGCTTATGGACAAACGGAAGGAGGTGTGGCGTTGGATTCATCGCCAATGCAATATGGAAAACAGCCACCACCCGCAGCATCCTATTCAGCAGCACCTCCCCCACCAGCCCCACAGCAGGGGCAGTATGTCATTGCATTATACGACTATACTGCTCAAGCAGAAGGAGATTTATCTTTCAAGAAAGATGATAAAATTGAAGTTGTTCAAAGAACAGCAGATACAAATGACTGGTGGACAGGAAAATTGAATGGAGTCATTGGCGTATTCCCAGGTAATAAGCAAAAAAAAAGTCAACCCCGTAACGATTGAGGGTCAATTTTTAACATTGTCTATGTCTAACTGACTATGTTTTTTTGCAGGCAACTATGTAGCAGAACTGTAGATTCATAACTTTAATCTAAAAGAGTTATTCTTTTTAATCAAGATATTAAAAGTATTTCTTTAAATGCAATAACAGACGAAATATATATTTTGTTCATTATGGTTTGGAATTTTCAGTATGTAGATTGGGGGGCATATTCAGTATGACAATTTTTTCTTCTAAAAAAAAATCACTTAAGTGTGTGGGTGCGTGTAATTGAGTGGTATGTATAGATCGATTACTTCCCGATCCGCTTTGATCACATATTTCTTATTGCTGTTGTTGTTGATGCTGTTGTTGCTGTTGTTGTTGTTGTTGTTGACATTTTGGAACGTAAAAAGTTATGAATATGTCGATTTTTAGGAATATGTAGGAGAAAAAAGGGGGAGGTTGTTTGAGATGCTTTTGTTATAAGCATGTGGGCATAAATAAAATAGAAGATGGGCATAACATAAATAAGTCGGGTTGCTGGGTGGTATAGTATCAATGACTCTTTATGGTAAGACATGGTTGACGAAACGTACAAATTCCATGGGCGTTGAACATTTCAGTAGGTTGCTTTGTACATGAGCATCAATTTCCTAAAGAAATAACAGCAAATGGTGTAAATGAAAGCGTCTATGAACAAAACAAATGATATCCAATGGCTTACCAGTACAACTTCTTTGGGTGTAGGTCTTGTACTTGGTGTTTCATCTAATAACCATGCAACTAAACCACGCATATACATGGATGGATAGCTGTAAGTGAAAGTAGGACTGGGTTCTGACAAAATGACGGAAAATAGCTCCATCTCATCTTTAATGAGATAGTGTGGCGGAACACGATCCATCATTTCTATGATTGTAATACCAAGCGACCACATGTCAATTTTTTCACTATACGCCTGTTCCCGAATCACTTCGGGTGCCATCCATTTACTTGTGCCCAGACGGTCACAATTACGTTTTGTAGCACGAGTCGCTAACCCAAAGTCAGCTATAAGCCGAGAGGAAAAGGTTTGAATGGAGCGATGAGTATATTTATTAGTTTGGGAGACTCTATGAAATATAGGATGACAATGTTTAGTAGCGAACTCACCTAATTTGATTTCTCCATGCCAGCCCAACAACAAATTTTCGCATTTAATGTCGCGATGGATAAAGCCCTTTGAATGCAGGTAATGCAACGCCTTCAATGTTTCACATGCAATGTAGATAGTATGCTCTTCAGGGATACCACGTTGACAAAGTATAGCAAATACAGAGCAGCGCATCAAATCCATTGCCATCCAAATATCGTCTCTCCAAATAGTTACTTCACGTAATCGGATCAAATTTGGATGACCTGTGGCCATAATGCGCAATTCACGAATAATGGCAGCCTTGTACTCACGGTCAGGATCCAATCGACAACGCTTGATAGCCAAATGGAGATTGTTTTTGTACTTGTGAACAGCACGGACAACTGAACCATTGACTCTACATACATACGAAATAAGATTAAGGGTTACTAAACATTTGTAATTCAAAACGTAAAAGGGGGGGGAGGGATGCCGCTACATGTATTATAAAGATAAATTCGAACAGACGAACGCTTACCCTGTGCCTATTTCTTTAAACTGAGTGTATTTATTCCTTGGATCTAATGTCGATATCGTCACAGCAGACTGCTTTCTTGACGTTGTTGTTGCAATAGTATTTTGTTGTAGCTGGCAGGAGGATAGCACTTTACGAATCCTTCTTTCAAATTCATTTTCAGATTTACGAATTAAAGGAGGCAGCTGAGGTATTTCTGCCGATGATCCCACATTGTACCAACGTTGTTTTTTCTCGTATGAAAAGGAATTGGTTGATGGTGGGGGCGGATAGGATCTCAAGTTGAATGCATTATTTTTATCGTCATAGGGATCTTGTTTCAAAAAACAGTCTTTCCCAAATAAATTAGGTATCTCATAGAATCCAGGAGGACGCCAGATTTCCTATAGGGTACCGCGAATTAGATCACAGATACTATTACTATTGCTACTATTATGTTACTGCTATAATACGCACTGAATGTCGTATTGTATCAGTACCTTGTTTGTAGTATGACTGGTATTACTACTGTTGTAAAATGAATTTGCTCTTTGTATGCAACCCGTTGATCGTCTTTTTAAAGACATATCAATGGTTTTTTTACTGTCATTGGATGTAGTGAATGATTTTGATTTTCGTAGTAGCTGCTTATTACTGCTATTGTTGATCGGAGCAAATTGACGCTATATAAAAAAAAATGTTATTTATCCCAATTTTTCATCCAGTTGTTGAAAAAGTCAAATAGACATATAGCTCACACTTCGCTCTTGATCTTTTGTAGCTGCCATTATATGCTTGTTGAACTTTTGCTGATGCTGTTGAGAAATATGAAGCATTGGGGAATAGTATTATTATTGTGAAGATGTAATATTTTTTGAAGTTCCTGGATTTTGTAAAAGAAAAAAGAAAGAAAGAAATAAATGGCGCTTATCACCGTTTTTTTAAAAAAAGGGAAAAACAAATCTCCTTGACAAAGTATGAGCACCCCAACCTGGTGTGCGTATGTACACAATGTACATACGAGAAGGCAGGTACCACATGCCGATTTAATTTGAAACTCTTTTTTTTTTTTTTTTTTTTTGTTTATTGTGCACTTTTTCAAGTAATCATTCACACAAAGTACACATACACACCAATTTCTGAAATTTGTGGAGAAAGAATTGCATACGATAGGCCAATCAAATGGAGGTATGGAAATCCATAAAAAGCTAGCTGAGCAAAAAGCCCTGAATCATTTTCAAAGCACAACCAAGAGGCAAGGTAGTGCCGATGACTGAACTTCATCAACTATCTTGCATCCACAACATGTATAGTTCTTTCTCGCTTTTTAACATTAAGAGATGTAGCTTTATTATTGCAATCGAGGGTTCTCTTTAAAAATAATGAAAACGAGTGTACATCAAATTAGAACCATTGCTTATGTCCCTTTTTTTTTTTTTGCAAAGTGACATTTTGGGTAACAATTCGACAAGCGTACGAAGAAAACGTGGGGGGTCGTGCAACCTTTTATCGAAATAACCAAAACGTGTTTCTCGTCTTATCCATACTTACTTTGTAGCAATTAATGAACAAAAGACTATCGGAAACAATAATTGCGGAGAAGACTTGTAGCAATCTATCTTAAGGATGCCATAACTCTACCAGAATGCCGTTTCTTTTAAAACGTTAATGGAATAGAAACTACAGAGATACTTATACAATTGATTAACATTAGTTTTAAAGCAACAGAAAGAAACTTTAAATTGAAGGAGAGCTTTTGCCGATCTTTGACAACCAAGGGGGATGGATGCGCAAGGGACGATTTACGATTATGCGTATATTGTGCATCAGTCTAGAATGTGCACAATTGATCTATCCAATAAATCGTTGTGCATGTACTCATCTTAACCATACATAATCCCTAAAGAGAGCAATCGAATACACGTAAAAATTAGCTGCGTATCTTTGTTCAAACTAAAGACATGTCCCAAGACGCACAAATTTAATTTCTTTTTCTTTTTCTTTCTATCTTTTTTTTTTTTTCTTTTTTGTTTTTTGCTTCAACTTATTGCATGCTGAATCAACTATGCTTCCGGACAAAACTATATTGCTTATTTCAATTCTAAGGTCCATTTCTGGTTCTCAAAACGTACATCGTAATATTATCGTAGAATACTCCCCATTCTTCACTGAATAACGTTTTAGGAAGGCTATCATTTTCATAGGCCCAACTGTTCTCTATAGAATTGTAATCAGCCTAGTAAGCATATACATTGACTTGCATAGCTTCATTGTTCCTTGATATTTTTTTGTCCAGAGATTGATTAATCTTGAATGACAAGCGACTATAGCAACAGCTCCAATTTTTTAGCTGTTTCAAAATATGTAAAAAAATATTCTAATAAAAGGGATATCTCAAAATGACAATCGAGTCATCTTTAACCATGATGCTCTTATCATGAAACGGTACTCTTTCTCCATGGTCTTTAAAACCTAAGCGTTGATACCAGGTTATAATTTCTTGTCGACTTTCGAACACATGCACAATGGCTTCTTTGATCTGTGACTGTAAGTGCATTCGTATATACTTCAAAGCCTCGGTCATCAAAAGCTTGCCCACACCGCGCGACTGCTGTTTAGGGCTTACAGCTAACATGGACAAAAGAGCCTCTCCTTCCTTTTGTTCGTTCAAGACAATAATAAGGGTGCCTATCACAGTTTCTTCTTCAGCAACATCTTCTTTTCCACATGAAGATGGACTGCTTTTGCTTTCTCTTTCAATGGCATAAAGGAGAATATCTGGCTTTCCATGATCTTGTATGAGTTTATTGGCGGCTTCCAATGTGATACGGTCTGTCCAAACTAAGTCATTAGTGTTAGTCCAACTTTCAGAAGATTTATAAGCAGCATTGATGACATTATCTACTATAAATGCAGTATATTTGTGGTCTTTAGATGTAACAGGTCTAACATAAACATTCGATGTAGCTTCCTCTGTTATTGTCATTTTAAGATGTTCAAAACCCAACAATAAAAAGGATCAAAAGAGGGCAGATTAGCCCTTCGCAATATTAAAACACTCGAAAATTTTACGCGACATGAGTCACGAAGCCAGGAAATTTGGGTTCCGTAGGGTCAATTCAGTGGATCAAAAACATCGGGGATTCTGTTACTGGTCAAGGTTCGCTTTGTTTTAAAGCATTCTACAATCGTGCATTTTCCCATTCGTAAATCGAAAATACACCTTGGATAAGCTCCAATGCGATTACCTCATCCGGCAGTGATCGAGGGTTTTAGCTCTCAAAGCTGCTAACGATTGCGAATGAATATCTATTTGGGTAATGTGGTCGACTCTCCTGACACATTTAAAAATGGAATGAACGCTCTAAAAAATATGCTGTCGAACAGCGGATTGAAGCGTGCAAACAATAATTTCATGTCAATATCATATTATGGGCTCGAAAGTACTCTTTGTAATGACACCAATGAGGAAACATTTGTCAAAATCATGATGTCAAAGGCGTGACACGAACGTTGATGTTGTTTGATCCAAAGCTTTCAATGATCTTTATACTGAAGGAGTAGAGCAGAGCTGGAGTATTCACAGCTCTAGTCGTATCCTAAAGAAAGCATTACCACAGATGTACTAAGAACTCTTTGTAATTAAAATAAAAGACATGTTGCATTCTTTTGTGCATTGTTACGAACTTTGCGCTTTCTTTTTATTATTTATCCGTTGTTGAAATTAATTGTACAAGACTGCAGTATTCTTTACAAAAGTTGCATGAGGTATATTGATTACAGATACACGCTCATCATCATAATTATGCTTTCCAATTTGTTTTCTAATTGATTGCTCAAGCTGATTGCTTTTGCACTTCAGCATTATCTGACATTTTATTAGAGACTTCAGAGGTCTTGTCGTCAGGAGTCGTGTTGTTTGAAGAAGATGCTGTATCCGCACTCGAAATAATCTTTGCACTTTCAGCTGATGATGATGGTGACTGTGTTGAAACACTTGTCTCTTTGTTATACGATCGAATCCATTCTTTAGGAAATTCTAGTCTTTGCTTTGGCTTGGGTAGATTCAAAGGCACATCTGCAAAAGTATCGGTCTTATCCTAAAATTGATAAACCCAATCTTAGCATCCGCGGCATATTTGCTGCCATCCGCCCTATCCCTTATGCCCTCTTATGCCCTCTTCCTTTTCACAACGTGGTTCAAAGTGTTACCTTTGCTTCTTTAACTAACTTTTTCAAAGCGTCAATCAAGAACTTTTTATTTTGTTTAATTTGAGGAAATCTTTCGCAAGACATGGTCAATTCGCCAGTGTTGACATTGTATCGAGGTCCACTCAAAAGTAAAAATTTGTGTTTCTCTTCAGCATCTAACTTCAAATCATCCACTTTAACACTCAATACGACTTTGCGTTCAACAGGATGTCCTTCACCAACATATGTATGTGTTTTGAACTTTAATATATGGCTTGCTTTTGGTGGTTCAAAAGGTTTGGCATAAGCTATGCAAAATCAAATGAAATGGATAGGTTAATCAACATAAAGTTTTTTGGTAGCATATCCATTTTAACCAGAGCGTGTTCCAAGAAAACCCTTACCACTCAATTTAGGCAGTTCGAATTCAGTTTTTCTAAGGTATTTGCGAACTTCTCGTATGTTATTAAAGAGTTCGTGACCGATGGTCGTCTGATCGTCAAAGTTGAACTTTGGCATGTCGTCAACATCGTATTTCTTAGCGGGTTTTCTGCGACCAGTTGTTTGACGTCCAACGAGTGCTGCAGAGCTAGTCGAAAATTGCTTTACTGCTGTTTGACTGATAGTACGTTGAGTAAGATTGGCTGCTTGTCTTAGCATTGTTCTATCAATACAGTTTTATAAAAGGTACAGGTTAATTTTTCATTTTTTTACCCTTGATTAAAACTGGGGGACAAATTCAGATTCAATCAATGGTGGCAGCACCATCACCTACAAATCCGGTTTGATACCCCGCATTTTTTTCAAGAATTCGCTTTAACAGCACTGTTTGAAAATGACTGATATGAGATCAAGCATAGTCTACTTTCAATTTGTGGCAAGATAAAAATCAAATACTTTATTGACATAGTTATATATTAATATGTACATAGTTCCAAATTATAGGTTGTTCAACAGCCTGTTAAAACAGTAATATTCAAGCATTCTTCCGAAACAGGAAAAGTTATTTATCGCGTTCATTTAAGCTTTTCCGCGAAAAGCTGTACCATCTGTCACGAATCTCTCTTCTTGTTCGTAAAGGCATCATTTTACTAATTTGGTCCCAATCCCTTCCTATCTGACCGACCAGTTTTCGCAGAACTTTATCTTCCTCTGATGCCCAAGGTTCTGCTCGCTCAGGTGCCAAATGGTTGATATACTCAGTGTACTGATGTTTACACTGCATAGGTGTCCTGCCAACGAAATTCCTGGAAATCTGCTTCCAATGTTCATATTTTAGCTTCTTTTTCTTTTCCATCATCTTTAATACTGCTGTTTCTAATTTATGTAATTCAGCTGGCTCCCATTGTGTTTCACCTAGCCAAGTGCAGGCAAGTTTCGCTACCCTCGTGATCCAGCCGGGCTTACGGTTGGATAATTCCTGAGTTACTTGCTGACCATATGCGTTCAAAAAGCCTTTGTCCTTCAGTGTAGCATAAAATTGTTTACGCCCTTGCTTGTAACTTCGGTTCGGTAATTGATTAACAGCTTTGGATAAGTTTCCATATTGATATACTTTTCTCCAAAACAACCTTGTCTCTGCTCTAGTCCATTGCCTTGTCTTCGACGCAGGATCCAACATGCGTAACCATATACAGCGGCATTGTTCAGCAGTTCTTGTAGGTATTCCTTCCGCTAACTTTTGCCAATTTTTTCCAAACTCTTCAATTCGTTCTGCTAACAGTTCGACCTCATCATCTGTCCATTTTGTGCGGTTACTTGTATTGTCGAGATGCCTTCTATATCGTTTACGAATTTGCCAGTTTGATCGCTCCGGCAGATATTTATTAGCTATTGCCGTCCACGCTGTTCCAAACTCTTCCACTCCCTTCAATATTAGTTGATCTTCTACTTGAGTCCAGGGCTTGCGTTTATTTTCTTCTTTTACTTGCTGCCACTCCATGCTGAGTTTATCGGCCGTACGCTGAGGAAAGTATTGTTGATGAACTGCTTTCCAGTTATTCTCTCCAAGTTCCTTTACTGCTTGATTCAGAGTCTCCCTTTCTTCAGGTGTAAAAGGCCCTCGTTTAAAGTTTTCGCTGTTGAGCTTATACCAGCGATTTTTACATTGCCGTACGGTACGTAAGGGTAATTCCTGCTGCGTCAGTTCCCTCCAACTTCGCCCCCCCTTGTCTTTAATAAAGCGTTTTATAATTTCGTCTTCTTCTGGTTTCCAAGCAATATAAAGTTTGGTCGCATATGTTCTGGAGAAGAATTCACAGGTTAATGTGCATCTTGAACTACTTGATCTAAAAGAATTCAATAGGAAAGATCTAAACATGACCGACATCCTTCACTAAATTCTCGGGTATTTCAATTTCGAAAAATCATGATAAAATGGGATTGAATTCTCAAGCTCAGAAATTACCCTAACCCTCGTTTTTAACTTTGAAAGCAGTCTTTGACCTTCTGCCTATCGGTTTAGTACTTACTTAATATGCGCACCTAATTGTCCCCAAACCACACGACAGAACTTCTCATGCGGGCTCTAGAAGAAGGCTTTCATCGGCATAATATATCTTTATATGTAACTTTACAAAATCACATAAGCAAGTCTGAGAACTGATATTTCTGCATTAAGACAAATTACCTCTCTCCCAACCACTTTTTAAGCCTTCTATTTCAATATTTTACATACAGAAGTATCTTATTGATTGTATTGTAGATTATTTCTGATTCTTTCATGCGGGTTGCATTTAGTGTACTGTCAACACTATGACTTATTATGAGATCCCTTGCTCAAATGATATGCCCATTTTTATATGCCATCATTTCGTATAAAGAAATTTCCGATTCAACTTTTTTAATATTTTACATTTTAAAGGACACAGTGACGGTAAACGCGGTAATCTGTTTATATAAATTATACTAGGTCACAAATCTGTCAACTTAGTACTTCTATCTATTGCCATTATATAAAGGTACATATAGGCTTGCTTGATGGTGTGTATGAAAGTAGAATGAAGTCATTTGGTGTGGTCAGCGTTCTACTATATAGTACATAAGTGTGGTTATACCAAGATTGCCAATGCTTTTGATAGTCTTACTTATGTTTGCAACTATCGTCATTGTGCGTATTTGGGTTCCATTTATGCTTTTGAGTGCTTAAAAGCTTATTAAGAGCATAGGTGGTTAACAACATAAGCTGCAGTATACTTTATTTCGGCTGTATATCATATCAATTGAAGGGAAAATCAGTTCATGACAGTATTCTTCTTTTGATGCAAGCAGTTAAGAATTCATTTATGGTATTAGTTTCGATAATGTGTATGTTAGTCATATCAGCTGAACGAGAGCAACAAATGTCCCTACTTGTACGTATGTGTGAGTTTGTACAGTAATTGAACACTCGTCACACTAGGTACAATGATTCGGCATGTTATTAAGTTAATCAGTGATCAGCCATATTTCCAGTATTTACCGAAGTTAATGCTATTCTCCGTCTCTCCGTTCCATTATCGTTTCTTACTATTCAATAAATACCATAACGCTATGCAAAAGCAAGTTTTATCAAGTGATAGAGCGCTATCCAATTGTCATTCGCTATATCGTAATAGCTGGCCGTACGTGATCTGTCAAATGCAAAAACAGAAAAATAAAAGGCATATATAAAGGCATCGGTTTGCCTTTCTTTTCTGAAGTTGATTCTGTTGAATATACTTCGAACCATATACAATGTTTCTTCTCCGAGCTATAACCAGAGCAAAAACCATTTCCAACCATTTAAAGTCATCCTCTAATCGATCCATTCACAGTGACAAAACTTCTCAAGGCCTAACTCGGGTCTTTAATGACTTTTATCTGCGCGTGCACCCTTCTTTAAAAAATCGAGAGAGGCAGCGCAAGTTCCAGCTCTCCTCCTGTCGCGGAAGAAAGAAGGCGGTATTGATCGGTATCAATTATATAGGCTCTGATTCAGAATTGAGAGGATGTATCAATGATGCTCAGTCAATGCGAGCACTTCTCACCACGCAATTTAACTTTAGCGAGGACAACATGTTAGTCTTGACCGATGATCAGCCTGTAGATGGTCAGCTGTACCCCACCAAAAAAAATATGATCGCTGCAATGAAATGGCTCGTCCAGGATTCTCAGCCTAATGATTCGTAAGTGAATCAATAGCGAATCATATAGCATAAATTGAATTTGGCGTTTTCATAGATTCTAACGCTTACAATTTTTCTCAGATTATTTTTTCACTATAGTGGACATGGCGGTAGTGTTAAAGATTCTAACGGTGATGAAATAGATGGCTATGATGAAACGATTTTTCCGGTTGACTTTAGAAACTATGAAGCTGGTACAGGTCAACTTGTTGACGATGAACTCCATGAACTCTTAGTCAAACCATTGGTCGAAGGCTGTCGTTTGACATGCGTGTTCGACAGTTGCCATTCTGGAACAGTATTAGACTTACCATATGTTTACTCAACTTTCGGAACCCTTCAAAGTGGCGTCCGCCACGAAGCTAGTAAAAAAGCTTCTCTTACTGCCAGTTCCTCTTTCATTAACAGAAAGTTAGCTAGGTATTCCTCTTTGGGTTCGGAAGGGAGCAGCCACAAAGAACAAAACGCATTTGTAGACCAAAAAGAAACGAACGAGCAGCGACTTTTCTCTCCTGCGGATGTCATTTTGTTTGCAGGGTAAGCCTTCAAATCACAGTATTTAGAATTTAGAACCTTCATAATTCTAGCTGTTAACACTGCCGGTAATAGCTGCAGAGATGATCAAACCTCAGCCGATGCTCAAATGGCTGGCCAAGCTGCTGGTGCGATGAGTTACGCTTTTATAAGTAAGTTCATAACCTATTCAAGCGATGAATGGATTCAAAATACATCGAATTTATGCTTATTTATCTTTCATGTAGAAACTCTGAAAGCAAACCCTGAACAATCATACATGTCGTTGTTAAACAATGTTCGTAACATTTTGAAGAACGAATTTTCGCAGCGTCCTCAAATGAGCACATCCCACCCAATAGATCCTAATTCCAAGTTTATATGTTAGATACACTCAAAATTCTTTCGTCAGTACCTAATTCATCATATAATGCACATTTTCGTATCACAGGAAGCGTTCATTAAAATCGTCTGAAATGTAAATTTCCTTGGCATGCAAAATAAAGACTTCTGTAATGGAAAGTAACTCTTTTCCTTTCATTTTCGTTCTCTCTTCCTTTACTTATCATAAAGCATAATATAGATAATGGTAAATTCACGGGAAAATAGACCTTTACTTCTAGCTATAGGTAATAATTTAACATATTACATACGTACTGTAGGAATTTTTGTTTGGTAAGAGGAAAACTCCAGCTGAACTTCTTCGCCAACACCAACGCGCCATCACCAAGGCTCAAAGAGAACTAGACCGGGAAAGAGAAAAACTAGAACGACAAGAAAAAAAACTTATTTTGGATATCAAAAAAGCTGCGAAAGCAAACCAAATGGGAGCGTGTAAAGTCATGGCCAAAGATTTGGTGCGTACACGACGCAATGTACAAAAGTTCTATCAAATGAAAACTCAGTTGCAGGCAATCGGCCTACGCATTCAAACTTTGCGTTCAAGCCAACAAATGGCAGAAGCTATGCGAGGAGCCACAAAGGCCATGGGTTCAATGAACCGTCAAATGAATTTACCTCAAATTCAAAAGATTATGATGGATTTTGAAAGGGAAAGTGAACTGATGGACATGAAAGACGAAATGATGGGTGATGCTATAGATGACGCTTTTGAAGAAGACGAAGATGAAGAAGAAAGTGATGAAATTGTCAACAAAGTGTTAGATGAAATAGGAATAAGTCTAAATCAAGAGGTAAAGAATTCTAATAAAAAGTTGAAAAGTGAGGTTTCAGGAACCATGTTCTAACAATAATTTCTATATCTAGTTGGGAGAGGTTCCTACGGGCTTGAAACATTCAGAGCCTGTAACAGTTTCTTCTACAGAAAAAGTGGCTCAAACAGAAGGGTTGTCGGCTGATGATGCTGCTTTACAAGCGCGATTAGATAATTTGAGAAGAGAATAATACCTTACAAATTTTAATAACCATTCTTTGACTCTACGAGTTAATCTATGTAAGAGAACATTTCAAATACCCCTTCTAACTATCGTATCAATTCCTACTTCAACTGTAATAACCTTTCATCTCAATTCAAATCCGGTGTTCATCTCAATTGCTATTTAAAAAATGCTTAATAAACTAAACAGTGCGTTGTTTCGATAACATTGTGAAATTTACCGTAACTTATTTTTTCTTTCAAAAGTGACTTCTTGGTATATGCCGGAAGCTTTAGCAGATTAAAGCTGACGTTGATACAGCAAGGAATTATTAGCAGAGGCATTAGCAATAAAAGTACAGTTTGAAAACGACTTACCAGGTTGAACTCGAAGGTAGCCTTCCGAGTTTGTTCGAGTTCAGCTTAAACAAAGATTTCAGCACATTTGTACCGTCATTTTTTGTGGCTACAGCGTCAGGAGATACCATACGAATTGTGAAAGGAGGCTGCAGATACTCAAATCCTCCTAATGGTGGGTTTGGACAACCTGTTGTGAATTTAAGGAACGACCTCTTTTCAGCAGCAGAAAATTCGGATAAGATCTGCCAAAACGATCTGATAACAGGATGCCTCTCAAAATATCCGTTCTCATATATAGTGTGCTTTCGGAGGTCTTCTAAATCTAAGAAAAACGGGAAGCAATACTGTGGTAAGTATTCAGGCTGATATATATTATTTGTGCTGGCGCGTACCAATATCTGTTTTTTCACCAGACAGGACTCTAAAGATCAATAACATGATATTTACATTAGGAAAATCCTGAGAATTTGACAGTATCATTGAACAAACCTTTGTAATTCTAGAGGCGAAAAGAGTTTGAGCCAGTCATCAGATACTATGGCTTTGAACCCTTGAATGAAAGCTCTGATTTCGTCTTTCGATCTTTGATTCAATTTGTAGTCAGCCATTAGATATATATACTCAATTTTATTGCTGTTTGTCACTAGTATATTCTTTCCATTCTGACAGAATGGACACGAAAGCAACTGCCTGTGAGTATTTTTACCTTGTATTGAAGGAAACCGTACAAACCACTTACGTATTTCAACTCGCGCGTTTCAACTTTCCCAAAGATGTCCTCATCAACTTCAAATGACAAACCCAATTCTTGAGCATTACCTATTTCATTGGTTAAACAATCATTTGACATGCCGAAACACTTATAATGCCTGTCTAACCACTCCAATCTATTACCTTCAAAATGCTTAAGAAACGTGAGGTTTTTCCACATTTCTTCATCAAGCTCCTTGAGTTCTTTCAAAAAGACATTACGGCCCAACAATTTGGCGAGCATAAATTCAGCAAACTGTACGTCCATAAGAATGCCTTCATACAAAGCTTTGCCAATAGCCTAATCGAAGGTTATTCGTTATTAAAGCAAATAAGATTTAACCAACGTGCTGTATAATTACCTTTCCGATAAATCCAAACAGTTCGATACGACTCGTGCCATGAACAAACGAGGTAAGGCTTGGGTAAAAGCTATTAAGCCGTGTAGCAGTAAATAACCCATAGCCCGGTTGAAATGCCTCTGAAATCAACATAGTAAGGAAATCTAGAAATAAAAGTTAAAGTAACTATAACAACCTTCCACAAACATCAAAAGACATCTACAAAGACAATAATATGCATACCTTTGAAAGGCCCGCCTTGATCTATACCCGCTTCTGCTACACCCAACTCGTTCACAAAAGAAACTCGTATAGTGTTTTTCCAGCCATTTGCTGGTAAATCTGCAAGAGCGTTATATCCATCCTCTAAAACACGATTGCGACGCACGCTGATGTGGCGAGTTGCAGCTCTAATAGAACACGACTTGTCTAGTATTACCCAATCTCGAAAAACTTTTAAACGAGCATTGAAGGGTATCGTATAAGGCATAAGCTGTAAAATACGTAGAGGCACGGGGTCATTTTCTTTTAAGCCTTTGAGAAACATTGTAGCAGTTGGAATCCAATTCTTATTGATGATGAAATTGTTAGATTCGCTGTCACCTGCTGTATCATTATCAGTATTGCTGTCAAGCTTTTTCATGAAGGATGTGAAAAAAGACTTGATTCCAGTTGTCGTGGATATCAAAAGCCAATGGTCTGGCGGGCAAAATTGATGGTGAAGATCTAAATCGTAGATTTGTAATAAAAGTTGTCGGGCTGATACAAACATTTCGGCAGCTGGAGGCAGCTCAGAAGGCACAGAAGTACTTTGTTGGAGAAGAATGAAGTAGAAGGAATTCAAAAATTTGCTAATTTGCACTAGGTCTTCTGGCGAAAAGGGATATTTGCGTTCAAATATGTCAACATCATCCAGAGTCCTATGAAGAGAAATGAAAAGAAAGCAATCGAAGCTTAAATAAAACATGCTTTTTACGGCAAAAAAACGTTGCAGCTGTACTTACATAAAAAGAATAGAACAAGCTTCGCAGAAAACGCGCAGAATTTGTATAAGCGGCTCTTTATCTATTTCGCTTCTTTTAGCCGCATCAAGGTAAATGTTCATGTTTCCTCTCGGTCCAAAATGGTTCATTAGTCGCCATAACTGAGGTAATAGATTCGGAGTAAATGCGATACGTGACATTATTACTCTTTTATATTGTTTGAATAGTTGTGATAAGTCGATGTACATTGCGAAGGTAGAAGCTAGTTTCATTGATAGTAGCGATAAATTATTAGAGCTACTTAGTTTCCTTTCATTACCTTTGACTGTCAACATTTTCGAATTGTAATTAACGTTTAGACTGCTCTTTAGCTGAAGGAACTGCGTGATATCTTTTGTTATGGTATCTATAAGAGATCCTGACCAGATATGTTGTAGTTGTAAAATAACTTTATCAAAAACATTACTGGATATATCGTTTCCCCATGCTGCATCAGTCCATTTGAAAAGAGGATGGTAAGTCGAAAATTGTGCTGTCTGTTTATTTGAAAAATGATGGCGTATTGGTACTAGTAATTTTTGTACCCATTCCACCAATTTATGCTCTTCTTCGGTCCTCAATGTATTTTTAGGATTATTCCACAGATTTACAATATTGCCTAATACAAACAACAAGCCATTTCCATCCAAGCTTTCTATACATTCTTTGTAGATATTTGAATCATTCAATACGAAAGCATTGGCAACATCCAACGCCCATTTTCTTAGGCGATCTATCATCAATTCATTCACCAGAGAACTCAAATAAGGTACAGCCATTGTGTTCTTCCATAGAAATTTTGATGCTGATCCCATATCTAAAGCGTCGCTAGACAATTCTGCATGTTCAATGGGGTATAAACTTAAACGAGTTATAGTGGTCAGCCATAATTTCAGCGCATTAATGGTTTTTGCATCTTTTGACTTCCTATTTTCCAGCTTAATGATGTGCTCGACACATGTAATTTGAGCGTCTCTTAAGTTATACTGACATAATGTTGTTTTCAAAACGGCTTGTCCAATGCTTTGTAAAATCTTATCTGAGATATCAATAGTGTAGGAAACGTCTAATGGCCGCTTTACGTGATACGTTTTCGGATTCAGATATTGTAATAGAAAGGTTAACTCGGGCCCGAAAGAAGACAGTTCATTCGAGGAAATGCAACATTTAATACATTGGATGCTTATCATTTCGAGATACACACGTGCCTGAACCATATAGCGCATGTCAATCAATAATACGTAATATGGTTGTTTGTCCTTGAGCTTATTGGTATTCGTCATGCATTTAACCAGTTGCTTCAGGCGTTTATTATTACTGCTGTGTGTCAATACTCCACGACTTAGTTTGCAATAAATACCAACGAGCTGATACAAGTCAGTAATGGTCATCGTATTAATGTTGCTGAACTGCTCATCCCACCAAGCCCAACATTCCTGCTTAGCTTTGTACTGTTGCTGATGTCGCTTCCAGCACCTCTGTATGGTAACGGCAGCTTTAGTCTGCTCTTCAACGGCTATTAATCGCTGCCTCTCAGCTTCTCTTTTCTCGCGTTCTATTCTCGCATTTTCAACAAATTTCCGTTTCGAATCGTCTTTGGCAAACATAGAAATATCTTTAATGCTATTCTGCTTCAAATTGGTTATTAAAGAAACCAAAAGTGATTCAAGGGCCGGTTTCTGGTGATGAATTAAACTTCTAAATAAATCAGTAGTTGATTGAATTCGACTCAACCTTTTTTCCGATTGTTTAACATAACATTGTCTTTTATCTATGCCAACGAAGCATGTATAGAGATTCTCGACCGATCGCTCTGCGTAAGCTGAATCCATTCAATGCTAAGCAAGGCTCTAATAGGAAACACCGTACAAGCGATAGCATTCATAGCGACGAGGATCCATTATTAGATGAGGAAGCAGCTGTATGTCTTTAAAGGCTATAATTCCAAAATAAAAACTCTCTATTAATAATTCACTATCGCAGAATATACTCTCTATATCTCAGTTGCCGAGAGTTTCTAGTGCTGAAAGTACTATCAGATCTCTGAATTCAGCATCTACTTTTAAGAAAGAGAGAAAAAAAAAACAACAGAAGTTCAATCTTTTGTCAATGTTCAAAAGAAAGAAAGTTTATAAGCCTAGAACAATTACATTCAATGCAGATGGTAAAACACTCGAAGTAGGACTTAACAGTAAACAACAGGATGTAACATGTTTATGAAATAGACAGAGAAAAGCGAAGATTCTGTGCAAACGTTATTGTCAACCAAAAGTATAATATCTTTACGTTCATTCCTGTTGTTCTTTTTGAGCAAGTATGTGATCCTCAAAATTGGTGAAAAGTGAGAAACAGTACTGACAGTCTTTCTGCATATGCATATCAGTTTGTGATCTTCTTCAATTTATATTTCCTACTCGTTGCATTATCCCAGTTTGTACCTGCCTTGAAGATCGGTAATCTTTAAACACGGAATATTTTTTGATGTACCTGAATATAACAATAATTTTCTCCACATTCACGTAGGCTATATACTCACTTATTTCGGCCCACTGTGCTTTGTATTATTCGTTACTATCAGTAAAGAAGCCCTCGATGATTATCAACGCTACAAACGAGACAAAGAAGCCAATTCGCAATTATATAGAAGATTAACTCCTTCAGGACATCAGAATATACCCAGCTCCAAGATTAAAGTGGGCGATATGATACATATTATGAAAGATCAAAGAGTAAAAATTAAGCAGCAAATCTGTGTATAGTATCGTATCATATCTGACCGAACAGTTTTTTGATCTTCTTCAGATACCAGCAGACATGATACTACTACGTACAACAGAGGAGAGTGGCGCTAGTTTTATTCGTACAGATCAATTAGATGGTGAAACCGATTGGAAGCTACGACTTGCAATCCCCTCCCTACAGTCATTACCTTCAGATCAAGATTTGTTAGATATCAAAGGAAGCGTTTACGCCGATGCGCCACATAAGGACATCCACAGTTTTGTGGGAAATCTCACTATTATTGATGACCATACGCAATCAGAAAGAATTGAGCCCCTGGGTGTAGAAAACACCATGTGGACAAATACCGTCTTAGCTTCTGGTTCAGCTGTAGGCTTCGTTGTATATACAGGCAGCGACACTCGTGCTGTGATGAACACAAATCACCCGAAAACGAAAGTGGGTTTGATAGATCAAGAGATTAATGGTCTGGCCAAAATTCTCTTCGCTGTCACTTTGGCTTTATCCGTATTAATGGTTGGACTGAATGGTTTCCGTGGAATATGGTATATCTATGTATTTCGGTTTTTGATCTTATTTTCTTCTATCATACCTATTGGGTTGCGTGTCAATTTGGATATGGGTAAGAGTGTGTATGCTCGACAGATTGAACATGATAAGGAGATTAGAGGCACAATAGTCAGGACCAGTACGTTACCTGAAGAATTAGGACGTATAGAATATTTGTTGACTGATAAAACCGGTACGCTTACACAAAATGATATGGAATTGAAGAAGTTGCATATGGGTACAATGTCATATAGTCAAGACACCATGGATGAAATTCAGTCATATCTTGTGAACATTTTTGAAACCTCACACGATAATGGGATGATAAACAAGGGCCGCCGACATATTGCATCGCGTGTTCGCGACATTGTACAGGCATTAGCCCTTTGCCACAATGTCACACCTGTAATAAGTTTTGATGGCAATATAACTTATCAAGCTTCTAGCCCGGATGAAGTAGCTATTGTCAAATGGACAGAACAGATGGGTCTTACACTGGTGAACCGCGATGTTAATACAATCGAATTACGCGTTGATGGCACAAACCAGGTACTTTACTTTGATGTGTTGAACATTTTTCCTTTCAGCAGTGAAACGAAGCGTATGGGTATTATTGTCAGAAATAAGCAGACGCAGGAAATCACGTTCTACGAAAAGGGTGCTGATACGGTTATGGCAAAAATTGTGCAGTATAATGACTGGTTAGATGAAGAATGTGATAATATGGCAAGAGAAGGTTTACGTACGCTGGTTGTAGCTAAGAAAAATCTTTCCGAAGAATCATACCAGGAATTTACTGAAAAGTACCACGAAGCTGAAGTGTCTTTAGACGATCGTAAAGCCATGAAACAAGAAGTTGTAGCGAATCTCTTGGAGGCAAATTTGGAATTATTAGGTTTGACAGGTGTTGAAGATAAACTGCAAGAGGGAGTCAAAAATACTTTAGAACAAATGCGTAATGCTGGTTTAAGGATATGGATGCTGACAGGTGATAAAATTGAAACTGCTACGTGTATCGCTATTTCATCGAAGTTGATATCGAGAAATCAGGGCATACATACGGTAGCTAGGCGTAAGTAAAGCTCAATTCTGCTTTCTTAGACTCTTGTCACTGACATGGATTCTTATAGTGAAGACTTCAATGGAAGCAGCAGATGAGATTGATAATCTAAGACATAAAACTGACAACTGTTTAGTGATTGACGGCGAGTCCATACAGTTGTGTCTTGACAATTTCATCGATGAATTTATTGAGATTGTAACTCTTTTGCCCGTTGTTGTTTGCTGCCGCTGTTCTCCAACTCAAAAGGTAAAAGAAAAATTTAAGCATTCACTAGCGATGTTAGTCGATCCCGAGCAAGAACTAAACTCACCGTTTTTTCCATAGGCCGAAATTACTCGTTTGATCAAGGAATACACTAAAAGAAGAGTCCTGTGTATTGGCGATGGTGGGAATGATGTCAGTATGATTCAGGCTGCCGATGTGGGCGTCGGTATCGTTGGTAAGGAGGGCAAGCAGGCTTCCTTGGCTGCTGATTTCTCCATCACGCAGTTCAGTCATTTGACCAAATTATTATGTAAGTAAAGGGTATTCACACATCACCGGCTTGGGAAAATGGTATTAAAGGGTATATTGTAATAGTATGGCATGGAAGAAATAGTTACAAGCGTTCAGCCAAATTGTCACAGTTCGTTATTCATCGTGGTCTTATAATTTCAGTAATGCAAGCTGTATTTTCTGCTTTGTTCTATTTTGCGCCAATTGCACTCTATCAGGGCATGTTAATTGTGGGTTATGCCACAATCTATACCAATGCTCCAGTGTTTTCACTTGTTTTAGACCAGGACGTCAGTCAAGAAATAGCTATGATGTACCCTGAGCTTTATAAAGATCTGCGAAAGGTAAGTAAATATTCATTGCATAATTTTCTGTACTTAACATACTGACTTCTTATTTGGAAATAGGGTCGATCATTGACCTACAGGACTTTTTTTACTTGGTTACTTATTAGTGTTTATCAGGGTGGCACTATCATGATTTTGTCGTTGATTCTCTTCGAAAATGAATTTATTCATATAGTAGCTATTTCATTTACAGCTTTGATCTTCAATGAATTATTAATGGTAGCATTGGAAATCAATACATGGTAAGACACAGTTACTATTCATTTTTATCTTGAAATGTCAGTATTTAGCAATACACTCCTCTACTATTATAGGCACAAAGTCATGATTATAGCAGAGCTCATTACTGTGCTAATCTATTTCGGTTCTATGTGGCTTCTACCAACATATTTTGACATGAAATTTATCTTAACAACAAGATTCTTATGGAAAGTAGCAGTAATCACAGCTGTAAGCAGCTGTCCGTTATATTTTGTTAAAATGATTAAGCGAAGGATCGCTCCTCCTAGTTACACAAAGCTTACATAATATATATGGATTTTTCTGCCATTTTTCTGAAATATTCTGTTGATTGTAGCGCTCATTTTTTTTCCCCAAAAATGAAACCAAAGCGTGCATAAAAAGGTATAACCGCTCCAAAGCTTTATTAACTTTTGAGGTCGTACATAAAGACTGAAATAACATGCCAAAATTTTCTACCATCCAATCGTCTTGCTTTCAAAATCGAAGAATTTGCCATTGTCTTCAGCAGTTATGCTATCTAATCTGGCTAACATACCACTAATAGATGCTTCGGTAGTAACGGGAGCTTCACCACCACCCATATCAGTTTGTACCCAACCAGGATGGGAGGAGTAAACAATGAAATTTTCTTTACCAAGCTTGCTAGACATGGCGCGAGTAAGCATGTTGGTGCCGGCTTTAGAAACACAATAAGCAACACCAAAGCCATAGCCAGTAGCATCTTCCATGGAACTTATTGAACCTAATAGAGAGGACATATTGAGAATTTTCTTGACACAACCGGCACCACGCTTGCGAAGGATGGGAACAAAAGCCTTAGAAACTTCATTGACAGCAGCAACATTAGTTTCAAAAACCTTCACTAATTCATTCTTGGATCTACAATAAGAAATGTCAAGGGAAAGGGATCAGTGAATCAATAAACTGTTATCAGATTTGATCTTTGTGTAACAATGCGTATAAGAATATACAATGCTTACGTTTGCTCGAAGTCAAGACCCATCTCACCACAGATACCAGCATTATTGATCAACACATCAACACCTTCAGGAGCCTTTTTCTCAATCTCAGCAGCAGCAGCCTTGATAGACTCTTCAGAAAGAGCATCTAATTGAACAAGATGAAGCTTCTCATTGCCAGATAAAGCTTGAAGACCCTTTGAACTATCGGGGTTACGGGCAGCAGCGAAAACAATATCACCTCTTTTGAGAAGTTGCTTCACGAATTCTAAGCCGAGACCGCGAGAAGCGCCAGTGACGATATAAGTTTTGGCCATGATGTTTGAAAGAAAATTAAGGAAAAATGATGAATTGTTTTATCTGAGATCAGTTTATTCTTTTTTTTTTATATGCCATTGCGAAACACGAAATGTGTCAGATTTGACTTTGACGAACAATTGTTCCGACTCGGATGTGTTTACTTCATTATTATTAATACCTAGCACCAGGCTCTATGTCATTACAAGGATTTAATTTGCAATACTGAAAAAAGAGCGATAAGAGCAAGATTTCAAGCGCCTAAAGTTCGGAAACGCGGAATATGATTCTGTCTCTTACCAGGGAGCACAGAATGTGTCATCGATAACTTTATTCCTTAACGATCGACAATAGATATGTTACATAATAAAGCTTGTATTAGGTTTATGATAGTGCTTTCGTCCAATCCCACTTTTCCCAACTTTTCAAAAATTCTTTTTGACGATGTTGATTCTCACTAGAATGATGATATTTGGGCTTTCTCCATAATTCTGGTCCAATATCAAGCATACCAGCTATTACTTCTTTACCAAACCAATACGGAAAGTCATTCGGATTTTCAATTACGTGACCATAACCTTTATCCAGTTTGTACCATACATGGAAATAAGGTAGGTCTTTCACCATCGAGTTGCGAAATCCACGCTCAGACGTATCAATGACCTTTTTATGCTGAGACCATTCCTCCTCGGAAGACATGATAGCTTCTCTGAAATAAGCCTGCGCATCTTCATAGGTGCCATATGGTATGGGAATACATTCAATGGCTGTATGTCGTTGTGAACGTAGATTAACAACTGTTTCCATGAAGACTACACCTTTGTTTTGCTCATGGAACATTTTCAATAAACATTTTTGGAAATTCTACAATTTTATGCCGTTTAGATTGGCTTTGTCGTGTAATCGTTTATAAATTGGTACACTTACTCTGACTTCTGTCCAAACGTCTTCATCACACTCTAGCATTGATGTTACATGCTGAAGAGGAACGATCAAGCAATGCCCAGGGGTTAACTCTTGCACATTGGGTAGAGCCAGGTAGCACGTCGTAGCAAGCGATATCATAGCTATTTGAGGGGGTTTACCATCTTGATAACAGTATCTACATTTAGCCAAAGCTTCTTGTGTTCGTTTATAATCTGGACAAATTAATGCATTATTTTAGTAAGAAATCGTCGTGTTTTCGCGATAAGATAACTATTCCGGAAAAAAATACCTGAAACTGCGCGCTGCATTTGTTGCTTTTCCGACGTTCCTTTCTTAGCGGCCATTATATCTGCTTTATCATCAATGTAATCCAAATTATTCTAACAATTATCTAGTGTGTAAGTGTTTTGCAAGAAGGGTGTTTGTTTTCAAAAGTGAAACATCTGCTATTACCTCATATGAAGTATCATTTGCAATTCGCTTTGCAAATTCTAGATCCATATTCATGGATTGGCCTCCCGCTTTTTCTTGTCTTATCAAATCAGCTAGTGTCGCTGTATCATCTGCTGTGCTGTAACGAAGCCTCTCACCAGTTGATTTGTCATGCGTACCTTCGAAACGCTTTTTTCCTTTCAATGATTCCACGTTTGTTGAGGACGTTTTATTCAAGGCATAGTCATACATCCGACCCTGACTATCGATGGTTGGTAGTATAGTAACATCACCTTTATTCGGTGGTATTTCGCCGCGCTGAGCACGTTCATATTTTTGAAGCTCTTCTTGATATTCTTTTTCTAAAGCTTCTAAGTTACTGGAATTCATCAATCTTGCCTTCATTACCTTTGAGTTTAGTTTGTTCAGTTGATCGCGAGTAAGGGGTGCTGTATTATCCGCAGCTGTTTCTGTACTAGCAGCCGGTAAAGCAGATTGGGCGGGTACAGGTGTCGATGTTGCCGTGGCTGCAGCAGGTATAGTGGATACACTTGGTTTATCCGATGCAGGAATGCGTGGAGCTGAGCGGAATGGCTCTGGACGTTTGAAGGATTTAGTTGTAGCATCTGTGTCCGTGAACATATAGCGTCTACTGTCACCTCTTCTGCTACTTTCATTGGAACGCTCATCTCTTTTGCCATCAGCATGGCTGCTGCGGTTATCTATATATCGTCTACCCTTTTTCAGACTATTCAGATATTCTTTCTCATCAAGTGCCTCTTGAAATTTCTCCATAGACTATATTTGTCACAAAATCATTGGTAAATTACGTATTATCCATCGAGCTACTTCTACTTACCCCGTATCTTTCAATGCCAACTTCGTTTAGTGGTCGCTTTTCCTCCTCTGCTTGCTCAATAGTCCTTTTGAGTTTCATCATTCTCCAATTTGAGCCTGCGTCGCCAAATTTGATCTTTCGTTTTTCTTCCTCCGGATAGTCGTCAACTTTGATTCCTTTTACGAGATATTGGTTCAACTCTCGCTCGCTAACTTTCAGCTAGAAATTTGGTTAATGGGGATGAATGACTGGAGCGATTGAATATATATAATTAGTTTTAATTTGATATCTTACGTCGTCCGGGTTAGGTTTTGGTGTCTCTTCACGTCTTCTTGCAGTACCCATGTCGGCAAAGTCAAAACCCTCTCCACCACCTAACATCCAACCATGCCTCGCTTCTTGCTCGGCTGGGAAAGTAGCTGGATCGGCCACTGATTCTGTCTCCATAGCTTTCTGCTGATATGTAAGTTGCTCTGCCGGAGTTGCCTCGGCAACATTGTGATCTGCTTCCACCCAAAGTGAAGGATCGGAATAATCGACCTCATGATGATCAACTTTCTTATGACGTGAGGAACCACTTTTTCTATGTCGTTTTTGCTCTCGATGATTGCTATGTCTGTTGCTAGAGTCATCTTTGTGCTCTCGTTTTGACGATGATTTCTTTGCTTCTTTCTTATGTTTACTTTCTCCCATAATTAAGCGAATACGATAAAGAAGGTTTAACTTTTTCTAGCAGACGACGCTTATGCTTTTTTTTAATGCAGAGCACCGCTCGCTTATGCGCCATTTTTTTTTTTTCCTGGTCTTATATTTTTTTTACCACCTCCTCTTTTTTTCGACTGCAATTTTAAAAATCGGATGCCTCGACACTCGAAGAACAACACTGCTTCTAGTGTATTCACTTATCATGAAGCTCAGAGTTTGGAATACGGTACAAAGAGAGTAAGAGAATTGTTATTTCGAAGATTGATCCCTTACGAATATATGTGATTCAAGTGTTAAATGTTCCTTTAAATGTTCAACACAGCAACGTTTAGGTCGAGACTCATATAGAAACTACAACGCCTGTTATCTCTGTTTGCAAACCGCTAGAGATCCTGTTTGCTGTGGTGAAGGGCATTTGGCCTGTCGCGAGTGTATGTATGAATCGATCGTACAACAGAAGGAGGCAATCAAACTTGAGCAGAAAATCATCGAACGAAAGAAGCAAGAATTGGAAGCTAAAAAGCAGCTGGAGGAATATGAGGCAAAGCAAGCGTTATTAGATAGTTTTGATAAAACACAAAATAGTGTGCTTAGTAAACGTCCTACTATTCGCGATCCTCTTAAAGATACAGATACCGCCTCCACAACCAAACCGGTGATTGACAACAGTAATGATAGAAAACGTAAATTTGAGGCAACATCAGAAAAAGATGCGGAAGGAAAGAGCGCTACATTTGTTGACGAAGAGTTAGAGAAGACAGCAGCTCAATTAAGAAAAGAAAAGGAAAAGAACTCAAAGCAAAAGTTGGGATCCTTTTGGGTGGTAAGAGAAGAAATCTTGGCTACCCTCTTCGTCATTGAACAATACTGATGTTATTTTTATATCAGCCTTCGGAGACGCCTTCTGCTAAAGAAGGAGAGATCAAACCGACCAAAACGCAAGTCATCTGTACTGCTACTGAAAAAACACATCCGCTTACGATAAAATCATTAATTGATGTCAAATTTACAAAAGAGGAAAAGGATAAAGACAAGAATATTTGCCCGGCTTGTATAAAAACATTAACAAATGCATCAAAGCTGTCAAGTAAGAAATATGAGAATCCTTTAGTGAAAATGTGGAGACTGTATTCAAGAAATCATTTTTGATTCTTTAGTTTTACGCAACTGCGGGCATGTCATATGTAACACCTGTATTGATATGTTTGTAAAGAAGTCAAAGAAATGCTATGTCTGTGAGGCGAAAGCGAAATCGAAGGATATTGTAGATATGACCGTAGAAGGTACTGGTTTTGCAAGTGGCAGTACCAAGGCAATGGCAGAAAAGTTCAGCTTAGCTTTTCAATAAATGCAAGATTATGTTAAAAGCTCTTATTTACAATCTTTTCTTTATTGATTATCAAAAAGAGTTCATTGATGTATGCTTATATATAGTACAAATTAACTATTTAACAAATAGAGAGTTTCTGTAATATAGGTCTGAAGATTCAGAATCAATTAATAGTAAGATGTGCTTGTAACATCTTCATTTCCGGTAATATCACCATATTCAAACATGCCGACTCTACGTTTAATAGCCTCTTCTTGTGCTTCCTGTAGTGCTCTCACAATATTTTCATTACCGTGTGCATAACGAACCTTAGGTGTGACTATGGCATAACCATCTTGCACCATATCTAAATTGACACTTGCCTCTGCGCTGGTTGACTTAGCAAAGTCATAGAGGGTTAAATACATTAGAGAACCTTCACGCGCATCTACATTAGCGACAAGTTGTTTGTTGGCCGTTAAATCCTTGAAACGTTCAATCGCTTCGATACCCCAGTCTTCGTTTCTATCTGCCGACTTGACAAAGGAGAGTTTTGCTTCATGAGCTTGTGGCTTGAGTTGTTTGAATTGCTCGGGCAATGCACGAACCCGGGAAGAAGGAAGAGTTTCAGAGTTACCGTAGTCGATATATAGCACTTCGATTCCTTCGTGAGAAATGCGACGCACTCTTCCTCTATACCAACAGTCATCTTCTGTGAACTTCGCACTCACAAGATCACCTACGCGTGGTTTGAAAGAAGGGTCGGCAGGTCGAGTCTTTTGGTACTGTCCTAAATCGGTCATTAATTGTTCAAGTTGAGCAATTTCATTTGTGATCTTTTGAATGTAAAAATGAGAGCCAGAGATAATGTCAGAAACAACAATGTCGATATATTCACGGTTAGGGCCATTGGCTGTGATCTGTTCTTGTTCTTCTTCAGTATCTTCCTTGAAGTCGGCCCAGATGCACTTCTTAGCACTTTTCGCTTCACGTTCAGCGCCATAAAGCTGATTAACATAACGTGATTCATCTGCAGAATATTCGTGGATGAAAGCAAGCCCTTGCGACAAAAGCTCTACGGCCAAATTTTCTCCATTAACAAACATGGTTCCGATGAAGTTGCCCACTTTGTCAACGTTTTCGACTTCAATTTCAACATCATGTTGAAGACACTTATCAGATACAAAGCTCAATGCTTCTCCACCATAAGGTTCGGTTTTATCGTTGGGTGTACGGCCAACACGAGGCGCGCGAACGCCAGATAAAACAAATGAAAGACGACAATTTTCTTTCGGCACCCAGACAGAGAAACGAGAACCGTTAGCGACAAATTCCACCACAGCTTGGACTTTACCAGCACGCTTCAAGAAGGTCAAAAATTGACGGGATTTGGCTGCACTCTCAGAAGCATCAGTAATTCTTACAACGGGCAGTTCATTATTACTATGGAGACCTCTTCGTTCTTCTTCAGCTTTCTTTTGAGCAATCAAAAGCTGATCATAACAGTGAGAGCGATTTTCATCGTCCTTTCGATGATGAATTACAGTAGCGAGACCGCGTACAATCAATTGCTCAGCAATGTTGTGGTTATTAGCAATAACGGTAGCGCAATCTTTGGCTTCAAATCCATCTTGAGCAGGTTTGTGATAGTCGATAGTAATGTGGGCTTGTTTACCAATTAACTTCTTTCTCAAAAATTCTCTAGCTTCAAATTGATAGCCAACTTCTTTCCCATCTCTTGATTTACCACTGGGCACGGTACTTCCAGAACCACGGGGTGCTTGTTTGACACTGGCCAGCTGAATCTTTCTTTCATTGCCATCTTTGGTTCTAACCATAATAGTATCGCCAGTCATGATGCGAACAACAGTAGCATCGAACTCATTAGATTCCACTTGCTTCTTTGCAACGAAATTGCGCCATAGGCGAAGCTTTTTATCCTTGGCAAGTTTTTCTGCATTTCTCAAAGGAGTGGGGCCGCTTGTTGCTAAAGTAATACTCCAATCAACGCATTTAGCCAAGCCCTGAGCGAGCAAAAGCTCTGAAATATTGCCTGCAGGGTGCTGAATAGAACCCACAAAATTTGATCCTCCTGATTGCGCCAATCCTTCTAAGATGATTTTAACGCCACGTTGCAAAAGACGTGTCTCAACGAAATATTTACATTCTTCGCCAAATGGTTCAGAGACAGTGGTATCGTCTTCCGGTGCGTTATCACGTCTACATTGTGGTGCCTTAATACCAGATAATAGTAAGGTAATAAATTGCTGCGTTTTGTTGGGTAGCATTAATAATACACGGAAAGTTGATCCATCACGTACTTGTTCAACAATACCTTTATTTCGATGAGGGAGGAATATAGTTAATGTCTGATCAAATGTAGTCCATCAAACAGTCAGCCATTCTTTTTTTTTTTTCTTTAAGCTTACCATCCAAAGGTTTTCCTTTGTAAGTATCCAAGAATTTGTGTGCGTCTCCATCGAAAGTAAAATGCACCTCACGTACACCCTGTCATTATACATTATTTTTGGTTTGGTTTGGGGTTTGGTTATTCATTTATACATATCATCCACATCAATGACGAATCTCTTGCTCTTTTTACCTTATCTAGGTCTCCCCACAATCCTAGTTTCTCATCTTGTGCCTCTCTTTGCAGCTGCTCCAATTTTTCTAGTACTTCCTCGCGCTCGTCAGAGTTAGTCTTGGCGCCTTCGCGTATTTTGAGCCAGCCGGCTTTTACGCCTAGTTCAGCAACGTTCTCGCCATTGGCTGTATAGATAGTACCATATTCACGCTGTGTTGTAGGAACCGTATATTCAGAGACAAAGGAAACCTCCTTGCCGACCAATAACTTTCTCAGGAACTCTCGAGCGCCGAAAGCAAAAGGCTGTCAATAAGATAAGGAAATTTTATATTGTAAAGTTGGGTTTTTAATATATTGGCATTCTTCCAAAGCTCTGGATAATATGCCTTTATTATTTAATTGTGTTTCATCTTACTTCATCTGATTTTGTTGTGCTTCCTAATCTCGGTGCCTGCACATTGGACAAAGCTAATAGTCTTTCTGGTGGTGGGCCGTTGGGTCTGGGTTTACCCCTTAAAATGACAGTATCACCTGACAAAACATTTTTAACGACTGCTTTATTGACCATTGCTTCTACTTCTGTTTTTTCGTGAAAAAGGAAACTTCGAGAATGAAAGAAAATAAGGCTCTTGTAATAAAGACAGCAGGAATTAAAATGTTAAATTGCGGTACAACATGCTGTTGTTCTTATGAATTGAAATGGCGCTGATTAGCATTCAGCTAGTCCGATAAGCTATAAACGCGTCCATACGAAGGGAGGGAAAGCTTAACGTTGACATGAATGCCTCATCCAACATAATAGCCGTCATCCCATTGCCATATAGTCTCATCACCTTCATTATCTAGAGGTTTTGCCTAATATAACGAGCTTCAGTAAATAGAAATATCTATTGTTTACTTTAACGTATACGCATTTATGTAAGTGTCCGATTATCTTGAGTTCCTTATGAACTGTAAATATAATGGTCAAGTTTTTAAAGATGGAAGTAGTTTTATTTGATATTATAGAGATATAGAGAGATTAGAATAGCAGAAATTTTAAAGAAATGCTATTATATGCAAAATGAATACAAGTGATTATACACAAAAGTTAAAAGACGAGTTTACACCGTTGTTGTACGTTTTGACCACAGTGATATCTTATTCATGACGGATGACATTGGAAAAACTGAGGAGGGAGTGGAGATATCGGTAGGGATAAATAGAAGGTGAGTATTGGAAATACTTACTTCTCTCTGAGAAAGAGCCGTTGTTACCATTATTAGTTGTAGTTTCCCGGTACGATCCTTTGACATCCGTACGTTGAGATACCCAATTTACAATCAGCTTGATTCTTACAGCAACGAATACAAAAGGTGTTGGCATCAGGTTCAATTAAATTTACAAAGTATTTGTAACCATTACAGGTAGTTGGGGCCACATCTTTGTTATCATATTGTCCGCCACCATCGGAAGGATTGAGCTTGTACTTAGAACCATCAATGCGACCCGTGACCTGAGCATAAGTAGAGGTTTTAGCAAAATGAGCTGACTTGATAAAACCGGAAGGAAAAACTTGACCGCCCAATGAAGCATCAGTACAGAAAGGTTTACCATCGTTTTCGGTAGCGCCTACATCATCTCCCGGATGAGGCGGTAAAAAGGAACAGAAGGCAGTAGCAGATTGGAGTTGGATTTGATATTTGGGAGCTCGTCTTGTGAGGCTAGAGTGAACGGGAAGTGCTTGAACAAGGCAAGTGAATAAACCTAGCGCGAAGAGGATAATAGATACAGTAGCAAACTTCATAATTGTTGATTGAGATTTGTAAAATGGATATCAAAATGAATTAGTGTTTCAACAGTACAATGATAAAGATGAGAAAGAATGACAACAATAAAATTGGACGTTCCATTTATACTTTTTTTTTCTAAGTAAATTGTCGTCATTAGTAGAGCATACATAACAACGGCTGCCACTCTTAGAAGAAAGACATTTTTAGGAACATCTTGTTATTGTTTTTTAAGCCTTTATGTGCATAGTTCCAAAGAATATAAGCAAAAGATGACAACCTTATCTTTTTTTTAAAGTGAAGTTGCCTTAATGGAGTAATGTCACAACGTATCACAGTAAACATTTTCAGTTGTTTTGCAGAACACGACCGCTTTGATAAATATAGAAATTAGATCAACTGAAGTTAATAATAATTAAAGAAAAGGCAAACGGAAGAATTTATAGTGTTGAAAGAGCGATGGAAATGATCGGCTCGATAATCGTAGAAAGATGCAATGATACACGCGTTTAAAACGGAAGAGAAAGATTAACTGCTGGAGACTTTTAATTGAAGTAGAATAGCATCATCGATGGTCTGATCAAAATGCTTTACATATTAGTACTAATATGCCTGATGGGATAATAGAATGTCAAACTTTCTAATGACCTGAAAACACACATTTACCATTTACGGCTTCCTTGGTATGTTTCCTGCGAACCAAAGTTATTTCAGCGTTTCAAAACTCCTTCTATTACTCGTTTCGTGCTACCTATCTTTTTGTAATATATTGTTCATGGCTATGAATGTTGTATGCTTTTATTATAAGGATGATGTTGAGGAGAACAATATGCAAAAAGGGCATAAAAATAATAAAGGACAGCAGAAGACCAGCTACTACTACGTGCCTGTCAGCTTCGTACACAGTGAACAATAAACAATAGTCGAGCTAGCATATTACTGTGAATGTTAATGGCTCGTTTGCCAGAGTAAGAGTAGTGAGTATATTACAATAATATGTTTTAAATAGAAGTAGCGGTAACGGTTGCGTGTAAAAGGAATAAATAAAATGATACTGTCTTTATATGTATATTTGACAACCATGGTAGCATCAGCAGTATATGTATAGTAAGAGTGGGTTGGAAAATAATCTAAGCAGCTACACACCAAATCTCCATTTTCTCTACATTTGAGGAGCTGCCATTGCTGTTATTCATGACTTGTCTTGCCATGAATAAGTCATCATCGTCTATCATTAGGACCATCTCATTGTCTTCATCCTTATACTGCAATCGTACGTTTTTGACTTTGGTGTCAATCCCAATTTTTTCGATGACTTTAGCTTTTAATTCGTTGAATTTGATTGTATTGTGAACCATCAGAATCCTTGTATCGATATGATGTATTTTGATTTTTATTTTGCCGCCGCCTTGGTGTTGCTGTTGCCCGTTGTTGCTGCTTGAATAGCTTCTGTCAGAACTGACTGTGGAAGTGGAGGTAGATGACTGCGGTATCTGTCCGTTCATTCCACCTAATGTGTTTCGAATACGATCTTTTTCCTGTCGTATTAAAGACATGGTATCTAGAGAGCCATAAACTTCATCCAACTCTTGGTCGAAATCGCCATAATACATTGTTGGGCTTAAAGGTTTTGTAGGTGATAGCGTAGACGCGGCTGGAATAGGTGGTACTGGTGGTGGTGTCGAACATGCAGACGATGAGTAGGAAGAAGAAGAGAGATGATGACTAGTGTTCAAATTGCTACTGTATAAAGAACAACTTTTGGCCGAGGAAGTACGTGTTCCTAAAGAAGAAGAGGAGCTGTATCTATCTTCTAAAGTCGATTCAAAGCCACTGTCTACCCGACGGCTTGGACCTTTATTGCTACTCTTAGTCGTTGAATGATGCTGAATACCATGACTGCTCGGAGTAGAGTCTTCAGAAGGGTACAATTGTTGTTGTTGAAGCGAGGAATATTTCGACAAAATAGGCGAGTTGTTATTATTATTATTATAATTCATGGACTGATGCTGTTGATGAGGATGCATTATGAATGGAGGAGAAATAGCTTTTTTGTCACTGATTAATACAGAATTATTGCTGCGCTTCTTTTTATTGTAAAGTGTTGATGCTAAGGAACTTGAAGTTGATTTTGTAGGCGTAGGAGCTTGCGACTGCTGTTTATTTTGAAGCTGGTCTGCTACAGCGAACATATCGATTCCTTGTAACTGTCGCAATCGTTGTTCTGGCAGTCGGAATAGTACCGTGGGCGGTATTGAAAATACTGAAAATCCTTTGCCTCTTTCCTTTACTGCCAAATCAATAACGTCGTGCTCATCTGTCATTCGTGCCTTTTGAGCATGGTACAAGTCGGTCAAGCCAGCATCCATTTGTCCGAGGTATAATTTGCATATGCCCTTATTGAATAACACTTCGCAAAGATAAAGTCGAAAACTCAGGCCCAACTGTTGATAATTGATAATTTGATTTCCTCGAAGTAACTGATGTGCATGCTCAAAATCTTGAATGGCTGCCTCCATATCGTTCATCATAAAATGCGAAACACCCCTTTGGAAGAAAGCAACAGCAAAGTAGGAATCCATCATGATTGACTTTGAATATGCTCCCAGCTATTTATTTCATATGAGATGCAATTAGGAAAAGGTATCATGGAAGCTTTCTTAAATTTCATTGCCTTACCGCATGCTCGTGGTCTCCTACTGCTGCGAATATTAAACCGATATTAAAATGCATTTTCGCATTATCTGCTATTGACTAATATCATAGTATAATTACAGGTTAAAGCTTGGAAAAAAAAAGAAAAAAAAAAGGGAAACTGCAACCCCCGTCCTTGCCGCTCTTCTTTTTTTCACGCTTTTTGCTACCCCTTTCATTCGCTTACGATGAATATTCGAAGTGCTTGATCATAGTCTTCATTATCAAAAGCACTACAGCCATACTGCCATTGTTCCAACTCGAACTAGAATGTTATAAAAATGAATCATTTTACTGATAATGAGTACATTATTCTTGAAATATAGTTATTCGTTATATCATCTGGACTCCTTGCACTGACGAACGAACCTTCAATGCCATTTCTCTTTTTCTGCTGCTGAAATAGAATTTTAAATCCAAGTCCAAAGATTAAACAAAAAATTTGAAAAAATCAAAGCAAGCTCTAACTTTTTTTTTAAAGGAAGAAGAGAAGGATATCAAAAAAAAAAATGAAGGAAAGTGAGTGAGACTCTACAGTTGATAAGTATTGCAATTCTTTATTCAATAAAGAAAAGAAAGAGAGAAAAAAATAAAAGATCGTTTTAAGGAAAAAGAAACGAAGAAGAAAAAATTAAGCTTGGATTTTTGTGTAAAAGGAGGAGGAGAGTCAACGTAGCACCAACGCTCATGGTTGTTTTAATTAAACCTTCTCAAAAAAGAAGTAGCTCATTCAAATCTGCTTCACACATACATGGTCTATATGTCCTAATACAACTTGTATTGCACTACCCTTTTCCATCTAGCTAGGTCTCACAATGAGAAATAAAGGTATAAACCTCTCTTCACTTATCATAAATCCATTATGACAGACATCTCATGTATTATTCTGTGGTATAATTTCTGTAGTAAATCAAATTCTGTCAAGGAATTAGCATTTTTCAGGAGTCTCAAAGAAGTGAAGTGGCATTCTGATTTGCAATCGATTCCCTATCAAAAATACAGTAACTTTTGTCTAGGTTGAATAGAAGGTTTTGTTTGTTGGTAGATCGATTCTAACATGATTGTAGCATATGATCTGAAATAAAGGTTATAAAGAAGATTACTATGCTAACTTTTTGTTATGCGTGTTTTCGTGCGTTTGTGTGTGTATATAATCTTGTGTATGTATATCTGTTACACCATAGATTAACTTTCTTCTTTCGTCCTATTATACCCTTTAATTTCAGATCAGATACAGTTTCAAGTGCTTGGTTCAGTTTTACTATTCTACTTTGAGAAGGGTTCAGAGTGTGGCAAGTCGTCAGTGTGTCATGTCATAGTCGTCACGTTAGTTAGAAGCTATGTTTGTTATAAACCTTGTTGACAGAAAGGCCGAAGAAAGAGTTTGTTTCTTTTAAGCATATACATCTTTAGCTAACGTGAACATTGTGTGGCAATCAAAAGCTTAAGCATAAAGCGAAAGGTGTTATTTCAACGATAAAAAACAATATTTGCTTTGATTATTACAACTCTATCTTTGGAAACAAACCTTGTAGAATGTCAAGCTAGTCTGTTTCAACATTATATGATGCTATAGAATTAGTTTGTTTCAAGGTTTGATCTAATATTGTATGATTATTATCTGTGATGCTTGTGCGGACTTTAGAGGGGTTCGACTCCTTTGCTATCCACACGATCAATGGTGTACTATGTCAAAAGAATTTGACGTTAGAACTGATTCTTTGACAAGTAGAATTCATAGCACATGCTTCGACAGGTGAGTAACGTTTGCGAACTGTTCATGTTAAAGTGCAGGTAAATAAAGACATGGTCAGATTAAATCTGTGAAGGGAGAAGATAATTTTATTCTGTATTAGCCCATAATTGAAGGGGTGTGGGTGTGGGAAAAGTAGTAATAAGTTACTTTTGGTTTGATGATGATGTTGACATATACGTGTATAACAGTTAAAAAAAAAAAAGTAATCTAAAAAATGTCACTAGCTTGGTGTAAAGAATGTACTGTTTCATAGAAAATGTTCAACTCTATAATTTTTGAAAGCGAATGGTACTACTGATGAGCTGATATTACTGTGAATACACATATAAAAACTTTAAAAGTAAGAATAATAAGGTGAAGTAGGAACAATAGCATTAGGCGTTGTTGCATTGTCAATATATTGCTGATTGGCGCTTGAGATATGCTGTTGTGGTATGTTGGAGTTGCTATCTATGTCATCATTGTCTTCATCCGCGTTATCTTCCATGATGGTCATGCTGAACCTCCCACCGGTGGCCATTAACGTCGAATTTGAAGCAGTAGCTGTCATTCCCACTACGTCGACTACTGCAAGTGAGTTGGATTTAGATGAGATTGAGTAAGTTGATATCGAATCGGATGAATGTTTAAGTATACATGGTAGCTGCTGCTGCTTATTGGAGCTATTAATATAGAGACTGTTGAGATTTTGATCTGTCTGTCTCCTCTTTATTGCACGTGTACCATCGTCATAATTTAGGGTAGGTCTTATTGTTGATGGGCTGTTATGGCGTTTTCTTGGATTATTATCACTTGATGTTTCATTATTGGTATTGGTAAGAATACCAAGTGTAAAATTAGAGGGCATAGTATTCTCCACAGGTGTTGGAGGGTTCGGCTGAGTAAGCGTGGTGGGTTTGCTGTCATTTATATGTGTTAAGGTAACTGTGGCAGTTTGAGAGTAATTAGTAAGCTCTTGATTTCCTTTACTATTGTCCATAGAACAAAATGAAAATTCTCTAAAAGGGTCTTCTTCCTCTGCGCTAGGATTTGGAATAGCAGGAGTAGAATAATGAACCGAAGATGACCGACTGATACGTGTGGGCATTGAAGTAAATGATTCATCAAAATTTGATACATCCTCCTCTGAAGTAATCGTTGGCGTATAAGGCGGTGTCAATTGCCGCTGCTGAACCATATTCCAATCAATAGTATCAAAATAAGGGTCTGACTTGATATCATCAATTCCATGCTCTCCCCAGCCTAATCTTTCAATGGGTTCTTTTTCTAAAAGCTGTATCAGTAATTTACAGTTAGTGCCCGATTCCAATGATACGAGTGGTTACTATTGCGTAGCGAAATTGAATATACTTTACTCCAGCTAAAAAGATTCTAGTAATACGGTCAAAGTTGGGTGGGAATGTCAAAGGTTCTTCAAGAACCCTTCTATACATGTCCATATGCTTCTCTGCCCAAAAAGGTGTCTATCGACATGTGAATCAAAAATAAATCGGTTAAAAATCGAAAGCTTTCCCTTCTTGCTTTTCTCATTCTCCTCGCCCTTTTTCACGGAATATCAATCGTCTCGATTGGAGCTCTAGCACACATCATAAGAATTGAAGATTCATCTACTTACTGTTCCTGCCAACATTTCATAAAGTAAAGTCCCTAGACTCCAAAAATCAACTACAAAAGTATAAGGTTCGCCAATCAGCACTTCGGGTGCTAGATATTCCGCTGTACCACAGAATGTACGAGTAGTAAGTTCCTCTGCATCACAACAGTAGTACAACTCATCTTTGTCGTCCAATGCTGTTACTGCTTGTTCCTGTTTTCCTGCGAAGAGTTTAGATAAGCCAAAATCAGTTAAAACAATATGTCCATCTCGTCCAATCAGCACGTTTTCCGGTTTCAGGTCCCTGAAAAATAAAAATAAAAACCAAATCAGCTGTTACCATCCAGTTCATAGGATTCCATTAAGCTTGCTTAGTGCATATTACCTGTAAATAATGTTATTTTGATGTAAAATCTGTAAGCCTTGTATAATTTCGGCTGCATAAAATCTTGCTCGATCTGCACTGAAACAGGAGAAAATAGATAATTGAGTTGCTAGGTCACCACCAGGATAATAATCCAAGAGGAAAAATAGACAGGAAGAAGTTTGAAAAAGTTGATTGAGCTGAGCAAAGAAACTATTACTGGTGCTGCCACCATGACTACTACTGCTACTGCTGTGCTGTTGTTGCTGCTTCTTTAAAAGAAGCAGAATATCTCTCTCTGCCTTTGTATGCGTCACTTCGTTTTGTTGTATGACCCATTTCTTTTTAATACATTTGAGAGCGTAAAGTTGTCGGTTATTCTTTTTTTTTGATCTTGCCAGGAAAACCTTTCCCATACAGCCTTTTCCTAATACGCGGATAAGGTCTAAATCTTCCAAACCTAATGGTATGGATGCTGAATCTGTTGTTGCTGCTGTTGTTGTTGTAGTCTTGATTGCAGTATCTGTAAGCCGCTGTATCTCATTGTTTACAGTAACAGTGGTGACAGCAGCACTATGTGACCGTTGATCATATTGCTTGTCTTGTAGTAATACTGATAATGATGATGTCGACGACGATGGTGAATTGAGTTGATGTTGCGGAATGGTAGAAGCAGCTGTAGAAGTCGTGGTCATTTGTTGTTGTGGTTTTGTTTCCTTCTCCTTCTCTTGTTCGTGAGAAGTCATAACGATATGACTCAATTGACTATTGTTGTGAAGACTGCCGGATGACTCTTCATGTGAGTTCTTATTGTTTTGTGACGATGGCTGCTGCTGATGGTCACTGCTATTATTGTTTATGGTAGGCGTCAAGGTTGTAGAGGTATAGTAAGACGTTAGAATGGCATCTTCATCACGCTGAACGCTCGTAAAATCCCTTAATATGGAAGAGAGGCTTACGACAGGATGCTGGAAACATTGTAAAAGATATTTCTCTACTTTGTCAGCATTTGTTCTTTTCTTTTTCTTATGAAAGGGTAAAATGATAAAGTCCCGTAAAGAACGACGATTTTTTGTTTTGCCTGTAGTAGTTGATGTTGATAAAGAAGATGAAGAAAATTGATGTTGTTGCGGTTGGGATTGTCTATGTTGCTGTTGCTGCTGCTGCTGCTGCTGGAGATGATGATTTCGTGGAGGATTGTTAAGGCTTGGAAATGTAATTTTCACTTTTGGGTAATGCTTACGAATCTAATTATAGATACCAGGGTTGAGTCAGTGAATACCAATATTGGTCATCACGTAATCAAATATACCTTCTGATGAAATTCCAAAAGATCGGAAGGATATCTAATCAAAGACACAGTTGAGCCGGAATTTTTTATAATAATATTAAAAACCTAATATAACAATGTGCAAAGCGTAAATACAAGTGTATCTCATTGACAAACCATTGCTATTGCCTCGTAACATACTGATAAGGTGTTGTGTTGTATAGTAAGTAATGATTCAGCTACTGTTACAAATCTAATCCCTTCAACAGATACGGCACCTCTTTCCGGCATATTAACGAAAGGATTGTTGTAACTGTAATTTTGAAAGAGAATGCTTTCTTTTGAAAAGAGCTGCTGTTATTCTGTCAATTTCGTGATGAAGACAAAGGAAAAAATCGTTCGATGAAAACTAGAAAGGGGAATAAGAGATATTGGTTTCGTTAAAGTAATGAAAACAAAGAAAATTGTAGCAGTAAGACTAGTGCCCATAAATAGCGATATTATCGAACTTTATGTTGATCTGCATGAATTCCATCCATTCATGGATCAGGCATATCTCCTTCTTCTGCTTTAATTTATCTTTTGGCTTAGCTTCAAATGACTAGTTATGTATATTGTATATTTGACTTCCCTTAACAGTCGACACTACTCCTCTTCTATTAATAAATATCACCAAACTTATGCAATCCCCTTCAACGATGTATAGCAGCTATTACAACCGTTGTAATTGAAGGCATCCTCTCCCTTTTCAGGTGTTTAACGTTTACTATTTATTGCTTTGAAAAGTCCAACGACTCCCTAAGTGGGGGAGAGCAAGAGTTGTATTAAAATTCATCATTATATCAAGTGCCAGCTGTAAGATAAATATCTCTCACGGCACAAGGACGGCCATTAATTGCTATACAAAATACCTACTTTGGTATGAATGAGCTCAATGTTCTGCCAATTGCAAACGGGCGCTTGTCTCCATGATACAGCAACCCGAAAAAGCATTGTTCATTCGTGGCACGCACTCAAATGAATCTTTTCAACCTTTCATTTTCTCGCCTATCCTTGTTAGCATAAGAAAAGGTTCTGTTTGAGCTATTGAAAGCTTAGAACCAGAAGGGGTGATGATAAGTAGTGAAGCAGTTTATCCTTCTATAAAAGGTAATGCCGTCTGTTGCCACAAGGGTATCCTTTTTACTAATTCATTATTGACCCTCATTAAAACAAACACTATCAATAATCTTTCTTTCAAAAAGTCGTTACATGTTTAGTGTAAGCTTGAAAATAGTAGAATCATCATACAACATATTGTGCTATAATTTCCGTTTTTGAATGGAGCATTTATCACAATTGCAAGATGTTCGAAAGGTTGTTTCAAACGTTTATATATAGAATTTTCAAAGTGATCTGCTTGAAATCCTCTTCACGAGAGCCCATACTGCTCCCCATTGCTTGAAAGGGCATTGAAATACACCAACTGACATGAAAGGGAGGGGGCTGAAAGTTGTATAACAAGACCATGTTGCTGCTACCCCTGAAATTGAAGCCGCTCCTTCAGCGTTCATACGACGTTTACAAGACAAATCTTACCGAAGCTGATGATTTTCATTTTTTCTCCCACCTTGGCGAAAGAAATGCAACTTCCTAGCGATTCAGGAACTTTAAAGCAAACACAAGTCTATTTTACATATCCTGACCTATTTAAACATTAGGAAAAAATTGAGAAAATGAGGCCTATAATCCCCTTGATCTGCATGGCTTCCCAAATGGAAGTCTTTCTTTCTGAGGACTGTAATTATCATCCGGGTAGTGGTGGGTTAGCAGCATAGGAAGGCTTTTAAAGCGTGCGCATAAATCAATCACTCCAGAACGTTATTACTGATTAAAAAGTAATAGAGAATGGCTTCTCTACGACATCATATCATAGATTAACATCACAGTACGACATATCTTTAAATAAGTGTTTTAATGCTTGCTAGTATGTATTATTTTGACAATTACCTGCTAGAGGAAATTACACTGCCACTTCCTTCCATTCAGAACAGCATCAGCGACAGTAAAAGCACACAGCATGATCCTCACACGCACAAAATGCGACTGGTACAGTACATCAACAATGAGAGTGAACCATTGTTGATTTGATCGCGCGTTTTTAAATTCAGCGAGAATTGTTCAAGACTTTCCATATAAACATACATTAACTTCTGGTAGAATGCAATAGCATGAGAGAAAGGAAGATTATCGAATTGTTATAAAAGAACGAGTCATTAATTGACGATTATGTATACACATCTTACTGTTTCCGAATAATGATGTACGTATAATGGTTTTATTTAAGCCCTGATATACTCTCAAATAAATACACATTATACAGATCGACTTAGTATAGTTAAAAGCGCTTTGTTCTATAAACTCGTCAAACCTTAAAATAACCGCATTTCGTCAGTTTATAAGCTACATTTAGTTTTCCACATGCATTAGGGTTATGAGTATTACAAGCCCTTTCTCTGATTGTAGCTCTTCATGCCGAAGCATCATTGTTATACAAGATGGTAATGATATTGTGAGGTCGACCTTGGAAAAGTTGTGCAAATGAAAGAAAACTTAGTTGATAGTCCTTTATGTTATAATCCCTCTAGTCAATCCGACTCTTATCTTTATAAAAGAAATAGATTACAACAAATTGGAAATAATATCAGATGTATCTGATTATGGAATATGAGTTGTTAGTTATATCATCGAATTCTCTGTAAAGGTGTGCCAATTAAAAAAAAGTTTTTACCCTAATTCTTACTCAGCGATGTCGTCTGCTTGGTTTAGACCAAGGTTTTTCCAAGTAATAGAAATCCTCTTGGCCTTTTTGATTTTGGTGATTGTAGTTTGAGCCATGCATATGACAATACGGTGTAGAGCAATTTTTATGCTGAAAATTTGATTAAGAGTATATCCATAATCAAGTGTGCAAATTGATCACAACATAATAGCAACGGCTTTTCAGTTAACAGGACCCCTATTTACATCGAAGTGCAAACACATTGATCTACTTTTATCCCATTCTCATTGGACAGATTTTGAGATGGATAAACGTTTCATGATGGCGACGGAGACGGGTTCCATTTGGCTCCGAAAAATTACGTAAGGTCTACGAGAAAACGATTAATCAAGCTGTAAAAGAGGGGTGATGATCTGCTGCAAAATGTTCTCGTTAAGGGTCGAAAGCAACACAGCGCAATGCTTTCAGATAAGCATCATGAAAGTCGAGCAATACATGAGTTGATGGTAAGTACTGTGTCAACAATTAATCATTAAATATAGTAGTCATCCCATCAATTCCTGACGTTAATAAACCTGCTATGTATTCTTCGACCTATGACTATCCATTGCTCTTCATTGCTATAGAGTAAACAGCGTAAATGACATATGGCTGACTCAAACGAAAACGTCTATGACTCGTCATTGTAGACGTGCAATAATAGCTTTTCGAGTAATTTTACAATAGATAATCCATTGGTACATGGGATGGAAAAAGCTTTACCAAAATCTGGAAACAGATTGCTTGAATGCAGATAGCATCCCTGTTGAACGATGCAATATATAAGCCTTGTCTTTGAAAGAATTGGATTATCTCTTCACAAATCACTTTGACAAGTTGGAAAGCATTAGAATATTAGCAAAGAAGGTGAAAAAGCGATACAGAAAGGGAAACTATAAACAGCATGGCATATATATTCGATGCTCGACACTTGATCTTTGTCCTTGAATAATCGACACACCCAACTTAAATTGCCTTACTCGTTTCTTACGTAAAGAACGATGGGAAAACGTTAATGAGCTAAAATGGAACAGCTAATAGGTCGACGGAGCAAGCCTAATCAAATGTCTCTTCTGCTCCATCATGGTAAACGGTAATATACACTTTCACTACTAATAATTATTATGTTACTGATTCATTGAAGCATCTGAGGTTCTTATTCTGATATTATATCATAAGCATGCACTTTCGTAGATGCATATGCTCTAGCAGAAGAAGAGGATCAAGCTTTTATAATTTACTTTTTTGTCCGACATAAGCATTCCGTTCAGGGTAGGACCCTTTTTTTTCGCCTCCTCTTCGTCATAGGAAATTGGGAAAAAAAAGTCGTTCTTTTCTAGGCTGTAAAAACGGGACGAAATTTAGACGAATGGAATATTGCTGGGAAGCAAGTTTTTTATAGGCGACTTTTCCCGGAAAACCCTTTTCCTAAAGAAATGAAAATAGAGGACCCTGAATGGTATGCTTAGACAGGTTTCAGTTATGTAATTACATAATATATCTTACCAATCAACAAGCAGGACCCTTGGCTTATCTAAGAAAACTGAATATTTGAGTTGTTTTCGTATAGCAGGTTTCAGAAAGTCCGTCCCGGTCACGCATTTTTCCTCTTCCTACAGCGTTACATATAAAATGAGCAACTGTTTTTCCATCACTGGACCCCGTTTTTTGCTTTTTTTTTTCCTTTCTTTTGCTTCATTGATTACTATTTATCAACTTTATCAAAATGGCTACCAGTGCTAGTGACAAGATTTACAAGATCATCAATGCCAGACTCTTGATCGACCACAAGATTGTTGAGAATTCCTATTTATGGTTCCAAAACGGAAAGATTATTCATCCTCAAAACCTTTTCTTCAATGAAATGCGTGATGCCGATGAAATTATTGATGCCAAGGGTCTTTTAGTTGTTCCTGGTTTCATCGATACTCAAATCAATGGTGCTTACGGTATTGACTTTGCCGATTATGAAGAACCTGAGGAAGTCTTGAAGGCCAACATTGATAAGGTTGCTAAGGGTCTTTTAAAGTATGGTTGTACTGCTTTCTGTCCCACCGTTGTCAGCTCTGACGCTGCTGTCTATTCTAAGGTAAGCTTATCATAAATAATAAAGTCTGCGAAAAGGAATAGAAGTGAACGGGTAGTGCCGGTGAAAAGTATAGCGTTGCATGTGTTGAAATTTTCTTTTTTTAACTTACACTATGTCTCTTTTTTTCCATTTCTCATATGATAGGTTCTTCCTTTGTTGAACCGTCGTAAGGGTTCTGCTAAGGGTGGTGCTGAAATTTTAGGTGCCCATGTTGAAGGTCCTTTCATTTCTGAACAGAAGAAGGGTGCTCACAAGCCTCAAGTTTTAAGAACTGCCAAGAACGGTATCAAGGATTTCGATGAAGCTTATGGTCCCGAACTTAAGAAGGGTAGCGAAGCTGTCAGTATCATCACCCTTGCTCCCGAAATTGAAGGTGTTTGCGACGCCATTCCTGACCTTGTTGCACGTGGTATTACCGTCTCCATGGGTCACTCTTCTTGCCGTATTGCTGATGCCGAAAAGGCTGTTACTAAGGGTGCTAATGATATCACTCACTTGTTCAATGCTATGCCTGCTGTAAGTGCACTCAAATTTTTCAAGATGATTTCAATCCGCGCGGTTAAATTTTTTTTCTAATTTTCTATTTTTTTTTTTTTTTTTTAATATAGTTCCACCATCGTGATCCTGGATTGATTGGTATTCTCGGTGCTGCTGATTTGCCCATCCCTGAAAAGTCCAACAGACATCCTTCTCCTTCTCAAACCTCACCTGATCGTACCAAGCCTGATCCTCGTCCTTTCTATGGTATCATTTGTGATGGTGTCCACGTTCATCCTAACTCTGTTCGTATTGCCTACTATTCTCACCCCAGTGGTGCTGTTCTTGTCACTGATACCCTTTCCGCTATGGGTCTTCCCAAGGGTGAGTATGTTCTCGGTGGTTGTGAAATTGAAGTTGATGAAAAGGGTGGTGCCTATCTTAAGGGTACCAGAACTTTGGCCGGTAGTACTGTCACCATTGATGAATGTATCCGTAACTTCCAAAAATTCACCAACTGTCCCTTGGTTGAAGCCCTCGAAGCTGCTACTCTCCATCCTGCCCGTTTGTTAGGTATTGATAAGCAAAAGGGTACTTTGAATGTTGGTGGTGATGCTGATTTGGTCTTCTTGGATGACTCTACTGGTGAAATCCAAGTGAAACGTGTCTTCGTTGCTGGTGAAGAAGTTGAATTATAAGATGCTTCGACTCCTCTCTTCGTTCCACTCAAGGATCTCTTCTAACGTATCATATATATATATAAACCCATCCATCATTGTCACAAGCGAACATTGCATACTACGCATCCGTTAAACAACTCATATATACTTCTCGCTTTTATACTCTTCACTCTCTTTAATTCTTAGAAATATTTTGTGAAAAAGATAGTCCCTTTTCACCTTTTATTTGTACTTTTATTATGTATTAAACTTTTGTTAATTTTGGTTTCTAGAATGTATACATATCTTTTTTGGCTTTTGTCGCCTTAGCGTGTCTTTCTAAGTCTGCCTTTTGCTTTTTTAATGCTTGCAAAGTTTGTGTTGCAGCTTTTAATTTGGTATGAAATTGTGTTTCGAAAGGTGTTCCTTTATTTCGTCTGTAGGCCTCATTCGCATGCACATAGTTATATTGTGCTTTATCCACATCCGAACTTATTTTGGCTATCATTTGATTTGCCTCTCTTGCATCTTTTGGAGTTTTCGCTTTTCGTTCTGCTGTTGTTTCTGCCTTTGGTTTGACTGCTTTGGTTTCGTCCTCTTTCAACAACGTGTTCATGAAAGTAAACATGTCAGTTTCATCTTCTGCTTTTTCTTTTTCCTTTGCCTGTTGCTGCTTAGCCTTCTTTTGCTTATTTCGTTTCGCCTTTCCCCGCTCTTCGTTCTCTTTAGTATGGTTTAGACCCAAACCAGGGCGACTCTGATCTCCCCCTTTGAGGAACCTTATTTTGCCGTAGGGTTTGGCTTGAATGGGTTCAACACGCCCTTCTCCCGATGCGCCTAAACCTTGTCCTGCAACATAACCCATCTTTTCCATCATTTTTGTAGCAAATCCAGTGGTATGAGCTTGCCAGCTACCGAACTCATCACTTACTATCGTCGGTGTCTTGAAAATTGCAGGGTCTTCTGTGTCATCTTCTCTGTCGCTGCTACTATGATCCTCCATAGCAGAAGATACTGTATAATCTGACTCACTCCATTCCTCCTCTTCAGTCAACATATCATTCTCGTCGTTTCCCTCCAGTGTTTTGAAGGGCAAAATATGTTCTATGTCCACACTAATGGTACGCTTTCTCACCTTTCTCATACTACGGTCTTCATCCTCATCATCATCATTGTTGTCGTCTAATAAACGAACACGCCAGCGTGGTCCGTACGTCTGATCGATAATCTTTCCTAACTGCCAAGCCGTCGTTTCGTTTCGATCCTCTTTGCACCATACTTTTCTACCATATTGTAATTGTTCCAACATATTTTCTTGCTCAAGTATTTCGAATGGCAAAAGAAAATCAGCAGGTACCGTATAACCATCGTGAAGATACGGACAATGTTCGCCATGATTGCAGTCGTTCGTTCCTCTTTCAAGCTGCTTCGGACACGGTATCGTCTCCGTAGTGATGGGTATCAAAATTAGTACTTGAGCATACTGCTGCGAGCTGTTGTCGTCTGATCGATGACTGTGGTTGTCATTACTCGAACTGTTGTTACTGTAGCCGAGAATGATAGCTGGTAATAGGACAGTGTAGGATTTATACTGAAAAGGAATAGCGCATTTTTCTCCCACAGCATAAGGAAGATCGTTGGCTACGGTCCCATGGGTGGCTGATGGCGAAGGTTCAGTTGCTGCCAGTAAATCGTCGTTGTCTAGCAACGGCGCTGAAGGCAATGCCATGGTGGTAGTTGCATCTGAACCGGTCGTTGCCGTTGTGGATATAACGGCACGGTATTCTTCTAACAGTTCTCGCAACTCTGGTGTCAAATCGTTCTCACTTTCTAACAGCTGTAAAAGTTCGTGGTCATTTAACTGTGTCAAATCAATAGTACCACCATTCGTCTCATTTAAATCCATAATTTAGTAACATAAAAGCCCTGTAAAATATGAGTACATTGTCTATTTTTTGAACCCGTTTTTTTTTTTTTTTTTTTTCTCTTTCTTGTAAGCTAATGATTTGATTTTGATTGGGACAGTCTATTTTATGCAAATCTCTTAAAAAGATGATGCACTCAGCCGTTTTCCTAACGCGCATTCAAAATAGATAAAGATATGTGAATAGTATATCAAAAAATCAGCTGAAAAATAAACAATATATTCATTATGAATGGAGATCTTGATTTATTTAGCGTATGCCTCTGTCAAGTATAAATTTGAATATTAGAAATCTGAGCAGCAAAGATGAATCAGTCAATGCTAAACATATTCAAAACGAGCACTAGCGCTTTTATAGCAGAAAGAGCCACCCGAACGTAAAAAGAAACGCTGGTGGTAATTGATAGACTGTCCTGAATAGAGTCGAATCGGAAAGTATCAGCAAGATTATTTATTGTACTTTGCTAAGCAATGTATTTTACACATGAATTCTCAACGGAGACAAGGTTCATGTTTCAGTTTCGTTTGAAAAAATGAGCCTTCAAAAACATAGGGTAGAGTTTTATTGAATCAAAAAAAAAAAAAAAAAAAAAGAATAAAATAATAAATTAATATGTGTATAAAAAAAGATATAACGATGCGCAACTGTATGCGCGTAAATATTAGAAGAAGATATAGAATAAAGAGGTGAATCTAATAATATGTGCAAGTACCGAAGTAGAAGATTCATTGTTACGGAAAGAAGAAGTAACTGTTCATATGCTTTTTCAAGTACGCTTTTAGTATTTGTCATAATAATTATCGGTAGTGGCAGGTTGTCGCTTTCTACGAAGCCAGCAACCCAAACCATAGTAGATAGTGGCGAGTAATAGCCCTAATAAAGCACCTAATGTCATCCAGGTACAGGGTCCAACATTACCAGAGTAGTCATCGACAGAGTTAATAGCAATATCCACGAGTTGAAAAGCACAAATAGCCAAGATGACGAAGCAAGCCAACAACACAAGAAAAGCAAGGCCTGAAGCAAGAGAAGCGATAGAATCTGTAATACGATTGAAATGGGTGCAGACGGAAAAGACGAAAGCAAATAAGGTCAGAACAAAACTAACCCAGTAAAGAATGAAGTTGACAACGAACATCGTGTTGAATTTGCTGTATCCATTTACTATATTTTGATCAAGGCCTGCTGCTCGTGCTGTTCATTATGATAGATTCACGTTTAGATGGTTCATCAATATCTTTTACATCTTGTGTCAAAAAAAAAAAGGACCATGTTTAATGTATACTTACTCCAAACAAAAGCACCTTTAGGAGACGTACACTCTGTCACTGTGCCATTGAAACCATGACAGGCGTTCCTAGAAATTTCAAAGCGAAACAATGTCAGATGAACGCATAATATTGCGTTGATAACGTAGCCTCCTATTCTTCACTCACCATAAACTAAAGTTTGTAAAGTCTTGTTCGTTTTTTGTAAGCTGAGCAATATATAGATTTCTGAGGAACGCCACGTTATACGTGTTTCCTAATAAGGTAAAGAATTGTAATATAAGGGCACAAAGTGTAAAGATCGCTGCCAGATATTTGAAAAAACTAGCCCAAGATGCCATTCTTTTACTGAAATAGTGTGAATGATGTTGAGGTAAGCGTTAATAAATCAGTAACGAGTGTGAGAGAAGAGAAAAGAAACAGCAGGAAAAGAGAGGAAATTCAAAAGCGAACAATAGGGCAACATCATCCTTTCTGAGCTTCTTTTTATTGTTAAATACCTTTAAAAACCCAACATTTAAAACCTACTACTCAGTTTCAAAGTGCATAGCCACTGAAAGAATAGATAAAAAAAGAACAAACGCAATTTGATGGCGACAAGGAAGCAGAAGAAACAATTTCATATAACTTTTACAACTGAAAGCAGTTGGGTAACAATCTGCTGACGCGCTGTAAAACTTCTACTTTTGTTTGTTGAATCGACAGTCCAGGAAGGACTCTTGATCCAAGTCAGGAGTTTGCCATTTTTCGGAAACACTTATTACTTGTGCTTGATATAGTATATCTTCACGCCTACGATGACAGGCGTAATAAGTAATTTAGCAGACAGAAAAGTCCTTTTGTTTTGCTGCATTTGGTTGGCATACGCCTTTTGCGCGCTTGTCAAGCAGAAGAAAAAAAAAGAAAAAAAAAAAAAGAAAGTCTCGTTCAACCACAGGTTTTTCTTGATTCAAATCACTATGTTCTACCTTGAGACAACGTAACACAGGAAATAATTTTTAGCCTCCACTCTCGGATCTATCGAGCATTAGAGAGCTTTGTGGCGATTTTATTCCATTTGACAACGGGGAAGCCGTAGCTTTAAGGTACATCTGTTTCTATTAGTATCATGTATATTTCTCTTTGTTTGAGAAGTGTTTTCCAAGGCAAACGTAGTAACGGAAACTGCAAAGTTTCTTGTTAAGGAGGAAGTTCAACGACATAGCATTATTACATATGTACGTCTGTTATGGTTCAAATAGTTGGCTGGCTTCACAGTAGGACCATGAATGTGTGGAAGAAAAGAAGGTTCAAGGAAATCGACAAAAGCGCTTTGACGTGCTCAAGTTTTATTCGAAAGACTGAACGACATACCCAGAACAACAACCCTCATACGTCTGTAGATGAATTGATGCTCCAGTTAGGCTTAATACAAGTTATATACCGTTAGCAGCATTACAATCTCAAGTCTTACAAATTAGCCTTTCCTTAGCTAACAGCTCTCACAGCATTCATATCATTAAATGATTTGCACCATTTTAAGTTCAAAGATCTATGACTAAAGATTGACTGCTCGAGCCTTGACAAGCAGCATAGAATCCATTACCTGTGAAACAACTACCTTACCAATTGGTAAACATCTTGCCCGTAATACAACAGGCAAAAGTAGAAATGTAAGCGTGATATGGGGTGGGGTTACAGTCGGTTAAAAAGAACAACTAAAACTGATATTGACTGCTTAAACCAAGCACAGAGCAATAGATTGAAAAATTCTCTTTGTAAATAGAGCGTCACCGTCACCCACAACATTTTCTAAGCAGTTTGATGCTACTGATGTAGGTATGTCACTGCCTTCAATGAAAAGCCCTCATTATTTTTCATAGTACAAACCCCTTTTCATCAAAGACTCGTTTGCCGACGTCTTGTACAGATTTAAATGTTCAAAAAAAAAATCAAAGGTATACCATCGTAGACAAAAATTTAAACGTTGCTATTGTTGGCTTTTTGCTTGACGAAATAAACAAGAAACTCTTGTATTCTTTATTACTTCCTCCAACCGATTAATAAATTAAATGCAATTGAAGAAATCAAAGCAATTTACTGTAGAAAACGTGAGTGTTCGACAATGTGTTGAAAAGCTGAACATAAGAATGCATAACAAGGTGATGAGTTTAGATGTTCAACTTGGTGTGACGCCAGTTACGTCTCTTGGAGTTCCAACTAAAACGTTCATATAAACAGAATGTGTTCAATAAATATGTCAACTTCGTCCCTGATGTACTTGTATAGCTTACCGAATCTTGGTATCAGACTTAAGACGGAACCAGTGAGGCAAAGGACGATTTTGCTTCTTGGCCTTGCCAAGCTTAACCTTGGTGATGAAAGACTTTTGGGAAGGCTAAAGAAAGTAATTGCAAAAGGTCAAGTTGCTGATTAGTCTACACGATCTTTAATGCCGGCATATTCGAAAGCTTTTTTCCCCCAATCAATGTATATTCCATCCATCCAACAAAACTGCACAGTTCCATCCTTTATCCGTTTTTTAACGTAATCCTGATATACTGTGCAATCCTTCTAGGCTTTTAATGATTGTATTGATCTTTACCATTTCGACAAGCAAGTATAATGCGTAAATAGGAAGGACTTTCGCTCTTTGCCTGTCTTGTTTCCATATACCCCTCCTCAGAAGTGAGAATGAATCAATTGACGACCTACGTTTTCGCATACCGAAATGTTCCCTGTCCGAAAAGATTCTGCGGGAACTGTCCGGAGAGTGAAGAATGGACGCTGAAATATTTATCCGGCTTTTTTTTTCTAATAAATTAAAAGGAAAACTCTTCTACATTTATCACGCAGGCTCAAAACAGTTCGTTGGTAGGTGTAATTTATTTTTTATGTGTGCAAAAGAATTTGCGGATGGAAGAACTATGATGATGCTCACATGTTTTCGTTTGCTTATTGCGAATCCAACTGCTTCTTTTAATAGTAAAACTGCTGTTGTGTTTTGGTTCAACCCCCATCATAATACAGAACTCTTCAAAGCTGACAACGCCATCTTTATCCAAGTCCACATCTCGTATGAGCGCCTGTGTCTCAGCTAAAGTAATTTTATCCCCTAAATTGTCCATCATTGCCTTCAGTTCAGGCACATTAATGACACCGTCACCATCCTTATCAAAGGCATCGAAGGCTTCTTTCAGTTCTTGTTGCTTTTTTGTAAGACGATAAGGGTTGGCTAAGGTGGGTCTCATAAGTTGCACAAATTCTTCGAAACCTATACTATCGCCGTTTGTTGATTCGCTTTTTTGAACATCGTGAATCTGAGCTCATGAGTTGAGCAAAGTCTTTCAACAGCGCTGTATGGATGTAACAGTAAACTTACCATATCAGTGACTACTAAGTTATCTACTCCTGCAGAGAGTAGCATTGCTTCCAATTCCTTGTGTGATAATCTGCCATCTTGATCTTTATCAAAGCTTGTAAATAGTTCTGATAGATCTTCTCTTTTTTTATGACTGAGAAAATGACTGCCTAAACTAAGTCTTTTCGACATTGAGTTATCTGTTAATAGTTAGCAGAGTAAAAAAAAAAAAAGATCAACAAAAATCCCAATAGGAAAAAGAAAGTCGGTTGCTTTGGAAAGGGAAAACCAAATCTTTTCATGTGCCTCTTTCCCTTCGTGGAGCTGAGCAAATCATTGGATTCTTTTTTGCTAATGCGCCTCATTTTTCATTTTACGTGAAACACGCGCCACAGAACTTTTGGGCCAACCACAACCATTTTACACAGCAACTGATCGTCCTGAACACATAGGCATTCAACGATGAAGAGCTTGTTAAAGCAGTAAAATCAAAGAGCCAAATTTACCTAAATGTACACCTCCTGATATATACCTTTATTTCTTAAAATAGTGGATGGATCAAGAATGTAAACATCCAAAAAGGTTTTTTGCATTAAGAATCACAGATTGCCTATTTTTGATCGCGGTAAAACATTCCATCCGAAGAATAAACGAATCGTTTTTTCTCTTTTTTGTTCCTCTCATCCAGGAACGCAAAAATACTATTCGTGCTTTTCTCATTTTCTCTTTGCACCACTGCTATTCACAATGACGAAACCTAATGCAGAAAACCTGATCTATATTGATGATTACCTTGACAGTAAAAGACATGAGCGAAATCATCTTTATTGTATTGGAGACGTAACACTTACCATGCATTCATTGTTCCGTGTTTATGCATCGCCTGAATAGTCGTAGAGGCACTCCAATTAGATCTACAAAAGAGCTTTACGCTATTAAAGGAAATGGATGGATATTCTCAAGGTTTTTAGCAATAAGACTTTATAAAAGAGTTGTAGCGGGAAAAAGTACTCAAACGAAATTTCTACAGACGCAACAAAGTCAACAGCTAAGGCTGCCATCGACCTCATCGATAATATTGAGCAATTTGATGCGAAGGACAGATTCACTCATTTAAAAAATTTGATAAAATTGCTGGAAGAATCGGCACAAAGAGGGAGTGAAAAGGCGGCACTAGCAAAAGTGACATCGGATGCGGTAAGAACAAAAAGCTTGTTAGGCGGTTCAAGTGGCTGTAGTAGTCTATAAATTCAGCGCCTTTTCTATGACTTTTTTCCTGTTCGACTATGATGGTTGACTATGCGAAATAGATTGATCGTCATTGCAATCGCTTGGATGCCGATCTAGTGAAATACGAAGAATTACAACCTATTGGTAGCACTCGTATTACTGCCTTACCGGGCATGGTCCCTACGTCGAAGCATTTACGTAATTATTCCCAACTTTCGGTAAAAGAGAAGATGTCTAAACGTCTGTCGATGTTTAATAACGAAAAGCAACAGCAACAACAACAGCAGCAGCAGCAGTCGACGAGAAGTAAGGGGGTTTAATTAAATTTGTAGATTGTTATACTTTACGTGTTTTGACCAACCTCATTTACTCATGGCTTCCTGTAGAGAAAAGGGTAAAGACCAATTCAAAAGAAGAAAAGATCACCTAATGGTAGGCTATCTATTATTAACAATGATCATCAGACAGGAAAAGCGATAAAAGCAATTCCTTCAAGAAGAACCAACAACAAACTGAAAAAGTAAAGTGATGTAGACCCCGTTTGAGGCGCCAATGGATGCTAACACGCCCCTTGATGACCAATAGTTCTGATTCAGATATGCCAGTGGATCCAAATGAACCGCTGTATTGCTATTGTCAGCAAATATCGTACGGAGAAATGGTTGCATGCGATAACACAGATGTAAGATCAAGTTAAGAACTGTGTGCTGAATGCAGAACCGTTACGAGAAACATACGGTCATTGACTGTTCTTTTCTACTCATGTAGTGCGAAATTGAATGGTTTCATTTAGCTTGCGTCAATTTGAAAACGGTTCCAAAAGGAAAATGGTACTGTGCAAATTGCAGTGGATATAAAGGCAAACAAAGGAGGTGAAACTTGCTTTTTTCGGCCACGCATTCTCTCAAGTATTTGCGCGTATCTTATTTAATATAGCATGATATAATAATTATTTAAAATTGATGAAAAGCGATTGTTCTCTGATAAAGAAAACGAACCACATTGGGCTTGGTGAAATTATCCAGGCTAAAAAGTCTTGATGAAAATCTGCAGTTCAATTGTTACACCTTATACAATATTAGCTAAGGTCATGTCACTTTCAAATACATATAGAATAGGGTTATGCAAAAGCTATGGCGAAAAAAGTATTTTTACGATCAACATGCTCCAGACTCGAGGGTTTGCACTAAAGCATGCATGACTTCTTCATTGTAATGTGTGAAATCCATATCCGGATGGACCATTTTTTCTGCCAACAAGTTGTTCTTTTTTCCGAAAAAAGTGTTTGTATTAGCATCACTGCTAGTATTGACCTATGTATCTATAGATGTGTGTGTGCGTGCTTACCAATTCCGCTCGTAAATATTTCAAAAGAACTGCTGTTCTTGCAAAGCAATCAAATTGTAACCAATCGTCTAGAACGATTCTGCGTTGCTTGTGCTAGAAATAGAACATCATGTTGTTTTAAATTACGATTCTTTTGGTTTTCGCTGAAAGGATATTCTTTATTGCTTACTTTGATGCGCAGATCCGTGGATAATAGAATGACGGCTACTGCATCCACAGATGCTGTTTCCCACATGAAAATCTTGTCCTTTACGGCGTTTCCTGTTTTGTTCATAACAACAGTATGGTAGACCAAAAAATCAGACAAGAGTGTATGTTGCTTTTGGAAGAGAACAGAGGATGGATGAATTTGAAGCTCAAACGACTTATTCATAAACTGTTGGGATGGGCGCAAATATTCAGCTAGCTTAGGATAAAGACCAGCTGTTAATGCGGCGTTGACGACCGGAACAGAGTAAGAATGGACATCGTACGCCTGTGGAACCTCGCATAGCTGGATGCGTGAGCGTTTGAGGTCATAGGTAGTGTCCCTCAAACGGTCATGATGACCCATTCTCACGAATCCGATACTGACAAGAAGTCCCAAATACTGGCGTTTCATATCTTCTATCATTTCCAAATTTTGCTCACTCAAAAAGTTTTCTTTACAAAAGGCCCTCAATTTCCTTCGAAGGCTTGATTTCGATACATTGTCCTCTTGTAACTGGTATATGTAGTCTCGCCAAATGGTATATGCTTTGTAAATGGTTAAAAAGTCTGACTGATAAGCTTGGAAGCGAGCTCTCGCCGCATCTGCTTCATCTTCTTTGCCAAAGGGCCGGATGAATGGACTTTTAAAGCTCAAAGCTGCAGCAATCGTCAAAATAGGATCTAAGCAGCGGAAAATAGCACCAAAGAGTATCATTTTGCCAATATGAACGTCGACTGGCAGATGAGATAAATGTGCTCCTAAAGGCGTTAAGGATTCTTTTCCATCCGTTGTTAATGCTTGGACCTAATAAGGCAAAAAAAGAAGCCGCCCACGTTAAGACAACGACGAATGCACTTTTTTCTTTTTCTCTATTTTTTTTTTTTTTTTTTTTCATGTACCTCCTGCAAGGTCAAGATGGCATTATTAATCATTTTTTCAGAAGGTGCGTCTAATGCTGCGCCAAGTACATCTCGAATACTACCGAGCTTACAGACCTTGATTCTCAAACAAAGCTCTTCTAGGGGTAAGCGAAGAATTTCAGGCGTTTCATAATCAGGCATCTAGTACGGAGAAATTTGCAATGGTTTTAGTAGTTTTTTTTTTTTTTTTGTCAGGCTATTTTATCCTCAATACAAAGGCCAACATTTACCATGGTAAATCTTTCCTGAGTAAACAGGTGAAAGCATATACCCTCTTGAACACGACCCGCACGGCCGCGTCTTTGACGAGCATTTGCTTTCGCTACATACTTTTGAAGTAAACGGCTTACTCTCTTCTTGTCGTCGTAACTGGTATAAAGAGAAAGAGACATTTGCCATGTTAAATTATGTCAAAACAGAGGGGTCCATGGAATGACTGTACCTGACAACCCTCGCCATACCGGTATCAATGACAATGGTCACATCGCTGATAGTAACACCTGTTTCTGCTATATTTGTGGAGAATACAATTTTACGAATACCATCGGGAGGTACCTCAAAGGCCTTTTCTTGGTGCTCAGAAGACAAGGTAGAATGCAGAGCAATCAACCAATATTTTTTGGGGTCGCCAAAGTCATGATGACTGGATACAAGATCATAAAGCTGTCGAATTTCGTTGATACCAGGCAAGAAGACAAGAATAGCGCCTTTATCACGGATGTTGGCCTTGGTTGTCGGTTTGTAGTGTCCGTCTGGTTCTTCTTCCTGGTTCGTGCCCGAGGGTGCTGTACCTTTACGGTGACAGATGTAATCCAAAAGCTGAAGAATTAAATCATAATTGATCTTTTTATCATCCATTCGTTTTATTGTTTTTCGTGTCTGTCTACTATACTGCGTCCCTTCTTCTTCTTTTTCTTCTTCTTCTTCATCGACATCTGCTGCACTGGCGTCGATGGTGAGTTTTGACTCTATTCTTGTGGGATCGTAGGGATCTTCGTCATCAGAGTCTTCTTCAAACATATCATAGTGAACCTTTTTGGAAGTACCATGTCCTCCTGAAACGTACACATGTCCTTCCACTAGAATATATGAATTTCACTACTCGTGAATAAGAAGCTTCCAATGGATAGGCTGAGAGGATAAGTTTACCTGTTTTGATTTTACTGCGTCTTGATGCAAAACGGGAATCCTCCTCGAGAACGTAGCCTAACATAGGAAATGAAGAGAGAGTCAAGTTGTCATTTCACTCAGTATCTTTCACGGGAGAGGGGGGGGGCGTCTATGGATGGATTACCTGTCTCCTCAATGACATCCTCCAAATAGCGTACATGCACAGGGTATGTCCTTCCAGGAACAGAAATAACAGGACAACCACCAAAATAGTGAGAAAACCTGGATGCTTCGACGGTAGCGCTCATCAAGATGACCCTAAAAAGGCAATGGCACAAAGAAGGGTTTGTTTTCACACGATATGAGCGAAAGGGAAACAGGCATAGGCTCTCACTACTTACTTTAGGTCGCGACGAACATCCATCAGCTTTTTCAGCACAATTAATAAGAAATCACTTTCCAGCGTACGTTCATGAACTTCGTCTACCACCACATGAGTGACGCCGTTCAGGTATGTATCGCTTTCTAATCGACGTAGCAAGATTCCCTGGAAAGAGAAAAAACAGTGAGGGTTTAGTTCTTTTCTCTCCAACAGGGTGCATGGGGTGGGGGGGGGGAGGTAGTCAAAGACGTTACTGTGGTGCAAAAGAGTAAAACATTTTCTGCCGACATTTTACTTTCCAGTCGAATTTGATAACCGACCATGGCATCTCGGCTGCCTGTGGATCTCGGGCGGTCACCCATTTCCAAAGAGACACGGTTAGCAATGGACATGGCAGAAATACGACGCGGCTAATTGTTTCCATTAACGTGTGTGTTAGCCTACGGTGGTTGGCGGAGGATTCGTTTCAGCATCCTTATTACCTGTGTACAGATGACCGTTCCTGGTTTTCCTGCTCCTAACAAGAGATCTTCAGCCAGAAATTGAGGAACTTGCGTACTCTTACCACTGAAAAGAGGAGAAGGTGGATAAAGCAAGAACCATTGAAGTCAGTCCTTCCGCCATTCACGACTACTATGATTGGATTCCAACAAAATGCTTACCAACCCGTCTCGCCAGACAGAATCAAGACTTGGTGGTGTCTCACCAACTCTAATATTTCGTTTCTCTGAGCATAGATAGGAAGCGTCTGTCGTTTCTCCTAAAGATGAAAAAGTGAATAACCTGATCCTATTTGGGATTCTTTTCACTTACATAGGAAAATCATGGTGTTTTACCTTCATCGAGAGATATTCCTTTTTATCCAAACGGCTTTTAAAGTTGGCGCGCACTTGAGCAAATTGTTTTTCAGATTTGGTTGGCGTCATGGCATGTTCTTGTTTTACAGTTGGGTCCTCTGTAGATAAGAGTGCCTCTTTTTTCTAAGCGAGGACAGGAAGAAATACGTGTTTGATCATCGATGGGTGATAATAAAGAAATGGCGTCTTTTTTTTTTTTTTGCTTGATATACTTACGTCGGTGTCCTCGCTTATCGAATGATAAGCTTTCTCGACGATCTCTGTCAATAAAGCAAATCTGCGTTTATCAGCTTCCAAGCGTGGTGCTTCTTCCGCCAATCGCTGAGGGGAAAGAAAATAGAGTGGTGGACATTCAGTGGCAAGCGTCTCGACAACATGTGTAAAAATAACTAAATGTGGGTGGGGCGGCTCCCACCCACTGTACCTTTTCTTCAGCCCACGCTGACCATACGTCTTGATAACAAGCGGGAAAGATTTTGTAGATAGACGACATGGGTTCTAGTTTGAAAAGAGCATATATCTGGCCAGGGAATCAATAGAAGGATCCTGTAGCGAGTCCCTACTTTTTTTTTTTTTCACTTACGGCTATCAACTGCTCAGCAGTTGGTTGAGTGGTAGCAGCCATCCCTTCTGGCAGCTCAAACGAGAGAGGTTCGGTGCTGTCATTGACGGAATGGAGGATCAAGGCGGAAGTCCAAATATTTGTTCCTCTCAACGTGGAAGTATAGGTTGACTTTCCAAGATGGTGTTTCCTACAATGCTCTTGGAGGGCGTCCTTGGGTAAGCGACGGGGGGAAGATGTAGGTAGATCGAGATCAATGATATTCCAGGCCATCGACGGTGGGTTTGTTGTCAAAGCCGCTTCTTCCTCTTCTTCTCCCATCAGTAAGCCTCCAAAGAGCCCTTCTTCGTCCTCTTCCTCGTGGCTGTGGTTGTGATGGAGAGTGTCATGGTCTACGATGACGTAGGCTTCTTTTTTCAACTCTTCTCTCGCTTCTTCTTCCTGCTTTTGCTTCTTCAATAAAGCTCTTGCTTCGATTTGTCGTTGACGGTTTTCATTGGCTATTTTTTCCAGGTGTTGGTGATAGATGGCCATTGCTTTCTGTGGGTCAAAGTCCCAATCCGCTTCCAGACTGGCCATCTTGTCCTTTAGCTTTCGGATATCCTTCTGCACGCGGACCCATTCAGCGTCCGAGAGAACCTTTGGAGGGTCTTCTTCTTCTTCTTCTACGGTCGTCGTTTTTTTAGGCTTTTTCCCTTTTTTACCAGCGTTGTGATTATTCGGCGATTGCTTTTCAATGACTGAGAGTTGTAATTTCAAGGACGCGTATTGTTCATTGACGTCGATTTCCTCTTCATCCTAGGGCGGAGAAAAAAAATGAATTCCATTTTCTGATGATTTGCTCAGGCTATCCTAGAGACGAGCGTTTTCTTTCTTACCATGTAGTCTTGTGCTGCTTGCAAAATACGTGCTTTGATATCAGACATGGCTGCTGCTTTGTCCTGTCTGTCGCTACTCTGACGTTCGGGTAAAGTCACCTTGATGTCTTGTTCTTTTGTCGTTGTTATGGCGGATGGACTCGGGGTGCTTGCCTCGTTGCCATTTTGCGCGTTGTGCACTAATATCAATGCATCGTCTTCTTCGTCTTTAAAGTACTTGTCAAAAAATCCAACGGGCATTCTTTCATAAGGTACATGGACACAAAGCTTTGACACATAGAGAGAGAGAGAGAGAGAGAGAATAGCCAAGAAGGGCGTCGTATGATTAGCTTGTCCATCTATTCATGGTTACCAATGATAAATTACCCAATCGAGGTGTTCTTCTATGGTATCGGCCAAAGTGGCACTGAAAGAAGCAACTATATCGCAATCATCAAAGCCTAGTTTTAGCAACGTTCTATAAAGGACATCGAGTTGAGCTATCCCTTTTTCCTTTGCTTGTTGACTTGCACTATGATTGGACGTCAAAAATGAAGTTTTTGTGCCTGAGTTTTTTTTTGGTTTTTTTTGAAAAAAAAAAAAAAAAAGAGGGGATGGTTTTCTTTAGCATTGGCCATTGTACACAGTATAGCAAAGTGAGCACTGACCATCAAGCCGTCCATGCTGTGTGTTGGCATTGACGATTGGAAGCAATGTTTTTTCAATATCTGCAGAGAGTCGAAATTTCTTGACGGGGCGTTCCTCTAAAAGTGCTTGTTCTGAATCGTTCTTTGTCAGACGGTCCAACATGAGCTGCGCTTTATGATCGTTGAGCGATTCATACTTTTTGGCAAGGTTCAGCAGTGGATCCTTTTGTTCTTGAAGAAGGCTGCGCTTGTCCTGTTGCTCCTCGATGGTCGATGAAGCTGCTGTTGGAGGTTGTTCTATTTCAACCACTGCTGGAGTGACTGACGTGGTGGACTCGACTTTTTCGTCCGTTGTGGATGGTTTTTTGGACGGCGTCGATACAGTAGCAACACCGCGATGAGAGGCCACTTTTTTTGTCTTCTTTTTCGCCATGGCGTGAATGGATGAGTGTCAATGGCCTTTTGTTTGATAAATAGAAAAAAAGGTGGGTGGTTTGCGTGTTTTATTTGATCTCATTGAACAGCAGCCTCCTCTCTGGGTACAGTCACACAAAAGCAGCTTTTCATGCCAACCTGTCAAAAAAGGGGATGGGAACCCTCTTTCCTCAAAAACGTGTGTCTTGTTGCTTGCTTGCATAAAAAAAAACAGTTCCCTTTTTTCCCTGCAATGGATTGCCTACATGATGCCTGATGCCAGGCCCTTTTCATCTCACTTTTTTTTAATAAAAGTTGGGTTCCGCTGGACTGACGCGATTTATATAATAAACTAAAAACAGCAAAACAAAATGGCTTCATTGTACAGGATGATACATGCATATTTTATTTAAATTATATAAAGTAGTAGAGGGACCTTGACGAACAGGATAACAAAAAAAAAAATGATTATTTACAATGGAGACCCCCCCAAAAAAAAATAAAAAAAATTACAAACATTACATAATTAAAAGGTAAAAGAAAGGTATACAATAAATTAAAGAACCAAAAAAAAAAAAAAAAAAAAAAAAAAAAATTATGAAAGAATGATGAGATTTGCCTTTGCTTTTTTTTTTTTTTTTCTCTTTTTTTACGAGTGAAAGTCTTTGATCAATGCTTTGATGGAATCGATTGTACCAAAGACGCAGCCAATGATACCCAAGAATAATGTTAAAGCACAGAAAGCAAGCTCATACCAAGGCTTATTCCTGACACCTGTTAATTTCAAGTAGCATAAGATGGGTAATAAGAAGACTAAACCGCAGTTGGCAAGAGCGCCGATCAAGCCCATAAAATCGTCGAAATAGGGAATGAAAACAGCCAAGATAACGAGAATCACCATGGTGCATGTACGAATCACAGCACGAGCACACCAGGCCTTGAATTTACCTAAACGTTCGTCTGTGGCATGGACCCACTCTTCGAACTCGAGAGAAAAGGAAGTGGTGTAGATAGGAATGGCAAAGATAACGTGAATGGTCATGACGATCATCGAGATGATTTGCGGAACACTGCCGGCGGGAAGAGAGCTGTAGACGGGAGACTTTGTTTCTCTACCAAACGACCAATAACCGGGAACAGCGGTGAGAAAATACAAAGCGGTACAGGTAGATAAGCCGATCGTGACAGCCCATTTCCATTGGTGAGGTTTCTTTAAGGCATGTTCGACATGCGGATAGGTGTTGTTTCCGCCAAAGGAGAAAGCGATGGTGGACAAAGCGACAGGAAAGCCTTGCCAGATGACCGAGTCGTGGACGACCGGTACTTCGGGGTGGGCATTACGGAGAAGAGGGCCTTGGATGGCAATAATAAAGACAGCGACCATGGTACAGACGGCACCAATAGCCGCAATGGCGGTGACCTCTTTCAACGTCTTGAGCACTAACGATGGGATCAAGAGGAAAACGCCCCAAATGATGGCCCAGATTTTGTAGTTCAACTCACCGGCAGTGCCTTTCAACAGAGAGGACATGTTACTGCTAGCTAATACAACGTAAAGAGCCGGACAACCAAACAGATTCAACAGATGAAGAGCGCTTGCTACAAGGTAGCCAGGGAGACCGAAAGCGTGTGTTCCGATCTGCTTATAGTCTGAAAGACGTTGGCCAGGCTTATAGTATAAACAGCGGATCAAGACAATACCAGAATACACAGCCATAAAGTAGGCCAAAAATAAGATGAGAATACCCAGCCATCCACCGTCTGCAAAAGCTTTAGGCAAACCAAGTGTACCGGTACCGGCGACGACACATACCACATTAAAGTAGGCTGTCAAGAAACTGCCGTTTCCGTGTCCATATTCGTTCACCACACTGGAGGCTCGATCTTCCTCAATGTATTGATCCTCATTGGTTGTTTCATAAAACCGTTGTTGTTTTTCAGATCTTATTGAAGGCGTATACGGTTTTTCTTCCATTGTTGTTTTTCAATCAGTGAGGATGTGTTTTTTGTATTTAACTTTATAAAATCGAGTGATATGTCAATCGATCGATTATTTGATTGGAAAAGAAAAGACGAGCGAAAATACAAAAATCAAAAAAAAAAAAGAAAATCAGATATATTGAAAAAATAAAAAAAGGAATTGCCGTTTTATATAGAACAACATTTATATTATTTATATTATTTATTTTTTTTTTTGAATCCTGGAAAATTATCAGAGTCGTACAAAGTTGAAACTTTTTTTTTTTTTTTTTTTTTTTGGTAAGATAGAAAGGATAAATTACAATTTACGCGCCGCTCCCAGAGACCCCGCATTTAAAGCTGAAGCATTTTGATTGGTTCAAACGATTCTCTAATTGTCCTCGCTTACCAAAAAGGCTTTTTCCCATCTTATGACTCTCAAGACGCAGCGATTACTAAAAGAGGCTTACCACTTTATTTTTATTTGTTAAACAGCCGATCTCTTTGACCTTTTCGTTCTTTTTGCTTGGATTGACACTAATAAAATAGCATATATCTCACGCACACACCATCATGAGAGTTTGATGACAATGGACAGGGAAAAAAGTGAAAAAAGAAAAAAACCTATTTTTTTTTTTTGACTAAAAAACAGACATTTTCTCACGAAAAACCCAGTACAAATAGTCAAACAAAGGCAAGAAGTACCAGATAAGCTTTTCCCTCTGACATCGATTTGGTTTAGATCCAGCGTCACACGTACGAGATTTTGCACCACACTAAAAATAAAAATGCTTGTACGACCATGACGATGATATATGTCCTAGCAACACATATTCGTTTATTGGATGAATGGGCAACCCTCCTCACTTTTCCTCTTCCTTTTTCCCCCTCCCCCCAATGTGTCATTGGGAAGCTGAGTTTTAATTTTCATTACCCTTTATTTATAATCTTGAGGGCGCGCGCGTCCCTTTCCTTATCTATTTATCACCAATTGTTCTCTATTCCGAGAGTTCCCTCTTATGGTAGCCAGTCCCCTTCGTCATTATCATGAGCGCTCCCCCCTCACTTTCCCAAGGCTAATTTTTAAGCTCGCAGATCATCTACACTTTTGTTACCGCTAAAAAAAGAAAAAAGAGGTAGTTTTGTCGTGTCTTTTTCATAGTACCTTTTAAACACAAAACGATCCACAGATTTGGGAAATGGGTCACCGGGAAATACCGTGTCCATGTGACCCAATTTTTTACACTTATCAGTAGTAAAAAAAAGCCAAGCTGTACCTGCCATTTTTGGTTGGCATTCATATCTTCAAAGGTCGCCAAGATGGACAAAGAAAAAGACAGTCATCCATTGATTTGATGACCGAAATCAAAATAACCATTTTGACATGAACGGGAAAAAGCCAAAATGGCTCGCCCTCCCGCGCGGTGGCGGCTAAAATGACTCGGGCAAATTAGCATAGTGTGAGAATATCTGCACTGAAAAATGTCTCTGAAACGGGGGCGCTGTGACATGGCGTATCATACGCCTTGAAAAAGTCAAAAACAGATAAATAGCCTCTCCTCTTCCCGTTAAGGGTGGCTGTATTACTAATGGCATAAAAAGCATCCTTTTATGCCAGTGACGGACATTATGCTTGAAATTCACTGCATTGCAATGCAGCCGTTTGAAACGCAATGATACATTCACGAAAAAATCTTGGCCATTCAACAAGAAGGGAACTTTACACATTCGCTTGTGATCGACTTTTCAAGCTGAATTTGAAAGTATACAGTCTACATACACCGACTCTTTTTCAATTCAGTTTACCTACTCATCCTCTGAAGACACATTCGAATCAACATGGTTGTCTTTACCCCTTTTTTTTTCCCAAAAAAGATGGTCACACACAATGTTGATGTCACTATGGAGAAATAGGAAGGTAATGGCGCGTAGATAAAAGTTGTAAGTGGAAGCTTAGGGTAGCCATCAAGGAACGAATCATTCATCTAGAAGGTATTATAAGCAATTGAATGTCCGCAGGACGTAGAGACCTCATCTGCAGACTTACCTGGGATGTGAATGCTTGGTGTGTCCTACCTGACATTGTCAACTACAGAACTGCTTTTGATGCCGTCTCGCAGAAAACGGGGTCCAAGAGTAATTACCACTTACAGCGTGCAGAATAGGCCCGAATTCAATCCCAAACGATCATAGACAATGACCGTTGTGAAAAAGGTTTTGCAAGCGAACGATGTGCTGGTTCCCTCCATGACGATGGCTAATGAAATAAAAAGCATAAGGCAATAACAAAAAAGGAAAGTCTGCAGGCCGTTGGGAGGAGATGCTCTCATGAGGACGAATAGCCAACTTGTAATTTACTTGAACAGCCTATTTTATGTCACGCTTTTTTTTTCCAACACGCAACTGTTTCAATCACTCATCAGATAATTAATTGTCTGATGTCATTCATTGCAATCATTATCCAAAGACTGTATTGATTCTCCTCCTACCGTTTGTAATTATCGTACCATAATTACATGCAAAAAAAAAAAGACAAAAAACCAGCGAATCATGAAAGACACTGACTAGGGCAAAAAGTTCAAAAAGTATAATTTCACACGCTGAACTACAATGCGAGTGGAGACTTTTTCATAGGGCTTCCAATGTGTGTTGTAATTGTTTCCCTTAAAAAGTCAGGAACGGGTATTGTCGTGCAAAGAATATTCTTTTATTACCCCACATTTTTTTTCTTTTGGACACAACTCCCGTTCCGATTGTGCACTTTTCTTGAAACCCAGTCTGAAAATGGTGATTGTTATATTCGCTTTTTGAATAGGTCAATGAGGATTTTGAGACCTTTTATTCACTCACTTTTTAGACAATCTTTTATACAACACTGTAAAGCCAAGATTTATCTGCTCTCCTATCCTACTGCAGTCAATTCATCTCAGCAGCAGCAGCAGCAGCAGCAGCAGCAGCAGCAGCAATCAGTTTGTGAGCAGCGACGCGTTTTAATTTCTTGATATTCAAGGACTACACATCAGGTCGGTTCCTCTGACTATTTTTAGTCCAAGGCATATTGTCTAGCTTATTGTATAGCGTCGGTCAAAACTCTATAGACTGCATCTGCAGATACCCCCCCCTACACTATTCCCATTGGCTGTATTCTGACCCGCTCCTTTTTCTTCAACTTTTACACGGCTTACTGCTTTCACTGTGCATCTCATATTAGCTCGAATGCATAAGGCGCTTTTCGTAAAGAGTCGATATACGATGGATCGTATACATTCATACGCCATTTTGATGAGGCTGTTCGTACACGACAACCCTCCGTCGGAAACAAAGTCATTGCTCAAAACGTATTGTTTGCATTTCAGGTTTATGCTCGTGCAATATACATACACACATACACATACACACACACACACACGCGCGCGCATCCCTTCCTTTCCCTGCCTTTTTTCGCTGAACCAGCATACTAGCAATACATCTTCTACATCCAACAAGAAAAGGATCAACGCTATCCTAAAGTATACGGGGGATGTTTTATCTAAATTTTTGATTCATTTGAAATTAAAACACAGAGCCATGTCCATCTTTATGCAGACTTTTGGAGTAATAGTTGTATTGATAAATCAAGGAGGAAAGCAAACTTTCTATACTGATGAAGCAATCTATCTCTTATCTCTTCAAAGTATGAAAGAAGTCTCCATTTTTCTATCTTTTTTTTTTTTTTTTTGCTTTTTTCTCCCGACCCCTCGCTTTAAAAATGCCACCTTATTTGATAAGAGCCAAATTTGACGAAGTAATGTCCTCTATTTATGACGAGTTGGAAGCAACCTATGATTGCTTTTATTGCCACTGTACGAATATTGGAAGAAACTGCGGTGGACTCTGTCACGGTTCTTTTCATCAATGGAGAAACTCCAGACATTTCCCGAGGCTCGAATCAGTGGGACCTAATTCAGAAGACGTCCGAAAGTTACTGGTTGAGTTTGATACAACAATCCGTACTCTTTTACGCGACCTGGAGGATCTCCGCAAGAGGAGCGAGCCGTTGACAGAGGAAGCACAGGCCTAGAAAAGCCCATGGGGAACTGCGTTGGGGGTTTTTTTTTTCAGTCATAAGATACGCCTTGTATTTTGAGCATCATCCCACACGAAAAGAATGACTGAATACTGTATGTTTTATCAACTGTTATATTTGCTGCTGTTTCAGTATCTGGCTCCAAAAACACACACACACAATAAACAAAAAATTTCTCTTTTATTTTTAATTCTTTACGAAAACTCTGCAAAGTCCATACGTGAATGGGAAAAACCAAGTCGGAACTAACCATGACTATTTACCTAAGGCACGGGGTATCCTAGCGAAAAGATGTCTATGCCAACAGACGTACTTTGAACCGTTTTGACCATTGTACCTGTTTTAATAGGATGCGTTTCTTGTTCACGAGCCCAATAAGCTTTGAAACAAATCAATAAAATCGCTTTCACAGCACTTTTTTTAACCGTTGCTATAATGATTCAATTTTTATTTCTGCAAAGTTCAAATGAAACAAAAGGCTTTCTATATTTGCTATGTATAGAATTTTTCTACTCCTCTTTTAGAAGAAAGCAGGCACTTTGTTTCATCGTTTTGGTTCAGTCAGCAGGGGGGAAATCACTGTTATTTTTCGTTTCAATGCCAATGAAAATCTATTTACTTATCTAGAATTCATCAGGCACTGAAAAAAAAAAAACCAACTTTATATATCATCTTGCCAAACCCTAGCTTAAGCATAATGAACTTGATGATGGAGGATCACCATGGCCATTGAGGAAAACCCTACCAAACCCTACCAAACCCTACATTCTAACTGATTTGATCACTCATTGTTCTATTTTCATTGTTTCATTTCGTTCCTTTTCTTTTTTTACGTTTCTATAGTTACTCCAGTTTTTTTTTTTTTTTTCTATTGTTGTGGGTGCTTCCAAATGCACAGTCAAAAAAAAAAAAAAAAAAGCGGGAAATCCAAGAACAAATCATCCTGTTTGTTGAAACCTTTCATCTTTGTTCAATAGACTCCCTGTCATCCCCTCACTCTTTTTGGATTCCTTTCTTTCTTTTATTTGCCCTTTTCTTCTTTTTTTGCAAGCTCTTTCGATCTGATTTGTTGTATAAAAGACGATAACTTATACTAGCAAGAAAAGGAATTGTCTCATTTTTCAACTAGAACAATACATGTATATGATTCTCAGCAAGCTATGACAGTTTTATCTAGTTATGGTGAAAGAGTCATTGATCGTATAAGCATGTTGGGTATGTGGTTAGCAGTAACCATTTGTATCAGAAACTTTTTTGTCTGTCTGCGCCAATATCGCAGCACACACGGCTTTATGTAAGTATCTCCCAACGGCAGCAGAAACGAGTCATGATGAGCTAAAAATCCCCCCCCCATTTCTTAGTCATTTGATGAATATGACACAAGTCGTTGTTTTATGCATTCATCGGTTTGTGTACGGCCTTGTTCCTCTTTTTGAAATCACGACGTGTGCCTTTTGGCCCTTACTTGTATCTCTATGGCATCTAAGTACGGTCATGAACAACGAGCACTTGATTTTTTTTCTTGCCTACATATCTAACCCATTGCACCCAATAATGACATTTATAGCCTATCTTCTCTTCTATGCCATCATGTTTAAACGTTTGATCATTTTAGAATCGGAGAAACATTCCATATGGATAAAGATTATTGGTGTGTGCTTGATTACCTTGAGGCTGGCTGATTGGCCTTATGAACTTGCTTTCCACAGTTTACAGCAACAAATAATGCACCAAACGGTAGTCTCGGGATCGAATTGTCATGCTCAATGGTAAGCACCTTGCACATTGTCCGGTCCATGGTGTAGGCACGCTCACAGACCCTTTTCATTCACATCCTCATGCAGGGGCACTGGAGTCATCATATTGAATTTTGTGGCAGATGCACTCAACAATCTCTTTCTAAGTGGCATGTTTGTCAGAAGGTAAAAAAAAAAAACCCAAAAAGTAAAGCACCACTTGTATACGACCTCGTAGTTCTAACAACAGCGCCTCTTTTTCTTTCTCAAGACTCTATGTTCATATGCAATCCTCTAGCAATATCATGAGCCATCGCAACAGAGTCATCGAATATGTGGCACGCAAATCCCTTATCTGTTTCATTTTGACATTCGTTGTGAATCTGATAATGAATCTTCTTAAAGTGACACAAATCTTTGGTAATCGCTCTGATGTACGTAATTCTTTTATTTCTTTTTACGGGAGTGGCAAAGGCGTTGTTTATCAACATTTTTTTTTTTTTTTCTCCATAGGCGTTAACGGCCTATTTTGAAATTGTCGAATCGACACTGTTGGTGGAAGCGCTCAAGATGGATTATCTACGCTTACCCAATCAACTGTTTTGCGAGAATTGCGGCCTGATTATCAATTCTTATGGTGAACGAAAACATAGTCATCCTCTTTATCAGCAACAAATAAACGATCAATTAAATACGATCACTCTAGATATACCCATCACCTCCACCACCACCACCACCACCACTACCGCCACGAGTCCGCAAGGTACGACTTCCAACGCGCATCCTGTTGAGCGCGTCCACCGCTGCATCACTACGAATACGACAACCACCTTACCACCGCATGTACCATCCTCCCCGACATCACGCAATATACCCTCCTTTGTAAATCAGAGATTCTCTTCAGCGGCAGCAACAGCGAACAGTAGCGTAAATCACAACAATCATATGAAAAGTACCACCCTTGATGAACGCCATCCACTCACTCCTTTATCCATGGAAGAGGAAATGGCGTGATGGGTGGATGCCTTTTTTATCTACTCTCTCACTTTTTTTTTTTTTTTTGTTTTTTTTTGTTTTTTGTATTTCTTCTACTTATTCAACTGTACCCACTCTATTTTTCGATTCATCCCCTTCATCACTTGATACCGCTCGGCTGGCTCTGTAGTGCTATTATTATTTTTATTCCATTTATTTATTATCAACATACCACCCCTTGTCGTTCATATTTCATTTCTGTTACTTACATTCTATATGTGTAGATAGGCACTATTATAATACTTAGTTTTTTGTTAACTATTAAAAAAAAAGTTAAGTAAAGAATCTAAATCCTCTTAACAAGTTGACAAAAAAAATTGAATTTACAGCTGCAAAAAGTAGATAGTCAAGCCCTAAACATTCTTGCCCTAAATTTAAAACAGAATGCTAATTGTTCTATGACAACGTTTGATCATAAAGATACTATTTTTTTTTTTTTTTTCCCTTTCTTTTTGGTTTCATTTTTCTTTCAAAGGGGAAAACCACATCATGACTATGCCATTCCTACTACGGATGAAAAGAAGCCTGGTCTGCTACGGTAAGTAAAAAGGGACAAGAGAGAGTCCACGAGCAATAGCAACTAAACCACTCCATCGTATCCTAGTATGGTGCGCTGTATTACCCACCGTCGTCTTTGCGATAGACTCACAACATCCAACCACAAGCAGCACCCTCTTTAACGTGATCCATGCACGTCGTTATACGATGAACGCCGAGCCCATACCAGGCAACACGACCATGGGGGTGCGATTGATTGACGAAAACAACAACGAAGCGATCTTTCCCCTGCGCCCCTCTTCCGTCGATCCGCTGATTCACACCCTGCAAACCAACGGATCACTCCCTCCCTCCTCCTACTATCAATATCTCATTTTGGACGAGCCACAGATGGCTATTATAGAAGCAGAACCCTTTTTACGCTCTTTGAGAGACCATCTGCCGTACGAACATTACGGACGACCCATATCACGCATGTTATCCACTTCTCCAGCAGCAGCAGCAGCAGCGGAAAATACGGCGGCCTCTTTCTTTTTTTCGTCTGCTCTACCCAGAGTGCCTTGGGAACAGTTACCTGCCCTCGTCGACGACGGGCCGCAAGCGGATGCTAAAAAAGGCGCCCATGGGGAGAATGTCACCACGAACGCCCCTCCTCGAACGCTTGTCCATCCCGTGGATGAAATTCCTACCCTTCACCTCCGTGCCCCAGTAGAAAAGATTCAGCTTCTGCACGATCAGGTGCTGGAGGATAATGTGAGCATCTTTGCCCATTTGACGCGCATCACTGTGGATGAAGTGCAATCGTTTGATCACATCAAGCTCGAATTGAGTGGACAGACGTCGCGCTTATTCAAAAAGTTATCTTATAGTATCCATCTCTTGGAGAACAAGCCGGTGCAGTCGTCGTCCTCCTCTTTCCATCACGACAACCAAAATGACCCCACCGGCGGTGGAGGCGAAGAGAGCCATCCACATCCTCATCGTCAATCGACAGAAGAGGCTTCTGAAAGTGGCCTACACGGCTATACACGGTTCAAATTACGTTCCTGTGCGACCGATCCTAGCTACATGAGAGAAAAATTATACTACGACATGCTGGAGGCTGCCGATTTACCCACCGCGAAAGGTTCTTATATCAGGTAGTAGACGACATTTCTCTTTGGCGCGCGCGCGCGCGCGCGAGGAAAAAGAACATAGACTGACTGACCGTTCGTTCTTTACCCCTTTTCTAAAAAACCAGGCTGTATATCAATGAAGAACCTGCTGGTCTTTATTTGATGGTCGATAGTTATAAAAACCCCTTTTTACAGCATGCGTTGGGTCAACAGGCACTCTCCCCCAAAAAAGACAAGCATGGAAGCGGCGGCCATTCTCCTCCAGCCGGCGTGTTAATCCAAGGAAGCATGCAAGAGAACCCCATGGCCGTTGGAAAGTTACGGCTGGGTGCCAACCTAGCCTACTATGGTCCGAACTACAAAGATTATGTAGAGCCGAGCATGAATGATACGATGGCGTATAAAATACAAGACTACGGTCATGGACATCATCCTAAAAAAGCCATGAAAGGGTTTATTGATTTTCTAGGGTTTATCAACGATGGCTATGCTACAAAAGTAGACAAAGTCGGCACGCTCCATAGGATCCTAAAGAACAAAAAAGACGATGACGACGACGACGACGACGACGACGATACTATGGACAAGCATAAAAAGAAGCACAAGAAAAAGAAACATCAGCACAAAAAGAAACATCACAAGAAAGACAAGCGTCAAGAACGAAACGAGGTAGAAGAATGGAATAAACGCTTTGATGTCTCTGGTTTTTTGAAGCAGTAAGTAGGGACCTTTTTCCCTAACTTTTCTTTTTTTTTTTTCTACTTTGAAAGAACGATGATTTCATACACTTCATTAGCCTCGCTTTTGAAATCTTGTTAGGTCAAGGCGATGGCTATTTACGTGCTGCTCATAATTACCTACTTTATGAAGACGTGCTTCAAGGGGGTCGATTCATTTGGCTTGCTTCCGACGTTGATCAAACCATGGGCAATACTTTGAAACCTGTGTGGGCTCCCGATGCTCATTATGACGCATTGAAGGCACCGTATGGGCGTTCTCCATTATCCGCGTCGTCCATGTTGTTTCTTCAGGACATCCGACAGCGTCCTCTGATTCAACGCTTATTTGCCATCGAAGAATTTCAACAACAGTTCTACCACATCCTCAATCTTTTACGCCAGACGTACTTTCCTTCCCCATTGGACAACAGCACCCATGCGAACCACGGTGCCAGTCCAACGCTCGACTATATTCACTATTGGAAAATGATGCTGGAGCGCGACGTCTACTGGGATCAACAGTTGGAGCCCTACCGACAGGACAACTTTATCCATAAGCAAGACTTGTACCAAGATGTCGTGACGCAAAAAGTATTGCAATTACCGATGGGCCAGGATTTCATGGATCGCATCCGTCGACAAGACATTGATTTTGATACAGCCATTTCAGGCCCTATTCCAAACCATCATCACTCTATCGTTGCTCTTCAAGATTGGTTTAAAGGTTATGGTGGTTCTTGAAACTGTATTGCCGTACACCCCCATTGGTTCAAACAAAGAGACTTTTTTGAAACTCCATCTCCCTTTCTTTTTTTTTTTTTCTTTTTTTGTCAACTAGAAAATGAGTGGGGCCTGGTTAACTGGGTTTTTTTTTTTTTTTTTTTTTGTTTAAACATACAATCGAATAAGGACTTGGCATATAATACTACATACATAGATAGAAAGATATACCTCATTTTTCTTTTTTATTTAATTATCAATAAGCAACTGTCTGAAAAAGAATGGTAATGACAACAAAAACGTTTTCTGCGTTATGCCTAAGGATCGTCCGTTGATTTTTTTTTTTTTCTTTTTTTGCTGATTGCTCTTTTTAGTCGGCTAGAATCATTGCACAAATTGTAGTCTCTTTAGGTTCTGTAGTGACAAGAGCTTTTGTAGCAGCCTATAAACAAGCAGCAGCCAGTAAGTGATGCAAGCATGGAAACAAGTCGATAAAGCTCTCTCTTTAACCCACTTTTCCCCCCCCCTATGGACACACATAGATGCTGCCAAGGGAGGTGGAGCGGCCGCAGCTTCTGGTGGAGGAGGTAGAGCTGGTACAAAAGAAGCAGTGATGGACGCTCTTACCCGTAAATCAGGCATTTCAATGGAAGAAGCTTGTCAAATTCTAAATGTGACAAAAGAAGCTGATTTAGCAAAACTGACAAAGGTATCTATTTCTTCTCGACACTTTTTGTGTGTAGATTCACTTTCCTCTAAACCCCGTCTTTTATTATTATTATTATGATTTAGAGCTATGAACACTTGTTTAATGTGAATGATCCTGCGAAAGGCGGCTCGTTTTATCTACAATCGAAAGTAGTGAGAGCTAAAGAAAGATTTGACATGGAAAAAGCACAAGAATTGAAACAGAAAGCAACGGAAGAAGCGGCAGCAGCAGCTACAAAAGCAGCAGAAAATACCAATCCACCACCACCACCACCACCACCACCCCCTTCGGCGTCATCATGATCCTGATAGGAACGAGACGGCAATATTATTATTTTTTTGTCCTCATTATTTAACATCTGTATCAATCTATACACATTTTTGCTTTCCACATTGTTACAACAGAAAAAAGTCAGCAACCTTTTTTTTTTTTTTTTTTTTTTTGCGCCAGAGATAGATGTATATTTTGTACTTTTAAAGAAAAAATGGGATCGTAATAAATAGTAGTAATACTCTGCAGGTCCTTTTGTCGATTCAGTAGTAGTAGTAGTAGTCGTTGAGAAATGGATGGGGGGGGGGTGGGGGAATATCGTCAATGAGTGAGTGATGGTTATTGGTTAAGCTCTGCAAGATCCAAAGGCTACAAATACCCATTCGATGAATTGTAATCAAAGGGAACAAAATCAAGAAACCATCAAAGCCAGTTCTTCTTTATATAAGAAAAGTGATGTCGTGAACAACTTACCAGGAAATCCGCATACGGAACCAACAATGAAATAAATCAACAACTAAAACATAAAGAGCGCTTAGAAAGATGTAAGAAAAGGGGCGACAAACGAAAAAGTGGGGGCCTTACCAACATCACTATGCCGATCATGGCCATAATTTTTGTATTCTTCCACCACATAGCGCGCTATGATGTTTCAAAAGAAAAGGAGATGGTTTAGAAACACTTTTTTCTCAATGCTGTTTCCTTGGTTTTTTTTTTTTGCTATCCATCCACCTTCAATTGTGTACTTCTCTTTTTAAATGCAAAAGCTTGCTGATTTAAATTGTCTGTTTTATCAACCAAGAGCTCAATCCGGTCTCCTCTTTCCAAGACTCTTTCAATGTTATGCACCATCACATCTTTGACTTGTTCAATCTCTCCATGTACTTGCTTTAACCTATCCGCACTTGGGTTGGTAGAAAAGAATTCCTAACAAAAAAAAAAAAAAAAAAAAAAAAGTCGAGAAAAAGATGTCTAAGTAACTCTGTTTGTTTGGGTTGGACTAAGGATGGACGGCGCACGCCTCTACCATTTGCTTCTCTATCACTCGCGCAAATTCGTTCAATCCATAGGGTGGGGCTTCGAACGCTCTGGTTTTACCATACGTCGATAAGAATTTGTCCTTTAAATCTTGTAAAAAGATGAAAGGAATACGTCGACCGAAAGAATCGTCTGCCATGCACATGTAAGTGATACCATCCTCGCAAATATAGTGAAACAAATATCTTTTGGGAAAAAAGAAAAGATCAGTACGAAAAGATAACCCAAGCAATTCAACTATTTTCTTTTTATTTACCTGTCATAGACGTAGGTGAGTTTGGAATTGTTGGGTGGAATCTTTTCAAGAATAGCCAAAGTAACTTGTTGGCGTTTCGTTGTTTGGGTTAGCCAACATAAAGAGGTAAGAATAAAAGTACAAATCGATTGGATGTTTGAAAGGCTTTAGAGTATTCTTTTTCATTTACCTGTTGTAAAGTTACCCGTGCTATTTGTGTGCTCGGCCAGAATAACAGAGCCTCGTGCTATCAAACCATAAATAAGTGACATTGCCCAGTGTATAAATCCAGTTCAAGCAAATAGGAATAAAACGTATAAAACCGCAAAAAAAAAAAAGGAAAGAGGAAAAAGCGATTCAATGCAGCTGTGAATAAGGAAAATGACGTCCTGTTGTTTACCCCGCATTCGGAGTTCCTAGAAAAAAAAAACAAAACAATACGCACAAGAGACCACGCAGATCTTTGAATTACAGTATCATTTTAAAAAGACTCTTTCTCCCACACGGATGGCGCGGCCCCTTCATCTTTTAGCCCAGAGGGGTCCTCAAGCTGCTTGCTGAAGAAATGGCCACGCACTTTCCAGCTCTGCAGACGATACTATTCTAATACATACAAGCAACCGATTTGGATCATATGCACTTGAATTTGTCTTTTTCACCAGCTCCTTCCGTTCCTACTCCCAAGCCTAAACCTGCTATGACAGATGGCCAGCTGTTTACCCACATTCTTATTGAGCTTGACTCTCTCCATCATCATCAGCAAGAGCCCTCCTTCCCCTCCACTCACTGTTTGACTGATGAGCCTCCTTTTCCCTCCCATCCGCGACAGTGACACATCCCTTATCACCCTTGAGCCCAAAGGGATCACTACTCATCCATTTGGATCTTGCCCCCGCATGCCATTGAGACAAGTTTGTCCTATCTCGTGTCCCTTGGGCATTCAAAATGAAAAAGTAAGGGTAATAAAAAAAATTTATTTGAACGTATCAATACAAAGAAAGCAAAAAAAAAAAAAAAGGCGTCATGAAAGACCCTCCTTTTTTATTTTTCAGCCATGATAGCTTCCACTTGATCAATTTCTTTGGGAACAGGAGTCAAATTGATGTATCCTTCTTCAGTAATCAAGATATTATCTTCAATACGAACACCACCGACAGGCTTATATTGGGCCAACTTTTCCTTGTTGATGTATTTTCCGGTCTTGGGATCATTCAACACAGGATCGATCAAGAAATCACAAAAGTAAACGCCTGGTTCAATCGTGACAACGAAACCAGCTTCCAATTTGCGGCGCAAACGTAAATTACGGATGCCAGGTTCGTTAATACGATCCACACCTTCAGGATAGCCACCGACATCATGCACATCGAGACCAAGCATGTGGCCGACTAAAAAGCAAAAGCAAAAGCAAGAAAAAAATGATCAATGGATATGGATCACAGTAGGCTGTAAAGATTCAAAAAAAAAAAAAAAAAAAAAAACAAAAAAAAACTTACCACCGTGAGGGAAGAAAGCAGCACCCACGTAATTGTCTAAAATCTCTTGCTTGTCACCCATCAGAATACCACATTCTAATAAACCGTCCACAGCAACACGCATAGCAATGCGATGAATTTCTTCATACTCTACACCCGCCTTACAAGCTTCGAAACAAGCCTAAACATCCCATCAGGGGAAAAAATAGCATACCCATTCATCGTGAATACTCGGACACTCTATTTCCACAACCCCATGGATGGAGGGGGGGGAGGCGTTTCCCCTTTCTTACCTTTTGCATCTGGAGAACAATGGTATAAATAGTGCGTGCTTCAGGGGAGAACTTGCCACCGACAGGGAAACAACGTGTAATATCAGAAGCATAACAGTTGTATTCACAACCAGCGTCGACCAACACGATTTCCTTTTCATCGTTCAAAGGGGCATTGTTCTTATTATAATGAAGTGTGGCCGCGTTCTTACCCACACCGACAATGGGATAGTAGGCCTGGAAGAAGGCGCCGTTCATATAAGACTCGTATAAGAATAAAGCATGAAGTTGGGCTTCATTGGCGCCCTTGTGAGCAGCCTTCATGAGCTTGATATGTGCGTTGGAGGAAATGTCATTGGCTTTTCGAATCAAATCGACCTCCCAATCGGCTTTGATAGAACGAGCAGCCACAAAAGCTTGATAGAGTTGTTTGCTTTGTTCAGCAGAACACAGCTTGGCTTTGAGATGGTCTTGTTTCAAAGCCTCTGTCTTTGTGATGGGTAATGTATAGATAATGGAAGCCCTCTCGAGTTGTTGGCTCATTTGGTCGACGTAGGCAATAGCGTCTGCATCGTACTTTTCCTTCATCACCTCCATGCTGTCGGGTAATCCCATCCACATGACATGATCGGGCTCGATGGGTGGTGCATATAAGGTGACTTTCTTTGTGCTCACATCAATCACCACATGAAAGTCAGGTTCAGCAACACCTTTTTATCCCCATTGCATGCATAGAAAAAAAAAAAAAAAAAAAAAAAAAAGAAAAAAGTCGTGAGAAATTCTGTAGTACGATCATGAACACACACAAAAATGAGAGTGTGTCGTCATCAGCGTAGGGTATCTACCCGTGACATAATAAAAGTTGGATTCTTGTCTGAAGGGTTGCTCGACATCTGTATCGTCTCTTTCCACCAACACTTGACCATTCAAATAAATAAGGCCTTCTTTGGCTTCAAAGTGCTTCAAGATCTTGGCAACGTTTTGACGTGTAGGGAGACGTTGTTGTGCAACCATGATGGGGAATAAACTCTGAGGAAACAGAAAAAGAGAAAAGAGGGGCTAAAAAAAAAAAAAGGGACAGCAGAAAAAAAGAAAAGAATGGGTAAAAGATGACACAGAATCAGCCCACCGCTCCGGGACTAAATGCGGGCCGAGAAAATTTTCTCCGTGACCAAGAGATGACTCATGAAACGAAAGTGAATTTCTTTACGTAAACACAAGTCATTCCATGTTCAATGAGAAGAAGTCTAGAAAAAGCAAAAGAATGCTGAAAACGTAACAAGAACTTTTATTATCTTGGTGGCATTCAGCCAAAAAAAGAAAAAAAAAATCATGAAAGACAATCGCCAACCTGAGTTTTAATCTAACACTGTGTTTATATTTTCCAGACAACTAGCCTTTTCCATTTCAAGCAAATGTACTTTCACTCTTTTTCTGTACCGCCTGGGGGAAGGGGGGGGGACAGCTCCCACATCAATAAGGCCTTCTTACTGGCTTTGAATTTCTAGGAAACACGTACCCTTCTGCTAGACACAGAAAAGCAGGTATACTTACTACAAGTCTGCTTGTCACTTTTTTCGCATGTATGACTCTTGGGAAGACCCGGCTGGAAAGACTTGCTTCACATGAAAAAAATGCTTTTCAACAGAACAAAGAAAGGTGTAAATGATTGTCCATGATACAGGTTTGGATTCAAAAAGTTGAGAATTCGCTGCTTATTGTTGCTTAAATGACGACCCAAGCTGCACCCATCGGTCTAGCTATAAGGAAAAGATGTGCTATCTCGTCATGGTACCTATGCCAAATGTCTTTTACAAAGATGCAAGGAAGAGTCTAGATACTCTATAGATACAAACAATATCAACAGATGCAATAGAGGATGATAGTGGCAAAAAAAAACCAAAAAAAAAACCACCACCTCAAGATTATGTGATAAACCTGGCCTATTGCCTCTAAAGCCAGCCCATCAACAATAGGAAATCCTTTGGAGAAAATAAATTTAATTATCAACATTAAAAAATTCATAGTCCCTTACGCTATGTTTTTAACGCTTGTTTATTGAATGTCAGTGCCTGCCTATTTTTCAATAAGCAAAACAACTGTATCCTCACAATGGTTCATCCCATAGATGAGAGTGCCTCTTTTTAATCTGTCCCGTCGATTCGGTTCCATCTGTTGTCTCTTTGATCCATCCTTGTGCAGCAATAACGCTAGCTATGCTATCTGACTTTGCAGCATTGAAACAAAAATTTTGCCCTTCTACAATAGAGCAAAGAACAGTTTCTCTGATTTAGTTTTAATGCAATTGCCTTCCGTCTCAACATTGAAGCCTTCAGTTGATTTTAGCACTGGGACTTGCTTTTCCTAAACGGTTATATGCTATAGATTACATTTAGAAAATGATTAAAACAGATAGTTGTTTGTACTGTCAAACACAAACTTTTTTTTTTAAAATTGAAATTGTCTCAATTTTTTATATACCCCGCGGCCCCATTTGTTACAATGATAATGTCATTTGTGTTGATGAAACGCTAAGACAAAAAAATAAAAAAAAATAAAATAGAAGGACTGCATAAATATTGCACAGCCCCTCCAACTTTGTCTTTTTTACCTTCTTTTCTTTAACTTGATTACTCTTTTTTTTCCATCCATTCTAACTTGTTCCGATATGCATCTCTTTAACAAGCACCACGAGTCAACGACAAAGGACAAGATAACGGTGGACCATGCTGAAGACGTCAAACCTACCGACGGAAATGCTCATAAGAAGCACTCTCCTTTTCTCCATGACAATGATCCAACAACCACTGCTGATAATGATTTACCTCCCAAGGGATTTTACAACGATGCCACGAGAACCTCTCAAAAGCCTGATACTCTTTACAACTTTGATGATCCCACAGCAAGACGTTTGGGACCAGTACCCTCGGAAGACCCTACGAACACAGGAGCTTGATCTCTCTCTCTCCCTATCCTGATTGATTCTTATGTAATATTTTGATATCCATTTCTTACGACCTTTTTTTTAATGATTTACTCTTTTACTTGCTTTTTTAATGAATCGAGCTTCAATAAAGTAAGATTTTCTCTATTCGTTATCCATTGATTTGCTTTCTCTGTCGATTGGAAGCCATAAGAAAAGAAGATTTTTTCAATGGAGAGGCTATGTCATTTATGTAATAGGATTATGTTTGGGCTCCGAGGAACGCTGGGATCGACTTGTTAAGAAAAAAAGCCGCATCGTGCGGTTACCATGTCGGCAATCCATGATCACCCCCTCCCCCCGCACGACATAGCAACGCCACGCACCGCAACATCGTCTCATCTTATCTCCACGGGCATCGAAGAAGGAAGAGGATTCTAGGGTGAGCCTAGATGTGAACACCTATTCCACGGAATACCAGATCATGAAAAGTAGAAATCGTATAGGTTGGACTGGGAGACATCCAAAGTGTGACCGTTTTCAAACCGAGAAAATTCCTGCGGTTTGTTGTCAAGCCAAAACCTTTTTTTTTTTTTTTTTTTTTCTCCCTTTCTCTCCTTGCAAGCCCAATTTCTTCAATTGAAACATGGATTACGACGACGATGAACCTCAAGATTTCCAAGAGTAAGGCCTTTATAGGAAAACCCCTTCTATTGACCGTCAAGATGGTTAACGAAAAACGTTGGCTTTCGTTTTTGTTTCCATTTTCCCCATTAGTTATGATGATCATTATGATGAGGTTCGATTAGAATGGCTAACCTAGCAACCTATTTTAGCAAACATTAGACAGCTTACCCTGCCCTCTTTTTGTTTTTATTTTATTTTTATTTAGCCGTTAGAACCTCTTGAAGAAAGCTATGAACCCACTGAATCCACACAGATTCTCGATGATGTGATGGCCGGCGCTGGGGGTGAGAATGCGACGGCCACCGGAACCAATACCACTGGAGCTTCAGAACGCTCAGAAAAGCTAACAACGCCCTATTTAACAAAATATGAAAGAGCCAGAGTGTTAGGAACACGTGCTTTACAGATTAGGTAAGTTTTTTTCCTGTGTTGTGGGTAGGATAGAAAAGAGAATGAGCTTCCAAGACTCAATGACGCATCTCGCTCCTTTTCAGTCTCAATGCACCTGTGATGGTTGAATTGGATGGTGAATCAGATGCACTTGCTATTGCTAATAAAGAGCTGAGAGAGAAAAAGATACCTTTGATTATTCGACGCTTCATGCCAGATGGAACATATGAAGACTGGAAAGTAAAAGATTTAATCGTCGATAATTAAAACAAAACGATCGGGCATGGATATTACCGAATAACTGTTTTAGAAGAAACAAAAAAAAAAAAAACAAAAAAAAAAGGGGAAAAAAACGCTTTTCATTTTTGAAAATATACATACTAAGGATGAATGATGTTATCCTGGCTGGTTTTTTTCTTTCGCTCCCTAAATCGTCATAAACTCAAGATAAATGACTTGCAGACATTAAAAGGAATTAAAATTTGGTCCGATGACATTACAATTCAGTATGGCCTTTTATAGTCTGGTCTTTTTTCAATAAAGAGACTCTATTCGTTTTAGTTTCAATGAGAAAGAGACTTATGCCCTAAAAACTGACAACCAATGGTTTTGATGGCCATACATACCATCCTACCATAGAGTTGAAAAAAAAAACTTGGGCTGGAAAAGATTCCAAGATAAAAGCTGTTTATCGTCGTGTGCCTATTTTTTCTATATTTACACACCCGCCCTCCCTCCACCCACTCCCCCCTTCTTTTTTTAATCCCTGTTACCAAATTCATTCAAAGTCTAACCCAGGACCCCCCAATGTTTTTGAGGGTCCACCACACAGCATCAAAATATATAAAAAAAAAATTTTTAAATTTAACTTCAGCCATTTTTTTTTTTTTTTTTTTTTTTTTGTGTGTGTGTGTGTGTGCATCAGTAAACCTTGACTCGGGTCCGCATGCTTTTTTTTTTTTGTTTCTTTTTTCTCTCTTATATTTAATCTTTTTTTTCGCTTTTTTTTTTTTTTTTTTTTTTCCTTTTTGAAACTTTGTAACTTTTTTTTTTCTACGTACATCTTTTTTTCATTTGTTTCTATTGTTTTCATACAGCACGCAACCGCACGAGGACTTTTTTCGAAAAAGCGAAATCTACATCATCTCATCCAATAAGCAACAGAAAAAGGGTAAGCATCTTGATGGACATCTTAAGCAAGCGTCGCGTTTTCTTTGCTACGACATTGCCAACTTTAGAAAGATGGAGGAAAAAAGAGCTGCCTGTGAAATCTTTCTTTTTGATTATCCATAAGGGATCTCCTTTATCTTTTTATCATCCTATAATGACAATCGACTGTTCCAGCTAATTCTCGCCTCTCTTTCTGTATTGATTTACTATAGAACAAACAAATAAAATTTCACCGCACAACGACCTACCACCCACCACTACTACTACCACCTACCAGCATCTTTTTTTAATTTTATAGAGTTTTAAAAAATGGCAGCGGCAGTACCACCACAACAAGTTACAGCTGCACAAAAATTAGCTCAGGTCAATGAACAAACCTGGTTAACCATGGGTAAAGGGAAATTTGAGTCAGGAGATAGAGAGAACCCTATGTCTATTGCCAGCTACTAAAAAAGAAACTTTTTCCTGCCCCCCCCCGTCCCCCTTCTTTGTAGGCAATTTGGCAGAAATGATGACAGATTATGATAAAGCCATGAATTGTTATGAATCAGCCCTCAGACACAACCCTTATTCTATCGTCGCATTATCTCAAATCGCGTCTCTTTGTCGAGGACGTGAACAGTTCGGTAGAGCTGTAGATTATTTCAAACGAATTTTGGCTATTCAAGAGAATAACGGTGAAACCTGGGCTGCTTTGGGTCATTGTTATTTGATGATGGATAACTTACAAGAAGCTTATCAAGCTTATCAACAAGCACTGTATCATCTATCCAATCCTAAAGACCCCAAGCTTTGGTATGGTATTGGTATTCTTTATGATCGTTATGGTTCTTTGGAACATGCTGAAGAAGCCTTTTCAGCCGTCATGAAGATGGATCCCAAGTTTGAAAAGGCCAATGAGATCTACTTCAGATTAGGCATCATTTATAAACAACAGCAAAAGTATGATTTATCACTTCAGGTAAAAACCGATCAATAGCTTTTTTTTTGTTTTAGTGCAATAGAAAGTGATGGGACTCATCTCTTTTCTATACAAAACTTGTTAGTGTTTCCGTTACATTCTTCATAATCCACCCAGACCCTTGACTGAGTCTGATATCTGGTTCCAAACCGGTCATGTTTATGAACAACAGAAAGAGGTAGCGTACCATTTTCCTGCTCATTCATAAGGGGATGATGTGATTCTGTTGGTGTATGGAAGGGGGGAGACGAGGAGAAAAAGGCAAAAGGATACATTATATCATTACTTTTCTACCTTATCTGTGCATTTATCTGCGCCTATCTGCGTAAATTTTTTTAGTTTCATTTACGTGCAAAGATACATACGTATATTACATGTATGCACTGGTTGTACAGTCTATGTGTCTATCTGTGTATGAATGTTTGTATGTATGGAAACTAAAAAAAAAAAAGAAAGAAAGACCTGCATGATATGGTAGAGATGGATAGTTATCTTTTTTTTTTTTTTTTTTGCTCTACATCATTCTGTCTCTCTCTCTCTCTCTCTCTCTCTTCCTTTTTCCTTTGATCTCCTAAATAGACGATAGACATCCGTTCTTAATATTATTTCTTTTCTTTTTTTTTTCCTGACTAGTATGAACTTGCTAAAGAAGCTTATGAACGTGTCTTGGCTGAAAACCCTGACCATGCTAAAGTACTTCAGCAACTGGGCTGGCTCTACCATCAACAAAACACCTCCTTCTGCAATCAAGCTCTGGCGATTCAATACTTGACACGCTCACTCAAGTCGGACAGTAACGATGCCCAATCATGGTATCTTTTGGGTCGTTGTTATATGGCAGAGCAAAATTACAACAAGGCGTACGAAGCTTATCAACAAGCTGTTTATCGTGATGCTCGTAATCCTACCTTTTGGTGCTCCATTGGTGTCCTCTATTATCAAATCAATCAATACCGTGATGCTTTGGATGCCTACAGTCGTGCCATTCGTTTGAATCCTTACATTAGCGAAGTGTGGTATGATTTGGGTACACTTTATGAATCCTGTAATAATCAGGTGCAAGATGCTTTGGACGCTTATCAGCGTGCCGCAGAATTAGATCCCAACAATCCTCATATCAAACAAAGATTGGAATTGTTACGAAAGTCCCAGAATGTGCCCAATCAACCGGGTAACATTCCTGTTCCCCAAGATGTCAGTAACCCGAGTCAATATCAAACGGGTGGCCATAATGGTCAACCCCCTTTGACCGGCGGAGGTGCTTCTTACAGTCAATCGGCCCCCAGTGGTCCTCCCTCCAGTATGTCGGCTTATCATACAGCGGCGGATCGTAATGGCTCTTCTGGCAATCAAGTCAACGGTGGCAGTAACAACAACGGCCCTCTTTCTCGCCCCACGGACGAAAGAGTCGGTACACCCCAATTACCAGTCACCCATCATGCCATCGAGGCTCATGAAGGCGCCAATGGTCCCGCCCGTGATCTTCCCATGCCTGGCCCCCCACCTCCCAATAATAATAATGGCCCTGCCGGTCGTCGCTCGCCTGGATCTTATGGCAGTCCTTTCCGTCATCATCCTCATCCCTCACAACCACAACCACAACATCAACAACAGCAACAACAACAACAACAACAACAAGGTCCTCCACCTCACCATCAGCAACAACACTCTGGCCATCCTCAGCATCAGGGCCCTCCTCATCCTCGTGAAGATGTACGTATTCCCGATATTGGTCGTGGCGGTGGACGTGCTCCCACCCCTTCTGACCGCTCTCAGATGAACCCCATCTTGGGTATGGACAATCCACAAGGTCAAGGACCCCATCCTCAACAGCATCCACATCAGCAACAACAACAACAGCAGCAGCAGCAACAGCAACAGCAACCACAGGCCCCCCATCATCCAATGCCTCCTCCACCTCCTTTATCTCAACAACAACAACCCAGTCCCAGAGGAAAGGAAGAAAACAACAACCTACCTCCTCTCTCTATGCGTTACAATCCCAAAGAGGAAGCATCTCAGCAACAGCAGAGATATCCACGTGATGGCGGCGGTTACCGTGGTTATGAACAAGGACCCCCTCCACCTCCCCTTTCCTCTTCTTCTTCCGCTGTACCTCATCACCCATCTCAGCCTCGTCCCATGGATGTTGATTATCACACGCGTATGAAACATGAAGAATCCAATAATAACAACATGAACTATCATCATGCTTCACCTCATTTATCGCCTGCTCAACCTCACCATCGCCACCCTGCTCCTCCTCCTCCTCCTCCTCATCTTTCAGCTCAACCCACCGCTTCTCAACCTATGTCTCAGCAGGCATCTCACCCTGCCATCACCACCGCTCATCAGCAATCATCCCCTCATCCTTACCCACAGGAGCATACCATGAGTAGTGCTAACAATCAACCCTCACCCCCCTCTCCCCCTACCCCATCGCAACAACAGCAACACCAAGACAGCAACAAGAATTACGATGAAACGGCTGCTGATGCCCTTTTGAGTATGGGTAATCCTCATTTAGGTCAAAAACGCGCTGCTGCTCCTACTCAATTAGAGGGGGATGAACACAAGAAACCTCGTAGTGAAGAACATTCCAGTCGAATGGAGATTGATTCTCGTTCAGGTCCTTCTTCCTCCTCTTCCTCCACTTCTTCCCCTCCTGCTGCTGCTGCTGCTGCTGCTGCTGCTGCTGCTGCTAGTTCTTCCTCTTCTTCTCATCCTTCTCATTCTCCTTCCACAACGGCTTCTCAACAACAACAACAAGAACAACAAAGCCAAGAAAGCAGTATAAAGCAAGAATCCAATGGAAACAAAGCAAGAGAAACGACCACTGCTCAACAGTACCCACATCAAGAGGTAAAGAAGGAGGGACAACGCCAACGTTCTTTAACCCCTATGGATACGATAGAAAACGATACAAAGGGAGTCGATGACCACCCTCCCTCTCGCCAACCACAGCAAGACCCTACCATGGCTGAATCCCATCTGGAGGAAGGTGAACACGTGGAAGACGCCCATCCACCCTCGTCTGTTGCTGGCAATGATCACGGAGAGTCTCACACCACCCCCCGTTCCACCACAGCTGCTACTGCGGATGCCTCTTCCAGACCTTCCCATACGACAGATTCACCCACCACGAACACAGTCACCACGACCACGGCGGCAGCCCAAGAACCCTCTTCCACGGCTCAACAACAAGACATGACCACCACCACCACCACCACCTCGATGGAAGAATCCAAGAAAGCCAACTCTGCTGAACCTGAAGTCAAGAAAGAAGAACCTGAAGAAGGTGAAGTAGAAGAGCAAGAAGAAGGTGAAGTCAAAGATGACGATGACGAAGAACCGACCCACGACCGCAAGCCCATTGCTCCTACCGCCGCTGTAGCTGCTACCGATGCTGCTTCCGTTGCCACTTCTCAGTCCAATCAGAAAGAAGCCGGTGAAGCCAATTAAGACTTTAAAAAAAAATAAAAAAAAAATAAAATAAATATTCTTTACGATCGTAGCTTATATCTATAAACATATAGTTATCCATATGTCTTTTTTTTTTTTTTTTTTTTTTTTTTTTTTTTTTTTTTACAAGTACATTTCACCATGGATCATGTATGCTGCTCTCTTTGTCTCACTCTCTCTCACACACACACACACTCACACACATACACATCTTAAGCAAAGTTCTCAACGATACAGTCTGTTTCTTTGAATAAAAAAAACCTTGTCCATAGCGTTTATTCAAAACCGTTCATCTTCCTTTGACTACGATGACGATGGCCAACGAGGTTTCGATGTAACAAAGCCCTCTTGCTCTTCCTCTTCCGCGGCCACCGCTACAATGCCTTGATAATCCAATCGATACAACTTGGGCGGTAAACCTTTTCCAAACGTTCGATTGATATGATTGGAGCACAAGAGAGCCGAAATCATGACCAACACATGCACGGGCACCATGCTAAAGGCCACGATATAAGTCCATGTCAACATTTCCTTGGTCAGTTGCTGATACTTGTAACGACAGCCAGGCAACAACGTGCGCGGGAAGCACTTGTTGGATCGCTCGTGGTAGTCCGTAAACGATTTGTAGCCGCAACAGTGCAGGTTGGCCTGGATGCGTGATCGGCCGTCCGACGAGAGCGTGTAGTGCCATTGGTAGGAAAGCTTGCCTTCGATGTTCCATTTGTTCTTACGGTACGCTGTGTACCCAATCGCTGCCATCAGTCCAAAACAGGGCCACAGAAAGAGGCTGTAGAACGACAAAAGGCAGCGGTTGTTTAGCATGATCCCGGTGTAGCCCACCAGAGACGTAAATAAACAGATCACACCCGTAGCCAAAATCACTAATCCAAGGGGGAAAAGAGGAGGGGGGGGGAGATTTTCTTAGTGCGCTCCTCTTCTTTTTTTTTTTTTTTTTTTTTTTTCATGGATGATGAATGCTATCCACTTACAATGAAGAATGACAGGTTGCCCTACAACCACCACATCGGCACGTAGATAGACTGTTGAATAGAGTTTAGTGATAGGGTGTTTTTTCATCATGATCATGAAAAAGAAACGGATCCCTTGGATGGATAGAAAAAAACTTAAACACTTACATTTGAAATAGGTCAATAACGCAAATAACATCCCCGCCAAACCATAGCAGAATAACTATTTTTTTTTCATGACAAAAAAGTCAACAAGCCAGCAATGCAAAGTCTATTGAGTCATTCTACATCTGCTCCCCACCCCCCTCTCCCCCAGCGACTTTCCATTTCTATTTCGATCTATATCTCCTGCTTTCATACATGCGCAATGGCTTACCAAAGTGTTTATAAAAATCAACCACCATTTATGCTTTGTCCATCTTCTTTTACTGGGGTGTTTTGTTTGATAGTACTTTTTTCTTTTTTCATTGATACTCTCGGTAACGCTCAGGCTTTCACGATCATAGGCTGCAGCAGCTACAGTGGATATGGCTTCATCGTTCGATTCACTATGGTTCTTATATGGGTAAGGCTGTCTTTTGACAGTATGTAAGCTAGCCGCTTCTACAAAGGAAGAACAAGAGGACTGAGTGGACAGGATCGACCGTTGGAACAGTAGTTGCTGTGGAGGACTGTTACGGCTGGTTTCTGATGTCATCCAAGGTAAAACGGGTCCTGTCAAAACGTCCGCTGGAGGATCGTTTTCGTTGCTCCTCTTCTTCCTGAGAGTGTTCTTCCTTCTACTTTCGTTAGGGTCGGAAGGTAGATCGAGAAAGTTATTTTCTGCCGCTGCTGCCGCTGCTGTTGCTGCTGCTGTTGTCCCTCTTGTCGCTGGTTCTGGCCCTCCTGTTCCTTCTCTTCTATGACTACTGCTTTCTTGCAAGGATACAAAGGAACCTGAATACTTGCTACTGGATTGTGATAAGTAAGCTGCTGCCGGGTTGCCAGCAGCTGTCGTCGCTGTAGGACTCGTACTATGTCGAGCAAATAGTTTATGGATCATCGCACGAATTTCCTTGGTTCCAATAGATCAAAAGAGGCGTCAATGGATAATAACACTCTAACACTTTTTCTAATCAACACACACACACACACACACTTAGAAAGAAAAAAAAAAAGAGATGCTCAAGAAAAAAAAGAGGAGAAACAGCCATGGATGGTATGAGCATTTACAGGTTTTTTTTTTCTTGGATCTTTTTTTACTATTTTTAGGCTTATTAAACTTCAGGTACGCAACATCTGAAGGGAGTGTCTTTTTTTTTGTTTTCGCGTGAACTGATGAGTAAACGACCTATAGAACGGAACATGTGTAGTAGAATGAGTCAAGGTGATTGGCTAAAAATCGAGTGCTCTTTGTTATGGTGTTGCGGATGGAGGAACGGATGGAAAACAATGGAGCGTTCAAACAGGCCCCTCTCCCAAGATGCAAAACGCGCAAAGTGTCCATGGTGTATGTCTGTAGGTACTACGTTGCTGGCAAAAGACTTTTTCTAAAAAATAAAAGCAAATTCAAATATTTAATACATCAACGTAGCGAATCCAAAGGGTATTCTCTTTTCTCTTTATTTTTCTTTCTTCAAACACACATGAAGGATAGGTATAAGAATTTGCAGACAAGGAGGCCGTGGGTATCATGAAAGAAAGCAAAAAAAAAAAAAAAAAAAAAAAGGAACCTCCTCCACCTTCACCCCCTCGCATCAAACTGGCATTGATCCATACCCATCATTAGGACTGCTGTGATAACTACTGCCACTTTGCACGGAAGGATATTGGTATAACAGTGCTTCATTGGACGCGTTGGGAAGTGGATAATGGATATTCTTTTGCTGCTTATTCCGTCTAGCAATTTCTCGCTCGTTCTTTTCATACTTGTCTCCTACCCATAATGCGGCTCCTACTACATTTGTCCACATAAACAATAAATTAAACAATGGGATCAATTCTAATGCGACGGCGACAGCCCCAAATTGACAATAGTCAGACCGATGCCGCCAAGCAAAACTTCTTGATTCACTGACTGAAAATCCTCTAAATTCCAAGTCATAATGAATATGATGACCCCAACTATTCATCATCATCATCATTCATCAGCGAGGGGAAAGCAAAGAGTACAACTCTATTAGTTTCTATTGCTGTACTTTACCTCCCATCCCTCCTGCTTCTTTTACTTACCAAGCTATCCATCCATTAATATAGCAAGCTACAAATGTGCCTACTACGGGTATCAGATGCAATGGTGCGGTCAAGATCAAGATCATCACTTGGGCTACGACTAACAGCCACAGTAAAGCCAATCCACTCTTTATTCCGCGACAAAACAAGCGTAATCCACTCACAGGTATTCTGTTCATGAACATCCGATCAAGTCCTCTTGCCTTTAAAGTAGCATCAAACAGAATATCTTGGTAAAAGGCGAGTAAAATAGCGAAAAAGATGAGATCCATGACGGCGGACTCGAGTAAGACAAATATCACAGAGACGGTCCAAGCGAGCCAATTTGGACAATTCACATTGATAAGCGCATGTGCTTGCAACGGTAACAAGTACACAAATGACAATACAAGCGATAGAATACCAAAAATAAGAGTCAGCAGAAATGGACAAAGGGCTTTGACCCATAACTTTTGAAGAAAAAAACAAAAAAAAAAAAAGTTGTGGGGCTGATCAGGAAAAGGGGTGAAACACACCATCATCTCATCTCCAATGACCCTTCATTCTTACTTGTGGATGAGTCACAAAATAGACGATTCCAGCTACTGGATAAGTATAAGGCGGTGCCATGTAATGCTAATGATAAGTTTGTTTATTTGATTTTAGAAGAATACTTGAAGAGAAAGAAAAAAGAAGATTACAATCAACAATCCAAAACTTAACCTTTTTCTGTTGCAGATCGCCGGGCAATGATTGGCTGAAGATCACTTTCAATATGAAAACCTGATTTCCTTCTCATTTATGTTTTGCACATAACGAGGAAAACACACTCTATTTAAAAGCTTCCGAATATGTTTTTTTTTTTTTTTTTCGTTTACTCTTCTATAGCTTGGTTATTTATCTTTGATACATGTATCAAACTGAGATCGACTATTGATTTAAGAAAAAAAAAAACCAAAAAAAAACTAAACGTCAAAACTCATAGCGCATGCTCGGTATCGGTTCTTAGTACCATCGATGAGAGTGCAAACGGATGGGTCGGTCGACGTGTGTCGCTCAAATATTGACATACTGAGCAAAAAACAGGCTTACACCTGCGCCAAAATATCTGAGAAGCCTGCGTCAGCATGCTCAAGTTTTCTAAAGAGACTCAGATTCACTGTCTTAACCCGAGTTATGGTAGTCAAGAACAAATAAGTTTCAGGCACACTTTAACCCTACTGGTGATCTGGATATCTCGGAGTAGCATTGTATAATTCACCAACAGGAACATATCACTTGGTTGTCATTACTGCTTTCTTCATTCAATGGCTAGCTAAGCCTTACCTCGCATTCATATCAAAGACCATTTATATTATCAATCACACATGAAATCAATCAAGAACTCTTGTTCAGCCTCTCTGACTCACCTAATCTCCACTTTTAACTAACCAAATTCTGATATCAAGAGAGATCACATGTATACTTGTCAAATGTGCATTAAGTCATATTTGCTTCTTCAAATCTTAGACTGTACCCAAACACCAACTGATTCAGCTTATGAATCGTTGCGTCGGGTCTTTCTTTTATTTCTGCGTTGCAAACGTTTTCAATATCTGCCCACTGTAAAAGAACTTGTTGTAATGGTTGGATAATATGCTAGACAATTTAAGATGAAAATAGGTAGTGAGAAGTTCGAACTCGCCAATGGTTGTTAGTCCATTGTTTTTCGTGCAAAGATCTGATAAATGTCATGTAATGTTTCCCTGGAGAACATCGGTCATTTGTTCATTACGCTGTCTAAGGCATAACAAGAAGATGTGTGATAAGCGAGGATCTTCTGAATGGATGTTTTAATTTGGAGTAAATTCCCTCTTGACAGTGCTCCTCCTGTGTTGATGTTTGAAACAATTCAGCTACATTTGAGTCGTTCACATCCAAGTTAGACTGATGTGGCATTGATATATCTTAATGGGGGCGGGGAGCATAGGTTGCTGGTGAGGATGGAGAAGGGCTGTCTTTTACCCTATTATGACTGTAAATAACATAGAAGGCGTGAAATCTACACTGACGGGGTAACAGGTCGTGTATCCATTGCATGCGGCAGAGTTGTCGATTGGACATTGGTAGTCAGGGCTGCTGTTTGTTCCCTTAATACATTGTTTGCGTAGTCTGAACAGGACTCTTGTACGTCCATCGCGCTCTACGTTGCTTCTTTTCCCAACCGTTATAATGTAAAATCACTTGTTCGTTTCCAATTGTTAAGGTTTTCCGTTGAGTTGATTTTGTATTGCGAAAAGTCTTGAGAAATGATGCTCTGGTATCGATCTACCGTATACTCTTGCCCGGTAAGGTTTGATGCCCAATAATTGCCATGTATGTGAAATTGTCTTTGTTATCTATACATCGTTGGGCGTCACTCGCGACAATCCTTTATTGTTTGTTGTTTACTCATCAAATTAATGAAAAAAGCGATCAAAAGAACTTAAATGCAGGAATATCTTTCATGAGCTCGTGACGTAAATGGTCAGAAAGACCTCTTTTTTTTTATAAAAAAAATCTATTACCAATGCAATGTCCTACATTATTGACATATCAATTGATTATATTTTGGGGGTGGGGGGAAAGCGTTAGAGGGAGTTCTTCGTAAGCGGACAGCGTCCTGGTATTTAGGATGGTGATACCTTAGTGCAAAAATAGAAATGGTGTAGAATACATGAATATTTTATAAGAATAGAAGCAACGAATATGAGGAGATAGCATACAAATTACCCATTAAAGAGTCTCGCATCAGCCTATGGGCAAAACATAAAATCATGAATTTCTTTACTATAGACAAGTCTGCTAGAAGTTTTTATAGTAAGTGATGAAGAAGACGAAAGATATCATTTTACAACTCAATTTATTGCTTTCTGTCTGTGAAAGTTTGCCTACTTAAAAGTTCAAAAGAAAATGAAGGCATGATTATTCTTGTGCATGGGATACCATTGGATTGCCATTGACTGTATCACGAACTACACACCAAGTTTGTTAAATGCTGGATGCAAGAGAATTATGACTTCCGCTATATAATACGCTGAAAGCCTGCAAATTTGCTTTGATGCATGACAGGGATAAAATCACGGATACATCAACTCCATTTTTGATTTAACACCTTTGAGTCCTTGTAAAATTCATAGATATTGCATCTCTTCCCCGCCCCTTTTTTTTTATTTCAATAAGCATAAATAGCAATGTGTGTTGGGTATTTACTATTTTTGCTACAATATGTACTTCTTTTAAACATTCTATCCTTCTTCTATATCTTTTATTTGAGTCAGGGTGATAATCGCAACCGCATTACCAGACGCACCTTCAACCGCTATTATCGAAAAAGAGCTTTTGTGACTTTGAAATGTTTTCGAAAATGGATCTTCTTTTTGCTGGTTGCTTATTTATTGTACTTGTTTTGCTTTAAAAAGTTTTTACTGTCGACAACGCATATCGTTTTTTCACTATTTAATACTGCTGCCACTGGTACTGCAACATCGATACCAACTACAACATCCACCAGATTCACTACGGCACGATTTTTCGTTGATTTCATATCATGTCGAAACTTTTTCAAGAAACATCGACAACGCACGGGCTTGCTTCTATATCTTTAACTCACGTCTATTTCAATCCGCATGATAAATTATCCTACTTATTTGGTTATATAACATTGGCACCTATTGCTATCCTTGTATTTTATGCCTCCGTCATTGTCTCAAGGCGTGAAGTAGGGGGTATACTTATGCTATCAGGACAATTATTGAACGAAGCACTCAATTACATCCTGAAAGAGACAATAGAACAAGAAAGGCCACATCGTAAAAGACAAACATTTCTCACAAATGCATCACGTTTGGTATGAAAAAGGTGTTGACATACTCGTTATCAACCTCTTTATATAGTTCATTTGGGTGATGGTTATGGTATGCCGTCAAGTCATTCCCAATTCATTTGGTATTTTGCAGTTTACGGCTCCCTGTATATGCACAAATTCATTCATCTGGATCATGGCATTTATAAAATAATAGTCAGTCTAGGGATGTCTGCTTTAGCCATCCTTGTATCCATTTCAAGGTAAAGGAAAAGCTAAACTGCGTAAGTGCTATGTATCGCTGATTACATACCACTACTATGTACAGGATCTACCTAGGTTACCACTCTATTTATCAAGTCTTTGCAGGTTCTGCTATTGGTATTTTGTTTGGTCTTTTTTGGTATTATGTGGTCGTTCATATAATCCATAAATCAGGCATTTTAGACGTCTTTCTAAATACGACCATTGCACAAAAGTTGTATATTCGAGATATGTCATCTGTGCCAAATATAGCTCGTTTAGAGTACGAGCAATATCTCAAATTGAAAAAGAGGTCTACTACTTTTACCACCGCAAATAATAATGACCATGATAAAAAAGATAACTGAACAAGAAAAATCAACACGTGTAGGCACAGCACTGCAGAGGGATCACGTTGAAGCTTTTTTTCCCTTGAATTTTTTTTTAATAAACGATCCAATCAGAGTCCAATCCAAAAGAAAAAAAACGGCCTGTGACTTGAGACCACAGGTTTTTGGTTTTACTTAAGGAAAAAGGAAAAAATGCCGAAAGGTTCTTTTCCGTTTCTTTTTTTTCCCTTTTTTACATTTTGACACATTAGCCCAACTCTTGTATTTTTATCACGTATATATATTGAACTTATATACGAAACCCTTTTTCTGCTACATATATCCTTTTTTTGTTCTTTGTTTCTTTTTGTATTTTTAGCAATCCCTTTTTGTACCATAATTAAATCTACATAGACAAGAAAGAAATGGAAAACGATAGTCATAAGCTTAAAGAGGCGTTAAGGAGGTCCATATTTGATGATCCCGTAGATCTGTTCAATTTCAATCAAATACATACTACTGGTGCTACAACCAATTCTACCACTGTGCAGCAGCAGAGGTCGCCATCTTTGCCCTATTCGCAGATGTTACATGCTTCTCGTTCAGTACCAGGTTCAAGAAGAAACTCGGGTGATGATCATACTTTAGACCTATTGCTAAGTTCGAAATTGTCGTTGAATGATAGAGAATCAAATTTCCCAAATAGAAAATATGGTGGATTTAACAGTGCTTTCCAGCAACAAGAGCCTATTGGAACTATGATTTCAACTCAAAGGAAATCCCTGGATAGTCTATCAGCGAGAGACACTGACTGTAAAGTATTCAGCAGCTACTGCATATCAAATTTTTTTTTTTAAAGCTCCTTTATTTTTTACTGTGCATTTTGATTAAGTAAGCAAAAATTTCTTATTCCTGTAGTGTCCTTATTTAATCCTTTAAGGCAACAACCTGATAATTCGCCTATTCTTGGATTCTCGACAAAGAAGCAAAGTATTAGCAATAATAATGATGAATATCCGGATTTGGTATGTTTATTACTTTTTAAAGTTTGACAGATACACAGCATATGTAATTCTTTCCTCACCCATGTTTCTTTTTTTAATTACACAGTTTACTATGACGAATTTGGAGAACAAGTCACCTATCCTATCTTCAAGCTCAACTATTCATAGCAACTACAACAGTGATGCAGAGAGTGTCATCAGCACTGGAAGTGTCACTCCTACGATTAAAAAGAAATCATGGCTGCCCCCAATGATGATGATGACACCCATTCATTCAGCCGCCTCCAGCAGCACAACTACTCCAAGTGCTGCTCCAGCAGCTGCGGCAGCTAATACGAACAGCTCAAACATTCATCCTACTACAAACAATAGTAATGGAATTATAGATAATTTGCTGTACGAAGAATCTTCTGCTCTTGCTAGTCAAAATGCTGGATCATTTGCCGGTCCACAAGGATCAGATAGTAATGGTTACTCTCATGGATGGCAACAGCCTTCAGTGTCTTCAACAGAATTGCAGCCACCGCAAACCCAGCAACAACCACTAAAAGAAACCACGCGTTTAGTTAATTCCAAATCTTTCAGTGACCTTGTTAGCTTGAACAAATTATATGGTAGTGGTAGTAACAATTTCACTCAATTTGAATCCATTAAACCTACGCGTCAATCAGCAGCAGCAGCACCACCACCACCACCATCACAATCGCAGCCACAACCTCTGCCATCAGAAACTTTGCCGCAGTCGACGCCTCAGACACCCCTTCAGACATCGCAGGTGCAACAGACTCAACAACAACAGGCTCAGGTACCTGTTGGAGTATCACCTCAATTGCAACAGCCAGGGGATATAATTCTATGTCCTCAGTTTCAACAATTTGGTTATTGTTTAGGCGGCAATATGTGCTCTTATGCGCACTTCATCAATCCTCCTCCTATTCTACTTGCACAACAACAACAACAACAACAACAGCAGCAGCAGCAACAACAACAACAACAACAACAACAACAACAGCAACAACAATCCTACCATCCTCCACCTCCACCACCCCTTCCTCCTGCTGCTCCTATCCATCACATGCCTAATACTGCAGTCAATGGATCTTTATACCAGCATTATACAATGTATCAGCCTTCTTTATTACCTACACCACCTCCCATTGCTCCTACTAATTTTGCATCGCCTCAATTACAATCACAGCAACAAAAGTTGCCTCAGCAGCATCATTATCATTACCATCATCAGCAGCCACAACAAAGGAATACAAAGGGGCATAATAATCAGCATTATAATAGAAACAATAGTAATAGTAATAATAGCAATAATACACGTAATAGAAACATTAATCAGAGCCATCATCATTATAATCATCATCCTTCTCAGCAGCAACACCAGCAACAGCATCATCAGGATAAATATGCAAATGCTTCATTAGAAGATTACATTGGCAAATTATACACTCTCTGCAAAGATCAAAATGGCTGTCGATTTCTTCAAAAGAAAATCGACGAAAACCAAGAAGAGAACATGGTGCCGATTTTTAAAGAAATTCTTCCTCATTTCGTGGAACTTATGACCGATCCTTTCGGCAACTACCTTTGTCAAAAAATGCTCGAAAAATGCAATGGAGCTCAGCGCACCGAGATTATTAAAGTCGTCGCTCCGGATCTTGTCAATATTGCTTTGAACATGCATGGAACACGAGCTGTTCAAAAGCTCATTGACTACCTCACCACACCCGAACAAACTCAACTGGTCACTTTGTCTTTACGGCCTCATGTTGTTACTCTCATCAAAGATTTGAACGGCAATCATGTTATTCAGAAATGCCTGTTTAAATTGCCGGCTGAACGCAACCAGTTTATTTATGATATTGTGTGCGACAACTGCATTGAAGTGGCGTCCCATAAACATGGTTGTTGTGTGTTGCAGCGATGCTTTGATTATGCTACGGAGAAACAGAAGGATCAGTTAGTCGAAGAAATTGCTCGACACGCTTTACCTCTTGTACAGAATCCCTTTGGCAATTATGTCGTACAATACGTGCTAGAGTTAGGTGTGACCAAGTATTCGGAGAGCGTGATAAGGAGATTTGTCAACCATGTTTGTATTCTATCTGTACAAAAGTTTAGCTCAAATGTCATTGAAAATGTAAGTATTATGCCAGTTTGCATATATTTGTTCCATTCATCTTGTAGGATAGAAATCAGTTTTAATTGACACGTGTATCCTTTAACTTATTATAGTGTATTCGTACAGCCGAGCCTGAAACACGTCGTTTACTCATTGCGGAATTGATGGATGAAAAGGTCATGGAGAAGTTACTACACGACTCATTTGGTAATTACGTCGTACAAACCTCTTTGGATTTCGCAGAGGAGGACCAGCGCGCCCAATTAGTTGAATGTATACACCCTCTATTACCTACAATTCGCACTACACCTTATGGCAAACGTATTCAAAGCAAGATTGTTCGTGATACGACCAGTACTACATCAATTAGTGCAAATGCGAGCAGTGTTAGCAGTGGCAGCATTCCCGTCACTCCCTCCATGACACCCGCTGAACCCACCGTCGACAATAACAATAGTAATTAGAATTGTAATTATCAGTTTATTTGTGCCATATGTATAATATTGTTATTTCGTTCATATCTAAAAGTTTGTGTTATTTTATTGAGTCAATATAAACCTTTTTTCAGAGTCACTCATCAACAGATGTGCAGATCAGTATGGTATTCTCTTATGAGAAAATCTCTACATTATTTAAATCGGGTTGCTTAAATGATGGACGTAAAGTCTTTAATAAATAGAGCTGCTATGTTTGGGAAGGTGTAATGATCAGAAAATGAGACGTAAGAACAGCCCTAAACTGTTCAAGCTCTGTTCGTTGAGGATAGTAATGCTCTATGCAGCCGTTTGATCTTTTCCCCGTCGAGTCAGATTCGAGAAACGGTTTTTAACTGCTGATGTTGCGAGTTTATGCCTTTGTAGTCAAAAACCGTTATTTTGAAAACTATACTAGAAGAGCTCTATTTATCTAAGCAAACCACAGCCTCATAATATATTTGCTCATACTCAAATAGGAAGAATAACTGTAATTTCCGGCCAAATGCTCAATGCCAAATGTGCGACCTACTCTTACTCAAACAAGGCAATATACAATGTGACCTGTTTGAGTATATCGAAACGTCAAACAGCAGTTTAATAAAAACTTCAGAATTATACAGTAAGAAATTTTACAAGGTAAACCTAAACGCGTAAGCATCTTTAAGCCGCCTGGTTGGAGGAATCGACAGCACCGTCTTCGCTACGGCAATTCTGTGGAATAAATTGTGAGGGTTTTCCATGACATACCCAAACTGAAGTGGCAATAGTCATCATATTTTTTTAAGCGCTTATATCACGTTGCCAGAGTATGTGGCAGTGTTTACAAACTTTCGTACTGTAACAACGTGCACCAGCACCGATCTTTTACGCTTTCCATATTCTTGAGAAAACAGTTGTTGCAGATTTAATATTTGAATGTTCATGTATAAGTAAGACATATAGAAAAACGGCTCATAGAAATGCGGCGTATATTCCACAGTTTAAGGGAAAGGTTAATTACCTGCGACGTGCAATAATCATCAACATCGACTACCGCAACAAGCTGCTGCTTCTGCCTATTTAGTAGGGTTTTGTAGAGGACACCTGCGACACCAGAGATTTGCCTTTTCATTCTTACTGTGCTTTTTCCGAACATCCCCGTCCCGAACCCGACAAGAGTCATGACTAGCCTTTTGTTCATAAACTTCTCTTGGAGCCAGATTTTACGTTCATCTTCCTTGTTTCTGTATCAGAAGTAGATCTTTAAGTGCCTTAAGAATAGCCACCTACCACCAAGAACGCTTACCTGCATAAGTCAACGTCTTCTTCTTTTCTCTTCGGCTCCTCTTTTATTGTTTCTTTCTTTTTTCCCTCTTGAGCCTCCATACGCTCCCGTTTTGTCTTCTTCTGGCCATTCTTCAGTCGTCGTTTCCTTTTCTTGTTTCTGTTTGTATGTTTTCTTTTCCTCCTATATACTTGCGACCGTCGTCAATTAACACATTAGTTACCTCAGCATCTGCTCGTTGTTTGCCTTGGTAATTGTTGAAGTTTAACTGCGCCGATTTAAAGCTGTAGAAGTCAAATAGTGTCTGAAGATGTTGTAATGTGTATTTCAAGTACACAATATAGGCCTCTTTGGGCACAGCCTTCGGTGAAAGCAGCGATGACTCAATGGACGTTATTCCTTTCCTTTCTTCTAATTTCTTCAAATAAGTGCTTCTCCTCGTATAGCCCGCAAGATTGGCTCTTTCACCTTTGCTGCAACTGCGTATTTCATGATTAACATTGTTGAAGCCAACCGCAGCTGTAAAGACTCCATTGAATGCCTACAAATGCATAACCGCCTGCAACTTCCGACAACTGTCGTTGACCCCATTTCTCATTTGTTGAACCAACTCCCCACTCAACCCTTAAAACAGCATGCCAACGCCCCAGTTAACTGGAGTATATCTCGGTCAATTGTCCAAATGCTTCTTTATGAAATCGACTATCTTCAGCACGAGAAAATGTCCTCTACCCCCGTCAGAAACATTAGGACAGCCCTTCCTAGACTGGCTTTATGCGTCCACTACGATCATTACTTAATTGTCCCGATTTTTTACCTAGTCTGCATTGTGATCCCTTATTTTTTTATTTTTTTTCTATTACCTTTTAGGGTTTTTTTTTTGGTTTTTTTTTTAGTTCCTGCATGTACTTTGACCTGATATGTAGTTTATCTGTGTGCCCATTGGGTTAAAATTATGTAATAAAAATCATGTTTAATCTTAGTTAGCACTGTATTGAGCTGGCTGCGAATTTTTGCATGATAGAAGGGACCCTTTCACAAATTATAATTTTTCCATTGTCAACCCCTCCTTTTTACTTTCACGGGAAAATATGGCTCTGTTCTCAAAATTTAGAGCGCAAGCGATTAGAGCCTTTACTGCTCAACAAACCTTTGCATTTTCAACATGTCAAACATCTAGAACAGTAGCTGCTCTGACTTGCCATTCAAGGAATATGTTGCAGAATAAATACAGTACGAACTATAAACGATGGTTTAGCGATCAAAAACCTGCTGATTTTGATCGATTCAGCGATGACCCCAGTACCAATAACTCAACAGCAACAACTAGGGATATTGAAAAGACTGAGGAGGAGGAAGAAGACAGTTTAGAAGAAATAGATCCCAAAGATTATCCTGAACTGTTTTCCAAAACGAAAGAATGCTTTGATGATAGTATTGACGAAAGTGATGCAGTGGATACAGAATGGTTTGTTGATCCCGATTACAACGATTCCCAGCCTCTTTCAGAGGAAGACTTTATACCTTTATGGCAACGGCGGGCTGTCGAAGGTGCTGTTAGTAAACATCTTGAGAACCGTTTAGCCCTTCAACAAGCTTCGCAAAAACTTATGGAAACCGGCACTCTCACCGCTGATACCATCAAAAGTCTTTTGGAGGAAAGTAACATGGACGATATTACTGTTCTGGACGTACGACAAAAATGTGATTGGGCCGATAGCATGATCATTGCCTCAACTGATAAAGGAAACAAGTATTTGAACTCTATTGCTGAGCATGTAAGAGGGGTAGTAAAGAAAGCGATACAGGCCCACCCTGAAACATTAAAAGAGCAGGCTTTACCAAGGATTGAAGGAAAGGAAGATCAGTCAGGTTGGGTGTTGGTAGACTTGGGACGTATTGTGGTGCATTTATTTACACCAGAACAAAGACAACATTATCAATTGGAGAAGTTGTGGCAAGAGACGATATCGACAGATCCTACGCAGCCTATGTCACTTGAAAATATTGAAAAAGCGGCAAAATAAGTTTAAAAACTTGAAGATCTTAGTTACTGTTTCCTAATGTATTTATATTGATTGTAACCATTATAGACTGATTTTTTTTTTTTTTTATTTCTCTAATTTGTAACTGCTATTTTGTTTTCAGGCACAATTTTTTCTGATTTTTGGAAAACGCGTGTATTTAATGCTAGACTTTAAGTTGGCCTTTTCTGGTTGTTGCTACGGGATCTCAATAAAAAACACATATTTTGCTTTACTTAAACCTGTTTTATATATGTAATGCAAGCAAACAATCATGAATGGACCATTCTCGAAAAATTGCTTTTAACACAAGCTGTGCATAAATATGGCGAAAATATGTGGTTTCAAGTGGCTCGTGTATTGAAGCAACATGAACTCATTCGACAACAAGGAATCAATCGTCCATCTGACTTTTACAGTCAAAAGGTAAAAGAGACATGGGCTGGGGGCAATGAAGCCTCAAACACTTACACAGTCTAATTAAAGCAGTAGAAAAGAAATCTGTCGTATACAAACCATCTCACCAACAAAAAAAAAAAATCAATATCTTATAGAATTGTTCTTTTCAATATTATCTGTTAGTTGAACAACTGGAAAGTGAAACGTAAGTCTAATGCTAGATATGGAGTTACTGAGGCACAAGAGGATATAATAACAATCTTTATAGTAGTACCCACATGTCAAGAAATGATTTGAGAAATGATATGCCGGTGGTAGTTCGGGTAGCCAGACATCTTTATGCTCAACGTATGGAAGAGATTAAAGAAAGCTTGAAGAACAATTTGAGTGAGTTTAGCCAGCTGGCAGGCGAGGTAAATTCTATCCGCAGTGGACAGTGGGATAGTCATTTACAGGAAAAGCTCTCACAACAGCAAAATGGAGATCAGAAAGCAGAAGCTGTTAAGAAGGAAGAAATCCATGTTAACGGTCAAAAGGATACCAATATAGATACCACTAATAATGATGACAAAGAAAACAAGATAATGGATGATGCGGGAGGTGCTAAAAGAGCAACCCATGAATATGGAACAGTGCAAGAAACCAAAACAACTCAGCCGCTACTACCTTCGCCACAGAAACAATAATCGCATTAACAGCAATGAGGATCTTATAGAAAACCACTTTAAGGAAAACCAGACTACAAAAACTACTATTCGGACAAAAATGACATGAGTATCACAACCCAACAACGCAATTATAAGGCTAATATGGCAAGATACTGATGTCATACATTTATGGGTTCAGTATTGTAGTAATTCTTCCTTAAAACTGTGTCAAGTTCCAAAGGCATCAAAAATAAAATGAATCCAAAGGGAAGCCCTTATAATCCAATTTATGCTTAACCTTTAAATCTCGATGGGTTGAGACATAAGACACAGCCCTGAGAATCAGTAACTATTTCTGCTAAAGAAACTTCGCCCCCCCACTCCCCCCTCCCTTCTCCTTCTCTTCCAATTGCTTCTGATGAATGCAGCCTCTCTTACACTAATAAGAGGCCACTATTACGCTCTTGTTTCAGCTATAAAGACGGCGATAACAATAGTCTTTACTCTCTTACACCATGAATATGAGCATTGAATGGAGGGAAATGAAATGTATTTTGTAACTACTACAATAAAAGTCTTTTCTACATAATTATTTAGTGATTAAAAATACAATAACAATTAAAAAATCCTCTTAAATAAAATACGCGTAACTAATAAAGCAAAAAGATAGCATTTTGGAGATAGTAACAACAAATGCATATATCGTAACAAACAACACAAACAAACCATACCAACGAAGTAACAACCGCTTTTGAATAAACTCATGATGAGCAGCCATAAGATGAAACAACCAACAGCCCCTTTTCTCTCCCACTTACGCAAACACACACAAAAGCTTCTTTTTTTTTACATGAAAACATATGGAAACAGTAACGCAAAAATAAATTATTGTGAAGGGAATAAGTCAGTAAAAGGAATATATACATGATACATGCTACATGCTACATTGAGTTTAGCTTATCCCAGGACTCGAACCTGAATAAGAGTAAATAAATACTCCTGTTTTAACCAGTTAAACTAGATAAGCAAATATGGGAATCTTGGCCTGGGGTTTTCCTATAATCCTTACAGAATGTAACACTTGCTCAAAAGAAAGAAAACTATGGAACGTGGAGAGGCTTGGATTATCAAAGTTGAAGTCCTAAGCTAGGTCATAAAAGGTACTCTGCCAAAAAAGCAGGTGTTCGGTTTGCTCCCCTCGCCAAGCGCTTCGCGATTATGATTAAAGCTTCAGACAGACAAAACAACTCTTGATAACCAAGTGGTATATAAGGGGAAACATAAAAAGGGGAAGGTGTGAAGGCAATGACAAACAATCTACCGCCGTTCTTCAGTGTTAGGATCCCAGAACACGACAGATGACCGCTCAACCCCAACACTAGCGGCAGAGGGATTTACAAGGCCCAGTGAAACTGTCCTATGGTCTGCCGGTGTCAATTAAGAACAAGATCAATGGGAATAAAGAACATGGTTTGCAGTAGACTGCCGCCAAAGCCGAGGAGCAAGCGTTACAAAGGATATAAGTAAACGATGGCCATTAATGTATGAAAAAGAAGAGAAAAAAAAGAGACCTCCAAAGAGAAAACATGGGGGCTTTTTATAACAAAATTTTCTTCTTGTCACGCGACCTCCAAACAGTCAACGATACAAGCCTCCCTATTCTTATGTAAGTAGTCTCTTGCTTACTAGAATGTATGCCTACAAATTATCGTGGGATACACTTTCAACAAAAATTTTTGTAAATCAAAGCAAGCTATTATATTCTTAAAACCTCAGCGAATTCTGCTGGTTACTACCTATGCATTCCGATTTTACCAGCTGCTCTTTCCTAGTAGGCTTATGTTTAGGGAGATGGTTTTCACTTAAGAGCGTTAGCCACTTCCTTCAGGATGGAATATTTTCATATACAGCAATCACCTTAATAATGATTACTTGCTTTTGAATCGAAATACTAAAGCGACGGCAGCAACAACAACAGAATTGCCCTCTACGTTATTCAATTATTGGAACTACCCAAAATTCTCAAATGCGTATACGATAAAAAGTATGCAAAAGTCAAACGTTCTCTTTTAATATCGCTATAATGAATGCTGCATTTGGTATACACTACCACTGCAATACTACATGTATAGACAATGTTGGACGAACACGTATACGCTCAACGACAACCCTATTAATGTACCCAAACATTTAAGAGAGAAAAGTATGATAGAGTAAAATACCTTACGGTTGGCGTTTTGCTTGTTAACTATTAGACTGAATGATTGCGACCTGTTCATATGAAAGTATTTCACTCTAATTTCAAAGCCACATTGAGGGTATAAGTAAATCACATGGAAGTTCCCTTCCCATTTTAAAAAATAGAAGTTTCAAGTGTTCCCATAATGAGTTCACAAGTTAAAAGTTGAATTAATTCCTTTGTTCTGCTGTGACCGATTTCATGCAGCATCAGGTTTTCAGTTTCCGTAATTTTATTTTTCGTCATACTGTCTATCCACTTGCACTTTTACTTTTTTAACCTAGTGATAACAATACTCATGGACGTTAATGTGGATAAGGAGGCAGAACCTAATCCACTGAGCACGAAATCAACCACATTTCAGTTGGCAACTGGTACAGATCTTACGCATGACTCACATTATTTCATTTCAGATCCTTTATTACTATGTGCTAAGTCTATCGCTTCTGAATTGACTGATTTAGATGAGGCAACAAAACAGAAAATTATTGATATCATAGATCACCAGTTTGATCTGGAGATTTATTTGAAACAGAAAGAGATCGCCACGATCAAACAGGAAATCGCCAAAGCAGAAGCCGCACTTCAAGATTTGAAAACAGCAGTAGACAATGGTATAATCAGACTATCTATACGAAGGTTTTAGTAAATCAAGCTAATTTATTGTCTAACTGTATAAAAAGAGCACTTGGCTATTAACATGCCTGAGCAAGCGCATTATACACGACGTTCAGCAGCATATTATCACGGAGGTCCGCAAGCTCTTTATAGCCACAGTAGAGCCTCTACACCACCGTCAATTGCACAACCTCGACGAAAAGTGTATAGAACAGCAGAGAAGAGCAAGTTGTATGGCAGACGACAAGATGGCACTTATGTTAGGTAAAGATAGAAAGCATTAAAAATTATATCAGCATTGCATACCTAGTCCATTCGTATATTAAATGAGCTCAAATTACAGCTTAGCATGCCCTGCTTGTCATAGAGATGATTTTGCCAATCAACAAGGATTTTTAAACCATTGTCGAATATCTCATGGGTTAGAATTTGGCCCTTATGAGCAAATGGCATTACAATGCGGCACTCCAGTCGATGAATCTGAAGTACCTATGGATAGCCCAGCTAGATTACGGCCTGTTATGAACTTTATCCCAGTAGCAAAGTAAGTAATTGTAGTGTCAAAGACAAAGACACTTATTGAATATTTATCTTACCACCTCGTATTTTTCGATACACAGGAAACAAAAGAAGTTAGAAAGGGTAAGGGATCGTTTGTTGAACATATGCAACGTTTCAGTCTATTCACTTTTATTTGTATTTCATAGCCATCAATAAAGGTTTTCGAAGAAGATATAGATATGGATTTAGAAAATGAAAGGAAAGCAGCAGAAGCAGCAGAAGCAGCACAGGTAGCGGAATCAGCAGAAGCTATAGCATCAGCAGAAGCTACAGAATCAGCAGAAACAACAAAATCAGCAAAATCAACAGCAGGAGCAGCAACAAGCAGCAAATTAGCAGAAGAGGAGCATAATAAAGAGACTACACCCATCATAGAAACACCGACATCTGTACCTACCACAGAACCTACAACAGTTAAAGAGACCAACAACGAACCATCTGCTGTCAGCAGCCCTGTCGGCACCCCTATTAGTACACCTGCCAGCTCGTCAGTAACAACAGCAGCAGCAAACGAGAACGAAAGTAAAGTTGAAGACAATACTGATACTACTCCTGCTACTGAAACTGATGCAGCAAAGCCCAAAATCGAAACAGTACCTGCCAGTATATCGGCTACTACCTCTAGCAATACTGACGGGGAGGCTAATACGATTGAAAGCGGATCCAGATTCTACGTAAAGCGCCGTATCATTATTGGCAACGTCAGTAAATTCATTCCTTTGGAGCGACGTGATTCCAGCCTTAAACAATTTACTCACAAGTGGATGATCTATATCGTTGAGCCACCACAATCACATCCGGTTTCTACCTTCATTACCTGTGCCCGATTTCATTTGCATCCCAGTTACAAACCGCATGATGTCATTGATGTCACTGCAGCTCCTTTTAAACTGACTCGCTTGGGATGGGGTGAATTTCCCATTCGTGTGCAATTATTCTTTGTGGATAAACGTCGTAACAAATCTGTAGACATAATACATGTGTTAAAACTGGATGATACTCATTCAGGGAAGCAATTGCTGGGAGGAGAACGGAGCATAGAAATTGAGCTGGATAGAAATACTGATTTCACTGATTCCTCAACAGTGCCATCCTCGCCTGCATCAGCAATATCCGCAACAGCAGCACCACAATCAAAAGAAGCAAAAGCGACCGATACCCCTGGACTAGCTGCAGTGAAACAAAGAACGAGTTTATTGGGCGGTATATTAAAGGAATGTGTAAAACGATATCCTATTATTCGAGCTGGTAATGTTGAAAGAGTTTCTCTATTCTTCTTTTTTTCAATTTTTTTTTTCCCTACAGCTATTCATCAACTCTTCTTTCACTTTTTGAATACAGGTTCAGATGGATCTCCTTTACCTTATAGCTGCGCAATAAGTACTAAACAATTCAAAAAATGGCCTGTTGGCAGAAGAAAGGCTACGGAATGGCATCGTGCGAAACTTCTTCGTGTAGAGACACAAAAACGTGCCATTGAAGCGGGCGATAATGTTTTGAGAATGGCAGCGGAAGCTCTCACTACGAGGGACGTCATTCTCTGGTGTAAAACTAATAAATATACCCCTATTACGAGCAATTTGGAAAATACGAATACAACAGCTTCCGAAGAAGATGATTCTCTAATGCATCCATTAGGCTTTTGCAAATTTTGTGGTAGTTTACGTGAGGAACATAACGACAATTCAGACGATCAGTGCCCCCAGGCTCCGAAAGGATGGAATAGTAAAAAGCGTGCCACTGCTATTAGCTCATTAACCAGCGTTGACTTATTGTTAAATACTTTAGAACCGGGCTGGGATGAACAAAAAGATACGGGTAAGTACAATTTTGCGATGTCTGATATATGTGCAAACTAACATAGTGTTTCTGCTAGAAAATATGGATGTCGATGTGGATATGGACGACGGTCGAGAGCCTGCATTTGTGGGGACTCATCCAAACAACGATATAGAGGGCATATCAGAAAGAGTTGAAAAATGGGCACTTGATGCTGAAACGATGGATATTGCAAATGAACGCACTTTGGACTGGATCTGGTCTGTTTTAGGCCAATTAAGATTGAAGAGTATAACGGCAAATGATATGTTATTTGGAAAAGATGGAAATTTGCAAGGCCCTACACCGAATTTCGATGTCACATCCGCTATGGTACAACGATTGACTGTAGGAAATATAATGGCACAGGTGAGTTCTCAACGTTCTCCCTTGATGTTTCCATACATTCGTTGACTGGAGGTTTTTTTCTTAGGCTACTCGAGTGTTCTTGAAAAGGTTAATTAAAAAATCTACGGAAATATGCTCAGAAGAAGAAAAGGAATCCACAGATAAATCAAAAAAGATGTTGGTGCCCTATCATGTATATCAAGCAACTCAACAACATGAAGAGTTTGACTTTTTAACGAATGAATATATGGGTTCAGCTGAAAACACTACACAAATCACACCCGCAGCTTCAAAAACATCATCTTCACCCATCATAGATAACAAAGACAAAGATAAAGCTTAATATGATAGCTTATACCATCCACCTAGTAGAGTGCTACAGATTTTCATCCACTTAACTATATCTATCAATTAGAATTTGTACAGTCAACATCCTTGTTGAATATATCACTACTTAGATACCATACCCTTAACTTTCCAACATTGCCAATAAATAAAAACCATCTTTAATAGAACGTAATGAAAAATGCAATCTTTATAGTTAGGAATGTTGGAGCTTTTATAGCTGCACTCATTTATTGAGAAACGTTGCGATTGTATGAGCATTTCTATCAGAGATGCCACTCAATGAAACTACTGCATATAATCGTGTGAAAGTTTTCCACCTAGTATGAATAGCCTCGACTAACACGAGCTGTCGACTGCTAGCTTCATTTTTTTTTTTCTTTCCTTGGCCATTTCATATAAGCCGTTGTTGTTTGTTAGGTTTCCGTGCATTATTCTTACTTATGACCGTAACTGTGCATTGCTCAAAGGCATACTGTATGGATTTGTGTAAAATAATAACAATTCATTTTTGCGATGTCCAGTAGGAATTAGTGCATTTAGAAGAGCTGAACAAGAAAATACAAGCGCCATTATTGTACCAACAGCGCATTGTGAATACTCGAGCGATGACAGATGCAAATGCTGCAATTATTGTTTTTGCTTAGCTGCTTTTTGTACAGGAGTATCTTACAGCTCAAAATGCAACGTTAATGATTTATTTTGCAACAGCAAATTTGCAAAATAAATAGGGGTATTTTTGATTTTCATCTGCAGATTGCAAACTGGAGGAATTTTAATAAAAATTTCGCGTAAAAATTTCTTTGCCCATTAGCACTAGGAATAAAATGCTTTTATAATTCTAGTACAATAATATCGCTATGCAATAGAGCTAAGAATGCAATAGATAAAAAAGAGATATTTTTTCAATGAGGAAGAGTATCCTATGCCTTTAATTCAATTCCATGTGGAATCATGATGAGGGCGTAACAACTGTTTATTATTCAGTACTTAAAAGAAGATGTAGATACTAATGCTTGCTGCTGATGCTGCTCGGTCGAATGAATTAGTCTTGTAGGATTGCAAAATGGCAAATTTTTATTTATTGTGTTAGCAAACAGTAGCAATGGAAAACTACAAGGAAAAGATTACAAAAATCAAGAACGATAAATCGGCGGACAGCAAGGCAACAGTAAAGGACTATAATTGATTTACTCTTTTCTTTTTATTGCTATCAGTATTATTTATTACATAAGCTTAAATTATTATCAGTAAGTATTATTAGATTAGTGGGTAGTAATTTTTTTGATGATTATATTAATTGCATAAGGAAGAAAAATCAAAGTGATATTTCATTTAGAGTAGAGCTTAATAGTGCTTCATCATCGGAGTATTTAGAAAGAATGGTGGGTGTATTGCTATTATTCACCTCATGCATGTTGTAGAAAGCATCGAGCGGTGTAGGAGGAGCAAGCTGATTCGTAATTGCTCCATTACCGTTTGGCCAGCAAGCCGGAACCTCGAAAGGAGAAATATTAGAGGGAGGCTGGACGGATGAAAAAGATGTTGATATAGCTGTTGATGTACACCACCACCACATTGTTTCATCAGCAATTGATCCTACAACAACAAGAGGAGCAGCGAAATCATCATCCGCAACACTAGAAGAACGCTCGTTTTCCGTAGTAATAATCGAAGTGGAAGTCATCATCGTTGTTGTATGATTGTTCTCATCATTGGATGGTGAAATAATTTCTGCGTTAATTTCTGCGTCTTGGGCAAATCGATGAGAAAGTAATGAAAGCTGTTCAGTACCTATATTTTTTGTTGAAGTTGATTTTACGGATACAGTGGGAGGAGAAGTTGCCATTAAGGAGATCTCTTCGGCGATGGTTGCAGTAGGATTCGACCTTCTCACCTTATTTCGGGATCCTAGGGGGCGACCACGTGGCCTAACATAAGGTCGTTGTTGACAATTGATACCCTGTCTTTCACAGCGATCGCACGGAAAGTCATGATTGATATCCTTGCTGCATTTTTTGTGTTGGCTGTTACATGCAACACAGGTTAATGATTCATAATTTTTTCGTGCGCTTAAGCGCTTGCGACGAGCGGAGTAGGAGGGCGGCATGTTATTTTCAATATTACTGTCAGAAAAGAATTGAAGAGAATAATATCGTAAATATAGCTGTACAAGGCAATCAAGCAACAGTAGTAAAAAAGATTTTTGATAATTAGAAGAAACAAAAAAAAAAAAAAAAAAAAAAAAAGATAAAATTAAGAATAAAAATTAATATATACTATGTTATCCTGAGCAGCCGCAGAAGGGAAGTTTTTTGTAAGTTTCAGTTTCTAAGTCGTGGGTTGACATTAACTTGTAAGTAAAAGTTTCCTAGACAGTTTTTGGTTTCTCACCAAAAAAACCCTAGCTCTTCTTAAATTGCCGTTTGTGGTAGCATGATTCTCAATGGATTCTTAGACACTTCAATACTGTTTAATACATTAACTCATTGATATTCGAAGAGGGCTTCACGTTTATTATAGCATCTCTGAGTTTGTGCAGCTTAGTTATAGACCATTAGTTTTGAGCGTTAGCCATTATTTCCAGTATTTCCAGTAGTGAACTGCTGCATAGCTTTTTTTGAAGGATACTTATCGTTGTTATTGATTGCCATTTAAGACACTGTTATTTGAAAAGTAAAAATAAAAATATCAGACATGATGAGCTAATACTATTACTACTGCTATGCTTTTTATCATATAAGCAAATTTGCAGTACTTGATTTAAAAACCTGTACAATCTAAAGTACTGAAGACGACAGCAGGTAGTATTGCAACTTTAATCATAAGCGTTCAATAATGGTAACTGATCTGCATCAAATGTCCTTTTTCGCTTCCGTTTTTACTTGGAGAGTTATTGAAAAAGTAGCACTTTAGTGTCTACAAATAAAACGTAAACTCGTTCAATCAAGACTTTTTGATAAGAGTGGTTGTATAAGAAGGTTTATCATGGTCAATTAGACATAGTAGTTCTGCTGGAAGAAAAATAGTTAAAGACGACATTACAATCAATAAATGTATAAGTTCGGTTTCTTGAGACCATATTTCTGGTTGCTTGGTTTTGGGCTTATATCACTTTATGCGAGTTCCGAAAGCAACAATGAGACTGTTTCCATAGGGTAACATTGAGATGCATTAAACCCTTATTTCTTGGTTCTAACTCAAAATGTGATACTCCCCATTAAAGACATGGATAAAAATGTATCAATTAAAAATAATAAGCTTCAATGTAAGACAAATGTACTTCAACTATTGAATCTCTATACACATCCTTGATCAGTAGTGAACTTCAGTTTCGAAAAAAAAAGACATAAAAAAAAAGAAAAGTTATATATATCAAAAGCAGAGTAAAAGAACCTGAGTGAATAATACCAGTACGTCAAGCAACCTTGTTCAGTATATAAGTGTTCACATGGCGACACATCTTACATAGCCAAGTCAGTTGCCTGAATAATGCCAAAATCAATTAAAATTCTGTAAACCGAATTTCAAAATAAAAAATATCCCACGATAATTTTGTAGGCATATATTCTAGTAAGGAAGAGACTACTTACATAAGAATAAGGAGGCTTGTATCGTTGACTGTTTGGAGGTCGCGTGACAAGAAGAAAATTTTGTTATAAAAAGCCCCCCATGTTTTCTCTTTGGAGGTCTCTTTTTCTTCTCTTCTTTTTCATACATTAACGGCCTTCGTTTACTTATATCCTCTGTAACGCTTGCTCCTCGGCTTTGGCGGCAGTCTACTGCAAACCATGTTCTTTATTCCCATTGATCTTGTTCTTAATTGACACCGGCAGACCATAGGACAGTTTAACTGGGCCTTGTAAATCCCTCTGTCGCTAGTGTTGGGGTTGAGCGGTCATCTGTCGTGTTCTGGGATCCTAACACTGAAGAACGGCGGTAGATTGTTTGTCATTGCCTTCACACCTTCCCCTTTTTATGTTTCCCCTCATATACCACTTGGTTATCAAGAGTTGTTTTGTCTGTCTGAAGCTTTAATCATAATCGCGAAGCGCTTGGCGAGGGGAGCAAACCGAACACCTGCTTTTTTGGCAGAGTACCTTTTATGACCTAGCTTAGGACTTCAACTTTGATAATCCAAGCCTCTCCACGTTCCATAGTTTTCTTTCTTTTGAGCAAGTGTTACATTCTGTAAGGATTATGAGGAGACCTCAGGCCAAGATTCCCATACTTGCTTATCTAGTTTAACTGGTTAAAGCAGGAGTATTTCTTTACTCTTATTCAGGTTCGAGTCCTGGGATAAGCTAAACTCAATGTAGCATGTAGCATGTAGCATGTATATATTCCTTTTACTGACTTATTCCCTTCACAATAATTTATTTTTGCGTTACTGTTTCCATATGTTTTCATGTTAAAAAAAAGAAGCTTTTGTGTGTGTTTGCGTAAGTGGGAGAGAAAAGGGGCTGTTGGTTGCTTCATCTTATGGCTGCTCATCCTTACTTTATTCAAAAGCGGGCTATTGAGAGATTCTTAAAATAAAGAAAAGGACAAAAAGAATTTTCTCTGTTCTTCCTGCTGAATTACAGTAATGAGCCGAATCTCCACAAACAATTTTAAAACATGGTTAGAGACATTCATATAGCAGTATTTTGATGAGACTTTGAACGAGGAAAACAAAGCTTCTGACGAATCTTCAATACCTTATACTTCAGTTTAGATAAATGGAAAAAACTGAATGAAAAAGGCGAACAGTGTCTATCGCAACACACGCTTGGCAATCAGCCTTCTAACACGTTTGAGAATATTTTGGAACAACGTAAAATAGAGACAGAACAAATTATCATAATGTTTTACTTTTCAAAGTTTGTTAAGTTTTCCGCATTTAAATTAGTCAAAGAAGTGTTAGACACAATGATCGATGAATATACATCGCTAGTGAAAACGGCGGGATTTGAGGACAGTAGTAATGTGGGGTCCTTAGTGTGTACACCATCAGAAGGCAGTAACGACAATAACAGACTACCGTATGAACTTCAGTTAATAAGGGATTGTATCGATATGTTCGACCAAGAGTACGCGGTTAAAGTAAGTCTCGCTGAATCCATTTCCAGAAAAATTCAAACAATACTAAAAGCTAAACTTGTTTAGGAATCAATTAAGAGTGTCGTTAGTGGAGAAGGCTTTGCAACACAACAGCATTTAGCGGGCTGTATAGCTTTATGGAAAGCTGAGTCTTATTTAGACGAAGATACCATTGAGAAGATTAAAGAATTAAAATAGACGAAGGTTTATTTATCTATTTTTCTCTATCAATCTAAATATAGAGATGGGCAAATTTCGTTGACAGATATTTCTGGTTGTAACAGAATAGGTTATATGTTAGTATGGAAAAACTAAATAGTAAGCGGATGCGAGAGAAACATTTCTATGCAGATTTGATGGCCGTGTTGGTAGATGAAGGGATAGAGCTAGTGGTATCTGTGATGGAGGCAATGATAGACGCTTTAGAGTTATCAATGGAAGTTGGTGATGTTAATGGCGATGCGGGTTGTGGAGTAGATGCTGCTGAAGATGACGAATAATCCGATAATAAAGATGACATGGAAACGCGAGGTTGTTCGGATGAGGCTCTTTTCAGCGGTGTACGTGCTCCAGAGGACGTTGGCGTTGTTGTACCACTGTGAATCAATTTTCTCTTTGCTAAAAAGGAACCCACTATTTGTTCAGCACCAAACAAACTAGCGAAACCAGAGATCATTTGATGGCTCTGGCATTCCCAAAGATCTAGCTGATCGATAACAGCTGTAGTTACCTCCTTCAGCTTTTCTTTCGTCTTGATTTGCTGTTCCTTCAGAAACGAAATATTCAAATCTCTTGCAGAAACACCGCGTTTCAAGTTTCGTCTTAAATAAGCATCGTAGTCACGTACAATACGTGTAATCAAATCAGATGTGGAGACACCGTCTGTACGTTGAGTTGGTAAGAATTTACCTTGTGATTTCACAAAAGCGTAGACATCCCCCGACTCAATAGATTGATATGGCTCGGCATCATGTGCAACATAATCAATTTGATGTTGGTCTAAGAACTCCTGTGTTACAGTCCATGGTGCATCTTCAATGACTTCATCTACCCATTTACAGTGACGAACTGCTTCGTATCTTTCTTTATCCGTCATAACAGTTCTACCTTTTCGTTTATGTGTCTCCTCATCGTTGCAGACTAAAAGTACATTTTATATTAAAATAAATTAGTGTCATCATGAAACGATACTGAACATGGGCTATACTGTCTATTGCAATGTTCAACTTACCACCTACTAACAGATAGACATTGGGAAAAGCCTTTTTAGCTTGTTCTAAAGCTTTTGCATGCCCAAAATGAAATAAATCGTAGATGCCATCACAGTAAATTCGAACCAGCCTATCCGTGGGTGGCTATATTTGCATGGTTAGTCTACACTAGCGATCCTATTTTTTTTTTTTTTTTTTTTTTTTGTGTAATTGTTCTTGATAGTTCTGTCTTTACCAAATTGATTTTAAAGTCATAACCTTGAGCTAATTGAGAAACTAACGAGCTTGTAATATCCGCTTGAACATTGTTTATAATAGAAATATCAGATGAGGTCCTTCTCAATTGATTAGGCGAGATTTCAAATGCATTTTCTATATTTAGAAGTGATAACTGTTAGCACAACTGATACATTGGTCCGAATGCCGTAAAGTTTTCATAAGTACCGTTCGTAAGAGGCTTTTTATCAGTAACAGACATAGTAGAGGAAATTGAAACGAGTCTGAAAGAATAAATACAGTAGTAGTATGGTAGATGCAAATAGATGATTAAATCTGCACGTTTGCTGTGTTGATGAAGCTATGTACACTCTATGATATATTTCTTCAATCCTTCAACTGGAAGTGTAGCGGTTGTAATGGAGCAGCCGAATAAGAAGGTTTTTCGAAGAACAGTATGTAAGAAAGCTATAATACAGAGAGGGAGAAGAAGAAGAAGAAAAGGAAAAGAAGGCTAAAGAAATCAATTGAAATCCTATATATGAAAATTGTTGTCGGCTTCAATGATAATGTGTGCCTATGAAACAAGCTTCATCTTTTTTATTCCAGCCTTCCATAAAAGAGTTGCTTTAAAGTCACAAGCCCTTTTTCTTTCTATTTTCAAATGATCACCCAGTTTCTTTTCCCCAAAAAAAAAAAAAAAAAGCTGCAATTGCGGAATTAAAAAGTTATTTGCTTAAAATCAAGAGAACATCGTTAAACAGTAAAAGGAAGGGATGATCAATAACATATTCTCGTCATCAATACAGATGTACCTGTCGCCGTATCAGTTATAAAAACTCACATCAAAGGTCACAAAAATATAAAGCATAACCATTCTTTGTTAATAAGAAGCATCACCGTTTACGATCAAGTTCTTGTAGGCTTTTTTTTTTTTTTTTTTTTTTTTTTTTTTCTTGCTTTGAAATTAAAGCTTTTAAGGGAACACGACGGAACATGAAGGCATTGGGTTTTCTATCATGTCGTTTGGTTTTCCGACTTTTTTAGAATTTGCAGGTTCAGAACGGGCTTCAATGAGTAGCATATCCACCGAGGATGCATAGATTTTCGCTTTGATCCATGGGTGATCTCTACTAATTTTCTATACTGCTCAAAACCTTTCTAAACGTATGAATGGGCCTTTTGATCATTGCACCAAAATCCAATTCGATTTGTCAACCCGGTTTCCTTCAGAAAGCTATTCATTATGTCTGCTTCTACGTTTCCTGATTTTTCCCTTCGAGCTGTTTCGCCAGCGTAGAGTAAATGCACTGTTGGGTCAGTGTCATTGAAAACTAATTTAACCTGCTATATGCTACATGAAGTTTTAATAATTGATGCGGCGATAGGTGATATCCGTGTAATGACAAGAAATGTTTACGAAGCGTCCGTTACTTATTGGTGGCGCTTAAATCTTTGTGCATTTTCAAATACGAACACTGCATTAGAGTTTTTTAATTTTTCCTTTTCCACGTGTAAAAAAAGCAAGCATGGAATAATATTCTAATATGTTGTATAATATCTGGTAACGAAAACGATCAGGATCACAATGGCAGTAATGAGGCGAAAATGTATTGACATATTGGAAACAATAGTATGGTGTCAGACTTCTTCTATCCAAATATGGGTGGAGTAGAAAGTCATTTATACGAGTTATCGCAACGTTTGATACAAAGAGGCCATAAAGTAAAAGCGATCTTCTTCATCTAATCATCTGAACATCAGCAAACTCACATCCTGCTTTCCCTAATGCTCAATGAAGGTCGTTATTATCACCCATGCTTATGGTCGCAGAACAGGCGTTCGTTATTTAACAAACGGTCTGAAAGTTTATTATGTCCCAACTCAAGTCATTTATGCAGAAGCCACTCTACCTACTATTTACGGCTTCTTTCCTCTATTTCGACATATTGTCATCCGAGAAAGTATTCAAATTGTGCATGGTCATGGCGCTTTTTCCTCGCTATGTCATGAAGCTATTTTACATAGTAAAACCATGGGATTAAAGGCCGTATTTACAGATCACTCGTTGTTTGGATTCGCCGACGCATCTTCTATTTTGACCAATAAGTTATTGAAATTTACGCTAAGTGATATAGATCATGTTATCTGCGTCTCTCATACAAGGTATTTGCCCAATCACTGTCATGCGTCAATGAAGCCGCGTTTGTAGAAGGCTCACATGTCCAAATTCCCCAATGTGATAGTAAAGAAAATACAGTACTAAGAGCAGCTTTATCACCAAGACATGTGTCTGTTATACCTAATGCTGTTGTAGCCTCTCAGTTCTTACCGGATCCTACTCGACCAGATCCAAACTATATTACCATCGTGGTCATCAGTAGACTTGTTTATCGTAAAGGCGTAGATTTGTTGATCGCCATTATACCGCGTATTTGCGAAATGTATAAACAGGTGCGATTTATCATTGGCGGTGATGGACCCAAGCGGATCGACCTGGAGCAGATGAGAGAAAAACATTTATTACATGAACGAGTAAAATTGTTGGGACCTATAAAACATCATGAAGTGCGAAATGTATTGATTCAAGGAAACATCTTTTTGAATACGAGCTTGACAGAAGCGTTCTGTATTGCGATAGTGGAAGCGGCATGCGCAGGATTATTTGTTGTGAGTACAAAAGTAGGCGGTGTGCCCGAAGTCTTACCCAGTCATATGATAAATTATGCAAGCCCTGAGGAGGATGGTAATAGAACACTCGTTTTGTAACGAAAGATGAACATCAGCAGCAGTAACTGAAGATTTATAATAGATTTAGTGATAGCTGTTTCGAAAGCAATCCACAAATTACGATTTGGAAAGGTTGACCCAAGCAAATTCAACGACGAGTTGAAAGAGATGTACAACTGGTCTAATGTAGCAGAACGTACAGAAAAAGTCTACGCCTCAGTTTACCAAACCAGAAATTCACCATTGATTGAACGGCTAAGACGCTATTACGGCTGTGGTTTGTATGCCGGGAAAATATTTTGTATGCTGATGGCCCTGGATTACTTGATATGGAAGTACCTGGAATGGGTCTTTCCTACAGATGCAATAGAGGTAGCAGATACATTCCCTTACCAAAGATATAGGCAGTATTTCATGGAGCAGAAACGAAAAGCCAGCAATACGGTCCGTGCTACTAGTGTTGATATAGATTCTTTAAGCAGCAGTAGCAATCGAAACAGTACTTATAAAGAGTATCAAGTAGAGGATGCTTGCGTAAACAACTGTGCTAATACGCACTTAAACAATTCATCGCCTACTTCAGCTATTTATATGTTGGATGATGATAGCAATAAAGTGTTGAGCGATGCTATTATAGTAGAAGAAGAAGAAGAAGAATAACCAACAATATTGTGCAGTGACTTCTACAACGTTGGACTTGTGTATATATCCATTTGACCATTGTATACCCTAATAATCGTACATCAACTATTCCGCTTTTCTCAAATAATAAAAAACTTTTTTTGGCATTCCAGAGGAAGATATACTCTCACTATATTTTATTCAATCTTCTGCTACGTGCAATTGTTCATAATGGCAAGGATATATCGAATAACCTGATCGAATAACATCTTCAGCTGTTCTTCCTTTTGTCTCTGGCAATATCATGATTGCGACGGCAATAAGGCCTGCAAGAGCTGCTCCGAATATGTAAAACACCTGGCCTTGACCCATCCAATTTCTCAATTCCAAAAATGCAGCCGACACTGCGAAATTTGAAATCATATTACTAGCCAATCCAACAGAACATGCGCTACTTACTGCTCGTGTCTCAACCACTTCAGGTATCATTAAAAACGGAATAGGTCCGAGTCCAATAGCAAAAGCAGCAACAAACCCAAGGATGGCAGCTGCAGATAGCATGCTATATCCATATTCAATACTCCAACCCAATAAGATACCCATCAAAGCCATTGAGCTAGCAGATAAAAGGAATAACGAGCGGCGACCTACTCTATCCATCAAAACAGCAGAAATTGCAGTGACAATCAAATTGACAATGGAGATGGAAACAGTTATTAAGCCTGATGCGTGAGGAAATACTGTTGACATAATGGAAGTTGAATAAAAGATGACAGCGTTGATGCCGGACAACTGTTGTGATAGCTGTAGTAGGAGAACAATCAGTAGAGGCCGTCGAAAATAGCTTGATCGAAGGAATTCCCAGACGTTCACGTGAGAAGAAGGAGGATGGACGTTATGGAAAGCTGCCGTTGCCACTTCTTCTTCTTCTTCGAGCTGCTGATGACGATCAGCATGATGAGCTGCCCAATCCCTACGCCAGTCATTTATTTCGTCCTCTACTTCTTCTAGTGAAGTTCCTCGTAATCTCAATAAAGACTTTTTAGCTCGATTGAGTCCTCCTGGCAAGGACGCTAAATATTTTGGTGACTCAACGCAAAACGGCAAAAAGAACACAGATTGAACTACTGCCAATAATACGCCTATAAAGAGAATATATCGCCAACGCTCCAAATTGGACCATACCAAGCCTAGTACTTGAGCTACCATAATGCCTATAACAATAAATAATTGTGTCAAAGCACCAAAGAATCCACGTCGTGCCTCAGGGACACACTCCGAAATGTACGCGGGTACGACTACCGTAACCATTCCAACGCCTATTCCTGATAGTAAGCGACCGATCATCATGTGTGTTGGTACGCTTGCAAGCGTTGCTAAAAGGGATCCGCCTCCCAAAAAAGCGTTGGTGCCTAAAAGAGTCAGACGTCGGCCGTATTTGTCGTTAAAGTGTGGGGCAGACAGAGCACCTACAAGACCGCCGAGCGTGAGTATGGAAACGACTAATCCATACTGCGAATCGGACATGGGTATACAAGGTGGTAAAACACCTGCAGAAACGTCAAGACTGACATTGCTGCCAAGTGAAGGTGCATTGGGGGTAGCAGTACATTTCGAAATGACAGACTGGGGTGTATTTAATTCCCCATTATGATATCCATACTGAAAGCCGCTCTAGCAGTTCAAGAAAATGATGAAAATGTTTATTCCATTTACTATTTTGAAAAATCCTATCTCTTTGTTATCCAGTTACCAATAAAATGGACACCACCACAAATATCAAATAAATTGTTGGTCCTTCCGAGGACATAATATGACTCTAACAGAAATTCAAAGGGTTGGAAGAAATTATTTGAATTTTATTCTATTCAGACACGATTGACATTTGCTAATACACACTTAAAAGATGTATATAATATACTAATAATAACAATAAAGAAAATTAAAGGAGCAATAAAAGGGAAAAAAAAAGAGCAACAAGCGAACCATTCGGGTTCCTGTTTGAAAGTTGGATGATCACTTGAGAATAACACACAGCATCATACAAATTTCATGCCATACCCAAATTTGGTATTATTTCTTGAGTTTAAATAATTTAGCTGTGGACGTTTTCATCGTTGATATAAAGCTTTTCTTATGGTGTAGCTTTTGTGACGGCAGGTAATACGAAGCGTCATTGGTAGCATTATGTTGTTGGTGAGAATACTGGATTTTGTTTGCCTCCTCTTCTTGTTTCTTTAACAGACTCAAGGCGACAGAAACAGCTGTAACAGGGTCACCTTTGGCTTCTATTAATGCGTTTTTTAAAGTATACATATCCACCTGAGGTAAAATATTTCTCAAATGTTCTATATTGTCATCGGTGGCGTACGTTGCTGTAAGTGTGCTACGTGGGTTGTTGGTTCCAATGGTGTTTAAGCTGTGTCTACGTATAGGCTTATTGGGAGTTGCCGAAGCACGTATTTCGGTTATTGTTTTATAATCTGATGGCCATGCATTGAGGTAATTTTTATCTTTGATATAGAGTTGGTCTGTGAGTAGCTGCTCTTTTGAATGACTTGTAGAAATTGCAGAAACACGGTTTTTCTGATGAGAGGGGTGTGGAAATCTGCGTACGTTATTGCTGGAAGGGACGGGAGGTATTATTTTGTGTGCAACAGCTTCATCATGAGAGTACGAGTTGTCTTGATGCCAAGAAGTTGCTCTAAAGTGGTTAGGTCTCATTGATGGTGTTAGGCTAAACTTACTGAATGTTCTCACAAGTACTTTATTGCTTCCATCTGTATCACAGGTACTGATAGCGTTATCTTTAGGGTCCTTCAAATTAGGCTTTGAAGGATAAGGTTTTTTCTTGGTCAGTGGGTGAATAGTTTGAGACATATTTTTAGATGTGGGTTTATGGCGCAAAGCCGATTTTGCTGTGTGAGTCTGCGCTTCATGCTGTGAATTCGTAGGGATGCCACTACTGCTGAGATCTTGTTTGTGTATCAATTTTCTTGTACTCACCGGAGTCGACCTGGCCGTATTGGTCTTACTAGTACAGGCACTATGACCAGTATTTTTCTCATCCAATTTTTTCCGCCATACACCGATGGGTGTTTCCGCCTTTAAGCACAAGTCGATTGTCTTTTCGTAGAATTTCATTCTCTCTTGAGTATCAGATATTCGCATCATTTCCTCATATGTGCGAGGGATATACTTTTGCTTGTACTGTTTTTCTGGCGTCTGTTCTGAAGGATCGATTCTGTTTTGCTGTTGCAGCATTAACTTCTTCTCTTGCAGGTGTTGTCGTTTTGCATTTTTAATACTTTTAGGGCTTTTACAACTTTTAGAACTTTTGGCACTCTTTGTGCTTTTTGCGCTTTTCGCTGATTTCCTACTTGATATAGAAGCTCTTCTTGACCTCACTGTTGGGGGTGAAGCTATGTGCTGCGGTGTCAGAAAATGAGACGAATCATCCGTTGGAGCTATATTGATAAAGCACGGATCTGTATACGGCATAGGAGCTTTATCATATTGCGACTGCTGCGGCCTTGGGGCGTGCTCATGATATTGATAGGGTCTGGTCAAATGCATTGTATCGTCCCTTACTTTCCTTTCGGTATCATTGCGATTGTGTAAAAGCGAGGAAAGATCAGAAGATAGTTTAGCCCTGCTACCGAGCTCCTCAGGCTCCACTACTAAAACCTTTCCACCGTTAAGAGAGAAGGAAGGCTCTTCCTCAATTTTTGCATTTGGTTTTTGGAGTTGCTCAGGATGCGGTAAGGCTTTCGTCAAACGGTTCTCCAGTAGACGACGGGCTATCATTAATGATTGCTTTGCGGTTTCTGTGACAGAATCTGTTGATACAGTAGTTTGTTTAACCAACGGGGTCTCTGATAAAGGAAATTGCTCTGTCTGTATCAGCTCTGTCTTTTCATTATCTATGAATAATGTTCCGTATGGTTGATTAAATGCATCTGCGCCTTTTATTTGAAGATTCACTACGTGGGTCAGTGGCATAGATCATTAAATGACAGGATTCGGATTATTTTCTGCAGATAAAAATTACCTTGCACTTGAAAATTGTCTATGAAGGATTGTAAATCACGAATTTGATCAAGGGCACCTATTTTGACAGGCGATGAAAAGATAATTTGGAACTGGATCTGCATTTATCGCAATGTCAAGTGTTTCGTTCTTACCTTTGGAAACCATTGACTAAATTTAGCTTTTTAAAGGTAAAGGAAGGACGTTAATTTCAAAATAGGATAAAGATAACAAAAAGAAGGTAGAAAATGAAGCTTGAATCAACAGAATAAGAATAGAAAATAAACAATTTAAAACTTTCAAAAAGAACGGCTTTGATTAACTTTTAATAATGAGTAAAAATGAATTATGGTTAAGCAAAGTACTCGGAAAAAAAGAATTGGACAAAGTTGGATAAAATTGAAGGAAATACCATGTCATCAGTTAACTTTGTCTGAAGCGTTTCACGGCCATCCATTTAAACTAGGATTAATGTTGGCTTGATTCTTGTGGTCAGCCCTTCGCTTCGAGAGATCCGAAAGATACTGCTCTTTCATGAGTCATATCAACAGGAGCCTTCAATTTTGCTCACTATTTACGTGTCTAGAACATACAAATGGCCACTCATGTGCTGTACGTACTTTTCGATTACTCAGTAAGTCGATTGCTTTAGCGAGCTGGCGTATTCTTTATTTTTGCAGGAATTTGAGAGTATTCTACATAAATGCATGAATCAAAGATTAGTAGCCAATTTTTATGTAATGATGCTCTTTATAACAACGTTTGAGCTCTTTATTGGCTTGTAGAATGTATCTCGTGTCTTCTGCATACACAATTTCTTACAGAATCGAAATTTATTGTGCTTTACACACCATAAAATTTGCTAATGCTAAATATGAACAAACCTAAAGGTGTCTTACGCAAAGCATAGATTTGTTCGTAATCCAGCCACACGTTTATTAAAGGGCCTAAATTGACAACCAAACCTTTCATAAAGCCCTCAAAAAGTAGGTATATTTTTTGTTGCGTTCCTGCCAATGCGCCATTTTTGACAGTTACCAAATATGTACAGCGCTGTAGCGGGCACTGAAAATCGTACTGATTTGTTGATTGATATAAAAATTGAAGCAGAAAAAACTTTTACACTTTTGCCAACTCTTTTGCCCTCGACATGTCAAGTAAAAAGAGCAAATCAAGCTCGAAATCGTCCAACCCGCCTCCACCTACCTCAACAACACCTGGCAAAAAATTGGGTGGCAAAAGAAATATTGTCAAAAGTGGAAACGCTAATTCATCTAAAAGTAAAGACGCTGATAAACCTCCTGTACAATATTCTTCGATCTTTGGCACTTGGACAGGCAAAACACCTGTATCTTTACTCCACGACCATTGTCAAAAGTCCAACTGGGAAAAGCCCGAATATGATATAAAAAGATGCAATACAAAGGACAGCAATGGGCCTGCCTACTTGGGCACTGTAAAATTGAGCCAGCGTAACAAAAAGACAGCTCAAATGCAAACCGTTACTTTCACCCCGCCCGCCGAATGTGCTTTACCTACCTCTGCAGAGGCTAAGCATTTGGCAGCAACATATACATTGCATCGTATTTTATCACACATGTCGATGCATCGAGTTTTACCGCCTCAACATAGAGATTATTGGCGCCAATTTGAAACATACAAATCATCCGCTAATCAATGGCAATATGATCCAGATCCATTTAATGCTCACGCGCCTACTGCGCCAGTAAAAAAGCAACGCCAAGTACCTTCCAAAGAGCATGCTAATGCTGCTGTGCCGATGCCCACGTTAACATCTTCGTCGGCAAGCTCGAAGAAGAGAGGGGCTGGAGATACAGTGATGATCGATGAAAAACTAAGAAGGGAATGGGAAAATTTACCAGCTGTTCATATGACTGCAGAAAACAGAGACCTTGTAGAGCGAGTTTTGAAGCGTTCGAAACTGTCTTATCAACCTGTAAGTCGGATATCACAGTGGTAGAGAAAAAGAACTACAAGAGAAACCGTAGGATAAATGGTTAAAAGAATTGGCAAATTGATTATATCATGTATTGCATTAGGCTAAACATACAGCACAAGAAAAGAAGCAATTAATTGACATTTTAGTGAAAATGGGATTCAGAGCAGCACATGCGGACGAGGCATTAGACTATTCCAAAGATACTGCGGATGCTTTGGATTGGCTTTGTAAGTTTGAAAATCTTTTGCAGATATTCGATCCAATTCATCGTACTATGGGCATGTTGTGCTGATCGGAATTGTTTATTGCCATTGTAAACATTGCATAGGCCTACACGTTCCTGAAGATGGTAAAATAATCACGACTAAGGGTTTACTATTGTTCGGTACGGATTTGGATTTGACCCATATTTCTTTCAACTGCATGCGTAGATTTACCGCCGAATTTTATGCTGGCCAACTATAACCCAACCATGACCACCGTTTCACAAACAACAGAAACACTTAGCCGAAACTGGCTCCTCAAACGTATGAGTGCCATTGGATACCCTGAAGCTATTTGTGAAGAGGCACTTGAAAGAGCGAACGAAGATGACACTAAGGCGATAGAACTATTACAATGGCGACTAGCGCATGGGGACGACCAACCTCTCCCTAATTACAAGGAGACCGCCGCTTTAATTGATAAAGAAGAATTAGAACAAATGTTACAAGATGAAGTAACAGCTCTTGAATCTATCTATGAACCATCACGATTCGGCCGTCAAGTATCGGAAGAAGACGGTCGTACGACATACCATATTTTATTTAATGCAAAAACTAACCCTGAAGAAAGCAATGAAACAGAGAAGCTATTGTTGCAGATCATTGTTCCCAAGGATTCACTTTATCCTCATCAGCTCCCTCTGTTTATTATTGAATGCGAAGGATTGCCTAGCTATTTGAAATTATTTTTGATAAAAGGGTTGATGGAAGAAGCTGAGAGAAACCTTGGCATGCCTTTCATCTATATGTGTGCTGAATGGCTACAAGATCATGTCGATCAAATGATTGCGCATCCGCCTAAATTACGGGATATGACAGAACGTTTAACCACATTTGACATCACCCCACAAAAACGACATAAGCTCAACCATCAACGACGCCATCGAGCCAAACCACTAAAAGCTGACAACGCAATTTCTGAACAGCTCAAAGACGCATTAGAGACAATGCATAACTCACCTGAGTATGTGCCTATGGGCCTTGTTCGTTCTAAATTACCTGCTCATAAATTTAAAGAAACCATTATCAAAACGGTATTGGGCAACCAAGTTTGTATTGTCAGCGGTGAAACAGGTTGTGGTAAGACTACTCAAGTGCCTCAATTTATTCTGGATGAAGAAATTCTGCAAGGACGTGGGTCAACATGTAGCATCATCTGTACTCAACCGAGAAAGATTTCTGCTATTGGTGTAGCGGAACGTGTTGCGGCAGAACGATGTGAAAAGATCGGTCAAAGTATTGGTTATGCTGTACGTGGTGAGACAAAATGCAGTGCGAATACGCGTTGTCAATTTGTCACCACAGGTGTTTTATTACGACGACTGCAAAGCGATCCTACTTTGGAGGGTATTAGTCATGTGATGATTGATGAAGTTCACGAGCGTTCAGTAGACAGTGATTTCTTGTTGATTATTTTGCGTGATGTGTTGAAGAAACGAAAGAATTTAAAAGTAGTACTCATGTCTGCCACCTTGAATCAGGCTCTCTTTTCTGACTATTTCGGTGGTGCTCCTTTCATTGAAATCCCTGGCTTCACTCATCCTGTACAAGATTTTTACTTGGAAGACATTCTCGATATGACTCTAGCGCATAAAAGTGTGGTTGAATTACCCTCACAATCTGAAGAGAAGGGCGTCCAAACGATACCTGATGGCGAATGGGCCGAATGGCAAATCCCTTATTTGGAAAAAGGGTACGCGCCGGCTACCGTCCGACAACTCGCTCGTCATCGTGGTGATAAGATTGATTATAATTTAATCGCCAATACTGTACAATACATTGTACAACATGAAACTGTGAAGCTTGAAGCCGGTGCATTACCGGCTGTTCTTATTTTCATGCCTGGTGCTATGGAGATCAAGCAATGCTGTGAAGCACTTGAGAGCATCCTGCGCGGGCAAGAAAAATGCGAGATTTTGCCTCTGCATGCCAATCTGTCTCCACAAGAACAGACCCGTGTTTTCAAAACGGTTGCACCGGATGTGCGTAAAATTGTTGTCGCTACCAATGTGGCTGAAACGTCCATCACCATTGAGGGTGTTGTCTATGTCATCGATTCCGGTCGGGTGAAAGAAACTCAATATCATGCCAGTAGCCATATGATGCATCTGGTAGAAACATGGGCTTCACGGGCATCGTGCAAACAGCGTCGTGGTCGTGCGGGTCGTACACGTCCTGGCCAGTGCTTCAAATTGTTCACTCGTGAAGTAGAGCAGAATAAGATGCGTGCTCAACAAGTGCCTGAACTACTCAGAACTCCATTAGAACAACTCTGTTTGACGGTGAAAGCCATGGATGAAAAGGTAGACGTGGCCAAATTTTTAAAGCGAGCCATTGATCCACCTTCTACAGCTGCTTTAGAGAGCGCGATACGTGCTTTGAAGCAAGTTGAAGCCGTTGATCCAGAGGGAGAAAAATTAACAGCCTTAGGGAAGCATATGGCGAATATTCCAGCTGATTTACGCATCAGTAAAATGTTGTTGTTTGGCTCTGTATTTGGGTGCTTGGAGCCTATGTTGACGATTGCATCGATCATGTCCTTGAAGAGTCCATTCACATCACCGATGGAAAAACGTCAAGAGGCACGGCAGTAAGTCTACCATCCTCCTCAGTTTTATATTTTTTTACATGCGCGAAGAGTGAAGAATCTAAACCATTGTATGATTAGGGCAAGAGAAAAGTTCAATTTTGCCAAGAGTGATTGGCTGGCTGATATGAAAGCTTATAATGAATGGTTCGACATTATTCGATCCAAGGGTATGAAAGCAGCTCGTCAATTTTGTGAAGAAAACTTCTTATCGTTCGCAACCTTGAATGAAACACAAAATTTACGTCGACAATATGCCGAGGCATTGTATGAGATTGGCTTCTATAACCGCAGCAATAAAGAAAAATACAATGAAAACGCCGACAATCTGAATTTAATCAAATCAATCATTTTTGCAGGCTTAAATCCCAATGTCGCTAAAATTAAGCTGCCTAATACCAAATACGAGAAACTATCCAGCGGTACAATCGAAAAGGAAAAGGAAGCTAGAGAGATCAAATTCTTCACAAAAGATGATGGTAATTGCTAGCATTTAGAGAATGAATGTTATTATTATGTTTTTCTCATTTATGTCAAATTATTATTAGGTCGTGTTTTCCTACATCCATCCTCTTTAATGTTTTTCAACAATAATTATAACTCCTCTTTCCTTACTTATTTCTCAAAGATGGCCACAACCAAAACTTTCATCAGGGATGGCACCGAAGTGCCATCTTACGGTGTCCTTTTTTTCGGTGGCCGAATTGAGGTCGATCATCTTGGTCGAGGTTTGAAAGTTGGTGAAGATGGTTGGATTCGCTTCAAATCATGGGCACGTATCGGTGTCTTGGTGAATCAATTAAAGAAGCTATTACAATTAGAATTAGAATGTAAAATAGAAGACCCCAATATAGACGGTAGGCTATCCAAATGAAAACAGTGCTTACTTGAGTTAATTGTATATATTAAATCTCTTTTAACATTCTTTTTAGTATCTGAAAGTGGCGTAGCACACACAATCATCGCGTTATTGACTAGCAATGGCGTTTAAATCAGATCACAGATCTTAGTAATGAAGAACTTAGTAATGAAAAACTGCTACTGCTCTATTATTGAAACGCCGTTTCAAAGTTTTTTTTTTTAACAGGAGTTGTGTTTTGTAAATAAAAAAGTTCTTTCCTTTTCTTTCAACTAACAAAAGGGGCCACCAACTTCGTATCTATCTTTTTTGAATTTCTTTTGAACGAAAGTAACTGATAAAAAATGGATCTTTCTTGGTGTATTATCTGTGACAATCGCATTGATGATGTTTTGGTAAGTTTGTGGGTGGCAGAAGTTGAGAGATGGAATGCTTCATTTGATCCTAATTCTTTGATTTGTTTTTTGATCACAGAATGATTCTTCGTTGTATTGCTCAGAATCATGTAAATTAAAAGATCAAATGGCTAGTGTTACGAATCAGCTTGTGCACAACAATCAACAATCATCTCAACAACAGCAAGCCTTGAAGAAGACTCTTACTAAGGTGAACAGCATCCGTAATAAGCGGTCAACTGCTCCATCCGCGTCTTATCCATGGATTCCTCTCTACCGTCGCCGTCGCGTTGCTGTTGTTTCTAAGCGTTGCCAACCTGTTGTAGCCAGTTCCCTTACAACTGCGCATGCCTTCTTCAGTTCCATGAAGGCACCTACAACAACAACTGCTTAATCTATCAATCCAACTATGTGGTGTTTCCAACAAACAATACATGGTTATCCATAAAAACCTCGAAAAAAAATTTCAGCCGCAAAAAAAGGAAAAAAAACCAACAAAAAAATGTCAAAATTGGTTAAAAAACAACACAAAAAAAAACATTTTTATTACTTTCTTTTTTTAGTTCAACTGGTTGATTTTTAAGAAAAAGCACGGGGAGGATTGTAAATAACAAAAAAAACCAACACACCACAACATCATTAGTAACAACCAACACTTTATCTTTACTAACGTACGACGAAAATGTCTACGTTCACACAGCAACTATATCATTATAATCACAACATTTGCATACCCGAGCATTTTTCCGACTCTCAGCCATCTTATCTTAGATTTTAATTTATATGTCCATTCTTCTTATCATAACTATTTTAATAAATCACGAACAATATGCGTTTTATCACAGAAGGGTGCTCTCTTCAACAGAAAGCACTCAACAAAAAAAAAAAAATTCTGCTCTCTTTTTTGACTTTTTTTTCCCTTTGTGCGTCGTACGCCTCATCTGCTGCTTAAGATTGCACGTGACACAATATTTTGAACTGGCGATTGTAAGGTGTATGGTAGGGAAGATTTTTTCAGGCAACAGTTTGAGGTGTCTTTTAGATTACCAATCCGTTAGATCACTCATTGTTCATCTCTAACTATAATCTATCCAATAAACGATGCCCCATCCACTGTTATGCATGCTATTCTTACTAAGCGCACAAGCTGCTCTATCGCAAACAACTATGAATGACCAAAAGGTAATATACGAGCAGAAGGTCAAATGGGTTGGCACATGAGTAGCTCTTTCTAAGTCGTGTTTCTACAGTCAACACCTTTGACAGAGAGTCAATCCAATGTCCTCTCCATTTATCACAAAAAGGACGGGGCTTTTATAAAACGTGGTATCATCACAGGGCTACCCGGTGTGCCGCAATACGAGCCTACAGAACACGAAATAGTGAAATTTGATCAACGAGATCCATTCTATCAGATAAAGTTGAAAGACGAAAGAACAGGCCATGTTATATTACAGTCTGCTAAAATGGTAAAGTTCGTCAACAATGCAGCGCCAAGTTAGAAGAAGGTTACATTGACATGAATTATGATGAAAATATAGTGTCAAATGGTAGCAAGTGAATGGAAAGATCATTTCATTATCAATCTAGATGAAAATAATAATTTTTATCATTACAGTTATTATCCTGCAACAAGTGATTGTCCAACAGACATTAGCGTAAGCTGCCATCATGAGAAAGGAGCTATAGATGTTGTATAACGTCTAAATCTGAACGATTTCCATATTTGCTCAATAGTATCCTGTAGTGACGAATGCATTCAATACTTCAGTCACTGTCATGTCTCCTGAATATGGACCAAAGTGAGTTTCCCTTTGACCAACAATAACAAGTTGGAAGAGTATGAATGTGTTTTTTCCACTGATGATAACTCTATTACTGGGTATTTTAGACCATTGTTAGGACATTTTGCTGCTGAACAGCCGAAACAGAAATCGAAGAAATCAACAGCAAAGATCAACGATGGAATTGTGAATGAAAATGAAATCGTTGAAGAAAAATCTTTTTTCCAAAAATATTGGTATTTGATTTTGGGAGCAGTTTTGCTAATGCTAACTAATAATATGGCGCCTGAACCCGCTTCAGCAAGTGGTTCAGGTACTCCTAGAAGACGTTAATGGCTGTCTAGAAATAAAAAATGTTTGTTTGACCCGTCAGCTACCCATCTCGCGCTGCATATACGACTTTACTCTTCTTATTGAGCTTGAAAATAGTTTGAGAAGATTTGCCCAAACCTTCATTAATTTTCGTCACAAGCTAGAATAGAGGGAATGAAACTGTCCTGTATTTTCCAACGCCAACTATTGCCTGTTCAGCCAAAACTGCATAATTTTTTTTAAGCAGCCCCGGATAATGGGAGTACTACATAAGAGCGTGCTGAAACAATTTGGGTTCTCCTTTTAGCCATGAATTTTTTTACGTAATGAGGGGGTAAAGCCATCTACAGATTCGAAAAGGCTTTACTGTTATTGCTGAAAACAATAAGAAACACAAAATCTTGAACTGTTACTGGTGCTTACACTTTTTTGTAGGGTAAAAAGGGACCTTCCTTTTTCTACCAAACTGTGTTTGTGCACCCTTCTTTTACAAATACTTTACGCATACACAAACACTTAAAAAAGGGAATGAAGAAGTAACTAGCTTTATATAGCTGAAAATGTTACCTTATCTAATAATTACACGTACGTGGGGCAAACTTAGAAGGAGACCTTCTATCTCTTGATAATCAACTTATTGTCTATGCATCAGCACAGTTGAAGGTCAGTGCGCAGTCGGCTTGGCATCCCTCCTATCCATTCTAGATAGTATGGGTTCGTATACGGGAGAAAGGGTTTAACTGTAAACAATGTTGGGAGAAGATGATATCACTGGGAACATTCCAGTTTCCCTACTGAGCATACCGTTTTACATAATCAGTTTCTGTGTTTGCTTCTCTTGTGGAACTGAATTACGTTCAGCCGTACTATTATGCTTTCACACACGCAGAAAGGGTTGCAAAAAAGTTTTCCATTTTCCAGGGATCGCACTACTTTTTGACCATCTCAAACCATCTGCCTCGTCATCCCCCATCCACTCCATCCCCATTTGTTTGTAACTCTCAATGACACTCACTGTTGTAGGTGCGCCCTTCTCTACCTTCTCTCGTACTATCCGTATGGCCTTGGGCCACTTGAACATCAATTATGAATTTGAACAAACGATGCCTCATAGTGAAGTTGCTTATAAGTATAATCCCTTTGGTCGTATCCCTTCCCTATTGCATAAAGAAGCGGACAAGGATCCACTCATCATCTTTGAATCAGCTGCTATTCGTGACTATATTGATAGCGTCTTTGATGCTACTCTCACACCAAAGGACCTGACCACTCGTATCAAAATGGACGAACTCATTAGTATTCTCTGCGATTACATTTTCCATCATGTCATATTTGGAGTAGCCAAGCCTCGCATGGACTATGAACAGCAGGGAAAAACTGAACCCGAAATTCAAAATCTTCTGAGCAAACCATTGAGAAAGGCGGGCAAATTGATAGAAGCTATGGATAATCGGTTATCTGACAGCAGTAATTTTTTGTGTGGCGATCAATTGACTTGGGCTGACTATTTTGTGTATCCCGTTATGGCGGATCTTTATGCAATTCCTGAAGCTGGTTTTTTCCAGGAAAAGGGCCCACGACTTTATAGATGGTACACGAACTTTAAGGATCGTGAAGAAGTCATTTGCACGTATCCTGACACAGTTGCTGATATAAGAACGAGGAAGATGAGTAGTAGTAGTAGTAGCCTATAACCTAATAAAATAAGTTAGTTACATGACACTGGGTTGTTCATAGAAAACCCTGATTCACAAAACTATTCTTGTATTCAGGTGGGACGAAAATTATTTGTCAACACATACACAGAAAAAAAGAAGGGTTTTCATTGCCCTTGAATTGGTTGTCTCTAGCATGTTTGACTACAAATCCAAACGGAATAAATAGTGCCTGGATTTTGCATTCCCTTCTTTTTTTTTTCATTTCTTGTCTTTATTCTTTATTCTTCTCCTTTTATTCAGCATTAAAACTCTATCCTTAAAGCCGAAAAAAAACTAGGTAATAATAGAGTACATTACGATCAAATACTACTAAGATGAAGTTGCTATCCATACTCGCCGCCTGTGCGTTGATTTCTACTGGTATTGAAGCCAAAACATTCCTTTTCCCGGAGCCTCAAGAAGTTGCTTGGTCAGGCACTGCCGCCCCTCTTTCTAACCATTTCAAAATCACTGGCATCGACAATAAACATGTTCAAAAAGCTGCTGATCGCTACCTCTCCTTAATTAAAAAAGAAAAATGGGTTCCTGTCCAAGTTCCTACTGACAAAGAATTTGCCCCTACTGTGAACAGGCGTCATGAGTTACAAGGCCTCAAAGTCAAGGTCAAGGACAACAAAGTGAAGCTCGATATGGATGTGGATGAATCCTATGATCTCCACGTTCCTAAAAATGGCGGTTATGCTACTTTGTCTGCTCCTACTTGGGTGGGTGCTCTTCGTGGTCTCGAAACATTTTCTCAATTGGTCACTTCGGATGAAAACAGCAAGAGCAAACATCACAGTGGTGATCTCATCGTTCACGGCGCTTCCATCTCTGATACTCCTCGCTTCGGACATCGTGGTATCTTACTGGATACCTCACGTAACTACTACCCTGTTGAGTCCATTCTACGTGTCATCGATGCACAAGCTTACAACAAGATGAACGTATTGCATTGGCACGCAACAGATTCGCAATCCTGGCCTCTTGAATACAAGTCTCACCCCGAACTGTCCGATAAAGGAGCTTATTCGGCTAAAGAAGTATATACCCCCGAAGACGTCCAAAAGGTCATCTCCTATGCCGAAGAACGTGGTGTTCGTGTTGTTCTCGAAATCGATATGCCCGCTCATACGGCTTCTATTAAAGAATCTCATCCTGATTACATGCTCTGTACTGATCAATTCTGGGCCGCTTATGCTGCTGAACCTCCTGCTGGTCAATTGAATCCTCTCAACGAAGACGCCCTTCAATTGATGAAAGATCTCCTCAAAGAAGGTGCAAGTACCTTCCCTGACACTTTGATCCACGCCGGTGGTGACGAAATTAACACAGCCTGCTGGAACCTTAGTAAAGAAGTTCAAGATTACGTTGCTAAACACAACATGTCCGACACAAAGGAGGTTTGGTTCGAATGGACAAACAAAATTCTAGACTATATTCAGAAAGATATTCCAGAGAAGCGACCTATTATTTGGGAAGACCCTATCAAGGATGGTGGTAGCTATCCCAAGCATACTGTCGTTCAAACTTGGTTGGCCCCTCCTGCTAACTACACCTCCATCGGTCACGATGTCATTGTCTCTAACTTTGATTACTTCTATTTGGATTGCGGTCATGGTGGTTGGGTCGGTGACGATAACCGTTATGTCAGCCCTGCTCAAGTCGAAACCCCTGATGACACTTTCAACTACGGTGGTAACGGTGGTTCATGGTGCGCTCCTTTCAAGACATGGCAAAGAATTTATACATACGATATGACTTATGGCGTTGAAAAGAGTCATAAAGGTAAGATTCTTGGTGGTGAAGTGGCCATGTGGTCTGAACAAACCGGCCCCACTGTCTTGGAAGGTCGTCTCTGGCCCAGATCTGCTGCCGCTGCTGAAATTTACTGGTCAGGTTCATACGATAAGAAGGGCAATCGCCGTACTATAAAGCAAGTATCTGAACGTTTCTATGACTGGGTTTACCACTTACAAGCTCGTGGCATTGACGCTGAACCTGTTCAGCCAAGATATTGTGCCACGCATCCTAATGCCTGTGACCTTAATGATCCCAACGCCTAATTGACAACGAATTAACTTAACATGAAAGAATATTTAATAACAGTATTTATCCCCATTTTTTTAATTATATACAATTGATGAACTAGCTTTTTAGGCACAAAAATAACATTGTAATCTACGAATAAATCATATCTAATCAAATTCAGAATAAAAAAAGGCATGCTTGATGCCCATCTTTGCTGAAATGATATGCTGACAGACTGGTTGACGGAAACAAAAAAATCAATCCATGTCACTTTCCATTTCTGCTGCTGTCTGTGATATCTTCCTCCTTCTCTTCACTTTTATCCTCTCTATTTTTGATATAATCTTTTTGCTGATGTCGATGGCTGAATTTAGCTGTTTTGTTCGTTTGATACGTCCTCTGAATTAAATTATAAAAGAATTTATAATAAAAAAGCAGATTATCAAAACGGCCATCGTATTTCGTTTGGTGCTGCTGTTGTTGACAAGCCTCGAAATATTCACGGTAAAAGTAGTAAATGGCTTCAATGGTGGCCAAATGTTGGTCATCCACATTTTGGAAACGCCAAAATGTAGTTTTCCTCGGTGCAATAGTGACCTTTTGCATTTTGTTGAGAATAGGTGTATTGTGTGCTATTTGTTTGGCTTGATGCCATGTTCCGTCAATAACTACCACACGATTAAAGGAGTCTAGTGATGGAATATCCTTTAATTGTTTAGCACTCTACGCAAAGAAGAAAGAGCATAGCTCTGTTAAACAATTTGCCGCAAACAAGATTCATCGCTCAAAAACATGCACCTACCGGTCCAGGAAATAGAAGAAGCGCCTTTTCTGGTTCTTCAAATTGGGGTATACGATCGGGTGGGCAATAGGTATGTATGTCTACATCTTTATCGTCCGAAATTATTTTAGCATGAATGGCTGTGGATTTACCATCCAATTCTTTATGATGTTTGATACTATAAACAATTGATGGATAGCTTAAGCACATAGTTGGGTATATGTTTAAGTCTGTTGTTGCATTATAGTTACTTTACACGTCAAGATGGATAGGTAAGTGAACGTGGGGTAGCTTGGATCGATCCATACCAACAACTTGATAGCACTTGTAGCAAAAATATTTCACTGATCGTTTACAAGAAGGACAAGCAGACCTCTGCCTAATGTCTTTAAGCACTTGATCATCGTCTATTTTAAGATCTCCCAAAGGATCTAATTTTTGCGGATCTTCTTCTTTCTCTAATTGATCAATCGATCGTTTTCGACTTTCTGTCGTAATTGGTAACGAGTATTTGCATTAGAGGCTAAGGGTAAATTCTTGTCATTGTTTTCAACCTTCTTTCTTCAAACCTTCATTAGTGCTCATGATACCACAGCTAGTTAGCGTAAAAGAATTGCATACATTTCAACAGCTCTATGATTTAAAATTGTTTTAATTCGAACTTTTCAGGTGGAGTTATAAAAGGAAAACTTGAAAACAAATGCAGCTGTGTGGACGAATTTACTAAAAGTATCACAGCTCACGCTTGAACCATTACTTGACCAAAAGTCGAAACAATCTGTCACTGTTCTAAAGTGAGGAATCTATACACATGGTGGTGCGAAAATGTGGTACAGAAAATAAAGCCAAGACTTGGAAGCACTCATATGAATACAGAAGTTGTTAGTTGAACCCTAAGCAGACCACACTTAGGATGCACCCTCTATACATAATTGATCCAACACATACATATATGTCGAAGGAAAACCGTCGTTAGTGCGTATACACAGTTTAGCACACAATGGGGAAGAATAAAATGGCGGGGGGGAGGGATCTGCGATTTTTTTTAGTAAACCCGCACTTATGACATTTTTGGCAGGCAGTGAAACCTTTCCAAAATACACACGTAAAGCACACTAAAGGCTAAGCAAACCTTTACAATTCATTTCTTTTTCCTTTTTTTTTTTCCATTTCCTCTTCCCCTTCAGCACTTACCAAGGGCCTACATTTTGCTTATAAAATCAAATAAGCAATGAACGAGCGCGAACATTTATTATCTCATCATCATTTTGATGATGACAGAGAAATCACTTTTATATCCTCCTTCAAGCATACCATGTGTTCTTCAAAGTTCAATTGGTTATTGGTCTTTGTACCTATCGCTCTTATTTTCTCGCACGCATCCCCCAGTGTGGTCTTTACCTTGAATTTCATTGCCATTATGCCTCTTGCTAAGCTGCTTAGTTTTGGTAAGATAGAAAATAGATCTTGTCAAAACGTTGACATTTTGGAGAATTTACATTTTTTTTATGTTGTGGACCTATACAGCCACGGAAGAAATAGCTTTGAGATCTGGTTCTGTGATCGGTTCGGTAAATTTCATAAGACTGAATTTAGATTAAGATGAAAGTAGATAAAAGTGATAGAATTTTTGACTTTTTTCTTTTTTCTATGGTCTATATAGCTTTTGAATGCTACTTTTGGTAATGCAGTTGAACTTATTCTTGGCATGATAGCTTTGAAAGAAGGCTTAGTTCGTGTTGTTCAAGGTACAAAAGCAGATTAATTCGGTCCTTTGTATTATCGGGAGATGAAGTACTGATCTATTGTTTGCTGATTTTTATTTTTTCCTTAATACAATACACAGCCTCTATTCTGGGTTCCATTTTATCAAATTTATTGCTTGTAGGACAACCTTATATTATCCATAAAATAGGAGCTTTGTTTCTGATCTCTAGGCTTTTGTTTCATTACAATAGGTCCTGGGTTGTTGCTTCTTGGCTGGCGGTATTGGTTGCTCAGAGCAATCCTTCAATAGCACAGGTAACGTATTTCAAAATGATACTAGACAAGCATTGTTCTCGAGCAAATTTTTTTTGAGTTTTTTTTTTAATTTAATGCTATATTGTTTATCACACGTAATCATAATAGCCGCACAGACTTCCACTTCTCTTTTGGGTATCACGTCTCTCTCACTATTGATCCCTGCCGCCTTCAGTGCCACAACCGGTAGAAATGACCTTGAAGCTGAAAACGGTATAATTAATTTGAGCCATGGCACAGCCATTATTTTGTTGATCGTTTATGCACTATATCTTGTTTTCCAATTGAAGACTCACACTGAATTGGTAAGTAAAAAATGATGGTGTCTATGCATTGATCTCTGTATTGAATTTTTTACTTTGTTATTTGTGTGTATATTAGTTCGAAGATGATGAGCCGGAAGAAGAAGAGCCCTCTACTACCCTTACTTTCTCTGTCATTTCGTAAATTTACTGATGCAAATAGACATGAGCCATAAGTGAAGCTCTATCGACTCACCTTCACCTTCTCTTTCAATATCGTAGCTTGCTCGTCATCGCTCTTTTCATTGCTGTTCACGCTGAATATCTTGTCGGCGCGTAAGTCTTGCATATACAAAGCTACAACTATTACAGAATATACTAACGATTGAAACTAGCATTGAAGGTGTTGTTGATGCTTGGGGCCTGAACGAAACTTTTGTTGGTCTGATCATTTTACCTATTGTTGGCAAGTAAGTAGTACAGTAGCATTCATGTTGTTATTATCAAACAAGTATATGCATGGCTGATCTGATATGATGTTCATGACGCTTACAGTGCCGCCGAACATGTTGGTGCCGTTACATTTGCCATGAAGAACAAGATGAACTTGTGTATTGGCATTGCCGTTTCTTCTTCCCTTCAAATTGGTCTCTTAGTTTCTCCCGTTTTGGTCTTGACAGGTTGGATGATTGATGTTCCTATGACATTCTTTTTTGAGCTGTTCGAGACGGTCGTGCTGTTTGCCAGTGTTTTGGTTGTAAACTATTTGATTCAAGACGGTAAATCCAACTGGTTAGAAGGTTCCTTATTGTTGGCCTGTTATGCTATTGTAGCTATGGCCTTCTATTATCATCCCGTCGTTTAGGGTAGACCTATTCCCAACAAATTCCCTTATTATTTGGATAAACTATCATGAATACATGTATATCAAAATCATAGTAATAAGATAAATAATTATTCTATTTTGAATTATATTTCTTTATTCAAGTTCTGCTGACTAAGAGATTGGCAACTTTGGGTCTATTATATTCAGAAAATTACATGTTATAGTCATGTGTTTGAGCCTTATTTTTTGACTGGCGTATTTGTTAGGTAAATTGGCACCTGTTCCTTACGGTTTGGGTATCCCTTTTTCAGATTTCTGGTTGCGATGGGCAATGCACGGTATTTATTGAAAAGGAATATCCGTATCAGAAGCTCGTGCTATGTTGATGATCAGTTGATCACTTCTTCTGAAGTAAGAATACATTTGTTAGGGGGGGTTGGGGGAAGGTTGCTTTTTGCTCTCCAAGAAAAGAAATAGTACGAATGTTTGTATTACGCCTCATGATCAATTTTACTGTACCCTGCCATTTCCATTCTTATGGTTACACGCATGTCGCTCAGCTCATCATTTTTTGTCGTTTATTTACTTTTTTTTTTCAATCCACGATTGCTGTCGCACAGCAGAGTCTGTGTATGTGCGCAGTAACAGATGATTCTCTTTGCATATGTGAACGCACCAGTTTCAGCATTAATCCCGAAATTTTATAAATGACTTGATGTAGCTATAACTGCAAAGCAATTATTTATATAAGATTTTTAATAGTGTACACGAACTTATGGATAAAAACGACTCGTAATATTGACAGATAAGCTTTCATTCAGTAAATTTGGGGAAGCAGGCCAAAAAGAATATGTTGCTTTTTTTTCACGCGTTCATAAAAGTAATTAGGAACCTTGAATTCATGTTTCTTCTCTTGCAGATCTTCTATCACATCTTATAGATCAAGTTAGGATAAGCAATTAGAGATCTAAAAGCACGATTATGCACAAACTTGGTATTTCACAGCAACACATGTACCGTTGCGACTGTTTGATCGATTACTGCAAGCTGAAAAGTTCCTTCTTAAGGATTATTTCAGGAAATATGCACAATGCATAGCTTCTTTGATCTAGTATGCACGACGACAATGAAAAGAGAAGACAGTCCTTTCGCATGTAACTGAAAATAGGGTAACCGTAGTACAGAACCTTCCTGCTCTTTCATTCTAAATCTGAGATATTCATGACACGTATTATGCAATCTAAAAAGCTCGAAATCTCAATAGAAAAGGACAGACTTGGTACAAAATCTTCTTTTGATTGACTATGTTAATATTTGTGGGATGATATTTTTTTAGCTTTTGCTATAGGACTTGCAGTTTTCAAGCCTACAAATCTACTCCTCTTTTTTTTTCTTTTTTTGGTTTTCTCTTAAATTGCAGTAAACAAAGCTCGATTCTTTTCATATAGTGTGCCTGCAATTTCTGATAAGCATTGGCTTTCCATTTGAATAGTAATTTACCAATCTTTCAGTTGCGTCTGCAAATGAGAACCAATGTAACACGAAATGCGAAAAAAAAACCTTCTTTTAACAAATAGAATGAATTCAAGCTTTTTTTGCTCAATTGAGTACTCCTTCTTCACCCTTCTTCTTCATTATATACATCTTCTTCATTTTCCTGTCCCTTCTTTTCATTTGATTTAGATATACATAAACTGACGTTTTTACGCTCTATTGCAATATATAGTTGGTTTCTATTGCTTGTACTATGTTTCGCTCTCCTCATCATCAGTTAACAAACTCTATTCCCTCAAAAGACAGGGTAGGCTACAACAGAGTCGAGCAGTCTTATTCATCTAGGAATGAACTGGGCAATGAACGTATAGAAGAGCACAGTATAGATTACAGGAATTCTACTCAAAGTAATCAGTCTCCAACCTCCAAAGCACGAACGAGATCAATGTCTATACATGATTTGCTAGGTACATATCGCGAATCTGTTGCCAGCGACCTTTGCCAATATAGTTTTATCTTGGAACCTAACATTGTCGTTTTCATATTTTTCTGAACTATGTCAGATAGTCAAGCCGAGTCACGAGATTCCATAGATGTAAATTTATAATGTTTTTGTATAAATTATACTGTAGTATTGAATCCTAAACTAATTGTTTTCCTTAGAACTTGAACTGCACGAGCAGACATAGCAATGCAAGTATGCTTAGCCAGCAGCCTTTACCGCCGCCATCACCCTCACCAACGCCATTACCATTGTCTTCTACGGCTCGCAGTAAATCGATATCATTACTACAGGAGAAACCAGCGCCTAACTCGCACCATTATTATCATGGTTCAAACTTGCAACAACAGACGTTTCGCACACCATCGTATTCTCGAGAACAACAAAAAGAAGCAACTCATTTTTACCATCCATATCCGTTCAGAAATCCTGAAAAAGCTCTTTCGCCTCAACAACAATATCATCAACCAAAAGTAAGAAAGACTACAGCCTTTCGTTCTGTCACCTCGATAGATGATAGAAGCAGGTGAGTCAACAGTGGTTTCTATATGTTTGATATCTTTAAGAAATTTTAATGTATGGTCCTGTTTAGCTATGACTATTCAACTTATCAACAGCAAACAGAAAAAACGCACAACAGAAGCATTTCATTTTCGTCGCCAAATGCGGTAACTAAACAATACATATGCCATTATCAAAAATTATATGCTAACGCGTCCCTATACGTTTGACATAACAGCTTCAAAATCAAATATCAAGCACAAATAACTGGTCGCTGGCACAACAACCGCAGTCGACACGTCACTCACTACCTTATACCATCTCTAATGAAGCCCTAAATATGATATCACCTCATAATGTATAACTATACTTTGAAAGAGAGTTAAATTGAGATACATAAGACTCAAACTAACGACTATCGCTTTCATAGAGTACTCAGCGATCTCAAAATGAAAAACCAGTCCATAGTAGCAAAAAGACCCCAAGCCGAAAAAATAATGCCTTACAAGCCTATATAAGTTATATGACTTACACTGACATTATGCGACGTAATAGGGTAAGTAACCAAACGTTGTGCGTAGCATAACCTTTCACTTTTCGAATAAACAAGTAACCTTTGCAATTCAATAGAAACAGCAAGTACTGCAAAAACAGCTACAACAATTAAAACCTCTAGAGCAACAAAACAAAGTAGTATATGAAACAGAAGCCAGCCATAATGATAGTACCCATGTTCACAACAGTACAAACAATAATATTGTCGAACGCCCATTGACAGATTTTCTTCGAATGTCATGGCGAGAATGAGCGTAGTATTAGCGACCAGAAGAAAAAGATTCGAAAAGTCAAGAACCATATTCACCACTTTAAATAATCTTACAATTATGCCATACCCCGTCTACTGTAAATAGCATTACCAATAATAAAGCCTTTTTGTATATTTCCTTTGTAGATAAAAATTCCTACCATTCAAATAAATAAAGGGATAAAAGGAACGCCTACAGTTATCATGATCAATTTTATTGGTATTTGCATTATTGCTCCTTTAAACGGAGCAGTACTTCATAAGTAATATTTGAGCCAAGCTCGTAGAACCACTGGTGATATATATTAAATGCAGATTATAGGCTGCCTCTGACTTGAGATCAGTTTCATCGTCAATGTCTTCTTCCAATTCTGCTTCTTCTTCTTTACTAATGGGCCAATCATACACCTTATCAATAGGCTTCTCCTTACGCTTATTAGGCCCTGCACTTTCCGTTTGTGCTTTGGACGGTAAACACAAAACTCTTTCGTAATGAGGTACGGCTAAATGGGTAAGTCCTAACAAATGGAAAGCACGGGCAAAGTTATATTCTGATTCTTGGAGGTATATTTCATTTGAACGGGATATTTTAAGATATTCAGAAATAAACATCATGCCCTATTTTATTTGAAGTGGATATTAGCTTTTTTAAGCACCATATAGTATTCAAAAGCTGTTATTACCTGCATAATATTTAAATGTCTATTATCAGTTTTACGGTGTGTTGATACTAAAAGGAGCGAGATGCCTAATGATAAAGTAATTAACCGATCATTTGGTGCTTCAGCATAAGCTCTCATGTAATATACTAAATAGAAAATATGAAAGTTTGTCATGAATGAGCAAAAACAACACAGTAACAAGTTGATCGCAAACATCGGGCTTACATGACGCTGCAACATGATTTCTCGTCATGGACATAATTTGAGCAAACAGTGACAGAAGGACAGGATTCACTTTCTCAGGCGACGCAATGCCCATGCTTCGCACCCTTTGTGTGTCAATGTAGCTGGGTGTATGATAGAACCGAGTATAACTTTTCTCATTTGCAGTCGATGGATCCACATCCATAGACAAAATAGCATTATTCAGCTCTTCAATTTCTTTCTTCATTTGTGTTTCATCCACACCTCTTTCTTCTCTTTGACGGCTAGACACCAGGGCATCCATCAAACGAATGACACGGTTTAGAAATTTAAGCTGTGCATTGACGAGGAGCTGGTTTGCATGATTCATGATCGCTGAATACATACGAAAAGGGTCGTTTCTAAACTGGTAGAAATTGCACATCCATCGTACACCGTCTTGGGTAATATAGTCTTTACCGCTCAACAGACCAATACCGATCATTACTAAGTAAAGCGCAGTTTTCTTTGGAACATCATGATAAAAAACATTAGCGTCAATAGCTCGTTTAAGCATCTCGTAAGCTTCTTCAACGCGTCTTGAGATTGTTAGAGCATAGGCATATTTGATAATCATAGTAACCCATCTATCAAATGGTATATTACGGAATTGAGAAGCAGCTCGCATTCGTCTTTCTAACTCTTTTTGTTCTTCTCGAAGACGCTTGTCTTCTTCTTCCGTTATCGCATCAACGTCAATTACATCTGTTCGCATAGCATCAGCTAAAGTCTTCTCTTGGGGTTCATCTTTAACAACCTTTGTACGAAGACGCTCCGCCATTTCATGGGCTTCCAAGCCAAGACGAGCAGGGTCTTGCTTGTTACTACGGTTATTGCGAAGTTCATAGAACCCTTTGTATCTGATACTCTATAATCAAAACGTAATATGAGTTATTCTACATGAAATCCTTGAGATGGTGAGCAAAACCTTACCCTTGAGTGCGGATAAAAAGCGCCAGTCCTACTAAAATCTTCCCACAATTGTTGTGCATTTCTGATGTAATCTCTTATCAAAGCGCGATCAGCATCAACTATAGTATCTCCAATTTGCTCTTCTAGCTCGTCCAATTTATTGAATATGCCAAGAGTTGAAAAAGCGAGTTCTTCTTCTTTCCTGCTTTTTTCAGCTTTACGCTGTCGGGCTTGTTCCTTTTGGGTCTTTATTGCCTCATGTTCATCAAAAAGAGAAGCTTTCTTATTCTTTTTTTTCTTTGTCTGCGTTGACCCTTCCATTGTCGCTTCCTCGTCATCATCCTCCGTATTTTTATGTGCCTCCATCTTTTTTTGTTTACGAGCCTCTCTATTCTTTTTCATCACTGCAAAAGCGATCAGCAAGTTGCCCAATTATATTGTTCATTTCAAAGCGAAATAGTTACCAAAATCGACTAATTCTAAAGCTTCCTCTTCCTTTCCTTGCTCTTCATATATCGCCGCAAGAGACATCATGATGTCCAAATTTTCTGGTTGCTCGTTTAAAACTTTAGGTCGGGCAAAGTGATAAATCTTGCATGTCAATTAAAGTGCTCTAAATGCCCTTCTCGAGAGTTTAACAAAAACTTACCATTTATGTAAAAGATCACTGCTGTCTCCAAATCGCCGAGTTCTCTGTAACAATCGGCTGTTTTGATCAGTATATCGATATCTACTTCCTATAGCACGTAGATGTTATAAATACTTCAAAGAGCGTCGTGCATTATATACAGATGACAAGTGCAGCCTTACATCTGATACGTCGATGATCTTTTGAAATATAGCCAAAGCAAGATCAAAGTATCTTTTATCGTAGTAGGTATACGCGATGTCTTGATGTAAATCAGGATAAGTTGTAGGTGGATATTGCAATAAATAATTAAAGTGTTTCTAGATGGCGAATGACAAAGTCTTTCAATAAATGGAATCAAAAGGCATTGATCAGATTTCTCGTAAATCTTACCGTGCCTAAGTCAACCTGATTCAAGTATATTCTACATATACCCATGCGAACACGCAATTCTATAGGGAATTCTGTCCTCGCCTCGTCGTTTTCGAAGTACTCGTCGTCGTCGTCTACATGATCCAACCACCAAGTTTCGTGTTGTCTTTTTTGTATATGTCTTAAACCGTTCTTAATTGTCTCCAAAGCTTTGCGATAATCATTTAGAATTAAGTAAAGCTCACTGAGCATGTTTAGTTCGACATAGCCAAGCTTATCACTGAATTCGTCCTCTTCATCGTCTTCTTCTTCCTCGTCCTCTTCTTCTTCCATGCGCTCTTGTTCCATTTTGATATGATAATCAATCGCATCCTCATACATTTTGATTGCTTCTTTCGTTTTTCCTTGTTGTCGGTAAAGTCGTGCAAGTTCATTAATAACTTTAAAGTGGTGGGGTATATGTTTGAGAATTTCCAAAAAGCCATCGATGGCATCTGAACTGCGACCCATTTGTTTAAACAAAAAAGCTCTGTCCCAGAGTGCGTCAAGGTCATTTGGGTCCAAAGCAAGCACCTTTGAAAAACAATAAACTGCCTGTTTAACTGCATCATTTTCACTGAGTTCAAAGTCATGTAGCAATAAAGCATCAGATAGGATATCGTATTACAATTGAACATAACAAATACACTTACATTGATTTGTGGGCTAATTCTTTCCAGAGGCCAGCGTCATTACACAAATGAGCGGCAAACATTCGAAACTGTAACGCTTTTGCTGTATTTCCCAACTCTTCATGTACCAAACCCAAAGTATTCCAAGCTGGATGGGCATTGGGGTTTTCCTGGATGATCGCTTGCAATTTATCAATGGCATTACCATAATCTCTAGCAATATAAAGGGCATTTGCTTCACCCAATTGGCGTTTGACTTCAGGTGATAAACGCAACTCGCCTGCTGTAATACGTCGTTTGGTAGCTGCCTTTATTTTACCGGTACCGATATTCGCGGTGAGAGCCAAATTGGCATCGAATTCTTCCATGTCTTGTTGAAGTTCTTCTATACCGCCTGTCTTTAACCTACTACGTTTCTCCTCAGTAGACATATTGAGTAAATCGCTATGCAGATAAATCTTGTTAAAATCAATTGGTCCATATCATATTTTTAGTTAAATTGAGAATAGAGGAGTTTTACTTTAATTCAGTATCATCAACAAACTCATTCTCCTCTAACCACTCATCAATATCTTCTTCCTCTTCTTCTTCATTATTATTCACATCAAGGCCATCTTCTGCTTCCATTTGTTGGACTTCAGCTATTAGATCAGTGTCTATCCCCGAAACGAGATTATTAAAGTCGAAACCCAGAGTAGAGTCTCCTTCGTCTTCTTCGTCAAACATATTCTCAATCATTTTTTCCTTTCCTTTATTCAACTTCCTTTTCTCTGGTTTTGACATGGTCGGATACTGATTCGATGGAGTTGAAATTCCTCAATCTTAAAAGACGAAAAAGAGTAAAGTGCATTGTAAGAGTACTTTTTTTTCCCTGCATTAATTTTTGCATGACTGCTCGCTTTGCTGTCAAAATTGGTCCTGAATTTCTGATTTTATTTCTTTTTTGGATCAGCGGGCAGAGCCTGGTTTACCCTAAAACTGCACAGCTTTTCTCCACAGATATTAGCGACACCCCTCCCTTTTCCAAACTCTTTCCTAAAAGAGCAACACAAATATTGAAATGTCATTACGAACATTGGCTTTTAGATCGCGAATCTTGTCTCAACGATCTCTTTTGAGTTCACCCACCTTTGTTCGTCTGTCATCCTCATCGGTGGGTAAGGAAAAAAAAAAAAAAAAGAAAGAGAGTTCAGGAAAGTCATGATATGAATAACTCTTGTAAAATGTTAACCCATCTTATTCGGATGATAGGTGGAGCGGCGTCGAGTAATAATGGTAAAAAAGAGGAGACAAGTACACCGACAACTACTGAAAGCCCAGATATTAAACAAGATAATATATCCACAACAACATCTAGTGGTAAAATATCTAAAACTTAAAAAGATACTTCTAGTTTGTATTGGAGCGGTTTAATTGACATATATCGCGGTGGGGGGCTCTATAATAGTAGATAAGAATAAAAAGACAGACAGCACCACAGCAACGACAGTGAATAAAGAGCATGGCTATGAGCATGGATCACTTCACTGGAATAAAGAAAGAGCATCAGCCATTGCTTTAATTCCACTTATCACAACTCAGTTTGTGTACGGTCCGCACTCAATTGTTGATGGCTTATTAGGCGTAGTTTTACCGTGGCATTTGTACTTGGGATTCGATTCCTGTATTACAGATTATATACAAAAGAGAAATTACCCCAGGTTGCACAAATTAGCGAATTGGACACTGGCCGGCACAACTGGTCTGGTGATGTGGGGCTGTTATGAGTTCAATACAAACGATATCGGTATTACCGAGCTCATGCAAAGATTTTTCACTGCTTAGGAGAATAATACAATAGAAAAGAATAGCTGAATAAATAAACTATAGATACACAAAAATAAGATTTCTTTTTTTTTTTGGGTTACTCTACGAGAGAAAAAAATGAAGCTTAAAGGGGGAGGGGAATAGACTGTTTAAAGATCACTGAATACACATAAAGTTTCCAACAAGGGATGGATAAGATGATTTCATTGGTATCCAACCCACCGTTGCTATCGATGATGTGCTAGTTAGAGCTATGCTGGTAAATCTAGGCAATAAAAGAATTGAGTGGAAGTGAGTGCAATTCTTCTTCCAATATATGATGACTTTAAATACCTATGAATAGCAATTGTAATAGGATGCATGCATCAAGTAACCAAGTACAATTCCTTGATATGTTCTTTATTCATAGCTATCCTTGTTGTAAAATGTTCTTTGCTTCAACAGTATAAAACAGCAAAACACTTTCATAAACGGTACGACACCATCTTAATGTTGGTGCTGTTTTTGAATCGTGATGATTTCTATTCGAGCAGATGCACTATCAACTGACTGCTCGCTTGCTTTGAATGTATGTGTGTCAATAAAGTAAAATCTATGTCCAAAGTATTCTCCCAATAATAAAAGGCCTTAGAACCGAGGATTATTCTTCCTGAAAAAATATTGCAGAGGATTTGTTTGTTAGATACTGTTATTGTTTGATGTAATCCATCTAGAGGTCAATAAAGTTAGAAGATATGCTGCAATTATTGAAAATGGATCATCCAATAACAATGCGGCATTCGCCTACGGTAGCTAAACTATGTACGCTTCAAAGTCCATTCTAGAATTGCGACAAAAAGGCCCGCCAAAAAAGCTATCCGATAAAAACGATGGGAGGACAGCAGACCTCGTACAAATTGAAATGAATGACCCGTTTCTTCTCGGTGCACCTTCTCCTCTTGTATATTGCTATATAAGGAGGGACGACTCATCGTCATTTTGTTTCATACTGATACTACACTATTATTGTTACATCGAGAAAAACCAGTGCAAAAACTTACATACCCTTTTTTATCACTGATGGGAAGAATGAATGTCAATTGATGAACAGCAGGCGTATACAATTTTCTCAGCTCCATGCATAAAGATACATCTTGCATCATAAATACTATGATCTAAAAGTCCTTACATCTGAATTTACCTATATTAAGATTACATTGCATGCAACACCTATGTATGAATTGTCATTGTTCTGTTGCCTGCAATCTAACAAACACGGAAAAAAGGCGGGTAAATGACGGGAGCAGACTATGTGTAATAAACCCAAATATAGTAACCTAATCAATTGCCCCACCCCTTGGCTTTTTCCACAGATGAAGAGGATCAAATGAAGTTTACTATGAAGATTGACTGTAGTACAAGATGAAGCATAGAGATTTTTTTGCTTCTTTTGTTTCAGTAACGAGTATCAGCGAATAACTTACACAACGGAAGATAACAAAACGACGGATGATGTCCAATAACTCATTCGAAACAGTTACAGAAAAGGGCTATATCAGATGATACGAATCAAATTTATTGGCTAATTGAGAAGAGGAGGGGTAACGACAACAAAAAACAGAAACTTTTTTTTTGTTATTACTAAGAAAATGGAAAGGTAAGTAATAAATAGATACATATATGAACAAGGCATTTGGCCATCAAGAAGAATAAGATGCAATAGAGTTTTTTTTTTTTTTTTGTGTGTGAAAAAGGGTATGCTTTCGTATACGAGAACTTTGAATTATGTACAGTAAAATAGATATATGGGTTCATTTCTTTCTTAGAGATAGAAGTAGTAGTTGTAAAGCATTGAAGAGTTAGATACTGGTGCTGAGCGAGTTTTGGATGTATGCATGTAAAAATGAGGTTGGTAATGAGTAGCTGTTGTATCTTTGTTTTTAACGTCACTAGGACTGATGTAGTAAGAATGATTGATTACTGGAGTAGTAGGAGAAACAGGAGCAGGAGCGGCCGTAGTTCCAGCAGCAGCATCTGTTACCCACAAGGGATTAATATCAACTGGTGTTGTGGGAGAAAGAGGCGGAGACCAAGATCTGTTGGCTGATGTTGGTAATACTGTAATTGCTGTTGGTACTGGCGCCGATGACGATGGTTTGATAGCAGAAGAAGAAGGATTCATCATTGAAAGAGAAGGTAACTTCTCATGAAGTAATTCAAACTTGTCTTGATCTTTATCATGCTCGTCCACATCTTCAATGCAGTCTTCAAAGATATTGTCGTCGTCGTCGTCGTCGTCATCGTCATCGTCGACTGCTTCATCTGAGGAAGCGGGGCATGCGTCAAGAAGCTGCTGCTGCTGTTTCTTGGTATTACTAATGTTGCTTGATTGAAGCACAACATCGCATATGAGATCAACTTCATAGTTCTGCTTATTGTTGTTATCCCAAAATTCACGGCCGTTAACGACGTATTTAACAGCCAGTAATAATTTTTGGTGATGTGGTTGCTTCTTATTGAATACAATTTTGAAGCCAAATCGATCCCATGTATTAGCGCTTTGTGCAATTGGCTCTTGATACTGAGCGGGAACATCCTGGTAAGTGGCCCAATCATCCGTTGTATAGCGTACAGTTACTTGCTTCTCAAAAGCTAGGTTGGCCACTTGAACCGAACCTAATAAGGTGATACCGTTTTTATCATCGCTAGAACCGGTCTTCTGAATCTGCACATCCTCCATACGAACAACAGCAGTACGACGTCGAATAAGAGAATCCTTTGGCCAATTGGGTCTTTTCAAGCGGTAGATATAATTTTTCATTTCACATTTAGGGTCGGCACGACATGCTATGGGCATTTCTGTCTTGTAAAAGAGGCGTACATTTTCCAATGATGCATTGTCGCAGAAACGTACTGATTTCTTGCATTTATTGTTTTTATTGTTTGGGTGGCGATTCTCTACCTCTCTATCAGATAAAGTAGGGGAAGAGGAACGAATAAGCGGCGGACGCTTAATAAGTGATATACGTTTGTTTCTAAGCATCGTTGGTGGTTGCGAATGAGGAAATGATATAGCTGTAGTAGACATGAATGATAAATAAGAGAAAGAAAATGTGTGATTAGTAGAAGGAAAAATATTAAAAGGACGGTTAGAGGCCCACTATTTATAAGGCAAGGCCACAGCATAAACTTCCCCAAGTCTGTGAAACCGTAAAATTTATATTTTTAACCTTCTTTTTTAACGTTTTCATGCCTTTTTTTGGTTCAAGATATGGAGAAATCACGAAATTGGATAGGTTATCTCTAATTATTTATTTGTATAGTTTTTTGTAAAAGTAATAGCGTATGTTTATAGCACTTACCAACCTCTCTAAACTAAAAAAAGCAGATGAGAAAGCTTAGATAAAATTAGGCGGGATCTGATCGGCACCAAATGCGCACAAAGATAACAAATGGATGTTTATTATCAAGTGTTGAACAAGATATCTCGTTTAGGAATTCTAATGTTAACCAAAAAAAGCGAACTCATAATGCTATACATTCGATCTTGACTCTAGTATTGATAAGGATTCTTACGATAAGAACCCAAAAGTTGGGAGAAGAGTTCGCAAAGACAGCGTTGAAAACAAGCTTATCTTACTGCAATTGATTAATGTAAATTAACCTTCAATTGGCAATTATAAAGGAGCTTTGCGCTTTCTATTCTGGACTCTATTACGAAAACATCATGTGCTCCATCTTTTTTTTTCTTTTGAGAAAGAGAGATGGGATTGTTCTGTTTGTCACTCTGTTACTTTGAAAAAAAAAAGTAAAGAAATCGAAGGTAGAGTGCCTAGTTTTCTTCTTTCCTGCTTCATAGTTGACTTTAACTTGTCTAAAACAAGTTCAATATCTATGCTGAACTTGCATTGGATAACCGGAAGAAAGCGGCATAGCTTGGATATACTTTACAGCTTTCCATTTGATTTTGGTCTATTTAGGTTACATCTCAGTTTGATTTATCGTTCGATTCAGGTAAATTGCTTTCTGGTTCAAAAAGACAGTAAGAAGAAACCAAATCACATTACGGCTGATGCTTTCAACGATAGGCTTCTGAACAGAAATTTCTCAAATATAGTCAAAAGCACGATACGCTACTATTGATTTGTAGTTTACAAAAGCATGCTGTAATAATGTCTATAGGACAACTAAGAAAACTGAGAATCTAAAGTTTGTATAAAACGGGACGACTTCAAAAATTTTTAGAGGCGATTGCAAATTAATATGGAATAATTGCACAATTTGTTTGGATGAACTTATCATTCAAGAGGACCATTAGAAGCCCATAAAGGCTTTGTGGTCTTCTCAAAACTACTGCTAAATACTTTGTAGCAGATCATCAAAGAAAACTCCATCCATACTGTAATAAGGAGTGAACTGCATTGAAACAGCAGCGTTTAGTAGAAAGCTGTAGCTATGGGTATGACTTTTAAATACTGCCAAGCCATCATATTAGCCGATTCAACTAGAGTAATAACAAGGAGAGCCCTTCCGTACGACAGTTTTCACTCTAACGCCTCATATTGTGCAAGCATGTTCAAGGCTCTACTGTTGATAATCGGCCGTCCTTACAATAATTGGATTGACATCTACTTGCGTTTTGAAATAAAACGTGTATTTCCTACTATTCTGTATATATCTCTTGAAAGGGTTGTTATCTTTGAGATGGTTCACTAAAGGCTGGTAGAGTTTCATTTAAGTTTTGCATAATCTCTAATAAAACGGTATGTGTCCCAAAAATTTCTGCAGTCGTCCCAGAACTTTTTTTGCCGAATGCCTTGTTTTAAGTTGTTTATTCACACGTACGCGACACCATTTTCTAGTTTTGTTTGTGTTTGTATTGGTTTTTCAAAAGGCTTAGAACATCAGTTAAGAAAACCGTTTTCTTTGAAATGAAACTCTTTCTTCTATAGAGGGAGTAGAATATCTCACAAAGCATGTTTAACCATAACTATCGAAAGATCCTCTTTTTCTTTAACAAGCTAAAGAAACAATTTCAAAAAGGAAATTGTCTATACCGACCCCACGACATACTGAGTTTGGTACAGAATTCCAAATTTGAGGAAGTTCATTACCGCCAAACTACGTACTATATGATGCCAGCTTAGTCTCTTGTTATATTGACATATGCCTGACTGTATATGCTGCTAACGTTGCCTAGTATACCTACTGCTCTATTATCCAAGAATTCTTAGAAAGAAGGCACACCAAAGAAAAACGAAAGAGATACGCCGATGCGTCATTTCGAAACCACGGAACTCAAAAAGGAAAAACAAAAATCAGGAGATGTACACTGTTTTACCGTTTGGAATTACAAGATTTTGTGAAATAGATTTCCGTTTGTTTTAAGCCAATCAAAAACCTTAAACACACTTCATACATAGTGGGAAAACTTAGACAACACGAACATACTTCATTTGTAAATCGCTGTAACCCGTCATCAATTTAATATAAATCAAAAAAGGAATTTGACAATATTGAACGCGTTCACAATCAGAAAGATGTATGAGATATAAAATTGATGCAAAACTATCAGATTCCATTGATGGCGGTGCATTATGTAACTTTCGCATGGTAGAGGATGAAGCCGAAAAGCATAGATTTGTAACAAATCGTCCAGGATATATTTCTACGAGTTCCCTCTCGGACAAGCTTTAGCTTTTGTTAAACGGAGAAACAGCTTGTCAAGAGAAGTTAAAAACTCCTTTGAAAATACAGTGATTAAGAATAGTGACTAGTAAAAGTAAGAGCCTATGTGGTGAAACCAAGGTGAGAGAGGAAGCCCAAAAAATCGACTCCCCATAACGTAAATGGGCTGCAGTGAACTGTCCTAAGGTGCATCTAAATTATGTTGTATCCGAAAAAAAAACCAATCAATTCCTCAGTTCTTAAAAACCATAGCTGCGAAAGAGTGAGCTCTGTTAAACTATGCAAATATCAACGAAAAATACGAACGCGTAAAGTATAAAACAAATTGTTGAATACCTTCAAGGCTGAATTGGAGAAAGTATCAAACTACGCCCTTAAAAACCCATGCTAATGACTGATAAAAGCCATATATATTAGTAATTTGGGCTGCCAGTTTTACCTTTGTTGAGCATTCAACGACGCTCTTCATGTAAAATTTGATTACAATATGGAAGTGCCAAATACTACTGCTTATCCTAACATCGACCAGTTTTGGAGATAGTACAACTATAAGTAATTTTACAATTATTAGCATTTTTAATAAAAGAATCAAGGTACAAGATTATTATCGAAAATCTATTTTACGAATGGCCAAAAATTATAACATTATGCTCACGACTTAGATTTATAAAAGCAGTGTAATATTCGTACCTTTTACCATATGTAGATACAAAGTAGACCATACATTCAAGATAAGACATGGTTGTCATGACTACAGAATCATAATAGCACATTCTTACTGGCTTAGAAATCCAGGAACGAGGATTTTTCTCCATTTTTGCAAACAAAAGCATTCTTTTTTGCTGTTCAAAAACTCGTTCTTTTATAAACTTCAATACATGATGAAAAACTCATCAGATTTATCACACTTTTTCCTCAACACCTGATTGTTACAACTCGTGTTCACACCTCAAGAACGACTTTTCCAAAGCACAGACATTACAAAAAGTAAAAAATAAATGTTAGCAGAGATAGAAGAGTGATGGGTATATAGATTACCTATTTAGTGAAGAGATTGGTTAAGAAGACCTGGATAAAGCTGAAGCCTCTTCTATTACAATGTCAATGAATGGTTCGGATCTTGTCATTATATTATCAAGCATAAACACGAAATGATTCAATATGGAGGAAAGGCTTGCACCATTATCCATAACCAGCAAACATAAAAACCAAGTACAATACTACCCACCATTGACAAAATCTAGTCAGAATTATACAAGTACTTGTTAGAGGGTTAATAAGTTAGCAGTACCCTTCAACGTACCTAAGAATCTAACATAAATGTACACATGCTGGCCAACGAAGAACCATTGAGCTTGAAGGCTGTTGATTGCCTCAACCAAAATTAGAAAGAAGGTAGAGACATTCTTGGTGCACCCTCAAAAAAAGTTCAATCATGATATTAACCATGCATTGTATCTTAATTTTATAGTCAAATAAGATGCTCTATATCTTGAGGCAGTGACTCAGAGCCCAGAGCTAACTTGAGTTGGAATGCCACAGCAAATTGATATTTAAATACGAGCTTTATGTGTATTTTGTCCGGCATGATTTCTGCTGATACTCATGCTTTACACTTGTCACGCTAGTTATAACCTTTACCAAACAGCAGAGACACTGGTAGTAATCAGGGATGTTATATTGCCGAATGCATTGAATAGATGCCATTGAAAAAGGAGCACCTTTCTTTGAATGCTTAGTCACATTTCTTGGGACTCATGTCAATAAATTGTTAACCTCTATCACGCTGCTTGAAGATGGGAATAGCAAAATCTGAAGCTGATTCACAGCATTGAATACCATTGTAAAAACTCATTGTACCTAAGAATCAGCTGCTGATTAGACACACTTTTGATATGGTCTGCCAGCAAATTGATCTCTGCAATGCATTATTGCAAGCATAAATGTAAAGCAGCGGCTCATTTTGCCTTACAAACCATCACTTTGACCGATGTTGCTAAATGTACTAGATTTAACACTCCCGCTTCTTCCAACTTCCTTCATTCCCCTACTGTATTTGTAGCTCTCAGTAACCTCAATTAGTATTTGGAAGCATATGGGCTATTGTGAAGCCAAGATTAAGCAAAATTATTGTAGTAAGCTTTTGTCTTTAGGCACTCTCCGTTTGGCAATTTTTACAACCATGCTATGGATGTATCAAGCTGAATGGCGCTCAACGTTTCAAACAATCGCTAGCACTTTATACATTTCTCGCATTCCATATAACTTTTTATTTTGATCGAGCAACCAATCCGAGCCCTCTATAATTTTAAGACAAATTGCACACACGTGCTGCGTTTCCCTGGATCCTTAGAAGACTTTTTACTAACTTTCGACTACAGATACGATAGGATCAACATGATTAAAACATAAGGCTTTCCGTGAGTTGGATAAAAAGCATAAAGAGTTGTATACAGCATGCTCTTTCAAGTCAAGGACCAATAGCTCTCTAGGGCTCCAACTAACCCTAAGATTTGTGTATGCTTACATAAGAACTAAATATTAGGGCTCGATCGGTTGGTTTGAGTTACAATCTCTTTGACTTTGGTTGTTTTCTCATGGTCTGAAAATCAAACATCGATCTAATTCTGCCATATTTTCTTGGTGTGCCTTCCTTCAAAGTATCTTTAAACACAGAGCAATTATTATGGTATTCAACCTCAACAGCGCATATAGCCAGGTATATGCCCTGTATAACAGGAGGGTATTATATAGTACCATAGCTCAAACCCCTCTTATCAAATGATTGTTTCATTTAAATAATCCTTAATAAGCTTTTACAAGGTTACAAGCTTTGCTGCATAATTAATAGGAAAGGATTGTTATCATGGCTCAGATTCTGAATACAACTTAATGATTACTAGTGCATTTTAAATCTCCTAAATGTAGGCTTGCCGTATACTAATTCTATTTGGCAATAGTCCAACCCATTCAAATGGTGAGTATTACTGTATCAAACGTTGGAAAACAGCTTATTGAATTTGCAATGAAAAAGAAGTTCAAATGACATCTTAAGGTAAATGGCGTTGAAAAGCATCAGAATGTTTCATCAATACCGTGCCTTTATTTTTACTTATTATTGCGCTCATAGCCAAGGGTCTGTTTCACATTCTGATAAAGTTCTAGAATATTGAAGTGTTGAATTGTTGTCTCAATGTGATACATAGTTTGTGCAGAACAGAAAGAGAATTAGCTTTTTTCGGTTGAATCAGCGACAACTACCGATTCCCTTTAATGGTACCCCTTATTGGATGTTTGTGTTAGATGCAACAATCTTTGTAAAAATGGCCCATTCTTGCCACAGCTGTAAGTGATATCAACCTTTTTGTTTTATCTGAAAAGTGTAATGCCTTTATCGTTCTCTTGTAACTATACACAGGTGTTTCTTCTCTTTTGTGTAATAAATGCAGTGGAAGTTTGGCTATGTTACCTTCACGCTTACAATTGCTCCCATGAACCAAAACGATGCTGTCACTGTCGTGGTGAAGAAAGCAATCTTTTAACTCAAGTACCATTCACTCCAACGTGTGAACCGATAGTTTTATTGGCTCTGTATTATGATTAACACATACACATGAGGTTGCTGAACATCAAGGGGACAAAAGGCTGACTATATCTTTGAGCCTCTGTGATGGCCTAATTGAATAGGCTTTATTGACCTGCTTCTGAGCGACACCTCTAGTCGGCAATTTTTTTTTTTTTTTTTACGTCAGGGCATCGGAATGCTTCGTGAAGAATTAAACAACTGACATAGTTATTTACTGACCTGGTATTAGCTTATTAGAGCCCAAGCTCACACATTTATAACGGAATTATCTGTTTCATCGGACTTTACCTAAATTCATACGTGTTATATAAAAATCATTAAACATTGACGACAGTTTAAAGACGCAACCTCATATAGAATAGAGAACAATCGAGATGGAAAAAACATAAGGTTGCTTCATAAAAAGCTTGAGTGGAAGGAAAGGAAATACTAGTTAGTATTTTTACAAGCGCGATACGTACTCCTCGTAGATGGTTGATGCTCCGTACTCATAGTATTAGCTGTAACTATTTGAAGTAACCGCATGATATTGGCTTCTAGAATGCTCAATAGACGATACGCAAAATTCGTTCAACCTGGTAAGTGATACCCGTCTACTTTTTACATGCGAGTTAGGAGTATATATCCATCAGTTCATTTCAAATGACGCTGTGCAGCTTCGCAATGATTCTGCTACAAATGAATATTGAAGACGTATATAAAAATTCTTATGGGATACCTTTTATTTTCTGTTCAACATGTATCTTCAATATGCATTTGGAAACACTCATCTATGCGTTTTTAAGCGGGTCTTCTTGACATATCTCTTGATATCAGAAGTAATTCTTTGATTACTTACAAGTGGAGACTAGGTGAGTCAGTGAGACCGAACAAGAGTTCTTAATTGATTTTAATCTGTGGTTCACAATTTAGATGATCTTTTACATGAATCCGATATAGAACTGAGCTTATAGTGTAATTAAGAAAGTAGCAGTGGCAACCGATTAATATTGTTCTTGTTTATGAATTGTTTAACGTCACTGCGATATATCTAAATTACCAGTAAAGTTGAAGTGTGCCTGAAGTCTTGTTTATTCCAGTGTACCATAACTGGATTAAGGCAGTAAATCCGAGTTTCTTAGAATATTTCTTATGAAATAGAGGTCAGAACGTCATCGTTCCCTCTTATACAGTCTTCCGAATGTTCATTGTCCTTGTTAGATATTACTGCAGGCTATACTATAAAACCATGAATGAAGAGTTATTTTTGCACTTGTACTAAGCAATTTCTCTTTATTTTGAGAGATGGGAACTGCTTTTCCTCATTCTTTTTTTGCTTTCCTAAAAGTATTGTCATATACACGGCGCAAGTACAACCAGATCTTGATTTTGGATTTAATTATCACTTTGCGAGTTTTAATAGCAACACCGAACTATTAAGCGATTACTTGGATGCGTTAAACCTTTGTTTAGTAAAGTCGTCACTTCAAATTGCGTTAATTCAGAATAATAAGTGTCATTGTAAGACAGCAAGTTCCTCAACGCTTGAATTTCTTTACGTATCATACACATCCTTGATCAGCAGTGAACTTCACTATCGAAAAAAAAAAGACTTAAAAAAAGCAGAGTAGTATATCAAAGCAGAGTAAAAGAACTATAGTGAATAGCACCAGCACTTCAAGCAACCTTTGTTCAGTATATAGGTATTCACATGGCGACACATCTTAGATAGCCAAGTCAGTTGCTTGAATAATGCCAAAATCAATTAAAATTCTGTAACCGAATTTCAATTAAAAAATATCCCACGATAATTTGTAGGCATACATTCTAGTAAGGAAGAGACTATTTACATAAGAATAAGGAGGCTTGTATCGTTGACTGTTTGGAGGTCGCGTGACAAGAAGAAAATTTTGTTATAAAAAGCCCCCCATGTTTTCTCTTTGGAGGTCTCTTTTTTTTCTCTTCTTTTTCATACATTAATGGCCATCGTTTACTTATATCCTTTGTAACGCTTGCTCCTCGGCTTTGGCGGCAGTCTACTGCAAACCATGTTCTTTATTCCCATTGATCTTGTTCTTAATTGACACCGGCAGACCATAGGACAGTTTAACTGGGCCTTGTAAATCCCTCTGTCGCTAGTGTTGGGGTTGAGCGGTCATCTGTCGTGTTCTGGGATCCTAACACTGAAGAACGGCGGTAGATTGTTTGTCATTGCCTTCACACCTTCCCCTTTTTATGTTTCCCCTCATATACCACTTGGTTATCAAGAGTTGTTTTGTCTGTCTGAAGCTTTAATCATAATCGCGAAGCGCTTGGCGAGGGGAGCAAACCGAACACCTGCTTTTTTTGCAGAGTACCTTTTATGACCTAGCTTAGGACTTCAACTTTTATAATCCAAGCCTCTCCACGTTCCATAGTTTTCTTTCTTTTGAGCAAGTGTTACATTCTGTAAGGATTATAAGAAAACCTCAGGCCAAGATTCCCATACTTGCTTATCTGGTTTAACTGGTTAAAACAGGAGTATTTATTTACTCTTATTCAGGTTCGAGTCCTGGGATAAGCTAAACTCAATGTAGCATGTAGCATGTATATATTCCTTTTACTGACTTATTCCCTTCATAATAATTTATTTTTGCGTTACTGTTTCCATATGTTTTCATGTTAAAAAAAAGAAGCTTTTGTGTGTTTGCGTAAGTGGGAGAGAAAAGGGGCTGTTGGTTGTTTCATCTTATGGCTGCTCTTCATGAGTTTATTCAAAAGCGGGCTGTTACTTTCTTTCACGTTGGTATGGTTTATTTGTGTTGTTTATTAGAATATACGCATTTGGTGTTACTATTATTTTTTCTTTACTATACGCGTAACTTATTTAAGAGAGATTTTCAAGTGTTATTGTCTTTTCATTCAATGAATAATTATGTAGAAATAACTATTATTGTAGCAGTTACATTATGCATTTTATTCCCCCCCCCCACTTAATGTTGTTGTTTATGGTGTAAGTAAGCAAACATTATTAGTATCGCCGTCTTTCTAGTTAAACCAAGAGAGTAAACGTGGTCTCTTAATACTGTTAGAGAAGCTGCATTCATTAAAAGTAATTGGATATGGGAAACTTCCCTTTAGCATAATAGTTGCTGAGTCTCAGAACTGTGCCTTTTTGTCTCAATCCATCAGACTATAGCGTTATATTTATACTGGGAAATAACATAAAATCACAAGCAAGTCATTTATAGGCCAGTCTTGTCTTTTTACGCCCATGTTATCTCACTATGCGTTGCCCATATCAGCAGTAGACAGACAGTAGTCGTAAGAAAAAGTTTTTTTTTTTTTGATTTGGGTAATGTAGTGGATTATGTGAAGATATGTGGGTTATGTGGTGGGTTATTACGAATGGTAATAGCAGTAGCTTAATTAGTACATCACAATAACTTCCATTGTTTGCTAATTCATAAGGACTATCGTCCTTGTTAGATCAAACCTTTCCATACAATAGAAACGTGTCGCTCATATGGCCTGAGGTCACATAATCACTGGCATGAAGATCGTGATTATACCATAGGCGAATATTTCAATTAGACGTACTGGAAAGTGCAGGAAACTCTTTTACAGGCGGGCCACCATTTTAGAAGGGCTAAGTTGGCATACCTGTTTCTTTGTTTCTATTGCTAAACCCAAAGATGGTTTTAGAATGAAGCTTATTATGGTTAGGGCGTGTCTTATATGTTTTGCATAGTTATTGTCTGTGTGCAATAAGAAAAGTAATACAAACACTTAAGAAAAGGATCAAAAGACAGAAGTATGACTATTACCATGTCATTTCAATGGAAAGCATCCATAAGCAACAGGATATAACACTTGGGTCGTACCTGAATGAAATAGTTATATCAGTAAATAGTCAGAAACAATTTGAGTCGTAGCCACTTACCTTATGTCAATGGCTTGCGGGTCAATACAGCTTGTTAGAAGACATAGTAAAGCGTTTAAATCTTGAATTATAAGGTTGCACGGCTATTGTATGTCTTTTGAACAGTCTTCCTTGAGGTATAATAACGGAGACATAGGAACATTGATGGAATTATTTTTTTCGAAAAAATGCATTTGCTCTAAAAGCATACAGAGGAATATCTTCTTTCCAAGGAACATCAACATAAGCCCTGCCCTAGATTTCCATGCCACTGTGAAAGATTAAAATTGTACTCAGAAGAATGTATCTCACGCCAAACAACATTTCCACTACCTTTATTCGCAGTCGACCCATGGTTAGGCATACAATATCACAGTTTAGCGATGATGGAACGACTTGCCGAGTGATGTACAGACATAGAAGTGATTTTGACAGTCAAATATCTGTAAAGGAGATGTATCATTAATCGTAGGTATAAATAAAGGATATCTGCTCTCATTCATTTTTAGAAAGGATGCAATTACACAATGGGCAAGTATGCAGAAGAGCATTTACAAATGCTTTCTAAATACCAAAGTATTGATCCAGCCCATTCATCATAAAGAGGCAGTACTCCTCGATGAAGAACTGTCAAATTCAATATTGATGAATCATCCACTGCCTGATAACTGTAATAAGACGATAAGTCATTTGTAATAAATATAAAAAAGGATAAACATTAGTTACTCATATCGGTTACTTTATCTTTGTTATTACATCAATATTAAAAACGTTTTACATCTGGGGCAGCATGACATACTGGGAATAGACCTTATGTAATCTTTGCAAAAGTTAAAAATTTTTTTCGAAAGAAATAATTCTTTCCAATTTACAGCTAATCTTTACAGAGTTCCGTATTGTCTTCGGCTTCATTGAGACATAGCTCATAGAATAGTACGTTATGAACTTATAAAGCGTTGTTTATTGCACCTGCTATTGCCAGGTGATCGGATCGATAGACATTATTATCGTTGTCCTTTACAGCAACTGTTCTCATTGATCTCTTTTTATTTAGAATATTCGTTTCTAGAAATCCGGATTGCGGGGTTTATCTGGTATTAGAGCAATCGGTTCTGCCCTTGTACAATTATCGAACAGCAGAGGATCCTTGTAAGACGTTACATTTTTTCATTGTACCTTATTTTACCGCCGAATTGTCTGAGTCAAAAGCGTCTCAAACAAAGAAAGCCAAACAAAGATGATATTGAACGTATTGCGTACATGCATCATGGTTTAGTACAAGTATTGAGCGTCTATGTTTAGAACAGAAAAGCCTAATTAAAGCTGGGCACATGTTTAAGACGAAAAGAATCAAACTTTACACAGCCGCGGCTCACTAGACACTGCGTACTATATTTACGTGATCTATTGCCATCTATCGTATGATAACCCCCCTGTCATGTATACAAAGATCGAGTCCAGTCATCTGACAAAGAGTTTATTCATCGGACAAATAATGGGTTTGAAACTAAACGATTTAGACAAGGAGTCGAAGAAGAGACAAGGCACGATATCAAATATTCTATAACAATCCACAGACAATTGGATCTTATGCATTCTAGGTAACTGACCGTATTACAACAATAGAGATTTTTCAATTTTTTGAAAGTTTCTTAAGAGACATTTCATAAATTTGCTCTGGAACACTGAGCTTCAGAACGGATTTTCGGAAATGAGAGCAGAGTCATTTATCGGTTAAGCTTTAGTCAATTGTAATGCTGTTCATGTAAGAAAAGCAAAGCACAACAATATGAATTATAAAGCATTGCTTTTTAATTCAATGACAATGATGAATACGTGTAACGCAGCACAAAACGAATTGCATAAACTGTGCACGACAGGTACGCAGCCTATGGCGAAGTTTCAGCGATCCTTTTGATCATTGATAGCAACGTACAACTAAAGGCAAATGGCTTTCTTTATCTTATCAAAAAAAGATGAAGGCAAAATTTAGAACATGACAAATCCAACGACCCGAAAAATTTTTTTTTTTCTAATGATTACAAATCGCGATTATTATTTTGTCGTGTAATTCCAAAAAATGTAATCAATTATCTGATAAAGAATTTTTGTATAATTTACATAGGCAGTACAGTAGCAGTATACGCACTCAAATCACTTAATCGGCTATCTCGCAATAGATATTGTAAAATAAAAGTATACAAAGCATTACGTCCCTAAGATATCTGTTTACCTAGTATCTTTTATCAGATTTTTTTTGTCTCGAATAAATGTATCTGATCTTTTTCCAGAAACAAGGTCCCTGATAAAATTTTGACTGAAACCGTTAATTTTTTCATTGGACAGTAATATACAAAAAAAGGTGGGGGCCATATTCGTCAATGCAATGCTTTCTAACTGTAGAAGGAAAACCTTTGTTTCGCGTACAAATGGAACATTGAAACAAAAAAAAAAAAAAAAAAAAAAAAATAGCTTCTAAAAAGAACCTTCAGATCAGATAAAAGTAAAAGTAGGGTTTTCTTCATAGAAAGGCCTTTTAAAGATCAGATAAACTTAAAAACTTATTAGGCATTTGAGTCCAAACAATGTGAATTGTAAGTTACAAGCTGATTTATTGCCCGTGATTTCGGGAGGAGCGAAAAAAAATGGTTGAAAGGAAAAAAAACTGTGAAAATAGCATTAAAATGGTAAGTAGTACAGAGTAGTATAACGGATGATGGTAAAATTAAATATATACAATGTAACTGAGTAAAATACATTTGCTGTATGAGAGTTTACATGATGGAATAAATATACACGAAAAGGGGAAATGATAATGTTTTAGACCATGGCTGCTGTTTTGGTATTTTTGGAGTTTGTACTGATAGCTTCGTCGACGTCATTGTATGCCGCATTAGAGCTGGAGCTGGATTCAGTACGGAGATTAGGCTTCTCACTGCTGTCAGCTTCACGCAGATTACCTTGTTCATCGACATATTTTTTGGCGTTGTCAAGAGCGGCATCACCATCTTCTTCCCATTCACCGCGATTAAGTTTATCAATGGCTTGGCGCTTTTCTCTCCAATGCATATAGACAAGAATGACGGCGATCAAAATCCAGTAGAGACAGTAGCCAGTAATAGTACCAATGGTAGCAGTGTTATTCCAACCAAGGATGGAATTAAAGATTTGCCAACCACCAGTTTCACCAGTATTAGCTTCAGGATCACCCCAAGAAACGTGCCAAACAGCAGTGGTCATTTTATAACCGATAACATCGGCAGATTCACCTCCAATGACTTGATTCCATGCGTTTTGTTCAAAATAACCAATGGCTTTGGAGAATAAACCAGCAGACACAAGATACAAAATAATAGTGGAGATAATGAAAAACCAACGCAATTGAAGAAGACTGCCACCACGATAAATGACGAAACCGACAAGACAACCGCAAATGATACCAACAATAGTTGGGAGAGGAATTGATTCAGCATTCGTATCAAGAGAAACCTAAATACGTACAATATAAAGAAAGAAAATTGAATAAGATGTCATGTATCTATCGTTGCTGGCAAAGAAATGTTACTTACACCACCAATAAACACGACTGCTTCAAGACCTTCTCTTAAAACAGTAATTGCTGGAAGGAAGAAGAAAGAGTATTGTTGCATCCAACCTTTGAAACCGGCCTTGCGACCTTTGGCTTCCATAGCCTTTGCCAATTTGAGCTTCCATTGTTCTTGCATTCGTTCGGTTCTAAGCATAGCCACACCCATGGCGGTGATCATGATAGTAGCAATAAGTGAGAAGACACCTTCCCAAATATCTTCGGAAGAACTCCAAAGATTGTTAAGAACAGTATACCAGACAGCAATGAAAGCTGCACCAATAGCCAAACAGATGAGTAGACCGAGGGCCGAGCCCCACCAAACTTGTTTGTATAAACGTTTGAGGATAGGCGATCCAGGCTCGAAGACACGCTTCAAGAACGTCAACAAGACTGCAATAATAATGGCTGCTTCTGTTGTTTCACGAAACAGAATAAAGAAGACAGGTACATTAAAAACATTCTTAGCCATTGTAAATGCAAGACTCTTTTGTTTCTTATCAGATCAATGGCAAATGATGAAAAACGACAAAAAAATTAATAAAACAGAAAAGAAAAGTAAGAAAGAAAAGCTACTGGTTTTTTTTTTTATAAAAAGTGTATATCTGAAGAAGGAGATGAAAAAAAAAAAAGAAAAAAGCAAGGAACAGGCCATTAGAAAAAAAAAAAAATGGACATGAAGAGGAGATTAAAAGATGAGATAAGACCCATTGTGATAATGGTGTGAGCTCCTACCATTCCATTTCAAAGTTCTTTGGTAACATCACAATGAGGAAACTGAAGCGGGAAGGTCGGGACATCACTAAGCATGTTTTTTGGGGGTTCTAAGTGCTTTATAATAAACCTAGTTTGGTTTTCTGTATCGCACTTTAGAATTGCATCTTATCAGATGTTTCACTGTTTAAAGATCTACCATTATAGCTGCTCACGAAAGCATTACGGCAATCCAAAATGAAACAAAAACGCGTCTAACTGAACAGTCTTGCCTATTCTTCGTTTCAAAACGAAACAACAATAACTCTGTTTTTATCAGCTCATGGTTCCCTTGTCGAATGAAACGGAGCCTTCTTCATTCGTTATCAGATTATTTTTTTTTCTTCTTCATAGCGTGCAAAAAAAGAAAAAAAATTTTTTTTTCCCAATTGTTGATCAAAGATGACTGTAAACCATAAAAGATAATCAATGGACCTTACAAATTTTCTGATTTTCTTCCCAGCTAAAAAGGAGCCCAGATCACTTACTTAACACAGACAGAAACAGAAAAAAAAAGGTGTTTCCTTTAAAATAACAACGCTAGGTTTTCATTTCTTTTTTGTTTTTTCTTTTCTTTTTCTTTCTCTCTTTTCCTCTTTATCTGATTTTCTTCTTTCTTTATCTTTTCGCTTTTAAAGAGGCCGATCTAAAGCTATGCGTGCCTTTAGTTACATATTGTTAGGGTTACTAGCCCTCACAACAATCCACGCTAAACGTGTTGTTTATGATATGAACGTTACATATATTGAAAACGTGAACCCTGACGGCCTTAAAGCACGTCGAGTTATTGGTATCAACAACCAATGGCCGTAAGTGCATAACATTTGTACTACCATTCTTATGGATCTCTAATACTGATCCTTGCCGTCCAATTTTAGTATTCCGCCAGTGGTTGTTGACTACGGTGATACTTTGGTCATGAATGTACATAATTCCTTAGATAACCCTACTACTCTTCACGCTCACGGTCAGTTCCAAAATGGTACCAATTGGATGGATGGTCCGTCCGGAGTGACGCAATGGTAAATAGGCCCTCTTTCTTTGCAGAACCCGCTTCTTTTTTTTTATTTTAATTGCTAATTTTTTACTTCATTCACCTGTATGATAGCCCTATTCCTCCTAATTATGACTTTACTTATGAGTTCAACATTACTCAGAACGGTACTTATTGGATGCACAGTCATTACGGTGTATGTTTCGAGAATTGCTTTTTGTTCCCCTATTCTTTCAATCTGATTTCTAACTTTTTTCCTTTCTTCTTATAACAGAGTCAATATATGGATGGTTTCCGTATGCCTTTCATCATCAACAATCCTGAAGAACCCTATAAATACGACGAAGACGTCACTATTACTCTCTCAGGTAAATGGTGGCAGACCATGTATGTTATTGACTGCATTAAAAATGCTAAATACATTTTGTTTGCTAGATTGGTACCATGACGAAAGTGAAGTCGGCCTTGCCACCTTCTTGTCTGTTTATAACCCCACTGGTGCTGAACCTGTCCCTCGTAAGTAGACCGAGTTTGTGTCTTTTCAAGCATTATCAGCGAATGATTCTAACCTTTTGTATAAAATTCATTCTATCTAGAATCCGCTTTGATTAATGATAACCGTAATACTTCCTTTGAATTCGTTCCTGGCAAAACCTATCGTTTGCGTATCATCAACATGGCCAGTTTTGCCACCTTTTATTTCGATATTGATGGTCATGATATGGATATTATTGAATGTGATGGTGTAAGTTGCTTTCCTACATTTTTTTTTCTTAAGCAAAAAAACGCAAGAAAATATTTTGCCAACATTTCACCGTTTCATTGCTAGGTTTACACTGAACGTACGACTGTACAAAGTCTCTTCTTGACAACCGCCCAACGTTTCTCTGTTCTTGTTACTGCTAAAAACTCGACTGGATTCAACTATTATATGCACGCTGACATGGATACTGTTATGTTTGATACTATTCCTGAAGACTTGAACCCCAGTAAGTCTTTTAATGACCCACACTTATTCTACGCTTCTTTGTGAACTAAAATGATTCCGCATTTTCTTTCAACTTAGATGCAACGGCCCCTATCTACTACGACCGTAAACATAACAACTTTGCCCCCGAACGTCACATTGGTATGGCGAGTACTTTTGACGAACAAGTCGACGTTATTCCTCTGGAAAAAGAAGCCGCTGCTCCTTACGACCATCAAATCAACCTTACCATTGATTTCCAAGTCACCAACGACGGTATCAACCGTGGTATGTTCAATTACATTCCCTTTATCGCCCCCAAAGTTCCTTCGCTTCATACCTTATTCAGTACCGGTGAATATGCTATGAGCGAAGAGGTTTATGGTCCTTTATCCAGAGCCTTCGTTCTCAAGCACAATGATATGGTCGAAATTGTCCTCAATAACTTGGACGCTAATAACCATCCTTTCCATTTGCACGGTCATGTCTTCCAAATGGTGGGTCGCGGTGAAGGCGTTTACGACGGCAACACTTCCAATGTCGAATGGTTCAACGACAATCCTCCACGTCGTGATACCCTGCGTGTCGCTGATGGTGGTTTCTCCATTATCCGTTTCCGTGCAGATAACCCAGGTGTTTGGATTTTCCATTGTCACATTGACTGGCATTTGGAATCGGGTCTTGCTGCTCTCATGATTGAAGCCCCTGATGTTGTCCAAAATACAATGAAGTTGCCCCAAGCCTTTATGGATGTCTGCGAAGCTGGTAATAATCCTGCCACAGGTAATGCTGCCGGTAAGGAAGGTTTGGATTTGAAGGGTGCTCCTTCTGGTATTGGCATGCCTTATGATGGCTTCACCGCCAAAGGAAAAGGTGCTATGGCTGCTTGTATCATCTGTGCTCTCATCGGTATGGCCTCTATTATTTGGTATGCCTTCAATGACCCCGTCAACACGGCCCGTGAAAGAATGGGCAGACCTCCTAGTCGTGGTTAAAGGGACGATGATTCCCCCTCTTTTATACTTGACTTTCCCCTCACATCCATTTCTATTTATTTTAATATCACTTACATATTTTTGTACTTTACTTTTGTAAACATCCCTAATTTCATATGCCACTTGTAATTTAGCTGTTCTTGTTCTCCCCAACTCTTTCAAAGATATAATATCATTTAATTAGTTATTACTTTTCCATAATCATGTGTATTCATACAAAGCGTATTATCAATTACTAATAAGCCTGTGGAGTGTAGTTCAGAAGTCACATCCAGATAGAAGAACCGTTAGAATACAGTGTTTGAATATAACTTGTCGGATTCTTCAGTAGAACGTACTTTCGAAAATAAGCCAATTTCTATAAACTCGTTTCAGAAGATACATATGTGTAAGCTATTCCGTTAACCGGAAGTCAGCGCAATCACACGATTTCATCTGCTCTTCTGCTACAAAATCCCAGAATTGATACTGTGACTCCTCAGCGAGTATACACGATAACCAGTATTTTGGTTATTTTTGACCAGGATAGTTGCTTCAGTAACTAACGTTGAAAGGATGGCTTCATAGTCAATTAATCTCGTATAGGTAAATAGTTTTTTCCTTCCTTTTAATGTGTTTTTTTGGAGGTTTTTTTTTTTTTATTATGTACTATTAACTACTATTTTTTACTTAAGCTACCGAAGCTACCGAAAATACGCGTATTAAGCGTTTTCATACAAAACTTATTTAAAAAATCTTACGCCTAATATGCTTAATACAAAAAATTGCATTCCCTTTTGGCTCTGATATGAACAGGGATTGGCATAGAATACAATAGTCAAAAAATGATATCACTGCAACAATTATTTCATGGTTTTGCTACAGATATTGAATACAGTTTTTCCTTTATGCGTACAATCGAACGAAGGGAAAGCTTTTTGTTTGTGGACGCTTTCTTAGCGAAGCGCGAATGGATTTATTTGAATTTAGCAAAGAGATTGGAAAAGGTTCCTTTCTTTTGCGGTTTCGCATGTTTTGTATTAAAATCCGTCATAGACTGGATGACGGTATCAGGTGGAGCTACTATGGAGGTATGGGTGGATTGCGAATCACTATAAACGCTGGTTGTATTGGCTGGATGATGGCTGTGGATGGAGGAAGACGGTGGATAATGTTTATCATAAAAACCAGAATCCATACGCCATACTTTGATGGAACCACGCAAGTCGGCCGATACCATGATTTGACTGTCTGGAAAATGGTATCTGTCTCTCTCTTCGGGCGTTGCTTCTTCAAAATCTCTTATCAAAATCCGCCGTAGCTCTTCCATCTCTTTTTGCTGCTTTTCGGTGGAAGAGGTGTCGTAAAGACTGTTGGCTTTAGGATGGTGGTTGTTGTGGCTGTGGCTGTGGCTGTGGCTGATGGATGACGTTCGACTTCTTCTCTGACTCGGCTCCGCTTCTTCAGCTGACACATCCTGATCAGACTCGCGTATAGGTTCTCGATGGGTATAGACGGGTGTATTATCGAAAATAATATCGCCTCCTGATTTCGCCAACTGCTGTCTCGTTTTGGTAGGCGCAAAGATGGTCGAAGTGACAATATGTGGATGGGCTACAAAATGTTCGTTTCGACTACGCAGTAAATCGATCATGCGCCTTTCCCCTTTTCTCAGCCAGCCTGTCACTGCGCCAAAATGCTCATTGGCGAATTCCTCCGTCTGCATCAGTGTGTGCAGCATATGCTCGCCGAATTGGCCCAAAGCAATCGCCGCTTTCAAACGCTGTAGGTAATGAAAAGGTGAGTAATTGACTTGATCCGTACACCAGAGATAGACGCATCCATCTTCTGATCCACTGATGATGTATCGGCCGTCGTCACTGAAAGCAGCTCGGATCTGCATCGAGGAGTTTTCCAGGCCTTTGTATTTGAAGACAAAACTCTTGTCCCGCATGTTGACGATCCATATCCGAGAGTCGTTGGTCGTCACAAGAATACGCTCCTCTCCTAATGGCATGCCTGGCATGGGCTCAATGCCTGTCACTTTTCTGCCCCGTTTCTGCCGACTCGTTTTTACCAACATCTGCGTGTTATATTTCAGACCCTGTGTTTCAAAGAAAAAGACATCTCCCGTGTTGGAACCAACACACGCTGTTCTTCCATCGAGCGTGAAACTGACAGCCGTGACCATATTCCCAGACGGAATTTCGTTCCAAAAAGCGACTCTTTTCTCTGGTATACTCCAAAGACGCACTTTGCAATCGAGTGAGCCGGAGAGGAAAAACCTATCATCCTAGTGCATATCCAATGTGTGAGTCAGCTGGTTATAAAATCAGTGCGGGGAATACAGTCAGCTTACATACTTTGGGATGAAATCTAACGCTTGGAACGACATCCAGATGTTTAAACACACATAGACAAACCGTTTGCGATACATGCCATAACCTAAACAGGAAAAAATTCGGGTTATCAAGTGATACAACCTTGTAGACAAAATAGCAAACCACTTTACCTGACGGTTTTATCCATAGAAGCCGATACTAAAAAGTTATTCTGGTATAGGTAAAACGGATGGGTGTGAGATATCACTGCTGCTCCTCTTTGGGTCTCTTCTTCGGCAGAGAAAGGAAAAAAAAAAACAAACCTTAGACCAGCTGAGATCCAATATATCGGCCGTATGCCCCTTATAAGTCCTGACAGGCTTCTCATGAAAGACTTTGATCGATGGTTCATAGGAAGAGATGTCCTCTGACACATCTATATTGTCCTTTTTCTCCATATCTCTCAGTACCTTCCAAATATGTATGATACAATTCTGACCAGCAGTTGCCATATATTTCCCGTCTTTACTGAAACGACAGGTCCAAACGGCTCCAAAGGGCTTTTTAGAATTATCCATTTCTTCCTCCTTGCTCTTTATGGAGGAATGCAAAGATCCTCGGCTTTCGTTTGCATCGACAGTGAGTGTTTGAGCCAGTACGACTCTACTGAATCTTTTATGTGTTTTGATTTTCGTTTTGATCTATATACATAGATGAGTTTTTAAGAAAAATGGTTCGATTGTGTCTTCGTTTTGTGTGGGTCTTCCCATTTACTTTAACATATTTCTGGCCGTGGGGTGATAGCTCATCGGTATAAGACTGAAATTGTCCATTTACTCCAAGAAGCATAGACGTTCTACTCATGTCAAGCATCCTTTCTGATTGTGATAGGAAAGTGGATGATCCACTAAAACTATTTTCGGACCAACTGTGACCTCGTGTGTGTTTATTTCGTCTAACATTCAAACATGGGGGACAAGGAAATCAAAATAAAATAAAAAAATCATTATGACCCATCTTCTTTCCCATCGTGTAGGTAGTAGATCATGTTGATAACGTCTCTTCCTTACCGAAAAGCCGCAGAGTTGGGTCGTCCATTGTCTTGTTTTGCGCACGAACTTTGATATTCTTCCAAACTCACACTTGTTCGCCGACTAGCACTATGATACTCCTTTTCATTATTCACAGCAGATGTTGCTGAAGAAGTAGCCAAATGATCTGAATGAACTGACAGTCGTTTCTCGCTGTTTTGAAATCGTCTCTGTCGTGGCTGTAAAAAGTCTAAGTCAGAAAAAAAAAACAAGCTTTTAAGGTTAAACAATGGAGTGTCTATAATTTTAGCTTCCTTGCCCCTTCCATGGGCAATGACATTACTATGATTAGACACATCTTTTACACTGGCTTCCTGAAGTGCATCTGTGTCCGAGCTTGCATCGGACATTACAGCGACAAAAAAAAAGGCCTTAATCGGCGAGGAGAACCAAAGGAGGAACAAAAAGGAAATCCACAAAAAGATGTATGAAGCTTGCTTATGGCTAGCAAATGGGAGTGTTTTTATGCCGCAACAAATTTTATTGTCTCCTGGTTGGTGATGAATCCTTTCAGATGGTTGAGTTTGATTTTGGTTGGGTTTTTTTTTTTCTCTACTGCAAAATCAATGAAGGGGAAACCAACCTGTGGTTAAGCATAACAGAGTACAAAGTGTCATTGAGGTGATCCAGTAGGTCTCGTCATGAGATGATTTTATAGATGCAGGTATGCATGAGATAGGATGTTGATCGTTACTGCTTTATTTATTGCAGTGTAATGCCATGTATCATATGTCAGGTCTACGATTCATTGCTTTATCTAATCAGTAAGAAGAGAGGGTAAGACATCGAATGAGAGTGGCTGAACTTGTATTTTTAACAGCAGCAAAGAAAAAAAAGATCAGACAAATAAAAAAAAAAAATTAGGTAGGGCAAATTTGCGGTCTTTTCTTTTCGAATACAACGTTCATATCTATTACTAATGAGCACTTCTGGCCGTACATGTTCAACTGAGGGCTGTGGCAAACCAGCCACTCTTCAATGTCCTACTTGTATCAAATTGAAGATTGAAGGATCTTTTTTCTGTTCTCAAGATTGTTTCAAAAAGAATTGGGTTTGTTCAATGCTTTTCCTACAAGTCACTGACATGGTCACTGACTTGAACGATCGTTAACCGCCGCCATGCATTTTTTTTTTTTTTTTTTTTTTTTTGAAAAAGGCCAAACACAAGTTAGTGCATAAAGCTAAAATTGAAAGTAAGGAGGAAAGAAAGGAAACACAGCAAAAGAAAGCAGCTCAAGAGATGCCTTGGTTATTCATTTCTATCTATATCAAATTTTAGGCGAGCCTCACAATCCCTTCCCCAATTATCGCTATACTGGCCCATTACAAGCAGTGTATCCTCTGTCTCCCAGACGTGAGGTTCCTAAGGAAATTGAGAGACGTAAAGTGACAGAGTGATTGAATGAACCAAAAGTGTATCAGCTCACCATCTAACACACATCTAAAATTTTTTTTTTTTTTTCTATGCCACAACTCATAGCCGATTATGCGGAATCGAGTATTCCTATTTCAGAACAGATGGCCCGTGGCAATGCGATTAGAGTTTTGAACAAAGAGGAAATAGAGGGTATGCGTAAAGCCTGTAAGGTAAAGGATCCTTTTTCTTGACATGTGGGACGTTTCGGCAGAGATTCTCTCGTAGCATGGTTAGCTTATAGAATATCTTTTTGTGGATCCAGATCGCTCGTGAAGTCTTGGATATTGGTGCTGCTGCTATCCGTCCTGGAATCACTACTGACGAGATTGGTAAGTGTTTCTCTCTCACCATCCAGTGTCATTGACAAAATTTTAAATATGATTCTCCCACTTTTTGGTTGACAGATGAAATTATCCATAATGCTACCATTGAGCGTGGAGCTTATCCTTCTCCTTTAAACTATTATCAATTCCCCAAGTCTGTTTGCATGTAAGTTTAACTCTCTGCGTTGGTTCAGAAAGAAAGCGTGAATGTGGATGGCTTCTCACCATCCCTTTTTTGCTGTATGTCAATGTCAGATCTGTCAATGAAGTTATTTGTCACGGTATCCCTGACAAATATGTTTTGAAGGATGGTGATATTGTCAACCTTGATGTGACATGTTTCTATAAGGGTTTCCACGGAGATATGAATGCTACTTACTGTGTCGGTAATGTAGATGACAAAGGCAAAGAATTGATCGACACAGCAAGAGAATGTTTAGAAAAAGCTATTGCTATGGGTAAGCCCTCTATTGCTAACGGGTATTTTTTTTTCGCGCTGTTTTTTGACCCACTCACCTTTTCTCTCTTTATCAGTCAAACCTGGCATTAAATACAGAGATTTCGGTAGAGTGATTGAAGAACATGCCAGAAAGCATGGTTTCTCGGTTGTGCGCAGTTTCTGTGGACATGGTATCAATCAATTATTCCATACAGCACCCAACGTCCCTCATTACAACAGTAAGTTGATCCAAACATCGTATTGAGAAAGCAAAAGCAGCTATGAATGACTTTTTTTTTTTTTTTTTCTCATTGATTCTTGTGAAATGACTACGTTTACAGATAATAAGGCTGTTGGTGTGGCAAAGCCTGGTCATTGCTTTACCATTGAGCCCATGATTTGTGAAGGTCATTGGAGAGATGAAATCTGGTAAGTAGATGCAAAAACGATTGATACTGCTGCTCAAAGAGAAAGGAGGATGTATATTCACACTGTCTTCTCTTTCATTACTCAATTTATGTAAAGGCCCGATAACTGGACAGCCGTTACTTGCGATGGTAAACGTTCCGCGCAGTTCGAACATACTCTGTTGGTGACAGAAACCGGCTGTGAAATCTTGACCAAATAATTGAATAGATAGATAGTCCCGTTTTTTTTTATTTTTTTTTGCATTCGATTTGCTAACTGCTGGTAGATCTGCAGTAGTAAGTATCATTAGTCACATTTTTGATGATTTTTCCACCCTTTGCATTTATTGTATAGTGCTACTTCCATATCTCAAAAGTAAAAAAACTTATCTTGTGATGTTTGTTATTTTAGTCATGTCTTTATAAAATCTTAATTTTTTTACTAATAATTTACGAAAAAATGCAATACTCTGTAACTCGCAGAGGATGTAAAAAGATGAAGCAGCAGCTCGTTCTTTGCGTGTTTATTAGCTTGTTTCAAATTTTGGAGCCATTCTTAAAGATTACCTCTTTTGGTAGAAGAGTTTTATTCTTATTGACAAAAAAAAAAAAAAAAAAAAGAGAGAGAAAAAAGAAAGATATAGTGTGTAAGGAATAATAAATAGTAATGCATTGCTATCTTTGTAAAAAGATGAATTATATGATGTCAATGGGCACTAGGGGAAATGCAGGTAAAATAGATAGATAAAGGGGAATAGATTGTGGGGAAGGGGAGGGGAGGGGAGGGGAATCGTTCTATGGAGTTGTTGAGAAACCAGCAGCTATCATCATGTCACTGGAGAGGGATATTCAGCAAGCACTTTTAACATGGAAACTTTTCTTAGGTATTTTGTATGCCAATCAGTGAAGGCCGTATGCGCCTTTAGCTTCAATGAGCATACGGGTAATCTGTCTTGCTCGTCTGTCTGTACAGCAGAGAATGTACGAGAGAAAAAGGTAGATGGTGAGGTCTCGTTTTCTTCTTTTTCTTTGCCATTCCTTCTTGCCTTGACATGATTCATAAGCGCAGTAGTGCTGGCTTCTTTTTCTACAAAAGAAGAAGAAGCAGCAGAGGTATCCTCTCCTTCTTTGGCAGTGCAAGTTTCTTCCTTCAAAAGCCAGGCATTCTTTGTAAGAGACGGTTGACGAGACGGCCGTGGGTCCGTTCGACTGTGGGCATGAGGAGCCTTGTGCATTCCCATCGTTCCGTTTGTATTCTGCGGTGGGGCCAGGGGAAGAGGGCTGGTTCTCGGTTCCTGACCAGCAGGAGAAGAGGCAGAGGTGGTGGCAGGTGGGTGAAGGGTATCTGTTGAACTTGGCTCTTCCAAAATGTTGTGCGAGTCAGTTTCATGTAGAACCGAGGTCTCCATAGAAGCAGTAGCTTCAGCAGTGGCAAGAACATGGTGGTATAAAGCCTATCAAAAGAAAAGGAGGATGAGAAACTTGAGTAGCAAAAAAGCAAGGGAAGGGAGGGAAAGGAGATAGGGCCTACCTCGTAATGGGCTTTGGCATGAATGGAGCACATGGCAAGGTTGTCGTAAAGTGCTGATGCTAGGGAAGAGATATCGTGTGGGCTTTGAATGACGGTGAGGACGCCTTGGCGGCAGTGGATGGGCGCGCTGGCGAGGGAGGCACTTGGATGGATAAGCAACGGTGCGTGGCGCTGTTGCTGACTGATAACAAATCGTTTGACATAGTCGTCCTCCTCATGATGCTCGTTGGGATTGTCGAGAAAAACACCTAGGTCGGAAGCGGTCATGAAGGCCTCTTCCTCCTCAGCATCTAGCTCTTGATGATACAGATGAACCGGCACGAATTCAGTAGTACCGTAGATCTGATTAATTTGACGAGCGATTTCATGCACAGCCTTCCATTCTTTGGCAGGCAAAGAGTGGGAGGTACAGAACAGAAAGAGGACGGTACGATCCACCATAAAACGGTGCTTGGAGAGCAAGTCAGCAAATGCAGCAAGCGTTCTGAAAAGATTGGCACGGTTGGCAGAACGACTGAAGATAAGCTGTCTGTGGGGAAACATTGCCCTGAGTTGTTTAACACGTTTAGTCATCATGGCTGATCTTTCGCTCTTTGATGGCCTCTTGTGCTGTTGGTTGCAGTGTTCACACACAAGTGGATTGGCATAAGTTCCCATTGGCTGCGGTCGAAGAGAAGGAAGCAAAGAGGCTGAAGTGGATTGTATTTGCTGGCATGCAGTTGCAAATTTCGCAGCGTCTGCCTTTGACTAAGAAAAATGAAAGCATTTCTCAGTGACAAGCCCGCAATGGATGGGTTTGTTGGGTCTTTTTTTTTTTTTTTTTTTTTATCATACCTTAAAAGCTATGTGGTCAGCTTGGAGCATTGACCTCAAAATATGAGATATGTCTAAGTTTTGTTTAAATGATAAAATAACAAAAAGAAAGGAAAGAAATATCAGCATCAGATTAGATCTTAAATGAAATATGGAGTCTGAAATGTTTGGGGAGTGGGGGACTGGAAAAGAAAAAGATGAAGAAAAAAAAAAAAAAAAAGCCTCCAATTTACCTTCCACTTCAGCTAAATGCCCCCAGTTTGGAAATTTTGCATATAGAGAAAGGTCAATTTTGATGTCAGGCTTAGCTTTTCGAAGGAAATGGGGCAACATCACTAATTGGTAGTCGTGTATCCAGACTAAAAATAAAGCAGGATAATCAAATTAAGGATTCCGGTTTTTCATTTTCAACTACACTGTATTTGTAATCGTACCTAAATCTCCAGGACGGTATTTCTTAAGAATGGCTTGTGCATAAGTTTGGCATAGAATCAAATAACTTTTCCACATCCATTGGTTCTTTTTTTTGTTTGCTTTGTACGAGGCATCATGGAAAAGAGGATCAAGCACTATGATAAGATGGTCTTTATCAGTCAAATTCTGTCTGTAGAGCCGCATGCGGGAAAAAAAAAGAATTCGAGTCGCGCTCATTTACCGTTCCTGACAAACAGATCCAACGAGCCAACACATGAAGAGTGCAAGTCAATAGCAATGGATGGGCAAGGGTGGCCTGTTGTTTGTCTTATAAAGAGTGACGGCTCTTCTTGCTTTCGTTTGTGTGCGTTGTAAATGCAATGTATTATCTTGTGTGTGCTTGTCGGTGCCATGGCAACGAGAATAAATAAATCGTAACTATGTGAATTTCGTAGCTGTGTGCAAATAAAGACAGAGAACGGAAAAAGACACGCAAAAGAATGAATAAATAAATAATGGCTAAATTTAAGGTTTGGAATTCGGATTATGTAAGAAAACAGTAAGGGGCCAAACACGACGTTTATCCCATTCATTTTTCCTTTCAAACCGACATGAGGAAAACGAAAAGCAGAGAAGGCCTGCTTCTCTGCTTTTCTGTTTCCTGAGGAAAAAAGAAAAGGCACTCACTTGATATCAGAAGCATTCTTTGGATTATGGGTCGAATGAATGCCACTTGTTCGCCAACAGAACATAACGGTGCTGTTTACAGCATAGATGAAAAACGCTGCTTGCTTTTGGGACTAGGAAAAGAATCGAAAATTTAGGTCGGGAACCCTTTTCCAGGACCCGCCTTCCCCGTGGAGTAGTTCAAGGTTAAACTATTGACAGCCAATCAACTGTATATATTTGCTTAAGTAATTCAAATTGAATACATTAGCTTGCTTAGATAATAGCCATCGACATCATCACGAGAGTCTTCAATTGGTTGATTCTGTTCTTTCATAGATCGCTTAACGAGTAATATCGTCTAGCCTATGCACATGACTTAAGCAGAATATGTCTATCACCTTTTCTGATCGTCTGATAGTCTTTACCAAAGGGGGGAGCTAGCTTTTGCTTGCCTAAAGAGGGTTCCCACTATAAAAAAAAAAGCTTTCGTAATCAAAAAACAAAAGCTGTTTTCATGTAGAAAAAAGAAACGATTGTTTGTTCTAATCCAGATAGATCCTTTAAGGGTTTGCTTACTTAATATTCTATTCCGCGGGGAAACTAAAAAGCTCACTGAATAAACGAAAAATCTATTCAAAAATGCGGGCTGGATTACTCACGCAATGCAAAACTTATTGCGTTATTCTCCACTCAAGCCCCCTCTCATTCCAGCATGATATGGCAGAAAAAAACAGACTGTGCTTTACATGAAAAGGCTTTCGAATCGATGCTGTATTCGTGAACAGTGATGAGAGATAAGGATTCCTTCTTAAGCGTATCTACATACACAGTGTTTCCTCGTCGCGGGAAACAACAGGCGAGAAAAGCATTCATGCAAATAGATAGAGATAGAATGTGTGTCCGTGTGTGTGTGTGTGTGAGAGTTCTTTAAAATCCTGCCATGAGCGATCGTACAAGCGTAGAATAGAAAAGTATGGAATTAACTCTATCTTATTTCTTTTTTTGGATATGTTTTTCTTTCAGCTGATGTAGAGTGATGACCAAAAGTAGTTTAAAATTGAGTACAGAAGATCCCCGCTAAGACCAAAACAATACATTACAATGAGAAAAGGGTGGGCTCTTTCTGATGGCACTAGCACGTGATATTTAAATCGAGATGGTTTCTTTTTTTTCTTTTTCTTTTGGCCATCGTGATGAAGCACTGCAGAAAGGCTTGGATGAAAGGGAAAAAAAAAAAAGACAAAAAATGGTTTATCATGACATGCGACTATGTGATTTTAAACAGAAATGGGTAAGGGTAAATAGAGCTATTTGTTGTAAAATATATATAAAATATATATAGGATATATACATAAAATATAACCATGTGTCATGCTCTTGAGATGGAGGGCTGCTCAGAGAAAGACGTTTGTCTGCAAAACGATAAATGGCTACACTTGGGTCAAATAGATCGCGCGCTCATCTCGTGCTATTTTTTTTTTGTTTTAATGTACAGATATCAATAGGGTTGGCTGTGTTGAAGGGTATAGTTGCATTGAGAAGGGAGGGGGTAACAGAGGATGTCGTGTCTTTACACACATGATGAATAAATTGAGTAAATGACATCGTTCAGTCAGTGCGCCTTAGTAACCAAGCGATGCTACAGAGGGTCTGGAACGGTGGCACATAGCATGATCCACGACAACACATTCATCCTCTTTTGGTTGATCCACTTCATTTTTTGCCATCGTCGTAACAAATTTGAGAAACATCAAGAAGAGAAGAATAGAGTGCAGCATGTTTGGTCCAAAACGATAGTTTATTTTAAATGGAAAGAAGAAGCAAAAGGGTAGTGATAAGTTAGAAAGAAAGAAAGGGAAAAAGTAAGTGATGAACGAAAGGTTTTTCTTATAAGACTTATTTCTCAAAAAGCACGTGGTTTCCACTTCAAACCAGTCCAGAGATGCTGGATGACTTCATTCCCCTTTCTTTACACTTCTTTGTATGGGTATTCTATTTTTATCCATAAAGCAAAGAAAACAATCATTAGCAATGGGATGAGTGGTTTCCGTCTTTTTTTTTTCTTTTTTTTTGTCTTTGCACTTACCTAGTGTATCATCTTTCTTTTTCCATAATTTCTTTCTCTTTTTTGTAGTGACATGTTCTGTCCAGACTTCTACACAATATTTCTTTTTGAATTTTCGTATAAAGACTGGATCCCACAACTCTGAAGCGATCCCTAAATCTTTGCAACAGCGCATCAAAGCATTACTTTTGCAACCTTCAGACGCCGTTGGTAATCCAGAGACATCAAAAAAGTCCTGCTCTCCTCTTGCTTGTGACACAAATCGTCCGTTACAGATCAATGCGTACTCCCGCGAGATATTCTTGGGTGAAATCGTATGTTCGCCGCGCGGCGCTAAACCCCATCCTCCTGGTCCAAAAGCTCGATTTAAGATGCGTCTATATTTGATTTCGGGAAGGTATAAGAGACCATCTATAGCAAACAAACAAGTCAATACGGGGCTGTACTCCTCTCTCCTAAAAAAAAAAAAAAAAAAAAAAAAAAAAAACGACTTACCGGGCTTAATTTCAATATCTTCTGGATTGACAGGTTCAAGTAAAATATCCGTGGCCTCTTTTGAAAAACGGACAGTCGAAAGGCCGTGATAAGAAGTAGACCAGTCAATAGCATTTTCCTTTGTGTTATCGTCAAATGCAGCATCAAACTGTTGCGTCGTGGCAAAGTGATCCGCATGAACGGCATTCGCTAATGCAGGTACCGCTGCTGCTGCTTTTTTGATCTCGGCCGATGTCACACTGTCTGAAGCAGACGTTTGTGCTTTGGTTTCTGCCGTTGTTGCTTTCGTGCTCGACTTGACCGTTTTAGGTTTTAACGTAGTCGTTTTTGTTGTATTCGTCGCAGTGGCGCCAACTTCTTTTCGAGCTAATTTAACATACCGCGTAGTTGTTACTGTGCGGATCTGGTAATAGTATGTGAGCCAACAATGAGTGACAAAGTTAGTCTTTTTTTCTCAATGAACAGTGTAAGATAAATGAAAGCACTGTACGTTGTTCAAAGTGTTGGGTTTGGAGGCTAATCTTTTGACCACGGTGAACGCTTGCATTGTGTGTGTTAAAAGGGTTCAACAAAGGCAAAAGCCAACTCATGGAGCAGGCAAGGAGAGTAAGGGGCACAAAAAAAAAAAGGTGGTCACTTTGTCTCCGCACACCTTTGTTCCAATCAAATTGTAAGCACTCTTAAAATGAAAAATGCAAGTTGTCCAATAAAGATAGGCATGTTGTCTAAAATGAACGTTCTATTACGACTTTTTTTTTTCATACCCCGAATTCATGTTGCCGCTTTTTGCTGAGTAATATTTAAGGCGGGCCCCTCATTTGGAAAAAATGGAAGTGTCAGTACACATAAGAAAAATTGACAAGGCTCTTTTTTTTTTTTTTTTCTATTTTATTCCATCATAGACCTTATACTATTGATACTTATTAAAGACAGACATGAGCAATACAGTGGTTGACGGAAAAGATACCATCAAATTTGTTGATGAAGAAGATGTTCGTCAAACTGCCGATACGGCTACTGCTCCTGACACAAACGAACATGAAGATAAAAAGTCGGAAGGAGAAGAAGAGGGTCAAAGTGCTGCTTTTAATCCAGAAACTGGAGAAATCAACTGGGATTGCCCATGTAAGTAAAATGAGGATGAAAGCAAAGGATAAAAGTCGATCATGCGCAGTGTAGCGTTGATTTTTGAGAGAAAAACTCATGGGATAATTTTTGACAGGTCTAGGGGGTATGGCCCAAGGTCCATGCGGAGAAGAGTTTAAGGCAGCTTTCAGTTGCTTTGTTTATTCAGACGAAGAACCCAAAGGAATAAATTGTGTGGAATATTTCAAAACGATGCAGGATTGTTTCCGTAAGCATCCTGATGTTTATGGTGATGAGATCGATGACGACGATGACGACGATGACGAGCGGGAAAAGAGCGATAAATCCAACGATAATGAGACTACCACCACCACCACCTCCACTACAACTACATCTGTGTCAACAACAGAGGAGAAAGCAGAAGATACAACCGTTGCTTCTTCTATGTTTGAAGAAGAAAATGAGGCGGCGGAATCAAAGACAAGTAGTTTCAGTTCATGGTTATCCTCATGGTTTTAAACACAAATAACAACTTTTATGTATAGTAAAAAACACATCCATTCTTCCATTTAGAGCAAAACAGGAATATACTTGCCGTGATGGCATTCATTTCACTTTTTAGGTACAACAAAATAATTGTATCCTTTTTTTAATTGACAGTTCATCCGTCTATAAATAATAACTTGTTATTGAGAGGGAAAAAATAAGATGCGAGTGTTTGACTGAAAACTCGCCTATGCGTCTATAATACAAAATATCCTGTCCATAGATAGATAGTCGATGATAGTAGTAGCAATGGAAACTTGATTAGAAAAACTATCTAACTCTATAACCTATTCAAGTGCAACCACCGAGACGAATCGTCTCCAAATGGTATACTTTCTTACCTGAACAACGGCCAATGCAACATGCTTCCATCCTCATCTTGAGCTAGGAAGAAAAAAGCCATCAAGGCGCGTCATTGCTTGACATTTCCACATCATTTTTTCATACTACCTTCAATAAAGTGAACAGCAGTTATTCTTTAGAAACCCCCCGCACAAACAAAAAATGCTGCAGTAGGAAGAGAATTTTCCTTTTCACAGGTATTTCTAAGCGCGTTTCGGTTTTATGACAAAGTACCTCAGCACTGTACCCCGGTACTCAGAACAGTCAGAATAGAAATGCTATCAACAGCATCTAAAGGACCCCAAGGCCAAGGATAGTACGGATCGACTCTACAATTTCAAAAGAAATACATCTCATGTAGATGATGATGATCCGATAGCTATAAGTCTCTTTCCTACCCGTCTATACAAACTATAAACCCACCCCCCCCCACTTTGTCGGTAGCAGTGATGATATCAACCCGAGTACGATGGAAGTGGAGAAGAGCAGACAAAAAAAAACCTTGTCAACAAAGCACAAAACGAGGGATTCTCCAGCGGACCGATCGATGATGACGTTAGAGAATGCATGGGTGCTCATTCACGTAAAATTTGATCTATCGATAGTTGATTAAGAAATGGATTCAAAACTATACTCTATATCTTTTGTTGAGCTCCAAATTCTTTCTGCTACTTCTCTTCCGGACGCTGGGATCGTGTAACACTTGAGCTTTGACGCGTGGCGCAAGTGCGATCGTTCTCTGGAATAGGCATACAAAAAGGAGGAGCTGATATGCGAAAAAGAAACTAGGAAATGGCCAAAGGTAGCAAATACAGTGTTCTAAGGGTGCAAAATGGCAAGAGACAGGTCCTACACAATTCATCAATCAAAGTTGAGCTCTCTATGAAAAAAAAAAGTATGGAAGCAAACTGACCCTATTGTAGAATTCTTTGCTTCAAAACGGATCGTTGCCTCATAAAACGGCTTTAAAGTTGTTGCAGTTGATAGAGAATAAGGCATGGCATGGAAAGGAATAATTTTTGGTAGTCTAGCTCAAAGATAAACTTGGCTGAAGCATCTCCTGACATTTGCTTTATGTTTCTTGCTGGTAGGCAAGCCTCAACAGAACTCTATACTCAGCTACAAAAATAAGAACAATGAATCGGCTTTTGAGCAGGAAAAGGAACAGAACAGAAATCGACTAAAATTGGATGCATCGTCAACAACTCTGAGCGCAACCCAACGATAACGATCACTATGTGACAAACAACTTGAACTGGGGCTGATAAGATTACTTATTTTTTGGGCTCACTATCGATGCGGAATACCCTCAATGTGTATCTAAGAATACAATGGAGTAAAACAATAAGCGACAAGTCATTGTGGTGTTCTCTATTTTCTGGCGAATAATAGCTGTGAGCTTGGTTTGTAAATCCAATTAAATCTGTCAAATTCATGAATAGAGGGCATCGGCCTATTTGTGAGCGAGAAAAAAAAAAAAAAAAGGAGGAGGTGGGAGGGAGGGAGTGGTGGTGAGGTGTATACCATGATGTTAAAAAGTTAAACCTTTTCCATTCAGATTTCCCACCAATCAGACCCTCTCATAATACTTCTTGACAGGTACTATTATTGTGCAGTAAGCCAAGACAGCCATCTGTCTTTATTCATTGTTTTCTTTTCACCAACTGAATATAGGAAAGCGTATAAGTAGGCTAACCATTTTGCAGACCGATGAGGGACGATGGTAAGGTTTTGCCCTCTTCTACGAAAGGATACGTGTTGTCTACTCATCACCGATAAAGGATTGTCTTTCATGCAATTCACGGACCCTTTCATTGCTCCTCGTTCCCATCTCCTAATACAACTGCATTTTGAGTTACGAACAGGGACATACATTCGCGTTGAAAGAAAAAGATCGCCTGTTTTTCATGAGTGAGCAAACCGATATGCAATTAACTGAGGCTGTTTGTCAGTCATTGTTGTTTTTGTATGCTAGTATAAATAGGACGGGCTGAAAAAAAAATACATGGATTCATTTACTCCAAGACCTTCTTTTCTTTTCATCTCTCTTTTCTTATACCCTCTTGGAAAGATCCAACTTATTTTTTCTGTAATTCTCTTTTCATAGATAGCTTTCCAAAATACGATTCGGTCCAGCCATTCAAACATTATTATAAATAGACGAGCCTCCTCATCTACCTAATGAGAATGGAACAACACGAAGCATCCTCTCCAACACTTCCCCTCGAACCAGCTTGTACACTCATCTTTCTCACTTTTAATCTAGCATGCTTTATGTGGCAGGCATTGACAGCTGCCTCCATGTACAGAAAGTCACGAAAGCCTATTGTAGGCTTAGTTTGCGCTCAGGCCAATTTAGGCATCGCTGTTACCATTGTCAGTATCGTTACGTCGGTCAAAGAAATTGACTGTATGTTTGTATGTTTTTGCTTCCACTCCAACACTTGCACATTCAACTTGGCTGTCTCTCTGGGTCATGCTGACTTACTTTTTGTATTTTTTTTTTTTTTTTTTTTTTTTCATGAAAAAAAAATAGCGGTTATTGTTCTCGGTGCTGGGAGTCAATTTGGCAGACATGGCATTACAATTTGTATTGTTGTGGAAAGCTTTCTTGGGGAATAATCGATCCAAGGTGATCCTCATTCTAGGCTGTATACCCATCTGTTCGCTCGCCATCTTTATCATTATCAATTTTACATTTGGAAGATCAGCTACAAACTATGCTGGAGGGTTCTGCGCCACGGTTTATCGTAAAATAGAACGCACTACAGCTTGATGTATCTGTTTCTATTGGCATGCTAGAAGATACTGAATCGACTTTTTTTTTTTTTTTTTTTTTTTTTTTTTTCGTTGTTTCCTGTTTTAGCCACACATATTGTTATTGCGAAATCCATCATTGATTGTACGGCGAATTTATTCTTGTCGGGCTGTTTTATTTTTGTCATCTATCGACATTATCGTATCCTTGGTAATAGTATCCAAAAGACGTTGCTGAAAGAAGGATTGACTTATCTGTAAGTAGAATGATAACATGGCTTCTACTCGCTTGCTGTTCCCCCCTACCAGTAGAGCTAACGTGGTTGCTTATGGAACGGTTGTAGGTTTGGTGTATGTATATCGAATATTGTGACAGGCACCCTACTAGCGTGCCATATATTCCAGGGCAACACACCTATTTTGTATACGGCTGACTGTGAGTCATTCATCCAGATGAGAAACTGTTCTTGTAGTGTTCAAGAAAGAGGAAAGAACTCACAATGTCTTTTTCTTTTTTTTTTTTTTTTTTTTTTTTATATGTCATTTGAAGGGTGTCTTGCCTCTTATTTGATTGTTAAACAATTGCAACGCAAAAAGAGCGACGATGTTGAAAATGATGAGAGTACGAAATGCACAAAAGACGCGTCGCCTTCAAAAGGAGAAGAAGAAGAAGACGAAGAAGAAGAAGAAGATGAAGATGATGATGACGAAGACAGATATGATGATGAAGACAAAGATGTGTGTATGAAATATAGAGAAAACGGAACCTATAACGGTGATGATGATCTGGAAAAGAATAAGAGTCGACGAAAACGAAATTCAGAAGCTTACTATTCCAAGGGCAGTACGTTGGTGGCTGCATCACCTTCGACACTGACGACAAGATATTCAAGCACGGTAGATGAAGAAAAGCAAACTTACTATCATTATCCACACCTACCTGATAGCATAACAATAAGCATGAAACAGTGATGACGCTATTTTCTGTTTGTTTCATCTTATCTATTCTAATTTAAGGTTATCAGATTGATTCTGGTAACAAACAACTCTATTCTTTTCAGATAGCCTACATTAAAATAACCTAATGCCAGTAGTCATCTTTGAGCTTTTGTTTCATTGAAAGCAGTGCCATTTTGTTTTAAAGAAGCCCTTTATTTCGTATTGTCTATGGTTGGTTAAAAAAAAAAAAAAAAAAAAGGTACACCTTTTTCTATCATGTTTGGAAAAAAAAGAAAACGCGGGGAATATTTTTTTATTCTCCAATCATTGGCTGAGAAATTTGAGTAAAACACTTTAGATAACAGGGAAAAAAAAAAAGAAAAAAAGATAAAAACAAATGCACAACAGCCAACGGCACCCCTAGTGAAGCTACTTTGTCTTTTGCCTTTTTTTTTTTTTTTGGGAGGGGTCTGATTAGACTCTTTTTTTTTCGGTTTTATTTTTGTTCACTTGTCAGTTCATTGGAAGAGAAAACGATGCATCATCCTGAAGAAGAAGAAGATTATGACTATGAATCGCTGGGAAACGACACGACCATGTTACAGAATGCGTTTGCGGGTGCATTAGCTGGTATTGCTGAACATTGTGCCATGTACCCCGTTGACAGTATCAAGGTAGGAGGAGAGACGGTGGGATTCATTGTATGACTTTTATATTCAAGCTCTTCCTTTTTCTGGGGGTGGGGGGGTGGGTAGACTCGTATGCAAGTGATTTCATCTACAGCTACAGCGACGCATCCAGCAAAGAGAGTGTCAACAGCGTTCGAAAATGCACCAGCACCCTGCAGTACGAGAGCTGGGACAACAGCCACGGCCACAGCGAGCAGCATGGGACGAGCTACTTACTTGAGGCATTTATGGAAAGGAGTCAATTCTGTTGTTTTGGGGGCAGGACCAGCACATGCGTTACATTTCGCTACTTATGAGTTTTGTAAAGAGCAGTTCGTAAAGAGCCCGTCTTTCTTCCGTCAGCATGAGAGGAACCCTCATGACACGAAGCATCATCCGTTGGCGTTTGCAGCAGCAGGTGCTTGTGCCACTTTAGCCCACGATTCGTTGATGAATCCATTTGATGTCGTCAAACAGCGTATGCAACTTCAGGGATCCACTTATACAACGATTTTTGATTGTGCGAGGAAAGTCTATGCGAGAGAAGGGTTTATTGCGTTTTACATCTCTTTACCTACCACTTTGGTGATGTCTATCCCATTCCAGTCGATACAATTTGCCACCTATGAGTTTTTTCGAAAAACATTGCTCCATTATCGTGCTTCTACCACCACCACCACTGCCCATGGCGATGAGGATCACGAGCCACGCAGCAGCACAACACAGAGTCATCGTAGTACCGGTGGGGGTCGTGCCGTAAATAGCCATTATGACCCCCAATCACATATTCTTGCGGGTGCATTAGCAGGTGCGGTGGCCTCTTCGGTGACGACGCCACTGGATGTGGTGAAAACATTATTACAAACGAGAGGGACCAGTACCGATCCGGTGGTACGTAACGCCAATGGATTTGTAGATGGGGCAAAGATTATTTTCAGTCGCTATGGCCTCAGGGGCTTCTTTAGAGGATACAAACCACGTGTGTTGACACATATGCCAAGTGCAGCTATCAGTTGGAGTGTCTATGAATATATCAAATGGATGATCAATACCCAAAATAACCAACACTTACACCAGAAAGACGAGAATTTTGTATCTCTGTAAACATGAGGGCTTTTATTTGTCTCCAAAAAAAAAAAAAAGAAAATAATGGGCCAATCGCCTCTCTTTGATTTACTTGTATTATAACACCCCTCTCTCTATTTACTTTTTTTTTATTTTTTTTTTTTTTTACTACTCATTTATTTATTTTATTTTTCTTTTTTCTCATCACTGACAGTATTCGACGTCATCCACTATAGCATGTGTGTGTTTGTGTATATATACATAGATAGATGTGTGTGAGTGAGAAAAGTATAAAGATATCCATCCACGCTTTTTTTCCCCTCATTCCCATTGAGTATGCAGGTTTACCTTGTAGACACTGGAAAAGTCCAGAGTAGCAAAGTCTTTGTCGGTGGCCAAGCGTTGATAGAGATCGGCCGCTTGAGAACCCAAGAAGGGGCGATGGTTGTCTTGACCCAAGGCATGGTGAGCAGCCTTCATGGCCAAGGACAGATCTTTGGCCATGAGCGTATTACTGAAGCCGCCTTGGTAATCTCTTGAAGCAGGCGCTGTCGAGACGACGCCCGGATAGGGATTATTGATTTCGGAACTCCAGCATCGACCTGTGGAGGCGTTGATGACGGAGGCCAACAAGGCGGCGTCCATCCCCAGCTGCGTGCCCAAACGCATGGCTTCGGACACGCCGATCATATGGATGGCCAGCAGCATATTGTTGCAAATTTTCGCGACTTGGCCTGCACCGTTCGCACCACAGTAGATGGCTCGGCTGCCCATGAGTTGCAAGACGGGCTGTATGGATTGGAAATCGTCTTCCGAAGGAGCGCCGACCATGAAGGTGAGGGAGCCTTTGTCGGCACCGACGATGCCGCCGCTGACCGGAGCGTCGAATGCTTTGGCACCGCGAGCGCCTGGGTAGCGATCATGCACCTTTTTAGCAAGAGCACGGGCCACCGACGTATCAATGGTACTCGAGTCAATCCAACGCGTGTGTTCATCGAGGTAGAGTTGATCGTAGATGGCTTCCACGTGTCTGGATTCAGGAAGCATCGTGAGAAGGGTAGACGCTTTCTCGCTGAGCTCTGTCGGGTCACGCGCCGGTAGGAGTTGAGGATAGGCTTTTGTAGCACGCGCGACCACGGCTTCATTGATATCGTAAATGTAGACGGGGGCTGTGCTTTTCAAGGCGAGGTTTTTAGCCATACCAAAGCCCTTTTTTTCAAGAGGGTGCGTTAAGGATCAAACAGACGGTGTTTAGTATAGACCCTCGTTTGATAGGGGGGGGGGAGGTTCGTGTGTACTCTTTTACCATTTGTCCTAAACCAATCAAACCGATCGATTCTTTCCGTTTCTGTTGTTGTTGTAAAAAGTTTTACTTTAGTGAATAGAGTTACTTTCTATGCCTAGGTTATCTATCAAGGGGCTTACATCTATCCACATAAAAAATGAGTCCAGAATAAAAGCGTTGTTCTTTTTTAAAAAAAAATTACCTGTGCTTAAACGACGGATGTTTTGCTTGATTTGACTTTGACGTATAGCCTTCGTCACTGCTAAAACACGTTGACTGAGAGCTGACAACATGATTTTTTTTTTTTAAAAAAAAAGGACAAAAAAGAAAAAAAAAAAATAAATAAAAAATAAAAAAAAAGGTGTCTTTCTCTCCTTTTTTGCATTTTTCTCACGCATTTTTTTTTCCCAACTGTACCCATCATGGCACGAAGAAAAAGCGCTTCCAGTACAGATTCAAGTATATCAGATACAGAGAGAATGTTGTCAAAAAAGCTGACGTCTTACTTTCACCCTCATCCAACGACTGCTATGTCGATAGGTTCTTCTTCTTCTTCTTCCTCTCCCGATCATGAACAGTTACCAGAGGTAAATGCTGCATAAACATGTTGAGAGGAGTCTATGTGTAACATGCTGAATGTTTGGCATAGGAAACGGAAGAACGCATGAAGAGAATGAAGAAGGAACCTATCCATCTGGTGTCGTCCGATATGAAGGAACATTATAAAGAACATGAATTTGCAGGTACTTATTTGTATAAAGCATTGACTAAAGCGGCAGTTGACTCAACTCGATTCTATGTATGTGTGTGTGTGTGTGTGTGTGTGTGTGGGGTGTGTGTGTCATAAAGTGAGAGGAAGCAGGGGAAAGGTAAGGCTATTTTGACGCCATATGACAACAGTAAAAAAAAAAAAAAGCACCGTCTTTTTCTGACCACCCACACGTCGTCTTTCAAGACATATAATGTCACTATTGGACCCAAATTGAATTGCACTTGTCGTGATCATAATGTGAGAGGCACTCATTGTAAACATATTCTGTACGCACTGAAAGAAGAAATGGGCGTCAAGAATGAGGATTCGCCTTTGTACGAAACATTAACACCCTCTGATAAGGTAAAAAGATGTGCTTGCTGCTAGCTATCATGATAAGCGAAACAAGAGCTGATATCCTATGTCATGCGTAGGAGTTGAAAGAAGCGTTTAAGCATTATCATCCAAAGAACTGAACATGCTTTCTTGTGTTGGATACTACTGTAACTGCATCACTATGTATATTATCTCGACTCTTCGCTTTTTGATAAATAAAGAGGATCTTGCATGAACTATAGCGGAGTCTTAAAAAGAGGGGTATCGCTTTTTTTTTTTGGCTTTGTTAAAAAAGTAAAAAGCTTTCACACTTTTATGTCATGGCGCCTAAAGAATTGACCCCAAAACAGTTATCCAGTGGTTTATCGTACGTCCATAAAGAAGCACCTTTCTTGGCTCGTCTGAAAAGTAAAGCGACAGAGGCAAAAAACAACAAACCGACATTTGAAGATTACATTGACGGTCAGGACGATGAAGACATTGATGAATTAGAAGGAGCCCAAATCGTGACGTTAGACAAGTACGGCAAAGGTAAAGAAGAGAGAAAGAGAGAGAGAGAGAAGCGAAAGAAAAGTGTGGTTTTGTATGTAACGATGAATGTGGCATCACGTATGGTCCATAGAAATACACAAGGATGACGGTGACAAGAGCAGCGATGAAGAGAATGAAAAAGACTCGGAAACAAACAAACAAACAGAACAAGAGCGACCACCGCCGGTAGATGAAAATGGCCGTCTGCTATTTCGGCCCACCACAAAGAAGACCTCTAGTAAACGGAAACTGCAGTCCATCATTGATGAAGAGGTCAAAAAATCAGCATCCTCCAAAAAGGACGGTCACAGTGAGAAAGAGCAGCATGTCACAAAAAAGAACAAAAAGCCAAAAAAGAAGAATGCAAGCACATCGTTATTATCCTTCCAAGACGAAGATTAAGATTCACTGTTTTGTCTCAATAAAAATGAATTCTTTGTCCTGAAAATCAAAAATGACATTCAACTATCGCGTGAAAGAAAAAAAATGTTTGATTGTCTTTTTTAAGCTTCTTGACATATCAACCAATCAAAAAACGTCTTTGCAAATCAACCAGAAAAGAAAAAAGGAAAATCTATGCCAAATAAGGCAAAATGCATTTTGGGAACAAATAAAAAGTAATGATCCTCTATTCCCATTTTTTCTTTCTTTCTTTCTTTCTTTCTTTATTCATTCATTCTCCCCCATTTTGATCACAACGACATTATAAAGACCTGTCCTCTACTCCTTACTTTTTTCTTTAAAAAAGGAGATAGGAACATGCTTATACCCTCTACACCAGAGCCATGTTATCAACCTCATAAACTATTACAAACAAAGACTTTATCTGATCCTTCCTTACGAAGAATAACATCTGTGCCCGATGTCAACCATGAGAAAGCCTATCCCATAGGTTACAGAAACAGTGTCAGTAGCCATAGTAGCAGTAGTAGTAGCAGTGCCGACAGTATGACTACAGCTACTTCCACGTCTGCTCATGGCAGCTTTCCTCGAGACATCCATCCACTCAATACACGTCTGACATCTACTACGCGGTTAGCGTTGTCCACCTCATCGCTACCGTCTGACATAACATCAACAGCGACCGTGCCACTCGTAAAGACAGTGGGCCAGCAACAACGACGTCGACCCTCTTTGAAAAAATCCTATTCAGTCACCCAAAAGGAAATTCAAGTGGGTCCAAGTGATTTTGAAAAAGTGCGATTATTAGGCAAAGGCGATGTGGGTAAAGTGTATTTGGTCAAGCATCAAAGCACGGAACAACTGTATGCCATGAAAGGTAAAGGGGGAAAGAAAAAAAAAAAAGCCTACCATTGCGCCTATCGCCGTATTTTTACAAAAACATGTGTTTACTTTTTTGTCAAATAAGTTTTGTCTAAAACAGAAATGATCAAGCGAAACAAGATCAAACGGGTGTTGGCAGAACAAACGATCCTCTCTACTGCTAATCATCCGTTCATTGTGCCTTTATACCATGCCTTTCAAAGCGACCATTACATTTATTTTTGCATGGAATTCTGTGTCGGTGGTGAATTCTTTAGAGGTAATGATAGCAAAATGGGGGGGGGGTTCCATGTCTCCCTTTTTTTGGTTCGTGGTGGCTGCTAAAAAACTAACCTGCCATGGATAAACCCACCCTTCTCAGCTTTGCAACACAGACCTGGAAAAGTGTTGTTGGAGAAGGAAGCCAAATTCTATGCAGCAGAAGTTGTGGCCGCCTTGGAATACCTTCATCTCATGGGCATTGTATTCAGAGATTTAAAGCCTGAAAGTAAAATAGATCATTGTGCCCTGCACACACCTTTTCTGAACCCCGTCGTCCATAGACATACACTGATCTTGTGTTTTACTCCTCCTCGTTAGATCTACTGTTACATGCATCGGGTCATTTGATGCTGTCTGATTTTGACTTGTCGATACAGTCACCCTCGGCAGCGCCACCAAGATTCGTGCAAAACAGTTACCTATTTTCGGTAAGGAAAAAAAAGGAAAAAAAAAAAAGAGAAAAGACAAATGAGGTACAGCAGACCCCCCACTTATATTATTCTTCCGCGAATATAGAAACCCCTGGTGGATACAAGATCTTGTTCCAATTTAAGAACAAATTCCTTTGTAGGCACCGAAGGTAATTAGAAGCAAAAAAAAGAAAGAAAGAATAAAAAAAGTGCCATCACACATCTCATGGAGGTTGGACGTAGAGTATTTGGCGCCTGAAATCATCCAAGGCAACGGTCACACAAGTACGGTCGATTGGTGGACACTTGGCATTTTGGTGTACGAAATGATCGTAAGCGTCTACTCTCTTCTCATTCTTTACGATGCGATGAACGAACCCAAGCTATCTTTTTTTTTTATTAGTGCGGCTATACCCCCTTCAAAGGTGCAACGCGAGACGACACTTTTGAACAGATATTACACGATCCTGTGGATTTCCCAGACTACTCACACAGCCCGTGTTACCGCGGACCCAGCCTATCGAGTGCCTGTAAATCACTGATACGAAAACTGTTGATCAAAGATGAAAAGAAAAGATTAGGAGCACGCGCAGGCGCGAGTGAAGTCAAATCACATCCCTTTTTCAATTCCATCAACTTTGCGTTATTGAGAAATATGAAGCCACCCATCCAACCCAACACGCATCATCCTCTACGTGCTGTGCATTTTCATTCGTTAAAGGAAAGCGTCAGTTTTGATTTGTCGGCTGATCCTACCACGGTGAAAAAGAAGGTAGCTAAAGGAGAAGAAGAAACAGAAGCAGGAGCCCTTCTCTTCGAGGATCAAGACCCGTTTATTTCATTCCATTCAGGTAACTTTGATCTGCCTTTTGCATTCTTGTCCCCCAACAAAGTGTCCGGCCCCACTCACTCTTTCACCATCTCTCTGTAGTGACCATCCATCGATAACAATCCTTCCATTTGTCAATTCAACGCAACGCCGACATGCATGGGGCATTCACTTGACTCCACCGGCTCCCCGTTTTCCAAAAGCGCGGTTTTTTTTACGAAAAATAGTGTAGTAGATGGGGTTGTCTCCAACCAGTCTAAAGCTTGTTGGTTTTTTTTTTTTTTTTTTTTTTTTTTTTTTTTTTGTGATCAGATCAAAAAAAAGAAAAACGTAAAAAGAAAAGCTTGGTGGGTAAATTGAGCCAATAAAAGAACCAGATGATTTCATTACATCACTCGGACTTTATCATTTTTTGTGCCTCATTCATATAGAAACCTTTTTTTTCTGAGTTGTTGAAAAAAAAAAAAAAAAAACCTCTCTTCTTTTCTTATTTCAATTTCCCAATCTATTCCCCTTGTTGTATCCAACAAACAACCTCCTTTTTTCTATTCGAGTAAAAGATGACATCAGCCACTTCTGAAAAGGATAAAGTGAAATTATCTCAAGTGGATTCAAGCAATCCTAGTGAGACACCTGTGGTTGTAGGCCATTTTTCTATGGTTCGGTGAGTAGTTCGTCGTTTGCATAGAGGGCCCCATCGTCCGTTTGTTCTCCTCCAAACTCACGTCAAAAAAAAAATAAAAATAAACATAGCAACTTTTATCTGGCGGATATCATTACATTGATGAACGGTGTTTGTGGCATCCAATCTGTCCTGTTCTCCATGCGTTACTTGACAACCCATAACGAAAGGGATTTATGGACGTCCATGTACTTTATGCCTTTTGGTATGTTTTTTGATTTCATGGATGGTCGAGTCGCTCGTTGGAGAAACAATTCCTCTCTACTTGGTCAAGAATTGGACAGTTTGGCAGATCTCGTGAGTAGTGTTGCTGTTTTGAGGGGTGAAGGGACAGGGACGAGGTGTGGTGGGGCGACAGAGGGATACGGGATGCTAATGAGGATGAACTCCCGCTTTAGATTTCGTTTGGTGTAGCTCCAGCTGCTTTAGCTTATGCAGGTAAAAGAAATAAAATAGAAAAAAAGGGGGGGGGTCTTGTGATAAGGGAAAAAACCAACCGTCTCATCATGCTCTTGTGTGGCTTTCTTATTAGTGGGTATGCGTACCGTGTTGGATACATTTGCATTGACTTATTTCGTCTGTTGTGGTATCGCTCGTTTGGCACGGTACAATGCCACGGTCGCTCTCGCTCCCAAAGATGCCACTGGCAAAGTCCATTATTTTGAAGGCACACCTATACCCACTTCGTTAGCCTTGGTCGGTATCATTGCTTACTACGTATGCCACGGTCAAATTCTAGACGCTTTGCCAGGACAGTTGATCAAAATCACCACGGATTGGGACCTGCATCCTTTTGTCTTGTTGTACGTCTTGAGCGGTACTTTGATGATTTCCAAGACATTACATATTCCAAAGCCTTGAAAAAAAACAAAAAAACAAAAACGGATTCTCCCAAAACTATTTATTTTCGCTTACTTGATATAAAAAAGTGTCCCATGGCCATCCACACAAGTGTCTTTAGGGTGCAGAAAGAGATGTGGGGTAAAAAAAAAAAAAAAAGAGGGCCAATAAAGCTTCTTTCATAGATTAGGATTGTCTTCTAAATGGAACATGTTTTTCCCTTTTTTTTTTAATTTTAATTTTGTGAAAAAAGGTGTGAATAAAATTGCGAGTGAATGAACTAGAAGAAATAGAACAATTTACATTAATTAAAAGAGATTATACATATATTATACATTAATATATATATGTATAAAAAAAGAAAAACATTTTTTTGGAAAAAAAAAAAAAGAAAAAAAATTCAAATGAGAGAGAGAGAGAAGTCTAGAAAGGAATAACGTACGTACAAGTACATGTATGCGTGTGTGTGTGTGTGTGTATGTCTGTATGTGTGTATGTGAGAGAGGTGTGGATAAGCATTTGGTATTTCTCTGATAAGTTTCTTTTTCTTTTCTTATTTTTTTTTTTTTTCTTTTTTTTTTGGGGGGACAGTGTTTATTGCTGAGCACATTGTACACCTGGTCCAGCGTGGTGTTCTTCTTCATCTTCATAACCATCATGGCCGTGAGCTCGAGAGCTGGATTGATAACCATCCGCATCGGCCATCACGACGTCTTCTACATGCTTGCTGCCAAAAGATGGAACGGCAGGACGAGGAGGTAGAATGGCTTCAAGAGCAGCGATCTTTTCAGGTGAGGTCCAGTTGGGTTCAGGGAAATCAACCGAGAATTTGACAAAGAGATGTCCCTTGACTTGTGTACGGTAGGCGGGCATACCTTCGTGGGGAATCACCTTGAGTTGGTCAGGTTTGATGGCTTCACCAGGTAAGATGTTGACCATAAGGACACGATCATCAAGATGGGGTATAGCAAACTTACCGCCAGCGAGAGCGGTCAAAAGGTCAATCTTGGCTTCGTAGATCAAATCATCACCTTGACGCTTAAAGTGAGGATGAGGCTTTTCATCAATGACAATGATGATGTCGCCGGGAATGATGTTGGGCGCTTGATCGCCTTCACCACTGAATGTGATCTTTTGTCCATCACGCATACCCTTATCAATGTGCACTTCGAGAATCTTCTTTTCTCCCACCACCTTCTTACCATGACAGTGCTTGCAGCGATCCTTTTCATCAATGACTTCACCTGTGGCTTGACAATCACCACAAGGTTGTTGCATTTGTTGTACCATAGGTCCCATTTGACGAGTAATGATGCGGATACCTTGACCACCACATGTTCTACATTTGCGGACAGAGCCTTCTTTACCACCTCTGCCTTCACACTTGGGACAAAGGATGTGCTTTTGAAGAGCGAGCTTACTGGTCTTACCATTGTAGAGATCTTCGAGACTGACCTTTAAAGCGTGCACCATGTCCTTTCCACGACGAGGACCGGAAGGACCTCTACGTCCTCCACCAAATCCTCCACCAAACAGTTGAGAAAAGAGATCTTCCGCATCCATACCTCCCATACCGGGACCTCCATTCAATCCTTCTTCACCATAACTATCATATAATTGACGTTTCTCGGCATCAGAAAGCACCTCATAAGCATGAGAGATCTCTTTGAACTTGTCGCCAGCATCTGGATTCTATTTTCAACAAGATGGAAAAAAAAAGACACATGAGTAACAAACATCAAAAAACAAAACAAGGACTCGTCATATTGCTTGGGGGGTATGGGGGTTTCACTTTTTGGCTGCATCCCTCATCATCTGTTCATCCATTTTTTTTTTTTTTTTTTTTTATTTCAACTACTACTGTACCTTATCAGGGTGATACTTTAAAGCTAATTTTCTGTAAGCTTTCTTGAGTTCATTTTCTGAAGCATCAGGACTGACACCCAAAACGTCATAAAGCTTTGTTTCCTTGACCATCTTTCTTTTAATAGTTAGTTATGTATGGACGAAAAGCACAAAAAAAGATGAAAAAAAGAACGAGATGAAAAATAAAAAAAGGGGGACTCTCTTTTTTTTTTTTTTTTTGTTGTTTTTCTCTATTACTGGTCTGATTTGAACTCGTCCTTTTAAAAAAATTAAGCCTTTTCATCGGGTATAGAAAAAATTTCTTTCCACAACTTTCTTGATCTTTCTCCTCCATTTTGATTGGATAAACAAACGTTCCTTTCATCAATTTGGCTTTGAGAAACCCTATTCATAAGCCAAATTTATCTGCTTTTCGCTTTTTCTCCAACCAGATGAAAAGATCAGCTTGCAGTGAACACATCCAGTACGCTACTCCCCATGGCCTATCAAAGTGAATCGTTTCAGTCCGTTCAAAAGCTGTCGAATCGATGTACAGAAAGCCCATCTGCCGACATACAAAGAGCTCTCTCCTATTTTACAAACAATGAATTCATCAAAGACCCCTTATGGCTCAATAGACTAAAATAAGCGTCACAAAAGATGTCTATTCACGCCAGTCTTGTTGCTCTCTTACTATTTGGGCATCGCTTTGGCCCTCCCCCCCCCTTCCCTTCCCTCCACCCCCCCACCATCTTGATCAAAAAAAAGAAATATTCTGGAAGCGCTCTAAAAAGGGGGAGGGCTGCTTTGGGACATCAGTTAGGCGGTGATGATCGGCGAATGACTCGGAGAACGAAGCCATTCATTGCTCGTTGCTGCTGGAGAGGGATGGGATTGTCTGAAGATCTTTTTTACTTGAGTCAATGGTTTGTTTCATGAACGAAAAACCCCTCATTTGTTTTTTCTTTCAACTCCTCCCACTGAATCTGTAGACGGTTTCGCTACAAAAAACTGCATTACCTACCCAAACGCTTTGAGAAAAAAAAAAAAACAATAAAAAAGAGAAACAGTCATTTCAACAGCTTTTACAAAAAAAAAAAAAAAAAAAAAAAAAAAAAACGGCACTAAATTTCCCGGAAAAATAATCTCTCTTTTGGTTGGGCGGATGATGAAAGCCGGTTTTGTCAGCCATCAAAAAAGCCAAGGACAATTTATGACTAATCAAACGCAATAAAGAAGCACGACAACCCGTCTATAGAAAAGTAGAGGATATCCCTATGCGTTATAAAGCCCTACTAGGTATTCCATACTATTTATCAGATCAGGAACACGAGAAACTCTTTTTCAAAGAGTGGGAACATGGGCGGAGCTATTTTGTTTCTGCGTAAAAAAAAAAAAAAAAAAAAAAATGAAAAAGAAATGACGCTATTTCCTGAAGCGGATCAAAGGCAGTGAGTGGATGAACTGTGTGATCCTAAGGATGGGATAGACGATGTGTCCCGATCACCAAGCTAAGGGAAGGGTGATAGAAGAAGGACGAACAACAACCATCTCCCTTCTTTTTGAGTGACGTTCTTCACGAGAATGGAACGCAAAAGGGATCGCCCTACTGTAGTATTGCCCAAATTTTGTTCAATAAGATGCCCAATGGAAGAAAGAAGGTCTATGCCAAAAGTTTGAATACAATGTTTGCCAATTCATCGGAAATATAAACTCGTGAAAAAATTGGAAAAAAAAAAGAGAGACCAATCTTCCTAAGACAATTTGCACAGGCGAGACATATTATCTTTCTCACCATCCTCTGCATAGTATGTTTTCCCTTGCTGCAGTAGGAAGCTCCGATGTAAAAGCACAAAAGAGTTATCTATTACCAATGATACCATGTCGTAACATGGACCCTCGGATCCAAATCTCAAATGACGTTCAATGGCACAAAGAAAAGGCCGCCTTGTACTCCAATGTATTCGAGTAAGGTTGGACAGTATTGGTATGACTGTCATGCGGAAAAAAAAAAAAAAAAAAAAAGAAAAAAAAAAAAAAGTCAATGCTTTTTTCATGGTGAAATAGAACAAAAAGTGAAAGTTTTGCTGCGGGTTCACGTCCATTTTTTTTCTTGGACAAAAAGGACGACGACCTTTTGACTTGCTTTCCTCTTTTTTTTTTTTTTTTTTTTTTTTTTTTTTTCTTTTTCACCACGACACGCGAGGTGACGTCGCCTGAAGTGAGGCCAAAAAAAAAAAAATAGTCTTACACTGAGCCAATAGATTCAGCAATAGATTTATGACACCTTCGTGGGGGTGATCGGCTCTCTTTATGAGCTAACTAAAGATAGCTACAAAGACATACTACATCTCTGTAAAAGATGTTACAATTATCTACTTGCCTACTTGGCGTTCATCCCAGCATGGCTCTTCCATCCAAGTAAGTCAAAAAGAGCACTGTTGTATTGGACAAAAAAAAATAAAAAAAATAAAAAAACTTTTTTTTTTTTTTTGTTTGGTCTTATTCAGACGGAAAAAGTGAAAAGCTGGTGTATGATTGGATATGTCGCTTAAAGCCCTTTTTTCTGCCTTTCAAAGAAAGTCAATCCCTAAACACACAAAAGGTGTTTACACTCATTTGCGCACTTTGGAGTGTGGCTCTGCTTATTTCTTATTTACTATGTTTCTAATAACCGAAAAAAGCTTTCTATATTTTTTTTAGCTTTTTATTTTTTTTTTTTTGTTTTTTTCATTCCTTTTTTTTTTTTTTTCCTTTCGCATGTTTTCAATTTTTTAACTTTTTATTATTTTTTTTCCCTGGCTTTATTTGACTCTCCTTTTTTCTCGCTTTGGTTACACTCTTTTTTTCTACATACGATTCAGTCTTTTTTTTTTTTTTTTTTTTTTTTTCTCTCCCTCTCTTTTTCTACCCAGTACAGCTTTTTTTGACAAAGGAAAGACTGCAAAAAAAAAGAAAACTCATTAATACACGCGCGCGATTTTATTTCAAAAGGATAAAAAAGATATCAGTCAATTCGACTCACAGTTTGAATATCTATTTTGATACGACCACCCGAAATCTTTTACATCCATTTCATATAACCCAGCCTGTTATCCTACCAACTCGTCATTTACTGCAATACTGTATTACGACTTATTACTACTACCACTACCACTTACTATAATATCACATATATACAACTTATTCATTATTATAGATGGCTGCGCTGTCATTTAGCTACGCACCACCAGTATCGGGTCAATATACCCAACATCTGAAAGAGGATGAAAATACTATCTTGTCTAAATTACAAGAAACATGCCAAACGATCATGACGTCCAACAACTGTCAAATATCAGTGGCAGCAACAAATCACAACAATAATTTCATCAACATCAGCCATACGAGCAGCAACAGTACCAGCAACAGTACCAGCAATCATCTTGAATTCAATGTGACTCTCACGGGTACAGCGGAGGCCATCATGGCCGCGCGCGGTGACCTGTTGCAGAAATGCCCGCTAGAGGTTAGATTCTTTTTTTTTTATATCCATTGAAAGCCCATGGCTGTCCCCTCTCCTTTCACTTGGAGGGGGCCTAGATGAGGCCAAAAGAAAAAAAAAAAAAAAAAAAAACCCCCAAGAAAACTAACCGATTTGTCACTTTTTCTCTTTTTTTATTCCAACTTATATATAACTATACGCACTGTTCCTTGCTCACAAATCAACTTTAACAACAAATAACGAATGTAATCTTTTTTGACCCACATTCTGCGATTCAACTGTACTGTTTTTGTTCGATTAGATCTCGTTGTCATTTCAAATTCAACCCACCTCTCAATTACCAGAATTAACGGATCATTTCAAAAAACTCGAAAAAGAATTCAACACGAAAATCATTGTCACTCCAGAAAAAGTAGACGTCTCTTCGCTCATATTAGACAATGCAGTTCACATTGAAATCATTGGCACTCCCATTCAAGTGGAGCAATGTCGCGTGCGTGTTCTCGTGGTATTGGACGAAGTATTGGTAAGTTTTTTTTTTTTTTTTTTTCCCTCTTTCCCTTTTTCTCTCTTTTGTCATTTTGGAACCAGAAAAAAAAAACCCTTTTTTTTTAAACTTCCGAAAGGAAAATCTTGTTCCGGTTATTGTTGTTGTTGTTGGACTTTACGTAATAACACACTTTTGCTTGTCATTTTTTTTTTTTTCATTTTAGAACTCTTTTAAAACTGAAATTGTTCGATTACCTTTGAAATTACAATATTTGATTTGTGGAAGGAAAAGAGCAGGATTACTACCTATCATTGAAGAGACATCCACCAACATTTACTTTCCTTCGCCCTTTACAAACACCATTCAGCATCCGACAAAAAATGCCAAAGAAACAAAAGTCGATCAAAATAATGTTACTGAAGCGGTAGAGGACGACGATCAAGATGAGACTCAGCCTCCCATTTATATTACCGGTGAACACAGTCATGTGTCTCGTGTAAAAGATATGCTCAATAAGCTCGCTGTTCAAAAAGTAAGTAAAAAAAAAAAAAAAGCGATCCACCACAGCCCACAAAAAGTCCTCCTATTGAACCGAATGCTGCTATTTTTTTATTTTATTTTTGACAGGCAAAATCAATGTATCACAAGGACACTGCAATTTATGCAAGGAAACTAGATTGGCTTTTGTTACATCGTCGCGATGAATTACGTAAAATCATGCATGACAATGGTAAAATAGTTCCGTCCCTTTTTTTTTTTTTTCAGTTTTTTGAAAAAAGAACGTTTTTCATTTGTTGACCCTCTTTGTTCTTCTCCCCTTAGGCGCTTATATCGAATTTCCTCCCGTTGGATCCGGCGAAAATCGTGTTACTGTCTTTGCTGAGAATCGCGTGAATGCTGAGCGTACTTTGAGAGCTCTTAATTTTCAAGCGTGCAACATTTACGAAGCTTGTTTCTACTTTAATAACCGTGATGGCGCTGTGTATGATCCTGCTACCGGCGCCCACACATTTTTTGACTCCACCATGAATCTTTCCAGTCTCGTATCTCAGCTTTCTCAGGTATCTGGTTCTGAAGTGATTTACAAGACCGATCCCGGCTATATTGAAGTTCTAGGCGCTGAACGAGCGATTCGAAACGTCTACCAGCGACTCCAAGAGATGCAATTTCTACAGGTGTTCCATCAGTACACCCTTTTTCGCGTGGAATCTGCGAATGAACAGCGTGACTTTATTTCGGGTAAAAAGAACGGAAAAATCAACAAGATCATGAAGACCTCCGGTGCCAAAATCCGCTTCATGCCCTACATGAACGATTACAACTTTGTGATCGAAGTAGAAAGCACCAGCTTCACCAAGGCGTTGGATGGCCTTACTTTGCTGCAAGAGGAGCTTCCCGCCGAAATCTCCTTCTACGTACCCGAGTCTTATCATAAGCGCATCATTGGTGTCGGCGGGAAAAACATTCAGCGCATCATGAAAAAGTACGGTGTTTATGTCAAATTTTCAAACACAGAAGAATTTGCCTCTCTGGGTGGTTACTATAACAATGAAGACAACGTCGTGGCTCGCACGCCTATGAAGAACCAAATCAATCTCGATAACCTGCGCCATGCGGTCATGGAGCTCATTCATCCCAAGGACCGCGATTACGTGATCGAAACCGTACCCATCCCCTTCCGATGGCATCGCGAGATGATTCATCAGTATCAAAACAGTTTCATCAATGAAGAGCTGGTCAAGAAAACCAACACCACCGTCTTGTGGCCTGACGCCGAGCTCGCGACGAACGATGCTGAACTGCTGGGCCCTGAAGCGCATATGCCCCTCGCCTTCAAAATGCTCGAATCGATCCTTCCGGAAAGCTACTTGTTGCATTTGCCTTACAGCCAGTGTTTCATGGACTTGATTCAGACCGATCTTTTCCAAGACACCCTGGTCCACCCCTTGCGCCAAGACTTGGACGTCCACGTCGAGGCAGGCGCTACGGCAGACAAGAAGGCCGCCTTTGTTCGCCTCGACACGACGCGTGATAAGATCCTCACCACGTTGCGGGATGCATTGCAAACGGTCATTGACTTTTTGAAGGAGCAGCAGGTAGAAATGTACGAGGATACATCCGCAGATAGTTTATTTAGTGTGGTCGAAAAGAAGCTCTCCCTCTCGGCTAAAAAAAGCAATCGGCTCAATTCAGTTGCAGCAGCAGCAGCAGCAGCAGCAGCAGCAGCAGCAGCAGGAGCAACAACAACAACAACAGCTTCCGCTTTTTTTGATACACCAAGCTCACTCACCTCTGCGTTTTTGAAAACGCACCCGCAACCTATTTTGGGTAGCCCCACAGGCGCTTCTACCCTCTCCATGATGCGGTCAGTGAACGATGTCATCTATACTTCTCCACCCAACCATGCCTATAACCCTCAATTTACCTATCCTACTCAAACACCCCCACCTTCATATCAATTCTTTAATTTCCCACATCAAGATACAGCAGCAGCAGCAGCAGCAGCAACGACTTCTACTTCTTCTACGACGACGACGAATACTCCTTCTACGAATACGACTGCCAATACAGCATTGAACCCTCTTGATAACAGTGCCTGGACGCCACTCAATCCATCGCCCTCCTCTACGACGCCGCTTCATCCTCCTCCTCCTCACCACCACCACCCCCACCACCCACATCATCCACATCATCCACATCATTCACATCATCCGTCCTCGTTGCCTTCAACGTCTGCCTCTGCTCAAACCATGGGAAGCAATCATGTTGGCGGTGCCGGCACAGCTGACAAAGCGAAAAGCAACCATATTCGTGCTATTTTTGATGCACCTATGGATTTGACAGACCAAGAGCGTGCTATCTTGTCCAACTACCGTTATCAAAGAATGGGAATGCCTCCTCCTCCGCCACCGACGAACTTTGGCTTTCTCCAAACCGTCGTGCCAGGTGCTGCTCCTTCCGCAGCTGATATTTGGTCCACCACACCTTCGCAAATTTCCGCTACGGCAGGGGCTGCCGCCGCCGCGGCCGCCCGACGATCCAACACCACAGCCAATAGTTCAGCCGCTTCCAGTAGCAACAACAACAACAACAACAACAACAACAACAACAGCAACAACAACAACACCCATCACAACAAGAACAACCACACGACCACCGACTTTAACCCCTATCATGACACCCTCACCAGTCCCTCCTCGACCACTGGATCATTGAAAAATAGTCAGTCCATGCCTGAACCCATTCTAGAAGCGCATTTCCAACAATATCATTCGCATCCTCATTCGTCGACGGGGAGAACGCCTACGTTTCCTACCTCGCCTCCTTCCCATAGTTCTCTGCATTCAAGTCTAAGCCAGCTTTATTTGAATGCTGCAGCTCCTTATGTGGATCAGCAGCAGCAGCAGCAACCACAACAGCAGCCACAACACAACAGTCACAGTAGTAGTAGTAGTACTAATAGTCATCCTCCTCCTCACCCAACCCACCCTCCCAACACCACTGGCTTCCCAGCTCGTACTCATCCCAATACTAACTCTAATATCTATAATACTTATACGACTAATACACCTAATACTAGTAATGATGATAATAACAGTAATACCAACACCACTCATCCTACCACCGCCTCTTCGGCCACCACCACCACCACCACAAGCACCCCTCAATAAAGGGAAATGTGAAGTGGGGGGGGGGTTTCGGATAGTGAGACGAATGAGTGATCCACCCACTTTTTTCAGAGTAGAAAAACAAATCACTTTTTCTCCATCTCTTATTATTACCATTCTTATTATCATTCTTATTATCCTTATTATTATTATTATTCTATACTTACATATATATACATATATATATGTATATATGTATATCTTTTTTTTTTTTTTTTTTTCTCTCTTTCTTATCACACTCTTCTTTCTGTCTCTTTTTTATTCTTTACTCTATGTTTGTAAAAGAAGACATCTCTATTCTATTCTATTCTATTATGTATGCATATATTTCCGTATCTTAATCTCTTATTATCTTTTTTTTTATTCTTTGGTTGGTGTTTTTTTTTTTACAAGTTTAAATAAAAAAAAAAATAAAAAAAAAAAAAGCGTTTTGTTCTTGCATCATACAAGGTTATCCCCATTGTCTGTAGGTAGCAGCAATGGTTGTTTTCGTACTTGGTCTAGGAGAGAGACAGTTCAGCCATATCCTTCACATCAGGTCTCTTCTTGTGGAAGGGATACCAGCAGCTCTCAAATTGAACTTGCCAATCAAATTTAGGTCGTACTGTAATGTAAGATGCCCTCTCACGAAAAGAAAGTTTAGCTCAAGAAAAAAAAGAGGACTTGGACCATGGCTGATCGTAGTCTATCCGATTTGCCCTACTTCCTTTACTCTGTTCTTTCTCTAGGTACATTACATCCATAAGACGTTCAGTAGTAGATGGCTATATGCTAACAAAACAAGTCCCGAGACCTTTCAGAGGTCGCCCGGTCTCGACTGTCGTTGGTTGTTGTCTTCAACAGCAGTCAAGGTAGCAAAGGGACCCATCAAGAGAATATTTTTTCATGCAATCACTGGAAATAGACGCTGTTCATCAGGATAGGACCGATGTGTGTGTGTGTGTGTGTGTGTACCCCCCCCCCTCAGTCTATGGAATTCGATTGAGAAACAAATGTGTAACTAGTGTGATGGAGAGGTCTTTAGGACCGACTCTACCCTCCTCTTTTCCATCCCATCGTCTTCCATCCTGCTCCACCTCCTTGGATGCACATTGGACAATGGACAAAGAACGTTCACATCCAAAAAAGACAAAGAGGGAGGGCAGGGCAGGGCAGGGCACGTCTTTGGACGCAGATCTTGGGTGTAGAGAGAGAGAGAGAAAAGGTGGCACGTGTACGTTACCCCATTCTGACATTAAGAGCTGACATATAAGAAAAGAGCCCTTGAGAAAGTGCGAAAATGTCATTCTGTCAATGGACGAGAGAACAACCTACTTTTTGGAGGGGTCACATGAGTTACTTTCTCTTTTGTCATCTCTTTTTCTCTCAAACTGAGAACAGACACTTTTCCCTTTTTTAAAATTCGGTTTGATACAATATACACACATACACATAGACACACACACACACACACACACACACACACACACACACACACACACACACACACACACACACAATATGACCATAAAAAGAAACAAGTGTTTGGGGTAAAAAAAAAAAAGTCAAATGATGAAACGTTATTACAGTTTTGGTATAGTATGACGCACCAGGCCCATGGTCTTTTTTTTTCTTTTTTTTTTTTTTTTTTTTTTTTTTTTTTTTTTTTTTTAGAGAGAGGCTTCCTCACAATGAGAAGAGTAATAGAAAAAAAAAGTAAAAGCTGGAAAATGGGAAAGGGGGAATAGTTATATATAAAAAAGAAAAGATTGGGGGATATACATAAAATGATAAATATTTGGGAATGGATATAAATAAATATGAAAAAAATAAAATAGAAATGTTACAAAAGTATACAATGAGAAATAGTTATTATAAATATTGGAAAAAAAGAAAGCTTAGCTTCTGTTTTTCCTGTTGGCAGCATGAGTGGAAGACATTCTTTTTTGCGGAGGGTATTTTGTAGGTGTCAAGACGGCTTCAGCTGCCGATCTTTTTCTACCACTCAGTCTTCTGGGCTGTTGCTGTTGTTGTTGTTGTTGTTGTTGTTGTTGTTGTTGTTGTTGATCATAAGGAGGTGAATGAGGCAGATGTTGCTGTTGAGGAGAAGGGTGATAAATTGACGGGATACCAGGGGGAGAAGCGTGATGATAGGCAGGGTGAATGCTGGAGTCATCATAAGGTGGAGACAGAGCACTGGGAGTCGTATGGGTGGGAGGGTGACGATGATAGGCATCGTGTTGCCGTTGCAAATGGTGCGTCGTCGCATTCTTCTCCTCTTCTTCTTTTTCGAGCATAGGTTGTAATATACGTCTTCTGGCATTAATAAACCAATTGCTAATCTGGTTCATGTTCAAATTGGTTTCTGCAGCCAACGCAGCCTTTTCTTCTTCAGTGGGGTACGGATGCTTTTTATGTCTGGAAAGCCAATCACGAAGGATAGCTGTCACTGCCTTTGGCAGGTTCCCACGTCGGCGCTTGTTGCTGTTGTTGTTGCTATTGTTGTTGTTGGCGGCGGCAGAAGGGGTGGTAGTAGCAGTGGGTTGAGTAGAAGACTTGGGATGGGTGACAGGAGTCACGGATTCTACTGATTTATTGCCAACTGTCATGTGCTCATGGGTAGCCGAGGTACGACTGGGTTGGTCTGCTGGTGGTGAAGGAGGGGCACTGTGATGATGAAAGTGTTTGTACTGATAGTAATTAGGCTGATAATGTTGACGTAAATAAGGTGGGCTTGGAGAAGAAGACGAGACTAAGGAAGGCACGGGTGATGTTTGACGATGAGGCGAGGATCGATAATGATGAGGCTGTTCTGCGGCAGAAATAGGTTCAGGATGTTCTATTATAGAAGCAAAAAAGTGTGTTTGTGCACGGACAGTGTTAAGTATTACAGTCTTCTTTCCAAGGTAGATATCTCCCTTCCCATAATACACACGCACAAAGAAAATGCCCATCTGCACACTTTCTCTTTCTTCTCTCTCTCTCTCTCTCTTTGACTCTTTTCTAATGGAAATCAAAACAGGCTTGAATAGAATACTTTACCTCTTGTCCATGTTATGATATCCAACCAATATTTACCATTGGTCTGAAGCATCTCATGTATTCTCTTCTTATGCGATTCAAGATGTGCTCCGTAAGATGGATCACCGTAAGGAATATGGATATGTTCAAGGTCACCTGATCCTGCTTTTACATATTGGTGATCATGGAATAGTATGACAGGGCTGAATGTACGTAGCTAATGGTACGCAAAAAAGAAAAGAGAAAAAAAAAAAAAAAGCAGAATGAGCCATCCATTGTCTCTACTTATCAATGAATTCCAAATACATTCTTTGAATGCCTTTCTGACTGTAGTACCTTTTGATCGCTGTTCTTCCGACTTGTTGTGGTTGTTGTATTTAAATTATGACTAGTTTCCAGCATGGACATGACTGATGTTGTATGAATATAGGAGGTGGAATAATGATGAAGGGAATTTGGAATAATCAAAAATAAAGAAAAAAAAGGTGTAAGAATAAAAAAGTGAGAGATGAAACGTTGAGACCAAGATGAGGAGATGGAGAAAGAAAGAAAAGGGAAAGTTTGTTTAATTTTTTAAATGTTGTGTTGTTGTAGTGATTTTGACAAGCGGAGAGATAATTTTTTTGGTCCTGATTTTTTATGTTTTTTGCTCAAATCAATAAGGTTTTGATTGGTCCCATAAAATAACCTTAATAGCAAAATGGACAGCAGACCGAAAAGAAAAAGAAGAGGTACACAGAGAGAGAGAGAAGCCTTTTCTAATTGGGTTGATTTGAGACAATGAGAACGAATTTTTGGATAAAGAAATGACAAATGTGTCAATAAGAAGAAAAAAATGGATTGGATCGTTTTTTGACAGGGAATAAGGATTTGATGGAAAAGCAGAAAGAAAGAGAACCTGTTTTCGAAAAAAAAAAAAAAAAAGATTTTCTTGATATGCACACATCTTTTCTTAGTGTCAACTTTACAGGATGAAAGCACATGATGAGATGTAATTTTTAGTATCTGCACTTACCCTTCTTTTTCTTTGTTGGCACGTCATCTTCACTGCTAAAAACGCTATGGCCACTTTTGGTTTGATGATCACCATTTAGAACGAAAAGGACTTTGAACCTTTTTTTTTTTTCCCTTTGCTATTATTTGTTGCTCAGCTTAATTGTTTGCATGCCTTAATGATCTACCTTTTACTTTCCCCTAGAATGTTTATTGTCTCCCAAAAGCTGGCTTCTTTGTTCTATTACATCAAATGCCCTTTTTCATCGTATGAGCCTTGGAATGCAATTTTTAAAAAGAAGATGGACACATCAGTAGTAGTGACTATTTTTCCCGTGCTCTTGCACTCATCTCACATCTGCCGTAAGCAGGATTCTTATGGGTATCTTTCCCTTTTAAGTGACTTCAGAACGTGAATTCATCAAGTCATTTGACATGAACGTAACACCAGACTCCCAATTTCTTGATCTTTTCTAAAGTCCTTTTTAAGGTTTGCTCAGGGCTTGAAATAGCTGTACTTTGAACATTTCTGAATGTTCTTTTTTTTTTTTTTTTTTTTTTTTTTTCTACCCAAAATCATGGATCGCCGACGAGGTATATAGTATTGTACAGTACCTATGCATATGAATAGAGGATCGATCGTATCGTTTAGACTACAGCAGAGAGATTGCTTTGGGAAAAAAAAAACGCACGAAAAGAATAGATGTCAATGTGTTTCTGATTGTGTGTTTCTTTTTTCTTTTTTACACGAGTAAAAAGTTCACACTATAAATAGCAATTCTTGAAGTTTTTTTTTATTATTCATAAATGCACATCAGGCTTTCGCTATTTTGCGGCCCTGTGCAAGAGAACAAGTTCGCGTTTGATCCTTTTGGTCACTGAACTCAAGCTAACTGTAATACACACGAATGACCACTGATTGAGTTGGATTTCATTGTGCTGTTGACAAGGGAATAAAGTTGTTTTCAGTGCGTTTTGTATATCGTCTTGAGAAGAAAATATAGCCTACTTGTGATCCAGGACAGGTTTTTTTTTTAAAGGATTGTTCATTTATGTAATAACTGCATACGTTTGTCCCTTCCCTGACTGCCTGTCAAATGACTCCCATAGCTTCTTACTGATTTCGAATGCTATTTCGACTTTTACTGAACCCTGAACAGACGCAACTCAATGACATACGTTGTTCGATACTCATAGTACTCACAGGATGGACCTCCACCCTCTTTTTTCTTTCTTTTTTTTTTCTTCATAAGCACTGCGGGGCATTTAAAAAATAGTTATCTTTCGGTCATGTGAGTCTGACTTGATTGAATGATGAAACATAGTTGAAAGATACAGCACTTGCAATGTCAAAGGGCAGGGTAATGGCGTTACTGAAGTATCAAATGACCACATTTGAAAATAAATCCCCCGTTTCTTCATTCTTTTTCCTGCTATAAAACAAGTTGAACAGCAAATGGCCACAACTTCTAAACTGTACCTACAATGACGGCGAAGGGTGATTCACTTGATAAAAAATGCAATGTGCTTATGGGTAGCACTCCTTTTCATTGTTTGTACTATTGACTAACTTTAGGTCCAAATAGTTCATGTCTCTTTACTTATACTTGGGTCTCTATCTTTTTTATATATTGTACATAACCTATATAAATGCAATAGACCGTGGTAGAATGTATTCTCTACCTGGTTGTACAAATTCAGGCATTGTAATTGCTATCTTACCAAACATGTCATTGTTCTCGAGCTCCTGATTTTATAAAAGCGGCTTGCCAATAACCAGTTTACCTAATGAAACTGATGCTGACAATTAGAAAAAAAAAAAAAATCGTAGAAAGAAGGCAATGAGTCGCAGGCTAAAGAGATAACGTAAAGTTGGTTAGATGAAAAGTAGGTTATGAAGATAAAGGCATACGTGTTACTCACGCTATTTTCCATGCTTTCATTTCATTCCCCAAAAGCACTGAAAAGCAAGTAATATTCAACGATCATTGCTCCAAAACCCTATTGCTGCTGTGGGCAATGTAACAATCACTTGTAACATTGCCAGAGAAGACAAAAGAAAACACGAGGACGAACATGGCAATGATGAAACCTCCAGTAGTAGGCAACCAAGCGGCGTACAAAGCCTTCAATTCTCAAGCGACAAGTGTCAGTCATAAACAAAAGACATGAAAAGAGGCCTTGTCGTCGTCCCAACATTGAAAAACAAAAAAGAAAAGTTTTTTAGCAGCACAGTATCTGTAAGAATGAATGATAAGCACGTTGGTCAACAGCAACAACAACGGTTCCAACAGTAATATATATGAACGTATTCAGACCATTTTTCTTCATTTAGATTACAATAATGTACAGGTGGGTTCTATGACAACCATACATGATAATAGGATATTACATTTCGTCCAAGTCAGAGAATGCTCTGCCCTTGAGAGAACGTAATGGTTGTGTACCTCCTAGTGTAGAGAGACTGTTTTCAGTTCAGCATAGAAAGCACCTCATATGCTCTGAAGCATCCTAATGTAAGCACAGTGAAAGAATACATATCAAAGATGGGAACAACAAGACTAGACAATTATTTAAAGATGGCTAAGGACAAAAGACAAAGCTTTATGCTCACTTATACATATTGGCTTAGGATGAAAGGGGGCCGAAAGTATGGCTCGAATTTTTGGAATACTGATACTGAAGCTGCAATAACGGTATTGAAAATTATCTTCAAAGCAAGCTGTTATGTAGGCAGACTTTAACGATTAGACCATCTGTTGATTAGATAAAGAGCGTAGAGGAAGGTTAGCAGAAGGTATGCAAACTCTTGCCTTTGTTTTTTTTTTTTTGCCGAGCACTGTTATGAGTAGAAACAAGCACTTAGACCTCATTGAAAGCCCCGAAACATTGAATAAGGGTGATGGTAAGTTTATTCGTTAGAGCAACAAAGCATTCTAAACAGGGAGCTAAAGCAGAATGCAGCTATGTTCGTTTGACGGAAGACAGATCATTGCTTAACGTGTATAGAACTGTGAAGGAGAATCAAGCAAATGGTCTGCACTTTGAACCTGCCAAAACAAAACATTTGCGCGCCTAATGTCATTCTCCTCGTCATAAAGAGAAAAGGAGACAAGAGATGGGCCATAGCCAATGCCCCATAGTGGATAATAATTGCACCAATGACCTTTTTGATGTCCTTGATTTATGAGCATACACACTTTCGAACTTCTCTCCTATCACATCCATTTTATCTTTTTTCCCTTTCCGCGCAAAAATTCTGCCAGTTGGCTGCATATCAATTTATGCTATCGCTACCTCTTTCTTTTCATTCATTTTGAAATATACTTGACACTTGCCAAACAGTAACATTTCCAAAAGGCAATGTCTACTAACCAAAACAGCGACGGTGCTGCATTACCGGAAAGCACATCAATAAACGGAAAACGAAATACGGCTACGAATACAGGAGGACGAACACCTACCCTGTCTACCGATGTAGACGATCCCTCCCACCCTCTCCACCAACATCGACGTATAGTCTCTGATTTCGAGTATAAAGAGATCCTTGGCGAGGGATCTTACTCAACTGTAAAGTAAGAAAGATGGGGGGCGTAACGGCTTGTTGGTATTATCATGAATTTAGCTTAACCAAAGAAAATAATGTATTTTTGATGAATACATCACCAGGTACAAGCAGGTAGAGATAAACGAACTGGGAAAATGTACGCCATTAAACGATTAGATAAAGCACATATTGTAAAGAACAATAAGGTCAAATATGTTATGATTGAACGAGATGCATTGAGCCGGATGAATCATCCTGGTATTATCAAGCTTTACTGGACATTCAAAGATAATCGAAGTTTGTATTTTGTACTTGATTTGGCAAAAAATGGCGAGCTTTACACCTATATTAGACAGGTAAACTTGCAACTTTCTCTCTTGAAATGAAACAGTGAACTCGAACAAAAATAATACCGAAAGACACATTAAGTATTTTCATGACGTTTAGTTGGCACCTTTTGATATGGAGACAGCAAAGTTTTATGCAGCTGAATTATTACTTGCTATAGAACACATTCATTATAGAGGTGTTGTGCATCGGGATATTAAGCCGGAAAAGTAAAGCCCCGTAGCAGCATCTGTGCATGTTGATGACCCGAGTAACCAACCCTTTATTTTTCTGTAGTATACTGTTGGATGATAACTTACACATCAAAGTAACGGATTTCGGTTCAGCAAAAATCGTATCAGACGAAAATAATGATAATAGCAATGGAGGAGAGCTCGCCACACCCTCTAGGTCTTTTGTGGGAACAGCAGAATACGTCTCCCCTGAACTATTACGGAGTGAGTCAGTTTCATTCGAGTAAGTTCAATTGTACTCTCTCTCCATCACAAAAGCACACGCCCCCCTCTCTCTGTGGCTCACGAACAACAACCCGCTTTTGTTGAATAGAACCGATTTTTGGGCTCTAGGCTGTGTCATTTATCAAATGTTATCCGGTCGATCACCTTTCAAAGCCGCTACTGACTATTTAATCTTTCAAAAGATTAAAAACCTTGATTATGTTATGCCTGATGAGTTTCCGCAAGTCGCCAAGGACATTATTCGTAAATTACTCGAATCTGATCCTGAACAGCGATTTGGATCAGAAGCAGCAGGTGGTGTTGACGCTGTTAAACATCATCCATTTTTTGAAGGTATCGATTGGGAGCATATTTACAGCTCAAACGCTCCACCCTTAAGGGAAAAATTAGAGAAAGTTTTGAAAGCACGAGCAGCAGCAGCAGCAGCAGCAACAGGAACAACAGCAACAAGTAACGACCCTGATGCAGCAGCAGCGGTAGCAATAGCATTTGCTACTGCAGCACAACCTATTTTCTCGCCCTCTTTCGAATTTTCCCATCCAGACTTATTGAACAACAATAGTCGAGGAGAATCCTTGGAAGAGAAACATCCGATACCACAGCAGCCATTGCAGCAGCTATATACACCCTATTCAAGTGCTGTCCGTCAGCAGAAGCCTCCTTCTTCAGCAGCAGCAGCATTGAAAGAACATACAACGAGCCATCATGACCATCCAAAAAACCCTTTCGATGATCAGATGCATGCTACGAACGGAAAAACAGCCTCTCAAAATATCAAAATGACAAAAAATAAAAGAGTATCAAGCTCTGATATCACGAGCTCGACCCATCAGCAGCAGCAGGACCGGAAGGGTCAGGAAGAAGAAGACGTGGAAGAGAAAGACCTTCAACAACGAAAATCACACGTGTTTGCTAATGCTGATGATAAAAGATCGAGTCGATTAAGCAGCGCTGTTTCGTCTACACATAGTATCAGTCAGGTGAATGATAACAATAATAATAACAATAGTATCAGTAACATGAACGGCATGTGTGATAAATCGACAAATCATCCATTATGGTAAGTCACAATAAAGCGTCTATTATTGTAAAGTGAGAGAGATCACTTATTGTAGTCCTGATATGCATTTTTGCTTGGGGGTTTTTATTTTTTATTTTTTTTTCACTGTTCTTCTGTGTTTCTGTATGTAAAGGATCCCGCATTTATACCCTAACGAGTCTGTTATTAAATCAGGACGTGTACTTCGAAAACGCGGTCTGATTACTAAAAAACGCAATCTGATCCTCACAAATCGACCACGACTCCTTTATTTAGATGAAGGCAAAAATACCAACTATTCCAGTCATAGCAATAATAAGACGAGTGGTGATAATGGCAGTAAAGTCATGGAGAACAAAATGGATGGAAATTTACGATGTGAAATACCGTGGACACCTCAGCTTTTATTAGAGTTGAAAGGAAAATCTACATTCTGTATAAGAACGCCAGAAAAGAATTATACGTTTGAAGATAAGGAACATGCCGAAGAATGGGTGAATTTGATCAATTCTATGCTGATTGACTCTTTTGGTGTTACTGGTTAATCATAATCAACAGCACCTTCACGTAAAGCGAAATGTCTTTTTATCATGAAGATCATTACTATTAGTTTGTAAACATTTATAATGATAGAACTGTATACAATTAAAAAAAGAAAAAGAAGAGAAAAAAATAGAGGAAAAAAAACAACGTAAATACATATTTGAAAAAAGGCGGTGATGGGAGCAGCAGTATGAGTCTAATGAAGAACGGGAATATTTAGCGATATCAAAGAAGTAGTAGCAGTAGTAGCAATAATCTAAAATATCACTCTTGTGGTCAAAGTGTACATGGAATACGTGAAGAATCAAAAGAAGCAATAGTAAAAGAGAACAAAGTAAAATAAAAATAAATAGAAAAAAGGTTTATCCATCCATATTATGAGGAGCAAGAGAGAGAGAGAGAGAGAGAGAGAGAGAGAGAGGTCTATAACAATCAACGTGTTATGGTGTCCAAACATGAACAATTCCATTTGCACCTGATACGCCAGCAGCAATCATATTATTATCTTCATCTACCGCTAGAGACGTAACACAATTCGACGTCGAGTAGCTCTTCAACAGATTGCCGGTGCCTACATCCCACACCTTCACCATGAGATCGCCACCGCCTGTAACGACAGTACGACTATCAGACATCCAATGTAAGCCACCAATACCCACACTTGTGTCCGGTGCGATCAAGGATTGGTTCAATATGGACTCTACAAAAGTGGCACATGCAACAATCAGTAAGTACAAGACAAACCGGATCCAAACTTCTACTATCACTTTTCACTTACGATCATGTTTGAAAGTGTATAACTTTTTGTTTGGTTTCCTTATGTCGAAGAGCACCACTTGGCCATCTATTTTGTCAGCATTACCAGAAGCGACGTATTTATCGCAAGGACTAATAGACACCACGTTGACATCGGCATGGTTGGTTAAGAATTTCAAAGGTTCTCGTTGCTGACGAGCATCATGTAAATGAAGATGTTTGTCTCCTGAGAGATTATCGTATCGACTGTAGTTTCCTGACGCAATAAACCGACCGTCACTTGACACGGCTAACGTAGATATTGAGCCGTGCATGTCTTGGAAACGCATTTTTGACTTGCCCGTGATAATATCATAAGCCTCCACCTTGAATGAGAAAAATTAATGCGGGGGAAGGTTAGAACAATTAGCATTTAATAAATGAGAGGGAAGAGGGAAAAAAAAACTTACATATCCAGGATGTTCAATGTTGCCCGTATTGACACCCAAAAATAATGTATTGTTCGTTTCATGGTGTCCAAATTCAACGCAATCTACGCGAGGGTCATGATCTGTAGTGTTTTTCAACTCACAAATGACGCCGGAACCGCTTTTGCCTTTTCTATCTACCGTCCAAACGGTGGCCGTACCGTCGTTTGAACAAGTCGCCATGACGTTGTCATCTGTAGAATAGTTGATAGCAATTTGATTGATAGGTTTCGAATGAAATTCTAGAATGGAAAAGAGAAATTGTAATGTTTAGGGTTGGGTTTTCTTTTCCTTTTTCACAAACGGCCTATAGCTGAATAACGTATCACGTTAATAATATTTACTTAAAGTAGATCTTAGTCGGCCTGATCTGGCTTTCCAAATATTGGCACTTCCGTCATGTGAAGCCGAAAATAATAATGTTTTATCTTTTGATGCCTTTACATCTGTCACTGTTCTCCAAATAGCTGCAATAAACAAACAATAATACCAGTTGAGTAAACGAAAAAAGGAGAAAAGGAGTGAGGGTTTTTGTTTAAGCTCACCTTCTCCTGATCTGCTAATGGATTGATGTCCTTTCAACGTTTTAAAAGAGGCTGTTTTTAATTCCCATAGTCGAAGGTTACCAGGCATATTATATTCAGGGTTTTCATCACATACCGACCCAGCTGCAATTTTTAAACTAGGGTAACAAAAAAGAAGAAAAAGGTTATCGCCTTACCATTCTTGACAAAAGAGGATGAAGACGCGCGATTTTTTTTTTTTTTTACCCTTTTGTTGGATTATTGAAAATAGCCAATGCAATCACATCGCCACTGCCACCATCGATCTTTTCTTCCTTTTTCAAATTTTTCCAACAGTATTTCTTTGTTAATGTTGTCCTCATCCTTCCAGTCATTGTACGTTCGCGAACCCAAGCATAATTTGATTTTTGTCGTAATGGGACTATGAGAGCATGCGTCCAATGGATTAGATTTCAGGATATGTATGGGTTGGGCGGCGATAGGAATAAAACATGTTTTATTTACCTTCTCTTCTTTTTACCATAATGGCTTGATTAAACGTCTGGTGTATTCCGTCTCGATAATCCCGATAAAAACATTTACAGTCCAAAGGTGTTCTTCCTGGTAATTGTTCCGCTATAAAATCCCATTTGTCCACACCTGTTCTCGCCAGCTTTTTATTGTGTCTTGATCTGTATTTTTCGAGCGTTTCAATTTCTTGAGGTGTGAAAGGGTAGTGAAGAATATCGCCTGATTCAAGTTGAGCCCAGTCTTCCCAAGTTGAGTTGTAAAATACGCGAGTCGGTACGTAAGGTCTATTTTGTATGGTATTGAGTAAAGGAATTTGTTGTTGTAGTCGGAGCGATAGCGCTGTGGCCATGCTGTCCGTTTGAATGGATGTTGAACGAGATGGTGGTTGTTGTTGCTGTTGCTGTTGTAATGGTTGTGGTTCTAGTTGTAATTGTAATTGTAGTGGTTGCTGTTGATGTTGATGTTGATGCTGCAGTTGTAGTTGATGTAGTTGTAGTTGCTGTTGTTGCTGTGGTTGTGGATATTGCTGTGGATATTGCTGCTGTTGTGGTTGAATACGTCCTGTATGACGCCTGACAGTAGAACGTCGGGAGGAGGCGCGGGTGGAACGTTGTGATAGACTGAATTCGGTCATGGATACATCATCAGGCTCCATTAAATCGAGAGATTGAATATACATATCCATTGAACGCAGATATTCAATGTCAGACGTATACTGTGGTATCAATGTATGTACGGTAGTAGGTGGATTTTGAGCATTGGCCTATTGAAATAGATTGTAAGAAATTTAGTGGGAGCGTGGGGACAAAATAGATATACTTACAATGAGCTCGGCATGTTGAGCTGGGTCATTATCCAATTCCATTGCATCAAAGATATTAGCATCACTTGCGTTGTACTGAAAAGTTGGCTGTGCGTTGATCATAGAGGAAACGCTATCGCTTTGATAGGTATCCATAAAGCTTGTGGAAACGTCCATAAAACTGGTATCTTTGTCCATAGTAGTAATAGTAGTAGTAGTAGTAGTAGTAGTAGTAGTAGTAGTAGTAATAGGGGCAATTGCTAGAGTATTCGTATCAGTATTGATAGCAGGGGTATCATTGGCGTTGATTATGGTTTCCGCTTCGTCGGGAATAGAGATTGGATTGTCACTATGTGTAGTTGTGAGCGTACTAAGTCCAGTAACAGAATAAGGAGGATCATCTTCAATTGACTGGACAATCGTCATCTTTGCTGTAGTATAACTCATCGTACTTGTATTTGTAGAATCACTGACATCGCAATCATTATCGATGTCCATACCGATGTCGGGAGATTCCTCAGTCATGAAAGGAACATCTTCTCCAAGATCAAATTTGTGGTAAGAGCCTATTGACATATTATCACTCGTCGCGTGCGTGCTGCCATTCATGGATATTTCTTTAGAAAAATAGGCATCAATGCGTTGAGAAGACATAGTTACAATAGAATTGGTATCTTTGCTCAATGCTGTAGGCGATGTGGGCGATGTGGGCGATGTGGGCATTGACGAAAGGGCTGAGGCGAGAGAATGGATGACATTCTCTTTCTTTACTTGTGAGTTACCTTTCTGTAAATTGGATGATAGTAAAGCGCTTTCTTTTTGGGTCTGTTGTGCCTGTTGCTGTTGTACTTGCTGCAACCACTGAGTAGGCGTTGTTTCAACGAGAATAATATCATCGTCATCGTCATCATCGTCTGAATCTGGCAATGTAATAGGATGTGACTGAGTACCTATTTTTTTCCTTTGAAGACGTTTGCCTAATAGATCGCTATTGATTTTATGTTGGTTGTTGGTTGTTGAGTCACGACCGTCATTTTCATCATCACTGAGTATGATGATGTCTTGTGCCTTTGGTTCTCGAACAACATATCTAATCAGGGGATTTCTGTGTCTGTTGGTGTTGGAAGGAAGAAGCATTGAATTCGTTGTGGAAGTAGAAGATGCATTGGCTACAGCACCGGTATAGATGAGATTGGTATTGTTGATTTCCATACTCTTTTTTTTTTTCTTTTTTTTTAGATCGTTTTTTTTTTTGGAAAAAAAAGGTCCTGAAAATAGAGTAATATTATATAAGCTCGATGATGACGACTAGTCTTCAGAACACACTGCACATTATCTTTAAGTATTGTCAGATAAAGTGATACAAAATTTTGGTTGGCTTTTTTAAGATATCCACAAGCGAGTACAACGCAAAAACAAGACGATTAACAACTTTTTACTATGTTAGTGGAGAAGAAAAGAAATAGTATATAAGAGGATCAAAGTATGTTCCGTCTCTGCGCAACACGCTTTTCCATTTTTTTTTCCCGTTACTTTTGCCTGCTTTCTAAACTCAGTCTTCACGGAGAATATTTTGAGGTGTGCGAGCACAAAGAAGTGAGAAATCATTTTTATTGAAGCACAGCAAGAGAAAAAAAAACTAAAAAAAAACTAAACATAATACAACAGTAATTTATAAGATTTATATACAGGCTATTTTCCTCGAGAATGTTATAAAGAGAAAAATGTAATAGATATTTTCAAATTCAACATAATAATAATAAAAGTGTGATAAGGTACAACGCTTGGAGAAAAATAAAATATGATTCGTATAAAATGATAATGAGTGATATCTACATACTAATAAAGAAGGCCTGGCTGTTCATAGATCATAAGACAGATTATCTGGTTTGATAAGTGGCTATTGACTCATAATGTATAGCAGTAGTGGCAGTGGTGTGAATGTGAGTGTGTGGAAGTGTGGGGGGATGTGCATTTGTGTGATTGACTGCAAATCGTTATATGATTTGTGTTCCATTAGAAAAAGACTGAGTCTAGAAGGGTCATCGATTGAGTCTTGCTTTTTTTTTTATCACTGAAGAGTTGCTTTATTTCTCCGGACTACTCTAGAGATGTTTCCAGACTAGCGATAATAACCTTGACTATGCATACATTGGACAATCTGATGATAAATGTTTGGTCGAACCGCAAAAATAACATATTTTATTATTCTGTGTATGATGTAAACTGCAGGTATTGGATAGCGCTAATGATGATGGACTATGACTACTATGATCACTGCTGTTGTGATTGTCTTTTGTCGCTGTGAAAGATGTGGACGATGAGAGCAATACCATTGTGTTTTAAAGAAAAGAAAAAAGAAAGAAAGAGCAAGAGACAGAGACAGAAACAGAGACAGAAAGAGAGGATTTCAATGGTCTATTTTATACGTCTCTTATCTTTTTTTTTATCCGGTGTGAGAATACAAATTGGGCAACAGAAAAAAAAAAGAAGTAATTATTGTTTAATAACGATGATTTATGAGAGAACCTGGGTCAAAGTGTAACAGAACCGAAATTTCAAAAAAACTGGGGTCGAGATCGACGGAAAATAGTTAAAAGGCCTCAAGAAGCGTGCAGATAAGGAAAGCAGTGGCTGTCAAAATGGTCAAAGTAGGGTGTGAGGCAACACAAGACATATTTAGTCCTATTCACTTTTGCACTTGAAATGCACACACACTTTGTGATACATGTCAAGAAACAAAAAAAAAAAAAAAAAAAACCAATTACTGCTCGTTACACTGTAGCAATAAGTACAATCATAGTCGATTCATGCTGCTGGATAAACCCCAATTATAGCTGACCAGTGACATCAATTTTATTGGCCAATGACATCGTTTTTAATTGACCGGTAACTTTGATTTTGATTGGCTGTGACATTACTTGTTGGAAGCACTGTAATTTGCACGCATATCCGGCATATATTATTTTGTATCTGTTGTATTTGGCCTATACTTCCTTACATGTCGAATTAGTGTACGTGTATTACCAGCTACTATTTCGTGCGATAGTTTATCTTTAATTTATTGAAAGGTATATAATTAGCAGTGGGAGTGAACTGTGACAGTTGAATATTTTTTAATCTTTTTTATTTAATCCAGATGTTATTTTGACAATGAATCTTGCCTTCTCTTTAACAAAGGATTTACGGAGACTCATTTCGTTCTTGTCTTTGATTATACAATTTAGTATTTCAAGACAGATTCTGTCAATATAACACAGTATCCAACATGTCACATCATAATTTGTCAACCATGACTTTACCGTTGGAATATGTACCTGGGCAATGACAATGATTCGAATGATGCTCAAACACCAGGATGTTGTCGATGTTACCACCAAGGAAATACTAACGTGTTTGGTGAGATAAAACTACAATATCCCAGTACGTATAGCCAGTTGGAGAATACATTTCACCACGGTCTATCTATATTGCATCTGATATAGGGTATGTACAGCATATAATGAAATACCATACGCGTCCTCGAATAAAATAATTCTCATTAGACCTTACAGAGTAAATATTCTTTCTACTTCATCTGAAGAACAAATAAAACACGTAAGTTATCGACTTACAACAGTTATCAATTTCAACTAAGCAAACATCACAATTACTAGCTGCCCCGAATGGTACTTACACTCTGGCTGATGGCGTTTGGAATGAAACAAGATGTGATGTTCTTTATATGTCCAGACTACCTTCGTCATTCCCACCAGTGCTGATCCAAGTTCAGAACACCATTGATGAACAGCTCCTCCAACGTTTAATTTCCTATTCGTTGAACGTTGTCAAAACTTACCACGCTCTCCCAGTGATATTGGTCCTTCTCCAATTAGCCTGCTTTTGGATTTCAAAAAGGAGTCCGAGCAAAAACCATGGTTATTGTCGATCCCCGCTTTGATTTGGGCGAAAAAATGTTTTATCATTTCTAAAGAAACCATTCCGGACACTGATCATTACGCAAAACCGATAAATTCGCTTCTTGCCTTGTCACTCTTTCTGTCGGAGTAACAACCGTCATTGGATCGTCATACTTATTCTGAAGACCCAACCATCATCCTTCTTTATCAAATCGCGTTCGCACAAATATACCCTCAGGAACCATACCAACAAAATTTTTCAATCGGCTGTGGAAACGATATGCTCAACGAACAAACGCTTCTTTGAAAGTATTCTTGATAAAGTCAATTCAAAGGAACCACTCAACAAGATTCGACGAATTTGTGAAAAAGGTATACTTTACAATGATGAAGTAAAGGCCAAAATTGTAGATAATTCAGCATCCTCACAGTCATCGGATAAATTGGATTTCCCTGAACCTTTACCCATGGGACCACAAACAAAGCGAACACATACAATGGTGGACGAAGACATTGAATTTGTTGAATCATTCAAAAAAGAACAAATTGGCCGTATGAACTGGCAGTCTTGCTTAAAAGCCGGTCATTCTCGCAAACTCCTTGAATCATACACTACTCGGAAAGCTTACGAGTCACGTATGCTATGGTTTCAAAAAAAAAAATAAAAAAAAAAATAAACGAGGCAACAAAAAAATCCATATTGAGTCAACTGTTATCAATACCTTCATTTCCTTATTTTTGCTCATATTTTAGGTCGCCTACTTACGTTTACGCTTACATTTACGTTTAATTTGCGTACGACCTTACGTTACTTTTCGCGTGCATACATGTAGTGTCCTATTGAAAACAACAGCTTCTTTGCTATACACCTCTCCAGCATCATTTAAGTTTTCTGTAAAAGAGGTGCAGTGTCATCATAACAAAAGGGTTTATCCTTAACTTTTGGGAAATACTGTTTTTGTAACACAATAACGAAGCATCTGTATGGGAAATCTATGCTGGATTGTTCTGGAAAGAAAAGGAAATCAAGGCATAGAAGATTAACAAATAAAAAAGTGACCATCCATAAGTTCATGACCTGACTATCTTTCTGATTGAAACAAATATATGAAAAAAAAAAGCCGGGGAATTTACACTTGCTTCATTTTTTTGAGTTTGAGACCTTTTCGATTCTTCTGTCGTTTTTGGTAAGAGATACAGTTATTCAAAAACTTTCCATGTAACAAAAAAGCTTATACTTGGAGACGATGGACTGTAAATTGCTCTTTTGGCTTATTCTTATCAGAAATGTAACTGGCAATAACAAGCAGATAGAAACATTCTAACCCAAATTATACAATGATATAAATTTTGTGGGACGAGTCATTTTCGTCACGAAATCATCATCATACACAAAGACAATTTTATTCCCGTACAAAGCATAAACTTCTGGCTATCACATCCCAATCTCTTGAGTGCCACATGCGTGTTGCCTAAACTATTATCATGCGATGCTGAAATTTTATCCAGAAACGTCCTTCGCGTATTATCACCATGTCTCTTTGATCTGAAATGTCTTGAGGCTGGTAGCACAGACCATATAAGCTAAGTATTCGATGACTACTCACTGATCGTTTTTAGCACTCCTCTTTCTTTTTCCAACAATTGGAATAATGCTGAAAGAAAGGCTACTATTAGCAGTCGCCTATGGCGCTGACATAATTTCTTAAGTATATCTGTCAATCCGTTCTTTCAGAATGCACACGCTGACTTTTTGTCCAAGGATGTGGAGTGCTCCTGGAAAACACTCCTTGAAATGGTGCAGTAGTACAAGCTTTATTATTTGACATTGCTCCTTTCAACAAAAGTCGTATTGTCTAACTTTTATTGATTTACTGATTCAAGCGTTTTATTAGTAAGCTTTTCGGCGTTAACTCCCTTCCTTCCGGCTGTTTCTGTCCCTAACTCAATAATAATGCATTAAAATGTATGTTTATGGACTGCCTACCATATCCTCTGATATAAATCGTATCTCTTCATAATTGAGACGCCTTATATTTAACTAAAAGACGGACAAAAAGGGCTATGCTCTATGTGTATCTAACTATGCTGCCACCTGTTTGATGACAGTCTTTCTAAGGTACTTATCCTCTCTGTTCATCGTTACCTTAGTCGACGGCTATTTTCTTCATGGTTTGCTGAAAAACACCATGGGCAACTCATATCAATACAGTATTTTAGCTCGCATTTTAGACGGTTTACAATTTTTAGTGGACAATGTACATTTTAAATTTAGATTTATTAAAAACAATTTTTAGAATAAAGTTTATAGTATTTTGGACATCGAATTTGGATACTCAATTATTCAGTGATATCCAAGCAGCAATAAGGATGACATACAAACAAACCCAAGAAATGAGTCTCTATCAGTAAAAATGTCGCCAATAATGGTTTTATTGACGTTATCTTGCAATAGGATTGACAATTTTTTTATTCAATGACGATGTATTCCGAGACCAACCAGATATTCGTTAGTGCCTTTTTGGACAAGAGTTCCAAAAAAGGTCAACTTTGAATTGATTGACATCAAACCATTGATAGAGGGCTGAGGGCCATAGTATAACAGATACCATAGCGGAACAGGATGGTTATATTATCTGTTGTCAATGTTTTTGTGTGCGTTCATGGTGACTTTCAAAGATAAGCATTTGGAAATATATTGCTCTTTTATAGTCAAAGGTTGTCTCTTTCGCTTTTATATCACGTTTTATGATACGTACTATGACCCATGTTCAAAACAATAATTTATGAAAAGAAAAAATCAACTGCTGTTAATAGTAACTTGCCTTTTGAAAGCCTATCTACCTAATCATATATATATAAGTATAGATTAATCATCGTGTACTGTTAGATGTAACGTGTATTGATTGCGGTAAAGGAGGTCATTACACCAAACAATACTATAAATGTGAATTGTATGAGCCAGAAACTGCAGATCAAGGTAAGCACCTCATGTGGCTTTAAAAGTTGGTTATTTCATCATTAGTAAGCGACATCACTATATCTATAGTTGGTTCGAAAGGTAGAAAACGCAAACAGAACTTTGAGATTAAAGAGAAGAATGAAGACCCAGAGGAAGACAATGCCTGTTGTACCAAATGCAAGCAACCAGGACATAAATCGGTGCGTTCTCCTCTGTGTCCTCAACATGTATCATCAAAGGCAGAGGTCTTTCCACATCATTTGGGGAGTAATTATAAGGAGTTTTCAAGAAGCTTGCCTCTTGATAATTGTGTTTTTGGTAACTATCGCAACACTTTCAAATCAAAAGTGAAGAAGAGAGTATAGCCGTAATAAACACGGTTTTCCTTACATTTGAGGATTTAGATCATTACAGGTGAGGAATAATATTTTTTTTTTGTTTGTTTGTTTCGCACTATTGACAAGTTTTTGAATTTGAATCATTGTTAGAACGGTTTATATTTTCGTCTACAACACATTTGCAACTTACCTAAAAAAAATATTAATTGTTCAAAAAAAATGTATTTATCTAAAAATATTAGTTGAAATACTGCTGTAAAAATGCCCAACTTTGAGCTTTAAAAGTGTGCAAAAAAAGCAACCAATAATATTGCAGGGTTCTCTACCTTGCCAAACACCTGTTGGCTCAACCATTGAAAGACTCATATTCTGAGTTTCAAAAATAAAATTTTGGTTTCCTTTTTTTTTTTTTTGCACATACTTTTTTCTGCCAACTTTTCCAGCCCGTTTGGTGTGTATGTAAACTGTGGCACAAATCCGCCAAGGAAAAAGGGAAAGAAGTTTGAGAGAAAGTACTAGATAACACAGCTGTCAGACAGAAAGGAAAGAACGAAAAATTTCTTTAGTTTTTTTTTTTTTTTTTTACTTTTCTTTTGGAAACTTTCATCTTAATTTATTGCATCTAATCGTTTAAAAACTAATTTCAATTTAATCGCGACAAGTTAAAAAAAGGCATCCGCCAGACAGAACCCTTACCCGTTAAACCACCTTGCTTAATGCACCTGTAGTATACTATATATAATCTTTTAATAAACAAACTAATGGACAATATTAGCCGAAATCGGAATCACCCAGATCATAAACTCGAGCAACAGATTCTCAAAACAGACCTATGTCATACAGTTATACGAGACATTCAGGAACTTGTCACCACTTACGCCTCTGAATTCGATTTAGATTTCCTCGACACCGCAAAAGACAAATCGAACCCACAAGACACAGTACCCTTTTTGGAAGCCATTTCACAATTATATCATAAAACGAAACTATTATTCAAGAAAGCCAAAGTCGACTTTGACAATCACTGGGTAAATTGCAACGCCATCTTTTTTTTAGAAAATCTTTTTTGCTTTTTATAATTTGGACTTTTTGACAAATTTGCAATGTTGAACACGACACGAGTTTCACGCTTATTACACCCATCTGTCATAAACCAAGGATTTGGAAAGGCTAGACTAATATTTTATGTTCTTCTCTCTATTTTTTATCAAAATGACAGAACTGGATAGTACCATGGCGGCAAGCTATCAATTTTGAAAGCTTATCAGAACTTGCCAACGACGATGTCAAAACTTTAATCACCTCTTTTCACCCGAAAGCACATTCTACGTTAATCTGTATTTTTGACCATGGGCTGGAAGGCCATATGCGGTGGTATCCTTGGCGTTGGTTTTCCGATCTTGTGTTTCTAGGCGCTGGAGGTTTTTCTGCGTTGTATGCTGCTGAAGTGGCTTTACCTTATGACGTACCAGAAAAGGGTAAAGCATTTGGTACACAGCGCAGAGCAGTGGCATTAAAAGTAGTCGATGAAAAAGTATTAAATGAGGTAAATAGACTATCGCGGTTTTTTTTTTTGCGAAATGCAAAAGTGCTTGCGCTCACCGTTTGCTTCTTGTTCAATTCACTGCAACCCTACTCTACATCTCCATTTCTCCTTCCTTCATTTTCTCGCTTTTTCAACATCAGTTGAACGTGCAATCAAACGCACTTGTCGCGTTACTATTCCACGGAATGACATATTGTGAAAGTACAGGCGATTTCATGATGGTGCTATCATTAGCAGCAGAAGGGAATCTGAATAGACAAATTGAAAACGCCAGTAAAACTAGCTTTGCAAAAGTAGCGGATATTGTTACAAGACTTTCGTTCAATTTGGCGTGTCTCCATAATGATATCGGTATGTGTCATAGAAATATACATGCAGAAAATATACTATGCGTCGACGAGGATTACTTTTTGGTGGACTTCAGGTTCTCAACATCAACTCAAGAGGCAACGGAAATAACAAAGTCATCACAAGTGCATTATGGTAAGTTCTATCAATTTTTGTTCAAGCTCGTTAAACCGCATGAGTGCACGATATTGAATCATACTTAACTTGCATATATCGCCATGCTAGGACGCGTACCTTATATAGCACCAGAAGTGAAGAAAGGAATTTATACGGAGAAATCCGATGTTTATAGCTTTGGTATTTTAATGTGGCAGCTAGTATCAGGCGTTATTTTCCCGACGCCTGAAATAATAGAGTCAGCACCTGACCTTTACAGAATTGAATGGGTACCTGGCGTATCCAGATGGTATCAAGAAGTGACAATGGCATGCTTAGAGCCGTACCCCGAAAATAGACCCACAGCAGAAGAGATTCACCTTATTGCCAGTAAAATAGCAGCCTCTACAAGTAAAACAGCATTAGCTGACGAGGGTTGGAGAGCATATGTTAGAAGTAGACGTCAAAAATGTGAATCTCACATGCAACATTTTGTGTCAGAGGATTTGTCAACTGCTTCTCGTCTATATACCCTGAATGACATTACGAACATTGGTGAACTTTTACTGAAAAACGTACCTTTTCATTATCGTCATTTTGATGCCGAAAGTATTGCCTTCAATATCGAATCAAATAAATAACGAGGGTCATTTTTATCATGACAGCACAATCGTAGAGAAAAAAACCTGGAAAAAGAAGACAGAAAAACAGAAAAAAAACAAAAAAAAAGGGTAGTTTTTATAAGGAAAGAAGATGGAAGCACACATATAATAAAAATTACTTTTGACAGAAAAAAACAAAAGAAAAACATATACATTCATCTACGTAAACAGATTTACAACAATATACGACGTCAACAAAGAACTCGAACATTTACATATAGTTTAACAAATGCCTGCTCCACAACCCACCACTCCTTATTATACATATATAGACCCAGATGATCATTCTTGTTTATACATACTATTAAACGCACTTTTCCTTGTACTTTTAAACTGACACTTAGCCTGTCCAATTGCTCTGCTTGTGACAAGAATGTATTTGCTACGACTTTATGTTCTGCCCCTATCGAAAGCTTATGTAATAAAAATCAGGAATAATGCAAAAAAGGGTAATGGGAGAGGTTGTGCAACCATTTCACTATTTTAAACTTGATTTTATTCTTATTTTGATTGTCCACTGTACTTTTTTCCATCTGTCGTCCCAAACTGAAAAAAAAGGGCCTTTATTTGCTAGACAAATCTAATACAAGTATCATAAGCTAAAACATGAATCCTTCTGCTGGCTACAAGTGGGGCTCCTCTAAAAAGCGTTATGAATGGAAAAACGAATATACACAACAAGGCTTTGCTCCTCGAGATGCTGAATTGGAGAGAGATCTCTTTGGTGAAGAAAACCACGTACATTCCGGTTTGAACTTTACTAAATACGACTCTATTCCTGTAAAAGTCAGTGGTCAAAACCCGCCTCCAAGCTTTGAAAGGGTAACTTATACTATCAAATGTTGCAAACAACAGATCTTTCAGTGACAAATCACCTGAACAATCTACACTGATCGATCCCTTTCGAACGATCTTTTTCATTATAAAGAAAAAGATTTGCAAATCTAACCTTTCTTTCCTTGTGTAGTTTGAACAAGCTAATCTACACCCTTGCATGAAAGAAAATGTTGCCTTAGCTCGTTATGTTGTCCCTACACCCGTTCAAGTAAGAATTAGATACAGATCTCTATCTATAAGACGGGGTGAGCCATTCCTCGCTTAACTGAATTTTTATTTTTTTTGAAACTAGAAATACAGTATTAGTATTGTAACAGCCGGTCGTGATTTGATGGCTTGCGCTCAAACAGGCTCTGGCAAAACAGCTGCCTTCCTTATCCCTACTTGCTCTGCTTTGTTTTACCAAGCATTAAATTTAATCCATCGCCCTCAACCCCATGACTATCGTTTCAAAGCCTCTCCACTTGTCTTGATCATGTCTCCCACTAGAGAACTCTCCATCCAGATTTTTGATGAAGCTCGTCGCGTAAGTGATAATAAAGAGGCTATTTCGATCAGAATGCTTGATATATGCCTAACGTGTGATCTTCCCTTTGTAGTTTTGTTACAGAAGTATGCTACGTCCTTGGTAAGTCCTCTTGATTTTGACAGAATCATTCCCTCTTCGTAATGACGATATCGAAATTGATAGCCTAAAGCTTTCTTGCCTTATAATTTTCCCAATTTGTCTCTAGCGTTGTCTATGGTGGTGCCGGTAGCGGTGGCCAGCTTCAGGAATTAGCTCGAGGATGTGATATTCTCATCGCTACTCCCGGTAGACTGGTCGACTTTATTGATCGTGGCAAAGTCGATTTGTCCCGTATAAAATACCTTGTTTTAGATGAAGCAGATCGTATGTTGGATATGGGTTTTGAGCCTCAAATTCGTCAAATTGTTCAGCAAAAAGGTAAAAGAAAATGACGGCTTTTGGTTTGGGCACACAGTGCAGAAGAGGAGCAAAAAAGGAGTCAAATAGTAACGGTTTATCCTTATTCACGGTTAGGTATGAATCGTGATCGCGTAACGCTTATGTACAGTGCTACCTTCCCTAGAGAAATTCGCACCTTGGCTCGTGATTTCCTGAAGCCTGATTATCTATTCTTGAAGGTTGGACGTGTGGGTGGTACCACCACTGACATTACTCAAAGAGTAAGTGCTTTTTTTAATGTTGATCAGCGTTACATGCCCTTAGCATTTCACGAACACATCCTAAAATAACTTGTTCTCAAAAGGTAATGTGGGTAGAAGAACAGGAAAAAAAGGAAACTCTCCGAAAGTTATTGGCGAGTGGACCACCTTGCCGCACATTGATCTTTGTTGAAACAAAGCGTATGGCGGATACGTAAGTATCTTCTCTTTGTATATCTTTCATTCAGCGCGATATAATACTAACTTTTTTTTTTCTTATTGGAATTGACCCTATTCTCAACAGCTTAGATCAGTTCTTATTCGACTCTGGCTTTCCCTGCACCTCTATCCATGGTGATAGAACACAGAACGAGCGTGAAGATGCCCTTTTGGCCTTCAAGTCTGGTACTTGCCCTATCTTGGTCGCCACCGCCGTGGTTGCACGTGGTATCGATGTCAAAAGTGTCATGCATGTAGTCAATTATGATATGCCACAAGACATTGACGAATATATCCATCGTATTGGTCGTACTGCTCGTGTGGGTAACTCTGGTTTAGCTACTAGCTTCTTCAATGATAGGGCTAGTAGTTTATGCAGAGATTTGACCAAACTTTTACTTGAATGCCGTCAAGACGTGCCTGAATTCTTAAAGCCGTATGTCACAAAGAATTTGAAATTCGATGACGATGATGATTGATAGGTTTTTATATGAATGTACATTAATATATAGTTACATATTGTTCCATGGATTATCTTTTCACCCACTCTTCGTTCTTTTTTTTTTTTTTGATCCTTTGTAATTTTAAACAAAAATTATTTATTCGAAAAGTCTAATATTTTTATTGATGTGTTTCTATTCATTTGCTCTGCTTCCTACTTTGAAGAATTAGATCGCTCCTAGCGAGCTTTAAAGGAATGGTTTTCTGTCTTCTAGGAGTCATAGGTGAATTTTCTAGAGTCGAGTTCTAATGTAACAGGACCTATATATTGTTGACCGAGCAGAGGCCGTCAGCTTTCTATTATTCCTACCAATCCTTCCGCTTTTTCATTGATACTCTTTGGAAGACTTACCGTCATTGCTAATATCAACAAGCATCATAGCACCAAATACACCATCTTTAGGTTTAAAAAGAGAAGGAAAAACAGGTAAGTACTTTAGTTTTTATTTTCGTTCTGGGGGTCTTTCACTTAGAAATGTACCACCACTCTCTCTTCGTACCTTTAATTTTAGATGGATCATAAGCTTTGCCAATTTTTTGTAAAAATTGCTCATACATGGCTTTAGCTGATTCTGACTTCATAGCTCTATGAAAATCTGGTTTGTTTCCTTTCACAGTTTGGCCTTGCAGTGTAAATTGAGAGACTAATCTTACGAAAGAAGATATTAAGGCAACTGCGAAACACACAAGAAAAGCCCTTCCTTATTCTTTTTACCACAGAGTAACTCTAATCCAGCATCTTTTACTCCTTTCTTCCACATTACTCCATTATCATCAAACACTCGAACATTTAGAATTTTATTGACCATGTAATCTACATCTTTGTCTGTATCGTCGGTGCCAATACCAAGTAAAACACACAGTCCTTTTTGTATGGAACTTACGACTTGTCCCTCAACTTGTTTTCATTTTTATTTTTTTTGATTAGTTGTCTTTCGATCTCTCTGATAAAATAAAATTGTGGAAAGAAGATTGCTGTTGTTACTATCCTACCTGTAACACTGGCTTTGGTGACTCTTTGAATGACGGCCCTCATTGCGTTTTTAAATAAGGGGAATTTACTTACAGTTCACGGAAAGAAGTGGCACTAAATAGCTTTAAAGTGGAGATGTGGTTCAAATTTTTTATTTTTATTTTTTTCTCGTTCTGTCAAAAAAAAAAACTAGATTTTCCTTTTTGAGGCCATTGTCAGATTGAAAATAAGGGTCACTCTGTCCGACATTTTTACTTTCCCAACTTACTTTTGTTTCTCCACTATAAACCTTTCATAGCTAAATCAGTAAGCCTATATACGAAATGAGTGGTAAAAGACCCAATCCTAGTAGTGGGGATGCAGAACCTTCGTCAGTCTCTACGCAACCTTCACGCCCGCCTTTAAAGAAAAGATTTACGAGTACTTTTAATATACAACAACGACAACAGCAGCAACAACAATTACAACAACAACAAGAAGAAGCGGCAGAAGCTGCAAGACAGAACATGCAACAATTACAATCACAAGTGCTACCTACCACCTCTGTTTCTACAGTCTCAATTGAGACACCAGACCTTCGCTCGCCCCAGATCAGATCAGATTCCCGTATTGACTTGACTGTAAGTCGTAGAGTTCTTACAGCCGGAATGTGTCCGAAAACTCACAATGTTCTATTAAAAATTAGCAACTTAACGTCAAAGAGCACTCTAAAGATGAGCTGCTAAAACGTATGCGAATTGCAAAGGTAAAATGTTGTTCATGCTAGACACTTTACAGTGAGCAATTCCTTATATGCTTTTTGCTTTTGGAAAACCATTTTAGGAGGATGCAAAAGAATTAGAAAAACATTACGATCTCATTAAAGAAAAATACTTTGATAAAGAAGCACAACAAAGTCTGTACAGAATAGAATGGGGCCTGGTAAAACACTTTCTTTCAATAACATTGGACTGATCAACCGGTTTTTTTTTAAAAAAAAAAAGAACTAACGGCACAACTTATTGATTTTTTTAAATTGGGGGTTTACTAGATACAAGCAGAAATTTTATTTATTGCTAAAATATTGATTGCAGTAGATATTACACCACCTCCAGGTGAGTAACGGTTTTATTTGGAAAAAGATCTTGGATAGGATTGTCATTGTAGAAATATAACTGAAACAGCGTATTTTGATGTTATGTGCGCACAGATTTTCCATTCAAACAACTCACCCTTGAGCAACAGAGAGATTGGAATTATCGCAATCAAACCGTCCTCAAAGAGCTAGGAACAAAAGCTCTCTCCGTACTAGAGACGTGGTGTCAACAAGCAGAAAGCACAGATCGTAAATTTCGTCAAGAAACAGACCTTCACCTAAAACAACTATTGGTTTCTGACTGGCTCAAATCAGAAATTGATTCCCTTCACAGTGCCTATCAACGTGGACAGCAAGTCGTAACGGAGTTGGAGCAAGGAGTACATAGCTTATTAGAACAAACCAATTTAGTTAAAGGCAATATACAACTAGTAACGACAGAAGTAGAATCTTCAGTAGAGAGATTGGAAGCTTGTATATCCGAGCTGGCAGCAGTGTGTAAACGACAAGATAGAAATCAGAGTAAACTAGTACAGGCATTGATGAATGGAGAGTTGGGAGACACTGTGAATCAACAGCAGCAACAACAGCAGCAGCCGACAAATCATACTGCTTCACCCACGGTTGATTCGGAACAATCAGAAACTGTACCTGCTACAACTTCGGCAGCAGAATCAGTGCAGGTAAAAACAAAAAGAAGAAAACTTGAAAAGGGTTTTGAGTGTTGATGGGTTACTTTTTTGAAATTGTTTATATGTATTTTACAGCCTCCTTCTACCACTGATGATCAAGCTATCAAAGCGCAACTAGAAGAACATAAACTTATCATATCAACCCGTGAAAAAGAATTCGACGACCTTAAACGTGATCGGCAGCTTCTCTTAAGAGAAGAAGAACGACTTGTTGGCATGTTTATGATGACTGAAGACCGTTTAGCCGAAACCGAATATGTGAAAACCCTCAGACTCTCTATTGAACACTATCGAGATCGTTGTTATCATTTGGAGCAGAAACGTGGGGAATTAGAAAAGGAAATAGATAAAATATCAGCTTCACGACAGCAAATGATTGAACAGGTCAAATCTGAGAAAGTAGCTCAAGGGATGACAATAGAATCAGAAATGAAACGGTTAGAAGGTGATTTGAATCGTATCAAAGGGCAAAGAGATCATTTTCAAGTGTTGGTAGAAGATCAGAAGATGAAAGAGAATCGAGAAAATGAAGCTCAGGAAAAGATTCAATCTCTTGCAGAACAAGGAAAGCAAAGAGTTGATATGCTTAAAGCAAGAATTGAGAAATTAAGGGAGGAAGAGAAACTGGCGAATCCATTTCAAGAAGAAGCAAAGATCTTCACAGAGTTGAAGGATAACATAAAGTAAACACTTCACGTATTAAAAGTATAGTTTCAACAAGATCAATGCTAATTACTTATTTCATTTCCATTACAACAGCCACGTACAAATGCTGCTATCTAGTTTGCAACTATTAGAAAGCCAAACGGCGCCCGAACTACGCGAGTCTACTCTAGCCTTGGAAAAGCAAATTGAGCAATGGAAATCGAATCCTTTACTGCGATCGTACGATTCTGTACTTGAAGAAACAAAAAAATCACAATTGGTGATTGATTTTCTAGAAAGCAATGAAAGCCAATTGTTGGAGGAAATTGATCGCGTAGCACGAATCTATAATAAATTAGAAGAACAGCAAAACAAGAAAGTTTTTGATTTGGCCCCTAAACGGGATCAAGCCTTGAAACTGCAAGCCGAGAAATCAAAATACGCACAGACATTCCCTTCATTATTAGCAGCTAAGGAGAAGCAAATCGCCGCTGTCGCATCATTACGTCTCACAAAGGAGAAGCAACAGGACTTAATACGACAATTGATGGATAAAGAGAAACCATTAGAGTATCAGGTGGTAAGTACATGCAATAAAATACTACCATATTATCTGAGCGCTGCTAATTAAAGAAAAAACACAAACTGTGCTCTAGTATGAAAAAGAAAAAGAAGTCCGTAAATTGAAAAAGACCATTGAAGAAGACCGTATAGACTTGGAAGACATCAATCATTTATGTGATGATTATCGCATTTCTATTGAGCAAAATGAAGCGCTTTTAGCAGAGCTACAGAGAATGTTACAAGAGAAGACAGAGCAATTTGAGGAAGAACAGCGGTTGCAGGAACAGATGGAAGAAGACTACGATAAACTAAAACGAAAATGGGATAGAATATCACAAGGTGAAAATCCAGCCGAACAACAACTAATAGATGAATGTGAAGAACTTAGGGTAAGTTAATTAAAAAAAAGCCGTTGAAGGTTGGTGAATCACTTTACATATTTCTCAAATTCAAATTCAATAGGCTCTACTGAAATGCAGTACGTGTCGACAGCGCTTTAGAACTCATATTTTAGATCGCTGTATGCATACATTCTGTAAAAACTGTATCGATGCTCGCTTAGAAACTCGACAAAGAAGGTGCCCGACGTGTGGTGAGCCATTTGGTGCCAGCAATGTCAAAAATTTTTACCTATAAATCAATAATCAAGCAAAACCCATCCTCCATTCTTTTGTGTATAGTCCTCATTTCTCAGCAAACATATTTATATTTCTTTTACTACTCTATTCATATACAGTATCGCTAGTACGTTAATTGTAATAAAGATATCCCGTCTATATCTAAAATAATTGCGCTTGATATGTATGTTATTATACTTCTCGTTGAATTCATCTTTGCATGTGAAAATGTAATTTGAGGAAGGCCCACTTTTGGGATCCGTAGAGGAATACGAAAATATTGTTCCATATAGCAAACTGTTTCTTCACTTTCATTTTCCCACATTCGACAAATCTTTGAGACTACATACTCAACACAACTGTATTAACGCGACAGATACGTATACGTGTACCTTGAAGGTCTCTAAAAGGAGATTCGTTAAATACAGTCTATAAGAAGGCATATTTGAAGTAACAAAATGAAATTGTAATGAGTAAATAAGGCTATAAGGTAGCAGTCATTCACCAACCGTTTTACGCTGGCAGAGGGGAAGAGATTAAAAAAGCTGAAGATCTACCATTTCTCAATATTTCTATACATGAGAAGGCATGTATGCATCTTGATTTTTTTCTTCCCGTGAGCATATGGCAGTACAAGATCTCTGATATAATCGTTTTATTTCAGATTACAAGGGAAGTGCAAGCATTAATAATGGCATATAACTATTATATAATGCTTCTTGTACTTGAAAACAAGTAGATCTGTTTTCATTCATCTTTTTCATCTATCAACTACCAGAAGAAGAAAGTCATCGTTGATGGCTTCATTTCAGTATCTTTTTCTTTCTTGCGTTGTCCATTGAAAAGATTAACAATGTTTATCTTCTAGTGAAACGTATTATCTTTTTGAAAGATACAAGTTGACTCTTTCAAAATGCGTAGCAACTTTGTATTGAAGTATAAAATCCCTTTATTTATTAATATTAATAATATAATGAAATAAGAGCATACTAAGTCAAGTATGAAATGATGAAGAACTGTTCATGGATGTTGCGTAATATAATACGATGTAAGTTAAATTGTGTAGTGACAATGATTGGGGTTATTTACAATAATAAAATGTTATGAAAGATAGTAATATGTAGGCTGAAGTATAATGAAGGATAAAACGAGTTACAGGATATTCACATTGATCTTTATATACGTTGTGGCTGCTTGACAAAGTTATCTTCAGCATTCTCACCAATATCTCTAGTACCTGCAGGTTGAACATTTTCAGCATTAGGCATACGAGCAAACTGTTCATGCTGTTGCATTTGTTGCTTATATAATTCAGCGTCTGAATTACCCATCATAGAAGGAGCGCTAGGAACCACAGGCTGACGTCCATCACCCTTCATACGATAGTTTTTACCACGAGAAGAATCAACACGGTTCACATTTTCATTATCGTTGTCTGAATCAGAGGAAGAGCTGGATGAAGCATTAGACTTACGGCGACCAAAGATTTCTTTTACAGCTCCTTTGAAACCCTTGCCAGTGGAATTGCTAGAAGCATCCTCATCCGCGCCGGAAGTCGTGACATGAGGTGTAGCGAAATTGCTATCGCTAGAGCGGTATACATCACTCATATTGTTATATTGAGGTCGGCCAGCACCGCCAGCCAAGACATTGGGAGCATTGCTGCCATTATTGTTTCTGAGTACGCGAGATTGGGCGCGGTATACACCACGGATATCATTGGCTTGTTGTAGATCGCCAGAAGTAACTGAGGAAGTATCAGAGAGAGCATCGGTAGGTTGATATCCTTGAGCATTACCACGATACACTTCGTTGATATCATTGTATTGGTCATCATCCTCAGTGAGGAGTTGATTCTTACGGTAAGCATTAGAAAGATCGTTGTAGCCAGTTTCAGTAAAATGCGTAGAAACGAGACCTCGCTCACCATCATTACAGCGATTGTCACTGTGGGTGACACCAGTAGGGCTCGAAGGAGAAGCAGGTGACTGACCATTGATAGCACCACCACGGGTATTGTAAGTAGGGCTCATGACACGGTTAGTGTTGGTGCTTATAGCTGGTTTTTGCTGATGTTGACTTTGAATGTTTAGATCATCAGTAGAACCAGTAGCAGGACGTTCACCGTGGAGCTCGGGTTCTTGAACGTGGTTCAACATAGGATGGTTCTTATCAGCAGACGCTTCATTACATACATTGTCGTGGATAGCAGGGCTAGCTGTTTGGCCGTGAATAGCAGGCTCATCATCTGCGCTGATATTCAAATTTTGGGTACGAGTGACCATATCGTCGGTATCATTCTTCAAATCAGAAGTTTGTTTGTTATCCTTTTCGGCAGCAGGCTTAGCTTGTGATTGGCCGTACATACGAGCTGTGTTTCGATCCAGACATTCAGGTTGACGTTGTTCTTCCTTAGAGCTGCGCATAGGTTGAGAGGAAGGGAAAAGTCAAATGAGATAGTTAAAAAGACATGTCAGTTAGGTTTCCTTTTTCTTTCAATTCTAACTCCCAAATTTCTCGTTCACGCTAAAAGAAAAGAAGAATGATAGCTTTACCTGGCTTGACCGCCAATATCTTGTTCATTGTTGAACAAAGCGTTCAGAATCCTTCTAGGCATCTTAATAGTTTTGAAATATGTGTCAGAGCAAAAAAAAAAAAACAAAAACAAAAAAAAAACAAAACACAAAAAAAAACCACCAAAAAATAGGCTTAAGTATATATTACAACAGAGGTGAAAACGAGAAGAAAAAGCTCTTGACTGATTTGAATTCGAATTCCTTTATTGATTTTATGCATGGAACTTTGGAAAAGTAGGTCGGCATGGGTGTTTTCAAAAATATAATTAGATAATTGTTTCACTTTTTTTTTTTTTTACTTTTGGGAAAAGGTTAAAGGTGGAATCAAAAAGTGTCTGTGGGTTAACGCGAATAATTTTGCACATTAACTGCGGAGGAAGTGAAACAGTGAGGACCAAAAAAAAAAGGTTGGGTTTCTAAAAGACGATCAAAAGACCACTGGAGACGCTGATCTATGCGCTCATGTTACACGAAGCATGGACGTTCTATCACAATCAAAGAGATAATTAAGTAGCTCTGTAAAAGGAAGGCGATTGGTGTTAATGAGACAACTCATTACTGTACGTGAGCAAACGATGACACGTCAGGAGTAATATAAGGTACCTTCATTTTATAGATCCTGCAATTCTGAACCCTTCTATCTAGATTTCTTTAAGTTACAAAGTTGAGTTTGCTGTGTTTTGTGATTTTTACATTGCAGTATGTACGTTGGTCTAGAATCCGACAAGGTAATCAAAAGCTCATTCTGGCGTTCTTTCCTATTCTAAAAGTGTAGCAATAAGATAAGATTACAGGTATACATTGACCAAAACTAACCGAGCTTTTATATAAGCTAAGCAATACGTAAGAGAACCGTACATCATATTCTTCTTTCGGCTAATATTTTATAAAACAGTTTTTTTGACGGAAGATAGGAATATCACACAAACTTAGCAAAGATTTTTACAGTATCTATTATACATAAAAGCAGAAGCGTCAGTTAGTCTTGTGTGATTCTGTAACATTTTGGTATACATATGTTTTGGATCCAATGCAATATATTTCGTACATAACTATATAGGTGTACTTCATCCTGATTCTTACCTTCCAAAATTAAGCAGTCTATTCGTTATCCATCAGCCCCAATGCTGTGGCTTTACGTTCTTCAACTCTAAATGTTCTTTTTTTTTTCAATCTTTATTAGCGGCGATGCATTTTATGTTTGTCTTCTGGAAAACCCAAAGTAGACATTATTTTTGGGTAAGACTCTCCCCTTATTAAGAAAGAGACTTGTGCGTTACAGCTTAGACTCTATAAGCCTAAGGCAGCTGTTATTGTTCAAAGCGAGTATATGCGTCAAAAATGGATCTTCTAAGATCAAGCTTCCAATTTTTCAGGCACGGTACTCTAAGAAAATGCGTAAAACCGATACAACAGCCACACACAAAGGAGAAACCAAGGGTACGTCCAGTTCTTTTGCCATTTACCCGAACAATCTGTTTCTGTCGTTCGATGCGTCCTTAAAATAGTTGTCATAACAGTGTTTGGTTGAGAGTTTGGGGTGCGCAGTCGTGATAAGCCGTCCTTTTGGTTCTTTGTTGAAGCGGACGTTGTTGAATTTGAAGCTATACGTGTGGAAATAGCTCTGATAGCCATTTTAGGCTTCAGCTTTTTTCATTTCGTTACTATATTTGTTACTGAGTCAGAAATCAACAGATCTGATAGCCTCTCATTTGAGAAAGATGATAAAGGATAGTACAAGTCATACATGAGAGTAAAGCAAGCATAGTACTATTTTTCTTTTATCCGTATTGCTGGAACAGGAGATCCGGCTTTGATCCCTTCATTCATGACAATATTCTGTAGCAGTTTGGCAAACGGGATCCTTACCGAGAAAACGTTTTACTTTCTTTCTGTCTCGAAAAAAGTACAACGGCTTTTTTTTCTTGCTATAAATGCGCGGATCTCTTCCAAGATTGATTCGTTTGATTTCGTTTCAGTTCGGTTGTATAATAAAAAAAAAAGGTCAAATTGATAAGCACAAAAATCTGTTAGAAAATAGTGGAGGAACGAGCTCATGCAGCTTCTCCTTCGAAGAAATTGATGGTAAGGTATTACCAAATCCATTATGCACATACAGCAATCGACCTGAAACGTCACTCCCAGAACATCCGTCTTCCAGAATCATGAAAGCCGAATAGAGTAATATAAGCCCTAGCCACGTCAAGCTTGAAACAGCAGCGGAATTTATGTCTTTTGCATTTTCTTTTTTGTTTGTTGGATTCAACGGGAAAACTTTCCCCACATAATTATATATAGCAGAGCCCGCGAATGAACCGTACTACACGCTCCGATCTAGAGCATGGCTTTACAGCGAAAATCAACAGCTAAACTCTGTTTCGGTTTCCATGCTGGATTCCTCTAAGATGAAATTGGCTGAGGATACGAATGTAGGAAAGATTTGACATTGCGAAGGATAATACTTCAGGCAATCTTAGTATATTTAGATAGCCATCCACGGTGAAGTTAGGCGTCGTTACGTTCAACATATTTTATCTCATAAACGTGCATCGAAGAAAATGAGATGCTTTCTTAATCATCTCTTCAATATCAAGAAGCTTTGATGAAAATAACGAGAATTGGAACATGATGAAATCTTTAGATATTGCAGATTGGTTTTAAGCTTTCTAAAATACTCTCTCCTATGGATTCATATGTAGCACTAAATACCCATAAGCAGATATTCTCTTCTCCTGAGAGCATCTAGCTGTTCATGAGTAAAACCGAAAACAAAATCACAGCGTTTCCCTCCTTTTTTTTTTTTTGGTTAGATTTACTGGTAAAAAAGAATTAGACTGATAACTGACATGCATAAGTAAAGCATGTATGAGTACTAAAATCACAAGGGGAAGTGAGGGAGCAGTAAATTCTACATCTGATAGGAGAAAAATTGAAGAGCATTTATTATCGCTTTGGAAAAAGGAAACAAACAAATCTAACAACTTAATAGCCAGTCCATTTTACTGATTTTACATTAAGCTTGTCTCCGGATGCTGGTCCCAAGTAACAGCATCAAAAAGCCTTGCAGCAATGTACAGAAATATTCACGGATTACGAAATTCGCAAAGGAGTTTGTTTCTTCTGATTTTCTATTTCATCTATCTGCAGAGAAACTTATCATCAAGTAGTTGTAAGTACGGATCACGAAAAGGTTATACGTTGCAAACCGGAAAGAAGATTAAAGGAGAAGAACAAAGATCTTTTTACTGCCATTTCAATCAAATGTATTTCCTTTCTCCTATTACAAAGACTCTTCAACAACTGCAGATCTGCAAAAATGAGAAATCAGTATAAAACTGATCTAAAAGATTGCGGTTATTTTAGTTTTTTTTTTTTCATTAATACCCTTCGTATCAATAATAAAAGCTTACCAACCTTCAAAAAAATCATAATACTTAATAATAATGAAGACAATTGCTTTCGTCACAATCACTGTCGCCACTTTGCTCAATGTTGCTTATTGTATCGCACCTCTTGGCGGTTTAACTAGTGCTATTACCAATACCGGTGCCTTAGAAGGTGTTGGTGGTGGCTTACTTGGCGGAATTAAGTCATCCGATAAAGCCAGTCCTCAATCTATGGATAGAAGCTTCCAAACAAGAAAGATGAGACGAAACTTTGCCAAAAGAGGTCTTCCTCTTGCTGATAACCTTCCCGGTGTTAGCAGTCTTTTAGGCGGTGGTAATAAAGGCGACGCTCAAAAAGCCTCGACAGATGGTTCTGATTTCCCAGGTAGCGAAGCCTTTAAGAACGCCTTCCCTTCTTCTTTCGATGATACCAAGCCCAAGTCTTCAGGTGGCCTTGGTGCTGGTCTCTTAGATAAACTTCCCGTCGGCATGTAATTTACTTTCTACTTTAAATAGCTTTAAACCCTTCTGTATTTAATTACAAGAGTATAAATTTCCCATTCTATCATATCATTTACTATAACTGTAAATGCTTCATCATTAGAAACCATTGAAATCTTTAATCCATTTTTTTCTTTTTTTTTTTTTTTACTCAACTGTTACAGATACAGTGAAATAAAAAGACCCTTACCAATCCTTGAAATACTAGTCAGTTAGATCGTTTCTTGGGCTATTTTATCGGCATTATATGGTACAGGGATTAATCGATTAAATTTTCCAGTAGTAATCATTGCTGAAAAAGGCAGCCTTTTTGATCCATTCAGAGCATAACGTCTCGAGAAAGAGTCCAAATAAAGCTGTTGAATGAGAGAGTGGAGATCCTATGAGGCTCAGATACAAGCTTTTTGACTGTCGTTCACGAATGAGGGTCATAGAATTTTTTATTAGAGTTTTCTGAAGTCGTCTCATTTCTATTCATTTTGAAAGCCTTGGTGGACAACAGGCAAATACCTTAGTGTATAAACTGTTGGTCTAACTTTTATAGAAATAGCTAGTTTTTATAACGTTTAGGCAAAGGATTGAAACTAAACGTAATTGTTGTAGTATTTAACGAGTACGTCATAGATAAAACTCTGATTATAAGGGTAGCAGCTCTTTTCTGTATAGTCAAAGGCAAATTAATTCACATATTAAAGATATGAGATATGCAATCATAGAAGCCCTTTAAAAGATTTAGGCTTGCTACATTGGGATCAACAAGGGATTTTGCTTTATAACAGTACCCAATTCTCCCTTTGTTAGAACGATTCCTACACTGACCAAATACCAATGTGTTCTTTGGTATATAAACTGAGGACTTTCTTGATCTCAGATTGTTTTATTTTCTTCTCTCATCTATATTATTCTTTTGAACACTTGTATAGCTCTGTTAAACAATCCACCAATACAATGAAAGCCACTACCGTCTTAGCATTCACTCTCTCAACTGTTATCAACTTTGCATTTGCTTCATCTGTCACCCACCAAGGAGCTTCTGCTGGTCTCGCTTCTGTCGGTCATCAAGGTAATGCTAATTTTGCTGCGCTCTCTAGCGCTCAAAAGAAAAACAGAGCTGTCAAAAGAACAATTGGCAACAGCAAGAAAATTGAAGATGAACTCAGTCTTGATGCCCTTGTTAACGATCTTCTTGCTGTAGCTGACGATCAAGCAAGCTTATCCAAGCGTGGTCTTCCTTTGCTCGATAGTCTCCTCGGTGGTGCTACCGGTGGTCTCACCGGTGGTGGTTCAAAAGCTGACACTTATGAAGCTGAATCTTACGAAAAGCCTAGCAGCCCTGATGCTTACAGAGAGAATTACAGAGATGTCTACAAAGATAGTTACAACACCAAGGATCCTCACAAGAGTGCTCGCAAGGATGTTTACAAGGATGGCTATAAAAATGATTATGTCTACAAGAAGTCTTCCAATGATGCTAAGGTCTCTCCTGCTTCTGCTGCTTCTCCTGACAAAGCCACCGCCGCTGATGACAGCGATGCTCTTGAAAAGGGTGGTAATGGTGGCCTCCTTCTTGGCAACCTTCCTTTGTTAGGTTAAACAAAGTCCTTTGATTATTCTGTAATTAGCTCTTGTTATTATTACGAAGAACTTTACTGCCTCATTTTATTTTTATTGTTTCAAGTCTAAAACATCATTTCTAACACGAACATACACACATACACGCACATTATATAATATATTCGACAAATTTTTCTTTCAATAAACCGAATCATTTTCTAAGCTGTCTTTTATAATGAAAGGACCTTCTTGACGTCATCTTTTTTTTTAAACAAAAGAAAAAAAAAGCTGCAAAAAAAGCTGGAGTGTGCGGGGTTAAACAATGGAAAACAAAGATGCAGTAAGAAAACCAATTTCGTTTTTTTTTTTTACCCCTCATTTTTTTCATTTCTTTCAACAAATAAACATCAACTCTACTCTCCCCACTCTACCTATCTATCTAATACTTATTTATTACAATGGCTACTTCAGCACTTGGATTACAGTTTGCTAAGAGAGTTTTATGTAAGTTTATCAGTCTAAAAAGTGACGACAACGGCCTCTCATTGACATTGTTTACATTTCTTCGTTAATGCCAACTTGATCGCTCATAACCAACATACAATTATGATATAATGTACATATATATATATAAATCATATGTAGCATCCACAGCACCCAAATATCTTCCTACTACTACACAACGGTTCATGTCAACAGAAGTCGTCAGAAATATTGATGAAATTAAAGATATCACCGTCACTCCCAATAACAGCGCAGGTTAGATTAATAAAATTCTGGGGGAGACGAAAGAGTTGAATTTTTGAAAATACGCAGTGCATTAATAACGTCTTTTTCTTGTCACCTATACGAATTTACACATACTACAGAATATGTTTTATCCACAGTCGACAGAGTCATCAACTGGGCTCGTGAGGGTTCTATTTGGCCCATGACTTTCGGTTTGGCTTGTTGCGCTGTTGTAAGTTTTTGCTTTTCTACTTTTGTAAGCATAAATCGAAAAAGGAGGGATGTCTAATAGTGTTTGCTATCCAAAGGAAATGATGCATTGTTCAACACCACGCTACGATCAAGATCGTATTGGTATTGTTTTTCGTGCCACACCTCGTCAATCAGATGTTATGATTGTTGCGGGAACATTGACTAATAAAATGGCTCCTGCTTTAAGAAAAGTATATGATCAGGTAAAAATGGAAACTCTATATTTCAAAAGAAGGGAATGATTGCAATCAAATGTAATGGGTTGGCGGCTTAATTGATTTTACTTTTTGTTATCTCAATATAGATGCCAGAACCCCGTTGGGTAATTTCTATGGGAAGTTGTGCTAACGGCGGTGGTTATTATCATTACTCATATTCAGTGGTCCGTGGATGTGATCGTATTGTGCCTGTCGATATTTATGTGCCTGGTTGTCCTCCTACTTCTGAAGCATTATTGTATGGTATTTTCCAACTACAGAAGAAAATGAGAAGAGTAAGTAGCGATATATTAGTATTACTTTGCTTTTTATCTTATCAACTTACTCAATAATAATCTGTATACTTATTATTAATAGACCAAGATTACTCAACTTTGGTACAGAAAGTAGAAGAACAAATTCATATAGACAAAACAAATACCAACTCAATGCGTATGACGTTAAACAATTTGAAGATTAGGGCTCTATTTTTTTTATCATTTATATTGTATCATAAACTTGCAGTAAATTATATCATGATTTAAAGATGAGGTTAATTTTGACTGGCTAATAGTTTGATTGTTTGATTTTGAACAGTAACTGTTGTTCATTCACAGCTGCTCAAACTTGCGCCACACAAAATGATGAGCAGCATACAACAGTGCGCTCGTAAAATCAGATATTGCTAAGTATTTCAGTATACATTCTTTTCGCTTTTTTAGCGTTTCGAAGAATACTTTTTGAGCCACTTATTGCGAATGCATATTTCTAAACTGCCTTACGCAGTTATAATGATTGCGGATAAAAGGTGTTTATTTTTAAAAGAATGTTCCAGCCACTTCTAACACCCGATAGATAATGCGTATCTTACAAGAACAGTCGCGTCTCACAATAATTGTCTGTAAGCACGATCACCCATAGAAAGACAGTTAAACTAAACCTGGTTTTCTTTTAAAGAAAAGGCCCGTTTTTACAGCTAATGAAGCCAGGACTTTTCTAAATTTAGACAAGATTGATCGTGATTCGGAACAGAGAGCGACAATTGTCGTATCTATAAAGTATAGAAAGCATCATCAACACACTAGAAGCTAAACTATAGTGTCGGTTATTGCATCGTATGTACATATACGAAACTAATGGCAGGCTTATTATAAGCTCTTGTCTTTGAAGAGAGATCAAAACTATTGTAACTCCTTTGGTACAGCAGGCCTTCGTTTTGCCAATTATTACAAAAGTAAACAAAGCTGAATTGAAAGACTTAGTAATCAACGTGGAGTCAAGCATTTATAACAAATTTATCAGGCGCAGCGACTCATCGTAAGTGACAAATATCAACACCAATAACAATATAAAGACCTTCACAGTTGCTGTCAATTCAAGTGCAATTAGTTTGAATTGTTTTTTCAGTTTATCAACGGCACTACACGATTTCATTCTGACAATGTCATTTTCTCAGCTTCTGTTTCTCTCGAAAAAGGATAAAGACTGTGAATCGACAAGATGTGCTTCTAGAACAAACAAGAAAAGAAAAAACTTTTTTACTAATTTCTTACGTGATCCCATTTGATTATTTCATTTCATGACTTTATCATTGAACTATCTACTGTTTATAAAATTCTTACAATTGATATAAAATGCAGTGAAAGCACATTGCTTTTACGAAGCTATCATAATAATGCTCACCCATCTCTCTCTCTCAACTGTTGCAGTCTTATCTCGGCCTTTGAGTATTCAAAATACTTTCTTATTGCCGTTAATTAAACTGACACGCGGTAAATAGGGTACTTTATCGTCCTTACCCTTCAACTTTCTGCTAATTTTAGAAAAACTACAAATTGAAATTAGGCAATAACATATAATCAATCTCTGACGGTTTTGAACAATACAGTGATAAATGTTCTTTCTATGATGGGACGACACCATCTCAATTGTTATAGTAAGCAAGGGCGATCTTTAAGGTAATGAAATAAGACTTCCCACATATATCCTTCTCTATGGCATTACATGGATATCCTTCGTGGTCTGTGTAAACTAAGCAGGCTTGTCCCAAGTATCTCCCTTTTTCTCCTTCGCTTGAGTATAATTCGAATGATGGAAGCCTTCCGCGAAAAAATTATGCGGTTGAAGCAAGGTATATTTTTTGAAAAATTGTAATTTGTCTATCATCCCTTCCAATTTTTCTGGTTCAAGCAAAATAAAATAAATTATAAAACAACGCTATAACCCATCATTTCAAAAAAGGCGTTCGATTATACAAATAAACAATGAGAAAGTGGCGGGAGGGGAAGATTGATCCAACTGTCTGCTACTGACAGCAATTTTTTAATTCGAGGATCTTACTGCCATCCTAATAGTCTCAGCGGTGACTTGGCGGTATGAGGATCTTCAAGGATTGGCAATAGATCAAACATACGATAGAAACAGTGGAAAAGCTAAATTGAGTAAAGCGCGGAAAGTCTGCTCCGCATAGAGCTGCACCCTTTCTTTTTCTCTAGAAATTTCTTACTAAACAAAGGTTATTGCTTACCATTCTTTGTTCAATGAACGAATCTTTCTTGGTTGTGTTCTACAGTGATTTCGATCTTTCAGCAATTATTATTTTGAATTGATCATTAGATAAAAATGCTTGACAGACGAGAATTCTTACTTTAAAGGTTACTGATTCTTTTAAAGAAAAAAAAGGATCAACCGTCAAACCGATGTCTGAACCTTTGTTTCAAATCCTTAGTTCCTAATCAATATTCAACAACAGCCTCACTCTTCTACTGCCAGCTGAGAACCTAATCTCCGGATGAAGCGAATAAGTGCACGGTTTCCAATAATAGCACACTGAACGTAAACCACCCTTCTCTTTTTACAAAGCATTTTCGCTCTGTTTCTTTATTTTGAAATACCTTATTTCTGGCCGTCAAAAATAAATGGACTACATTTTATTCTTGCTTTCTCTTTCTCTTTTTAACAACTTTTCACTGTTGGTCTCATTGTATTCTGTTATACTAACATCACTTTCATTTTGAATCTCTGAAACCAATATGCCTAAAAAGGATGACAAACTAGATAGCAATTCAGATTCTGCAGAAACAAAGCGGGAAACGGATAAAGACGACAGCGATAATCCAGCTGATGATTCATCATATCCGAAAGAAACGTCAAAAGAAGAAGGAGATGAGGATGAAAAGGCTGCTACCACGGAAAAGAATGCTACTGATGAAAATGACAAAAAAAAGCATGCTGCGAAGTCTGAGGAAGAAATTGATTCGGCGAAGAGTGCCACAAAAACCACAGATAGTAGTAATGATGATGATGATGCTGATGTTGCAGAAAACAGCTCTTCTGACAGGAATAAAGGTGACACCAAGAAAACGGAAACGGAAGAGCCGACGGATGCTGATCGTACAACTTCAGAAAGGGTTAAAGAAACAGATTCTGCGACCAGCGACGATGATTCACCTTCTACTAAAGAAACTGAAAAGCCATCTCGTACAAGACATGAAACAAAATCTAAAGATGAAGCTACTTCTAGCGGTAGCGATGATAAAGATAGTTCTACGAATGAGAGAAAACCTACTACAACAAATGAGGAGGAAGAGACAACTAGAAGCAGTGCCTCAAGTAGGACAGAAAAGGAAGAACCAACAAAAAGAGCTTCATCAAATAGCAGTGAAGACGAAGAACCCACTAGTAGTATTGATAATACACCAAGTGCAGTAGACCATAGGAAGACAACCAACGAAGAAGAAACGCCTCAAGATGAAACTACTTCTATCAATAATAGCAGTGAAAATGCTAATTCTACCGATGATACAAAACCTACTACAATAGATGAGGAAGAAGACAGACCTACTAGCAGTGCCTCAAATAGGACGGAAAAGAAAGAAGTAACAAAAGGAGCTTCATCAAGTAGCAGCGAAGAAGAAAAACCAACGAAAAGTGCCTCTTCAAATAGCAGTGAAGAGGAAGCGCCGACAAAAAGCGATCCATCTAGCAGCAATGAAGAGGAATCGCCAACAAATAGTTCCCCATCAAGTAGCAATGTAGAGGAAGAGCCCACTGGTACACCGAGTGATGTCGACCACAAGAAGAGAGCCAGTGAGGAGGAAATGTCTAAAGATAAAGCTACTTCTATCAGTAACAGTAGTGAAAATGCTAACTCTACGAAAGTTGTAACACCTACTACAACGGACGGGGAAGAAGAGAGACCAAGTAGCAGTGCCTCAAATAAAGAGGAAAAGGAAGAGCCAACGAAAAGAACTGCATCAAGTAGCAGTGAAGATGAAGAGCCCACTGGTAGTACTGATCCTTCAACAAGTGACGAAGACAAGATTAAAACATCCAGTGACAATGCAGCTACTGATTCAGAGAAACCTACAACCAGTACTTCTAATAAAACTTCCGTCACAACTGAGGATCCAGAACCTACTTCAGAAAGTATAACAATGACCTCAAAATCTGATAATCCTACGACTGGAAGCCACACCAGTAGCGATGAACCAAAGCCGACCATTACCTCCAGTTCATCTACTGAAACGGAGCCTACCAGCACAGATTCATCACCTACTACTACTCCAATGGAAATATCCTCCACCTCAACAACGGAGGATTCCTCAACCGTTGCTACTACAGACACTAAAACTTACAACACCCAATCTACCGATTCGACTCCTACTACTTCGGATGAAGCTTCTACAACATCAGTAACAAACTCGTCCTCAACAGCTGACAACGCGCCCACCGTTTCCAGTACCGACTATACTTCAGATACTGAGAGTCCTACGACAAACTCGACACCTTCACCTGCAACAGTTATTCCAACAGAAAGTTCAACTCTTACCTCGACTACAGATCGTACTACTGCTACATCGGCTACTACCGATGCTGAATTACCTACTAGCAGCAGTTTGACGAAAAGTGTTTCTCCATCAACTACAGCTGACCCCACAATATTACCCACTGATAGCACTACAGCAACCGCTTCGGTTAGTGAACTACCAACAAGTAGTAATATCATTCCAGAGCCTACCACTTCAGCCACAGCTACGACAGATTCTGCATCGCCAACAACAACAGAAACAAGTAGTGATGCTATTTCAGAAACGGTATCAAACTCGACCCCTACGTCTACTCCCAATCCTACTGTGTCATCAATATCAAGTGATATCATTAGTTCAGCATCCGATGTGCCAACAATAACACCAACAACGACTTCCACATCCATTCAATCCTCAGACACAATAAGTACTAGTACTACTAATACTGCAATAAGCTCAAGTCCGACAGATTCTTCAGTTACATCGCCTACATTTACAACAGCCACACCCCCACCAACAGAGAGCAGTATTTCATCGACACTGCCAACGATTACTTCGGATACAAAGTAAGTACTTTTGTTATGTTTCGTCTTCATATGAAGTTGACTATTTTTGTACACCTTTTACCCTTTTTTGATTTGAGATTTATCGATCTCCGTTTCTATATAAAAATCTCGCTTACTATTTATAACCGTTCTTTTACTTTTTTAATAACTAATTTTCCCTTTATTCCTTTTTTCTGCTTTTTGTCTGCAGCGTTCCGGCTTCTGCAACAAGTTTGACAGGAACAGAACCGTCTTCCTTTTCTCCTACACCTTCACCTACTACTGCTACTACAGCCTCATCTACGATTGATAGTCTATTACCTACAACAAGTAATACCATGTCTGCAACAAGTGCTACAGAGCAAGTGCCAACGACATCAGAATCAATTCTCATAACGGAACAATCAAATACACCATCCACTATTGTCTCTTCAACAACAGATAACGTAAGTCGTTCTACTCCCTCTTCCTCCTCTCTTGACCCAATCACTACTTCTTCCACAACACCCGACGCCAGCGAATCTACTATTTCTACTACTGCTGGAACTATTACTGCAACTTCATCTTCAAACTCACCTGCGCCCTCATCAACGGATTCGGAATCTGTTATGCCCACTTCTTCTTTTACTCCCACATCAACGAGTAGTAACAGTAGCTCTAGTGTTAGCAACAGCAGTAGTAGCAGTAGTACATTCTCTGAGCCAACCCCTACTATTTCTTCATCGATAACAGTTGCTTCCTCTTCTCTCACATCAGAAATACCTATCTCATCTACTTTTCTATCCTCTACTTCCGAACAGGCCCAGCCATCAACTAGCCTTTCGTCAGATGTATTACCTTCTTCAACAATAATACCAACAACGACTACAACCTCCAATGAACCAAGTATAACAGCTATTTCCTCCACGATATCTTTTTCGAAAACTTCGGATACAATCTCTTTGACAACTACCCCACTATCTACAACCCCAACTCCCACTCCTGCTCCTACTCCAACTCCAACTCCAACTCCCACTCCAATATCTACCATGACCATGAGTAGTAGCCCAATATCATCTGATCCGATAATGAGTTCAACACAGCCTCCAACATCACTCAGTTCATCAGTAAGGTACCGTACGACAAGTACTACCATCTCTACAGATATTACAACAACAACCGCTATTGTGTCTAATGGCATAACTATTACTGTCACAACTGTCATACCTACTACGTAAGTTTGATAGAAAAGCAATCCAAACTTTTGAACCTTATCGACTAATAATTTGGCATTCTTTATTTCTTTTGTCTTGCTCTGCCTTTCTCTATTTTCAAAACTTACTCAATAGTACCGTGATACCCACACTAGCAATAGATAATAGCCCAGATCTATCTAATTCGCCCACACCCACTGGTAGCATCGTTGGTGGTGTTGTGGGTGGCGCGGCAGGTGTAGCCTTAGTGGCAGCAGGACTTGTGTTAATGAGAAGACGCCATAAGAAGAAATCACTTACGCGAGAGCAACAAAGAATGTTTGATGAAGAATTTTATAGTGATCCTTATCGACAAAATGGTGACTTCATTGGTGGCAGTAATTATCCAGGCACGACTGAAGCGGAATACATGAATCCTCAAAATACTTCTATACTAGACGACGATGATGCTGACTTTTATAGGTCAAAAGCGAAAGGAAGATCATGGCTGTCTAATTTATTCAAAAAATAGTATATATTCTAGCTTATTGTATAGCAATAGAGTAAAGGCTTATCTTTGGATTTTTCCTTATGCTATTGTCACTTAATTATTAGCGGGCATAATGCAATCTTTTAGGTTGCATTTTCAGCGACCAAATTTTCATTGGCTTTGAAAAAACTGACACCTTTTCGAAAAGCTTAAAAAAAAAAAAAAGAAGGGCTGTTGTCATTTCTAATATTGCTAAAATGAAAATGCATAATAAAATGCCCAGCGTTTTGTTTTTCTCTTCTCTTCCTTTTCACGTTTCTCTTTCTTATTGATTCTTCTAGGCTTAACTTTCTGCTTTTTTGCCTTCTTCATTTTCAATGCCAGACGATAATACAGTTTCACTCAAAAGGCATGAATACGCCAACAATTTGCAAGTGTGTAGAATATGTCTCGAAAGTGATAAAGTAGAGCATCTAATATCACCATGTCATTGCAAAGGCTCTATGTAAATTTCTATACAAAATTATGGCATTATGAAGAGATAAAATGCTGTTTCTGAACATTGTGGCATCTCTCTTTAACCATAGAAAATATGTTCACCCTCATTGCATGGCGGGATGGAGGAAAACACTTTCAGAAACAGGTAGAGAAAGCGATCTATATCATTGTCAACTCTGCAAACAGCGACTTTATATCAAGCAGAAACGGCTACTTATGGCTTTATTACAATTTAGACGTAAGCAGCTAGACTCTCTTCAACAGCAACAACGAGCTATACAATTAACTTTAATTTATTAGTCATACGTGTGATGGTTGCAGTGTTTATTCTGGCTTTATTATTGATTCCAGCAGGTATATGTAAATCGACGAGAAAAGTTTATACGACAATCTTAACATTAATTTACTTTAGGAAACTTGATGAAAGCTTTCATCCACTTTTCAGTTCTATTAACAAATTATCCTGGAGGGTTAGCCAGAGCCTGGACAAATAACTCCTTTATGAAATTGCTTTTCACAACCAGCCAAACCTCGCTACTTTCCTCCTTTTCATCCTCTGCCACTATTGTCAACAGCAGCACAAACAGCACTTTCCAATTATTATACGCTCCGTTTCCTGTTTGCTTCTCTCCAAGCAACAGTGGAACGCACGCGCTATTGTCAAACGAGCTATTATACTACTTCCTGTTCCCTTTTTCAGATGAAAGATTATGGCAGCTCGTTTTATGTAAACTGGAACATTTTCACTTAGGCTTCTTCTTACTCGGAAGTCTCAATAACATTTACTTCACGTATAAAATCTTGAATGATATGTTTGATATTGTTCTACTTGGGCAAGATCAACAGCAACAACAACTGGATGACAATCCAATCAACAACGACAATATCGAACCGGACAATATAACAAAAAGAATGTGTAAAATATTGAAAGGCTTTTTGTTGGTTTATTGCTGTTCCTTGGTCATACTATTTTGGATCCACTTTAATATATTTGCTTTCCATATCGACTCCTCTCAATCTGCATACACATCAAGACAGTTTGTTGCAGAATTACCATTGTGGATTTTGCGATGGGTGACGTTGGGTATTGCGGTGGTGGATTTTACTGCACGAGGTATTTATTCTTGGTTATCTCGGTACACGATGCGCGTTGATGAAGAAGATGTCATGTCTTTACCTGAGAATGAAAAACCGTATCTTTTCTTTTGAATCTCTCATCTCCAGTTTATACCGATCCTTTGCCGTAATGGAAGCATACAACATTGAAGTCATGAAAAAATTCAGCCTTATTTATTCTTTAATTGTTCATCGTATACCTCGCAAATATAATTGTTGTACAAAATTTTGACCCTTTTGCTAATCTAATATTTTTTGCTTTCCTATCTTAATATTTCTTTCCTGCACTTCAACATAACAAGGTCTAATAGTTCGATAAAGTTGCTCCTCTAAATAAAAAACCTGAAATCAAGTGATACTCTGCAAAAAAAAAAAGGATAATGATGGTGAAATATACAGCTCTTGCTTTTAATGAAAAATTAATAGAAAAGAAAATTTGTTCAGAGAGATATGCTATACTTAAGCTTCAACGGGTTGCTCAGCAGCAGCGACAGGGGCAGCAGGAGCAGGTCTGAAATCTTGAGCAGAGGGTTCAAGGATAGGAGTATCATCCTTGGGTTCAAGGATGGTGACAATATCAGGTAAGGTTTGCTTGGGGCCATTACGACCAGTGGGGTCATTATCCAACATAATCTTAACCTTGATACCCAAGACACCTTGACGCAAATCAACGTGACGAACGGCAGTGGTAATGAATTCACGAGCAGGGTTACCAGAATGGATCATGAAGCCTTGGGAGAACTTCATGGCCTTGGCACGAGCAGCACGAACCTTACCAGAAACAACAACTTCACAACCCTTAGCACCTGATTCCATAACGAAACGAATGACACCATAGGCAGCACTATAATTAGCATTGTATCATTAATTTGAGTTATAATATAACCTCTCCGCTATGCATATATGTGTAACTTACCGACGGACAGCCAAACCGTTAAGAAGCTTGAACTTGACGGATTCACATTGAGCAATGGCACAAAGACCACGGTTTTGAACACGTTCAGCATAGAGTTCAACAGCGCCCTCGGGGAATTTGAAACGCTTTTGAACAAGTGTGGTCAATTCACGAATACGACGACCTTTTTCACCAAGAACATTTTGGGTGTGAGTAGCACGGATGATGATTCTGGGATGAACATATAACAAATAATCAAAATCAATCAATATGGTACTGATACTCGTCCTTAATTTTGCTGTAATGTAATATGGTTGAATGATACTTTACTCGGTACGGGCAGGTGTTACACGAACCTCAACACCAGCATAACCGTCTTCAGCAAGTTCACGAGTGAAGAATTCGTTCAATTCGGCGTAGAAAACACCATCGGCGACCTAAATGTTGTAGCAAGCGATTCAATAGATGTATTAATGGTATTGTTTGAAATATTTGATTGCGAGGTGTTCCAAATAAATCGGTTTGTTTGAAATTCAAATCGACTTCAACAAAGATTGACATCGATGGTCATCATGGCTGGAGTCGACATTGCAATAAAAAGGTACTGGAAGTATACTTACAAACTACATGATTGAATTAAGAAATGGATTAGTACAATATAGTTCGATCCATCCATCTATCTTTGCTTCGATTTCATACGGATGCATCCTTTTTACCTTTCTCTTCTTAGAGATTTGAGCTGCAACAGCGGCCATATTATATATCAATTAGAAAGGAGAGAATCATAATGTAATGCAGCCTTCCCATTTTGGTTTTGCCTTGGCCCTCAACCTATACTTTTACTAACTACTGCTGTTCCGCCGCCCCGCCCCACTCCCCCCCCCACATGTTTGTTCTGCTGCTGCCGCTTCAGATTCAAGCCGCTGGATGTTTGGTGCATGGTGGGACATAAACTTTTTTTTTTTTTTCTCTGAACAAAGAACCAGAATGCCGGACAGGTTCAAAGTCAGAATATCTTTTAGTAAGTGAACCGCCAACTGCTTGTACACAGTTAACATGTCTCTTCCACAGTAGAATGCATAAACTTTCTTTGTATGTAGTATTTATGCGTTCTTTTTGAACTGAGCTCCTCTATACTTTCAAGAAAATTGGTGTGGTTCACGTTGGTGTTTTGGAATTGAAGTCGATATGACTTGTTAAAGGCAAAATAGAGTGACCAACTGTTAGCAGCAGTACACTGAGCCATACTATGTTCAAAAATATCTTAAAGCCAATAGCTTCGTAGAGTTATCTACTACTTACAAAAAACCTAGTAGTTCGGAAACCCTCTTTTTATATAAAAAAAAAAAAAAATCGAGTCGAAACGTATCAAAACAGTAAAGGAATAAAGGGGTAACAATAAAAAACGACGATTCTTTCTTTTTTCATATTCAGTCGTAAAATGGGCAGCTTACATTTTGATACTTCTTTGGTTATCTTTTTTATTTTTTTTGGCTGTCGTTACTCATCTTCACAATCAACGGGACTTTAGCCTTTCTTATATCAATTGAAGCGCAATATATCTCGTTAGTTTATATCAACTTTTGTACATAACAATATACTAAGAATGGGAAGTCCGGATGAATGGTTAGAGACAGTTCGCAGATGTGAATATTTACCCGAACACGATATAAAAAAACTATGTGAAATGGTAAAGATAAGAGGTGGTCAGCCCACAGTTGAACATAAGCTCATGGACAACCTTGTACAATGGCTTAGGTAAAGGAATTACTAATGGAGGAGTCGAATATTCAACCTGTTCAATCACCAGTTACAGTTTGTGGCGACATACACGGTAAATTGTTTTTACATATTATTGCTGAACAAGAAGACAAAGCGCTTACGTTTGAGCATCGCTGAAAAACAATCAGGTCAATTCTACGACTTATTGGAATTGTTCAATGTTGGGGGCGACGTGCAAGACACTAACTACATATTTATGGTAGATAATATTCACTCAACGGACGAGATCTCAATGATATAGTCTAACCATACTTTTTGCACAATGTGTTAACCATAGGGAGATTACGTAGATCGCGGTTATTTTAGTCTGGAAACATTTACATTATTAATGGTGTTGAAAGCAAAGTAATCATTGAAACAATTTTAGAACTATGCGAAACGCATCTCTGGGATAAGAGGCATAGTTCTTTTGCTGATGAATGATGCTTTCTCACTTTAGATACCCTGATAAAATTACACTATTAAGAGGCAATCACGAGAGTAGACAAATTACACAAGTATACGGATTCTATGGTAATTGGAGGGATACATTAAAGATGGATTTTTGAGTTAGATAATCTTACGCGCTTATTTGTAGACGAATGCCAAACGAAATATGGAAATGCGAATGTGTGGAAATACTGTTGCTCAGTATTTGATTATCTAACGTTGGCTGCTGTATGTATATGAGATTTGAAGCAAGGGGAAATTTGATAGCCCTAAAGGAAAGTACCAGAAGGTCTAAATTGAACTATTCCTCTGAAATTAGATAATCGATGGATCAATTCTATGTGTGCATGGTGGCCTATCACCTGATATCAAAGCACTGGACCAAATGCGAACAATACACAGATTACAAGAAATTCCACACGAGGGTTCATTTTGTGATCTTATGTGGTCTGATCCAGAATCTGATATAGATACTTGGGCAGTAAGTCCAAGAGGCGCGGGTTGGTTATTTGGTGGTAAAGTGACAACGGAGGTAAGGAACTGACTGTAAAACTGGTTTCTATACATTATGAGTAAAATTGTCTTATAACTCACTCGTCAAAACAGTTTAATCATATAAATGGGTTATCACTTATTGCAAGAGCACATCAACTAGTGCAGGAAGGATACAAGTACACATTTCCTAACAATGAACTAGTTACAGTTTGGTCAGCACCGAATTATTGCTACCGTTCGGGCAATGTGGCATCCATCATGGAGGTGAAAGACGATGATATAAAATTCAAGATATTTGACGCCGTTCCAGACCAGGATCGTTTTACACCTTTCTCTGTTAAAAATGGTTTGGGGAACAAAATGGGTGGTGGACAGTACTTTATGTAATAAAGGATACTCTTTGTCTATACGTATAAATGCCTCTTTGCTGGAGTTCCTACTACTACTATCCCTATTTCGACTCGAAAAGGAAAAGGCAGACAAGTATATCAACAATTGTATCTTCTCATATAGATAGATGAACAATTCGTACTTTTATTACATTTCTTATTATTAACTTTTTTTTCTTCATTTTGATTATAACTGTATCTTGTTTCTGTTTCTTGATTATTACTACTTTTATTGTTTATTGATTAATATATGTTAATTATGGCAACATTTCAGATTACTACTACATTATTAATGTCACTGTAGCTGATTATCGTATAATATGTTCTTTACGCCCTCCAATTGGCAAATATGAATGGTTTTTTCGGTATCTTATACAATAGCAATCAATTCAATTTTACCGCCTAAAAAAAGCGCATTTGAGGGGTCATTCTAAATCATGTTATACTATATCCTTTTTGTGATTCAACTTATGAGACTTTATGTAATACTTTACTGTCACTACTCAATTCCAACCTCGCTATCATGCACTACCACACCTATGTACTTTAACACAACTATTAGATTATTCAAGATACCAACTGGGCATTCGCATCTATTATTTTATCCTCTCGTTATTACTATCTTCAAAAAATAAAATAAAAATAGTTCGATTGCTTCTCTTAGATGTGCTGAGATATGCATATATATTGCATGCACAATAATTCCATAACAGCAAAGCATCCTTACAAAGAAACATCGCAAATTAAGTGTTATCTCTTACCGTATGTGGTGTTTTTGCTTCATACAAGGAATGGCTCGATAATTAACGTGAGACGTTTCTATTATCTCAACCAAAAAAATTGTGATTGGAGACACCGGGGATTGAACCCGGGGCCTTTCGCATGCAAAGCGAATGTGATAGCCACTACACTATATCCCCTCACATGAAAGTTTATTTTAATTGTCTTTCATATTCTTCATACAAACTTACTTGGGCACGTGATCAGGAGCCTCAGGGGATCTCATGTTGAGCGACTGTTTATAGCTCAGTATAAGGTGGCGGAGTTACATTACTATTGGATAAGGACGTATATCACCTATTCCATAATTTTAGTCAGAGATAATTGTAGGTACCATGTGGGTTCTAGTCGAATAATTGAATTACTCTAGAAGCACTTACAGTCGCTCCTTTCATTTATGTCAAAACCCTTATGCCCTGTAAATCTTATAAAATTAGAATTATAGTAGACTATGTTAAGTGACGAGACTATAAAAAGATGTTTGATTGTCCTTATTTTGAGTTAACATTTGGGTCCCTTTTATATCTTTTGAAAGAAAAGGGATGTCTGAAACCTTGTGAATAAATAGGGGGCAAATATGAAAATACGTGTAATGTTGTTTAGGTGATTAATCACATATATTTGGCGTAGGTAATTATAGAAGACATCTCGATTCATCGTATAAAATTCTCTACGAATTTACCTTCCTTTGTAGAATTTAAAAGTAACGTTCCTCGATATTAATGATTTCGTGTAAAATAATTTTAGTATAAGTATCTCCGGTTAGTTGTAAGACAATAAAGGGAATTATCCCATCTTTATCTCTTTAAAAAAAAAAAACCAAGTCTTAGGTAAGTCAAGTACAACTAATTGTCTTCTGGTCATCTAACCGATAATACCTTCACGTTGGGCGCCTTCCACTTGACATTTTGAAGAGTAAACCGTGGAGATTATTTAGTTGTACTATTTGAATCCTATACCTTTTTGCTCGGTTTAATTCTTTTTCGTTACGTCTCTTTTCTGGCTAAGCAACAAAATTAGTTATTGATTCAAGTTCCTTTATACCAACTATAGGAGAATTATGAATAAAAATTAGAATATTTTGATATTGAGCACATTTGAAGAAAGAGTTATTTTTTTGAGGTTTGCTCTTGCAAACAATGTAACTGTGCTTGTTAAAGATTGTAGATTATTCGTACATAATACTGATGAGCTAATGGTGATGTATCATAAATACAAACTTAGTCTTGATTGAATATAGTCTTGTAAGATTTTACAACTAAAGATTATCTAAAAGCAATGGCCTCAGAACAAAATAAATAAATTCTCAGTGTTTTTAACTGTTCTTACTATAAAACTACCTTGCATTTCCAGTCATAAAAAATCTTGTCTACAAAAGTGTTAACCCATTTACAGTATTGTAACTTACCTGTTTAGAGTATCTTAACACCAACTCTAGTTTTGTTCTGGGCAATGATCTTTCAGTCAATTTAGAAGATCACTGCCATTACAACTGCATTTGATCCGAAGGCGTATCTCCATTTCCTCTGTCAAGGCGATGCGAGGAAAACCGCTTCGCCATTGGCTCGGTCGGATCGAAGGTCTACACACGAACGGCTGATCTGGGTACAGCAGCGTCTCATTCGTGCAGTATCCTTCGCCTGACACTGCCAATGTCGCAGCTCCAACGATCAAGAAGCGACAACGCAAGCAATGAATCACTTCCAATGGCCAACCATCGAATAAGGAATGGAAAGAAACCCTTGCGACGCCTGCTTACCAACGACATGATAGGGTTGGCAGTGAGGCGTTTTAAGCAGCCGTTCTTGAACTGCTGTGACATTTCCAACCGAAAGGAGTACTATTGTCATCCCACGCACCAAAAGCCAAAGTTTGTTTGGTTGCTGAACAATAACCAGATGCACTTCTGATTATGCAGTCCAAGTCTTTGGGAGCGATTTCTCAGACGGATTATGAGGAATACGAAGTCCAGTTTGGAACCTTTTGTCCTTTCCATTTACGTTGAAGTTATTCTTTATCCAAATTCACGATTTTTAAAAGGTATTGATGATGATATTTGTAGGTTGCAACAATTGAACACAGTTTCCTTTGGTATAGAAACGTTTAATCATAAATTATGCTTTCTTACAAGGGTCCTGTCTGATGAACCAAAGCCTTAGTCTTAACCCTATTAGTGTAATCAACTTGCTTTTGAGGCATTAAGAGTTTATTTGGATATTGAGGTCCTATGTTCAATACACTATCCAAAGAAAACCAACAACAAGGCAAATAGCTGTAGTTCGGTTGCCGAACATGTGAATAATCAACTCAGTGGTCTATCACTCGATATCGAGGATGAGATGAACGGCGTCAGAGAGCATGAATGACAGCTTTGTGATAATTCTATAACAATTCCTCTAGGAAAAAGAGTGAAAGTATATTATGGCTTTAAGGTGGCTTTTGTTAAAAAGCCAACATAATTTATCGAAGGGTCTTATAGCAGCACCTTCCAAAGAATCATTCGAAGCAATACTTTCTTGTAATCCATGTTTTAGATCTATTCTATGGTGGTACAATGTGATGCTGTAATGTGTGTTACCTGCCTTGGACAACTATTTATAGAGGTTGAAGTTCTATATGCAACTTGCTTCATTGGATCGATATTTTAAACATTCAATCTTTGTTCAATTGACAATGCACCTAATCTCTTTCGAACCGAAATGTGGTATTTGCTAGCTTTCGCTTAACAAAGCTAATATCGCAACAACACATAACCACTTCAGTCGCCTGCCTCCTCGCAGCTTGAGTAGCTTGTACCGTTGCCATATTCAGTAACCTTTTTTTTTTTTTTTCCTGAAGTATTTTCCGTTCACCTTTTGGGAAGTCAACTGTATCTCAAATTCCAATCCTTCTTCGATGATTCGATAACAAAAGGATAGCTCTAGGCAAAAGTGCTTGGCAATGGTGGACAATGATGCTGACATTACATTCATTCTGATACTGTTACGAAGACTTTCTAATAAGATAATAATAGTTCAGCATGTGGCAGTAATCTATTATACATGTTTTTGATTGGATCTACACCAGCTGCTGTGATAGCAAAGCGTTCTTGGCAGTTTCTTTTTTTGTTTCCATTGATCAAGATATCTTTGAAAATTTAATCACTATGAGCATCAAAAAAAGGACACATGTTATAGCTGTTTCTTTTTGGAAGGAAATGTACGCTTGGCATTTCATGGCCTTACCTTGCTTTTATAGTCTAATTAGGAGAAGCGAGCCACACACCCCGTTTGCGGGGTAACTTTTTCGCTTTCAACAGCTTTTTTTTGCTTTGGGTTCCTTCCGGTGCAATCCGTTCTCACTCACTCATTGAATCGCCAGGGACCAGGTTCCGTCATGTTCTATATATATGTTGGATCAATTTTTGAGCCCACAGTTACAGCACTTCTGAAAACTGCTACTCTATAGTGAAATACATCGAGGAGTCGGTGTTGATCTGATTACGGGGGTGAAAGACTAAAAGCCTTGGCCAGAAGAATGGGATTGCGTAATTAACTGACATTAGGAGGTGGGTGCTGAATTAGAACGTGGTGATTTTTCTATTTCTGTCGGTTCAGTTACCACATATAGGCAAATTATTTTTCTGTAAAAATCACAAGTATGATGTCAGAAAGAAGAACTCATTTTGAAACAGAGAATAGAAGTGAGCTACATCGAGGGGCAACTTTGAATGAAGCAACTCTATATAAAATGGGCTCATCATTTCTTTGTCCTACTACTTGGTTTTCTACTATTGTTATTTTCTTAAAAATCCATCTTTGAAATAACCGATATACACAAGTGCAATACGCTATATACCGTCATTCAATACATGAATATGTTTGTTTCTCGTGTGGTTTTCCTTTTTGCTATGATTGCTATGATGACAAGTATGGCCTTGGCCAAGAAGGATAAGAAATACTTCACTACCAGCTATTCAGTTTTGAGCAGCGATGTTCAGGCTTCGTATGCAACGAGTACTCTTCCAGCGTCAATCTTCCCTACATTTGACAACTACGAAATTTACGACACAACGCCTCTGGATGATGGGCAGGTATTTATGAGTATTCAAGGTGCAAACTACGATGGTTACCAGGTTCAATAGATGCACACGTCAAAGAAGCTCAAAGAGAGCCCTATCCTTTCCATTCATTTCTTAATTAGTTCCTTTCCTCATTCTCAAATTCCCTACATCTATAATTTATCACTCATTGACTCCATAGCGTATCGTCCTATAATAATAATAGTGGCCCCCCCTTCTGTTTCCCTGGTACGCTGGTTTTTTTTTTTTTTTTTTTTTTTTTTTTTTTTCCCTAGCATCTCCTTTTACCACTTCCTCCTCGAAAAAATAAATGCAGGTTCTTGACCTATGCTCACGGATACAATGCAAAGTTCGATCGTGTATTACAGTAACATTCTCAGCTGTACTTATTGTCCTCTTTTCACAATGAAGGGATAGGTCTTCAGCTGACCTTAACGAATCCATTTACCGTGTGTATATTGGCCGTGAGGATGATCGGACAAATTCTGCTTCTACGAAAACACAGAGGGCTAATTTTTTCCTCCCCCGATTTGTAGAATCCATATTTCACTATAGCTTTTTCTTCTCTTGGTTATGTTATTTTTGTTCTTAGTTAGAAGACCACATAAAGTAAAAATCATGGCAGTACCGGAAGTGATTGGAGTCGGTTGGAGGAAGAACAGGAACAGACAGTCTTCGGACCGCGCTCACTATTCTTGAGTTCATGTTAACAAGAACACATGCGTACGGTATATAGTAAAATAGAGTCACAAATTCGACACCTTATTTTATTTCCCTAGCTATCATACCCACCCTATGAAATCTTTCTCAAAAGATTCTGAACAAAATCCTTAACCTTTTCAGTAAAGGCTTTCTGCAGATGAGGAAATCATGTATAAAACTATAGCGCCAACCACTGCTTACTGAGAAGAGCTCCATTCTTAATACCCAAATGCCAAATGCTCTGGCAGTCCGCAGTGCAAACAGATAAGTCTTGCAAGAATACAATGGCAGCTTTCCAGGTCGCAAGATGCTAGTAGTGGCAATGTTGAAGAGCGCTTTTACCATATGGTGTCTACCATTTGCTTATATGGTTACTTACGTAATAGTGAAGCCTTTGCAAATGACGAACGGAAGAAGCACTTTATTTTGAGAACATAATGAAACTGTTAAAACGTACTATAGCAGCAAATCAGTTATTGGTGGTGGTGGTAATGGAGATAGGTGAGGTGAGGGGCTGGGAGCGGCTATATGTCCTTTCTTGGCAATAAAATACCAGATATGTATATACCCTATCCCAATGTCGATCAAATTCAACAGCAGAAGTGAGAAATTCCAACCTACCTAATGGGTGAGTCACAGTATAATGCAAATTAGTTTTAAAAAAAATGTCAGTGCACGTCTTTTTGTTAATAGTTTATGACGTCAGGGAGTGAGCGTATTGAATTTGCAGAAAAAAATAAAATCCATGAAAAAAATCATCGTTCACCAGCGTTGAACATAAAACAATCGTTAAAATGTTTGACCGAGAAACTGACAAATTTGCATGAATTTTATTTTTTGGTAACGCTTTGGAAATGTATAAAGACGCGACAAGTTTTTCTACACACGGGCGAAAGGCTTAAATCCAGGCGATAACAAGCATTTTCTAATCGAGGGGTTTCAGTTCAACTCTGTGTCTCTTCCATGGAAAATTTATCGGATTCTGCTCGCAGTTAAAAAAGTGGAAAACAGAAGAACGAACAAAAACCAGATTTGCTTAAACCCACAAAGCGGGGTGAGTATTCTTCTTTCCCGGGTAGGATTCTTCATTTCCACTTGCTTTATTATTTCATTCTTTTTCTTCTTTTGAAAGTTTTCCTTATCATCTTAGCCTTTCCTATTAGCGTTGTTTCTACGTAAAGATGATGCAAACAGATATGCAGCCTTCCAGCCTTAAATCACATCCACCTGCTACTGTGTCGGTGAAAGCAGAAAATCAGCAACAGCAGCTACCAGCTCATGATACACAGAACAATAAAAAAGATCTTAGTCATCTAGAACATATTTTTCAATCTGTTGAAAAACAGGTTTGTTCATCTATAGAGTCGATTCGACCAAAATCAGATGGGGCTTACCCTTTAAATTTTATCATGGAACAATAGATTGAACAGTGGGGAGACAACGCAAAGTGGAAAATAGACTTGATTCTGTTAGATAACAACAGTAATAACAAACTACCAATACAGCAGCAACAGCAGCAGCAACAGCCTGTTCCACCACAACGAAAAAATAGCATCCATCCGTTGCTGTCACCACAGCTTTTACATCCGAACGCTATTACAACACCCGCAGAAAGCAACACACCTACCATTTCAGCCAATTACAGCAATAAACATAATGCGTCCATACCTATCACTTCTACCGTTCAATATCCTGTAAGCTCATACAACTGATTTTTCCATCTATTTATTATAAGCGTGTTATTAACCGATCGTCTTCTATAGTGGGACTTTGTTACACCAAAATACATGAGCGAGTTGGGATCACACTTTGGCAATAATGATTTACAAACAAAGGTATATTATAGAGAGAGCTTTAACATCGCTTATGTTTGTTCCACAAAAGACGCACTGATGAAAAATTTTCTTCATGAAGCTGCATGAATTAGTTGAACGACAAAAATATTTGGAAGAGATCATTTGGTCGCAGGCTGAACAACTTCGACATGCAACCACAGCTTTTCAAAACGACTCAGCTACAAACGATGCAATCAATACGATGCAAAAGATATATCTACTATCTGTAAGTCACCTCACTATCTCATTCAATACCTTATCCGAACGCTGATCTTACCCTTTTATACATATATGACGATTAAAAAAAAAAAAGCAAAACGAGCAAAAATTACAGTACTTGACTGAAACCAACATGTTACGAGCTGATATAGACAAACTGACAGCGAAATTAAAAAACATGGCACATATATTAGAAAAAATGGAGCAGATGGAAGTCCCTGCTGAAGATAAGCTTCTAGACAAAGCTTCTCTTTTAGCAGATAGGAAGCGGATGCTAAGGAAATTACACCTCGTAGAACTGAGACTCACCGCGAGAGACGCAGAGATAGAGTATCTCAATGAAATAGTACATTTTTTGAAATCAACGGCACATGGCAACTATTATTACCACCCAACAATGTACCCACCCTCACCCAGACCTTTCCACCCAGCACAACAACACTATTCAGCGGGCAACATGAATAATAGAAAGTTGAAGGGTTCACCTTACTTGCTTCAGCAACAATTCTCCCCTTATAGCACGAACGCCACTACGAGTGAAATCAGAAGTTCTGAACCGCAGCATCCTTTATCTGCATTAGATAGCTTAGGCATAGTAGCCGATCAAATGCTAAGTGATCCAGAATTCGACACTTCTATAAATCATAAATCAGAAGACGAAGCAGGGGATTCACAAGAAAACCGCTTTAGAACTCGTCTTAATGATCGAAGATCGCAAAGGTCAATGGATTCGGCTGCTACTTTATTGGCAATGCCACAATTGATGTTCCCCCACCAACGGTCGGCTTTATTGAGCAAAGGTAAGAAATTTGTGATAACTGAACGCCATGTTTAGTTTTGATATGGATGACAAAGAAGGAGAGAAAAACTAACAAAAAAAAAAAAAAAAAAAAAAAAAGACCCACACACCATAGACGATATGTCAGGAAGTACCTCATCGTCACCATCACCTGAGCAAGCAAGACGAACACCTTTAGAACATGTCCCAAAGAAACCAAGATCTACGTACACACGATGGACAGAAGCCGAAGATAAACTGTTACGTGCTGCAGTGAAGAAGTACGGACATAGCAATTGGGAAGCATGTGCGAGAGATATCAAAGGAAGAAGTAATATTCAATGTCGAAATCGATGGATACGTCATCTTGAGCATAAACCACCTCCTATAGAAGAGGCTGACGAGGAGGGTGAAAATCATGAAGAGAAAGAAGACGAACAGCCACCGTCAAAAAAATTAAAATCGGCTACATTGGCAGCAGTAGCAACAGCAGCGGGTAACAGCAACGCGCGCCAATCGCCTTCCATTGCTGCTTTATTGAATAGTGAAAACAGCGAGAGCAGAGACAGGGCAGTTGGTAATGAGTCACCCCGTCTTCACCCTACTTCTCATCCTTATACACCGCCTTCACCAATGCAATCACCAAAGCACGCAAGACGTCGGGCAACCGAAGTCAAAAACCAAAGGCTATGATGTTAGTATCCTTTCCGCCTTACCTCATCATTCAAATTTGTAAATATATAGTATAGCATTTACCAAAACCCAAATAACCATTAGTATAGCAGCAGTACATTAAAGTAGTGTAAATATTTAATTTATTTCATGTTTGGTCAGCGGAAGAAAAAAGTATTCTTGAGTTTTGACCAAAACGTAAGCTTTGAAAAGAAGCAGGCTCGTTGCCTATGGACTGTCATGCACTCGTTATCAAGTTTTATACATATTGTAAAAGTTGTAAAAAATGTGAACGATACAGATCCACGTTCGAAGGGGGTACAGTGATATAATTATTGCTACTTACCTATTATGGCTACGTTTATTCAGAAATTTTCTAGCTTTAGTATGGTTAAAAGTCTCGAAATCCTTTTTAGCTCGATTGTTCGTGCACATCTATTCTGGGGCGATTCTCTTAAAATTTAATTGTGGGCTCTCTCTCTATTCTTAGTTCATTTTAAACCAAAGACACACAAGTGATGGGATTTTTTTCATCGCTCTTCGGCTCCAATGGTAGCCATTCAAAAGGGCAACAGCAGCATCGACAACGCTATGATAATAACAAAGGGCCTACACCAACTACCACAGCTAGTGCACAATTCGCACAACAACCCACTCGAAATGTTCAAGATGCCGTTGTCATTTGTTATAATCAACGATACCACGATGTACACTTTAGAGATTTTCCTAATGGCATGCGGCAAGCGACAGTTGCTGATCTCAAGGAACGCTGCAAACGTTTGACGGGTGTCACTTTAGCTACTATGAAGCTGAAGGTTTCTGGTGGTATGAAATAATACTTGAAGAAGCTCGAAAATTTGAACGAAAATATTAATATGACTGATACTGTTCCGTGATCAAAATGCAATACTTAGCGTATATCAAAGATGATAACGCAACGTTAATTGGAAGCGGAATACACGAAGGCTCTCTTGTTCATGTCATAGGGGATACTGCTAATAGAGAAGAAATTAATCAAACCGCCTCAAAAAATCCCGAAGAAGTGGGGTATTTGAATAGAGTATCCAAGGCGATGGAAATTCTTGACAACGCAAAGTTGAAGATCAAAGAGTTTGAAGACGCAATATCAGAATTGAAATCAATGCCCCCACAGCAACGTGAAAAACAAAATAAAACACAAGAGCTGGGCATTTACTTGACAGAAATATTGATGCAGGCATTAATATCTTTAGATGCAGTCGATTGCCCTCCTGAATTTCAAACGGCTAGATCGAGCAGAAAAGAAGCAGTGAAAAAATGCCAATTGCTTATGGACCATGTCGACAGTTTGAGATCAGAACTAAAGCAATATGTATCATTAGAAGATCAACAACAAAGATTATAAAAGATAGAAAATATATTGTACACATATAAAGTTGTGCCTTGCTTTTACTTATTTATATATATATTTTAGCAGTAAAATTTTGTAACCATGCTTTAGACTGTACATCCAAATGAGCTTCTGGCTAAGCGTTTATAATAATTTCATAATGGGGTTTGATATATCGTTTATTGAATAAAAACTAAAATTCATAATAAATACATAACTAGATTATTTGCACAGAGAAGCACCTGCTTGAATAGTTGTTGTAGCCTAATCCATTTTTTGTTGTTTTTCCTACCACGGTATGATTGAAAGGGTTTTTCGAAAAGGACAAAAATGGGAAGCTGTCGACGGTATACATAAAAGAAAATCAAACAAAAAATCGGCAATAGAGTGGTTTCAAAAATTCGAATTTTGCCAGCCAACTTTTGTGATTTGGCTGCGCTGTAACTGATAAATAAGGCTAGAGGAAGTAGTATCCAAATCTTCTTTGGACGTTCTGAAAAGTACCGTTTTTTATTTACTGCTGGTGCTCTTTTTTTTGAGAAACCACTGCTTTTTGGAATATCAGTATTGTGCTCATTATGGTAATAATGATAGTGATAGTCGATAGACCAATTACGAGTCTTGGGAGACAATAAATGGCGTTGGATAGACTGACTTTTCGATTTGTATATTGTTCGTTCGACGCTTTTTATAGGGAATCTCAAGGATTTCTGCCTCTGCTGGATATATGCATTACGGTTTTTGTTTTGCTTAATGTTCGTATAGTTTCTACACTTTTCAGAACGTGATTTCACCGATGGCCTAACAAATGTCAACTTGCCATATTGTATAGATGATAGAAGACTTGTTTGGGCTTCTGAAATCAATTTTTGTAACGATACAGCAATCCTTTCCATGCTGTCGTTCATATTGACGAAAGATTCTATATTCTGGAATTTCAAATTGCTTTCTGCATCACGGCCATCTAAATAGTTTATATCCTCTCTCAGCTTGCAGTTATCGACGCTGAAAGGAACATAATGGGATGCCGGACTATTATAGCTACCATGGCTATGCTCGTACCTCAAGTCAGTTCCTATTACTCTAAAGGTAAACAGTTTCAAGGAAACTCATGCGTACCTATTCGTGGTTGACGTTGATTTCTCTTTTGGGTTATTATGCATTTGTGAAGAACTCATACCTATTGAAAGGTCTATTGAAGAATTTGACTTGCGGGAGGGTACAATACTAACAATTCAAAAAAGAAAATGTACCAGAAGGGCTTATTAATATAGGCTAGAATGTTACACCTAATATTAATGATTGTTGCAGTCCTTTTATTTTACATTGAAGCATGTTTATGGTACTCGTTCCATGTGGAAACGGTTTTGAATGACTAAAAAGTTGTTAAAGCCAATCAAAACAGATGTGATTTTTTGAAATTAGTCCTCTCGGCTCATGGGGGGTAGGGTAAAGAGTATTAATCATTTCTTTACATAGTTCATTTTGCTTTTACATCAAGTAGAGAATTTGCGAGATAACAATCAGGGGAACATCAAGTGTATACCGTCTTTTGAAACTTACAGGGAAACTACAGCTGTCACAGTTACATTTATGTTTATAATGATCATCAATATACATCATAAAATTTCCTACCTGCTTCTCAAGCTAAAGCTTTGAATTTACCGATACGATATAAACGGCCAAATGTGTTGCAGTACTCGTAAAGAAACACAGGTTTCGGGCTGACTTTGTAAGCAGATATTAAAGGAAAAAAGTGGAGGCCATCTTTGGTAGACATCTATCACAGATCTTCATCAGAAATACGATTTGCAAATTTTTTTTTATTCGATGATGTAATCATTATAAGGAAAAAAGAGCCCAAAATTGTATACGTATTTGGTAAAGACAGTATCCATGCATATTAAATGCAATATAATAGAAGTATATGTAGTATGTATAAAAAGTTTATATACAGCCAAGAAACGCAGAAGCAACCAGAGCAGTAATATTGTACATCAAGAGGCTAAGTAAATTATTGAACGCCTTCCCACATGTCCTTGGCCTTATCGAGAGGCTTTGTCAACATATTGGCTAAAGCAGCTGGGAAACCTTGAGCAGGTGCACTAGGATGAGGTCTTGTAGCAGCAGTAGGCTTATGTGCTTTGAAGGAAGCACCAACTTTCTTCAATTCTTCTTCAGATACGTGCTTTCTCAAAAGAGGTAAAACCTCATTTTCTTCTTGTTCAATATGGTGAAAGAGATAATCCATGGCTTTTACAATTTTTTGACCAAATTCTTCAGGGTTAGCCTTCAGATCAGTATACTTGACATCATACACTAAGTGACGCAACTCTTGATGTTCATGCAAGCTTCTTTCATATTGCTGTTCACCTTCAACGCCGCCGACTTTTTCTCTCAACAAAGGATATACTAATAGCTGTTCACATTCATCATGTTGAACCAAAGTCTTGACCAAGGAGTTACGTAAATTCACCTTCTCATCCAAATCATTGCTAGCCTTGAATTTTTCATATAATGATTTGGCGTAGTTGTGATCTTCAATGATCAAATCAATGATATTATCGCCTTCAGTAAAGACAGGAGCACCTGTTAAACCAACTGTGGCACCGAACTTGCTGGATGCTTGACTGATATCGGCCATATTGTATAGAAGCAGAGGGGGGGAGGTGGGTTATGAATTTATGCAAGTGAGACTTTTGAATGAAAATTCAAAGAAAAAGAAGCTCGTTGCTCTCTTATTGCAAACCCTTTTTTTATATGTTGAAGCAAGTATAATCCGGGGATTGATATTTGTTTAATCACTGAATCAAAAAATTAGGTCAATTTGACATAATTGAATGCTCTTTTTCTTTTGTTCCAGGCTAGTTCCAGATTTTTCTTTTCGGTTTGCATAAAAATTAAGAAAGCTACCTTTTGATTCGCCGTTCGTCATTCCTACCATTTTTAGATTAACAGAGGTCTTCTGTACCTTAATGGAAAATAGATTGGAACTTGATCAACAATGTCAACACCATCACCTAGTTTCGACGAATTTTGTACTCTGCTAGAAAGGCTTTCGAAGGCTAAATCAAGCGAAAAGTATGATCTGTTACAAAGATATCGAAAGAGTTGGATCAACAATTATGGAACGGATATGTACGACGCCGTTCGCTTATTGTTTCCAAGAGTAAGCTTCCTGCCTCATCAGCTGCAGATTGACTAACGAAATGAAATTGACGATTCCATCCTGTTTCTCTTTTTCCGATAAAAGGGCGACGACGAGAGGAAGTATAACTTGAAGGAAGATCGTTTAGCTTCATTGCTGGTGAAGGCGTTGAACATTGATCCCAACTCTATTGACGGAACCAGACTTCGAAAATATAAAGTACCCTCAGCCCACAACGTAATGTCTAAGTACACCATAGAAGTTGTGGAAGAAGCCTCTTCCTCCCAAAAAAAAAAAAGGAAAAATGACCTCTCAGTCGTAAATCTAAAGACATTTGTTGCCTCTATGTATAGAGAACCCCAGGAGACTTCAATACCATTGCCCGCGAAGAAATCAAAAAACGCTCCACAGTTCGTTCATCAACCATGACTGTCAGGGACGTGAATAAGTATTTAGATGCTTTATCAGAAAAATACAGAGCACAAGACGATCAGTTGACCATCATTCGAAATATGCTAAGATATTTCACTGCACGTCAATTGGATTGGATCATACGTATAATTTTGAAGGGTGAGTGTATGCCACTATTGAACGGTTTCAACTGTATCGTACTGCTATTTTGACACCTTTCTTTCTCAAGATTTAAAAATCCACTGTGGTGAGAAAGTGATTCTTAATGCTATCAGACCAGGTAGCTATGATACTTGGGTTACGAACAATTCATTACGAGAAATAAGTCAGTTGGGTTCATTCATGACAGAGAGTGATGCGATGAGCAGGGGCGGACACAGACATGAATTGAGATTGTTCGATAAATTTCTTCCTCAACTGGCAGCTCAGTACGCCGACGATTTATTAGAGAAGTTCAATAAGCCCTTTTTTATCGAAAAGAAGATTGATGGCGAGCGTGTTCTCATGCACTATGACAAGACGATCGACCGGTTTTTATGGCACTCCAGGTATGCAATGAACATTCTAAAGCTCAACGTCTTTTCCTGGAAGATCTAACGTAGAGTTGTCTTTCCATTTTCTAAATAGGAAAAGACTTGAAGAAAACTTTCTGTATGGATCCACAGCCAAAGATATGACGAAACTAGCAGGGCATATTTGTGATGGTTTATTGATAAAACAAAAGTAAAATCATGCCTCAATATCTTCTCATCGAAGAAGAAACGAGCAGCTACTAAACCATTTGCTCCAGCATTATTTTAGATGGAGAAATGGTAGGATATCATCCAGAACAAGGAATACATCTCCCGTTTGGAACCTTAAAAGAAGCTGCAAGGAACGATTTAACAAATACAGCCCTTCCGCATCCCAGCTGTAAATAGTCAATCTCGGTTGTGTGGAAGTGCTTTCAAATAAAGAGCGCTAACTTGATTTTTTATTAACAGATATTGTCTTTGATATTTTGATGATTGACAACACTCCACTCATCAACTTTAGTTTTGAAGACAGGCTGAAAGTATTAGAACAGCATATACAACCTCAGGGCAAATATATGGAGTTCATAGATCGTAGAAAGATAAGCACAAAAGAGGAGTTGTTACAGCAATTGGACGAAGTTATTCAAAAACGTGAAGAGGGTTTGGTGTTAAAAGATACAAAGTCAATCTATCGCATTGACAAACGATCGCAAGGATGGATAAAATTGAAACCAGTGTACATGGATGCCATTGTTGAAGTCTGTGATTTACTTTTGGTTGGCGCCACCTACGGTCACGGACGTAGAGGAGGAAAGTACGGAAGTTTGCTTTGTGCTGTAAGAGATGATAGAATACCTGAAACGGATCCACCTAGGTAAGGAAGAGAATAAGGTAGGACTGAATAACCTAGAATAGCATTATCTCTAACTGATGTGGATCTATAGATTTGTAACATTCACACTCGCTGGAGGTGGACTCAGAGAGGAAGTTTACAGAGAATTAGAGTAAGCTTTGGTTCGCATCAAAGAATAAAAGTGTTAGATACAGTATTGACGATTTAATACAATAGCCATCTAATAAAATCAGCTACCAAACATGATCCGAAAAATATTCCAGAATGGTTAATCCATCCTATACGCGGAGGCGAACCTTTCAGCATACTTATTGATTATCAAGAGTGAGATTTTTGAAAAGGAACGAACAAATTTATGGTTGATACTAAGATAAAACATTCGTCACAGCTCTATTGTTGTAGAGGTTCGAGGTGTCGAAATTGTCCCGTCACGTAAGTTCCATCAATCGAGCTATAAATTGGGTATTGTTTCGCTAAAATAGCTTCTCCAAAACGATCAATTAGAAAAGTTCGGAATGGAATTAACGCTACGGTTCCCTACTTTTCTGAAAATTCGACCTGATAAAGGATGGAATGATGTTTGGACTTATTCAGGAGTTATTGATGCAAAAACTCATGGCGGCATGGGAAGAAGAAGATCTACTGAAGACCAGTAAGAGTTCTTTTTCTCTTTAAAAATGTATGGATAGTGAGGCTCTTCATAATTAACTCACATATACTAAATGCATTATAAGCGATGGTGCAAAAAGGATTAAAAGGACCAGAGTAAATTTTTGTTAGCAACATTCATCTGTATAATTGAGTACTTAATGTCGTGATAAACTGATAGGGTACAAACTTATTGGAAAGTCAGAAAGGGATCGACACGAGCGACGTAGAAGTAGAAGGAAATATTTTCAACGATAAGGTTTTCTGTGAGTTAAAATGCCAATTAACAAGCGTAATCATGAGATATATATATATCTGATATACGGGATTTAGACGTTATTACAGGAACAAAACAGAATGAAAACGAATCAGGAGGTTATACGAAGTATGACTTATGCAAAAAAATTAGAGCCTTTGGCGGAAGATTTATCTTGAAAGCGACGCCTGACGCAATGCTTATTGCGGGAATAAAAAGTGCAGTATATGAATGATATAACGCATAAAATATGATATGCAGTACTAAATAACTCTTCTGAACTAGATCGTGAGGTTCAGGGTTATATCGAAATCAGAAGGACTCAGGATATTGTTAAACCAAGTTATATCATCGAATGTATTGAAAAGAAGCGGTTATTGCCCTTAGAACCAAAGTAAATCCTGCCTTTGAAGTTAACGAAAGTTGAAAATTATTGAAATAGGTTGACGGTTTTGTGTATGATTAGGCACATGCTTTATATATCTCCTCGTACTAAGGAAGAATTCTCAAGAACAAGAGATGAGTACGGGGATAGTTACGCTACGAAAATCCGTGAAGGCGAATTGCAAGAGGTAAAATTCAACATCAAATATATTTCGCTGATCAAAGCAGCATGTATAATGCTTCGTAAATATTTCGACATAGATAATGAACAGAATGGACGAAAAAGATATGGATGACTCGGTGTCAAGAAATTTAGCTTTAGAAACCATACACCGTTACTTTCCCGAGGGCCTTCCTGGAATGCTGTTCATAAGATCGCTCGCCTATTTTGATTTTGATACGACCATACCATCTAATCATCTATCTCCTATTACATTTGAATGGGTTACGTGGAAACGAAGCAAAGAAGTGATGGAGCTATACAAAGCTCGGTTTGAATTTCAAGGCGGAAGGATTGCTGCAGCTGTATCCGACCCGAATATTACACATATTATAGTGAATAAGGACGACTTGACTAGAATAGAACAGCTTGGAAAAATATTTATGAGGGAGCCTCTTCCTCGCTTTGTCACTTTCCAGTGGATTGATGACTGTTTGACAGAAGGAACCCTGCTTGATGAAGAGCGTAAGCACCTATTTCTGCAGATCTATCCATTTACAGCAAATACCTAACGAAATTATCTTTCGTTGTAGCATTCGAACCCAAGTTCTTTGTAAATACGGCACACAAGTAAACTGAAGTTGGTGATTTCATGTTATACTCTTCTACATTATTACACGAACCATCTTATGTAACGTAGTTATAATAATCATGACTAACTTTTTAAGAACCATATACTTCTGCAAACCAAGATAAACGTTTCCTCTTAGTTATTATCCGCTGCCTCTACTTATTTACGCGCCTAATTGTAAGAAAACAGAATATGTGACACAAACATCCTGGAGAATTGAGCGTTCTATTCTTAGTTAAATGATCTATGTCAAAAGAATTTATTGTCAATCCAAATAGTGATGATGAGTCAATCCAAACATCTTAGTAAAGAAGAAAGAGGATGGCTGCTTAAGCAGTAGCACCAAGAGTAGGGAAAGCGGAAGCATCTTGAAGATTGATAGCAGGACCAGCGGCGTTCTTCTTGAGAGAACGACGGTTGTTGTTGTTACGTCCACCGTTACGACGGTCGTTTCTACGGAATTCACTACGAGGCTTTTCAACAAAACGTTGTTCAATGTCAACAAAAACCTTCTCTTTGCGAGGCTTTTCAGCGTTAGACTTCTTAGCAGACTTGGTTTCCTTGGGAACGAAGAAATCTTCTTCTTCCTTCTTCACAAAAGCAACAGCATCCTTGAAAGCAGCATCGTCAGCGTCGTTGGCTTTACGAGCTTCAGGAAGAGAGACCTTCAAAGACTTGTTAGCCTTTTCAGCCAAGTATTCATCCAAAGTCTTAACTACTTCCTCGGGTTCAACAGGAGTAGTTTGTTCTTCTTTGTCAGGGGAAGCATCAGTATTGTCCTTTTCAGCTTCAGCTTCGGAAACACCAGCCTTACCCCAACCCTTTTCAATCTTCTTCTTGGTATCACTAATCGAGTTACGTTGCGTTGCATATATGAATTACTTCGTCTGAACGTTTCTCTAACCATTTGTGATAGACATAAAACACGTCGTAAATTTTCTTTTACTTACACAATACCAGTACCAGAATGACGATCAAATTCACGGCCACGTTGACGGCCATTTTGTTGACGACCATTCTTCTTGGGACCACTTCTGGCAGAACGAGCAGCTAAAATTGTAAATTACGCAATATACAATAATTTAGCATTTGGTCCTTTGTCTTTTAACGCCATCACTTTTCTGTTTATAGTCAAATCCAAATCCTTAAGTAACTGTAATTATATCTCTTGTCTGTTGTTGTCGTGGCAGCTAAATAAGCATTCAACAAGAAAGTTCAGGCACAAAACTGCGTCAATGATACACAAATATTGTGAAATTGATCAAAAAATGGAAAAAAAAAACCACTTTCGCTGTTCAGTGAGTTGTCCTAATGTTATGTCAACTGCTTGTATTTCTGATTTGAGTCTGAAAGAATTGATTGTCTGTCAGTGTGGTTATGATGGGAGAATAACTACTATACAATCGCTAAATCCGAAGCTGAACGAAAAGTAAAGTGGAACAAAAGGCTGAGCTGTACGTCTAACAGGAGTTTTGGATTTGACTATGGCCAGAAAAATAGACATTAGAGGAGGATTTAGTTCTTACCATCCTTATTGATCTTGGTAACAGACTTCTTGTCAATCACAACAGGAGCCTCTTCCTTAACAGGAGCAGCAGGGCGAGGAGCCTCACCATCACCGAGGACGTCAAAAAGATTTTTAGAGAAGGTAGACATAGCTAATGATCGAACTTGTGTTGCGATGGATGCCTCGTTCAAAGACTAGGATGGATGGATGAATGGATGGATGGATGGATATCGCAAAGATACACAAAGGGAGGGATTTGTAGTGTACACTCATTGAATCTTGTTTTGTTCAAAATTCAATTCAGCAGCACCTCGGAAAATATTATGGGGGGAGGGGGGACACCACCACAATATCTTGATTGAACAGCAAGAGAGAGAGCACAGACAACGAGCACATGTTTTTTGATATTCCGATAGTTGAAAAATAAGAGACCTTACGAAAATGCAGTTTGCAGTTAAAGACAATAAACAGTATTATTGGAACTATACGTAAGCTCAAGATATCCAACTAGAAAAGTGGAAGACACGGCGTGATTCCTTTAAGTAAGCATAATCTTTTCATCGGCAACAAAAGCTAAAGTTAATCAAAGTTGTTCCTTCAGTCGAAGTGATGCAATGGCACGTGATTTAATTTGGCCACCATATCAGATTTTTCCAAAATTGGTGAATTGGTGTATTTTTTTGGGGCTTTTTTTTTAATCGCTTGATTTCAAACAAACATGCAAACTTCATATAGGATGACAAAAATGTGATATGTTTATTTACGGGTGTACATATAGTATGGTTTCCAAATAATGGTAAAGAAAGTATCTAGATAACTAATTAAAATTATTGTATGTGTACAGTTAGATATATAAATAGAATTGTGTAATGTTGCATTGTAAAGTACAAATAGCTTTTTGAGGGTTTTGGTTTAGAAGTATACAAAAAAAGCTGTTGCAACTAGTGATAGTAAGATGGTTGTGCTATACATAGTTGTATGCTGAATATTAGCTTGAGAAGAGCTACTGCCACCAGTGTTACTGACTTGCTTTTGCTCATATGCATCACATTGTAGTGGAGACTGTGCATTATACGTTACATTGTTCAATTGAGCAGCAATAGTCAGAGCGTCTCCCTTATTGTAGAAATCGACCTCTAAAAAATTAGGTTGTCTTCCAAAAGTCTTTTGACAAATCTGGGCTTGTCGCAATAGTGATGAATCACTGTTTGTAACATTTGCTGTTCCTTTCTGGGGTATCTCAATGAGTAATGAGCCGAGCGTAAGTGTGCCGTATAAGAAATGATTCATCACATACATTACTTCCTCTGGATTGTAGGGTTCATAGGGTCGGTCAATAACGCAGTTAAAAGAGGATTCATTATAATTATTATAAGGTGTTTCGAAAACATAACCCCATTCAGGCATGAGCCTTGATTATTTATAGAAATAATGAATGAATGCATGTTGTGAATAAATAAACATTCGTGTTAAAAAATACCTACCATGGTACCGCTTTAGCGTCAGCTCCTTCATCCAAGAAATTGACTACCCTTTTGCCACTACTTATCATTTCGCCTAAGGTTGGCCAAGTGAAGTTTGCGTACTCTTGTATATGAACATAATCCAAAATCCCGCTAGCTTCATAAGCTGTTTTGAAAGCTTCCGGGGTAAAGTTTCCAATATTGTTCCACATGATGGTTATCACTTCATTTGGATTGCTTTTCACCCAATTTGTTATTTCCTTGAGTGTATCAACTGCTGAACCAGCGTTGAGAATCGTACAAGATGTGTGACATAACTGTATACCTTCTGCTGCAGAACTGGCATTAGACGCCCTCACTGCTGATAATTTTAAACCTCGGACACCATCAGAGAGTTGTGTCGAGATTGGGCAAAGTTGGTTAGCTGCTGGATTTGCAATATACCCATAAGAGTTATGTGTCAAAATGTACGTAAGCTCATCAAATGGTTTGTTGCATAACTCGGCGTGCCCGTTACATAATTGTTCAGACTTTACAAAATTGATAGTAATAGCGATAGTCACCACAAATATGAGTAGAGATCTTATATACATAATATCCCTTTCTGGAAGAAAACTGAAGAAAAAGCTTTGAAACAGCTTTAAAAAGAAAAAAAAAGCTTATTTAAATGGGTTGGGAAGGGATCTACAGCAAAACCCATCTTAAAGCGGATATCAAAATGGGGCTCCGGACCAAAAAAGAAATTCCATATTTGGCTTCCTTGGCAAGATTGAGGAACCTTTTGATAAAGATCAAACCCAATCAATTAGTGGCTCGTAAACTTCGTTGAGCCGCACGCTATCTTGAACTGTTCACGTACTGTTTTCTACTTTTGAACTTGCATAGGTGAAGTTACTGACGCTTAAGTGACATCGGGTCTAGTGAGAGGCTTTGAGCCATATTCTTGAAAGCAAGATAAACAAAGTAGATGCTTCAGTATGTGTAACAATTATGTTAGCATATAATATTTTTAGTCTCGCCAAGGGATAAATATACGCAAAGAGAAAAATTTAGTACGAAAGTTGCTTTCATCATGTATTTACAATTTTAAGTCGGTATTATTGACTGATTCCGTCACGAGAACAGAGCTATGTTCGCGAGGTTTAAACAGATAACAGAACCAGTGTGGCTGATGCTCATGGCTTTTTTCCCATAATTTCAATTTCCATTTTCTTAGCCTTCTAATTACACGAACGAAAGCTATTTGTTTATGTAAAAATGATAGGGCTTAAAGTGCTATTTATTATAACAGATTATCTAAGTTCTGAGCTGTAGCCGTGGCAACAAATTTATACAGACTATGCCATAGTGGGAATGATTTCAGTGTTGCGGTTACTTTTACTTCTACTTCTTCATTTACTTCATTTGTAATGGCCTTCATGATTCATGAAGATGTTTGAAGCCACTCTTCAAAGAGCGTTGTAAGATGTAAACGCTATAAGCGGTAATAATAATGATACAATAATCGGGTATCTGCTGCGATTGCTACGCTTCTTAACCTGTATCATTTAGTCAAGCTCATCAGGATAGTAGCAAATTATTGTTCAAACTTTCGTTATAAACTTAATAACCGTGGAAAACTCGTCGTCTTTTGGCTCCACAGATCAATTTAAAAAGAATGCCTTTTAATTTCTGAGATTCAAAGGACTTTTACAAAATCACATTTACAATTGCCTTAAATTTCGCATATTCAACATACTATGGCCTTGGTTCCAACATCTTCCAATTTATATAAGCAATAGCTCCTTAAGAGAACACTTCTTTCGCAGCTCTTTTGCTTCTTCAAACAGAACCCTCAAAAAGTCCCTCCTCTGCAGGTCTTTTCCCAACTCCCCATAATTGTGAATCTTATTTACTATTTAATACTTAATAAAAATCGATCAGGTATAGAATAATAGTAGCAAACAGTAATTCAACAAACACTAACTCATTTTTTGCAGATATATTACATGTATGGCTTCCAACATACGATCAACTTACCAGGCCCAATTACCCTTCCAACATCTGTATACCAACTCAAAACAGCAAATATTAGCAAAGTATTGGATTGAATCTGTTCTAGGATACCGTCTTCCTTCAAATGATCTTTCATGCTTAAAAGATGGAATAATACTTTATAAGTCCGTCTTTTTTTTAGATATTCCTTTTATCAGTATAAGTATAAGCTGATCATTTTCTGATCTACCATTTACTGTTAGAATTATCCAAGCTTTGATCAGTCATCATTTTCTACCAACTGACTATCAAGTTAAATCTAATGCCCAGCAACCGGTAAGTAGAGGCTAATCTCAAAACTGTATTTAAAAGGGGTAATTAAAAAAGTACGAGCAAGAGAAGCATAAGCAGGAAACAGATGTAGCAGGAGGCCGAAAGAAACATTTTATTACGAAAGGGAGTGAAAGAGAAATAAAAAAATTGGAGGAGAAAGGATCTTAAAACACCATTTGCAATGATGGCTTACACCTGAATGTTTTTAATATTAGCAAGAGCGAATTGAACTATTTCAAGCAGCTGCTAAGGATGTAAGTGACAGATTTGCAAACAGCTACCTATCTCTTACTTATCGAGCAATTATTCCATAGATTGGTTTACAGCCGTCTGAAATATTCTCTTTCGAAGATTTGGTTGAAGAGAACATGGATGCTGTAAGTTATATATGCCATTTACTGGATCGAAGTTGACTCCATATACTCACATTGACCCCTGTTTATGCTTTATTTCATGTCCCGTTGAACTCTTTTGCATTTTATGTTCATTTACGCCAATGCACATGCCTAATACCGCATTCTTATTCTTCCTCTCTTCTTTTTAAAAATGTCTCTTTTTTTCACATCCTTGACTGTCAAACTAGGTTGCCTCAACAATTTTGATTTTAGCTTACCTCTACTCGTATAAAAGGCTTATCACCGACACAACAAAATCGTCTACTCAGCGTAATATAATCGATACTCTTAATTTGACGATACCCAACGAAAAACATATATCATTACATAAATCGCCTAATTCTTTACTCAAATCAAACCTCAGTACTACATTTAACAGCTATAATACTTCACACGTTACCGCTTCCAAAGTTAACGCTATAAATACCAACGAACATACCAATAGCGTTAATATCTTAGAGCAAAAAGATATGAATGTCGAGGCATATCTATTAAGGAAAGGAATAGGAGAACAAGAAAGCAGAAATACAGCGTGCAAGCAGAGCAGACAAAACTTAAGCGCATTCAGTGAAATTTCAGGAATGTCACGGTCGACGTCTACCCCAGGTTATTCAAATTCAACTTCTAAAGACCTGTTTCAGAATTGCGATCTATCCAAAATGAAGGCTGCAAACAGACGAAACTCTATGTCTGCATTTATACGGTCAGATAGAGTCTGGGGCGAAATGTCATGCAATATACCTAGACCAACTTCCTCTTCTTTTAGTAACAGTGATGTTGTTTGTCTTCCTTTTGATATCACTAATATTAATATCAAGGACGTAGAGGAAGATTTTGTTCCAATGCATTTTTCCAATTCTCCGTCTTCACTTTCATCTACAGCAAGCTCAATAGATCGGGAGTTTTTGTATGATGACGATGAAGGAGAGATTTATTACGACACAAAAAAGAGTCAAACGCCGTCTTCTTCAGGAGATAGTGGTTATGGTACAACGCGAAGGAAAGTACAGCAACAACAGCAAAAGCAGCGACGAGAGCAGCAGCAGAAACACGAGGATAGTATATTAAACAATAGTAATGAACAACACCAAGCAAAAAAGAATAAGGCGCAGGATTTATTTGAGGCCTTATTTACTCCACCTGTTCCTACGCAACCGCTCAGCAATACAATATCGCAGCAGAAAAAGCAAACAAACATGATTACAAACAGACATTTGAAAGATCTTCCGCAAGTGCCAACGGCTATAAAACTAACCAAAAGTATCAGTAGTAAACATTCAATAAGCAGTAGCAATAGTAACAACAGTAGTAAAAAACTATCATTACTCTTCTCCAAAAACCGCTCTCAACATTCTTCTTTTTCCCAAAAAAAAAAGGAGCCTCATTTCGTTAAGTTTCAAAGTTGGTCCAGTACAGGTAGCAGAAATAATATTACCGTCACTGAGAACTGCAAATCACAAGTCCTCATCACAAGCAATAGCACTGAGGTTAATGTAGGTAAAACACGACAACAGGAAGAAGAATTTCTCAACCGGCTGCATCAAAAAATAGAAAGCCAAGCAGTAGATACAAATAGCATATTAATCCCGGGTTTAGTAAAGAGAGAGCAAGAAAAACCGAACAATTCAAATCGAAAACGAACTACGACAGATGAACAGCAACGAAGGGAGTCCATTCTAATGCCTCTTAATTCAGTATCTGCTACCAGAAACAATAATTATGCTCACAGTAATGGCAACAGTGGTGGCGTCAGAATTCGTAGTACGTCCTTTAATGCACCATCATCAGCATATGCAGAATCGCCTAATGATTACCGGTCATTATCGTCTGTTAGTCTACATTCAACCATTTCGAGCAGTCTATCTAAGACCGACGTGAATAACTTGATTGAACAGTGTGACAATGAGGGCCAGTTAATGGCCCGGTATGTGAGTTACAGTTATTTAACTTGAGAAGGAAGGAAAAAAGAGTTGTATACAGTCGCTTATTTCTAAGTATCATCATACTGTATGTAGAAATTGGGTGACATCATCGGAAAAGGTCATTTTGGTACTGTTTACAGGTAGCTCTGCAGTCAATGTTTCGATAAATTATAGCTAAAGAATCATTTATATTGATATCATCCTCCTCATTTCTATTCGCTAGGGCTCTCGATTTACTATCAGGAAAAACTGTTGCTATTAAACGAATCAGCCTACAGAAGGCGCGGAGTACAGATATTCAGGATACGTTGCAAGAAGCATCTTTATTGAGCTCGCTGATGCACCCAAACATAGTGAAGTACGAAGGCTTCATTAAAACACACGAGCATTTGAATATTGTATTAGAATACGTTGAAAATGGGTCACTATTACACTCACTAAAACAATACGGACATGCCCTTCCAGAACACCTTGTAGCAAGATATTGTTACGATATTCTCCAGGGCCTTGTTTATCTGCATGAAAAAGATGTTGTTCATTGCGATTTGAAAGCAGCAAACATCCTTACCACTAAGTCAGGCGACGTCAAATTATCTGATTTCGGCGTGTCCTTGAATTTAAAATTGAAGAAGCAGGAGGATAACATTGTTCCAGGCACCCCATTTTGGAGTAGGTTTTTCTTTTGCTTTGTTATTCCAAATTATAGTCACTAATACTTTGCGATTTATTCAAAAAGTGGCGCCTGAAGTCATTGAACTGAAAGGTGCATCTGTTAAATCTGATATATGGTAAGTATTAATGCCAAACCTACTCGCTGTATACGATTTGTTAATACTTTACTATCAGGTCATTGGGATGTACTTTAATAGAATTATGCACTGGGAAGCCTCCTTATGCAGATTTATTAACGATGACGGCAATGTTTAAGATTGTGGAGGACGAGAGCCCACCTTTGCCAGTGGGTTTATCAGACGTAAGTCAAATTCGGCATCTAAACGTAGTTTACAGCTTTATGTAGAAACAAGTGCGATAATCTGATTGCCTTGAATAATTGACGTGCACCCTTAGGAATTGCGAGACTTCTTACAGTTGTGCTTCAGAAAAGATCCATCCGAAAGGCCTCAAGCAAGCGTCTTATTACAGCATATGTGGATCAGGAAAAACGAAAAAGTACCCGGAAGCATCTTGTCGAAAGTAACTTCGAAAGAGAGTAGTATTCTTACTCGTACTACAAGTACAGCGCCTTCTTTGCCCCCGTCAGATGAGTTTGATGTTGCGAGCAATACTTCCACCATTGTATTAAACAGTGGTTCATCAAACATTGTAACTTCTACTACCGATGATCGACATAAAGACCGTAAGAAGGTGAATACCTTATCAGCTTTTTTATCCAACTCGCCTTATGCGTCTTCTAAAATGGCAACGTCAGAAATTTCTTCCCATCAATCCACAAGAAAATCAGAATCATCAGTATCTGCTCATCGATTTACTATACGCGTATCGAAGGCAAAACCCTCTCAACAACGCGGCAGTAATCGTAGTAGCAATAACTTTGAAGACAGCAGCAACTGTCGTTCTAACGCACACAAGTCGATGCCTGTTATCGAAAGCAGCTTCTCGCTTGAGAAGACGAAATCTACGAAACAGCATCATAAACATAGCATGATCAGAGTATCTTTTCCTCAAGGTAAAGTAATAAACATAGTAGCGAATGAACTGACGAGCTCATCATTAATTCATGAATTTTATCCCTCTGAAGGCGAAGAAGTGTGCAACATATGTCGTGAAAAAATGTACGATGCCTTGATGTGTAATGATGGATGTGGTCTTATGAGACATTCTGAATGCAGTAACAGAGCTGTAAGCCTTGAGTAAGCTTATTTCTCACACATATCAACTCTACTAACCGCTTCTTCTTTGTTCGAATACAGATACAGGATTCTGAGACTCGTCAACTGATGCCACCTTCAATAAAACCGACAACATCGGTCTCCTCACAGCTTCGTCAATTATTTAGACCAAAATCATCAAAAACAAAATCTCTTCACCACTATGACCTGGGAAACATTCAAGAGCACGATCAGATAAAAATGGGGAACCAAATGGACGTCAAAAACTCTAAAAAAGCAAGGCCAAAAACTAACAGTACTATCAATACAACATCAAATAATTCAAGTTCAAGATCTTCCTGGTGGAGGAAACCCTTGACATCGTCCGCTAAATAAATCTAGTAAATCTATATAGCTTCCCCAAATTAACTCACTGTAACAAGTTTATTTGCTGAACAAAAAAAGTATACTTTATGGTTGTTTGCATACAGCGTAAAAATTATGTGGCTCTTTCATTGCGCTTTTCTGTTCATATTCTACTATACTGAATAGTGGTATTATATCCATAAAAGATGGGGTTTACAAATGATGAATTGAACCGATCTTGTTGTCCTTTAAAGGACATTTGTTGTTGAGGAGTGTATCGGAACGCTTTTGAACCTTGGAACGCAGGATGTATTTGGGATTGTAATGAATGTCGAGCCTTCAATGAATTGGACTGCTGTATGGGTATATACTGTTCTTGTTGTTTGATTCTAATCTGTGTGTTCATATTGACTTGTTGAAGATTTGGAATAAAAGATGCGTAATGAAGAATCTCACCAAAATTAATGTGGGGAAATTATCATTCACGTTACATGCATTATGTCAGCAGCAGCTGTTTTCTCAGCTTTTCAAATGAAAAGTGAAAAATATCAAGGTTCGGAGGTGTTTAAAGCATTGCCAGATTGCTCAGTAAAATCTTCAGTTAGAAGAAACTCTTCGTCGAAGTTAAATTCAGCATCTAAATCGAACAGTAGTACGACAACAAAAAGCATTGGCAATAGAATCTTGGGTCGTAGTACTTGCCTGCTGAATTGAAGAATGACTTCACCAAAGTAGGATGACGAATGCACTAATGCCGTTGAAGGACTGACCCCTAGGGCTCTCGTGGCAGTTGCTGCAACTCCAGAATTCAGAAAGTGATATGGAAATCTTGTTAATCCTACACTCATTGCAATGGACATGTTGACTGTTTCACTGAAAAATTATCAAAGGAAAAAGGCGTTTGCAAAAAATGATTTTCTCGTTTATTTAGACGGGTCGTGAAATGGGGAGAAGTATACACTTGAGCAATGAAAAATATGGAATAAGTAAAAAATAATGATGTGTACTTCAAAATATCTAAAATATAGTAAGAGGAAACCTTTTTCTTAGATCTCCTTCATTTACTCTCTGATTTTTACTCTGACATAAGGTACATCGACGTCTTCATCATTTTCATCGTTTACACAAACTTCGAAAATAAGAGATTTGACGTGAGGTGGAATAGGCTTTTTAGAAACGCTTTCGACGACTTGAGAAAGCTTCATGTTCAATCTTTCAGCTGCCTTTTTCTTATTCATAAAGAATGAGTAGAGCATAGAGACTCCGGATGAGACCATGGTAACCTCCAATTTATGCTCATTTTGGAAATAGTCGATAAATTCTTGTAAAGTAATATCACCTTCAATATCAAAACGATCCCATAAACTGAATTTGACACCGTTATATTCTAGTGTGGGCATAGCAATGGGTTCAGAGAAACCAAAGAAGGGCAAAGCCAAATTGACGAAGCCGTTCTTGTATTGCTCAATATCATTTTTGCCATCAATAATCTTGTACAACTCAAGACAGACTAAACCAGTAACCATGGCCGTAGTTGTAGCAATAGCAGGGATAATTTTACCAGCGATAAACTTGGTTTTGTAACGATCAACAGGTGTAATACCGTAGTTCATGGCACGTAAATTGGAAGCAGCGGTGATAAAATCGATGTGGTGGTTAGAGTCATCATCTTTTTCAAATTCTGCAGGGCGCATACGGAAGTTGCCAAAGGAAGAGGGAGACGGCAATTTGGCAATGGTTTCATCTAAACTGTCAACGTTGTTATCATTCTCGACTGTTTCATTTTCTTGAACTTGAATCTTAACACCTTCCTTAGGCTTGAAATCAGGAACTACGACATTTTCGAGCTCTTTACGGAAGTATGATTCATCCATATTTTCTTCAATGCCATAGTTAAAAGCATGCAAATTGGCAGCATCCATGACAAAATCAAGATGAGCACGGTTATTAACATCAAATGTAAGTGGTGTAGGAACACGCTTGGGGCCAGACCAGAACAACTGACCGGTAGATGTGACAGCATCAGGAGGGAAATTGAATAAAAGTTGACGAATGTTGTTGCTGAACATTTCTTCAAACTTCAAACGAGCCCAAGCAATACAGTCAGCGAAAGAAGAGGGTCTTCCTGCTGTCAAGCAGTCGAGAACACCTTCAATGGTTTCCTTGCTTGTGCCGCCTTGTTTGAGAGTAGCTTCAACGAAGTTGGGTTGTGTCAAGTACAAATTAGCATTATCAGCAGGTTGCTTAAATACACCTTCGAACAAATCACGGGCCCATTGTATGGTATGTTCGATAGCATTGGGGAAGTTCTTCAATGTACAGATAGGAATAGACTTCTCAGGAGGATCTTGAGAAGAGGAGTAGGATTCGGTTAAGAAGGGAATGATAACTTGTGTATTACCCTTTGTTCCTAGAGTACCGGACTCCAAAAGAGGTTTGCGGTAATAAACACATCTTCTATCCATATATTTACGAGCTTCTACATTATCAAGTGCATTAGTAACACCGTCCAATGCCTCGAAGAAGTCATCATCATAAATATCTATGTATAAATTCAATGTTATGTTAGGATATCTGAGAAGGCAGCCAACTTTATTTGATCGATCAACTTACTCTCAGTCTCAGGGCCGACACGCTCTTGGTGGATAGTGATTTTTCCAGATAAGTCAGGATTCATTTTAGTGACAGCGGCAGAGGCACACTCTGATTTCAGTTTCTGGAAGTTGAAATTCATGCATTAATAATTGCACATCATTTTCACAAAGAAAGCTTGAGTAAAATAAACCTACCCCGACATCAGAAGCTCTGAACAAGAATTGCCTGTTAAGGTTGCTCTTTTCGATAGTATCCATATCTGTGATGGTGATATGACCTTTAGGGCCAGTACCCAAACCCATCATTGACCAATTCTTGAGCATTTCACAGCCAATAGCACCTGCTCCGACAAGGAACTCTTTAGTACCAGCGATCTTTTCTTGGAATTCTTTACCAAAGACAGCAATTTGGCCATCATAACGAGAGCCAATGGGGGTACAAAGTTCCTCGCTTAACTTGACGCTGGTAGGGAGAGCTTCAAGAGCATCAAAGTACATATATTGATAAATGGGGTTGAACTTGCCACTGACAGCCTTTAGGACTTCTTGAGCAGCTAAACCGCCAAAAACGGCGACCATGGGTGATAACTCACCAGCCGATTGGTAAGCGAGCTCTTTGATTAGCTTTTCGTCTAAATCAGGCTTTTCTTCTACAGTAGAAAGAAGTTCTTTGGTTCTTTCATAAACTGTAGTGGCATCTTCTTCATTTCTAGGCTTAGGATAACGACCATTCTTTTCGACAAACTCTGCTAAAGCTTGGAAGGCAAGATGTAATTGTAAGGGACGATCGAACTTTGCAAAATCAGAAACCAAACATTCTGGTTTGGGTAATGACTCTTTGAGTGATTTCTATTTTGTAGATACAGTAGGTTTAGAAAGCGAGATGGCTGCTGTCTTATAATTTTGCTTCACTTACAAAATCAACATATTTGGGCACTTTGACTTGATAGAAAAGACCGCCATTAGTGTAGTCACCAAATTTGGTTGTATCTCCAATGCTAAAGCTGTAAGGGCCGAGTACTTTGACTTTAACAGGTGCTATATCATTCAACTCATCCATGCCCTGGACTTCCTTGAAAGTAACATAGTCACCGTCTTCCAAACCATGTCTAACCTCATCCAAACAAGTAACGATACCTTCCTCTTCCTATTTAAATTCCATGAAATTAAAAACATGGATACATAAATCGGGATGCTTTGATCACAATTATTACCTTTGAAATGCTTGCGATCATGCCCTGCAAAGGTTCCTCGCCGTTGGTATCAATAATTTCGAAATTTTTACCAAAATCGTTGAAGATACGACTATCCAATCGTAAAATTATCAATTATCTGAATCGTACTCACAGAAAACCCTTTCGACTGCCTTACCCAAAAAGACCGCGAACTTCGGTGGTAATGAAGTGAATATTGTTGGCGTGACAAATTTCAGAAATCTCAAGTTGTTTTGAATAGGCTAAATCAGTAATGACAACCACTTTATATTTTTTCAAAACTTCTTCTGATAAATCGCCTTCCAAAAGGTGAACGGGTACATATTGATTCAATTCAGCAAGTTTAGGTTGGCTGACTTTAGCACGAGGTTGACCAATATCTTGTTCTGTCAAATAGAACTATATCACACATGAAATTGACAGGATCAACAAATAATCTGTTGAGGTTAAGTTCTTTGTTTCAGTATTAAAGTATATACCTGAGCAGATAGGTCAGAACCTTTGACAGGTGTGGGGTCATAAAGAGTGACACTCTTGACACCAGCCAAAACGACATTCTTGGCTAAAAAGTGCAAGATTAAAATGATCGCAAGTCAGACATAGTCCTATCTACTAATTGCAGTTTGAAAAACAAAAATAGTTACCAATTTCAACACCGAGACCGTTGAGACCGATGACCAAAACATGGGCTACGCTCATCTTCTTCATGGCTTCATGACCCAACACATAACTAGCCATTCATTTGAGGCATTCACGCGTTTGTTAGTTCACAGTTGTAGATTCCTTGTTATTCGTTGTTTGGAGGCTTACAGTTGACGAGAATACAATCCTTCATCAATGGTCTGTTCGTTATTATCAATTTGCATACTTGACATTCTGTTAAAGCACAATAGAAGGAAAAGGAAAAAGGATGATTGAAATAAAAACAAGAATTTGAGGCAATTTCTTTATTTTTCGAACGAGTCGCTTATAAATCGCCGTTCCATTGCGTAGTCCCAAATTTATGTACTTTCCTTCTTTGTACAAAATTTTCACAGCAAACTTTTACGTCATTTCCAAAAAACTGAAGAGAGAGGATAGTAGGCTGATATGGGCAATTACTTTTATTGATTAGCACTTGAGAATATAAAAATCAATTCATTAAAGTATTTAAATCTATAATTCAGCATGTTCGATAGCTTCAACAGGTAAGGCACCAGAATCAGCTATGACAATATCAACCTTGGGCTTATCTCTCCAGCTATAACAAAGAAAATTATACGCAAAATCAAACTATTAGCGAACCACATCATCTTCAACGCTTAAGAATGAAAAAATGTAAACTTACCCCTTTTCACAGTTTTCGATCTTTGACACAACATCCATACCTTCAATTACTTTACCGAAAACAACGTGCTTACCGTCTAACCAAGAAGTCTTGACAGTGGTGATGAAGAATTGAGAACCATTTGTATCGGGACCAGCATTAGCCATAGACAGAACACCCTAATTTAGCAATGGAAGGAGAATCTTATATTAGCACGTCCTCTATATCTCGCTTGATCTTTGCTACCTTTATATCTCAGATAATGAAATACTTACAGCGCCAGTATGTCTCAATTTGAAGTTTTCATCAGCAAATTTAGCACCCCAAATCGATTTACCACCAGTACCATCACCGTTGGTGAAATCACCACCTTGAATCATAAAATCCTTAATGACGCGGTGGAACTTAGAGCCTTTATAACCAAAACCCTTTTCACCAGTAGCTAAAGTCTTGAAGTTTTCAACAGTCTTGGGAACAGTTTTGCCATAAAGACCAACGACAATACGTCCAAGTTTCTCGTCACCTTGTTGAACATCAAAGTAGACTGCAATAGACATAGAGGAACAAACGCAGAGAGGAAGATAATTTTTGTTAGTTATCCCACCTCCCAACTCAATCTACTATAAGGAAATTTCTCGTTCCTGTACCTTTGTCAGTAATAAGAGGACCCTTAGTGGCGGCAACAAAGTTGAGAGTGGTTAGCGCCAGGAGTACTGTGATAATAAGTGTAGAAATGCTGAAACGAGCCATCCTTGGTCTTCCCTTTTTGCTAAGAATTCAGCTAGAAAATAAAAAAAAAAAAGAAAAGAAATGCTTACTGCTGCAATTTGGCTTTTATTTAACGGATGACAAAAAAAAAAGTTTATCTTCCTAAGAATGGGTTTTTTTGCTGAAATTAAATTGAGAATTTATTTACATCTCATTAGAAGATCGAAAATCTAATCTACTGCTTGGGACAGTTATGCACGCAGTAGTATCTGAAAGAGCCATTGGGAAGAGCGGATACTTATTCAGCCTGCAGAGTATACAGCTTATTTGCCTTATAAGTCACCTAAGTGTTTCATCAAACGCATTGTAACTGTCTGTCTCGAGCTCCTTACTAAATCCAGGCTGTAAGAGAGAAAAAAGGGAATTTTGACGTTTGGAAGAGGTATCAATCTAATGAAAATACGCCAATTGTTGAATATATGATGTTTATTATGGGCTAGTGATTATAGTTTTCTGCTTAGTATAAAAGACAGAAATGATGCTGAATAAGTTAGGTAAGAGCAAAGGCGATTGACTATATACAAATGTACTATGAGTTTGTTGCGTATGTCGGTTATGATTGAATAGGATAATTATGAAGTAGACTCGAAGGAGCATACGCCTAATATTACGTTTCATAACCAATAACCAATCAGCTTACAGGAAATATGATGCACATTGGTATTGAGGCTTACCTTTTTCTCCTGTTGACTATGCAAGAGAGATAATGTTTTGTAAGCTTGCTCCACAGATTCTTTCAGACTTTGATCGAAATCACTTTTTGGTCTATTCAACCGTGCACGTGCAGCGATTATTTTTTCTGTACTGCAAATATATATCTCTTCTTTCTCAATTTGTTCGATAATAGAAGGCTCAGTGATATTATCATTCAGTTTGCTGATAGCATAATGATGAAAGTCATGTCAATTATACAACTTTCTTGGAAGGTATACATAGGAGGCTTCCTCTAAATTTGAACGTACCTTTGTCGAGCTAATTTTAAATCATTGGAAGCTGTGTCCTTGTTCAATGAAATTCCTTGCGGAGATTTGGATTGAGCTTCAGAATGGCCAGTCATTATGTTTGACGTGTCAGTTGATCCGGTCGTTGTCACAATTGGAGAAGGTAGAGGTTTTTTGCTTCGTTTGGTAAACATTGTTGACTCTTTTGTACTGCCACACTTCATCTCTGCTGTTCGACTTGCAACAGAATGTTCTTGGCTGCTGCCACTGTTTCTTTCAGAGAGCGTACTGTGGGTTTCTGATTTATGAATTTGCTTTTGCAAGTAGATTATTTCACGCTGAAGACGTAAGACTTGTTGTCTCGCTAGAGCAAAATTACTTTCAGAGATTTCTAGTGCTTCGTTCACTCTTCTCAAAGCATCTTTGTCACGCTTCCACATAACAGTTAGTATGGATTTATCATTTTGAGACGCGCTCGCGTCACTTAATTGTTTTGTTGTAGATTCTTCAGTTGTCGGAGCAGTCGTTGTCCTATCTCGTTCAAAATGGGCGCTCTGGTTTGAAGATTGCTTTCTATAGAATTCGAGTTCTTTTCTCAGTCTTTCATAATCCATTTGAGTTTCTTTTAACTTTGCTCTGTGGTCATCGCGCTGCTCCTGTAGCTCTTGATTATAATGCTCTTTGAGCTTTTCAACTTGTTCCTTTTGTTCCTCTAATTCATTTTGGAGAACCTCATTCGTTTGTCGTAGTTGTTCAAATGCCAATTCTTTATCTTTTGCTTTTCCATCATTCAAAGCCCTTGTTTGATATCTGTTGTGCTCAAGTTGATCGATGTAATTTTGGTATTCTTCAATCTGTTGCTCATAAAATGTACACTTATCATTATTAGCTTGAAGCTCCTTTTCGAGAGTTGACAATTTTCCAATTTGTTGTTCTATGACAGATTGTAGTTCGGTGTATTTGATTCTTTCATTTCCATCATCTTTCAATTGTTCGTTTTCCTTCTGCAATGCGTTTAAAGTGGCACGCAGGTCTATGCGTTCCTTTTCAAGCCTTTCAATCTGTTGTTCGTGTAATTTATTGCTCTTTTGTAAATCAGTATGCGACAATTCTAACTCTTTCAGTTGGGTCTGTAAAATTTGCATACGACCGACAGATGTCGGCGACTGATCCTTCTTGTCGGAAAGCACCGATAACTTTTCCTGCAATTCTGTGATGGTTGTCATAGACTCGAGAGCTGTTTCTTGTTCCCTTCTTAATGTATTCTGAATTTCTTCTTCTTTCTTTTGCAATTCCAATGATAAAGTTTCTACGTTCAACTGCAGTTCTTGGTTTTGTTTTAATAGAGTGGCTTCTATCTCCTCAAATGCTGTTGTTATTCGAGCTATTTCTTCGGAATGTTCGCTATTGAGTCGTTTGATTTCTGCCTCATGTAATTGATTCAATTTGTTCTTTTCATCTTCCCATTTGTTAGGATCAAAGCCGCTCAATCTTTGTCTATATTGAGCAATGAATTCTTGATTACTCCCAGATTTGACTGGCTTTTCAAAGAAGGATTTTTGAATATTCTGGCTACTACATGAAAATGTATAGCCAATAAACGCATACTCTCTGCTAAGAATATCGTCTATTTCGTCGGTGTGTTGTGCCTCCTCTTCAATTTCTTCGCTTTTAGTGTCAATTGTATCGTCTCCACTATCATTACTAACAGAGAAATACTGTATGTCATCTGATGCGCTGATGGAAGGGACGAAAGGCGGTGCTGCTTCTGTCCGTATCGTATTCCAATTGATGTCTTTGAAAAAGGGATGGGATTTAATTTCTTCTGACCCATTACAGCCTAATCTTTTGGCTTTATCTTTTTCTAATAACCTTAAGGGGATACTATCAGAGAATGGATGCAGCAAGAACAACCATAACACTGTTAGTAACTCACCTTGATAGTAAATCTTTGGCTTCAGCAGATAGATTTATGTTCGACTTGAACTGAACGGATATCTAATAGTATTACACGACGTACTTAGTTCATCAATTTTTTCGACTCTTTATCAGCAAGTTATACTCAGTAAAAGTTCTACCTTTGGATTAACAAGGTCCATTTGTATTTTGACATCGCTCCCTTTAAATGGACGTTCTCCCAGTAGCATTTCATACAAAACAACACCCATAGACCACCAGTCTACTTCGGGACCATAAGCAGGTCCTATTGAAGCATTCAATCCTTCAGAATCACACATTTCTGGCGAGACGTACGGCATCGTTCCTACCATCAACAAGTAATCCTGATGGCATCAGTTGCTCGTTAGTTTTAAGCAACTTTATGACAGATCTAATCAAACTTGATATTGTTACCCTTGTGTCCGAAAAGATACATGAACCAAGGTCGCCTAGTTTGATGTGACCTTTACTATCGATCAAAATATTTCCAGGTTTTATGTCGCGATGCATGTAGCCCAACTGATGTACCTGATCAATGGCCAAAATAAGTTCTGCGCAGTAGAATTTGGCTTCTGCTTCCGTGAATGGTTGATAAGATCTTCGTTCCATAAGTCCTTGAAGGTCTCCCCCTGGTGCATATTCCATGACGAGATATAGGTTCTTTTCATCTTGGAAAGCAGCATACAAGTGAGGTAACCATGCTTCATTATTTTTATCGTCATTGTTCGATGCCAAAACCAACCTTTCTTCTAAGGGCGATGATCGATCCAATTGTTTTCGTAGCTTTGATTTGCTAGATGTTTTCATTGCATAAATGTTATCATTGTCTTTGTCATGTTTACTTCTAACAAGCGTGACCTTTCCAAAAGCACCTTTGGCAAATATGTCTTTGTGTATTACTTCAAAGTCCTTTAAGGACAGTTTTGATTTGTTAAGATCATGATATACAGGTTTATCTTTGTAAAAATATAATCACAAAAAAGAAGATATTAGTCAACTGCCTTTGAACAAAACAAAAAAGTGTATAATCAAAGCTGTACATAGTTGAATGAACTTATTAAGAGCTTCAGCATTTAAATCGTCATCGTCGTTCTGCCGCTTCATTGCATTACGGTAAACTAACATTAATGCATCTGATAATGCATCCTTATTTGTTAATTGTTTGAACAATCGCTGCTCTTTGGCAATACGGGCTGAAAGATTATTTATTGGGCTGCTATGTTTGTTCGTCATGATTAGAACTTGATTTTTGGAAGTAACAGATTTGTGCAAAAAATAAACGAATGAAGGACGCTTATCAGAATTGAATTGAGAAAGACCGAAAAAAAAAAAAAAAAAAAAAAAAAAAATTAAGCTTGACAATAATCATGATGAATATATACAATTTACGTGAATCAAAGCAAAACATATATGATTCAAAGTGGTAAACATTCGTCTTCATTAGGCAAGTAAGACAAAAATAACAAAATGAAAAAGCGTCTGCATGAACCAAGGCTCACTCATTTAGGAAAGCCCGACGCTTGGTTACTTTTTTTGCCCCTTAATTTCAGCGCATCACATATTGTTATCGTTGCGAAAGCTCAAGCATCCCAAGTGTACGTCGTTTCCAATAAGTTACATAACCATTTCTCTCGATTTAGCCCCTGTAATTCTTTGCTTTACTTTTCTTTCTCTTCTACATTTTTTCCATCTGAAGTTTCTACAGAAACAACCACTATTTACATTTCCGCCATAAAGATGTCGAATAGTAACAATGCTATAAATACTTTGCCACCAGACCAACGATATAACCGAATGGAAAAACTGGGTGAGGGAACATATGCAACAGTTTTTAAGGGCAAAAACAACATGACAGGCGAAATTGTGGCCCTGAAAGAAATCCACCTCGATCCAGAGGAAGGTGCACCTTCTACGGCGATTCGAGAAATATCATTGATGAAAGAACTCAAGCACCCCAATATAGTTCATCTACAAGACATCATTCACACCGATAGTCGGCTTGTTTTAGTGTTTGAATTTATGGATCAAGATCTTAAAAAATACATTGATGCTCGGGTTCGTAATCCTTCTACGAATAATAACAGTACGAGTAGCAATGGGGCGAACTCAACTAGTGGCAGTATACTCAACCCTAATACCATCAAATCATTTATGTATCAACTTTTGAAAGGTATTGCTTATTGCCATGAGAACCGCGTCTTACACCGCGACCTCAAACCGCAAAATCTTTTGATCAACAAATATCACCAACTGAAGATAGGCGACTTTGGCTTGGCCCGTGCGTTTGGCATTCCCGTCAACACGTTCTCCAATGAAGTCGTTACTTTGTGGTATCGTGCACCGGACGTTCTTCTAGGATCCCGCACTTATTCAACATCCATTGATATTTGGTCAGCGGGCTGTATTATGGCAGAATTGTATACTGGAAAACCACTTTTCCCCGGTACCACGAATGACGATCAGCTGCAGAAGATATTCCGATTATTAGGAACACCGACGGAGCAAACGTGGCCAAACATAGCGCAACTACCAGAGTATAAACCACCACAAGTCGTGTATCCTGCTCAGCATATGTCACAGATTCTTCCTGCTGTCGACCCAAATGGTATTAATTTATTGAGCAGGATGCTGCAATATCAGCCACAGATGAGGATTACAGCGAAGGATGCCTTGGACCATGCTTATTTTGATGAAGTACGGTATTTGTTTGCTTAGCTGTCACGGCAGGATAACAGTGAATCGTTGTGAGTCTGCTACAATACAGACAGTTGAGATTTGATTGAATAAAAAGAAGCTAAATAACCGAATGATGAATGGTGGTGAATCAGAGGCAGTGTATCCAGAAAGGAACCCAATTGAATAATAAGTAATGTTTGCTAAATATTGACATTGAATCTCTGACTATACTGACTTAATTGAAGCATAGCGGTAAAGATACCTCGCTGGCCTTTATAAGGAAGTGAGGTAGTTGAGGGGAAAAAAATGGTATTCCGAAGAGAGATCGCGCTTTTGTAAGGGGATGATATTACAACATTTATCAAATGCTGCACGTCATAACAACGCTCGCCAAAAATGCGATTTCAGAAAATCCAACTTGAGTAATAACATCTCAATGTTGGGAGAACGTTAGCCAGTTTAACACTTGGCAAAGTCTTGTCAAATGGCAAATTCAAACATCGTTAAAGCCTGGTGACCTCAGTTTCATCTAGCAAACCCCCCCAACCCTTCTTTTAAAAGAAGGAGAAAGCCATTATATCATAAACTATTCATCACTCACATAGATATCCTTTGAAAGAATAATTTTTAGTATAATCTTGCATCCATGTATTCGTACATAGTTTTAAATCAGGATGTATTTGCAAATAGAAGACGCCATTTGCTTGCTATTCTTAGAAAACAAATTATTTTTATTGCTGGCATTGAATCTTTAATAATAACTACTATGAAAGGGAAGAAGCTTAGCAACTTTTTCTTTCTTTGTTTAAACAACTCAAAACTCAATGGCTATCAACACCAACAATTTTCCTCCTGATCAGCGATACTCTCGTCTTGAAAAGCTTGGCGAAGGCACTTACGCCACTGTTTACAAAGGCAAAAGCAAACTTACAGGAGAAATCGTAGCCCTCAAAGAAATTCAACTGGATCCAGAGGAAGGTGCTCCTTCTACCGCCATTCGAGAAATTTCACTAATGAAAGAACTCAAACATCCCAATATTATGCGACTTTTGGATGTTGTTCACACAGAAAATAAGTTGATGCTCGTTTTTGAGTATATGGACCAAGATTTAAAACGCTATATGGATTCAGCAGCGCGTTCGAATAATAATGCGGCCTTAGTAGGAGGCAACAGTAATACAGGTACAGGTGGGTCAGCACTTGATGCCACTACCATCAAATCGTTCATGTACCAACTTTTGCGAGGCATTGCCTATTGCCATGAGAATCGAGTCCTTCACCGCGATTTAAAGCCTCAAAACTTACTCATCAACAAACATCGACAGCTGAAATTGGGCGATTTTGGTTTAGCACGTGCTTTCGGCATTCCCGTCAATACGTTCTCCAACGAAGTGGTAACACTATGGTACAGAGCACCTGACGTTTTGCTGGGATCTCGTATGTATTCAACTTCCATTGATATTTGGTCAGCAGGATGTATTATGGCAGAAATGTATACGGGAAGACCGCTCTTTCCCGGCACTACGAATGAGGACCAATTGCAAAAGATTTTCCGCCTGTTAGGTACACCAACTGAGCAAACGTGGCCAAATATAACCCAGTTACCAGAATATAAACCCCCTCAAGTTGTCTATCCGCCGCAGCATATATCACAAGTGTTGCCGAACATTGAACCGAGTGGTCTAGACTTACTAAATCGAATGCTGCAATATCAACCTCAACTTAGAATCAATGCAAAAGATGCTTTAAACCATACTTATTTTAATGATATCAGATACTTGTTTACAGATTAAAAAAAGGCTTGCAACAAAAATTTTTTATTACAAATTTTTGATGGGATAAGCAAAAGCAAAATAACAAAGCAATACAAATTGAAATAAATGTATATTATTAAGACCTTTGTGTAAATAGTAAAAAGTGAGCAGAGACTGTATTCGAATGATGAATGAGCGAAAAAAAGAAGAAATGAAACATAATGCATAAATAATTGATGAAATACGAAATCCGGCCAAGATACATAAGCTTTGAAAGCGTACAACTATCGAACAGAATTAACACAAGAAGCTACCATAATCTACTGCTGGCGACGTGGACGCAGTCGAAGCTGAAGATGTGGTTGTACGAATGTTATTGTTCACTGCTTGTTGGCCATCCCAATCAAATAGATCATCCAGCAATTGAAAATCTTGCTTGACCATTGTGTTTGGCGAATACACAGTTTCTTCATCTTCAGATGAAAATGAAGGAGAGAGCATTGGTGACGGTAATTTGCTGGCGTTAATGAAAGGTGCTGTTAATAAAACTAAATCCTCTGGTTTCTCGGTGACAGTCGTTGTTCGCTGCAGATCACTACAATTTTGATTAACAACCTCCGCTGCAGGGAAAAAGAAGAGATTAACATAAACAAAATAGAAAACTAAACTTGGTAAGACAATAGGAAAGATGATTCAACAGATGGAATATCCATTGAGTGGTTTGGGTATGTGGATTGGGTAATTGTTGTAAGAGTGAGTAGACTTTTGGGCAATCTTTTTCATATAGCTATCTGTTGGCATCTGAATCATCTTCTTGTCGAGACAACAAGTAAAAGGTTCCTACAGTTTGATAATCCTTCCTTCTTCGCGATCCGTGCTGAATCGCAAAAGTCGTTGAACAAAATTGGACTGATCGCATTGAATTTACTGTTGTGAGCATTCAGAGAAGTAGTAGTAGTAGTAGTAGTAGTAGTAGTATCATTCATAGCAGGTTGTTGTTGCTGTAGCTGTTGAACTGCTTGTATATTGGTTAATTGTCGAGCAAATGTATCCAACTGTGATTGCAATAATGCATTTTGTTCTTCGAGCATTCTCAAACGTTTGTTCATTACATCATTTTCATGAAGAAGTCTTTGGTTATTGCTTTCTAACTCTGCAATGTATCGTCGTTTTTTATCACGCGATTCTTGAGCTGCTGCACGATTACGCAAAATTCTATAAAAAAAGAATTTTACATGTTAGCTCCTGGTTGAGCGTAAATCTGTAAGACTAATAAGTAGAGTTACCTTTCTTTTGTCTTTTGATCTTTGTCATCCAATGTTACCCTGGACTTTTTCAATGTGACAACAGAATTAGTAGTATCCTTCTTCATACGAGTAGATTGACAAGGAGAAATGCTACGTTTTCTAGACATATTTGTTGCATTAGGCGAACATATAGAGCTTGCCATGGTAGTAGCCTCTACAGTAGTGACAGTCGATACACTTGAACTTGTCATCAAAGGATCAACTGAAAAGCTGACTGGCAAAGACAGTAACTGAGTAAGTGGATCACTAACGTTCTCAATGTTACTGCCGGAACTGTTGTTGGTGTTGCTGGAACTACTATGACACTCGGTGTTGATCATTGTGAAAAAAAAAAATACCCAAACCACTCAATGGATAATGATAGAAAAAGGTTAAAGTCGACTAAAGAAAAGAAAAAAACAAAAAAAAGCTGCGCAAGATAAGTAAATTCTCAGTTTATACGGTAGAGACTTAAACAGAGTAAGCCAATCAAAATTGAACACTTGTTCGGATATTCAACCGACACCTCATTCGTTTCTGTAACCAGCTTTTGCAAAAAAATACAACCGGCAAATATTGACTCACAGTTTGCACAATTTGTCTAATAAAGTCAATTCTTGGCTTTGCGTCCGTTAGTGTGTGATGCTTTATTTTCGGGTCGGTAAAACAACCTTCCTCTTTGTCTTTATGTGATGAAACTAAAATATGGGTACCACCTTGGCTACCGTTGAAGTACAAATATGACTAGACTATTGGCATTGGATCAGTCCCAGGACCATACACCAACGGAAATAGTGTTGAAAGAGTGTGTAGATTAAGCTAACTGAAATTCTTGTTGGTAGAAGCGCTTCTTTAGCCCTGTATAGGGACATCTTCTCCTTGCTGTTTGCCAAGGAATTCTGGAGAGTAATTAACCTTGATTTATATCGGCATCTTTACCCATGGCAATATACACTGTTGCTGTAGCCGTTTGTGTCTATTGCAAAGTTACAGTATGCTTAACTGTCCTTCTTTTAATCAGTCAAGATGCGAAACGAAATAAGCAGCAAGTGATGTAAATAGATGACATTATTTATGATAGTTCATTCAAAGGAGATATTCATTAAGAATCAAGTAGCTGGTTTACTCACGAAAATTTGGCAGTGTAGATTGATGGCTTCAAACCCCCACCTAGGTCTAAAAGAGGTTTCCAACACATGGGGCCAGATGCTTGGAAGAAAAATAGCTTTGTTCTATTTTTGATCTAAGCGGCCCTTTCGTCGGATTTTAATCCAGACAGTGTCTGATTGTGTAACAATTATCTCTGTTTCATGTGCCAGTAAGAAAAAGTGTACATTGAAAAGGGCAGTAGCGTGAACCCAGCTATGGTATTTTCTTGTTCTTTTTCTTTTCCCACTTTGTGCTATATTTCTGTATTATATCCAATCACTTGTACATAAAACATATAAATAGTTCGATGAGCATTGACATCAAGACAGTCGGGTTGATCTTTACACGGAAGAAAATCAAGCGTTCTGGCTTCATTGGTCTTGAAGATTATGCAATGTAGTGTAGTATACGTTTATTTTGCTCATAGCTATCCTTCCTGTTCTTAAGATAACAATTTATTTTTTTATTTTTTTTGCTAGGAAGCGAAACATTCGAATAATACACATAGATCTGTCAAAGCCCATAGAAGATCAAGTGGAAAAGCTAGACCTCATTGTCCATAAGATGACAGATCTCGTTGCTAAAATAGAGCGCGGTGACATTGAAGCGCGAAATTTGTATCAACGTTTCATTGTAAGTTATCTGTTTACCACAAAATAACCACAACGTTTTTCGTTCCACTTGCAATAGATTGACAAATTTAAAATTAACAGACATACACCAAAGAGCATCCCGACGTGATCATCATTGATACTTGGACGAATATCGAAAAGGTATTGGATAGAATGCACTTATACCAACATACTGAAATGTGCTCGAAACAAAAAAACACAGGTACGAACAGATACAGTTTATGAAGTTTAGCTTAAACTTGGTATTCATGAATATTATAATAGACGGAACACCGTTATTCTATGTTCCGAAAAGCATCACCTTAGACTCTATTGACGACTGGCGGGACAATATGGATATCAAATTTCCAGTAAGTTTGAGACAATAATCAGCAAAGGTTTGATGTCCTTCAATTAAGTGCTATTTCCGGGCTCTATTGTAAACTTTAGATCATATGCAAACGACGGGCAGCATGCTCCTCAACGGAAGCTCATCAAATGACACTGGTACCATCTCCCCAACAGATGTTAAATATAAAGGATTGGTTCAAATCAGAGTCTGTCATATTACAAGAATTCGTACAGCATGATGGGATTATTGTTAAAGTTTACGTTGCTCAAGGACAAATCACAGCTTCTACGCGGCCTTCCTTCAAAAATTTAGATCATACGGCAGATGTGGTTCATTTCGATAGTCAAACATTACCAAAAAGTTTCGAAACAGACATAGAATTGTCAGATGAGTTAGATAAAGTATTCGTCAGAGAAGATCCTGGAGCGATACACGACCATAAAAAAGCAGTTCTGGACAATCATAGATTGCAAAGAATAGCCGACAGCCTACATCAGCAATTGGTAATTTTATCCTGAAAAGGACGATTTTGACTGACTTCCTGAATTAACCTTATTATTTGTTGATCTGTCTGTTGACTCCAAAATTCAGGGGCTTACCTTCTTCGGATTTGATGTGTTACTACAAACAAAAACAAATGCTTATTTTGTCGTTGATGTGAATTACTTCCCAAGTAAGTGGTTATAAAAGAATGACAAACACAAAGTAGAATTGATTATGTAAGTAGCTTCCTTTTGGCATACCTAGGCTTCAAGGACGTCGATAATTTCCATTCTATGTTTGTAGACATTTTAGAAGAAAGGCTGGGTAAAGTGTGATCAATGATCTTGGGATCACAATTTTGAACTATGAGTTCAATTTATATTCCTGATAGCAATGTCAGTTGACAATACTCCTTCTTACTCCTTTTTGAACGCTTTCAAAAATACTTCGCTAATATCGCTATCGAAAAGCACCTTTTTTGTAAAAGTTTCTCTATTGTCACTATCACCCCCCCCTAACTCCTCCTGCCGTTTCAGAGCTATCCATCCCAATCTTTCTATACTCCATAACTGCGGAAGCAATAATGTATTTTTACGAATCACAGAATAATAATAATTTTATTCCAAAAAATCTCTTTCAAAGTTATTTAAACCGAGCTAAGAAATAATTTAGTTGCTGGCAGCAGCGGCTCTACGACGATCACGTTCTTCAGTGATGGAGAGCTTGACACCCTTACCCTTGGGAAGAGAGATCATAGGCTTGTTACCTTGACCAATGACGAAAACGTTGGAAATACGGGTAGCGAAGACACGATCCAAAGCATCCTTGATGTGGACAATTTCGAAACCACCAATGTGACGTTCACGGTGAACAATTTGACCAACACGACCAATGTTACGACCACCGGTGATCATAACAACATTACCAACTTCGAACTTGACGAATTCTTCGATCTTGTTGTTTTCCAAGTTGAAACGGACGGTATCGTTAACCTTGATCAAAGGATCGGGGTAACGCATGGTGCGGCCATCGTGGGTGGTGATGTAAGGAACACCCTTGGAACCAACAAGGACCTTCTTAACCTTGCAGAGCTTATACTTGGCTTCTTCGTCGGTGATACGGTGGACGGCGAAACGACCCTTGACATCGTAGACGAGACGGAAGTTTTCACCAGTCTTTTCGATGGTGATAACATCCATGAAACCAGCGGGGAAGGTGGAGTCGGTACGGACCTTACCGTCAACCTTGACCAAACGTTGCATGAGAATGGCTTGGGTTTCACGGCCATTGAGAGCGTACTTCAAACGGTTACGGATGAAGACGATCAAGGGGAGACACTCACGTTGCTTGTGGGGACCGGCGCTGGGCTTAGGGGCATAAGAACCTATTGATCGTAAAGTAAATAGCAGATGAGCACTCAACCATCTATTGATAAATCACAACATTCACAACATTTCTACTATGAAACTCATGCAGAAAGAAGTACGATCTTTCAGACATCATTTGCTTTATAAGTGATGCAGCCGATCTGGACAAATTCATTTCCACAGAATTGATTTAGATCCACTATACTGCATCACATCCAAGTGCCGAGAATCAACGTAGTAGAAATATATATATACTGTGTTCTTAACATACCCAAAAGCTTGTCAAGCATCCAATGCTTGGGAGCTGCCAAACGCTTCATATGTTTCTTAGGACCACGACCCTACATTGTGCAATTCAACAAATACTGTTTAGCAAAGTGATTTTTCTCATCTTTATACATCCATCCATTCTCGGTTCACAAAATGTCTGAATGATTGTTGAATGATGGATGTATATTCTTAAGTGTATAGTACTGCATACCATTGTGAGATATTTATCAAGGGATTAAAAAAGGAAGATTCAAATGGTCGTATGAAGCCTAAGTGCTTTTGATACAGCCCAGCATGGCTCCTCTCCGAGCCATTGAATGACCGCCGATAGGTTTAATTTTGAAGCGTGCATTCGTCCGTTTTGTGGCTTAGCTCTATTGATCCACGTATGTCTACTATTATGTGATTACTCTTCCGCAACCTATGATGGGCGTAATGGAAAAGACTTTGTATACATTGTTAGACTCTAAACTATCAATACAGATTATGCCAGCTGACTGCACGCAAATAAAACTAAAGCTTTTAGCAACAGCGTCTGAGGATACAAAGTATGTCATTCACTACACAAGTGACACAATGCTCTCTGTTGCAGGAGCAATATGCATTGTGAACAGTATATTCCATATATACTTTAATCCAATGTATATTGCTATATCTTTTTGAAAGGGCCTCATCATCCAAAGTGTACGACGATATGTATGGTAACGAAACATTTTGCCCAACATATTTTTAAGGTCAGTTTAATTCATGCTCATTTTTTTCACTTTTATCTCCACACGAAAGAAAATAATGAAATATCGTCGCATTCTTAGTGATGGGAAGACTACAAGACAATCAATACACACCTTTACAGCATAGAAAAAGGAAGACCACTGCCAGAAAAACCCAGGATGACTTGAGAAATAAGTTGAAAGAAGACGAAGCAAAATTACAGGTTAGCAACCCGTATAATAAATGCGCACTACTGGACTTCCTATTAGAAAAACTATAGAGCAGCTTAATTTTTGCCTTCCAACTGTTTGCTGTTGCTAGGCAACCTTTTGCCCACCTCTTGACCAAACACTTATCCATGCTATTTGGAACGATTCGCAAAATTATGATGCCGCATTCAAGTTATTATCGGCCTTAGCCAAAGAGGTCGATCAGACTTTGGAAGAACAAGACGAAACGTTGCGATCTATGCAAAATTTGCAGCTTGATGAACCGGCAAAAACAACTGCAATTGCGGTCACCTCAGCAGCTAAAGACACCACGACTATCAATACGTCAGATACCTCAGCCTCTCTTTTGACTTCAGAAATAGAGGATGAAAATGTTCAATTTCTCCTCACCTGTTTCCCTACTATACCAGCTCATGAACTTGTGGAAGCACTTGAATCACAAGATAATGACGTAGAGAAAGCAACAGATCTTCTCCTAAATAGAGAGTATGTTCAGAGTGGAGACTATGCACCAGAGAATGCAAAAACAGGAAATTTGAGGAGCGAAGTTCTTCCAGAGCAAAACAGGAGGAAGAAGAATAGCAACAAAAATAAGAACAGCACAAATACCGTTTGGTCTTCCGGTCAACTTCCTACCATCGCCAGTTCGCAAGGGAATGCTTCAAATCCCGGTGCAGTTGCTCAAAATATGAGGAGCATCATGGCTAAACAGCAAGCAGAAGAAGAAGCAGAATATTATCAACATGAATTAGCTACTGTACCCTTTAATTTTTGGCACCAGTATGACCCACTCATTAAGAAACTTCAGTCCTATTTTCCTACAGTTCCCTACTCTACAATTTTGCACTGTACTCAGCATTGTCGTGGCAACATGATTGCTTCAGTCAAGTTACTAATGGAAAAGCATCCAGAATCTCATCCAGAGCATGAATTGACCTGGCCAGTCCTAAAACAATGTATTCAAGTGAAGAAAGACTTGGGGTTAATTATGGAAGATCGTTCATCGGAAGAAGTTGCTAACGTTGCGCTTGGAGTTGTTCTACAGCATAAAGATGATAAGAAACCCAAGACGATTGAACAACTTGTTCAAATTGGCATTGAGCACTTCCTTTCATTTGATGTGAGTCAAATAGAATTGGAGGCGCGTCTCAAAAAAATTGCACGAGAAAACGAATTAATTCACGCTAAGGCAAAGAAACGCGACATACCCGTCATACCTGATTATTTATTGATCCACAATCAAGACTCTTACATTGAAGATGATCCCGAGGATTGCAGAGATATTGCAATGCAACTGATTTTAGAGAGAAATGAATTGTTTAAGAAGGCAGCAGCAGCCTACAGAGCAGCAAAGAATAAAGGACCAGGAGAGGGAGGTATTGCATTTTATTACTCAGATACGGCGAGACAATTGGATGCACAGGCGAAAGATTGGAATATGAGAGCAGCAAGAGCTACAGTCAGGAGACACCGAGTAAAAGAAATGGACGACCATCTGTTGGATTTGCATGGATTGACAGTAGCTGAAGCACAAGTCTTAACAAGAGAGGGGCTGAATCAATGGTATTCAAGAAGTCAAATGCAAGCCGGTAAGTTGAATATACTCAAAGTGAATTTTTGCAAATATGCTAATGATAAGTGCTCTAAAATTCACGTGCTTTATAATTCGATAATTATTAAATCAACATGCTGCTGTTACAGCTCGCAAACAATTCAGACCTCTAAAGATCATTACAGGAGCTGGGAAGCACTCACAATATGGTGAGGCGAAGTTGCTACCATCGGTTTTGAAGATTCTCAAGAAGGAAGGCTGGCGGTACGAAATGCCACATCCTGGTTGTATATATGTTAAAGGTGTTATAAACCGAGAATAAAGAGGGGTATTTTTCCTTATTTGGAGAAACAAAAGTAGTCCTTCAAATAGATTGTATCCGAATAGAAATGTGATAATATGTTAAGTTGTTACGTGTGTTCTGAGCACCTGCTTTATATTTGTTGACTCGCCGAGATTTCGTCAAGGGTTTATTGACTATAAACAATAGTTTGCTGTAAACATGCAAAGGGATATTAAGCATATTGTTTTGGTTACAATTAGCATTAATGAGTTCTCAACTAACCTTGACACAATAAATTGTGGTAAAGTATTGCATTTAGTTTCCCATTCGTATAAACGTTTTCTCTGTTGTAGTTGAAGACAAGCACTACATCAACGTGCAGTCAATTTTATATATTTTCGTCCATAGAGTGATTAGTATGAGCTTAACTGCTATTGGGTTATTGTAGCCAATTTCTGCGTCAAGTTTCTGCAACCATAACATAATTGTATAAAGCGTTGGAGTCTTCCTTATTAGAAAATGCAGTCTATGGTTGACCATTTAAGTTGTTTTGGTAACGTATACCTACTGGCTTTTTTCGCTCTAAGCTATATCCTGTTATAATCTTGCGTCAACTCTTACTCAATGGATATGAAGTATTAAGTTTTTCTTATCAGATGCTCCTTTATATCATACGTTTCACTCTTTTTTTCTCTTCGTTTTCCAGTCTCAATTAATAGGTTTTAGTTTGTTGAGGGACGAAACTCCTGTTTACAAAATGGTTTACGTGTATCACTGTAGTAATTTTTTTGGCATGTGGAAATGATTTTCAATTATTACAAAGCCGTGACTGAAACAGATATGTTTTATCAAAGACTTTTTGGTATAGCTTTGTCAGAATGATTCAATCAGCATATGAGAGAACATTATTATTCTTTGTATGCTTACAATAGGAACGAAAGGTTAATGGTCTACGCGATGTCACGTCTCTCGTATCATTGTCTTCTTCTTTGTGAGACGGACTCAGCGATATGGACCGATTTATTGGCGGGCTCTCATTATTGGGGTCTGGAAGTTTTTACTTGTTACATTAATGGTCGGTCACTTGATTGGCCACTTTTTCCTTCCCCTTTATCATGATATTGGTTTCGGTAAATTTGGTGTGATTGTGGAAATCCCACCCCCTTATTGTCTTCTCTTTCAATTGATACATGTCTACACGATGATCTCATTACTCTTGACTAAAAACTGCCATTATGCTATTCTTGTTGCTATTGAAGAAGGTGATTTCAGTCAGAAATATTCCTGGACACGCTGGAGTTACAGAGAAACTAAATAGATACTTTTTTTATCTCTAAAGGGGATCAGTTTGGACAACAGGACGACAAAGAAATCTACGTTAAAGCGAAACTCGACTTCCCTTATTCCGACGATATCATTCCCATTAATAGTACTCTTTGCACACCTTTTACGCCTCTGTCTACAGCAAATCCTCAGTTCAAATCGACTCTTGTTTACTACATTTCTAATCAATATCTAAAAAGATTACGCAAGAAACAATCATTAGTAACTTTGGAAGTATTTCGCTTATCAATGGACAGCACTGAAGAACTATTGGGTGTCATAGAATTGAAAGTAACAGAAGCGAAGGAAGTTATTATGAAAAAGGGAGAACGTCGTATGGCTCAAATTGAGCGGTTTGTAGGTGATAAAGGTGAATGGCGGTCGTTCGGAAACAAGACAAAGTCAAAAGCACGATTGAAATGTGGACTATTCTTGGTAGAAATGCCCCATAGTTCAGCAATGGCAGCAGTAGCGGCTTCGTCAGCAGAAGAATTATCTCAGCAACAAGTGCTTGATGTGAATAGATCAGTTTCATCGCTATCATCTGTGCAGCGGGCAGTTGAGGCAACAAATATCCGGCCCCGTACCAGTAGCGGCGCTTGGTCACCAACGTCATCTCTGCATTATTATCAACCTCAGCAGTATAGATCCACGGAAAGTAGGGCTGGTAGCGAGCTTGGTTTTGAATTAAGATCACAATTAAGCGACACCCTGAGAGCTTCTGACGACAGCTCAACAAATAGTAGTGTAAGAGATTTAATAAGCCCTGCAACATCCAATCAACACAATGTGAGATTAAATGAAGACGAGGAAGAGGATGAAGATTATGATAAGATTGCAGACATTGAGGGTATCAGTACTTTGAATGAGGACGTTGGAACAACAATAGGTGGCAACAAGTATTTGGCATTGGGAACAGGAGAGGATCAATTCATTTTACAGCTGCATATTGTGAGTGCTACTCACATTGCCAATATTGTCGATAAATTTGTTCCAAGCTTAGATATGATTGAAAAAGCTTACTTTTCTTTTACTTTTGGTGATGATTATTATAAATGCCTTGTCGATTACTCTCCAGAAAATACTAACAACCACAGAAGTGACACGTGGGTGGCGTTGGATAACATGACCTGTGTTTTCCTTCAAGGTGAAATTGATGAAGTCCAAGATTGGTTGTCCGAGTCACCTTTGAAACTGCAGCTTGTAGTAAAATTAATCAATCAGGATGAAGAAGTCAATGTTGCCTTTGCCGAGCTGTATTTGGAAGATGTGGGCTTCGAGATGATACGGAAAACCGGTATTTTATATGACAAAGAAGGAAACTGGTATCCGAATGATAAAATGGAATTTGCCAAGTTGGAACTGGAATTTGGTTTAACAGAAGGTTGGGACGATAACATGAGCCCAATATAATCCAAACACACGCTGCACACCTTTATGTAGCGCGTTCAAATGCATATTTCAAAATACTGTATATTTTTAGTTTTGTATGTATTTTCAGAACTTTAAATCAATGCATATTCCACTTACTTAGTATACCTATTATTTATTTTACATAATAAAGAGTTCTTTCATGTTGCATTACTTTTTTTTTCGAAAATATTCTCAAGCGTTTGCATATCTATAAGGAAATATGTTTATGTGGGCACAGGCTTTTCTTCCACTGAATTCAGCTGACAGCCAGCTATTAACAAACGTCGCTTTCCATTACAGACTTCAAGGCATAATATTGCAGCATGAAGCACTGTGCACTCTGATGTGAAACATCCTGTTAACATCTAGTTGATATTCAGATCTTTCAGGCTACAAAAGCTTGTACGTCGACAAATTGACAGTTTCATCGGACGTCTTAACAAGTTGAAAAACAAAAGGGATAGCCGGAACACGTAATCTTATCTTTTCTTTGTATCCCTAATATAAGAGCAGGAACATTTTCAATCGCACATTATCGACAAATCGTTAGGCCTTACTAATAGTTAATTTAGACACAAAGAGCATACTTTGTCGCTGCTGCGCCGCTTTCGTTTATCTTTTTTCAGGTTTTGAAGTAGACTACGAGATGGCCTCCTGAATCTGTGAATGACACATGTAATATTACTGAGCAGGAGTATATTCAATTTGCTCTTCAGCTTGAGATTAAGTCACCTAGTAGTATCGTCCAACACTTAAATATCTCATTAGTGAGGAAATATATACTAAGAGACTTGCTTAAGCCTGCATATTCTATCAATGAGCTATTCCATAGAATGCATCCTTCTCAATACTGCCAAACCTTAATATACAAGGTTATGTCTCAAAAGCACAACATCAATGTAATTTCCAAATGCCATTACAAGGCAAAAACAACTCAACCACCTTTGTTTGGCAGTCTATAGTTCTGGTATTCAGGGTAATGAAGTGAAGGTTAGTCTAATTTGTTTTACATCTACTTTGTTGTATACGATAAGATAAAGTATAAGAAAAAGAAAACAAAAGGAAATCAGTGAAGACCAAGTTATCTTCTTTTATTAAGTAGAATATTCTGATAGAGAATGAAGACAAAAGCCATATAGGAAAAAAAGGACTTCTATTTATATTTGTGGATATTGTAAAAAACTTTTTCTATCGAGCCTCTTAGGTACAAGATGACCTAATGATAAAAGAAAAGACATACTCAATTGTTACTGCACGGTTCATCATGCTATAGCGGTGTCTTGACCGATTGGATCGGTGAAAGGAGGTAAGTGAGTTGACCTGAGTAAAGGTTCCTTTGACCTAGACTTCGGCAGATTCATTATAACTAACGTGACGAACAGGCTGGACTATTCCTTAATTCTGCTAACGTCTACGTTTCAATCTTATTGAATTCTGTCAGAATGTAAAGGGTTAAAGTAAGGATCAACAAGTTAGAAGATAAAAGCTTAAGTAGATTAGATTTATGTATTGTGGTTTGATGTGCTAAATAAAGTTATCTGATTTAATCAAATCCAAATACTATAATATCTCATTTCTAAATGAAGTCAATTACTCATCCAATGTTGTCTCGGATATACAGATGAAATATTCTTCCACAAAAGAAAAGAATTGTTGTAACAAATCTATCACTCACGGTTATTCTAACCTTCATAAGAATCCGTAATCTCTTATTTCAGTATTATGTAATAATCCAAGAGTAATATGCTGTTGAATACGACATACTTGTATTGAATATCAATCAAAGAACCGTTCAGGCAAAAGGAACTACAAGAAAGGCAGATGTTAACTACAAAAGAAGTATCGATGGGTATCAAATAGACACCAATGGAGCAATTACAACTCTTCACCTCATGAGTACGAGCTTTATTTGCTATTGATGACTTATGGTAAAAAATGAACAGCATTATACGCACATTTTTTGATAAACGAGGTTCAAACGTGTGAAAAGCTTGATTGAATAGGCTCATTAAATTAATTCTTTTTTTTTTTTCTTGATTTCTTTTACACTTTTTGTTTTTTCTCAGAATATATCTTTGATCTTCGAAAAACATAAACCCAAATGGAACCAAAGCAACATCTCATTATCATAACCAAACATTTTTGTCATGATATGTTGAGACAACCCAGTCTAGTATAATGAGACAACAACTTAGAAACAACTAGGGTTCATACACTCATGGGTTTTATGGTTAATAACATACTCTCACTGGAACACATCTTGTCTTACTAACTTAAAGTTTAAAAGACCTATTCCTCAATGAATGTGTCGTATTTGAGGCACGATGGCAATATTATATGAGTAAATTACTCAAAACGTCTAACGAAATGTAAAATAAAACTTGATCTCAGATATGAGTACTGCTCATATCTTCGTTCCCGTTTGGTAAGCGGTGTGTTCGATTGCATACATTTGAACCTTAGATCAAATGTATAACACATAAAGATAAGATAAGAAAAGAATATGGATTAAGGATAATTCTTATGTGAGATTAGCTACCTCACATAAGACTTGAACAGGTTATCTTTATGAAATATATTTTACTTAGGTTATCTATGGCTATATGACATTCAGGTATATAGCAGGATTGGTATATGTACTCGTAGGATATATTGATTCAACAACCAAAACATAGTAGGTCACGGTACTGCTCCCTGTTCCGGAAATAAAGTATGGTTGGAGATAAAAAAGGCTCAATCACTCTTTATTAACACAATAACTGTTCACGCAATCAAAAGAACACCACGCACGAATATCTCTTCCTAGCCAACATTTATAATCATTCCCACAGTATCTGAGCTACACAACTGGTGGCCGATAGATATTGGATTATAGATGTAGCTGCATGATCACCCTGGATCTGCCAGGATAGCACATTACAAATCAATCCGCTCTGGGATGGACGAGTAATTATCCACCTAAAGGGAAGACCTATTCTTTTACGGAAACCTCTGATTCACTGAGTATTATTTGACCATAATACATCAGTGTCGGCTATAGATCCCGATACAGTCATTTCGTAGACAGCAAACACAATAAGTCTTTATTAAGAGCAGTAATTTTAGTTTTCTTTTCTTTTTCTTTAGTTTGTTTTTGAAAGAGAAATAAAGACGGTGGTTTGATTTCGTTAAGCTTTCGTGTTTATTTTCTCTTGTGTTATTCTTTACCTTTTACTTCATAATTAAAACTAGCGAATACCACAGAATGAATAAAGGGTAACCTTTTTTTGACAGTCTCGTAATTTTTTACTTTGATTGTTATTATAAAACATATTTCACTGAATGGTCTTTTAAACTATGTCAATTGTATATCAATCAATAACCGGCTAAACGCTTATGCAGCCAACCATAACTGACAAACAGAATTTTATGTCACGTGAGTTACTTGACGTTAAATAATGATTATAATTTTGTTTCAAATTTTCAATCTGATATACTTATATCGTGAATAGAGGAGTATAAAGCTTCAGGTGAGACTTTATAGTACAAATTATGGAATCAGGTAAAGGCCCCCTTTATTCAGATCAAGTTTTCTACTACTTAAATACTTTTCTATTCTAAATTACAACATCCGCTATCTTCATTAAATTATTGCACACCACCTTGAGTCGCTCAGTTTATATCAATTTTCTTATTTGTACTCCGTCCAATCATATTCACTTCTCTAATTGACGTGACTGAGTTTTAATTACTCCTCACGTCAATCATATCTCTGCATATCAGATCCATTAAAGGGTTGATGGTGAAGTGGTATCATTCTCGCTTTGGGTGCGAGAGGCCCCGGGTTCAAACCCCGGTCGACCCCTCTTTTTTACTTATTTTGCTTTTTTTTGGCTTGGTACGTGCACTTTATTTTCAAAAGGCTGTCGTGCACAAAGCGACGAAGACACGAAGTTTAGTGATAGGAGAAAAAGACTGGCGTTTTATTCTTTATACAATTGTTGCTTATATATACTTATTCTAAGTTACATCTAATTTATCTAAGGGTAACACGACAAGGCTCGCCTTCTCCTTTCAAACATCTTTAGTCCTCGTTTGTTTTTATTCAGTTTGCCAACTTTAATATAAAAGGTTCGAGAATATTTCTTGCTTAAATAGCCAACGTAAATGTAGAGTATGTAACAGCTCGTTACCGCCGTGATGAAGAAAAAAAAAAGGAAGAATGCCTAGCTTATGTCGCTATATTATGTTTTGGTCTCGATTGCGGGCAGAGCGACCTTTCTATCCTTTTGGAAAGGGTTTTAATGTGATCGAGGCAAAGGAGTCTAGACCTTTCTCAACTCTGGTACCTGAAAAATCTTTAAGAACTTTTTATGGGTCCAACAGTTGTTCGCGTTTTAAAATGTAAGACAAACCATCTGGCAAAGGCCAAGGAAAAAAAAAGAATAAAAAAAAAAAAAAAAAAAAGGCACCCTTGAGTGAGCAGATTATACTAAAAGGGGCAGCTTTAAAAATCGCCTAAACCATTAAGTGTTGTATCCAACAGCATATTACTCTTGGATTATTACATAATACTGAAATAAGAGATTGCGGATCCTTATGAAGGTTAGAATAACCGTGAGTGATAGATTTGTTACAACAATTCTTTTCTTTTGTGGAAGAATATTTCATCTGTATATCCGAGACAACATTGGATGAGTAATTGACTTCATTTAGAAATGAGATATTATAGTATTTGGATTTGATTAAATCAGATAACTTTATTTAGCACATCAAACCACAATACATAAATCTAATCTACTTAAGCTTTTATCTTCTAACTTGTTGATCCTTACTTTAACCCTTTACATTCTGACAGAATTCAATAAGATTGAAACGTAGACGTTAGCAGAATTAAGGAATAGTCCAGCCTGTTCGTCACGTTAGTTATAATGAATCTGCCGAAGTCTAGGTCAAAGGAACCTTTACTCAGGTCAACTCACTTACCTCCTTTCACCGATCCAATCGGTCAAGACACCGCTATAGCATGATGAACCGTGCAGTAACAATTGAGTATGTCTTTTCTTTTATCATTAGGTCATCTTGTACCTAAGAGGCTCGATAGAAAAAGTTTTTTACAATATCCACAAATATAAATAGAAGTCCTTTTTTTCCTATATGGCTTTTGTCTTCAATTTCTATATCAGAATATTCCAGCGAATAAAAGAAGATAACTTGGTCTTCACTGATTTCCTTTTTGTTTTCTTTTCCTTTATACTTTTATCTGATCGTATACAACATTAAGACACGTATGGCTAATACATCCAGGACCCCGCAGGAGTTTAGAATAAAACCACAGTTATCGTTGACACAAAGTTCTTTGCTGTTGATAGTCTTAAATATAAGGATGATATGTCGGTTAGCTCATCATGTTTATTACAACTCGTGAATTTCTTGATCTGTTTTAAAGAAAAAAGATAAATCATAAACAACTGCTGTATGACTCACCCCTTGACACCCAACATTTAAGTAGAAAATATATATAATTTTCAATGTAATCATCTTAGGTCCTTTTGTATAACAACATTCAATGGAGGCGCTGTTGGCCTTACTTTTTTCTCTTCTTCCGAAGCAGTAATGTTTCATATTCGTATCATGAGTGATACACATCTTTAATTCTCAATAGTAACGCGTGCTTTTGCCATACAGTGATATTGTAAACTCTCGATATCAAACTAAAATGGGATACAATTTGGAACTTTTATTAATCAAGCAGCTTCAAATGAATACTAATATTCTACTGCATGGTAATTCCATAAAAGTGCAATAAAAACAACTATTTTGCATTAGTCTCATATATGTGACAGGGCACACGTTCAAGAAACAGAAATGCTACATCAACGAGCATGCTCGGCTGAGTAACAAAATGCGAGGCATTTGTCGCTGAGATGTTGTAATTGTAGAATTACAGAAAAAGTGAAATTCGATCCAGCTTTCATAATATATTAGAGCACAGCCTCTTTCGTTTTGAAGCTCTGTGGACTGGTTATTGCAATAGAAATAGAGAGAGCCTTTTGTCTTACAACCTTTCTTTCAAGAGAAAAGAGATTTTATAGTGTTCCGTGGTTATCCCTTGTCAAGGCCAAAGATTCTGTCTTTCTTTTCACCGAACATCTTGCAACTGTTATACTACAGCAACTGAAATTATAATCTAACTTTACGTAATATCACAACTCATGATGACGTGAAATGTGGATTTTGGTCAAATAGTAATGCCTATATTATGTGCACAACTTGACTTAGCGAGTCTAAATGATGATTTTTTTACAGGTCCAAAAAGTTTCTTAAGAAAGTGGGGTGAAGATTTTTTTTTCTTTTTGTTTTTTTATAATTATATGCTCGTGTTTTTACTATTGCTAATGGGGGCTCGAGAGGAGCAGGCAAGCTCATGAACATTTCAGTATAAGGATAACAAATATTTCATACGTTGGATGTAATGATTGCAGGCAAACAAACACTGCATATACGCGCTCAATGAAAAGGATGTTTAGCAAAGATCATTATGACGGCTGCAAACCTAAAATAATTTTATATGATGCAACATAAGTGATAGTTTTTAGAAGTGCACACCAAAGTTACTGCAAATATATACCGCAAGTAACAGCTCTTTTGACCACTAAATTACCGATACTGGTGATAAACAGACAGCGTTTCGCTTAGAAAAGTTCTCCTCGGAAAGAATTTTCTGATTCCAATATTATAAACCTTTATAAAGAAGTTTTATATATTGATGCTTGTTTATCCCCAACAATTCCATTATTGTTTGAGAGTCTGTAACAACGTTACATCACCTTTTGTGATCCTAGGTTCGGATGATAGTTGAAAATAACGCTTCAAAAACTCAGATTCTGTGTCATGTTGATTGTCTGACATATACATATTCCCCAAATTTATCAATTTCAAGATCTGCTAATTGTTAGAAAGGTTATCTTGAGTACCTGAAATGCGCCAAATTCAACAGCAGTGGTATGATAAATTGTTTTTTTCTAAACCAGGAGAATTTCCTGAAGAGGCTGATCTATTACGAATATAACATGTGTATATTTCTGGTATCTGCAAAAGTAATGAACTATTTATTCAACGGAAGAAATGAGAGATGTACAAAGACTCGATCGTTGACGTTTGATATCAGCAAGAAATAAGCAAAAGGCAAAAAAAAAAAAAAAAAAAAAAAAGGAAAAAGAGAAATATTAAATAATATATATGCTGAATGAGAAGAGGGTAGGGTTATATGGATCTACAATAATTAGATCGATGAAAAATGCATAGTGTTTTTGGAGGATCATGTTATTTGCGGAATTAGACATTGTTCATAGCATTTTCATGGTTATTCTTAGCTTGTTGCTCCAAGATAGCCTGGTTTTGTGCATTCTGAAGTAAGACTTGTTCTTGTGATTCTTCTGTGAGAACCTTTGTTGTAATATAAATAATCACTGCAAAGATACCGCCTACGAGAGGACCAAACCACATAATCCAATGATCTTTCCAGATACCAGTAACGACAGAGGGAGCGAAGGAACGCGCAGGGTTGATAGAGGTACCATCAATAGGGGCACCGACCAAACAACACATGAAGACAACAATACCCACTACGAAAGGAGCAAAATCAGCCAATAGATGCCTGTCAACAATGATGAATAAAACGGTCAAACAGAGAGCGCAGGTTAAAAGCGACTCGGCAAAGAAGCCTTGTGCATAATTGAAACCAGGATTTAATTTGTTGACTCCTTGTAACTCGTGAGCAGTGACAAAGTTGGAGAAGTACGCACCCACGATACCACCAACGATCTCAGCAACAAAGTACAAAATACCACGTAACCAATTAATATTACCCGTTAGCATCAGGCTTAATAAAACTGCAGGATTCAACACACCACCAGAGATAGGACCACAGACGAAAAGGGCGACTGTGATTCCAGCACCGAAACTGAAAGCAATACTCTGAATTTGACTGTCAAAATATCAAAGTTAATGTTAGACAAAGACGTTTACTTCGATCGTGGTAACAACTGATGATGAACTCGTGTGACAAAATCAAAGTTTCTTTTTCTACTTTACCTTGGTGTAGGACCCAGATTCGAGTTAGTTGTAATAGGAGCCTCCATAGTACCTTGAGTGCCAGAAAGGGCTAAGAAGAGAAAAATGGCCATGCCGAGGAATTCACCAAAGGCAGCTTTCAAATCGACTTTCAAATTAGGAGGGGAACCCTTATTGCATGCATAAATGTCAGAAATAGGTCTCATTGATTATATGGATGTTGCGTTACAGTTGTTGGAATTAAATAAATAAATATAGAAGAGACTCAAAAGATATATCTCGTTGGTATTGATATAGTTGATCAATGATACAAAATAAATAAAAAAAAAAAAGAAAAGGCACGTCTGTAACCCCTACTTTTATACGTACTTGGTTTGGCAGCAAGCGAGACCAAAAAAAAAAAAAAAAAAAAAAAAAAAAATATAATTTACACTGGAGATGAAATTCAAACTTTGGCAAGGCAGAAATAGAACTTCCCTGTATAGTATATCTAACTCTACATCTGTTAGTTGTGGACTTTTCTACCATAAACTGAAATACTTCATGGATCGTATCGATTATACGAAGTCCTCGGCTGGACACAAATGCTTTTAGTGTGTATAATCACACTCTCGTTATTAAATTATTTTGTTTCCTATAACATATTGTCACAAACTTACAAAAATTTGTTACGATTGAGTTAGCTATCAATTTCTTGATCTCGCAAGTAAACAGACAGGGTGGCGGTGAATGATTCGGAAATCGGCACGAGTTTCACTTGCCACCACACAGCGAAAGAAGAAGTTATTGCGGAGTCTTGTTCGCATGCTACATTATATAATGACAGACGTCCGCTGATGCTGAAGGAGCAGATGGGAAAAACAGAGGCTGTTGGGATCCGTATTATGATATACCAAATTTAAATACAGTCGAAAGTTAATAAAAGCTGTGCGCATGAATCATTGAGGTGTGCCACGGAAAGACCTTTTAGCGAACAAATCTTGAAAATCAATTTTCAGTTTCCTTTTCATTTCTTGCCCTTGTTAGCTCTCCTCTCTTTCCTCCGACTGTTTGGATAAATCTACTTGTATCTTTACTTCAATTTATTCATCGTTGGGCATTAGGTCAACTATTCTGTAATTCAGAATTCGAGAGAATTGGATTTTAAGATCGAGAATGTTTGTCGTTAGCCACAGAAATTTGATTTGACAGTTTGGTGTAACTACTTTGAAATACATTAATGAAATCGTGCTAGTCAATTTTTTTTTCTAGATGGGCCTTTTCATGTATGCAATTTATCATCAATCACATACGATCATTACCCTTTGGATGAATAGCATGTTGACATTAGATTAAGCAAACATAAATGGCATTGTTTCTCGCAAGACATAAGAGTAACGTTTGTCCGTAGCATTTTGAGGACTGAAACATCCTTTTTCGCATAACGAAGAATGTCGTCCTTCAATACATCAGATACAAAACGATTTAAATTATGCCAAAGCTGATCGATATGCTTTCTCATATATATCAGCATCGTTTCGAACTACATGAAACAAATCTGTCCATCTCCAAAACGGGTTAACGTGCAACACTTTTCGTATAATCCACTGTAATAGTCGAATATTTTCTTCAACTTTTGACTTCTCATTGCGCCACATCCAGAATATCTCTATGTAGTACATATGTAAACCTTGTCTGATCCGCTGGATCAGGATTAGTTTCTAATTCGATAGTAAGCAAAACGTAGCTATTTTCCTTTTTTTAAACCTGTGTGATGAGCTTAAATTAATGTTGAAAAAAGAATTCGAGTACGTAGCACTGATTCAAGCTAAACCAGCTCACCACTCAACGAGGCAGATTGCTAAAGATTGATAACCTTCTGTTTCTTGTATCAAAAATAAAAATCTGTTTCTAAAAATTTTCCCCTATTTTCCTTTGAAATTCATGTTGAAAAATCATATATTTCCTATGTACGTAAAGAGCTAGCTCTCTCAACAAAGAAATAAAAATGGAAATCAAATACAATCCTTGACGTTTGTGGCATTACCCCTTACTTTTCAAAAAAGGTGACTTTGATACTAAGTGATGACTTTGAGTTCTTAAGTAAAGAGGATGCTCACAAGGACCCTGTTTAACTGAAAACAGGGATGTAATCACTTACTACACTTGTAAAATGTGGCTGCTTATCCCTTGTTTGTTACACGCTTAAACGGTGAAAGCTTATCTTTTTGCACATTAAGATTAAAATTGAAGTTCAGAAAGGAAGAGCGTGCACAGACGCAAAATGCCGTAAAATAAATTCATTGAAAATAGTGAAAATATACTTAATTCAGTGACAAAACTACGTCTCGCTCATGGGAGAGGCAACGGATACAGGTTACTTCAACCATTTTGTATCGTCCTTAGCCATTTACTTTTCACTTAAAACTGTTCAACTACTAATTAGTGAGCAACGCTGGCAATAATCTGAACAAGAGTGCCCGACAACGGATGCATCAATCCGTTTGACAAAGCACTATATTGAGAGCCTAATTGATTAACCGTGGCAAATTTTGGTTATCAGTTTGACGTTAAAACAAGTAACATGGTCAATATTGCTTCGTCATTTTTTCCCCATTTTTTCCAATTTTTTTTCCCATTTTTTCCCAATTTTTTCCCCATTTTTCCTAATTTTTTTCTTTTATTTTTATTTTTTATTTTTGGTTTTCTTGATGGTTCAGATTAATCGAAATTTGTAATCAGAAAATGCTTGTGCAACGAAAATCATGGCCACTTTATATCAGGAATCTTGCCGACGATGGAAAATATTTGGTGGCTAAAAAGTAAGAAAAAAGATTAGATAATGATTATCATAGTATTACTATTTTCATTCAATTACTAAAACAAACTGTATCAATGAGCACCGCGTCAATAGCACTAATTATCCCGCTATTTTTAACGGACTCCAAAGAAGGAAGTCGTACCATCCTTGATCTTCCAAACCCCGGAACAAGCAGTATTGATCTGCACCTGCCACATCATAACAATAACCGAAGATTAAGCAGAGTAAAGGTTTTGGCTAATAGCGTATTTCCCGGGCATTAAATTTGTCGTTTTTTACTCATCAATTAATAGCGTGGCGATCCCATTGTTTACAATTCGTAACTTGTGGTTGGCTCCGTTTATCCATGAATTTGTTGTCTACTCATGAACCCACTGTTGTATTTGCTTAATTGAAATTGATAACGGTTATAAGTCGATGACTATGAACTTAAGTGTTTTTATTATTTTTCAGATGAAGTAGAAGGATTATTTACTCTGTAAGGTTTAATGGTTATTATATTATTTGAGGACGCGTATGATAGTCGCTAATTTCAGGTACAGATGCTTGATGTGTAATTATTGTACTTAGGCCTGTATTTCATTATATGTCGTACATAACCTATATTAGATGCACTATAGATAGACCGTGGTGGAATGTATTCTCTACCTGGTTGTACGTGCTTGAATATTGTAGTTGTCATCTCACCAAACACGCCACCCACTTTTGCTAGCATACGAATTCTATACATACGATATCTATTATTATTCATAGTATTTGACCTCATGAAAGCAAAATGAAATGGGAGAAAGTTTAGCTGTTCGTAACAGTGTTTCCAATTCCGTTGAGAAGATGTGAATATCAGGTTTCATGAAGGATCAATAATACCTCCTTAGACTTTCTTCGCTTCGAAATTCTACTTTGGTTACTTCTACCAAGGCGCTTCAAACATGAGAACTAGGCTTTAAGGATATTTTTGATCAAACTGGCAGCTTTATTTCCTTTATACGATAACTCCCAACACTATACTTAGCTATTTCTCGTTTATTTTCTTATCATTTTTTGAATGCCAACAAGCAGAAGACTGACCACCATACACCAATGAATTGCGTTTCTACGAAACTAGTCAAGTTAACGAGCTGCTCTATAATATATACTACAAGACCTCAAATATGCTTGCTTGTGTCGTGTTATAACGGTGATTGAATATTATAGAGCATATAAAAGGAACATGACTCTCTGAATAGAATAAAGAACAATCCTCTTTTTCTCTTTATTAAAACTTTGTGTTTAGTATAAGATTACCCTTGTTTTATCGTTAGCTCAGTGCGCGACACTTGTAACACTTGGATAATTAACTCGTAATAAAAGATTGAGCACATTTTCATGAAATAAAGTGTATGTACCTAATCAAGCCAAAAAAAGGTTAAGAAAAAAAAGAGGGGTCGACCGGGGTTTGAACCCGGGGCCTCTCGCACCCAAAGCGAGAATGATACCACTTCACCATCAACCCCTTGATGAATTAAAAATTTGAAACAAAACTATAATCTCATTTACTGTCACGTAAATATCACGTGATGTAAAAAACTGTTTGTCAGTTATGGTTGGCTGCATAAACATTTAGCCGGTCAGTGGTTACGTAATGTATTATTGTTGGCATAGTTTGGAGATCACTCAGTGTAGCAAAATGTTTGGTTATGATAATGAGATACTGCTCAGGTTCCATTTGGTTCATGTTCTCAAAAAATCATATATTTTAAGAAAAAACAAAAAGTGTAAAAGAAAAAAAAAAAGATTAATCTATTGAACCTACTCAATCAAGCTTTTCACAAGTTTGAGTCCAAACGGAAAGGTCTTATACGATTGTTAACGAGGCTCGTTTATCAAAAATGTGCGTATAATGCTATTCATTTTTTACCATAAGTCATTGGAGGTCGTTCAAAAACCACACGGATGAGAGCATACTACGGGAATAGGGTTCATACCAGTGGGGACTGATATATTGGGAGAGAGGGAGAACAAAAATTTGGCGCGATTAAACCCCTTGGCTTTCATCCAAAAATTCATAGTGACCAAAAAAAGGGAAAGGAAAATTTTGAAATCGCGCCAAATTTTTGTTCTCCCTCTCTCCCAATATATCAGTCCCCACTGGTATGAACCCTATTCCCGTAGTATGCTCTCATCCGTGTGGTTTTTGAACGACCTCCATTAAGGGTGAATAAAACTCGTACCCATGATGAGTTGAAGCTGTAATTGATCTATTGGCATCTATTTGATTGCCATCAATACTTCTTTTGTAGTTTCTCTTCCCTGAACGGTTTTCTAATTGGTATTGCAGATGTAGACAAATTTGACCAAACTTCGCGTCACCCTTCTCAAAATCAAACTGCAGACTATCGAACAAAGGTCGTTGGGTTGGTTTCGCCCCGATTGTGAAAAGGATGCATACTACGGAATAGAAACGTACAAATTGTTAAAATGCTTATGGAATGAGAACGAGTTCATGTATACGTGATATGTGGAGCCAAAGTAAAACGGAAAAGGTGGGCTCTGCAATCTTACTTTATGTTACTGACGAGTAAATCAGCACTTCTTCTTTCTTCCGGATATTCTTCTCTATGCTTGTTGCTTCTTAAACTTCAACGCAAAGCATAGATGCGATCAATAGGAGTCTATGCGAAAATATGGCTACTCATTATATTTAAAAAAGTTGCTTAATATAGCAATCTATGTAATTTATCCTTTGATAAAGTTGAAGGTCCACATTCCATCTAAGTCGTTTTTAGACCATTTATAAGCATCTATTTCGTTGAATGTATCATGATTGATTGATATTGTTTGTAAAATATACGTTATAAAGAAATCGAACCGATGCTGACTTAAGTCTACTCTATGCTGTATTTGTGTTAGATAGTGGACGTAAAGGGACTTGGGGAATGTTCAATCCATTTCATCTAGGATTTCTTCGCTGTCGAGGCGTCATCAAATCATTGCTCACCATCTGAATTTGGGTATAGGAAAGCTTAAAGATGTAATGGTTAGACTACTTATTAGGACGTTGTCTTCAATACATAATGAGAACAGTAATCTTATTATCAATAATAAGTTGCTAGATATAACGGATACCTTTGCTGAACTAAAGTGGTCGGCTATTCTCAGGGCGTTTTGGTAGTTGTTTGAGCCATTCCCCACCCATTAGGTTAGTTGGAAGATTTAGTCTGTAGACAAATTCAGTTCAAATTGTTCGTTTCTCATCAGTTTACACTTATTTATTCAATTAAAATCAATGTTAGCATGTAAAAGATAGTCCGATACTTTAAAGCGTAGGTATATTTTTGATAAGAGCACTTGAGGAAAGCACGAAATCGTTTCGGCCTGATCACAAATGTTCCCCGAAACAATCTAGCAGGATATCCACAGGAAAGTTTCTACCCTCCGGCACATGATAATGAAACAGGACTTCCATATCGTTTCTGACGATAACCGCTGTGCGCTTTATGTCTCTCGTGTTCATATTCATTGCTTTATAAGCTATTGATATTAGTCTGTCAGCAAAATCAGATGCTTGAATATGTTTATGTAGAGAAGATTTTGTATTAGGAACCGCAAGTGACAACACCTATCTTAGAACTGTATGTGTTACCAAGTATATACGAAGGTTTAAATCCTAGACTGAATGATGTTTGGCCAGGGGTTGCATACAGCTTATGAGTATAAACACTATCTTGAGTAATAACTACTGGCAAAACTCCCTTTTCAATGAAAGAAGAGAAATATTGCCTATCAAGTAAACGGTAAATAAGCATATATTGCTTATTCAAACAAATATATATGATACAATATGATGCCATTATTGCTGTACTTACTGTATTTGAAGGAGATCACTTTTCGATTGTTCAGTGCTAATGTGAAATACGTGTTATCTCTTCATGCACTATAGCACTACTTGGTGTATAACTTACAAATCATAAGAACAGAAAAATATTAAAGCGTAATTGACATTTTGAAATACGTCGAGCAAGTGAAATGATATGAATTGGCCTTGGTAAAAAGCCGAGCATTGAAAATCAAATGCTGTAGTATTATTATGCTTGTTTGATTTACTTTTACGCTTTGTTAACTCATCTTCATCCAGACTGAACCCCCTCAATCTTTTGGTAAGTTCTTGCATTATTTGACAGACCCGATGCTATCGTTAGCAGTTGTATTGTATGTCAAAAGCGAGTAAAGAGTAAGACAAAAAAGTTTGAATTTGAATTAGACTGACTTCTCATTTGTTTTCTTTTGTTTTAAATTGTAGAAGTTCATCAATTGATAGATGGCAGCAGCCGCATCTTTTTGATTGTTGATTATTTGATTAATTAGCGGGATATATGTATAATTCTATGTATAATACATGATTGAGCATGCAAACAAATGCTGTTTATAGTGTTTCTCATTGAGGAAAGAAGTGACATTAATAGAATGACTTGGACGGTTGATATTCATCAGTCCAATACAACTACATTACTGCCCGCTTCGTCATCGTCATCCAAATGTATCACATTGTCGATTTCTTCATATGTTATCTTTGCTTTTTTATCAGTTTGCGCAGAGCGGGATAGAGATGACTCGTCTTCTTCAAATTTACGCTTTCGTTCTGACATTCTGTCACCAACAACTTCTTCTCTTGTTTCTCTTCGTATAGGCTCAGGGATAGGCTTCAACAATTTGACCGCATCTTCATACTTATTATCATTCCTACAAATGAAAATTCAAAATCAGTATGTTAGAGCAAGAATTCTTCTAATAAGAGAGCTTGTTTTTCTTACATCGGTTCCAGGATAAGATCAACATCATTTCCATCGTTTTGACTGGCTCGCAAAATGGTGCCCGGTTTTAATCCGATATCTTTGAGTGGCTGGTCGGCCATATCATTAAAATCAATATCGTAAAGCAATCTACTGCCGTCCATGATGACTATTTCTTCCTCATCCATACCAGCACCTCCTTCATTTATTGAGATTAGCAATATTTTTTGGATAAGGTCATTCAAAACGGCCTTTTCAAAGTCGACCTTCACTGTAGAACTTCTGGACCGGCATACTCCGCATTTAGGATTTGGTGCAGAATTCGCTTCTAAAACAATACGTGGACCCTCTCTAGAAACTGTGAGGTAGGTCTATCAGATATAGGGTATCAAAGTTCAATTAATATCTTCCAGTCGATAAACTTTGTGCAGAGAAAACAAAAAAGAAGGGCCATACTCTAGGATTATCTTTGATATTGCTTTGTAATAATCTAAACGCTTTCATAATGACGAAGCCTGCAATGACAGCGTTCGTAGTTGCAATCGCTGGTATAATATTACCTGCCATAGCTGCATAACAAATAAAGTTGGTCAGTCCCAATGATGTCGAAATGCACCGTGTGTTAAATCCATAATGTTTCTTACACTTTGCATCGAACAAACTTTTTTGAGGAATTCCAAATATGTGAGCTCTTAAATTGGAAGCAGCAGTAACAAACTCCATAGCGTCATCGTCATCTTTATCAAAGCTTAGCATAGCATCTTTTACAGTTTCCCTATTCTTCAAATATCGAGCGGCCAATCTGGTAGCACTATTCTTGTACATCTCAAAATTTTCTTTTAAGGTCCAAACTCGTTGATCTGCAAGTCCACTACTAGCTTCATTTGTTGAGTTATCTTCCATCGTTTCTACAAGGCTTTCATAGTTGAGTGGAGTGGGCTTCTTTCGGTTTTTCCACATGGACTCCATTGATAAAAGTCGCTCGATATCTGTTTTAAAAACTTTGTCAAATATCTTTTTAGTGTAAAGCGGACTTCCTGCTGCTTCTTTGATGCATTTTAGCTCTTCTGTTTCACGTTTCAGAGCAGCTAATTCTTGTGCTTCAAATTGAAAAGTTGATTAATCTATCTGACTTTTTTTTTTTATCCGTGTCTTTTTCAGGCCATCATACAAACCATTATCATCATTTTCTGTGGCATCGAATGCTTCTTCGTCTTCTGAGTTGCCAAATAGTTGGTTGAACAGAAAACTCTTTGCCCAAACAATACAATGGATGGGTGCGCTGGGTGTGCTTCTAATGGTACAAACCGGATATGTTGTAGGTGTTGGTTTAGGTTGACAATCGAAGCATTCGGTTTCACCCTGAAAACCGCTGACATTTATTAATACCCATAAATTAGATCTACATAAACTGAACTCACTGATCCGTACCTTCCTAATCACGTATGCTTGACCCAAATAACCTTGTGTTCCTGATTCAATTAAGGGAACATCCGCAGCTAAGCACATGGCATTAACGTGCCTCCGAGCGTCTATAAGTGTTCGAAAATTTATTAAATGTGCTGATATGTTCAACAGATATAAATCACCAAGACTTACCCAAATTATCAAGAGCATTCATAACCAAAGTAAACTGCTTAAACCAGTTAACGTCGAATTGTGCGTCTTTGATATTTGCTTGTAGCGAGGTGATTTTTGCCGCAGGATTAAACTTGACTGCTGACTCTTTAGCAACCTTTGAATATATATTTTTCGAGCGAAGAAAATAAATTGAATAAATGGGTTTCAAGAGTACTGTGGTAATAGCGTAAATGGAAATTTACATGTGCTTTTGACTTTTTGACGTGCTGTCTCTGAAATAAGAATTGGCGATTCAAGTTGGAAATGTCAATGGTATCGAGGTCTATCTATAAAATATGAGTGAATGTAAGTACAAAAGTGAGTATTTTCAAATCATTTATGCAATCGCTTTATCAGCAAGTTACCACTACGATATCCTTGAAACCTGACATGACCAAATTTTTGAGTAGCTCGCAACCGATGCCTCCTGCGCCCACTAAAAGAGTTTTGCTTGAGGCAACTTTGTCATAGAGTTCTTGACCGAGAATACGAATGTTGTGAGATTCTCTCTTGTCAGCCATTTGAATGTTGAACTTCAGTAAAATTCAAAAAATTCAAAAAAGGCATTAAAACAATGCACGCAGATCTAACGGTAATTCGTGTTGACAGTCACAGGTACGAGAGCCTGCTTTTCTATCTGCTCATATATTAGCTTTTGTGAAGAATTCATAGCGTAATTCCCCGCATCTATTCGCTTGCAAATAATAAACTTCTCCCAAACTCTTTGAGCGATAGGCGAACTTGAAATTTGTAAATTGTATACTTTAGGCACAACGTTGGCATTAATCCGATTTGCATGCATTTTGATTTTCGACAGGGTTGCTCAGGAATTAACCAAGGAGCGCGTTTTGAAGACAAAAGCCTTGTTATGAGCATAAAGTAGTAGGATTGCTACAGGACTACCAAGACTATGAGTTATGTCATCAATTTGACCAACTGTTTAATGCGGGGCAAATTGGATGTTAATTGTTAAAAGTCACAGTTCCGACAGTTTTTAATTGAATAAGCATTTATGCTTTCAGTTTTTTGAATTTGATGGGACGAGGGAAAGAATTCCAATAAATGCTCTTATTTGATTATTGGTACCTTCTCTCACATCTACAATTTCGTGCATATCATTAAACAGCTCAACAGCAAGTATCTAGGACGTCAAGCCATATAGAAGACAGATTTTTTGAAAAATGTACAGGAATTTGAACCCAACGATAACCGTTCGACAGTTGGGCTTGGGTACAAACGGTACAGGCTTATATCTTCGACATGTCAGCCGTCAACATTATCGTCAGCCTGCAACAGCTAACCACTCTATTAGAGTGGTACTGCTGCGGCCAAATGTTGCAGCGCAAAGAGGATTGCATACACAACGTCGCATACTGTTACGATCAGAAGCTAAGTCATCATCAACGAAAACATTAGCGGAGGAAAAAGAAACTATGACCTCTCGTGCAGCAGCACTTGCTAAAGAAAGACAGGCAAAAGCTATTGCTGAAGCAGACGTCGTGAAATCGAGCGAGAACATAGCAGCAGCAGTCAAACCAAAGAAGTCATTATGGGAAAAGATTAAGGATGAAGCTGTACATTATTGGCACGGTACTCAATTATTGGGCCTTGAAATCAGAATATCATCGAGCTTACTGTGGAAATTATTGCACGGAGGCAAATTAACAAGAAGAGAGCATCGTCAAGTAAGACAAAAAACAAATCAATACCGACTGTCCTGAGAAATATTGACAAGACGTATTCTTTTTTTTAGCTACGTAGAACCACGCTAGATCTTATGAGATTGGTGCCTTTCGCCTTCTTCATTATTGTTCCTTTTATGGAACTTTTATTGCCTGTAGCACTGAAATTATTTCCCAATATGTTACCAAGTACTTACGAAAGCAAATCGCAAGAGGTTAGTATTGAACTTTAATTCAATACCAGGGTAGCGACTTAAATCTTACGCCTTTGATACAATGTATAGGAAAAGAAGAAAATGGCTCTATTAAAAGTACGCTTAGAAATGGCTAAGTTTTTGCAAGAAACCATATCTGAATCAGGATTCCCTGGGTCTGATCATGAAAAAGCAGCAAAAGAGTTTGCAGACTTCTTCAGAAAGGTAACTATAATAGCTGAGAAAAAAAATTATTCTTTTTGATAGTTATGAACTAAATCTTACGATATCGCTCCACACATAGATTCGTATGACAGGAGAACAGGCCTCAACTGAAGATTTGTTGAATGTGGCCAAACGATTTGAGGACGAATTGACTTTAGATAATCTTTCTAGACCCCAGTTAGTATCAATGTGTCGTTATATGAATATCAATGCCTTTGGTACAGATAACTTTCTGCGTTTCCAAATTCGTAACCGTATGCGTCAAATCAAAGCTGATGATAAAGCTATTCAAGCAGAAGGAATTGAGGCTTTGACTATTCAGGAGCTTCAAAATGCTTGTGCTTCCCGTGGAATTCGATCTATTGGCACTTCACCTGGTCGTCTGAGAGATGAACTTGCTCAATGGCTTGATCTTCACTTAAATCATCATATTCCTGGAACACTTTTGATTCTTTCCAGAGTGTTCAGTTATACCGACCGTGGTATGACTACAGAGGAGGCATTGAAGGCTACTTTCAACAGTTTGCCTGATAACCTTGTCAATGAAGCTGAACTTCAAGTGTTGGAGCAAGTGGGTGCTAGTACATATAAGCAGAAGCTAGAAGTCTTAGAACAGCAACAAGAATTGATTGAGGACGAATTAGAGCAAGAAGAAAAAGAAGAAAAGGCTAGATTGGAGGCAGAACAAGCACGCCTGGAAGCAGAAAATAAGGAACGCCTAGAAGCTGACAAGAAGGACGAATTTATTCCTGATGAACAATTAGAAAAGGATGATGAGAAAAAGACAACTGCTGCAACATCCACACCTGAAACAAGTGGGGTTGCTAAGCCAGAGCTACAAAGTGATGATAATGCTCCTATGCCTGCACCGGAAGATGTACCATTATCTGATGAACAACAATTCGAACTTCAAGAAGCATTGGCTAAGCTACGTACTAAAGTCAGCGTACTGGAAGAACGTGCACAGTTGAACGAGATTAAGATACAACATGAAGATTATAAAGAAGTAAGCATGCTCCTATCAAATTGAGTATGGTATATTACATTATTTTAAACAATCCCCTTCTTACTTACTGCTTTTTAGTTACTCGAAGAGCTCAAAGATGTTACAAACCGTGAAGCCGATAAAGCTACAGTCCGCATGGGCAAGAAACTAGAAAAGATGTTGGCTAAGATTGATAAAGAATTGGATGCAATGGAAAAAGAGTCTTCAAAGAAAGAGACAACTGCCGCTACTGATGAAAAGTCGCAAAATGCAGACTATACAGCTGAAGCTGACTCCCAAGAAAAGAAATAACCTATTCTTAGTCTTCGAAGACCTTTCAAATAAGGTTTGCTAGAGTGACTTAGATTTTGTTCAGCAAAATGCAATTAAAGCTCATTGTTGACTACCTTCCATTATAATTGTATGCACGTAATTGCCGTAGTATCGTTGCAAATACGAGTCTACGTATGTGCCGTCTTAAAAGTAGCTGTAGGTTCGTTTTTTATTCTTTTCCCTTGCTTTTATTCAGGTCTACAAAGCTCCTCAGTTAGATAGAGGCTGATATTTCAGTAGGCTATCAAAGTATAAGTTGTACACCGTATGTATGGTTATGAACTTTTTCTTTGACTTATTTGAGAGTAGTAAATTGTAACGATTTCATTTACGACAATTGTCGCGGCTTCGTATGGTTAAAAGAAAGTGAGCAGAATTTTAAAACTTGCCTCAGCATGTAGATAACTCTTGTCTACATGTAAGATTGAACATTGAAATTTACCAACTGTGTGTCTGAACAAATAGTGGCTTTAATAGCGGAAATAGCAAGAGGATATAGGATAAAAGAACGCCTGTCTTGGAGAGTTTGATTCTTTAGTACACTTGAGCTGAAAATTGAGAATTATACCTTTGTTGAAGACAATGCTAGCACAATACACTCATAAATTCTACATTAGTACAAATATGTAGGGCTTCCAACATTCGAATTCCATAGCAAGGAAAGTCTATCGCTAAAGGGTTCTTCAGCCATCCCAGACTTTAAACAGATAAGGTATATTGCTTGGGCGTCATATCAAAGCCATAGATAAAACTTGAATTTGTTATATCGTTATTTGTATACGTGACTAACCTTCCGATTTATGGATTATGAACAATGTATAGATGTTTTAAATATATGCACTATCTCCGTTTCCGGACTTCTATCCTTGATTCGACTTCCCAAAGTAGTGTATTTACTATAAATTGCTCCTTTTTATCCCGAAGCATGAGTAAACCGTTTGAGTATGTCTGCTTGTGTACATTTCACGGGTTTAGGCTACTTTTCTAACAGGAACATTAACTAAAAGATCGTCCAAACACGGTTGCTCCAACCATATGTAACTAACCTTGATGCAGGGTTATTGATAACCATAGCTTTACGCTTCCGAAGAAATCTACCTATAATATCCATTATCAAAAAGCAAATGAGGTATAAGTAGGTAAGGTTCGTTGATCTACGCTAAAACCTGATGTTACTGAGAAATGAACAAATGTGATTGCATGTGTATTTGTGAAAAATGAAAAGTCGCCATCGAGTTCTTTTTCAGTCTACAGAGTTTGCTCGCTTTCTGCATAGCCTCTTTGCCAATCCCTTTCCACCTTCCCCTTGCTGTGAACCATCTTTAGTTTGAGCTAGTTATTTAATAACAAGAACACTGCTCAATAAAAAAAAAACAACAGTTTTAAGAAAGAGTAGCTCTGGGTAAGCGATACTCCTTTTGGTAGCTGCGTCAAAAATCGGTAGCATCAAAAACAAATTATTACGGCATACTATCATCAATCCTCGTTAAACGCGAGAGCATAGAACTCATTTTAAGTTCAAAAGTTACAAGTGAAAATAACACAATAATAAAGACAAGCGTATCTCAGACCTATTTGTTCTGAAGCATTGAACAACCAACGCTCAGACTTGTGAAAAGACATATTCTTCCTAATACTCATCGAAGAGCAATTCTACAGTCCTACAAATTTTTTTTTGTTTCTTATCCAACTTTTATGAGAAAGCATAAACGAACGTCATAGAAAATGCTCACAATCTATTCTGCTTTTGTATGAAAGCTAATCTTCAGTAAGGCACTTTTGAGCAAGCAGCCTATATTTTTTGTACCCTCTCCTCTCCCTTTAAAACGTAACAGCTCAGCTTAATTTGCTATCGTAGCCTACTGTGCAGCTATATTTACGTGCCCATTTTGAATCTGCTGACGTTCACTAGGGAAGTATATATTAGATACTACAGTTGAATAGCTTGCCGTAAAATGTTACTACTATCAAGTTATCATGCCTCTTAGACCTCGTCACTTGTATGATGATCTTTACTATAAGGAAGTAAAAGAGCATCGATTTTGCAGGAAGTCCAAGTAAAATATAGCCATGAAAACACGACGATTGATTTAAAAGGCGTACAAACTTTTTGTAAAGCTATCTTTCAGCTTTAGCACTTCTCTTGGGTTATTAAGCTCGTAATGAAGTTTACTTATTACTTGCGCTTAATTTAGATACCACTTTTCCGATGCGCATCAAAAAGACATGCATTATTGCGGAGAGTTACGAAACGCCTATGCATTGAACAAAATTCAAAAAGGCAACACATCCATAGAACTGCCACCTAGCTACATCATAAAAGGCTATATCTTATTACTCATACTCTTCAACGTCTATATCGACAGAACAGACTAGTAAAGAAATAATATTGATGCAAGCACTCGCGAAGCTATCCCTTCATTTCTTTTCGATCTCAATTGAATAAAATAATTCTCTCTCACATTAACGAGAGTTGAACGGACATTGATACTTTCATCGCCAAAATCATCAAAGGCTACTAAATAACTCAAGAGGTAGGGTTCTATGAATTTTACCTTATTGAAGTGAGGTGGGCGGGGGGTGAGTGGGCTCTACGGACATCATGTATGCCCCGAAGAGCAATTAGAGGTATAGCTGGTCCATCCATCGGCAACATGAAACGCGATGTTTCTCCCTGAATTCAATGATAAGTCACCACAGCTTTACCTCCCTTAAGTTAAGAAGAAGAGATAGTGATAACACCCTAGCCCCTATGTATATACTGACTTCAAAGAGATCTGACAAATGGGAAGTTATACTCTAAATAGCACCTTTGCAGATGAAAAATGCAAGCCCGATAAAATTTTGCCCCCCTTTGTATGTCTGAAAGATCTTCAACTTTTTCTATTCAAAAAATAGAACATATATATTTAGAACGCCACAAAAGAAAAGTTTGGTGTATAGAGGAGATATGTGCAGAAAAGGGATCCATGTACTTCTGCTTGACCTAAATGTACGCTTTACATCTACAGCTTCTCTAGTAGACCATATTTTGGAGTAAGGATCAGAACAAAATAGAAGAAAAATGGATCGCAGACCATCAAAAAAGTATGTATATATATAGACACAATTTTATCTTTTTTTTTCATAGTACCAATATCTGTTATCTAAAAACTCTCAAAGCTCAAACACTCCACTCTAACTATTGGAAGAAACCCTCCACATCTATAAAAATGCGTGCAATCTTTATTCTTATGATAGCATTATGTGTTCTTTTCCAAGGTAGGATGACTCTGATGCTAATGAAACATTGTTACCACAATGCTTATTGCAGTAGCTAATATTCATTCTTACACGTTTCTCTATCTGCATCACTTAGTCGGTGTTTTGGCTGGAAAACATCCTAAGAAAGATGATGATACTTCTGACCCCTCTGGTGATGATAATGAACACTTCTCTGACGATTCTCAGCATGCCGACACTAACCATGATCACAATAAGCATGATAATAATGATGACGATGCGGTTATTTGCTCTAACACTATCAAAGCATGTGTCAGTGATATCGTTGTTCTCACCGAAAAACTCAAGGCTGTTAGAGGAGATGTAGGAATCCATCATCAAATAATCATCCATAACAATCTAAACTGCAAAGACTAATAAAAATATGTTACTTTTCCCTTGATTTCTCAGGTCAATGGCTTCAAGGCTGAGGATGGATTCTTGGCTGCCTATGCTCTCCACAGTAAAATAAAGGAGATCGAAGACGCTATCTACAAATCTCGTTATGATTGCTGTGCCATACCTAGAAAACTTGATAATGCTGAAACCGAAGTATTGCTCGATCTAGAACAACCTCTTTTGATTGAAGTCAAGCTCATCCTAAATACTTTGTTGCTGAAGAAGCCTGAACTTCAACAAGTTTTAATGGCAGGTAGTATTTTGAGAAATGACCTCCGAAATATTCAAGCCTTGTTCAATCCACTCGGCGTTTGTTTGATTGAGAAAGTTTCTGATGATAAGAAGGCTATTGAGAAGAAAACTATTGCTGCATTGGATAGTCTATTCTCGGCTGCAATTAACGCCTGCTAAGAATGTCTTTCTTCACATCTTACGTTATATAATTATATAATTTATTCACACTTTTGTGGTTATTCAAAAATTTACAAGCGTCTGCTTTAGAGTAAACTCTATTTCTTTTGTGTTTGAAAGCACAAAATAAAACCGGAAATTCCACGATAGGGATTACACTTACTAGGTTCATCCTCCGCTAACATATACGAAAAGAATTTTTTGATTTGATCAGTCAAAATTCCAAGCGAGAAAACTGCAATAAAAAGAAACCAACTTTGGAGATGACTGAGGATCAAACGCTGATCGACATTGAGAATTGCGTTCTTAGCAAGCGTCTTTATCATTCGGATCAATATCATCGCGTCAATGATACAGAAAAGCAAGCGATCCAAAAAGATCTCCTTGATTGGTACCATAAGGAGAAAAGAACCAACATGCCATGGCGGAAGGACAGTGACAAAACGTGGAATGCGAAGGTATTTGAAGAACACAGTGTCAACCGTAAGTGAACTTATAACGTAGTATGGCTTATATGAATTTAGCGGCTAGGGCAAAGAGCTTATGAAGGTAATAGCAGAAAGGGACTGCCTGACATAGATAGTTGAACAGACCAACTGAAAGAAATCCAAAACTTATCGATTTATACACATGTAATATACAGTTTGGGTCAGCGAAATTATGCTACAACAGGTGAGACGATAATTAAACAGAAATTGTCGACCTTCACGCAACTCTCTGGATAAAATTACTCACCTTAATTCTCAAACTCACTGATTGTGAAAGACGCAAGTTGCTACTGTGATAGCTTATTACAACAGATGGATGGAAGCTTTTCCCACTATAAATGATTTAGCCGCCGCTGATATCGAGAAAGTCAACAAGTTATGGGCTGGTCTAGGTTATTACTCTCGTGCGAAGCGACTATGGGAAGGTGCACAAAAGGTTGTCAATGATTTTGAGGGTTTATTACCCAATAACGCAAAGGAGTTGGAAAAGAATATTCCCGGTGTAGGAAGGTATACAGCTGGTGCCATTGCTTCGATAGTTTATGGAGAGCGTACACCTGTGGTAGACGGTAATGTTATAAGAGTATTGTCGAGATGGAGAGCAATTCATGCAGATCCAAAAAAAGCAAAAACAGTGGATTTACTATGGTAAAGGAACAAAATTAAAATGAGAGGGAAGCCTAGGTGAAATCTTTATTAAACTTCAAACAATGGGCACAGGACGATTGCAGGAGATGTTGTAGCGGAATCAAATCCAGGTGATTTTAATCAGGCCATGATGGAACTAGGGGCGCGTATTTGTACGCCTCAGAATCCTGATTGCGAAAAGTGCCCTATCAAAAACAACTGTCGAGCCTATAGGCAATATAAATTGTCAAGAGAGCTTTTGAAAGGCGGCTTCTTTGACAAAAATGCAAAGAAGAGAAGACAGTTAACGACTGAGCATGGTAAGAAAACTTTTTGACAATGTATTGGGCTTATTTATGATTGTAACAATATTCCATTACCTAGGCTGTTCGATATGCCCAGAAATTGAAATAGATTTAGGCGAAAAAGAGTATTCCGTAACAAGATATCCACTCAAGCTAGATAAAAAACCAGCAAGAGATGAACGTAGGAGGATGGTTAACATGTTTTTGTTGTGCTCATAGATAGTAAACTAACACCAGCTGATATATATGTGTATATATAGAATCTGCTGTAACAATCATAGAAAGAGTCTTACCCAAAGATCAGGAACCGATTTATTTGATATCGAAAAGACCAAAGACCGGTCTTTTGGCTGGTTTATGGGAATTCCCCACCTTGGAGTTGAATACACTAGACACAACTTACGCTGAAAGAAAAGTCAAGGCATCAACATTTCTACGGAATAGATACGGTTTAAACCTAGAGGAAGAGGGATTAGAAGTAAATCGATATGATCTAGGCAATGTTGTGCACCTCTTTTCGCATATCAGGAAGGTATATCATATCGAATGGATACAGTTCAGAAATCCAGTAGATGAAAACGTTACTATCGATACAGTGAAACAAACCACAGATGCTTTGACAGACATCAAGTGGGTTACTATGGCAGAACTGAAAGTATCCGCTATTCCTACGGGTTTAAAGAAAGCCATCAAATTATTAGAGAAGCACAAAGTAAGTAGTTTTGTATCTCGTTGCAAGGCATCTAGTGACCAATTATAAATGATATATCTTTTTAAACCCTAGACAACTACATCGACATCCCTCACTAAAAAGAAAACAGTGGTCAAAAAAGCAGGAACGATCAAAACAGCTGATATCAGTTCGTTCTTTACTTTAGCCAAATAGTATTTAATAAAAAAGGAATTGTTTTTTGTCCGCCTTTGTGAAAACTTGCTTACGTAATTTGAGAGAGATTAATGAGGGGGCATAAAAACTATAACTCATCGTGCTATTTGTGCATCTGCATCTGCATCTGCAAAAGTTTCGCTTTACCCATTTCGTTCTTTTCCTTCAACTAATGGAGTTTGAAGATACAGGTACTGCCTATATCAATACGGAAACTTTTTCTTAAATTTTCACTTGAAAGAGTCTGACTTGAATGACATGATTGATCTGCACAGCCAAAGTAACACGTTTGGTCGTGTTTGCTTTTTGGGCTGTGGTTTTAATAGGTATACCCTTTTGGTGGAAAACAACCGAAATCTATAGGGCAAACTTGCCATTTTCTGAAATAGAAGCCTGGTACAGTAAACAGGTAAGGGTTGGGGAGGATTAACCTTATGCAGTGACGAAAAGTAGTATCCTAATTCCTCTTGAGGTTTTGCTTTAGGCTTGCGATTTAGTTATGCCGACACAGTTCACTATTTTTATACCAAAATCCCTAAACATACAGCAAACAACACTAGACATCAACGATAGCCTGAAAATTGCTTTGAGCAATAAAAAGTACAACTACAATTTTCCAATAGAAGTCAAAGTGGAAGTCGCAGATGGGTATGCAGATACCAATAATGTACCTATTAGCAGCTACTTTATCCGTATTGAAAAAGGAGAAAAACAAGAAGCCTTTGTTGGTAATGACAGAATCAGCGTTATGAAACTGAAGGAACTGTCATCGAGCAGAATCGCTGAGGCGTTATCAACATTTATCCCAACCGTTTATTTGGATGAGAACGAGAAAATTGGTGGTACAGCATGCCATGTAGATACCAAAACAAAAGTAAGAAGCACTCTATCACAATATAAAAAAGAGAAGTTAAATAGGAGAATGGCACTCTAACTATCTCTGGTAGAATGACATTGCTAGTATGCGTACACTACAGTACTCATCTAAATATGAAACGACGTTCAGTTTGATGAACAATAACCCAGAAAATGTAAAGATGGATTGGGATATTCGCGAGGCTGTTGACCAATACTTACAGCCATTCTTGAACGAAATTTCTGTTGTATCCAATTTTACAATCAATTCACAAGTAAAGTCAAATTGAAACTATCAAACATAAAACGGCAAAGGTTACTGATTGATTCTCCCTACTTCATAGATCCAAAATTATGCACCTTTGACGTTAAAACCAAATTACAGAGAAATAACAGGCAAACCAAACTACTATTATTTTCAACCACAACATTTACCACACTTTGTCAATTCTGCCGAATGGAACCTAGGTAGGAGCGAGACTTGAAATAGTCACCTTAACCTGAGTTTGGGAAGACGAATAGCTTACTGATGATGCTTGCTTTCTAATCGATAGCATCAACTATCACTTCACATCTAAGCATTAACTTCATTTTATATGTGCCTTCTCAAGAAGAGTCACCGTTGCGTATACATGATTCAAAAGGTAGAATAAAAAGAAGCAATGATTATAGAACGAAAGGCAAAAGTCTGTTTGAAGACGATAATGGTAGAGTAACCCACAATGTCTCTCATTAGACCAACCGTTGCGGACAAATGCATTTCTCGTGCCCCGATGGGGCGGCATTGTTATTAAAAATGCACCAAAAACAGCAAAGGGCGAGTATAGATTTACAAGCAACGGCCTTGAGCCCGTTATGAAATTGTTTTTATCACAATTGAGAGGCTTGATAGGCATCCGTGACCATGATGAGTCAATCGCTTCGGTAAGAGGATATTGATAAAGTAAATTTCCAGTAAGGAATCGAAACAATTCAAGATAACCATGACAGTGTGTTTGTTTGTTTTTGTTTTTTTTTTGCTCGATAGCTGCCTCATCTTGACCAAATTTATTTCGAGAATGCTGAAAAGACAGGTATCACAACTTTGGAAAAAGACAATTTAATTCGTATTAGAACGGTCGAAAATGTTGTGAATACCATTTCTACCCTCAAATCACTAGCCCAGTTGGTGGAAGAAATACCTAATATGGTAGTAGAAGATCATATTAGCTATAAAGTGCATGCCTCTCTCAATGCCTTAGCATCCGTTCATGAAGTATTGGACGTTGAAAAGGATTATATCAAAGCATTACAAACATCAATCGAGGCTATTGAGTTGGCAGAAATGGCCTTTTTTGATCCCACCATGGTTTCTATGCTCTATTTTCCTGATGAGCATAAATATGCCATCTATATGCCTTTGTTTGTCCCCATCTCTGTACCTTTGCTAATGGCACTCTTGAAAGAGTTGAAGAAATACAAAGAACAACGAAAGCAGTCTTCAAAGGATAAAAAAGAATAAAAGCATACCAATTTTAGCAACTTGGTTGTTACTCTATATTTGAAATAGAGTGATGGAAGCAGTTTTTATAAATATGAACAAAAAATAATCAAGGAAGGGAAAGGGAGAAAATAGAGAATTTACAAAAGTATATTACGATCTAGGTACAAAAGGTAGGGAGCTATTAGTAGTATTTCTTCATGTATAGTAAAAACTATATTATATGTATAGTTTAAGCCTCCTTTGTGATACTCGCAGTAGTAGTCTTAGGAGCAGAGTAGACACCAAATCTATAATCAAGATCTAATAACATTTTCAGAGCATTTGAAGAGCGGAAAGAAGTTCTTTGTTCTACTGCTTGCGTAGGATTAGGCAATATGGTTGCAGCTGTTGATACAGTATTAGCAGCACTGCCATGGCCAGGTAATGGCAGTAACTGATGTAAAATTTCATAAGCTGTCAAAGTCACACCGAACTGAGGTGAGGAACGGAAAATACGTGCAGGGCCTCCCTTAAAGAATGCTTTGAAACCTTCTTCGGCAAAGATCTTTCGAGCCGCATCAAGAATACCGGAATATGTCGTTTGTCCCTTTCTCGCTTCCACTTGTAAACGTGTTTTAATGACATCAGCAGGTGTTGTAAAATAGGCAGCAGGCATACCGGCAATGGCACCAGCCATCAATAGTTCAGAAATCTTCAATTTGTGATCAGGGCCTTCTTTGAAAAGGTCCTTCTTGAGGTGAGCATAAGCGGGGAAATAAATGGCAGAGAAAGGAACATCTCGCAATAAACAAGCAGCAACACCTTTGTAGAGACCGACAATACCCAGATGCTTCACGATCCATATAGCAGAACGACGAGGAACAGCAGCAGCAGCATCACCAGCAAGATTCTTTGCTTGCTCACCTTGTACTTGAAGACGGATCTTGACGATTTCGAGAGGATTGGTAAAGATGACTTGAGAAGCACCGGCTGCACCACCGGCCAACATTTCCTGCCAAAATTGAATGGAACCGTTCTGTTTGCTGGTGAATTTACTGCGAACAAAGTCATTGACAGTCAATTTGATGGCTTTTTCGGGAGCAACACCCTAAAGTTTTGAAGGGCAAACGATTAGCTAGCTATTCATACTGACTGACTCATCTCTATTCAGCCACTTTGGTTACACACACAACGAGGATGGTATACCCCTTGTTCATTTACTGCCACACTTACCACAAGCTGAGGACCCAATCCTCTATATAATCCAGTAAAGCCTTCATTCTTCAAGACTTTTTTAAAACAATCCAAACTGTTCTTATATAACAGTTCTCCTACTATTTTTGATCTTTGATTTTGCATACGTGTTTTGACCAAATCGATAGGGTAAACAGCAGTGGCACCAATGGCACCGGCAACCGAACCCAAAATGAAGGAGTAAGCGCTTTCTACCAATTGCCAGAGGACTCCTCTCTTTTCCTGTAATGGGGAGTCAATATGAATTTGATCAGCATCTGCTTGTAATTGGCGATACGTCCATCGAGGATCCAAAAGTCGAGCAAAGTCCTCCAAACCTAGTCTTCCAGAATCATCGTCCACGCCAGCAAAATGGAAAATGATATCGACTTCCATAGGTGTAAATGCAGTAGAACGAGATGCTTCATGAGCATACTTTAAAAAGTCCACTTTTGTAATCTTCTTATCCGAGACCTTTTCTATCGCTGTACGGATCACAGACTCAACCATGTCAATATTCCTGATCACGTTATGGAAGGCGACAACTGAGGAGAAACTGATCTTGTTCCCATTGTTATAGATATTACAAAGGGTGGGTAAATGGTCAATCACATCATCTGATAGTTTGTGTTTGGCAACGTCCAAAATGATCTTTTTAAAGTCTTCAGGCTCAATAAAGCCCGTTTGATCCTTATCATAATGTTTGAATTCTTGACGTAGCCTTTCTCCTTGCAAATCTTTTAAAAGTTGCGTAAATTCTTGATACGATAGTTCCTTTTGTTGTTTATCGTTATCACCACCACCCACGTATAATCTCAACCAATCACAGTTAAAATCAAACGGGACAGCATCAGGTGGCATGTTGCTCGATAAGACCTCTTTAAATTGCTCAAATGTCACCTTGCCTGTACCATGAATATCAAAAAAACGGAAAGCTACTTCATACTCCGCATCTGCCTTTGACAATAAATCTTCGAATATGACAAAATCGTCGAAAGAGATCAAACCGTTTTCTTCCTTTTCCTTCTTCTTTTGTGATGATAGTGCGGACTTGCTGTTATTGTTCAAAGCAACACGATAAAGAAGTTCGAACTGTTCTTTTTGAATCTTTTTGAAATCCTCACCAGGTGCAACCGCAGCGAGGAAATCGTCTTTAGTCATAAACTTTTCCTTCTCTTGACCTTGTTGTTGTTGTTGTGAGGGCAGTTCTACGGAAGCGAACTTCTGAAAGATACGCCTATAGAGCTCTAGTTTGCTGATATTCATGTTATCTGCCATTGTTTTATGCTTATGAGTAAACTAAGATGATGCAAAGGAGGGGATAGGAGCCTGAACGAAGCTATGTAAGAATCTAAGCTTATGTGGTATAGAATACGTAGATAGATCCAAGAGAAAGAGAGGTTTAGAAAGAAAAAAGGAAAAAAAAAGTGAAACGAATAAAAACTCAAAACTTATGAAAAAAAATAAAGTAACATAATTGTTACTTCGACATGGAGGGTACTACCAAAAAAAAAGGGGCATTTTTTAACTTTTTTGAATTTTTACAATTTGTGGAGAACTGACACAAAACACACGTATTCATACGGTTCTTCCGGTTATTGACCAATCAGATAAAGGCCATTTCGAAAATCTCCTTTTCTTCAAACGAACGTCTTTTTGAAAAAGGGCCATCCAGTCAGGTAGTTAAATTGCCAATTCTTAGTAGACACATGAACTAAAAGATATGTATGAATCATACAGTGTATCTATTCTGCATACTGATCTTCTATTGCATATTCCATTTCACATGAAAGTCGACTGAATTTTGTTTGCCAGACCCAAAAAAACCCGAAAAATGTGGGGAAATCAAAAATTTTAGACAAGTGCCTTATCCATTTTGGGTTGTTTAGCATTAAGCGTAAATGATAGCTTGTCTTCATAACTCATCAGGCTGACTCACAAGGTTAAGCTACTGAAGTGTATCATCAACTAGCAAGTCACGGAAAAGATTCGCTCAACAGCGATTCCTTTATCAAGCGATCCATGGTTCATTGTTGGACAGCTTGATGAAATCCATACACAAGCAACTCTCATCCCATAGCACTGTTCTTAAAAAGTTGCTCCTGTTCCCATCTATTCATTTCAATAAATGCAGAGTTTTCATCGAAGTGAGATGATTTGCATTCGCCAAAAACTTAGCAACTTACTCTGCTTTGAGCGTGTACATGATCCGTTGGATCAGAAGCGTAAGGTTTTCATATATTTTACAAAAAGTCTTATGTAATGGGTAAAAAATAAAGGAAATCAGTACATTTCCCAAGGACAGCAAAAAAGGGTTTTGAATGACAGATCCCTATCTGATCATTTTTATGTTAATTTAATTTTTCTTTTTCTATGAAAACTTTTATTATTGCCTTGATTTAGGCATTTTCTTCTTATCATCCAAGTTATCAAGATCGCCCTGTTTATAGTAATGCGGCGCCACTAAAGTTGAAGTAGATAAGGAGACGACAATGAGTTTCCGAATACGACGCAAAGAAAAGTAGTGCAAAAGAGGGCTTACCATCTAATAACCATGAAGATTGTATTTCCATTACTTGTCTCATGTACTCTTTACTAGTCAGTACTAATTCATAATAGACAATCCATCTTGGTTTCTTTTCTAGCATACTACTGCTTGGATGAATATGAACCGTTTGATTTTGTTTGATGGTACGATAAGAATCTCCCGACTTATTCAGTCTTGCAGCATTAAAGAAGAACCCAGAAGTAATAGCCTAAGAAAAAGGAAGAAATAGATCCATTACCATCACGCCTCTATGTCCATCCTATGACTTATGTCCAAGCTTTCTTACTTTTTGTATCGGTGTAGGATCGTTGGGATTAGGATTACTCACTAACTTGACTTCGACACGATCTAACAACTGCACCAACTGATCTCTCACATTTCTAACTCTTTCCAATGTTTTGATCTGTACAAAATTCTCATAACACCATTGTACGGAGAAGTCCGTCTCCACCCATTGGTTCCATACATTCAACAGGGTTAAGTGATCACCGCCCGGTTTCACAAGATTTTGATGTGCTGTGTCGGCCAGGATCTTTTTGTCTTTTGGTCGGTAAAAGAGAGAGCTTTGCTCTGATAGCATAGCGCACACGGATACCACTTCTTCTGTACATTCGTATTTCTCTGCGGCAATAATTGCCTTTGACAAACAAGGATCCATGGGAAATTCCGCCATACGACGACCTAATTTGGTGAGTTCAGCACGGTCATTTAGGGCACCCAAGGCGTAAAGCTGACTGAGAGAACGAATCATAGTATCTTCCACAGGAGGATCGATGAAATCGAAATTGACTAAGTCATTAATACCCAAACTCTATAGATAGGGAAGGGCCAAATAGGGCGAAATATTGAGTTTCACAATAAACCGAGCAGAACGAGATCCCCCACCCCCACTTTGTTTTTATCTCACCTTTAATAGAAGAACAACATTCGATAAATTGACTCGTTGGATTTCTGGTGTAGTATTTTCTTCCATTTCGTTATAAAACGCCCACTGAGTAAACAAACGGAAGCATTTACCTGGCCCTGTTCGTCCTGCGCGACCCGCACGCTGTGTAGCAGAAGCTCTAGAACAGGGCACAACAGTAAGCGCTTCCATACCCGTACGTGGGTTGAATGTCTTTTGTTTGTTGAACCCAGGATCAATGACAAACTTGACGCCTTCCACCGTGATGGAGGTTTCGGCAATGTTGGTAGCCAAAATAACCTTACGTGCTCCTTCCGGTGTTGGCTCAAAGATGCGAGATTGCTGTTCGGATGGTAAATTCGCATAAATAGGACATACCATGAGTTCCGCTATTTTACTTCCTAAGGCTTTACAAGCTTGCTGCAGACCTTCCTGCGCTGCTTCAATTTCATCTTGACCCTACATTCCATATCGCAACAAGTAGGTGTATTGTGTGCGTTGTTAGTACTCCCTATGTACGACGCTCTGCAAGAGAAGAGAATCAAGTCACTCACCGTCAAAAATACTAAAATATCGCCAGGACCTTGGGTAACATGAATAGTGAGTACTTGAGTGATGGCTGCACGCAAATAATTTGCCTCGGGTGCTTTGGTATAGTAAATCTCTACTGGATAGGGTCGACCAGGAATGTTGAAGATAGGCGCATCATCAAAATACTCTGAGAACTTTTGAGCGTTCATGGTGGCACTAGAGATCAATAACTTCAAATCAGGCCGGAATCGTGCAATGTCCTTGATTAAACCAAACAGAATATCGGTGGAAAGTGTTCTTTCGTGCGCTTCGTCAATGATCATGCAGCTGTAAGAGGCAAGATCGGGTTCTGTCATAAATTCACGCAGCAGCATACCATCTGTCATGTATTTCACGCATGTCTTTTCAGATGTACAGTCTTCAAAACGAATACTATAACCCACTTCTTGGCCCAGCAGCACACCCATTTCTTCAGCAACACGCGCCGCCACACTCATAGCAGCCACACGACGCGGTTGCGTACAGCCAATCTTTTTACCGCCCTTTGTAAACCCATGTTCATACAGATACTGAGGCAGCTGAGTCGTCTTTCCTGAACCCGTCTCGCCGACGATGATCAATACTTGATATTGATCGATAGCATCCAGCAACTTGTCTCGGTACTCATAGATGGGTAATGATTTCCGAATTTCGTCAATCGACTTTGCCTTTCTTTCAGCTGCATCCATTTGCTCTAACAATTCTTGATCGCGTGCATCGGGTTCATTTAATTTGGCTGATAAAACGAAATCGATCTTTTGATCCTCGTCAAACACATAATCATAGTCGTCCTCTGGTTGTTTTGATCCGCCTTTTCCTGCTGCTGTTGCTTTCTGGATTTGCGATCGTTCCCATACGTCCTGTTCCGATTCAAATTTTTCATCCTCTTCGTATCGTTTATACAATGCACTCTCCTTCTTCTTTCTGTCAATCTTGCCCTTTTCCGTAATATAGTCTTCGGGCATAACATACCCTTCCTCTTGGGTATCGATCTGTCGTCTTGCTTTAGCGAGTCTCAGCAATTCCTCTTTATATTCTAATTCTTTTCTTTCTCGTCTCGTCAACTTTTGGCCGGCAAAGAATCTTCGGTCGTCGGCAATTTCTTGCTCTAAAAGAGCAATCTTTTGCTCTTCACGCATCTTGAGGTATTTTTGGTTGGATCGTTTCCTTAGTTCAGGAAGAGCGGCTTGACGTGCCTGTTTATCGTCGGCTAGGTTACGTCGTTTCGCTGCCTCACTGCCTTCTTTGCCAGATCGATCTTCGACAATTCGTTTTGTACGATTCTTATCTTTTTCTTTTAAACGTTCAGCAAGCTCATCACGTTCTTGAATATCTCTTAATCGTTCAAGTTCAGCTTGTGCTTCTTTTTCTTCCTCTGTAGCCTCCTCATTTTCTATCCAAATGAAAAAAAAAAACCAAACCAAAAACGAGTGGATTCTGTTAGTGACTAATAAAATTTCCTTTGGTAAAAGACCTCAATAGCTCAATGCTTTACTATTCTTTTGTCGTATGCTTTCTGTTGTCTTCACTTCTGTGTCATCTTCATCGTCACTTAATTCTTCAAGTTTTCTCTTTTTCTTTGAGCGTAACTTCTTTTCTTGTTTACGCAAGTTGATAGCTTCTTCATCTCTCGCAGCGTGAATAGCATCGTCAGGCTCATCCAATACCAATTTGAATGCTTTGTTGGCTTTCCGTAATTCGGCTTCTTCCTTTTGTCTTTCTTTACGTTGTGCCTTTTGTGCTGCTGCTGCTGCTGCTGCTGCTCCCGCTTTTTGTTTACGAGGTACACGACCAAAGAGTTCCAAAGCAAACTGGCGGGTATCATCATCTGCTTTTGCAGCTGCACCAATTAGTTTGTTGTACAGATCTTCAGGTGACGACGCCTTTTGAGCGGTAGCGATCAAGAAATCGACTATTGTGCTTTCAGACATGCCCAAAAGCTGAAAGTTATAAATAAAATGGCGTGAGACAAACCTTTGCTATTACTATTTATCAACATGTTTTTCCAACCTTCATGGCATTGTCAGACACCCAAGAACGTATATCCATTGTGTTATTCCCTTTAATTAACAGATGCTGTATACGGGAAAAGGAAAAAAAAAAATACAAAAATAATTGATTCAAATTTGCATAGTTGCAGTGCTGAGAAAAAAAAAAAAAAAGGATCCCGCCCGCAGCAGTTCACAGAGTCACAATGTAAAAAATGGAATTACTTCCCCCAAACACTTCAGGGACAGCATGAATTTTTTTTTTCTTTTTTTTTTTTTTTTCTGGACACCACAAATATCAAATATATTTTATATTTCAACAACAAAAAAAAAGAGATATGTATATTGTGAATAAACGATGATGTATTGAAAAGGAAAGAAAAAAAAAAAAAAAGAAAGTTGTTATTTTTTAAAAGAGGCACTGCTACTCGTCGTTCTTAGAGTACCTGATCTACCACCTACAACATCACCGTCCAATTGACTTAATCCCAACAAGAAATCACCCATGAGCTCTTCTTTCGTTGTTGCTGTTGTAGAGGAAGAAGTCGTTGAGACCGTATCGTTGTTATTATCAGCACTATAGACACTACTGTTACAGCTATTACTACTACAGTTGTTGTGAAAGGATCTTGTGTCTAAGCAAATGGAAGCCGGTCTCTTTTGGTTGAAAGTCAATGGACGGTGATGATGATCGGATAAAAACGAAAGCCGGTTCAAATTAAGGTTGATGACGGTAGGTGCTTTCCGTTGATAAGATCTTTTACTGAAATAACGAGGATGTTGTTCTGTAGATTGTTGCTGTCGCTGTTGTTCCTGATGACTATCGTTGTTTGTGGAGGCACTCAAAGATCTGCCTAATTTGGGTATATTTATAGAAAGAGAGGAATTGGAGATACTGTCATTGTTCGTGATATCAGACTCTTCCCCAGGATGACTGTCATTGTTGTTCAGTAAAGGCGTTGAGCTGGATAAGGATGGAAAGGTAGTCGAAATCAGCGGTTTCGTAGAGTTGAGATGGTGGTTGTGAAAAGGCTTTTTCTGTTGTTGCGGGGAAAGGGACGGTGACAGTGATAGCGATACAGGAGGGATTTGTGTCGATAGAGGTGATAAGGGCGAAGTAGTGGTATTCGTAGCAGTGGATGAAATGGACACGGTAGAAGAAGGAGATGTAGGAGAAGGTATATAGTTGTAATTGTTGACATTACTATTGGTATGAGTTGAAGGTAATAACCAGTCATTGGGTATATCGAGGCTCTTTCTGTTTTGTGATAGGGTGTGCGATTGGGGCAGCACAAAATGTTGAGGTCGTAAGGTTGTGTTCGATGCATTGGGACTCAAAGTAGCAGCGGGTGACGAGGAGGGTTTTCGCTTACTGTGGGTATTGTTTATCGAGGCGATAGACGATGTGGAGCTAGTAGATGATAGGTCGGCACTTTGAGATTTACGATGATGTAAAGTATATTTAGCAGAAGAAGGGGTAGTGGCAGCCAACATCGCAGCTGGAAGAGGAGAGTGGTTAGCTGTAGACTGTGTAGATCGCATGCTGTAGATACTGGAAGGTCTTTTCTTTCTTTCGTGCACTTTGACGGCGGGTAATGAAGGACGCTCACTCAAAGTAACCAAATCCAGCTGTTGTTGCTGATATTTTTGCTGCAGTGAAAGGGGATCATCTTTCAGAAATTCACAAGCAGCTTTCATGGTAGCCAAGACAAAGTTGTACACTGAGCCTTCTTGCATCCTCGCTAACCTATAATGTTGCATGTAATAGATCATGCTAGCAATTCTGCCTACTTGACTTTGAATCATTACGTAAGCCAAGAGCGGAATCAGTTCATCCGAGGTCAGAGAAGCAGAATCGATTCCTTTTGTCGCAGCAGCGGCCGTGTTCCCTTCAAAATGCTGGATAAACTCTGTCACTGTATCGGATAGGATGTTTAAAGTCGACTTCAATGCCGCCAACTTTTCCAGCGGCGTAAATGCAGCCTCAGTAGATGAAGGCACCGCATGAGGATCGAGCACAGAGGCATAGTGTGGAGAGTTGAGCTGCTGGAACATACCGATGGCTTTTTGAAAGCAAGATCTATCCATTTCTGAGATAGGATATCGAAGTGCGAATTGTGACAGAGGGACATTAAAATACAGCTGAGATAGATGTTGTATATGATTATCTTGAGATGCTAAAAGTGATGGTAAGGACTGCTTCCAAACTTTTTTATATAAAAAGCTCATTACAACACTGATACTGTAGGGTTAGACATATGCCCAGTGAATTCTTTTTTTTTTTTGTTCATTTTTTTCTTTTTCTTCTTACTTTTCAACTAATTCCAAAAAACGATCATGCTCAGAAGGTATTCTACAAGATTCTTCCAAAAGTTGGTTTCTTTTTAATATTGTCTAATTGGCAATAAATCAGTTATGAATTTCAATTGATAATGACACGACAGAAATTAGTCATTCTTCTCCTTTTTTGGTGTTCTATAGTTTTACCTTGTAAGCCTTCATATAGATATGTTGAATTCTTTCAACAGTGCATTTGTTATAACCTTTGACATAGACATAGGAATCTGTAAATTCTTGTGCTACCAATTGTAATTCATGAATGGCCTCAAAATTCTGTGGAAAGATATTGAGAAATTCCAGGTCACTTTAACAAAATCGGTTATACGTGATATGTTAGGGTTAGTTAAGGTTTCTGTTATGTCTTCTCGGGTTGGGTCATGATATCGAATTATGTAACTTTACTTTTTAGAGTTGCGAATAGGCGGAATAGTAATAGTTGGTTTGTAATGCTGAAGAGGATGGTATTTCTAACATAGTCAAATAGAGATGAGCTGTTCTGTTCACTGTTGCAGCAATGGATCGACTACTTACAGGCGTCTCTCCTTCTAATAACTGATCTATTAAATACAATTTGATCTTTTTGTGCTTGTAAGACACAGTTTCTTCTGCCAAAACATGCACCATCTTTTCCTTTTGATAGCCTCCTAAAGTCGTTATGAGAGGATAATCTAATGCTATGTTCTTATGTCTTTGTTTGGTTGCCATGTATTGCCCACAAAAGTAAGGAGAAGGCAAAAAGCAATGTGATTCTATTGTTGGGGATACAATGAATGATGGTTTCGAGATTAGTTTTTCATTGTTTGATGATGGGGAGTGATAGTTTTATTTACCGATGATATCTTTTGTAAGGACAAGTCCTTGTATAGACTTTGTATGTGGTATACAGATAATACTCGACTCGACAAAGAGTGGATGAAAATGGGTGGTTAAATGTCTATAAAAGAAGTTTTCATCCATATCTTCGTCTGCCGGTTCTTCGCTTTCTACAGTAGTTGTTCTTGTTGTAGTTACAGTGGTAGTAGGAATGGCATTGGAGAAAGACGATGCTGTTTGAACATGAGGTATGCTAATGGGCTCATGAATTGAAATGGCACTTGTTCTTTGTATTAAAGAAGAAAGAGTCGGGTATAAAGTATCTTTGACCGTTGTTGTATCTGCTGTTGCTGCAGTTGCTGCTTCTGTTGTTGTTGTTGGTTTCTTTTTCTTATTGTTAATGACTCCTGGTTTATTGAAAAAGAAGGGCAAAGTCATATCTTTTCTTTTCCTGTGTCCCTCTTTTGTAATATTTCTAAAGCCCTTTTTTTTTCGTTTCTTTTTTTAGGATATACGAAGAAAAGAAAGGGAGAAAAAGGGGAAGGAGGTGAATCTTTTTCTTTTTTTGTTACAATAAAATATCAGCAGCCAAGATCAAATAAGGAGTCAGTCATTTTGTTGTTCAAATTCAAAATTTGGCTCTTTGTGAATAGCAATACGACCCTACATTGTGCCATTCAAGCAACGTTGACTTTCTTAACAATAACCAGCAGTTAGTTTTGTTCTCGTTCTTTCTGCCATCAAAGCAATCGTTACCGATAATACCTTAAAGTAAAATTCTTTATCAGTGCAGAAAGTTGTTGTCTGCAAAATGCCTTCTAAAGTATCTATGGCTATATCGCCTATGAGTGAAGACAAAATATATTTAAATCCCATCAAAGCAGTACATTTGAATTCAGGCAACATGACAGAAAAGAATGCTTCGTTGTCGAAAAAGGGGAGGAAAAGACTGAATCGTGGAAGAACAAAAAATATGAATGTGTTGAATTTGGTATGGACATTCTTCGCTGCAAAGGTCAAACATTATCAAGAACAATACACAAGAGTGTTAACAGAAAACATTTTGAGAAGGTGTTGTTCCTGACACATTTTTTGTCATAAATCCTTTTATTTGTGCTCATGGGTGGGCCAAGTTGATTGACAATGCATTAAACAAGCAAAAGTGAGATTGATTTTATAAGTTAAAAGAACAAAGTGGATGAAAACTAATTGTAGTATTACAATTACTTTGAACTGCTTCATTCTCTATCATAAGAAATAGTTAGTTTTTTTTTCATTTACTATTTGAATTATAATATAAAAAAAAAGGTGTTGATGTTCTAGCCTACTCTCTAGGAAAGTAGTTGCCCAGGCAGCCCCCACGAGGAGAGACATCAACATGGCTGCCCATGGGACTGGTTGACATTAACCTTATGCTACCGGATCACGAGGAACCGACAGACACCTATTTCAGGCAAGTGGCAACAACCAGCATTACACATGAATAGAAGGACCATTATGATACAATAGGAGTACTAGGCCCATCTACACAGAGGAAACCAGTTTAGAAATTAAAGCTACTGCAATATTTGTGCTGAGCTGATTTCTGAGTAAAGAAAAAAGAAGCGGAAATTCACAAAAATGAGCGCCTTTATATACTTTTTGAAAACAATTGTAACTCCTTTTAAAAGACTGCTTTTTGACCCAATAGAAGTCATACAAATTGGTCTCCTATTAAAAGATTGCTCTTTCATCCAATCAATTTAGAAGTTTGCAACATCTCCCTTTTGAAGTATTCATGAAATTCTCTCAATTTATGCAACTTTGTGTGCTAACGTATACAATTCCATCACCTTCTCTCAATATCAAAATGGCATGCGTTAATGCATGAAGGAATTAAAAGTAGAATTTATGATTGCCGTAGTCTCTCTAACTATTTTTCCTTTATGATTTCACGCATATATACAATAATGCTTTCCTTTGCAAATTGTGGAGAAGCCTTTCTCGATAAATGTGACGGCCACGTCGAAAACTGTCTGATGATTCACCTACTTTTATATAAATGGTCATCCTCTACTGCCCTCTAAGTACCGTACTCATCTTTATATCTACTGTAGTGAATGTGCTTTCGTAATGCTATCATTTCATAAATGATGATACAGACCATATCAACAACTGTAAATAATAGCCAATAGGAATTTTACTGACAAAGAAAGTTACTCTGGTGGACTGTTGGCATCGATATTAGTTTAGCAAAGGAATGATGGTCCTGTAACCATATGTGTGCTTCTGTGTCCATTCTGATGGAAATGAGGACGTATATCTGTTGTCGTTAATCTGACATTTGTCACTTCTGAGTAAAGCAGTTTGGATGTTACTTGGTGGACAATGCCCGCGAGGCTTTTTTCCACATTGTATTTATAAATGGTAGAATCTGAAATATCTCAGAATGAGGATCGTTGGGAATAATAGCAATAATAGATAGAGTACATAAACAGCAAACCAATATCAGTTAAATCATTTTCATATAACGCCATGCTTAGCCAAGATTTTCACTCCTGAGGTCACGCCTAATCACCCCTCTCTCTCCTGCCCCAAGAACGAATCTGCAGACGCTTCCTTCGTTGAGAAAACATAACGCCCTTTCATATAAACTTACTTGACTCGATGCAAGGGGAAGATGGGGATAACGCTTCAGGATATATATAGCAGCGATCAAAAGAGCCTTGCTGCCGCGGTTTATCAACAAAGAAGAGCGAACATAAGCCCAAGGGTTGTCGGGAAAATCTGGATAAAATACCAACAAATCTAGGTTTTCTTTTCATACAGATTGCCCTAAGTACCCATCCAATGGATCCAGCTTAGCTAATAATTCCCTCTTTTAGTGTTGTATTTTTTTTTGATTGAGTAAGAACTACAAACACAGCCAAAATCCCAGATCAGTGCCACTTTTTCATTGTTGCCCTGCCAACGCTTAGCATTTGCTATGATTGAAACTCCTCTTTTAATATCTAAAAAAAAAAAAAAATCCAAAAGTTTTGAGAATGGGATGGACATTACTGTTCTTTTTTCTATTTTACACGTCCTTGTTTTCCTTACTTCTTTTCTGTATATAGTCCCCTTATTTATATCACTTCTCGATTATTTATGTTGACAAAGCATTTGCCTTCAAATAAAATTCTTGACATTCGTCTTGAGGAGGAGAAGTTTTACTTTCCTGGTGAAACAATAAAAGGTAACAACCAACTCTCCATCGACAGGATGTCGTTCAATGGAATGTTGGAAAAGGTTTCAAAAATGAGCGTGTTCATACTTATAAATCATCATGTTGGTTAGGATATGTGGTCGTAACTCCAAAAAGTACTATCAAAGTCAACAGCATTCATCTTCAATTTTATGGACAAGTCTTTATACACTTGAAAGAAAAAGAAACAACAACCTTGTTTCGCAATTCTGTCGAGTTACCAATATACCCTGAGGCCAATAACAGCTCTACCACCGCGCATTCTGATAAGAAATCAGTGACAACCTTAGAAGCAAAAGAGCACAGCTTTCCTTTTCAATTCACTGTTCCAAAAAATCTCAATTTACCAAGCTCTATGGAGGTAAAACAAAACTATAAAAAATTCTATAGGGTTTAGGAGTAGAGTAAACTTGACAATGACTGTTTCTTGCTGATCCATGGATTGTCACTTTAGTTTGGTAAAAAGACTCATATACGCTATATGATAAATGCCTTGTTGGATCGACCTATGATACCAGAATCTCTATGTCCTAGGATGGAATACTATGTTCACTTGCTGGAATTTATTGATATTGAACAAGCACAATTCAAAATATCACAGGAAAGATGTCAGGATATGATGTTACCCAAGGCAAAGTATAATGAGAAATGTATGGTGAGAGCATCTATACCACGATTAGGTTTTACAAGAGGTAAACGATACAAAAAAAAAAAAAAAAACCAAAAAAAACCAAAACCAAAACAAAACAAAAAAAACTAGATTTTGAACACAAACCAAAAATCTTAACCTTGTTTATAGGTGACATAATACCTGTTAAGGTCTTGGTCGATCACTTTACATCATGTCATCGCAAGAACAGCATTTTAGTGGATCTTGTCCGAACAGTCGAAATTAGGACCAGTAAACATACAGTCTTTAAAGAAAGCATTCTGAGAACGACTTGCTATGATTTAAACATAAAAGAAAATGAAGGAAAGCAGCAGCTTATTTTATGTCAGTTATTGATACCAACCTCTACACCACCGTCTATCCGATATAAGGATAAAGTGGTGCGATTTCTTTACAAAGTGAGAGTAACAGTTTCATTTACAAGTAATAAGAATACAAGCTGTGTCCTGGATCTACCCTTCGTCATTGGAACATGGCCAAGAGCAGCGATACCAATCGATGATGATGATGACGAAGCCGACGAGGAAGAAGGAAACGAGGATGATACAGTAGTGATACGTAACAATAACGAGAGTTATATTGATACAGATCTGGATGATGATGATATAGAGTCACTACGGACTTGTTCTATCGATGATGCTGCCAGTATTTCTAGCAATCAGAGACACTCATCTAATATTGTTCTGCCTTCTTGGTATTCTAATAATAACCTTTCGCTACCCACCGTGCAAAATCAACTGCAACAGCAGCATTCTCTCAAAAAGCAGCAGCACCGTAACTCAGTCATGTCTTCGTATACAGCAGACGACGCTTATAATTTTGTAAATAGATCAGACTCTGTCAATTCGAAAAAGTCTCACAATTCTCTTTCTTCCTGTCGTTCAAGTCGCTCCTATGAACAGTATAAAAATCAAGTGCATCTTCCTCAACAGCCACAGCCACAGCCACAGCCGTCCCAACCACAGTGTATGCCTTATTCACAGCATTATGCTCCGAATCATCAGCATCATCTACTCTATCAACAACAACAACAACAACAACAACAACAGCAACAACATAATTTGTCACGTCAGACTTCTCAGTCAACAACTGTTTCATCGCCAGATAGACTACCTTCTTATTATAACAATAATGCCATGAATGCTGTAGGCCATTATCAACATCATAATAGCATGAACAGTCATCGTAAATCGCCTTCTATTGCAACTGATATTTATTCTCATTTACCCGCCTCTAATACGCATGTTACCACTAATACTTCTACAACTACAACTACCAATAATCTCTATTATAATCATCCATTATCACCACTACCACCATTGGCTGGTCCAAGGTACTATTATAATAACAATGGTGAAATCATACCATCATCAGCAGCGCTACCAACGCCACCACCCATTCGTATGGAAAATGATGTGCCAACTCATATTTTAGAACCTATTTCGAACCATCAACAAGAACCATCACAATTACAGCAACCATCTATTGTTGAAGAAGAGTGCCATGATAGTGATGTATTATCTGAATCATCCTCTTCACTTGAAGATTCGGATGAAGATGATGAAGATGATTTATTAGCGATTATCGAAAGAAAAAAAAAGAAGGAAAGAAAAGAATTGAGAAACAAACGAAAAGAGCAGCGTTTATTACAACAGCAAAAGTCATAGATAATTTACCCTTTTTTTTTTTTTTTTTTTTCGTGATGATGTTCATCATGTATTTCTATTGAATAAACCCAAATTATTCAATCGCTTTGTTTTCCCGTCTCCTTCTCTCTTGCTAGCAGTGGGAGTAGAAAATTTATCTATGATAGATGATAATCCACTATTCATGATAGCCGCGACTGTAGCTGTCACACCCATTGTCACTGATCCAACACTCAAAAAAGACCTTGGTTTCCAATGGCCTGTGATGAACGACTGCTGAAGACGTAGGATGGAATGGTGAGCAAGGCTTTCTACAGGTCCTCTTAAAAAAAGATAAAGGAAAGCCCAATAAATGAGACCGCGATGACCAAAGGTCCAATGGAAGAGTGAATGGGTGTAGTGCTGGAATAGATTATGTAAAGCTTGAAGGTGGAATGTAATGATAAACTTATCGTGATTATGTTTCTCAGTGGTAATAAGGGCTATTGGACGTTCCTTTCCTTTTTGTTCTAATGAAGTAGTGCTTACAGCAGCGTTAGACGCAGTTGCAGTTGAAGGGTTATCGACGACGATAACGGAAGAGGATGTAGGAGTCAAAGAGGGATTTAAAATAGCAGGAGCCGCATGCTGAGGATGTTGCTGTTTTTGTTGTTGCTCACATTGACGCTGATGGAGTGCTGATAATGTTCTTCTTTTAGTGATAAACGAGGTCAATATGTCAAGACCGGTACGTAACTCTGTTGTACCCCAGGAATAAAAGGGCGCATGTGGCATGGGTTGAGTGACAGAAGCAGTAGTTGGTTGTGCTGGTATATTCTGATGTACAGCATGGAACGGTTGTACATACGAAGATGGGAAGGGGGGCGTCACTGGTATGGCATTGCTGAGATTGGGTATCGCTTCTGGTTGTGGTTGTGGCGGCATGGGTCTTCCTGATGAAAACGAGGGTGGGGGCATATTTGCAGAAAGAGGCGGCGTTCGAGGAAGCTGTGCTAAGTCTGTTTGAGGGGCTTGTTTTACTATAGATATTGACGGACTTGAAGAAGTAGATGAGTCATTGATGGCATCGAAGAATATGTCATTATCTGAACTAGCATCTGATGCTGCAGTAGCGGTGACGATGGTTGGGCTTGTGTGAATCGCATCTATTGAATCTAGTGGCGTCACAGCTTGTTTTCTATTGTTGTTGGTACTATTAGCGAGCCTATCTTTGACACGCACAGGCGAAACTAGAGTGTCTGCAGCATTTTCGCGACTGCTTATGTGCTGTTGCACTTCTGCTTCTGGCCGTACTGCTACTTTTGTAAGCTCGTCTTCCGGAAGTTTTGGTGACGCACCAGTGCCATATTTTTGTAGAACCACGTCATTCATTACTGACCATATATAATCATCGATACCTCCCATTTCTACGTACAATGTTGAAGAAGTGTTAGGTTGATGTTCACATTCAAAACGAAATAGTTAATAAAAGGAACTACCTGTCAGTATACAGTCTTCACTAATAATAGACTGAACATCTTTGACTGTATTAAATTGTATGCTTCTCTTGGCTTTTTCACTTAACAAGTGCTTCAAGACTGACCATAGCCCTTGATACACCCAACTAAAGTTGAATACGTGTATAGAGTCGACCATGCTAGGAAATCGGTCATCCAAAATGACACTCATTGCCCTTATCAGTTCAGCATCCTTTTTGCAAGTGAATGATGAATGCCTATAAAGTCAATATCCGCTTCCATTCACTCACAAAAATAGAAGAAAAAAAAGAAGGCTTACGATGGGTATCATGGGCGCTTTCGAAACATCGACAAGAGCCATAATTTCAGCCACCAAAACATACTGTTCATTTCTTTTCATACGCTCCTTTGTCATATCCCAAGTCAGTTTTCTGGCCATTTCCATAACAAAACAAGCATAAGGCTGAACATAGTTTACTAATTTTCTTCTTCTGGTATTTCTCGATCTTGTATTCGTAGCATACAATCTTTTCGATGAAGGAAAATTGGCCAATTTGACAAACACCAAGGGAAAATGACCCGATATATCCACTTTATGAAAGAAGGTCAATGCTCCATCTTCAGAAAAAAACGCGCTACAGTCTTGGTAAGTTAGTCGAGCAATATGCTGTTCGATTCGCCAAGCTAGCACCTTATCGAGCTTTTGTAAAGCGACTTCTTCATCAAAGTCAGCTTCTTTGAGAAATCGAAAGATGGTCACTTTGTCTTGAATATAATCTTTTGCATCGTCATAATCAGTTGAGGAAAGGCTTCTCAAAACAATCCTTTTTAATAGTTGTTCTTGTATTGATTCTATGATGGACATGTTTTGTATAAACATGGAATTTTGCGAAACAATCTTTTCTTGCAGTTCGAGTGAGAATACCATTTCGTAGATGCATTAATATTATATAAGAAAGAACGTTCAGTGATGAAGAAGAAATTGGATCCAGAGAAGAAAGGAAAAAAGAAAGGGCTCAGAAAAAAAAAAAAAAAAGCTGATCCATCCCATCAGAAATTATGCGTTCATCATTATGCTAAACAAATATTCTAACTCAGCTAAGGCAGCAAGTTTTTTTTTTTTTTTGATAAACAAATGATCATCTTTCCATTTTCTATAATTGTTTTGTTCAAAATCTGTGAATTGTTTAAACTGAAACTATGTACACATTCTCTTCTAATAAAAAATTAAATTATGTAACAAAAAGATTAACAGCATTATTAGGCCCTTTGTTTTCAAACCCCATTTGTACATCTTCATTTGAACTAATAGTAATCAAGTCGCCGTCTTCATCTTCATATTTCAAACCAATATTGGTAGGCTTGTTATCAAAATTATCGTCCGCTGGTGATGTTGCGCTTAAAGGAGAAGAGAGCTTGATTTTACTTTCAATTTTTCTTGTTAGTTCTTCAAGCTCAATATTCGTAGGCACAACAACAACATAGATGGCGCCATAGTAATGTACTTTCACCTTGGTAGTATCTTGTTGTTGTAGTAATAACGAGGACTGCGATTGATTATTACTATTGTTGAGTATGGATGGGGCAGGAGTCGCAGGGGCAGTTGTCGGCATCGTATGATGATCTTGCTGCTGTTGCTGTTGTTGTTGTTGTTGAGAATAAGAAGCAGTTCTTTGATAGCTACTTAAAGTAGGTACTTCAGGTGCAGTTGTGCTTTCTTGTGTGTAGGAAGGTCTTGCAATATTTGGAGTACTTTGTGATCTCGCTCTAAAGTGATGATACTTTGTGGGTGAAGAAGTAGTAGGAGTGGTAGTGGTAGGGGAGTGAGTGTTGGTGCTGGTGGACGAAGATGCAAAAGTTGTAGATGAAGAGGATGATATCTTCTTTCTATTGCTGCACGTCTGTTGCTGCTGTTGCTGCTGGTCCAAAATCTCATTGGAGCGATGATGTTGCTGCCTTCTCTGCCACAAAGAACCCGAGGGTAAAATACCGTTATTATTCGCATTAGAAGGATCCTTGACAGAGGTAGAGTTGACTGTTGAGGTACTTGTACTACTGGTTCGAACCGTAGCTGTAGGCGAAGGTGGATAACTGGTAGGGGGGGAAGCAGGAAACGATAATGTAGAAGGTGAATTCAAACGCTCGTTACTAGTATTCATACTACCTGCAGCGACTTGATTGATGTTTGTAGTAGAGGCAGTAGGAGATCTAGGTAAAGGAGGCTGAGGAGTAGGAGGAGGAGGAGGTAAATGATGAGGGTGATATTGATGGCTAGTACTACTACTATTACTATTGCTGCTGCTAATACCACCGCCACTACTCAAATAATGACGAGCTGTACTATGATTGGATAAAGAAGCTTTTCTACTGGTTATTTCAGAAGGGTATCGATGAGCGGTTGGTGTCAAAGGCTGGTGGGCATGATGCTGGTGATGATGATGATAATGATGTTGAGCATAATGCTGGTAGCTATAGGATCTATTTCTGGTCATCATCGTCGGGTTATGGGCATTCACATTTTCTGATGGTATGTCGTCTGCTTCTTCGTTGTTATTGGTATTATGATTATCCTCGTCTTCGTCAAACGAAAGTAAGGGATTATTTGTGTCCATACGTGGTGTTTGAGGAGCGGAAACCAAATCCACTTTGGTAGCTGCTGTTGATTCTTTAATGTCAATGATGACGTTCAGCCATTGTCTCAATTGCTCGTCGTTCCTACATCTCAATAATATTGTCTGCGATTCACTCTCCATCCATGAAATATGCAAGGTGTAATGACCTAAATGGGAGGAAGAAGAACGATCAATATGGATTTACTTGTGATAAGATGCATATAAAATATTGACTTTACCATTTTGACTACTGGTTCCTTTCGCTAGTTCCAATTTTGATAATAAAATCTTGCAACGTATCACCATTGAGCCTTCTTTTCTCTTTTTCTTGATCGAAATGGCATTTTTATTGACATCCTTGATTTCCTTACAAATAATGATAATCTTCTCGAACAGAAAAACTGTCATCTCACGCACACTGTTTTGGTCAGAAAGGTCGTTATGTTTTTGCATAGTAAATTTGTCATGCAACAGAAGAGGACCTGCACTATCTACTATAATCTGCGCATGATGATTATTGTTATTGTCATCGACGATTCTCTTTCTCAGATCTTGCACAACTAGCTGATTTTCTTGTAATCGCTTCGTTTCATTCACTTTTTTTGTTACTCTTTGGATCGCGTCCAAGCCGACTTTATTCTCTTCGGCAAATGGCCAATCATCGGGTGTGGCCTTAATCAATTGTTGTAAAAGAAGCGGGTATTTACAAACACGCTGAATGGGCTTAATCAACATAGCTGGTAATTCGTAGGTGGGGGACATAATATTGGATAGTTTTTGCAATTTATGAGCTTCTTGTAATACCAAATCTTGAGCAATCTGGAAGTTGGCACAGAAAGGCTCGTACACTTGAAAAGCGTCCTCAAATTGAATAAATAGGTGACCGAAGCGCTGTTCTTTGGAAGGATGTGCTGCTTGATCTTCGATTTGGATTAGAAATCGTCTTTGAAAATCAACAAGTGCATTCAAATTGCCGAATAAATAATGCATTGTATCTTGAGAAAGAATCTCTTGACTTGATACTTCTCTCATGTAGTTCTACAGAGAAGACAGAAAAAATAAATAATAATAAATTAAGAAAGGGAACTATTGAGATGATGACAGCAGGGAAAAAAAAAATGTTTAAAATCACGGGACCCTAAACTTATATTTGTACCTGTAATGATTCTAGATCTTGTACATATTTTCTTTCTGTGGACACTAATTCATATACAACGTTATCCCGCAAATCTTTTGGTGTAGCTGGATTTGTGAGTACGTCTTCCTCAGATAATGACTCTACGTGAATTATGCCTTTTTCTTCCATCAAGTCAAGAATACGTTTCACAGTATTCACAACCTAGTGGTAGGTTATAGCAATATAAGTAGCCGAGACTTGTCTACAAAAAGTGATCTTTCATGTCCTTTTACCTTGACGAATCCATTGGTATCATTTTGATATAACTCAGTAACGGTGAATAATGTATCTTCAGGAAAATGGAGCTGATCTCTGCAAGCAATAATAAAATGGTATACATAGGCTTTGGATTTGGTTGTCGCGGACGAAGAGTTGTTGTTGTTTTGAATAGGAGAATCAGGTTTCAGGGTATTATAAAGATAGCAAAGACTTGAACCTTGTCTACAAATCTCCCAAAGTTTCGTTAAAGGATCTACTTTGCTGCTGCTGCTGCTGCTGCTGCTAGGGGTGGTGGCAGTGACATTGTCGTCGGTATGACTGTCATCTGCTGCAAGGTCGTTGTTATTTACATATAGTTCTTCAAAGCCATCTACGTATTTCAGCGCATTCAAGACCGAACGACATGTATGATAAATGGACTCTTTCTGCGTTGCTTGTTTATTTGTTATAGAATCACTTGCTACTGGTGATTCAATCATAATAAATTTTGTAGTTTGATTCTATGGAGACGGCTCCCTTTGCGTGCCACTTTTCCTTTTCTTATGTCAAGAAAGCTGGGAAAAAATGGATTAAAAATACTTTAACAAATACAAAAAGTAAATGAGCTAAACGGAATAAAAAAAAAAAAGGGAAAAGAAAGAAAGTGAAAGCTTTTTTCGTTTTTGCTGGAATTATTTTTCTCAATTACATTTTTTTTATTGAGTTTTCTGTGAGACAAAAATTTGTAACTGAACATTCCCTTTCTAAGAATGCCCTGAATTCAACATTTTGCAAATTTATGTCAATTAAATCATGTTTACAACGAGAAATTCCTTGTTTATATTGCTGTTGTCGCACTCATGGTGTGTTTTATTGCTTTTTTAATTGGCAATTTCACCATCCCCTCCTTTCCCTTTATTGTAACTTAACTGTATGTATGCAAGAAGTTATGTAACTGAACCCCAATTTAGACTTGTTTATGAGGGGATTGATAAATTTGAAACTCCTAAAATCTATGTCAATTGGCCAATGATAAAAGGGCAGTGAAGACCCTTTTTCGTTGCTCTGTGTCTCCACTGCTACTGTAACAGCAAGATGATGGGTCCCGAATATGTGTACGTGTGTCCGCAGTAGAGTCGGTCGTCATTGATAAAGTCTATTATAAACACACCGGAAGCATGTCCTACTACCCTTATATACGAAGAATAAAACGCATAAAACCGATAAATAAACATATCAAAGAAAAAAAGGGTCAAGTCGAACAGAGCCTCCATACAATACATGTGCTGAGACGGTAGAGAAAGCACGTCATTTAGATACACATAAAGAAAACTCAGCGGATCGAGCGCTAACGGGAATTATTTAAAGGGTATCCATCATATCTTCTTGTTTAATAAGTCTTCGTAGTCGGCTATGTATAGCCACTTTTAACTTGTTGCCTTCATATCATCATTCATGGATTACTATAGCAATGTGAATATAGCCTGATTATCTAGGTTCTCTGACAGTGTCAAACATTTTCACTTCCCATCATTCGAAAGAGAGAATTTAAACAAAAAACGTTCTTGCATTTGCAGCTATAAGGTCTCGAAGCTATCGATGGAACAGAATCAAGAAAGAATTTCTAAAATTATATTATAGCACCACAAAGATGACCTAAAACAAACTTTGAATAACTTTATCTCTACCACTATTGAGGTAGCTTCATCTGATTTGATTATACTTGAGAAAATAATTCTTTTATCGCGTGTGTTCCCTCCTTTGCTCAGCTACATATACAGCTATTCATAGAGTTTCAGCAGAAATCATGTACAACACTTGGTTATTTCCTCGTGCAAACTTGGAGAGAAATTTTTTGTTGAAAAGACGTCTAGTCGTCAGACCATTGAGGACAACGCCTCCAAAGGAACCTACTGGATGATAGCTACTTTGGTATGCAGCATAACGTCGGCGGAGATAAAAGATCGAAGTTCTTTATCTGGGATGACGGAAAGTAGATCTACCGTCAATTTTCTTGCAGCTGGTGAAAATACCATGGCTAGGCCCTTTAGAAGTGAAGGCACTGGTACTCAAACTTTTGGTTCTTTACTCTCGATGGCTGATGTTATTGTTATTTCAATATAAAAGACCAAAAAGAAAAAACCAAAAAAAAAGTTAAACCTTATGAAGTAAACAAATGGCACAGTTTTTACAAGTCATTACAGTATGAATGAAGGGAAAAGCTGGAATTTGATATCTTCTTTATCCGCCAATAGCAGGATTTTCTATCTAGAAGATATGTATGGTTTTTCAGAGAGAATACTTCATTCGAGCCACGAACTTTATGAACTGAATTCAGGGGGAGGTAAAAAGATTAATTGTTAACCAAATGTCTCACGACCATACTAAAACCTGGAAGTGATACTCATTGTTGGCAATGTTATCTTATGATTGGTAAAATCTATATGAGAAATCGAGATAGTTTTGAGGATAGTTTAGATAATCCTATGTACTCCCATGCTGAAGAACGGTAAATCCAATCAACTGGATTGAACTGCCGAGTGCTCTTTTTCATTCCCCATGCTTAGACTTTTGATATGAAGAAAGACGTATGAATGTGATGACACTAACTATTGCCAACTGAAGCAAGCAAAGTTTTATTTAGCTGCACCGTACAAAACGTTTCTGTGATAGGTTTGACCTCAACAAGAAATCAGGATATAGTTGCTTGTAAATGGAGGCAAACGAGGCATATGTGTAATGACAATTTGTTTCTACCAACTGTTTTCTCGTGACAAGTCGTATAATATCTACACCAAAATCAGATATGAAATTCTGAAGTATCACTTAGTATATATTATATCTCTGTAAAAAACCAAAACAAAAACCAAACGAAGGCCTTAGGAAAGTAGTTTATAATTTTTCTACATGCGCTTAGGATACATGCAGAGGGTTAATGAAATTGCATAATATAAATTAAAAAGTGAGTTACAGCTCTTTTTTTGGTTTTAATTTCGTGTAATCTATTGGGAAATGGTGACTATCAAATATAGGAAAAGGTTATATGTGAGCTATTGGAAGAGATATGGAGGAGGAGACCAAACTACTACAATGAAATGTTAGATAGTACATCACTAGTCAGTATTGGTTGGACGGCACCGGATTTCATTAAGATAAACGGCGCTGACCGCTGTCCAAGAGGAGGTATCAAAATGGCAACGCCATTCATACTTCCAGATACTGAAAAAAATGAAGGTAAACTGGACAATCGTCTTTTCAGGCAGGACAGAGTCAGTTGACTGTGAACATAGTGTTAATAATATGTGCCAAATTGCGGCAGGCGTGGATGCAACAGATAAAAGGTCTTTTTTCTGCAGTGCCGTGATCCAGAGCTGCCATTTTGGTGGACATTCAACGAAAAAGGCATTCCAGGGGTGTCAGTGCAATGACGACAAAGAGGGGGGGGGGAATCTACGAGAGTAGATTTGACGGAAAATAGCCAAGCTCTGCAGCCGATGATATTATGCTGTCATAATCGCTACCATGGAGTTAGACCTCCATTAGGGATCGAGAGGGACCATAACCGTTTCCAACGAGTCAGAGGACGATACCATAGAGGAAGCACCTGAGGGATCCGTGGGGGGGTCATTAAAAACGGAAAAGTCCGGGTGCCAATAGAACGTAGCATACCAAGCGATAGTTTTAGTACGGTTATTCGTTTTTTCTGGGAACCAATAGGTACACACCAGTGAGACAGATCAGGTAACCATGAGGAGCCGTAAGAAGCAGTTGGCCAGTTTGAAACCTGATGTAAGGCAACAGCCAACGCAGGAGAGACCCTAGCGTCAATTATATGATGCTGGATAGAAGTGATCAGTATAGAACCTTGTGCAAGCAAACGAGGTATCACTTTTAGCTTCGGATAGTCCTTAAAGTAGGCATATCCTATATTGTAGAAGCGTTGGGTTGTTAGATGACCGATAGAAAACATTAGAAACGAGCAAGTTTATTGGAAGTTTACTAATATCAAAGGTAGAGGACAGATGAAGGAAGAGGAGCGCCGAAAAGCAATACGAAGAGGTAGATCGGCAATACAGCGGCTATGTCACGAAGATGAAAGAGATGAAGAAGGAAGTTATATCAGCAGAGGACAGAAGAGAAACGTATATGAAAGAACGCGAAAGTACGAACTATAATTGGCAGTTGATGAAACCCATGGTACTAATGACCACCGGACCAGTGTACACTTGAATACAATGGGTACAGTAATGGATGAGCTCTCCTGATCGTAAGTAAAATTTGGCACGCCTTCGAAATACTATTAAGCAACTTTGGAATCGAGTAAATTTATGAGAAGAAATATTAAATTGTCATTCACCCTTTGGTTATACTTTATGTATATACCTTACAACTCACTGTAAGGATGTTTGAAAGAGTGATATAATCTATAAATGTGGATAGAATTAGTCTTGTTTGAGAACCGCAGCAAAGATGTTTTTGGCAGCATTAATGTCACGATTCTAAGTTGTATTACAGTCTTTATACTGCAATATAGCATGTACTCTTCGCTTTAACGTTGCTGTTGTTACAATCTTCAGAAACCGATGCTTACATCTATTACATATGCTACTAGTCAGATATTCATCGATGAAGCATATTTCCAACTTCGTTGCAAGCAGGTATCCGGACACAAATTGCTTGTAGCCTGGCATGTGCGGTTTACTTACAGGGTGGACATATGACCGTTGTCGGTGACTTATTTACAGCTTTGAATTCTTAGGGAGCCTCTTTTTGCACCTTCTTTGACACCACTGGCTTAGACAAAGAAAAACTAGAAGGATCATTGTATGCCATTGTTATTATTGTGTGTGTAAATGGAGCAACGTTGATATTTTCTTGATAGAGCCCTCTGTATGTAGTTGTGAGGCCTTTATATGACCGTTTTGAGCTGAGAGGCACTGTTTGCCATTTCATCTTTACCGGAAAGAAAATAGGGCAAAAAGGAAAAGAACACCGTGTTTTAAAGTCGTGTGTGTTCTGTTACGTATCGCGTTCTTCTTTTTTGTTACAACAAAAAAATGGTTCACTGGCATCATCACGACGATTCAATAAGTGGTGGCTCTTACCAACATTCACCAAAGTTAGAAAAAGAATTGCTATGTACAGATAGTGACTTGTCTCTACCCTCTACAAACTTTTGGTAACTATAGTATGCTTAAGATATTACACTGAGTAAGTAGACGCGCTGGTTATTGCTCCTGTTTTCTCGTCACCCCTCCGTTTTTATTGTGCCATAAAAAACTCAGATTCCTAATAATTCATCTCAAACTGACAACTAGCATAATCTAAAAAGTTACTGTATGTTGCTTTTTTACTCTGTTCGTCAGGAACAAACATTATGAAAGTCCGAATCTTAAGCGAAAAAGTATATTTTTCCATTTAGAACATCATTGGGGGGTCTGAAAATCGGGACAGCAGCAGTAATAGGTTTGTGATCAACCTGGGAAGTCGTACAATTGCCATTACCAGCTGCTGTGTAAAAGCAAAAAATAAACGTTCAACTTTTTTAACAGAGCTTTCCTTTCAATTTTCAGCACATCATACACTTTTACTTGTTCACGTTACAATTTGCACTATGGACACTATGTCACCTGAAATGGCGGTTCAAGAGCAGCCCAAGGGTTACTTTACATTGACAGGTGCTTTAATGGCGGTCCTCTGCTTTTATGTCATCTGCGGTCGACTGCTCGGGATGTACGTTTTTGATAAAACGGGAAATACAGGCTTACGAAGAAAGTTAATAGTGCAAGTGGTAGTGCTCGGTGATATAGGACGCTCACCGCGCATGAGGTACCATGCCACTGCATTAGCCAATTCAAATTGCCAAGTAGATCTGATAGGTTATTCAGGTAAAACAAGCCTAACCAAACACGCACGGACCATCACAGTTAATGCACTCTCTTTTCAATAGTGAATACTAAAAGAAAAATACCTTTCAATATCTTTATTGTATGTTAGAATCTGACTTGGGAGCAAGCATCCGTATGAACCGTTTTATTCGCGTTCGTCCTATAAGACAAGCTTGGTCTATTCCTGAAGGATTACCAAAAGTTTGTTATATGTTATGGGCTCCATTCAAAGCTATCTTTTTATGTATCCAATTGTTTTGGGTCATGGGGTGCGTTTCTCAAAGTCCAGATTTCATCATTGTTCAGGTATGAAAAAGAACAAATTTACTATGCAATGCTCCTTTTACGGTACTGAATATCTATCATCTCGTGTATGTCAATATCAGAATCCTCCCTCTATACCTACATTAGTAGTTGGCCAATTTGTTGGTAAAATGCGTAAAGCATGGTTTATCATTGACTGGCACAATTTTGGCTATTCTATTTTGAACATGAAGGTCGGTAACAATTTGAATCATCCCATGGTCAAATTTGCCCTGTGGTACGAGAAGAAATTTGGACATACTGCTTTTGCTCATCTAACAGTGACAGACGCCATGCATCGAGAGTTGGAAGATAAATGGAAAGTTGAAGGCAAAATAATTACCGTTCGTGATAAACCTCAATCCGACTTTAAACGATTGACTATTCAAGAAGTTCATCAGAAGTTCACTCAGTCATTAAAAATGATCGAGGACATTGTCAGGAAAGAAACAATTGAAGGAGATACATTTTTAGGAGAATATAATGACCGCGAGTTGGGTACACTGCTCACTGACGCAGATGAGAAGGGCTACTTAAAGTGGAGAGAAGACAGACCAAAGCTCATTGTTTCATCCACCAGTTGGACAGAAGACGAAGATTTCTCCATACTGCTAAAAGCTATCGAACTTTATGAGGAAGCTGCTAAACCATCAGATCCTCGATTGTTATTTGTCATCACAGGAAATGGGCCATTGAAGAAGCTTTATGAAGCAAAGATAAAAAAGATGAACTTGAAAAAGACTAGAATTATCACTGCTTGGTTAGAGGCAAGAGATTATCCTTTGTTGTTAGGTAGCGCTGATCTAGGTCTTTCCTTACATACAAGTACAAGCGGTATGGACTTACCGATGAAGGTTGTTGACATGTTTGGCTGTGGTTTACCTGTTTGTGCCATTTCGTTCCCATGGTAAAAAATATGATAGATTGTGATCTTGGAATGAATCAAGTAATACTTATGTTTCTTTTATGGTTTGGTAGTTTGAATGAATTAGTGCATGATGGCAAAAATGGCCTTGTTTTCCAAAACAGCCATGATTTATATGAGCAATTCATGGTAAGACGTGTACCGATGTTGTTTGAAGCTATCATATATTGATTTTCTTCTCTCTAGGAACTTTTTGTAAAAAATCCCGAAAAGTTGAATGAGATTCGTAATAATGTAATTGAAGAGTATAGAAACGATACATGGCAAAAACAATACAAGAACTTGCTAGTTGATATGTTCAGCCAAAATACAGAGTAAAGACAAGGTCGCTTCAAATACTGTAGATAAGGTGTACCTTGCATCATGCTATATGCGCATTTTTTAGTTTATTGAAAAAATCATCTGCAATAGAATATATCATAGTTATCCACTTTATTAAAACAGGATGAATACAGTCATGAACAGGCACTATTCCTAATTAACCAACGCATTAAATTTAGTGTTGTCTTTTAGATACTTTGAAATCGAAGAGAGTATCAATAACGAAAACAACTGCATGAAATTAATTGTGAGTCGTGACGTCTCATTGAACTGTTTTGAATTTGATTCACGCAAAACTTCCTAATAAATTGAGTACAGACATAATGCAATATCCTTTTCATCCTTTATGTCACTGAATAAACAGTGCCTCTCCGTTTTCATCTGATTCAACTAGTAATACTAGCAATATTATAATGTACTATCCTCCTAATACACCTGAAAAAAATCCAGTAATCACTAGAAGAGCGGAATCACCAGAACGATTCACGTTGCCGCCAATTAGTTCAACATCTCATATACCTACTCCATTACCGTCTATCGCTCAACAACAAAGAAGTCTAGAAACAGGTTTTTACGCATTCTTGTCAGCTTCAGCTACTACAGCGAAAGCCGCAAATCCTCCCCCTCCGCCACCACCACCACCACCTGCTGCCACTACCACAAATTCTTCGTATTCATATGCACCGTCCTACATGAATAAACATAACACTGCTACTACTTACAACCATACTTCTAACACAGCGCGAACACCAAAACAACAGGCAAAGCATCAACAGCCTCAATATAAAGAATATGACTACTATTCAAAACCTGAATGGCCAATGGTAGAAGGTATTTCGTGAAGAACAATAAAATGTGGGGATGTCATTTTCAGATTACTTAATTTCCATCGTATAAAGACAATCCCAAACAGAGAAAGAAACGTGAAATAGATGAGCGTTTGAAAACTATCAACCAGGAATTTCTAGACACTAAAGAAGAGTAAGTGTTGTATTCCTATTTCTTTGCGTTGCGTTGCATTGCGTTGCGTTGCGTGAGTGGTGTCTTTGTGTTCGTTATATTTTTATTTTATTTTTTGGGACTGACCAAAAACAATTTTTCAATTCCAGTTTATACGAAGAGAAATTAAAAGATTTGCAGGACGAATTACTGGCAGTTGAAGACGGTAGGCCTCACGTTGACTCACGCCATTGAGTTTTTCTCTTAAAGACTAATTTAACTTCTCTACTTATTGCTCAACTTTTAATGATATAGGGAGACATCAATTTTATACTGAATGTTTGGCAGATTTGGAACAACAAAGGCAAAAGACGATCAACGACGCAAAGTTAATGATGGTCTATCAAATTTCTTGTGTAGATCATGAGTTCGAACTGACTTCGAAGAAAGTCCATGAAGAGTGTATGAGAGAAAGACAAGATTTACAAAATGCCATGTTTACTTTAGTGAATGAGAAGCGTAAAAAGTTAAAAGAGGAGAAACATGGCGAAGGTGAGTCAGCAGGCATGTCAGCACATCAAACAAGAAATAGAAAGCGTATGCTACGACGAAGAGGCGATATATTAGATCAACACCATCCATTTTATTCTTCATCAACATCAAATGGTTCACCTATACACCAAGGTGGAAGGAAGAAACAAGATCATATCCTTTTTATAATAATAATAACCTGCATTAATAGGACCATTTGCCAAACTATTGAAGTTGCTATATCCTTAACTCCACTCTTTTTTTTGTTTGTGAGTTCTTACGCCTGAAAGAAATTCCTCATCATCTGTTGAACGCTTTATCAAATAGGGATGAAGACGATATTGATGCGGATATGAAAGCCATGAATGACGCGATAACATCAGCAGGCAACATATCAACAACAGCCAGTACGAACAGTAGTAGAAGAAGATAGCAATGCTTTTTTTTTTCCAAAAACAAAAAACATTACAATTTAATTATTTATTCCATCATATTCAATCTCCTCTTCTTTCATGCATTTTTAACTGTATTTCCTTTTTTTTTCTGATCATTACGTTTTTAAATTATGGCAACATCAACAAAAAAGCCAACCACGACATTCAAAGGAATGGCGATTTTGTGCTTCTACCCAAATGGATTACTTCAGGGGCACTGTATAAATACACTAAGTAACGAATCGCCCTTTAGCCTTGCAGGAAATAAACTGATCGATTATGAGGATCCAAAACATAATGACTGCATGGAGCCCAATGATTTCTATAAGATCGTTCTTCGTTCTAATTATAAAGCAAAACAAGGATCTGATTCTATTGTATCTTTTATCCTCCGCAGAGAAGCCGATAATGATGCCAGTGGGCTTTTCACGCACGAACACGAAGTACATTTGAATGAAGGTCGTCAATTAAAGTTTACAACGCAGCAGTTTCTGTCCGGACAGAAAGCCTTGAATGTTAAAAACAGGTACTTGAAGCCTTCAGCAGACAGTTCACATTTGTTCAGCAATTGTCACAATGATGACCTTATCGTTTGTATGGGAGATATCGAATTGGTAATGTAAATGGAGAAAAGTGCCGTTGATGGAACAAATGATATGTGTATGTATACTTCAAGTCCGCGCGCATTATATCGAAGTAATTTATACCAGCCAGTAGTCTAATATTGATAACTTAACGTGAAGACAAGCGAATTAAAAAATAGAATTAGTACACTATTTTCTTATGCAAGAAAGGAAATGGAATAACGTATACATAACTTAACGATACGGAACATTGATGACAATGTGGAAGCAGCCATATAATGTATATATGGTTCAAATGACTTCCTAGCTGCTGAGATTCATTGTAAAGACTTAGACAAATTGGCAAGAAGCCTCACCACAAAGTGGCTGGAGTTTTGATTGCTGGATCACATATCTGTGACCATTCCCGTCCCCGTTACTGAACTTAAAGAGGCTGGTGAACCCCTTGTTTCCACTTTAAATTATTTCGCCCATTTTTAGCGAGTCTACCGTTATACTTCACCATTACACATGCTGAAATCAATTTGTAAAACTTCCACAGTTCGTTCTTTTTTTTCAACAACAGCATTCACGTCCAGTCATCGTACGGCGGCTATTGGTCATTCTTCACTTTTTAATGCTGAGCCAACACACGTATTTAAACCACTTCAACAATTTGCACCCACATTTTATGCAAGAGGGGAAGACATAAAACCACTATACCAACCTTGTGTTTTCTATTCACAACTCAAAGTATAAATCACTTTTGACGAGTTCTGCGAGGAAAATAAGAAGAGAATTAACTTTTTTGGGCGATGTACAATAGTCGAATATATTATCAGCAAAGGAACGTGTATTTATTGCAGCCTTATATATTGGACAAAATGAACAAGATTTGGTAAATCATATACTTGTAACCGTCATCTAAACGATAAAAAGCGTGCTCTTATAAGAGTCGTTTTATTATAGGTGGACACAATTCGAAAAGCCTTGGCGAAAAACCCAGAATTGAATGTACATATTTTGATCGATTGTTTAAGAGGAACCCGAATGACAAAGGGTGGGCAGAGCTCAGCAACTTTGCTATTACCATTGATTAGAGATTATCCAGGTCGAATGAGAGTCTCAATGTACCATACTCCTGATTTGACAGGGCTTTTAAAGCGTACCTTGCCACAAAGGTTTAATGAGAGTATCGGCCTGATGCACTTGAAACTATACGGTGTTGATAATTCAATTATGTTGAGTGGGTAAAGTAAATGATAGTAGGAAGGCAGAAAAACTACTCTCTTCATGGTAGTTAGCTAATGAAGAAATGTATCTTTTAGAGCAAACTTGAGTTCAGATTACTTTACTAACCGACAAGACAGATACATGTTATTTCACAAACAATCCGAACTCACAGACTACTATTATAACTTACTTAATTTGATCTCTAATTCCACTTATGAGTTACTGCCAGCAACAAATGATGATAACACTATCGAATCCGAGCATCGACAACAATCGCAAACACAATTGCCTTATGTATTGAATTTGGCAAACGATACCTTCGATCCTATCAAAGAGAGCCCAAAATATAAATGGCAAGTACACCAACGACTTCAAGATTTCATTAAACACTATCACAGTAATTCTTCAAACAATGGCAATAGTGATGCACAATACGATACTGCAATTCTGCCCGTCATTCAAATGGGCCCCTTTCATATCCGACAAGATGAGCGTCTCACACTAGAACTACTCAACATTGCCAATGAACAACCATACCCCTGGACTATTCATCTCACATCAGGCTATTTTAACTTTACAGAGAAATATAAATCTTTCATCTTAAGAACCAAAGCAAAATTTCGATTCTTAACCGCTGCACCAGAAGCTAACGGATTCTTTAACTCTAAAGGTGTGTCGCGATTTTTGCCACCTGCCTATACGCATATTGAACGTCAATTCTACCGACATATCAAACGCATGGGAAGGGAAGAGGATATAACAATAGAGGAATATAGAAGACCGGGGTGGACATATCATGCCAAAGGTCTATGGGTATTTCTGAACAGCAAAAACACCAGCAATGATGAACTACCTTATGCGACAATGATCGGATCGCCTAATTTTGGCCAACGGTCTATGGAGCGAGATTTAGAGGCACAGGTGCTGGTAATCACAAGGAACGAAAATTTAAGAAAAGCATTGTACAAAGTACGTGTTCCAGTAGAAAATGTACCACAGAAAAGAAATAAGTATAGACTTTCTCACCTGTTGTTTATTGATAGGAAGTGGATCTTTTACATCAGTACTCTGAAGTAGTATCGAAGGAAACATTTGATAAAATAGATAGAAAAGTGCCGAATGGAGTTAAGATAGCAACATCTTTCATAAAGACAATGCTATAAATTTACTTACAATTATACAGCGTTGATAAAGAAGTTGACACAGTAGTTCTAACTCTTACATGGAAACGGCTGAAAAATAAAAAGGGGAAACGGCAGGAAGCAAACCTCCGTTAAAATATTTTCCTGAAATGAGGTTGAATCAAATTTATTGCTTTATTCTTCAAATTTGCTATTGCTGTAAGATTCTCGCTATTATTCCATTGGGAAAGAGGTACTTTAATAATATACAAACTATTATTAATGGAATTCTTATTTAATCAATCTTAACGTTCTGATAAATCTTGCGAACAAATTTCGTTGCTGCTGTGTGTCCAACATAGCCTGTATGAAATTAAACAGAGAAAGTTATTATAGGGATTCTGGGCAAGAATCTTTTTACAACTTTTTTTTTTTTACCTAGCATACAAAACATGCCAAAAGACAAAAGCGCAGTATATCCAAAGTAAAAGCTAGTCTGAAACATGCCTGTCATTCTAACCATAATTACAAACAAGTTAATAGAAATCAGGACAGATTTGTAGGGATTGGGCGACTTACTTTGTTTTCGCCACATAATAATATATAGAATAGAGATAAATATATGCAGCAGTTGAAGCACATGTCATAAAACTAACCCAGTGCCTGTTGGTGAATAAATTAAAGAAGGTGAATATTCTCATCAGCATTCATACTATGGTACCAGTCCATTTCCTACCATCTGTGATCCTCCGAATTTAGCAAGAAGTAGGTGCTGACAATAGCTACACATGCGCATACAATCAATAAAATGCTGAACACTAAAAACATAAAACCATACACGTAGTAAATCTTGTATGTCCAGAAAGAAGTAAAGATGAAATAAATTTCAATAAAGATGGATCCGAAAGGCAAGATACCACCCAAAGCAACAATGACCAGTGGCTCAGCGTACCACATCTTTTCAGGAATAGGGCGAGGGATAGGATTGACACGACAAGGAAAGTCGACTGCAGCCTGGTTGTTACTACCACCACTGCTACCACCACTGCCACTTGGCTTTTTCCAATTACGTCCTATGAGAGTACCTAGCAAAGTCAAAGGGACACAGATAAACAGCCAAAGAGCAATCATCGATAGTAAATTTAGGAAGGAAATAGCACGAGAGCTAGAATAGTAGATAGCAAGTGTATTGATAAAGCCGCCGATGATGGCTACTGCACCAGGCCATAGCCCAGCCGTCATAATGGCCGTCTTGATCCAATCTTTACCTCCATATTTTGCATAGTAGCGGGAGCTAGTGTAACCTGCCACAACGGAAGTCACAGCATAAATGAAAATAGTTGCTGTCAGAATAGTGGCTCGTTCAACGTAGAGATCGCCCAAGATGGTATATAGAATAATAACAATGGCAAGAATGACAAGCTGAGATCCTGTTCCCATTAGAGCTGATAAGAGCATCAAGTGAGGAGGCTGACGGAAGACGTCACCATGAACCTGTTTCCAACCATACTCATCACCTAAGTCGCGGTCCTACATTATCAATTACATAGAGGGAGAAAAAGAAAATGTTAACTTTAAGAAAAGTAAGGGCAAATCTTTGTTACAATTATTACAAAATCAAGTCCTTCTTCGCGATCATATCTGGTAAAATCGCGTTTGACAGTTCTCAAAAGAATAACAGATACAAGACCAGTTAAAAAGAGAACCATCATAAAAGAACTGAAAATTGATAACCAATGCACCTAAAAAAATAATCACCGAAATCGTCAGTCTACAGCTCTCTCATTAGTATAAGATGATAGTCATTCCTTTTACTTTATGCTCAAAAAAGTCTGCCTCTAAAAGTTTATCAAATCTATCCTCGAAAGCTGTATCGGTAGGATTCCAGTCCACGGAATAAGTAAAAGTCAAATCGAGAGATCTTTGATTGTAGACTAACTCAACAGGGTCAGCATGCTGTAAGCTAACAGAAATGATCTAAATAGAATGTATTAGCCTGAAAGATACTTTCTGGCACATGGTCGAAATCAAACTTTGTCTTTTTTCTCTACCTGATTTTTGTTATATTCGAATGTAAAGCTCTTGTGGGTATATACGTAAATGGGTTTGAAGTGAGGGTCTTTTGCCTGCTCTTCCTCTGTTATGCTTTCATTACTATTTTCATTATCATCTTCGCTTTTCCCAACAATACCACTCACTGGGAGATCATCTGTGGAGCAAACATTACGATATCAATTATTGACGTTAGTTGGATTTTGGATGCTTAATAACTTGTCATTTTCACAACAACTCGTTCAGTTACCAATAAACATGGTATACCAATATTGATTATCTATAGCATATCTCAATACATCGATATCTTCGGCGTTGAGTGTTTTTGTACAATAAGTTGCGTGATTTTGCGTTTCTAAGAAGATAATGCACTTAACAATCAACATTTAGACGTTGACTTTTTTTCTTTTGCTTTTCAACTATTACCTAAGAATTTGATAGGTATGCCCGAACTCTCGAGGTCCATTCCTTTGAGAGCTTCACCTAACGTTTCGTGGTGATGCTGCAATATATGTGGTCCTTGGCAGAAAGGTAGCTGAAAATATGGATATGTTTCTTGTCTGTTATGTAGCGGCCCAACTGTGTTCATCCAAACAACCACTTCCTCATTCTCTGCATACTATTTTTGTCCCATGTAACTGTCAGGATTCGAACACATCTCGTATAGCTAGGAACGGTTCTACCGAGATTCAAGCAAGTTTACCATGTGGTTATGTTCATCTGTTGATATAAAATTGAAAAATGTCAAGAAGTACAAGGTCAAAAGCACGAGCTTGTCTCCTTTTCCTTTTCTTTTCCACATTTTTCAATGTATTTCGTTTGAGGTGTATGTAGAGAAGATAATAAGTTGGATGGTACTATTGTAAGGAAACAATAAAGTCGAGATAAAGTAAAATGCCAACAAAAATCGAAAGTGTGTCCCTCTTACATCTGTTTTCAAACTCAAACGGCTGAGAGAGGCGTCTTCATAATCCTTGCTACATCAGCTGTACTCGTTGTGCATTCCATTAGCTTATAGGTGCTTGTAGTAGGCTTTTTTCAACATAGCATTTCTTTTATAACCTTAGAGCAGGATTGAGTGCTCCATTTGAACCAATTCCTGTCCATATAGATCAAGTACTAGGAATAATGTAGAACGCTGAGTTCAATCCGCCTTTCGATTGTGTTTAAGGAACCTTGGCATTTTGTAAGTCCAAGCATTAATGATTGAAAGATTTTTATTCTTCAAATACAAAAATTTTGAATTATCATACACTTTTAAGGGCGTAGTTTTATAGATAAAGGAGGTTTTCAACTAATATGAATATAAGAAGTAGGTTGTGGAAGAAAAGTCGAAATCTTTTTGGGATTATCGTGCTTGGTGGCTCTTCAAAATGAAGCTTTGTAGATAACCGGATAGCTGTAATGTACTTCATTTAAGCGATTTTATATCCGTTGAAAATCCCTTCAATTGTATGGCTGCTTTTGATAAAACGATCTCACTATAGGGAATGTTCGGGATTTTCTCATTAAGACTTGGAGGCTCCTTTTATTGGAAGGGCAAAGAAGCCAGTTTAGAGAGATATTAACGTACATTAAGCATCTTATGATAGTATAGAGTGTTTCAAGCAAATTTTGGACTGTTATCTTTGTATTTCTCCAAGATTTTTTGAAGCGCTTTAATTTCTCAATATTTTGCAATAATTTTTATTGAGTTGGTAGTAGTATGTATTTTAATTGTCATAAATAATAGCCCCACCGGCGGATTCCTTAACAAGCGAATAAATTATTCATCGTCTGCATAGCCTATGCAGCTTTGTATCGCTGTCGTAGTTGATGAATCCAATTCTGAGGTTAAGCAAACAGTTGTGCATACATTTTACTTGGATGTGCCGCTATACAACGAGAAAGCTGGATCTTAAATCGTTGGGATATTCATTCCTTGAACCCAGCGTTTTGACAGTGGCCTAGTCATCTTGTAAAAGTGACGAAGCATATCGCGTTCATGCTCTACAGCCTTCATTGTTGAAGTTTGGCACAACACTATAATGGAAAAAAGCAAGGTAAAGTTCATCTGCGTACTGAGAAAATTCAATTTCTTCATACGAATAGTTACAAGATCTTCTCGTTTGGCTAGTCTACAAAAGTTGATTCTTTTAGTATTGTTCATACGCTTATTTTCCGTTTTTGCTCCAAGCGTATTGATAAGGTATATCATATGTTTATTTGGAATTTTGAAGATGAATCCCAGAAGCTGTTTGCCGTTTATTAGTAGCTTGCGTCGATTATTGTGATTTTCTGCAAAAGTAAATAGATCAGTGCCAAGCTTTCTACTGGAAGTCCCACGTTTACTTACTATCTTAGCTCCTACGTTTCTAACTGGAGAAATGACAGTTGACACGAGTAGCCGATGAACTGTAACTTTGTTTGATGGCTGCATTGGTATGATAAGTTAGCCATCATAATTACTAACCAGTAAGAAGTAATACTATCGCAACAATTGGAATAATGTAGCACAGCTAATATCCGTGATCAAAGCAGCACGCGTTAAGAAAATCGAGCGCTTGTTGGAACATGGAGTCCACTTTAAAGGAAGTGCACTTGCGATATTGCTATACCAACAGTTTCTTTACCCTGCATGGAATCTGTGGATACTTTCAAACTGTCTATCTAATATCTCTGCTCTTCATTTTGTTGAAAAACTGCAAAAATTACACTAAAGCCGTACAAAACGTTTTTACAACCAAATCATATTGTGCTGTAAACCTTGGAAAAGACGTTAAAGGTTCCGTATCAGCCTTTCCTGTGTCATTTTTAAGCATTTTATAACATGCATTTTATTAAAGATATAACTGTAATCAAGTTTTTATATTGGGCACTCCAACATATTTACATTTTCCGTACACTAATGGCAAGTATCTCGATGCGTACAAATGAGCGGCGCTAGTCGTAAGATCACTGTTCGACAGAACAACAAATTCCTTGAGAAATGCTGCCTTTATTCATGGAAAAGCAAAGAATTCGATTTGGTTTATATATTTCATATTGTTAATCAAAGTAGGAAGATGTATTGTGAATGATTCATAAATGTAAAAAAGTTTTGGTTGTTAAAGTTCTCTTTTGTGCTTATAATCTAGCACTACTTGATAAATCTCCTAACGCCGTTTGTTGATGGTTGATATCATTACTCGATTCACCACTGTTAACAACCATACAGATGTCTTTCATATCTCTCAATACTTTCTCCAAGCATTGCATAAATTCAGTTGTGGAGACCGTTTCAGGTACGCTTTTTGATTCACAACCGAATTTAACTAAGTTTGGGGCTGCCATATAATTGACACCATATCCATCCTGACACACAGCACCAAAGCCCGTACCCATTAACCTTATACCAGCGTGTAAGCCTGAAGTACTTAATTTCCACGTTTGTGATTCGGCAAATATAGGATCTGTAAAGATAGGGTGCAAAGGCGCTGACACCATTTTGTTGTCATTATTGAGCATTTGGTGATCCTGATTCAATAGCCTCAGTACCATTAAGTGTCGATCACAGCCATATCCATTACTAGCAATTTGCGTGTACTCACGATGACTTGACGTAGCTTTGACCAGCAAGTCATATTTTTCCTTTGTACTACTTATACTATCAAAGCTCTCGACAAACACTTTGGAGTCGACACTTAATGTACGAATTGTTTCGGTGCGCCCACGGATATACTGACGTGTAGCAGCTGTTTCGTAAGTAGCGGTAAATCGGTGATGCAACCGGTAATAAGTGAGTTGGAGTGCCATTTGGTAATAAGCGTCAGGAGGAATACGCGCAATTTTTTTGATCCAATCTGTACCGTAATCTTTGAAGATAAGAACATCAGAGTCTGATAGGAAGGCGGTGATATCAGCATCTTTCTGTGCCTCTTTCAAGTAACCAAGCATTATACTATCAGCTGTGAATGACAAATGTTCAAATACTGTTGTACTGTTGGTTTCCGTCGGTGAGTGAGATGGAAATTTAGTGATATAGATATCGTTCGTCTTAAGTGTTGCTAATGTCGTAGATGGCAATGGCTCCTGCAACATATGATCGAAGATGTAACTCACCGTGAGTGCGTCCACAGGTGAATGCTCACCTGAAAATCCACACATGCCATTACTTTCAACGACCAAAGTGAACGACTTGTCAAACCAACGGTTATGACCATTGCCCAGTCCTTGATGTCCACAGAATAAAGTTCTTGTCCAAAGTGCACTGTTTGCACCGTTAGAATAATCATCCAAGGCAACAGCGAATAAAGCTTGCTCAATTTTATTTAAATTGTTGCGGTGCTGTTGAGGAGATATACTGAGTAAATGGTTACGCGCGACAGTCCACTTGTCTCGGTGCCATGATGATAATAAACCAATGGGTGCCGAAGGTTGTTCAAGTCGATCATTATGAGCAATCAGTTGTAGAAGTGCACTTTAAGTAATTATGTTCGTAAGGGTGAGAGATGTCAGTCCTATCTCCTATGATGAATGCTTGGCCCCTCATAAATAGTCAGCAACTTTTATTTTTTTCCCTTACGTTTCAATTTCTTCTGCAGATAGCAAAACGCAATTGCCATTCTCTTCTTTATATACATTCAGCGTATAAATTTGGTCGCGTACTATTACAATAATATGGTGAACATCTTGTACTTTATCTGGCTGAACCAAAGTATCACAATGGTACATAGGGATACGCGTAACAGAAAATATACGACTGTATTGCCACATGCACAACGGTTTATTCCCTCTCAACCTATCGACTGGTAACTCTTGTCTATTAACAAAAATAGATATACTAAGCATACCATTTTTCTTTTTTTTCTTTTTTTTTTGTTGTTTTGACAATACCACAAAATGTTTATTGGAAGTCTTTTTCCCCCAAGTGATTTTACCTATCTATCATTTCTTTGTATTCCAACCCTCTGCGAATCAGATGCGCCGCCCTTTTAACTTGAAACCATGTAAATTTACCGTTTGGATGTCTTCCTCCATTCTCCAAGAGAAGTTGTGCTTGAGCTGAAGAAGAATGATCATCTTGGCCTAAGATGTACCAGTTACTGTTTATCATAAGAGGTTCTCGCCACTCCAAGTAAGCCTTTTTAAGCCAAAAGTTATCTTCTAACCAATTATGAGGCGAAGATCGATCAATATCAATCAACCTTTCTTGCAAAGACTTGGCTAAATCACTTTGAAGAAAATCCTGGACGACGGATTGAGTTTCAGCATGTTGTTGAAGTGTTTGTAGAGGAAGAACAGACTTCAAATAAAGGGAACAGGTTTGCTGAAGGGATGGAATTGGAAGACGAGGTAAGGTATGTTGCAAACTAAACGTTTTTGGAGGTTGCTGCAATATTGAGGACGAAGACATCAGTGTTGTACCTAAGTTCAGAAAGTGCTTTACTATAAGGAGTAAGTAAAATGATAATTTGAAGAAGGAAAGAAATTAGGGTTTGAAAAGGCCTTAATCATCTCCAAAAGTTAAAGGTGAAAAATAATAAGGAGTAAGGATATAATAATGTGATTTACGTAAACAATAGAGTGCATCAGTTAACTGTTTTTGTATTTTTCATGTGACATTCACTCGCATTTTATTTTGCTTGTGCAGTTGACAATGATGAAATTCACATATGCCAATTTCTTTTTTGTTAGTTGCTTCTCTTTGTTCATACTTCCACACTCTGTTGCCCTGAATTCACTCACCGCCATTTATTGCATAAAATTTATGTGTGGAACAGAGGGAAGGGATCACCAAAGCACATTAAACTACATGTCTCTTACTATCACCACTATTATTAACAAGTTGGGTTGGATGTGGTAGAAAAACATTGCCATAGATTTTTATATATTTATTTGTTATATATCAATATGTGCTAAATTACTTTATCTAATTCTTATAAGCGACGATATTCAAACCGAAAGGTACGAGACGCTTGGCCGCAATATCACGTTCTTCTTGTTTCATAAGCTCTTTCAAAACAGCTTGACCAGCTTCAGTATTTTTGAGGCTAGATAGGATACAAGAGAGAAAAAAAATAAAATAAAGTAGATTAGATATGATCACAAGAGTAATTGCTTCTATACAATTTGTTTTTCGTTTTGGTTATTTACCCGACAAAGACGAAGAACATACGGAAGCAAGAAACTAACATTGTCTTGGTTGCATCTTCACCGAATTGCTTTCTAATAACAGTTGTAACTTCGTCACTAGTAGCAATGCCTTCAGGATCATCTCTATGCAAAGGTTGCTTGTGCTTATGGTTATGTTCGCCTTCAGGATGGTGATGCTCGTGGCAGTCGCTGTGGCTATGGTCGTGTACTTCATGGTGATGACCATGGGGGCGGAACCATCTTTCCATAGCAGGTAAACTTTGATCAAGCATTCTAGTGAACATTTTAGAGGCATGTCCAATAGTTTTCATTCTTTCGTCAGCAGGAGTAAATAGACCAGCAGCGCGAAGCAAGTCTAACCGATCAAAGAACCATGAAGCGCTGAACTCGTTTACGTATTCAAGTCGTATTTCTTCGGCAATCAAAATACCGCCCGAATTTAGCAAATCATAGGCAATTTTGACAGCCTAAAATAGATGAATGGATGGAGGAAGACGGGGTGGTTATTATGACCCCGAATTTGTACAGACAGTGCTTATCTCACTTATATATATATATACCTTTTCGATAGGGTTACAGTGATGAAGAGACTTGGTGAACATAACGATATCGAACTTGAACTCTGACTTGAAGTCGAAAATGAGTGTTTTGGAAAACTGAATGTCAACGCCAATAGTGGAGGCCTTGGCTTTTGCTTGTTCGATATCGTCTGAAGGGTCGATAGCGTGATATTCAACTTTGCTTCCTAATTTTTGCTTTAAGAGGATTGCAAAATCACCAGGACTAAAAAGTAACTTCAGTCCACGTATCCAACATTAGTAATAAGATCAAATGCCTTACCCGCAACCAATTTCTAACAAACGAACTACTTTATCATTAGATTTGGAATAAAAGGTCTCTGTCAAAGAGTCCTACAGCAAGATAAAAAGCAGTGAATAAATGGATTATACAGGTAAACAAGCTGCACACGTACAGAAAAATCTGCATAAAGAAAGGTAAAGTTCTAATACCTCAACAAATTTTAAAAACGGCTCGTTTTGGATAACCTTTAGTTGTTCAATTTCATTCGACATATTGCTTTGATAAGTTTATATGAGTTACAAAAAAGAAATGAATAAAAAAGATAACACTCTTCAGATATTTATACATTTTGGAAAGCCGCTTATGCTGATTCGCGGACAGCGTGTGTTCGCGAAATGAAGGTACAACAAAAAATCTGTCCTTTACTCATTTTATAGGAGCGTCAGGCAAAAAGAAAGAATACATTCGTCTTGCTTCATAATTTATATTGTGAATTGGAATAAATTGTGGCTTTCCACATTTATATGGCTTTTGTTAAGGTCGATGATAAACACATGATGTCGAATACAGCCCAGCTGGCGGCAACAAGAAAATGATATCGTCGGTTCTACAAAATGTAACTGTTGAAGGGTCGATTTGTCGGTTAGCTAAAAAGGAAGTATTGTTCATAAAATACAGAAAGAAGGTGTATCAGTTCCTAAGGCTGTAAAAAGATACATAATTTTACAAAGTATGGCTTCAACGATTTCAATAGCAGATGATGGTATTATTCATTAACATGGAATAGGTCTACTTTGTTACTGTCATGACTACAATATGACCTTGGTGTGTAATGTATGCACATGTATTCTAGAGAGATTAAAAATCCAAGTCAGCGATAGGCGTTGCTACTTCTTGAATTAGTTGCGAAGATAGTTTTAGACGTAAGGATGGATGAGGTTTTCACTCGGAACTGTTCTTCTTTCATATAACATGAATAACGTTACTTAATCCCATGTACTACTTTTGGTAATCAGTACCTACGCATTATATATATTGCAATTCTTGCACAATAATGTTAGGAAGTGGGCATGCGTACCGCAATCTCAGCGTTCGAGGAATGTATGTATATATCAATTCTAACGAGCGGATGAGTATATTACGAAAGAGGAAAGGACTATTCCTTTTAAGAACTATTTCTCCGTCTAAGTTGTGTTGTCCCTGCCCAAAACTTACTTGAGGAATCAATTCAGACGAATCATCATAGTAAATACTAGGCGCTGACTATTACTAACATGTAAAAGTGTTTATTTCAGGACTTGAGTGTTTTAAGTTTAGTTTTCTGTTATAATGATAGCTTGAATGAATTTAACAACGCGATAGGCACCTTCTTGTCTCAGATTCCAGCCCTTCTCTTTTTCGCTCAGGATTGCGGAAATCCTTTTCGACTTTACTTTATCGCTTTGTCGAAGAGGCTTAAAAGCCCCGTTATGCTGTCGCGGCTGCAATGTTTCCAATTGGTTTCTCTTACGGCAAATCAACACTCTTGCAGGAGAGCCACAGCAAGATCTATCGGTGGTACTATCTACGAACGTCTTACGAAAGGGATCCATACTGCTCAAGGATTATAAAGTGTGTTTTTATTATGATATAATCATTCAATGTTCATACATAAAGAGGGTGGTGAGAGAGAGATATTTCATTATAGAATCTATAATATCTTAGGAATAATAAATGGTAGTGAAAAAGGTGAAATTAATATGAATAGTAATAAGAAAGTTGGTATTATAGGTTGGGGGCATATAAAACAAAAGGAGGTTGAGTTAAGAAAAGACAAAAGGCACAGTTTGCTTGAAGAGATGAAGAAGGGGAATTTTGCTACAGAATAGGGATCGCGCGAAATGGTTGTTCTTTGTATAGAGAGAGAGAGAGAGAGAGTTTAGAGGAGGAAAGCATAGAAAGAATACAGCTTCGGAGCTATACTTTGGATGGCGGAAAATAAAGAGAATGATTGTTATAAAGTTGTTGTAGTGGCATTATTGAACACTTTTCAATCAGAGGCAGTAGGTAACACCTGGTTCAAGAAGCGTGTTAGATCTTGTGCCGTTGAGCAGGGCAAAAGATGTGATTGAACATGAGCCTCGATTTCATATAATGCATCACCCGCTGTGGGTCTCGTTTCGGGTTCTTCATCTAATAACCAAGCAACCAAACCTCTCATGTACATGGAAGGATAGCTGTAGGTGAAGGTAGGACTGGGCTCAGTAGCAATAATGTCAAATAGTTCTTCTTCATCTTTAATGGCATAGTGAGGTGGTACACGATCCATCATTTCGATAATGGTGATACCCAATGACCACATGTCTATCTTTTCATTATAGTATTCTTCTCTAATGACTTCAGGTGCCATCCTATAAAAGAATATTCTTTATAGTTAAAACGGGTGTTTTGGAACATGGAGACAAGAAATATAATTATCATGACTTTACCATTTCGTTGTGCCTAATCTTTCGTGATTGGGACGACTTGTGCGTGCTGATAAACCGAAATCAGCTACAAAAGTATGACATTGTTTTTTGATAAGCACATACTTTGGGACTTTTCTTTTTTTTTTTTTTGTGGATACACTACCTAATTTAACCTCTCCTTTCCAACCTAATAATAGATTTTCACATTTTACATCACGATGGAGTATGCCTTGTGAATGAAGATGGGCTAATGCCTTCAAGGTTTCACAAGCCATGTATACAGTGTATTCTTCGGGGATGCCTCTTTGACAAAGAACAGCAAAGACAGAGCAGCGCATCAAGTCCATGGTCATCCAGATATCTTCTCGACAGATGGTTACTTCCCGCAATTTAATCAGATTCTGATGTCCTGAAGCCATAATCTTCAACTCTCTAAAGATAGCAGCGCGGTATTCACGATCGGGATCCAATCGACAACGCTTGATCGCTACTTTTACATTGGGCTTTCTACGATAATTTGCTTTGACGACAGCACCGTTGACACCGGTACCAATCTCTTTAAAGTTGGTAAAGCGGGCACTTGGGTCCGAGGAGCGAACGGTCACCTTGGGTAATAACTTTTTCAATTTGGTTTCCAACTTGTTTTCATGACGAACAAGTGGTGGTAAATCAGGAATGGTATAATGCGGACTAGGAGGATACCAAGGACGCTATTCATTTGTAGATGACTCTATATTAGTGGGTCGTTCTTTCTCCTTCTCCACAGGATGAGAGTTGTTATTTGTGGTTATCCGAGCCATGTCCAAAAAAGAACCCACAAAAGAAAAAACAAAAAAAAAAAAAAAAAAAAAAAAAAAAGAGAAAAAAAAAACCAAAACCTCCCAGCTCCCCTGTCTCCTCTATGACTCCCTCTTTTCTCCTTTCGTTTGCATTTTTTGCTAACAGTCTATTTACCTTTGTGATTTGCTTTGAAATATCCGTTGGGCGCAGGTCAAAAGCGACTGGCGGGCTAGGCTTCAAATAAGCATTTCCCAAAATATCGGGAATTTCGTAATGGCCTGGTGGTCGCCAAATCTAATCAAGTGTTAAAAAAGTGATAGTATATGAGTTCCATGATGTGGGTGTGCGTGCGTGAGTGAGTGAGTGATTAAAATCAGTCTTCCTGCTTACTTTATTGATCGTCGTATTTGAAGAAGTGGTTGCATCCGTCGTTGTACTTGTGGATGAAGTAGTAGAGGCATGCTGGTGGAAAGACTGTCGAAGATTTCCTGTTGATTTACGTTTAGAATAGATGGACTGTTGAATTGTTGCTTTAGTATTGATAGAAGTACGTTGCTTATTAGGTTCTGATCTTGATTTCTGCATCAGGGCGGTGGTTGTCGTCATCTTTCCAGAAGAGCGTATACGATGATGGTTATGAGTATTGGCAGATATAATTGTCATTATTGAATAACTTGTAGAAAAAAAGGATGATATAAATTCAAAAGATCAAGTTGAGAGAAAGAGCTTTTTAAAAAGAGGTTCAGGAGCTGTAATTGTAGTAGCTGTTACTGATAAGTGTTGACTCTGAGGTGTGTCTGTGGTTTGTTTAAAAAAGTAATATTATTATTGTTTGCTCTGATATATTATATTTTTTCAAAAAAATGAAAAAGGAGTGAGTGAGTGAGTAAGTGAGAGTGAGTGAGTGAGTGTGTGTGTGTGTGCGTGGGGATGAGTGGGATGTCTCTAAAAGGGGCTTGTATCTTTTCCGTTCAAGTAAAATCTGATGCTAGCAGTATTAAGGAATGGTGTTGGCTCTAAAGAAAGAATATCAAATTCTTGTTTCTTTGTCTTTGAGCTAGGAAAGAATGGCGTGGGTTTTGTATGTGTGTTGTTAATATGGAAAAAGGAAAAAGAAAGGAAGTAAAGAAAAAAGGAGACTGATTTCTTTATAAAATATCAAGTTACACATACCGAAATTATAAGAGAAAAACCTTCTCCCTCTATTTAGGACTGTTAGCTGATGTGCCTCGTGTTGAACTCATATTTGATAACGGTTTGTCCCAGTGTAATTGCCACCTTTGAAATCAATTTAAGAAAAGATTATTAAAAATTAAGGGGAAATTCATTTCTTTTGTTTCGCTGGCCTTAAAGAAACAGCAGATGTTGATGAGCGCTTTTTGGCCTTTTTTTTTTTTTTTTTTTTGTCTTGAGCAATAGAAAACAGTGATTCTCATAACAGTAGGACAGGAATGAGAACTTGATCAAAAATACATAGAGAAGCAGCATTTGTTACTTCAGCCTGTGTCTACTGCCCAAAATGATGGCAAGCTGAATAGAAAGAAAGGCTTGCATTCAATAGAAAGAAAGCAGTAACAGGAGGCAACAAATATGAAAACAATGAATGGCCCTATTTGCATAATGTTCATAAATCAGTCTAGAACACAAAGTTTCTCAAAAACTCCAAGTGAGTGTTGTACAATGGACTATTGACTTGAAGCCCGGGCTTCTATCTGGCCGATCTGTATCAGACATCAGTTACTAAGTTTTCTTGCGAGTTTCACATTATTTTTCCTGCTTCTAATGAGCAGCCATGATACCTTTGATATACTTGAGATGTTTGACCATCATGACGCTAAAATGGGGGAAACACTGTGAAAATACTGGCAGCAAGTCCGGCCTGCATTGTAGCGGCTTGTTCCTCGAAGAGCAGATTCTTCAAGCCACAACCAAGTCACATTGGGCACAGATAACTTTCTCTCTCATTTTATCTAACTTTCAACTGTCCCCGCTTCCCCTCTCTTGGTCATTGCAACTAACGAAAATGAGCAGTCTGTTATCCACTCCAGTGAAAGTAGATCATCACTTGGATGATCTGTTTAAGAATTCTGTACGTTATAACACCAAGCTGATAGTAAAAGAGCAAGTAGTGAAAGTAGCGCTCACCTTTTTTTTTTTTTTTTTTTTTTTCTATAGGCCGGTAAAAGTGAGGTGGCCACCAAACCTGTTATTGTGCAAGAGGTGACGGCCAAAATAAACAAAAAGAATAAGAAACAGGAAAAAAAAGAAGGACAAAAGGCTTTTCTAGGCTTCAAGAAAGCTCAAGAATTAATAGCAGCAGCAAATCAAAAGGTAAAAAAAAAAAAAAAAATGCAAAAAGAGTGTACTTGAAAAGGAAAAGGGTGATTCACACTACAGTTTCAATGGACGATAGAGAAAAGCCGAAGATTTGGAAAAGGATACAACAAAAAAGATCAAAAAAGAATTAACACCCAAAGAGAAAGCTGAAAAGGAGGCAAAGACGGTCTTTGTGGGTAATTTGTCAGTGGATTGCATTGAAAAGGAAGGATATAAACAATTGAAATCAAGGTTCAAGGACTGTGGTGACATTGAATCCATTCGTTTCCGATCCGTCGCTTTTTCTGAACCCATCGATCGTAAATCTGCCTTTATTGCTCGCAAACTTCACTCTGGCCGTGACGTAGTGAACGCTTACATTGTCTTTAAAACGACGGAAGCAGTCAAGAAAGCGCTTGAACTCAATGGAACGTTATTTATGGACAAACATTTGCGTGTGGACAGTGCCAGTAACAGCCGAAAACATGATCGAAAGCGCTCTGTCTTTTTAGGTGGATTGCCATTTGATGTAGCAGACGAGGAAGTATGGGAGTTTTTCAAAGAGTGTGGTGAGATTGAATTTGTCAGAGTCGTGAGAGACAATAAGACGAACGTAGGCAAGGGGTTCGGCTATGTGCAATTCAAGACACGTGAGCCTGTTGAAAAGGCATTGAAATTGGGACAGTATGACGAAGAAGGAAATGAAGAAAAAAAAAAGTTTCGTGAAAAAGTCAAGATTCGTATTCAACGCTGTAAAATACCCGTTTCAGAAGGAGGTCGAAGAGATGTACCCAAGAAGACAAAGAAGAATGCCAGACCCATGAGCAAAAAGACGGTCGCTGGTAAATCTGGCAAGAAGATACCCGTGCCAAAACAATTAGAAGGCACTCGTGCTACGAAGGATAGTGGTAAATTCAAGATTGTTAAAACAAGCAAGAAACATCCTGGTAGTAGTAAGAAGAAGAAGAAAGCCGCCGGGAAGAAATAGATTAGATAATCAGTGAGGAAAGCCCTGTATTATTCAATAAATAGAAAAAGCTTTTTTTGAAAGAAAAAGGGGGGATAGGATGAGGGTAACGTCTCATGTTAGTAGAGCCAAAGATAATCTCTGTTCCATCTACACACAACGTGTCATCAGTCTACTAGCATATCTCATCTCTTCAATTGAATGCTTATGACAGATAAGCGATAACCCATCTCACAGTTACAAGATCTTACAACATTTCACACGATCTGGTTTATCTACCTTAGTGTAACGTTTATTAAGGAAGAATGTGTGTGTTACAGATACTTGTATGTTCACTCTAGCTGTCTATTCTTGTTGACATTTCCCAGCTGTGGATTATTCAGATAACCAACCCATGATACCTGATAGAGACAACTGCTTGCTAAATCAATTAGATGCTATGCTTCAGGAAACCAAATTCTACAATGGATCTATACTATACGGCTATCATTGTGTTTCACAAGAACTGGAGTCTTATGTATATTTATAGCTCCAAATGGAGAATAAAAGAGGGTACATTGCGTTACATGAAAAGGAAAATGGGTGGATATGTACGATAGACTTGGTCATAAAATGACTAAAAAAAAAAAAAAAAAGGCAAAAAAAAAAGCATGTTTCGTTCCACTTGTCCAGAAATGTGGCGTCAGAGTTGAATACTGAATGTGCAATTAAGGATTAATTATCTCGATTTGAAAGCTAATTCTGATTTTCTTCTCATGAATGTATGATGCGTGCTGTGTCGTTGTTGTTCCTAGGGAATAGGTCAACAAAATACAATGGCACCTACGTTGGACATGGATAAGGAGGAGGGTGTGTTCGTATTGACCCACTGCTGCTGATGTCAAGCATGACATGCAGCGAAAAGCGATATAACTACACTGTGCCTATAGATGACATTACTTGAAAAGGTAAAATTTCTACATCTTCTTGTGCGACTCTTAGCAAATCGAATGAAAGAATCTTCCGATATTAGGGTTCAATTTCATTTTTTTTTTCTTTGTGTATCTTATGGATAGTAATTTTGCTTCTTCTGGTTATACTTTATATATTCATTGTTGTGTTGTATTTTTTTTTTTCAAAAAACCAGAAAGTCATTGATCTGTTCTCATCCAACATTGTCTTTCTTTTCCGTTTTTTTTTTTTTCCTCTCTTTTTTTTTTTTTTTTGTTGTGGTAGATTTGGCTTATCGCCCCCCTTCCCCTTTATTTTACATGCATACAAGAAGAGTATTGATATGGGAAGTCACGCTAGTAAAGTAATACATACTCCAAAAGAGAAAAAGACAATCAAAAAGAATCGCCGTAGAAGCACGATCAGTATTGCCACTACCGGTACAGGGGTAGCAGGCACAGGCCCCCGATCGAAATCCATCGACAGAACTCTTTATAAACAACAACAACAACAACAGCAACAGCAACAAATGAAAGCAGCTACCATGCCTCGGCGTCAATCCTTTACGGATTATCTTTTTCCAACCACCACTGCTCAACGTCATCAGCATCATTATCATCATTTTCATCAAAAACAACAACAACAACAGCAGCAGCATCGATCCAATGATGAAAGAAGACTATCGTACCCACAAATTGAAGCAAGAGAATCGGATCGAAGTCAAAGACAACATTATGTACTCAAAAATATACGTAAAGGCAATAGTTGGTGTGAAATAAAAAAGGGAATGACTGTCCTTGATATCGGGACAGGGAATGGTATTTGGGCGTTAGAAATGGCGACGGATCACCCGCATTGTCAGATTATTGGTTTAGACATTCATCTACACCATCGTCAACAGCAACGTCAACCACAGCAGCAGCAGCAGCAGCAGCAGCCGTCCTCTCCCCAGCCAGAACAACAGCATGCACAACGCACCCATAGTTCCTTGCTGGAGGATGGCAATCCCAAAAATCTGAAATACTGTCAAGCAGATATTTGTGAAGCATGGCCATTTGAATCCAATTCAATGGATATGTAACGTTTTGGTTTTTTTTTTTTTTTTTTTGAAGGAAGGGGTTGGATGTTTTCTAACGAACGCACATGTTGATATCCCAATTTCTTTCATAGAGTATTTCAAAGACACATGAGTCAATGCATCACCAAAGACAAGTGGCCACCTATTTTCAAAGAAATGTGGCGTGTTTTAAAGCCGGGTGGAAAGATTGAACTCGTAGAACATGATTTTCGCCATCATAATCCGGGGCCTGTGTTAAAAGCCTTTGATGAATTCTGTCAAACGCAATGCGAAGAGAATCAGATTGATTTTGAATTCACGGCTTCCGTCCTGACTTTATTGGAAGGAGCAGGATTCAGTCGAGAAAACATTCAACATACGATCATCGATATTCCGATTGGTGAGTGGCCCGAAGAGCCAGGTAAAGAGGAGAATGAGAACACAGCATGTGTTTTTGTCCGATAGTATTTCTTACACACTCTCTGTTTTATAGAATTAAAACAATTGGGCTTTATCAATAAAGAGGTCAAAATAGCCTTCTTTAGAAACCGAAGACAGTTTTTCATCACCAATTGGCATATGCTTTCGGAAGATTATGATCTAGCAGTGCAAGAACTGTTGAATGAATACGAAGAGTATCATGGGTTTACTCGATACAATTGTTGGATAGCGACAAAAACATAAGCCAACGACTGGACACATGAGATGCTTCTCTCTTTATGGGAGGGGCGGGGGGTGGACAAAGTGACCTACTGGATAACTATTTATATAAACACTTTTCTATTGACTCAATGCACACGTTACCAGTCCCTTTTCATAATTTATATTTCCTCCCTTAACATACGCAAAAGACCCTGTATACCATAGAACCACGCTAATGATGTATTTGATACAGAAAGTTGAAATCTATTTTTTTTTTTTTTTGTCTATTATCGTGATACCTTATCAACTATGACAGTTATTGGTGGGGGCAAATAAGCAATGAAGAGAGAGAAACATGAGCCAAAAAAAGAAAAAGAAATTTTATTTCTTTTCAACTACAATAGATAGAATATGAATAAATGAGAGGGATAGAGAGTCATCATAAGGATGATATTAAGAATAGTTATTAGATATTAATAGAGAAAAGAGTATTTATAGAGTGTAAAAGAGCAAATAAGTTATATATATATATATATAAAAAAAAAAAAAGTATGATACAGACTATCTTGAAAAAGGTGAACGATAATGCGATGAATAAAACGAAGATGAAGAGGGCGACAAAAATGATGCGGAAAAGAAATTCGACCGTGAAGATGGATGATATTGGAAAGGAGCAGAAGGAGGAGGAGGAGGAGGTTGACGATAAGAAGAAGAGGTAGGGGCAGAAACAGGAGGCGGTGGGCGTAAAGGATGATTGTAATGAAAGTAGTCAGAGGATGAGGATGGCTGTCGTGAAGCATGCGGTGAAGACCAGCGACTTTTTTTTCTGTTGTTGTTACCACTGCTGCTAAATGATGATGGAGGTTGCCATGGTCGTTTTCTATTGTTAAAGTCTTTGTTGGCATTTGTATTGGCAAGCGTCTTTTGCTGTTGTTGCTGTTGCTGCTGCTGCTCTTGTTGTTGTTGTTGTTGTTGTTGTTGTTGTTGTTGTTGTTGTTGTTGAAGTTGTCTTTGCTGCCATAGACGTTGCTGCTCTTCTAATTTTTGTTGTTTTTGTAATTGTTCTTCAGCAATCATTCTATGTTTCATCACTTGAAATAATTGATGTTTTTCTTGCTTTAAAGCTTCAATTTTCTGTCTAATGTCATCGCTACTTAGCAATGGCGTGGACGGCAGCGATGCTGCTGCTGAAACCGTTGTCTTGGTATCGCTTTCTTCTTTTATAGGTTCCAGTAGGGTGTTTTGAACGTCAGTAGCATTCTCTTCGTTATTGTCGAAAATAGCGGGAGGCTTTTTATCTTCCACAGGTGGTGATGGTAAGCCGCCAATGTGATGCACACGATGGCATTGTTGGTGTAAAAGTAGCTTGGTGTTGTTGTTCTTGTTTGTCTTGTGTGATGACAACTGCTGTTGTTGAGCTTTCAATAATGCCATTTTAGCTTTGAAACGGTTAATGATGACATTACGGATAGCCAGCAACTGATCATTGGGTTCGAATTGGTAAGTGATGGTGTCTCGTTTCGAATGAAGATCGTCGGTTTGATATTCAAAGATGGTTTCTGTCATAAATTGATGATTCAACTCGATTTGAGATAGTATTATACAAGAAAAAAAAAAAAAAAAAAAAAATAGAAAAGGAGTGAAAAGGGATGTAGAATAGGATAGTGTATGGTGTATGTATGTATGTATGTATGTACTTTATAGGTATGAGCGTGAGTGTGAGTGAGTGTATATGAGTGTAGATTATTTACAAAGAAAAATGAATAAAAAGGGAAAAAAGAAAAAAAAGGGATGCGAGACTAAAAAAGCTTAAAGCAAAAAAACTTTTTTTTTTAATCTTTACTTCTTTTTCACAGCCGGGTTTTTTCCACTCTTCTAAAGCACACAACCGTTCTTTTATTTGTTGGGTTTTGGATCATTGCAAATTTTTGAGTTTTTTGGTTTCTTCCGCATAGAATAAAAAAATGAAAGCAGCAGCATTTTTTTATATATACAACAAAACACCTTGGATTTTATGACACGTTTCGGTCAATTCTCCTTGGGTTTTATAATGATTTTTTATCCCCTTCCCTATCATCCCGCACGTTCAACCACTTTAAACAACATAGCCCGTCCAATGAGAGTCAAGGGTAGACCGTTTTGTCCACCAGAAAATGACAAATGAATTTGATTGGCTTTCCAGGACTTCTCCCCCATAGTTGCTTTCATTGCCTTTTCTTGAAGCTCCGTCTAAGCATCGAATTAGTAATCCAAGGCCCTTTTTATATATCTTTGCTATCTACCTTTCTCTTCCTCTTCCCTCTCTTTCACTTTCAGTTCAAGTAACCGTTCATTATGTCCACCCCTGCTACATCACAAAAAGTTCTTTCTCTCTACCGTCAATTCATTCGCCACGGCAACAAGTTTGCAACCTACAATTTCAGAGAGTATACTCTTCGTCGATCCCATGATGCGTTCAGAGCCAACATGAAGGAAACCTCACCGGAAAAGATATCTGAATTCATTGCAAAAGCTGAAAATGATTTAGCTGTGGTGAAGCGTCAATCGGCTATCAGTCAAATGTTCAGTTCAGGCGATCCTTTAGTGGTAGAGGCCGGTCCCAAGATCCACGTTCATTAAAAATACATTGAACAAGTAGAACCCATGTCCATGGAGAAAAAAAGAAGAGATTGTCAAGATTCAACGCTGTTGATTAGTAATAACAACAGTAGTCCCAATGTGAATAAATAAGGATAGATACAATGAAACGATCGAATCATCTAAAGACGACTAAGTGAAGAGGGAAAAAAATAAATAAATATCGTTTTTTTATGATTGGTTCAATAAATAAAATGTGTATTTTTGATCAATAGCCCTCTTTTATTGTGCCTTATTCCTCCCCACCCCCACCCATCTTTTTTTAATGTTGTCAAATGCAGATTTTTGTCTTGGAGAAAAGGTTTCAGAGACTGGTTTGATCATTTTGGTCAGAAACCCTTTGCTCCTTTTTTTTTTTTTTTTCTTTCTTTTATGGCTGTCATCATGCTTATATAATAAAAAGAGGAATGCATAAGACGTTTCCAGTCTATTTTTATCTTTAGTGTGCAGTCATTAAAGGGGGCACAGAGTGACAGTGTCGATTTGTGTAAAATAGGCGTCATCTTGGATACACATTCGTTTCGTAAACAAAGATAAGCCAGAAATAGAATCTATGGAAATGGAAGTGGCAGATGCTTGAAAACAGATGAAATTTTTTGTTGGCTCTTATCCAACACACCAACAAGGCCAAGAGAGCAAAGGGCGCTTTTTTTTTTTTTTTTTTTTTTTTTTTTTTTTGGCTCTGATTTTTTAATTTTGAAACCCATAAAAAAGAGCCAACAAAATTGAGAACAAACAACTATATAAGGTTGGGAAGTGTCTGCTTCTTTCCCTTTGCTTTTTCTCTTTTCTTTTCCGCACAGAAATATACACATAAAATGCTGCGTCAGTCTCTTCCTTTACCTGTTTCTGAAAGCCTTTTGAGCGTCAAGGAACAACATGCTTTTCATGATAAGGACCAAGACTGTTTATTTAATGAAGAACTCCCGACAGTGGATCGATCCATGTTGACAAAGATCGTTCAAGAAAATCACTATTTATATCCTATGGAAAAACGAGACAGGCCCAACAATAGTATCCGTGTCCTTGTGGCCCTGCATAAAATGAATGGTAAGAAAAAGTTACGGCGAATGCCTACGACACAATAGACTTAAAGTTTTTGTTTTGTTTTGTAGCTACTGAAGAACAGCTGTCCATTGCCTATGAAAACACTTTACAAGAGGTGGAGTCTATTTTTATCAACAACAAGAACACAAGAATCAATGAAAGAAATTGGCAAGATCATTTGGGAAATACATCGTAAGTTAGTTTAAAAAATTGTGTATTTCATATTTGTGTGTCTGGTTTTTAACTTTTTTTTTTTTTTTCTTTTTTTGTCGATCTTTTTTCTTTTTTTTTTTTTTTTTTTTTTTTTTTTTTTTTGTGGGTGGATTCATCCAATAGCTTTTACGGTGATTTCTTGGTTTTTTTTGATCACCAGTTGAATCGACTTGGGTTAGATGAGTTATTAAGTAGATATTTCTATAGTATTCCTTATTCTATGGGATCTCAATTACAGCCTTTTGTTCAGTTGGCTTTTGGCATAGAACAAGAATTACCAGAAATCATTACACAAGCCTTAGCTTATTATGCTTGTACTTATATGGATGTGTCTACTATTATTTTACCCAAAGAAGAAGCAGCAGCAGCCATGGACAGCCACACCCCCACAGCCGCCCATCCTGACCGTCTTGATTTTGTCAACACGTTCTTGTTCGATTTGGTGCGTTCGGATCAGCGTTTCGATGGTAGAATAGACGGTGACAACACTTTCCAGCAATCCATAAAGGTACTGTTGAAAAGCAAGCAAGAGCTGCTTCAAATGTACATGGCCTTCTGGACAAAAAGCACCCAAGCCATGTCCACTGAACAGAAAATGGATGCTCTCGTCTACACCGCCGTCTGTCTTGTGAAATATGCTTCTCGTCCACACTTGGGTCATACAGAAATGGACTGGTTCTTGACGGGAGGCCAACTGATCGAGTCCGCTTTAGCCCTCAAGAAGCTAGCCAACTCTAACGAATCGCTTTTGCAAGCGTGGGTTCCTCTTCAATTTCTGGCCATGCTTTGCTCTTTTGTCGTCCAAGGCCGTCCTTATTTCAATCCACCACAACAAGAACAGCACCCACTCTCAACCACTGCCTTAAAGATGATGATGAGCCATATGGATCAACATATCAGCCACATGATGCGTCATGCTCATGACGATCCCAAATTGGTGTTGGCCCTCCATTCCTTGATGAATGTCAAGACTTTCTATCCCCATTTCGCGGAAGAGGCCTTGTATGTGGACATTATTCAATTATTATCTTCCTTCTCTATGGATGGAGGTGTTTGGGTCAAATCCGGTCTGGGTTGGAAATAACACTCTCCTTCTCTCTCTTCATGCCTCCATTTTCTTGTATATAGTATCCTATTTTTAAAACACAACCGCATTACAGATATTTAACTATTTGCATACCCCTCTTTTTCAAAATAGAACATGATTCATCACACGACATGTAGTTGTCTTGGCTTTTTTTTTTTTTTTTTTTTTTTTGTCATTAGAAAACGGGGGGGGGGTTGGGGAGCGGTCATTTTACGTGGAATGTTGTCAATCCACCACCGCGGCCAACGGGGAGCCGCGGTATCCAATTTTTCGTACCTGAAAAAAAAAAAAAATTGAATTTTTGCTCTTGGTTTTTTTTCCTCCGTTGATTGACAGCTTGCGCCTAGCCACTTTTATGATTTGTTTTGAAGCGGCAGCCAAACGTGAATAAACCAAGCCATTGCGTACAACAAACAAGTGCACAAGAGCGCTCACGTCGTCACTATCATGCGTCCTATGATGGTTGAAGGGATTGATATGTGTGAAAGCATGTATAGGCTCTTTACAAAAATACAGTCCAAACCAGCATAGGTAAAGGTATGGCTGCTAAAAAAAAAAATGGCATTGTTTTCGAGATGCAAATTGGCTTTGTTTTGAGATGGATGAATGAGACCCAACAGAAAGAATATGGTATAAAAAAAAAGTTCTTTTAGACAACTCTTTTGTTTTCTTGGTGCTGCATCCATGCAAAATAAATACGTTTGAATGTATTTCTTGCGCAGAGTCCAAGACCAATGGATAGGGTTTGATCTCTCACCACAGTGATCACCCACGCACCCCCTTTGGATGCTTGAATACAGAATTCAAGCGCGAAACGTCGTGGCAGGATCGGTTGAAATCTAAATGGCGTGTTATGACGAGTCATCATTTTTTTTTATGGGATCAACAGGAAAAAGAAAAGAAGCGTCGTAGAATGTTGATCTTGACGCTTATTTGCGTAAGAAAGAAGAGACAGACATTTTTTAAAAGTAAAATGGGGGAAAGGTTGGCAATGAAATTTTTTTTTTTTTTTTTTTTTTCTTAAAGCTTCAATAAAAGGCGTACACTCCAATGATGTCAATTTTATACAATCGCGTTATCAAGATAAGAGACATAAACCTTCTATTGGGTTGTGTAATCGAACAAAACAGAAGAAAAAAAGTTCTTTAGCATGGAATTTTTTATTGTTCATACAAAAAAAAATAAATAAATAAAAAGCTCAACCAACATAGTATGTACAATGGGCGGTAAAGGTGGGCGGAAAAAAATGGCCCAAAATTTTAAACATCTTTCATTACGGTTCTGGCCGAACAACTGCATGGGTAGAAGAAAAGTAATCATCTTCTATGCTATCTGTTTCTTCAAAAAAGCTTTCTCTTCTGTTCTGTCCTCCGATCTCCTGCGTATAACTGTCAGCAGCAGCAGCAGCAGCAGCAGCAGCATGTGTTATAGCTGGAGGAGGAGGCTGCATAGAAGTGGCTACGACAAGAGAAGACGTCGTGTTTCTAATGATATTGGCAGATGTCTTTCGAAGATAATCTTGTACCGCTTCACAGTTGCAGTTGGCGTGCGCTAATAGCAGATTTTTTAAAAACATATTCTCTTCTTTTAATTGAGACACCAGCTCCCTTAATTTCTCATTTTGAAGACTATTGAATTCTGCTTTCTGTTCAAGGTCTTGGATCCAGTTCTTTTTCTTTTGACGGCATTTATAAGCTATACAACACGAGACAACCAAAAAACAACTGGGGTCAAAAATGCATCCTTCCACGAGTGACAATAAAAGGGGTTCTTTTCTTTTTTACCAGCAATACGATTTCTTTCCAGACTCTTTTTTCGCTTCAGACGTTCTTCGTCTAATAAATCCTCATCTTCTTCGTCTGTCGTTCCTGCCGCCGATACAGAACGCCGTTTCCGACCTCGTCCTCCACCTCTTCTATTCGACATAGGAAGAGGAGGTGGAGGAGGCGTATGAGCCGTCGTCGTTGGCGTTTCTAACAATTCAGTCGTATTGGAAGATAAACTATGATCTGAAAGAAGAGAGGGTTGATGATATGGTACAGTAGGTAGCGATACATATGTCTTTTGAGATGCATTACGAGTAGGAGGAGGAGTCGTAGGCGTAGGTGTAGGATAGATAGTAGTACGAGAAGAGGAAGCATGAGGAGGCATGGCGGCCGTCGTCGTGTTGGTGGTCATGGGTGGTTTTGGCTGTTGTTGAGGATGGAATGAAGAGGTTGATTTATTACTATTGTTGTGATTGACATAATATGGATGAAAAGGTAAAAGGTCTTGCTGTTGCTGCTGTTGCTGCTGCTGCTCTTGAGGATGCTCTTGTGGAGGCACCATAGAATGAGGATGATAGGGATGATGCTGTAAAATAGGTGAATGACTGTCGTTATTCACTGCTGCTGCAGTTTGCATAAGAATCGTCGTAGGAGGCATAAAGGCTAATTAAAAAAAAAATGGACGGTAACAGAAAGCGTGAATAATTCTTTGACGTGGCTCACACGATAGCAATAATAATAATAATAAAAAAAAAAATAAAAAAAAAAAACTGACATCTACCTTCTGTCATAATTACTAGGATTTTATGTCAAATGTTTAAACGTGTTTGATTGAATAATGAAAAATGAATGAATTAAAAAAAAAAAAAAAAAAAAAAAAAGAAACGAAACGAAAGCAAAAGAGAGATGATGATGGGGTTTTTGCTGCGTGTCTTTCAAGTCTTTATATACAAAAAAGAGGATGGCTGATATATAATAATCGATGCGTTATGTACTACTTTCTTACCGCCTTTCGGGGAACCGACTAACTGGTTTTCCCGTAGTATAGAAAAAACTAAAAATTGCAAAAAAGAAAGCAACCTATTTCGCACAAAAAAAAAAAAAAATATGGTTCATTCTTCATCAAGTGAAAGCAATCTGCCTCCTATATAAGTTGTAACCATTAGGTCAATATGATGTCATTTCAGTGATAAACCATTACTTATGATAGGCGGATTCAGACAGTGGGGTTCCATCCGTTTGGCACAATTTCCCGTGTTTTTATTGACTGTCTGACTCAAACCTGTCTCTTTTTGGCTTTTTGCAAATGGTCACTCCCCGCCTTTTCAATAATGTTCTTTTTTAAAGACGCTTTCTCCTTGCTTCTTTGTCATTTAGAACAGCAGAAGGTGGGAGCTTAAAGTGAACAATTGTCCATTTCGGTGGTTGTGGGCTTTGGCAATTTATCACGGATTGAAACTCATGTGATAAAGATGAGCCAGTCTGTCTGTTATTGTAATTTCTTCTACTTGTTTCTGTTATACACTCGTCTTTTTTTTTTTTTTTTTGAGAGCAGATCACATCAAAGAATTATAGACGCCTTTACATCTTGTTTGATTTAGCCTCAAACTTTATCGATTCCTTCTCTCTTTATTTTATTTTATCCGTTGATACACATTGTTATTCTACCATGCTTTCAAACTGAAATAGCATGTAGAATGCAAATCGCGTCATTGTCTACAAATAGGTAGACTTACTTTTGTGGAAAGCCGTTCCCCTTCCTTCTTGATCACTGTTTTCCGCTTAAATCAGAAAAAAATGCAACAAACAAACAAAAAAAGAAAAAATCTGATCGAAAAATATCCCGATCTGGTCGAATCTAGATTCACAATGTTAAACTTGGCCTTTCATAGTAATGGATGGCTGATCTACCGCAGACGAATGCAAATAGAGGCTCCCATGGAGCCATCTTTATGTTTTTTCAGTCAAAATATCCACATGCTGGCTTTTAAACCGTTTGGCTTTTCTAAAAGACAAATCACTTTGTCTTCTTGTAAACGAGCCATCGAGACGAATCGAAAATGACCATTGCAGTAAGTAGTACAACAAAGCTGAGATGAGGACGCGACCTCGGCTGGATTGAGAAAAGCGAAGCTCTTCAAAAAAGGATGTTCCTTATCTACATTGACACAAACAAAAAACGTGATAGAGCTCTCCTTGGGAATCAGCCATCGTCCATCTTTTTGGTTAGCATTTTCTACTTTCACCGCGGGGGGTAACCTTTGTAAAATCAATCGAAAATGAGAACCATTTCTTAGAGACCTATCACGACAACACCCTCTCGTTTCTTTTCCTTCCCTGACCCCTTTGTTCAATAGACGCACATTGAAAGATGAATCACTTGCACCCAAACGAGATCTATCACACAATGCACACACACACACAACAGAGAGATGCAACGCTACTATGTAGGAAGCTTGTCCTAAAAAGCAGTCAGTCTATCCAAAAGCGAGCGTAGTGAGTGTGTCTATCCAGAAACGAACAAAAAGTCTGACAAAACTGTGATAAACGCCCCTGTCTCCCTTTAAAATGCACAATGGAAGGACACATCACTGTATCACTTTGCATTATTGGCAATTTCAGAATGGTTGCACCGTATATATTTTTAATGGTTGCAATTTTATATTCCAAAAGGCAAAAAAGAAGAAATTCTACTTTTTCCTGAAATGATGTGCGTAACCCTAGCTTATAGCCCTTTATGGACATTTGGGCGATCTCGTTAAAAAATCAAGAATACATAATGGTACGAAATTTAAATTTCTTTGTTCTGGCAATTCAAGCTTCTCTGTCTCAGCACACAAACTTTTAGAGCCCTCCACTCACAGGAGTGCTTCACTTGTTTCTGAAGTTTTCGTTTTTGTTTCTGTTTTTGTCTTTTCTTTTTTTTTTTTTTTTTTTTTTTTTTTCACCCAAGCTATCGTAGGGGTTTTTCCCTTGTTCAACCATCACAGAAAGACGGACACTTGTAGAAAAAGACACTTTGGATGATGACAAGTACTATACAATAAAAGGGAGGTGACAAGAGCCGTCTAGGCGGAAAGCAAATCAACGATGGAAAAAAAGATAAGAAAGTATAAAAAAATGTTTTACCACCACTAGAAACAACCCTCCATATCCCAATACGACAACACGTACATGTAACCGGTTTTGAGTCACATTGTTTTTACCAAATTTCCGATGGCTGCTTGTCAAACCTGGAGAGCCCAAGTGTTGATCTTTTGTGTAGATAGAGAACGAATTTGATAAAACATGAAACAGCTTCCACTGCCTTATGGAGACAGACAAAATCACTGCCAAACAAAGAGGGCTTTTCATGTGTTTATTGAGATTGCCTATAGTATAGTGTTCTATCAGAAAGTATTGTATTTTATCAAAGAATGGACGCTGACGGGGCATCAGCGGCAGTCCTTTTCATGTCTGCCATCGATATCCAAACACTGCTCGGTAAAAGTCAAGCGCAGTGTCTATACCAACACACACACCCCCTTTAGCCACTTGATCATCGTTGATAGATTGACGTACCTTACTCTAAGCCGCTTCTGTCATAAGGCAGGTGTAGGCTTGCGATAAAGGTTCAGCCTGATAGAATAGTTCACTACTTAGTATGACTGCCAAAAATTTTATGCTACCGCTTATCGTATTTTGCCACACATAGGGGCTTACTCTATAGCAACTACTGACCTGAATAGGGTCAGTTTATTTTATACCATCATCCTATGAATAGACAATTGGACTTTTATGACTCTTCATGAACCAGCAACTTTAGCCTGTGTCGGAAGCTATAGTCCATCCTCGTAGACTGTTCTTCTAATGAACCCTTTTACCTCGTTCATCGCAGCCACACACCTTTTTTTATCGTTGTTTCAGTCAAGAAAGCTTCTTCGCTGTTATACCTTGGCTCATTCCTTAAAGGCTGTCATGAGCGGGGTGATTGAGAGGTTTATCTTTCAGCTTCCCAAGACTCAACCTTGTTGGCCATTGGATGAGAGCTGCTGATTCGATAGCTATATTTCTTTTGCGCTTCTATCTACAGTGATTCGTTGTCGTTACGCTAATGATGTGTTTATCATCATCGTTTTCGTATTTTACAGACCGCAAATCTTCTTGCTGCTTGGACTTACTCAGTTGCTCTGTATTCCATCCCCACCCCCCTCTGCATGACGTCGCTTTACGCGTCGCTCTTTTTCCTTTTTCCTTTCAAGCTTGCCTTTACAGTAAGTGAAACGGACGATGCTGCGGAAGGATGGCGTTGTTTTTCAAATTCTACCACTTTTTCTTCTACTGAAGCAGAAAAGATGTGTCGTAAGAAGGGGCAAGTTTTTGGTGAATTCCGGTACATCATGGGTAGAGTAAGGTATAAGCAAGATTTATTTTGATGGCATTAGAAAAAAAAAAGTTGCCTACTGTGGAAGACAGAGTGGGCAATGACAATGAATCGAGCAAAAAGCCTATTGAAAGAGAATGTTGAACGCGCACTGTGTCATACAAGACAAGTGTTTTCACGACTAAATTCTCATCCATGAACAGTTTATCATCATTATCATGGGGTGGGGGGGGGAGGGAGGGACACAGGGCGGGGTCTCTTAAGCATGACAGGCCCTATGGGATGATTTGTCCCACCGCAAAAAAAGAACTATTTATTGAGTCTACAAACAGTCAAAAATGCTTTCTTATAGAGTTGATCAAAAATTCCCAAATCACATGCATCTTCTTTCAAAGACGCATCATGCTTTTGATTTGGTGGTGACCATAGCTTGAATGACACCTTGTTTTTGTATATAAACTTTTTGCTGCTGTTGGTTGTGATGATGAAAAGGATGATGGTGCAGAATGTTTTTTGTTACTGAGGAAGGAGGTGGAGGTGAAGCTGGCGGTAAGGATGGTATCATCACATCCTCATTGTTATTTGATGTCATTTTACCAGTCGTACTGTTATTGCCCATAGGTATGATCATATATTGATCAGATAAAAGTCTGCCTAAATAAATAAATTTCGAAATAGTAGAAGCACCACGCGATTTTTGTGGACTGCTAGCAGAATTTAGTTTATCCAAATGCGGTGATAATTCTTTCCGAATACCGGCTATGGTTAAATAAGGAGGTTGTGTTGGCACGTTGATTTTAATGTCTTGACCATTGCTTGAAAGTCGTACAAATATAGCGCAAGAAAAGGCGTCATGATGGTCGGGGGAGGTATTCGCCATGGTCGTGGTCATGGCGGTAAGTGGAGTATTATCCATAGGAGTGTTATTATTATTATAATTCATAGTAGTATTAGTAGTAGTATTAGTAATGGTGAGTGCTGGTATCATGGATGGCGACTGCTGCTGCTGCTGCTGCTGTGTTTGTGATAAAGTAAGAGGCTTTTCTTCTGATGCTTGCCGAGATAGATTACTGTTCATGTTGAAATGAACGATTTCATGATTTTGTGTTACTGTTGAAGTCTCCGGCGCAGTACCTTCCTTTTCATTTGAAGTGGTTGCTGTTGACATGGCATTACTTTTATCTAAAGATTGTTTTGACGATGTGGATGCTCTAGTAGTGATCACATCTGGCCCTTTTACAATTTCTTGCTCTTGTTCTGGTGGCTCAACAGATCCTAAACGGCCACTATGTGCTGCTTATTTCAACAAGAAAAAGAGAAATATGTCAATTTACTTTATAACAAACAGGTCTTGTTTCTATTGGACAAGGTAAAGCTATGTTGCCACTTAAACTCTAGGACAAGATATTTACAATGGACGATATCCAATTGCTGCTGATGTACAAAGCCACTATTGTTCATATCATTTCGTCGCCGTCTACGTTCATCTTCTTCGTTATGTGAAAGCGTTGAAGAGCAACAACCCATTTTTCTTTTTCTTTTTCTTTTTTTTTTTTTTTTTCTTTTGCAAGAGATGCTTAGATGTATGTCAATAAATGTGTTATAAAAGAAAAAATAAGAGAAAAGATGATGTTTATGGAGGGAAGAGAGTGAGTTTGTCTACGAAAAGAAAGGGAAAAAGGGAAATAGAAAATGAGATAGATTTCCTTATGTATTAAAAATAAAATTCCCCAAGATCACAGTCAATCATTGTTTCACTGATTTTCTTCGTTGGCAACCACTAAAATTGGATTTTTACAACGAATTTATGTCAGCCCTCTTCCATACTTTTTGCCCAGCGTGCTTGCATAAAACCTTCTATCCCCCGCCCACACCCCCCCTCCCCCCAGCTTACATTCACGTTCATCGTCGTCGTCGTTTGTATGGCGCAAACACCAGCCTTTCTTTTTCAGAAAAGAAGAGAATAGAATGAACTCCAGTACAATCAAGCTGTCAATGAACAATTGAATAGATCCACAAATAATAAATTGCAGTGGTGCTTCAGTGAAGATGAAATAAAACAACTTGAAGCTGTCACCCAGGAACTAGAGTTATAGAAAATGGAGAACGGGCTTATGTAAGCTACACACACCCCTCACTCTTTCAAATGCACTAGCTTGTAATGTAAATAAAATTGTTTACCCAAGTGGCCAATACCAACGAGCTAAACCCATGCGTTGATCTATTTTTGAAATTGGATATGCATTGTGGCAAGGGTAATGTGCTTTCGATGCCTAAACTTAGATAGCCCAAAATCTCAACGTATACAGCGTATCGTTCAAGAAACAAGTGCAAAAAAGCCATCACAAGAATGAAGACAGTGATGCACTTGATATAACTGGAATAGTATTCCCATTTCCAAAATGATTTGAATAAGCCTGTTCTGTTTCGCCCCAGTGCCGTATAGAAATGCAAATGCGAGTTATCATCATCTACGGAATCGTTATTGTCGGTAGATGAGGAGAAAGAGGAAATCGACTCGTTGTAGAATAGATCGAGTGTGCTTCTTCGTTCATGCTTGTATTTGACCACCACCTGTAACAGTATCACCATGGTAATAATCATGGCTATCGACTGTAGCAGTAACGTCACTTCAAACCGTTTTCCGAACCAAAAGAAAATACGCAGAACACTACATGTACGTACGTAGGCGAGGTGAGACTCTAGGCAAAAATTTTTTTTTTCTTTGCGCACATGCTTTCTTTTTCTTTACTTTGCAAATAAAAGAATGGCACACGTCATTATATTGAAGCCATCGCTTGACTGTTTTCGCTTAATGAGAAAGTACTAACAATTCCGGTCGATGGAATAAGCTTTGCTGACGGACATTTCAACCCGAATGGCCAACATTATGTAAAATACTGACTTACTTGATCAATATAGCCTATGACCGGCCCTACAATCATAGCTATGGATAAACCCACAGAAAGTATACTCCCCATCGTTCTTACACAAATGTGTTTTTATTAACAAGGATTCTTTCTACTTGGTATACAAAACAGAAATAAAATACTCCAAAGGCTGTAATTTTACAAGCTTACTATTATTGGACCTGTTTATGAATAATATGTGTGATATCTCGCGTATAGGCTTGTGACTGACACAAGAATTAGACAAACACTAAATGCTTGTTGACAGATCCATTCTGGAAGATCGGTCCTCACCTTCGAGAACCCTACTCTAAACTCTTCAATGGAACTCTTGGTAGCATCTTTTTTTTTGAAAATGTTCCATTGAGCTGACGTTCATTAAGCTAATACAACTAGCAAACCTCTTTCATGACAAGATATATTTGCTCAAATGAGACCCACTTTCGTTTATTACATGGCCGAGATTATTTACTTGAACCTACTCCTTAGAATAGTTTATGGCTCTTCTTTGATCGTACGTACGAAACGAGTCTTACTGTAAAAGAGCCTCTCTACTTGCAGTCACGACCTTACAATGAAAAAAAGTATAAATTGAATCCCAAAGCGCTCCCTTTTTCTTTTTTTCTTCTTTGTCCTTTTCAAAGGGGAGATGCTTATTCAAATGAGGTCACTACCGATGGATAACTGCCGAACCCATAATTAATCAATCTCGACTAGAAGACACTACTATTCAGTCCTCTAGTCAATTTTTGGATCCTCGAAAGAGGATGTGTCCATTACTCTCTTTTTATGAATGAAAATGAAAAAAAAACCCGCAAAATTTTCTGCAAAAACTCTACCATGGGTCTTACGATCCGATCAAACAAAACAACATGTTGATGAATAGAAAACAGTAATAGTACTCGAAGGAGTTGATACGTAAACTTTCTCTCTGCAAAATGAACACAGGGAATACTGATGAAATGTAATGGGACAACTATTGAAATAGAAGTTTTACTACGCTTTATATACCAGGGAAAAAAAAAAAAAAAAAAAAAAGGAAAAAAACCAAAAGAAAAACGGTGCATACGTTCCATGTATTTTACAGTCGTTGTCGCTGTTGCTCAGTCTACTAATCGTCTATTTCCCCTTCTTCCTGTTGATTGAATGGTTGCCGTAATATTGTTTGATCACTTGTTCGACTTTTCGATTTCTTCAGTGGAGGGAAATGGAAATCATAGTTATGGGGATCTATGATGTTTGGATGATACGCTGTAACATTTGTATAGTCCAACGGTTTTCTTTTCTTTCTATTAGAGCGACGATGCTGATCTGAAGGTCTGAAATTTCCATAACTAGTGCTTTTTTCAACAGATATATAATTAAACCGTGGCTGCTGCAGAGTGGCTGCTGCTGGTGGTGGTGGTGGTACGGGTACCTCATGATGGACTGCATTAGAATTGGAAGCATGATGACTATTTATCTGCCTTGTCTCGTTTGGCTCTTTTTTATGGGTGCTTTGTGTAGTGAGAAGATTGTCGTCACTCATTTCTTCAATTTTCACCACCGTTTCTTCTTCTTCTACTGTACTGGCAGCAGCACTTGGAGCTGGCTCAATGAGTAAAATCGTCTTCTTATCAGATTCATCTGCAGGCGTACCATACACTTTCATTTGCTGAATACCGCCATCTGGAATAACACAAAGTCGGACATGGCTAAACACCTCATCTTTCAATATGGAATCGTCATCCTCGTATTTGAAGACCGTGACTGCATTGGGCTTGATCGATTTTCTATCCACTAAGCATTTCCAAGTGGTGTATAAATCGTAGTTAGGATCGTCATCTTTTGTCAAGCAAGCGTCAATATAAACGTGCGTTGGTGAATTGTATTTGAAAGCTGTAGTATCAATTAAAATACTGTTGATTTTGCATGTATGGGCAAGCTGGACAATTTGATGATCGTTTCGCGAAACACCCAACCTTGATCTAGGAGATAACCATCCATTCGACCTATATGGATGAAACTGTTAAAAAACAACTTCTCTTTCCCTTTTCCGTATAAATTTATACCTACATTGTCCTCCCATTATCCAAAAGAATATTCGATTTGTTTCCGTAATGGTTATCTGTCCAGCGCACAATACGTGCTCCTAAAGCTGCCGATGCTAGATTATGCTCTTGAGATTTATCAGAGAAATCTGGCGATATTTGACCAAATGCTCGAAGTCTGGCCTTTAAAATGGAAAAAAAAAGAATTGGCCGTTAATCCCATTGTATGCTTTGATTCGTGTCTTTTCAACCTTATCGATCCCTAGTTACAAAAACTTACAATGCCTCCAGCAGGTACAACACTTAAACGAATTCGGCTGTATACGTCGTCTCCTTTGAGTGAAAATAAATTATGAGTATTGACATGTAGGACTGTTCCAGATAAGATCGTTTGCCACTAGATATTTTTATAGATAATCACAATTTTGAATCAGTATTGGATGCTCTTTCTCCAAAACGATTTCTGTAAACATAGATGAAATGTTCTTTACTGATTGATCGGAAACTCGATAAAGTTCAATTGTAGCATTGGAAGGGCAGCTATTCACGAACCCAGTTGTATCGATGTCAATGCCATAAATCTTACTAAGACTGCAAAACTTGATTGTGACACTATGGAATCTGTCAAGTAAGTTCTCTCATCCAATTCGGAATTTTCGCTTTACTCTCAAGTATTTTATTTTTTTTACCTGGCAATCGATTCATGTCGTTTTGTCAGCCAACCATCAGGGAATTCCTCTATCATCAAACCTGCTTTAGCTCAAGTAAAAGATGCTGTTTACCAGTAGGTGTTATCTTACCGTCATCAATGGCATGGTCTTTGTTCGTGTCTTCTTTCTTTAATAAATTCTTTGCCTCTCCACAGCATTCGTCACTAACGCTTTCAATTTTTGCGTTTAAAATTTCTGATGTGACTTCTGCGTGCTCCAAAAAGCCGCTTTCCTTAAGGCTATGTGTTTTGAGCCTCTGGCATGACGAACTAAGTACGTTCCCCATACTTAAAATAGAGTAGCAGAACTATGCAGAAAAGTCTCTAATTAGGAAGAAATAAAGAGAAAGGAACATGAAAATGCACAAAAAAGAAAGGAAAAAAAAAAAACCAAAAAATCTTGCCATCGGAATTTCAAAGATGCCGCGTTCTTTCTTACGCTTCCACCCCTTTGGAGAACAGCCATAGTGGTAGCCAAGTAATTTACTTCTTTACTCTTTTCATTCATATTGTAACTTACAATTTCGTTTTAGCGTTCTCTGATTTGCAGATAAACGTATAAAGTCTTTATTCACTCTAATTTTTTACGCTAAAAATGTCAAACGAATCATATCATTATACTGAGAGAGAGTGTGTCTGATACCAAATATTGCAAAATGCCCAATGCTTCATGTGTTTGTGTGTGCGAGTCTATGTGTGTCTGTATGTCTTCAAACTTGGAAATACAGTCTTGGTTGGATTGCCCATTGTCCTATCATCACGAGAACAACAAGGCGCTCATTTGCCCATGCCTATGTTTACCCTTCTTTCTCAATTAGAATGGTGATAAGATTCGGGCAGCGAGCTTTCAATAAATCGCTCTATTCCCAAATGCACGCTCGAAGCGAACAATAAACCCACATGAAAAAGCGGGCTACTCCCTATTTGTCATGATCTAGGTAGAAAACAGAATCTCCGAATTCACGTCAAATGCCGTATACCCTCCACAATTTAATCATGACATTTATGGTTCATCATTTCTTTTTTTCTTCCTTTTTTTTCTTTGAGAAAGGACGTTATTGAAGGCTTCCATGGTACAAATTCAACGAGAAGATGTTGGTAATCAGATAAGGAGCCTCCAGCCGAATAAACGAATGCCATCATTATGCTCTGCGAATCGATCTTTTGGGTGGAGAATAATTTCAGAAGACTACGAAAAGTGAGCAAGAAAAAGATCTTATAATTACAAATGGACCATCATGGCTCAAACTGCTACGAATATCTGATTTAGGCATGCAAAAGCTATACGGTCTGAAGTGCACGATATTATCAATAGCCGAACTGGGAAAATAGAGAACTATCTCACCTGCATGGCACTGTCGGAAGTAAAGAAAAAAAAAAAAAGTCCTGGCCAAAATTCATGCGATATAGAAAAAAAATGCTGAACCTAGGCTTTTTACTTTTTCAAAAAAAAAACCTAGGATGGCATTGCAGCCTTAGGTTCTGGTAATAAGGAAGGTCCTCTCTATTTTGTTCAAGATCTGTCAGCAGTGAAGGATATCCCACAAGGACCCAGATTTAGGGTAAAAAAACAAAAGAAACAAAATAGAAAAGTATCCAAGATCAACTTCTAATCAACATTTTATCTCAACAAAAGCTTCTTTCTCAAGAAGAAATAGGCGCCCCTATTTATTCTATCGATTGGTCAAACAACCATATACTTGTAGGAACAACAAAAGGAAGCACAAAATTGCTGAGGTTTGACATGGATTACGGTAATGGTCTTGTTAAAAGCTTGTCGACCCTTGGGGAGTATGATATTCCAATTTCTGAGGTAATTATTGCTGTCTATACCAAATGCAATAGCAGTAGAGTGCGTATTGACAAATGACTGATCCCGACCACAGATTCCAATGAGCTCCTCCTCTTTTGTTCCCAATACACACGTCAAAACAGTACAATTCTCACCCACATACGGTAATACGAGCGCAGGTGAATTATCTATTCATGAGGCTTCTTCATCGTCGTGCTTCCTCACCACTGCCATATCTCAGCTGCAAATATGGAATGTCGAACAACCAAGCCTGCCCCTCATGCGTAACAATCCAAGTGAACTACCGCTGACAACTGCTAGTTGGTCCCCTACGCATCCTCATTCTTTGATTGCCTGTGGTGGTGAAGATAAAGCGATAAACATCATCGATATCCGTGTACCACCCTCTACTAGCGAAGAGCAGCAGCAAAGTGTGTGGAGAACTGAAAATGCTCATGACAGATCTATTCGAGATGTTCAATTCAACCCATTTATACCTTATTGGCTAGCTTCAGCAGGTATTTGAGGAATGATGACCGAGATGGGTAGTCACTTTTATGTTATATCACCCCCTATGTTGCTAATATTGTTTTTCTCCCCCCCCAGGCGAGGATGCTATAGTCAATATTTGGGATATACGAGCAACATGTCAGAAGCCTGTAGCAAAAATCGATGGACTTAATGGTATAGTTACTTCAGTAAGTTCTTTTTTTTTGTTTTCTTTATTGTTGTAGTAAGCATTTTGTATTTGCTTTGCTCACATTGGTTCCGCTAACTTTTCATGATCTGTCAAGGTGACATGGTCCAATATAAGGCCGGAAAACCTTTGCACCTCTTCTGATGATGGTGCAATGCGTTGTTTTACCCTTTCGCCTGAACAATTTCCAGTGTGGGATACTTATTACCGACTTGCTGACTATGACTATGATGATACGTTACCGATAGTACGCCAACAATCGAGGGATGCAAGCACGATATGGTCTTTCAACAAAATTCATCATCAAAATATAGATAACGGACCTTCATTCACACATTGGTTGAGTCGACTCTCGAGTACCACAGAGGGTCAAACGGAGATGAATAAAAGCAAAAAGAGCACCATGCTTCTTACAGGTGCGTTGGGTTTAGGAGAATGGGGTATTCCAGAACCAGGCACTGTTTATAAAGGCGAGAATCTCGCCAATGCTAGAGGTTCTGTTATGCAAGGTATGTGTTTCACTCATTCATGTGTTGTACAGCTTTGTGTAGTTATCTTTCACTAATAAAGAGGGCGCGCGTCTAATGTATGTGCTTGTTCTTCTTTCCACTTGTAGTGAAAGCTTCAAAATGTAGACCTTGTACATACTATTCCATCACGGATGGGGGTCAGTTATCATCACATACAGTTAGGTTTGACATTTCAAGTCACCTACGAAGCCGACATAGGTATTCACATAAATGAATAAGCCGGTGAATACATTGAGCGGAATCGAACTTATATGATGGCTTTTCTATTACAGATTTGATCCTGAAGATAAAACAGATCTTTCAGCTGAGATTGAGGATGATATTTACTGTCGAAGGATATCTAAAGCGCAAGAAAAATTACATCTATTAAAGATCGCGCCTATTCATGACGAACAAGAGGCACGCCAGCGAAGAGAAGAAGTGGACTTTTTGGAAGAGTGTTTGATCTTACGTGACCCCATCACCGATTGGGCTCCGAATTCCATGCCTGATAAATCAAAAAAAAGGATCTCTCGCCGATTTTGGAGCGAGGACGATTTATGGGAATCTGCTATCAATACCTTCAAGTTTGATTTGAAGTATTGGAGCTATCGTATTCCACCAGGGTGTAACACCGCTTTTGCGATTCCCGTAAGTGGATATAGGATTGAACCCATCAGGTCTAAAGAACCCGACATGTTCCTAACCGTAATTGAGTTTGCCTTCATTTTTGCAACAAAACTATTTCCATCAGTTAGATTTAAACGAACCTATTATTGCACCGCATTTAGTTGAGGAAGAAAAACTGGTGAAAGAACTTCCGCCGCTTGTGGGTCGGCGCGAAAGTGTCGAATCGTTTTATGCTTATACTTCACCAAAATACAACCATGACCTTTCGGAGCAAGTGGACGCTAGCCTACTAGAATTGAATGAAGATGAAACATCAGCCACGAAGGAAGAAACAGAAAAAGGCGCCGACACAACCATCATGGAAGGACGCGATGAGCCATTACCTATCAAAGATAGACGAAGTAGGAGGCATATTCCTCCCATTTACACTCCGAAGCAATCGATGGATTTAGGTCAGCATCAGAACATGCCAACTCCATTGACGCCGCCACAGAGCGCCACAGATACGAAAGCACCAGCTGCCAGTGAGAATACAAATCCATTTATCACGGAAACAGAGCATTCACCCGCTCCAACGCCGCATGTAACCAATCCATTTGAAATGAATGAACAGGCGAATAAAGCTGCCGCTACCTATCTCGCTGCACAGAATGGAGGAGCATCAACAAATCCATTTGAAAACGAGACTTCTATTGGCGCCTCTGATCAATCAGGTACATATCCTATCCATCTTAATAATGCAAGAACTTTGCGGTCTTCGTTCGATAGCTCACTAGAGGAAGAGAAAAATCAAACATCAGAAGTCAAAAGCAAACATCATCATTTAATGCGTAATCCGTTCAAAAAATATCTGTCGCGGAATAGCAGTAGGTACAAGGAAGATCATCAGCCATCGAATGTAGACAACAATGGCAATAGGATCAATCGTCAATCCGCAGAGTTAATGAGGAGATTCTCCAGTCGTAGAAATGCTCTCCATGGCCCTTTTTAATAACGATAGAAAGAAGCTCATGTGTGCCTCCTTAAAGTTTGCTCTGTAATTTGAGCCTTTTTGTTTCTACTCCCCCACGTGTTCAGACTGTGCACAGTCCCCTTTGTGGTTGTGTAACTGGAGCCATTACATCATTTCATCAAAATACAAGACGGATGCATTCGAGATGTGCATTATTCCTGTCTGCTTTATTTAAAGAACCCGACAGAAATATTTTCAACGATTACAATAGTCGAGTAATTATTTAAACGGTTTATTTTGTTTATTTATAATACATATGGTCATGATATCAATTTATCTTGAATTAACACAAAAAAGCAATAAATGTACAAGAGTATAAGCGTAATGGAAAGTATATAATTTACAACGGGGTTCAAAAGAGTATACGCACGGAGGTCTCTATGGCCATGCGCACATTTTGAAAGAGAGGGTATGTAGCTGAGGGGTTATATCTAAGAGTACAAGTCGAGTAAAGTAGGGATGCTTAAAGCCACGCGATCAATAAAGTAGTAGCCGCATACAATATCAGGAAATGTTGGAATCAAAAAAGAGGCCAGAGAAGAAGCGTTGCTATTCACATTACTGGTTGTTGTAGGTATTTGCCGCGCATAATCTGCCGGTAATTGCGGTCTTTTAAGATCCCCCTCATCATTGCTAGTAGTGCTCCTACTGTCATATAAATGCCCGTCCTTTATCTTATGAGTCCATTCCGTTTGTTGCTCTATCACTGTCTGCTCCTGGCTCTGCCTATGTATGATGACACTTTTTCTAATATTATAAATTTGTTGGTGCTTTTGTCCCGCCATCATCCCTGATGTAGCAGGTATTAAACATGAATCCAAAATGCAACCTGATTGGTAAATGGTCATCATTTCTTGATATTTGTTGGTTCTAGAAAATTCACTTGCACCCGAGAAAGATCCAGCCCTTGTAGGCGGTAAATTTTTCCTTATATCCCATAACGATATCAAATATTTCTGCTGCTGCTGTTGTTGTTTATTGCTATTATCATCGTTGTTTGGGTTCTTCAACAGCAGTTTTCCATGAGAAACATAGACATCCTTCACTTTGAAACAGTAATGGTTGGAACACGTGAAATCAGGCAGTATCCATATAAACCTGTTCAAGCTATCAAATGAATGATAATATAAAGGTAAAAATGATTCATTCCTTCCACTGTTATTGGCTGGCAGGTTGGTAGCAAGTTCATTTGAATTGGTAGAGACAATATTGACTATAGGTTTCTGTTTATGTAATCGCAGCTTCTGGGTTAATGCTTCATCAATAATTGTTGTACCAGGAAATGCTGCATATAAAGCTCTGTAAGAGGACAGTGGTAAATAGCTGAATATATGCAATATGACTTCCAAAGGTAATCTATCCATTCAATGTCGTTTTGATGAAAGAGAAAAAACAAAAAAAAAAAAAAAAAGAAGGGAAAGAAGTAGGGTTTCCCTAGTTTTTTAAATAATGATGATGATTAAAAAGAAGGTTTCCCCACAAATTCAGTAACCAACAGGCTGCTGACAAAAAGAATGGATTAACAGAAATCCAGAAATTTAGTCTTGTCAAACAATCAATTCGGCATAAATGGTTACAGTCTGCGATATACTTCACCTGAAATTTTACAATTACCGTCGCTTCTGTTTCAGAGCTTCCTTTCATGTTGACTTGCTTCTTAGATTGAATACATATTGTAACGATATAATGATGAATTAAATGAATCCGAAACAGATCTTTATTTTTTTTTTCTTCTGATTGGTCACGCTTCTACACCTATGACATTACTACATTTTTCAATAAATTGAAGGGATGCAGTACAAACTTGAAAAGAGTTAGGATAGAATTTGATAATTTTAATAGCTAGTGAACAATCAGGTGAGTTGGTTGATATTTTGATTTAGAGTAAAAGGGAAAGCTACATTGTTGCTTTGACCTCAATATGATTCCCAAGCTACCTACTTCAACATAAATATATGAAGGCTCGTATCCTAAGACATAGCTCCAATGACTTCTTTCGAAATAGCATTAGAGCCATACAAAATATATACTGCTAAACGCTTAACGAAAAGTTGTGCACTTTCTTAAAGACGTGTAATTCACTGTCAAAAACACCCAAAACTTTGCTTCAAAGCAAATCTTTGAGTAGTGCTGATGGTATGACATCTCACTGTTTCTCACCATTGCAATATGTTCTCTGTTACTCTATTCAATCGAAACCATAGTTTTGAACTCTCTATTGAAAGCAAGTTTTTTGCCCGTGCACTAACAATAGTTTATTTTCTGATCAGACCAACTCCAAAGGGTATAGTGATTGGGGTTTTGATGGTTATTATGATTGCGAACGCTGACGTTCCAAATTCAGTAAATGCGTCTCAACGCCTGTGAGAATGTTGTCCCAGGATATAAATATTTCTGATAGTGTGTTCACCTATGAGGGGATAAATGAAGGGGTAAGCAAAGATAAAAATAAGTGGCGTCTAACACAAATATCTGAGAAGCTATATCCTCGAGGATAACAGTGCACCCACTTACTGTTCCATTGTACCGTTCCATAAAGTCTGTAATCTGCTTCGTTAATCTATGGAGTTCGGTAACTTGATCTGTATGTGACATCTCTAACGGCGCTAGCTTTGGTTCCAATGTATCCACTGCTATAATGGGTGGGATTTTCGTGTTTCAATTCCTACATATTTGTTCACGTCCAGTATCGGTATTACTGCTCGTTTTCCTTACCAGCTAAATCAGATCCATTAATCACATATTCCAAATCTTTGATTTGCTTAACTTCTTTTGCAAACTTCTCGATATCTTCTTGAGCATTTAACAGTAACTCTACTTTGACATCGGAAGCCAAATTCTCACGTTCCAACATAAAGGTTGATGTAACGGGATTCAACTTTTCGGAATGTGCTTCATCTAACAGAATGGAAAGAAGGAAATATATACGCTTAAGTTGAGCCTGTCCGACATCTCTTCATCAGGTTGTTGAGATATTCTTGGTAATCACATTTTCTTATAAAGTCTTTGATGGGTTTATTTTGTCTGTATACATTATTCAGTTCTTTTTGAAGCGCTTCTAATCGTTCTGGTACTGTTGCCTCGTTGAGGGTGGTATTGCTGTATTGCTCCTGTTGACCGAACAGAATGTATTCTAAATGTCGTAATCTTGCTCCAAAGCCGTATTCATCCATTATTCAAATATTTCTCTACTCCAACAATTGGAATATTATGTGGGTTGGCAGTTTTTCACGACCTTTCCCCTTAATTTAATGCGTCCTTTTAATTTCGTGGCGTCCAAAAGTAATTCATCTCAGTCTTAGATTGACACGACGATCATTTCGTTTCCACCGATCCTTTTTGTGAGAGAATATCCATTTGCCTATCCACCAAAAGCGCAACATGGGAAAGAAGATTACATATTTTATCACCCGCCATACCGGGATCAGCGAAACAGCTCGAGTCTATGGCGATCTTAGAAAGCAAATTGCTGAATATCACAACGCAGGAAAAATGAGGAAAGCAGGGAAAAAAGCGATCGAGCTACTTGAGTACATTACAGATTTGTGTACGGAAGAGGAGACAATAGAACCAAAATATGATCAGTACTTACAAAAATCCATAAACCTCTGCGAGCATTATGTTAAATATATAAAAAAATGGCCTGATTTATTTTGCACAGCACAAAAGGCACTTAGTGCAGGTTATTTAGTGTAAGCGATTGCACATACTCTTATCTTTATTCAGCTACAGAAGGCTCATACCTTGCCGGCATAATAATTAGGTTGAATAACTTTGAAAAGGCCATTGGTCATGGTAAAAAAGCCGTTGAGAGGCTACAACAGTCATCTAACCATGACAATATAAACGCTATGGATGAAGATCGAAAGTATCAGAAAGAATATCTACAGACATCCTATCGAGCACTAGGCAATATCTATTTTCAAAAGAGCTTACATCCAAAAAATGCACGGCACGACGATGTCGAAATCGCTCTACACTACTATAACAAAGAACGTGAGATACTTGCTACAATGGCGAAAGAGGATATCGAAGGAAATGTAGACGACAATTATCTTGAAGCCTTAATGCAAGCTTCCAATTATAATACGGGAGTCATGCAATGTAAGGTTCCACATTTTCGCAAGGAAGGGGAAGCCAACTTGAAAAGAGCCATTCAACAAGCCGAGGAACTTAAGGATCCAATGAGCGAAAAAAAGGCTTGGTGGGAATTGGGGAATCTATATAAAAGAATCAAGAATTTTGACCTTGTTAAAAGGTGTCAGAAAGAAGAGCATCGACTAATTGAGGATAATTCTTTTACTGATGATGAGATATACTGCTTTAATGAGCGAAGTAAAGTACAAACACGATTGAGCCAAATCCATTTTCTCATGAATTTCTTCTTTTCTTTTTCATTATTAAAGTGTATTTTCATCTCTTCCTTGGCGAATATTGTAACTGTCTTCAGTTGCATGAGACTGCAATTGCAAATAAGGACGCAACTTCCTCAAAGCCTTTTGTAAGTCTGCTGTTTTTGCTTCGCTCTTCTGCGATCATGACTTTAGAACTTCTTTTTCTGACAGTTAACTCAATGTACTGTATTTCTCTTTGTTTAGGATGACACTTTGCGCACGGTAAAAAAAATCAATGCAGCAAGAGAGCAACTGATGAGTATGGTACATAGAAGAAATCACAATGATGAGTTGTTCACAGCAAAACTATTGAATTATATTGAAATGCTTTTCGAACAAGGGGACAAGGAACTGTATCGCATGGCTTTACAAGCTATAGATGAATATTTACCTGCTATGCTACAAGCAAGAGATTATTCTCACTTGGCCTATGCGCAACTTTTGCACTATAAATTAGAAGCACAATGGGCTATTGGAGAATCAGTAAGCTGCAATATCTTTTGATAGTTCTAAACGGTATCACCACCCTATTAATCGCTTCGCTCGCTCTCATTAGGAAAAACAAGATTATCTCAAGTCTAGCAACGATGCTTACGATTTCGTGAAAACCAACTTACTAGATAGCGCATTGAAGCGGCTTGGACTGCTTGTGGAGATATTATCACTTCGTGTGAGAATATACGAATTTTTTAACAATCCGTTACAAATGAATGCTACAAAAACTATGTTGGAAGAGGCTCAAAAAGAAGAAAAATTACTGGTAAAAAACAAGTTTTCATATAACAGCTGAAGAAGTATTACTTATACAAAGGCATTTTAGAGACAAAAACAGGAGAACAATTACCATTTAATGGAAGAGTTAGCCGGACGCAATCGTATAACGCCTTCTATCTCTCAGCTTAGAGAAAGAGTAAGTAGCTCGTCAATTGTATCCATAGACAATAGCAAAATTTTAACATTTTTTAAAGAACATACGAGTGAAAGTCATGACAAAACCTCCAATTGAAATGAACATACATTATGAGCATGCCCCTGAAACTGTTAAACATCTGATGGAAGATATTGCCAAACGATGCTGGGATTTATATGGATTACAGGTAGGTATCTCTCAAAGTTGTTCTTTGCTTCTTGGGTTAGTTGTACTAAACGATGATTTATCTTTTTCCTTTTACAAAGCCGAACATCAAAGCCATACAAACAGAAAATAGTGAGGTCTTACCACAGGATTATCTGCGGCATGTTATAGTGAAAGACAATCAGTTATTTGTAGTAACTGTAAAAAGTATGTATAGCCATTTGAAGCATCAATTGCATTTTAAAGAATTGATCCATACTTACGTACGTTATGTATCAGATATGGTTAATAAGAAACCTATTGAGATCTATGAAAATACCTGCAAACGACTGAAAGTGAAGCCTGTTGAACCACTGATTCTTACCCTGGCTGACCAAACGATTCAAGAATTATCTTTTTCGTCTTTATGTAAGTCAATGACAACATAACTTTTACGAGTACTTGTTTTGGAATTCATATTAATCTGCCGACCCAATCTAGATTTCTTAACTGAACAAGCTACTGTAATCCAACAAGTTATTGAGAAGTGTTACATTCTTCAATCTCTGGACCTGTCTTCCAACATGTTATGTAAGTCCCACTGGTCTCTTCTTGTGGTTTATAAAAAGAATGTGAACTAAAAATTTACAAAATCCCCAGGTAACAATGATATTGCTTTCCTCTTGAAAAAGGCTAACCCAGGGTTAGGAGTGCTTCATCTGGGGAATAATTGCTTAACAGCAGATTGCCTCGATTCTATCAAAGTCTTTTTGCAGTTACGCTCACTTAACTTATGCTACAATCCGATTGGCCCAGATATCTTTCGCAAATTTCATCATTTCTTACAGAAATTACGATCGCTAAGAGTTATCGATCTTGAAAATACAAATATAGGCGACCAAATGGTAATTGATGATGTTCTGTTGCATAGTTACGAGATGTATAGTAGCAGTAAAGGTATTTTGCATTTCAGCCAACCAGAGCTTAGGGTAGACTATCACGTAAACTCATCAAAACTTGTGTTGCCAATAGCGTTTAATGCAGCCAATCTGACACTCAATTTGGGAAATAATCATTTCAAAAATGACATGTTATCGCAGCTCACCTCCTTATTCTTACACATCAACCGATTATCGAGATTAGAATTATCAAGCATTTTCAGTGATTCTGATTGGATGAACTTTGCAAAATTATCTGATTTACCAAAGTAGGTTGTAGTCCCCTCTTTCTTAATGCACCTCATTTTACTTACGAGCATCCTACTGTTAGGTTAATGGAATTAAGTTTCAGATATACCAATCGACAAACTTTCGATTACTGCCACTTTGATCCTTTTTTCGAAGCAAAACGAACCTTAACACACTTGGATTTAAGCAGCTGTGGTTTGACTGCAGATGGTAAAACGTAGCAAAGAGAGTGAACAACTCGAGAAGCGCCAATGCTGATGAATTACTTTCTCAATTTTTCCAGACATGATTGGATTGAGTCATAGCCTTGATCATCTCTTGAAACTCAAAAAACTAACACTGGATTCCAATCCAATGATTGGGGTGAAAGGTAAGAAAATTGCTGCTGACACGTTGCAAATAATCGGAAAGTACTAACTCGATAGGCTTTAGGCTTGAATTACCTAGACGGAGTTGTTGAAAAATCAAAGGTAGACATTCTGGAAATTACCAACTGCGGCATATCAGACGAAGGTATACAACTTATTGTACGCTGGATTTATCGCCTACGCAGTCTTGATGTTTCGCAAAACCGAGATCTGCGTTTATCGCAGACTGACATTGATAAGCTATCTGACATTCTAAATAATGAGAAAATGCCAAGAAGAATAATATTAGATGACTTTAGGGTACGTATATATGCTTGTAACTGTTAAGCCATACAACAACAAAAGAAATTGCTACAAGATTATATATTTTATCGGCTAACCCTGATATACATTTTACGTAATTGTTTGCTGACATCCAGAAGGAATCACCAGCAAAAATTTTTGGATTATCTTTTCAGCCAAACAGTCAATTCTCTGGGTCACCCTTCGAAGCAGATCAATAGACTTACTTACTGCAACCGTTTTTCTGCACTGTGATCGAGATACCCCTCCCCCTCCAAAAAAAACCCTTATACCAGGTCACTTCTAAGTGCTACCAACTTTGCGAAGTCCAACAGTATATATACACTTTTGAATGGGATCCTGAGCTAAAATTGATTTTAGATGAATTCTTCTCACAGAAGTAGAAGTAAAAGAAGGTCGCTAGAATTTCCTGCTCAATCCAAATAACTGCAGCCTATAGCCTTTCTCAAACGAGTGCGACTGTTCCTTCATCAAATTTTTTCTCGTTGTATACTTTCTGTTAAAAAAGGAACAAGATTCATTGCGAAAATAAGAATGGGTGGACAGATAGGGTTGCCAGCACTTGTAATATATAAATTTACAAACAAATTTTATTCTAACCTCTGAAACACATTATACCACAATATATGGTTATTCAACATTGAGCAGCAGATTATTGAATAGCTTGGCACGACTATAGTACAAGTATTCACTGTCATATTTTTGTATCTTGTTCGCCTCCTTTTTACAAACGCTGAAATATGCTACTTTACAATAAAATTCAATTCTGCGAATCTTCGCTTGTAGAAATCCTCTGGTTACCAATCGACAGTCTATACACAAATGGTTCTATTCAAGATTGCATCGGGTCTGAAACATTGAAAGCAGAAACAACAACAACTTTCCCGTCAAACCACTCATCCTTCAATGGGCAAAATGCATGGTGTATTTGCAGTCTAAAATATGATATCCATCATGGAAATCCCATAACTCATTTGCAATGACGTGCTATTATGTATAGAAGCTCTCATCATGGAAACTTTCCAATTAATAATTCTTTCGTGTCGATATTAGCTATCCTCATCAATGGGCGATCAAATAGCAGTATTGTTCGACTGAACAACTTCGTTTTCTGCAGTACTACCGGAGCTGGTAGGGTTTGGATGAATATCTTCTAGAACCCATACTGTTCAAATATCGACTCGAAATCATGCGGTACTGAAAACTGCAAATGTCATAATGGATTTTCTATAATGTATCTGCAGTTCACAGGCAGGCTCTGAAGGCAAACATTGTGGATATCCATTATAAAGCGCCAAATGATGGAAGAGGCGTTGTTATCACAAAGTAACAATGTTGCTTTCTGTCTTTTACGAAATGCAACATTTGTTATTCAGAGTCTCTAATCGAGATTATGTGATGTGACGACATAAAATAGGGTATGGCATGAATGGCATTAAAAATTGTTGACATCCCATTTTTGATTATGCATTATCTGCGAATAAGCTTGAGCGATAGCTGTCAAAAGTCCCATTTACAGCCGTGCTGTCCAAACGAGCCCACAAGATTCTCCTAATTAGTATTGACAACTGGCAATGAGAAACTCGATTTCTTTTTTACCACTCGAATCAGGATCTCAACGATAGTTGTTGAAAAGACGCGAAAAACTCTCTTTGTCCGCTTTGTAGAGTTTATTCTGATCCCTTTTTTCCCTTTGAACCTCATTAAGCGTATTTTAATCCTTTTACTTCTTTCCGGTCGAACCCGGACTTTTTCCTTCTGCCTCAAATATTGGCGGTTCACTGGGAAGAAAATGACTACCACAGGCTAAATTTCTCTGTACCTGATGGTCGTTAGTAAGCATCCCCCTGATTCGACGACATAAAAGGAACGGAGATTGAAGTCAGGATCAGATTCTGGGGATGAACTGCTGCTCAAGAAAATGCCGATATGAACAACTTTGCGAATGAGCACACAAACTTCATGTCGATTGGCAAATGGCTCGTCTTAGTAAGCGTTGTTCAGATTCAGCAAAAAAGCTCATCAGATGGAAGATGAATTTTTTTTTTGCGGCAAGTGCGTTGACAAATCAGGATTATCCGTTCCTTCCAGCAAAATTTTCAGCTATAAATACTGATGACATTCTACGTTGTTCTTCTATTTTCTTCTTCTTTACTTTTCATTATACTCTTATTTTAAATTTTAGTATACATACATAACAATGGTCGCTCAAGTTCAAAAGCCCGCTCCCGAATTCTCTGCTGATGCCGTCGTCAATGGCGAATTCAAGAAGGTCTCCCTCTCTGACTACAAGGGCAAATATGTTGTCTTCTTCTGGTACCCTATGGATTTCACCTTTGTCTGCCCTACTGAAATCCTTGCCTTCTCTGAACGTATCAAGGAATTCGAAGCTTTGGACACTGCTGTTATCGGTGCCTCTACTGATTCTGGTAAGTTAAGAGTCATATATACTTATTAGTTGGTCAGAAGGGGATTATGGCGGAAAAGGAATGAAAGAAACGCGTTACTCACGTACCCTTCTCTTTGTAAAATTATATTTTCTTCTTAATAGAATACTCTCATCTTGCCTGGATTAACACTCCCCGTAAGCAAGGTGGTCTCGGTGAAATGAACATTCCTCTCATTGCTGATAAGACCAAGAAGATCGCTCAAGATTATGGTGTTCTCCTTGAAGATGCTGGTGTCGCTCTTCGTGGTCTCTTCATCATCGACCCTAAGGGTATTGTTCGTCAAATCACTATCAACGATCTTCCCGTTGGTCGTTCCGTTGATGAAACTCTCCGTCTTATTGAAGCTTTCAAGTTCACTGATGAACACGGTGAAGTTTGTCCCGCTGGTTGGACTCCTGGTAGCAAGACCATCAAGCCTGATGTCGAAAAGTCCAAGGAATACTTCGAAGCTGCCAACTAAATATGAATGACCTATTCGAAAACACTTTATAACCCCTTAATTTAAGTACGCATCGTTTCTCATTCTTTTACATCGACCTCAAAATTGTTAACTTATGTATATAAATGAAAATAAAAAAGAGCAATCTCTTAAAATATTTCTTTGACTCATTTTGTCGAAAGTTCAGCTTACTGAAAATTTGTCAAATATCAGTATTTTAAATGTTATACAAGTTGTATCGACTGTACTGAGTGTTGAGCAGCGTATTACAAATAAACTATCTGTTTGACAGGCAGTACTTGGGAACGGATATATAAGATGCCGCTTCAAAAATTTTAATATTATCGTAGAAAGATAGGTTCATGCGCTTAAACATGTAATAAATGTTCAATGAGATTTTCGATTTAAAAAGGTGCTGGTATTTTTGTCATTTCCCAAAATCAAAGGAATATCGATCGGTGCTAAGGTACATTTTACGCACATATAATCTGACTTCAACGACAAACAGTTGCTCGGAATTGCTCATTTTCGAACTGAGCAGCACAACGAATCTGCTAGCTATTGACAGTTTCCCGCTTGCCATATTCGTATCTCGGGCTCAGCTGATATCAGGCAATTTGTAAGGAGGCCGTGGCTGGTGAAAAGTTCGGCACCGACCTAGCCACAAGTAAGGAAAATGATGGAGACCTTTCGGAAGTTTCACCTGTCAAAAGGATAAAACAGATAAAGAAAAAGAACAGCGTCCTCAGAGTATCCGAATCCGAAAAGATAAAAAAGAAAGGCGTCCTCAGAGTATTTGAATATAGTTTATGATTTATGAGTAGCTATTTAGCAGCAAAAAGGTTGTTCATAATTCGTAACAGAGGACTATCTAGATGCTACATTGAGTCAATTTACTGACGTCATCTTTGTTTGAAAGCGTGTATTATGCGATTGCAGGAGTGGCCAATACGAATTGAGAAACTCAACTCTTTGTGACGTAGTTTCTCAGTCTTCGGACTAGATTTTATTGGGAAATGTAGAAGAGGGGGAAAGAGAAGAGGGGTGTATGTTAATCAATAAATGATTGGTGTGGGGCAGGAACAACAATATCAGCTGGAGTGCTATTATTCACTTTTCAACAGCTTGTCAACCAGAAAAAACCTTCCTTTATAACAGTTCACTCTTCTACTACATGTCATTTCGTGCAGCTACACAGCATGCGTTGAATGTACGACGCATTATGTCGATGACTCGTCAACCCCTCAGCATCACGTCAGCCCGTAACCAATCGACGTTAAATACCGGCGAAATACTTGAAGATCCCCAGATTGGTGATTATCCCAATTTGCCTCGTTATAGTGCACAAACGAGAGGACCTTATGGTTGGGATGATCCACAGGATAAGCGTAACTTTGGAGAAACTGTAAGCTCTCGGCTACTTCAATTTTATGCATAAAATAAATAATTTTGCTAATGATTCACATATTCACATATGCACCTCTCAATGAGAATAGCTTCACGAAGAAGACGAGCTTTTCGGTGTTTGGGCACCTGATTTGCACCATTACAGTCCTTATAAAGCTTTATTCCAATTCGGCCTTGCTACAGCTATTTTTGCTACATTTGCAGGCATAGTTTACAAAACCTATCCTGATAAGCCAGCGGTAAGTTACACGACTTTGTTGACAAAACCATTCAATAAAAAAATTGGAAATTGGGAATGGAGCGATGTGAGATGATAAGCATACTTATTAACCGTTGTCATCTATTGACAAAAAAAAAAGGTTCCTCGAACGTATCCTTATAATGGGTTAACTGAAGAATTTGGCGCACGTGAAGGTGATATTCGTCCACGCGGAGTAAGGATTGACTGAATGATTACAACCTATGCGGATAGATGTTGTCGCTAATAGTTGTTCTATAATCAATCTTTAGGCTCGTATTGGAGAAGAGGATGAAGAATAAAGAAAGAAAAAAGGATGTCATTATCAAATTTGAGAAAAGATATATAGAACCCTATTATGGATTATTCGATCCATTAACCTAAACGACCACACACTCTGTATACATTCCATACACACACAAAGCTACAGCTTTTGTGATTAAATTTATTTATAATGCTGCAACTATCAGCAAAAAAGTAACTCTTTCGTTTCGTGGCCTGCTTTGGATTTTTTACTGTGATTCAAATCGGACTTCTTTCCCTTTGTGTTTGATTGTTCAGAAGGGTCGTCGAGAAACTTCTGTTCAGAATGTTCATTTGGAAATAAGTTTTTTTTCAACAAAAATGATTTTCGAGAAATGAATATAAAAGGAAACTGAATTTATAATTTTTCTTCCCCTTTTTTGTTCTTTCTAACTAAGAAATTCTAGTCATAGAAATGAAAGTTATACCTATTGCTGTACTTGAAGACAATTACTCTTATATTTTAATTGATGACAAAACAAAAGAGGCTGCTGTCATTGACCCAGTTGAACCTTTAAAGATATTGAATTTGATTAGCCAAACAGGCTCAAAACTGACAAGGTGAAGAATTGGCTGTTCTATATGGAAGTATCTGTAGCCTTATCACTAAAGTATTTTGAATTATAGTGTTTTCACTACACATCATCATTGGGACCATGCTGGTGGAAATATAGAGCTTATCGGTAATAAGAAATAAGTTTGGATTGTTGGAAAATGCAAAGCTTATATTGATGAGGAAGGTATGATTCTTTTTTTTTATTATATTAGCCAAGAAGCCTGGGTTGGCCGTATATGGCGCGGATGCCCGCATTCCAGAAATCAACTATGTTTGCAAAGATCATGAAGAATTCAAATTCGGCTCTTTGGTTATTACACCGCTCCATACGCCTTGTCATACAAAGGGCCATGTATGCTACTATGTGGTGGACCCCGCCACAGGTGAAAAAGCAGTATTTACAGGAGAGTATGTACCAAATCCCAGCATTCAATCTTCCATAGATATACTGATCAAAAAAATTCACAAACTATCAATATGACAGCACATTATTTATTGGCGGCATAGGAAAGTTTTTCGAGGGCGACGCGCGCGATATGTATAGAATTCTTTTCCATGTGATAGGTAATTTACCCGATGAGACGTGGGTATACTGTGGACATGAATATACAAAGAATAATTTGAAGGTATAATAATAGTGGCCAGATAATTGTGCACGGTTAAATCGCCGTTACTGATATTTCTCGACGTTGTTTAGTTCGCTTTGACTATTGAACCTCATAATGAAGCACTGATCGCTAAATGGAACTGGTGTCAAGACAAAATAAACACCGTTCCTTCAACGATAGGACAGGAGAAACTCTATAATCCTTTCTTCAGGGTGAACGAACAGACTATACAGATGGTAGTTGGAAAATCAGACCCAGTAGAAGCATTACATACATTACGTGAAATGAAGAACAACTTCTCATGAACATAGCGAAAGTTAATCTTGCTTAGAATTTATAAAGCATTCTATATATCGGCATCGGGCATCATTAAACTTGAAACAAACAAAAAAAAAAAAAAAAAAAAAATGTACAAAGCGACAATTACTTTTATTTTTTGTGATTATTTTCATATTTACAGAAACCTTCAACGATTAATCATGACCTGGATCCATCAATTGTTGATCCACAGTATCTTCATACTCACTATCATCTTCATTATGGGGAGTAGCAGAAGCCAAAGGCTTGTACATATTCTTATTATCAGTGATGTTGGCCCAGCGACCTGATTTCGGTCTCTTTCGAACAGAAGCACCACTGACAGTAGTCCATTGTTGATTGTCATCATTATCTTGACCATGTTCAACTTCGTCAGGCTTCTGCTTGTTTGCAAAGTTGCTAGCTTCATCAGACCGATACATTTCGTAATCTATACGCTCAGAAGAGAGCTGATCTAGTCTTTTCTGTCTTTCAATCATTTCTTCATCATCTTGAAGCGTAACGGAATCATTATTGCCGCCACCATTGCCGCTACCCTTGTATCTGTTCCATGACTCGGATTGTTCACCATTATTGTTCTCACTATTTGAAGGAGGCATAGGAGGAGGAGTATAAACTTCAGGATCTTTGGACAAGTCGAGAGGGTGAACAACCAGAACAGAATTTCGATCTGGGTTAGTGACAATGGTCCTTCTGTTAATGTTCTTCCTTGCTCTCTTACGTTTAGCAATTTCGTCAAACAATTTCTGACGCTGTCGATGCATCATATTGGAAAAATCAGATTTCTTATTGCCCGATTCTTGATTTTCATGATAAGTGATATTTCCTGCGCTATTTTGTTTCTCGTTCGCCGTATTATCATCATCAGACCACTGATCACTGTGATCGTCGGATGAAACCAATTTTCTGTGTCTTCTGTCGGCAGTCAGACGACGCTGGAATCTGAATATGATGTATACGCAAATAAACTATACCAAAGGAAAGTGCCAATAAGTGAGCAAAAAGTATGTACACGTTTAAGCAATGTGTTTTTTTTTTTCTTACCGAGAGCACCGTATAGGCTAGCCAAGAAGCAATTCGCTCAGTAGAAAAACTCTTCCATTCGCTCTCACAAGCAGCACGGACTCGTCGCATATCGTCGTTTTCTTTGAAACCTAGATCCCACCAAAAGAACCGACTTGGATCGCGTTGAAGACAAGTATCCATCAGGATGTACTTGTAACTGGTAAATAGTAAGATGACATGAACCATGCCAACTATAAAATGTATAAAGTTGATAATGACGAGTCCAACCATGAATATAGTGACTCCGCCGACGGATTTCTATACATCAAATTAAATGGTGTAAGCAAATGTTCTCACATTTCAAGCAAGTGTTGGAAATTCTAATGTATTTTTACTGTAAGGGCCATGATGAAACCAAATATACTCCACAAACTCGTAACGCCAATAAATGCAATATAGACGTAAAAATCACCCATTCTGTAGCTGTTGACCCAATCTATTGCACAAAAGTAGAACTAGTTACAAAATGATTTCCTTCCTTCTGTTTGAACCTTTACAATCTCTTACCGCTCAAATACGTGAGATCAACTGCCATAAGTGCAGGACCCATAAGCTTTCAGGTTAAAAAAAAACGCAAGATCTGTGTGAAACTCTTGTTGTAATGATTTCGAACAACTTTCAAAACTTACGATCAAAAAGAGTATGGTAGCACATGAAAACGCGTGCGATGTCAGGATACGCGAGATTAAATTTTGCCTTTTCATCTTCCAGTTGATTGATTACTCAGTGACAAAATAACAAAATGAAAAGAGCAACGACGATGCAATATTGCCAGAGAAGTAATTTAACGTCGTCTAAGCAATCATGAAGAATTGTGTAATGCAAGGAAAGTCAGTGGCTTTTTATTATTAATGTTTCGAATAAGCAGGCTTTTTTTCAAGGGGCAAGTGAAACGGACGCAATAAGGGCAAATTCTGAAAATGTGATATAATGCATATTATAGTTTTTTCTCAGTTCTAGAACAACTCATACATTTTCGCATTATCATCGGAGGTTCATCTGTGATATTGCAGAGCAATGATTGTCGTTTATCTAAAATTCCATATAACGTTTCCGTAAATGTATGCCGAACCCGGAGACTGTTGTTGACGTTCTTTGTTGCATTAAACACTCAAGACTACTATTTCTACTTATTGACAGGTAATATGGAGCTTCTGTGAATAAAAATGGTATCATACTCTGTAATCTCTTGGCCTTCAATTGAGTCAACATCCTTGCGTAATACACTTGAATCATCGTTGTCGTTGCTGGCTATAGATAACTCATCATTGTCTGCTGTTTCGTCAAGTAAAGGATTTGATGAAGTAGGCACTAGTCCAAGCCAACAAAGCCTAGAGCAAATTTGAAATAGTCTTATTATATGATGTGTTGACCAAGTTCTCTTCGTCGCCAATGTAATGTATCTTAGTGAATTTGTGAATGTTTGAGGCTCTTTTGCTCCGTCACGATTGGTATCTTTATTATCAGGCTGTTCGCTGGTAGTGCTCGATACAACAGTTTCCTTTGTAATTGAACGAAGTAAATAATCTGCATGCAAGTGAATTTGACAGCCAACAATAGACAATTCCTCTAAATGAGGGCAATGGTGCATAAGTCTGCCAAAAGCCGCTGCGTCCAATGACGTATAATAATTACCCCTCACACTCAGCAGTTTCAATTTGCGTAGAGGCAGCGACGGATAGTATCTCCTTTCCAACTTCTTCGTTAAGTCAAATGCGTGTTCTGAGAGTGTCGTCCATCCGTCAATCGTCAATTCTTCCAAATTGGGACAATTCAATAAAAGATACTGTACGATATTATCACGAACACCACAGATGCTGATAGACCGAATGAGAGAAAGATGAGGCTGGAGTATTGGTACGAGCTCTGTCAGTTTCCATAATACCTTTTGACGCTCATCCTCCTTCGATAGATGGATAGACTTTTTCAAATGAATATGTCGCCACATAGAAGGGTCGTCAGAATACTTGAGGAACGTTTTAGAGACCAGTCGTGCAATACTAAGGTCAACCTGGCTCAAATTGTTGAATATCTTCCATATGAGCTCCGCAGGTAACGTAAACAAGCGGGAAGGTTCAGCGATAGTCTTCATTAGCAAAGTGGATAAAGGAAAGCTATGAAAAATGAAATATAGAGTTCTGAAAGTTTGTAAAAGTGATTAAAAGAATTTCAGGCATGACGATTTGAATTTTTTATACAAAAAAGAATACCGGCCTGGACCGAGAAGTTTAATGGCTATAAAGGAGAGATTGATGCCTTTGAACTAATATATATGTATGAAACGCATGAGAACAAAAGAATTCTGTCATTCTCCTAGAATTATGAGAATTATCCTTATAACCGCGCCTAGGCCTTTTAAAGCTTAAGTAGTGTGCCAAGGTTTTAAGAATTAATTTGTGTACAAAGTGAAGTATTTCAAACAGGTTTATTATTCGAATCAACTTAAAGACCAATAACTAGAAAGAGATTTTATAGAAAAGTTAATTCAAGTGTAGCGTTACAGCCGATTACACTGTTCAAGCGTTAATTAGCTAAAAAACAACGTAACAAGATAACCACGTATCAACAATGTGTATACAAAAATAGTTGACATGGAATAAGATCACACTATATGTCTGGATTTGCTATCTCAATGTGTAGTCTTCCGACAAGGTAGTTTTTGTGAAATGAGCAACAGGGAAAAATTCTTCAAGACAAATAAATTGGTCCTTCAAGCTGACGCTTCTGCAAGCCTGTAGTTTATGAGTTACTCTGGTCGAACGGTGCGGCAAAGATGGAACATACATTGAGTTAAGAATACACAAGGAAGTAATTGGTATAGTTTACATATAAAAAACGAGAGGTATCTTTTCACGATTCGTAGTCATCTAATTTTTCGAACGCAAAATGTCTCTTGTTCAAACTACAGCTGTCGTATTGTTATTTTTTCTCCAAATAATATAAAGTATTGTCACTGGAGTGCTTTATAAATTCCTTGACGCCTACCAATGAAGGATGTCCTTCGATAGGACCATTAACAGCTTTATGAAAAGAAATAGACTGGTTAAACCGCTTCATCATATCAATCATGGAAGCAAGATCAATAGCCGGAGGCAATCCAGACCCTAGTTCTTGAGCTCCTGGGAAATCTAATTTCTCAGGATGATTCTTTATGTCTTCAAAAGGAATGCCATCTAATTTATAGCCCATGTCTGTAAACACATTACTGCCGATATGAGTGCATTCGTTTTGATCCCAATCCACGTCATTCTGTATCATGCTAGCAATATCATCTATGCGTATGTTCAGAATAGCTGGGTTGACCAGATTCTTTGCTATGTCTTTGACATAGTTTTCAAACTGCTGCTTAAATTCAGGTACTTCCAAAATCTTTCTGAATAAAGGACGGGTAAGAGCGTTAGGAACGGTATGATAATTGCCACTATACTGCATGCTTATGTTGAACAAAGTGTTGCCCATAGTCATATCGAAATCGGTGGGAATATAAAAAAAGGCGTTATTCTCCTTAGGGTTTTGATAAAGATAATAATTGTCTGCCATGGTCAAGTATCCATCTGCCCACGCAAGAAGAATCTCAAGAGCCATGGAACGAAGAAAAGAATCAGTGTTTAAATGCTTTCGCCACTCTTTGACTGTTTCAGTCTCTTTTACTGTAGGTGGCGATACTGTTGCCATAGGTGCTGTGTTGTGGTTATCGGCATTACGAATTACAGTGAGATCATTTGATGAAGAGCCTGTTTCAGCAATAAACTTTGTAAAATCTTGTAATGGTTTGAAATTTGATTCTTCGTGTTTGCTGAGGCTGCCTTCCTTTAATGTGTATTGTCCAAGTTGATAATGAGTGATATTTTCATAATAACTAAGATCAGACGTGATATTGAGAGCCGAAGATGCAGGAGAACTGTAAGTAGCTTGGTATAAGTTACCAAAATTACGTTCTGTATCACCACCTTCAAATGAGTTAGCAATCCAAGGGTCTTTGAACGTTTCCACCAGACCATACAGCCCCAATTGTTGACCGTTCATAATGACTCGTGCATAGCTGAAGCCAGATGACAATATACCTGTAGATTGAATCATGTCATATGAGATCTTTTCACGAAGATAAGAGGGGTCGGATGCTAATGATCTAAGCTTAAGACGTCTGTAATTGTGGAATCTATCCTTTTTGGCTAATTTGATACCATAAGAGAATTTAGGCATCCATCGAGAGCTTCTTCCTGATAGGGACAATTCCACTTTTTCGAACTTTTGAATGTGATTGAGGGTGATAAAAGTTACGTTGGTATGTACGCCAAAATCTTCAGTCATATTACTTTTATGTAGTTTGTGTAACTCTGCATTATCACCCTGAATGTGAATGGTAGTAATTTGGTTTTCCGGGTGTAAGTCTGACTTAACTTTATTGATGGTATTCAAAGGCGCATACAGTACTGGCAATTCAGCAATAGGGTAAGTGTTTTGTGTGCGATTGTAAAATTCGTAGGCAGTGTTCTCTTGAGACGGGCTACGTAAGAAAGGTTCTGCTCTTGTGTTATTGTTTTGGTCAAATTCAATATAATGGTATCCTAACGCAGCTACAGGTGCCTCCCCCGAATGGATAATTGGCGAATCTACGTTTGGCCTTAAAACATAGGTAATGTTATCAACAATTACACCCATTCTATCAGTCTCGCTCAACACCTTGATCACATTATATTGAATGGTTGTAGGAGGGACTCCCTCTGCTTGTGCACCCAATATTGCGGTAAGTGCAAATACTGCAAAACAAACCAAAACGGAACAAATTAGAACTACGTGTTTAAATGTTTCAATTTTGTTGACGTATCGTAAGAAACTCACGTTTTACGAGGAAACTACCCGCTAACATGTTTCCGACTTTTGAAGAGGTAAACAAAAGAAGAATGAGTTTTATTATTAATGCATTTGGCCATAATTTATAGCTGCTGCGGCAAGGGTTTTGGTTCATGTCAGATTAAAAGCAATACTTTTTCTCTGCTTAAATCTCATACACAAACGCTGGTAAAATGTACGCATTGTGCATAGCTCTATTTTTATTTATTTTTTCTGCACGAACAGGAAACTTCTTAATCCTAAGTATTCATGTTCGTTATATTAATTTATATGAACACCGAACAGCAGGAAAAGGGTGTATGTTGACCATGCAAGGGTTCGATGATGACCAACAAAATTTTTGTTCTGGTTATCAGCACTATAACAGTCTGATCATGTGACGGCAGTAGTTTCCATCTAAAAGCGCAGTCTGCAGATGAACGCTATAGATTAATTCTTTGCAGCTGGCAGTCTATTTAGCAGATAATAGCAACTTACAGCAACATTAAAAAAAAAAGTTTTTACAATGAACTAAATAGCTCAGCAAGTTTATTGTTATAGTTATGTAAGCAAATGCTGCTTACAAATGCTGGGAAAATTTGATTGGGTTGCAGGTTTTGCCCTTTTGAAAGAGTTGTTCTTACTATTAAGCATTCAATTTCTAATAAGCTTATAAAGTCAATACAAATAAAATGTTCACGGGTCTAGTTGAAGTTATGGGCACTGTCTCTAATATTAAAGAGATGGACACGACTGAGTCTGGTGGCAACGGTTGGACCATTACCATTTCAAATGCTGTAGAAATTTTGACAGATTGCCATATTGGCGACAGCATTGCAATTAATGGTGAGTTTGTGCTAAAATCGAACAAGGGCAATACCTGTAAGGTTTTTACCATATATCGCTCCTACTTTTACGATAGGTACATGTTTGACGGTGACAGAGTTTGATAGCAATAGCTTTAAAGTAGGCGTTGCTCCTGAGAGTTTAAGGTGCACCAACTTAGGTAAGTACTGACGACGTATGCTGCTCTATCATTCGTGTAGCTGAATGATACACTTCTGTTCGCAGGCGATTTGAAAGAAGGTGATAAGGTCAACTTGGAAAGAGCCATGGATTCCAATAGAAGGTTTGGAGGGCACATGGTACAAGGCCATGTTGATACAACGGTTAAAATCATTGATGTTAGACCTGAAGGAAACTCTATTTGGTACACCTTTCAAATGGATAAATCCGACAAAGACAAGATGAGATACATCATACCTAAGGGCTTCATTTGTTTGGATGGTACATCACTAACTGTGTGCGATGTAGATGATGATGAACGAACGTTCTCAATAATGATGATCGCTCATACTCAAGCACACGTCATTATGACATTGAAAAAGGTTGGAGATAAAGTCAATGTGGAAGTTGATATGTTGGCCAAGTATGCTCTAAAGAGCGTTGAAGAAGCTCTCAAAAGTAATGAAGGCATCGAATCATTAGTGAAGCGTTTATTGAAAGCCTAAACTTTATCAGTATTACCGTTTATATACTCTCAAAAATTAAAACTACTATGTATTGTGTACTTTTATTAGTTTAATAAGGTTATTGATGTAAATGGATAAAAAGGCAGAAACATGAAGTCAAGATACATGTATATGAATGATATATTACAAAAAATTATGAATGAAGTGGGCCGTGAAAGTACGTTTCTAAGCGCGAGCAGGAGCAGTGCTGCTGTTATTGCTATTCTTATTGTTATAGAAATTCAGAGTATTTTCACTTGACTTTTGAACAAATTCCTTGACACCAGCGAGAGAGATATGACCAGTGGGACCATTGACGGCTGTCATGAAATCAATGGTTTGATTATATCTGGCTCCAAAATCGTTTGAGGTGGCTTCATCGAGATTAGGAATATTTGTTCCAACTTGGTCAACAATGGCAGATAAACCAGGATTGTTGGTCATACTAGAGTCTCCCGCTGCTTGTACGATTTGAGACAGATCCATAGAGCCAACACGGGGACAAGTCTTGTCCCATTCAACATCTTCCTGAATCATAGAAGCGAGATCATTAATACGGTCATTCAAAGCAGCAGGGTTAACAAGTTTTTCAGCCAAATCCTTCAAGTAAGCTTCGAATTGTTGTTTAAATTGTGGAACGGCTAAAATTTTGGTCATCACAGGACGAATATTGATGCCAGGATATGTGCTGTAATTACCACTCCACACATCATCTAACTTGAACAAACCTGAACCAAATGTCATATCCAAATCAGAAGGAATGTAGAACATGGTATTAGTCTTTGGGTTCTGATAAACATAAAAATTATCAGCCAAGGCCAAATAACCGTCGGAATAACCAAGAATAACTTCCAGAGCCATAGATCTTAAGAAGGAATCAGTGTCTAAATGTTTCTTCCATTCCTTAACTTCATCCGTTTCTTCAACAACAGGTGCATTACTAACCAACATTTGAATATTTTGTGTAATATTCTGTATAGGAGCGGAAGCAGTAGTGTTAGCGTTGGTAACGTTGGCATCAGAAGGTGGAGTAGGTACACCTGTTTCCGCTACGAACTTGCAGAAATCTTGTAAAGCCTTGTAATTACGTTGCTTCTTTTTGGCATGCTTAGCCTTAATCTTGTATTGACCAAGTCCATAATGATCCACATTCTCGTAATAACTGAGATCGGAGACCAATTTGACTGTAGAAGCATTAGCAGAAGAAAAGACACCTTGATACAGATTACCGTTCTTGTAGTTTTCATCACCATTAGCGAATGCAGTGGCCAACCATGGGTTTTGGAAAGCTTCAATGATACCGAATAAACCAAGCTCTTGATTATTCATTAAGACACGAATAAAGCTAAAATCTGATGATACAAGACCAGTTTTTTTGATAATGTCGTAGGCAAGTTGTTCACGAATGTAAGAGGGATCACTGTCTAAGGCTCTAAGTTTGAGGCGTCTAAAGTGGTATAATCTATCTTTCTTATCCAATTTTAAATTATAAGAAAGCTTGCGCATCCAACGGGAACTACGACCAGATAAAGAAAGCTCAACGTTCGAGAATTTTTCAACGTCATTCAAAGAAACATATGTAATACTGCTATTCACTGTTAGATCAGCATTGCTGTTGTGGTGCATATTATCGAGCTCGGTTTGATTAGCGGTGATATAAATGGTGGCAATTTGACCGTCCTTGTGCAGATCAGACTCCACTTTGTGAATAGCCCCCAAAGGGGCGTAAAGTTGAGGAATTTGAGCAAGTGTCCGATTATTCCATGTGCGATTGAAGTATTCATAAACTGTGTCAATGGTCACAGGACTACGGGAGAAGGACTCCGCTTGTGTGTTGTTGTACTGATCTAACTTGACGTAATGATAACCGGATTTAGCCACAGGAGCTTGACCGGTATGAATAATAGGCGTTTCAGTGCTGCGGGATAATGGATATGTATTATTATCAACCATAACAGCCATTCTATCTGTTTCGTTCAATAATTTGACAACGTTATATTGAATCAAGTGTATATTGGCATCGGAAGATTGTGCATTTACGAACGCAGCGAACGCGAAAACTGTCGGTATGAAAAGTAAGGGACAGTTAGCAATGAAATTGTAGTGCTTGTGCAGTTAACAATCAGCTAACATACGTATAGGGAATGCTTTGAAGGAAACCATGTCTTTTCTTTGGCGTTTTTAGCCTTCAGGTGAAAAATGGAAAGAAAGGAAAATTTGACGCATTGAACGCTCTTGATTGCCTTTTATAACAGCAGAAGAGGAAAAGCTCTTTTTCCTTAGAGAGTCATCGGGCCGAGAGCACCGTACCTTTGAAACTAAAAGCTGGTCTTCAAATCAACTCAACGTGCTTTCTAAACATTGAATACATATAAAAAGCAGGCATACAGCGAGAGAGTAGCAAACTTTTATGATTAGAGAGCAAGTATTAGTATAACATCACACATATCTCGTTTAATATAAGAATGGATTGGGATCTTACCTCTTTACTTCACATGTTAATATGAGATGTAACCTTTGTAACTTGAATTTCCTTGATTTTCTTGGATTCAAATCGTACAGCCAATCCTTCCAAAAATGTAGAAAATTGTATTCCGTCAAAAATCGGATAATCCTAATTCGTTATAAGATAACCGAAAAAATGAGCCACAAATCCACTAATATTTTAGAAAAACAGAAATAGCCAGACAGTTTTAAATGATGTTTATGTTATGACGTAATATTAATAGTCTGCTGATTAGGGTACTTTAAGAAGAAAGTAACTGTTTGTTTGTACGCAATTTAGATATTGCATAACTTCACATCGATTTGCAGATTAATTTGCGATTTGCAGATTAAATTTGCAGTTTCTTGTTTTTGGTGTTCAATCTTTCTCCAATCGGACATGAAGGAATAAGACAACCCTTTTTCCCGCGAAAGGGAAAAGTTTTGACAACAGAGATAACTGCATCGTATTGGGAAACAATCGCTAGAATTGATTTTATCCGGCGATGTTTACACCTTGTGCACTATAAGGGTATTTAAGCCATTAAGTAACTCCGTTCTCAGCTGGATTTTAGCATTTTCAAATATGATCTCGGCAAAAGGCTCCTAGCATTTCTGCGACACCATCCTGTCCGAATCCAGGTTAAACCAATGACAGTTACTGCTTATTGTTTTTCGGTTAAGCTTGCAAATAATCTATTTCATGATTTCGGTCTGTACCGTTTTTAGATCAAGTAAGAGAGAACATAGAGCTAGAAGGTTACATTATACAAGGTTTCCGTTAAAGCTTCAGCGATATCCTTTCTTCATTAGCAATTCAAAGGTGTAGGCACTTTATGCATATCAATCTCTAGCTCTTGTCGTGCTATATGACTTTTCACGAAAAGACCTTAAAAGCGATCACTTTTAATAAATGGTACCTCATCAAATAATAATTCAGCGTATATTTTATGAGACTGCTGAGTGTTTTCAACTATATTGCCATTATTGCGATTGATTTGAACATTTCACAGCCGAGCACACCCTTAACTTTGTATCTTTATTTTTCACAGGTAAAAAATTGAAATTTCAACAGCAGCAAGAGAAAAAATGATGCCCTACCAAATATTCCAACTTACCTTTCAAATTCCAATTGTAACAGCATTTTACGATGGATTCAAATATAAATTCAACTGTTGATGCTCGTCAAACTGTCGAAGACAAACTAAACGATCTACTTCAACAATTATTTGAGCTTAGTGTTGTCGTTTACGATTTTCAGCCAGATGGTAACAAACTTGTTTGGACAAAAATGTAAAGTGTAGTACATTCTGTTTTTGAGATAACTGAACGCCGAGAACTCATCGTTTACTATTGCTGTAATAATCCTTGTTATTCAAACAGTAATAACATCCTTGAGCACTACAGAGAGTTGGATGATTTAAAAAATAACCTTGACTCATTTGTTCCGGAGGAAGTGATAAAGTAGAGTATACTGGTTGTTCTATGATTACGATTCCTTTGAGCAATGATTAAGTCTTGTTGCCTATAGTTACATTGAACAAGGGCGAAACCCTGATCTATTCACACAAGCTTTTGTGGAAAGAACAGCAACGGAAAATCAATTCACTAATGGTAAAATCAAAGCTGTTAGTGTAAGTAGTGTTTGTTCATCGAAGATTTTCATCCAAGTAGTTCGTACTTAACAGGACTTCTTTCCTAGGAATTCCGTACATTATTATCAGAGGAATTCAACAAGTCGTTCCCTGACCTTTATGACAATAATCTAAATCATATGTTTAAAGAAGTGAGTGAGCAATCTTCACAGTCAATTGAACCATCAGCAGATACGACAGCAGAAACATCAACATCTTCATCTTCTGCGTAGATGCATCAAACAGCAATTTATGTTTAATTTAAAGAAAAACCACATAAATTCCATATACCTTACCATTCATCCTTACTGTATATAGAGTAGTAGTGCTGATTTACAATCTGCACTGCTTTAAAGGACGAAAAGTGTTTAACAGGAAATCATTTGTATTCTGCATAATTTTCCATTTTGCAAGATTTTTTCCCTCTTTTATTCATAAGAATGTCATTTGTCGATCTTGCCTGTAGTGATGATGATCCGCTGTTTCGCGAAACACACTATGCACGTTATGGCTATGAACGAACGTAAAGGATTTATTCTTAGACACTAACGAACAATTTCGCTAATAAATGCTCCTTTATTTGCCCTGTAAAGCAATATTTTTGGCCTAACTATACTTGATTCGAGATTGTTAACTTACATGAACAAACCCGACGAATTTCCCTCCACACGATTACAATCATTACCCGATGCACCATTGACTGATTATATCCAACGTAAATGGAACAGTTACCTATTTGAGGAAACCTTGATCAGGAAATTGATTTGCTAACGTCTTACGATAAATATTGTTATTGTACACATGTTAGCATTATCAAAGCCTGTAAGGCATTTTTTAGCAGCGTCAACTTCTGAGCTAACAGCATTCCTATCACGAGATGGTTACTGGAATTGTCTTTATGTGGACCTATGTGACATAGAACCGGGAAAATCCGATGTAATCGCTGTTGATGCCATAGAAACCACAATTGATGGTGATATCAAACTATATATAGCCTTAGCAACAGCTGATGATAAGGGCCAGGTAAAACTCACATGGATCGTTTTTAATTTCATCTGATACCTTTTGTAGCTCATCACTTACTGCTCCAACGAAAGGCAGAAGTTAAAAAGAAAAATGGCTGCAGTAATGCACATGCCAAAAGCGAGACCAAGAATGATAATGAAGGTGAAGAAAATGGAGACGGGGATACTGACGAAGACGATATAGCTTTTTATCTTCGCATTTATGGAAAGCATACAAGTACAAAACCCTTTCTGGAACAGGCTTTATTCGAAATTGGCAGCCATTGCCAAACAATAGCATTATCGTCTCCACCGTTGCAGATTTCGCATGCACAGTAAAGAATTTGAAACGAAGGCTCTTTAAAAGGAAATTGACTGCTGATCACCTTTTCTCTTTCAGAATCGAATATGAAGGTCGCTCACAATTCGCTTTCTTGCTTTCTTTAATGAACGGTATTATCCACTTTTACACTTTGGTAATTATAGGCTACAACCCTTTGTTGTATTACTTGTTATGAAGAACTTGTGGGGTTAATAATGTTTTATCAAATTCTCCATGTATCTCAACGAAGAATAAGGACATGAACGAATTTATAGAAATCTCATGCGCAACGTACTTTCCCATGCTGGCTAGTATTTCAAATCACCGTATCAAGTGAGTAGACAAAGACCGGTAAAGACATTCAAACATCTGTCAGATGGAGGCGTTTTCCATTAATGCTTGTCCTGAATAGTATTATGTCTATGCATATTCTTGATCGGCCCAACGGTCAACGCGTCATCTGCGCGGGTGGGCAAAATGGAGAGTTATTTTTAGGCCTTTACAATAAGGAAGGAAAAGAATTAAAATCACATGCTTTACAGATATTCAGCCCTATCACGTCTGTACTTTTATTTCAACCAAGAGCATCACTGACAGGTATATATGCAAGCAGATTTCGATTATGAACCGGATACAACCAAGTCTGACCGTACATTTTCAAGTTCGTGAAGACGATGAGCTTCATTTAGTAGTAACATGTGCAATTGAGCAAGCTATTGTCTACAGAAATGTTGAAAAGAACGGTTTATCATTCAACAAAACGCTACCGTTGTCAGGCAATTACGATAGTGTATTATGCTCGCATGCTATGGATGTCGACTGGGATGGAGAAAAAGAAATACTGATAGGAACCTATGGTAGACAGGTGTTAATCTATAAACAAAGTCAGTTGTAAACCAGCCTTTTTTAATCTCTTACCTATGACGTATGAAAGGTTTACATGTTTAAATTTCTCATTGCATATAATGTAAATCATAGTTCCAGGAACTTACTCATATACAGTTTTGTGGAAAAGACAATTCGCTTATCCAATATATCGTATGACACATCTCGATCTGAACAGAGATGGTCTAGACGAGCTGATTGTAACTACTATGTTTGGTGTTCATATATTCCAGGTAGGAATCACATTAGTGCAAATTATAGAAACCATTCATCCAACATTTCCTTGAAGCCCAATATGAAAAAAGCAAGAGATAGGTTATTAGAAGTATTACAATATGTCGAAGCACAAAAACGTCAAAAATATGAATTGTTAATAGAATGGCAACGACAGAAAGAATTAGAGAAGGATATCATTTTCGAGAAATAAGCACATGCTCTTAAGGTGTCGATTTCAAGCAAGTAAAGTAATATTAGCAGAACTTTATAATAAGAAGACATGTCCATAAAGTCTTGTTATGTGCTAATTTCTATAACTATTTATGCTCCTGAGTCACGCCAGCAATACATCAAAATCTATAATTTACTGTTAAAAATGTTGGAAATTGAATGCTTTGATAACGCACTTTTATTGTATCGTCTAACATGTGCACTTAATATAGCTCGATGATATGGACTTTTTTTTATATATTATTGGGTAATTGCTTCAGTTATGTTGCACTGTCAGTATATAGTACATCGAAAAAGAACTAAGAGCACCAAGTACATCAGTTAATGAAACTTTAGCTGGTTGTACATCTTGTTCAAGTACATCAATGATATTACTATTGAAGGAAGTCTCATTTGACGTGGATTTTGTCGCGACATGATATCTATGCATCATATTTTTTAGTTGGTTTTTTGTTTTCGATTTGATTCAATGATTCGTAACATAAGTATAGGTGTATCTTTGGCAATTTAAAGGTCCAAAACTGGAAGATTACCGAACTTGCAATAATCACGACCATCCTCTTCCATATATAATATTCAGCCTGCTTTAATTGGTTTCAGCTGGAACTTTTATATTGTACCTTTGAATGATTTCCGAACAGTAATGGTGGGTACAACATAGTATAATTCAAATCCTTTATGGCATTGATGTAGACATTATGCAGAAGGTATTGGATTCATTTCAATGTACACTCACATCAGTAACAGATCGAATATGTGTGATAATATGAAGAAGTGGAGATTTGTATTCTGCATAGTTGCTTGAAATTGGCAGGTGAACGGAAACAATGCTCCAATCACCCCCCAAAATGAATGATACATAACGTGAGTATAAGCAACAAATAAACAGAAACAAAAAGTAAATGCATGAAGCGAACACATGAATTTACTCGATTTCATGGCATAGAATCGAGATGGTTTTGAGCTTCTTTTGATTTGTGTAACAAAACAGATGACTGCAACACCACAGTCAGTTTTTAAATGTCTCGTTTCATAAGGCGCATTATTTGATTCAAAGAAAGAGAAGTTTTACGCATGATTCAAGTAAAGGCATTTAAACATTTGCCTCAATAAAGGTATATTGAAGAATGAAATATATTTACTGGATATATACAAGACAATTTTACATGAATAAAAAGCATAAAATAATATGGTAGAGAAGATTATTGGCTATGTACAGGTCTTATACGAAAGGGTACACGTTAGTTGGTCATATGAGAAAGTTCAAGCTCAATGGCATCTTGATGCTCTCGAATAAAGTGATCCACTTCTGATATATCGACATACAGATCAAACTACGATGGTTCGAATTGTGCGTGTGAGCATTACAGTGTCAAGTAAGCAAGCAGTATACGTTGTTTCTTACCTTTAGAACGCCTAGAAAGCTTCGTTCCATTTCATTCAATTCCTTGGTTGAGTATAGGGCGGAAACCACTTTGTAAATGACCACAGCATGAGAGTTGTAGTCTTCAATATATTTGGTGGCTATAATTATAGCAGCTAAGAATAATTTGTAGGGTGTATCGTATTCTCCTTGCGCTTGAGGTGGTAGATTTTTCTTCAATCTTTCCAAATATATCAGCCCTATGACGAGAACAGTAGGCGAGAGTTTACATTTCTTGTACACTGTATGTATAAATGTTGATAGTTCTGGAAGCAGTAAATGCTGATAATATATACGCTCCTTTGAGCACTGAACAAGGTGATCTATATTAGATACCATATAGGATAGTAAAGGCTTAGGGCTTGAGTATTTGAAAGTGAGAATTGGAGAATGAGACATAACTTAATGTAAACAATGACAAGACAAGGGAAAATAGAGAGGGAAACAGGCAAAACTCATCTTCCTTTTTATATTCGAGCATAACCCGCAAACGAGATGAAGTTACTATCAAACGTAAATAAATAAACACTTGTTTGATCCTTTTAATCCATATTTAGGCATATTCCCTTTTTTTCAATGTTAAATGCGAGAATATTTGGCTGCAAGAAATAACATGAAACAAGTGTTCTTAATTCGAGGTCATTTGACTGACCTTCCCTTCCGACATCTATCATAATGTATATTGATACATACACGTTGTTTCCAGTATCTTTCTCACAATATACAGCGAGCGCACTTGGAAACCTTAACATCGCTCATAAAGGGTGTCATGAAGCAGTACTTGGATTGCTCTAACTTGATTGTTTATCTAAGAAATTATTAGTCATAATTTGATAAACGGTGTTGGAGAAAAAAATAAAATAAAAAGTAATGTTAAGCGGCGGAATCTTTTGGAATTCTAGATCTCATTCTTTCAGCACCTAGAAAAAGCCAAACTATGTTACAGTCGTACCAACGCCAGGGGGCGGCATTCTGTAAAAAAAGGGCCGGCAAAGGAAGTGTTTTTTGAGACCTTAAAAACTGTTTTTTGAGAAAATAAGAACTGATTCTTTGAGATCATGAAAGCCGCCCTGATTTACTTGTGAAAGCCCGCCTTCCGTCCTTCTTTTTAGCTGTATTGCAATGCTCGTTTCAAATTTACTTTAAGGTTTACGTTCACAGTAAAGCTATCTCTTGATGCTTTTTTTATTCTTCCTACGCATTATGATAAACTGTATCTCTTTACAAGATGAAGTAAAAAGTGCAGACAAGACGAAAACAAATGTGGGGCAAAACTGCGTTAGCATGGCAATTTTCGCCCAGCCAAAAAAAATGAAAAAAATAAAAAACTAAAAAATAGCGAGCAGTAACATGAGTCATTTTCTCTTGAGATACTGAAATAAAAAGTGGACCCCATCTTCTTGTCGAGCCAAACTTACGAGAGTCAGTTTCATTATTTAGAACTGGAAAAATTAAGACTACTCTCGACAAAACAGAATGACCAGTGACGGGATGAATCATTTGCAAAGGCAACTTCAACAAAAACTTGATCATAGACGTCGAATATCGAAACTTCGTCGACTTGTCATTAACCCAACCGACGGTATAGATTTCTCTTCAAATGACTTTCTTGGACTTTCGCATTCAACATTATTTAAGCAGAATCTCCTGAATGAAATGGCTAAGAGCTCTCATGTTCTGGGATCTACAGGTTCCAGATTACTTGACGGCAACTCAGCTTACTGTGAGTGGTTGGAGAGAAAGATAGCTCAGTTTCATCACAGTCCTGCAGCGCTTATTTTCAATTCAGGTTTTGACGCCAATACAGCTTTGTTCAGTACTTTACCTCAGCCAGGAGATATTGTGTTGTACGATGAATTTATTCACGCAAGTGTGCACGAAGGCATGCGTTTGTCTCGGGCTGAACAATGCGTACCTTTTCGACATTCGAATGTAGATGATCTCGAGCGATTGCTCAAAAGATATACATCAAATACGTCTGTAAAAAACCACAAGAATATATTTGTTGCGTTAGAAACTGTTTACTCAATGGACGGTGATATTGCCCCATTAGAGAAGATAGTAGACCTTTTAAAGAGATTCTGGCCTAATCGGGAAAATGGTTTTATCATAGTGGATGAAGTAAGCATTTTGACTATTTTATTCTTGTACACGGAAAAAAAAGAAGACTTGACATGAATATCTTATACTTATCTATCAGGCACATAGTACAGGCGTTTTTGGAGAGAAAGGACGTGGCATTATATGTGAGCTTGGTCTAGAACAAGAGATTTTTGCTCGATTACACACGTTTGGAAAAGCCTTAGCAAGTCATGGAGGTACAGTGCGGCAAAATAAAAAAGTTTCAGGAACGATAAAACAAAGGAGCTGACATAAGGACGGGTTTTTTTTTTCTCCATACAAAAAAAAAAAAAAAAAAAAAAAAAAAAAAAAAAAAAAAAAAAAGCCGTTGTGTTAGGATCAAATACCTTACGCGAATATTTGATCAATTATGCTCGGCCTCTCATCTATTCCACTTTTATGCCTTTCAGTACTTTGATATCTATAAGATGTGCTTACGATTTACTAGAACAGGGCCAGACACTTCATGTAAGCCATAACATAATTTAGAGAACTGTGTGCATGACGTTCAAATTTGAGGATGCATGCTTAATTCTTCTCAAACATTTCTCTGACAAATCTAGCTGCAGCAACATGTGAAGGAGCTCGTTGAAAGATTCAGAAAAAAGATAGAGCTACCAGTAGGTACGTTATTACCTTCTGTGACTCCAATCCAAGGGATAGTTCTGAACGGCAACGAGGCTGTCAGATCATTGTCTAAATACTTGAATGAAAATGGTTGCATTGTGAAACCGATATGCTCCCCTACGGTGCCCTCCGGTAAGGAGAGAGTAAGAATTTGCTTGCACGGACATAACACCACAGAAGATCTAGATAAATTGATAAATCATATACATTCGTACTTCAGAGAGCGGAGCTCTATTTCATCTTTACCAAAGGCTGTAAATAAAAAAATGAGTAAATTATGAAAATGATGATCGGTACTTTATCTGGTTGACGCCACCATGACCCCTTCCAATGTGTTTGTACCTCATCAATCCAGTTTTTTGGCACCATTGTTACACCGAAACAGCCCTTTTTTCTGTGTTAAATAGAAAGAATGGAAAGACAGAAAAATCGAAAGAAAAATACAATGTCATCATTGCTAGATAATAAAATGAACCCCGCTTTTTTCGCTCCTTATTTTTATTTATCTGATATGGCTCTCTACCCATTCTTTATCTACCTTTTTACTCACAAAATCCTATCTCTAATTGTGTTTTGAATTTCATACTACAATAGAAGCACAAGGTTATGTTTAGTAGTTGTTCCAAAAGATATAACGCCAGTTACAGCCGAGTTGACGCAGACGACGCAGAGGAGGATGGTTACTTTTTGGAACCCTTCCATCATCCTTACTCCGTTCTTGTAGCCAACCGTGATGATACTTGCAACGTTGTCCCTCTTTTATGTCATTCTTCTCCTTCTTCACCCATACGCTCTCCACGGTCCACCTCGTCGACGCGCCATCATCATCGACGCCATCATTCTCGTTTTCACCGTCATGGTTTTTTCTTCCACCGTATCTCTAAAGAATACGCTAGGGGCCAAAAGGCTTCCTTTGCTTCCTTACCTGCTATGATGATTGCAGATTTGCAAAACGGATATATCCCAGAGCTTTCTTCGAGGGAAGATGAATTAGAAAGTGGCTGGACTATTTTGCATCGAAGGCGATATAAAGGTAAGGAGGGTATTGGCGAAAGCAGACATCCACCAGGTGCCATCATGTTTACCGATGATGATAAAAGCAGTATAAGTGAAGCAAGTATGATTGACGAAGAGATGGACCCTTCTGATCAAGTATCCTGTTCTGTATTTGTTCATTGGGAGCCGAACAACGATAAGCATCCAGCGACATCCAATGATGCCTATACCATGACGATGCCTTCTTTGTTCAATGATCAGTCTAAAAACGAAATTGAGTATCATAGGGTAAAGTAGCACAAGCCTTTGATCACAAAGAAAGAGAGGGAAAGACATCCTCCTTCTCATACAGAAACTCCATCCTATACACTCCCTTCATAGAACTTTAAAGACCCCATACCCAACACAGTGGATAAGTTTGATGAAATTGTACAGTCTGTTCAGGAAGCCATTCAACAAAACCAACAACCCTCGCGTATCAAACAAGGATCGAGTGGCTCCTACTTTTGTCGCAACACTTCGGGTAAAATTGTTGGCGTATTTAAACCCAAGAATGAAGAACCTTATGGCCGTTTGAATCCCAAATGGACAAAATGGCTCCATCGCAATTTGTTCCCCTTCTTTTTCGGACGCTCTTGTTTGATCCCTAATTTGGGTTACGCTTCCGAAGCTGCCGCCTCGCTGTTGGATCGAAAGCTGGGCAGTAATATTGTACCTTTCACCGGCGTCATTGAATTATCCTCTACAAGTTTCCATTACCCCCTCCTCGAGAGACGCAAAAAGGGACCCAGGCCAGCTAAAATCGGCAGTTTTCAATGTTTCTTGACAGATTATAAAGATGCCGACGTGTTTTTCCGAGATCATCCTTATCCCGTGCATCCAGAGGATTCCGAAGATAATGGAGGCGCTTTGTCATCTGTGTGGGCAGGTTGTTTGGGCGGAAGCAAAGGGAATGAGTATGAAGAAGAACAGGCGGAAGACCGTGAGAGAGAGGAGGATCGAGATAGTGAACATACCAAGTATGCTCCGGCACAGGAGAGCAGTAATAAACAAAAGAAAAAGAAAAAGTCGGATGATTTCAGGTGGACAGCTCGTTTGAAGAAACAATTTCAGCGCGAATTTGAGCAGCTGGTGATTCTGGATTATCTCATCCGAAATACAGGTACAATAAAATCACAATGGGACGCATGCACAAAAGAGGCGCTCTTATGAATAACATCTGACAATATGCATTACACGGATAGATCGCGGTCTCGACAATTGGATGATTAAATATTGCCCACCCAAATCACATCAAGCGAAAGGCTCATCATCCTACAGTAGTTCCGAAAACGAGAACCCTCATGCTGGTTTTGAGGAAGAACAAGAGGAAGGTCATATCCATGTGGCGGCTATAGACAATGGTTTGGCCTTTCCGTATAAACATCCCGATGAATGGCGCTCTTATCCTTATGGCTGGCTATCGCTTCCCGATGTCCTCCTTCACTGCTCCTTTTCCGAAGAAACCCGTCATCAGTTCCTTGATTGTCTCTCAGATCCTCTATGGTGGCGCGATACCATTCGTGAATTACGTTCTATTTTTGAAATGGATAGTGATTTTGATGAAGCTATGTTCCAAAAACAAATGGCCGTGTTAAAGGGACAAGGTTACAACGTAGTAAGAACTCTCAAGGACCCTCGTGCTAGTCCGGCAGACTTGGTATCCATGCAGCCTGTCATGATTTACCAAGAAGAAGTATTAGTGGAATTCAACGAAACAGTGTTGCGTAGGAGAGAGTCAATTACACCCTTACATAAGAAAAAGCAAAAACGTGGGTCAAGCCCTCGGCGCCCTTCCTCTGTGGATGATAATGCAGTCTCTAAAGCAATGGACGCAGAAGAAGAAGAAGATGAAGAAGAAGAGGATGAGGATGATCATAGCAATAATAAGAAGAATGATCACAATGACGATGTGACTGATCTAGGATACTTTAAGCGAACAGATAATGATGGGTCATCGTCGAATTGGAAGGATAAAGTGAGACGAAGCCTAACGAGTGAAAATAGTGATAGTAGCGTCCGAAAGAGAAAGCGACGACAAAACAAATATCGCGCATTTGATAGTGAAAACGACGTAGCCGAAGAATCGAGTGACAATGACGATGAATCCATATCTTTACACCCAAAGAAGCGTGTCACCATCATTATGGAAAATATCGAATTAGTCAAGAATAGAACATGGTTTACATGGTGTTGATAACTGTTTTTCGATCCCCCACCCCCCCCCTCACCTACTTGCTTACCAAAAATATTGTACACCTGTCATTCCATAAAAAGATTGTTTTTTTTTTTTCCTTTTACATAACGTACAAACAGAAATAAATCACAGATTTATTATTCAACAAACAAAATTAAATGAACGTATTATAACGAGTAATGGGTATCATGGGAAAAGTGTATAATGTGTATATAGAGTGAGATGGACAAATTAAATTGAATAAATAGTTACTGAGCGAGAGGCGGATGGGTTCTTTATAGGAGACATTTAGGCATAGACATCCACACCGGTCCAATTGGCAGTGGCTAAAGGACATTGATCGACTGAACCTGAGCTATTACCCCACCACGAAGGGAAGTGAATTTCGGTATTTTGGAATGCGAAAAAGATAATAATAGCACAAATAGCTACACCAGAATCAAGCGCAGCCGACAACACATAGTTATACTTTTTCCACCAAGCATTGTGTCTTTTCTTGATGAAAAAGTTGAAAATGAAACCGATCAATGTCCAAGTGGGGGCAACGTTGGTAGGAGCAGGAGGGTAGGGAGAAGGACCCAGCATAGCAACAGCAACACTAATCTTGGCAACCCAGGTGTTTGGGAACTTTTTAGCTAAAAGATAGAAGGGGATGGGGATCAAGAAGCCACCCAAAAGGAAGTAGGGAAGACCATGATACAGAGATTCCTTAGCAAAAAATCTACCAGGACCAATCAGACCCCAAATGACAGAGGAGGCATCAAATAGACCGGCATTAGGACAAGTCCAGGGATACGCAGCTTCCGTACAAATGTTTTTGATAGAATCGAGTAAATAGTTAGTAGTGCCAAGACTCACGAAAGAGGCAATGATAGTGCCAACAATTTGGAAAGTGAACATATGGCGAGGCGGAATTTTCATGTAGTGACCCAACTTCAAATCTTGAGTGAAAAGAAGAGCTTGGCGGACAGTGATATAACCGTAAGTCTTGAAGATCATGTTACCGATAGGATGACCTGGACGGATGGCACCGAATACCCATTCAGTAATCATAGAAATGGTAGGTGCTTGAGAAGTAATGGCAGTAATGATACCAAGAGGCAAGAGCCAAACGAGAGCTAAAACAATAGCAATAATGAGGGACCACCACGGCATGTCAGAGGGGAAGCATATAACTGTGACAAAACTGAGAGCTAAAGCAATGACGAAAAGAACGGCATACCACCAATCAGGAACCTCCTTGTAACTATCCATCAACTTGGCATGAATATCATCATTTTTTTGACGAGCATTTTTAACACGGTTCCAAATATCTTTGCCGTTGTAAAGGATAGTATGGGTGACCATAGCGCCCAAGGCAGCTAAACCTTGACCATAGCAAACAGCAAAAATACCTGTGATACGAATAGGTGAGTAATTTTCATAAGCTTCTTCGTTGAGATATTGTTCAGGCGTCAGAACACGGCTACGATCATATTTGCCGCCCCAAATATTGTACTGGTGGGTGTTGTAGAAGGGAAACTTCTTGCTCTCCCAGGTGTTCGTGTAATAGATGATAGGGATGAGAATATAGAAGAAGAAAACAAAGCCGCCAAACATGTTGGCTTGCACCTCCCAAGGAATAGCCAAAGGACTGGGATACCAAGCAGACAATTGACTCCAATCTAATGTAAAGCTGCCAATACCAAGACCGTGAAGACCACTGCCGATTTGAGACACCAAAACATTGTTAGGCTTAATCCAGCAAATCCAAGAAATGGAGGTCAAAACAGGCATGATGTAGCCAGGGAAGAAATACCAGCAGAAAGAACCTGCAAATGCCAACAAAAAGAAATGTTCACGCGATATTCTAAGTCCTGGTTTGGTAGCTTCGTCATCTTCCACTGCTTTGGGAGTATCTTTGTGAAGGGTGTGGAATAGAGTGGCATTGACCAAATTGATGGGCCAAACCATGGTGGAAGGACGTACGAGGAATCGTCTCAAGATACCAGCAAAACCGAAACCTAATACACTGGTAGTCAAAACAAGTAGAATGCCACCACCAAATCCCCAATTCTGGCCGTAGTAGAGTCTTTGAACAACAATAATATCGATAGCATCAAATTGCGTGGCAGCTGCATTGGCCATGACAGTGATGAGCGCGTGCTCCTTGATTGAAAATTTGCCTGGATTGAGACTGAAGCTGAAGCGACCGAGAGGTACGGTCCAGTTGGGCAAAATTCTTTCTGTAAGTTTGCCTGCTGGGAAAGCTAAGAGTTGGACTACAATGACTTTAATAACCAAAGGGTTTGCACGAAACCAGAAGAACTACCGTTCATAAACATTCAAAAAGAGATGGGTATTAGTAAGTAAAATGCAATAGGATAATTTCTCGCTGGCGCATGAGAATACGTACTTGATTACAGAATGAAATGGCTGCGGAGAAGACAAGACCCCAAAACCATGATCGAATAGTGGCAGTAGGTAATGTAGGATCATCTGTAGGGGGTATACTGGCTCTAACTTCTTCTATAGGTGAATCTTCAAAAGGATCGATTTGTTGATCGTATTTTTCTAGTGATGAATCATCAACACTATCCACATATGTACTTGTGGTCTTTTTTTCTAATTCCATTATGGTTGCGTGTTCTTTACTATAGATGCTGTACTGTTAATGTTTTGATAATACTATTTGCATACAATATTCAAGAAAGGAGGCTCAATTGCAGAAAAAAAGTGGAGTAAAATTGTATATATGCCGAGAAATAAAGGAGGATAGGAACAAATGACCTTGCTATTTATACGTGCAAGCTTGGATCGAAGCCAAAATGTCAAAAAGACGGATTTTATGCTGCATTTCAATAACAGAAATTCGTCAGCGAATCATTTTATAGTTAAAAGCAAATGTCAAAAACGAGCACGCCATCTTCCTCGAATTACATTTAATGAAAAAAAAAAATTTAATTCAGTGGCACGAATACTATGGAAAAAGAAGAGCACGCTGGATGTTCCAAATATTACAAATCAAAAAAATGCTATGGTTTTTTTTTTACTTCTACATAGGGCAAAATGTAACGGTTTTGCTATAAAATCACATTCATCAGCCCTTAAATCGGAAAAAATACCAAAAATGAAAAAGAGCGCTTTGACTGCACATTAGCAAATAATAAAGCCCTGTACATGATCGTCAAAACCCAAAAGTTTAAGATTTTTAAGATTGGCAGGCAGTAGACTAATTTTCTCTAGAAAATATTCTTTTTATATGCTTCCTTACCTTGACATTACGTATTTGAAACCTGGATGTAAAAGGAACGGAATAACGCTTTGTTTACAGACTATAGCGTATTACAACTTTTGTCTGTCATCAAGAGTATGTTCTATTGTTTACCTGAATGTGATCTATGCTCTAGATTCACTAAGCTCGCGTTTTCTGGTAAATGCTTTGCTGCCCCCTTTTTTTCCATTTTTCCCTGAAGAGCGATCCAGATAACCATGCTTTTACCTAATTGGCTGTCTTTCTGCGGTCGGAGTTGCGTCATTTTTTTTACTTGTTATCGTAACCCAGGACAAGAGCCTTTGATGTCTGATAAATTTTCAAAGTTAGGTAAAGAAGGATAATTTGCTATGTGTATGATTTGCAAATCATAAAAAAATCAATTGTTATATTTATAGTGCGAAATAGATGACAAGAAGTGCCAAAGGCGAATCTCTTTTGTTTTCCAAATCAATGCGTATGATTGGGCCTGACATAGATGGCAAGAAAAGCTGCTGCTGGTATTGCGTAACGGTACCAGAAAATCTTCTGTGTAAAAGCTTATCTCGCCCAGAAGGCTTGATGTATGACCAATGGTAAGGCAAAAGCCAAAATTGTTCTTATGTCTCAGACGCGTTTTTCAGTTTCCCTTTTTCTTTTCCAGCAAGGGTTATGTCAGGAACAGACATTTACACTATTGTGAGCCACTTCAGATACAGTGAGTAAACTAGACATGGAAAAAGTCTTTTATAAGAAACCAGATGCTTACCTCGTAATAACGATCACTTTACTCTATTAATTCTATATGAAAAATGTCAAGTATAGGTAGTGCAATTGCGTGATTGATTTGCTTACAGATACTTCAATAAGCAAGTTTTTTTTTTTTGGTTTTTTGGTGTGTAGCACTCCTGTATCCTGCCTAGAGCCAATGATAATTCAGAACAGATCGTAACCATTATGGGCAAATTTGACTTATTATGATGCCTTCTTTAATAATTTTTCAGCGATAAAAAACTACATTGACACTTCCTATATGTTGGTAGCAAGGTAAAAAAAAAAAGGAAGGGAGCGGCTTCCCTTATTGGAATCATTATTATTGGCTATCAATTGTAGCTCGCAAAAGGGCGTCTTTTCTTTTTTCATTTTTGCATTGATGCATTATGAAGCTGCCTTTGAATAGCATATGCCAGTAACAAACAAGGCTATTTGGGATTTTTGAATCGACTGTCAATATCCATGGAGTGTCCTGTGACATCTTAAATAGCGGGTGATTAATACTCCTGTCATTCTATCGAATAAGGAGATTGTCTTCCAAAGGTTCTGATTCTTTGCAACATATCGTATTCGATTCGTCAGTCCGTCCTCTCCACTTTTGAAAATTGCAGGATTCGCTATTAGCTTCCGTCAGCGAGCCTTACTATTAAGATTGTGTAAACAATATACTTGAAAATCAAGTTGCAATTCACAGTTCATGTAGTGCTCTATCTCTTGTAGTAAAAGATATGTCGAGCATTTAATTGAATAATTTTCCTCCTTTTACATTCATCAATATGCTTAATAATATGTTTGATTTTAGAATGCAATTTTGCAAGTACAGAGTATATATACCATTTTAGACGAGTAAATGATCTTTTTTTTTTTTTGTATTTACGATCCTCAACGTTGGTGAATGATTGGGAGTGACCATAATTTAAGGGAAACGCACTGTGCACTAATTTCAAGTTGTTAAATAAGAAGGAAAGGCCTTACAAATAGTTTATTAGTTAAAAAATCCTGTAACCTTAACTTGACTACGTCCTATTAATAACTTTCTGATGTTATCGCGATTACTTACATTGAGCAATTATAACTTCTCTTTACAAGTATAAAAGGAATGTACGATCTTGTGCAAGCGCCTCTTTTCTTTTCCTTTCATAAACCAACACATCATGCAAAACTTTGTTATGCAGAACGTTTCCAATGCCGTCTAGAACATGAACGCAAAAAGACGTATATGGGAGGTTATAGACCAGCAAAGAAATAGATAGAAATTACTCGTACAACTCCTAGCTATGACAGTATGATATCACTCAAACAGCCTTGATATATGCAAGGGAAATGTTATTGAAGCCAAATATCATTTCTTCTCTCAAATGAAAAATAAATAATCCTGAGTATGATTCTGTAGATACCTTTCAAGTTCTGAACTGTAACAAGTCCATATCAATCAGCCTGCCTTTTTTTAAAAGATAACATTTTTGCCAATGCCATCAAGGATGCCTGTGAACCACTTTCTTGTGGTGTTTTTTCGGCTATTATTTTGTCATCGTATCCGTGCATAGGAGTGCGTGCTGAAACTGTATGTATATCAAATTAAGGATTTTTAAGGTGCTACTCCATCCTTTTTTTCTTCACTCAAACGATAGACGTGGTAGGATTTAAGGTTTCAGATTCTTGTGAAAAAAGGTTAAAACAGCATCTGGGCTATCAGATAGATCAAACCTTGACTCTTCCCTTTTCATATTATCTATTTTCTTTTCAGAAATGAATAGATTGATATCTAGATTATGCGATTTCATTCAAATAAAAGGGGTATTTCAGAACCATAAAATCGGCCAACAAGCTTCAGAACCTCTTTTGTATTCACATTTGAGATATTGGTTGAGGTACGTCTTTTGAATTAGGCATTTGGAGAAAACATCTTACTCATTTGTTAAATAGGGGTATCCTAAGGATCAGCAGATCCCCCTTTACTTCCGCCTTAAACCCCAATTTGGACCCAGTATTTATGCCATCTGCATTTTAACAATTTCAGCTAGAATACTGAAATTACTGGAAGGGATATAATGGTAATCTTTTGATATGCTTAGCAATCGTCTGACCGGGTAACTCTCAATACAAGCTCGAACCAAACTAACAGTACGTAATTCTAACCATTTGAACTTATGCATACCTCTGTAAGGAACGTGAATAGAAGCCCAGGGAAGAAGAAATCAGAATCATCAAGAAAGGTCGATAAGCGCCTCTACTAAATTTATACAGTAATTGAGAAGCTTCTTAAAAAGATGGCCAAACCCAAATTTTGCCTAATTTTTTTGCATGTAAAAGAGATTACGACCAAGAACGGAAAACTCCCCAAAAATATTTTGCCTACACGGTAATGAAGAGAAACCCAGGATCAACTTTATACTCTTTTTAACTTCTTGTCGCATTCCCCTTAGATGCAGTTCCTGGTTTTCAACTGAACAGTTTTTGCATACGCGAAGTTCTAAAATTGTATAGCGCAAAATATCAAAAGCCAGGAATTAGAAAAATGCAAGAACCGTTTCGCATTTTCCAATTGACAATGCCCAAATAATTACTACACTTAGCATTTGGCTGTGAAAGAATATGGCGGAACGTGACAATTCAGTCAATGGTCTTTTACTTCTACATCCGTTGTTAAATTTTGCGCATCCCCATCCATCGTTTTTTCTTCAATATATATATAAATTGCCGGTATTTTCTCTTTGAGGAGGTGATGAGTTTCTTTACCTCGTTTGAAGGAGTTGTGTACTAGCATATGTATATGGCAGTTATTTGTTAACGGGAACACTAGATGGCACAGCAAACTCCTGATTTATGTAAAACCAAGGACAAGTAGATCGCTATGTATGAACGATAGATTTAGGCAAAAGATCTACTTCTACTCTTTCTTTCTTTCGTTCTAATTGAAAACCTCTTTTTTTTTTTTTTTTTTTTTTTTTTTCTCTCCCTCACATTCTTTCTGACATAACAAGGCTTGTCGCAGTAGTTGAAGAATGAGCGCCATTAGAAAGGAATATAGAAAATTAGCAGTATACGTGAAGCGTGAAACCGCAACTGAAGACAGTAGCTATACTACTACTAAAAATGCATCATCGCCTACAGGTAGCAACAGTAGCTCGAACAATAACAACAATAATGGCAATAGCAACAACAACAATAACAATAATAACAGTAATGGCAATGGTAGCTACAACAATGGCAGCAATGGATATAACAACAGTGGGTACAATAACAACAACAACAACAACAACAACAACAATAACCATAACGGTTACAATAGCAATGGTGTCTCTCACGGCTCTTACGGCTCTGATGGCTCTAACAATGGCTATAACAACAATAATGGCAACGGCTACAGTCCTTCCTCTAATAACAACAGTAATGGATACAATAACAATAACAATAACAACAGCGGCTATAATGGCGGAAATGGTGGCAGTACAGGTTATAGCGCTGATTCCGGTATGAACAGTAACAATAATATTAACCATAACGGCTATGGCAGCACCACCAACAACGTTCCTGTCAATAACAATAATAATAACAACGTGCCTTTCAATGTCAACAATAACGGTTATAACAACAATAACGGCGCTAATGGCGGTGGCTACAACAACAATAATGCTATGGTCCCGGGACATGATTATGAAAACCATCAAGTCGGTGCTTCTGCGGAGAGCAAAGTTCTTATTATCGTTATTTCTGTGCTTTGCGGTGTAGCCTTGTTGACTGCGGTTGGGTTATTCTTCTTCTGTCGAAAGAGACGGGAGAAGAAGAAGGAAAACATGGCCAACGCCTTTTTTGAGTTCTCCGCTGATAAAGCTAGTGATAAAACTTCCAAAGCAGGTGCCTTTAAGAAAAAGTTCCAATCTTCGCCTACAAGCACACTTTAGTTCTTCTTCGCTAAATATATCCATCTCCACAGCGACCTATCTCCCTTCCTTTTGTACTTTAACATCCTTTATATAATACGTAACAATTCCCCTCTTCGTTGTGACAAAAGCCTTTTTTTTTCTTTCTCATTTTTGAAACACACTTTTTTTTCATTTTTAACTCGCTCATCATCAATACAAGACGGGCTTTGATTGTTTAGCAACTTAGAATAATTAATGCCTTCTTCCATTCTACTTTCATTATAGTCTTTCCTTTTCTTGGATGAAAGATCGATCAACAATAAATTATATTTTTTACTAACTTTTCCATTTAATTTTAGATTATAAACCCTTCCAAGGGCAACTTTCTCCGTTTATTGCGCAGAAAGGAATCATTAGGAAAGCATCAAATAGAAATGAAAGATAATTAAAACTGTTTCATTATATCCTTCTAAACTGTAGAACGTGCATATCTAGTACGCAAAGGAAACAATCACGGCTAGATTATGACCTGAATAAATATGACCATTGCAATACTTCCAAGCACAACGACTGGCAATTTACTGTATGGCTGAACGGCAACAGAAGTTTTAACATTTTCGTTACTCGATGATATTTTATCGGGATGGTTAGGATCCCAAACGTACTTATTCACATAAGGCTCCAAAGGTGGCAAATCGTCGACGTCAGAGAACTTTAATTGCTGTTGTAGAGACACCGCCCTCAGCTGTACCCATTCCGCCACACTTGCCTCATCGCCTTCATCCGTTTTCTTTAAGCTCTTCTCAAAGGTTGTAAGGGACCACATAGGAACAGCACCAGGAGATTTTCTAGGAATTGCTAAATCCCACTCAAAATCTTCACGCAGCATTGCTTCTAAAGCTTCCAATCGAGGGTTGATGACACTCGGTTTGAAAAACCTTTTTACAAGCGTCTGTATCGTTTTCTCAAACTCGGCTTTATAGTAAGGGGATTTGAGCACAGCGTCAATGAGAGGTCTTTGGGAGTTGGGACGAGAATAGCTGGTATATGGCTCAGTGGCCACGGATCGCTCAATGTTGAGGCCGAAAGTTTCATCAAAGTCGAAACTGATCAGTGTCCAGAGGTGCGAGCCTGTATCGAGTTGAAGATAGTAATTACTAGCTTGTCGCCAAAAACCATCAGTAGCTCCAATTAAAAAGTTCACAGCCATATGAAGAATGAGATGCTGAGGAGAGTGAATAAGTTTTTCTAATGCGCCTCGAGTATTGACGTCGATGTCTCGAGTAGAGTCGATAGAGCTCAGCTGTTTCATGAATTCTATCAAGGGAACAAGCTGGTTTGTTTTATTGAGAGTGGTCTTCATATTTCCGTAATCGTCGATGTCGTAAACGTCAGAGTCATAAGATGCGACTGAGTCATCTATATAAACGAGATTGCCTTCAAGTTGAGGTGACATAGCATTGCCTTTATAAGTAGGCCCTGTATTTCCGTAGGACTGATCACCGCTATGTAGAACATCATTGATAAAAGTACTACCACTGTCGTCTGACATGAGGAAGAGACCAAAAGCTTCTTCATTGATAAAAAGGCGAGCAAAATGCCCTTGTAGAGTAGCAGCGCCGGCAGCTCCCAAGCAATCATAGGCCAGCTTCTCACGACTGATAAAGGTGGGTTAGTTCATTAAATAATAGTATTGAGGATTGTGTTCTTATTCTATTGGACCCTGCGATAAATCACAGGTTTTGAAGGAACTTACATGATCGAAGGATCGGTTTGTTGAGCTCTCAACTTAAAAGTTGTCCGACCGTATAACATATCTTTGGTTTTAGCAAACTGATTCAATTTTAGTTTGAAAGATTGCTTGGCAAAATCTTTCGTCGATTTGCCACTATTCTTTATACCAGCATGCTGAAAAGTAAAGATCTCTTTATTAGCGATGTAGGTCATTTGGGAAACTTCTGTATACTCGTGTTCACGCAGTGGATCGGTCAAGATTTCATTGAGCCCCGTCACATTTGCCTTCAAGATAATGGTGACAATTTCATTAGACTGGTTCATGTTGCTTGAAAGGGCTAAACGGTAAAGACTGTCAAAACCATATACATTACGTTCGCAGTTTTGTAGCAGAATGACTTACGAGGATAGATAGGGTTGTAAGCTTGAGGAAGCGAAGGAACATCATAAATGGTATGACTTCTATTAAAGAATTCGTTACCCGTTGAACGGATACCTGCTGGCTGATGTCGTTGTGTTGACTCCAGTATGTTACCGCCGTTTGAATTTGTTAAAGCATATCGATACTGATCTGCAGTTGGCGCAAATCCTTTATAAAGGTGTGCTATATCAATCGAAGCACGTAGAGGATAAGCTTGTCCTCCTATCATAACAGCAACATTTTGTCCATTTCGCGGCAATGCAACCACTGAATATTCTATATCTCTTGCAGCAGTTGTTGTGCATAGACTAAGGATAATGAAAAGGCAGAAACAGCCAAACGATGAACAATAGATGATTTTCATCGGATGTTACACTTATACCAATGAATAGAACAAAAAGACAAAGAAGTGGCTTGAATAAGGTGAGGCAATGTAAGATAGGAGAAAAGAACGTTTCCACTCTGCAAACCTTTTTCTTTAAAGTTATAAGTCATTTTACGGCAAGCACATTATCAAGAGCGTGATATATGTATTCAATGACAAGTTTGGTTTATGTTATCGTAGAAATAACGAAAGTAAGGAGAAGGAATAACAAGCTTTAAGAGATGCGTTTTTTACTGAATTACTTTCATAACGTTCTTCTAGAAATATGATTTAGAAGGTAATATGCATGTGTGTTGCGCTCTGCATGCCTCTACTGTGGGTGCTTCACCTAATGTACATATGAACGCTTGTACGATTTAAAGGAAAATTCGGGATAAATGATTGCTGCTTCGACTGCGCAACCTGATTTCAATAAACAGAACCAATCGACATTCTTATGATAGAGTCCTTCAACTTTGGAATCGTGTGCTTCGCAATGGGTTGCCCCTTGTTATACTTCTATATACAAACTGTTTTTCAGCCACCTTGAAGTAAAGTATATTGCAGCTCAACGAAGATAACACATTTTACCAATTTTTAAACTAAAAACATAATCAATCAACAGCACCCACCCACATACAGCGACATTTTACGAAATGAATGTTAGAGTTTCATTACGTTCTTATTGAACATTGCAACTCTCACTCAGTTAGTGCTGAGCTTGAACTTGCCATCCCATTGTAGCGTATGCGGTTATTGAGTACTTTTTATAACAGTCATGAATAGTAAGCTCTATCAATGAATTTTCTATATATCTCGATATACAACCCAAAGATATCAAATCTCACTGAGAGGATAAAATGCTCGATCATCACGTTCTTGCACAGAATAAAGTATATTTAATGTTACTAATAACGTACCCGATATCTCAAATAACGTCAACCTAACATCTTTATCGTAATTTTCTTACCGTATCCCAATAACTTCTGTGTTAAAAGTAAATTTGAAACAGAAGCAATTCAACAAATGTAAAAGAGGCTATCAGTAGTTACCTACAATGAGTTGAATATAAGTAATTTTCAGGATTTCTGGCTTCTAGTAAGTTTTTTGAATCTTTATCAATGTATCAAAGGCAACCTCTGTTTACTTCTTCATACAGTACCTGCCAGCAGAGTTTGCAAATTACTATGCTTGATTAGCAACAAATTGCGGTAAGTGACATTCGTTCTATAAACTGGGTGGGGTGGGGCGGGGGAGGGTTTAAAGGAACCTTGTAGCCATAACCTGTCGAAGAAGTTTTGAAAACACTGAACAGATTCAACAATCATTTATGTCAAATAAGCAGGCACGTAACTATAAGTTGATATAAAGATGGTTTAATATGTAATCAATATTTCAATGGAAATTTTTACGAAGCGAAAAATGCTACACCAAATCATATCTCAAATATAGCCAAAGCAATAAAAGTCTACTCTCTGGTTAATCTTCCAGTTGGAAGATTAGTATCCTGTCTTTAAACCTCAATCTTGTCAAATGGCTGGTCGGGTAATCCATCTGCTTTACTAATTCAAAGCAAACCAATTCTTAATTGCTGTTTCGAACATTGAGAATGTGGTATTACATGTGGACGCATAGTTACAATCAATCTTTGCTAATACGCGTCGTTATTATAGTATTTGCAGTTTTATTGATTATAATGCCCAATCTATAGCACTTTCTTTGTTTTATATCAAAGGGAAAAGCTATTAGGCAAGTGTATTTTTGAGTATTAAATGTTCCTGTAGACCAAGGGTAATGAGTAATGTATGCGACGCTAAATACAGGTACCCAGAGCTATCAAGGCATGATGGCACCAAATGGTATTTACTTTTGCTAAGTTTTTTTTTTGTCATAGAAAGCATTGCTGATTCGATTGGATATTTCACGCTTCAAAGACACTTATGAATACTTCAACTGCAATATATTTTACTTAGGGGGTGGTTTAATGAACCCACCAACTGAGCCCATGTTCAGACAATCGTATTGTTGAGTAGGCCTTTGATGATTGTGGTATTCGCTATTGTTTTGAACATGAGGAGGCACTGGAGGAGGCACCATCACAGTATAGGTGCTTGGTGGAAACTGTGGAGGGGTTTGGTAGGGATGACGATGAAAATGGAAATGTTGATGTTGTTTAACATCGCTAGCCAAGATGTTCTGCTTTAATAAGTGATCCTTCGTCACTTTCGTATGAAGGGTAACACCGGCCTGACCAAACACTAGTTTGGGAACATCTACAAGGTACCCTCTTGTACCTTTTTTGCCTATATCCACCTCTGCTTGAATCCAGAAATTCAGTTTACCAGTTCCTTCATCAAAATATCCAGCGCAATAATTACGTCTCCCCATTAGCTTCTTGTTTTTCCGCTAATTATAACAGTGATTTGAGCTCAAATTTTCGAGATGTATCCTTTAAACATTATACTTTCACAACCTACTGTGTTGCCGTTCGGTGAGCTCTTAAATAAATTATACATCCTCTCTTCAATATTACCATCAAAGGTAACGTAAGTCGATTTTTGATTAAGTACGGTTAATAAAACTTGGGGTGGAGGTACGTTAACTATAGCACTTGAAACAATTTGCACCATTAAATACGGATCTCCTTCCTCTTTATCTTTCATATCTTTTGAATACAATCGCCCAGCAGCACAACAATGAACATCACCACCCAAAAATGAAATACGAACAGATTTTTCGGTCGCATAAGATTGTAATCTCTTGATAAATTCTCTCCTTTCCAGTTCATGATTTCCAGCAGTCCAGTCTGTAAGTAAAATCAGTGGATTAATCAGTGTGTGAGTTTGCATATTACTGTTATTACACGTAGGTTTATGACTTACGGTCATTCATATCATCCAATAATTCAGGATCTCCATTCCATTCGTTCAATTGACCATCGATAATGTCTCCTAATGTACCTGTTTTACCAGCTACTGTCGCTAGACTCAAGTTCGCCGCTCCTTCCATCAAATTCTCAAACAATGTTAGACGAGGATAAATTAGAGGTACACCTGTTAATACCATAAAATGCTTTATGGTGAAAGGTAGTCGTTCGTACATAGCCTTGAAGCACGCATCGTACGATTTTTTAGTACAAATTTCGAATTTTGATCGCTCACCACGCGCGTCTAATGATAGAAGCCCAATATCTGGTCCTAAGGTTGTAACAATGTGATGACAGGTCGGCTGAGAGCCTCGAATCATACCATCTCTTTCGGCACGTTCGATTGTGGTATGGTGTTGGAATAAATAATAAAATCTAGATGCATTGGCAAATAGTACTAGTTGCCGCGCGTTAACAGAAAAACTTTCTGTATTTAACCTTAATGAAGCCTTCACAGGATTGCAATTAACTCACTTACCTTTAAAGCAGTCTGCCGATTGCATGTCTGCTGGGTACGAACCATAACCATCTATAATGTCCTATTTTAAGAGGTACAAAAACGAAATTTGATGAATAATCTGAAGCGTAGAGATTTGCACCCTTTACTATTTGCTTTGATCTTTACATGATCATCCCACATATTTATTGCTGGAATCGAAGCATATGCTTGTGCTTGAACTGGGCTTTCTTTAAATCTGAAACAGCATTTAAACAAACATTAAAGTTTTAAAGGGTCTGTGCGCAAACGTTTTGGCATAGAAGCGTTGTACAACAACTTATATTCTGCATTCCCTAATCTTACCCAAAGCACTTGACGTAGTTCCAAAAATAAAACTCCTCAAACCCATCTCTCATTGACTGTGGTAATGTCATAGCCAGTCTCTTTTTTGGATTCTTCTCAGCTACCCAAGGCTTCATAAAATCTTCATGAATCAAACGATCCTGATACAATTGATCGCCACCTCCTAGCATGACGTGAAATGGCATCACTTGATGTCTATCCAATACGTCTTGCCAAAGTGGTGCTTCTTTTTCATTGAATTTATCTTTAATGGCTTGTGGTATATCGGAAAACCCACTGCAAGAATAAAACATGAATCGCATTGAATTTTGTATCGAAGGCACGTAAAATTGAAACTCTTTATCATTAAAACAATTGAAAGTGTAGGTAACAATTTGCTCTTCCGTGATAAGAGGTAGCTGTAAGTCATAACGCCAGAAATGGTATTCGTTGCGATAGATGTCAAGTGTATCTACGGCGGTAGGTTCAATGGATCGTTCCGGAACATAAGCTGCTGCTGTGGGGCGCATACGTATCTTCATTTTTGGGGCTTGGAAATGGTTGAGAACAATAAGACATGATCCACGCCAAAGGCGTTGGTTATAATCTATCTCCAAATAGCGTAATAAAGGTCCACATACGACACGGATAGGTTTATCGTTCAGGGACAAATTTTCCAATGCAGTCTGTGGTACATACATAGGTTCTTTTTGCTGATGTTGGCTCATAACAGTGAGCTACACTAAAACTACACTGTATATTTTAGGTAATGAAAAATATACGAGGAAAGCAAGAATATTGTAGCTAGTAGAAGGAAAAAGAACAATATGCATTTTCCACGACACAAAAGGCTTTTGAATAAAAAAAAAACAAAGTAAAAAAAAAAATCAAAAAATCAAAAGACTAAAAAAAGCTTCAGTCACACAAAACCACTTTTTACAGAAAGCTTTGATCTACACGCCGTGTAATACATAACATAGAAAAAATATAGAAATTCAGGTGCACAATTTTGACATCATAATACTGTATAATAACTGAAAATGCAACATCATAAATGCAAAATAACAAAAAACCTTGTAAACAGAGATCTGAAATTACAATCAAACCTTTTTTTATTTGTCAGAATGATTATTTAATAAGTAAATGTTGCGTAGAATGAGGGAAAAATAAGGAACTTATTGAGAAGCTTCGAACTTAGCCTTAGATTCCTTAATTCTGTTAAGACGTTGCTTCTTGTTAAGACGAAGACCCTTCTTGTTGGGCTTGGCAGGCTTGCCCTTCTTTTCGGTGGGTTGAGGAGCGGGGTTTTCACGGATAGCAGCATGAGCTTCAGCGTACATGTCTTCAATCATGTCAGAAGTAACACCTTCCTTGATGAAAGTGGCGAATTGCTTCTTGTAACGTTCTTCATCTTCTTCTTCGAGGTATTCCATGTATTCAGCAACGTGAATACCGTAAATGTAGTTACGGAGAAGTTCATCATCGTTGGTCTTAGTTTCGATATCGAAACCAGGGAAACGGTTACCGCTGTGAGGAATGTAGATACCACCATCGGAAGCACCCTTCATAGCACCGAAGACACGAGCACCAGTGGAGGTACGAGCAAGACCAACATCAAGGAAAGCCTTGAAAGGACGAGGAGCACCTTCAGCAGCTTCGATCATTTGGACAGTACCATCAGGTTCAGTGAAACCTTCGTACTTATCAGCGAGACCGAGCTTGGTCAAGGTACGGCGAGCAAGAAGAAGACCAGTGGCATAAGCAGCAGCCCAGTTGGTCAAACCACCCTTGATACCGTAACGAGGGAGTTCGTGAGCATAAGCAGCGGCAAGGACGAAATCACCTTGGAGCTTAGCATAAACGATTTGACAGATGATGTCCTTATTGGTGAAACGAACGACCATTCTGTACTTGGGAGAGTTGTACTTGTTCTTGGCTTGAACGACAAGTCTCTTACGAGCATAATAGTCGGTCTTACCCTCTATTATATAATTAGAATTGATGTGTCAGCTGATGATCGTTTCAGTCAATCTGAGGTTCGGATCGTTGAATAAGAGGAAGAATCAAGGAGCTGTTCAAATTTTTGTATATGGATACATTCGACAGAAGCTCATAGCGAGAATAACAATCACTGATTTGACATAATTCTACTCCATTCAACATACAATCCAAACCGTCAAAAATAACTAACTCATTAAAACTGAATGTACCTCTTCTTCTGCGATACTTGACTTGGAAACGCTTGAAGTAGGCCTTGTTTTTTTGTAACTTGACGAAAGGCTATAGTTGTCAATTGTAAAATTGGAATGTGTCAGATTGCTTATACTTCGCAGCTTAAAATATGTATTCCATCCAAAAAGCCCTTATTTCATCCATTTAAAACATGTATAGCATCCATCCAATCCTCCATCAAAATAAAACATCAAAAGACAAGAACTGCATAGTATGCTGATATGGATACTACAGGCCGAAATTACTGATCATTCAACTACATACCATTGTTCGACGTTGTTATGTAAAGGAAGGATTATTCAAATGCACTGTTTCACGTTGAATATAATCGAAGGCAAAATTGAACTGGCTTTAAAATTTTTCATTTTGCAATGTTTGGTAATTCTTGGGCAGCTCAAAAATACTCGGCTGCCGGTTTTTTGCATTGGAAGCATCAGTCATATTGAGAAAATAGTATCGTCTATATCGCTACGAGACACATGTGTTGTTTAAAAAAATGAACATAAAAGGAAATACAGTACACGTTATGCTTAACATTTAAGCAAGCTCACTCATTCAAACTACTTGTACAATTAATAGTAAATGGCTAACAAATTCAAGGGTAGCAAAGTAAAAATGTAACTGGCCGAGTAATAGCATAAGTTTAATGAAAGAATATCTACCAAAGTGAGAAAAGAAGTAGTTGCAGTTGTAATTGTTGTTCCTCAGCATAACAATGTGAGTAAACTAGTAAGTAACTACTACTTTTTTATTGTTCCAAACCTCCGCTAGAACGCATTGATTCCATAAGAAATGGCCAACATCGTCTCTTGAAATTGTGTAACCTGAGATACCAACGTTCGCCCTATACTTGCCTGTCACTTGACCGTCTGTGAGCAAACTGGGTCTTACAATGATCCAATTTAAGCCTTGAATCTCATTATTTTCAATTAATCTTTCCATTGCCAATTTATCCTGATGAGGCTCGTGGAGGAGAAATTTGTACAAGGGCTGTAACAAGAAAGGTACTTCCTTCATGCCATCTAAACCTGTAGTTGAAACAGCCACAAGATGTTTAGGACGACTGTCAACATCATCGTTTGAAAGCTGACTCATAGCTTCTAGCAAAACAGTCATAGCATCTTTGCATAGGCCTGGTTGGAGCATCTTTCTCTTCATGATGTCCATACCACTACCGACAGAAAAAATAACCACATCTGTATTACGAATGGTTTCTTTGACAGCAACCACGTCAAGAGCATCGCCTTCAATTATAGTAACTTTTGATAGTTGCTCTTTGGTGTAAGACTCTTCTAGCTTGTTTGGGTTTCTGATAAGTAATTTGAATTCATGGTTGGCATTGTTACTGAGGCTCTGAACAACCATCGCACGAGCGCATCCTTTTGATCCACCTAAAACTGCTACTCGGGCCATTTATATTTTGCCTTTATAGCACTGTTTTTAGAAAAGAAAGAAAGGATATTCGCAAAAAGTGTCTAGAAAAAGTGAATTCATATCAAAAGTCATATTTCTACGTGGCTGAGTGTTTATTGTTCAGCAGGTGATCGAACAGTTAAGCCAAAGAAAAAATGTAAAAAAGCAGATTACCGTTCAGAATATTTACTTTTTCGCGACTCTTATCGACCTGCTGATTGAATTTAGTGTTACAAAGGTAAGAACACCAAAAACAAGCATGGCATGTCTTACTGTTCAGCTCAACGTTGTTTATGCATAGTCTGTTGTGTCGGTTCCTGATCGTTTTCTTTAAATACATCTAAAAAAGCGAAATCTCCGAAAACCGGTGGTAGATCCTTCATTTTTCAATTTTTTGCCTTTGCTGCATATTGTATATCAAACGAACTCTATTTTTCGTCAATGCCAGAAATAGAAAGTAAAAGCACAAAAGAGGAAAAGCGAACACCACGTTGGCAGTTTCGAAAAGCAAAGAAGCTAGAAAGGAGACGAAAGCAGCGTCAAAAAATTGCAATTGACAGATTGTCAAAAAGGAATGACATGGAAAGCGATCCATTGAAGTCATTAGCAGAAAGACAGAAGTATGAACAAGCAAAAAAGCAGTGGGAAGAACGAGAAGAGAAGTACAAGTTGACTGAAATGGCAAAAGCAGAAGCCAAAGCCAAAGAGGAAAAGGCGAAGGCTATAGCGAAGGTTTTTTTTTTGTTTTTTTTTGGTTTATATAATCTCATCAGCGTTCGTTTTTAACGAGTGTGCATATTCAACGTATAGAAAAAATGGCAAGAAATGCTGCTCAGTTTGCCGATTATAACAGCACCTACATTCTCTGCTACCACAACAACAGCAATTACAGATACCACGGACGGAAGTCAAAGCTCAACTTCAAGCGTAAATTCATTTAGCTTCATATTGTTAATCTTCATTTGCTCAGTATTATTTTCTTTTACTGACACAAACCTCTCGGTCTTTTCGATGTATTTTTAGAAGAAAAAACCTGTATTTAAAAAGTTTGTGGATTCTTCAGACAGTCAACATGTTGAAGTCTCATCTAAAGCAAGACGTTGCACTTATAGAGATCGATTCCAGAAACAGAAGATAGCCGCGAAAAAGAAAGAAGAAATGTCCTTTTATCCTTTTTCTAACTACTGAGGTTGTTTAAGATATATCCTTAACGTTCTGCAATTATACCCCTTTTATACCCTCATAGATATACGATCATCTTGAATTGCTTGGTACAAGCAGATAGGGAGCTGACTATCGCAGGTAATCTACTTTAAATTATCTTATTATGAACATCGCTTTCGAAATTTTTGAAAATAAAAATTATAAATTGATGCTGCTATGTAAAAGGAAAAGGCAGCCCTACTTTATTAAGACATGATGACTGTGTATAAAAAAAACTACAATTTATACATCAAAGAAGAAACATAACGTTGTAATTTTATATTCTATTCTTTCAGATAATGATGTGTTATTCGCTTAGTAATTCATTTATCTATATACAATTTATTATTACAGTTTTTATAGTAACATAGTACCTTCAACTATTCTGCTTATGAATAGAAGCTCCACCCCGCGGAAGCTAATACATAGACCTTGTCTGTCTTTTTCATAATTAGAGAAGGGACGGGGTTTGTGTACACAAAGGGTAGTTCATTCCCCATTTGTTCATCAGGTGCTCTGAGAATTCCTAAGGGAAGAACATCATGGTCCATAATTAGCTCCTCGAATAAGTATGAGAAGCTCTTATTGATGAAGCAATGCGGTAGTGATAATAACATCAGGTGTTTAGAGTTTTGTTTAAATGAACCTAGTCTACTAGCGCTGCTATTCAGCCCACTGGCTTGTTGGTATGATTGCTGATGATGATGTGCTGCCGTATCTTGATCATATAGTGGCTCAGGCATACCACTAAGCGCTTTGATAACAGACACAATACCTGGTTTGTAGTAAGTTTGACTCAAAAGCACATTGCTCAATAAGCTGTCAACCACGACATTGCCGGCCGCATAAGCAGGCGTATAAAACACATCCACTTCTTCTGCTACATCTTTACCTTGAAGTAGATGCATGAAACGAATGTTGGATTTTTCCACTAAATATAGTAAAGTTAACAGGGAGATTCAGTTCAATTGCAGTATTTTTTGTCCTTTATTGGTTTATAATACCTAGATTGACGATACGTGAGACGTCATTTGGTTTCTTTTCTTGCAGTATTAAGTCCAGTAGATGGCTTGTCATACTATTTATGGTCAAGGTTAATGGCATTTCGTAATGCATAATGTGAACACTTATCTTAAACCTACATAGCGGGACTATCGGAAGTCCGTTGGTATTGATCCAGACATTCTCTTTCGCTTTGGATAGTTAAAGTGTAAAAGTTTAAATGTAAACGTTAGGACAAGGAACATTTTTTTATAGATTCATATAGGGAAAAAAGGGGGAGAATACCTCATAACTACCACTTGTTTTGCTCGCATAACACCTGCTTTGATTAGATCTTCAGGATTTTGGCAATTACCCTAGGAATTTAAACGGTTTTAAGTTAACAGACACTTCTATATAAGTTGATAAATGATATGTTACAGCCATGAAATAGACTTTTGGAAATCGTGATATCAACTCAAAAGTCTTGTTGTTTGGTAAAGAAGTACAAAGAAATACAATGTCTTGCAAATTGTTTGGATTCAACTGTGGGGTTCTATTTATGTGTACATTCCAAATCGTTATCATTAAAGTTGAGAGGTGTGCGATGTTATATCAATATTTAGATTTCTGTTCAAACTTACCGTAAATTGTAAATGAATTTGAAAATGTTGGATACTTTATGATGCATGCAAACGAGAATATGCCCATTCATACTTTCTGTAGACTCAATTGTTAGTTCTCGTAAAGTGGCTGGCCTTTTTAATAGATAGCAAACAGGAAGCGTGTCTAAATCTTGATCAGGATTCATATGTAATCTTCCAAGCCTACTAATTAACTCTCGGCTACCACTGAGTAAAGCCATACGTGACGTAGGCAGCTTTGATAATTCAAAATCGTGCTGCAGTCGAGTATTGATACTATTTTTTGATGTTGAACGCGCAGAATCAACCGATTTTGTATGATGAAGACTTTCTGCACTTAAAGTGGGCGAAGGGTGATGAGATGAGGAGGTTTTGGTTTCTGCCTGCTGAAGTTGTTGTTGACTGCTGATGTACGTGCTCAATCCAGCAGACGCGCTTTCTAATGTATGTGATTCATTTTTGGTCATATAAAGTTCGTTTCGGAAAGAGGAAGAGCTTGAATGACCAGGATGTGAGATTTCAGATAAACGTCTCCGCAAATGGCCACTCTGCCGGCGTACTCTCATCTTTTCCAACTTATCCCTCACGTAAGTATGCGACTAAGGAAAAGTGCATAAGTAATATGATAGTGTACTGATTCAAGGTCGAGCCTTTGACATCTTCCTTACCAAACTATTCACATCTTTGACTTCTTTAGAACTCTCACACATATAGATGCATAAATCAGCCTCCCTTATAGTATATTTGTCTTCCGGATTCAAAAGTATCTCACGATGCTCACAACCAAATACTTGCATTTTGATACCGAAGAGTATAACTTGACATTCTGAGTACACAATCTTCATGGAAGACGCAGAAATTAATGATTGCAGAACTTATGCAAAATCATGCTGTACTACGTTACCCAAGCGGCTTCATTAAAAGGCAAATTGACAAGTGCATCTGGTGGTTTGTCCATGTATATTTCGTTACAAGACCCATCGTCTGTAAACCAAAGGCCTTATGTTTTAAAAACAGACCTTTTTTCTAACAAATTTCAGTAAAATGTAACCCACCATACTGTGCTTGCCAGGATTCATCATAGTGATCCATAGGGCGTCGCTGGTGCAGTAAGTTAGTTAACAAAGTGGAAGCACCTCGACAACGACAATTCATGGCTAACAAATATTGCTTAAACTCTCGTACACAGATGATTTCTTTCGCCATTTTTTGATAGATAGCTGTAGATGGTGATAAATTGTAAGTGTAAATATCAATATTATGACTAACCGTATAGCAGTATAGAGCCCAGAGACGAACTGTATTCCTTTCATCCTCTTTTTGCGGGTCGAGAGCATGTTGGTCTATTAATGAGGGAATGGAAAGCGTTCAATAACCGCAAGATGAAGAGCAAAACAATGATCTTACCTGATAATGTGAAAATAGCCGTTGCTGATCTAGCTCGCTATATAAAGTTGAAAATGATATTTTAATGGAAAAATACAGAGCTACAGAATTTACATCCCATTTCTCTCTTACCACTCTTTTCAAAGTTTGCTCGTCCTAAATCGAATAGTTGTTCTAAGAGGTTACTATTTAATTATTACAAAATTGGAAAATGAGGTTCAAGTAGCATACCAGGACTGTTCCATGAATAAATTGTATTCTATGCCCCCACATCGAATTGCGTTCTAAGAATTTCAACTCTTCGTTCGGCCGATTTATGTCAAGAAACACTACATTTAAATGTGGCTGCGTGTTTTCCTAGCATAAATTCCAGATCGTTAACACATATTGAATAAGTATATTTTTTTGAGAAAAAGAACTGCTTACTACATTCAAAAATCCATCTAAAATTTCAGTGACTTGTTCAGGGCGAAAAGATCCTACAATCAAAATGAAGGGCATAGACGATACTGATACATAACCGCCCCAATCTACAATCATGTAAGACGAGTTTTATAAGCGTATCCAATACAGCATATGTCGTTTTAACAAGGTATTACCATTTCTTTTTCGGAACGTGTTCAACACATCAGCCAATAATGTGGGTAATACAGCCAAGGATATGACAATAAGCATCATCATTACAACCCTACTTCCTTCAGTGTGTGGTGTGATATCTGCGCAATAGTTTTTTTAAGAGTCAAAAATGGTTGTCTTTTACTGGCTAAATATAGTATGTAAATACCCTACCGCCATATCCAACTGTTGACAACGTAACCATTACTACGTACAAAGAATCTAAAATGGAATATACAATGTTTCCAAAGGTCCTTTCACAATATTGGAAAGCTGACATTCCATTGTAAAGTAGTGCAACCAATGTTCCGATCAAATGGACTAACTTAGACTTTAGGGGATCAACTGGCTTATCTAAAAAAAAGCAGTTGAATTCTTACCGTCGATATATATATATATATATACATATATACGGGAACTATTACGTGACGCTACCTGTCATTAAAAGATTCGTTTTGATCTTAAGGACGCTTTTGATCCTCAATAATAATACCCAACTTCTAAGAAAATAAGGCACTGGGAAATACAACTGTTAGTGTGTACACAACGGAAGTACTTTTTTTAGCGTTCTTTACCATATAGAAACCTTCCATGCCTGATAAATAGAGATAGTATGAAGGGGTAAGTTGTAAATAGCTCGATAAATGATCTGAAACTTCGTAAAACATAGAATGGTCTTCCGGTCAAAAAAATGCCTACGGACATAAAGAATCTAGTTAATGCTATCCGTTGGATAGTGCCAGATTGCAGAAAGAACTCCTTACGTATTATAAAAGAGCCTAGATTCCAGAAGCTCAATATTACACAAATTATCCTGTCGGAAAATCCAGTTAACTTAATTTTCTCAATGCAGGCATTGATCACACAGTATACATGAAAATTTACCATAAATCATATGCCCGCCATTTATACATCCAAGAAGGTTTTATCTCAATATCAGCCTCTTGTTTCATTTCGACCAGATAAGCGAAACATAGTAGCATATCAACTATCAAGTCCATATATACCTGCAAATACATAAACATGAGCGCTCATTATTGACTATAGGATATGATCCAATGCATAACATTACATATGATATGATACTATGGTTGGCGAATAGGATCCGTTTGGCTTCGGAAATATAAGCGTCATATTTGTATGCATGTTTAATCTGTTCAACACTTGTCAGTGGAATTTCTCCATGTCTGTGTGGTAGCAGTAGATCTACATTTCAGAGTCCAATGTGTTGCCTAGATTGATCAATTTTGATCTTTTACCTTTCTAACAAACGTTCTCTATGATAATTCTCTCGTATATTGCTTAGATTCACTTTATGATTCCTCAACCAAGCTTCGTTCGTTGCTGGTACGTATTTTTTAACCTCATCTGCACTAAGTGATAGTTCGGTGGTTCGACGAAACGGGAAGAAATTATTAGATGACAATTTAAGAAGTGTTTTTCTCTTTTTGATTGCAGAATATTGAGAATATACTTTGGATCTAATTCGGGTATAATCAAATTTTCAGGCGGCATATCTATAATATCGTCGTCTTGATCTGTTTCGTCCTCGGATTGCCGCGCACTGCCTACAATATATGACAATTTACTGACAAGCTTTGGCTTTGCCGGTTTATTGTGATGCTTTTGCAATCGTTTCTTTTTCCTTTTTGCTATCTTATTTGAAGAAATCATTTCTTCGCTACTTTCTCCAGAAAAAGCTGACCCATCATATATTAATGAAGTTGAAGAACTAAAGGCTGCCTCTGGTAAAGTACCATAATGCTGCTGTTGTTGGTGGACAGTACTATCGGGATTAATAAGTCGCAAATTTTCATCGTTCTGGTCATTATTTGGCGTTGGTAAAGCATAGGGTGTGACACTAGTCTTTTTCATTGTAGGCTTTCCAGACATTGTTTTACACCTCTCATGGACGATGAGATAACAGAAAAGGGAAGGGCAAAAGGGAGAAAGAGTGGTGATGAAATTTTGATGAGCATACACTTTTATTCAAAATTATGTTTGGCGCTTCCCAAAAAGGGCCCCTTAATTGGGAAATTATAATCGCAGTATTTAAACAAATACGTCGTACAGATTGAGAAATCACTTGTTAATGAGAACAGAGCAATGATGACGACAAGTAGGAAAATATCAGTCTCTCAGCGCTCCTTCAAAATGGAACCTATCTTAAACACATCTTTAAAAAAAGTCTAAGCGAGCAATATGAAAAGAATAGAATCTAAAGCAGCAACTTAAAACGGAGTATTTGAAAGGATAATTCAAGTACCGAATAAAGATTTCTCGGAGACTAAAAGTGAAATATATTATTTTCCGGTGTGTTTCACAGAATCGGACATCTCTGTGTTCGGTAACAAAAAGGTATACAGTCAGGCTTTCTAAAATTGGCATTATTCATCGCTAGAACGAAACTAGCTCGATTTTTACAGGTAGACCTATCTGGAAAATTGTAGTGGCGGCTCGTAAATTTGCTGCGGAATTCTAAACGTCAACTTTGTCTTGTGACCCCTCTCCACCACGAGTAAAACACTGTAAATGTCCAAACCTCTCAAGAGCCGCCTACAACTCCTCGGTTAAGGCACCTATTGCTCGACTGGTTACCCTCTTCCCCTCCCACAATCCTTTAGTACATAATCCTTTTTACCCTTGAGCCCTAAGGGGTTTTTAAATTCTCCTCAGCCTTTGGAGCTGCCCCGGGCAATTTGGATAAGTTTAATATCTCGTGTCCATTGGGCTTAAAAAATGTCAGTAATAAAAATCCTTGTTTAAACGTAAATGTCCAAACTTCAGATTATTTGGACGTTACTGTTTGAACATTAGGTATGCTATTGGCTTATGAATTGAAATGGCACTTGTTCTATGTAATGGCACAACTTTTCAATTAAAGTTTTTATAACTTCCCAAAAACAATTTAAGCGAAATAAGAGATTGGACGGACAAATATGGGCAACAAGCATTTTCAGTTACCAGGCTGCTCTGTACTTGGTAGCTCATCAATAGTGGCATCTTTGGTTTTCATCATGCAAATGTCTTTTATTTTAAGCGTATTAGGATAATGCAAAAGAGAGCTATCTGATTATATTACAGCTACTCAGACTTTCATCAGTTTCTTTCTCCCATTTACTCGCTTTTGAGACGTTTCTAATGCTCTATCTACCGCTTGTAAATCAGGCATCAGAGTCTATATAGTATTCATTTTTGGTAAGTAAAACAAGTACTCTTGCATATTTTGTACATCATTTCAAAAACGGTATCCTTATTTCACTTTTTTATGGTTAAAAAATCCTGATGATCTTTACCTGTTTACATTTTTCAGGATCTCCTTGAAAGCTCACTACTGAAATCAAAACTTCTTTCAATTTGTCTTTCTGCCTCTTTAGACTTTCAACCATACGCTGATTTTTATCTGCTCGATATGGTTCCCAAGAAGACCAAAAATGGCGTAAAAGTTCATTTGTTGCCATGTGGAAGGCATGAATCTTTGACTGAACTTGAGGAGGGAATCTCATATCTATTTTGCAGTCAAAGGTTAAGATATGGAAATTGCTTGAAAATATCCACCCAAAAATTGTTTTTTACCGGTCGCAGATTTTTCGTTATATCTTGCTTTCTTCTTAATCGTATCTGTTAATTCCTCACATACTGCATCGGCTACTCTTTTCTTCACAAAATTATCTTGACCTGTTACAAGATCAGGCCGCCAATTTTCAAACTCATGCTTATATCCTTCCAGTAACTTCTTTGTATCCTCCTCATTCAACTTTACTTGATCAGATCCTCCCGTTTGACTTTCGAAATAACGTTTGGTATCTTGTATGTCTAATTCTATTTTTTCTGGTGGTTTTTGCTCGACTAGATCCGTGAGGATGATATCTTTTTCTATTTCTTCTGTCGCTGTTGGTTCAGGTAGCTTTAATTTTCTAACATTATATGCGCAGACCAAAAAAAAATAAAATAACATATTACAGCATTAGTATGAAGGTTTCCCTATTCCTTTCTCAAAAGGTCTTTTTATCTTACGATGGAGGTGTTTCCAATACTCGCGAAGAATGTCTATTAAATCTACGAATTAGTGGTAAAGCTTGTTTTTCCCTGCCCGGTATCATCGTGAAATCAGGTCGATTGCCGCTCTCTATATGATCTTCTAATGTAGCGGTTAAATCAATATCAAATCTGATTCTATCCATACGGGTAATTGTTTGAGGCTTCGAATTCTCTAGAATAGTCAAGTGGTTATGGTTATATCTCATGTAGCAAAGAACATAGAAAATCGATATTTCATACCTTCATCTTCTTCCTGTAAACATTTGTCAAAAATATCGTCGTACGGGGTCAATTGTGGTCTGCCACCAGTACGCGATCTGTGGAAGAATTCAGATGCCAGGAATCTTTTCCAAAATATCTGTTCTGACATTTTATCAGGCACGTTGGTATCATATGCTCTTTTGACTATATAATTTAAATGTTGATCAGTCAAAAGTGGTACTTTTCCCCCCGCAAGATATACTTAAAAGAATATCCTCATTTACCCGATGGGAACTCAGTGAATATGTTATGTATAATTTGACTTGTTAAGGTATATTTCACATCAGAACCTTCTTGCTGGCTAGCTTTCAATTCTACCATTCTTGATGATCTACCTTTCTGCTTTCCCTCTCTCGACACCGCGTCTCTTTTCAGTTTCTGATTTTACATAAGGAATGATGTTTGCTTTAACAATTTCCCACCAAAACGTTGCTATGTTCGAACAGTACATATGGATTACCTGACGAATGCGTTTGATATAAGGGCTTGCCCAAAACTCCTCTTCACTCACACTCTTTCCTACCACCACAAGCTCTTTATGTAACGTCTGTAATTCTTTACTTGATGTCAACAAAGCTTTCCTATCTGCGAATTCTTCTTGTCGCAATGTCCTTGCTGGATGCTGCTGTTGCTGTTGCTGAGAAGTAGGCGAAGAAACAGCACTCTGTGATGGTGTATTGGTGATAATAGGTGTAGATGGCTTTTGCAGCGCAGCTGCAGACGATGTTTCCAATGGTGGTTGAACAGAGGGTGAGTTTGTCACGGGTGGTGTGGCAGGCATAGGCGACGGTACGCCCATCGACGCTGTTGGTGTGATCGGCCTTGGCGTTCCAACTGCACTACTACTCGTGCCTCTCGCTCGTGCTAATAATTCTGTTACTTGCGATTTGATGGCTTCTCGTTCTTGCAATGCTTTCAGAGAAGTGAAATGAAAAGTGTAATCTTTAGCTACAGGTGCTGTGACAGATATCTTAAGTAAGATTTTCGGGGACGACTGTGGCGTTTGCGCAAGGCCTGATATTATTGTGAAAGTTCAAATGTTATTACTAACTAGGTCAATATTTTTCGTTCAGAACTCAAATGTTGTTTTGTTAAAATTAAGGACCTCCGATATCATTATAATGAATAGATGGTATTAGTTGCGAGGATCCTTGTTGTTGCCAAGCAACCCGACGAGGTGTAACAAACAACGTTCCTTCATGCTTTTTGTAACGAACTGGCGCTCTTAAAAGTAACTGTTCATTAGGCTCCCACATTCAAAATTCAAAGTAACTGTAGTTGAAAGAAGTAATAGTGTGATCATCCATTATGTAAGAAAGCAACACCAAAAATATTCAAATAGAGTTGTGACTTTTTCTTTCCCAACTCTGCATTAAAACTGAGGGGAAAAATAATGCAAATATGATTGCTTTTGACAATCCCAGCAAAAAAAAAAAAAAAAAGAGGCCCTCTATGATGCAATCAATCAAAAACAATACACAAGTAGCAAAATTTTTTCTGTCATTTATAAAAATAACTGAAAACAGCTTCTCGTTTCTTCACGCTTTATTCCCATTCATCGTCATCCTCCTCTTCGTCATCGCTTTGCATAGCTTGCTTCCGTTGTTTCAATACATCAGCTAAGCTAGAGGCTAAACTAGCAGCACCTACACCTGCTATAGCACCACCGCCGGCAGCAGCAGCTGATGAAGACATGGAAGGTGATGTAGCATCATGTGTTGGTGGAGCGGATTGACTGGCTTCACGTAGTTTACCAGATTGTTTCAAATTGCCAAAACCACCGGCAGCACGAATGGATGCCATCAAGTTACTGCGATTGTCATCTGACGTAACAGCAGGAGAACCGGCACCTGGTGTTGAAAGAGTAGGTGGAGGGGGAGGAGGGGGAGGGGGAGCACCAGCACCACCCAACATAGGAGGCGGAGGTGGAGGTGGAGGAGGCACTGATGTAGGAGCACCGCTTCTGAATGATGGAGGTGCTGGGGGAGGCATTAATGGGTTGGTAGGCTTATTATACGGCGATGTCGTAGATCCAACTGAAGGAGGTGGTGGAGGTACTGGTCTATCAATACTTGTTGTAGCATTACGAGGAAATGCTTGACGTGATGGCGGAGGAGGTGGAGGTGGACCAGTTGTCGCAGCCACTCTTCTAGGTGGTGGAGGTGGTGGTGGGGCACCATTACGATTACGATTTGGAGGAGGTGGAGGAGGAGGAGGTGCTCTTTTCTTAGCTCCCATGGTTGCAGGTACGGCAGCACTTCCAGGCGTGGCTGGAGGTGGTGGTGGAGGGGTGAATCTCGCTTGAATGTTATTAGATACTACAGGATTAGGTACTGGGGGAGCTGATGGAGGCGGCATAGGTACTTTGGGCGGTGGTGGTGACGAGATCTTATTTATTGATGCTACAGGATGTTGTTGCGTTTGCTGCTTATTTTGCTCTAAAAACTCTTGAATAAATTCTTGGTTTTCATCAATTTCTTCAGCAGTAATACCTAACTCTTTTAACTGATCGAATAAGCTATTCCATTCTGGGTCGTTATTTTGCACACTGAAGCCCTTTCCTGGTGTATACCCAATATGTCCTAAATGTCTAAAATCGGCTGGCATACCAATCAGATTTTTGTCCACTTTGCTTTTACGTTTAACAAGCGAAGATGTCTTTTTATCTCCTAAGCCTGCTTTAGACACTGGTGCCGCTGTTTGTCGAGCGGCCCCCTTGTTAACACTATTAGCAGCCAGCGTGTCTCTATCCAACACTTTTTTGTAAAATACGTCGGCTTCACCTTCATCCACAAATTCCAATGCCGTTAAACAATCCTGTATTTATTACATTGATTAATATGGCTTTAAAATATGTCATAAAACCTTAACACTTACGTCTGTTTCGAAGGAATGAAAGAAAGAAGCATCCTTGACATACTGAAATCCGTAATATAATTCTTGCTCCCAAATGACATTATTTTGCCCCTATGATAAAATCTGGTTTTTATACACTTCTTCTGAAAATGTGTCAGCACCGCGAATAATTCCATACTTGTAATTCCACAATACGTATAAAGAATGAATTGTTTTTCGCTTTATCACAACAGAATACAGCAGCTCCCCATATTTGTGAGTAAGTCCACTTTGAAGGATCGGGACTGGCGACGTGTAGTCGTGCAACGGCTGCTGTGTAGATTTTCTAACCGAGAAATGTCATGTCAGCTAAAGTTTAGAGTGTAACTGACTGTTCAAATGAAGAACTTTACTGAAGTAGGAAGGGCCTGCCGAATGATATCTTTGTCTGCGGGTGTTGCCAATGTCACTGATTTCATTATTAGATGAACTATTAAAAAAGAAAAAGAGAACGGAAACGCTTGGCGCTTTGGAAAACATTAATTCGCTTCAGAAGTCCGCACGAAGAAATGCCCCATTGTTCCATTCGACAATGGCTATGTAGAGACTCCTACGGACTCCTTTTACATGCTAATAATAATACGCCCTTCCTTACTTGACAGTTAGAAATTATCTCTTTCTATCCAATGTTATTGATCACTTTTCTTGTCTACCATGACGATAATACAGGAAAATTGCCCAATAAAATATATGCCACTACACATTGAGCACTAGTATCATTACTAGAACGAGCTTCATGTGTATTTATTGTGCTGAATGACGGATTTGACCCAAGTATCAAATTTGGGCAAAATCGAACAAATTCCAGAAACATATAAGATACGCCTTGTTTAGTGCATCTAAAAACGCAACTGTAGATATAACATTTGAGGTTGGGATAACGAAAATAAGCATTTAACAAGTGCATTTGCGTAACAATATGTAGACAATTGACCACAGCAGTTACCATTATATATGGATCCTGGTACAACAAAAGGAAAAAGGGTATAGGTTAAGGAATCGCCAGAGTTATAAGTCAAACCGTAGAGAACCAATCGTAAACTAAACAACACCTATATGGTGTATGCTTGTATGCAAACAAATGTCTGATATTTTGTTTACTTTGGCACCACTACGACCACATCTTAACGAGTCGGTCACTTAAAAATTATATGATATAAACAAACCCATGACGACCTCTTCACATGAGAGAGGTTGTGTTTATCGAGCATTTGAAAATAACAATTGAGTAAAACCAACCAAGCATGAGCCCATTTTCAAAGAGTAGTTGGCAACAGCTTCTTGGCTAAGAACTCTATTCAAAAATTTTATACTGTTCGAAGGAAACGGTATAAGCTGTAGGAAGCCTAGGTTTTGAAACTTGAACTCTTGGTCTAAAACATTAGAATACACTCTGCACCTTCAGGTGTTCAGTTTTCCCGCCTCGCCTGAAATATTGAATAAAATCTCTAGGATTGAAAAAGAAATAAAGCTAATTCGACTACAGTCTGTACCAGCAAGCGTTGCAGAGACGTAATTAGCGGAAAGAACGATAGTACAAAAGAAGAAAAAGAAAAACAAGGATCAGAGATCCTTGAAAAATGGACGTAGAAGTTTTATGGAAGCATTTTTTTGTCTGCTCAAGATTGATATGTAGCCACTAGAAATATATTCACATTGCGAATCGTTCATTTTTACATATTTAAACCTTGCTTTTAAAAAAAAGAAAATAAAAAATACGTCAATTTCAGAAAACTATAAAACACGATATTGTAAGTATTATAGCCTAGCATAAAACTATTTGTAACATACATGCATTAAAACGAACACCCGGAGGCTTACTCTTATTAGTATGCTTATTTTGACAGATATACATATTTTTGTTTGCTAGCCGTTTACTTCGAAGCATTCCAAACCATCTTTTACAAATGTGCGTGTAGGTTTTGTATTGACAATTTCTTCAGTTATCACCGTAACCATCGCCTATATAATCTGATTACACACTGCTGCATAATGACTGATTTGGAAATTATCTATTGCCGCTTGCGGTATTACATTGAAGACAGTATTCATAAAGGATGTCTTTCACTTCACAATAAGCGCACTGCTCAGTAAAATATCTGTGTAAAACATGAGATTCTTCTGCTGCTTTTGAATGAGAAAAAAAGTTCTTTAAATCAGATTTTTTTCGAATTTTGTGATATCTCATTGTACACTGTCTATGGTATGATGAAGGAATACACGTTTTCTTTATTTCGTCAGCATCAAGGGTAGCACTGGAATGTAGATACGTATGAGTGCCAGTGTAGCATGACTGAAATTTTCATGATAATATATTGTGCCATAGATAATCAATAGTATGTTTACCACCACATGAATACAAAATTTCAGCACTACTTACAAATCGAAACTTCTGTATCTTTACAAGTGGCCAAGAAGGGATGCTGCATTCTTCAAGTCACGGTTTTCTTCAGAAACTGCTCTGTTCATAAACAGGTATTATTCAAGCAAGTGGCCGACCTTGTCATGAAAAGTTTATAATGAAGACCTGAGAATGGTCACTCTCTTAACATGTTTGTATAGCCGTATCGTACCAATGCTCACGACACCCCTACTAATTATTGTAAAATCGTTCTGCAGAAAGCAAATAGTGAAGGTTTCGGATATGTGTTGATGTGTGAAGCGAAGTAGAAGGGCTTCCCTTATTGTTCTTAATGCGATGATCTAACTCCTCAATGTTCACTTTGCACTTTTCATGTTTGGTCAACTTTGAATTGGCAAAGATTTGTTGAACCCTAGAATGATATGAGCGGATAAAGACTTTCCGTATCGGTAAGGAACGAAAAATGACATAACCTTAAAAAAGATATTTTTGTATAAATGGACATGCCAAGCGACATGAAGTTGTGCAAAATCTGGGTATGAAAATTGGGGTGGTATGTATTTTTAGGTGACAAACCTCCCCGTATTTTTTAAATGAGGTATTTTTAGCAGTTCGTTTGGAGTTTGAATCAACTTTTTAAGGTGCTGATACCGTTAGTGAGAATGGAAGATGAAGCACGATTTCCTTTTTGACCCTCTTTTTCAGTTCTTTGCTTCGTTGCTTTATAATTATTCTTAATTGCAATCTGATGACTACATTACCCCAGTCATCTACAACAAGTATTAGCGAAAATGGCTTCACCGCCACAGTCATTGAACCTACAATTTTAGAGAACTACTCAAGTACTTCCTCGACAACAACACCAAATAGTTCAAGAGTAACCCTTAGTAACAATGCTAGCCCGCATAATGCCCAAAGTAAGTTGCCCCCACCACCTATACCTCCTCCACATGCATCCTCAGCAGCTTCTTCAGCAACAAATATCTCCTCCCCTTCATTTTATTCACAGCAACATAACACATCGCCTCGTTCAACTGTATATAGTCAAAACTATCAACTTGTTCATCATAATCGGCCGGAAGATATGCAGTATTTTCATTCTGTCCCGTTGCAGCATTCATTATCCCACCCATTACCTTTATCTCATCATCAATCTTTGGACTACCACCAAAGCTTCGTATCCCTTTCAGGAACAATACAGTCACCATCACAGCAACAATTTGGAATGGAATCACTTGTTGTCACTGAAGATCAAAATTATTTACCTGATAGCTCTTTACAAATGGCCATCCAAGCAGGTCAAAAACGACTTGAACGACTTCAGCAACCCTTGGATTCAAATTTCCCTACTCCTATCTCTGTAGAGAATATAAATAAATTACGAGAAGACGCAAATCAACCTGATGCTGATCCTCGTAAACACCAATTCTTTTTCGCTCGTTATTTACTGGATGGTGCTGTCAAATACTTGAAAACCAACCCTCAGGATCCAGAACGTGCTCGTCAACTCAGAGACAATTTGACAGCCGAAGCCATGAAATGGATCAAGAAACTTGCTTCTCACAAAGTCGGCATTAGTGACGCTCAATTCTACCTCGGCAATTGCTATGGAGCAGGGTTGCACGGACTCAAGCCCGACGTTGAAAAAGCCTTTGCTCTCTATCTTCAAGGCTCAAAACAGAACCATCCAGAATGTACGTATCGAGTCGCCGTCTGTTACGAATTAGGTATCGGTACTAAAAAAGATCCTCGATATGCCATGCAGTTTTATAGAAAGGCAGCCAATTCAGGCGACCCCTCCGGTATGTATAAATTGGGTTTGATCTTGATGAATGGATTATTAGGACAGTCAAAGAATCTGAGAGAGGCCGTATCATGGTTTGTGAGAGCAGCTCAAGTTGCGGATGAGCAACATCCTCAAGCCTTGCATGAATTAGGTCTTGCATATGAGAAACAAGATCAGCCTCTACCCACCATCATTCCTGATTTAAACTATGCGAGAGAATTGTTTAGTCAGGCTGCTCAATTAGGCTATGCACCATCCCAATTTAAGTTGGGACTAGCATACGAAAATGGACAATTGAACTGCCCTGTGGACCCGAGACGATCTATTGCTTGGTATTCGCGAGCAGCCGAGCAGAATGACCCAAACGCGGAACTAGCGCTATCAGGCTGGTATTTGACGGGATCAGAAGGGATTTTGAAACAGAATGATAAGGAAGCTTATTTATGGGCCAGAAAGGCTGCAGATCGAGGACTGGCTAGAGCAGAATATGCTGTGGGATATTATACAGAAACAGGTGTAGGCGTAGCAGCAACAAATTTGGAAGAAGCGAAGCAATGGTATGTGAAGGCAGCAAAACACGGAGATATTAAAGCAAAACAGAGATTGCAAGCATTCACTCAATCAGAAGCAGCGCTAAAAAGAAGACCTACAAGAGATAAGAATGGGAAGCCGAATTCGAAAGATTCTGACTGTATCATCATGTAAAAATATAGTAGTACAAATCATCTAAATTCAATACTACAATAATGTTCATTTAATAGTAATATATGGCTTATATCTCACTTTACCACTAATAATATTGAAATCAATGACAAGTAGAAAGGGGTTTTGATTAAAATGCATTTTTCCAATGGATCGACAGTACTTACCGCATGTACTCGAAATCGGTCGGATTTTAGAATAGAATGGATCACCTTGAAAATAGATACAAAAGCTTTGAATCTTGGCATCCGAGACATGAATACCATCTAGACGTATCCAAAGGCATAGCCGTATCCTTAAAGATGATACCTGTAAAACTGGGATGCCTGATTATTGTCATGTTGGGTCGGCAAATGAAATTGGACAGATTTCTGGCAGCATGATATAATTACCTGTCTTCGTCTTAGACCAATTCTTCTCTGTATCATCAAAAGTATTATTGCTAAGATAGTTTAGCTTTGGAGAATGAGGAAATATAATTTGCTTTGCAAGAAACTTACATTAAATGGCTAAATTATTGAGATGAGTACTTCCGGTCTTCTTGGTGAATGTTACTAGTTGAAAATTGTTCTGAAACAAATGAACGCTCTTCACCATGGCTTTTACTGCGTGTTTGTGATGCTGTAATCATAAAGCTGCTTTTTATTGAGTCCAGACCATGCATTGTCTGGTCAATTCGAATGTGAAGTATTGCGTTGGATATTGCAGTCTTTCTCTTCATTTTATACCAAGCATATAAACGAATACATCGGTTATGATAGTAAAATCCAATTACAAGTAAAATTTATTTTATACCCACATGCATGAGATGAAGTGAAAACCAAAATTCTTGAAATCAGACTGACGAGTGCAGCTATTTAAGTACATAATGAGTAATACGTGCCAATCTGCTAATCTTTAATTGATAAATATTAATCCTGTTAATAAAGACAATTACATTCCTCTACAAAAAACAATAAAATATGTATATAGTCGTTGAAGCAATACTTGGCAAGGCTAAGCTACAGTTTTTTCCAAATGAATGATCGAGAGAATTTAACTTGTAATTTGGCAATTAAGCAGTAGTAATTATAACATATGTAAACGCAGTTTATGTCCTGTTTGTATTATTGTCTAGGAAGCCAATGGAAATGATTAACAATTATTGCTATTGAACACGTTGAAGGCTTATATTCTAAGATGTACTGTATTGGTTTCTTAAAGGCACGAACATCAGCATTATATCCACCAACATCTACAGAATAATTACATAAGTACAATTATAATGACGTATTTGTACGTTGTATTTCCTTAATGATACAACTCGCCAGAATAAAAGCTGTTATGGTTAATTGATCGTATCTACTTCTTCAGTGTACTCTTTTTATACTTTACTTTTCACTTTTTTTTTTCCCAAGATCGATTATTTGTTTACGAAAACTTAAATATGCCTTTCAATGAAGCGAAAGCACAATTGAAAAGTAATTTGCAGAAAAAATAACGATCAATGGTTGAAGGTGAACCGCATATGCTTTTTTCTTCTGTATCATAACAACTCGAAAAAATTGATTAACGTGTTGGGCGTCTTCATTTAAGGTAGCAATAAGTTTTGTTTGAGGCAATGGGAACATTTGCGTAAAATATATATGTTTGTCCTACCTAGGAACAAGAAATAAAGTCTACATTAAATATACGAATGAGCATCTGCGAAGACTTTTTGATTTTCATGGTTTCTATGTATACACTCTTCATATTAAATCAAGTAGGCAAAAAGCAGGTAAAGAACCGATAAATGCGCGTAATTAAGGTAAGAAGTCAAATTTTGATAGTCGATAGACGAAGAGTTAAAGAAGGGAGGGGGAAAAAAAAGGAAAAGAATCATTGCCTGTATAACAGTTAAAATGCTCTTTTCACCTTTAAACATTACAGTTTACAAAGATAAAGTTGGACCAACAAGAAGATGGTTTTAGGGTAGGTTTGTGGATAACACGATGGTATTACTACTCGTGGTATCCGAATATAGCGTGTAAAGCAAAAATAAAAATGTTGAATAACGGTCAAATTCGGATACCTTTGATTCGTTTTATAAACAGATGAATAAGATCTGAGGAATCAGTTGATAGCAGTTCTCTATATAATGGCTGTAATACAACTATAGTTAGATGTTGTATATAACAGCTTTGAGATACCTTTTACTTGGAATACCGCTTTTCATATTACAATTATGTGAAACGTGATTTGACAGTGGCTTGCCAGGTGTATGAATGAGCATCTTGTCGCGTTCCTTTATATAAACATGTGCCAAAACTGCTGTAACATCATGATACTAAGGCTTCAGAATATAATGCTCATTGTATATCAAATGGGAAAAAAAAAAATACCGAGTCTTTTCGAAGTAATTTTGCGTAAAGAAGCCGCCATAGATACCCCAGTAAATTTGTATAGATCACTCAAAGAAATGTGCGTGATGGATAAGATACGAAGTCCAAACTGAAATCACTGACAAAATCCACTCTCAAATATTTTAAATCCCCGTTAGTTTTTTCCTTCCATCAAGCGAAATATTTTTGTTCTTGTTAAAATTTTGCTTTCTCTGGGTTCTTTTTCATTTCACTTAACGTACAACATTATTAAATATACGATAACGAACGACAATAAGAGTTTGATTTCAACGAACAATTTAACACAATTTTTATTGTCTGTAGTACGCCTATATCTAAAATACATATTATATATATGTAAGATAAACCCGCACAATAACTTCAATGGCCAGATTCAACTTTAATAATGACGACGACGATGACGACCAAACGTTTACCCAAGATTTACGCTCGCAAAGAAAGGAAAAATATATGACAGCATCTAATGCACGATTGGCAGCGCATAGTAAGACACGAGTAGCCTATTTTCATGATGAAGGAGTTGGCAATTATCATTATGGCGTAAGTCTTTTTCGCAAGCAACGCTGCTACTTTTATAAGATGAACAAGATTTTTCAAAGAAAAAGGAAGAGAATATACATTAAAACTATTTTGTCACATCATAATTAGGAACGACACCCTATGAAACCTCATCGTTTGACGTTAACAAACCATTTAGTACTAAAATACGGCATGCATGATAAGATGGAAATATTTCAACCAAGGAGAGCGACAGATGATGAAATATTAAACTTTCATTCATCAGATTATGTGGATTTCTTGAAAAGAGTAACACCAGAAAACGCAGATACTTTTGAAAGTGTGTTCCAAAAATTCAACGTAGGAGATGATTGTCCTATATTCGACGGTATTTATGATTTCTGTCAACGTTATGCTGGAGCCACCATTGAAGCTTCTCGCAAATTAATTGCTAATGGAGCTGACATCTGTATTAATTGGTCTGGTGGTTTGCATCATGCTAAAAAGAGCGAAGCAAGTGGATTCTGTTATGTTAATGATATAGTTTTGGGCACTTTAGAATTGTTAAGGTATAAACAATTTTTTTCCGATGTTGCATGTCATATACACATAACTCAAATGTGCAATAATGTAGATACTTCCCTCGTGTTCTATATATTGACATTGATATTCATCATGGTGATGGTGTTCAAGAAGCTTTTTATTCAACAGATCGTGTGATGACTGTCTCTTTCCATAAATACAACGGGGATTTCTTCCCTGGAACAGGTCATATTGATGAGATTGGCTCCTCTCTTGGCAAGTATTATTCGGTCAACGTGCCTTTAAGGGATGGTATTGATGACGATGCCTATATCTGGCTTTTCAAAGAGGTGATCGATGCTGTGATCAATCATTTTGACCCTTCTGCTATTGTACTGCAATGCGGTGCTGATTCTCTGGGATGCGATCGGCTGGGTTGTTTCAATCTTAGTATTCGCGCTCATGGGCGTTGTGTGCAGATTGTTAAGAATTACAATATTCCCATGTTGGTGGTGGGTGGTGGTGGTTACACAGTGAGGAATGTCGCGCGGTGCTGGACATACGAGACATCAATATTAGTAGATACAACCCTCAGCGAAGATTTGCCACCAAATGAATATCGAGAATTCTTTAAACCTGATTTCAAGTTGCATCCGGATTTAAAGGGAAGAGTTGAGAATCAAAATGATCGAACTTATTTATTGAAAGTTAGAGAAAGAGTGATGGAGCAGTTGAGATATTTAGACGCAGCCCCAAGTATACAAATGCAGGAGATACCCCCAGATATTCAAGGATTTTTAGATGGTGAGGACGAACAAATGGACGAAGAAGAAGATTCTGAAATAGGGAAAGAGAGTAGGAAGACCTCAGGTAGAAGTAAGAGGAAAGGCGCCATAGCCCCCGATAACGAATGGTACGAAAATGATAAAGACAATGACGAAACGGATGATGATGACTCATGGTAGTTCAATTACTATTATAAGCGAAATCATACTATACATCATTTAGCATATACTCTCTTTCACTTTAGACACTTACACATAATAACCTAATCACTCGTTTTTTGTATTATATTTATTCTATATTCATGCTTTATATGGTACATAAATATTCATTTTGTTACGAATTTAGACCCGACTGAGGGGAGATAAGTGTTTTATATCATTTGAGAGTAACATTTAGGTACCAGCGTGCCCAATAACTATTAATGCATACATGTAAAGTGGTATAATAATATTATCATTTTGGGTAGAAAAGGCTTCTAATAAGCCTGTCAAAGTAACGACATTGGAATAAGTTAACCATTCACTTCGGCCAGCCGAAGCAGCAAATTCAGTCGTTTCATCCAAATTCAGGAGTGCAGAAGTATATACAACCATCAACGCGCTTAGAAGGACTGTAACAATAAAGGCGAGGGTACCTTCTACCGTCTTTTTGGTACCTGGCCAATGGTAACGACCAAACTTTTTGCCTACAATAGAGGCGGCAGCATCGCCAAAGCCTAAGGAAAGTATGCCTGATAAGCTGGCAAGAACATTCGAGCTGTTGAAATATGGAGACAAAAAGGAAAGGAAAAGGCTTTAGCTTCTGATCCCATCTGTTCCGTTAGACATCATTAAGAAAACCATTTACCTTCCCAACCATACTGGAGTAGCGCAACCGAGTAATAAGTAGATATGACTCAAAATAACTGGCCCCAAATCTCGATTATCAATGAACTCTGTCAGAAAGACATGGAGGTTTTTACCCCAGGGCCATACAGCAAAATAACGTAAATATTCTAAATAAATGAAAGCCGAAAAAGCAACGCCAAATGCTAACTGTAAAAAGGCTTTCTCGAATAAAACACCGGGTACAAACATGATAACAGCCAATGCATGGAATAGCTTTCTTTTTTTGTTGAGTGAGCTTGTGAGTGTTTTTCCTTCAATTGGTACAGCTGATTCTAGATTGAAATCAAGTACGAGCACCCAAACAATGATGGTGGTAATTACTGTGAGTGACCAATATAAGCAAAGGAACATACGAGAAGGTGACATGTATAAATAATCGAGTGTCCTAATGTTTGTATGAATCACCAGAAAATGCAATTAGTGTAAACTTTTGATTAAATAATCAGACGTACATCATTCATCCTTTACCATAGGATGGGATTCTCGCCCGTGATCGCTTTGCAAATAGGAGCAATGATCAGACAGGTAATAATGAGTGTAAGAAAATAGAATAGAACGGCAACAACGATCTTTTTATTCTCAAAAGAAAGGCCGTTCGATCGCCAGTAAGGTCTTTGTGCAAGTCGTCGCGACTGACGTAACAGAGGATATGCAACAATACCTATAAATATCATGCCAACGATCAGCGCATGAATTAATACCTGGTTCGTGAATACATCCAAGTGATTGAGATACACTGGTGCTTTATCAGGATAATACTTTAAAGAGCAAGGAAAGAGATGAGTCAAACATAACCTTTCTCTACAGACGGAAACATCAATGAAGCCTACTCACTGCTGCGCAAATATATTCTGCTGCTCCATGCACTACTGTTGCGGCTGCTTGAGACACGATACACATTTCGCCCAAAGTAAAGCATTTCTTCAATGTCACTACGCAAATATAAAGAAACCATTGAAATATGGTCACTGATAGTATCGTCATGTAAGTAGGTATTTCTGATAAGATAGGTGCTAATGGCGTGCTTGTCAAAATTGCCGTGCAAAGTGCTGATACGCAAATGCTGGAAACGAATAGCCCCCTTTTGCGAATGACACGTTTTAATGGTTGTAGATAGTCGTTGATGAAAACCAAGACCAAAAATAGCATGCTCATAAATAAAATTAATTCTAGACGAACTTTAAGATAAGCTGATTGAGAAGAGGAGGATATCAGTTGTATGCGCAAAATAAGTTCCCTGTGATCATATTTTAAATTACCAATATGATATGCATCCATTTTTTTAGTAGCTGCATCGACAAGTTTCGCCGCTGCTACCATAGGCAACAGCAGAACGCCACACAGTAACCCATCATCTGCATTCGCTCTGAAAGAAGCTCTACTTGCTCCAAAAATTCTATTCATCGACTGAAGTTGCTGCTGTTGTTGCCTCATTGTTGATGTGATGAGGATTTCTTTCTTTTTTTCAAACTCTTCGGAAGACGAATCTGATGTCGATGTGATATTAGTAGTATTAATAGTAGTGTTGAAGCGCTGTGCTAGATTAATTCGTTGCTGGTGTCCCTTAGACGTGGTAATTCGGACAAGTATGATGCCACCCCAAATACTCAATATCCAGCCTTTTTAATGCAACACGATCTCAGATTAGAAGAGATACTTATACATAAAATTATATTTTCGCTTACCCATTAGCCATTGATCATGGAATATTTTTGTATTATGCAATGGATAAAATACCCAAAAAAATGATACAATCCATAGAATCGATTCTAAAGGTGCCATTTTCCAATCTATAAAGGGATGATTAAAATCTTCGTCTTCTTGCTGTTTGAGTTCTGTCTGCTGGTTCTCCCTCCCCTTCGACGTCCGTTTTCCTTGTTCGTCTGCTGCTGCCGATAAATTGTTGTGATAGCTTCTTTTGCGTCTAATGACTTTAAATAACTGATCTTCTTCTATTGATGAGGACGAAGCGAAACCTTCATCTGCATTTTCTTGCTCTAAAGGATGTTGAATCGTTGTATTGAGTAATTTCGACAATGTGCAGATATATTTTTAAATAGAAAAAACCAATTCTCGTTTGTGTTTTGTGAAGAGATTATAACACACGGTCAAGGAATAAGAATGGAAAAGAGTGTGACAATTCTATGAACGTTAGGAACAATTTGAAATAGTCCGTCGGAAACAAATCAAAGAAATTAAAGTTTTCTGTCGATTCATCTGATCACGTTACTCATCCCGTATCCAAGTTGTGTTGAGAAAATAAATAAAGAGGTGTGATATAATGAAATTATAAATGGAGTATAAAAATTTCGATGTGTCTTTGAGTAAGTATCTGAAAACCTTACACCAAATATGGCCGAGTATGAAGCAGGACAAGAGTAGAACAAAAAAGAAACCAATCACAGTAAAAGTACGTTTTGTAAGTATGAAAACTTGGTAAGATGTTGTTGAAAATTATTCATAAGCATAGAATAGCACGTATTGTATGGTCGAATTGAGCAGATTATAGCCAAAGCCCGAGAAGTATTAGTCTACGAAAGTAATTACGACCATCTATAGAGATAGCTCAGTTTCAGTTTGCCTAACGATTAATAAAAAGCCCATTGCCTAGTACTGTGATGAGAATTTATTCAACTAGTAGGTTACTTAATGTTTGGCTCTTTAATAACTAGCAAACGATCGTCTCTGCTGCTAATATTCCAATTGTAAGTGGGCATTTGTATCCTTGTTTGATCACCGCCAACCATTGCAGTTCGACTTTAGCAGCGTTGTACCTTAAAGAACATTTACAATTATTTTCTGGCGGTTATGCGACGAAGAATGTTTAAATTATGTCAACTTAATAAAGATTAGATTACATACATGGCCCGCAAACAAAAGATATTGATATCGAACTGATAATATTTTTCTTTTTGACCTTTGCTTAAGGAACCAAGGCTCTTCGCCTCTCTTCGCACATATGCGCACACCGCTTTAAGTCAGCCACAGTAAATAGCACCCCGTAATCTTTTCTAATTTACCCAACAAAATAGGTTAGGGGCCAGTGCCATGTTTACCATGCATTATATTTGAAGCAGGATGATAGAACGACAATTCTACGAAATATTTAAGTATGCTTATGATCTGTAAGCACGAGAAGCATTGCTGATCTTCTCCCATTGTAAATTCTGCAGGTTTTTCATTGGACGCCACAATGCATCTATGAGATGATGTAGGATCTACTTTTCTTGTGTTTATTAAAGTGACATATGATTTGGTGCTCAGTTGACAGCTGTCAAAAAAAAAAAAAAAAAAAAAAAAAAAAAAAAAAAGTAAAATAAAAGAAACAAGAAACTAGAGAAGCGGGGTGCCATAATTCCTATTGTATGAAAAGAATGGAAGATAGGGTTACTGAAGCGACGAATTGCGGCCGGTTTATGCATCTTACTAGCAATTTCTGTTTTATCAAAAAGGAAATACAAGATTGCTGAGATACTGGCGATGAAAGACGCTTACCGGAATTTTTTTATGTTGATAACAAGTAAAGCAAGGGTCAGAGTTGAGATAATAATAGATGCGGAAAATTGGCTAGCGGTAGGTAATAATGCGATCTTTATGATGAACGAGAAATATCAGGAACTAGATGGTTATTTGCAATGGAGGTAGCGGTTCTGTGTTGGTGCAGGCGCGACACCTTACATAGTGACACTACGCTTGTCATAATGGGAGACAAAAGGCTTCCGGACTGATACCCCTTTTCGGTAGTCCAAATCAAAGATTTTGCCTAATTTGAAACGAACCATGTAAAAAAATGTTCTTATACATGTGTGATTTCTGCTGTTAAGTCTGCTTTCCTATCACTTACTTTTGAGCCAGGAACACAGTAAAAAAAAAAAAAAAAAAAAAAACCTTAAAATTCTCCACTCGCCATCCCTTTTCTTTTGCAGTCTGCTTACAGAGCCTATCTCGTTTTACCAATGATATAAAAAACAGGTGCACATTTCGGTGTCTATGCAACATCTTTTGATAGGCTTGTTTCACACGCAAATTTAGTGCCATGATAGCCGATGCCATGATAGCCGATGATATCGGCTCTGATTCTACAATGTTAGATGGCCAATTTTGCGAGCTTTCTCCTTTTGATCTGAAAATAATAAAAATGCAGCTTGTTAAGCGTGCTTGTCTCTTCAATAACATTCTGTATATTTGAAACTACCTATACACAACGTAAAACTTCGCAGTAGTCTCTATATTTTTTTATTGGATATGGAAGAGGAGAGCGAAACATTCTGGCTGAAGTTTTTAATAAAAAAAAATTGTTTCAAATAAAGGTGATGTTGGCCTAGCCATTCAAAGTCAACTAAACCTGTGCATCTTCAGTAGTTTTAGGTTTTTTTTTGGTTGACAGTTAGTCAAATAGAGGGCTTTTCTTCTCTCTTTTTTTTCACTTTTGCTTCTTTTTCGGCCACTTGTTCATTTTATTTGTATAGTTACACACTCTGTTTGGTATATAAACCAGTTTAAAGCTCGGTAGTGAAAACAACCAAAAAATAAAACATGGACCCATTGCAAATTAACGACGCAGAGTTAAGCGACCCTTACCATGCATTTAATCGAAATAAGCGTTCAAGTATCTGTTCAGTACGCTCAGCTGCTTCTATTTCTTCAACATACGAACCATCTTCTGACTTTTTGTCATTCAATGAAGACAATGTTCCAAACATTCAACGAAGACCATCCAAAAAGGGCATCAGTACGTTTATAAGCAAGTTGTATAGGTAAAATGTTTAAGTTGTTAAATGAACAGGGTTTGGGAGATAGCGCAGATGAAGCATCTGAAATGATCTTTATTCTTGGAATCATTTTGAAGGTGGCATGAATTTGACGTCAAACTCAAATCTGTGACACAGTTGGTTTTTTTTTTAGAGTTACCCTAAGTGTCTAATTACTTTTCTTTCTCCGTTTTGTTCCTATAACAGCATGGTAGAAGATGGTCGTCATCAGAACTTGATATCTTGGAATCCTAGTGGAACCTCCTTCTTTGTTTGTAACGCAACTCAATTTGCACATGAAGTACTTCCTGAATATTTCAAGCATAGCAATTTTTCAAGTTTTGTTCGACTTTTGAATATGTGAGTATTGATAATAAGACATGGGATTCTGAATATGGACTGGAATTGTTCTGAACATGCCCGCTAACGACTCTCGAATACGCAGGTACGGCTTTCATAAGATCAATAAATCACCAAGAGGACAGAGAGGGAACAACGAAAATGAAATATGGGAGTTTTCGCATCCAAAATTTCAACATAGTCGTTCAGATTTGCTAAAGGATATTAAGCGTAAAGCTATGGATTCGGAACTTTTAAGACGGGAAACGGGTGATATCCATGCTTCTTTTGCTACGCTTCAGCTATCTCAGGCAGACCTGTTGCAGCAATTTTATATTCTTCAGGATAACTTTTCCAATTTGCTTCAAAGCTTTGAAGAAACCAAGAGGATACAACTTCAGCAGCAACAAGTGATTAACCAACTTGCAGAGAGACAAGGTTTGACTAATAACGACTTACTGCAATTACAAGGTAAAAGTAAATCTGTGAAGGTAGCATGAATGCAACTTGTTGCTTACTAAGTAATTATGTATATAGGCGAACTACAATTAGAACAACAGCATCAAAACTCATTACAGCAACATCAATTACAATCTCTACAATTAAACAGCAATGCACCTAGTCCTTTGGCAGTGTTTGTCACGTCTCCTAACGATCAACAGCACGATCTTTTTAACGCTAATAACACCATGCAATTTTTCAACGATAATGCCAACAACAATAATATCTTTAATCATCTCCAACATCCTCTTCAGACGACGTCGGATATTAGTATGTCCGTTTATGACCATAGCCGTTCTGGCACAAATAACACTGCTCCCAATACGCCTACTACAAACACTGCTACTCCTAATACTGCTAATACCAGCGCGGCCACAAGCGCTTCTCCACAACCCGCGATGTCTCCCAATGTTTTTGATACAGCAGTCAATACGCCCTTACCTCCTAGCCCTGTGCCTTCTATGATGCTTGAGTCACCTATGATGACAGACAACAGTACATTAAATAACAATAACCAACAGTTATCGGAACAGCACTCTCTTCATCCTTTGAAATACGAAGATATTAATACCCTTGGACTTGGTTTATAAATTAATCTAATTCAATCGTCTAGACTGAAAATACATAACATAACACTCATTCACTTATACTTCATAGGCATCTTATCTCTCTATTCACTTATTCCTTTCAAAATCCCTTACCTGAAAAGAGAAATGAAATAAAAAAAAGTCTGTCAGTTGTGATGTTAGGGCTTTTTCCACAACCAGGAGATCAACATTTTGCATGAAATTAGCAGGGTTTTTTTTTTCCAATTTAGCAATTCCTACAGCGACCTGAGTTCCTAATTCAATATTCCTCAAGAAAAATGCGAGATGCTTAATAATAAATGGATACATTTTGATACTGTCATCTTCTCCTTCATCCCGTTTCAAGGAAGCAAACATTCGATCGCAGAAATATGTGAATTCAGATTTCAGCTTCCAACCTAGAATGTTAATAGAACATACATATATATACCTTATCATAGGACGATAAGCATAATTATATACACTTGACTTCTTCTGTGATATTTGACCCAAGACAACCAATTGTTTTACTTTACTAATAATTTTCCAAGTGAACCATAACCATTGCATCATTCATCAACTCTTATTTGCCGCTCTTTTGAATAAAAGGGACAGACCCTTCTAATAGCTACTGTAGGGTCGGCAAAGGAAACGGTTCAACTGTTCACCTATCTCTGTTTCGTTTCCTTTCGATCCGACATTATAATCTGTCCGGCAATGTTCGTTGTCAGGTTCAAGGCTTATCAACCTTTTGGTTTGTTATCTTCTAATATTGATTATGTTCATCTTTCAATAATTTGTAGTTGGCTGAAAGCAGCTTTAAATGATTCACTTTCGTCGCAGCAGCATAATTAGCAAGGAGGAAAGAATAGAAGAAGAAGTTGGTTCTCCTACCTTGATATAATTGTTCGAGAATAAAGAACTTTTAAAGAAACATTATTCATTATTCATGGTCTCCCTAGGGAAGCAGATTGTTAGTTTCCAAATATTAGAAAAAGAAAGAACCAGAAATGATTGAAGAAAACAATGAAACTGAAATAATATACAATAACGAAATTGTAAGTAACCGTGCAGGTGAAGAGGGTGTGTTACGGGATGATATTTTTGGGCAACGTACATTATTACTACAAGGTGTTTCCATTACATTTGTAGTCTATGACAAGTCTGCTTCAGGTGTATCTCAAAGATGCGGAAAAGGTGACCTTGAAACGAAGTATAGTTGATATTGATGAATATAACACATCCACGGTCGGTAACAGGCAATTCGAGTATGATAAGTCAATCTGTATAGAATTGATAAAATTTCCATTATTTTCAAATCTGCAACAATTATTTCGAAAAAAAAAAAAAAAAGAAAGTGCAAGAGATCAAGACGAAAGGAATGTATGTCTACAGTACAATACAAAAGACTGCAGAACTTGTTCGGCAACTGTGGCAGCGCGATGTGAATGCCGCAAAAAATATGTTTCATATCGCAGCTTCCATTTGGCGCAGTCATACAGACCCGACCACTTCAACAGAAATAGTTATAAGGAAGATGTGTTGCTAATTCTTTAAAGCTGCTTTTTTGAGCATTGAACTAACGTGTCTTTGAAAATATAACCCAACTTTAAGGACGGCTGTATTCGGTGCTCCTCGCACAGCATACTTGTCATAGTTTGGTCTAGCATTTTATTATCCGCCCTGAAGCGGCAACATAAGGTTAATATAGTAAGGTTATGCGTACAAGAAGCAGTTGGGCAAGAGTATCATATTGAAAAAGTGCAATTTTCAGAAAAAAGAAACCATTATAGTACCTACAATAAAATAGGGCAAAAGTGATTTAAACTTCAATTTGGCTCACGCAAAAAATGGCAGTCGCAAATCACGTTTACAAGTCTGTGCATATGGATATCCTCCGTGAACCAAACAATCAAAGGAAGACATTAGAGAATGAATCAAGCTATGTAGACTGTTACTCGTTGTAGTAGCTTGGTTTATAGATAGTAATATTGTGTGTACAAATTCAAAGAACCGAACGAGGAAGATGAACAGTACACTTTTGGGATTTAGACTTAATAAAATTGATACTCCAAATGATATTCGGTTTCACTAAGAGCGTTCTATTGTTGTGAAAAGCCTGCCTATAATGTTTGTTCGTCGTTTCTACTGTTCACAACTGTACTCAATGGTTGCGATATCATGATGAAGGGACTATCAGAATATTTTAAAGAAAAGGTAAAGAATGAGATTGTTAGACTATATAATCTACAACCTGCAGTAGCATTTGGCATAAATTGACATCGTCGCACGGAGCACTGTGATTTTATTGTTTTTTATGCGTATGACTGAGTCTATATGAAGTTGCTGCAGAATAACCAGCTTGCGTAGAGTCTAAACATGATGTGATATTTAACAACAGATAGAAAAAGTGCACGCTTATTCGTTTATTGTTATACAAATGAAGAAAAAACGATCCAAATGTTACACATCTTAATAAAGGCGCATGTTTATCTCGTCCAATTGGAATCAATAGAAGGGGATATTCGATTCAATCGCTGAAATGGGCCTAATTTGAACGATACTTTTATGGCTCGATAAAGAATCATCGGATGAGTAAGAGCCATCCGTTCTTATGACTGTGAAGAATATGATATCCTTACACAACTGTTTAGAGTTTGTAGTGTCTATATTCAACCAGTATAATATTTTAATCAAACACAAAGTTCGAATAGTTAAAACTTTGTTTTTGATGCCATCGTCTTCAGGAAGATAGTTGAAAAGTGATAGAATACATAGATAGATAGATGGATAGATAGATAGATGGATAGATGGATAGATGGATAGATAGATGGATAGATAGATAGATGGATAGATGGATAGATGGATAGATAGACAAAAGTTATAGTATAAGGAGCGTATGTTCTATGTCAAGGATTGACTTCGCTGTAAGAGCAAACCCTCTTTTGGGCCTGTAGTTACAGCTTACTATCATAAGCAGCGGCATCTGGCTTTTTGAAGAAGAAATTCCACAAGGCGCCACATACATTTGTAAAGGTTGTAATTTTGGCACCAACACGGCTAGGGAATCCATAAACAAGAAGATTCAGGACAGTATTCTTATCATTGGTATAAGGAGGATAACGAACAGCTACAACGGATTCAGACTTCAAATCCTTTACCATTGTAGAACGGAAATAGGTAAAGGTCTCAAATGACTTATCACCATGATAGTTACCGGTACCAGAAGGTCCTACGCCGCCAAAAGGTAAAGAGAGTTCTTGTATGTGCATCAATACATCATTTATAAGGACACCACCAGAAGAAGTATGATCAAGGATCTTGTTGTAGTTGTAGCTGGGTCCAGCAAAGACATAGAGAGCCAAAGGGTGATCTCGGGCATTCACAATCTGAATACCCTCATCAATATTACGAATAGGAATAACAGGAAGGATCGGACCAAAGATCTCTTGTTGCATAAGCGGGTGAGTGTCAGGATCGACAGGGCTTACAATTGTAGGTGCTATATAAAGGTCTTCTCGATCGGTTTCACCACCGACAACAATCGTATCAGGATCACATTGATCCAACATACCTTTTAAGCGATCAAATTGACGTGTATTGACAATACGACCATATGATGGGCATCGTTGAGGGTGTTTACCATAATATTCATCGATGGTTTCACGGCAGGCTTCAAGAAAGGTTTTCAGTTTACTCTCAACGCACAAAACATAATCGGGCGCGACGCAAGTCTATAGATGTTTAAAGAAAGAATGGATTGGATTCGCAAAGCATCCTTTAATATTCTGCAGTTAGCAAAAGCAATTTTTTACCTGTCCATTGTTGAAGAATTTGCCCCACAAAAGACGATGAGCAGTAATATTCACATCTGCATCTTCAGCAATAAAAGCCGGACTATATAAGCATGGGGTTGCCGCCCATATGTCGCGTAAGTTTCATTTTCCATATTTGATTTCATGACAAGCTTGCTTAGTAATAGTAGTACTTACGATTTACCACCCAGCTCAAGTGTAACTGGAGTAAGATGTTTGGCTGCTGCACTCATAACGATCTTGCCGACCTGCCCATTACCGGTATAAAAGATATGGTCGAATTGATTTTCTGCGTACAGGAATGAAATAGAGCATTAGAGGACAACTTTCTCCATTTTTAATATCTCATCAAAAGACGACTCACCTAAAACAGCAGTAGTTTCTGGCACACCACCTGTTATGACTGAATAGGCACGTGCGTCAAGGTAGTGAGGCAAAAGCTTGGCTATTACTTCTGCGGTATGTTGAGAAACCTCAGAAGGCTATATGAATATTAATATAAATATAGTGTGTCAATGAGCATCTCTCGATATATATCCAAAAAGAGGGCCACTGTGTTTACCTTCATAACAATGGAACAGCCAGCAGCAATAGCACCAACGACTGGCATCAGCAGTAAGTTGATCTGCGAAAATGAATTGTTAATTTCACTACAGGTTTGAAAGACAAACATAGAGCATAAATTTTTTTCTTGCTAGTTTCTTACAGGATAGTTCCAGGCACCTATCAATTGAACAAATGATCGTTAGCTCAGTCATTTTCTTTGTTTGACCAACAAATACCATTTTTCTACAAGCGTTTTCCTACCTATGATCAATACAAGCCCTTTTGGTTCTTTTCTTACAAAAGTCTTATCTGTAGCGTTCATCAGGAACCGCTTTGTGGTTACTTCTGCTTTAGTCAATCTGTCCAAATGCTTAATAAAATATTTGCATTCATCAATGATGGGAGATATTTCGCCCACATCACATTCCAGCTTGTGCTTATGCAAGTCTTTCCAGACAGCTTCAAATAGAACCTTCTTGTTCTCTTCTAGAAAGCGGATCAAATTGTGCAATTGCTGCTTACGAAAGGTGAGATCTTTTGTGAAACCTGTGCATGCACAGCAGTGAAGGGGTACATATGAATTTATTAAAAGCATTATAAATGACTTTTCTACCGATTACTTTAAAAGAATAGTCGATTAATAGTCATACCTGTTTTAAATTGAGTACGAAGATCTTGTATAATAAGGGGAATTTTCTCAATTGATGTATATTGACTCATTGCAGTTGGTGGATATAATAAGGAATGGAACAAATGTTATTGTAAAAAGAAAAAGAGAGTTGGATAAAAGAAAGGTTAGCAGAAAGAAAGAAGAAAAAGGCGACAGGGTTGAAGTCCCACTTGTCAAAATTTACAACGACTTATTTATAAAGAAAAATCTCTTGGATCAATCATGGCCATTATACTTCATTAGATTAAGGCGGCGAAGGTATTAAGGGTTATATGTGTATAACGAGAGTTAACTTTGTTTAGAATCAAATCAACATATCAGCTTGTTACCATTAATGGTATTCTTGTTGCTGTAACGTGAAGCAAAAACAGTCATGGCAATACAAGATAATATATATCCACTGAATTTGAAAAAAGCTGACCGAGAGAACTGACGTTCTTCTTCAGGTGTGCGAAATGAGGAATATATTTTCCATAGATTGGGTAGTGCCATTGTTGGTTGAATATTCTGCTGAAGTAGATCGTTTTCACAGATGCCGAAGAATGATGAAGATGAGTAGTTTACAGAGCAGAAGTTATAAGCTTGAGACTTTAGAACGATATTGCACAGAAAGGTTGAGCGAAGGTTGTTGGTTTTTTATACTTTTAAACCCTGGGAGATTGAAAATGCTTTTGTACAAATCCAACGATAACCATTGAAGAAAAGCTCACATCTTCTTAAATCTCCCAATGTCATCGCCGTCAATGAAGTTTCAAAGTCCACTTTGTGCAGTTAAAATCCTCGCATTAAATTCTCCGCATGATAGAAAACCGCTCTCTTTTTTTTTTTTTTTTTTCTATTACATATTTATTTCTTAGATACTTGACGAAGGGACAATAGAACAGAATTGACTATGGCTACCACGGAGGGTTATGCTTCTATACAAAGGGAAGGCCCAGAGAGCGCAGCAGTGAGTGAATATGAACCTGTTGACGAAACATCAATCGCTACCAGCAATAACAAAGATGGTGTATTCCAAAAGATGAAGAACTGGTGGACGAAGCACTGGGGCACAGCAGAAACTGAAAGAGCACCACTCATTAACAGACAACGTATGACATTAGAACCACCACGTAAAAATAACTTAAAGATAGCGTTTGAAGTTATTGTGATTGTAGGCAGCTTCCTTTTGGTAGCTGCTATTACTCTATTGTTCGTTGGCACATCGGATGAAAGTAAAGGTAATTGTTATAAGAGTATGTAGAAAGAGAATGAACTTAGTTGACTGTAGGGTTCATTTATCTCTCTTAGGTTTTCCTGCTAGGAGATTATCAGAAGCTGAAAATATGATGCTTGAACTTCCCTCCATAAAGCGAGTCAAAAGCTTTTTAAAAAATTATACTTCAGAACCTCATTTAGCTGGCACAGAAACGGATAAGAAGCAAGCAATATGGACTCGTGAAAAATGGAATGAATTCGGCATCCCAGACACAAAAATTGAAACCTACTATCCATTGCTTAACTACCCAATTTCTCGAAGATTAGCCATTGTTTCAGGTCCAGAATATCTTCGTTATAATGCCACAATGGAAGAAGCGATAGTAGATGAGGATAACGATACCATTAACCCCAATATTGTCCCTTTATTTCACGGTAAGTTTGGCACTGGAAAATAGTATCTCTGTAACAATCTAATTTCTTCTCTCCTTTGCTGATTGTCCTACCATGATACAACCCTTCCTCAATTGTTAATTTCTAACTATTTTAGGTTACTCGAAGAATGGGACAGCGAAAGGTCCTGTCATTTATGCAAACTATGGTCGTTTGGAAGATTTCCAGTTTCTTGTTGATCAAGGTGTGCAAGTTGAGGGTACTATTGCTTTGGTTCGTTATGGTGGTACGCTTCGAGGGTTAAAGGTTCGAGCTGCTGAGCAATACGGTTGTGTGGGCGTTTTGATCTATTCTGATCCCATTGATGATGGACCTATCGATAAAGACAGTACTTTAAACCCTCCTGAATCCTACCCTGAAGGCCCTTGGCGATCTGCTCGTTCAGCTCAGCGAGGCTCGGTTGAGTATTTACCCTTAAATGTAGGTGATCCATTAACACCAGGTATACCCGCCCTTGAGAATGCCACTCGTATTCCTATGGAAGAGTCGAATGCATTACCGAAAATTCCCTCGTTGCCATTGTCTTGGCATGACGCTTTACCATTATTGAGAGCTACGCAAGATCATGGTGTATTTGGTGAATTTGACTGGCGTGGAGGATTGGAAAATGTTGATTATTTCAGTGGGCCAAGTGAAGGGTTAGTTGAGATGGAAAATATTGTCGCTTATAATGTAACCCCTATATGGAACGTCATCGGTAGAATTGAAGGCTCTATGGAACCTCATCGAGCTATTATCCTTGGCAATCACCGTGATGCTTGGGTGTATGGCGCTGTCGACCCTTCATCGGGATCAGCTGTTTTGGTAAAAAAAGGAAAAAATTACAGATCCGGCATTGCTATTTGTAAGAGCATGGAGAATTTAACAAACTTGAGCATAATTTATGTAGATGGAAATTGCTCGTGTCTTGGGACAAATGCTACAAATAGGTTGGAGACCCAAACGCACCATTATTCTTGCTTCTTGGGATGCTGAGGAGTATGGGTTAATTGGATCCACAGAATGGGTAGAAGATCACAAAGAATGGTTGGAACAGGAAGGTGCTGTGTATGTCAATTGTGATGCAGGCATTTCCGGTCCTTATTTCAAAGCGGGCGCCTCACCTTCCTTGAATCAGCTTTTATACGAAGTGACGAGTATGGTAATGGATCCGTCGACAGGCAAATCTGTTTATGAGGCTTGGGGTGAGCATACGAATAAAACTGGTATCCCTTCTCCTCGTCCGTTTGTCGACATCTTGGGCTCGGGCTCTGATTTTACAGCCTTCTTAGATCATTTGGGGATTGCTAGTATAGATATCGGCTTTGAAGGCGATTATGGTGTGTACCACAGTATTTACGATGATTTTCACTGGATGGAAAAGTTTGGTGATCCGGATTTCACATACCACCAAGCGATGGTGAAGATATGGGGCTTATTAGCCTTACGTTTAGCAGATGATCTTATTCTTCCTTTGCATCCGTCCGATTACGCTGTTGAACTTACCAAATACGTCCATCAACTCTATATTCATTCTGCACCTCACACTTATCCCACACTTAAAAAATCGGTCAACGCTTTGGTCAAAGCCGCTTCTAGTTTCGAAGAAAGTTGGGTACAAATTCAACAAAAACTCACTCGATTTAACGGTGAGGATAGCCCTCAAATCCCGGCTAAATGGTCCAAGCGTATTGAAAAGATGAATGATAGGTTGACCGCATTTGAAAAAGGATTGATTGATCCCCAGGGCATCAAGGGACGTGAATGGTTTAAGCACGTGGTTTATGCTCCGGGTTTATGGACGGGTTATGCAGGTCAAACTTTCCCAGCTGTTGCTGAAGCATTTGATGCTAAAGATATGCATTTAACTCGTCATGCGGAGAACAGAGCAGCGAAGGCAATTCAAAAGGCTCAAGCGGCTCTTTTATAACCAAAGCCCCTCTGTACTTACTGTATATTATAATTATGTATTTGTAGAACTTGGACCTGTTGTCAGACATATGTTCATTTAAATAGAATGATAAATTATTTAATATATAAGTGACACTTTCTTTGACCATTATATTATAAGTAATTGATTGAGCTATATGTACGTCTCTGGTCTTTCTGATGGAATAAACTTTGTGGTCTGTTATCAAGGCTGCATCAAGTTTGATTCTCATTGATAGGAAGGCGAAATAGATAGCAGTGGAGAAAAAGGGGTAGAATACTCGGTCCGAGACAGATTCGCCGTTGAACAGAAGCTACGAAAATGGTAATGCCCAAAAAAAAACTTCAGCTGCTCGTCTTTTCTCTCTCTTCTCTTCTCAGTAACATTAAGAGCGTTTATCTTCATAACGAATGATGCCTCGATTAATGAGCTTGGTTATTAATTTAATTGGACTCTATTCAAATATTTATGCGTTAAAAAATCTCAATAAGCCTCCTTTTGAAAATCCAGCTTTTCTAGGTTTTGGAGGAAAATATCAGGTATAGTAAAGCATTAATGAATCGATAACTAACAGTATATACAATAAAATAATCTGCTCACACTTTTTCTGTTTTTATTTGTTGGAAGTTTTTGACTATACTAGGCTTAACTATAGCTACCATCGCGTTTGGTTTGAAGGTGATACGTTTTTTTGTGCCTCGATTTTCTCCAGGTAAAACATAGCTACGATGATGGAGTGCTAGAGAAATATGCTTTGTTGACATACCTACTTGGTACAAAACAGTTATCTATGCAATCGTGACAAATATAGCAACTCCGGTAAGTATGCAAAGAGAGCAAATCGTTCGAAACTGAAGCTTTGATAACTCATTTTAAAGAAACTATGCAGATGGAGGGACTTATAAGTGTTCTTTATTGGACGATGATGCTTGTGGATCCCAATCTTCTTTTACCAAAGGATTCTCCGGGTATTCCTTTACTACTAGACCTCACTTTACATCTCTTCCCTGCACTTTTTTTGTGGATTGACTTTCTCGTCTTTGATATCGAGTTTAAGCGATCTAATGCGCATGTCGGAACCATTGCTATCTTTTCTATTTTTTACTTCTTCTGGTCGTGGTACTGTCAATTTAAGAACGGATTCTGGGTCTACCCTTTTTTAGAGGCCTTTTCATTGCCTTTGCGACTAGGTTTCTTTGTAGGTTCAGGCACTTTATGCTGGTGTATGTATGAATTAGGTGCCATCATTCACAGTAAGCTCCATGATAATTCCAGTGCCACGACTGCTGCTCTTCAACCATCATTTGTATTGAACAAGAAAGAAGCATGATCGAATTATAAAAAATCTCTTGAATTTGACGTCATAGGACAGAATAATTAGTGGAGAAAGGAAGCCTCCCTCTTCTTAATTCCGAAATAGAGTGTTTCAACTGCTATTTCAGACTTTTCACAAATTTTATTGGACATTATTAAATCTCAATTGAGACAACTTTCAATTATTTTACGATGAAGCGGTATATTATTCTTGGACGATTTCGTTGATAATCAATTATCCAGTAATATCCAAGCAGCATTAAGGATGGCGTACAAGCTACTAAAAATGAATCTTCATCAGTAAGGAAGTCGCTAAAAAAGCTCTGATTGGCGTCACTTTGCAATAGAGAGCTACAAAAGGCTTGACAGCTTTTTCGTCAAATGACGATGTGTTATAAGACCAACCAGATGTTCGTCAATGCCTTTTTCTGGAACTTTGCCCAATGATAAAGACGCGTCTTTCTTTTCTCGCGTTTTTGTTGTCAAACTTAAATTGTAATGAAGAGGTTCTTTTAAACGAGAATAAGATCCCTTCTCTTCCGTATTACGCATTTTTTTGTAACTTAGAGCCCTATTCATGTACAAACGTTTCATTATACAGAAGATCAGATCTATTATCAAAAGCATAAGAACCAGGTTAAAACGAACCCAATTGGTAAAATGCTTGATAATTGTAGGAGAACCGTCAGATCAGGATATAAGGATTCTGATATTTGTTGCGACTTTTTAGAACATACCAAGTGTTGAGACTGCTATGAACCAGGTCATTTTGACAAGCGTTACTATAAATGCAAGTATTACAAAGCCGTGAATGCTGATGATGGTAAGCAATAAACCTCTATCTATCTTACACACAGCACTTAATTGCTTGTGAGTAACCTGTTAAAGTTGGTAGCAGTGGTAAAAAGAGAAAACAGAGTGACCGAGCGCAAGAGAAGAAGAAAGCAGTTAAACGGAAAAAGACCACCCCACAGGCTGCAAAGTGCCTCAGCTGTGGACCAGATGGCCATACCACTGCTCGTTCGCAAGAACTTTGCAGACCTTGTGGAGGAAAAGGTTACGCTTCTGTCATTGGCGGCCGACCGGTCAAATTTGTCAAGCCCTTGTGGTTTATCCAAGACTACATCCTGGCCGAAAGACAGTATTTACAGCAGCAATCGGGTTAGAAACAAACAGACATGAGATATGGCGCTGCTCGACAAAAGAATATTATCACATGACGGGTAGTACTCGTGTCAACGCAGAATTAGAAAGGAAAAAGGTTGATTGTACGATAAAAGCGATAGAAAGCAATATACCGAGTAGTAAAATAGGCTCGCCTGAACAGTATAAGAGATATACTATTTACATACTACAACATTTAGAGATCCTGTTCTCATTCTACGAGCCTGGTATGGGTGAAACAAGATTCCGTCTGTATCAAAGGCAGCAAGCGTGCTGCAGATACGATGGTGAACATGCTTGTTGATGGAGGTGTCAATACGACAAAGAATTACGAAAAAACAAGGAATTAGACACCGTGCGTGGCTGTAGTATCCTTGTTTGCAAAACCTGTAAGATACTATGGAACCGCGATGTCAATGCAGCAAAAAAACATGATGGCTATCAGCATTTCGGTATGGAAAGACAAGAAACGTCCTACGGAGTTCAGCCGGAAGACAACCTCTTAATCTTTTAATATTTACTATCGCCAGAACGAAACTGGCTAGATATGTACAGGTAAACGCCTTCATTTTAGTGTAGTTCGATCCTCAAACTCTAACTCAATCGTCTCAAAATTTTGGTCATTCCGTCCATTTATTTTTTAGCTTCGTCTAAACTCGCAGTTAAAAAATGTATAAAGACCGCCTTGATGGGCACAGGACGGAAAAGGAACGACTGTGAACAAAAAGGCTGGGATTCAAACATTTTGTGGGGTGAAGAAGGAAGGGGTAAAAAGAAAATAACTGTTTACCCAGCAATTTAGGTGTATTTTTTCTCGTGTACATCTCATTAATATATATCTTTCTATCTATAAGCAACATCTCCCTTCTCTTACTGTTGGTCACTCTTAAATTAAATGAATCCTATATATTCACTTCTTCGTCAAACTGCTAAATCGTCAGTGAGAAACATCGCTGCCAAGCGTACTTTAATGTCAACTCCTGCTACTTGCTCAGACGCAATCTTTTTGGTAAAACATTGTTTTTCTTGACATTGCAAGAACTAATGTTCAGTCATTGACCCTTTCAATCTCTACTTTTTGCATACTTATTTAACGAATGATATGAATTTGACAGCACCGTGATACACCTGACAATAATGCCAATATCAAGTTCAAATTCACAGCAGAGAACAAAAAGCGCATCGAAGAAATATTGAAAAAATACCCTGAACAATACAGAAAGGCAGCTATTATGCCTCTTCTAGATCTTGGTCAACGACAAAATGGTTTCACCTCTATTTCTGTCATGAACGAAGTAGCTCGTGTATTAGAAGTGCCTCCTATGCGTGTTTACGAAGTTGCAACTTTCTACACCATGTATAACCGCCAACCCGTCGGCAAATATTTCCTTCAGATTTGCACAACAACGCCTTGTCAATTGGGTGGTTGCGGGTCAACAAAAATATTGGAGGCTGTTAAGAAAAACCTCAATATCGAAGTTGGTGAAACGACGAAAGATGGTAAATTCACTTTGGTAGAAGTTGAATGTGCTGGTGCCTGTGTAAATGCCCCTGTGATGGCAATCAATGACGATTATTACGTAAATATTAAGGCTTATCCACATTGGGAACTGTATGATGGGTTGTATAACTGACCTATATCCATTTATCATTTTAAACAGGAAGATTTGACACCAGAAACTACAGTTAAATTATTGGAAAACTTGAAGGCTGATAAACCGATCACACCAGGACCACAAAGTGGACGTCATACTTGTGAATTTGCTCCCAACGTCTACACTACTCTCAACAAAGAACCCTACGGCCCTGGCTTCAGAGTCCGTAAAGATTTGTAACGAGTAAAAAGACATATAAAGGATCAGACATGTATCCCTAGAATTGACATATGGATAATCAGAAACGATTAAAACCCTTTTCAGCTTTTTTTGGTGCTTGTTTTGCACAAGGCAAACATAAAAGTAGATACAATACTCTTTATTTTTATGAATAAATAAGATGTACATCCTTACACAGCTCAGTTAGGGAAAGATTTTTGTATTAAACAAAAATTGTGAATGATGATGGGTCTGTTGTTACCACTTTAACGTTAAGGATGCCTTTTGCAGGTAACGAGATGACTTCGCCATCAAGGCATAGTTCAGCTTTTTCTTTCACTCGGAGTAGTAGCTCTTTTGCTTTGTAATATTCTACATCACTGGACTTGACATGCTCGCCGCCTTGGAATGCAGCCATACTCGCTTTAGTTAAAGCGTCGGCATTGGCATTGCGCATGAGAACAATATCCAAATCATCTGTGAGAGGGGAAGCGAAGGGTGCAATTCGAAACCCCTTTTCCAATGAATGTTGCTTACTTACAACAAAGTATGTAAATTTCTTTTGCTCTTGGTCATTACTACTTAGTATCAATTGATCTCCATCATTCGTGCTGACAAACATATCTGTATCAGGATTGTACTTTTTGAAATTGTTCAAAACCAGCTCCCCTTCATACTGCTGCAGAAAGAGGAGTAAGAACATAGCAACCAGCGAAAACCGTTTATTACCCATAAAGTATCTCAAATATCTAGATTTGGAGACTATTTGAGCATGAAATCCCCAACTCATTACCACAAGCAGACGGATAGGTTTTCCCTTGTTATCGTAACTGATGGACTGGTTATGCCAATCCTCACGTTCCGGATGCTCAACATGACCAAGCTTGACGTCCATGAATGAAAATGGCTTCTCTTCTAATCCTTTAATGATTTTTGCTGCAGCATGCTCAACACTTTGAAGATTTAAACCAAGAGCAAAGGCGTTTCCAGAACCAGTCGGAATAACGCCAACGCGGAAACAACGATGTTGTTTCTGCTGTGTTACAACACCACCTGACATACCATCACTTATTGCATCAGCAAGACCGTTCATAATTTCATGTAAGGTACCATCACCACCCATGCTGATGATGATTGGGTCTAATAGATCACCATCCTCGTTTAATTGAATACGCCGACCCAAATTCTCGGCCAACACACGTGTTTTACCGTTCCGTTCAGTGTTTATTTTTGCAATATTGAGTTCCTGGAAACCAGCATTTAGCAACATTGGTTTAACAATATCTTTCCAATACGCTCCAGATTGCTGCTCACCGGACGTTGGATTCAGGAACACATAGACTTTGGTGCTCGAGGATTTAGACTGATGGGGCACTGTGCTTTGACACAATTGCTCAATAAATATACTTTCTTTCAAACTATTCGTAGAGCTATTCTCATACTTGTCGTTGCTCTCTTCCTTTTTATTGCTACTTTGTCTAAAATGGAAAGTATACTGATTTAAATGCCATCGAACATCTGCTGGGCGTATATTTGTCAACGTCTTTCTTTTTTGAAGTGTATTTTCCTTGTCTTTCTCAACCAAGGTATTCTCGTCTTTTAAAGCTACATGAATTACAAGCGTTGCATTACTCTTATCGTGGTTAACGGCATAGATTGTATCGAAGAGGAGAAGCTGCTTTTCGAGTGTAGCGAGATTATCAATAGTCAACTGCGTCTCACTAAGAGACAACTGAACGTCATTGCCTTCCGTATCTTTGACCTTAATTGGGTTCGACATAGTGTGTGCTTTGCTTAAATTGAAATTAGGAAAGCCAAAATAAAAAGAAAGGGTTATCGGTTCTTTTTAGAATTTTACGGAAACTCAAAACTGTTGGATGCCTTAAATTTTCAAATGGTTAAGACTGGTAATTGATCGTTGAGAATTATTTAGTTTTAGTATAGATCTCGTAAGAAATTTACGAGATTTATAGGTATGTTATGGTACGGCAGTTTATTCCTTATTTGTTCTGACTCTTCTTCTGTTACGATATCCAATTTCTTCACAACTTTGTCTGTCAAACTTGAAGGCAAAATATGATGATGCTAAAAGGCTCAACTATATTCAAAGAAAAAAATTCAGATGCATTACAGTATGATGGAGAAGGGCTCTACAGAGTCCTGAGCCATCTTGGATTTTCACGTCTTCCATATCGTCACTTTTTTCAGTTGTAACAAATCTTTTAAGGAAGATTATCAAGTTACTTATTAAATCTTCGTAATAATCAACCCGTCATACTTAGTTCGGATGTGCGAAACTTGTCAATATCAGCAACAGCAGTTAGAAACATCCGTTTGTCAATAAAAAACCTCGCTTCAGAAGTAGCAAAAGATACTACTAAAGCCATTACCTATATCACACTTTACGCATTCTCATTAAAGCTCACGTCATTGAATACCTACAAATGCACAACCATTTGCAATTTCTCGACAACCATCGCTGACCCCATTTCTCACTTGTTGAACGAATTTCTCACTCGATCCATACAATAGCGTGCCAATGCATCAGTCAACTAGAGTATATCTTGGCAACCAAATGCTACCTAGGGAGGTCGATCTACCTTCAGCACGAGAAAATGCCCTGTATCCCTCCAAAGACATTAGGACAGCCCTTGCTGGACTAGCTATGCGCCCACCACTATCAATACCTGGTTGTCACGATTTTCACTCCGTCTGCACTTCCTTTCTCGAGCTATGCAAAATATCCGACCAGCCTTTTCAATTCGGCCCGGCAACTCACATGACCACGTTTCATTTTAAACGTGTAATTTTTTAAAGTAAGATGATAATATCTCTCCTCAATGGTCTAGTGGCTAGGATCCGTCGCTCTCACCGACGTGGCCGGGGTTCAATTCCCCGTTGGGGAAATTTTTGGATTTTTTCGCACAGTCTGGCGGAAGGATATTTTGTTGTGATGGAGTTGCTTACTTTTTTTTTTCCTTGTATCCATATGTACCTGGCGGGAATGTTACATATAGATACTTTGGTGCATATTCATCTCACATTAGTCTTTGTTACGATGTATATAATTATTGATCGTCAAGAAAGCATATCATTGTCCTTTATACTTTGCAAACCTGTATATGCAAATCATTGACCTGCCTCCATATACTATAACTAGATTGTTGCCTTCCATTCATTGTGCAGATAATCTGATGTTTACATGATGTTCATATAATCTTATTACTTACTATTCCAGCTTTTAATTTCTTATGCTTGAATGACTACAGTAAACTTTGCATTAAATTATACAAAAACATTATCACAACCGAAGGAGAACTTTCTGTTGCAGATCTATTATTCGCACATTGTAAATAGTTACTGATCACTATGCTCATTTTCAAACAAAGTAGAACAATGATAACAAGCTCAACAGGATTAGTAGAATATCATCAAGTAGTATACCTGGAATGGAGAACCAGCTGAAGCAACTCATTGCAACTTCGAAAAGCGACAATGCGAATATTAGAATAATGCCCCAAAAAGACCAAAGCAGTAGGTACATGTGTAATAATATCGTAGGTGACGAAGACAGTCGTAAACGTAAGTTTTCTTGAATAGTTGATGATGACCTTCTGTGCCAAGTGTCGTTTTTTGGAAATGGTTCAAAGTGTAAATCATTTTAATTTGTGAAGTATGCAGAGCAATATATAGAAAGAGAGAAACACTATACCAATGAAAAGGATGGAGCCCTTTGTTCTCTACCTTTTTAATATTGACGTTCTCCATCATTGAATCTGATTCATTATCAATCGGTCTTATATTTTTTGCAATGAGACTCTATTTGACAGGCATATAACGATATAATTCTCTTTAAACCAATGATATTTATCGGATTGGAATAGCAATTAAAAATATAAGATTAACTAGACTGCAAAAAGGTTATGTTCTTTATTCGTGCATTGAAGAATAGGTCGCTTATATTTGACTTACTAAAGCATGCGTCTCAATAGGAGTATCTTGATAACAGTAAGACCCTTAAGTGTATGAACTTTAGTTGCCTTCATTGCACCATTATTGTTCCAGTATGCGGCTAATTCTTCACGGGGTTCAAATATTAAGTTGCTTTTATAGAACTTTGGTTTAATGGTTTATGCAAATGAAAGCGTAATGCTGCTTAAGGTCCTGCCCGTGTATCACACCCTAACCACTAACTTTCAAGCTTTATCAAAAATACGAGCATGATCCTAACAATGGCGAAGGCGTTATAAGTTTATGTAATTGATCCAGGTTTCAACATTGACCATTTTGATTTTGAAGGGTCGTGCTTCGTGGGTACAAAAGGTACCTGCTGGGCTCGCTGCTTACTTTATTTTAATCCAAGAAGATGGACCTGTTTCTTCCAAGTACATCAAGGACAAGAATATTAAGACTAGCAATTAAACATTCCCATGACAAAATCCCTGATGATGCACCTAAGTTGCATTAGCAATGGTGTGAATAAGAAAGGCGTTAAAGACACAGTCATTGATACTTTTGAAGCTGCTAAAGGTGTCCTGAAGAAGTTTTCGGCGACATACAAATGACAAAATGTTTCTCTCTTTCTTTCAATATGTAAATATATCTAGTATGCGAATCTTTACAATAACCTCCTCTTTTTCCTTGTTTCCGACTGTTGTTTTTATATTCATCTCTATATTGATAACTTCTTCTATGCATGCATTCCTTCCCTTTTTCACACTTTGTAATATTTTACAGTAGTCTAATGTATATTACAGTATCCTTGATTCATTTATATCTGTAAGTACTATAAGCATACACTCAATAAGATGGTTTTGCTTCTTTCTAAGTTTGTTTTGTACAAAAAAATCAATAAACACCATAAAATTATCCGCTGACGGGTATCGTTTGTCAATTTTCTTTCCCTAATAGAGGGCCGGATAGTATACAGTATCACTAGATTAGTAAATAAACAAGACTATCCTACACGGTGAGACTGGGATCCGAAAAGAAAAGGAAACATACTTTAGAGGTTATAAGCTGTTCATAATCGTCGCTGTCGTTGCTCCGCTCTGTTTCTTGATGACATTTGATCCTTTTTTTTTGACACCACCACGCATGATCAGCTCCAAACGGCCGTAATACTGGTTTTCCAGAACATTTCTAGGTCATTTACTATGAGAAGTGATCTCATTTGATTAACTTTCTACCGGTTGTTGATAAGGTCACCTGAATAGACGATCTCCTAAGAACTGCACTAGTCCTGATATACGCCTTTTTAGAAAAAATGCCAACCACCTCCATTATCCATTATGTATTTGCAACGATCAGCAACGACAATTTGATGCAATAGATAGCAAATCAAAGAAATACTTGAAGAAGAATAAGAACGCAAATAGGTTGCTTTTGGATGAAAACTGCAAAAAAAAAAAAAAAAAAAACCACTACTAAGCGAGATGTTCACATGCAAGTTACTCTGCATGCTCATAGGAAGAGAACACAAATTTACGTAAAATAGCGCAAATATTCTATAAACAAACAATTTATACATGATAGTAGTGTTTTCGATTTTTTTACTTGTTAAAAGGATAAGTCCAACTGACAATAGAGTTTCTTACCATGCTCTTCATTGCTTCTACTTAAAGACCTTAAAAGGGATCATCAAGTCCAAAAGTAGAAATATGCTACTCGATTACTCGGCTGGCGAGTGTTAAGCATTCTGGGCAATAAACTGTAACTTCAACCTTTCTTGATTATACTGATAGAGGCAAATATTGGACTGCTCAAGTGATCAGCAGCCAATATGTGTTTCTAGGAAATATTTAAAGTACTTAAAGCATTTCGCTACTCCAAAGCGAAAGGAGCTGTAAATAAATACGTATCTAGGTTGTTTTCCAGGCTCCTACGTTGAGCTAGAGAACTACGTGAGCTCAACGATACCATCTGATGGAACTTTTATGTCGCAATAAATGGAGGACAACTGTGTGTTATAATCTATATGTATTAGCCTTTTGATGTGAATGCAAGTTCGTCGGATCGATGAACTTTTTTCATGGACTTAAGAAAGGTGTGACAGAAAAAAAAAGGAGTAGAATTTTCTTCGAGTCAGAAGTTTAAGTTCATAGTGAACAGTTATAAAAGGAAGGGCGATTGAACGCTTGTTTTTCTTTTCTTTTTACAATAAATTGATTTTTTCAAAGAATTTTTCTTACAAAGAATATTTCTTACTTTTAAAATCCATTAGCCAATTCAGCCTTTATACTCCTTTTGTACTTAACCAATTAGGACTCTTTAAAGCCTTCTTTACGCGCAATAAGAATCCAGTTTAACTATTAAGAACGTGAAATGCAAGCTATATCAACCACCATAAACAATCACCAAGTCGTCTACTCTTCCTGGGATTATATTTGTAGTATTAATGATGTTCGTGAAGAAGCTGAATTTGTTTATCATGACTCAGTCACTACTGAACTCACGACTAAAACCATGGACCTGTCTGAAACTCATCAGGTACGCGTTGAGTAAACCATTTTTTTCTTTGATTAAACTGTCTCAGTTCTGAAAAAGTTTTCTTTGCACCTAGACAAATGTGAACGCAAAGTACTTGACCTGCAAAATCAATAGCAGTCCTGTCTTGGTTACACTTAGTAATGTTATGCAAGATAGTAACATTCAGATTACGTTTCGTTACGTTGTTGGGAATAAAACTTTACCAGTACACTTTCAACGCGCCCCTACTGGCCATATCATCAAAGCGGCCATATCTGACGCTCCTTTCAATATGGTAAAAATATACATTCAGATAGGTTCGTTGCTTCACTTGCTCACATTATATTATTTTGCTTTTTATAGGTATATAAAAATCGATATGGTACAAGTCAAGTTAAGCAGACACTAGCTTTGGTGATCTGTACTGATACTGCAGAGCAGCTAGCCCTTTTATCTTTCGACAATGCGAAAAACTGTTTAACTGCTCAAGTAAGTTGTATAGAATGATACTGTCACATAAAATTTCTAACCAACTAATCACATACAATAGAGAGTAGAGCAACTAAGAAGCAACTCCATTCCGCCTTCAGCAGTTGTTTCAACCGTTCATATGTTAGAAGCAAACAAAGAGGCGAGTCGAAAGAGCCACTCTGATCCTAGAATATTGTTAGGATTCACATCTGGACATCTCTTGATGTACCGCGTTCGAACTCAAATTTACACGTACAATGCTCCCCGTGTTAGAGATCCTGTCGATCTCACTGAATTTGTTGAATTCAAAAACCGTAAAGTCTTTGAATCCCTTTTGAATATCTCACTTATCCTATCCAATTGTTGTAACACGAACATTTTTTTCCTCGATTTTCATACAGAGCCTATAGACCACATAGCTTGTACTAGAACATCCAACAGCTTCAAGCTCTTCGTTATCATTTCGCAGAATGATGGCAGCGAAATTGACAATAATGCGACTCATGACGATAAAAAACCTTATGTCCGGCTCGTAGAAGTTTATGCTGACAACTTGAAAAAAGATTTAGGACTCGTTTCACCTCATGCTTACGGATCTGCAACCAACCAGATTGTCGCAATTGATTTTGCTTTGGTTCGCAAGATTTTTAGTACGGATAGAACACACTTGTTTTTACTAACGGAAAATGCATCTCATTATTTTCTTGATATTTTGACTGTTGGCTTAAACGACAGTACAAGTCATTCCTCACTTCGACAAGTTTCTCGTCTTCCCATCCCCAAGGAGACCTGTTACGAAATGGTTTTCAAGACTTTAAAGCAAGATAATAACGAAATCTCATCATCTTCATTTACGTTTAATATGAAGGGTTTTTTACAGACGAACGACAGAAGTGTTATTTATGATACGATTATCCAATTTTACAAATCGCATGCAAACCAGTCATTAATAAAACATTACCACGCCCATCACGACAATGTTGAAGCTGAAAACAAAGGAGTAGCATCTTCACCTTTGGAAAGTCATCGCTCATCAAAACGGCAAAGAAGACACGGTAGTGACTCTACACAGGAATCAGTAGTAAAAGAACATGTTAGCGAAGTATGCACCAACAGTGACGAAATTGAACTCAAGAGGGCAGCACCCACATTCTTTGAACACATTTATACAGTTAAACGACGAAAAAGATATAGTAGTCCATCGTCTGTCGACAATTCACCGCCACCTCTACTCAGTCCACCTCCGTCAGTATCATATCCCAGTTTAGATGGAAATGCAGCATCCGCTCAGCTGCAACAGCAACATTTACAAGTATCTACTGAACCTCAAGGATGTGGTGATACTAACAATAACGAAGAAGGAATGTATGATAGTCAGGTTGATGATTGTATTTCCATCAATTCAGCATCAAATCTCAATTTAGATGAAAGTGTTGAACCCGCTCAGCTGCAGCAACACCACTTACAAGTATCTGTTGAACGTCAAACTGGTGTCAATAATAACGAAAAAGTAATGCATGATAGTCAAGTTGGTGATTGTACCTCCGAATACTCTGACGAAGATAAATCGGTATATTATGATGCTGATGATGGGTGTTCGAACGATGACAATGAACCAGTTCTGTCCAACGTATTTGATGCCGTTCCTCGTGACCAAGATGCACCAAACAGACCATATACGGTGTTGGGAGATAAAAGTCTTACAAACGGTATAGAATGCTGTGGACAAATGTTACTTCAATACAGCGGTGAACCTAAAAAGGCAAGAGAGTTGACTAATTTTCAACTAAAATACTTTGGGCAGTATTGCTGGGTTCAGCCATCCATCAAATTTAGATTTTACTTAATGTTGCTTTTAATGGATCGACAAGTCGAAGATGAACTTAAAACTGAAATAGTGTATACTGCTCGATCGATATTACACTCACGCGAAATCCACACTTTGTCAGCTGTTCAAAAAGACTACTGCATGAACTTGTACCGAAGATATATGAAAGAAGTTCATCCAACAGTTGCTTATAGAGGTAATAAATGCACACCATGTATACTTGTAGATCAAATAACTAACTGTTGTTTTAAAGGCGTCTTAAATCCTTTCGCTGACGATTTTATTCAAAAACAAGTACGCGAAAGAGAATTGTATTTAGCAGGGTTTGTGTTTGATCCAAGCTCAAATTAACGCTAGACTCAATGTCTAGTCAAGCCAATAAAGAAAAAAAGAGGTTTGTCACAATAAAAGGAAAACTTTACATTCACCAATAGCTAGCCGTACAGTTCTTTTGGTGGCACTATTCATAAATATCTATTGTTAACGACGATGCTTCACAGATTTTTTTTTATGCAGTTAGTTAATGTTGAAGATGTATCACTTAAACTTAATGACCCCATTGTGTCCCTGTTTGATTCACTTTTAACTGATGAAAGCTGTTGAAGGGCCTGAAGAACATACCTCTAGGTTTATTTGCCAGGCGTTTTGTTGCCAACTATAAATCTGGGTATTACAGTAGAGATAGTAGCCCTAATACTCTTCGGTTTCGTAGAAGATATCGTTCCAGATTTCTGGTTGGCCGGAATGGTCTTTTGCTGGTGTATTAATCACTTACTATTGATATCCTTTGAGGTTATTGTAGTTACAAAGGTGGGACTGGGAAAGCTATTAACGAATACGGCTCGTGATAGCGAGGCATTACCTGTAGAAACTAATTGAAGAAATACTTCTTGTATTGGATAACTGAGTCAAGATAAGAGTTGAAGACGAAGTAGGCGTCAAAAATATATCTTATGTCTTCTTTTTAAGCTTCCAATACGTATCACACTCGTGGACATAAGAGCTGAAGAATGATTTCGTGAGCCGGTATGTACTGCTATATAATATCTTCAATAACTTGGAGCTACTATCCATTGCCATTGCACCATATTTATCATAGGTATTTGTTCTGTCTAAAATGCGAGCTTGTGAAGGATACAATAGGGCTCCGCATCGGTTGGTTTGTTGTAATTTGATATTCAAAGACGGTTTAACAGTAATGAGGCTGTTGCTGAAAGTATGTTAAAACTAGTCGCATTAGTTGATATGATACTGCATGGAAGAAATTGTAACAGGTGAAGCTCCATTGAAAGTACTAGAGCTTGTAGTGACGCACTAGTGACTCCTTTGAAGAAGGGGTCGAGGACGTATGATTTGTAGAGCTCGGTCTACCAGTGCAGAACTTGAAGCTCTAGATATGTTTGTATTGGGCAAGGATGTTGTGGTTGCTAGTCCAGTGATTTGAGCAAGCCCAAAGAGCTGCATGTGGATGCCGTTTTGGAGCTACGACTGCCTCTAATGTGCGAAGCTGCAGCTGCATGTTTAGAAATGAGGAATTTGGTTTCAACAGAATTGTTCGTGCACTTAGATATTCTTGGTTTTTTTATGAAATATTTTTAAAGTAGCTTTTAGCATTTCTCTTAACTGCAGTTGATGCACTATACAAAATTGCTGTGGTCCGTGAAGTTGCCACCACAATCTGTTATTGAGTAAGCTGCATTATTTGTATGATGTCGTTTATTCATGACACAGTAATGGTAAAGTTCATTATATTTCTAGAAGCTGTATTCGATGTTGGCGTCCGAGTCGAACCATCAGCGATAACAAAGGCATCATCATCTATGGCAATGCTATTTCAGTATTGTCGCTATGGTCTACAGTTAAATGATGTGCTCGTATATTACCTGTCTTTATTGCTGGTTTATAATGGCCATGACTTATAAAAGTATACCTTAATAGCGATGTTTTGGAAGCATATGTTCTCATTGGTTACTTTGTGAATTGAGAAACACTTGTTATACTGTTATTGTTTTTAATACTAGAAGTTGTGTATTCGCTTTGGCCGTGGGTCGCGGTTAGAGAGGTTTGTTTACCGTCTGCTGCTGAGGGTCTCGCTGGGCCTTGAGCTAGGACTGTCTGATAGCTTTATTGCTCTATCTAATTGAATCAGTTGTTGTCCATTAATGAACAAACGTTAATATAATGGTACGTTTTGGTAACTTTGAGATTGTAGTTGTTAGAATCATCTTCCGTAGTAGACAAAGAATCTGTATCCGCTCTTAACATTCTTCAATGGTGTACAGCAAAAGTAGTTGTTCTACTTCCCAAAGTACTTTTATTGTTGCTATTTCTGCATTATTGGCTGCTGCTGTGTCTTCATTACCATCTATCAGGATGATAGTGTGAAACTCTTGACCACTTTAATTGTTATTAAAGTAGACCCTGTAGCCTTTGCACTTACTGTTGTAACCTATGCGATAATCCAATCATGCTGTTAAGAATAGTCAGACTAGTTCGGCTCCTTTTTTGTCGTTCTTCGTTTTTCTGCACCAATGAAAGATTGTCGTGTGGTTTCCTCGAGAAGTCGCTGGTATACTCTGTTCGTTTTCCTCTGGTTTTCTGGTGGTTGAATAATTTTAAAGACCAGTTTTCTAGTTATTTTCCTACCATTAGTGCTTAATGTTGTGCTTCTGTCATTACTTAAGAACGGAGGATCGTCATCATAGATTCTTATTAAGTTGCGATAGGTAAAATTTACCCTGAATTGTCACTGATGAATGTAAACCGATAGCTTAACATCATCTCCTTTATGAACCTTGAGGTGACTCAAATATCTACCAAAAATAAATGGTAGTATAAAGACGTTGCAATCATCGCAATAAGTACGGAACCCACTGTATATTGGTTAAAAGCATATGCGTATATTCCGCTGGAAGATATGGTTGTTACTTGGCACCTTATTAGAAGGATATTATGCATGTTATACTGCCATTTGCGACAATGACAGTCGAGCACTTTATTAATTACATCAATCAACACGCGTAACTGAGAAGTTGCCTCAGCTTCAATCCATTCAGAAAGAATTTCAATTTGTAGAACTCTAGAAGACTCTTTCCAATAATACACTTGATAATTGTTCGAACTATTGTATTTTGGTAATTTTCTCTGAAACCAGAATATGAACAGTTTCTAATTGTAAGGACTCCTTTAATAATTCCTCGGTAAAGTTTGTTTTTTCAATCCAAGGAACACCACTTTTGAGTATTTGACCATCATAACTAAGAAAGCCTCTACTATGCTTGAACGTTAGATAGAACTTGTTAGAAGAATTATCGTTGCCACACACGAGAAGTTTCTGTTTCAATCCGTCTTGTGCAAAAGCACTAAAGCTGATCGTTTCGCCATCATTTTCGACCGTAAGATATTCTCCATCAACATTACGAATAAATATAATATCACCGTACTCTACTGGCAGGCCATCACTACTATACCGTAACGTGAGGGGGCTCATAGGTGGAGAAAGTATATAAACCACAGCAGATTCAAAAGCGAAAGAATTGAACCTTCATTGTGGTACCAGCATTTTAATCCATCTCTCGCTTCCTTTTTGCCAGCAGGCCTCGAATTGTAACACAATCACTAGTGCACTTGAATACGTTAAATTGTTTGCGTGAAGGTGTTGAGAGTAGGTTCTTTCAAAAATGAGGCAGTCATTATTGACGACCAAGTGAAGAAACGCTACTAAAATGACAACAGAGGTTCCGCAAATAAATACTATCCCGCAATGAATGAGTACTGAAGGTTCAAGCAATGCTGATTCATGAGAAGTTCGGACAGCTTTAAACTCAAGAACACAACCGTTTGAGTTTAGACAAATTTTTTGAAGTTTTTAGACAAATAAAAAATTTATACTCACATCAATTGTAACTCTGTTCTAAACAAAATAGGCGACTTTTTCTTAAACCGTTTCATCATTCTTTTTTTGGATAATTAGAAAAAGGTGATTTACAATGCTTGAGACGTGTCATTCAGCAATACTTCCCTCGTGTTTTTGTTGCTAAAGCTACATTATAAGTGGAAATTCTTTTAAACGGGGGAAAGATTCTTTATTTTTCATATTTCGCATTCTTCGTAACTTTAAGCCCTATTTAGGTACAAGATTCTCATTATGCAGAAAATTAGATCTGTTTAAAAATAAGCATAAGAATAGGTTAAAAAGAATCTATTTGGTCGCACAGGTACATTAGAAGCATTCGACACCGTCTGTGGCTGTAATATCCCTGTTTGCAAAACTGTAAAATACTGTAGACCCACGATGTCAATGCAGCAAAAAAAATGATGGCTATCAGCACTTCGGTTTGGAAAGACAAGGATCGTCCGACAAAGGCCGAAAGACAACATCTTAGGCCTTTTCTTATATTGCCAGAACGAAACTGACTCGATTTTTACAGGTAAGCGCCTCCATTTTACTGTAGTGTAGTTCGGTCTTCAAACTCCAACTCAAACGTCTTAAATATCTTGTTCGTTCCGTCCAGTTATATCGCAGCTTTCTCTAAAGCCGACGCTAAACTGTATAAGCAGAGTCTTCTCTTCTTCCTCCCTTCTCAGCATTTGAGTCAACTTGTCCATGTATAATACACCTAAACGTTTTCCAGCTGCTTGTCGTTTCTTTGCGCAAGGAAATTGTAGAGCAGGTCAAGAATGTCATTTTGCTCATATTTTACCCCTCAGCAAACCTACAAAGAATAAAAATGGAATCAGTAGTGATGATACTGGTCATCGGCCGTCATTTTCACTGCATACAGACTTTAACACTGTACAAAAAGCACTGCGTGAATTAGAAATGGACCACTTAGAAAAGAAGTATTCAAAATTTATACAAAAGACAATGTAATTCTTTAAATACCGATTGATCGACCTTGTACGAGACAACTAATTTCACAGATCAACATCATTAGACAGAAGGATTTTGCGACAATAGTAGAACTGGTTTTACCATTGGAAAACAGAGAAGACCTTCATGTACAATTGATTATACCTTATGATTACCCAGATTCATCGTGTACTATACAATTACAACAGCCAAACATGTCTTCAGAAGATAAACAGTATGACTTCATTGTTAATACTCATTATACACTGATGATCGTTTCAGCAGAATAATTAATGAATTTCCTTTTTTTTTCCAATAGCAATATTCAAGTTGCATTCCAAGACTATGGTTGGCATCACGAGCATCATCAAAGTTTAGTTCAGCAATTAGCTTGGCTGACTACACATTTCAACTCTTTAACATAAATTCTTCTCGTCAACAGTCCCTTTCAAACGTGTTGGTACATATATTAGCGGCAGCTTTTAAGGATGCACATGTATATGTCGTGCTCTAACCACTGGTCAATTATGATCGAGATTCTTACAAAGGCCCTTTTAAAGAATAGTGACTGAAGCGTAACAAAGTAGTTGTTGAACTGCTGTGTTTTGCAATTTGCAGAATGTATAACACATGGCTACCAGCTGAGGAACCAATATACAGATAATAAAAAGCTATTGGTAGCAAAATAAGTACTTTGGTTTTATAATGAGCTCACCACTGTCTACTTTATTAAACCCAATACTGGCTTTGCTATTTTACAAGAAAGGTTTTCCTTTTCAGTTTCTGAATTATCCAAAAGGGAGTTCTTTTTTTGACTTATTCAAAGAAATAAATATAAATTACACAGTTTGCTATGTACATCCTTTTTCCCTTTCTTTCGATGATCCTAAATTTTTGATGCGCCAGCTGTTACTGTTTGAACAGCCTTTCTACCCAATTTATTGGCTAACGCATTAACGCCAAACAAAGCAGTAGAAACCCAGACTTTGACTGTAATTCTACCATTTCTGTTTGTAAATGTATGTCGACCTGCATCAATCAAAGATTTATGTGTCGTGAATCTGAATGTTCCTACTGATTTTCGCAGAATCTGTGATCGGCCTCCTGCTGCTTTACGACCTAAACGACCGGATGCTTGGAATTTGATGCCTGCAATACCTGAGGTGAGTTGCCCATTGGATACGTGAGGTAACAAATTTTGCCACTGTACACCGGCAGGCATATTGTTATGAAGGGGTGCTTTCACAATAGGCAAGTCTTGGAATAATTTACGTGCCAACTGAGACCAGCCAATACGTTCTGCGTTCAATGCAATATATTGTGCTAACACTTCAGAGTTCATATAAGGGTAGTGAAGTCTGACAAGGCGCATGTCTACAAATTTTCCGGGGTAGAAAGTACTGAGTAATTTTTCCAAAGGTTCGAGTTTGATCTGTTCTAATGGGATGGAAGGATCTGCGTAGTAGTAAAGTTGAATTGTCACTCGAGATGGCGTATGTTTGAAGGCAGGGGTGGATGATAAACAATGTTGAAACAAGTGCTTGAGGGCCTTTTGAGCAGCTGTATCCTTTTCCCAAAGAAAGTTATTGCGAATATTACGTGAAAAACTGAAAATGGACGTATTCCAGTCTTCTTTGCCTTTGAAGCTCAGAGCTTTGATACTCTTGGACATTTGAAGTTGTTAGAAGATGTTAGTAAGAGATGAGGTATAAAAAATAAAACAAGAGCTTTGGTTTTTTCTTTCGACAAAAAAAAAGTAGTAGATTGTTATTGCAACAATGTGTGTGCGCCTGTGTGGAGTGTGTGGTGAAAATGAAACACCAGGGCTCCTTTTCCATATTTATCAAAGGCAAGTCACAGGCATAAATGCAGAATTCGGGGTTTTTGTGTTTTCATCACACACCTGCACTAAAAATTTCAGGAACGAGGCTCAATTGGAGTTTAGCATGCAACAATTCAATGAGCTAAATGGTCGCTTACTTGATAAATCAAATATACGAGTTGTGGTAGCGCCACTTGTTGAATCTTTGATGATACATTATACTTCGTATGTTTAGCGCGTACATTATGAAGCTCTGTATTTGCAAAAATGACATAGAGTTAATACTTGCGCATAAACTTAAACTGAATTTAATTTTACCTGTAAATACACAAATCAAGGTTTCACGAACATGATCAGAGTAACTAGCAGTTGGTGTATCTTTTACAATTTGAGAAGGTACGAGTGTTTGCTTTTAATTGCTAGTAAGCACTAGTTGTATTAGTAACCACGATAGTACTTAGACGACACACTAGTAACTAATAACAGCGATGCGAAACGGAGTGATGTAAGATATGCAAAACTAAACAACATTTTTCAGGAAGATATAAGCAGCTGCTACTTTATCATTAGGGACATTTTTGGGTTGTGAGACTTAGAAAGGATATAGGAGGCAAAAATATATTTTTGCTGGTTTTATTGAAAGGTTTCCCAGCACTAGCTTCACAGAGCGTTAGCTAAAGTATTTAGGAGTTGATATAATAGCGATATATTCCATTATTTCCAATGACTTTATCTATTGTTGAGCAGAAAGAGCTAGAATTTGTATATAGTTTAAGACTAGGCTTGGAACAGACTACAAACATCCAATATGCATAAGGGACTATCCTAGCACTTCATCATCATGCTTATTTACAGCAGGTCCATATACAAAGCTATTCTCTTTTTAAGATACGATCCAAATGACTCTAATTCATTTATGTTTTTTATTAATATATCGAACAAATTCTATTCTCGAAGGATGACAAACATTAGCATGATAAAGCCTACTTTGTAGGGTCATTCATCATTACCCCTATTTGTCACTTTTGACAAAATTCACGAAACCCAGCAACGCAGACGATTTCTTCGTGTATATACACCCTTTCACGGAAAATTCATATATAAGTAACTATAATTGACTTTCAGAATTGTTATCCCTCATCAATTTGTTTTTTCCGTTTTCTGTAAAGACTCTGTATTCTCCGAATTTAAAAGATGGTTCGTGCTATTACTTTAACTACTACTTTAGCTGCTATTCTCGCTGTCGTCTCCGCTGCTCCTGGTCACCATGGTAAGCACAAGGATGTTCACACAGGCAAAGATGCCGGTCTTATCAACATCAACCCTGGCAAGCACTTGCTTATTGACGATATTATTGCTAAACACTCACTCAATCACGTTCTTGACGTCGATCTTATAAAACTCAAGGAAGTTCTTAAAAATGTCGCCATTCTCAGTAACAACGGTGTCAACGAAGACGATTTTTAAGCGTTCTTTGTCATATTTTGAAACTATACCAATTATCACATTTTCATCCTTCATCCTAATTAGAACTACAAATAGTAACCTTTTAGATATATATTATATAGTAATTTTGCCTTGTCCGAAAAATAAAATTAGTTTATTTTGTATATTGTCTTTGTACAATAAACCGTAGTTGCTGCTTTACACTCCTAAAAAAAAACCCCCATTTTCATTTTTTGCACTATCTTCAGTAGCAGATCACACATTAAGACGTCTCAAGAATTTCAAAAAGCAACTTACAAAAATACTCACTTCCCTCAGCGGTACATCGTTATATACAAAGGTTAAATAGGCTTTTCAGAATAGTCTCTACATTGAATTCTTATGCCCACGGGCTGTTGCTTGGATAACCTTACTCTGCGTACCTGCAAAGCAATCGTTCTTTCTTCTTATTCTAAAGAAGATACTTTCACATCAAATTAGTATCGTGGGAGCTCAAAATAATTCATTCAGTTAGTTTCTGACGTCGGATACTTTCTTACTAAGTGCCTACGTTCTGAAGGAGGTAATAGATGGGCTCCTAATATTGCTAAATATTTTCTATACTTTCAGTATCATGTGCACCTAACACATTCTTGTAGCTTCTCTTCTCTTCGACGTGGAAGTTCATAGTCTACCATCAAATTGTACAAAGCGGCTAGTTTTCTATATTTAAAAAAATGATATTCATTCGGGACTGAGATACTTTGTCTATTCTCCAGCAAGCAATGTTCACAGTTCTAGATCTGCAATGCCGCTATAGAGCCATTCGCGCCTTTATTCGTACGAGTAGCCTCATTTAATTATTACATCAAGTACTACATGTATTTTCCAGTTAAATACCAACCATAACCTTAGAAAGCTTCAGTGTCATCATTTCTTTCTTTATGAAGCTCTCATAATATTTATATTTTGTGTTACAACTTGTCTATTATTGATCTATAACCAACTTAATGCTACAAACACGACAGTGTGTCAAAGATGCACCCCTCAAAATCCAGGGAGATCACTTCCCACAGACACTTTGGAGATTAATGCAATAAAATTGCCCCTTTGCGTAATATGCGCCCCGTCATTTTGTACCTCTTTATTATTCTTCAATACAAACACTATAGTTGCATAACGATTATTTTTGTTTCGAGGCAAAGCAGTAAAATTGACCAGTATTGAAGTGTAACTTATTAAACTATAACTTTCATTGATGAAAGCCCCCTTCCGCATTATTTACGGTGAACATAACTTAGGCTTTTTCCTCACCCTTTGATTACTATTCAACGTTGAAGTCAGAAATAATATATAAAGGACATCTATCTGAAGCAAACGTTTTAATTTTCTCATTATCTTCTCACAATCAAATCAGCTCTATTACCTCTCTCACAACTTTACATTCAAACTTATTAAAATGATGTTCCGTGCTACCATAGTCTTCTCCGTTGTCTGCGCTATGACTGCTGCCTTCGTTTCTGCTGCTCCTTTCTTCGAACACCATGAAGAACACCGCCACAATGATCACCGCAATGACCACCACAATGATCACCACAAGAAGCCCCATGGCGTGAACACTGGCGGTGATGCTGGTCTTATCAACATTAACCCTGGCAAGCACTTGCTCATTGACGATATCAAGGTTGACCATTCCCTCAACCACGTTATCGATCTCGATATCATCAAACTTGAAGAAGTTCTTAAGAACGTTGACATTCTCAGTGGTAACGGTGCTCACCATGAGGACGGCCGCCACGATGATATCCATCACGAAGACGTCCACCGCGTTGACTACTATGAAGAAGATGATCACAACGACGACCACCACGATGATGAAGACTGTTAATCAATTTCCCCCTTCATACCTTTTTTTGTTGTTGTATTGACATAGATTGTCATTTTACATCGTATAAAACATCTCTACCATATAGACACATTCTTTTGAAAAAAAAAAGCATTTACTACAAGTATCATATTCAGTAACATTTTTGAAAATCTATTACTTTGCATTACAATAAAAACTCAACTTCATACCATAAGTCATGCACTCCACAATTTATTAAAGTTTCAAAAGCATTTCTTTGCTTGGATCATTTAAATTGAAATTAAGTGTGGGGGGAAGGTCTGTTATCCATTGATTAGGCAATCATTTATTAAAATAAGGAGCAAATAAGGCATTGAATATTTCCGAGATTCCAGGCTTCAACTCTGGAGAATGACCAATTGGTGTTTTCATTAAACAAACTGTCCTACGATATCGAAAACAGCATATTACTATAATAGATACATTTAGAATATTCCATCAGTGGTTCTTGATTTCACTGAGACCTTAGAACACAATTTGATCTCAGAGCATCCATGGCATTCTGTATATTTCATAAGTTGACTGGTATATAAAAGTAACTGAACGTGCCTCATTTCTCTTCGGGCGATTTATTAACGTATCTTAATTTTATTTTCAGCGTCTCATTTTATAAGTATTGAAATATTGAATAATTAACAAAAACGTGGATGTAAATCCAATGGGCGAGCATATATAAATGGCTAAAGGCTGAAGTATTCAGCACTGAACTTATATAAACTATAACTATTAACTTATATACCAAACATAAATAGCTCAACAATGGCTCGCTCTGCTATCTTCATCTCTGCTATCTTGGCTATGACTGCTTTAGTCTCTGCTGCTCCCTATCATCATGATCACCATGATCACCATCGTCACCATGACCACCATGACAGTGAATATCATACTGGTGGAAATGTTGGTGCTATTAACTTTAACCCTGGACACCATGGTATAATTGACGATATTACTATCAAGAACTCACTCAACCACCTTATTGACCTTGATATCCTAACCCTTAAGAACGTCGCTAATAACATTGATATCCTCAGCCACAACGGCTAAATGTATACTACTGGGCACATACATATATACGTATATCTGTAGATAGCTTTCGAAACTATAAATCCTAAATGATTGTTTGTTTAAATTTCACTCGACTATAGAAATGCTTTTTACCTCGTTATGAAGGAGAAAAAATGAATAGTGAATAAACTTTTGTAGTGCTTCGAACAAATTGAGTCCTGCTTTTTCCGTCGCCGCAATTGCTGTAGTAGGATACTTTTGCAAAAACTGAAAAAGGGATCACTTCCTCCTCATGAGCATACACGTTCTGTACTCTCAAAGATGACGACCATTTTGGCCGGTAGAACTGCCACTGTCAAGCTGTGCATTATCATTGAATTCCAACTGGAGAGTAACTGCGTTATCATTTCCTGTATTAGCAGCACTAGCCTTAAGATTTCACATCTTAGCGTTTTTTATTTTGTTTCTTTTAGTATTTAATAGACATACATACGACTTGATTAATTAAAGTACAATACCCTTCATTGTATATCTATTTCGTGCTCTTGTTTCATTGACTTAATGACGAAAACACTTGACAATACTCCTTTTTTCATTTTTGGCTCGTTGATTGCTAGAATTGCGCTGACCCTAGTACTCTGTTTACCAACCACGACGCACGTCTTTTAGAACACTATCAAACAAACTGAACCCATCCTTGGTTAGAAACTGCATGTCGCTCGGTTCCTGCTGACCATAACTTGCTTTTACTGTAGCGAAGTAAGAAGGTACTTATTGTCAGATTACGGTTTCCTCTAACTCACTTTGAGAATTTGAGATACTTGCATTGAACATTGGAAATAGCTGTTTCATTGAATGGCACTTTTTAATAGCAAAGACAGCAAGCCACAATTACATGATTGGAAACGCTTTAACAATGTTCTTATTGGTCAACTATTCGCCACCTATGATAGGGAACGAGAGAGAATTTATCACAATCGATTTCTCTCTTCTGTCAACCAAACTTAGCAATATCAACCTTTTTGGCTGTATAAAAGTCGCATTACGCTTCTATTGCTCTCAAACTCACTAGTTTGAAAACCTCTACTATAATGTTTATCATAATACTTGAGAAAGCAGTGATATTATTTGCCCCATCACACAATCCTATCGCACTTAAAACGTCTGCTTTTCATAGTCAGTCAACTTTAAGTATCTTTGTAAATGAACAAACCATCCCTCTGATATTTAGTCCACTGTAAAGTTCGCGATTAAGTTGCAAAAGGAGTTGTTGCAATTAGGTTATCAAGACAAAGCTTAAAACAAGTCAATTATATTTCAAAAGATTAGAGAAAACCCAAGTATTCTCTAGCAAAGTTAGTACAGTTGGATCAAGGTTTGTAATGATAGGGTTAAAGTGTACCAAATTCCATAAATGCTCCATCTTCCCAACCCAAATTTTTGGGGTAACTGCTTTTACTTCCAACCGTGCTTGAAAGCGTTTTTTCAAAAAATCAGTCTTTGTGTGCTGGAAGCATATATCTTTCGTCTCCTTTGTAAGGATAAGCTTAAAATAAATAGATTAAACAATACAAAAAATGTAGATTTCTCTTAAGCTTGTGCAATTGTTATTGTCCTTTATTATAATTCACTGTTCTTTTTTTACGGATGAGCTATCTTCAGAGTCAGTCGGAATACGTCAATAGGCGTATTTGGAATTCGCTTGGAATGAAAGTGCCATTCTCAGCACATTATCTGAATTAAATTTAGGGTGGATGTGTAAGCCACGAACATGTATGGATAATGTCATCTTTCATCCATTTCAAAAGATACTGAAGCTAATACTCACTTAAAAATATGAATTTATTTCAATATGTATATTTCTCTTTCTTTGAACCAGATCAGTAGGTTTCATATTGATAGGAAGAGGCCCCACAATAGCTTCCTTCAACAATAAAGCCAAGGGGAAACTCTTCCAAATGCAAATATTTCTCTTGCGGAAGTGTGGGGTGCAATAGACATACTTTCGTTTTTATTATCAGAATTATTAGGAGCAATTTGTCAGGCTAGCAGCATTTGAATTAATCGATCCTGTCTTAGAAAGAAGGGAAAAGAGGTGAGCAATTCAATACTTATCCCTCCATCTGAAAAAAGTCGTCAACAGCCTTTTTACAGATAGGTAGAGTTACGAATTCCATATATCAAAACAAAGAAAGAAATCTAATGATGGATATTTGTGCATATACACTAAATGCCTTGCTTAATCACTTCTCGTTTCCTTCAAATTAGTTAGACGAAAATCTGGATGTTAATATGCATGTGGTACATTTTCACAAAATTGGAAGAAGTATTTAGAAAATGGGTGTGGAGATCTCCTTCAAAAACATAATGGCTGTGAGCCGATTGTCAATTATGTTATCTCCAATGAAAATTATGCATATTGAGCTCTTTAGCCTTCTAAAAAGGAGATCAAATGCAGGGGTTTATCGCCCCTTGAGAAATAGCAAATTAGTTATCGAACATAAGATCAGCAATAAAAAAAAGTACCTTTTATGGCGCCAAATAAACTGAAGATGCGTCAGCGATCAAAATCTATTGATGATTTTTAAAGGCTTTTGGCACTACTATTTGCGAATCTACGACCGATGTTTACACTTGACGAAGGAGAAAACTCATTTTTAAGTACAAGGCATCCAGTATTGAAAGATGTGATTGAATAAACAGCGTATAAGTGTATATATGGGCCACTGAAACAATTGTTTACCTATCAACACAAGCTGATTCATAAATCAATGGAATCGTACTCTGGTATGCTCGCATAAGGATTGCCGAAACTAAAATCTCTTCGGAAGGGGTGGGAGAGTGCTTTCTACAGTATCTTCAGGAGCAAAGCGAAAATCCTCAACAGCGGCATTAGCTTTGGAAAAGCAAAAAGGTATTATCGTACCTTTTAAAAAAATATCATATTGTATTTTTACGTGATATAGACCTTATTTGTACGTATATTAGATGTACTAATGTTATCAACAACTCAAAGGAATCTTTACTTATTATAATATAGCTTTGAGTGAGTTAAAAAGGCTTACCGAAAGTAGATGTATTCGCCCTTGGTACCCTGTAGCTTAATTTGAATAATTTCAATCTCTACTTAAAAGCAAACTCAATCTGTTGAAAAAATGAAAGTTTAAGCTCTAGATTAACTGTAACATGTATTTTATTTCATACCTCTTTTAGAACTCAAATGGATATTTATTGTCCAAGTTCGTAGTGTGATAAATGATGTGCAATTTATTCGATTTTTTCTTCTAATCTGATGTGTGCGACGTCCGTGCACAGCAAGCGTTGATCTTACGTGCCACAAGTTCAGTGACGTAAAAAGTGCCACAGAAAAGCATAGCTTAGTTTTCCAATAAAACTAAACCTTAAAAGCACATCATTTAAAGATAAAAAAAAGAACATATACTAATACATGCCTAGAGCATATTTCCTTGCTCAAGTGATCAAACATACTTCTTCTATTCGCGTTCGGCTTGTGCACCTTGCAATGAAGCTAGACTCCTGAGTTAATTTTCACTCCATAAAATAAACTGGGTATTCAAAGGATTTTCCGGCCCCAAGAAAACTCAATAGTGCTCGTTATTTAATCCTAAAGTCTCCTTAACGCTGAACTTACGATATCATTCCACCCATAAAACAGTTCAATATTATCGTGCTTGAATAATTCTTCATTTACTGCCCATCTTTCAAAGAGATTATATAAAAGTTTGAAAACTAAAAAGGACACTCTTTTAGCACTTTTTCCCCGTACGAGAAGACTCTTTCATTTTAATGTTGCGTTCAATCCTCTTCATATTTGCTATCTTTTTGACATTTGTTGTCGCTTTATTCGAAAATGACAATGGATATCAACACGATGCACAAGTCCACAGATACCAACCCGCAGATTCCAAGCCCAGCCATTACATTAATAAAAGGAAGAAGATCCGTTTTCACAAAGACACTGGTCGCAACGCTGGCTTACTCAATTTGAATCCTGGAAAGCATTTGGCTATTGACGACATCACTCTCCGTCATGTTCTCAATCATGTTATTGATGTTGACCTTATCAAGCTTGAAAAAGTTGGCGAAAACGTTTATATACTTAGTTACAATCAATTAGTTAGTGTTTAAATTAGAAGGAAAAAAAAGTATACAAAGCCAGTTGCCTTTCTTTTACACACATGGGTGATGCAGCTATTACAATTGTTGCAATCACTTACATACAAGTAACTTGCCTGGGAAGGGTTATTGTAACATACCATATACATAGAGAAATTGCCTTTATTTTTGAAAATAAATCATACATGAATCTGGTTTTCATAGTTTCTAAAAAAAGCTAGTTCAACATCATACAATTAACATATATCAGTAAGTGCTCTGTTTATATTACATTGCTTATGACGTCTTCAGTGATACTCTTCGAGGAGCAAAAAAAAAATGAATGAGTTATCCTTAATGGACTCATTATATGTATAGCCTCTGCTTAAATTCGCTCAAAGATTACATTACAATTATTATTGTTTAATGGGATGACTATGTTTTCTACGATATCATCATTTGTGACTATAAATCTCCAAACCTTTCAAGTGAAGCGGTAATTTCATTTGACTGCTTAAAGAAAAATTGGAATACCATGCCCTTATAAAATGTTCTCTATACAGATCAAAATAAAATAGGAATGAATATTTGGAGAAACACTATTGAATGCCCCTGTGCTCTTTTTTAAGCAACATAGCACCGTTATCTGAGGTTCATACCTTTCGAGTGCAATAGTTGTCTTTTTTCTACCAATAGACCAAAAAATACCTCTCTCGCTACTTCCAGTGTTTATTTTTTCTATTCAATTCGATATGCATAAGCAGCGTTTTAATAAAAAGATAGGCTTTCATTTCATACCTTACAATATATTTGCTTATATTATGATGATGCTACATTTATTATTTATCATACTCCATGACTCAAACATAATTTCTAGTTTTTTATTTTATTTTTTTGGGATTTTCATGATGTCGATACTACTAGAGTTACGATTGTTGGGTGACAAACCTTAATTTTGACGGCCATAAGCGAATTGCATACCTTTTATGTACCTGTTTCATTCTTTACACATGCCCCTTTAATATGGTTTTTATTTATTCCTCTCTCATGGCAAATAAACAGTATATAAAGAAGACGAATATATTCCTTCTCTTGTCTATTCAACCAAACAAGAGAAACAATAAAACCAAAAAATGTTCCGTTCTACTATTTTCGCCTCTGCTATCTTCGCCGTGATTGCTATCGTCTCTGCTGCTCCTGGTGGTGATCATCATCATGATGATAAATGGAAACACAAGAATGTCAACACTGGCGGTGATGCTGGTCTTATCAACATTAACCCTGGCAAGCACTTGCTCATTGACGATATCAAGGTTGACCATTCCCTCAACCATGTTATCGATCTTGATCTCATTAAACTTGAAGAAGTTCTCAAGAACATTGACATCCTCAGTGGTAACAATGCTCACAACGATGAAGGACATCATCACGCTTATGATTATCACGAGGAATATGAACACCATGAAGACCACGATGATGACGACGACCATGATGACCACCACGACCACCATGGCGATCATGATAATGATGACTAAATTCTTAGCAGTCAATCCATACAATTATAACTAGCATGTTTCATTTACTTATACATGATGTGCCCGCATAAACATTTCTTACCATTTAGCACCATTATATATTTTCATACATAAACATCATTTTTAGCATATTCTCATTTTGTGCCAATAAAGATAAACATTTTGTTTTTTGCAGAATATTTCTGATTTGCTCGGTATCATAATAATTGCTAATATATCCTTCATATATACGTATAAAGCACGAGTATCTATTGAAATAGATACTTCTTATTAACATCTTCAGCATGCATTACAGCTATATTTACTATTACACATTCTTTTTAGATGTCACAAAATGATTTGGATATTCGTACAATATATATTTTTTAAGGTGAACAGGGCATTGATTACTGTACTTATTTTCACCTTCGCAACTTAACAACTTGTTGCCTTGATTGTTAAAATCGATACTCGCAGTAGCTTTTTGACACAACTCTCAAAGTAATATAAAACTATACTGAGTATCTTCTCAAATTATTTCTACCAAACACTTTCCAAGAAAAAGACTTTATCTTATTCTTCAAAGCTACAATGTTGTCCATTTTCAATGTTCGTGATATACATTTGGTCGTTCTGATTTTACATTTTCGGACTCTTCGGCCTATTCAAATTTCCAGATTATAAAGATTCCAATGTATTGCTAATCTTCCCTCAATAACAGAAAAAAACAAAAAGAAAAAACTGTATCTATGGAGACAATAAAGAAATTGGTGATAAGTTGGAAACTGGTGCTTAAATCAATTATGTGGATCACTTATACTCTAGTTTTGCGCCCTTAAACGAGTTTCAGGATAATTCGAACTTGCATAACCAAGATTGGCAGTTTCAACATCAATGAATAGAAGCATATGGGCCTTAATATTTAAACTAGACACGAAAGAAATCTTACGTGGACATTTTTCAAAACGAGACCAGCCCATGCTCCTGAAACAGATCACTTGAGCGTTCCCTCAAGCATTTTACAGTAATGATAAACAGCAATAAAATATTAACAATGACAATTGATGAAGTCTCCTGTTTCGTATTCTTGAAGTGATTCAGCGATAGATGTTGTTGTATCAATGTAATTCATAGCTGTCGAGCCTTGTGCTTGGAAACACTTGTCTCCAAATACATCCGTTGTAAAATATAAGTTTTTATTATCCTTTCTTATGTATTATTTATTTAAGACATACACGCGAAACGTTGAGCTCACAATATAAAACAACACAATGCGACAGTTTGACTTTTTTTTTTTTATTTTTTTTTTTTGTTTAAATTCAAGGACTTTATTAAGTTGTTGTTGCAGAAGAAGCAAAGGAGAAAAAAGAGATATATAGGGTCGTATAATAAAAAGAAATCATAAACTATCCGACAGGCCTTATGACAGGAGCAAATACAAAAAAGGCACTTAGCCTGTGGCTTGCTGGGATGGGTGATTCACAACTTTCAAAGTGAGCTTGAGAGTTACCGAGGATTTCAATCGGTTAATGGCATTATCAATAGACCAAGTATCGTTACGAATGACGGTAGACCAATGGTATTTCCAAAGAGTTTCCAAAATGTTACCCACCAATTCTAGTGTGTAATTATCAGTATTAACATCCGACGGTAGCTTCAAGTTAAGGAGAACATGCCAGACATCATCTGGGGACCGCATTACAGTGGAGAGAGACAAATAGTTCAACGCTTTCAAGCCAATATGACCATTTCAAAGGGCAGCCAACGACGAAGTGATACTCATCTTCAAGGACGCAGTACACAATTTACAGGCAGTGGAAGGCCAGACCCTCGGGCGAAGACGGTGTAATGACATCTGTGTGCTGAGCGAAGCAAGTAACAAACGCCACCAGCAGATGAGAACTGAATGTGGTATGCGCAAAAACCAAAACGTTTTCCAGACACGAGGATGACAGATACGTGGTGGACAACTATATGGGACCTGCGATCAATACAGTTTGACCGCCCAGACAGCCAAAAAAATGTCCAAAATTACGCTATACATACCACATCCATAATAAAATTAAAAAATTGCGTGGTCGGGGAATCGAACCCCGGCCCTTCGCGTGGCAGGCGAAGATTATACCACTTAACCAACCACGCTTTTGTGTAACGTATTATAATAAAAAATTATCGAGTTAAATAATATAAATGAAGCACGTGATGTTCGGCTCGATATTGGATGAGGTCCGAATGTGCGGAAGTTAGAAAATAGCACTCTATATCGTCTTTATTTTTTTCTTCGAAAAGAAACTAGAGTTAAAGGTACAGATATTAGTAACGACTTGTTTCGTTTAGTGTCAACAACGTATAACGGAATAGTCAGCTGATACTGATGATGTTTATGATCAGATAATACTTGGGTGAGTCAGAGATTTTCCGTGACAGAAAATTACTTCCCTTCAGATAGATTATAGTTCCTTTAACCAGAACCGAATTGAATTGACACATATGTACTACGCTGGAAGATCCAGAATGACCAAGCGGGGAGTATATTAAAAATAGAACTCAGACCGTTTTATTACATTGATGCTCAAGGGTATAATAGCCATATTTTTATCATGGTTATATATATAGGTTACATAAATTAATTTCAACGATCAGCAAACATGGGTTTTAGTCTGCAAGAAAATGTTATTACAGTATACATCCCACAACGTCTTATCTTCTTGTTGTGTAAAGTTCTTTGCTAGCTCCAAATAAGTCTTTGTCGAAAGTTCTTTCATACTGTATAAATCTTTCGTATCGTATTCCAAGTCGAATTCCAGAGGGATCACGGGATATTTGTGGCTTCCCTGTTGATTATAGCGTGTGATATTAGCAACAAACTGTGTATAGCCTAATAAGCGACCATAATTTGCTCCATTGTTAGTAGTGTGGTCAATTTCATAACGATAAATACGCAGCGAGGGCATATAAATAGGAAAGACGGATGGTGCCACATAAATTAAGGTAATGGGATTGTTATTGTTCAATGTTAAATTCTTTGTCGTTTTCGCAGAGAAAAGCCTTTGTGTTTTCATATCAGACTCATATACATTCTTTCTGCGATGTTGCTCATCAAAAGGATGCTCTTCTTCATAATCAACTACTTTTTTATACATTGCCTTTAACCATTTTACATAATGCTTGGGACTCCGTTGAAGAGTCAAACTATCATCTGCGGGTACGTTTGACTCTTTTATAATCGAAATATCTGAAGCTGCATCACCATCCTCATTTTCTTCTCCTTCGTCATCGTTGAAATAGTCCATTTCTTCTTCCTGTTGCCGTTTATCGTACAATAAAAAATGATCCATATTCAAATGTCCATAAAAATGTCCCATTACCACGTCTGAATATTCTGAAGTAATTGCCAAATAATCACGCATACAGTTTTTAAAAAAATCACGTGTTGAAGGGGGGACATGCCCAATGACATACACCTTCATTTGGTCTTGACGTGCTTTGGCCAACTGCCGTTTGTACCAACGCATGTGCATGTATCCAACAGAATGCTTTTTACTACACGTCCTTGCAGCTGGATTCTTCTTTATAAAAAACATGGTGTTCATTGCCAACACGCGCAGTTTCTCCGGTATGACGTCGACTGCGAAATAACCTCCCTGTAAGAAATCCTGTCGTTGATCCCCCGGTATCCATCTACTCCACATCTTCTCAAAAGAGCGTAGTATGTCATCGTTTTTCTCGATACCATTATGGGGTTGGACATCATTATTCCCAATGACAGGAACAACCGGAATACTGGTATTTGTTGCATCCTTATCGTCAAAAAGTTGGGCCATTAGATTGGTCACTATCCGATTGAGTGCGAGGACTTTGTGCTTTTGACGAGGAAGCTGAGCATCCCAATCATGCCGAGAGTTATCGCCTGTCCAGATGACAAAATCCAATTTATCCTTCCAGTGACGACGAATCCAGTCTAGAGTATGCTCAACAACGATAGGAGGTGCGTCCATCCGCTTGCCGGGTTCGCCCATGGCGTTGCATAGTTTATGATGTCTGGAGTGTTTTTTGGGTAGAGTGTGACAGCCAGATTCTAAGGTCGCACCTGTTGTGTAATGATCGTCCATCTAGTAAAAGAAGGGTACATAAGATTCACGTGGACGATATGTGTGTGTGTTACAAGTAAAAGCAAGCCCAAGTGATCTTACATGAATATCTGTGATTTGCAAAAAATAGCCATATTTTTTGCTTGGATTGGAAGCTGTTAGACCGTCCACATTGTCATTGTTTCCAACTCTTGTTGTTGATGATGAGGAACCAAGGAAATGGGTAACCCTATCGTGCATTAATATCCGTTTCTCTTTCTTTAAAAGGTCGTAATTTTGCCATAGTAGTAAGGCACTGGCTGTTATTGATAATACGAGTAGGAGTATTTTATGCATCATGCTCCCGTAGTAGAAGTACAAGCAATTGGAAAAAAGTAAAAAAAAAGCATTTTATAACTGCTCCATGTATAACCACTTCAGGTTTAAAGGAAATCTAAAACCGTTCATGTTTCTCCTTTGGGGTTTTTGGTTTTGGGCACTAGCTTCGATTTATTTTCATTCAGGGAGCTTCCCACACCCCCAATGGATAAGCCACTTGAAAAAATTGGGAGCGAAAAAAAAAGAGGTATAATAGTGACAGTAGAAAGGGCCCAAAGGTAAAAAGAACCTTCTCTTTGTTTATATATTCACAATGGCTCCCGTCGCTGCTGTCAAGAAGTCCAAGTTCGTTATCGACTGTTCTGCTCCTGCTAACGATAAGATTTTCGATGCCGCTGCCTTCGTAAGTTGTTGTCATCTTGACGTGGTCAGCCTTCTAATTCATTGTTAACATGCTTCGTTTTTCTCCTTTCTTGTTGATCCTATAGGAAAAGTACCTTCACGACCGTATCAAGGTTGAAGGTCGTACCAACAACCTCGGTGATGCCATCACTATCTCTCGCTCTGCTGACAACAAGATTACCGTTGTTGCCAACATTGCTTTCTCCAAGCGTTACCTCAAGTACCTCACCAAGAAGTTCTTGAAGAAGAACCAAATCCGTGACTGGCTCCGTGTTATCGCCACTGATAAGCAAACCTTCGAACTTCGTTACTTCAACATTGCTAACGATGATGAAGCTGAAGATGATGAATAAATGTATTCACCAACCCTTTATAATATAGCATTTTACAATAAATCATCTGTTTTCCTTCATATGAACGAAAAAAGAAAAAGAGCAAAAGTGTGCAACGACAAGGGTTTCCTGTTAGTAAAGAGTGCGAGCGAGGAGGAGAGATTTTGTCAAATTCTATAGGTTTGAAGCTTTAAAAGGGGTGGAGATGGAGGTTGAAAGAGCATTATTTGGTTAGCGTTTAAAGTAGGCAGGCGCTACTTGGGCGTCACATTTGCCTTACCAGCCTATGAAACGAATCCATGCAGAGGCAGTGTCCATCATGAACAACCGAGCTCTCTTATTCCATCTGTTCTAGCGCGAACGTAAAGACAACGCTGCGAAATGTAAGTCCCTTTACGAATTTGTATATCGCTACCACAAAAAAGATAGCTGTTCCATTAAAGATAGCAAACGTTTATTTTAAGCATAAATGAAGTATGTCTCGATCATTGATACATGTATTTCAAGGGGGGATATTCTTTGAGCAAATGAGAAAGGGAAAATGGTATACTTATGTACAAAGCTGTTGATGATTTACAAAGAAAAAAAAAAAAAGTTGTTCTTTAAAAAGAAAAATAAATTGTTGTTGTACAGAGAAACGAACTATTTTTGATACAAGTTGTATAGATAATATGTTGCATGAAATAAAAAATTTACAATAATGATGGCGTATTGGATGATGTCGAGGATGTGGATACGGATGATGTGGGAACGTACGTTAAAGTACCTGAGGCACGTCTTAGTGAAACAGGTCGTCTGCTGGTAGAAGATTCAACGCTATGACAACTACTGATGGAGTGTCGTCTATTGTTTGTCATTGTAGATGGAGTGGCGTGCAGACGTTCTAAAGCTGCATCAGAGGATGGCGATTGCTCCGTATGACTGGTAAAGACAGTTGCAGTAGGACTGGGGAGGGCGTACAGTGGTGGGGCGCTAGGTACAACACTAGGTGTATAAGCTGGAGGTGGTGGGTAATCATCATTTCGATGCTGCTGTTGTTGTTGAGAGCCGCGTCCTTCTTCTCTTTGTTTATTTTGCTGCTGATGTTCTGTCAAAAGAGATGGAGTCGATGCAGCAGAAATAGGTCTCTGACGTTGATCTTTGTGTGGCTCAGAAAGGTCTTGACCTCTCATCGTTGTTGTCGTCGCAGTCGTAGTATCAGAATCGACACCAGTGAAATCTTCAAAGGGATTGTCAAACTCAAGAGCATCCAGTTCCTTAGCAGGTGGAGCTGAAGGAAGCGCCATGGTAGCTGTCGTTTGCGACACCATGGATAAGGTACGATCGGCACGATAGCCCATGTAATCCGCATGGCTAACATCCAACATGCGGTTGAGAATACGTGGATCCTGTTGTTCGGGATCTAAGAATGGATTTTGGTGGAAGCTACTAGTACCGTTGCTGCTGCTGCTGCTGCTGCTGCTGCTGCTGCTGGAATGGCTACCATGGTGATCATCCTTGTTATTGCTGTGACCACTTTCAAGATCAGAATAAGGTTGTATTCCTTTTTCTTGCTCTTGTTGTTGTCGCTTCTTCTCCATGCGTTCACGGTCTCTTTTACGACCCACGACACGACCCACGACGAAGCCTCCTACAATAAGACAGATGGCGGCTACACTACCAATGACGGAGAAAATGACGATGGTGGATTTATTCGGTTTTGACTGCGGCTGCTCTTCCTTTTGCTGTTGATGATCTGCATGTCCCGTATCAGCAGATATGCCAGACGTGTCGTTTGGATCAGTAATTTGATGGTTGTGTGGTTGTTGTTTCTGGGAGCCGCCTTGTTGTTTCGCAGCATTATCATGGCTGCCAGGTTGAGTGTAAATTGTAGGTGTTGCTGACAAAGATCCACTGGATGTCATGGTCGTTGCTATAGATGAACTGTTACTGTCGTTGTCACTCGGAGAAGTCTCCTCTGAAGAGGAAGTGTCATCATCGTTATCGTCATTTTCATCATTTTCATCATTTTCATCGTCGTCCTCGTCATTGTCATCCGTAGTGTCGTTGTATTGTTCAGACTGCTCTTGATGCTTGCCGTATTTCTTTCTCTGGGCTGTTGGTTGTGATAAATAGCTACTGGTTGTCATCGTAGGAAGGTCTGTTATGGTATCTGAAGCGTATCTATCATTATTGTTGTTGTTGGATGCATCGTCTTTCTTTCTTTGTTGCTCTTGCAACCATTTTCTAAATTTTTCTTCTCGTTCAAGCTGCTTTCTCTCTTTCTCAATAACACGCTTTTCTCGCTTTTCTAACTGTTCTTCTTTCTGCAAGAGCTCCTGTGTACGTCGCTCTAATTCTTTTTCTAGCTTAGCTAATCGTTTTTCTTCTTCTTTCAAAGAAGACGATCTTTGTTGAAGTACGGAAGGAGCATCCGTTAGGGCGGATAGAGTTGTGGTAGATGTTTGTGCTGGTATGAACAGAGAAGATGATAATGCTGTAGAGAGAGTAGTGGCGGTAGGAACTGATGTAGAAGAATAGATGGCTGATACACATAAAGTGAGGAGGAAAAGTTTAATTATCAGTGCATAAGCTGTCATATTATGATATGACATTTAATTGATAATGAGGGCGTCTCTGTTCTGTAAGCGAAATGATTTTCGTTGGGTTTTTTTTTTTTTTCGTAATCTGTTCTGTTTTTTACTACTTTCAATTTAAATAAAGATATACAAAATAGATAGAGATAGTAATAAGAAGCAACTGAAAATAGGCTGATAATTAGAGAATAAAAAGGAAAACAAAAAAAAGGAAAAGGGAAAGAGAGCAAAAAATTTCTTTTTTCCATAAAGCCTGAAAGTATAATTGTGTAGTGGTTGTGTCTGACTTGAATTGAAGAACCAGCCTAAAACTGTTAAATTCAAACAAAAGGGCCCTTATCAAAAAGAAATGATGAATTACTATGAATAATGCAATAATTCCAAGCGGCGATGAATAAATCAATGGACGAGTTGCTTTTTTTGAATAGGCAATCTAGGGTTTATCGATGGATGTACGTACTTTGAGGGCAGCAGAGGGGTTGCCTATTGTTGCCGCCGCGTCTGTGTGTCTGTGTGTCTGTGTGTAAGAAAGTAGGGATTACTACTTCCGCGCCATCATGAACCCGTGTATCACATTGGAAAAAAAACCCAACAGCCTGTTTAAAGGCTGTTTCTTGGATATTGAGAGGGAAACGATGGGTTTCAATTTTCCTGAAATAGAAGGAAGACGCAAATGATGATGTTTGTTTCAGAGCTGGCTTTTATTTTTTGGCCTGAATTCCTGTCGTATCAGAGAGGAATTCGGAAAAACTTTTAAAAGCAATGTAAATATGTGCCTTGAAATAGACTACATATAGCTTTCTTTAGCTTTTCTGGTACAATTCTAAAGCTTTTTTTTTTTTTTTTAAAAAATCTGTACAACGCATGATCCAACAAATGTTATTTACAAAAATGCCAGGTTTGGGCAGAGCCATTTAGTATACAAGTGACGAACAGAAGCGCCACATGTAAAACGCCGTATCTGCTCAAATCGTGTGTTCTTGTACTACTTTCTTGTATGCAAGTGATCGAAATTTGAACACAATCGGTCTCTACGAATGTAAACAGTTTGTCAGCGCAGAAGACTCAAAAGCCTACATGTCTTTCATGATGACTACAGAGATTGCGTCAGTCTCTGTTAATATCAGCGCCTAGTGAAAGATAGAAAGTTGAGATGAATTGCTACAGTTTGGTTCAGCGATTAATCCAGGTATAATGACCATTGAAATAGATCGATTGCAAAAAGTGTCTGTCAACCCTATTTTTCTTTTTTTTTTCTGGACCCCTCACAAGCATTAAAAAAAAAAAAATTCACTGCCAGAGCAAATAAATGTAAAGCCATTACTTTAAATTAAGTAGTGACAGACATGCATCATTTTTATTATGTGTATTCAAACATATCATCACACTTACAAAGAGAAAGAACTGTGAATGAAAACCATTTCAAAAATATAACTTATTTACAAAAAAAAAGCAGGATCCAAATTCAAACCTATTTTGTCGGTTATTTCTACATTTCCAAAGCTAGTCTTGCCATTTCATAAATACCATCGCGTGTCTTATTTCCACCAATAAAGCCAGCAGCATGAACGAAAATACAACCATTGACACCGGAAATTTTGCTCAATTCCTCATCACGGAAGCCTCTCCAGGCCTCAGGCAAACTCTTTCTGTTTTCAAAGCCTTCTGAGCGAACAGGAACACATTGAATGCGCCAGTTGCAGTTTTCTTCCGCTTTTTCGGGGTAAAGCACATATAAAATATTCTTCTCGGGGTTATCCAATCCACGCTCTTTCTCCAAATCCATCAAATGTTCCTTCCAGGGACAGCATGTTTGCAAAGCAATGACACGTCCGCTCGAATGAATTTCAGTAGCTCTTTCTAAAGCATCTACGACAAGTGAACGAGCAGGTAACCAAGCCAATTGCAATCCCTTGACAAAATCGACAAATTCTGCTCCTGCCATGTCGGAGGCTTGTACGAAGCGAGCGTCAATTTCAGCGTCGGATAAAGGTTGGCTCCAAAGAGGGTTCATACGAGCCACGCGATGATAGATACTGGTCGGTGATTCTTTATAAAGTGGTGTCACATTGCTGGGATAGGCACTGATACCGTTATCATTTGCATCTAACGCTTCGACAAAACCCTATTCACCCCCATGTAAGTATCCGATCATGGAAAGCGAGTATATCTATCTATCCATGTGACATAGGGTGATGGCTTACATCGTAGGTTCTCTTGTAAATCAAGTCGACATCATTATCTTCCTCTGTCTTTCCAAGAATACTCATAATGACTTCTTTACCAAAATGCTTGTACACTAAACCGGCAGAACTCAATTTTGTCTTGTGAGCCTCGGTAAAGGTTTCTGTGAAGCCACGCTAGTGGTTTGAAAAATAAAAAAAAAGGAAAGAATCAATTATTCATCAGACTTGCCATAAGGTAGGTCAGCTTTATAAGCTAGTATTTCTTGTTGTTATTTTTTTTTTTTTTTGTTTTCTTTTACTTTACTTGGTGATGATCATAACGATGAATGGCAGGATCGTACACTCCACCCACATCGACAACAATATCACATTCGGCCAACTTGGCAGGGTCACGAGTACGGACCAAATTGGCGTTGGCGAATTCCTTGGTTCTTTTTAATAAAGAAACAGCTAAAGCTTCATCGCTAAAGAGGTAAAAACATTAGCCTTTCTTTCTCTCTCAAACGACTGGGTCAGTTTAACTGAATGCATCCACTACAAACAATTTACCAATGAAAGTGACCGCTATGTGTACCGATGGTCTTTTTAATCGCACAACAAGCAAGGTATTATTAGTTTGCTTTTGTATTTTGAATACAAGAATTAGTTCTTCATCTACCTTGATCATCTTGAGCATTAATGTAAGACTAGGTGAAAGAGAATGGAGATGGAGGAATACGAAAAAACAAATAAAAAGGAACGTATGGCATAAGCCACTTTATTACTTTTTTGTACGCTGATATCAAAAATACCGACTCAGGGGCTGCATAAATCGACGAAATATATATTTTTGGGTGATAAGGGGAGCGGGGACCATGGCAAGTCTCTATTGAGCAGCTTTGGGATGTATTCATGACATGAAAGGATGCACAGAAAGTATGAATGAGGATACGCATTGCAGAAAAAGTAAAATAATACAGAGCATAGCGGTTATTGTGTTTAGGGTCTGCTAATCATACTATGTAGAAAATGATATATGTAGGTGTAGTGGGATTGAGTGAAAGAGAGAGCATGGTTAGGCTATATACTATAGTTTCGTTAGCAAAAAAGAAAGTCGATTTTTCCGAATACTTACAATAGGTCTATCGTCAACAGGATGATTCTGTTGTAGTAGCTCTTTGGTTTTCAGCTTCTTTGTAGCTGCTAATTGCTCACTGAGCTTCTTTCCACCGCCAATGACTCCTCTGCTCTCAGCCTTTTCATTTTTCGTCAAAAAATTTAAATAAGAAAAATGGGGTGTATTCCATCTGTCGTTTTTTTTTACAGAAGGCATACCTCAGCTCTTCGTTTTTCTGCAGCCATCAGCATAGCTTCTCGGGAAATGGGCTGTCCTTCATTCTTACTTGTAGCAGGAATAGCAGCCTTATTCGCATGAGACGTTCCACCTAATGTCTGTCCTTTACCATTGTCACTGCTCTTTTTTTGTGATTTTGCCATGGTTTGCACTTGTACAGCTTTTTCCTTGTCATCATCAACATGACCTAAACATGAGCAACAATTACCCTGTTATGAGACAACCATCGCTCTTAGTATAAGATTATTCAGGCTTTAGTTCGACAAATAGCTTAAAATAAAAGTAAAATCAGCTTCTGTACCATGATTCACTGTTTCTGTAATCAGTAAGACTACTGTTAATGGAGAGAGAAAAGTAAAGTAATCAAATAATGCGAACGTTCTTCCTTTTCGGCAATTTTTTTTTTTTTTTTTTTTTTTTCCAAAATTTGTGTAAGGGGTAAAAGAAGATTGTTCGTCGCACGGGCACCTATTTTTGCGTTCTGCATAAAGTAAAATCCCAATGCTTTCCAGGCTGCTATGGACTCGTTAGGAAGGTAGGATGTCTATGTGACGTTCCTCGCCCAACAATAATGATAAACCGAGCATTGACTTTCAAGTTTCTATTTGGGCAGTGCTTTTTTCCAAAGAAAAAAAAAATGGATTATACACTGTATAGAGTGAATACGTGCCAACGTAGAGTACCATTCCTTGGTTGATAAAAGTCATCATTCTGTCGTCTTGGCGATTCTCTTAGTACTGTTTGCAGCTTGATGACAGCGTCGTCTTATCTATCGATCAAGCAAGCGAGTAGAATAACCCCTCGTTTTATCCATGACAGTCCTTTTTTTTCAATGATATCAATTCAATGACCATAGTATAATATCTGTAATATTTGTTAAGCTTTGGTTTTCTCTGGTTAACGAATAAAAATATAACACTCGCATTGTCCCCGCCGTTGTTGGAACATTGACCATGACTGACAGCATATGCTGTAGACATGGATGGGGGGGCGTTCTTTAACAGCAATCTTTCACTCAAAGATAAAAAAATCTTGATGGTAGAACAACAACAACGAAAAAAGCAAGCTCTTGAATTCTGAATCAGTAAGAATGCGCTATTCATTGAGACTGTATAGGCAATACAGAACGACGTGTACACTGAATAGACTAGTGCTATTAGAATTCTCTGAATCATGTTGACATAACGTTATATTGAAAGTGTGGCCTACGTTGTATTTACATTTAAATAAAAGGTATTGAAAACTAAAAAGAGAACGTGTGCGTTAAGAATGCGGATATGCATTAGGCGGTAATCAAAAACGTCTATTGGCTCAATTGAGATACTGAAGCACCAGTAAGAGCGGAAGTGATCCACAATAGATCTGTTGCTTATACTTTTTTGTTCTTTCAAAAAAGTTGTAATATCATCTTTCTATTGGTCAGAGATAATAAAACACACTTTTTTTTTTCAAACCTTCTATTTTCAAGCACAAATCACTCTATAAAATATACTATGCTTGTGGATGAAGATAATATACAATCATCAAAACACTGATTTTACGTCACTTTCAGAAAGCTTAGTAAAGGTATAATTATAGATACGGGTATAGTCCCATATCACATGTTGAGAAAGAATAAAAAATGCCTTTGACTAGCTATCGAAGGCCAAGTCAATGCTTGTGTAGCAATGCTCGCATTCAACATTAATAATAATATATTGCATTGTCTGTCAAAGAAAATGGTGATCAATTCTTCGTGTAGTATACATTTAAAAAAAACGACATGAATTGTGGAATGGTTTTAACCAATGAGCATCGTTCAATGGTGATTTGGTGTAGCCTTCTTGTAAGTCGTTGATTTGCAAAACTAGTGCACCGTCACACATTTTTTTAAATATACAAACAGTGGTATATTAGATATACCTTTTCATTGAAACTTAAATTTGTCCATAATCGACCATTATCAGGGCTTTCCGCGATTCGAACGGTTTACATAAAAAAATAAAACTTTCTCACTAGATAAAATTGAACAAATTTGACAATCTGTTTTAAACACTTTCTAGAATAAAATGGGACGGATGGCAGCTGTTCAGCCTAAAGCACCTTTAGGAATGGGGAGCATAGCAGCCTAAATAACTCTTCTTTTACATACTTTCCTCTGGAGAGCCCCCTTTTGAAGGTCTAAAATATAGACCTTATTGAGCGTAAAGCTCTGCTTACAGATTCTGTTGAGCATACGGAAACAGATAGCTATTACGCCATTCCAATATATCAAACAGTAATAGAGTGTGATAAATGTTGTCATCTAACTACTCTCACTTTTCCCTTTCCTTTATTTTTTTTCTCCATATTTTTCTTTCTTTCTTAAAAGTTACTTGGATTCGTATACTTTTATGACACGGCAGGCTCAATTCATTGTCAACCATTACATTCTTACGTATCATAAGCATATAACAAACGCGTTGTTTGAGCAAAATTTCGGGTATACTGTCTGTCGAGTCGTTTATGGAAGTGCCAGGATTGAAGATGTGGAGGCTCGTTATCCTAAAATGACAGGTTTCGCAAAGGCATATTATACGCTCTTGATACATCATCATGAAGTCCATCTTTCAGTATAGTGTGGTTATTTGGCATAGGACGGCCAGATTGTATTGTCCGCATGTGTCACTTTGGCTGGTGATGGGTTAACCAATAGCGCGCAAGTTCGCTTTAAAGGTTTGCAAGCCGGTGTTTCAAACACAATATACAAGCATTTGAAAACGAAAGAGAAACAAGGGCTAGTGTTAGTGATAGATATGGATGAATTCCGTACGTCAAAGGTAGGCAATCAATTGCAAATGATCATCATCATAGCATCCACCTGTGTATAGATCTGTAATTCGTGTAGATTGTCGGATACAAGAAAGTATCGTGCTCGGACAACCATCAAATACTCTTTTGCAGAAATTGTAGTATTTTTTTTTTGGAATCGTGATGTTATGGCGGCTTAAATTATGTATCATATTGCTCAAGAGGTTTGAGCTGGTCATAGAAGACCTAGCCCATTTTGTCGTCAATCACAAAGCGCCACCATGAATGTGGTTGTCTCCCCTCGATGGGGAGGGACTTTAAGATTTTACAGATAGTAAGTCTACATTTTATCAATAATATACCTAAAAATAGTGTACTCAGAATCCCAATTTTTTTTGTTCTTTCATCTGAAAATTACTTCAACGCTGTCCGAAACTGAACCGAAAAGACGGTATCAGGGCTTTATATAATATATACCTAAATTTAAATAAAGAAAAAAATAAAAAAATATACACCTAAATTTCTCACCTTTTTTTTTTTTTTTTTGTTTGCAAAAGTAATAGCGGTTGCTGCTTGGACCCATTCTTTTATTGTTTGTGTGTGTTTCGTGAATGTAATGCGTTACGAATATGCGATTAAACACACACGCACACACGCAATAACTCGAACAGTTGAACTTTAATGAAACGTTTTGCTTATCAAAAACTGTGTGTATTCATCTGTTTCGTCGACCCGCAAATTCAAATAATAATGATAAAAAAAAAAAAAAAACTCTTCATTTATAAACATTACCAGAAAAAGCAGGATTTCAAAAGTGTCACTTTACTCAATTTAACTCTTTTTTTTTTTTTTTTATTTCTTCCCTCTTTTTTCTTTCTGTTTTATTTTCTTTTTCTTTGATTCGCTTTTTGAATCCCCTATTTTCTCTTCTTTTTTCATAAACCAGCACTGTTCAACAAAAGCCAAGAAATATGACTAATTTCATGAGGATTGACCTGTCAGATTTCGATAATCGCAGAGACGAGATATCAGCCGATTTAATGAAAGCAGCTTCAGAACATGGCCTGTTTTATGGTAAAGCAACTCTTTCTTGTCAAGCTCTTTCAGAGGAAATCATAGATTGAACAGGAATATAATTCTATTTGTATGTAGTGGTCAATCATGGGATTTGTTCAGAACAAATTCGTACCATGTTTGAAGCGAGTCAGACATTTTTTGAACTACCAGAGAAAGTAAAAGAGACTTATAGCATGGATCATCCTCGAAACGCAGGCTGGGAAAAACTATCACAGGTAAGGAGAGAGAGAGACCTACCCAACAAAAACCAAATGAAACTGAGATAGACCCGGGCTCTCATCACTCTTTGATGTACTCTTTTCTTGAAGGTGCGTCCGTCGACAGGTGTCGCTGATCTTAAAGAGTCCATTCAGCTTTCCTTCCACAACTCGAGTGATCTCCGACCGTCCGAAGAGCATGTGCCTGGATTCGACAGCATCGCCACAGCCTTCATGGAAAAATGCAATCAAGTGTCTCAGCAACTCCTTACGTGTTTTGCCATCGGACTAGGCTTTCCAGCCGACTTTTTCACACGTTGTCATGATATCAGTCAACCGGATTGTCTCAACTCACTGCGTTGCACACGCTACTTTGAACACAAAAATCAACCTGAGCAAACCCAGTCTTCCAACATTGGCGCTTGTCGTATTGGCGCTCATAATGATATCAACACCTTTTCCCTATTATTCCAACAAGAGGAGGAAACAGGTTTGGAAGTGTTTCATGATAATCATTGGACACCTATCCATCCAGTCAATGACGAGATTGTCTGCAATGTAGGTGATATGATTGTGCGTTGGTCGGATGATCGTCTTCAAAGCAAAAGCAAATTGCATCACCGCGTAAGAACACCTCGTAGTCACAGCAGCCACAGCCACAGCAACAGCAACAGTAGTGCCAATTCATCGGATGGAGAAGAGGATGGCAGTGCGCATAGCCAGTGCAGTGGTGGTGGTGAAGTACCTTATCGCGGTCCTCGTTATGCTTTGGAATACGTCAATGAAGCGAATCGATCCGTGATTATCCAGGGTCGTACGAAATACACTCAACCTATCACAGCTGGCGAGTTCCTGATGATGGCCACAGAAAAGAACTACAAAGAAGTGATGAAGAATCAAGAAATGCATCTTGCTACAGCCATTCGAAATGTGGCTGCTTTGAATCATACTACTGCCTCTGTCACTAGCATCACTGCTGCCACTCATCAGAAAGTGGTAAGAGCCAAATCCTCCACCACAGCAGTGGACCCCACCGTGGTTGCAGCAGCCAATGAATCTGAGGATTCACCAGTAAAAACGCAAGCTTCTTTGGTTTCTGTTTAGAAAAGAAAAAAAAAAAAAAAAAAGAAGGAATGCATATACGCTCTAGATATACACACATACACACACATACACACACATACACACAAACACACACACACGCACTCTCTCTCTCTCTCTCTCTCTCTCTACTTTTCTTCCATTCTTTATATATATCATCCCATTGTCTATTCCCCACCCCCCTCACCATTCCCCTTTTATCTCTTTACATTTCTTGGATTCTTTTCATTAAAGTCCTATCCTATTGTGACATCTGTTTTTTTGGCTATGGTTTTCGTCTATACAATTCACTGATAAATTGGGTAGTAAGCATTTTCTATCCTTTTTTTAAAGTTCAGAAAAAGAGAGAAACAAACAACATCAATATACACCACGTTTTAATAATGCGCATAAACATTTAAAATAGGATTGTTGTCAATTAAACAAAAATAGAGCTTATGTTTAGAAAAAAAGATTTATTTTTTTTTTCTTTTAGCATAAATAAAGAAGTGTGTAACAAATCCATCCTCACTGAAAGTTTATTTTTTTTTTTCCCCTTTGTGCACAGAAAAAGATGATATGATCCCATGTTCCCTTTCTTTCTTTCTTTCTTTCTTCCATTCTCATACCTTTTTTTTTTTGGTTCTTTCTTTTTTTTTTTAAAAAAAAAAGTATGTCTACAGTCACATTATCTTCTACGACGACCACATCAACAGCAGCAGCAGCAGCAACAGCAGCAGCAACACCACCACCACCATCATCAGCAGGCTATTCCAGCATAAGCTTATTTAATGATAAACCAGAGGGAGCGTCTCCACCGCCTACACCGTCGAGTCAAAATATCAGTCTACCACCTACACCCACAGTGAGTGACGATGAAGCTGAGGACGGAGAACAAGAAAAAGAAAAAGACACGGAGCGGCAACAGTCGATTCTTTTGCCTATTTCTGGTACAAAAATGGCACAAGAGATCATACAGAAAAACATAAAGTTACAGAGAAGAGGTACTGTCTCATTAGCTGATTTGATTCCCATGGCTTCAGCAGCACTCAGGGCGAAACAATGCCTCTTGGACGATTCACAGCAGCAGCAAAGTTCCACTTTAGCACGCGCTTTGACCAAGGTCAAACTTGGGCTACAATCGCACCGTTTAAAAGAAAAATATCTGATGAATGAATGGAAAAGATTGGCTTTTGGTCTACCGGTGGATGAATCGACCATCAACGATACCTGCAATCATTATTTAATCAGTGCCTATAGTAAATACAGTCCTCTTTATAATACCACGACGACGACGACGAATCATCCTCCTAGTAGTTCTCATAATAACCATAGGGATAGTCAAATTCAGAACCCTACAATGGATCGTACAAAAGAAATCGTGACGTGGTATGAACATCTTTTTAAGCGAACAACTCTATCCGTCCAAGAAATCGAGGAACGTGTCGACCGTCTCAGGCAACAGAAATTACTTTTGCACCAGCAACAACAGCAGCAGCAGCAACAACAACAAGAAGAAGACGAAACCATGATTAGTGCTTGTAGTAATGGTGCAACCATACCGATGGGAAATAGTAATGGAACGACGAGTAGGCATCGTGGTGACCATGATCAACACTCTTCTCATCCTCTCTTATTGGACACTGAATTTCCCTAAGTACTAAAACCACTACGGGCGAGTGCTAGTAGTAGTAGATGACTCTACATACTACTATCACTACTGCTTTATGATACCTCACGAGGGCGACGGCCCTCCTTTCTTACAAGACGAAAAGGGCTCTGCTCATGTTTCTAGATACACCCATGTACACCTCTTTTTCACGCAGAACGAAACCGCATGATTTATAGCCCTATCCATCTCTTTTTTTTCTTTTACGCTTTTAATTTATTTACCCCTTACATCGTAATATCCTTTTTTTTTTTTTTCATCTATTGTAAATACCCTTTCTTTTTGCGATAAACGTCTCATATGTACGTTAATAAAGATACATCTACATTTACTACCCTGTCCCCCACCCCCCTCCCTTCTCTCGTTCTGTGCTCTTTTCTCATATCTAGCTACGTGAATAAAGTGACAAGCAATCAATAGACAGCAAAAGCAATACTTTTGAAGGGGTCTACGCTAAAAATGAAGGTGACTTTACAGTCTTTACATCAGATAGACCTAAAAAATGAAAATGTCTTTTTTGATATGAAACGTTCAGAACGGAAGTTTTTATTATGACAAAGACCTGCTAACAGATGATTCGTTCTCTATAGCCTATCATGGGTCACTCGGTCACCCGCTTTGGCCAAATCACGTATGATGTAGGCAATGTATTCATCATCCTACTTTTAGAACTGAGCCATTCATGTAGTTCAAGCAGTGAAACGCCCAATGTTAGCTTCACAAAGGCGAGATGTCTCCTTTGCATTTCATAAGAGCGAACTATCAAGTCCTTCTGATCCTATGACCTATTCAAAATCTTAAGGTGGACGCGGACGCATCGATAGGCTTGCATACCATTCAATCCTCATATGAAAAGCTGTTGGGGCAGAAATTGCTTTTATGCTGTTTGAAAGCTTTTTTATTCAGATTCAACTGCCAATGAGTACGTCTGGCCTACATGCTGATTCAATGCTATAGTCGTGTGCAGATGGATGGGGCGGTTGGGATCTTGGGACTCACCTATTGACACATGAGCAAGTCTGAGGATGGTATACTCAATGCTAGCCAATGGGAACGTTGAACCAAACCCTATCATCACAAACGCAATGGCCCCCATGATGGCCATTCATCTTTTTTTTTTTAAAGTGACATTTATTTTGTTGGGTTTACGGTACATCTAAAAGTTCCTCCTCCATAAAAAAATACACTCGGTAGCCTAGTACTTGTATTTTGTTGAATAATCCTTTAGCGACACGACTAAACCTCTACCTTTTCTGGCACCCCTATACACAGTCTACCAACATCAAAACAACACAACATGTCAATAAGCTCACTTCACTCTTTCTATTTTCCCCTTTTCGGCAGCATAGTTTTACCTCGATCAAATCAATCATTTCTTGCTTATCATCCAATGCCCAATTGATCTTATTGTTGTTGCCTGTGCCCAGATCCACCATGATATGTTTATTACGGAAAAAGAACATGGTTGTACATGGATCATACAATTCGTACATCTATTGAATTCCATAAGTACACTCTCTCTTGAGATCAACCTCTGTTTTTTTTTTCGCTTTACCTTGTTGAAATCGGGTACTTCCGTAATATCCACCTTTGGAAAAAAAAAAAAGGAAAGCATAGAGTGTTAAGAAAAGGAAATGAGGATGAATAGGTACAGGAAGCACTTACCAGATAAATGACAGCAAAGTTTTTCACTTTTTCTGCAATGCTATAGAGAATTTCATCCATTTGCATACAAATAGGATCCCAATCATGTCCAAATCGAATGACAACCACACGATCTTCTTCAGATAAAATGGCTTGGTCTACTTGCCAACCATTGGTTAAATGGGGTAAAAAGTACTATTTTCAGAACAGAGTACCCATCATTTAATCAACTTGAACGACCCAAACAATCGATCAACAAACCCTGAATAGCTTTCACTTACAGACTAAGGCAGATGTCGATAACAGGAATGGTGGTTGTTGAATAATGTACAAGTTAGTGTTAATTTTCAACTCTCTCTCTCTCTCTGTTTCATTAGAAAGAAACTTCATTTCTCACCATTGTAAATTCGTCAAATGGCCCGTCAGAGGAAAAGGAAATATAATTTTAGTGTTTAGCAGATCCATTGATCATAACAAAAAAAAAACTCATGAGCGGGGCAGGAAACTCGAGTACAGCAGACGCATGAAACGGTGTGTGTCTCAAATTCATGCTAGAAATTTCTTGGACTCCCTCAGCACAGAGAGAAGAGACCATGCTTTTTTTTATGGGTTATCAACATGGCTGCTATGCTACTGTTGTAAAAAAAAAAAATACAATCTCTTTAGGTCTACAACCGGTTTTATGTTTGTCCTGAGATAGAAATAGTAGTGAATGTCGTGACTATCTGTGCCGGGTGAGTGATGTGTAGCAAATAAAGTACGTAAGCCATGAAGTGTGATCACTCTACCTACGAGAAGTTCGCCCCCCCCCCCCTACAGAAAAGGAGATGGCTCTCCTCCCCTGTTTCTTCTCAAAGAGAAGGCTCAGTGAGCTGTTGTCTTATTTCTTGCAAATCGAAAGAGTCCAGTTCTATGATCTCATTGTTACTGTTCGCGTTGACCAGAGTCGTCAAAGAAGCGCTACGAGGCAATGAGAGTCGCTGTGATAACGGCCAACAGGCACTGCCTTTCTTCTTTTTCCTCCAACGGACGAGCTCCGAGACAACAGCAGGAAGCGCATGGAGGGGCCAGCCTATCCATGCCACATAGTTCAACGTTTCACACGCTTGTAGAATCAGGTGGACTTGTTGACCATGGTTCACGGAGGAGGAGACTCTTTCTTCTTCTCGATGCAACGCCTGAGGGGGACTCCATGCGCTTTGTGTGATCTTGTGGCTGCATCGCATCACCAACTGTTGCAATTGAGCGCTATACAACGCAATCGCCTCTAGCGTTGTCTCGCCCTCACACCGCACGGAGAGGGAAAGTAAGTGCTTCCCGTAGGCTCGTATCGTCTCGCACAGGGTTGTTTCCTCAATTTGCTGTAGCGAAATGAACAAATGCTGAATTCTGGAACAGTACCGAGAAAGATGGCGAACAGCAGCATCATTGGCGCGTGCTGTCCTGTTATGATTGGCGCCTAGATGAACACGGTTCAGGTTCGGCATGATCTCATACAGTTGCCGCATGGCCTCCACTGAAAAATCTGTCCAAAGTGAGACCAGACTTTGCACAGTAGGAAAGACGATCCGCCTGCACCAGCAGCAACCCTCCTTTTGAGCTCCCGCGTTGTGGGTCATGGATACACTCGTAGGCGTAGCGGTAGCGGTAGCGGCGCTGGTAGGAGGGGTCGTCTTTGTCGTTGCAGTCAAGTGATGCGCGGAAGGTGAGGCGGTTGCAGAGGGGCTGTGGTGATGACGATGAGGATGAGGATGAGGATGAGGATGATGATGAGAAGCCTCTGCAGGCTGTGTAGGGGCTCGAGGAGGGTCCATGCAGTCATCGAGATCCTCGGTGGCAAGGAAGGGACGGTGCATGTGCTGCGCATTCAGCCGTTCTCCACGTACTGCTGTTGCGCCCGCTCGGGTGGATACGTCTCCTCTGTTGGAACAAGCAGCCGCTGACGCTAAGCTAGCTGCCACAGAAAGAGAGCCGTTGTGAAGAGACGCATTCAACAGAGTACGATTCTCTGGAGCAGCAAAATGGCCCCGGGCTTGTGGCCATGCTCCTGCCGGTGGCACAAGTGGAGGAGCTGAAGCGACGAGATTGCAGTACTCGAACGAAACGGACGTTATTCTAGGCAACACCATCATCACCTGCTGTAGATCATGTATCGACAGCGACACAAAATCTCGAAAGCACACTCTGGTGACATTCGGCAGCTGCTCAAGTAAAGAGACCGTGATGAGCCAGTGATGACTTTGCGCTCCTCCTCCCTGACGGCACTTCAAAGTGATGGCCTGTGTATGCTGTCGAGCGGTCTCTCTCAAATAGCCATTCTCACACAAACCTTTTTGCAGCCATTTGAGTTGTTTCCTCGTTCCTAATTCTACATGCTGATAAAGGAAAGGTAAAAAGCAATAGTAACTGGTCCGTGATAAGAGGCATAAAGTGAAAACTGTCGATCGGCTCACGTCATGAAGGATATGCTGCAGGATTTCGTTTGACAGTTGAAACAGCCCCATTACTATGTGATCGTTTATGCTCAGCGAGTAAGTTTAAGCTTTTAAAGATAAAAAAAAAAAAAAATCAAGGAGGAAAGTAAGAACAATGAACTTCTTGCCCTTCTTCTGCAAGAAATGAAAAAGAAAATCATGCTCTCCATAATGAGAAATGAGCCGGAGTTTAAACCACACGTGATGCCTGTTATGCAAAGTTTTCAAATAAGAGAGGATCTTATCAGATTTTTGATGCTATTGTTTCAATTGAGTTTGTATATTTTTGTTCCATGAAAAGCTTACTACAACCAAAAGTCACATATTATTCATCCACTCAAGACCAGTCATTGAGGCTACGAAAAAGCATCTGTACAATGAGTTATTATGGCAGGTTGCATCCTACTTTCTTTTTTTTTTTTTTTTTTTTTTTTCATTGCAGCTGCAGGAGCTTGCACTTGATCCTCCATGGATTGAAGCATGTTACTCAAGGACTGGCAGAATAAGTGTTAGGGAGGCAAAAGAAAAACTGTGTCTATAGGGATAGCAAATCAAAAAAAAGATCCTCCTTGCTTTCATGAAAAAGACACTCTTTTGATACGCTATGATGAAAAAGTCAAGATGCCAAGCAATTCAGATCACTTTTTGCTTTCAATTGAAAAAAAGTAAGGATGTCTAGAAAGGGTTCCCCCTTCCCAATTATTCCTGATGACATCCCTAAATAAGCTTAAAATCGCTGATTTATGTCGGAACGAAATCAGTTACAAAGTTTATAAAGTTTACAAAGTTTCCTATTTCAGCCGTGCTGTTGCAATCAAAGTATCCACTGTCAATCCAAAGGGGCGGCAGTTTACGTACATTCACCATGACGTCTCTCATAGCAGTCAGCTTGCGTGCATCGCATTCTATTAGAGGTTGAATACTGAATGACTGTTTGCTTGAACTCAATTCTAAGGACAAGGTGCGTCGTTTGCTAGGTTTCGGGAGGCTTAGTTTAAAATATATAAACCTGGGGTAATAATAATGCTTTGTGTTGCACTTTTTAGTCTTTTTTTTTTTTTCTGTGGGCTCTGGTTTGACCCCGCGTTTGGCTAAACAATACGTGGAGTAAACGTCAGGGGTTCAAAAAAAAAAAACAAAAACAAAAAACGAACGTAAGATTTGGTCTAAGTGATAGAAATTTTATTTTGAAGTACAAAGGCTCTTTGAGATCAAATTAAGTGAAAAGAAAATATGGCCCTTCATTTTTAAAAGATAGTGTTGCGGTGTAAGCGCGCGCGAGTGTATGTTTGCTTGTATATGTGTGTGCGTAAGAAAGTGGTTGTGTGTGCTAAAGAAAATAAAAATAGAAAGCAAAGTATCTATATAGAAGTGTTGGAGCTCATATATAAAATGTTTGACTTCAGATTAGATATATAGAAAAAGATAATATTACAGAATCGAGAAATAGCAGAGCTTTTTTTTTTTTTTTTTTTTTTTAAGAAGTTTGAACTAGAGGAATGATATAAACGTAGGAGTCTATATCAGAACTTTAGTACTTCTTACCGAAAAGCCAGACTTGGAGGTAATCATAACCAGACAAGACACCAGCACCAGCAATAGCACGGAGAATGTTAGCACCAGCACCCTTGAAGAGGGACTTGGTACCTTCCTTAGCGACAATTTCACGGAAAGCGTGCATGGAAGAGTCGTACTTGACGGCAGCACCGGAAGTCATCATCATACGACGACGGATAGTATCAATAGGATAAGAAGCTAGATGTTGCCATGAAGAGAGTTAAAGTTAGTTTACTGTTTCAAACACACCTCCCCATGTTCGGAACACCCCCACTTCATCCTCACCCCCACCCCTGAATTTTTTTTCTTTTTTTTCTAACGTTGTTCAAAGCCCAAAATAAATAAATGGAATACATACCAAGACCGGAACCGGTGGTGACAGCCCAACCGAGAAGGAAGGTAGCCAAGAAGTTGCTTTGGAGGTTAGCAGGAAGCATAGGCTTGAGGGAATCGTACATACCGAAGTAGAGACCACGGTAGACAATGATACCAACACAAGAGATGTTGAAACCACGGTAGAGACCGGCAATACCATCAGTCTTCAAGGTCTTCTTGTAAACATCGATCAAACCGTTGAATTGACGTTCACCACCCTTCTTGGCAGACTTGGCATCGTTAGCAAGACGAGTACGAGCATAATCCAAAGAGTAGACGCTATGTAGAAAGAGAAAAAAAAAAAAAAAAAAAAAAGTCAGATACCTAACAACAATAAAGGAAAATGAAAAAAGCGGAAACTTACAAGAAGAGAGAAGCGGCACCAGCACAACCACCGGAAGCCAAGTTAGCGGCGAACCAGGTCCAGTAACCATCCTTATCCTTCTTGGCGTTGAACATACGCTTGAACTTATCCTTGAAAGCAAAGTTCAAAGCTTGGGTGGGGAAGTAACGGATAACGTTAGCGGTGTTACCTCTCCAGAAGGAAATGGCACCTTCATCCTTCAAGGTACGAGCGAAACAATCACCAATGCCCTTATAAGGGGAAGAGAGACGACCTTGCTTGATCATTTCATCTTGGTTTTGGATCAAAAGCTTGATACGTTCAATAGGGGCAGCAGCAGTCTTGGAGACAGCGGCGGAAACACCACCCATGAGGAAATCCTACATAATTGAACCAATGGACAATGAGTTCTATTTGTCATGTTGGAGCCCTTTCAAGCCCATGCCATGATGGCTTTCTTCTTTGCACTTACAATCATGAACTTGTTTTGTTGGTTGACCTTGCTTTCAGTAGCCATTTTGATGATTTGTGGTTAGATAAATTAAGAAGAAAGAGGAGAGGGGAGTTTATCGAAAAAAAAAGAAAAAAAAAAGCAAACTACAGAATTATTTAAAGCGCCTTTTATAGTCCCAGCAAAGGCTCAGAAGCAATTGAAAACGAAAAAAAAAAAAAAAAAAAAATACAAAAATACAAAAATCAAAGCCAGGGGGGAGGTGCAAAATAAAAAAAAAAATCTTTCTCATTTGTGTTCACCAGTCCCAGAACATTACGCGAACGTTTATTTGGTCATCGGAGAACGACCCTTTAGTTTTATTTTTTATTTTTTTTTTTTTATTTTTTAGAAAGAAAATTGTGGGGATGCTGTGATAATGGGAGAGTTGTGATCAAGAACGATCTATGCTGTTTTTCTTTGTTTTTTTCGAACGGAATCATCATCTGAAGAAAACGGACTGCTGCCTTCGTCATCTTCATCATTTAGTAAGCTCTGTAGCATCAGTCTTCTACGTCGTTTCGCAGCCTGGTTCGTATCTGCCATGTTCCTTAATAGATTTCCTTGTAAACCTAGATTGTGTGGGCCGATAATCGATTGGTGAACATGTTCGATGGATTTGAAATAGCGTACCGTCTGTTTTCAATAAAAATGGTAACATCAAATTTAGGGCCATCATCGTTATACAATCAAAAACACTGCAGTCTATGATCTGTCCAATAGTTCTGCTTTATCGTTTTCCTATATCTTTTCTATAGAAAAGAAACTAACCTTTACATGAAGCTCTAATGTCGCATCTTCATCACAAATAATCAAGCCTTTAGGGTGCATTTGCAACGCCGAAACTGTCCACATATGATTCACTCCTTCTTCAAGGCATTTCGATAATGCTAAACTTTTATGAGCACCCGTTATCACTATACACACTTCTCTTGCATCCATTACCGTACTGTAGGTAGAAAGAATTGTTTCAGTAACCCTATTTTACCCTCTTCCCTATAAAAGCTATCCATGAGCGACTTACGCTACACCCACTGTCAACGCCAGTTTTGGTACCTTCGACACGTCGCCGCCAAAAAACCGTGCATTTGCAATAATGGTTTCATACGCTAATGTTTTGACTCTTGTCCTCGAAGTGAGTGATGATCCAGGCTCATTAAAAGCAATATGTCCATCAGGCCCAATACCTAAATGAAATGTTGGAATAGCATAAACACTTCATCAGATTTCATGTTACTCGCTGTCCAACCTACTCTCGCAGCCTCATACACCCTCTCCTCTTCAATGCGGGCCGGCATTATATAAAATAGAATCGTGCATTAAAAAAAAAAAAAATTCGTACCGCCTAAAAATAATTCAATGCCTCCCAGCTTTACAATGTCTGCTTCAAATTTCGAACATTCGTTGTCTAGATCTTCTGAATTACCATCCAATATGTGAACATTTTCTTTTTTAATATTAACATGTTTGAATAAGTGATTCCACATAAATGTATGATACGATTGAGGGTGATCTCTATAATCAATGTATGTTGAAGAAAACCCCGAGTTTTGGTCAGCATGGTTTGTTGTTTAAACGCCTTCAAAAAAGAAGAAAAAAAAAAGAACCACATTGTTGCTTCACTTATTTACCGTGGTAGCCCAACATATTCATCCATATTGAATGTCACGACATGTTCGAAACTTAGTTCGCCTGCTTTGTGAAATTCTACTAACTTATGGTAGACGCCAATTGGCGACGAGCCAGTTGGTAGTCCTAAAACAAACGGCTTGTTTGCTGTTGGTTTAAATTGATTGATACGCTCTTTTACGTAATAGGCTAGACATCATCGTTGTGTATATCATTGTATACATATTTGCCATTTTTTGTTATGAAATAAGAACATAACCGGTAAATCATTAATTCCGTGTTTCTTTGACTACTGTCGATGTTTGATCCCAACCGAGTTTTTACCTGCGTAATTAGACACTTCTTCATAATCTTGACGGACAATAAGACGCATGTTTTGTATTAATAAAAGTCAATAGGTATATATATGTTAATGATAAATAGGCTTTTGAGAGGCAAAAAGGGTTCAAAAAGTGAAAATCACACAAAAAAAAAAAAAAAATAGTACTGATAATAAAACGAAGGTGACTTTTTTGAAAGCATTTAACAGAAAGCAAAGAATGTCGGACTTTTATTGGCTAGCTGAAAGGACCCTACAGTATTTTTAGTGGTAGGACACTCACGTGAATTTAAATCGCGTGCTTATCTAATTCATTCGCCGTTGATTCACTCATCAGATGATGAAAAAGAAAGGTTGTTCTCAACATCTACCAACTTTGGATGAAAGAAGGCCATTAACTCGAAGAAAAAAAGACTTTCAGAAAGAATATGTTATCAATTTCAACCTACATGAATTTTCATTCTGAACCCTTAGTGAAACCTCAACTGTTGTGACTGTAGCAATTCCGGGATGATCAGCACGCAGATAACCACTTAGATAGCGTGGTAAGATGGGAGATCAAATTTCTGATAACAACAGTTGAAGCGTCGTGGTAGATCTTACACTACATTAGCCATGATTCATAAAAACTGTTAGGTATCCGCTATTTTCAATCGAGTAGATCAATCCAGGACAATGTCATTTTGAAAATATTATCTATTCTAGCATTACTTTATCTGTTCTGGAAAAGAAAAAAAAAATGAAAAAATAGTGAGTTGTTCCTTTTCCTTGATGAAACGATCTGCTCGATTTTTATTTTAATGAAGCCCTTACAAGCGCCCAAGCTGCCTTTGCCTGACCTTTTTAATAGCTAAGGCATTTTGTTCTTATCTGATACTTCTATTCGATATTCGAGAGCGGGAGTTGGTTTTTACATATTTATTATTGAATGTATAAAAATTAGTGACTTTAATTACATTGTAGAAAATATGCAGTGAATTAGCGATAGTAATAAACAGCAGTTGAAGATAATATGTACATAATTTATGATAAAAGAGCGGTTCAAGGAGAAGGGAAGGAATGATGTTCCTTGGTCATGATTTTCGAAGTAAGATGAAATGTCGCAGTGGTTTGTTGATATATGTATGTAAAATAGGCGCAATTTGAGAATAAACGAAAGAAAAGGTAAAAGTATGTATGGCGTGTGTGCGTTGAGAGAAAGAGAGAGATGAGCGGGCATTCTAGAGCGAGTATGCTTGCGTAGTGTTTTGAGTTTAGAAGTAGAACTGCTTCACATCATGCTGACTGAAAGATTCATCGCAGTTTGGACATCGTCGTATCGATTCTAGACATTCTCGACAGAAGGTATGCATACATTTGAGAATTATATGGGACTTTAGTCTTACTCGACAAGAGCTACAATTTAATAAGGACTATACGAAAGAGATCACAGAAGCATGAGTACAGCTGTAGATACAACACTTTTTACTGTAAACTGTCAAAAAGAACTTACTCTGTATTCTTCACGTTCTCTCTTCAGTCTGGCCTCTGCTGGTCGGCCGCCTCGATTTGATGATTCTACCTTTCGTCTGAGAAGTTCTGTGCTTTCCTCTAATCGTAAGCGGTTGTGTGCACTCTCTTCTATTGCTCGAATTTTGTCAAACACTGTTTTTTGAAGCTAAATAGCAATCAATAGAAAAACAAGTTAGAGTTATGAATTTCTTATACGACAATTATGCGACTTACTTCAAGAATTTTATCCTTGGAGATGTTTGTTTTCTCTTCCATTTCATCCAGCATCACTTTAGCTTCATCTAACTTTGCCTTATATATATCGTATACAGCATTACTGGATGCTAACTCACGGTCTAGACACGTCTATTATCCACAAAAAAAAAAAAAAAAAGAGAAAAGAAAAACCTCATTAGTGGATGAGTCAACAGAAAACGTTTTGCAACATTGGTTGCGTAGATTGTACCAATTGATTGTTCAGGTTTTTTTCGAGTTCATTTAGTTGTTTTATATGTGCTAGTTGCTTTTCATTTTGTTTTGTCAACGCATTCGCAACCATGGTATGAGCATCTTTCGATTTATTCAAAGCTGTAAAAATTTGGCTGAACTTGATGCGTTCCGTTTGAAGTTTGGTAACCTCATCTTCAGCTTTTCTGAGTTGGTCAACTTTCTGAAGATTTTCTTCTTCCAAATCTTGGTAAGCTTTTGCTACACTGTCTATTTCTCCAAGTAGCTGTTTTTCTGTCTACCAAGGACGAGTTAGCACAATGCGAGGTCACGTTAGAATGGAACTTGGAAGAATGATCCTATCTTTTGCGACGCAAATACTTACTGCCTCTAGATTAAGTATTTTCTCCTTGGCTTCAGGTAGGCTACTCGTTTCTTTTTCAGTTCTGTCCAGCAGAATATTCTTAGCTTGTGCATCGTCGAGATCGAGTGAAGGATGAAACCCATACTTTGCTTCAAAATCAGCGGCATCTTTTTCTATCCTTTTCAGTCGAAATATCTGTTCTAACTTTTCGTTCATAACTTCTTCGGCTGATGCCAAAATAACGCGCTTCTTCGTCTGTTCCAGTTGTTCCTTTAGTGCCTGATATTCTTTCTGTAAAGGTTTCAAGAAGGCATTCTCGTCAACGTCAGTCAAATCTTGCTCTTTCTCCTGCTGTTGTTGTTGTCGTTGTTGTTTTTCATCTTGACTGTTGCCATTGGCCATTTTACTCCCATAAATATTTAAAGAAAGCAAATATTCATAAAACTCTTTTCTGCCCGTCGTTGCTGCCATTTTTCTCTGCATGCGAAGCACTTCTGAAAGCAAATGATTGACATGTTCTTTTCTAGTTTCAGCAATCACTTTCAATTCATGTGTAGACACTCTGCCCATCTCTGAAGATGCTTTTCGACCTTCTAATTCCATTTGTAGAGCATCACGCTGTCCTCTGGTGCGTGTTAAATCTAAGTCTAGTTTTCTCAACTGCTCTTCCGCTTCTTTATATCGACTGGATTGTTCAATCTCCATATCTTTGATCAGTCGCCGACGACTGCTATTTATATCACTTAATGAATGTTGAAGATCATGGCATATATCCGATAGACGAGTACACTTGTCTTTATAGAAACCACGCGATTGTGATAATGAGCGACACAGGGATGCTCGATAAATACGTGATTCAGGAACAGATATCAAATCCATTTTCAATCGCGCAATTTGCTCTTTCAAAACGATTCGTTCTTCATTGATAATCTCAATATCACGTAATCTCTGATTAAGTAACTGTTGAGCTTGACTGATCGGATCGACTAAGGATGGAGACTATGCAATTTTTATCAAAATAAAGGTTCGGTAAGCACAATCACTCTATTTTTTTTTTTTATCTGCCTTCCAGTATTTACACACAAAAAAATAAAATAAATCAAAATGAACAAAAAAGATTCAACATACATTAGATACTGTTGATGATGGCATATTATGTGCGGGAGACTGTGTTGATGATGTTGATGCCGTTGGTCTCACAATAGAGGTTGAGGTTGTGGTATCTTTCATTTCTGTGTCCTCACCTTTCATCATTCGATTCTTCTGTTTCTCCAACTCTGCTTGTGCTTGACGTAGGTTTTCATCTGTAATCTGTAAACGGTTATTCAAGAGTCGAAGCTCTTCTGATAGTAGCAAATACTGATCAAGTGGTGGAAAAGAGTTAAAATGCATATTAGAAAGGGACAAAGTTATACAACAATGCTGTGAACAAAACAATAGCTGCACAGTGACAGTTTAACAATCATACCTTGAAATTAACTGAACTATATCTGTTCTTCAATTCTTGAATGGATCTTTGGCCATGCAGCCAGGCTAATAAAGCATTCTCGTAATCTTTCTTTATTCCGCTCAAAGAACCTTCTTCTATTGGAGTGGAAAGAAATCAGTCTACGTCTTACATTTGCAATAAAAAAAGAATGATTGTATGTTTACGCTCATTACCAAATGCAGTATCAAAACCCGTGATCAATCCTTCTCTTTTTGACAACCATGATTCCAATAACTGATTCAATTTCGAGATGAGCAGGTTATTGAAATCTTTTTTTCGGAAAGCCACGACTAATTCAGGTGCTAATTCTGTGGCCCATGGTTCCTTTAACATCGTATCAAATGAATTGTTGTCTATTTCTGCAAGTGAGGAAACGATTAAATTTTAATTGAGACTCTTTTTCAAAGCAATGTATGCAAATGAACCGATCAAGTTTTTGGAATCCTTACCCATAGCATCAGAAGAAGCGTTAAGACTGGACATTGCTTCCTGAACAATGTTAGAGAGAAATATTTGAAGCTAGCAGATAGAGAAAACGAATAGTAAAGTGTGAGTTCTAATGTTCTGGTCAATTAACTGAAGAGTTAATACCTTTTTAAACGAATCTTGCCAAAGCGCAAAGTGATTTCCACTGTCCAATCTTTTAGATTCTGCCTGTTCAACTGAGACTTTCAACCTTTGAATAGATCTCTAAAGTAACAACAATTACAGAAAACAGGATTGTTTAGTTTCTTATACTTGAGAGCGTATCATAGTAATGAGCAAAACTTACTATATATTCTTTCCACTGTCTTACAATGGCATCTTTACGAAAAGCTTCTAATGGTTCCTATATATCGAAGAAACAAATGGCCTATAAATCACTTATTCAACACATCATAATCCATAATGTAACGAATCAACCAAAAAAACAAACCTTAAGAGGATCTGTAGAATCTTCTTCATCCTCTTCTTCATTTTCCTGAGCAATAGTAGAGCGTGCTATTGGCCTCGCGACAGCTTGTCCAGCAGACTCCTCATTAGGTGAAGAGGTTCTTGATAAAAACCTTTTCTTTGGTGGAGGACGGGGAGTAAGGCTAGTGTCTTCTACTTCGTTAGAGCGACGTTTCGTGATGTTAATTTCCTCAATATTGGCCATAAAAAGATATATGTACAATAGGTTCTAGGTGTGCGTTAAGAAAAGTGAAATCAACGAAAATGCGTATACAACGAGATTAGTAAAAGTAAAGCAAGTAAAAATATGGAAATCAAGTAGAGACAATGTAGAGAAGAGGAGAGAAGTGGGGAACTATGTTGGCAGAAGTAGTTGCGTCTTTTTTTTTCCCGTATTAAGTTAAAAAGAAGGGTTACAATATGAGTTTTTGAATCAAAAGAAAAAAAGCACCAAAAAGATCTTGGGACGTCATTTTTGACGGACTCTGAAACACAGTTGAAATCCCCATTTAGTGAGCTCGTTTGTCTTGGTATTGAAGGTTTATTGATTTGAATATTGCTTCGAAAAGCTGAAAATTCATTCAAGTGCATTATATAAATTGATAGACTTGATCGTTCCATAGAGCTCATTGTGTTTCATTTTCCGGCCGTTTTCGCTATCAAACGCATAGTACGCAGTATCTTTAGACTTGGCATCAATTGTCTTAATCCTCGTTCTTCTGCCTTGTCGCCAATTGTCGTTTATTCCTAGCCTATTAGGTAGCTTCAGTATCATCCTCAGCTATATCAGCATCAGAATCGAATTCTAGAGGATCATCATCACTTTCACTAGGCGAAAAATCATCGTCCATTTCTTCATCGTCGTCAGCTATTTGTTTTGTGTTTTGTATAGCTTTTCCCTCTTCTTTCGTAGCACCATTTTCTTTCCCTCCCCGCCCATCTTTGTCGTCTTCTTCCTCCTCTTCTTCATAACGGTCCAGTTGCTTTTGTTTATTCTGAGGTGCTTTTCTTTCCTCAGCCATACTTTGGTCATTGATCCTTAGTTTTTTTATATACGCATTGATGCCGTCGTATTCTGGTTGTTCAAGCATAGAGAAAGCTACACTTTCCTGCTCACCTTCCATTGTTGGCTTAAATCCCGAAGAGCCTAAAATCCTGCAATTAGGCTTCAAAATCAAAATCATATCAAATGTTCGTTGGGTGATATTGGTAAACACTGTAGAAGCGAGGATAGAAATGGGGAAGAATAAGGTGGGCTTTTTAAATCCATACAATATGCCAGTAGGTAAAAAGAAAAGGAACCCCTCTTTGTTTTTATGATACGCGGTAACGTGATGCTTGTCTGCAACTACTTTGCCTGTGCTAGCAGAGATGCCAGTCGATGTGAAGTAGCTTTTAGAGGGTTGGGTGACGTCGATATGTGCAAGTTCAGTTATCAATTTACAAATCTGTTCGTGTTTATCGGTAGTGTAGGTTTCGACTGAAGTAGGCGTTTTAATGATTAAATCGCCTTTATCTTGTGTGTTGAATACAATGCAATCATCGGTTTTTAGAAAGAGAGTGTAAGTATAGTTTTTGGTGGCTTTGTCCGGCGTTAAAACACAAGCTCCCCCTTCTGTCGAAAGATCGGCTAGTGCATATTGAAATTCTGTAATGTTTGTTTTCGCGTTGTGCAAGAAGAGAGATGTACGGGTGAAAATCAAATCGTACTTTTTCCGATTAGGAAGTTGAAACGAAAGATCAACTATACGAATGACTTCATCTTGCGGTTCTAATAAGTTTGAAGCGGTATCTCTGCTGTCGACTATTTTACGACGTTTCAAGTCTTTTTCAGAGTTCTCGAAAAAAGCTATGATTCGTTCTATCACTGTTTGACTTGCTGGATATGCGTTTATAAGGTCATAGATAGAGTCTTTTAAATCGCAATCGTCTATCGCCTTTGTTATCAAATTATCAAGTGTAGACATAGGTGGAAATGAAAGGGAAATAAATATGGAAAGTAAACAAGTGATACGAACAAAAATGTTTATCTATTTGTCAAATATGAGTTTAAAATTACAAGTAGTAGTAGTGTAGTAGTAGTCTAGCAGCAGACGACAATGCATGTATAGAAACAGTATAACTGCTTATAAATGTTATAGCAAAAAGAGAATTAATTATTGAGCAATAAGATGATAAATGTAACGGATCGTGTAAGAAGCGATATAGTATAAAGGTATGTAAAAAACTAAGTATAGTAAATAACCATAACATTCTTTCAACGGATTCTGCAATTTGATGGGAATTTTTACAGTGTTGCCATTGAATAACCGTTCATCTTCTCCTATACCAATATCATGCTCCTCAGGCAATTTACCATGCTCGTTAAAGTAGATCATTCGTTTATCCTTTTCTGTCCACCTTTCTAATAACCAGTTAGAAAAACCCTCAGTATCAGAAGGTAAATCAGCTAAACGATAGCGTTGAACATGAATATGAATTTCATGAGGGCCATTGCCTTCACAGAATATGCGTTTCATGGTCATAACATCTTCAGGATTTTCACCGGGTTTGATACCAGGGTAGGCGATAGTGAGGTCATATAACCATTCCACGCTGTCTTTTAATGTTTCTTTGCACATTAACAAACCAGTGATTCGCGGCAAAAGTGTAAACTTGAAATCGTCCTGGAAAACATGCGAATGTATTAGCGTACCCTTTTTAAATGTTATACTTATAATGTTTGCTTACCATTCCGAGCTTTGTGGCATAATTTTTGGATTTTAAACGAGTATTGTCAGAAATAACTATTATAACAAAGGAGTTAGAAAGGTTTACGGATGCAAACCTGAGATTATCTATGTAGATGCTTACCTGTTCCTTCAGGAAATAACACTAACCACATAGGTCTATTTCTACTCTTTGCGGAATTCAACATTCCCAAAATGTTATCCTTGTCTTGTTCCAATCTACGCTTTAAAAAGATGAACTCAAAGAATTTCATGCCCTATAAAGAGAATAGACATTGTCGTGATTAGGTCATCATTGGGGTTAAGCATTTGATCCGTGTGTAAAACTAGAAATACGGCGTGGATTCTTTACCCTAAAAGCCAAGAGCTAGACGAGTGAGTAACGATTTCCGCTAAATGCTTCTTCTAGGTATAATATTTTGATCTCTTTTTACCTTCCCCAAATTGGCAATAAACTTAAACTATGCTTCAACATGATTTTGATGGCGCCATGGGCTTTTGAGAGATAGGCAATAAACCAAATATAAATCCAATCCGCATAAATCTAGGTATTACAATGAAAAAGCCCCAAAATCCAAATTAGGAATCATTTGCTTTACTTTATATAACAATGAAAAGTTTTACAAACCTGATGATTTGCGATCATAATAAGCTTTTCGGGGAAAGATATTCCGGTAACTTGACCTTGATTATTACGAGTGAGCAATTTCTCTAACTCTTCTTGGTAAACTTCATCCTCTTCATTCGTTTCCGTAGTATTATTCGTACTGTTGAGGGCAGACTCTTGGCCGTTCTTGCAATGCTTGTCTTTATTGTTAATACAGCTCTTATCGAACGTAATAATCAATTCACCAGGTGCAAAATAATCCATCGTTTGAAATAGATTTTGTGACCAAAAACGCATTATTTGCGCATGAAACTTGTAATAAACATCTTTTGACAATGGCCAAATAAACAGTGATAAATATTGCGCTGCGACGACACAAGTAGTATGTGTCCAAAGAGTTATTGAACAGAGAACACCATTCAAAACAATCCTCAATACTTCCATGTCGTAAATTTATGAATGATTAGACCTATCAATTAAGCAGTATACTTTGTTTTTATACTTTGATTCTAAAGGGAGTAAAGGAACGAGAAAGACAGAATTTGAGAAAGAGAAGTAAAGGGACATGCCATTAGTAAATCAAAATCATTTGTGAAGTTTCTTTGCTGTTCCAGCAATAGAGGAACAATAAGGTCGTGACTTTTTTCTAACACAGATTTGCCCTTTAATTTCAAAACCAGCGGCAAAAAGTTCATCGTTACAGTGGCTTTTTCATTTTGATCCTTCTTTCCTGCCAAATCGATACACCATAACAAAAAAAAAGCCAATATGGTAACGATCTACATTTGAGAGATCTCAAACAATTGAAGAGAGTTAATAATCAGACTCTTATATAAGATGATTATCAATGACATTCTTCTAGGGGAACAGAAAAATTACACTAAGGACAGTTAAAAACCGAGAAAATATCCATCCTTATTCAAGGAAGGCACACCAGCTTTCTCGAGTTTATCAACGTAGAGAAAAAATGTCAGAGAAAGAAAAGAAAAAAGCCGCAAATCCTAAAGGTAATTTTATGTTTGCACTATTGGTTTGTAAATAAGCAAATTGCTAAACTGGCTTACTTTTGTCTGTATTTGCATAAATAAAATAAAAGGTGAACGCTGGGTATGGTTTAGGTATGCATTTGATGAAGAGAAGCCGGCTGCTACAAAAGCTGAATTGCAAGAACTAGTAGAAATTTACTTACAACGACATGATGAGGAGATAAATGAATTGGAAGCAGCGAGAACAAGAGGACATAATAGAAAAGCCAAAACACCTCGGCAAGAATTTTTAGAAGCATTGAAAGAAAGTGAAACAAACGAATACATAGCAGGAATGGGTAAAGAGAATTTTTGTAATTATTCGTGATAGAGAAAAGCGAGCAATCAGACACATTGTATAACTGATTTGATGAATTCATAGAATTACCGGATATGACAAATGGCAAAATGTTAAAGCTACTTCGAGAATGGGATGGGGATAAGAATGGTATGTCACGTATCAGGACCATAAGAGTACACAAGCCTGTAACAACTGCAACAACTTCAAACGTCTCAACGGAAACAGCGCAGAAACAGAATAACGATACTACGAACAATGATGTTAAAAAGGCAGTAGAAACGGATAGAATGGAAGAGTAAATAAATTCATTGGTTGTCCTTTTCTTTGATTTTTGTACGTATACAACATCTTTTGGAACGTGATTTAAAGAATTATTCTGGTTAGAGTTGATGGAAAGAAGACATATTTTTTTCTGTTTGCCATTGTTTGTCATAGCTCTACTACCGTAACGTGGCATTCTTATATGTTGAATCGATTTCACAGTTCAGCTACTTATAACCAACAAATGTAGACTGACTTCTGTAAATGGGTAAGCCTGTAGTACAGGCGCCTAGAACAATGTTCTTGTTATCTTCATCAGATTGCGATTCCTCAAGGTACCCTGATCGGTAAAAAACCTTTTTAGTAGGGCAATTGTTCAACTATCTTCTATACATAGAAACGCACGGACTCAATTTTGTTCAATCATAATCCTACACTTCTCTCTTTCACGTTGACTGAGTTTTCTAAAGGGTACTTTTCGGTTGTGCCACGATTTTGTAGATGTTCAACAGTCTGAGCAAACCATTTTTTAAGAATGCCTAAGGACGCATTTCCTGACCGATTACAGGGCAAAACGGCAATTCCTCTTCATCGCTAGTACTACCTCTACAAGAGGATATTCATTGAATTGTACCATGTAGTTTGCTTTCCGACAACGGACCTCTTTACAATTGGACTTTTAAGGGAAATCCTTTTTGTTCTAGATTACTTCTTCATAATTACTTTCCGTAGGTACACGGACAACTTTTTCTCGATTTGCAAAATGTATAAATACAAGATGGTTCAGTAAACCGGATCCCATGTTATTATTTAGTTCTTTTCCGTTATATGTCACAGATAATTCAAACAAATAGAAAAGATTTTCCTCTTCTAACAAGAAAAAATTTGTACAAACTGGAGAATCAAATACACAAACTAGAATCAGGAAGCAATCGTGACTTATTAGACCGCTACCTTCAAGAAGTAACATCAAATAGTAAACATTTTCTACGACACGATGGCACAGTACATCATCTTCAATCTTCCAAACGAAAAAGTGAAGATTTGGTGATGGCATCCCCAAGACTATCACCATTCCCGTATCACAATGATTCTCTATTCTTTCCGACAGCCGAGCAAATACAATATTTGAATAGTTATTCCACAGACAATTCATCTTCGACCTTAAATGATTCCGTCTTATGTACTCAAGCACTTACTTTTGTATCGTCGTCACCACCACTACCTGACTCTTCAAGTGTTTTAGTGCCGCCTTCAATTACTCGCAGTAGTACGCCGCAACACGACAATAGGTTTTATGGAGTTTACAACAGCAGTCATCATAACACCAGTAATAGCTTTCACAGCCTTCCAAAGCCACACAGTGGTAGTCGAAAACGCTGGAGAAAAGAGTTAAATTCTTTGCCGCTTGTTATTGATCGAAGTAGCATGAGCAACACAAACAGGAAATGCCTTCTCAAACGATTATCTTCCTTTTGCAGCTTATCTTCGTTTTCATCTGCTTCTTCTGTTGAAACAGCGCAAGAGTATTCTTTCAATGCTAATCACAAAAATCTACAGCCATATCATCTCTCAAAAGAAAAGTCACCGCGTTGGTTTTGTCATATATTAAAGAAGATATTCGGTAGCGATTACATAGGGGAGAACACCCAATTACGTAGTAAGCATTCATTTGAAAAACGCGGTTTTGACAATGTTGATAATGACAACTCAGTTTGGTATTGCAAGTACAAGGAGAATCCTACAGGTATCACCATTACAAGCACAGCATTTGAAGGTGCTATAAAATCTCAAAAGCGGAAATAACAAAGAGCAGCCATTGACATGTACACATAAAGATTATATACCTCTCACACCTCTCTGTACCATAAATTAGAGTAGACATCGTATGTATCATATCATTTTGACCATTATCAAAACTGTCCGCTTAACTCATACATACACTAGCTTATGCACTTTCTCAATAAAAGATTATGATACAACGCCTCAGGATTATTGACAATACAGTTTCTTTTTTTGTTATTAAGTACTTATCTAGACGGAATTGTACACAAAACAAAGTTTCCCGATTATAGCAATTCCGAACGGATAACTTCAGTGCCGACACCCGCTGTTTTGATGCCATCTTGGACTTAGGGCTCCTAGATTTATACAACGCAATTGATGAGGTGGCTTTCAACCCCAAATAACAACAAAATTATGGTAATAGATACTGAACATCTATCTATAACGTTCTGGGAATGAAGAAAGAAGCAAGTAAAAAAAAAAAAAAGGAACAACAGTCGAGGGAAAAAAATGAGTGCAGATTGCGAGATTCGAACTCGCGCCACTTTCGTGATTACGACCTGAACGTAACGCATTAGACCACTCTGCCAAACCTGCCTCAAGTTTCCCAGAAATTTTTAGATTTAATATTAAAATAAAATAATATTCCGCTGTATCACGTGCTCTAAAGCTCAAATGGTCGTAATTGTTCGGATCGAACTTAGTAAAATTCTTGCTTATCCATACCGAAATTTGTAAATGTCAGACCACTTTGGTCAATTTGATGGGAAAATGTGATCTATCAGATAATTTACCACTTCAGCAGCGGTTTTTTATGTGAATGAGTAATATTGACCACATTAAAATCTTACTCATACCGTGAGGACCAAGTTCCTTCTTGTTTTTTTAAACCTCTCTTGTTGTATACTTATTTACGTAATACATGAATTAGTCCACATTTTGCCATCAATCAAGTTTTAGTTCAGAATAAGTATGTTTACATTCAAGACGGTTAACCGAAGATTTCACGTCATGGATAAGACTTCAACTACCGATGATTACCATATAATCCAAACTGACGTTTGTCTAATAAAGATTATCCATCTTGTCAACTGAAAAAGATTAAGAATCATTGACATTTAATCCTAATGTCGCATTCAATTATAAATACCTCCAATCTGAATTAGTAACAGCATTTGAAAAATAGTATTATAAGCGACATATTTATATTATTTATATTTCAAACGATGGTCCGAGCTTCGGTTTTGTACTCCAGATATGCATTGTTGTGCTTTTTTGATTAATAATCATAGTGTCACTTCATTAATCAATGGTCGACATACGTGACGATTTGGTGGTTACTCCAAACAATGATATATGTGATTGTGATAATACACGAAAGGAGAAGTAATTATGCCAAAAAAATTAACTGTAGCCATACTCAACGTTCGCTCAAAAGCTTCTTGCCTTCAAATAGTAATTCTGACAGGGATTTTCTATTCCTCACCTAGAGCACACATCTTTGTCTTTGCTTATATAGCTTATCCATCGCTTTCTTTAGCAGAACAGTTGCTATTTTTATACTTAAATAGGTATGGGCCTTTATTGCTTGAAGCGAGGCATAATCGGTTTGTTAAGATGGAAAAGGGATCGCCGATAACTCGGATTTTTGGCACAATACTCAATTCGTACAGTAATAGTCATACTGTGCAACCGTAAAGAAATAGAGTATATCATTATCACTCTTTGCGTCTCAATGAAGGCAATTGCTCGTCTGACTCATGGTGATAAAAATACTGAAATAGGCTTGTTGAGATGAGCCTCACAATGTGAATTCACAAGCTGTTACAGTATAGATCGCTGATATTCGTACGTGTTCTCGTTGCAAATTACGAGTATCTATTATGTAACTTAAGCAAAAAATGCGACAGATATTTGTTACAAAATAATTATATTGCCAAAGCATGTTTTAGTTGGAACTGTTCAGATGGCATTTGATCCGCAGCAAGCGATACATATATATATATATATATGTATAAAGCTTATTTTTTTTAGAGAGGTCATTCTGAAATACAAACTGGGCCTTTTTGGGAAATCGAATAGTAGTGGTCTACTTTAAATTAGAATTACATTTAAACGTAAAGACTATAATTGAAGGCTGTATACGATTACTGCTGTCTACATATTGCCTTGTTACTTACCAGAGTAGTTCAAATATGTCATTTGATAACCTTTCTTATGTTTTACAACCAGAACAGCGGTCAAATCAAAAAATTATGTGATTGAATTGTATGTTGGATCACTTTAACTACCATCTTTCATCTCGTTTTTTATATAAGTAAACAAGATTTCAATCTTGAGTCATTTGTAATCATTCCCTTGTATTATTAATGAACTTGCGTTGACTTGAAACATCGGGGTCTACGTAATCCTGGTGACTTGACCTATACCAATTCGAAGTCGATAGAACAGAATTTATATCGTTCGAGATATAATTATTTCAATGAATTATGCAAATAGCTTCATCGGTATCTGTTGTCAGCCACAGTAAGAGTGAACTTGAGTGACTCACCTTCAATCAAACACAGTAGTACCTTTACCCCACCTTTTGCAAGCCAATGGTATCATAGGCTCTTTTTGTGAAACGAGGGTAATAGGACAGAGATGCTCCAAACTTTCGTATGGCTGACCTGTTGAAGCTGCTACCATGGTAATCAAGTTGTACAAGGAAATGCATGTATCGTCCATCACTTTGTGACAGATATGCAACCTGTCTAATTCGCAAATAAAAGGTGTGATCCGCAGCTTTTTGAAATGTTTTTCCTTCTACTTCACCAAATATAATTACATAATAAGTTCCTACTTACATTATCTAATCGTTGTTAAGAATTTGATATTATGAACAGCCTCAATTTGAACAAGAACAGTTATAGCAATAATCATCCTCCAGTACTGCGAGTTGTTCTCGATGAACCTAGACTATTCGTTGAACAATCTATTGGATCTGCTATGGTCCGTGGAGAGGTCATTGTCAATTTTCCTACCGATACCTTAATTCAAGGACCTATTGAATTAGTCTTCGAAGGTATACAACGATTTCATCCTTGGGCAGGTAAACTAAACAACAGTTGATTCATTTTGTCTCATTCTGCATCAGCATATATTGATTCGATACTATACGCAATCCAAATGTTTAGAAATCATGAGAGGTTCATCATTCGGATCGAGTATTGAAACAAAGCTACAAGTCACTGAGCTTTCCTTGTTACCTCCTAACTCGAAAGGTGTAATGCCTGCTGGTATCCAAAGATTCCCTTTCGAATTCCCCATACCAGCATCCCTACCAACAAGCGTTGATATCCCAAAACGACTTCATATATTCTACCAAGTTAGTGCCACACTTCGTAGATCCCCAAAGACTACTAGTTCGAGCGAACAGCAAACGTCCCTCTCCCCAATAAATATTATCGGGTGGGCCAAACGAAACAATATGTTCAAGAGAAAGTATACAGCCTCTACACCAATGCGAATTGTCCGAGCAATGGAGTCTATTGTATCCTCAGGTTTACCCAATTCAGACATTTTAATCAGAAGTCAACAACAGCAAATGCTACATCATTACCGAAATACAACAGCGTCCAGATCCAGCCACGAAGATGAGAATGCATCCATTCGTACTAACAGAAGTAGTGGAACTAATGGAAGTAGTAGTCATGTGGTCGCTGCTATCCAACAAGATGATACGTTGATTTATACAGATAATGATCGTCAATTGCCGTGGAACCGTCGCAATTTGGATGGTTATCAGCCTGCTGCAACCACATTTGACGAGCAGCCTGATCTGTTAGCTTTTTCTCTAGCAGGCAGATCAGCTAGTAACTTGACAGCTACAAATTATGATGATGTTCAAGGTATACGGTATAAAATTGGCGTGGACCGTACTGCTATTGCCATTGGTACCAGTGTAGGCATCGAATTGATGATCGAGCCAACTATTGCTACTGCTGTAATACGATCCGTTATGTTGAAAATCTGCGAAACGCGTACTTATGCTATGAAAGTGCCAGGTGCCTATACTCGGGGATTTAAGACACCTGAAACAAAGAGAGCAAAAGAGGTAGTCAATATGGCTTTAAAGTGGGCTTACGGCTACAAAATTGAGGAAGACACTGACAATAGCGATGAGGATACAAATACTGAAGAAGCAATAGGCGAAGCTGGCGTTTGCAAAGGAAGTAGTAGCACGAAAAAATCAAAGAGATTGATTGAGACATATGTTAGACAACGTAATGAGCACAGTAAATATCTTGCATACTTTGATCCACCACAACCAGGAGGTTCAACAAGTAAATCTTTCTTGAACAGGGCTTTACTGGTCTCTTACTCTGAAAAAGATTCGCCACCGTCCACATCAACATTTATGTCAAAAAATGAGAACAAGAAAAAGCTATCTGATGGCCAAACAGCTTGTGTTATGGCAGAAAAATATAATGGTCATGAAATGATCAACTTAAAATTGTTGAAACAAACCGTTCGTGTGGGTGAATATTTTGGTGGGCGCTTTGTGCTTCCTGTACCTGATTGCTCCAATATTCTGAACCCTACTATTGACTATGAATCTATAAATATACACCACTGGTTACAATTGGTCGTCACCATTGAATGTAATGGAAAGCTCTTCGATTTAACTTTGGATTCACCTGCTCGTATGCTAGATTGTCGTGTAGTGGCTGCAGATGATGAATGCCAGACGATTTTACCTCCTCCTCCCAGTTATGATCATTCCATGGAACCAGCAAGTCCATCACCAGCAGTCCAGAATGAGTGGCCACAGGGAACATTTTGGGAACAACGTGAATTAATCACTTCCGTGGACGGATGGGGATCGTGTGTACCGTGTCCATGTGAACTGAGAAAATTGAAAAAAAATGATGAATTCGTCAAAGATAGAAAGTCCAACAAAAATGCTATCATCGATACTTCTTCAGCTAAAAAAACAGCAGCATTGTCGCCTATGAACAGGGCTTACCACACCAACACAACATTACTACGCCGTTCTAACAGTATTTCAACAGCTTTACCTACCACAGCAGCACATACATTAACACCATCGGCTGATAACTGCTTGCCTTCTCAAATGCCAGAGTGGGGTCCACCTCCATGCTATTCAGAAAACTAATTTTAACCCAACCTTAATACCAACAACTCCCTTTCGTTGTAAGCCTATTCTTATATCTTCTTTATATGTATATATATGTATTCCCCGCTATCATCATCCAGCCTTATGCTCCCTATTCGTAACCAACTAATAGTAATTTTTCCATAGTAGTTATATCTCAAAAAGAATGATGACATACTCCAGAGTTGCTTAGGCTATTACTTTTATGTAGTATCTATGTGACTCATTATTAAAGCTCCCAACTATGTCACATTATAGTTTGCTTGAGAGCAGAAATGTCCTTACAAAGTTCTAAAGCCAGGTTCAATAGAAGTCTTCCTTTTTTTTTGTTTTCCTTCATCGTCTCCTATAATTTTTGAATATCTGAACGTCAGGAGTTCGGGTCGACTTCATCTTACGTTTGTTCCTACTATGAATAGCGACTGTCTCTCCTTTTGACACTGTAGAGCAATCAATAAAGAGTCTAAGTTCCTTTCCCTTTAGACATACGGAAACTATTTATATACTAGACATCGACCAAAACTGCTCTGCGTATCTTCTTCTTTTTCTCTTGTTCTTCTTTGCTATTTACTTCCATTTACTCACAGAAGCTTGAATAGCAAACTCATCATTTCAACTTATATTTCTATAAATATCAAAGCAATATGTTTAATAACTCTGTACTATTCTCAACTAAATATCTATGCTTCATTATCTTCACCTTTATCTTCATAACAACAGCAATCGCCGATATCTCTAGCTTTACACCAAATCCTAAAGACTTGGTCCTACCTGATGTTTCCGGGCCTCAAAGACTAGCTAAGCGTGGTTGTGATTTCTCATGCCGTGATCAAGCCCGTTGTGATGAAAAATGTTACTCAATAACAGATTCAGGCGTGAGTATGTTACTAGGTGTCTGCCATAATGGAAAATGCTATTGTGGGTACATCCCTAATTAGTACGCTCTACGAGGATATGTCAACAACATAATCACAGTTACAGCAATATATATATGTGTAAACGTATATTTTTTTAAACAAACCGTTTGTACGAATAAACCTCTTTATGATATTCTGATATTGATGCCCCATGCATGTCCTATATACTCTCCATCATTTTCCTTTGAATAATTTCCGCAATATGTAGTACCTAATATGCACGTATAAAAAGCTTTGAAACATAAGACATGGAACTTCTAAATAACAGAAGATTAATGGTTATCAGAACAAATTACATGGTATAATCAGCTTGCCATAACCTTTTCTAAGACTTTTTCACTGTTTAAAAATAACCTGGATAATTCACAAGTCGGCGGACCCTGAATGACAAAAACTAACTTTGTGACATCCCCGTATTTTATTTGTACATAATCGGCCCTGTCTTCTCCACAATACCAATATGTCCTTGCGATCAGGTAATTGCTTGAAGAAATGTTATACGTGTCAGCACCTAACATTATTGTCTTTCAGTCAGCCATTCCCTTATCAGTAACCTCAAATCTGCCAACAGAGTTCTTATCAACTACCCCTGTAGGCGCACCTGTAAGTGACATAAACTGTCAATCTGTAACTTTTCGTAAATTCACAAAGTTTGGAAGCTCATTTGCAGTCATTTTTTCATTTGTTGGTATGTTCTTTTTATAGACGCTACAGAAAGTAAAACAAAAGGAAAAACCAGTAATAAAAAGACGACAAATCATCCCCCTAGACGTGTCTATCTCTATGACCAATACAGCGATATCATCAACAATAACCGAGCCGTCTTCATTTTCCAAAATAACAATTTGGGCGTAAACGAATTTACTCAATTGAGACAGCATTTATTCGAAGTGTCAGGGCAGGGCGCTGCTCCTACTAAACTTACTGTAGTGCAAACTGGCATTTTTTCGGCAGCTTTACGTCAAACCAAATATGCTAATTTGGAGACACTTTTATCAGGACCTATTTGTATATTTTCCACCAATGCAGATGATGCTGAACACCCCGATTTATTGAAAAAATCAGTAGAAGGTTTAGCGAAAAATAAAAAGTTATTATTGTTAGGGGGTAAAATAGACGATACCCTATTAACACAGGCGGATGTTTTGAAGGTTGTGGATCTACCTCCTCTTCAACAATTGAGAGGACAGTTGGTGGGTACAATTGAAGCTCCTGCTCGCAGATTACTACAAACTTTAGAACAACCTGCCGGTGAATTACACAGCGTATTAGATAGACGAATTTAAAAGTAATAATTGCTGGCATCAGTTTAGTCCAACAATAATAAAGAGATTGAATAATTGTTTTTTTGATTAGAGTTTGATATAATGATCTACGTATGGTAGAAGCTAAGTCATAACCAATAAAATATATAATGTCCGTTTCTACACCCTGACTGAATGATATCATGGTATCGACTATTGAAACACATCTTTAAATTGGAAGAAAAGCTGCAGCGGCTAAAATGTAGGTAAGCAGACCAAATACATTAAGTATTGTCCCAGTGCTAGTGCTAAGATGTCTACCACTATAGCGAGAATCGATAGTAGACTTGGGGTGTGCTACCCTATTTTGACAGACAAAGTCTTGCCCTTTTGTGACCTCTTCATGGAGCTTGTTCACTTCTTCGCATGAGAAGTTGAAGCTTGATGTTTGGACATTTAAACCGCCGCGTACATTGACCAAGGCGGGTAAGTGCAACTCATTAAAGTTACCTGTAATATCGACCGTCCCTTCTACTTCTTTAAGTTTAGGAGCATTAACAGTAGCTAATTGTGTGTTGTTGGAGAGCAAGATAGCACCACCAATAATTTGGAGTTCGGAAATAGTTAGGTTCTGTAAGAGCGAATTGTTTGCCACAGTGAGAGTTCCGTAAATTTGGGTGATGCTAGGGAGTAAGAGGGTAGAAAATGAACTAGATTCGAAGGATAAGTCACCTGTCACTTTTTCTACATTGTTCAAGCCGTCAAAGCTCCCCAAGTTACGGAATTCTCCCTGATAAAGGTTCCTTAAACCAGTTAACTAGTAGAATTAATAAATGATCGGCTTATTCAGATAGCTGCAATCTTAGAAATAGCTAATTTGGTTGCCTACATCAAGTTTCATTTCTGGCGAATTCGCGTCAACGGCAATGACTCCCTCTACTTGCTCTAGTTGACTCAAGTCTAAATGTTTCAGGTTTGCATTGTTGTTGATATGGATATTCTTCATTTTTTTCGCCGCCATGCCTTCAATCTTTTTGGTGGCTGTATCGGCCAAAGTAAAATTCTCTAATCTCGTAAGTTGGCAAGGGAATGAGAGGGAATCCAAGAAGGGTTGGACGCTAATTTCCATTGATTTTACTGTTGTTAAAGAGGGCGTATGAATATGGGTAAGCTGTCTATTGCCTTGAATTTTTAGTCGACCATCGACTTCGTCTAAATTACGGAAGGCAATCTGTGATATTTCAATATTGTGCATAATGGAAATATCGCCATGAATCTTTTTTAATTTAGAAAGATCGATAGTTGCACCTGCTGGCAAATTCATGTCATGTATAGTAATATTTCCGTCGAAGAAGTCGCAGTATCGTATTTCATTCAACTCAGCTTCGGATGAGATGTCATGTTGCCCGCTGCACGGGCCTTGTTGTTGTTGGGATGTAACCGTCTTTAAGAAACAAAATATAGCGAGTAGTATGTTTACTTTTCCACCAAAAATCATCATTGATACTACCAATGGTTCGAAGGAGAGGAAAGGGCACCTCATCAGATGAATTTTCCCATTAAATCAAACGGCTTCATTTGTTCCCCTGCGAGTCTCCTTACAGCCTTACTCAAAGCTCACAATATGATAAAATGAATTCTATGCAATACGTTTAATACGTGGCAGCAGTTTCATTTGTGATTAATCATCCCTTTATTTATAGAAAACTGTACTTTAATTTTGAATTACAATGATAAAGGCTTAAATTAATCTATAACTAAATGAACAAAATATTTAGAACGTATATCATTCTTAAAATACAGCAATTTCATAAATGAAATCCTCCAACCGAGACCATTAAATAACAGAGATGTAAAGATGGACTAGAAGGTTCTTTTATTACCATTAGGTATACGTTAATTAAGAAAGTTGTGGCTGCGATGCGAGTATATATTCGATGAGCGTGGTTTTTCAGGATGCAATTATATATAGAACTTCGTCTCTTATAACTCAATAGCTCGATTTAGATCAGTGAGTCTCGATATTTTTTGTTGATTCAATTAATATCTGTCTCGTCGTTGATATCTGCCTCCTCCAGCTCCTCCAAATCTATCCCGATTGTATGGTGCAGCGTTGTTTTTATCAAAACTTCGTCGTCCTCCACCATATCTGTCATTTCCACCAAATTTGTTACCGCCGCCAATAAGTGGTCGGCCCCTATTATTATCTCTTCCTCCTCCGAAAGAACGACTACCTCCTGCTCCTCTCGCGTAAGCACTTGGAGGTGGGCCAATATATATGGCAACATCCAAATAATCACCAATTAAGAATTTGCAATCGTCCAAAGTTTTCTTTTGATCTTCAGTTGGGTTGCTCGCAACAACACGACCGATTTCTCGACTTTGATACCGTGCACGTTCACTGTCCAAATAAATAAGTCGAAAAGCGACACGGGCATCAGGATCTCTAGCTTCTGGAACAATTTGTTCAATGAGTTGTGCAATTTCTTCTAGGGTAGCATCCTTCCTATTGATATCAAATTGCAGAAAAGGTGTATAGTTAGTCGCTTATGTATTTTTAGTGGAAGGTCTCACTATATGTTGACTCCATTGCCATTAATCCAAGTTCATTACCATGTATAAAGGCATAATTCAGTTGGTGGCACTGAGGTCACAGTATATTGTTGCATACTATTCAGAAGAAAAAAGGTTAAGGGCATAACTTTAAAGCGCATTCTTCTGAACATCGTCATGATAACCTACGGATTATGTCTACCATGACAGTAGTAAATCTTCAATAAAAACGGACATTCCTAGAAATGCACATAGTCAAAAATACTATATGTCAATACGCTTTATCATTATTTACTTCTTTGTATATCTTCTTTCTCTGAGAATCCTACAATACCTTTTCACGATCAACAGTAGTTGGCATGTTGGTATATTAGTGGGATTTTCTTTTCTGAGAAAAGCTGTCTTTTTATTACTGTTGCTTCAGGCGCGTCTAAATCTATGCTCCGAGCCGTGACTTGTAGGAATCAAGACATAAAAAGCAAAACTACTCTGAAGTGTATTTACGCACTTTAACTATTTTATTTCATGAATTTCTGTCCTTCTAAACACCGTTTCCAGGTGATAGCACTTATAAATTGCATTGATGTACATTTTACTTATTCTTCTCATATTTTAAACATTGTTCTAATGACTTTAAAGGCCAGTACTCATTATGATGATCTCGAATGCTTGAATATAGGCGTTTTGCTGTATGCATTTTCTATTGATACAACAGTTTAGGGCATTATCTGCACTCTGTGATTTTGAGTCCTGTAAATAACGCTGAAAATAGAGAGTTCGATGCATGCTCTTCTCCTTTTCAGTCTCCCCATTTTTTTCTTTCCTGACCCATGTGGTGTGTTGCTACTTGTAATAATTTTCCTCACCCAACCATTTGAGATTATACAGCTTTCTACTGACGGTAACGAATAAGATCTTATATAAAAAAAATACTTTGAGCGACTTTTTGACAAACAAAATGATACGGCTTAAGTTCGAGTTAGCTTAAGAATTGCCCATTTGTTCAAATACTGTCCGTTCGTGTTATGCAACAATGCGTATGACTGCTGATATGTATGAAATCTTACCGGAATAACCAAAAGTATGGCTGTATTAGGATATCATAAGTCACTACAACTTGCCATTGTAAGTTTATATTTTTTGGCAGCAGGAAGACTGTCAAAAAATTATGAGACTGCGGTGTAGTTTTTTTTTTCTCCCTCCGCAACATCTGTCAAAAAAGTATAAAAAGGCACTCAAAACGCAGAAATTAATGAACTCTTTATCCTCTCAGGCCTTTTGGCTAAGATCAAGTGTAGTATCTGTTCTTTATAGTTTAACAACTATAATGAGGAACATAGTTCCTCACGTTGTTAATCTAATTTTTTCCTCCGGGAAACCTGGGCTCTGGCTTGCTATCTCGGGATTCCACAGGTGTCCTTTGCCTTACACTACCCGCAAAGTGACGCCGATCCCACTCTTTATACTATTTTATATCGAAGAAATGATAAATGAAAAAGTTATGGCTTGACAAAATAAAATGTCCGGGTAACTTACACTTAATTTGAAGAAACAAAAGTAAATAAGGTTGATGAAAATGCATGCTGCAGTATATAGTCAATGTTTTTGTTACTCCCAAAAATTGAATTGTTCATCTATGCCTATATGTGCATTTGGACGCTGCAGGTATATAAAAGAACCCCTCCTTTCAACGAAGTGTATGCCTTCTTTTTGTCATTTTAGTGGTAAGTTTCACTGGAAAAGTGACAAACAATCACATTTAAAAGACAGAAGACTACACGGATAACGTTAACGTCGACTAAAATTTCATAGAAAAGAGCAATTGATAATCCTCTTTGTAGTTATAAGTGAAGAGGATATGCTAAGAAATATGGCTTTCTATTAGTCAACGCATCAATTTTGATTGCTTTGTTTTCCTATCTTGTGTTTTCTCCTTGCTTGGAGTGTTCGGTTGACCTATTCTCATTCTATTAAGGGGTACTTTACTTTTTAACTTTGCTATTGTGGGTTTGGGTCTAAAAGGTGTTTCAGTAGTTCTGACGACGAAATCTTTTGGCTTTTTCTTCTTGCTATTCTAAACGTCGAAATCTTGACGCTTTATTAAAGCAATGAGCCACGGTCGACACGAAGACTTTATATCAAGCTCAAGCACTTCTATAGATGATAAGATAACAGCAGCAACAAAAGTCAACACTGGATGTACGGAGCGGCAGTCAGTGGCACAACGAAGATCCTACACTGGTAAATTCTTACTTCCTTATCAATGCCTAACATTATAACAGATCATCGGTACAGATCGAAATCAACAATCTTTCACTTTTCACAAACAGGTCAACTACCGCCACCGTCTTTCGCAGAGTCAGAATTTCATCAGATCCAACGAAATCAGAATACGATCAGAGGCAATTTATTGAAATGGTCCAGTGTACCTTCACGTTATCCTAATCTGAGCAATGCTTGGGAATTCGCAGGGTAAATAAGACTACAGCATTGCAAACTAAACTACCTTATACTAAGCTAGTTATATTGTTACACACTAAAATTAAGGTGGGGAAACACCTATTACATGGAAATGGAACCCTCGGATATTGAAGTGTATAAAAGTGAATTATCCAAAAGGACAATGATAGGCCTCTGGCGTGCCACTTCCATTGCCGGCAACGACCTGATCGCTTCCGTTCTCTACTCCATTGGGCCCTGTGCCGTTCAAGCTGGCAAATACGCACCCATTTCTATGCTGCTAGTTGCCCTATTAATGTATCCTATGAAACGTATCATTACCGAAGTTGCTACTGCAATGCCTTTGAATGGTGGTACATACAATGCCTTACTTAACTCCACCTCCAAATCAGTTGCGGCTGTAGCCGCTTGCCTTTCGATATTGGATTACTTGGCAACATGCGTTGTATCTGCTTCCACCGCAAGTGCTTATTTGGCAGCCGAAGTTGTGTTGCCTGAAAAATTGACTCCCTTTGTTTTGACAATTACTATTCTGATTGCATTCTCATTGATATGCTTACTGGGGCTGAAAGAGTCCTCGACGCTGACATTATCTATTTTCACTTTACACTCAGTAACGATGGCAGTGGTTATAGTGACCAGTGTGGTGGCATGGGCAAGATTTGGAAACTCAACTTTGATTGATAATTGGTCTAGTATACCTGATCCCCCTGGTACTAATCCTCTATTGTTAATTGCTAAAGGTGTTTGCATCGGCTTATTGGGAGTCACCGGTTTTGAGGTATAATAACATTCTGGTTTACCTATTTACAATTGAGGAAGGGCCTAAATGGTCTTAATTCGCGTTAATTTTTATTTATTTTTTTCAGTCTGCAGAAAATTACATTGAAGACTTGAAACCCAATATCTTTCCGCAAGTGATGAACAACATGTTTCTATTTTTGTTGACTCTTAATGCTCCAATATCCTTCTTAACCACTGTTCTTGTGCCCATCCCAATCATTGACCAAAATTCAGCAAATGCTGTGTCTATCTTGGCTGAATATGCAGCTCAGAGTGGGCGATGGCTTCGCTTATGGGTCATGGTTGATGCCGTGATTGTGCTATGTGCAGGTGTATTAACAGGTCTAATTGGAGCTATTGGATTGATACAACGTCTGGCCAGCGACGGCATCCTGCCCAAGTTCTTTCTGATCCGCAATCAGTGGACAGGATCCTACCAAACCATCATTCTTACCTTCTTGGCACTCAGTGTGACATTATATGTGATTGTAGGCGGTGATACCAGTTCATTGTCAGGAGTTTTCGCTGTAGCTTTCTTGGGAAGTTTATCTACGTTTGCTGTTGCTAATATCCTCATCAAGTATAAACGTGGACGCTTACCGCGATATAATCGCGTATCATTACTGACCGCGTTTTTTACGCTTGGTTTGTTGATGGCGAGTTTAATTGGAAATATCATCATCAATCCTATGATTGCCGAATATTTCGTTATTTATTTTGCGGTGGTGTTGATTATTGTATTAGCAATGTTGAAACGCTGTTGGCTATGGAAGCTATGCTACTGGCTGTTTGATCAAATGGATTTCCTACATCATTTCTCACCTCACACAAAAGAAAAGGTTGAACTCTTTATACAGGGCCAAATCAAGAAAGTGAGGAAATTACCGATTGTTTTCTTCTTAAAAACGGACGAACCGCATGTGATGAACAAGGCTATTCAGTATATAAAAAAGAACGAAGACACAGGCCAAATCAAATTTGTACATGTCTATCAGAATTCGAATGATATACCGGAGAATTTAGAAGCCCATCATCGCATGTTGGATCAAATTTACCCAAAAATTCAAATTGATCTGGTAGGATTATATTAATTATGGTGTTCTATTGCCCAAAGATTTTTCAGAAAACTCATACATTCCCCCCCCCCCCGTTTGTAAGATCTTTATCCAAGGCAAGTTCAACCCTGCTACTGTAGATGCTATCTCCAGACAGCTGAATATATCCAAACCTCAAATGTTTATGGCCTGTCCCGGCGAAAACTTTAATCATTCTTTCGGTGAGTTCGATGGCGTACGAATTATCATGTTGTGAAGATAACGCTTCGCTTCTTCCTTCCATTTGAAAGTCGATCTTTCCTATATCATGCTTTTTCATCAACTACTTGTACATATACACACTCAGCCCACTTCTTCTTTTTCTGCAAGGAGACAAGAAATGCTTCTTGTTTATTTCATTTTTATACCTGCACCATGTATATAGTGCTTATACAATATATTGCTATGAGGCATTGCAAAACAAAGTTGAAAATTACTGCTCTCTGTTTAGTTGATCTTGAGAAGTTCAACTTCGAAGATCAAGGTAGCCTTTTCAGGGATAACACCAGGAATACCACGGTCGCCATAAGCGTAATCAGATGTACAGGTTAATCTGGCTTTTTGACCGAGGGACAATTGAGGGACACCTATATTTATCAAATTTTGAATAACATGCTATACGTTTATCGAATGCAAATAATGCCTCATAATGATCTTATTTTTTCCTCACCTTCATCCCAACCCTTGATGACACGTCCGACACCGATTTGAGTGACAAAAGGTTGATTGCGATCACGGGAAGAGTCGAACTTCTTACCGTTAGTGAGAGTACCAACGTAGTGCATGGTGACAGTATCACCCTTCTTGGGGAAGTTCTTTCCGTCACCAGGAGCAATAGTATCGATACTATTTAAACAAACCAGCAGTTATTATTATAACCCTTTGTCCAGTACTTAAATCAATATTGTATATAATAGCCTGTACAGCAGCGAAACAACTACTTACGTAACACCCATATTAAAGATAAATTTGAATATGCAAAAGAAGAAAAAACGCGCGTTTCATTCCAATTCAAGAAAAGCTTTTTAAAGGTAGGATAAGCCTTCTTTTTCAAAGTCCACTTCTAGCATTGCCTATGACGTCATTCATCGAACTTAGGCACATTTACCTTCAACCGTTCTTTTTTGCCTAATGTATCTTATCAGAAGCTCGAAAACGTACTCCAGACAAATTTCTGCACAAAGTATTATTTCGTTCCTCTAAACAATTCGTTTTTTCCCTGGAAATCCTATACAATCTAACCTTTTCCATAATCTCTAATACAACAAAGACCATATAAGGGTTCTTACGAGCTCTTAGCTTAGAACGGTACTGACGTGTTTGGAGAGATAACAACTACAATATTCAAGTACATACTACCAAATTCTCCACGGTCCATCTATATTGAATCTGATATAGATTGTATACAATATATAGCAAGATAGACGCAAGTATAACTAATTACACCAGAAGCATCTGAATCTGTATGGATGACTAGCGTACGTGTTATCGCAATAATATAATTCCCATCAGACCTCCTTACAAGTAAATAATCTTAATCCCATTTAAAGACTGACACTATGACGTGTATGAATTTGTCGAAGCCAAAAATTGAAAGAAAAACAGATTCTGATGCATGTTTGTGAAGTAACGAAAAATTGCCTGGTTAATCATTCAATTTCACGTGATATAAAGTTCAGGAAATTCGGATAAGACGGTCATTTTATTATTTTTTGTTGGTCAATGCTGGTTGCCAGTTTTCTCCACAATTAGATTAAAGAAATTGGGCTATTCGAGGTTTTCAATTTCTTCTCTGTATCTTTTATTTGAAATTTCAGCTCTCGGTATCAGGAAATTGTAAACGTATTACTAACGATCTTATCATGTCACAACAGAATAAATCAACAGTCAGTACATCATGTAAGCAGCTAAACAAACCCAACTTTTTTCTACAGAGTTCCAGCTTGTTTTTATTATGATTTTGACTATTATTAAGATTCTATTCCTACAAGCGCTCCTGCAGTTGACTCAAAGGACAGCAATAGTAAGAAACGAACTCTAGATGAGATAACGATAGACGACAATGCATCACATATCACTACAGTTTCTGAGGGCTCAACACCCCCAATATCGACTCCTAGAAAGGAAAGAAAAGGCCGTAAAGCGCCTCACGAACTGTTGACGGATGCAGAAAAAAAGGCTAACCATATTGCTTCTGAAAAAAAACGTCGGCAAAATATACGTCTTGGCTTCGATCAATTGATCGATATTGTTCCTACATTGAACCAAGAAGGAAACAATCGATCAGAGGCGCTTATATTACAAAAGTGTAACGTTATACTTGCTTGTAACGGCCTATTGTTGTTGTTGTACTTGATTAAGCTTACATAAACATATATCTTTTTTCTCCTTTATAGCTGTGGATCATATTAGGCATCTGATCAATGAAAAGAATGATTTAAAAAGCCAGATTAAGGATTTAGAGAATATTCTGGGTGAATCGTAAGTGTAAAAAAACATTAAAGTATTGAAGCATCATACTTTAACTGAAAGAATTGAAAAATGACCCTTTTCTATCATCGATCAAATACGACGATAGGACCTATGATGATGATGTAAGATGAGTATAAACATCTTGTTGAAAATAGTGTAAAAGGTTACTCATTCATTCATTCTATATTCTCAAACGCACCAAGACATCTGAGGATGAGCTGAGTTGAAGAATGGCCAAAAAATCAACTTGAACAGTAGCTAGATTTCCTTTCAGTGTTTATAGACACAATTATTTTTTATTTGCTGTTGTTAATAACTTACTTATGTTACTTTGACACAAGTTACAAATAATCTTATGCAATTTTACTATTTACATGTAATATTACTATACCGCTTTGCACCCTTCTCTAAGCGTTGTTTAATGATATATTATCCGAAGATGTGGTTGGGGCATCTGTTGTCGTATTGCTGGTATCAGCAGTAGCACTGATGGCGGTAGTAGTAGAGGTAATAGCAGTAGGAGTAGAAATGGTTGCTTCGGCATCTTTCATTAATACATCACCATCCTGTTGCTCCTGCTGCTCGGAGGTTTCAGCACCGTTGTTATTATCATTATTGTTGTTGTTGTTGATTGTATTCCATTCCTTTATCGCTTTATTCATAGCAGCATTTACTGCTTCTTTGTTGTCTATACTATCCTTATTACTTTTGTCACCTAACTCGGCATTCAATGCTTCTAACTCTTCTGCGTCGCTCAAGGTATAAAAGGCAGTAGTAGAGTTTGTTTGCGCTTTAGTTTGGTTGCTAATACTAGCAGTTACAGCTTTTTGTTGAGGCGCTTGTTCTTGTACAGCTGGTGGCGTGGTATTTGTGTTAGTCATGGCCGGTGCTGCTGTCAAAGCAGGGTTATTCATTGTACGTTCCATGGTAGGTGATCTGCTAGTAATTTTTGGATTGTTGCTCATTGTTGGACCAGCACTGCCATGGATATCAGTAGTTGTGGGTGCTGCTGTCGTCGATAGTGCTGTCGTCGCTAAAGATGGCAATCCTAATTTGGCTCTTAGCTCATCTACTTGGTCCTTTAGCTTCTTATTTTCATCCTCTAGCTGTAAAATCTTCTGTTCCATATCCTGAATATGTTGCTTTTTCTTTTTACGGCATTCTTTAGCAGCGACCCGGTTTCGTAACAAGCGCCGTTGTCTTTTCTCATCATTGGATAGACTGCGTGTATTAGGACGCTGTTTATCGTTATTCGTATTGTTATTAGCGGTTGTAGTGACAGTAGCAATTGTTGTAATCGTAGGTGAACCGGAAACAGGAATTAATTGAGGAGGCTGGGGTGAAGTGTCTGGGGATGTCCGGGATGATGTGGAGGGCGAGGTTTGTGTTTGTGGGTGATGAGATTGCTCTTCAGATTGCTGTTGTTGCTGTTGTTGTGATTGTTGATTTTGAGGTTGTGGGGATGAAGAGGAAGGATTAGAAGCACTTGTTTGAGAAGTATTCTGTGGATTTAAAGAAGGTGGTGGACCAGCCAAAGGCGTAATAATCCCATTTCCAGCGCTAAGAACGCCATTTTGTTGCATTTGCTGAATAATAACAGCAGGAGGCAATCCAGTGGCTGAAATAGCCACAGGTGTAATCATGGCTTGAGCCAAGGTAGTAGCGAATTCTTGGCCGCCATGGTAGGATGATTGAAGTAATTGTTGCTGCTGCTCTGGTGTCAACAAATGAAGGCCAGGTGGTGGTGGTGGCGGTGCAATAATCTGAGGTGGTTGTGGTTTATTGATCCCATGATGGATTGGGTCTTCGTTATCCTTCTTGGTAGTGACTTCATTATTCTCTAACTGTTGATCTTTCTTTTCTACCTTAATGAGAACTTCATCTGTTTTCTTGCTCTCGTCGCTAAGATTGTCACTCTTTTGTGGTTGATTGTCATTATTTATTGTGGCATTTGCTTTATCTTCACCGTTCGCTTCAGTGGATATCGTATCCTTCACTTTTTTAGCATTGGTCCTACCTAAATCGACCATGTCTTCTTCATCAGCATCATCAATGATGAACTCCGCAGTGAGTTTATCGGCCTCATCTTCATCCATTTTATTTTGCACTACAGATAGTTTCGGTGCTTTTGGCTCCCTTGTGTCCAATTCATCCTCAGTGTGCCTTTTTAAATGCGATTGCTCTGTTGATGCTGTTGTTTTATTCGATTCATTCTCGAGCTGTTTTTCAGTAACAGTAGTAGCAGTAGAAGGTATTGGGTCAGTCATAATCGAAACTATAGATTTATCCATAAGTCATTGTTGTGCGTGTTAGTCTGATTTCTTTATCTTCTGACCAGTTTTTCTTTTAAAGGTATATCAAGAGAATGTGAACTGAAGTGAAAGGGAAAAGAGGAAGCAGTGACAGTGAAGTGGGCCGAATTTGATACCAAACAACCACCAATCGACCCAATTCTGCTTTTACGTAAACAAAGTAGAAGAATACGACATTGATACCGTTGTATTTATAAACTGATATTGAAACGCTTGCATTATATCATGGTAACGTGTGAAATTTCGGTCACTGTTTTGCCCCCTTTTCTGACCAACCTCCCCTTTTACCTCACTTCAGATACATCATTTCTACCTTTAAATATATGTCTTTTATCATCATTCCTTGGTTGAAAGTGGATTTGATAATCGTACCTTTTATAATGAATGCACTTTATTGGCGAAAATTGGACGGTCGGGAATAGTATTCAAACAGGTTTTGATGACGAAAAGCGCTTTTGTCTACGTAAGTTGAAAAGAGGAAAAAAGGGTGACGAAGGCAAAAGTGACGAAAGAAGTTACGAAAAATTGTTTTTCCTTGTTGCTGCACTGTGCAAAACATTAAAGCTGGGGGTATTTTGACCAATCAACAATAACAGTCGAAATAAAAAAGTTTTTTGAGGTCAGACACATACAAAGACCATTTTTAGACGACTAACATAAGAAAATTGGAATGCTTTTAGCAAATATTGTGGAAATTCTTCTGGTCCAGTTTCGAGCTGAAAGCTATAGTTCATGGCTCTTCCCAACTCCCAACACTTTTCTCGGTCAGCGGAGTCCAACTCGGCCTCCAAGCCCAAAAATCATTCTAAACGCTCCTATGCCCAAGTGGTCACAGCGTCTAAACGTGTTTCGCTGATGCATAAAGGCATCGAAGCTCCTGATATTGATGAAGGCACGACTTATAGTCGCCTTCAAACACGTGTCTATAGGTCCTCACGTACAATGGGGGCTTTGCTATTATCTATTTCACCGGTTCTCAAAGACTACTCCGAACTTCAATGTATGCAATTAGTTAAGGAACAGCACCCGGAGGTATATGGGTGCACCATTGCAAACGACGGTAGTCACAGATATCTTGAGATATATATCCAGAAGGACAGTAATGATCTCGCTTATAATGGCGTCAAGTTTCCCAACGCCAAGCTACAAATTCTTCCCTGCCAAGCTATCGATGACACGAACACCATTACTAAAGTCACTCTCACGAATTTACCTATGTTGCCTCCCACCGAAGTATTGGCTGGTTTACAAGAAAGCCTTCAACCGTTTGGAAACTTAGTTGACATAGGCATCGTTACTGAACCTACCACCGGCCTGTTCATGGGATCAGGTTACGCTGTACTGAGCACAAACCCCACCGACTCCACTATAGTACCATTGGCACACACTATTATGTGGCAAAATACAGATGAAGTCTTTCATTGTACTTGGAACAACATGCCCACGTGGTGCCGCTATTGTCATGAAACTGGTCATACTAAATTTGAATGTGAAAAATCCAAAGCAAGAATCCGCTGTTACAACTGCCACCAACTTGGCCATCGGGCTTTTGAATGCCCTCGTAAGACGATTAATCCGCAAGCTAAGAAAAGAAAGACAACTCCCGCTCCCGTAATCGCCGAATCTATTCATGCAGCCAGTACTGAAACCGCATCACCTAGTAAACCAATTGAAGCTGAGAGCCTTCAGGATGAATCAGATACAGATATCGTCAGTGACGCCGACGAAGATATTGATGACATGGAAGTTGAACAATTAGTCGCAGAGAAAGATATACCTCTGGATGAATTAATGATCGCATATAAACATAAATTGTTTGACGAAGCTCAACTTGAACACCAAATGGAGAACAACGGGTTAGCCGTGGAAGACTTATCAACTGAAGATGCAAATGCACTGCGCAGGCTTCATGATGATCTAACTGTGCTAGTAAAGGAAATTAATAGACGTCAGGATGACGCCTCTGCCGAAGAGGCTCATCAATAATACATTACCCTAAACAATATATATATAATGACAAAACATATCTCTTGTCACTACGCTTCACTGAACGCCAACGGCTTGGTGAAGACCATCACATCCTCAACTTCAACTTCAACCCATAACTATCTACGATATCTTAAACTTCAAAAATTTGATATCCTTTGTCTACAAGAAACGCATACCAACTCCTCAAACATAATCGATCGCTTACAACTACAATTACAACCTACTCAAGCCTTTTGGACTGATTATGTAGGCATTATCTCTTTCTCACCAAATTATCAATTGACTTTATTAGATACTTCAGCATGGTACTCATCCCATCGATATCAGCTTTGTAAAGTTACCCATCCTCAACAGTTTTTTACACCTTTTTATATACTGAATCTCTATGCACCCGCTTCATCCCCACCGACTCGACGTTCTTTCTTTGCTGACTTGACTAAATTACTACACAATTTGAATACAACCATCCAGTTAGACAGATTAATTATTTCAGGAGACTTTAACTATTCGCATCTCCGTGAAAATGACTTAACCTCTGCCACATCTAACATTTGGGAAGCACTGCTTACCGAATCCTTTTTCAATAGTATGATACTTAACAATATGGACAGCATACCCACTTTTCAACGGCAACACGGACCGACATCGCTCGTCACATCCGTCATTGATTATATCTATCTGGGCGAAAGCCTTAGACACGGTATTTACGACAACGCTAATATAAGAATTGACCCTCGATGGTCTGACCATTCGATTTTGTCCATCCAGTTACGGGTAGGCAAATCCAAACTAGGTCCTGGAATGCTTCGGGCGAACCCATTCTTATTAAGACAAGATAAATTCAAACAACATCTCACCCATCGATTAGAGCGTCTCGTGGAATCGTTTGATTCACGAATTACGCCTCAAGACCAGTGGGAACAAATAAAGCAAATTACAAAAGAAACAGCCAAAACGTATGGAAGGAAAATCTCCTGTTGGCGACAAAAAACTCTGACTCAACTTGAAAAACAACGCAACCGCCTGTTACGGTCCAAACCACCTGCGTCCGTTCTTGCAGAAAAATTACCTTCACTGATGGGCAAAATTTATAAACTACAACAGGAGCTCACAGATATAGCAGCTTTAAAATCCGGCGTTCGATGGAGGGAACGGGGCGAAAAATCAGCCTCATACCTGAAAAGATTACATCAACAACGAAGCACACAACAATACATGGCCGGCATCCGCCGAGACGCAACCAATGAAGCTAATGACGTGATCATAGATCAACAGGGTATGCAACAGCTTGTCAAAGAATTTTATCAAAGATTGTACACCGCCCAGCCAGTTGCACCTGAATCTATTCGGGCGTATTTAGATAGCATCCACTTCCCAACTAAAGTAGAATCATTCGAATCTGAGAACTTAATAACGTCCATTACAATCGATGACTTACGCCAGTTGGCCAAGCGGTCTCCTACCCAGAGTAGCCCTGGAAATGACGGACTAGGATATCCCTACTTAGCATTTTTATTCAGCCTTCCTTTTCTTCAGTCAATTATCGTCAAGGTATACAATTATGCTTTAAGTGATGGGATCTTTCCTATCTCATGGAAAGATATACGGGTCCGCCTTTTGCCCAAGAAAGGTGACTTAACGTCTTTGAAGAACTGGCGTCCCATTTCTTTGATTAATTGCGACGGGAAAATCTTTACACGCCTCCTCACACAACGCTTGGCTCCCATTATGACTAGAATAATCAACCCATATCAGAAAGGTTTTCTTCAAAACCGTTTCATAGGTGAGAATGGATTGATAGTACATCTAATTTTACAACAAGCGCGACAGTTCAAATCAGAAGGAATAGGCCTCTTGTTAGATCAAGAAAAGGCCTATGATCGTGTTCACCCCAGCTACTTGGAACAAGTCATGAAGCGCTTCGGTTTCCCTGCCACATTAATTACTTGCGTTCAACAACTTTTCTTTGGCAATGCTGTTCAAATCAACACCAACGGGTTTTTCACCGATGATATTGCCCAGACCCGGGGACTAAGACAAGGGGATCCATTATCCCCTCTCCTTTTTAACCTCGTACTTGAACCATTGCTTCTATCTATCTAACAGGATCAATCATTTCAGGGTTATTACTCGCATGTTCAAGGATCACCACAGCGAATCAAATGTCTCGCTTATGCAGACGACATCTGCGCATTTGTTAAAGATGCGAATGATTTTCAACTGTTAAATCAGCACCTTCGACGCTATGCAGAAGTTTCTAACGCTCAGTTCAACCAACACAAGACGGAAGCCTTTTCTCTATCAGGGGATAAATCCATGTCTTGGACATCCTTATTACAGTCGCATAATATCTCTGTTTTCTATACTAAGTTCTCTCCTTCCCCTCTCCGGTATTTAGGCTTCTATTTACATTATACGACTCACCAACGAAATTATGTTCAAGATATATTATTAGAATCTGTTCAAAAGCAAGTGGCACTTTATTCACCGAGACAATTATCATTACGTGGTCGGGTAACGATAATGAATACACTTATATTGTCCAAAGTTTGGTACTGTCTTCGTATATTCCATCCTACCAAAACCTTTATCAAAGCCTTACAGAAACTTAGCTATCAGTTTGTATGGCGGAAAAAATTCCCACTAGTTTCCTATGCTCGACTTCTAATGCCCAGACACTTAGGAGGAGTTGGTCTGTTAAATGTTGCGATGCAACATTTAATCCTGCAAATGAAATGGTTAATAATGTTATTCTCACCACAGCCTTCCCTAGTTCAAGTACTCCTTCGCCATCATTTCCGGTTGATGGGCATCACATTTACTAGTCCCTTACTTCCTTTCTTTTGCGCTATTCATCGTTCTCCTCATCTTTGTCATCCAACCTCGGTTATACCGATTATGTTCACAGCGTTTGATCATTTGAATGTTACCCTCCCATTGGAGGATATTCCACTCAAGAGCTTGTTACTCTTCCCATTACATTCGTTGTTTACACGTTTACCAGAGTCGCACTGGCTAGAACGCCATCCCAAGATGCTTGCCAACGCCTTTTTCCGCTACGACCAGTCCACTAACCGCCTCATAATGAAACGACCAGGTGAATATAATGTGAAACCGCGGTTGCTTTCACATCTCTTGGGCCAATTGCTCACCGATGCTACAGTTCAACTTCACCCGTATATTCACAGGGTGCCGGCAGGCTCTTCTATCACTACCGACGACCCAGATAAGTCATTGGAAATTACACTACTACGACGATTGGCCAACAGTAACCTTTGGCGTCATTATTCGGCTTCAACGTTTAGACTTCATCATCACATCCAAATGCAACAAGCATCAGGTATAGGGGTGATCCCCAAACGGATGTTCACCCTGTTCTGGTCCCTTCCTTTGTTTCTTCCGGCTCGTGACCTAGGCTATCGCACCATTTTGAAAAAATTACCATGCTTATCAGTCTTACAAGCCGCAGGGGTAGTTTCATCTGCTACCTGCAGACTCTGTAATCATGATATTGATACGTTCGAACATTTTACAACCAGTTGTCCACCACGCTGGCAGATATGGCAAGAAGGACTCGCGATATATTTCCCATCCTTCGACTTTGATCCTCAAAGCATCTCCGCCGCCCTAAGATTACAATCGCCACCATCACTACCTTCGTCCGAGCAATCTCGACTTTTCACCGTCTGCTTCAGTATCCATTGGGCTATCTGGACGTCATTTTTTCAAATGATATTCCATGATATTCCTTTTCATCCCCCATCCGTCTCTAGTAAAGCATACAACATAATTTCTTTGAGCCTGTCTTCCTCGCAGCTCATGCGAGAAGCGGCTGCTTTCGACTAAATTTACTTGTCATAGAAATCTTCCTTTCCTCTCCATGTCCCACCCCTCAGCGATGTGTGACTAATTTATTATTTTAAATAAAATAATCTACAAAAAAAAAAAAAAAAAAATGAAAGCTATAGTTACCTCCAAACTTTCCTTTAGGATTCCAATGTTACATAGTTTTTTTATTTAGCTTGTTGCAAACTCCTCTGAATAAGCCCGATATCAGGTATCATTGAATAAACATTGCGTTCTTCGTAGAAATGGTTCTCAGGAACGATATGAAATAATTGTTGTCAAAAACATAGATGTTGTCAATTTAATAAGAAAAAAAACGACTCTACTTGAGATATTTCAGCAGAAGATGCTGTTCAATTCCTTCTAACTTCACAAAAAAGCTTACTTAGGGCAGTTCTACGCTTACAAAGTGATGAAAGCAAAGTTCAATACATATTATGTGCTCGCCATGAACCGCTTTTCGTTTAAGCCGAACTTGGCCTTAGCTCGTTTACTCTGATAATAACAAAAATATAAAGGTGCCGAATCTCCGTCCGTGCTACAATCCTGACCGGCATGTATGGAGTCATATGTGCAAAGAGTGCGATCCTACTTATGAAGATGAAAATATAACAGCTGAATGGAACGAGACACAAACCTCGATAGCAAAAGGTGACAGGTTCATTTATGTATCGTACGTCTGTGAGCATGTGCAATGCATTCTTCCTCTTTATCAAAGCACGCACCAAACAATAGAAGATATGGCTAGCATGTTCATAAAAGAAGGCAGAAGAATAAGATAATATCAGAGAAGATTTTAAGGGAAGAGAAGTAGAAGTAAAGGAAACTATTAAGACAGTAAGCCTGGAATTTAATGAAGAAACCCTTCTCGAATGAGTGCAGCAAATAACCTGCTATCGCACTTGTAAATAGCATGATATATATAGATGCTGTGGAGATGCCAAAGTGTACAATTTGGCGTACAGGCATTACGTACAGAATGTTGAAAAGGAGGTTAATCGATCAGTGAAGCCACAGTGGCTTACATTGGTGACTATCACGGCTCAACCAGTACTATAATGTTGGTTTATTTGTATTTCCATTTTCATTAACAAGTATGTCATCTATGTGAAAAAGAATGGTACTGATTTCAGTTTTCAACGTTAACAGTCACTATGCCCTGACTCGCTAAAAGCTGTGGGATGTTATATGCAAGCAGAAAACATTCTTAAAATGGCTGTATAAGTATCCTTGTCCAAATGCTTTCGCTAATCATAGAAAGGAATTCATCTATCTGATATGACCATATTCAACTTGATTACCTTCAACAGGTTGAGATATTTACAAATAACATTTATAAAGTCGACAGGTTCGCCGTTTTTGAAATGCAGAGCAATATGTCTTAACGAGAAAGCTGTTAAGATTTACTGTTTTAAACTTTTAGCCTTTAATAGAAGTGCTTTTCCTGTTTCTTCATTCTTTATCGTGCATAAAGAATAGAGATAAGAACCATCTTCACCCCTTAGAATCCTCAAGCAAACCTTAACAAACTAAAATATGTGAAGGATAGTGAATCATTAGAAACAAACAATGATGGGCTACCCACCGAAGAAAAGCATTCTTACTCTATTGCCTACCTGAATGAATAAGAATTCTGTCCACCTTTCTTCAGTTTTCAAGCATGCATTTTTCATCCAAAAAGCGTCCTTACAATAGTAAAAAACAACATAATAGATCTTTGAAGACGAAGGATCACAGAAAAGTTGATAAACTTAGTCACGTCGATAACTTTTCTACCGTTGATAACAGTTCTTATCATTTATATCGTACAATGATAGCACCAGCAGCCGCCGCTTCTTTTGCCCCTTTCACTACATCGCCCGCGATAAAAGCCTCACCAACTATACAGAAAGATGTTGCTGTAGCCGTTGACAAAAAGGCCATAATAACTGCAAACAGCTCTCCTCAATCTGAGACTGCAATTGATGGTTTCATGGCGAAGCACATCAATGATATGGCTACTGTTCCGACTTCAAGCAGATCCGGACCCAGTGAGCAACATAACCCTCACCATCTAGAGAGGCCGCAAGCAACTTCATCTTTTGAGCAGCAATCTTCATCTCAACAACAACAACAATTGTCTCTACCGCAGCCAGAAGCTACTTTACCTGCTGTTAAAAAGGCAAATACAAGCATCATTTCTGTGGCGAAAACAGCAAACAACGGAAATGACGAAATAAAGGTAATGGAAGCAACCACTTTATTGTTGCCTTCGCCCTCCACCACCGCAGACTTTGGTCGGCCCGGTGGACAAGGACCTACTTTGCTCTCCAATGGATCAACATCAATGGAAGAAATCTATCAGGGGCACTCGCAACAACAACAGCAGCAATCCAAGACAAACAGCTTCCTTGCTCCTGTGCTTACTACGTTCTTCGGTGCTGTCACTATAGGTTCTTGTATCGCATTCCTTATTTTCCTGAAACGAAGAAAAAACAAAAATGGAAAAGCCAATCGTGTGTATGTCTATGATAATGATGTTGACTCGGAAAAAACAAAGCAAAAAAGAAAGGAAGAGGAAGAGGGAAAGCAAAAAGCCTTTTTTGCTCAACCGCCAGCACCTCAATCCATTACGAAACCTATCGATATACCCGACACGACTATTACTACTACTGCCTTGGCTTACAATGACAATTCTTTGGATGATGATAGACCAGCTTATGCCAAAGCTGTATATGAAGCCTATCGTGACATAAACAAGTATTTCGGTCAATGCCCATCACTGGAACCATCTAGGCAACAACAATCTAAAAAGAAAGAGGAAGAAGATGTGTCGGACGTTGTTGATAATACTAAGGAAACTACTACTACTATTACAGCAACTTGTATTGTAGAAAATAAAGATAATAGTGACCAAAAAGAATTCTCTACAGAAGATACAATGAGTAATACCAACCGAGCTACTAATGACTCATACGTCAAAGCGGAAAGGGAGGACAGCAAACTTATTGACATCAACATTGTAGTGTCTACAGATGAAAAGCACGAGACCAATCGATCCAGCTATATCGCCTTATATAATGATACGGTAGATGTAGATAAACCAGCAGAAGAAAACGAGAAGATGATTCAACTATTACCAATTGTTAAAATGACTGCACATAAACATGATTCTTGGCAAACGTTCATTACTGCACATACAACACCTAGTATTTATGTAGATGCTCGTACTAGCTTTGCTGCTTCAAGCACTTTCAATGGGATGCAAAATACTGATGAGGATACAACTGAGAGCGATGGTACTACTGTTAGTAGTGTAAATAGTGAGGGTAATCGTGATTCTTGGGTCAAAAGACTGGAAATGGTGCTCAGTAAGAATACCCATGAAAGACGAGAAGCGGTCCACCAAAGAGCATGAACAGTGAAATTGCGCTTTTGATCCATCTTCCCCTCTTCTCTGCCTCTGATAAACGTCAAAGCAAAGTTCCATCCTTATCAATCTCATGAGCTTGATTTTTTTTCAATAATGCTTCGTCCATCAAAAAAAAAAGAAAGAAAGAAACCTAAACTTCCTTGGTTTATTCGTTATTTCTCTCTAATAAATAATCTAACAATTCTGATTTTTTTTCGTTGGTTAAATGCTTAAAGTATATACGATTGATGTGAGCTGCCGCATTTTTCACATTGACTAAATCAACATCAAATAGTAGCCACCATTCTTTACCAAACTCGCAAGGTAATGCTATTTTCAAGACACGACATGTCAAGTAAATTGCTGCACAGGCAATAGTCGGTGGTTTATGGGTCACGTAAACAGTTGTCCTTAAGCCATCGTTCAGGTAATTCCATGCTCTACGCGTTACTTCAGTATTATCTTCCAGGCCTAATATCCTAAGGTAGTTAATCATGAGATTGTAAGGTAGTTGGACATACACCATGAAGCCGAGTTTACGAAGGATTTCCATCTCAGCTCTAATGACTCTATGCTTCATGTCGTAAGCTTTCTGTATATGACAGAATGGGGAAGAGACAAATGGAATCAGTTTGGTATGGTTCCTATGCAGAGCCTCAACGCTTTGGTTACCTGCGAAAATGCATCCAGAGGTATTTTTATGCTTTTGTTGTGTATTTTTCGTACGAGTAGATCATACACTGTGATTAAGTATGTCATTCTAACTGTATGTTCTTCGAGTTTTGAAGCTAAAAATAAAGCTCCCATGCTTATATCCTATGTATATGCATGAGATATATGAGAAAAAAATGTGCCACTCTATATTGCAGTTGCAATAATGGTAATAAGACATACCATAATATCGTACTCCTTCAAGCTAGCCATATAATAGAATCTCTGGAATAGCACCTGAGCAGTAGCCATTGCCACTTGTGGCCTATAGGAGACAATAGCAGTCGTTTAATTAAATTTGCAATGATGAAGCTAAAGATCTGCTGTAGATCTTCCTTTGTGTTTTTTACTTTTACAATTTCAACAAGATGCCTGCACTTTGAATCAGTTCTGCACCTACAAATCGAAGATCCTCTTCATATTTCTCTGAAAAGCCGTCTTTTCTAGAAACAGTCGTTTCTAGTTGTTCGAGTGATGCTAAGGGATTGGATAATGTCACTGACATTCCTTCGGAATGATATTAAAAAGGTGAAAGGTAAAAATTTCCACATTAAACTTTGCATTATTTGCATTATAATTTCAGCTTAAAAGCATTGCTTGGAAAAAAAAAAAATTTTACTTATTTTTGCACACGTCTGCAATTCTGTTCACACATTATGTCCGATACGATCTCTGAAGTCTTCATAGAGCTCAGTCTACAACATTTGCACTATAGAGATACGTTAAAGCGAAGATTACATGGCTATATTGTAAATAATACCCAACAACTTCGGAGCTTGCACGCTGAAAACACTTCTAATTGCTTCGTAATTCAAACTGAACCAAGATGATAGATTACGCATGAACAACAGACACTTAGACTGAGTTTACATGGCAACAAGGTGCAAGCGCTTTTAACTGTGAAAGAAAAACAAATAAATCAATCACACAAGCGAATTGATCGATTGCGCACGCAATTTCACTTTAAAGCATGCTCGTCCTCAAAATTTCTATCGAAAAAAGAGATAGACGAGCTCAATTATGATGAGAAGGACATTTATATTACCAGCTTGATAGATATAGTACAGAGTGCTTTTGAAAACACGTCAGCTTATAAACAATTAAACATTCCAGTACCCAGATCAATTTTGATACATGGTATCTCAGGTGTAGGAAAGACAAGGCTTGTAAAGTAAATGCTGAAGTGTATATGGTTTATTCCTATGAATGAAAAGCCGCTTTCATGAGACTAACAGTTGCATAAAATTGATAATTCATCTATTGTTCAGATGTGTGAGCTACCATATCCAGTGCAATCTTCTAGAAATCAACATGTATGACTTACTTTCGTTTGATGAACAAGAATTTGTTACTTCAGAGTTTACGAAATACAACCCTCTGAGTATCCTGTTAAATCAAATAAGAATGGCTGCAGTGAAGACTGCAAAGCGACCCAGCTTACTCCTAATACACGATTTGGATATTCTGTCTAAGAAGAAGAATGTAAATCATGTTCATGCTAAAAGACTGCTCGATATCATGGAAAAAGAATTAAGCCAGATTCAAAAGGACAAAAACAATGAGGTATTTGTGATAGGATTGGCGCAAGAGTTGAATGGTTTACCCGAAGTACTGCTGAAAAGCGTATTTCAACAACACATGACACTACCTATGCCAACTATGTAAGTAGAGATGCTGCTTCATAAAAATAGATGGCACGTAATCTGTATTAATTCGAAAGCTTTAGGCCTGAACGGAAGAAACTATTGCACTATTTTTTAAAGAAAGAGCTCGACTTAGATGAAACAATGTTGGATGAATTTGCAACTTATATCAGCTTTGTATGTTATAATAAGATCAGCAAATCAGTTTTTCTAGTGAATACACAGCTCATGTTATTCAATTTGCCTTTTTTACATATAGCGAACTTCTGGTTATGTGGCAAGGGATTTAAAGTTACTTGTTAGACAACTAAAATTGAAACAAAAACGAATGAGTCAACACAAGGATATGTATCCCGACGATCAAACCTTGATAGAGCAATTTGAACAGCTGGAAGTATCAAAAAAGGACGATAATGGAGATTTAGTTTCTGAATTCGAGCGACTTGATTTGAGCAAGGATAGTAGAAATCGTCATGATAAGCAGACTCTTCTTCAAATACAAGATATCGACACGATTTTTGAGTCATTTAAACCCCCTTCTCAACAACAACAACTCTCTAATCACGATCAGAAAATGGAATCCACTTTACCTAAAAAGAGATGGGATGACATCGGCGGCTATACTGCTATTAAAAATAAGATCAAACAGTCTATTTTACTACCGTTGCTACAGCCTCATCTCTTCACAAAATTAGGTATAAAGCCTCCGTCGGGTTTGTTGCTCTATGGGCCATCAGGCTGCGGTAAAACAGCTCTTATTCAAGCCTTAATCACCGAATATATGATGATGAATATGATCGTTATCAAAGGACCCGAAATTTACTCCAAATATCTTGGCGAGACCGAGCATAAGATTCGTCAAATATTTCAAAGTGCCAAACGGTTAGCGCCTTGTATCATCTTCGTGGATGAAATGGACTCTATTGGTACGAAAAGAGGTTTCGATTCAGCAGATTCAGGAGGAGGAGGAGTCAATGAACGTGTCTTGAGTACATTGCTGAATGAAATGGATGGTATTGAGACGAGACAAGGTGTCATCGTCATTGGATGCACGAATAGACCGGATCAAATAGATGATGCTATCTTGAGGCCTGGGCGTTTGGATCAACTGATCTATGTTGGTCTACCCGATACCGAGGATCGTGTCGATATCATAAAGAAACTGATAAAGAAAGTTTCAGTAGCACCAGCAACGGAGGAAAATGATCAGATGAAGATAGATTACTTGACGTTAGCAAAAAAATTAGAATTTTGTACAGGAGCAGACATTGAAAATTTATTCAGGTACGCGATCACTAGACTATACTGTAATATCTTACATTGTCCAAACTGAACACCCGTATTTCCCTAACAGAGAGGCGGGCACATTAGCACTAAGAAGAGATATCAATGCAGACTATATCACAATGAAAGATATTGATGATGTTATCACACCTATACTGGAAAGAGCAGAAGATCAAGTTCTGAAGGGCAATCTTGACATTTTTGAAAGATTCCTGAAAGAACACTCTTAAATGTCCTCTGAATCAAAAAATCACAAGTTTTTTTTTTTTGAAATATACGTGTAACTTTTCATCTTACACGTGCAACTTGGGTTTTAATGAATGCAATAAAAATCAATAATTTCTGGATTTATTATTAAACCACAGCAAAAAATAAAAGCATGAGGCAGGACCAGCAGCTGCATACATAATGTAGCAGTAGACGAACAGAGAACGAATAGAGTGTCCCTTAAATTATTTTCATTCTGTTATCATGCTGCTAAACTTCTTTTTCTTCTCAATTTATTTTTCCTTGTAAAAACTTCCTACTCTTTTTCCACTTTTCTACTTCCATTCTTTTAAACTTAACATGTTATCCACAGATGACCAGCAAGCGACACCATTACAGCAGCACGATTCCGATCAACAACAGATACAAGATGAAGTGGAAGATCTTGGAGTGAAGAATAACGATCAGCAGCAACTAGAGGAACAGGAGAGGCAAAAAGCGGACTCTGAGCAAGTGACAAACGAAGTGATAGCCAAACTTACACGCTTAGAGGTTAGAAATAAGCTATTTCACCTATTTAAGAGCTGCAGTGTGTATGAATTCGTGATTGATATTATACTTTTTTTTTTTTCATCAAATAGGGCGGATTTCAATGTCTATTGGATAAAGTGAAACAGGACATCCAAGCAGCAAAAGTAAAAAGTATAAGAATTTGTTATAAAAGAGTAAACATGAATAAAAGGGAACAATTAAAATATTTAATATGTTTTTCCATTCGTTTTCCAGGATGTTGCACTGTTTCTTAAAAAGAGAGCAGTCATCGAGGAGGAATATGGAAAGCAAATGATAAAACTGGCACAGTCAGTAAGCGAGACTTACGAGAAGAACCATCAAACAAAGTCTAGGTAATTCATAGAGAATCATAGAAAACATATTTATAAGAAGTAGTTTGACAATGCTTCGGTCATTCCTTTAGTTACGGAACTATATGGACCCAGTTTTTGAAAGTACACGAAAAAATTGGCGAACAAAGAGTCAGGTTTTCCAGTGATATAGCGGAGGTTTCCGACGACGTACAGATTATGAGTAAGGATATCGAAAAGAGTCGAAAGCAAGTAAAAGAGTCGGGTATTCGACATGAACGAATTAGAATGGAAGCAGAAGCTGCACTAGACAAGGTAAAAAAGTGGTCATAACGGAATTTTTGGTGAAGCGTGATCTAGTGAGAGACTAAAAGACAGTTTTTTCGAAAACAAAGAGCAAGCAAAGATACGACATGTTTAGTGAAGAATGGGAGAAGGCTATCATTGCGAAAAATAATAGCGAAACAGCAGACTTGGATCATAGTAGCAAAAGTGGTGGTTTATTTAAAAGCAATAAAACTCCAATGCAGCTTAAACGTCAAGTCGATGAGTCATGTGCAAAAGCGAACCAAGCACAATCGATATACAAGAATCAGCTCATTGCTACCAACGCAGCTCGTCAAAACTATTATCAAATTAAATTACCATCCGATTTGTTCACTTTGAAATCGGTTGACGATGAGTGTAATGCTGCTACACGATATCAATTGGCTCGCTATTCTTATCTATTTGAGGAAGCACTTACGAAAGATGGTTATGCGCTGGATAATGATGACGGAACTGGGCTTAGATCGTTAACAGAAAAGATTGATTATGATATAGATATTGTGGAAGTCGTAAAGAGGATGATGGTGAAGGCAACAAATAATAGTAGTAATAGAGGTCATCAGCAAGGCAGCAGCAACAATAACCCACGACTGATTAACATTGAACAAGAGATACCCTACAAGGAATACCCAATGTCTGCTACTGCTATGAGTATATTAAAACCAAATCCGGTATTTGGTATAGATTTAACACAACTAATGCAAAGAGATGGTCAAGAAGTGCCTCTTGTAGTACAAAAATGCACAGAAGCTGTCGAGCAATTGGGACTGAAAACTGTTGGAATTTACCGTGTGTCAGGCACGAGTACGCAAATACAGAGACTTAAAAATGCGTTTGACAGAGGCAAATATACAACATAATAATAACGGCCGTGCAAAATGAAATTAACATAGAATTTCAATTGTATTGCTAGATTGTAAATCAGTAAATCTCTTGAGTGAAGAGAATAGGGCTGATATCAACAACGTTACCAGCTTGTTAAAGTTATGGTTCAGAGAGCTACCAGATCCATTATTTCCTCAATCATCGTATCAACATTTCATGAATGCAGCAAGTAAGGCTCTGTAGTCTAACTGATCACAAAATTATAGATATATTAATCATGCATTCATTCGTAAAGGAATCGAAAATGATCGTATGCGAGTGTTAGGCCTACATACTATCATCAATGATTTACCAGATGCACACTATGCTACTCTCAAACATATTATGTGTCATCTTGACAGGTAATTTCCTTTTTAAATATTACATCAATATAGTGCATCTGACGGAACCTTATCCTTGAAAAATCACTGTATAGAGTACAACAAAATCAAGAGTATAATAAAATGACAATTGCCAATCTATCAACAATCTTTGGCTTGACTCTTATGGGCGGAGATGGCGGTAGCAACCAATCTTCCATTTCATCCCATCAAGAAAATATACGACTAGCAGACACACAATGGCATGTTAAGATTGTTCAAACTATTATAGAGAATTATAGGCTAATTTTTGAACCCGATGAAGAAGATGAAGGGACAGCATAATTGCAGTATCAGCTTAAATATGGCTTAAATAATAGCGGCTCCATTTATACGATGTCCATTCTGAAAGCTAATAAACTCAACGTGAGATAACCAACTTTCGTGTTGTATTTGGTTTGAAAACTGAACGCTACAACTTAGAATTCTAAATTTGCTAAATATGATGTGAACTGTGGAAATAGAATAACGCATCTAATGTGTCGGCCATTAATGTATTTGAGAGAAAGCTTTGTTTACAATTGAAGCACAATCGACACAATATGCCTAAAATTGCCTTGCTTTCTAGGCGGTGTTCTTTTGAGCAAAAGTATTGTAAATTTGGAACACCAATTCGAAGCTACGACCACGGCTGTTAATTTCTGACATTATGTGCGCAAGCATTCTTATTGCAATTGCAAAGAATAACATTAGAAAAATAGACAGTGGTTTACCTAAGTATTCGAAACAGTAGTAGAAGTAAGTCGCTTGAAGTTATATTTTTTAAAACCAATTCGTTAGAAGTTATCATTGGAGAATAGTTTTCTTCCATTAGAATCCAGCGGATCATCTTTAACAAATATTTTTCACTTATGCTATCTACGGCTATATAAACTTAGTTATATGGCAGCATTAATATATATACCCGTACAATATATATGCAGTGTTCTTGAATAATGTAGGGTGAGAGAAGGCTTCATCAATCTTAATTAACACAGTAACTGTCTGCAATTATCAACTCCACGCACGGATATCTTTACTTACAAAACATAACCTACAATATCTAACGTACACAACAGGTAGACGATAAATTCGGAATATAAACGCAGCTGCGTAAGGGCTTTGCACCTGCCGGGATAATATATTACAGATAAATCCGCTTTGGGTAAAACGGAATGATTATTCAATTAAAGGGTCTCTTTTACGGGATCTTAGATTCAATGATATTATCTGACTATAATCCATCAGTGTCAGCTATATATCCCGATATATTTCGTTGACAGCAAACACAGTGACACTTTCATTTAAAGCAGTGGTTTTCGTTTTTCTTTTCTTTAATTTCATTTTAATTTTTATCGTGTTTATGTTATTCTTTAATCTTATGATTTAACATAATGAATACGCTGATATTCATTTGTAAAACTCATACATTAATCTATAACTTTACTCTATTGCTATTACGGCCTGCACCGTACTTATTATTCAAGTTCCATATTGTAGTTCTCTAGCAACGTGGTGATCACTGTAACGGAATAATCTACTTTTGAATTTGAAAAATTTTTTATTTATCTTATGTAGTCCTCCATGTAATTTAACTCGCACCAAGCTCTCGTGTCACCGCTAGTCAATGATCTAAACTTGGAAGAACATAAATTCAAAAATATTGTATATTCAGTAACTCGTGTAAATCGTGGCTTTGTGCATAAAGCATAAGTTAAATAGAAACGTCTCACAAAAATCTACAAAAAGCAAAAAAAGATAATCGCCTCATAGGGGGCTCGAACCCCTGACATTTGGATTAAAAGTCCAACGCTCTACCGACTGAGCTAACAAGGCTAATCTGAAAAATAAAAAAGTTAATTTAATAAGTTTGAAATATTATAATTCACGTGACTTTGTTACAAATTAAGTATAAGTTCGGTTCGGATTTGACATTTTGCGGTTTAGCTGCGACTCGGACAAATCAGGTTGCGGAAACCTAGATGTTGGTCTTTTCTTTTTTAACTTTTAGCAGGACAGAACCATTTTGCTTAAGCAACCGATGCGCTTGATGAGGCAGCAGTTATGAAAACTGCGTCTGCTGTGGTCATACAATTTAAAGACGTGTATATAATACAAGTTTGCAAAATAAAGGCCACATATTCAACAGTATCATGCCTGACCAGACAGCGTACTCTTTCCTGCCTTTTCTACTCACTCTCTGCTTCTCATCATAAAAGAGTGGGTCGGACTATAAAATGGATATTCATGTTATAGTTGCCGGTACAATAAATAGACAGTTGACGATTGGGAGGTTACAGCTCGTTAAGTGTGTCTGACTCTTCCATTTATAGCGGGTAGTGAATAAGGCTTCTTTATAAACATGTAAAAATGGCAAAAGGAAAACGGCGAGTAAAGACAGTTTGCCAAGCAGAGTTTTCCACAACTATAAGCTTTACACTGTGCGCACGTATAAATGGAGCGTATATATTTTTGCCGTTGTAAAAAAGTGATAGCAAGGAAAGTAGAAAACAAGCCAGCCAATTTACAGCCGAACGAATGCCGAAGGATCATCATACAATATCTGACTAATTGTTCTCATTTGTGAGAACAAAAAAAAAAAAAAAAAAAACTGTAAAAACCATTGTTCTTTTCAATGTATTGAATAAGGCTATGACTTCCATATACCCAGCCCCCAAATATAACCCCATTGTTATGCTATAAAAGGCATACTAGAGATTTGTTATTTTCAAGGCGCGATCTAATTCCTATTGAAGACCAAGTATTTTCGCGATACGACATGGCATACTCATTACAACAAACATACAGATTCCTGCAGAAACTGTTGGTTTTACTGTGGCACAGTTGTGCACTCATTTTGATTGGGCTGAGAATATTTGATCCGCATAATTGAAACACAGGCGCGCCACTTCGGGACATGGCGAATATAGCAAGAATGTAGCAGACTTCCTTGACTTAATCAAATGAAAAGCGATGCGGTTATTCGGGCAATGACTACAGTAGCTTGGCGTAGTAGCAAAGTAGTGAATGAGGGGGAAAAAAAAGCACTAAGAGATTGCCATCAAAAAAATATATAAAAGAGGCTACTTAGTAGGCTCTTTCGGCTTTTGGATTACTCTTAAACAACGTTTATTCTCTAAAATGTATCACGCTACTAGTGCTTCCACAAACGATACCTCTTCAGTTACCTATGATAGTAACCCTGTACCTATAAAGATTGTTATTTTCTGCAACAATAATGCACCATTAGAATTCACTTTTGCGCCTGAAAAGCTTTCCTGGGACAGTCTTATTGTTATAATGCAATCATCATCAGGTTCTTCTTTAGAATTGCCTTTGATTCTTTACTACACAACTGCCGCTCAACCTCAAACCGTCTTGTCTGTGGAAAATCAAGAACAATTAAAAGATTTGTTAAGGTCACTTCTGACATCCATACCTCTGCCTACTGGCGATGACAGCAACACCAACCAAAGCAACAGTATGATGACTCTACGTTTCTATATGGATAAAGACAAAGTGATGACTCCTGTTTTCGTATCCTCAGCAGCAGCTTTTAACCGTCTCTCTGAACTTATCAATGAACATCAATGGGTCATTCAAAATAGTCGTTGTATTGTTCGTTGGATTGGTATGCTTGCTTCTTATATTGCGTTGAATGGTTGTTCTGGTAATAATTCTTTCGAGCCTGAATTCAGGGCTCTTGAGAGAATGATTGAAAGAAAAGCGATGAAGATGAAATACAATGCTACTACTGCTACCGCTGCCACGACTTCCACGGCTGTACCCGATGAGAAACAACCGGAGAATAGTGCTCTTTCTGCGGGTGAAGGTCAGGATTTTTCTCAAGAAAGACCTCGTTGTCCTGCTATTGACACTGAAGAAACAGAAGATGGAGAAGAAGGCGTAAGAGGATTTCCTCCTCACCCACCTCACTTTATGGATCCTCGAATGATGCGCGGTCCCCATATGCGCCATCCTTTTGCATTTGGTCCCCATCCCCACCACGGCCATCCGTTTGGTTTTGGTAGTGGTTTTGATTTTGATAAAAGAAGAATGTTTCATGATAGCCATCCTCGTTGCCAAGAAGGTGACGAGCCACTGTTTAATGGTTTAGGTGATTTCTTATGGGGCAGTGATCGTCACCCTCATGGTCCTTGTGGTATTCCTGGTCCTTTTGGTCCTCCTGGCCATTTTGGTCCTTCTGGCCATTTTGGTCCTTTTGCCGGTGCTGAAAATGATTTCTTTGGTCATTTCCATGGTAGAGGTCGACCACCACATCATCCTTTCTTTAGTCCTCGTGGTTTCTTTGGTGATGGTTTCCCTCATGGTGATAACAGAGGAAGTGGTTCTTTTACGCAGCAACAACAGCAGCATCCCCATTGTCCCCCTTATGGTCCCTTTGCTCACTTTATGGCAAGTGAAAAAGGAGGCGAAAATACCTTTGGTTGTCCTCATGGTTTAGGTGGAGGTAAAAGAGATTATGGTTGTCGTCGTCATCATCCTTATCCTCATCCTCATCGAGGTGTCCCTTTTTGTCCGGAATCTTCCAGTGACTCTGATATGGAAGTTTGTTTCGATAACTGGGGTAATCGCCCTCATCAAACAGGTGCTCACTTTCGTGGAGGCAGCTGCCATTTTCACTGTCCTAATGAGCAACAAGTAGAACAAGAAGAACAAGAGGGTGAAATATCCAAAAAATTCGATCATTTAAACTGTGAAGAAACAGCAACAAAATCAACAACGGGAAGAAGATGAGTTAGGAAGGAAACTGCTATGCGGTCAAGAAGATCATGTTTACGTAATGCCGATAAAAGAATTTGAAAGACTTGCTCGCGGTATTCGCAAAGGACATAAATTTGGTGGTCATTTTGGCATTCCAAAATATTATTTTGCTATCATTATATTTTATTTTTTTAATCATAATATTATTGTCTATCATGAATCATCCTTTCATCGAATAAAATATGTATAAGTGTTCCTCTATTAGCAACTGTTTATCCTTATTTTCTTGGGAAAAAGTAATGTCTTTCAGGGTTTGAATTAGGTAAGCATTGAATGAATTGTTAAGGGTTTAGAAGGTTTTCTGTGATGATTTAAAATCTTTATCCGTCAGGTTTCCTATGGGTTACTTACAATAGCCAGTAAGCATGTCTGTTATCCTATAATTTCGGAACGGAAATATCCGGGAAAAAAGATCGACTTTTATGGTTTTTTTTTTTTTTTTTTTTTTTTTGATCCAAGCAGTCTCAGGCTTCATTTTCATAATGGGGTTGGAGATAAATAACCAGCCTGCAAATGGTTATATAAGCAGTATTTTGAGCGTCGATTTTTTTATTTTTTATATTTTTTGCCTAACGCTTTCTCTATTTTTTATTTTTTTCCTAGTTTTTGCACTTCCCTTAATATCCATTTTTTTTTTCTTGACATTGTATTATAGACAAGCATGGCATCCTCATCCGCAAAATCTCTCGATATTACCAATTTTTTCAGCAAACAATCGCATTTTTTTGAAGCTAATACCTGCAATTATCTACCAAATTATTATGAACAAGAGTTAGCGGGCATTCCAGAAGGGAAGATGACCTTTCGATCTATTTCGTCGAAAAGATATCCTGGTGAATACAATTCCATACAAGAAGTAGACATGATGGAGGACCACAAGGAGCAGGCCGTGGATGATTGGAGTGATGATTTAGATGCTCTTTACGAAGCCACTTTGTTAAGCTCTGACTTCCTAGACTCTTTGGCTCGTAAGCAAAACAAGGAAGAAGAAGAAGAAGAAGAAGAAAACTCTTCTGCTAGTGTAGATGCATATGTGCACAATGATAAACCATTGACTCGATTACGCCAATTATTGGAACATTTACATCCTTCCTCTACTGCCATTGATAAGCAGCAGCAACAAGCAGATATGTCCTTCAAAGCGTTTTCCATGCTACATTATGATGTGAAAGGAAAACGGAAATTATAGAGATTGAATTATAGAAGATGATGTATTATTAGAATAGACTACTAGACTACTAGATACCCTTATCCTTGTACCAACAGTTCACTAGAATATAAATGTGAAAATCCTTTGACTAATTGTGTTACGTCGGGAAATATTAAAAAGGAATAGATGGTGCGTTGAGACACCTTTGCATAATATAGTTGGTGACATAGGGTGGTTGAACACGGTGGTGCTTACATAGAAACGCCTTGGTTTTTTGACAGACTAGCATGTGATTGTTCCTGCAGATGAAGGAAAGAAAAATTTTTTTTCTCAAATGCTTTCCCAGCCTCCCCATTTGCTGAACAAAAATCACAGCCAAATGAGGGCAAATTTTACCCCTCTTTTTTTTTTCTCGATGTGTCTGATCAATTGTCTCAAAAGATGGATGGTGTTCATCTTAACTGATACAAAGCATATATCCATGTGGTTCAACATGTCACCTATTATTGGCTGTAGAGAATAGTTCAAACAGATAAAGAGCCATACTATTAAGTTGCTGTGAGCGTCTTGTTGATTATTTTGTCCTTTTTTTTTCTCTACAGATATAGCAGCTTCACAACTTGATATTTACTCCTGAAGTTGAATATGTTTATTTCAGTTGTGTTCCATCTCTTTCCTATTTTTTTTTCTTCCTTTCATAATATTCCAAATAAAAACAATCACATTAGATGACGATGCTATCATCTATAACAGTAATACTATTTTACAGTCTTTTCCCTTCTCTTTCATGCCTCAACTTGAACGATTCATGTGATCCAAGTCCAGTTTATTCGTAAGCTATTCAATTTAGTTGAAAATTATGCGGCTGACATTGACCACTTTTTGTATATTCTTCTGTCTATTTGATCGCAACCACACACCTTCTTTTTTTGTGCTGAAACATAATAGAGGGACTTGGCAATACGACGACTCCTGTGATAATGTATATCTATTCTGTGATGTCAACAAGAATAGTACATGTCAATTCAAAACATGCTCCAATAGTGACTATATATCAGGGTAAGCGCTGTTTTGTCTATCGGTATACATATAATCGGTAATATATATTCATGTTTTTTGGTATAGTTGGGATGAAAAAGCTTTTGCATTTCCGAGTCGTTGTAACAGTAAAGAAAGATATTGCCCGGATAACGGTTCTCAATGTACACCCTTAGTGGAAACAGGAGGGCATTGCGAACCTGTACAGTCTGCCATCACAGTTATGTGTCCATCCGCCTATGAGTGTTGCATACTAATTTCTTTTTCTTTTTCTTTTTCTTTTCCGACTATTTTATACTGAAAAGCAAAGGGATGATGAGTGCGCTGGTGGAAATTCTATCTGTTTGAATTCAACATGCTTCGTCAAAGTTTCCCCTTTAGGGGGTCATTGTGGTTCAGACAGGTAAAGACAAATGAGAAGAGTAAGATGAAATGAATGCTTATCGCAATGACAACATGTACAACTGTAGAACGGACTATATCTCTTATAATGAAAACGGTGATGCTGTTCAACAAATCATTATACGTGATAACTGCACAGACGGTACCTACTGCGGTCCACAATTTGAATGTGTCTTATCAAAGCCTCTCAATGCTCATTGCGAACAGGACAGAGAATGCCTATCCAATACTTGTGCTGATGATGGTATCTGTAGGAATGCGCCTGACTTGTATCATCGAATTGCTACTTGGTTATGGGCTGTCACAGGTTGCTTCATTCTTGTCTTTATTTTAGTCATTTTAGGCATGTTGTGGCTACTACATCGATATCAATCACGTAAAGAACACGAGAAGTTTGTGCGGTTTTTCGAACATAATGAAGAGTTCAATAGGTTAATGCTTACAGCAGATTATCAGGATCATAAAGAGAAGATGCACCCTACTCATCATAGCCAGCCCTTGGAAGCAGTGAGTAAGAATAGTAGCGTCGTTTATTTGGCGACGCCTGATTACCATGAATCAGCAGCACTAGCAAACCATCACACCACTCCTACTATGACGACTCCTAATTCGATCCGTCGTACAAACTAGAAAAAAAAAAAAAAAGATATGTCTGCAAAAAAAACAAATAAAAATTTATTTCATGCGCTTAACAGCGGTGTATGTTCATTTGCCGTCGCATTGTTATTATTGCTATTGTTATTGTTATTATGAGAGGGTATCACGTTATGGGCTGCAGCTGTAGATGAGGAAGATCTTCTTGTTGACCGTTTGAAAGGGTTTACAGATTTCTGGCAGATATCAAACTTACAGATGGGACACTATATACATATATAGACAAAAAGGATAGATGAAGTAACAAATAAATAGGAACGGAAGATAGATAGTACTTACAAATTTCTTATGGGATGTTAACCATGCATCTACGCATTTTGTATGAAATTCATGTTTACATGGTAGGACTCTTAATACTTCTCCATCCAGATACTCTTCAAGACATATCGCACATAGCAGCTCTCCTTCTCCGTCTGTTGCCCCGTCCCCTTCCTCTTCTGAAATTGTCTTGTGATTGCTGCTCTTCTTTTCCCGTCGAAATTGGTAAGTCGGTAGTCTAGATACTATATTATGCGGTGCAATGTCGTTCTTCTTTCGCTGCCTTTGCCTCAACTGCCAAGTAAGATAAATAAACAACATCATTACTGCAGGTGATAATACAACTACTAACAGCATATCCAGGAGAGGCCTATGGACAAGAAGTACATATTTCACTTCTAGGTCATAAAAAAAAGAAAAAAAGAGAGCAGATGGAGCCCTTACCATGTTAATAGTTCGTCTCCCGATAATCGAATGGGTATCGTGATAATGATGGGTATGGTATCATTGTTTGACATAGGAGGCTGGTATCTTTCTTGTTCTTCGTCTTCAAATGAACTCAATAATCGTTTATATTGATGTTGAGCTACAAATACACTAGGTATATGTATATCGGAGGTATCACCTACAGTTGCTCTCTTTATATCAGTCCTTGATATTATTTGAAAAAGGATTCAACTGACAATTTACCTGGTGCATACATGGTTATCCAACCATTAAAATATCTATCACCTACGACAACGGCAATGGCTCCACTCTCCTGCATGGCTCTTACTTTTTGTAGAAATGAGCATTGTCCCCTTTCAACGAGAGCAATCCAATTCTTTACCGTTGGAAGCGTTCTGGTACGACTGGTACTATAATTTAACTGTTGTTGTTGGTATTGATAAATTGGATGGCAGCCATAGATGACATCGTTTACGACCTTCTCTTTGTATTGTCGCGATGACGGCTGTTGTTGTTGTTGTTGCTCGATGAAAGAGGCCACCTTGACCAGGTTTCCAGTAATATCTATATCGCCACTGATTCTAGGCCCAAAAGCTGCTATACGATCCACAAGTGTATCGTTTGATTTCTAAATGCCTCCCAAAAACAATGTCGATTTTTCTGATCAGCCAAAAGATAATTCCGCTTTAAATTTTAAAAAGCTATCAAGCTATCAAGCTATTATTACTGTGCAAAACTCACAAGCATTGTAATCGTAGCTTGAGAAGGTGGTGTACATGTCGACAACATGAGTATTAAGACGTTGAGTAGTATGATACTTTTCAACTTCATCTTTCGCTGTCGGTAGGAATACAATAAGGAAAGGAAGAAAAGGGGAGCAAATAAGAATAAAAAAAGGATGAAAAAAAGAATGCATGAATACCAGTCTCTTTTAAATTTCCATATCTGGTTTGGACTGGCGTACAATGGAACAGTACGTACTACAAGTTGCTTTACAAGATATAAAGAACAAGTTTTTCCAACGGTTGCTGCTTACTATGCTCATGAAACTTACAATGACTTTACCTATCGTAAAGCGAACCAGCTTCCTAGTCAACGTTTGTATCATTCTTCCGACGACAACAGCAGCCTTGTTTGGTGCCTTTTAGGAACTGCACAATTTACAGGTTGACCTGTGTTCTCAAACTATCTTTAATATAGCAATGGCACGATGGCTAACTTTCTATAGTATGTCAACGTGATTCATACCATGCGTTCTACAAATGATTACCATCCATCTTCAAACCTCAAAATGTGGCCACTTATATATCCCATAGGCATTTTATACCAGGTATATTGGCTGAATCACAGCCGTCTGAATGGACTATTTTGTCTATCATCATAAAATATTCAATCCTCACATGTAACATGCATAATAAAAGTCAAAGTGAGGGGTTATGCACCATTATTTTTGCACGATCATATTTTAAAAGACGGATAGCATGATGATGAAAGCACCAACATCTACATTATCGTGGGCTATACTCCTACTTTGGTCGTCGCTATTCAACGTCAAGTCAATAGCTTGTTTCTCGCAGCAAGAAAAATAAAGTTACTCAAATCAAGATCATCAATAATTCAATTACCCTGCTGCGAGTTTTTATATGCAGGTGATGTCGTTCGGCTGCACAGGCCAAATGATTTAATGAATTGCGCCCGTTCGACAGCGAAAAGATATATTGCATCAAACTTGGGTTTTTCCGAATATTGTCACTACCTCATTTTCCCTTTTTCCTGTTGAATGATCAACACTTTCCCCCGTAAACATCATTCAAATGCTGAAGATGCACTTTGAGTGGCGTCTGTCATCAGTTGAAGTTGTGTTTCATACCAAATATTTCTTTCGTGTTCAGGTACACACTATAGAGAGTTTAGCCAATGAAATTCTTTGCTTTTATTTAATATTTGTTGACCAACAGATAAATACATCCATTCTCCTTTTCCACCAATTTAGGCACTGCTGAATCGTCCTGTTCGTACATAAGATAAATATTAGTTCGCTTTTACAAGGCTTCTTGGAAGTGATATTGACTGTTTACCAAAGCATATTCCACTTGGTCAACAACATCTGTCATAATGAGCTTTTGTTCCTGTTCATCATACTTCCACGGTTGTTGCTTACGATTGTCTGAATGTAGTCTTTTGCATTGAAAGATGTGTTGATCCTTCAACCTATCCCTTTCCGTGCCTAGAACTAGAGATTTTATGATTTCGGATGGTTACTCAACATGTACCCGTATCCCATTCAATCTTACCACACCCTGAATGTTTATTGACGAGGAAGCCTTGATGATAACACCATAACTGATGGTCAAACCCTAATTTTTGAGGTAATAGCTCTACTCTCACAGAAGGCTTTTATATGATACAACATCACTATTCTTTGGTCCAAACTTAATTGAAGCTACTAGACAGCATGGTCTTTACCTGCATCGTGAATTTTGAGACAGTCAAAACCTGATTTTGTCGACTGGGACATTGAATATAAAACCATCCTTCAGGAAACCCTGTCATCATTTTTTATCAGCAAACGTGAAAAAGAGATGTGCAACTTTTCTTTTCTATAATTTATACTTTTTTTTTTTTTATTAGACAGCTCCCTTTCTTTTCTAAAGTGGAAAAGTCACAACGAGGTAGTCGTTGTCTATAAATGTCTATGTACAATGAGAAATATCTGAATAGTGTCAACATTGTTGGTATCGGACAAAGTGTATATACAAATGAATATAGGTTGCTAGCTTTCTTATTGTAATGCCGCGATGGCTTTCTTTGACTGCTCAATCTTATCAATAGCACTGTAGGGTTGACCTATGAACAAGAGCAGAGAGAAAGAAGCCGTTAGTCATTCTCTTTTCTGATCACATTGTTTAGGAATCTTTTTACCTCTTTTTTCTGCTTCTGACTGTTCTTTTATATAGAATCTTCTATCCCAATCAATAGCCTCTTGCTGTATAAAGATAATCGTACCCGAAACGTGCAAAATTTGAAAGCTACAAGGTATAGTCTCGATCTGGCGAATGAAGAACAAAGCAGAGAGAAACATATTGGTGAAATCGCGTGGCACACGCAAGATGCCGATCTGCGTGATGGGATTGAACCATTTGACACTCAATGTGCCTTGTCCTTTTCCAAATTGACCGTAATTCTCTTCCACGGCTTGAAAGATTGTTTTGCTAATCATACCGTCCGTCACTTCAAACTGGGTTTTTGGATAGATCACTTTACCACGTGGGTCAATAACTGGCTCGTGGACAATTTGAAATAGAACCCAACGATTCTTAAAGCGAACCATGATGGTGTATTTACAGATAGATAGAGAGATTGATGGAGTTGAAGGGTTGAAACTCTGCCAAAAAATAGAGTTTTTTACCTCAATGATTCGGACTTTCATACTGTTTGCTTCAGACGAACAGAATAATAGATTTAAGAATACCATAAAAACTTTTTAGATTTTGACAATTTTAGTTTGAGATGAATTTTTTAGAATTTGAACTCAGGACACTATAAAAACGGAGGGGTGATGAGGAAACAAGAGCAATAACCAGCGCGCTTAACTACCCTGTGTATTATGTTAAGCATACTATAACATCTAAAAGTTGAGGAGCCGAGATACGTTACTGTCTATATATAGCAATGATTTTTAGAACTTTGGTGCATGTCGGTAAGAGCCGTCACTTATTGAGTGATGTTGTTAATGAAGCAGTTCTTTGACAACACGATACGTAGCAGAACATACACAATTTTGTGAACAGATCTTGAAAGTAGCAGCCTATACTTTAAAAATTTTGTACTTGGGATCTCTGTTTGTCAACTACCTGTTCATCAAGTTATTTGAAATCAAAGATGCTGATGTTCCTGTTATTGAGCAAACTCTGTTCAGAAATGATAAGAAGGCACCGGACTACATCAAAGAACATTTCAAGACCTTCTGTGACCTGACGATTTTGAACCCGCAGCTGTTAAAAAGTATAAACTACTCAAGCGTTCTTTCCATTGCCGGTAAACAGTACGAAACACTCACCAGAAACTACCTACATGAAACGTGTTATCTGACAACAATTCTGTAAACTTCTGTAAAAATTTGACGGTAGCAGAACGAAAAAATTAGCACATTGTATCTATGGAAAGAAGCAGGGATGAAGCCCCTCATGGCCTGCCTCTCACTCTCTAGAAGGGATGCTCTAGACAAGATAGTCGCCAATCTCACTGCCATATGGGAAAAGTATCAGCCAAGTGATTGATACTCAAAAACACTGTATTCTAAGCCGCACTTATTCTTCAAGTGGTTCAACTCTCTCTTTAAGGAGGTCCAAAAGAAGGTTTTTATTATGAAGCCACAAGCAGCAAAAGTTGCATCAAAGGCTTACATTCGTCGAAAACTTCTCGAAATTCCATTTGCTGCTACGTTGAATAGGAAGAAGTTTAGTTCTCTGCTTGAGCAAACATTAACAGCAGTCAATTCAGATAAGCCTTTTCTCCCGGGGAAACAACTACAGAACCTCGCGTCACAACAGATATCCGTGATCCAAGTCTTCATCGACACCGTAAAAAGCAGAATCAATGATGGAACTTTCAGCCCTACAAAATACACAGATATCAGAGGCCATCGCTTTTGTCATTCGCACCATTATCCTCAGTCAAAACCAAGTCATTCCAAAGCGATGCTCAGGCGTTTTGGAGATTAGCGAAAGAAGCAAATGTGGATGGCTACAAGACGGGCAAAAAAACTGAATCTGACCTTACAGATATGTATTACTTCAAGAAACTGGGCTTCAGGTCAAGGTCAAAGTTTACAACTGGAAGGAAGCAATTCGAGCAAGTTACCTCTCAATATCGATGGATATCTGACTCGTCAAATATGTAATGTATGCAAATATCAAAGTTTGGAGAATGTTACAACAGCAGTATCAAAGGGAAGAGTACATGCTGTGTTGCAGTGCAAAGACTGTAATACAGTTTGGAATCGCGACGTCAATGCTGCCAAAAACATCCATGATATTTTCATGTTTGCTGCAGTAAATGACAATCAAAGACCTGCGGTTTTCAAACGAGATTAGTTCCACTTTCATGTGTGATTGACATCACTCCTTCACACATACCTACAGTGTAAGTTGTAATATATTTATAAAGTATAACCAAAGGCCGAATGCTTACTGTTTCGACCTTATTTACTCAACTCACAATTCGGTAACAATTTGGGTAATCTCTGGTAAGTACGAATTTATAATAGAATTAATCTAAAATATGTTGATATTTTCTCTCATAAGTATACTTTATTTTTCCAAAGTTGCCTAGTAGTATTTCCGATTTTTTAATCGAAAAAAAACTGCAGATAGAGGTCGGGAAAAGGAAAAAAAAAACCCACTAATTCTTGGTGACTTGTTTTGACACCCAACCTTTCCTTTGCATAAAAAGGTATGCAGTGATATACCAATTTCAAAAACACATCGACATGACTTTTACGTGCTCTTTACAGTCAGAGTCAATCATACGAACGGTTCACTACCAGAATGTCATTGATATCGCACTATTCTGCACAATAGAGGTCAAGTAAAGCAGATACAGTCTATTCTTTTTCTTATAGTAATTGTCAAACGATGATACACCAAAATAACACTTTTTACATAGAATCGACTCGCACAGCGAAAATGTAGGTGTTGTCTTTTCTTTTACTTGGTCCAAGGACACTCCTCTGAGGCGGGAAAAAAAAAAAGAAGATTTTCTCGTACCCAGCGGAGAGTTTGGTAATTCTCCGTGTGTACGTGTGTGTGAATGTGTGTGTCTGTGGGGTGTGTCTGTGTTTGTGCACGACATTTTCCTGCAAAAACCAGTTCGTTGTTACGTAACGTTTGGAACATCTGAAAAAAAAAATATAAATTTATAAGATATTCCATTTTTTTCTCTCTCTATTCTTTCATAAACCCCTCTTCCTTTCAAACAAAACAAGCAAACAATGGTCTGCCAAAAATACTTTACTCTGTAAGTTGTTACACTTGTTGCTAATGAATAAATGGCGTAGAAAGATGAAAAGCTGACACTTTCGTTATCGGCTAAACTAGAAATAATGGTGCACAAATGCCCGCTGTCGGTTTGGGTACATGGTAAGGAAATCATATAAACGGTTGATAAGTAGGAAGTGTTTTCAAATCACATCTTTGACTCATTCCGTCTGCTCTCGTTCAGGCAATCTTCTGAAAAAGATGACACCGTCTATAAAGCAGTTAAGGCAGCTCTTGCTGCTGGTTACCGCCACATCGATACTGCCATGATGGTAAAATGAGCAGAGTAAAAAAGAATACAAATGTTTGATCCAATAGACTAAGGTTTATCATTCTCTTCAACTTCTTTTCAAAGTATGGCAATGAAGCTGAAGTAGGTCGCGGTATCCGTGATGGTCTTAAGGAAAATGGACTTAAGCGTGAAGATGTTTTTGTCACCACCAAGCTCGCTCCCATCGATGCTCGTCCAGAATACGTCCCTCGTGGTTTTGAAGATTCTTTCAAGCGTCTCGACATTGGTTACATTGATCTTTATTTAATGCACTGGCCTGTTGCCATGAACCCTGAGACGCGTCAATTATTTCCCTTGCGACCCGACGGTTCCCGTGACGTGGATGAAGAATTGAAAGGACGTTTTGAAATCACCTGGGAAGCTATGGAGAAGTTATTGGATACTGGTAAAGTCAAGTCAATTGGTGTCGCCAATTTCTCCATCCCTAACTTGGAGCGTTTGTTAAAGACAGCGAAGGTCGTCCCTGCTGTCAACCAAATTGAACTTCATCGTAAGTCCTTAACATGCTATGTGCTGACACTGGCAACTGGGTACTTAATCTCTCTTTCCAAAAATCCAATGGATAGCTTATTTGCCTCAATTCAAATTGGTGGAATTCTGTAAGTCTAAGGGTATTCATTGCTCTGCTTACTCCCCTCTAGGCTCCACTCAATCTACTTTGTTCGAAGATGAAACACTTGGTAAGATTGCCAAGTCTTATAACGTCTCCCTTGCTCAAATTTTGATTTCCTGGGGAGTTACCCGTGGCAGTGTTTTGCCCAAGAGCGTCCATCCAGAGGTAAAAATGCTTGAAAATTGTTTTGAAAATGGGGCAAAAACAAGGATGTGACTGACATAAATCGTATATTTGCTTCAAACAGAGAATTGCTTCCAATATTGAAACCGTTGAATTGAAGGATGAGGAAATTCAAGCTATCAATGACATTTCCAAGACAACCACAAAACGTTTCATCAGACCCAACTGGGGTGTACCTGTCTTTGATGAAGATTTCGAGTAAAAAGTGCTCTTCATCTACCAGCAACCTTGTAGAGTGAGCAATCCTTCTCTCACTCCATCGACAAACTGTATATCATTGATAATCAACAACCAAACATCTCTGTTACCCTCCTCATCTCTGTAAAATCTAACCAAAACCATAATAAAAGGAGAGCGGCTATATCTACTGTCTCTCTTTGTTTAAAAAACCAATCATAAACAATATAACAGATCGTATGCCAACACATAGGTTTTCAATGTATTTTACCATCTGACGAAGGTGGGCGCCTCAGGCTGTTAAATACACATTTTGGTAAAAAACGAAATGATTCAGCGATGTCAAAAAAAAAGGTCGCTTAAAAGGGATGTAAGCAGCAAAAAAATGAGGGGGAAGGGGAGGGTGCATTCGAAACAGGTTACTGGATTAGTTTTTTAATTTTCGGTGTCTCTTTTTCTCTCATTTTTTATCGCAACTCCACGGAAGTCCAGTCCAAGTGATTGTGCCAACTTTTCATAATTACTACAATTAAGCAAGCTTGTTATCATCTCGCGACAGACGATAAAAATTGATATGAGTTCAGCAACAAGAAAACAACCTGTCACAGTACCTTGTAAATACAAAACAGGCAAAATACTTGGTAATGGTACTTATGCCACTGTGAAAGGTAAAATTCTAATTCCTTAAAGTGTACAATGGATGAATGAGCGGGGTGGAAAGTTAGCAGTAAACATGGACGTGTTCAGCGGATGGTGGAGCATTATTGACACAGTACCTATGTCTTCTTTTCATGTAAACTGTTGTTCTGAATAGAGGCTATGCATGTAAGTTCTATCCATACATCAAAAACCGAAAAAAAAAATCCCAAGAGAGGCGTTGCTAAATGTTTAAGCGAACAAACCATTCTTGGTTTTCTTTTATAATACGTTATTAGATTGAAACGAAAAAATTCTATGCTGTCAAGATTATCAGTAAAAAACTCATGGAAGGTCGTGAACATATGGTTCGTAATGAAATCAATATTCTACGTAAAGTCTCTCAAGGTCATAAGAACATCCTGAGTCTGGTGGATTATTTTGAAACAATGAATAATTGTAAGTCGGTGAAAGCTTGAAGATCTATTTTTTGTATATAACTGACAGATCCTTCATACACTTTTGCTTTTTTTTATCATTTCAGTGTACTTGGTTACAGATTTGGCTTTGGGTGGAGAATTATTTGATAGAATCTGTCAAAAGGGCAGCTATACGGAACAAGATGCTGCTAATATCATTCGTACAGTATGCGATGCAGTTGCTTATCTTCATGATAATGGTGTTGTGCACAGAGGTAAATATCCATCTATAGAACAAATGACAAAGGCGCGTTGGGGTTTTTTTTACGCTTGGAATCCTGGAATCTTTATACGTTGTGGCTAACCAATTGACCTCCTTGCCGTGTAGATTTGAAGGTTTGCAATAGCGCAATGGATTGTACCTTTTAGAAATTCACTGTCTTTTTTCTAACCCACATCCTTTTTTTTTTCATAAATATGTAAATATGTTGGGTAGCCTGAAAATCTCATTTTCCGCACAGCTGATGAAGACTCTGATCTTTTGATCGCTGATTTTGGTTTGTCAAGAATTATTGATAGTGATAAATTTGATGTTTTAAGAACGACATGCGGTACTCCAGGGTATATGGTAGGAAAAAGTCAACAAGCACTTTCATCTTTTTTGTTCCAATGATATTTAATGCGCTTTGCTTTTTCTTAGGCGCCAGAAATCTTCAAAAGGACAGGCCACAGCAAACCAGTGTAAGTATTTTGAAATTTCGATTTACGGACGCGTGAAAGAGCAGTAAGAGAAGAGACATGTTTCATACTGATCGTTCTATTACTTAAAACATCATACAACTATAGTGACATGTGGGCGATTGGTGTCATTACCTACTTTTTATTGTGTGGTTATACGCCTTTTGAAGGAGGCAACAGCATTGAAGAAATGAGGGCTATTATGGAAGGGGAGTATTATTTCCACGAAGAATACTGGATGGAAGTATCAGATGTTGCCAAAGCTTTCATCGAACGTTGTTTGACTGTAAATCCTGAAGAACGTATCACAGCACATGAAGCATTACAACACCCATGGTTGTTGAGTAGCACTCATGTGGATAAAACGCAACAAGATCTTTTACCCAATGTGCGTCGCAACTTTAACGCGCGTCGTACCTTTAAAAAGGCAGTGGATCTGGTTCGATTATCTTATCAGTTGCGTCATAAACAGATGTTATCACAAGCAGCACAAACTGCGAGTAGTAGTAGTAGTAGTAGCAGTGATCAACCAGTAGATGCCTCAGAAGATGCCCATACAGCCGCAGCAGCAGCAACTGCTACTGAAGAAGAAGTGAAAATGGCAGAAAATGATATCAAACCTGTGAATGAAGGTATTGATCAAGTCCTAAAGACTGACTGATGAAACGAACTTGTAGCGATAAAAGTGTATACATCGGGATAAACGGATACACTAAATCACAAAACCAAAAAAAAAGATAAACTGTAAATCTTATGTCGATTGTAACACTTATACTTGGAGCATTTATAAAGGGCTCAAAAACTAAACCAAATTCTTTCTCATGTGCTTCATGTTTTTGTCATCACTTTTACAAGAAACGAAGCACTATAGAATTGTTGCATGATGAACATCGGCTTTCATGGCTCTCAGTTGTAGGGAAAGAAAAGGGAGGGCGTGGGGAGGGTGACTGCAATCAGAGCCGTTTCGAAATGTAATTAAGGAGGTTGAGTTACTTTTCTAAAGTACAACCGATAGTCATTGATTTTCAGTACTTAGCCGAGACGTTGTCATATGTCTTAAAGCAAAGGAGGTGGGAGAACAAAGCTTGTTCTGAACTTTTGCTGATAATTTGTCTAACTTGCCTGATTTTGTTAAAATGTTTGTTACCCTGTATCTGTTATTATAGCCATTTTATATAAAAACCCCTTAGTTCTATCTTTCTTCTCTCTCTTTTTTTTTTTTCTTGAACTTCTCCAGCATTCATTATACCCTCTCTTTGCTGTTGACTTGTACAATTATTATACATCTATTTTGTTATTTTTTATTTTTCATTTTTCTGTGATATCCTTTACCAGAGAGTATAGTCCTACTTGACATGATTGGGAAAAAGATGAAAGCACCAAGCCGTGCATTAATTTTCAAACGAACAAATTGTACCAATGACAATAGCACTACAGGCGCCGCGATGTACCGTACTAAAACCGATGAAGGGACGCTCGGCATTGATGAACTATTGTTAGCAAAACTAGGTTACAAACAAAGCCTTAATCGTCAATTATCCATGTTTTCAAATTTCGCTATATCATTTGGATGCTGTTCAGTATTGGCCGGCTTACTGCCTGTGAGTTAGTAGTGCTGTTATCCACCATTACATGTAACCATGGGGATTCTTCGTTGGCTAACCATTTATTGTTTTTGATCTGATTTTCTACTTCGATCGGATGCTATTTAGATGTGGGGAACAACATTATTGACTGGTGGAACGTCAGTATCCATATGGGGCTATTTAGTAGTAGCTGTCTTGACGCTAACGATCGGATCCAGCTTGGCAGAAAGTACGTATTTAAAATTATTCAATTCATCTGAACATTTGGGGACCACGATGGACGCTTACTATTTCGTTGAACTTTTGTAAAGTCTGTAGCGCATTTCCAACAACAGGCGGTTTGTATTATTGGACAGCACGGTTATCGGATTCTGAATGGGTTCCGTTCATGTGCTGGATAGTTGGTAAGAAAAGCAAAAATGGCCCGATAAATCGGTAAATCCAAACAATTCATATGCATCCTGAAACTCAAATATCGTTTTGTTCATGTTACGAACTTTGTAGGTTACTTTAATTGGTAAGGGAATGACTTTTTTTTTTGTGCCTCTGGTAACAAAACATACAGTCTTTTACTATTCTCATACTAAACTTTTGAATTCTCGTTTGCTCGAATGGATTACAATATGGACTAGGCTTAGTTTAGCAGGTAAAGTAGATGAAACTGTCAAACGAGTAGCGTCATGTGTAATACAAGAAAAAAAAAAGAAAGAAAGAAAGAGATAAAAACAGAAGCACATAGACAACCATGATCTTATACTCTAGAATATTCAAATTGTCTCCTCCCTCATCAACATAGTGGCTGTTTGTTCGGGTGATCTTGGTATGGCAGGCTTCCTAACATCAGCTATCTCTGTTGCCCATCCTGAGTTTCAGACAACACGCACCATTGATTATGGTGTGTTTATTGCGATATTATTTCTACACGGTTGCATCAACACGTTACACGTCAAATACACAGGCATCATCAACAATCTTTCTGTATGGTGGCATATGATGGGCATTATGTTCATCGTGGTGGTAGGCCTCGCATTGACACCGAATAAACCATCGGCTTCTTTTGCTTTGGGCCAAACATACAATGCTTCCGGATTCAAAAGCGACGGTTATGCTTGGTTGATTGGTTTGCTGCAAGCTCAGTTTACATTGAACGGGTACGATTCAGCGGCTCACGTAAGTGAGGAGACACGGTCAGCCCAAAAGAGCTCCCCAAACGGAATTGTCATGGCAATCGCTGTGTCGGCCGTGGCAGGCACCATCCTGATGATCGCTTGCGCCTTTATGATTCAAGATTTTGAAACGCAAATAGTGCATTCGAAGTTCAGTATGCCTATTACTCAGGTCTTTCTCGATGGAACAGGAATGGCATGGACCATGTGGTTTCTTGTCATTATTCTCGTGGCTATGTTCTTTGCGTAAAGTCCTTTTCTCTTTCCTTTTATTTTTTTCTCATGATGACATGCCGTTAGACTTATTTTATCCGTCCATACGTATTTTATTTTAAATAGAGGCACAGCTGTGGTCGTTGGTTCTTCCCGCCAAACCTATGCTTTTGCTCGTGATGGTGCTATGCCCTTTTCGAAATGGTTGGCAAAACTAACGGATGACAAGGTTCCTGCCAATGCTGTCTGGTTCAACATTATATTTTCTGCTATCCTCGGTATTCCCTATATGTTTAGTGAGGTTGCTTTTGAGACAATTGTTTCCATCAACACTATTGCGGCGAGCATTTCTTACTTTATACCGATCTACTTGCGTATTACAATGGCGAGGGGACGATTTGAAAAAGGTCCTTACGATATGGGTAGATTCTCAATTCCTTGTGGTCTTATTGCATGCGCTTGGATTGTATTCACATCCGTTCTATTCGTCCTTCCAACAGTAAGCTAGAATGTTTTCTCTTTTTTCGCACTCATAGGTCTATGCTGAGTTCCTAGACTCCCGTTTCTTAATTGGTTTTTTTTTTTCTCCCTCTTATAGCATTGGCCAGTAACACCGACCAATATGAACTTTGCTATCATTCCTGTCGTCTTCATCATCGGTCTTGCTACGATTGTTTACTGTGTATCAGGTCGAAAATGGTTCACAGGACCTATTCGCGACATTGATAGCGAGACGTTGCGCGAAGAGAATGGCGTGACCATTAGCGAGCCTGGAAGAATCACTGTTCTCATGAATGAACATGGCGAAGAGGAAACCCTCCATATCACCACAGGCAAAGTTACAGGTGGCAGGGCAGAAATAAGCGTGGATTAGAGTCCTCATTGTCTTACCAGCAGCAGTGACTCAACATTCCCCTTTTCTGAATCTGGGCCCTTTTTCTTTTTAATCTAGTCTTTTATCATAGAGCCTCGTCATTCCATTGTCAGCATTGTCCTTCCTTCTCTTTCTTTTCTTCGTCATCTGTACAACTACTAATCACTCAAAAATAAATCATTTTATTCTTTCCAGAATCATTAGAAGTCTCTGATGCTTATAAGATAGATTAGGCATTTGCTGTTACACGTAGAATTACAGTTTGACCACCTTTTATGCACGCAAACTATCTTTTATCCATGTGCAACCAGAAACGTTATACCCGAGAGCCTATTCCTCTGGCCCTCCTCAATTATTAACCGGATCAAAGTAGCCATTCGTTGTGAGACGTACGCGTTAGATATCGATGTTCAATCTCATTTACGCAACGGCTAAAAGAAAATAGACGTTTGTTTATCTGTCTTTTGGTACTCCCTTTACCCCACCCCCACCATCATAGAAAGAACCCCAAGAAACTCTTTTATGTTTATAGAAGTAATATCTACAAGATAATTAGTAATTTATAGAAAACTCTATAATGAAAGGTTTCGTTCTGTTTGAGTTTCATCAAAGACAAAAATTTACTCCACAGCGACACTTTTACCCCGCATTTATAAGTTTTTTGCCTGACTTTCAATTGGAGGCTTAACTTACCGTCAGAAAAAAACCTCGCCTATTACAATAAGAGAGTTGGTCATACTCATTGGACAACGGCACGGCTTATTAAGAAAACCGAATGTTGGGTTCATATAGGATACTGTTACTGTTTCAACGGAAGCATTTCCTACTATAAAGATTTGGCTGGGGAAGAAGGAAATGCTCGTTGTGATCCAACTTGATTAAAATTAAAAAAGAAACGTTTCATGAAAAAAAAAATTTGGCTTTGGATAAAAGTTACACCTTTTTTCGGCTCAAACAGTTTTTTTTTTTATGAATGGAAAGAAAGGTTAAAATTGATTGGCTAATCCTCATTTGTCCTCTTGCCTGGTAGAAAAAAGAACAATATGACCTTTCGGATTGATTTCTAAATTAAGCTGGCGAAAATGCTCCCCCGCCCTTCCTTCTCAAGCTCCGACTCACCATTTAAACCATGCTTATATAAACATTCGAGTTCCTGTCAAAAAAAGCCTTTCTTTTCTACTTGATCACACTCTTTTGTAACCCCACTTTTTTAAGTCTTGATTTACACTATCCCTCTTCAACAAAATGGCTTCTGTTAGTGCTGCTTTGAAATCAAGAGTTCGTCGACCACAACTGTTGAAGAAAGTGATGACACCTGAAGATACTCTTTCTTTCTTTAAAAACGGACAGTAAGTGAAAGAGGACGGACGGAAAAGAGGGGTGGTGTGAGATGATGTGATAGGATGTGGTGAGGTGAGGCGTGGAACGCGTTGGTTATTAGTAAGCTCATTTATATTTTCTTTTCTAGATATCTTGGTTGGTCTGGCTTTACAGGCGTTGGGTATCCTAAAATGATTCCTGTTGCCTTAGCTGAGCACGTTGAGAAAAACAACTTACAAGGTCAAATGAAATTTAACCTCTTCGTTGGTGCCTCCTCAGGTGCTGAATGTGAAGATCGCTGGGCCCAATTAGATATGATTGATCGTCGTTACCCTCATCAAGTGGGTAAAAATATCAAGAAGGGTATTAATGAAGGGCGTATTCGATTTGCTGATAAGCATCTTTCTATGTTCCCTCAAGACCTTCTTTATGGTACAGTTGAAATTCATTATGTCTTTAGGTAGAAGAAGGGCTGTGGGGCTGTTCTTTCGTTGATGCTCTTCTTTTGTGCGGAACCCTTGCCCAATAAGACATAGTAACTAAATCTCTATTATTTACAATTAATTAGGTTTTTATACGAAGGATAAACCCAACAACAAGCTGGATATCGTTATCGTCGAAGCAACTGCTATCACTGAAGACGGCTGGATTGTTCCTGGTGCTTCTGTGGGCGCTACACCTGAATTGATTCAAATGGCTGACAAGATCATTATTGAAGTCAATACACGTATTCCTTCTTTTGAAGGTCTTCACGATGTCAATTTGAGTACTGTTCCTCCCAACCGCAAGCCTTACTTAATCATGAATGTAGAGGACAGAATCGGATCAGTAAAGTATTACAAATGAGCTGAAAAGGGTTAACCATCCGTGCGTGGAACCTTATAATTTTGACAGGCTATCCGATCTAACTCGAAAAATAACTCAACCTCTCTATAGACTGCCATCCCGATTGATACCGATAAAGTCATTGCTGTCGTTGAAAGTAATAGACCTGATAAAACTGGCCCTAATACACCTGCCGATCATAAATCAGAAGCGATTGCCAATCACCTTATTGAATTCCTCGAATATGAAGTCAAGAAGGGCCGTCTTCCTGAAAACTTATTACCTCTTCAATCAGGTATTGGTAATATTGCTAATGCGGTTATTGGCGGTCTAGCCAAGTCAAAGTTCAACAATGTTACAGTGTAAGTCCAACCTTTTCTGACCAGAAAGATAAAGTTACACGAATTGGGAAAACGACGGGAGAACAAGGGTCATGGCAGGGTTTTGTCTTGTACAAAAAAAAAAAAAAAAAAAAAAAGAAAAAAAAAAGAAACCCACCAAACTCATTGAATTGCAAATCGATAGGTATACTGAAGTGTTACAAGATACCTTTTTGGAATTCTTTGATTCCGACAAGCTAAAATTCGCCAGTGCTACTTCGATCCGCTTCTCCCCTGAAGGCTTTGATCGCTTCTATGACAACTGGGCTAAATACAAAGATAGACTTCTTTTGAGATCTCAACAAGTCTCCAATCATCCTGAGATCATCCGTCGTTTAGGCTGTATTGCCATGAACACACCTGTCGAGTTTGACATGTACGGCCATGCTAACTCTACTTTAGTTTGCGGCTCTGGTATGTTGAATGGTCTCGGTGGCTCTGGTGACTTTTTACGTAACGCCAAATTGAGTATTATGCACACACCTTCTACTCGTCCCTCCAAAATCGATCCCAACGGTGTGTCTTGTGTTGTGCCTATGGTGTCTCATGTCGATCAAACAGAACACGATTTAGACGTCTTTGTCACCGAACATGGTTTAGCAGATCTTCGTGGCTTGTGTCCTCGTGAACGTGCTCAATTGATTATTGATAAATGTGCTCATCCTGAATATAAGCCTCAACTCCAGGACTACTTTGATATGGCTACTAAGAAATGCCTCGCTGCTGGTAGAGGTCATGAACCTCAAATGCTCGATAAGGTCTTCAAAATGCATACCAACTTGTTAGAAAATGGTACCATGAAGCTAGACTCTTGGTAAGAAGGGCCTGAAAAGACCCTTTTCAACTTTTTTATTCACACTATGTAAATATCATTATAATATAAATATACAAATATATGTCAACAGGGGAGGAAGGATCATCAATTAGAGAATTTCTTTGTGTTCACCAATCCAAATCCCTTTCATCACTTCAGCACCCTTTTTAGATATTCAATTGTATTAGATCATCTTTCATTGTTAACGAAAAACCACTTTACCACCGTTCATCTAGCAACACCTGTATTATACGCTTAGTAAACCACTTTAATCATTTATTACAATTACAGTGTCATCAATGTCTTTCTAGATGCATTTTAATATTATGCCATTGGACATTTTTTAATGGGAGCCTCAAAATTTTTGCATTACTTTCTTTTTTCCTTCATGTACTACTATCAAATTGTATGGAACATAGTCCACAGAAAAGAAAGGTTTTCGACAAAGAAATCACCATAGAGCGATTCAATAGTCAGAAGCGACCCCGTATAGACGAGACTGATGGAAATGATGATGTAGCTGATGTAGAAGGGACTATGGATGATGAAGAGATCAAGCAATTTTCGTCCGATCAACGAATAGCAACTCCTGATGAACCTACTTGTGTTGTTTGCGGAAAATATGGGGAATATATTAACGATGACACGGATCAAGATATTTGTAGGTAAACGAACAAAAGTCTTAAAAGAGATATTCGAAATCTCAATATACGACCTCTCATAAATAATTTATTTTTTCTCGTATTAGCTTGGAATGTAAAGCAATCAACTCGGATTTACATGCTCATCGTTTGAGGAAATCGAAACAAACGTCGCAACCTACCATCATTGGCCATATACACGACTATGTTGCAGAAAACGTGCATGCAAAATTAACAAACTATCAAGAGCCAGTGTCGATAGCCCATCAAAATGCGGAACACGTCAAGCAAATGTTACAAGCACATGATATTCACGTCAGAGGCTCTCACATACCCAAACCTTTTACCACCTATGACCAACTTGAACCTGTTCTAGGCGCCAAACTACTGCAAAATATCGAATCGCTTGGATGGTCGATGGCAACCAGTGTTCAACGGCAAGCCGTTCCTATCGGTCTTGCTGGAAGAGATATGGTGGTGATTGCCCCCACTTACTCTGGTAAAACAGCCGCATTTCTGATACCCCTTCTTGTTCACTGTCAGTCACTTTCTGAAGTGGATCACCATAAACGACGAGCAGGGCCTTACGCTTTGATTATGACGCCCACGCGAGAATTATGTATCCAGATAGAAAACATCTGTAAAAAACTAGCCATTGGTCTCAGAAATATACGTACAGCTTTGTTGATCGGCGGTCAACCGATGGCAAACCAACTGTATCGATTAAAACAAGGTGTACAGATCATTGTGGGCACACCGGGTCGTATTTTAGAAATGCTAACGTATCATCCCAAGTTGGTACGAGCGTGGAGAATACGAATGATGGTTCTGGATGAAGCTGATGCAATGTTTCATTTAGGCTTTGCAACCCAAATACGACAGATTCTCGGTAAATTCCCTGATACAACAGTAAGGCAGACAAGTTATTTCTCAGCTACGGCTGTAATTGACGATAAATGGATGCAAGGACTGATGCGACGGCTCAGGTCACCTGTGGAAGTGACCGTAGGACAAACTACGGCTCGTTCTACCACTACGTCTACCACGACTACTGCAGCAGCCATAACAGAAGCAAAATTGCCAGAAATGACAAATCAAGTTCGACAAACCATTCTATGGGTGGAAAACAAGAGTAAATTTAAGCGATTGTTATCCATTTTGCAAGACCCAAAATACTTTGTAGTACCTGTATTGGTCTTTGTGGAAAGTCGGTTGGGCGTTGAGTTTCTGACAAGGGCAATAAAAAAGAAATATGGACATATTAAAGTTATCTCAATGCATGGGGACAAAACGCAGGAAGAAAGGGCCATGATCATTGCCGGTATCAATCAGCCGGAACCAGCGTGGGATGTCATCATTTCAACAGATATACTAGCTCGCGGGATGGATCTACCCTCTGTGAAGCTGGTCATCAATTATGATATGCCGGCAACATTGACTGATTATACACATCGTATAGGCAGAGCTATTTTGCAGAAGCCACTGCCAAAGAATTCAAAGCAACAGAGAGGTTGGGTCATTACATTCATCAATAAGGAGCATGAACATTTATTACCATCAATTGCTGCTATTCTGGCTAAAAAGTCACCGGCCGAAGTGACGCCTTTGCCAGCAGAATTGAAGCGATACCTTAAATAATTATCATTACCCTTTTACGTTACGCAAAAACTGATCTACCTTTTTTTTGTTTCGTTTGCAATAACATTATTTATTGATAAACATTGTATTGGCTTATCAGTATTCTTGCCAATGACAGAAGCTGAATCTTCGTTTTCAAATTGTATTTTTCAAAAAAAGATAAACCTTGAAAATGTTATGAGCCCTTTTTTATAAGGAATCTGGGCAGTTAGAGTACATCCCAATTCTTGATTGTTCTTCATCCTTCCTTCGCAGTTTGGAATTCCGCTGTCGACCGACGCCTTTTTACCCAGAAAAAACTTTTTTTTTTTTTTCTTTCACCTTCCATACGGCGTTTCTTCATTCCAACAACTCATTCCTCCATCATTCCTAGCATTTATTTCAAAGAACTCATACTGTAGTATACAATAATGACCCGTAAGTATGAAAATGAAGATAAAGAAAGAGAATTCTATAATTTGTTAAATTTCCGAAGTTTGTATTAAGTCAGTATTGAACGGCACAAAAAATCATAATAAAATACTCGATATGTAGGTGGCAACCAAAGAGAACAAGCTCGTGCAAAGAACTTGAAAAAACAACAAGAAAAGAACAAAGGAAAATCCAATTTGAATGGACAAACATTGACAAAAAAGAAAGAAAGGTAAAGGAATATACCAATACACAGAATAAGAAAGGGAAACTGAGGATATTTTATGAGGAACCGTATATTGATTGTGTCAATTGCTGTTTCTTAGTGATGCTGCGATCATGCGTGCTAAGCAAGAAGCTGCTGCAGCAAAGAAGGCTGCTGAAGCAGCTGCTGGAGCGAAGAAATAATACCAATTCTATGTTTGTAGATGAATTACTACCTATGGTTAGAAGTTGATAATAAAAAATGCCAGTCCGTTTGCTGTTGTTGTGTATAAGTGTCTGTATTTATACTATATGTATATACATATTTGAATTCATCAGTAGGATTTCATCTTATACGCTCAGCACATTTGGAACTTGATTTAGTAGAAAGGAAAATGAGGTTATAAAAGGCATTTCAGGACACACCATCAGGCAACTGCCTATCGAGTTTTTCTTGATCTCTGAAAATTAATCTCCGCTCGAGCTCAATTTTACTGTGTTTGGCACGTTTTTTTTCTTTCTCTTTTAAACAAGAACGTCCTTGCTCTCTTCTCGCCTCTTCTCTTTTTTTTTTTTTTTTCCTCATTCTTCAGATGGCAATGTTAAAATCGTTTCATAAAAGTGCGGAAAAAGAAGAAGAGAAACCTGAATTGGGGAAATGCAAAAGTAAGATGAGCTTTGTTCGTCCCAGTGTAGCTATTTTCTTCTTAACTGTTAACATAAAAGATCAACCTTTTTCATATTGTTCTGGATTTCAAAGTTATTCTGAACGTTTATGATATGGTACCTTGGTTTTCTGTTATATCTTTTTTTTTTTTTTCAGTAGAAGTAGAGATACTGAGTCATATTCTCCTTATCCAGCTACAGCCGAGTTTTATTACGAGCTTAGGCCATTTTCTCGGAATAGGTAAATAGTATTATATTTTTGAAAGGCTGCATTAAATTTCTCAACTGCTCTGAATCAAAGCTTATTGAAGTAATTCAAACGAATAATGATCATGCGATTGTGTAGGAATATATCATTCCGGTATAGAGATTGGAGATAATGAATATTGCTTTGGTGGACATGATTATGAGGATGTTACAGGTGTTTTTATTGTGCAACCGAGAACCGGTCCTCAAGGACTCACTTTCAAGTAAGGTTTATTTTACAGCAACAAGGAGAAGGAGGAATGTCTTTATTGATTTTCTCGATCTGTATACTTTGTACACATTACTAGACAGTCGATCAATATGGGCTTCAGCAATCTATCACAGAATCAAATCGAAAAAATTTTGTACGATATATCTCGAGAATATGTCGGCACTTCTTATAAACTGTTGACAAGGTATGAATAGAGCGAAAATTTGAGTAAAGTAAAAAAAAAAAAAAGAAATTGTTAGTATACATGTGTATTAACAGTTAATTAAATCTTTATCTTGGTAGAAATTGCAATCATTTCTCAGAAGATTTATGTAAAAGACTAACGGGAAAGTCGTCTCCCCGTTGGATTAATCGTGCAGCGAAACTTGGCACCATGTTTCCCTGTGTCATACCCACAGAATGGGTCGATCCGCCTGATGCCGTTAGCGCTGTCGGTAAGTTAAATACCTGTATGCGATCCATTTCAAAGATGGAAAACCGTTATATGTCCTTGTTCTCATCCTTCTTTCTTTTCATGGTTTTTTTTTTCGCATTCATAGCGCCTTCAGATACAGCGGGATCACCATCATCCTTATCTTACTCATCCAGTACTCCTCTGCACACGCCAAAATCAAAACGAGCAAAATTAAAGAAATCAAAAACTTCTACGACTGTTGCCCCAACTACCTCTACAGCAACAAGATCAGCTGCCACTACAGATGCAACTGCTATTAGCACGTTTGATAATCAAACCGAGAAAATATCTACCGGTGAAAGGGCCACAAACATCACCTCTACTGAGGAAAAGCCAAACGATAACAAAACTACAAATTCTCTTAATAACAAAAAGAGCAATAGTTCACTTGATACCTACATTAAAAGGTTTTCGATATCATCGTCTCGTCGACCTTCCGGCACCGAAAGCATTCGAATTGCTCGAACAATTATTATAGAAAATGATGAGCCTGATAGTTCTACTCCAGTCAAAGAGCCAGATACCCATAGATCAGATGTCATTCGATCAGCAACTCAATTGTCTATTACTGCACCTATTGACTGGTAATTTACTTTTTTTTAGAGTTACATTATGGTTTAACGCACACCTTTCCTCCCCCTTTTTTTTTTCTCTATACTATACAACAACAAATTATACATTGTATTCCCTTCTAAAATATCCAATCGTTATTACCCTTATCATTACTAACATCACTACCAATCCAATGTAAAAACTCAATATTTTATGTTTATATCCTTCTTTCTAATAATACTAGTACTCAGCTACCACAGTTGTAGATACAAATATTGTATAAAGTAATCTGCTGCATCGATGCACAAACTCAAATGATGAATTTTGCTACTATGCAGTCAAGAAGTATATTTATGTCTGTGCACGACATTTGCAATTTTTATTCTCTTGAAGTTATAATACATGTTCTGCTTATATATTTTTAAATATGGTTATATCACAAATGCTATTAGTGGTTCATAGGTGTTGTAGTGGTAGGAGATAGAGTTGTATTATTAGGACTTGCTGTAGTAGATACTTGATTGTGATCATCAGATGTAGTGGTAGATGACAATGATACGGCAGAACGATTGCGTCGTAAAGGACTGGATTCTTTCAATAAAAATGATATCCATGCGTCTGTAAAAGACTATATGATCGCCCAAACACATTTTTCAGTTTTGTGTGTATTCAAATTTTACTAATAGAGCTGCAGAGTAGAACTTACTTCTTTTTGTGGCTCAATGGTAGGTGAGACAGGCGTTCCTAGCGGAAGATGATGGTTGGCTAAAGAACCGTTTTTGGGCCTAATTAACCCCACTTGCTCCTTTTGTTCGTCTGTTAGTTGTAGTACACTAGCTATGATGCTCAAAATATCATAACGTTTACGATCTCCCCTGGGCGCATTGAAAAAGCCAATTAATAGGTTCGTAATCAACTGACGATCCACATTGCTTTCACTGGCTCCCTCTTTTAATTTTCGCATAGCTTCGACCAAATGTTCATTCAAAATAATCGCCTCGTGGCGTAATTTTCCAATGAGGAGGTTCTTTTCTTTAATTTCCTGTTCATATTTTTCTGCTCTGCCTTCATTTTGTTGATATTTTGCAAGTGCAGTTTCAGCAGTATGTGCTCTTTCTTCGTACTCTGCCCATGCCTTTTTGGCCACTTCCAACTGCCGTGCAATATACCCTACAGCTGTTTGCATTTCAGCATCCTTTGTGGCTTGGAACTCTTCCAACACGGTCTGCAAATTGGCTAGACTTGCTCTTTCTGATTCATGCTCCTTTTTCTCAATTTCCATCCTAACTCGCAACTGCTCATATTCCGCCTGACTGCTTTCTATTTCTTCACGAAGTCTATGTAATTCAGCATCTAACTGATTATTCATCAACTCATATTCTTCTCTTTCTTGCTGCACGCTATCTAATCGGCTGGACAGTTGAGCAATGACATGATCCTTCTTCTCGATTTGATGAGAGTTTATTTCATCACGCGTCAACATATCTGACCGGCAGCGTTCAAGTTCATCTTTGGCCTCATCCAATTGTTTACTGAGCTCACTGACACGTTGACGCAGCTGTTTATCTTGTTCTAGTCGAGGAGTGAGTGTTTCTTTAATGTGGGAAAGCTTGCTCAGCAAGCTTTGATGTTCTTTACTCAATTGTTTTTCTCTGCTCTCAGATTCCTCTTTGGCCTTTTCTGTTTTGGCTAGTGCTTCTTCTAGTTCTGTAACTCTTTTCTGTAGACTGTCTACCTGTTCCAATTGAGATTCAATTTCTTCCTTCTCAGAAATAACCTTCTCTTTTTCTTCATTCAAATCATTAATGGTGATATTCAAGTGTGTAATCTGGCGTTTGAGATCTAGTTGGGCAATTTTTGAATGAGTTTGGTTATATCAACAGACCCATTGGCTGAAGGATTGCTGTACCTTTTTGCGCTTCTTCTACAATTGATCTGTTTTTATCAGATGCCTTCTTTAATTGTTCCTGTTGCTCCTGTAACGTATCCTGAAGCTGTTTAATAAGTATAAGGATAGAAGGTGGAATACTACTATCAATGGTTCCATTTTCAGGATCTTTTAAAATGCTTTCTAGTGCGCTTCGAAATGCTGGTATATGATCTTCTGATTTCAATTCTATTTTGATATTTGGTTACTTTAGCCACTACTTATCGAAAAGCGCTATTGATATTGAAGGCCCTACCTTCTAACTGTTTTTGCAGTTCTTCAATCCTTTCCTTACACTCTTCGTGTTTTTTGTCTATGATAATAGAATATTGAATCAGGATATCATCACATGTGCATATAGGTATGTTATGATTCATCCTCTACCGTCTTTTGAGCTGTCTGCTTCAGTAAACGTCTTGAGTTTCTTTTGAACTGACTTCAGATAAGTATCTAACAAATTTGCTGTTGACACATCTGGTATATTCCGTTTTTTATTCCCTTTCCCTTTACTGTTGTCTTCATCAAATGTGTCTGTTATTTCTTCTATCAATTCGACTAATTGGCGCACTTCTTTTTGGTGTCCCTCAGTGACCAATTTCAACTCTTCTTCCAAAACTTTCATTTTTGACTGCAAGGTATCTTCCTCTCCTTTGTATTTCTTCTCTAATTCATTACGCTCAACTACTGTTTTCTGGTACTTCGCCTTTTCTTCATTCAACGATTTTGTTAAATTTCCATTTGCTAGTGTGAGTGATTTAAGATGAGTTCCAGCTTGAGTCAACTTTTTCTGGAATTCAACAACAAGTGCATGTTCCTTTTCAAGTTTCTTCTCAAGCTCTTGAATACGTGTCTTTGACGATTGAGGATTCTCTGCATTGGTCTTATATTTTGGCTCATTCTCAACAGCCGCAAGTTGCTTATCTTTTGTTTCTATTAAAAAAAAGGGTCGGAATAGTGTACTTATAAATTTCAAGGAACTCCATCCATTATCGAATGGAAAGGTTACCATCTTCAGTCGCACTGGTTGACATTCTAATATAAGTCCTTTAGACGTAGAAGATGCTTCTATTTCAACACTGTTTATTTGTTAAATAATTGGAGATAGGTATAGTTCTTTGAAAGTACAGAATTAATAATGACCTTTGTGCACGTTGCTGTGGGCCGAGGAAAGATACGAAAGGTGCATTATTTCTGGAGTCTGTTTTAGATCTTGCTTTTTGTAGTTGCTCTCATTTCCAAATAAAGCAGCCAACAATTGGATGGGCCAATTAGAATAATGCCACGTGACTTTAGTATTTTTGTTTGTTATGATTTTTTTGTTTTATTACAAAAAATGTAAGGAGCTATGGCCCAATGGATAAGGCGTCTGACTACGAATCAGGAGATTCCAGGTTCGACCCCTGGTAGCTTCGACATTTCTTTTTTGTTCTCGAATTCTTTCTGGTGCCAACATAGAATGCTTATCATTTTGATGAAAGTTCAGGTGCGACATGAAATCAGATATTCATTATGTAATTTCGCCCATTCATCTATAGCTATGCTTTATTACTATCATTAGTTTCCGTTCGATACGTAAAGACGGTTTAAATCTTTTTTTAGAACAAATAATAACGTCGTGCTTACTATAGATGGGATACTTCTCTGAGAAATTCGATGGTATCTTGCTAACTTTTCTCCAAAGTCTTCAAATGCAAATCGAATTGTCGTCACAACCTAGAAAACATTACAATAATCGTATAATCCAATATTTAGAAGTATATAGCTAATAGTCCTGTAATAGACATATAGACACAAATCAAAATATTTGAAGAGTGTCTGGTATTTAAATAGAAGAGTTTCAACAATAATTACAATAATAAGTAAACATCAAGGGATCTTGTAAAGCAGAAGTTTGATATATCTGACGAAAGAAACCTTCAGAAATGATACCAAGTGAAAGATAAATTTGACACAAATTTTAATCGCTTGTCGAGTACAAATATGTATATTTTTAAGAGACAGTAGGAAACTCGAGATGAAAAGATATACCAAAGTAACTATAAAATTATTTCGTTGAGCCAAAAGATGTATTCATATACGCTAAAATGTTTTGCACAAAATATTCATACGCGTTAGAGTGAGCTTAGTTCTAGATCAAAATAATCGAAGAGAAAACGGGAAATGACATCTGTAGTATTTCTCTGATGACTAGAAGTTAGATTTGATATACTGTATATAACTATGCGTCACAAAAGAGGAATTTTTTTGGAGTCGAATCACTATTTTCATACAAGTATATCTTAAGTTACGCAGAGTTTATTAACTCTATTCCAAAGTAAAAGACATATAAGAAAGAGTAAAGATGATTTGTGCTGTGCACTAGGTTTGAAATCAATCTCTCGTTGAGAGCTTTATACCTCGTAGGAAGAGATTAAATAGCATTGTAAGTTTGATTGAAAGCGCTATTCAATATGTCTGCCCTTTTTTCAATAGGTATAATGAGCAGAGAAAATGATTCTATTTTGGATCCTTATTTTTTAATACTACGTGTTCGTGATACTCGTATAATATTTGCTTTCCTTATGGTAATTTAATCTTTGCTATAGCATCAGTATACTTCATCAGTTGACACAAATCCAAATGATTTACTTGTACATAGTACAACGGAATCTGGTGTCTCAATCCCACTCGAAAATAGTAAATCAACAGCTGCTTATTTAAGGAGTAGATCATGCTAATGCATCTTATCACATCGATAGCATAATTTTTTTATATTTTTTTATTTTATTTTATTTATTTATTTTTTTTTTTGCATGGTTGATCTTCTGTTATTTGCATTGTCACATATTAAATAATCTCTCCACAAGGGTCAATTGCCAAAATTATATTGCGTTTTAGCTTCATTTGATTATTTTGCTTGAATATATCTTATGCATAGCGGGCTTATACAGTAAATATCAGTTTGCCAAGCGGTCATTTTTATTTTTGATTTTTGCAAATAGATCACAGTCTCAAAATGTATTTTTTTTTATGTATCCTGTTCTACTTGTTTAACATAATTTGTGATATTCGCTAGTTTTATGTATAGGATTCAAAATAAATAATAGCACAAAGGAAACTAAACACGAAAGCTTAACAAGATCAAACCACCGTCTTATTTCTCTTTCAAAGCAAACTAAAGAAAAAGAAAAGAAAACTAAGATTACTGCTATTAATAAATATTTATACTGTTTGCTGTCTGCGAAATGGTTGTATCAGGATCTATAGCTGACACTGATGTATTTTGCTTAAATAAAAATGAATGAATCAGAGGCTTCCGTAAAAGAATAGGTCTCCCCTTTAAGTGAATAATTACTCGGCCATCCCAGAGCGGACTGATTTGTAATGTGCTATCCTGGCAGATCTAGGGTGTTTGATCATGCATCTACATCTATAATCCAATATCTATCAGCCACCAATTGTGTAGCTCAAATGTTATGGGAATGATTATAGATGCTAGCTAGGAAGAGATATTCGTGCGTAGTGTTCTTTTGATTGCATGAACAGTTGTTGTATTAATAAAGAGTAATTGAGCCTTTTTATCTCCAACCATACTCTATTTCCAGAGCAGGGAGCAGTACCGTGACCTTCTATGCTCTGGTTGTTGAATCAATATATTTTACGAGTACATATACCCATCCTGCTATATACCTAAACGTCATATAGCCATAGATAATCTAAATATATTTCATAAGATAACCTGTTCAGTTCTTATGTGAGGTAGCTAATCTCACATAAAGATTATCCTTAATCCAGATTCTTTTCTTATCTTATCTCTATTTATTATACATTTGATTTAAGGTTCAGATGTATGCAATCAAACACACCGTTACCGAACGGGAACGAAGATATGAGCAGTACTGCATATCTGAGATTACGTTTTAGTTTCTACATTTCGTTAGACGTTTTGAGTGATTTACTCATAATATATTGCCATCGTGCCTCGAATACGACATAAACAAAAAAAAAAAATAAGAATATGACATCATTATAAAGAATAATTGATTATAATATCTTTATTCAAATAATAATCGTGCAAGCGCACATTTTTAGAAATTGTAGTAAAAGAAGCAAAAATGAAATATAGACACAGGACAAGTATTAAACCGGGCTTTATTACAGTATTTTAACTAATATTTTAGATGAAATACATTTTTTTTTGGACGATTAATATTTTCATTTTAGATGAGTTGCAATTATGTTGTAGACCAAAATATAAACCGTTTAAACAATGATTCAAATTCCAAAAACTTGTTAGCAGTGCGAAACAAAAAAAAAAAAGAAAAAAAAACCGTACTATTCCTCACCTGTAATGATCTAAATCCTTGAAATACAAGGAAAACCGTGTTTATTACGGCGATTATTTCTTCTTCTTCGCTGGCTTGAAAATGTCGGGTCTTCCCGCTCCAGACCAAACTGCTTGGGATATAGTCATCATGTTGATAGCGGCGTTAATGTCTCTCTGCCATAGCTTTAGACATTGCTTGCAATGAAGAACGCCGGTACCCTTGAATCCAGGGGTATTAACAATTTGCATATCATCATAGAAACAGAGGCTGCATGTTTTAGAGGTTTTGAATTCATCGATTGTGACAACAATCAATTGACCTTCAGCTTCACGTTTCTTCAGAGTTGCAAAAAGTTTACCGACAACACCACATCTTTGCCCTTTCAATTTTACTACATCTTTTCCAAACATTCCAGCACCAAAGACAATCAATGGTACCCTTCTAGGGAATCCTGAGTACTTATCAGCCTTCCACTTCTTGTCACTTCTAAAAATTATCAATCAGCGCGTAAGCTAAACGATGAACATGTAATTCATTGATACTCACTTGATTGGCGGCTGTTTGTCAACATTCTTTCCTTTATTCTTCTTCTTCTGCTGTTTTTTCCTCTTCCTTGCCTTGCTTCTCTTTTTGCGATTGTACTTGGCCGTTCCATGAGTCAGCATGTTGGCCATAGTTTCGGGTGCTCTTTGCCTTCCTTGGTACAACGTAAACCGGTCCTTTGCTGTTTCATGTCCATAAAAACTAAAGAGAGCGTCTAAGTTATTGAGCATATAACTGGTGAACGCCTCATATACTCCTAGACGAGAGGTCTTTGACGAGGGGATTTGACTTTCTACTAGATCTATTCCTGTAACAGCTTTTATACTGTTCAATTTCTTACAATATTTCGTTGACCCTGCCATATGATAGTATTCGGATGTAGTGCATCTTCGCACTTGTCTGTTATATTCAAGGCCAATAGCAGCAGTAAAAACAGACTTTCTTCCGGGATCCAGGGTAATAGGTAAATAAGTATTGTCAACTTCATCCAGAGAGAAATCATCAAGAGTGAGGTCAAATTTTTGGAACGAGGCACCATGGCCAGATTGTTGTCTTTTATAAAAAAGAAAGTCAACTGAAAACCCATCCGTTCTGACAATATTACCAAAGAGCTCTTTGTTATCACCATTCGGTGTAAGTTCAGAGATACTACATGTGCCCAAGAAGTTAAACCTCATACATTATACTCGACTGCATACCGTATTAACTGTATGCTTACCTTTTGTACCTGAGTTTCTTGAAATCAAAGACATGGAAAAACAGCTCTAATTGGCTTTGGTAATTGCGGGGTAAAGAACGTTTCACAAAAGAAGACAGAGCGTTCACGCTCAAGGTAATGAACCTCCATTGAACGGAAACCTTTGGCAGTAAGGATAGCAATTTTGGAAGAGGACGTCGTCGTACGTCAAATGGTTTATGATCATCGTGTTCGCTCTCAAATTCTGCGTTCAAAGATAACAAAAAGGGTACGAAAGACCCAGGATCAGCAGATAATGTCTTCATGTTCACTTTCTTCCCCAGCTTCTTCTTCCAAGGTTCACAAAAGGTTTGGATCTTTGCTTTTATATCTTTGGTAAGGTAGTCATCAGTTGGCCATTTAGGTTTTCCTTGGCATATCTCTTGATAGCAGAAATCACTTGTGACCTTTTTGACAAGCTTCCAAGGCATACACTACGCAAGATGAGAGCTTTTTTTAAAATTCATGTAAGACCCCAAGTAATATTGAGTTGCAACTTACCACAAATGCCGTTTGTATTTTATATATCAAAAAATAGAGAAGTTTCTCCTCAAAATTTTCCACTATACTGTTCGTATAGGAAGTAGCAATTTCGGTGCATGCTTCTGTAATGGCTTGACTAAGTCCAGGAAAGAGCTTGATAGGGAAGACAATCTTAGGGTAAGTCGTTTTAAAAGAATCAAACGAGCTCAGTAATTGTTGTGATATCAGCCTACTATTTGTTGGTCTTTGTCCATTCACTAGCTGTATCATAGAGTACCAGAAATTTTGTGTAAAGATATATTTAATACACTTTGGCTCAGCAAGAGTGGCATTTTCCAAGACGTAATAATTCACAAAGAGCTTGGCTCTAAGAACCAAGTTTCGGATAACAGAACAAGCTTCAACAACTTTTGACTTGAATGTGTTGCGATAGTCACCAAAAACGCAGTTATCAAGAGGCAACCTTCTTGTAAACGCCTTGTAATTACTTCCCAAATGATGTTGAAAGACCTCTGCCTTTGATAATACATGTTGAGGACACAGAGGAGAACGCATCGATTTATGTCCTGGTTGCTTGCATTTGGTACAGCACGCATTGTCTTCATCTGGGTCTTCATTCTTCTCTGTTCTTGCTTTTTTCTTTTCTTTCTTGATCTCAAAGTTTTGTTTGCGTTTTCTGCCTTTCGAACCAACTATAGGTACAATGAAGTCGCTTACTAATGATGAATTTACCAACTTTTAAAGCCACATGAGGTGCTTACCTTGATCTGCAGTTTCCGGCTCATATAATTCACATTTAAAGTATTGTTTGGTGTAGTGACCCCCTTTACCGCAATCAATACACGTTACATCTAACAGTACACGATGATTAATCTATACATATATATATGATTAGGTAGATAGGCTTTCAAAAGGCAAGTTACCATTAACAGCACTTGATTTTTTCTTTTCAAAAATTTGCTTTTTCTTTTCATAAATTATTGTTTTGAACATGGGTCATAGTATGTATCTTAAAAACGTGAAATAAAAGTGAAAGAGACAACATTTGACTCTAAGAGAGCAATATATTTTATAGTGCTTATCTTTGAAAGTCACCCATGAACGCATACAAAAACATTGACAACAGTTAATATAACCATCCTGTTCCGCTATGGTATCTGTTATACTATGGCCCTCAGCCCTCTATCTATGGTTTGATGTCAATCAATTCAAAGTTAACCTTTTTTGGAATTCTTGTCCAAAAAAGGTACCAACGAATATCTGGTTGGGGTCTCGGAACACATCGTCATTTAGTAAAAAAGTTGTCAAGCTTTTTGTAGTTTGTCCTATTGCAAGATAACATCAATAAAACCATTATTGGCGACTTTCTTACTGATAGAGACTAATTTCTAGGGTTCGATTGTATGTCATCCTTAATGCTGCTTGAATATCACTGAATAATTGAGTATCCAAATATCCAAATACTATGGACTTTTCTAAAAATATTTTTTAATAAATCTAAAATTAAAATGTATATTGTTCATTAAAAATTGTAAATCGTCTAAAATATAAGGTAAAATACTGTATTCAAACATTACCGGAGAATGCATTTACAATCCGGATAATTTTATTTTTCCGATCACACCTTGGACAGTCACGTGAATTTACACACTTTTGGTATATAATATAAATTCAAAACTCACAAAATGTGACTTGAGGGATTAGCTCAGCGGTAGAGCGGAAGATTGCAAATCTTTAGGTCCCGTGTTCAATCCACGGATCTCTCTTAATTTTTAACTTTTTTTTTACTAGTACGAGGAGTATTGTTTGCATTATTAAGAACATTGACGACACTAGGAATCAAACTATTTTACTGTTTCACAGCAATCAACGTTTTAAAAGAATACTGTAGTTTTCGAAGGAGTTTCCTGAAAAGTTCTCATGAGAATAAACAATGTGCAATAAATCTCCTCCAGTTGTTCCTTGGTATCAATATAAAAGCGTGCACGCTTCTCACAATAGATTATTGATGCTTTTCATAGATTGAGATTAAAAGATTACAATTTATTTATTTATTATGATTACAGCAGATAGTGTACAGGTACAATTAATTTAACATGGAAATGAAATCTATAATAACTGGAGAAGGTGGGCTTATGACAGCTCACTGCCATCTCGCTGGATACATGGAGAAAATTCGACAAGACGTACGTTATACTAGATATAATCATTCTTTTTTATTGAATACTTTTCTCGTCTTTTCAGCATTCTTTTCCATCCATTCCTTTACTCTGCAGCCAAAGAGTTTCTGATATTGTCCAAAGAAATTCAAGTTGTATCTCTTCATAATTACAAATCCGTGTCGTTTTGTTAAAATTTGCTCTGCAGCCATACAACATTCATTCGTCATAGCATACACTCTGTTGATATCGTGTTCATCAGCCCACATCATCGCTCTATTCAAAAGTAGGGTTGAAAAACCACAGGTTTGCAAATCAGAACGAACTGCCCATCGCGTGATAGTCGCCGTTTTAGGGATTTGTTTATGAGCGAATATCTTTCTTTTCGTCTTATCATGAGGTTCTGTATTAGGCTTCTCTTTCAATAAAAAGCTTGGAATGAAAGGACTGCGGAAGAGTTCCAAAACAGCTACGATGAATTGCTTCCAAGCAACGGGTACAGTGGCTCGTTGATCTTGGACATCGACGGGATTACACTGTAAGCCAATCATTCCACATAACTCATCATCAAGTGTCAAGACCCAGAAATGAGAAGGTACGTGCTCGTTCTCTGGTTTAGGAATTCTTTTCAATCGACCAGGGTTTTCCTTGTCCTCTACAGCTGTATAATTGAGATAGTATGTTAGCGGATCTTTGAGATCGTTGGCCAAAGCTTCATCGACACGATTTTGAGTTTCGACACGATCAGAAGTGATGAACAATATAGCAAAGGCAATGACGGCCCATACAAACGTTGTTGCTATTTTGACGACGGTCATTGCCCATTGGGGCACTTCACGAGCAATGTAAGTCGTAATGAAGCGAGGGATGAGTATGAGGAGAGAGGAGTAGACCGCGAACCAGATCACCCAGGTGGGGAAAGCCCATAATTTACTTCGGATGCTTTCATATACAAGAGGAATCTGAGTACTTTTGAATAGATAATCCACTTGTTGCCAATCGGTATCTCGGTAAGTCCGTAAGACTACTTTAGGCGGTGGTGGTAGGTTTTCTGAAGAAGAGGTGCTTGTATTGGACGAGGTTTTACTTCTCTGTTTATTCTTTTTTGTCATGATGAAAAAATTGCTCAAGTGCTGCTGCAATGGGACAGAAATTGAAAGAGAGAAAGAAAGGCCTTTGAATTCAAGTGAAAGAAATGGAATTTATAGCTGTAGCATCAGTGAGGATAGTGATACGTGTTCTGCCAAAAAAGATAGAATGGTAAAAAAAGATAAATGTATGGTTCAAAAAGAAAGTTGTGGTGTAACAAAAAGGACAAGAAGAGGGGATCAGTTACTTTAAAAGGGATTTTCTCCCTGTTTTTGGTAATGCAAAATGCTTGCTGCAGGAAACAAAAGTATGGCGTGTGCATATTGTGTCTGTGGTAACAAAAAATAGGTGCAAATGGTATATATGTGAATGGATTCAACAAAACAAAGCATAGGACACTGAACCAATAGTCAAGATAAAAAGGCCAAGCTTGAGATGAATGTACTTATCTTCACCGGGGATGTACAGTTCGTCTCTATTATATTTATCAATGGATCGTCTTCTGACAAAGTATTTGTTCGCAGCCGACAGCTTCTTCACGGGTTGCTGGTCACTTGACATAGGAGTAGAAGCAACATGTGAACGATAATGATGCTGTCGGTCCGCTCTAACATAGTGAGCTGCGTCATTGTTCTCATCATAGTGAGGATACATTGGATTGTAGCGATATCGCTGTGGAGGGTGCTGTGGATAGAGAGGTAATTGAGTATGACACTGACAAGCTCGAGTGGGTCTTGGAGTAGATGGTATAGAATAATCGTAATGATGCTCTCGCCTGAAAGCGTCCTCTCGATCATAAAGTTCCTGTTCATCGTAATAGTTGGGTCGTCGTCGTCGCTGATATCGTCCTTCATAGACGGGTCGATTTGTTAAGCAGTAACTATCCATTTGTTTCCAATGTTCATCCGAGGATAATGGCCTGGATGGAGCAAAATCCTCGGTGTCAATGCTACTACTGCTACTACTGCTACTACTACTACTGTGATCAATGATGGAAAAGTCACCATTCATAAGGTCCTCATAGATCTGATCTGAGTTCTGTTCTCGTCCCGCTTGGTTGCGCTTGATAATCATGGTTGATTTTCCTATGAGAATAAATGGATGAAAAAAAAAAAAAGGAAAAGAGTAGGAGTTTGTCAGGAATGTAAGATAAGTTAAGTCAAAAATAATCTCAAGCTTTCTTTTTTACTAGAGTTAGCATCGCTGTTAGATCCTTTAGATGGAATCATGGATTATTACGAAATACATAGTGAATAAGAAAGAAAAGAAAAAGATAAAATAGTAACAAAGAATGACAATTTAAAAACCAAAAATGGTGGTTTTTTTTTGGTTTAAACATATGCCCTTTTTTCTGAAACAAATAATAATAATAAAAAAAAAACCCAAAAAAAAAAAAAACGTTGATATCCTTTTCCGCTGTTCAATTTTTTGTTAAGGAAAAAAGAAGGGGTATACAAAGAATAATAAAAAAGTCTTTTGAAAAACACTCTCTTTCTAAGAACGGATTTTAATTAATGCAAGTCAAGCAACTGTAATTTATTTCATTGTTACTCTCTTTGAATAATGATTGAAGAAGCAGCGCCTCCACCATTACAAACTGCAGCAGCACCAAACTCTCCTGGGTTCAATAAATGTGTCAATGTAACAATAATGCGCGAACCAGAAGAGCCAATAGGATGTCCAAGAGCTACGGCGCCACCGTTCACATTCACTTTAGTAGGATCAAGCTTCATCAACTACGTACAGGGAATGTCTTCGTCAGTATTTTCAACATCGTGAGGTTGAGATGTATTTTCACTTTCTTACCTTTTCATTTACACGGGCCACTACGCTAAAGGCTTCATTCAATTCGAATTTACTGATATCCTCCACTGTCAATCCAGCTTTCTTCAGAGCGATGGGAAGCGCAAGTGAAGGAGCGATAGTGAAGTCAATGGGAGCAGTAGCTGCATCTGCAAACGAAACAATACGAGCTAAAGGCTTCACTCCCATGGCTTCCGCTTTTTCACGCGACATCAATACCAACGCAGATGCACCGTCATTTAAAGTACTGGCATTGGCAGCTGTCACTGTACCATTCTCTTTTTGAAATACAGGGCGTAATGATTTAATCTTGTCAAATTTGACGTTTTTATATTCTTCGTCAACCTTGATGACAGTTTCACCTTTTTTGCTCTTGAGTGTTACAGGAGCAATCTCATTTTGAAAGGCGCCTTTTTCCCAAGCTTCGGCAGCACGTGTATAGGAAGAGATGGCATGTTCATCTTGTTCTTCTCGGCTGATATTATACTTTTTGGCAGTGTTTTCGGCACAGCTACCCTGTAAATCAGAAGAGTTAGCTTTTGTATGCTCTATCGCTTTCTTCGACCAATAGAGGAATTTTGTCTCCTTTATTTTACCATATGAATCTGATTATATACATCCCAAAGACCGTCTTTAATAATGGCATCATTTAGCTGCTGATGACCGTAAGCAGCACCGCGAGGAGCGTAGTATCTAAAGGACCCCGTTTGCATTCCCACAATTCATCCATATTAGCTGCTGGCAAATATACGCTCTTCTCACAAAATGTATAGAAATCGGGTTTCAGGATTACTTACGGCGCGTTCGACATACTTTCCATACCACCTGCTACCATGATGTGACGATCCCCTAATTGAATGGCTTGGGCAGCCAACATGACAGATTTCATACCGGACGCACAGACTTTATTAATCGTTGTTGCTTCAGTGGATTCCGGACAACCGGCGTTTAAAATAGCTTGACGAGCAGGAGCTTGACCTAGATTGGCTTGTAAAACATTACCTATATAGGCTTCCTCCACATCTTTAGGCTGTATGCCTGTTTTTAAATATAAGAAAGGGTATTGTTGCAAAAAAAATTAAAACTGTGGCTAACAAAGCAAACAAAGAGATAGTTCTTGTTACCTGCTTTTTCTATGGCAGACTTGATTGCAATACCGCCCAACTCAGCAGCTCGAAGTGATTTTAAGGAACCATTAAAGCAACCGACTGGCGTTCTGACAGCACTAGCAATAATAACGTCCTACAGAGAAGAGAAAGAGTTATTCACACCATTCGCTTTCCATCAGTTCGACTCTATTCCCGTCATTTACATTAGGACTTTTGGCTGCGGAAGCAAATGTGCGAATGAGGATCTATAAAAAGACGGAAAACAAAAAAAAAAAAAAACCGGGGAAATCTTTAGTTGTGGGGAAAAGTGACGTTGCGCTTTATTCATAAATCTTTACTGAACGAGTATTCAAAGTGTTGGTAGCAAAGACGTTACGAGCAGCAAACATTGGTATTTTGTTGAGAAGCTAAAGACAAAGAGAATAAAGAAAAGAGGAAAAGCAGACTAAAGCGTCCGTTTTTTCCACCTTTCAAATTTATGATTTGTCAATAGCAAATGATTGTTCCCACGGGCCTTCCATCCTTCAGCTTAAAGGAAGTGCGGGGTTAACAGCGAGCTATAATGAAGACAGATACTCTATGCTGTGTCAGGTAGCAAGCTTTGACAATAATAAATAGTAGTAAGAATGATTTATTTTCATACTTCCCATAGGGTATATATATATATATAGAGAGGGTCCTTTTAAGCTACAGGTAAACCTTCAGGTTCAATTAACAATTTCTCCAACCAATAAAGTATCATTTCCAACACTTTGCTTTTGATGGGTCCTGGGTGACTACCAGAAGCAGTAGCAATCGCTTGTTCTAAAATCTGTTGCTGTTGAGGGTTACTACCATCCAATAAAAATGTGGATGTGATGATTCCAAAGAAATAGACGAGGACTGTATAAAGAGCAAATGTCACAGTTTGTGTCACTACGCGATTTTCCTGCTGTGTCATGACTCTGCTTGTCAAACTACCTATACGATGATGCTGTCTTCTATTAGAATGGTTGTTGTTTGAAGAAATGGCTATAGGTAGCGTAGTTTCCATTGGCGAAAAGATAATAGCTGTATCATCGGGAAGCTTATTGCTAGGATAACTATGATTCCTAGTACTGCTACTAGCAGTCTCAGTAGCCATTGTCTTGTGTAAATCAAGAACGGTTCTTCTTCGTTTGTGGTACTGTCCCTTAAAAAGGGTCGTCTCCTGCTGCTGTTGTGCGCGTGCAGTCGAATAAGACCATACATCTTTGCTTTCTTTTCTTTCTCCCAGCGGTGGAACAGTGGTAACAGTGGAGATGGGTGCTGTTAGATGCGATGGAGGATGATGAAGAATATCGTTATGTTTTTCGAAAAAGTCCTCTACCAAGCTAACCGTGGCAGAGGTGGAGGAAGAAGGATTCTTTAACCCATCACTGCGATCTAAACTATTCCTGATGGCCATGACTGTTGCGGTTTTGGTTGAAGAAGAGGGTGATAGCGGTGGAATAATATGACTAGTGACAACGGTGAGGGTTCTGTCACGTCTGTTTTCCTCTGGTGCTGCCGTCATTGTCTTTCTGAGGCCTGCTAATTCGTTGACAAGGAGCTGATTTTGAGATTGGAGCGCTTTTCTCAAAGAATCCAGTTCTACTTTTACTCGCTCTAAATCTTGCTTTGCTTCGTCTGCTCTGTGCTTATAGTAGTCTTTTTCGTCCTGAATGGATAGCAAAGAAATTTCATCCTGAAAGTAGTAAAGAAAGAGTAGGCAGATCAGCATTTCTTTTTCTTGCTACTGTATAATGATATATGGGTGCCTACCTCCTCCTGTATCTTCCTATTGTCTACCTTCAGCACCCGATCAAATTCATCCTTCAATGATAAGGTAGAACCCTTCTTTTGAAGGGTTAATCTGTTGCTACTACTACTATTACTACTACTACTACTACTACTACTTTCACAGCCAAACTGTACTTCGTCTCGCTGCTGATGGTGTAAAACTTCATCCAGATCCATTTTCAGACTATCAATAATTTCCTTTAGTTTTTCGTTTTCTGATTTCTGTTCCGCTAATTGTTGATGCGCCTCAGCAGATATTTCTAATTCTTGTTCAAGGCTATTTTGAAACTCTTTCAACCGATTTCTCTCTTCACTCAATGCTTTGACTTCGTCTTGAATAGTATTCAGTAAGTCTTCCGTTTTCTGTAATGCCATCTCTTTTTGTTTGAGTAGATCCTGTAGTTTCTGTGTTTCCTCTAGAATATAGAAGCGGGAGAGGATGAGATTTGAGACAAACAGCAAGGAAAAAGGTTTAAAAAAGAGGGGAATACCTACGGCACTTTTCATCAAATAGGTTCTTTATCGATAAATACACTTGCCTTTGGTCCGTTTCTGATCTCTGAATGCTTAGGATATGTGTTTCCAAAGCACTGATTTGTTCTAGACTATTCTTTTCTTTTCCTTTATATTCCTGGATCTCCTTCTTTTGTTTTGCTACCTCTACACTCATATCATCGACTTTGTTTTGCAGTTGAACAATACGATCTTCATTGTCACGTGCGATGGAAGCGAGTAGATTCCTTTCCGAGGATTTTAACTGCTCGGTAAGCTGAACAGATCTTCTATAATACTTTGCAATATCATGCTGCTGAGGATAGGCGTCTGCCGTGGATGCAGACAGACGAGCATCGTCTGTTCCTTCCTCTTCTTCCTCTTTGATCGCTATGGAATGCTTGCTTTTATCCATGATTTTCCCGTTCAAGTGTAGACGATTGTCTTTTTCCATGCTAAAATAGCTTGTGAATTGTTGTCTATCAAAGTCACTCAAGGAAGTAGCTGCAGAGGGTCTGCGTTTCCAGGATGCTCTCCTTGTTGCTGTTGCTGTCTTTTGAAAGGCCATCTTACCCTTCTCGTTAGGGTGATTCCTGCTATTTCCCAAGGACAGAGGGGCTTTCATTGTGTTGTTGAATGGATAGGCATCGTTATAAGTTCTCGATGCTGTAGGTTCAGAAATAGATGGTATAGGCATAGGCGGTGGGTTCGCTGCTGTTGTTGCTATAGATGGCGTTGGGCAGAGGATTCTTAGTAGATGGATGATATCATTTGGCGTCATTTCCAAGTCAGGATTTAATTTTGTAAAAGGTAAAATAGCCTCCTTTTGAATTTCTGTTAATAAAGTGACATGCTCTTCTTGTTCGTATTGATGGATAAGTGGTATAAGGTCTCTTGTGAATATCACTCCTTCGTCGTCCGTCGAATGTTGCTTTGATTGTTTCTGAACCAACTTTTTCAATTGTATCTTTAAAACAGCTAAAGGAATGGCTGGACGAGCATGTTGTTGTTCTGTTACTAGCTTCTCCGCCCAGTTTATGAAACAGAATATTTACATGTTAACAATACTCGTTTTTTCAATACTTGCTATCGTTGCTATAACAAAAAAAAAAAAAAAAAAAAAAAAAAATTAAAGAAAAAACCTACTATTGGCAACGGATCCATGGGCTTTCGTTATAGGTATATATAGTCAATTGATGAGAATATGGGATGTCTAATAGTTAAAAGTTGATATATAGGGAGAGTATGAGAAAGGAAAGGAAAGAGAAGCAAAAAGAGCAAAAAGAGGATAGAGTGTACAACAAATCGAATCAGCCTTATTATCACACAAAAACTTGCTAATTTACTGGTATTTTTTTTTTTTTGTTAATTTCGCTCACTGCGCGGTTTTTGAATTTTTAGAAATTCTCGTCCTTTAGAGATTCAAGCTTTGCAGCCTTTGGCAAGTGCTAAAGTGAAAAGACTTGCATCAAAAAGTAAAAGTTTTCTGATGTATAAACAGAACAAAAAAAGGATGAGCATCACTCAACATAGACTAGCTTGAGCAAATAGCGTATTCTCTTTTATGACCAATCTGAAAATATGAAAAGAATGATGAAGGAAAAGTACATTATAGGTATGTTTTCTTTTAAAAACAGAGAAAGAAGGTAAGAAGAAAAGAAGGTTAAAAGCGAGCTTTCTATGCTCAAACAATGTTGAAAAAAGGACATAGAATGCCTCATTCACCCTCCCCCCCACGCGATGTTTCATAAGCGATCTCCATGGCAGCTCCTTTCATCCAGGGGACGAGAGTATCCTTGCCGGTCACCTCATTTCTCCGCACACCAAAGTTGATTTTCGATTTGGGGTTCAGTAACTAGTTTTGAGGCCAGTGTTCAAGCCCAGAGTAGAGAGTAAGGTGGACAGGTTGTCTAATACAAGCCAAAACAAATGCTAATGGTAGCACATAGCGCAATGCAACGGAGTTAAGGGAGAAGAGAAGGAAATCCTGCATTCAGTTGACTTGCATCGATCACCAAGTATCCGCCTTTTATGTTTTGACATTGAGAATATCCATATGTTCGTTCGGGAACTGGACGTAATGTTATGTTCAGAGCGTCTGCGGAATATCATCATCCCTGCTGGAACTTTAGCGTTCTCATTTATACACCTCCCTGATGCTCCGCGTCGTATCTGCATGACCTTCTTAACCTTGGAAATCGGATAGTAAGTCTGAATACACAACCATAGAAGAAAAGCAGATGCCACATAAAGTTATTTTGATGCAGAATCCGTTCTGATTTTGAGGCACCCCAAAGTAAACAAAGACAGGCAAAGCTGCAACGAGAAAATACTATGCCCGCGAACTACTAATGCAACATTATTAGAAGACTTTGTTTAAAATTATGGATGCATTTCTGCATAAGATAAACATAGCAAAATAGGTTATTTGCGCCATATTGCGTTCATGAACCTACCTAATAAATATTTCGTGTTTATGATCGCAACTGGAGCATTCTTTACTTTTGATTATCCACTGAAAAACACAAAGATGACAACTACCGTAATCACTTTCTTTGCTGCTTTATTAACCTCCTTTGCATGCGCTGTCCCCGCCGTTGTTGATGTATTTGAAGATAACATGTATGCACTCCTAATATTCGTTGGGAAAGAACAGTTCGATCTACGTGATGGTTCAGCTGATGTTGCATTAAGCATTGGCCCCTTCTAAGAGTTATGAGCTATATAGTTATGAGAGACCAGAGAACCGATTCTTGTATAAATGAGTTTGTACATTTTGCGTTATATATTATGAAAAAAGAATAGTTGAGAATTTATCCTCTCCAATTTATATTTCATAGTATGTTTCAATCTTTGTTTTTCACTTAATAGAGACGTTTCTCTATTGTCAACACGTCTTCCACCGAAACATTCCCACTTTCGTTTAAAAAAAAAACGGTTGAAAAGGGTTAAAAGTACGAGTCGGATGGACCTTACTTAACACTTTCTAAGGAGCAGAAAAAAAGGAGTGCATCCTTCTTGTTTTCGGTAACACCAATAGATTATAAAATGGTGTAAAGGCACGGGGGTAAAATGCATAACAGTCGACTTTTACGAGACAAAACCCATTCCGCTGAAACGCAGCCATGATATTAAGGGAAGGAGAATAGAACCATCTATTTAAACACGCAGTTTGCTCTTTCATTTCAAAATGCTTTTGCATTCACAACTTTCGGAAATAACGTCTACTCCACACCTGAAAAAATGAAAGCAATTCTAGCGATCTATCTCACCGTTCTTACATTCATCGGCTATACATACGCTGCAGTTATCGCTCCAAAAACTCAGGATGAAGAGAGTTACGCCATTCAAGTGCAGGGCGAAGTCGTGACAGATTATAATGCTGGTTTTAGTGCAGCCGTAAGCTCCCTCGTGCATCTCCCTCTTAAGTAGCAAGTCATTTTTTCAAGTTCATTCAAGATGTCGGACACAGACGGAAGGCATTTTCTTTTTGATAAATCTAGTAGTATTCGCCCAAAAAACCAAAGATGCTATAAGCTCAACGCATTGTTTCTCCGTTCGTTTGTTCAAAATCAAAATACGCTAATAAAGCATCCCTATTGCACCTTAAAAAAAAGATAAAGAGGCAAAATGTTAGATACACAGATCACTTAAAGAAGCGGGAGAGGATGAGATTTGAGACAAACAGCAAGGAAAAAGGAAAAAAAAAAGAGGGGAATACCTACGGCACTTTTCATCAAATAGGTTCTTTATCGATAAATACACTTGCCTTTGGTCTGTTTCTGATCTTTGAATGCTGAGGATATGTGTTTCCAAAGCACTGATTTGTTCTAGACTATTCTTTTCTTTTCCTTTGTATTCCTGGATCTCCTTCTTCTGTTTTGCTACCTCTACACTCATATCACCGACTTTGTTTTGCAATTGAATAATACGATCTTTATTGTCACGTGCTCGTCTGTACCTTTCTCTTCCTCTTCTTGGGGAGAGTTTCTTTCGTCAACTCATCACTTTTTTGAAGTGTCCCATCGATTGCAGCATTCTAACTACCTTTGACAATCCATCCTCATCGATCTCAACACTCCATCCTGCAATGACGAGTGAAGCCATGAGCAAAAACGGGACTAGTTGGTCAACCATTGTGATGAACAGTCTGAAAACCAAAAATTTTTCTCGTATGACGTGTTTGGTGAGATAATAACTACAATACTCGAGTACGTACAACCAGGTAGAGAATACATTCTACCACGGTCTATCTATATTGCATCTAATATAGGTTATGTACACATAGAACAAGATAAAGACCTAAGTATAATAATCACACAATAAGCATCTGAACCTGAAATTAGTGACTAGCATACGCGTCCTCAAATAATATAATTCCCATTAAACTTCACAGAGTAAATAATCCTCCTACTTCATCTGAAGAACAATAAAGACACTTAAGTTCATAGTCATCGACTTACAACAGTTATCAATTTTAATTAAGCAAATACAACATCGTAAAAGATACGATATTCAGGGCCAACAAAGAATCATACATGGCAGCCTTATTTGAAGCAGGCAAAGTGACCAAATACCTCCGGTACCAACGAGTGTATGCCATAGTTCCTATTTTCTCTGTCCTGAGCCGTTACTTCAGCTACCAGTCAGAGGCCTTTAGATGTGTAGTTGGAAAGATTGGCCCTGTCATGGGTAATTATTTCAACCCACTTTCTCTTCGCGGTCAACTAAGTCGTGAAGATTTGATATTTTACACCAACTTTAAGGATGACGCGCATACGAAGCAGGCGCTTGAATCTGAATTCACCTCTGAGAGTGTTCCAATATACAGGTGTACTGTATAAAGACAAGGCAGATGCCAATGACTATTGTCGGGCCACCTTGACCTTACCTGTCAGCGACGAGCGTGCCGTGCTTATCGAGAAACTCGCAGAATCGATGGGTAACCATGGCCCTGTTGTTCTCTAGATCAAACAGCGTTTGAACCATGGTTTTCTTGTTTTTTTTTTTTTTGTTCTTAGAAAATGTTGGACCGCCGTGTGAAAGATACTGAACCACAAAAACAAGATTTTCAGAGGATGCTCTACCTCGAAACTTAGGATATAACTGCCCGGACAGCTATAAGGGTGCTCAACCTATTTGCTATTACTGTTGTGCAGCTGGTCATGTAAAGAAAGACTGCCCTGCGCTGCAGAATATAATCCGCATTCGTTATGGTGGCACAGGTCACACAAGCGCAGTCGTAAAGTTCAAGATGAACTTCTTTCATCACCAGTTTGTAAATCTTACTCGATTTATGAATTATAGTGGGTTAAGTTAAGTAGTGAGACTATAAAAAGATATGGACTCTTTATTTCGAGTTGACATTTAGGTCCCTTTCATACTTTTTGAGATAAATGATTTGTTTAGAGAGATTGCATGTATGAGACCTTATGAGTAATATTAGGAGGATAGGAGAATACACGTAATGTAGTTTAGGTAAATTATTGTGTATATTTGGTCTAGGTGATTATTAAATACACCACACAGTTAGAGAGACGACTTTCGCGGATGGTCTTCAAGTATATGGAGATCTACCCACTTCTGATTCAAATCAAAACGATGGCTGATATGAACGAGAATATTAATTCTAACTCCATATCCTTCAACACACGACCAGCAGCAGATTGGAACAACGATCTTAAGATGATGGAGACTCCCACTGGCGGGCCTACCCCCCCGCTGCTCCTTTGAACGAGGTGTGGATGGTACTGCTTCATCTAAATATGCCCCTACAGAGATTAAATCATCAATGGTTGTCGACAATACCTCTACGAGTAAACCTACAACCATTTTACGTCGCTCATTCACTGCCTCTCTGTCTAGTGAATCGCCTGTCACTAGATCTGTTAAACGTTCTTCTGATCGTTTGAAACACACCTCTTCCAGCCGTCAAGACTTTACTACCACCAAAGCCACTACCTTAACCGCCCGTAAGGCTAATGATTAAAAAACCAGTGCGCGTCGTATCCTTAAATGTCCGTAGTATTTTTGAGGATGCTAATAAAAACACTCAAAGAATGTTTTCATCATATCTCAAATCCCCATCTGTTCAGATATTTTATAGTTTACAGGAAGTTTCAGCCTTCCATCTTCAAGATCACCTTCTTACAGAACAACAATGCAACTACTTTCAATCTTATTTCTTCTCAAAATGCTCAATGCTCTTCACCAAACATTTGTGCTATTGTATGCTTAAACGAGACCCTCACAATTCAAGATGCTACTGTTTCTCGAGATGAACGGTGTATCCGGGCTACGATATATAATCAAGTATTACAACAAGCTGAATGCTCTATACTCTCCCTGATACCTCGCGTTGTTTCTGCATGACTTTCTTGACCTTGAAATTTGCATAATAAGTTCCAAAGGTATACACAACTATAGAAGAAAAGCAGGTGCCACAGAAAGTTATTCTGATGCAGAGATCCGTTCTGATTTTGAGGCACCCCAAAGTAACCAAAGACAGGCAAAGCTGCAACGAGAAAATACTATGCCCGCGAACTACTAATGCAACATTATTAGAAAAAAAAAATAAATAAAATGAACAAATACAAAAGCAGAGAAGACGTACAAGTAAAAACTGTATGTATTCGCATTTGAGTAGATGTAAGAATGCATTTTTGCAGCAAAATAGTTTTATTTGCGCCATATTGCGTTCATGAACCTACTTAATGAATATTTCGTGTTTATGATCGCAACTGGGGTATTCTTTACTTCCGATCATCCACTGCAAAACGTAAAGATGACAACTACCGTGACAAAGATTACATTTTACTTTCTTTGCTGCCTTATTAACCACCTTCATCTGCGCTACACCCACCGTTGCTGATATATTTGATGATAACATATATGCACTTCTGGTGGGAAAGAACAGTTCGTTCTTTGTAATGGTTCAGCTAACGTTGCCGCATATTGTTTGCTTGACGGCTTTCACAGATGGTGGATGTTGCATTAAGCTCTGACTCCTCCTAAGCGAGATGAACTATATGGTTTTTTTCCTTAGGATGGGGGGACATGATTTTTATTTAATTGAGTTTGCACAATTTCCTTTATACATTATGAAAAAGAATAGTTGAGGGGGCCCATTTTCTCCAATTTATAATAAATGATTTCATATTATGCTCCAATCTTTGTGTGTGTGTGTGTGTGTGTGTGTGTGTTCCCATCCAAAATGAGGCATCTCCTTTTTCTTTTTTTATAGAGACGTTCCCCTTATCGTCGTCATGTCGTTCATGGTATTAACGACCAAGATGCTCCCTATTTCTTGTAAAAGAAAAACGGTTGACATACGAGTCGGATGGAGCTTACTCAACGCTTGATAAAGAGCAGGAAAAAAAAAAGGGGGGGGGGTGCATCCTTTTTTGTTTCCGGTAACATCAACAGATTACATTTCATGGAAACGGTATAAAGACACAGGAGTAAAGTCTGTATATCAGTCGACTTGCTGTGAGACGATACCATTCTCCTGAAATGCGGCCATGATATTAAAGGAAGGGAAATGGGGCCATCTATTTAAACTCGGAGCTTGCTCTTTCGTATCAAGACGCTTTAACATTTTTAACTTTCTTCACACCTCAAACTAAAGAAGATGAAAGCAATGCTAGCGGTCTATTTCACTATACTCACATTCACCAGCTATGCATACGCTGCAGTCATCGGTTTAACAAATAAGCATTTAGATGGAACCATCGTGGCCGCGGTGGATAGAGCCTCACGAAATCATCAACATGGTATTGGCGGCGATGCCCTTGCCGTCCTTGCAGACGCCAGTAAAACCTCTCTTATTTGATTAGCAAGTCATTTTTTCCCAAGTCCATTCAAGATGTCGGACACAGACGGAAGGGCATTTTCTTTTTGATACATCTAACAGCATTCGCCTTTAGAAAAAATAAGGATGCTATAAGCTCAACACATTGATTTTCCATTCGTTCGTCTAAACTCAAAACACGCTAATAAATCATTCCTATTGCACCCTTTCAGAAAAAAAAAAAAAAAAAACTGATAAAGAGGCAATACGTTAGATCCACGGAATCACTTAAAGAGTAGGTTTCGCATTCAGGAATTTTTTTGTCTGCCAGACGAGTATTTCATGATGATTCTCAGGCGCATGTCTCTGTTGAAGAGGGGCTGCTTTTAATAAGGGAAAGACCAATGGGACCGCTCACATCAAATGACACAATCTGTTTGATATTTCTCAAGAAAAAAAAAAAAACGAGACATTTTTTTGGTGCCTTCTGAGGGAAGAACAAGAAAAAAAAAAAAAAAAGCATTACAAAAAAGCACTCTTTCTAGATATAGATGACTTAAGGCTCTTAAGCATCGAATGGACGAAATGAAAGAATAGAAAGTTGCTGATGCTTTTTGCCTCTTTTGTTGTCCTAAATTTTCTTGTATTTCCGTTTTACTCTTTTTATCATGTCGTTTAATTTTTCTCAAAAGATAAAAAAAAAAGGTACCAAAAAAAAACAATGTCTTTTCAAAAGATGAAAAGCGACCTTTTTTTTTGCCTTTTTTGACATTTTGCAAACTATGAGTGGTCAAGTCTCATATGGTTTTACTCACGCTCTGAGCAATGTGTCGATCACGTCTTTTTTTTTTTTTCAAATAATTGTTTCGAAACGAAAAAAAGCGGCGGAATGAAGCCGTATTCTTCATTTATCCGCGCTCTACACCTCTCCGCGCTCTAGTGTCTTGTTATCTTTGGTAAGTGATTATTGATGATTTATACACGTTTACCAAACAACTTTTGATGTGTAACATAGTATTAAGGATCCAAACAAATATTTAGAGATGATAAGATGAATGATAGAACTTTAGGAAACATAGCAAAGATAACAAAAAAAGTATATAAATGTGTACCCTTTTTCTTATCTTTTTCTGTCAAAAATTCCCTCCCCCCCTTTTCTGCAACTCAAACCAGAAAATGACAAATCGCCTTTTTGTTTCCCTTGCCTTAAAAAAAGACACAATGGCAAAAGGAACAACGCAGAAATGTCCTTAAACATCTCTTACACCGATAGACTAAGCCTAACACATTTTTGCTGCTTGTTTTGTGTAGGTAAACGAGTCCGTGATCGCGGGTAATAAGACCGTGTTCGCGGGTTCTTTTTATCTGACAGTAACGAACAATGGGTTATGCCTTAATCTAGACCACCTTTACCGTTCACACAGAGGCATTGGGCAATGCTCCTTGGATCCCTCTTATTGCGTGATATTGCTGCTTGTTTCCTAAAATGGCATTGAACATGGCTATAAACACACCTTCTTTCGTCCGTCAGATAGCCATGTTCAAAGTGCTACTCAATGGCACAAATCACTCACATTCTCGCCGCTTGCCCCCCCTCACCGAGCATCCACGGCTCCCGAGTCTTTTTGCTTTAACTAAAGAACCTAATTGAATGATGCCTACGTAAAATGGGACGAGGCACATTCTGAGACAATGCTCATAAACTAAAATCCTTTTTGTTTTTTTATGCAATTTATTTTCTGTCTTTAGCATAAAATAGCTTGAATGGAAAAACGGGATCAGCCGAGTTTTTCAAAGAGAAACAAAAAAAAAAAAAAATCACAGGCGCGCGGTAGAAAGATTATATACCCTTTTTTTTTTTTAACCAAATTTTCATTGAAAATACAAAAGTTACAATGCCCTTTTTTTCAACGAATGATATGACAAAAAATAGTGTCTCTGCACACAGTAAAGAAGAGACAATAGTGCACATCATCAGATAAACATGTTTTTTCATTCTTTCAGAAATAGATGTACCGTATCATTTCGGTTATGAGAATAAGGCACAAATTTCTGTTTCTCTCAAAAGTCAATTTTCAAGATCCGTTTATGCGTCAACTGTAAAAAAAGAAAGAGTCATCGTTGAATGAACTGATGAGAACAGCATTTTTTTTTTTGCTGTTGTCTTTTACCTTGAAAACATGTAGTTTCTACAGAATTCACTTCATCATGGTATGAATGGCAATGAATATCTATAGAATGGTAATACATCGTTTCTTTTTTCCGTAAGTCGCTCAGGACGTGAGGTATTATGATGGATGAAGTGAGCTATCAGAAACATGTGCAGGTAGATCTCGATCTGAAAGAGAACGGGAACTGTTCATTCGCTGTGTTTTCTTCCCCAAATTTAACCTTTTTGAAACTCCTTTTTCATTTAATTTTTTGCTACAGCATTAGCCAGAGGAAAAGAACAGCAGTAAAAAAGACAGGTTTCCCTCTCCCATTTTAACAGCGACAGAAAAAAAAAAAAAAAAACCTATAAAAAAAGACCAGAAAAAGATAGAAAAACCCTTTCCCCCCCCTTCCCTCTATTTTCTCCCTTTTTCTTAATATTGCTTTTTTTCTTATCTCAATACTTTCGAAAAGCCCTTTTCTTTTCTCCTTTTTAAACCGTCTCAATTTGCCAAAATTTACGTATCAACTCAACCACCAACAGCATTGATGGCAGCTAACAACGCTTATTGGCAACCTTTCGCACCCACGGATTTGATGGACACCGCACCTAATTTGTTACTAACACAACCTACGGCTGCAACTTCACAGCATCTACCGCCTCATCCTCAAAATATACCGCCTCCTTCGTCTGCTCCACAGCCACAATCACAGCCTCATCCTCAACAGCCATGGAACAATGACTTTAATAGGAAAAAATGGAACCAGAACTTTGGCGAATTCGATATTAATGCAGCACAGACAACCAATCGATTTTTCCGTAAGTCATCATTGAGAGAGTGACCCTCTGCCTGCTAGCGCCTAATTCATTCTTCCCATTCTTCTTTTGTTGTAAAAAAAAAAAAAAAAGAAATGGAAGATTATCATAGTAATCATGATCCAAGTGAAGCTGATAGTCCAGGTAAAATACCAGAAAAAAAAAAAAACTCTCCTCGCCCACCAAAGAGAGGTCTTTTCCATCTAAGACCTACTTTTGTTGTTTTAGATAGTGGCAGTGGATCTTCCAATCATAGAAGAACTGAATCTTACCCCACACAAGAACCCACCACACTGTCTCAGGTAGAGGGATAATGACACATCAACGTCTCGACTGTTTCTTTTTTTTTATTTTTTCTAAACATATTTGTCGATTTTTAGGGTGACCAGAAACAAAGACGTAAAGAGCAAAATCGAGCAGCACAACGAGCATTCAGAGAACGAAAAGAAAGATACGTGAAAGAGTTGCAGTTAAAGATCAAAGAGATGGAAAAGAAGCACGGTGAAGAACTGAAACGTGTCAATGATGAAAACGAACGGCTCAAAGACCTAGTGAAAAAGATGGAAATTGAAATCTACACCTTGAAAGGTGCAGCTATGGCATTCAATATGTCTATCAATAAACTACGTGAAGCTGGTCTTGACGTCTCACACCCCGCTCCTCCTAACGCTTCCACAACAACGACGGTTCATACCCCCACGACCCCTCCTCATCAGCATCAGTTCACTAACCGTCGTCCATCTCCACCCGTGCCTCGCTCGTCCTCTGCTACCACCACCACCACCACATCGGCTTTGGATCAATTACTATCTGATTCTTCGTCTTCTGTCAGTACTCCGGTAGAGAGTGCTCAATCCTTACCTTTACGGCTGCAACAACGACAACAACAAAGAAACTCAAAAGGTCAAACCATGTTTACCGACGATGAATTAATGATGGGTGATAAGGAAGACAACAACGGCGCGGACGAGGAAGACAATGACAATTTTGTAGAACGAGACGCTTATCGATTCAAACAGCATCGTCCAGTGGATCCGAGCCTTCTTCCAACATCGTCAGCAGTCAAGATGATACCCTGTTCTCAAATTTGGGAACGACTATCACAGCATCCGAATTTTGATGAATTTGATCTCGACAAGCTTTGTGAAGAACTGAAAAAGAAGGCGAAATGCTCTGGTAATGGTCCTGTCATTCCAGAGTATGAGTTACAAGAAGTCTTGCGCAGAATGGATAATCGAATGATTTAAACCAGCAACACCCACGCCTACATTACAGAGATGATGTATAATATCTACCCTACACCCCCTCCTCCCTCGCCCTACAACGTATACAACACACCCACACCTACACCCCCCCCCCTTTTTTTTTAATGTTCATTTACTTTTATTTTTAGCATTTATTTTTATCCCTTTGTTTTATTGAACAATCAGTCCAAAAAGATTTACAACATGATAGCTTCCATCATTTCTTTTTCTTCTTCCTAAATAATACATTTTATTTTTCCCAAAAGTTATTTCCAATTGTACATAATCCTTTTTATTCTAAAAATACAAAAGAACATTTTTTTTTTTTTTTTCAACAAAGGCCCATGGTGGACATGCTCCCCTTTCCTTCTCCCCTTGACTTTTTCATTTTGTTATTGCGCGAGCCACGCTCTCTGCCTGTATGTTGTATATGTGTACAGCCAAAAAAACAAAGGAATGGCTGTGGTAAGCCCAAAAAGAAGAACAAACAAAAGAAAAAAAGAAGGATGTGTGATCAAATGACCCGCTAAAAAAAATCAACAGATAACTTCCCTTTTGCCAATCTCCTTTCTTTTTTGACGTGTATAGAATTCTTTGCTGCGATTTGCGCCTATTTTAACTGCATGAAATTTACGGAATAGCCAACTATGTAATGTTTATATGTACGAACGGACAATGAGGGATTTATAGCAATCCCTCATTGGAATAAATAAGAACCCTTTCTCTTTTTGCTTACTTTTTTTTTTCTTTCATCTTGACCTCGTTTGAATACCCCCCCCCCCCTTTATACCCTTCTTTCGTCCGAAACGTTTCGGTTCATCTTATCATACCCTTCTGTACATAGTCTGCCCTTGTCTTGTCCAAAAGAGGAGAGAGGAGGATGACGGAAGCCTATCATAAAAACAACCTTCTTCTTATGTATCAACACCCACCCCCACCCCCACATCCACATCCACATCCACATCCACGTCAACGCCAACGCCAACACCCAACCTCTTCCAGAGACCATCATGCCAAGCTGAAAAGACCACAAAGCTACACCTACTCTCCTTCAGAAAAACCCGTGTCTGTCGTTCAGAACAATGCTGCCGCCGCAGGTAGCGTACAGCGTCCAATCGCACGTGCTGCTTCCATGACGCCTACCTTTATGGAGAAAAGAAAAGATCAACAGCAGCAAGCACCACGCCATCGCCACAGCCACAATGATCGTCAGAGTAGTAGCGCTAGTCATAGTACGAGTACGGCTACCACGACGACGACCAGTAAAAGCAATGACGCCACTGAAGAGAACCAACAACAACAATACAACCACCAGTTTCGCAAAAGTACGAGTTATCTCCAACACGACCCAAACCTGCATCCTCCGTTTAAAAAGATAAGGCCAAGAAGTTTAATTTCTACACCTCTATCTGCATCGACAACAACAACAACAACAACCACGAGCCCAAGCGCGAGGATGTCAACCACCACAACGCCGACGACGATGAACCATCGACTTCGACCCACGCCATCACCACAAAACAACAACAGCAGCTCTTCTTATCGCAACAACATCCATCCCAAACGACGTAGTATGACAGCCATACCACCCTCGACCAGCAGTATGAAAAGGTCCCACAGTCCTCCTGCTCTACCTTCACCGCCTCTCCTTGCTACCACCAGTAGTGGTAGACGAGCGAGTACATCCATATTATCAGCCTCTACTTTAGCCACTTCTTCTCCTTTTCCTCTCTTCACCTCCTCCGTACCAGCTACTCCCCGTAAGACACCTATACCTACTACTACTACTACTACTACTACTACTACAACAACGCGTGCTACTGCTCCTGATGCTGCTGTCGTTCAAACCACCCCCCACACGAAATCAAAAACCCGGAAACGAAGGAATTCAGTCAACGTGCTCGACGATAATATGCCATTGGCTGTTTTAGCGTATAAAAAAGGCTATAGTCAAGTGCTCGTACAGTCCGATGGTGGTGGTGCTACTACCACGACGACGAACAGTGATATTCGTAGTAGTCCATGTATTTCGTCATCAGAAGAAGAAGAAGAAGAAAAGAGCAGTAAAATAGGTACAGATAAAAGCAACCGTCATCCTAGTAGTCATACCAGCAGTCGTCACTTCTTCGGACGTACTACGGCTGGTCGTAGTAAACGGAAACATCCTCATCCTCCTCCTTTACACGAAAAAAGAAAGGAACAGCAACCCCAACCACAACCTCAACCACAACCACCACAACAGCAAAAGCAAAAAAACACAACCTCCACGAAAAAAAAGACGGCAAAAAGTCGAATGACAAAGATTCTAAAGATGAAATGGGTATTCACCGTTTTCTTCAAAACAACCAACCACCGTAAAAATGCATATAAAGGATAGTCATCAGTAGCAGTGCTACTCCTAACTCGTCATTCTATATACAACTGAATAGAACAAAACCGTCGCTCTATGTATTATAATAAATAGTTCATAAGGTATCCTTTCAAGACCCCCCTTTACATGTCTTTCATGTCTTCAATTTCTTGACTTTCTTGTTGTGCTATCAAGTGAGCTCTTTGTCGAGCTTCAGGTAGCATGTAAAATTCTTGACATTTTTCAAAAATACGACCTGTGCCCTGAATCCATCCAAAAAATTCCCCAGCATGATGGCATAAGTTCCCTTTTCTATGACAAAACTGTGTACAATAGATGTCAACTTACTTTTGGAGGAACTGGAATAGGAAGGAATACGGTATACCATGGGCTAATCCAGCAAAACATGAGACATGAGTAAAACCGTCTCACTCCTTCTATGAAGAAAGTAAACTTACTATTGTTCACTGATATTAAAGAATCGCTTCAAATTTTGTAATGGGCCGAAATTATACATGTTGACAAATATTTCGCCTTGACTTTTGCATACACTCCTATCGTAATAATTGTTATAGAATTCTACGGTCGTTTGTGCCGTAAAGATCTACATCAAAACAGCATGGTCGCATTAGTTTTTTTTTCAAGTGCGGGAAACAACCGTTGGATCGATCCGAAAGGCCCTTTTACCAAATAATAATGCCAAATACACAAAGCACCAATCGCCAAGCCCATACAAATGGCAAGTATCACTGTGAAGGCGAATAACGGTCTAGGAAAATAGAACGGCCACTGCTAGAGCACGCAGCAATTTAGCTTTCCATCGTCAAAACACAAAAAGAGCAGCCCTTGTCTTTTTTTTACCTCAAGCTGATTAAAATCTAGACTCAACATAAAAGGTCTCCAACAGAAGCCCACATAATAAGCTGCTGCGAAAACTAAATGCGTCATGAACAAAACAAAGTAGCGATGGTTAAAATGCCCTACACAGTTGTGGATCCAAGGACCTAGGAACCCAACACACAAACCAAGTTAGTCAATCAAGCTGCGTTCACGTTTCATCGTCTTATTTTCTCTTCTCATGATAAAACAAATGAGCGTAAGTGGTCGGACTTACAGTGATGATCAAACTTCAATATACAAGTATTGCATACACTGCAATGATGGGCTCTTTCAGGCTTTGGTAGTTGACCTAGTTTTTTTGTCAAATAATCCCATTCTTAAGGAACCATTCCCCATTACTGCAAGTCAAACGATGGTAAGAAAAAAAGAGTCTTTACATTTTTTACAGGTTTGAGGAAATTGCGACTGTTCTTCCATTTCCAGTAGCATTGTCCGCGCTGACGTTTCCTGAAGATGCAAATATGAAAAACAGAGATAGTGTTTGTATACGTGAGTGTGCATGAGTGTGTGTTGTCATCATTCCATCGGCAACAGATCTGTTGACTCGAAACTGTGCCAATAAACGTAATGTTAAAAAGAAACCAACAAACTTTACTGTTCCATCATGTTTCATGTCATCGCTGGTGCTGGAAACATGGCTTAATCGACTGTAATCCCTCATATCACCGGGTGGTGTCACTATGGCCATATAATAGTGGAAATGCATTGAATAGATCACAAATGCCGTAAACAGGAGTGTAAACAGAGTGTATAATTTGACGAGGAACGAGGCATCAGTCCATGAATGATGATAAGGGAAGACAACTAGATAATAGCCTAAAACGCACATTTCTAGTAATACGATCGCAATGATAATAAAAGCAGGGCCAATGCCCCAAATGGCCCTATCTACAACTTTTGTCATGCAACTTTTGAACAATGACAAGAAAAGAAAAAAAAAAAAAAAAAAGAAAAATGGCGGCCATTCTTCATAAAGAAAAAGAAAAAAAAAAGTGTTCTAGTTAGATGAGTTTCCTTCTTTGGAATATCAGCCAAAATTGCTATTTTTTATTGTTTGATTCGATGATGGATTTTACCTATTGACAATTCAAGCTGAGAAGACAAGAGATTTTCTTTACTGGAATGATGCATTGTATCATTCTGAAAGATCCAACCTCAATATCTCTCGCCAGCAACTATCTAATGTCAGCCAAGTTGCATAGGTTATACTCTTTTTTTTTTTTTTTTTTTTTTTTTTTTTTTTTTTTTTTTTTCTTCCAGTTGCTCGAGGTGCTTTAAAGAGCGGCTATGATGGATGATGACAAAAGATAAAACAGAGATGGGGCGTAATTATATCAACATGCCTTTGAAGAAACACTAGGTGATTCGTTGGTACAGTTGTTTACTCTTGTTCTAGATGTAATAATTGACACCCAAGCATGAACATCGTCGCCTAGTCTCCCGCCAAGAGTCTATGCTCGATTCCGTCTGATTCGTTGTTAGCTTTCCGTTAATTGAGTGTAACATGGCTTATAATTAGCTCAAGCACCTTTTAAGAAAGAGGTAGAGGAGTTGCAACAAAGGAAATAAAAATAAAGCTATAAAAAGCCCAATCTTTCTCTTGTCCTTCCTCAAGACACATATTCTTGTGTCTAACAGAAATTCAACATGTACTTTTTAAAGCATTCTTCTGTAATTTCCGGTCTAACGATCGTAGCTGCGGCTGCTATGCTTGGAAATGCAGCACCAGTGGATGACACAGCATCATCATCCACACCTCTTACAACTATACAAAGTCAAAATGATTTTTGTTTATTCCTTCCTCCTCAGCCAGGATTGGAAGTCGCTGTGAATGAGAATAACGGGATTCCATTCTGTACAAAGCAAGACCTTGTGCCCAATGCAAAAGAATTCCCTGAAGGTTGGATGATCCAATATCGAAAGACTATTCACCCTTTTTGTTTTACTGACAGTTTCTTCTTTCTCTTCAGGGTTTATCACAACGGCTCACTATTTAAAGTCCAATTCTTATGTACAGATCACAGGCTTCTTTGATAGAGATAAATATCAACTTCGAGCCAACGATGGCGGTGGACAATATGATAATCATGCCAAGGGAAAGCCTGTAGGCGCCCAATGTAAAGATTACAAGTATTTTGTCAGCATGATTGAACCTGATATTGACAGATTCTGTATTCGTTGCTGCCAGGAAGAGGTAAATTCATTCGCTCTATCCCTAAACTCGTTTCTTTTTTTTCTGATCCCAAACCCACGACTTATGTAGAGCGACTGCAATACAGGCAGATCTGGTTACGGTTGTCTTCGTATTATCGATGGTGATTACACACAAGATAACAACTTTGTCAGCTCCAGCAATACAACAGATAATGACAGTACAGAAGCAGCGCCCTCTCATATGAATACGGATATGAACAGCGTCCTTGCCGACTTGGACAATCTTCCTGCGTCCTCTTCAGCAGTATCTTCGCCAGAGACGAGCCATGCTACTACTAGCGATGACACCAATGATACTGTTTCTGCATCAGCGAACAACGTGAATGGGGCTATTGCCTCTGAGATCCAAAAACTCCAAGAATCCAACCAGAATGGCTCTCTTACTGTCGATCAAGTCCAGACTGAGTGGAACGCTTTTTCCTCTCGATTAGCATCACAATATCCTGAAGTAGCAATTCAAATTAATGAATTAAATGCAATTGCATCAGGATTAACGACTTTGGACCAATGGCAGGCCTTTTTTGATTTGATTTCCAAGAAAATCATTCAACTTCAACAACAACAACAACAACAACAACAGCAGCAGCAGCCAGGTAGCCAAGACCAAAACTCTAACAATACTCCTTCTGCCAATGATATTCCTACTAGTGATGCTAGTACTACCACAACACCAACTGAATCCAGCGAGCCTAGTGGCTCATTAACTGGTACTAATACAAATGAGGACCTGGATTGGTTACTAAACCAGCGTAATAGCCATGAAAACCAAGCTACTTGGTAGTCTCGTTTGTTTTTTTGTAATATCTCCTCTCTACTTTTTGTCATTTAATAAAGTTATAATAACTTATAGATCATGTAACCCCAATATGGCACGTATTGTTCTTTCTATTTAATTGTATGACATTGATACTCCTATTCTCATGTATGTGTATGTATTAGTTCAAAAATGTGCTGTAATAATGGAATGCAAAATCTTATAAACAAAAGAAAAAAAAAAAAAAAGAAATTAAGAAAGATTATCTAAATACATAGCTAATTTTGAGTGAATAAAGAGAAACTAGTATAATATTCTATGAACACAAGTAAGGAAAGCGGAGGAAGCCAGAAAAAAAAAAAAAAAAAAAAAAAAAAAAGAAACAGAGAATAAACCAAAACTGTCAAGTCAAAAAATAAAAAGGATAAGTGAAGGGTGGGGGATACAAAATAGGAACAAAAATGGAACAAATCTACGATTTGATGCAGCTTCCAGGAATAGGTTCTTCCTTTTCAATTGGAGTAGCAGGTGGGGTAGATGCTTCAATGACGGGCGCATTAGTAGATCTTGCGGGATGTTGATGGGAAGAAGTAATGGTGGAAGTAGCCGTGGTAGCCGTGGTATCCTTAGGAGCAGAAGTAGCAGCGGTATTACGGTTATGAGCCATATGTGCCTTCACTAAATGACCAGCAGCTAAAGCAGCACAGAGAGATAGTTCACCAGCCATAACAGAGGCACAGATAATACGCGCAAGACGACGGGCATTAGCACCAGGTTCTGTAGGATGAGGACCACGTACACCCAACATATTAAGCATAGCTTGCTGAGGAGGTAAAATAGTACCACCACCAATGGTACCTACTTCGATCGAGGGCATTGTACAAGAAATATTGAGGTCCTTTCCACCATTCACTGCTTTCATCAAGGTAATACAGTTTGAACTTTCCACATTTTGAGCAGGGTCTTGACCCGTAGCGAGATAAATAGCGGTTAAAATGTTGGCAGCATGCGCGTTGAAGCCACCCACCGAACCAGCCATGGCTGAACCGACCAAATTCTTAGAGATATTCAATTCCACAAGCGCGCTGACGCTGGTCTTGAGTACCTTTTCTACAATAGCGCCAGGAATCGTTGCTTCAGAAACCACTGATTTACCTCTGCCTTCAATCCAATTGATAGCAGCAGGCTTTTTATCCGTACAATAATTACCAGAAAGTGACACAATTTGCATATCAGGGTAGACCTCAGCAATCTTACTCATTGCCTTTTCGCAACCTTTAGAAATCATGTTCATACCCATTGCATCGCCAGTTGTTGTAGAGAAACGGATGTACATGAGACGACCAGCCAATGCAATTTTCAATTTTCGGACACGAGCAAAACGAGAAGTAGAATTAAATGCTTCGGTAATAACCTCAGCTCCTTCATTTTCGATCCATCTTTTACAATCAGCAGCACGTTTGATATTGGGAAATTCAACACAAGGTCCACGTGTCATACCATCAGCCGTGACAATAGTCACTGCACCGCCGCCAGCATTGATGGCCTTACAACCTCTAGCTGCAGAAGCAACTAAACAGCCTTCTGTCGTTGCCATAGGAATAGGGATCATAACACCATCAATATTTAAAGGACCTACACGACAATGAATAGGCAGAGAAAAAAAAAAACAATTTTAATCACCCTATATTTTTTTTGCAATCGTGTCTTTTTTTTTCCAATGAGACCATCCTTTTACCTGCAATACCCACGGGAATGGGCATATAACCAATGACATTTTCACAACAAGCACCCATTACTTTATCATAATGGTAATTCTTGAAAGGCAAAAAACTACCTTCCAACGTCTTTGTTACAGAATCACGCGAAATAAGCGCTCTACGGATTTGAACGGCGCGTTCAAAATCGCCAAGAACCTTTTCAAGAGCATAAGGAGCCAATTTACCGTTTTGCACAACAGAAATGATTTCTTCGTCTGTTAACACTTCAGGTGTACCCAATAAGCTTAAAACCTCGTCCATAGGACGAACAATGTCTGAGTGAGAAACTTGTTGTTGTTGTTGTTGTTGTTGTTGACGATGACTTTTTTTGGCGGCAGTGGGTGATGAAGAAGACACGTTGGGTGCAGCTGTTGGTCTAGCAGCTAGCACTTGCCGAGTATCTTCAAAGGGTTTTTGTAGTGGTTCCTTTTTACCGTGATTGTCCGTTTTACTTGTCGTCTTATTTGTACCTTTCCCTGCAGGTACGTCCTTGGCATACACTTTTTGCTGCTGCTTGGCAGCGTTGAAAAGGTAAGTATTCAAAAATAACGACACGCAAAGAGCAACTGCTAGCCACTTTGAAATGACAGGATGCTGGATATAAACGGCGTAGATATCAAATAAACTTTCAAACGGTTTCATGATTGAAATGTTGGATTAGGGGCTGTTCTTTCGAGATTGTTGAGAATCGTAAAAAAGGTATTACAGCATGGAATAACGGAAGAGAGGGGAAAATACTACACTACCAGTAACCTTACTGTTTCTTCTTAAAGAACTGGGTTCTGTTGTGTAAAAAAGGATAAGCTTGATAATGGAAAAGAGGACTTGACTCTTTCTATTGATAGTTAATTTTTTCTTCTATAGAAAAAAAAGAGTATAAAAATGAAGCAAAAGTGGAGCGAAAAAAGAACTCTGAAAGAAAATGCATTCCTCAAAAAAAAAGCCAATCATCTTGACGAAACAGTAATCCATGATTGGTGCGGTAACTGAAAGCTTTTATCAAATTTTTTCATACTTAATTGTCAGTGGAACCATCCGAAGCCAAGTTTAGCCATTGAGGGCTTATGCTGTATCACGTCTTATGAACGATTCTATAGCTGTCAGACATAGTGTTTATACAAAAACATTGCTTCAAATAAACGACCAGTTATGTTCTTTGAGAACAATTATTGATGTTTGTCTTCTCAATTTGTTGGTGTCAATGGAGAACTCAACAGCAAATTTTTTTGAAACATAATATAAACCTTGAAGTTTGAAAGCCAACAACACTACAGCATTGAGAAGATTGTATATTCATCAGAATGGACATACCCTCTGAAGGCGAGGAAAAGAGCCTCTCTTAACCGTCGGTCCAACTGGCAACCATGAGACGTGCTGAAACAAAACCTGAATGCGTGCTGACGGGAACACCTTCCATTGAAATAGTTCCATGGATGTTTTGCGTATACAATGCCTTTTTCATTGATACAGAACTATCTTACCTTGCTTTGATACTCTTAATTGTATCAGCTACTGACGAACCAAATGTTCGGGTCTTAAAACAAGAATAGAAATTGGGACGGTATAACCGGTCAGTTACGTGCTAAGCTAGAGTTTATCCCAGGAATGAGGCGCAACGGTTTGAGCCATTGTTTTCCAAGTGCCTGACTCATGTACCTCAGGAACGGATGTGCGAACTTTCACCAAAAGGCTTTATTAAATGTAATTGCTTATAGGATCCCGTTGCTTACAGAACAGTTCCATATTTAATAAGCTATTGTGCAGAATAATTTTTTTGTCTATATTCCAAGTGCCACACAGCACACTTGTATTCTAAGTAAAGACCATAGGGGGAACAGCTTCTTGCATAACAGACGCTGTCATACTGATATCTCGCAAATATTCTGTCGGAAACTGAACGAGATGTCCTTGTATATGATTTAACTTGTATTCTATTTGTTCGCAGGTAAAATTCCAAGGCTCCGCTATATGGTTTGGTAAAACGCGGGTTGGGTCTGGTATAAACTGACGATGCTGCTCTACGTTGTGCACTAGTAGGCAAGGAAAAAAAAAAAAAAAAAGGAAAAGGAAAAGGAAAGTTTTGTTGTATCAATGATAATGGTTGTGCGGAAGCATTGAGAAGAACGTCCACTCACCAGTGTCATCGGGAACGCAGCGAAAAACATCTCTATAGATCAATGTATTGTTTTCAGCAGTTCTATTCCAAATCTTTGAGTAAAAGTCATCTAGCAGTGGATCCATAACAATTAGATCCTCGTAAGTCATGCTCTTATAGCGCTCTGGATCAAAATGGCTTTTTTTGGCTTGTGGATAAAGGTCATGAAAATGTATGCTATTTCTGTCATTCTTCAATAATCCCAAGTGTTCTTTAAACAATTGCATACGCAGAGTCAAAGCATATTTCGCAGCTTTGTACTGTGATGTGAAACATTAGCATTCTTATTGTTCTCTATTTTTTTGGGCGTGATAAGTCAATAAAGGTTACCGGTTGGCCATTCATCCGCGACTCTATCATCTCTGAGTCTTCTATAATAGCAGCAATCTCCGAATCCCGATTTCCCAATTGTGATCTAGTTGAACAAAAAAAAAAAAAAAGCGATCAGTCACACGTAAGACTTCCACTTTGTTTCCTGATATGAATTGTTGTAAAGAATTGTACCTATCATTCAAATTAGCTGTAGGCAGCAAGGAATAAGATAAACTGTCCAATCAGTCATTTTGTCTGATATTTCATTGAATCCGTACCTGAACCGCATATGACAATTCTATCATCTACTATCATCAGTTTTGAATGTATATACACTTGCTCCGTCACAAAGTTTAGTCGTCCATCGTTATACTGCTGTTGTTCGAAAAAATCATGTTCCTGCTGTAATGGTTGCTGTGATTGCTGCTGTTGCTGCTGTGTTTGAGATAACTGTGCCGAGATTACTTGTTGTTGTAGCCATACGTCATCGTTAGAGTTACTTTGGCCCGATGATTTTGATTTCAAACCACGTTTCTTTGGTAATATTGAACGCCTGTTACTGAGGGGTAAGAAATTCGAATTGGTTGAAATAGCACTTTGTAGCGCACTGTTAGGCACGGAATCACTTGCTGGCAATAGTAAGTTTGCGTTGTTGATTTTCCCCCAATTTCTTAAACTGTAAAACCCAATGTACTTTTCTATCGGTATATTCGCCTTCCGTAACTGCTCAAATACAGAGTATTTTCCTCGAGAAATAGATCGATATTGATATTGAGCAACGGATCTGTATCATCAAAAGATGAGAATTGCGGTGACTACATTTGATATTGATTCAGCATTACCTTAAGGGCATGGTCTTTCTGTCAACCTGAACAAAATCACCTTCAAAACCTGGGGCTACAGGTATGACCACGATCACCTTGAATTTTTGATTTTCTCTATGAGCTCTTTTGATTCTTTCTACGATGGCTTGACCTATTTTATTTTTTATCAGTTTATCGTGGGGACTTGTGGTAGTAACTAACAAAAAGAAATTATAAAGGCATTAGTTTGAACGTGTAAGTTCCCTTCTTGTCCGTTTTAGTAATAAAGTTATACTCACTGAAAAATTGATTTTCAATGTAAATGAAATGTTTCGCTTTGAATATACATTCCATATAAGCATTATAAATCGAGTACTAGCAACATCACTTGCGATTAATGATGTAACCATAAGAATAACGGTACAAATTAAGAAAACCAGTTATCTATATTTACCTCTCTTGTAATGCCTAAACTCCATTCGGCACTGCTTCTCAGTAACTGAACACGACAAGAGCCTCTGAACTTTATTTCATCGGCATTTGCTACATACTCGCCTTTAGGCAAAAGAAAAGGGATGTCGGTTCTTTCTTTCGCACGATTGGACTTGATGAAATTCCAACGTTGAACAAAATGTCGTGCTATATCTCGAGCAGGCGGCCCTACCTACAAAGTAAAGCATGTAATATAAATTATTCGGATGAGATGACCAACAGGGGAGATATATATAGGTTCTGCCATCTATTTTACCATTGCCGTATGGATGTCATGCCAAGGCATTCGAGGAGCATGGTTTTTATTGATCAGCTCCATATCATATTGGCTTACTATTGTTTTCAACGTTCGTCAGTAGGTAGTTTTGTTGGATTTATTTTGTTCATCGTGAGTATTTTTGCCTTTCTTTCCCAGTACCTTTGTGAAAATCTTTCAGTCTTGGATTTGAGTAATCCTGACCGGGAAATATCTCATTTTCATCTCCAGAACAGAAATCTGTCAAAGTGTGCTGAGGTGTATCGTAACGGCTTTTTGCAAGATTTCGATAAAATGATGGGAATCAATCATAAAAATCCTTCATTTTTTTCTGTATTTGTTTTTACCCAAAACACAAATCTAAACCACCCACAAAGGCCAATCGATAATCAATCACTAATATTTTCTAAACTTTTGCCATTAGCGGAAATAAGGAAGATGGGTTGCGGCAAGTGTTCTTGAGCGTATACCTCGTGGTGAGCCCAAAACGGAGAAGCTGTCAGATTTGCATGCCTTTGTACAATGATATTTGGATGCACGTTCTGTAGCCAATCTCTTGTATGTTGTGAATCTAACGGTAAGGCAACAGATACATTTTTGTAGATGACAATGTAAATCATGACTCCCTCTGACGCTTTCCTCTTTAACAGTCTATCCAGTCTATATTCCTCGTTCCCTTTGGGAGGTCTTCTGAGGAACTAATCATGAATAAGATTCAGTCTTTTGGAACTAAAAAAGGATTTCCGTTGTTAGCTCTAATTTTTTTACCAATTGTGGACTCTTCAACAGAGAGGGCAGGGAAAAAAAAGTTACTACGCTGAATCACAACCCTTCTCAAAAAGATAGCTCTTGATCCGCCTTACCAACCACCAATCTTCTATGAAAATTTCCGACTTTGCCGACAGGATAGCTTCTATGACTGCTTCGTAATAATCTGCGTTTATTGCCATCAGTATTCAAGATTCTTTGAAAAAGTCTCTCAGGGTGTTTACTTTCTGAGTTCTTACCGTGTCCATCAATAAACCATCTCGCCTTTGCGTTCTTTCTAATGGGAGCATAGGAGCCAAATCTGTGATTCATCACCCACGGTGAATCTTTCTGCACCTTTTCCAAACTCTCTAACCATTCCTCAAAATGCTTGGTGGTTGGTGCTTTTATTTCTATTCTCCGTGTCGCATTGCTAATCGTAAAGAAATGATTTGGATGGATGGACCCAACCAAAGTAGCCGCCGCCGGAGCAAGGTTTGCTCGTGCCACTTTAAAATGTTTATCAAAAAGTAGCACATCGGAGGGCGCAGTAGAGCCTATATCTTTACAAAAGGCAATATAGGAGTCTCGTAAAATTAGCCATTCTTTCTGCCAACGATCCCAGGGAAAGTGTGTCGACGGCGGAAGCAGACGCCCTACCGTCGTACTAGCGGATGATGAGTTAGGATGGACGATGTATTCCAGGTAACCTTCTTTTCCTTTCCAGCCCATATCTTTTGAAATCGACAAGGCTCCCAGTTCCAAAAATTCGCATAGCTCGTAGTTGACGAGTAAGCTCGCATTTTGTATGAGAGTCTTCAAATAAGATTCAAGAGCATCACGACGTTTGAGGGCGACTTCGCGCCAGACACCTGCTTCTTGTTCGCGGGCAATTCGCATGGAGGTCAGTGCAGCATTCGTCAAGTGCGCCAGTTGGCTAGGAAACGAAGGGGGTGGCTCCGAAATATAACCAGAGATATATTTGAATTTCAGAGTTAAATGAAGGTTGTAAAATTCGATAATGGTGCGATGGATTACCCATCGAAGGTCACCGTACTGGAGCTCTATGCGGAAGGTCCATAACCTATGAGCAGCATTATGATCAATTTCAGAATCCGTAATGGCAATCTAGAAGAATAAAATGTATTTCAGTTTATTATCACATGTCCGTACACACTCTGCTGAATGGGTCAAGTGCTTACATTCAATGCATCGAACAATATGGGCGGCTGTAGTATAGATGGAAAAAAGTAGAGACATATATTTGAGAATGATTTGTTGGATGCATCATTTTATCAAGCTTGTACAGAAAAAAAAAAAAAAAGATTTTCTTACTGCTTTTCGTCCGTGTTCGTCTTTGCACATCAATGAAAGATACCCTGGAATGAATGCTGACGGATAATAAGGTGCTAATGGCTGTTTCGATAAAAGATGGGGTGCGACACTTGATCTTCGCCGGTGATGGCCGAAGCTGTTGACGACTTTTATTTTTTCAAATGTTCTTGACCACTGAAGTTTTGCTTTATTGCTTGCATCTACGGGTATAACATGGAGGTGATCAGTACAAGGGGGCTATGGAACCCAATTGACATAACGATAAGCGAGGGTGTTTTACTTTGTGGAGTCTCATGAGACTGTTGAGATTGAGTCATGGCCTCAGGACTGTCGGTCAGGAGAATACCCTGAGGACGGCTTTCCATCACCGGGATACGATGTTTACTGCAGATGCTATTGATACTACCTGCGGATTTCTTTTTTGTCACGGCTATTGTCACCCCTGGATGAATACTTAGCGGGTGCAGTGCCTGCCAATCGTTGCCATCCGGGCCACCTACGTTGCTGCTGCTGCTGCTGCTATCATCGGTTGATAAAGAAGTAGCAGCGTCAAAGGCAAAAGGATTCTCAAAAAATCTCGTTTTGGAACAAGGTCCCTCTTCTTCAGCCCTTGTATTGCCTTCGATCGCCACCTCTTCAACCGTTGGCAATGTGACGTCTTCAGAAACGACGACGACTTCATCGCCTATTTCTTTGCTGTCGCCGAAGGGTCTTTGCAGCATCAACGAACTCTCAAAGTCTGAACTAGTGAGAGTGTTTGGATGATAACTGGTGGCAACATTATCTGTTGCTTCATGGAGGGTTCCTAGCAGATTGGGAGGCCTATTACTGTCCGAAGCGTCGTCCTTTTGAACAGTCATGGACATTTTGCGTAGAATGGAATGCCATTTACTCGCTGTTGGATGCTTGGAACTTGCCTCGTTCGTTTTCGATTCTTCCTGCTGTTGGTTCAAGCGTTTTGGAATCATACTTCGTCGTCGTGAGTGCTCTTCAAAGAAGTCACTGTCGTTATCTTTGTCGGATTCGCAGAGCTCGTCACTATCAAGGACCTGTTTGATAAACTCCATATTGTTAGTGATAGGATGTGACATTCTGCAATTTTTTCGCTAAATTGAACAAAATGAAAGGATAGACAAAGAAATGCAATCCAATAATTTTGCACTTGGGGAACAATTTTAAAGGTACACAAAAAGGGCAAGCTGCAGACCTTTCTTTCCTGAGTCACATTAGAGGATGGCATTACCATGGTAAACTGATAATTTCCATTTATGAAAGTGTGCAACAACAACAAAGATTTTTCGCAGGCAATTGTAAATTCATTTCATGAGCAAATATAGAGTGTCTATTGCAAAGGCATGCTTTTCATAAGCATAGAAACAGAAATGCCTGAGTGTGGAGCTAACTTTAGAAGAGTATGCTGGATAGAGATTGAGGACAATTTTGCACTTATGGAGTCCTGTTTATAGGCTATTCTAGGCTCAAACGTTGCCTTTTCTTTGGGCTTTGTGTCTACGTTAATATAACCAACACAACCATTTTTACAATCAAAGGACACATCTATAAGTATAAAGATGATCTCGATCAGGTTAAAAGTAAGCGCGAACATAATAGATTTACAAGTGTAGCTCATTGATAACGCAGGCGTTTTAAGGTGGATCATTAGAATGCAGTGCGTGCATCTTCGGTCGCTTCACACGAGCCGCTACTGTCGTTCTTTAGCTATTTTGCTTGTTTTTAGTCGTTTTTTTCTCATCCAAGCTCTACAGAACCATGCCATATAGGTGCAATTTTGTAACAGAAAATTGCGATACATCCATAGTTAAGAGTCGATAGAAACACATACTGATACCTAGCATTTTTTTGTAAGTCAGCGAGAATACAGTATTGTGAGTCATTTACATAGAATACAACTGGACAAGTAGCTCACATGGCAGCTAAGGAAAATATATGTAATCCTTCTGGGCCGATCACACGATGGAGCTTACTGTAACAAATGCGTGCAAAAAGAGGCGGGCCTCAGATGTTTACTACAAGTGTCCAAATGTAAAAAGTAACTAGTCCGAAAATAATGACTTGAATTTTCTGAATTCTCAATCAAAATATCCAATTTTGTGTACAAAAAAGTAGTATATACAAGGAACTCAATTTCTTTCCCCGCTGCCTACTTTTAGCAAATGGTCTGTTTTTCTTTTTCGTTCCCGCAATAACTATAATCCGAAGAAGGTTGGGTTCTTCGTCTTACGTAAAATATGTAGTGGAAGACGATCAATGTCATGTCTTTCTACTACATTAGCAGTGAGTCATATTGTAATCAGATTGAGAAACAACGTGCCTTCTTGAGAAGTTTTCATCTTTTTTTCACAAACACACATTTTATGAAAGAAGATGACGCGATTGGTGATTGTTTTCGTTCCCATTCGGAAGTAAAGCGTCTGATGTGAGCAAGTACAGATCTACTTCACTTCCTCTCATTAAAAAGAAAGGTGGGCTAGAATACTTTGAAAGAAAACGAGCGCTCACATCTCAAGCTTGTAACTCTACGTTCTACATTTCTCAATTATTATTGCAGCAGAACAATCGTATACTACAGCAGAGTAACATTTTGAGGCAGTTGCTTGAATCAACAATATAGACAAACAATAACAAGCCCAAAATAAAAGGGTCCAATATGTTTTTTCCCAGATGGACGAACCAGCATAAGCGTTATGTAATCAACGCTAGAAGAAAGGGAAAGAAATCCGCCGAGAAAACCAGGTTCTGTGCTACGAATGGCAAGCCGGAATTATACCATATTTGACTCTTATCTTTTAACTTTTTTTGTATTACCGTGTTATCAACGTATTTATCTTACACAAATTTAACAAAGGTGCGAAAAGACAAATTATGAAGAGCAGATTAATGAGTTCTAGAAATATTTTTAAAAGATTGCATCAGAAACGTCATGTTGTTACTAAAATTAAAAAAAAAGAACTGCATTACGTAAACAAAGCTGAACAAATGGCGGAAACGTAAAATAACATCATTCGACTGCAAATTCAAGCTGATTCTCGATCATCGTCTTTGCAGCTTAGGGCATTTTTTGATTTGCATTTTACCACATCTTCATTCAGTAGCATTCAAACATCTGCTTATAATGCCAAGTTATTCCTATACAGATTCATCCTTATTTAAAGTGATTGAAGTACTCAGGACTGATGAAAGGACAGCAGGGATGTGCTGAAGAGATAGAAAAGGATCTAAACTAGCTGCGGCGGAAGTGAATTGAATAAAGAACGAATCAAGAAATTAAAAAAAAATTTTTAATCCAAAGAAAACTTTTTTTTTTTGTGTTATTCAAGAGTGATGATGAAGACAGAAAGTGATATAGTGTATATGTAAAGATATAGAGATAAGAGATATATATATATAATTATACGAAAGGGAGGGTATAGTATATATATACATATACAAGAATCCCATCATCAAGCCATGGAAGGCACGCGTTCGATGGTGGATAATGCATCAGAATAATTACTTGCAGAAGAATAACCATCTTCAGGTTCTGAGGGCGGTGTCAATGGTTGATGGAGAGAGGACGATAACGACGCTGAAGAGGTGGATGAGGAAGCAGTGGCAGTTGTCGAATCATCATAATTAGGAGCCCTTGGCAGTTCCTTCAGTGTTGATTTATAACTTGGTGGTTCTTCGACTTGTTCATAAGAGGGTGGTGCAGCTACTGTCTTTTCATTCAAGATATGTTCACGAGAAGTAACGACTAAGGGAACTTCCAACGTGCAGAGGGTCAACTTGGGTTCGTTAGGATCTTTGTTGCCGTGATGATGATGATGATAGTCTTTAAATTTGTAGAGTTTAGAGTGGCGTCTGGAGGGTTTGATGGTGGGTATATTCATGCCATTCATGGTGATATCGTCAGTAGGGATGGTGTTTGCGTTATTATTATTATTAGTAGTAGTAGTAGCGATATTATTGTTGTGGGAACGTCCAAGGGTAAAGATGGAGACAAGGGAAGAAGTGGAAGAGGACCGGCTCATTGCTGGCCGCGACTGAGGATCGAAATCAGGAGAACCTGGTGTTGAAGGTGGTGGGGTGGTGGAGGGACTAGAGAAGGGTGTTTTCACGTCTGAAGTGTGTCCTCGATCATCTTCTGAGGCAGATGCCCACTCAGACTCTGTCGCTTCCGTCTCATAATTTACCTCGCTGTCGTCTTCGTCTGTGCAGGTGTCTTCCACCATGATGTTGATCACTAGAGCATGCGTCACTTTCAGTAATCGACTGTTCATATCCGCATTCACTCTAGGACATAAGCGGAACAAAGCATTATAATCCGCCTTTTCCTTAGGATCATAATCAGGCGATTGATTGGGATAGAAAGTGCTGTAGCCTAAAGGAAATAGATTGTCGGTTTTACTGAGCACTGTGTTGGCATTGGAATCAGTTGTTCGATATTGAACACGTTCCCTTAACGCAGTCGTGACAGTTCGTATAGACTGTGTCTCTGGCCGTGTGAGTTGCATCGTCAAATTTAAACGAATCAAGCCACCTTCACGGTAACTGATGGTAGGCGCTGCAGCTGTGTAGTATAACTTATTGGTGTGGTGTCTACCTTCGTACGTTTCACGCAATTCGGCAATGGGCGTCTGCTCATTCAACAAACAGCGCTTGATGGGAATATCACGGGAAGCATAGATATCACTGGCAAACATAGGTCGATAAATGGATGCTTGTAATCGATAACGCACATATCCTCTTTTGCCGCGGAAACTGGCAGGTACGCTAGCAGGCAGATCAAAGCTGAAAGGATAGATGTACTGACCTGGTGTGAGAATGTGCGTACGACCATCGTCGCCCAAAAAATGCAGGTCCTTTGAATACACTGTTCGACTTTCAACGGCGTCTGTAGTAGCCACACTGTAACCGCTTCCCTTAAGGTTGACTTTACAACGTCCTTCAAGCCAAACAATCAATCTTCGCACCTTAATAGTCTTATTGACTTTGACAATACAGTTGCCCATGACAGCACAACCTTCTGACACATCATGAGCAACACCTCTTAAAACTCCAGTGAAGGACGGGTCTAATGCCAAGATGATCGTCGCATCATCTTTGCTGGATGGCTTCAAGTGCGGCATATTACTATCTATATTTGTTGTCTGATCTGCTTTTTAATCAATCGACTTGGTATAATGTGGAAAAAATGAAACTATAGAAAAAGAAAAGAAAGAAAGAGAGAGAAAGAAAGACAGAGATAAAGAGATAAGAGATTTAAAACAGGAAGAAAGGAGGGAGAAGAAACAAAAAAAACTGACACGGACTCATTTATAAGATTACTGGAATTTCAAAGACCGCTTGAGTGAAGCTTTTCATGTCTATGTGCAAAAATTTTTTTTTTCGTTCTTCATTCTGCTCGAAACACAACAAATAAATAATGATACGCATCAATTCGATAAGCACGGACTGATATGCGTCCCTGTGTAGCGCTGCTTTCAAACTCAGCTTAGGGAGAGATTTGCCGTATTTGTCAACCGTTTTAGGAATAAGGGCCCTTTTTTTTTCAATTACATCTGGACATTTAAGGGAATTTCTGTGTTTGACTTACCCTTTGGCAATAAAAAATTGAAAAAATCTGTGTTGCAATAAACAAATGCAGTCAAAACTATTTTGGGTTATCCCAACCTGCAGAGATCTTACTGATCAAAAAGGACAGAAAAGGAATCGATATCATGGGGCTTCATTGATAATACAGGTACTGCGATGAGGAATGTCTGTGCATTGTACACGTTTCTAATAATCTAAAACCCAAGCATTTATTTGAAGACATAGGCACATGGTGATGAAAGGTCTTTTTGGTTTGATAAACGAAAGAGAGCGTTATCAAATTCTTTCTTTTTAGGTTAGCGGAAGGATAGTTGACATTTTAAGACACCGTCCCGTGCCTTCGCAGCAAAAGTACTAATTTCTAATCTTGAGCAATGGATAAAGACGAAAAATTACTGCACGATGATCAGGAACATGATTCAAATAAAGTATGGGTTTTATTCTACAAATGGGCGTCCAGACCCAGAATCTTATTTTTCCAAGCCTTTTTAACACAGCAGTTTATCGCAGTAAATGACAGATTTACATACAGAAAGTTAACTCCATAAAATTATCATTATTTACTATATGCTGTCAAAAGCTAATACAATGAAAAACACATGAAGCTTTCTCTAGAAAAAAGTCATTTAGTAAAACACGCTTTTTTCTTATTTGTTCATCGGACGCAAGCAAAGATGGATAAGGCTCAGCGATGTGCAATTTGCTGATAGGCACAGAGTTGCTGTCTAAAAAGATATGTGTTATCTTGGCACTATTTCGGAAAAGCACGCTAGAGGATCTCATAGTAATACTTTGCCCGCGATTATTCTTGTAAAACACAGATGTGTATGTATATATATATATATATGTATACAAGATCGTTTCCTACTCTCCTTTGTAAAAGGAATCGACCATAGTGCAAAAGTATCAGTGTGTTATTTTTCGCAGCAGTGATTTTCTTTTCGTGTCGGAGAAACGATACCCCAGTTTCCAGATCAGTTTTCGTGATAAAACTGCATGTCCAAAATGGAAGCGTTTTATTGGAGGCAAAATGTTCATAGAAAAGAAAGGGGGGATGGTTAAGGAAGTCTTCATGAACGTGCGTCTCCGTTGGTTATCGTCCAAGATCGATAAGCAGGGAGAAGTAGGCATGGCTAATTTCTTTTGGTTGTTTCTCGGAAATGGATCTACGTCTTACATACCGGGTTGCGCTTGACTTGGGTTTCTGATGATCACCTTTGGGATTATGCACCAATTCTTATGATCTTTGCCCATTCCGCCGCTCATCACGCACACTTTGAAGAGAAATTGAAACTCCCTGATACACTAATCCTGCTGTCAAACGTTGGCCTTATTCTTTTTTTTTCTGTCGAGGAAAAGAAGTATCAAAGACCAACAAAAAGGGGGTTGCTGTTGCTGCAAGAATCAAAAATTACACGATTTGTGTCAGTTTCATCTGTTAGTTTCTGCTTCCATTCATAGGAAAGCACAAGGAAATCAGGAAAGCTTTAGAAAAGACAAGTCACACTCGCTATCCTGCTGCTTTGTTTCCTCCATAAGGAAATAAAGACATACAGGGAAACCTTTTCTTTTTTTGTGCTATAGATGGACGCATAAAAACACCTACATGGTTGCAGTTGGGTTGCATATTCTATTGATTAGGATAAAACCCGACTATAACTTTGGGAGAAGGACCTTTTTAGCTGTCTACTGGTTCAGTAGATATTGTTACTGTATGGAATCAAATAATTAAACTTTTGACACTAATGATAACAAGGTCTAGTGAGTTACAGTCCTTTTCTCTTCTCCAAGAAAGGGATATGATGACAAATATAGTCTTGTTTATAGATCTGCAAATATCGAACGGCGCGCTTGTACAGCCTCAACATTTCTTACTCCTTCTTTTCGTGCGCGAAAGAACAAATATAGGAACCAGAGAAGAAGCAGGTATTGAAACAAAGCAAAACTTTATTTTCATAAACTCATTTCTCGTTGGATACAACAGCAAACTGCATTATTCTTAGAGACACTCCTATTACAAGACTCACGTTGTTAATGACAACCGTCAAGCTAAGTAGTAAATGCGATAAACGAGAGCGGTTCTTTGAACCTATTATATACTATTTTATTGAAGTTTTCAATGAAGTGCGGGCGTATGGAGTGGATGGGTATGCTTGGTATGTTTAAACTTTTCTGTTAACACCTTTAGAGAGAGAAAGAGCGTGTAAGTGATTCCCTGAGGAAAAAAGCAAAAAAATATGTGCTGTGTGCGTAAGATGCCTTTGTAAATGAATAAAGTAGTTGTATGTGGTTTGTGTATGTGTGTCTGTATGTATTACTTGTAGAGAAAATATTATATAAGTGCATCAACAAAATCTGCTATAGTCCGTATTTCTTCTTTTTTTTTTAAAAAAAAGAGAAAATATAAAAAAAGGGGGCTGGATTGGAGACAAATGCGGGGAAAAAAATGATATTATAAGCATCTTCAGTTTGATGGATCAAACCAAGGACTATCGCCACCTTCTGAAGGATTCTGAGGGGATGCCAAGTTTTGTAGTTGCCACAATAATAACATAATCGTCGCGGAAATAGTGGCCGCTACAAATATGGCCGCTGTTGTGGTTTGTATGCATGGTGAATGCCGTCGAACAAACCTCTTTATGCTATATGTTGCTCTTGCAAAATAACCTTGGTTTTCATACTGTTGTTGGTGTTCTATGCTTGAGTAAATCGTATAAGAGGATTGCGAGGGTATATTGTTGTACAGTGACTCATACGTGGGTGGATCTTTAGGAATGAGAACATCAGTTGACGACATGGCAACTGCAAAATGAGACGAAAAAAAAAAAGAGGAAATTTTGTTTGGACCGAAAACGAATGACCCGCTATCACAACAGTTCGATAGGAAAATTAAAGCAACCAATTAGATGTCAAGATTGGCCATAATGTATTTGTTTCATACAATTGCGCGCACTTCTGACAGTTCACAAAATAAAATTCAGGAATAAAATCATGTTAGGTCAAAATGCAATAAATATTTTTAACACTGGCAAACGTATATAAGAGAAGACAAAAGAGAGCTTTGTCCTTTTTTTGCAGTTTACGCATAGTATACGTTTTGATTCTTCTCTATTTTTATTCTCCTACGACGTATGCGCTATCTTGAATTATTTTTTTGCTTGGCGTTAGCAGTAGCCGTGTCTGCGGCCCAGTCGTTACCATCTCAGCAGCCATCTTCCCTTTGTTCCCCCTCTGCAACGGAGTATTTCAAAGATGAGATAAACTATTCGCTTACACTTCAACAAATGATTGATGAGGCTGAAAGCTTACAGTAAGTCCACAACAGTGTTAATAGAAACAGTTCAAGGAGCATTCTTCGTAAGCTAAGTATGACCGTCTTGAATAGAAATCCTGTTGTCTATTTACCGCCTGGTATTTTTACTTTGGATCCTGCAACGCCTATTATCCTTAAACGGGGCGTCTCTTTGAAAGGTGATCCAAATATGCCCAGTATCTTATCGGTGCGTACTGGTATCAATGACACAGGCTCTATTGAAGGTAACATACACACATACACACATACACACATAGATCTCTTCTCATATAGAATATCTTTTTCTCATTGCTGATCACAGTCTCTGAAGATAATGGATCTTGGTCAATTGAAGATATTGTGTTTGACAATGTCAACATCATTGTTGCCGAGAACCAAAACGAAGATAATGCAGCCGTTCTAGGTAACTTATTCTTCAACGGTGGTCGAGGCTCTGTCATTGCTAAGAACGGCGGAAACTTACTCATTGGTGAGTATACTCTTAAGCTTGCTGCTTGAAACTTGTTTCGATTCTTGTCTTGACTAAAAACGCTCGCTTTGTCTCTATCATTTGGATGAATACTAGATGGCAACATTTTTTTGCGTGATGAGCCCCATGCTGGTACAGAGCTTATACCAAACTATAACACAACAAGTAAATTAAAGTGATTTTCCCAAGCCGGATCTACCGTGACATTATCTCATTTCATAAACTCTGTTATTGATAATAGATACAGGCATTCTCTTCCATACCCAAAAAAACAGTATCATTTCGAATAATATCTTTGGGTAGGGTTATCACCGTCGACTGTACCCTTATTCATCACACTAACCTATACGTTATTTCTATCTCCATGTAGCATGGATCTTCGTAAACTTGACGAGTTGGAACCTGTTATCAACCCACAGTTGGCACGACCCATGAGAAACCTCAGGTTCATGCATGAGTGCTTGAATAAGTTTGATTTAGCTGACGAACAAGGTTACATTGCCTCAGGCATTCAAATGTACTCGACCCTAGACATTACTATTGCGCAAAACATTCTGGTAATATTGTGCATCAAAAGAGCCGTGTGATATACTTTGCTAAGTCTCTTTATGACGAATGTTAAAAAATGGTTAGAATGCTACATTTCCTGATACCAAGCCCATTGCTCAAGACCACGGTATTAGCGTTGTCGGTTGCAATCGAACGAATATCTTGCAGAATTTCTTTGCTGGTTGGCAAGTGGGCGATTTTGGTGGTGGTGTTCGATTTACTTCTACGGTAATACATACTGTGCATGGAAACGGAGGCCAAAGCGCTGACAATTCTTTTTTTTTTTTTTTAAATGCATACAAATGTATTATCTTTATTCATAGGTTGACGCTTATGTTATTTCAAATTACTTTGCTAATGCCGGTGTCTACATGTACGCTGCTGCTCATGCTGACTACTTACAAGTCAGCAATATAGTTGTTTACAACAACTTTTTGTACAAGTTCCTTGGCGAAGACGTGGCACCTGTGGCCGAAGAGCAGAAAGGCTGGCTTTATGAAGGCATCACCTTTTTCGATTTCTACACTGCTCGTTTGAATTATACCATTCGTCCTCCCATTTGGAATGAAAGCGTTCCTATCTCACCTTTAGGCAGTCATATCGTTATCAGTAGTAACAAGTTTGGTGCTGTAGAAAACTTAGCACCCGACATCATCAACTTGGGTAACCTAAACCCTCAAGAGGCTTTTGTGGATCCAAAAAATTGCTATGTCACCGAACCTTTCAATGAAGAAGACGAAGACGAACAGCGCCTTGTCCATTCAGTACCTATCGTTTGGCGTCAACTATTTCACAAAGACCGAACGACAAAGTTTGGTAGCTTTGTTCCACAGGTAACTGTTTTGGTTTTTGGTTTTTCTTTCTTATATTCTGCCTATACAAACTATTTTTTTTTTTTTTTTTTTTTTTTTGGTAGAAAACCGTGGATTATGTTACATCCGATCTCCATAATCAAATTCCACCTCATTGGCGTCAATTGCCGATTCCTCAATTCTGGAAGGGCTTCACTCTTAGAAATGATACTGTGCCCATGTTTAATCCTGATACTGCATGTACTCGTAATGCAGCACCTTTGGCTTAATTGCTTCATTATCTATCTATTTAACTTATGCTATTCAGGCAAAACAAAATAAACGATATTGAGAAACGATGTACTTTGCTCAATCGTAATTCTAGAACCATTCTAACAGACGAAAATTGGTCTGGACCCCTTCAAATGGTGGATTAGGAGGGCTTAGTAATGTCACAGAAAAAAAAAAAAAAAAAAAAAAAGAAAGCAAGGAAAGGAAGCACATGTGCAAGCGTAACAATAAATCGCCAGTGAACAGGCCAGATGTTTTTCGAATATATAATTGTCAGGCACTTGATTGTTTCTCTAATGCTTTCTTTATTCTATTCATTTTAATATGTAAAGAGGTTCTAGTTTATTAAACAAGCCATTGGTATTATCTTTTACGTTTGATAGTGAATGCGTCATTAAATCATATATCTAAGAATAGAAATATCAACACCAAACCCTTTCTAGACTCTCGGGGGAGTTTTTTTAGTGTATTTTTTTTTTTTCGAATTCTTCCTCTTACTTTCTGGGGTACCCGACCAGATTGATCTCTGGTAAGTGATCGAGCCATGATTTCATTTTAGTTAACGTCAAAGCCGTTGGCGTGCTCTCTCCGATAGGTATACAAAAGTAGCACCGTTAGGGGAACAAATATCTTCCAAGCTTCAATTTATCACCTTCAGTTACTCAGTTGACTGCTTTTTTGAGATACTAGTAACCCAGTTTTGCTCGGTGTCAAAAGGAAAATGGAAACACTGAGAGAATGAAAAGGTTAAGGTATATGAATTAGAATTTCGTAAATGACGAGTTGACAAAAACGGTAGTGGACTTCTTAAACAGCGGATGGAGGCCGAAAGAACCATGTAAAATTACGAATGCCTTTTATCTCTTGCTTACTATTCATACAACTCAAACACCGCACAAGAATATTATTTCCTTAACTACCCACCATTTGCTACAAACGTTACGTCGATTAAGAGGTCGTCAAAATAAAAAAAACAAACTTGGTAACTGTATTAGTTAAAGCGATGAGTATGAACTTATTCTGTAAGATCAAGTGAGTTATATTACTATGAAGAAGTGTTTATGATCTACAACATTCGTGTAGAAGGAAGCAATTAAACTGTGGCATTCAATGATTTGTTATGGTTGGGTCAAGCATGCTGAAGCCTTTTGCAAACGGAAAAGGGTTCATGATAGTCTCAATTCTTAACGTGTCACCAAAAGATGAACCATCCACATTTGCACCTTATTTCGTTGAGAAAGTATTGTAAAACATCTTAAAAAGAAAGTTAACATTGTTCAAATTGGAAGATCAATGTTGTTTGCAAAAGATATGGCATCCGGCCAATAAATTTGGTCTTACTGATCAAACATGGTATTACCGTTGACCCGCTCTTTGCCACATCTTATTTGAATCCAACATAACAAAGAACGTCCTCCGCCCGCCTCTAAGTCAACAGTTTTATTGACTGGTTACCTGCTTCCCTAAAATTACAGCCATAGCCACCTTTCCCTTTTACACTTAAAGCCAAAGGGATCTTTAGCTCTGTATAACCATTTGTATCTTCTCCGGGCAATTTAGATAAGTTTAGATATCTCGTGTCCATTATTGGGGTTTCAAAAATTTATCATAAACGTACATACATTTCTGTTTTACTTGTACTTCCCTAGTTGTAGTCACTCATTCAAAAGTTTATCAACTAAGTCATCTTCGAACCCAGCAATATCACAAACTTGAATAGCTGAAGAGGATGAATGGAAGGTTACGAAATAGTGAATGAAACTTTCGACAACGGCGAATTGTAAAGGGAGCAACAGTGAATTTCACTACTATTCAAAACAGTGAATTGATGCTCGAAGAATTGTAGCTCTTACTAGAACCGAACTGTAATCGCTTTCTCCTGGTATTATTTAGAGGTCTTTTAACTCGGGGTATATGTTTCGGCTTTTTTTCATTATTCTTTTCTGTCTGTAAGAATCGTGCTTTCCTCCTTATTTGACAGGTACAGTTTGTAATGGGTGCTTGGAATTGCGTTTGAAGATATGTTGATACATACAATTGGCCTCATCAAAGATGATCCCAATGCTGAATATCCTGACGCTGATATAGGTTTTTCTTACTGCATATACTTGCAATTGCAATTCCTTCCCGTAGCATAGTGCTTCATACTCTGAATAATCGTCTCTTAACCAGATTTAATAATTTAATATTACCATTAACAATGAATTCTTTCGGCTTTTTCTTAATTTTTTGACAGGAAACGGTGTACAACTCTAAACGATTATGGTAATATTGTAATAAAGAAAACTTTTTTTTTTTTTGTTTTTTTTTTCTTCGGTATGCCGGTTACCTAATCTTCAAAGAAAGCATCCGTTTTTTATTGTCGCGGATAACGCCATCCGAGAATCGAAAGACAGGAGAAGTGTCTATTATGAGATTGAGGACCAGCAATTGTGTATCCTTAGTAAATGATATACCAAACTAAAAAGGTCTATCTTCTCAAGAACGGGGGACCTGAACCATTTTTTTTTTTCTTTTCCGAGGCGGCCGATGATTTGCTGGGACTTGGAGCCATCTATATCTATGATTGAAAAGAGGCATCATAATGGGTGGGTAAGGGGAGGGTTGGGGGTGGGGGTGGTTACGGTGTGGGGAAACAGACCCAAAGTATAGATCTATCTATGGATATAGACGTTTCCAAACAATGGAATTTTTTTTTATCTTTGCCATTACTGGACAAATCCAAACCCCCGCTTCTCATAAAGTCTTCATGTCTTCTTTGTAACACCCACACAGGAAATGAAGTGAAAGAAAGGGTAAGAAACACAAATTAGCAGCAGAAAAAAAAAAAGATATTTTTATATAAAAAGGACTCGATATTTTGTACTCTATTACACTTTATATTATACACATCTCTTTCTAAATAGTCGCAGGTCGTCTTTTATTTATTCATCTTTTGTTCTTTTTTTTTTTTTTTTTTTTTCCTGTTATCTCTACTTCTTGCTTTCTCTTTGTCTGTATTTCATTCTTACTCATACACATCTTATTCAATCAAAATGCAGTTTCAATTCATCTTCACTATCTTTTCTGCTGTTATTGCTTTGAGCACTCTTGTTGCCGCTTCCCCTAACGCCTCTTCTGAAGGTTCTAGTACCAATCACTTGGCCAAGAGAAAGACTTATACCGGTACAGCTACTTGGTACAAGCCTGCTACTGAAGGTGGTCCTCATGCTGCTTGTAATGGCGCTTATATTGATGATTACTCTCGTATCGTCGCTCTCAACGCTGAACAATATGGCAATATGAATGGCAAGAGTAAATATTGCCACAAGAAGATCCGTATTAAGGGCCCTAAAGGCTCAGCTACTGCCACTATCCTAGACGCGTGCCCTGGTTGTTCCTACGGTGATTTAGATCTCACACCTGTACTTTTCAAAAAGATTGTAGGAGATATGAACAAAGGTATCGGCAAAATCCACTGGAACTTCGTCTAAGGCCAATAGAGAAGGTTTTCTGGAGAATAGATACAGGAGATGCCATTGCTATTTTTCTCCATTCCTTTCCACCAACGCTATTATTTGTACACTATTTACATACAACTTTTCTGTATTATTATCATCTATGACAAGATATTAAATAGGGCACCGGTATGCCAAAATTAACCTGCATTTTTGCTGTTGCCTTTACAGAATGGCATACATGTCTGTTTCCTTTCTACAATTTTTCCTTCAGGACAGTGCAATCAGTGATGAATATATAGACTGGTATACAGATGGTATTCAAAAGCACAGACCATGAGCGTTGAGTGCAATCCTATCTAATGTATATTTAGAGACGATACTCTCCTTTTTTCTTTTCAAATTTACAGAAAGACTTTCTCTTTTTTTCCGATTCTTTCACTCCATCCCTTTTCCTTTTTGCTAAATGAGCTGTACAAGGTGATACAACTAATTATTTTCAAGAACAAGGTTATGTCAATAGTTTTGTACACTATCGACTAAAAGTCCATTTCTGTTGATCATCCTTCCTTCATTTAGAATTAGACCATATGGAGGACGATTGCAGTCTTACTACACTACACGCTTTCACCACTACTTCCTTCTTTGTCCACAATGCGTAGAATTACAAATACCTGCTGTTCGTTTTTATTTGTCTTTGCCAAGGTCTGTAGAGAAACGCGCAGAGTAAAAATGTGAGAGAGTAGAAGAGCTGCAGTAGAGGCTACTATCTTGATTGTTATTTGTAAATCTCAATCTCAAGAAGACCTCTGTAGAACGCAATTCCCACTGACTCTAGCCATGGGTTGTAGCGAAAAAGTCTACAATCGATTTTTCTATTCTTATTCATGAAAGGATGATAAGACTTCTTTAAAACTTTGAAATAGCTCTACTGTCTTTCTCCGCAACACTCGTCTGTAGTCTCAGAGTAAATAGATCCTCGTACCTCTCGACGTACTTCTTGGAACTCCAAACCTGGAACGCCTTGTTGTCAGGCACTTTCATGTGTCCTAGACATCTCAGGTCAGCAAGGCAAAAGGAAAGTTATTGTAAACAGCGCAAATGATGCGTAAAGCTATTTAGCTGCTATAAGTTTTTTATGCACCGTACGGCTAGTACCGTTTGAGAGATCTCAGAACTGATAAGACGTTTCTCAATCAAAATTAAATGAAAATAAAATATGAAAACACAGCTACTAACCATGACAGTAAAAGAAGTGTAAAACAAGTCAAAAGAAAAAAAGAAACAGGACTTCCTCCTTCACGCCTCCATAGAAATCATCTTTTTTGGTGCTTATTAACAAGGAAGAACTCTTCAAAAAGATCGTTGGCACTAAAAAAAAATCAAAAAAATCATTCCCTCCGTCATAACCGAACTAAAAGTAAACAGAAAAAAAATAAAAAAAGAACTTCTTTATTTATACTGTGGAGTTCCTGCGCTTCCACCTATCACTGAACCTATTGTATAGCTTTCACCCATAACACCGTCATTGGCTGGATTATAAGTAAAACCTGCAAATTGTTCCTGCATCGTACTAGATATTTGTGAGTCGTCCATAACAGATTCTTGAGGTATTTCTGAAGTAAATTCGTCATCAAAGTTAGTGGTATCGTAGGCTGAATCCACAGAAGGTTTGTAGGGCGGTTGAATTTTCTTTTGGTTTAACAATTTCCAGTCGATGCTGGCAAAGAAAGGATGATTTTTGATTTCTTCCGATCCATTATTACCTAATCGTTCATTGGGGTCACGAGTAAGAAGCTAGAGGAAGCATGGGATAGAAACAAAAAAAAAAGTCAATTTCAGTACACTGATTTCATTGATTTTTCCCTAAAAACAAAACCTTACCCCTCTTAAAAGCGATCTCGCTTCTTGACTCATATCATCAGGAAATCTTAATTCATCTTGTAAAATCTTTCTGTACATCTCATTTGTATTTTCATCGTAAAACGGAGGCAGACCTGTCATCATTTCGTACAATAAGACACCTAGAGTCCACCAGTCGACCGTTTTTGTATAACCTTGACCTAGTAATAATTCTGGCGCCAAATACTCAGGTGTACCACAGAAAGTATTGGTTCGATCGTCATCTTTCATGTCTAGCTTACATAGTCCAAAATCACATAAAGCAATATGTCCATTGTAATCAATCAAAATATTTTCGGGTTTAAGATCACTATCCGAGAGGAAAGAGGAAACACGTGTAAGTGTTCATCAAGGAATATTCATTGTAAAAAGGAGAATAAGAAGAAGAAGAAGCTAAACGTTTCTCGCATCCTACTTACCGATAGACAACATTGAAATCGTGCAAACATTCTAAAGCACTTAACAATTCTGCAGTATAAAACCTGGATCTTTCTTCATCGAATTTGCCTTCCAATTGTAAATGATGGAACAGTTCACCTCCGTTAATAAATGCCAACACCAAATAAAGCTTATCAGGGCTTTGGAAGGCAAACTTTAATGGTACGATGAAAGGATTTCGAATCTTTGCAAGTACGGTCTTTTCAGCCATCGTGTGGGTTACTTCTGATCTAGAAATGATACGTGATTTACGTAGAACTTTCATAGCATAGATACGGTTGGTATCCTTTTTACGGACCACATAGACTTTACCAAAACTTCCACGACCAATCACACGTAGTAAGTCAAATGAATCAAAGGTAATAGGTGAACTTGTCTACAAAGTTGAAGGGAAAAAAGATGTCACCCGATAAATAAAAACGTTCACTCTCCTTCTTTATGGAAAAAGGACACCCTGTTCACAGATTGAGCCACCTACCTGCTGTGGTCTGTAACATAATTGAATATGAATGGATCCAGTGCCTCCTGTAATATTCAATATTTGATCTTCAATCTTGGTCGACGAGAAATTGGGTTGAACTTTCACTCCACCCAAGAAGAAGTCGTTGGTTGCACTACTGTTATTACTCTTATTAAGACTCAAATGCAGTAACTGTTGCAAATGTCTTGACTGTTGTTGCTCCGTGGGTGGATGACGCATGTACATAGATATTGACACTTCTGAACTACAAGATACATCACTGCATTCGATAGATGAAAGAAAAATAAATTCATGTTAAATCTCTTGGTCACTCTTTCTCTCTCTGTGCGGGAGCATCATCCAATTGTATGTCTGGGCAGTAAAAAATAAATAAATTGCCAATGCTCGTCCCATCCTTCACTTACAAGTTGGCTCTATATTGATAGACGGGATTTTTAGCATCCCCCCCTAAAGCATCAATCAAAACTTCATTTTTGTCAAATTCCAAAACGACATAAGGCAACCACCAGTGTTGCTGCTTGCGAATCAAAGAGTCTCGATTACTGCTCGAACGATTATTGTTCGTTTGTTGGTTAATGGGGACATAGGTTGAGTCGGGTAAAGTGATATTGGGTGGTGAGGTAATGTTTCTTGCTTCACATATACGGATGAGTAAAACACCTGACTTGGGTTCGACTGCTGTTGTAGTAGAAGAACTGGTGGAATGACCGGAAGCTGAAGATGGTGAAGGAATTCGTGAACTGTGATGACTAGGATGAAGGTGACTAGGATGATGTGGAGATAAAGTTGAAGAAACAGACTGTTGCTGTTGCTGTTGTTGCTCTTTGTGCTCTTTTTGAAAAAAAAAGGGGTGAATGTTGGACTATAAGAATAGAGGAAATGACGAGTATTTTGCGTACTTACTTCTAACACCCGGGAGTTTCCAAGAATTCATCTATATTAAATTTAACGTATAACACTTAATGGCTGCGGAAGAGGATTATAATTGACTCTATTGATATACCTTTCTATCTTGTTACAAGTTTGAATGCAAAGAACAGTGTATGTGTGTGTGTGTGTAAATGTGTGAGTATGAAAGTGTGTGTGCTTAATAAAACAGAATAATTGAGACAGTAAGGAGCTTAGTTTCAAGAAAAAAAAAAAAAAAAAAAAAAGAAAGCAGAGAGAGCCAAATGTGGACCATGTGTTTTCTTAGGTTTATTTAAAGCATGTGCTTGAAAAAATTAAAAAATCCACAAATCAATTTTCGCGGAATATCTCAGAGGCTGTCCCTTAGAAACTAAAAAACGCTTCTCCCTCTCTCCTGACTCCTACTGCGTGCGGGAATAGCCCATTTTTTATTTCCTTATTTTCCGTTTTTCAGCAGTGAGTAGGTAAGGTTGCGTCTTTTGACAAATCAATGTTCTCAAATCTAACATAACTTTATTATAGCTTTTCTTCAGTGTACCATGCAGAATGATAAGTGTGAGATATCTTTTTTAAGCAGCGATACGCTTCATAGAATGTACCAGTTGGCTCGATAATGGTATACCAAAACGTTCTGAAAAAGGTGTTCTTGCACCAAGGAATCTTGCCCATACTAAACATACAGTGCAAATGAAAACAGAAAAATGTAAGGAAAAAAAAAAAGTCCAAAACCACACAAAAAGCCTTATTCAAATTATACTTTACGCCAAAATGAAAACTTCTTTCCTAACCATTTGCCCACGAAGGGAAACACTACCACGGAGAAGAGTGCGTTGATTTGTTGTTTGCTCTCTTCCCATTCTGCCTCTGCGTCATAAGAATAAAGACTGTTTTCGTCATCCTCTTGCGTACTGTATTGTTCGACATTGAGTTCATCGTCATCTAGGCTGGCATATGGGTTGTTGTCGAAAACCGACATCTGTTTAAGGGTTCAAGGGGCAAAAGAATTAGACGCTATGTTTTCAAAGTCTCTGAGACTACAATAATATGCTCATCCTTTAAACTAATAGTCTACCTCTTTTGTAGATCTATGAGAAATAAGCAGATAAAAGATCGCTTCCACTCAAAAGAAAAATTCCAACCCAAAAGTTTCCATCTGCATGATTTGGGCCCACTAAAGTCACAAAGGATAATAACAACGACACCCCCCAAAATCTTTAAACCTGCTTCTCTTCATTCAGTCTATTGAGCACTTTCCTCATCACTTCATACCCATCTTCTAGAGACCCATACTTGACAGTATCAAATGGATACGAAACTTTTGTCAAAGCTAGACCTTTTAGCAGACAATACCTTGTCTATTGTCTTTGAAAGGAATAGATTGCGAGATCTAAAGTAAGAAACTTGGTTTGCCTTTGTTCTATGCATCTGTCGCTTTCTTCCCTTCCATAGATTGACGTTATATCCAACCAAACCTCAAATTAGATTAAATGTAGATAAATATGAGAATAATATAGACAAAAACATGAAGCAGTTAAGAGAAGGTGTTCAAACACTGGAGACTCAATTGTCTGAAGAAGAACAAAGAGGAACCAAGTAAAATGCAATCCAAAGTAGCTACAAAAGAAAAGCAAACAAAGGTGAAGAAAAGAACAGGATTTGTAAAAACATAACACTTTCTTTGCTTGACTTTTAGAGATACCAAGACGGATGAGAATAAATTGATCCAACTGCAGGTCAAAGTGGATAAACTAGATGCAGTCCTAGGCAACACTCAGGACGAAGCAACAGCGAGGTAATAGCTAGACCTATGCTTCTGTATGAGTCTGTTTTACTGACAATGTAAAGAGATTAGGCAACTACTGTTGGGCGCTGAAAACAAGAGAACGACTGGCACATCAGCAAAGTTCGCAGATGATACCCATATCGTTATACAAGCAGATGAAAGTATGGAAAATGGACAAATATTACAATTACAGCAGCGTATCATGGAAGATCAAGATCATGATTTGGATCAACTTTCAGATGCTATAAGACGACAGAGGGAATTAGGCCTCATGATTGGAGACGAGCTAGAAACACATGCTCAACTTATTGATGAGACAGAAGAAATGGTGGATCAAACAGACGAACGATTAAGACGAGCCCGAAAAAAACTGGATTATGTGGGCCGCAGAGTAAAGAATAATAGTGAGTTGAATTGATACACTTATTGTGCGTATATCTATCTATACAGTGTGGCCTAACCTTTCACTTTAACTTTGACTATTAGAATCTGTATGCATAGTCATTGCACTGATCATCATTTTCTTCGTCCTTGTTGCCTTGTTTCGATAGATTGTCTATTTTCATTTTTTGTGGATCTCTTTTTTTTTTTTTTTTTTTTTTTTTTTTTAACTTAAACGTCTCCTTGGTCTCCTTTCACTTATCATGGTATACATCACTCTTCAACAGGCCAACTGTATGTTTCATACCAGCACAACGAAATTCGATGATTTATTCATAGCTATTGAAATAATAAACACGGAGAGATGTCCTATAATGCTCGTCCCATCACGTTATTTTGTCGTTCAATAAAGCGTCAAACTGCTCTGCTTTATTAGGCATGGCAGTAATTGATCATTTAATTTCCCTAGAAGAAGAATGGCATATGTTCCAGCCAGTTTGTTTATTTGCCATCAATATGGTAACTGATGTGCCATTTCCACTATAAGACTTGTGACGCTCTAACGTTGGGGTAAAAATATGGAAGCATTAAACCATCGGAAGGGTCCGATAATATAATGTATTTCGAGCCGCATCTGAAATCTCCCGTATTACAGTGTTTTAGCTTCAACTTTACACTTTATACAAATTTTATTGGACAATTTATATATTTAATTTAGATAATTTTAAATTATTTTAGGATGAAATGGTATAATATTCTTGGACGATCTATTGAATAAATAATTGTAGACATTACTTTGAAGGTCAGTGGACATTTTTCAATAGATAGTGGCATTACGTTAAAGTACTACGAGACGTACTGAGTATTATAGTGTGACACAGGTCTTATCAGCAATAGATATAGGGTTGCAGTTTACGAGACTCTATTTATGGATCATATGAATTGATCTACGCGTTAAACTAATCCCAGACACGTTCTTCCGCCACGTAGATAACGGTTGTTGTTGTCAATCGTAACAAAAAAATAGATGTTGTCAAACTCGAAGCATTTACAGATAAAAATATGTTTGACATCTTTCCTCTGATTTCCATCTTTTTCTTCTTCTTCTATACTTTCTTTTCTCATCCTGATAGCTATTACTTACCATGTACAAAGCCCAAATCTTGCAAAAAATTAAATCGGTGGCAGAAGCCCATAAGAATAAAGTCAAAGATGAGTCCTTCCGTAAGTAACACATGAGCGCGAAGCCACAAATAAGTTATAGTGGTAATCCTCAGATTATGTTTTGTATGACTAGTAAACATCGAGTGCAAGGATTGCAAAACACTCGGACATTTCAACAAGGCATACCATGAATGCAAGTTTTACAAAACAGTTTCTGCGGCTGATGGTAAGCATCATGCTCTCACTGCAAGACAAGTTTATGTTTGCTTAACGGAAATTTAGTTGGAAGTAGCGGCAAGAAACGTAAGCAATCAGCTACAATCAAGGAAGAAAAGAAGCAAGCAAAGAGAAAGAAGAAGCAAACAACTGGAGATATCAAGTGTATCAGTTGTGGCTTAAAGGGTCATTCTACTTCTCGTTCTCTCGAATGTCCCAATCACATTGCTTCAAAGGAAGAAGTTATTACCTCGACGCTTGGAGAAGGCTCCACTGTATTCACGAGGAAGCTCCCTCTTACGTCTGCTGTGAAGCCAGCGTTTCGCGAACAATTCCAAGAAAAAGTCATCTCTTGCTGCTCTGACATAAGGAGAATAGTATTCTCTAGTCAATTATTCGTTAACTCGTACCTCATTCATTATCAGGAGAATAGAAGGAATGCTAACAAAGGCGACAAGAAAGACACTGATAAAAACAGCAACAAAGGCAGTAAAGAAGCCAACAAAGACAGGTCTATTCCTGATGTATTCTGCCAGCAATCCTGGTATTCAGTAGGTCAGCTAGTAACGGGCAAGCAAGTTACTCACAAAACGGCATTATCCGAGGACATAAAACAGTATTATACAGACTTCAAGGCAAAGTTCCCTACTATCGAAGTAAAACACAAGCTGACCGTGGGATATAGCCATTGCCTTACAGAGGCAGCAAAGGAATTGAGCGTCTCTTACACGAACTCCATTGTAGAGCGCTTCGAGCAGCGCTTAACAAAGTTCCTTACTTACAAATTGAGAACTATGCTCCCGGTAAGGCTGTAACCGAGTACCTTCTTAATGCTCTGCTGTTTTATTCATTTTATTTCTCTTTATACACATTCTAGAATATCAAACGCACTGATGTACAAAGAATTGTACAGCTGTATTGTTACCAATCTGTCTGTCATGGTCATCCTCATTGGCCAGAAAACCTCGAGCTGGCGGCCGTTGACAAAAACCGAATTGAATTACTCTGCAAACAATTTGAAGAGTTCATTCCAGGAGAAGTAACCCTCGTTTCTCTTTCTGCTGCTCCTGCAAAGTTTGTTAATGCGTTATGGAACATACAGTTTACGTACGAGCAAGAACATATACAGCATAAACCGTCCGATGTCCGTGTCCTACCACTTCCTCAGCGTTTCTTTCTCTTTCCTACTCCATCGCTGAAATGGCGTTTCATCGCGATAAGTATAAACGCTCTTACACCCTTCATGTTTCTCAGAAAAGTTGCCAAGGGTTATACAGCCCAACTCGAACAATTCTGTAAAGTCTTCAACTTCAAAAAGTTTGGCTTTAAGAGGTAAAACTATAGAAGAACTTCTTCAGCAAAATTATGCCTAATAGTAAACACACCCCTATTTTTGCTTCTGTCATAGTCTAACCGCTTTGAAGGAAAGTTCTGATGTAATGTTTCGAAACATAGTTAGGTCGGACGGCTTTACTGTAGACTTTTTGTTCAGCCGCAAAAAGAAAATAAAAGAAGACATGACCATTCATAATCACACCTTGACTTTGGAAGATTTTTCTTATGACGAAGTACAAGACAATTACAGACCCGCTTTCCTTGATCCAGGGCGAAGATCTGTCTTCACAGCGGCAATCGGACTAGATCATAACAAACATCAAGTACGCAGCTGCTCTACCAAGGAATATTATCATATGACCGGAAGTATCAGATACGCTGCAAAGCTGGAAAAGAAGAAAGCAGGCACAATTAAAATGATCGAAAGTGGCATACCAACCGCCAAAACTTCTATCATCGAACAACATGATCGTCATGTACAATATATGTTGCAGCACTTCGAAGCCTTGTCTTCTTTTTACGACGAGAGAACTGCTGAAGACAGATTTCGTTTATACCAGGGTAAAGAGCGTGCTGCCAACAACATGGTCAATTTGCTTATTAATGGAACCACAAAGTACAATAAGCAATTGAGGTTGAAGAAGAAGAAAGATCGAAGCAAGTGGCCAAAAGAAGAATACCGACAGAATGGCCTTTTGTAAACGTAAAAAGAAGAAGAAGAAGAAGCAAAAGGTTCCAGAAGAGAAGGAAGAAGCAGATGCGAGAGAAGTAAGCGATGTTCTCGCTAAGAAAGATAGGTAAGGTTTTTAAACGATAAGCAATTCATCCACTATTCGCAGAAATATTGATAGAACTCATGCTTTCTACAGTAATCCCTTGAAGAACAAGTGGAAGCCTGAACCCTTTAGTGTAGGCGACACTAAAAAGATCCCTTTGATTGTAGTTGGTAATGGCATGTTCGGGAAGAGTGCAGTGCCCATCAAAGGCCATAAGACTGGTGTCGTGGGAGTTCTTTGGCGTGCCTTGAAGCGAAGAGAGGCTGCTGGCGATTTACTGACGATAACAATTGATGAATACAAAACCTCTCGAATATGCAATAATTGTCGTTCCAACAATCTTGAAGCATTGAAGACAGTTCCCGGCCAAAGTATCCTTGCCTGCAAAACCTGATCGATACTTTGGAACCGGGACGTCAACGCTGCTAAAAACATGTTGACAATTAGCGTTTCGATCTGGAAGTCAACGGGAAGACCTGCGGAGTTTTTTAGAAAACCAAAATCACCCGCAACAACCACTTAAACACCACCCTCTAATCGCCAGCACGAAGCTGGTTTGATTTTTACAGGTAAGCGTCTCAATTTTTGTGTAGTTCGATCTTGAAATTATAACTTGATGGTCTCAAAAATTTACTTTTTTCGTCTAGTTATATTGCGGCTTCGTCTAAACCCAAAGCTAAAAAACTGTAGTAATATATTCAACCGCCCTCTTTCTGATTTTCAGTGACCGCCAATTCCTTTTTTTGTAACGATCCATAGAGACTGCACAGACATGTATCAAAATCCACTCTTTCTTTCTTACACTGAATTCTTTTTTATACCTCCACCTTTTTCGGCATACCTAGATATTATAAATGTCACCCACCGCTGATGATAAACCTGAGAATGCTAATGAGCATTGTCCTGTAAGCATATTTTCTTGTAAAAAAATGATCCATAATGGACACTTGTAGTGACGATTTTTCCCTGATAAACATGAACCATTTGCATTGATATGGGCTAAACTCATAGGGTGTAGAAAGTGAAGAAGCTGGTAAAGCGGAAGCTTGTGCCGGATGTCCGAATCAAGCTATTTGTGCGTCGGCACCCAAAGGACCTGATCCAGGCATGTACACTATTTTATAGATTTGTCAAGTGAAAATTCTCTGCTGCGAACCACTGGCTGACATGTGGGTCTTTTTTTTTTTTTTCTTTTTTTTCTGTTCCAACACACCCCCTTCTCAACCATCCTAGATATCCCTGTCATCACTGAACGCCTTTCTGGTGTCCAACATAAAATTCTTGTTCTTTCAGGTAAAGGGGGTGTTGGCAAATCCAGCTTCACTTCGCAACTTGCCTGGGCACTGGCAGGTTACGAAGATGAAGATTTACAAATTGGCGTCATGGACGTCGATATTTGTGGGCCGTCTATTCCTACAATCATGGGCGTTGTGGACGAGCAAATTCATCAAAGCGCCAGCGGCTGGTCTCCCGTCTTTGTTACTGATAATTTGGGCGTCATGTCCATCGGCTTTATGCTGCCTGATAAAGATGATGCCGTTATCTGGCGTGGACCCAAGAAGAACGGGTTGATCAAACAGTTCTTGAAAGATGTGGATTGGGGAGAGCTTGATTACTTGTTGGTGGATACACCACCGGGTACTTCAGATGAACATTTATCTTTAGCTTCCTTTTTAAAAGAAAGTGGCATCGATGGTGCTGTCGTCATTACGACGCCTCAGGAAGTGGCCTTGCAAGATGTGAGGAAGGAAATTGATTTTTGTAGAAAGGCCAAGATCCCCATCTTGGGTTTGGTGGAAAATATGTCGGGATTTGTGTGTCCCAATTGCCATGGTGAAAGTGTGATATTCCCTCCTACAACAGGTGGTGCAAAAGCGTTGGCAGATGAATTTGGTTTGGAATTGCTGGGTAAAATCCCGTTGGATCCTCGAGTAGCCAAGAGCTGCGATATGGGACAATCATTTTTGGATGAGTATCCTGAGTCACCGGCTAGCGAAGCTTATTTGCAGATTATTGAAAGTAAGTAGTGGGGTCTGCTGAATGGTCTGTACATAAACACAAAGTTCAAAATGTTCAACCTGTTTCTTTGTGATCATAGGAATCAGAGACAAGTGTGAAGGTGCCATTGAAGAAGTTGCGTAAATCATCCAAGTTATTTTGAAAACTTTTACCGGTCTACCGGTCGTCATTGTACATTGTATATATTTTAATCAAAAGCAAACATTTATTGTATTAATGAGAAGATATCTAAACAATAATTAGCATAAATACTTTTTTTTTTTTTTTTTTTTTTTTTTTTCCTTTCAAGAAATGATATACTAGGGAATAAAGAGCTTGAGGGCGTGATTCTAAGAGAGATAGTGAGTGAGTGAGTGAATGAGTGCGTGCGTAAACGTGTGTGTATGTGTGTGTGTGTGTGATGGTGGGGTGAAAGGGGAGGGTGGGGGGATATAGGAGCAATTAACTTAATGAAAGGGGTGTAGAAGGCTTTAAATAACTGTTAAACTTGTAACGTTTTTCATACGTTCTCTTTCTTCCTCGTTCAGCAGTAGACTTTTCGATGAATCAAAAGCCATTTTGCCGTTTTCATTTTGCTCAACGTGACCAATCACCAGAACACTATATTGTTTGTGTTTGCCGAGGGTTTTATCGTCTACTCTAAAAGGTCGTAAAAGACTAGAAGAGGGTGAGCTGGAAGAGGATGACGAGGAGGAGGATGCAGATGTATTGCCGGAATGTAACGCTTTGGAAGGTAGTTTTATTTTGGCTAAAAACCGTTTGGCTGTGCTTGTATTTGTGTTTGTCGTATTAGATGGTGATAATGAGGAGGATAAACGTGCAGGTGCAGGTGCAGGTATAGGTGATGATGTATCCATATCTGAAATGATATCTATTTCTTCATCTTCATCTTCTAATGCGTCATCCTCTCTATAACTCGTACCACTACTTAGAGGACTACTTGTATTACTGCCGCTTCCACTGATGTTATGATGCTGTTGTTCAATGGGATCATTCTCATCTTCACGTTCTGTATAATGAACATCTTCCAGATCGTCTTCTTCACTGTCTTCCGCATAGCTCGGCGGAGGTTGGTTTCTATAAGATCTCAAAACCCGTCTTCCTGGATCAAACATAATCAAATTTCTCTTTCCCGATTTCAGAATCTCTATGCCAATCACGGTCCTGCTATGACCTTGATGCTGCAAATAGATAGGCGGTCTATTGGTGATGTACACATTATTCTTTTTATGGTTGGGATGATTGCTGTTGTTGTTGTGATGATTATTTTCTTTTTCTTTCACCGAGTCCATAAAGTAAGATTGTATCCAATCCAACAAGTCTTGGTGTAGATGTTTGGGTCCAGGGTGGTGAAAATCAATGATGGTGGACCGTATACCAAGGTAAGTCAATAAGGTATACACTTCAGTTGTGCCAATCCATTTGCGGGTTTTAAAAACGTGGTGATCTAACTGAGCAGCACCTAAGCTATCAAAGCCTATGATGAAAATAAAATAAAGATGATATCATTTAGTAACTAAAAAAAAAGAAAAAAAAAAATGACAGGGAAAACCAAAGATGGAGCGCTGGTTTGCGTACCTTCTTTCCAAGCTCTTTCTATTAATAACTGAATACCATGAATATCAAATACATTTTTCAATAAAGGTTCGCCATCCACTTTCTTTCTTTCCAAATAACTCATCAACATTTGACAGTTTCTATAACCGCAGCCCCAACCCAAGTCCATAAAGCCTGTTGACAGATGATCTGTCAAGGGACTACACAAATAAGCTGATAAGGTGTCTGCTTTTTTGAAATCAGGTTCTAAACGAGGTATGATGCCTACAAAACAAAACAAAATAAATGTGAGCAAACGATTTTCTTACTGTCACTGATCGTTCATTTACCTGAAGTCCGACACTCTTTGTTCAAGACGGTGAGTTGATTCCAAAAATATTTATCTTCATTCAAGATGGATCGAACGGTTCTGCTGTTGCTATTCGGTCTCGGTTTTTTATGTAAACTATTCATAGTGTCCTTTTTATCAAGATGACAATGGCTGGTCGTTGTCTCCTCGTTCTCATTATTTCTATTATTATCTGCTTCCATCAATATACTATCGTCTGTCGATTTCTTTCTCTAAGTGTATAGATAGAATGGCCCAAAAAAAAAAAGGAAAAAGATTTTTGATTAGAAAGCCATCAAAAATAAGGGGTCTGCTTTAAGTGATACATTTTAAAGCGGAGATAGAAAATTCCAGGCAATTAGCAATAAGGAAAGTTAAAAAAAAGCCCATTGCGTAGAATGAATAGAGCAAAACACACATAACGTAAAGAAGGATAGAAGGAGTGACAAGGTTATGTAAAGCAGGAATGGCAGCCACTGAAAGCAAAAAAAATGAGCGCTGCCTATATAACAAATGACTATTTATGTCAAGTGAAAATAGGTACCTTTAAACTGATCTTGACATCTATGAAAGGAGCGTAGTTGACGATGAGCGAAAAAAAAAAATAGAAAAAAAAAATATGTGAGCCTTTCTCCAAACAGACGGCCTGACACACAAAAAAACCAGAATTTTCACTGAAAATTGATGAGAAGACTGTTTTACCTTCAGTAGTAAGAGTATGAGTTGTTTGTGTCATTTTCAGCTAATTTCGATTTTATTGAATGTTTTTACAAAAGTTGCAGAGTATTTTGACAGGATATAAAAAAAAGTAGTATTAGACGGTTCAAATTAAGGAAGAAATCAGTGAAGAAAAAAAATAGAAAAAAACAAAAAATTTTGGTTTTTTTTTTCTTTTCTTTTTTGGTCTATTTTTCGGTTGTTGCGCTGTGCACTTTGAATTCCGAATAAAAAGGAGAAAAGCAAGGCAAAAAGCAAAGCGAGGGATGATGCTTGAGCTCATTGTCATTTGCTTTGGTTTTCTTGGGTTTTTTCCTTTTTTATGTTTATGATGACGCTGCGAGAATAAGCAACGCAAAATATGACCTTCACCACACAAATATAAGCTTATGTGTTTCCGTATTGAAATTAAGAGTGCTGCTTAGAATACCCCAATATCTAGATCGTTACCTCTCGTAGCACTGGAGAATGTGATAATGAAATCATACAAATGACAATCCCCTGACCTTCAAACTTTTTTGCTTGATTCCTATTCGATCTTTTCTTCAAAGGACAGCAAACCAGACAAGAGCCTTTGACCGATTGCTTAATTTAGACTAGGTAACACAATGACCTGTCCAATGAAAAGGCTTCCTACGTTCCGAAACACGTTTTTTGAAAAAATTGATTTTTCAGATGGGTTTCAATGCGAGAAGAAAAATAAGCGCGTTTCAATACGCGCCAGTTTCCTCCATAGAAAAAAATACGCTGTTGTTGCTGGTTTTTTTTTGCCCCTGAAATAACCGAAACTTTGCCTTGGTGTTTAACCCTGTAAAAGTTGAAATGCATGCTAAGGGTTGCGTTTCCGAGTTCATTCGAATGGGAAGAAGAAGAGCCATAACATAAGGCAATCCCAACGTGCTGTAAAAAAGCAATTCAGTCTTTGATGCTTTTATTGTTCTTTTCAACAGAATACTGCCATATATGATACAAATTATTAATGTAAAAGAGGATGTTTGAAAAGGGATGGTGGGGGGATATACAGTTAAAGGAAACAAAAAGAAACAAGAAAAAAAGAAAATAATATAAATAAGTTCTATGTATACACGTGCGAGCTGTACAAAAAAAAAAAAAAGATGATAAAGAAAGTAAAAAATGGTGTCTAATGGAAGAAGTAAGGCGATGACTTTACTTCATTGATGTCGAAATCACCACGTTCTGGTAATGGTGGGAAGGTTAATGGCTCCCAAGAATACTTGAATTTGGCGTTTCCACGTCCCTTCTTTGCCTTTTTCTTTGGCGCTTCTTCTTCTTCTTCTACTTCTTCTTCATTCTCTACCTCGTCATCGCCCTCGAAATCTTCGCCTGTGGTATCATCATCTTCTTCCAACCCAAAGATAGCATTCAATGCGTCCTTCTTTTCTTGCTCCTTTTGTTTCTTTTCGCTTTCCAACATGTCATCTAATTGAGAGCTGTCGTCAGCAAATAAGATAGAAGAAGGTGTGTTCTTCTTGTTCTTTCGTGCTTCTTCCTCTTCAATCAAAACCGTTTTTGGTACACGATAATTCTTGTAACGTTCTTTAAACTCGCTCATCAAATTCTCCATGATGGGCTGGGAATGAAGCTCGATAAACTGATCTCGAATCACCTTGTTCATTTCATCGACATCGCAGGCATGCGTCCAATAACTGTCGTGAACGGAAGCAAATGTCATACCCTTTTTATGACAAGCGACAGCAGACATGAGCATATGCGTGGCATCTAAAGAGTGGATAAAGTTGGGAGGGAAGGCTGAGCTTTGCTTCATCGCATTGACAGGTCGGGAAGCATCCGGATCTTCAATGAAAACAGTTTGTAGCAACGTAGACACTTGTTTTTTGCCCGAGCGACGATAAGGCTGAACGATAGGCAGACCAAGAGGCGTGGTCCAGATGACGGAGGACATTTGGTTGCAGGTAGGATTACGAGCTGAGAATTCCTTGGCTTTTTTCTTTCGAGAATGTCGAACCTTTGCCTTCGTCTCGGACCCTTCGGCCTTTTGGAGATGCTCACCACCAGGGACGACACCAGCAAATTGGAGGGTTTCTAAAGGCACACTTCGCGCAATACGTCTCGCTGAATTCGTCAGCCAATCTTGTATACGATGGGCACCTGAGAACATTTCGCCCAGGGAAGAGAAAACGGCTTTAGCCAGATAACCCGAGAGGAGATAGATTTTATCACGGGGAATGTTGGGATTTTCCTTTAATCGGTTTTCCAACTGAGCACGAGCTCCCACGAATGTTACACCATACACGTTGGTCATGACCGTTTGCTTGACCACTTTACGACTGATGTTGCCTTGAAGCAATTGGGCGAGCTCATCACCCTGAGCAGCACGTTCATCGATTTGTTTGTTGACCATATCGGCCACGCCCGTATACACATCGGCAGGACGGTCACCGGCGGCCAAATTGACAGCACGGGCACCGGCTAAATCACCACCCAGAGCAGCGTAATGTTGAAGACCATTGCAGGTACCGTCTTGGTGAACAGGCAGTTGAGATTTGAACTCTTCAGGGTGACCACTGCGATAGGCAGCAGCTACTTCATAACAAGCAGCAAGACATTGCCAAGGGTTTTCTGCCTTCAACCACCATCGCTTGCCTCCCAGAGGATTATCCACGGAATCAAGAATGTTCTCCATATTGTCCACTGTGAATTGCTCTCTTTCCGTGAACGAATGTTTATCAAAACCAGTCAAGTTGGCTAAATGAATCTTGAGCCATCTCCAACCACGAGCACCCAGCGGTTTCGCTTCGTCAAAGTGGAGCAAACCACGACATAAATCGTTCCCGAGATGATTCAAGGTAGGCGGCATAGGATAAGCACGACCACGGAAATCCATGTTGTGGGGGAAATACATAGGAAGGTTTAAGAAAGCACGCGCTGTTTCTACTTTATAATTCACATCACATCGAAGACTGTGGTTGTTCCTTTCCGTGGTTTGTATTTGTTTCACAAGTGTCACCCAGTCGAACTTGGCTTTAGGATCTGTATCGTAGTTGGGAGGCTTGGGAGGTAAAGGTGTATACTCTTGGAAGGCTGGAGGAATGCAAGCTAACGCTTCACCTGAATTCCACACATCCAAGATGACTTTAAACACATTTTTGTTCACTCTCCAGCGGGTGGAGCCCAGTACATCGAGACCGGCCAATACTTTTTTGAGATGATCTTTATCAGAGGCTTTTTGCAGATAAATCAGTTGCTCGTTGGCATCTTTGATTCGCATACAAAGAGAAGGTGTCGAAAGGTAGCCACCACTGTTGTAAGTTAACCAAGGACGAGGGTGCACCAACATGGGCAATAAACGGGGATGCAGGGTATCTTTGACAGGCTCGCGTGAAAGCATTTGCGTCAATTGCTCAGAAAATTTGATAATGCCCACTCTTTTACCATGAACGTACTGATAAGTATGGAAGAAGGCTGGAATGTTTTCAATACTACATCCATTTCAAAAGAAGAGAGTTAGTTTCTCCGCCCTCATCTTTTTTGGACCATTTTTTCCTAATGAGAAACCTACATTTTCTTTCCCGTTTCAGGATCTTTACTAGGTACAGGAATCGTTGCTGCTTCTAACAGTAAACTTGTCAAAACACTGCCCACTTTGGCACGAATCGTGCTCGGCCAAACAGGGTTCCAATCCTCAGCTCCTGTTAAACCTCTTTCCTCGTTCTTTTTCTGTAATTTCGACATGGCAATACTGAATGTTTTTTCGCTGGTAAACACATGGGACACCTTATCGCCGCCTTTCAGAGAACTGCCATTTCTCAAAGCATTGGACTTTTTCAATCGGACTGCATTGTATTCCATTTCAACCGCTTTTCCTACTTCAAGTAATGCACGCGCTGTTTTCATACCATCTCCTATACCCGAAGTATTGTGTAGACGTAATAATTCCAATATAGTAACAATGGATAAAGTTTGTGCTGGCAATAATTTTAAGAAGGGTCCATAAGCGGCTCTTTCCGATTCTTTCGCACCTTTTACATTGTCACAGCGTTGAATTTCCTCCTGAATCAACGGTACCAATTGTTCATGCCAATTCCACATGGTACGCTTCAACGGCGTAAGATTATAAGCATTCAGTGTATCACCACGTTCTAAATGTTGTTCTTTGGTGTGAAGGAGTTTTTGTAGAGCCATTTCATAGCCTTGCTGTTCAAGACCGAGTTGAAGTTCATGAGGATCCATTTTCACAATAGCTTTTGGATCACGTAAAGCTGCCAATTGTTCTTGTAAGAATTGAACACCAATGGCTTTGGTAGGTTTCACTTCGGGTATATTTTCTACAATCGTATTCGTAGGGGTCATTGTGGAGGCGGTCGTCGTGCTATTGCTTGTTGGTGCCGTGTCCATCAAATAGGGTTCTGCACTTTTACCGAGAATGCTGTCCGTAGCAGATTCCAATTTGTTGAGTAGCTTTTCAACTTCCACCTCTGTATTGCCTTGGCTGGCTGAGATCATCTATAAAGGATGCGCGCACCAGAAAAAAAGCAATTGAGTCTTTAAAGATTCAATGTGGGTTCTCCCCCCCCCCTTTGAGTAGTGACTATTACCTTTCTAAAGAGTTGGATATCTTCATTGTTCAGGTATTGCGAGTTCAGCATGTCATCAATCGAAAACCCTTCCTTCGATGTCATTTCAACCAGTAGTGTTCTTGCTGTATGATAACTTTCAATTCTATATTCATAAAATCCACGGTCCCATTGGAGGTTCGCATGAATTGAGAAAAAAAAAAAATTCAACATTTGTACAACTCTCTCTTTTTTTTTTGAAAAAAAAAAAAAGCCAACAACACCTACCTTAAGAATCCTTTGATAATGATGGCAAAGGTATTCGCATCAGCATTGATACCGTACGACCGCATGTTATCGAACCATAGTAAACATTGCCTTGTCATGGGTTTTACAGGCGCCTCCACAAATCCGTTTAAAAAAGCATTATAAATATTCACATCCGCAAAGACTTTCATTTCCTCGGGTCTCGTTCGAAATAATTCAATCATGATACGCTCTGCTCGTTGCATGTTTCCTGTCATCAAACAGGCCTTCAAAATCGAATACTGTTCAGCTATGGTAGAAGGTAATACTCTGGCTGTTTCTCTAAAGGTTGCTAATCCGGGGTTGGGCAGAATAATAGGTTCCGTATAGTATGGGTATGGTTGAGACACTTGCGTAGCCACCGCTGTACTGTTGCATCGATGAATTGTGTGATTCAAAGCAGCTTTCGACAGCAACAGCACCGCTCGCTGTGTACGAGGACATTGGTATTGACGGCATATGGACAAAGAAAGCTGCTGTTTCTTTGAAATGGCTTGCCGAGCAAACGATAAGGACATGCTTCTTGACTATAGGATGAATGACAAAAGGTAAAAAGTTTTTGAAGGAAGACCTTATACAGGAAAAAGTAGTGAGCTGTGCTATTTTGTATCGTTGACTCTCTTCCTTCTTTTTTGAAAACTGTAAGCTAAAAGTACAGTGGTATCTAGAATAAATGAGTTGTAAGAAATGAAAAAAGTAAAAAAGGGAAAAGAAAAAAATGAGGGAAGATCAAGCTGTCAAGGGTTGAATTACAAGGTATTGGGCCTCTTTGATCGTTTTTTTTTTTTGTTCAGTTGCCCTTTGCGACTTTCCAGTTCAGAACTGCAAGCTTATTGGGCAGAATGGAACGAAAATGCGGGCGGACCTGTGGCTTTTTTTGAAGGAACGATGTATCTCCGCCCCTGGATTTAAGGTAGCATAAGCCTGGGTTGGTTCCTTGAGAAAAGACAACTCTCCCCTCAGACTTACTTACCAATCAACTGTGCGAAACCCGTTGCGGTTTACGGTAGGAAAAATGCTAAAGTTTTGCAAGTCAACACACCCTTCAGATATATAACTTTTTAAAATGGATCACACTTTCTTGCAAAGTTTTGATTTATTCATTCCTCTTCAACGACATACTCAATGTCTTTTCCTAAATATATCTGTAATGCGTACAAACGTCTATTTTATCTCATTCAGATAGAAAGAACTTCTTTAGCTTCAGAAGCTGCGCTGCGCACTTTCCTTGGAAGTAGTATTCAACTAAACTCAACCAAGCAATCAACAATAGAAATGACAGCAGCCTTATTTAATTGGACGGGGAGACAGCATCCGCTGGCTAGCTTCTGGTTTAATGAAATCTTTTACCTATAAAAGCCTTCTGTATCTTTCTAAATTCGACAAAGTGGGGCAGCTTCCTCTTTTTTAATCGCTGAACAACCCCCCTCACAGCGTATTCAGCGGGCTATAAAAATGACATTGTCAATTCTACTCATCGGATGGCTACCTTGATTTTAAACAGATACTCCTTTATATCATAACATTTTACTATGTTGGAAGAAATAAGAATGTAAAATTCAAGTGATCCTAACGATGCGCTGCTTTTTCCTTTTTTTTTTTCTAAAGTGTATGTGTCGTTCTTCGCTGACTAGATCATAATCCATTCATGATGAACGAGACAACACCTGTGAAAATACAACAACCGCACCATAAGCACACGAACACTGCAGCAACCTTAGAGGAGGAAGAGAAAGGCGAGCATATCGAAATTCTTAACAAACAGCAGAAGAAAAGGAATGATTTTATCATTGAAAAATATCTGTTTTTAATCGGCTTCTTATTCCCCATTGCATGGTTTATCGGCAGCAGCTCGTACTACGGCAATTTACGAACGCTTTCTTCGTCCGCGTTTATTTGGAAGAAACGCTGCAGAATAGCCGCCACCCTTTGTTTAACCTCGGGTATTGTGGTTTGCGCTATTGTTATGGTTGTCAATCCCAAGTTGTTCGGTCTGAAAACAGCAGAATATTACGCCTCTGCACAGACTTCTTCCTCTTCCAACACGGCTATCCGACCTGGTGTCCCTTTGATCGGTACCAATGATTGGGGTGATACAGTTGCTGGTCTATCGATTAATGATCAACCGGCAATTACGTAAGATTTTTTAGCTTACATTTTTATGGTCAGATGTTATTAGGGGCTGATTAAGGTTTTCTTTCCTTCTGTGCAATATTGGAAGAATAAATATCCGAATATAACCAGAGCTTTAACCGAATTTTCCAATTCCTTTTTTTTTTTTTTTTTTTTTTTTTTCACTCTTTTCACTCTTTGATATTCAAAATTTCATGATGAATGAGAATACTCATTTCGAGAGGGAAGCTCCACGTATGAACTACACTATGAATCCTATGCAACAGCAACCTAACCAACAGCCTCTACAACCGCCGCAACCACAACAGTTACCGTTACAACCACATGCTCCATCTCAGAGAGCATTCCCCGCAATGTCACCACCGACCACTCATACTGCTCCCTCAGCAACAACAGCTACACATAACTCGGACCTTGCACAAGGATCGTCTTCATCACATGGAAAGAGGACCAGAATAACGCGCGCATGTAAAGTTGATGCTTCCAGAAACACCATAGCAATAGCAAAAAACGCTTTTTGATTTTTTATGCATGAACAAAGCTTTGTGTTTAACCTTGCTTTACCATCACTCTAGGCGATACTTGTCGACGAAAGAAAATAAAGTAAGGCTCTTCTTCAATTGCACCGCAAAAGATTTTGTTTTCCCCATCAATGTATATAATATTCATATGTCATGATAGATGTGATGTGGATACCCATAAACCCTGTTCAACTTGTCAGCAATATAACTGGGAATGCACCTTTCATGATGTAAGTTTAGATCGATCCAACAAGCATTTACATACAGACGGAGGCTAATTATCTTACATGATAGACTGCGAAGAAAAGGGGTCCACCGAAAGGGTAAACAACAACAACCAAAATAGAGCATTTACGATTTTACAACAATAGAGAGTAACGTCACCATGCGTTTATAGTTATATTGAAAGTTTAGAGACGAGACTAGAAAAAATGGAGAGTTTACTAAAGAGTCTTAAGCAAGAGCAACCTGTTTTTCCATCCGCATCATTAAGTTCGATAGCCTCTACAACAGGTACTCCACAGCAAATGACGGCAAATAACACGATTACGCTAAGGAAAAAACGGGCACTCACAGCAACAGGAGAAAAACAAATTTCCGAAGGAAAAGTAGTACGTTACCATGGTAGCTCGTCTGGATATTATCTAATGAGCAATCTTTTATCAAACAATAACGAAAAGGAGGAGGGTCGAGTTCATGACGAGGTCGATCCTCCAATGGGAGATAAAAACAAAGTCTATTACGTACCGTCACTCAACGGTGGAGGAGAAAATGTCAGATTGAGACGACTCAATGTGGATGATGATGATTTGATGGTTGTGAGAGACGCAACGGCCGATGAAGAAGCTTTACAAATAGCAGATGATGGCCAAGAACCCATTGAGCAAATTATACCAGGAACTATATTGACAGCGTTGGTGCATACGTAAAGTGGATAGATTTCAATGATGAGACTATTATTCAATAGCATGATGTTTAACCCCCCAACCCTTCTTCCCTTCTTGCATTTCTTCTCTATTGTTCGTTGTAGATTTTTTACAAATGCACATATTACTGTTCCTGTCTTGGACAAAGATGAATATCTAGACGCATTCTACGGGCGAACAACTCCACCACCAGCACCTCTCTTGACGTATTCTATTTGTGCCTATGCGTGTTATTTAAAGGGCTCCGATGATCCGATATTTAGGGAAGCTGGTATAGAGCGTAATCACGCCTTTCAAATTCTGCTTGACAGAGCCATTTTCCTCGTACGCAAAGAATATCTAAAGCCTCGTGTTGTTACTATACAAGCACTTGTTCTTTTATGTGCTCATCCAACGTATTCTACAAGTACCTATCGTAATTGGATATTGGCTGGTATGGCAGTACGAATGGCCCAAGACCTTGGGCTCCATCGTACCCTGACCACCATTGAAGTCTCCAGCGAGTTTAAAGAAAAAAGAAAACGATTATGGTACTCGTGCTATAACACAGATCGCTGGTGTTGCGCTGTTATGGGCCGTCCTTTAGCAATTGCTGATTCCGACTGCGATATCGATCTTCCGTTGACGCATGGTGCGAGTGGCCAAGAAGACTTTGTAATGTTTGTCAACTTTGTTAAGCTTTCGGGCATTCTGGGAGAAGTCCTCCGACGCATTTACTCGCCCAAAGCTAAATCGAATGGATATAAAACAAAAGTGATGGAACAAACAGTTTGGAGTATACAAAAAATGTTGGAAGAATGGTTTCACAATGTGCCAGAAGGTTATAAGATTACAGAAGCAGATTTGGAGTTAATGAAGGCGAATCCTAATATTTATGCGAAAGATTCAAAGAAATTGATGGAAGGTGGGCCGTTGACGATTTGTTACCATGCTGTGGTGTTGTTATTGCATCGTCCTTTCCTCGTTTTTGATAGTGATGATAGTGATTCTACTGAAATGCCATCGCTAGCAAGAGCAACGGATTTGTGCAGAAAAACAGCAAAGTTATCTGTTGATGTGGCTAGAACTATTCCCATTATTGCTATAGCCAAGTTCGGTTGGAATTTTGCTGGTAGGGATGTTTGGGTATATGATTGAGGTTCTTTTTCCGAAACTTGAATTAACATGTGTCTTTGTTCATCATAGTTTATTCTGTCTTTCAGGCTGCTTTAATTCATCTGTATTTCTGCACGAGTGACGACCCAAAGATTGCCAAAGAATCCAAAAAATATGTTAAAATTTGTAAAGATGAATGCTTACTACCTTTGAGTGATGATATCCCGGCAGGTCCGCCATTGATTCCTTTCCTTCAAACATTATCCAATTTGATCAGAAAGGAAGAAGATTCAAATTCTGACAGTAAAAATCATAATGAGCAACAGCAGCAGCAACATCAACATCAACATCAACAGCAACATCAACTTCAACAGCAGCAACAACAACAACAACAACAACAACAACAGCAGCAGCAGCAAGAGTCACATCAAACAGTCAATCACCCCTCTTCGACACAACAGCCAATAGCAGACGTTCAGTTACCAAGTACAACGTCTACTGCAAATACCATACCTATGCCCTTAACCTCTGGTGCACCTGTCCCAGGTTCTTCTACCTTTTCAGGGACTATTCCAGGCCAGTTACCTTTAGACACCTCTCTCAATACAGCAACAGCAACGCCCTACAGTAATAACTCTACGAACGCTACACCTTACATTAACGACTTAACAAGCGACAGTAATCAGTCGTGGCTGCTCAATGGAAATACAGCAGGCGGCCCAGTATTATCTCAGGCAGCTTGGCAACAACTGTTCTCCACAGCAGGTACACCTTTCACTGTCAATAGCGGCGGAGTATTTGATGCTCAAGGTTGGAATACTTTCTTTGCCGAAAATCAGTCAAATATGAATACTCCCAATGGCAATGCTCCCAATATGTATATGTAATCATTATGCATCAAAAGTAAAAAAAAACGAAAGAAAAAAAAAAAAAAAAAGTATTATAACACTCTATGATTTTGGTAAGTATAACTATTGTAACATCCGTATCCCTTTTCGATGTACTATCCCTCATTACTTGTTATTATCTCCTGTTTAATATTTATTTATTTTTAACAATAATCAACACTATATTATCGTTGAATCATTTCTTTATTCAGCTTTTTTTTAATGTTTTTCGCTCCCACTTTCGCGTCTATACTTTATGACGAAACAATTTATTATCTATTATCCGTAAAATAAGGCTGTTCATGGATGATCGGCTGCCGAAAGGAGGTGTGTGTCGTTTGCTATACTGGACTTAATGTTAGAGGTTGGTGAGAGGTTGTACATAATTGTTCTGTGATAAATTCTGGTCGAGTACAATTTTAATTCAGTCGTTTGATGATAATAAGGTATATCCGTTTAATGATGGCTCTTCTTATCCATGAAGAAATGTTCGTAAGTACAGTAGGCTGCAAAAGCGACAGTGGCGATACCTAAACCGGGGAACATGGCTCTGAAATTGGATGTTTTGGAGAAGATAGGATGTTTACGCCAAGCTTCTCTTTTGGCCCATGGGTCATGATAAATAGGCTTTGTTTGTGCTTCTACGTGCAATTTACTCATTGTGATTCTCTAATGTTGAATGTAAGAACGAGGGTGATGGAGTAAAAAAAAAAACAACCAATTTTTGCAAAATAAAATAAGGGCAAGATCTGAAGCTACTTGTCCCCTCAAATTGGGAAAGCTTTTCCCGCAAAAGGTTGCCTTTATTGGGGATGACGTCGTTATCCCCACAATTCGCCACCCACAGGTTGGGTTTTTTTAGATTTTTTTTTTCAATTCTGATGTATCATACCTGCATCCATTCCTCTTTGTCTTTCCTTTCAATTTTTATAACCTGTGTTTCAACAAAATAAACAATCATACTCTTGATCTACTCTCATATGCTGCCATATCACTGAACGATTGCGAATATTCTTCCGTTCGAAATACGAACCGAAAATTTGAGGACGGAAAGAGAATGATGAATAATGCTATGTTCTCAAGGCCCCTTTATAGACCAACTTTCTTCATATGTACCTGATTGAATGGTTGAAGAGCCTTGTGAAAGAATAAGTTGCAATTAAACACAGTCCATTGCAACTCCATTTTCACAGTAGAGCAAAAAAAGGAAGAAGAAGAAAATAGACCCTCATTGTTTTTCGAGACGTTCGTTAGCCAGCTACGAATATTCTGTTGAATTTGTTTATGGAAACAATTACTCAGATGACACCTTTTGTCGGACGGTTTAGACGCCCCTTACAAATGACCTTTTATGCTTAGACAAATAACAATTGACTGTAGTATGCTAGGAATCAACTTTCTTCGTGTAATTTCAAGAAAGAATAACAAAAACTCAACGCATTGTTGAACTCACAAAGGCACTGAGTAACCACAGTGAATCAATACGATTGCTATTAGAAGAAGTAATTTTTATGGCATTCATTCAATTTGCATGGAGACGATACTTAAAATCAGTATTCTGTTAAACATAGTATTTACCTAAGGAAACTTTTAAACCATAGAAAAATATTTCTGAGTCGCAGATAATGCATGATATTTTACTAAAGGATCACTGTGTGTCATTAACTCCATTATCCTTTGCTTTGCTCCTAAGCCTTCAATATATCTATGGGGGCGATGGCTCGAGTCAGTGGCAAATTACTTTTATTATTCCATCGAACTGTTCTCATTTACCTCCTTCCGTCTGGTCCACTATACTTGATGTACTGTCCTAAATCATGACATGCTATAGCTAAAACAGCAGCACTTTCAGACAAAATCAATAACCTTGTCAATTGTCTGAAGAGAAGGAACGGCATTATGTTTTGATACCGAGTGTATTAGTATAACAAATGAAACCTCCCCCTGATTCGTCTGTCTTTCTTTCATTTCTTACTTTAACAGTCGTTGGTCGTTTTCATTCAGTCGTTGAGCGTTTTCTTTCCAAAAAGTTTCCGACAAATGTGAGGGACTCCATTGTAACATACCTCTCTCGACTTCAGACGCAAAAACTTCAAACGTTCTATGCATATATCGAATCATTTGTTCATGAGACATAGAAAAGCTAATGATAACTTGGCGTTTGTCATTGCGGGAATCATAACACTTACGTTAAGCTTTGAGACGTCTCTTTCAATGCGTCATCTACAAAGACAATATCGGCAGTAATTTCTGGATCTGTCCATTTTCGTGTCTTCAAATGCTCACAAAGAGGCAATAACTTTGCCACCAACATTGCTGGCAAATTCTCATTAGGAGCTTTTTCAATCATGTTCTAATAGTTAGTTTGGTAAATTAGCGTCCTGTGCTCTTTTGTCGTTCTCTTATCTCGTTCCGGATGAGTGTTTTCGAAAGATTCTTACTCTAAAAGTTGCAATAATCACACGAACAACTTTTTCCTTCACTGTTGTCTTGGCCAACTCTACTAACGTTGGTATGATGCAGCATTTTCTAGAAGGTTAAGCAGAAAGTTTTTTCCACGAGTTTACATATCAAAACTGTTTGTAAGTAGAATGCCAAATAAATAAGAGCAGAGATTTACTCTTAAAGTTGTAGTTGTACCTATCCAATTGCTTTGCAATTTCCTGATCAAATGTCAGAAGCCAAATGGTAAAGCTCAGCTCGTATATCTCCTGAGGCCCAAGATGTCTTTCCTGCGCCCTTTTAAGATTACTGACAAGAGAATCTATGGCGTGTGTAGTGTTCCAAAAAGCACGTCTGTATTCAGGGATATGAAACAAAGCATTCAATATTTGAACGTTCAAATCAATCACATGCTGGCGAGGATTTTGTAGTTGAAATGTCATCCATCTGAATATATCATTGATATCAATATCTCTGTGATGTGTTGTACTTTTATAGAAAAGAGGGAAATTAAAAAGAAGTAAAAGTCAATATTGTGAAACTCATTGGCACGAAAAGTGCACTAAGAATTTATCAACGTACCTGATCAGTAGAGTTAATATTTTGCTTGCTTGGATGCCAATGAATTCATCTCCGATTGTCAAGGCTCTGTTATTGTTTGATCAATAGTAAGAATAATCGAGTGAATTCAACATTATTATTATTAGTATATATGTGATATGGCATGTCATAAACGAGCAAAAACGCCAAACCCGTTCGTGTAATCGAAGACCTTACTTGTGAAAAGGCTCCAGGGGGAAACCTGTCACGTTTTCTCCTGCCTTGTGAAAGAGTAAGATTCTCTCTTCATTTTCTAGTAGTGAAGTTGGCCCAAGGGGTGTTTGTTAATTCAAAGAAACAAAATCATGTTACTCAGTCTGACCCTTTCTTACGAGTTCTATATTTATACCTTCTAACATATCATGAATCAAAACCAGGATTTTTTGTAATACATCTACTCTAGCAACTTTCTGCATGAGTTCAAGGTAAAGAGCTGCATAATATAGCCCGTGCTTTTTATATGAATGTAGAGTTTTGAGCGAACATGACCAAGTAAAACGCTGCCCCTTACTACACTTTTTTGTTTTGTTTTTTTTTTACTTCTGACATTATAGGTCCTAATTCATCTACCGTTTTGTTTTCGACGTGTCTTATCATGGCTAAGTCATTTACAGAAATCAAGCCACAGTCTTTATATTCCTAACGTACGGATGGAGGGGGGGGGGGTGGAGAGATAAAGAGAGTTAAGCGCGCCGAAAGTTATGCACTATTCTCCAAAAAGAAAGGTATCCTTTGCAGTTATTTTTAGTAGTCTTTGTTTTACCTCCCAAGGGATGTTTGTATTTCTGATATGTTGGAGCATATCGTCCAAATAAGGATGTGTGATAATGAGAAGTTTGACTTGATCAATCAGCTCATTTTGTATAAGAGATACTGCTCCTGGTGATGGTTCACCCGAAGCAAGCACGTCTTCTTTCTGCACTATAGCCGTTTTCACCTTATCTGCAGCCAACATTATTTTTCATCCAAAGGTTAAATAATTGGGAAACAAAAAAATAAAAATAAAAAGGAGGCAAAGAAACAACGGCAGGAGGAAAGGACGCCTTTTTTTTTCGAAACTGATCAATTAACTGCATCAACGGAAGAAAACAAATCAAGGGGCAAAACTGTTAGAGATGTAGATGCACATTATGTTTCCAGGTAAAAAAGAAGGTTTTTTTTTGGAATTTTTTTTTTCGTTTTTTTTTATTCAATTTTGAAATTAATTTAGTGACAAATTTGCTAAGAAATTAAGAATATGTCTTCTTTCAAGGATTTATGTACGCTATAATAATAGTATTAGTAATAGTAGTAAGAAACTAAGTGAGTGAGTGAAGAGGGAGATAGATGAGCAAGAGAAGAAAAAAGAAAGTTATACATTTTTCGATTAGAGATTAGTTAGCACGGGACTGTTAAAAAAGTAGGAAGAAAGAAGATGGTTGCGTGATTGAGAGAAGCTTACATATGAATCAAACATCATAACTTCTTTATGCAGATACAACGACAGCAGCAGGGGTAGAAGCAGCTGCCATATCGGTAGCATTAGGTTCGCTTCCTTCCTTCTTATTCATATCTTTTTCGGTTTCGTCCGCTTCATGGGTCTCTTCTTTACTATCTTTTGCAGCAGCAGCAGCAGTAGCACTAGCTTCTTCTTCTTGTTGTTTGTGGCTGTCTTCGTTAGCAGCAGTGTCAGCACCAGCGGCGGTAGCAGTAGCAGTAGCAGAAGTAGTAGCAGCAGCAGTAGTGGTTTCCTTTGCCTTTTTAAGCTTCTTTGAGGAAAACAATTCTGTTAATCTACCGAGAGGAGAAGAGGGGCGAGAAGTGGATACAGCAGGAGTAACAGCAGCAGCATTATTATCATCATCAGCTGATGAATCTAATTCAAATAGAATGTCAAAATTCCGGGGGATACCTATATTAAGTTATTTTAATGTGGCTTACCTTTCTTTGGTCCCTCCGTACCTTCAGTAATACCTTGTTGTTCAGCAAGAGCAGCTTCCAGAACCTCATCCGTGTTATTTTCAGATTCAGTAGTAGGGGTTGAGGAAGACTCTGGTTTTTTTTTACCAAACAGACGCTTGATAAAGGATTGACGTTTGGCATGAGCAGCATTCAATTGTTCAGCAACAGTGTCTTCGGCTTCCTTAGCAGCCTCATTAATCTCAGCAGTTACGGATTCAACAATATCAGTTGCTGATTCCTTGACAGCTTGCTCTACCTTTTTGTCTTCCTTACTGCTGTTGCTTTCTCCTTCTTCCTTCACCTTGATGTCCGTTTCAATAGGTTGCAACTGTTCAATCTTGGGTAACTCAGTTGAAATGACAGGCTCATTATCAGTAGCATTGGTTGTAGTAGTTGTAGCAGCAGTATCTTTAACTTGTACAGATTCTTCCTGCTTTTGTGAAAGCTGTATGCATACAAACCAAATGAAAAAAAGAAACAAAAACAAAAAAAAAAAAAAAGAGAGAGAATGAGAGAGTGAGCAAAAAGAGCTTCCCCTCTTAGTTTTCAAAAGAAAAAATCCCTACCTTTGATCTAGAGAAAAGAGTTCCAAAACCAATGTTTAGCTTTTTTGAAGCAGTCTTTTCTTCATCTTCTTTTTTGCTACCAGTACTTGTCGACTTGGTAGGTTGGGCTTGTGAAGCACCAGCATCAGCAGCAACGGCAACTTCCTTATCGGATGCTACAGTCGTAGTGGCCTCTTCCTTCTTTGATTTCCCAAATGGATTAGCGAAAAGGCGGCGCTTTGGAGAAGAAGGAGGTCTAGCCTCTGTTGCAGCAGCAGTAGAAGAGGTGGCAGTAACGTCCTCTTTGGTATCACCGTCAACAGCCTTGGTATCATTGAGAAGATCAGTAGGGTCAGCTGTGGTATTATCAACCACAGCTGTGGATACTTTTTCATTTTGTTGTTGTGGTTGCTGTTCTTGTGAATGCTGGGCGTGATCTATCTGTTTGTTTTCCATGTTAGTAGCAGGAGTATCGTTGGTTGTAGCAGGTTCAATGACTTTATTATCAGTAGTAGTAGACATTATCAAAGTGTAGTGGTATATCAATCAGAAAAAAAAAAAAAAAAAAAAAAGAACGGATTTAGTTGTTTGATCTGATCTCCCATTTTTTATTCATTTTTTTTTTTCTGTTTAAACTGATTTATTTATACCCTATATTTTTTTTCTTTCTTTGAAATCAACGAGCACAAACATTTGCACACGAGCAAAATTCCTATCACGGAATCAAAGCAAGAAAGCAGGAGGTTATGTGAGGAGCTCTTTTTCTTTTTTGGGTGGGCATATGATATGTATTTATGTAAACGTGATAAACTCGACAATGTCAGATTTGAGAGGGAGATTTTTCGTGCTTCTTAAAAGGGAGGGAGCATAAACATTGATACGGCAATGTGACACAAATTGTAAGATTAGTAGCCAAGTAGCAGTAGCGAGAGTGGTAGTGCAAACTACACTTATTAACCGTTTTATTATTTTCTGTAACGGAAGCTTTTCTAATTTAAGTGTGGCCATAATGGGGAGGGCAATTTTGCACCTTGATGAAAAATGACAGGTTTACGTTATACACACTTGGAAAGGCTATGTATGGTAGTGAAACCATCAACACCATTTTCTCCGGACTGGATCCATATCAATCTTTAACATGTTAGCTACGATTTCCATCTATCGTTTTATTTAAAACTGAGTACCATAGGGAACAGACGGATGGTTTATGTAAGTGATTCTTGGGGCGTCACTGTATGTAATGCAGACAGTATGAGAGCGTTAGATACGTGATCATACCAAGCATGCATCATTGTTGAATTTCAGTACATACAAATCTGTAAACCTGGGATCCAAGTATGCCATCTTTTTTGCTTTCTGAACAAAAATGGGTTCATGCTTTTTATTTACATGTACATAACGTTAGTTTTCGTCATTCAGATGGTACTCCATGTTGCATTGTTTATCTTAGGTCTCTATAGCAAAGTAACAAAAAGAAGACATCACTGGGATGAATAGAATTTACTATACTCTCCTTTTTTTTTCCCCGGCTCTTCTTATTCGTAGCACACTCCAAATTGAAAGGCTTATCGTATCTCCTTAATCTCATTTATGTTGAACAAACAGGCGTTGAGACGGCATGTGGTTTCTTTTTTTGATACACGTCTCCTCATTTTTCATTTTAGCTTCCCAGAAGATTGGGTCTTTGCCTCAAATGGGGGAAATACTGCTATGGGTCTGTCTACGATATCAGAGAACTATATTTTATCGAGATTGTGTTTGTATAAAGCTGTGCCATACTTGCCATCATTCTTTTGAACAGCAAGTTGTTTTGTATGATGGATAAGCAAAGTAAGAGAGGAGGTATTGGATACAAGCTCTACAAATTTTCTATATACGCATTTCAGCCACTATTTTTTTCAAATATTCTGCTACAATGGAGTGCTCGATCCAGATGGGCCGATGTATCGTCGCACTTTTTGAATGCGCTAGTTTTGTAAGCTATGGAGTATAGTATTTGGTAACAGACGCAATGAAAGCCATTGTATGTACTTGAAAACGACATGCCTTATCTAATATATCAGAACATATCCCAATCCAGCTAGCACAACCCTCACTTCCGTCCTCTGTCTCCTTCTTCCTGCCGTTGCAGCCGAAAAAATCATCCAATATCTTAATCTATCACTTCTACCATGACGAAGTAGAAAGTGGTATTTGATATATTTGTACGCTCAACTTTTTTAAAATGACGTTGCCTTTAAAAAGAAAGTTTGATCCAATAATAGAAGCTTATTCCGTAACCAGTTCCAGACCTTGCTAAGCTAAAAGTTCTATCTAAGCTTTTTAAGTGATATATGATGGAACAAGGGTCAACAAGGAAGAGAGACGCTACGCTTACATAAGTATTATGAAAAAAAGAAGACTTAAAAGAAGGACAGTTAAAGAAAACCAACATAAAAAATGGATGTTCCATTCTAAGCGTCACCCTAAACCACGGTTTCTCTTGGGTCTACTTTCCCTAAAGATCCTTTTCCGTAGTTACTGTTCCATTCCTGGTATACAAGTTGCTGACAAGCCAAAGAGAACAGATGAATTTGTATATCGTTTTTGGTCACTTCTCTTTTTTGTCTCTTACCTTATTCATAAAGAACATATTCTTTGTTGTGGGAGGTAATTTGAGATACCAAAATAGAAAAAATTATATGTAAGGTCTATTATTGTTGTTTCAGAATTCAGTTTTTGAATGGGATATGGTATAAAATGAAGACGATACGGTAGAGGTTTTTTAAACATTGCATGCTGATGAATGATTTGTCTCACGGGGGAAAGGAAGAGTGTGTGTGTGTGTGGATCCATTTGACAGAAGCAGAAAGATAAATGACTGTTTATGAGCATAGTATGAACGCAATTTAGGCCGCCTTTGCCTTTTTAACTGATGTTAACAACAAATACGCCCATTTCATTCAGCAATGAGATGAAAGCTAGTCAAACGGTGATACATGCTTGACGTGATACCCTTCCTCTCCAAGAGTTCGTTGACAGAGGCTTGTTACTAATCGAAAGGCTGAATGGAAAAAGAGAAAGAGACAAAACAGCATTATCGTGTAAGATTCAGGAGATTCTATGAAGAAGCCCTATTCCTTCCTTCGTCAAAGAGGGAAACACTTGCCGACTAAGCTGAAACCTCAAAAGGAGATTGAATAGATATTTACTCTAACTACATAGCATGTGTTATTCAATAGGTGTATGCAGGTATTAAGTAAGCATCCAACGGACGCGTCAAATACCTTTCCTTTATCTTTTTCCTAGTTTTCATTTTACATAACGTTGGCGCAAATATAGAAAAAGGAAACACTTAGATTGAAAGTGAAAGATCGGGAGAAGGGAGCGGTAAGGGTTGAACTAATCAAAGGATGGCATGCTGTATATAATTAGCATGCCTTATATGTCTCATTAGTGCAAAATCGTTGTTTACGTGGTTCATGTTGGGTGATTTTTAGCCTTATCGGCAAAACGATCACCTGCTATTCAATGCCAAGCCATGAGACGACAGAAAAAAATTTTTTACTTACTTTTTTAACACTTTTTTAACACTGTAAAAAAGAGAGTCCAATAACTTTGGAATATGGAAAGAAAGGTATCCTACTCTATTAACGCGTCAAAAAAATAAAATAAAAAAAAAACCACCTCCACTAGAACAACAATGGAAAGGATGCAAACGCGAATTAAACGAGAGCATAAGAGTGGTAGTCGTTGTACACTTTAATCTTGCATCAGCAGTTTTATTTATGTGAAAGTATCTAATTTACAAGCATACTCGGAAGCAACGGAGGTAAACGGATAGTGAATAGCGCATGTTTTTTTGGATATACCGGGAAAATAGATTGCATCAATTATAATCAAGGATCACCAACTTTTAAAATGAAGATTGCACGGTTGTAGTTGTTAGAGGCTTTCTATTCAACATACTTGCAATTTTTTAAGGTGGAATAAGGACAAAATTTATAAAGATCCTCTAAATAGACACTGTTACAATCATAAGCTTTTCTGTAAAGCGCGGTCTTGTTCTTAAAAAGCTCTACTCTTATTCAGTTGAGAATATAGCCACCATACTCTATGGCTGAATCCTTTTGACAATCAGCTATTCAATCGTGATTTGGTATGTGTGTAAGATTATTATCCGTACTTGGATAATGGTGGGTAAACTGCTTATATCGATGTAGCACATCAATAAGTATTGGGATTTAGTTGAGGTAGTGGCTAAGACTATTTCCTACAGTCGTTTTTGTCTTCGCTTCGTCTGCCATCTGTCGCTTTTTCGAACTTGTATTCTTAACTTAGTATTGGTAATATCTTGCGAATACATTGATTCCAAAATGGTCCATCCTTACGCTCTTGCCTCAGTCTGAACAACGACAGGTCGATCATTACAGAGGTTGTCCCACTCCTATGTTGGCATAGCAAAGACAAACACTGTAATATGGCTCACCCAACTATGTGTGGTTTGAATGGCTAACAGGAACACCACCCGTGAATGATATATATATATATATATAAATATGTTGTACAGATAGATAGATAGAATGATAAATTCCAAAATAACTAGCATAGAAAATTGTAAGAGAACAGAATTTGAAAAAAAAAAATTCGCGTTTCAATATAAGAATAATATGCAAGATTATTCAGCACACTTAGGACTTCAAGTGATTAGTTTCTTACAAGATATAATCTTACATATCTCACGTTTAAGGAAATGGAAGAAGGGTAAAATATTAGCTGGGGATGTGATAAATTAGTACTTAAAACGAAAAAGAAAGATTGTCTATTGTGTAATGTCTGGTGGGAATACTATAATCATGAGGACATGTTTATGCTAGTCAGTAATTTCAGGTTTAGATACTTTTGCAATAATTTCTCCAAATTCTAACTTGCAATAAGAGACGCTTAAATGATGATGAAGGTTTGACGTCTTGTTCTTCGTTAGATATGCCTAATGCTATTGAAAAGATCTTATTCTTGTAGGAACAAAGCGATAACATAACGGACCAAAAGAGTATAGCTTCCCTTGAAAATATGTACATGAGATTGTAGATAAAAGGAATAGAAAGTCCTACCGCTCTTAAAAGGTTCATCAATTGGTCAAACCGGCAGCACATCTGTTAAATCAAAAAGATCGGTCATTTAAGGTCGATCATGTTGGATAGGCAACGTCGTCATTTAAAATTGTTTGATACGAATCAATGATATATTCATATTCATTCAAGCAACAGCCATGAGTAACCGAGGTCAGCATGTAGCAATCAGAATGGATAATTTTGTACTTCATGATAAAAGAGTAGAAAGCATAACTTTGTTTTCAGAATGAACGTCATGAAAGCCATTTTTTATCCATATGAAGAAATCAACTAGAACTTTGCGGCATACGTTCCTTTCATTTATTGTACTCTTTCATTCAAAAGGGTGGTATCACTAAATTCTTTACTTTCGTTCTTGTGGCCAGGTGAATACCTCACATGTTGAGTGGTACTATGGCTTAGGTCTGTAAGTGAATTTGAGCTGTCGTTTATTCGGCCCAAGACGAAAGACATAGCGACTGTGTGTCAAAAAATCCTTTGATTGATGGTTCGCTCAACTATTTGACGAAGTGCCATGTAAGGAATACCTGAGTAAAGAATACCTGACTAATCCAACTCCCCTTCTTTATAGCATTAGAAAGTTGAATTCTGCCACGCTCCAAATAGAGTGAAGCGTTGTCCTTCATAAAAAAAACCCGGGAATACTCACGCGTCTAACCGAGCGATTTGGTATCCGTCGTGCCGTTTGTGCAGGTGTTGATTGTAATTAGACAAATTGCGCCAAGACATGTTGATCGGGATCCACCTTTATCCTCCGGCGCCGAAGCGCTAAGAAAAAGGAACAGGAAAAAAGTTTACTATGTATTTCAATAGATAAATCAAACGCATTATAGAAAAATTTTATGTCGTAGTTTGGTCAGTCCACTATTCTATAGTCCGTTAGTAGAGGCATTGGATGGTTTATTCGTTGTGTGTGTGTGCATGTATGTATATCTATGCAGTGAGATTCTTTCCTACAGTTATTGATGTGAAGAACATAGTAAGAAATCATTTCCGAACTATAACAAAATTTTAACCGTCTTCATTGACAATATTGTTTAGAACTGAGATAGAAATCAAGCCACAATCAGTTTCATCACTATTGCCGTTCAAAAGAAAGATAAATGATTCATTGATACATAGAGAACAAAAAAAGTAAAGGCAGGATCCGAAATATAAGGTTTTTTCTTTCCAAAAAAGACAGGCATTTTGTTCCATATAACAAGCTATGACAAATGTTGGGTTCACGTCATGTAGTAAAAGAAGGTGCCAAAACTGTAGAAGGATTTTTTTCCCCCCCTCGTTGCCTGATCAGAAAGATGCGGGATCATGAAGAACGGGTTCGGATGGTGGGTGGGGTTTTTCTTGGCTCTCACTGCTGCACAGTGGCTTTACTAGCATTCTCCTAGAAATGACAGGGTTAAATCATGAAAGGAAATGGTGACCCAGACAAGCTTTTATGAAATGATCATTCTCCATGCCTACAAGGAATAGGCTATTCTTTGATTTACTGGCGTATCGTACAGTAAGTCAAGCGAACATAGGCGACAAGTGTTCAATGGGTAGCACAGACACACAACAGTCCCAATTACAGTTTGTTATGATTTTCTCTTTGTTGTTATTACATTTAAAGTTGATACGTGGCCGGGCCATGCCACGTGGGTAAAACAGCCATGAGAGCCAAAGAATAAAAAAAAAAAAAAAAGTTACCCCTTTATTTTGTTACACAGGAAGAAAAGAGCAGCTACAGAGGATACGCACGCACACCTCCACAGACACACCCACACCCACACCTACAACCCACACGCACCCACAGAAGCAGACACAGATATACACACACAAAAAAAAAAAAAAAAAAAAAAAGACTTTTTTTTTTTTTTTTTTATAGTTTCAGTATTAAAAGACAACAAAAAAGTTGGCTCATTAAATTTTCTCCTTTTTTCTTCTCGTTTTCCCTTTTTTCCCCTTCTGCTCGCTTTTCTCGACTTTAGGACAAATAGTAAATCTTTTTTATAATAATTTATTACCTTATATACAGGATTTTAAGGGTCTCTTTTTCTTTTCGTCCTCAATTCCTCATTCTCCACTCCAAAACTCCCCTTTTTGGATACTCTCTGCATCTTCTTCACGCACCCTTCTTTTTTGTCATTTGCTAACCTCTGCTCCTTATAAAAAGTATTCGAGCGACTTTTCTATGGACGCAACACTTTGCACTGTCATCTTACTGTATCAACGAGATAGACCGTATGTTATTGCTGATAATGATCAAGGAGATGAGGACACTTATCACGAGCTGCTGCAATCCACCTTTGGCAAAGTCTATGTTCAACAGAACCATTTTGAAGTGATTCAAAGAATCAAACAAAGTGATAAGCCTCAATCTACTTTGTTATTGGTTGATCTCGATGCTATTTCTTCTCGAGAGCAGGAGACGCAGCATAGTAAAAGATCAAGAACGCTCAGTCTATTAACACCACTTCATCATCACGCTGTCCAGTTTGTAAAAGAGACTGTGCGTGCCATAACATCCTCATCGTTACCCAACAGCATACCACCTATCGTAGGTCAGTACTCATAGCGTTCATTTTATTACTGCTCTTCTCTTTTCTCATTGACGATAATCGAAAAAAAAATAATGTAACGTCATTTTTTTCAATGGTCAACCTTAGTTTGTTCTAGACATGATTCGCCAACTTTAATGTTGGATTGTATCAATGCTGGTGCGACAGATTACATATTAAAGCCTTTATATCCAAATGTCATAAAAACTTTATTCTTGGTAAAGTTATCTCTCTACATTCCCAACTGAACAAAAGTCAAAGAAATAACCTTAACTTTTTCATAAAGTAGAAACTACACCGACATCTGTCCGATAAGAACAGTAGTAAAACCTTTGAAATGCCTACACCTTTACCTACACCACCGCCTGTTCTATTGCCACAGCAACAATCATTACCGACCTCACCGACTCTTGCCTGTCGTAGCTTATGCGATCGTATCAACGAGCTAAAATCGAAAGAAACATAGTAAAGTATATGGAACGATAATGTGTGCGAAAGAGAGTCCTACGAGCATTTTTGTTCTTGGCTATTAACAAAAACAAATAGTTTATCACAGATTCTGATGGATAATTTCGTGCCAAAAACCAAACCCAAGACTTTACCAAATTTGAACAATAGTGATCATACCATATCAAAGTGAGCCTTTAACGATAAAAAAAGAAGGGTCAAAGAAGAGCCATCCGAACGCTAAAGTTTTCCCTTGTCTATTAGCCAACGATTGAAAGAACTTGAAGCAAACGTGCATCGTTGGGAATTCGATCCCTTTACATTAAGCCAGCAAGAGTTACTACATTGCGTTTTTCTCATCTTTGATCAAGTTCTTACGTTACCCGCACTGGCCCATTTGTCTTTTGACAGAGGTATAATCTGAAGAACGAGACCAAATGACCGGTTTTTTTCCTTTTTTTTTTTTTTTTTTTTTTTGCGCTTGACACTCACCCCGTTTTCCCTTCTCATCGTACACTGTAGACCAGTTTCACGAATTCATCAGAGAGTTAGCTAGTGTTTATCATGCCGAAAATCCTTATCACAACTTTGCACACGCTGTTGATGTTTTACAATGTCTATTTTACATGCTTTGTCAATTAAACATACTACCCTTCCATACCACCACTACCACCACCACGCCCAAGTTACCAGAACAACCACCATTGTCTATAAAACAGCCGCGAGATTTGTTACGTCCTCAAGATGTATTTGCACTCTTGATTGCAGCTATTGGACATGATGCTGGACATCCTGGTGTAAACAATATGTTCTTGGTGAGTGCATCACCTCTTTTGATAAGGGAAAAAAGAACATATCACTCACTTCCCCACCCCTCCCCCTCCCCCCCCCGCTGCTGATACATAGGTAAATTCGACAAATCCATTAGCTACCTTGTACAATGATCGCTCTGTCTTGGAAAGTCTGCATTCCATGACTTTGTTTCAGTTGCTCTACAAGCATCAAATTATACAACATGTAGGTGATATCAAATCAAGCAGTTATAAAGGTAGCACACTCTTTTTTCTTTTCTTTTCCTTGCGAGTTAGAGTATCACTCATCCTTCTTCATTGTATGATAAACACTCACTCACTTGCCGTCGGTTGTCATGGATCATCAGAGTTTAGAAAGATTGTTGTTTCTAGCATATTAGCTACCGACATGTCTCTTCATTTGGATTATGTTTCTCAAATCAAAGAACAAGCACATCGTTTTCAAACCAACCAACTTTTGAAAGACGAGGAGCAAGAGCGTGTTTTGCTTTGCACCGCTCTCATCAAATGCGCGGATATCAGCAATGTAGCGAGACCTTTTGCCCTCGGTCGCCAATGGGCAACGCTTCTTGTGGAAGAGTTTGTAGGCCAAGGTGACCTGGAAAAGGAGCTCGACTTGCCTGTACTGCCTATGAACGATCGTGACAGAGTCATTTTGGAGGATTCTCAAATTGGTTTCATTCGATTTGTTGCGTTGGGCCTCTTTGAGACCTTTCAACAGATCTGTGGTGACGCCTTTTCGTTCACGACAGAGCAAATGAAAGCCAATCTACAGCGATGGGAGGATTACAAACGTCAGGGTCATGAAACAAAAACAATAGCCTCCCATGCTGTTGTGCAGCATGATTCTGGCGTATCCAACATCTCTCAAGAGGATGACGATGAAATGTCGCAAGGAGCGTCTGTAAAAGACCTTCAGGGGACAAGGATACAACCCCAAGAAGCGCTTACACAAAGGAACGATAGACGTCAGGAGAATGAAGAAGACGATAACGACGATAACGACGACGACGAAGACGACGACGACGACGATGATACATTTATAAGTACAAGTACGACTCAAATGATCACAGCAGAGACAGGTACGACGACATCTTAATCTTAACTCTAATTGACCGACACATACATCCTTTCTATTTATTTGCTCACATGCTCATGGAAAAAAAAAAAAACTCTTCCCTTTGCTCCTCTTTTTCATCAACGTCATCATCATTATCGATCATCATGGATTTTGTTTTGTAGGATTCAAGAGACCCACTGAAGATTTAGAAAAGGCGAATGTGAAAAGACCCTCCATAGAAAAGCATCGCACTACAAAGCATGCAGCCTCACCCTCCTTATCACCACTACCACCGCTACCATACGACCTACAGCCATCCTTTTCACCGTTTCTACAAGATGTCGAATATAACGAACACGATCGAATGCTGGAAATGCAGCCGAAAGAGGATTGTCTCTACTCATCCACTTTACCAGCGTCGTCTCCATCCTCCATCCAATGGAACAAGGATGCTGCTTGTTCGTATTTGTCTGAACCGTCGTCACAAGAACAACGCCAAGACAAACAACAACGACAACGAGCACACTCTAAAATCGCGGCTTATTGTCAATGTTGTGTTCAATGAATCCATCTGATAGAAACACCCCCCCCCCTCGCTACCCTTCCTTTTGATGTATTTATTTCTATCTCATTTCTAGACATCCCACTTATTTATAATTTTCTTTTCTTCCAAACCAACATGTTGATCTTTCTTTTCACTTGTACAGCCTTTCCTCCACGTTTGATGGTTTATCAAATTATTATTGTTATAGTTCAAACATGCTTCATGTAATATATACATTTTTCATGTATAATCCAATAGAGAAAATGAAGTTTTTTTTACTTTTGATGCAAGTTTATATTTGAACCGTGACAAATGTCGGTTTCTTGTTTTGGTACTACATGAATTGTGTGTGTGTGTGTGTATGTGTGTGTGTATGTGTGTGGGGAGGGGGTTTCTTATGTCGTTGCATGTATGTGTCTATGTGCATGTGCATGAGTATGTATGTAAGTAGGTAGGTAAGGTAAAGAGAGAGAGGTTCCATCTTGATTATTTTGCAGGTTTACTTTATCATGAATAAACAGCATCTTGCTTTGATTGCACTATTTTTTCTGTCTTTTGGATCGTCCCATCTTCACATACAAGCTGGATACCGGAAAGCAATGTATTTTGGATGCGATAGTTCAAATAAATGGGTGCTGGCGAGCTCTGACCTTCCACATAGAACTTGGCCAGCAATCTGGGTGGTCTTGCTTCTTCTGTGCCTTGTGCTGCATAGTGAGCCAACACATCGCTCAACTTCCATGTCAAACGACGCTTCTGCTGATCCCACCTACCCTGAGGTGTACTTTGCACATGCTGCACACGCTCTTGGGACATGTCCACAGACACATGGCCTGTGATATCGCCATGACTGTCGAACGCGCTTGGCCGTGGTTGATATTTGAGAATGAGATACGACGTGCCTTCCACACATTTCCATGACGGTGAGAGTCGAATCGGCAACGCACGCGTTGCATCGAGCATCATATCGTAGGTGAACAGGGGGATGGCCTGGCTGTGGTCTATCTTGTCCGTTTGAAGCATGTAGACCTCGCCCTCCTCGTCCTCGCTCACCACACGGAGATACTCTGTATTGGGTTCGAGGTGTCGAATACCGTTCGTGTGCTTTAATCGAAGTGGCACCTCTGCAGGCGCTGTTGCGTGCATCCGTTCCAAGTAAATTTGAATGCGACCTGTGACGTGTAGCAGGGATGGATCTGTCGTGTGGGTCGTTTCAGTGATGGAGGCAGTGATGTAAGTTGACTGAGAAGAAGAAGAAGCAGCAGCAGCAGCAGTAGCAGCAGCAGCAGCAGCAGCTTGTCCCAAGGGAGGGAATGGCGAGGAAACAGCTGTGGACGGGTCAGCCGTCGTCACTTCCGGGATGGACTGAAGTGGTGGCCATGAGGTGGTTGCTCTACTGTTGCAGGAAGAAGAAGAGGGCGACGGCGGCTCAGGCGACATGTGAGTAGCGTGAACCATAGAGGAAGAACGTGGCATGGCGGTGTCGGATCGAGCATAAATGGCGCTGAAACTGGGCCCTTTCAGGAATGGGTTGGTACTGTTTCCGGAATGGGACGAAACGGCCATCATCGATACGACACGAGGGCTACTGTCCGCTGAATGAGCGGATGGGTTGTTGGTTAAGGTGGTATCTGTTTGCGACCGAGTGAGAGTGCTAACAAAAAAGAATTCTTTTCTTTTAGAAACCAGAACGACCCCAGTTTTTTTCCTTATCTCTAAGACTGGTCTTACTCTCTTCTTCCTCTGGCTCTTCTATTCAGTGTGGGTGCTCTCTAGAATGGCAAGTGCTAGTTTAAGCAATCATCATCACTCTATTTATGTAGAGACCCAACGCTCAAAGACAAGGGTGTGTTTTGTCATCTTACCTCTCGCAGCATAGTTGCCATTTTCGTGTAGGATTCATTCGCTATGTTTGTATCCTCCTTAACAGCATCCTCCTTGATATTTATCTGTAATTTTTGGTTGAGCTTTAAACTAGAAAAAAGGGCAGGGAAGTGAGCCAACCACGAGCGTCGTTTTTAATCCATCTACAAACCCCTTTTACCTTTGAAACGATTCTACATCATCCAATGTATTGCGAGAGGAAACATCGGATGCTATCTGAGTCGCATGATGTGGATTGGACGGAATAGCATAACCATCCGAGTCAACGAGGGGGACAGTCTACATTGACCAAAGGTCCATTTAGAAAGGAGACAAGCTCTAGCGAAACTCACCTTTTTTCTTTTTTTCCTCGACTTACATTCATGCCACTCGTTGTCGTCGTTGTAGGAGGACGAGATAGAGGCACATGCTGTGCTGTATTCGTGGTGGTTGAGAAATGATCCACGATGGAGGGACTCGTGGAGGGCGGTGAAATAAGTAGTGTAGCATCCAAAGGCGTTGAAAGCTCTTCCTCTGTAACAGCCGAATAACCTGTGTGGGAGGAGGAATGGCTTTTTCCCACTTTCAGTGATATGATTTACAAAAAAAAAAAGGGGGGGGGGAGAAAAGACTTACTCGTCCGGGTCGGAAAGCATATCTGAATGCTTCTTTTTCTTCATAAATACAGATTTAACTAAAAAGGGGATGAGGAGGGTGACAGTATCAGTGACACCACCATCCTGTAGGAAAATTTGCATGAATTTTTCTTTTTACATTTGTTTGTGGAACGATGCGGATCAAACGAATGGCTGATGGTGGAGAATCGCTTGCTCGTCTTTGAAGGCGTGGAGGATGTATCCAAAGTGGGTGACGATGAGGACGACAAAGCCTTTGCTCTTTGCGTGCAAAAATCACTGATATCGTGCTGTGCGTTGAATGCCTCTGCTTGAGTCAATGTCACCTTGGACATCTAAGGGATAGACGTGTTCTGAGCCTTTTTTTGCTGTGAAAAAAAAAAGAAGAAAAAGACGTAGATGTTTTCTTACTTTGACTCTTTCCATCAATTGCCCTGATTGAATCTGCTCAAACCTTTCCACTACTGTTTTCATGCGATTCAATCTTGATTCATCTACTTTTTGATGCAGCTGTAGATAATCGGCACCTTCATTTTGCCAAAGTGAATAGCTACTTTTCGATTTCTTGAAAAGAGTGCCTTTGACTGTCTTTTTGCCGTCTTTTGCTAAAATAGAGTTTTCTAACTGTGTGTTTGCAAATACAATTAGGGCTGTGTTTTCCCCCCCCTCTCCCGTTGCGTTATGCCCTCCTACATGAGCGCGTCATTTGGATCTACCTGTTGTAGTCGTTGATGCTCTTCTGAAGTCGCGCCTTTTCGTAACGGTTTTTCGACTTGTTCCATGATTTGAAAAGCCATATCTGAATGATATGTAGCAATCTGATTAAACTCTTTCAATAAACATTCCCAAACAGGTGCAAAGTGTCTAAAAAAGAAGTTGTAAATCATCCAGAAAGCTGTCAATAGCACACATCCCCCCCTCCCCCAATCATCAACTCACTCACATCCAATGTGTTTCTGATCTTTACCCTAAAATGCCTAAATCCTTTGTATACAATTTTTTAGAAGCATCTGACAGACTTTTCGCATAGGTTTCTTCAATTTGTGCTCTTATAGGGAAAAAAAAAAGTGTTGGGATGACTTTGATACATCAAAAAACTATCCACTTCTATACCTCTCTTTGAAATAATCGGCTAGTTCGTTGGTTAAAGTGGCTGCATTCGTCAATCTTTCCCTTACAATATGAATGCTGTCTTTTGGTTTTTTCGTCTAGTAAATAAGATTTTTCAAATAGTTCAGTTCTCACTCTTTCATGAGCGATGAGGTCAAGGTCACAAAAAAAGAGAGTCGCGAAATGACACTCATGTTCAGACATTCATTTACCAAAAAAGCGTCGACATAGGTAGTGGTAGCAGCTGACATTGCTTTTATTGTCCTTGTCTTTTGACACTTGCGGAAAAAAAAAAATAGAACTTTGAACAAAAAAGGGATACAAATAGGGCTGCTGCAAGCTTCTTTTTCATTTCTAATACATGTAGGAATTGCTTTTATTTTTTTTTTATTTTCCGTTGCCAATCAAAAACGATCGTAGTGATAGGAAGCAAAAAGAATCTCAGACAGACACACACACATTGTTGTTCTGTACTTTACATAAGGGGGATAAAAGAACGAAAAAGAGAGGGAAAATATTGGAATTTTAACAATAAAGGATTGAGACATCTTGTTTATTTTTTTTTGTAAAATAGGAGTAAATAATGCAATGTTGTTTTGTGCTGCAATGAAAAAAAAAAAAAAGAAAAAGTCCGTTGTTTGTAGCGTGAATTGAAAAAATGTAACAATAAAAAAGAAAAGGGCGCGATGAAAGCAAGTTTTTTTTTTTTTTCTTCGTTTTTTACTACTCTTCATCGTCTTCGTCGTCTTCGTCGTCAAAAGCCTCCGTTTGAACCTTGCTAAAGTCAATCTTCTTTCCACGCGTTCTTCTACCACTAGAAATGATGTTGCTTGTATCCAGAGCACTTAATTCATCCTCTGTCACAAAAACAAGGAATCTGTCAATGGCAAAGACATAAGACACATCATGTCTTTGGTCTGCAAAAGGCCTTACCAGAAATATCACTTTTGTCGTCATCGGAAACAGCTGCATCATCATCACGCTTCTTACTGCTACTACCAACACTACTGCCATGCTTTCTGTGAGAAGCTTCATTTCTACTGGAAGAGTTGCTTTCAACAGGAGCTTCTTCGTCATCCACCTCTCCCTCTTCTTCTTCTTCTTCTTCTTCTTCTTCTTCTTCAACATCCTCTTCTTCCTCTTCTTCTTCTTCATTATCCACTTCGTCTTCGCTATGGATTCCATTTCAATTCGAGTCAGTTGTCAACAGGTATTCATAACATACTACCAGCTGTACCTTTCTTCTTTGGCGCTTGTTTTCAAGCTCTTCTTTTCACGTTGATCCTCTCCATCACTGGTTTGTTCTTCCAATTTGCGCTTATTTGCCAAAGCTTGGTCAGACATGATGTATCGTTTTTTGTTTTCTTGAAAAAAAAAAAGAAAGTAAAATGAAAAAAAAGAAAAAAGAGGAGGGAAAAAAGCAGAGATTTTTTTTCTTAAAAAGGGCTGTTGAGAGACGCTCACATTAAAATGAAAAAGGGAAAGGGGGTGAAAGGGAAGGGTGGGGGGCAAGACAAAGGCCCAAAAAAAAAAATGAGGCTTGTTTTTCACCTCTTACACACGCATACTACAGATGTTCATTTTACATACACCCCTTTTTTTTATATCTTTAATTATGCATTCTATTTCATGATGTGTGTAACAGGCAGATCCGATCCACAAAAAATTGAAAAAAATGAAAAAGAAACTCTATGAAACTCATGGGTGTGTTACAAGCAGTAGAAAAAGCATGCTGAAAACGGTTTAGTGTCATTGTAAATGGAATGGATTTGGGATGGAGCAACTCGACCAAAAAAGTTGCATACTCTTTCAAACAAACAAAAAAAAAAAGATAATTACAAAAAGGATGGTGACATGGTTTAACATGATGACCCTCAGCTCATTCATCACCCGAATGTTGTTGACTTTAATGGATCAGGCAAGGGAAGCGCGAAAGATCAACTTTGTAGCATCTACCATTTCTATTCATATGAAGAATATGAGTGGATGAAAAGAAAGAGGGCCATCATTGTGGATGATGTATTTTTTTCTTTTTTTTTTTTTTTTTTTTACCGGATGTCCATTTTTTGGTTGGATTGTTTTCTACTATGATGGTATTCTTCTTTCTACCTGTATCCATATCAGTCTGGGTCGAGGAAGTGACATAGGCTGTTTGGATGGGAAAAGTCAACGAGAGAGAGAGTCATGATACAGCGCTTGCACTTACAACGAGATTCAATTCTATTCTTACCTGGTTGCTGTTGGAGACGGCTGTGTTGTGAATCACCGTTTGTATATTGGCTACTGCTTCTATGCCGATCGTTGAATGGCTGACAAAGCCGTTTTGGATGCTTTGAGCTACTTGCATGCAAATCAGTCATGCTGAAGGAGGAAGGCCTATGCTCTCCACTCCTCCGTTGATGTTGAACGGACCTGAGCGTTTGACCAGCGCACTTTCTACAACGACGATGCGCCTTGCGAGCCTTCTTTTTGGCGCCCTTGTCCGTAGGTTGACAGCTGCTAGGTTCTTTATTGATGTTTTTTAAATTTAATCTGATCTTTAGTATCGATGAGTCGTTTTGGATCATTTTTGAATTCTTGGTCCTTTTGCTTCTATGCTGCTATTCAATATCAATAGAAGGGAATTCTAAATCAATAAAAAAAAAAAAAAGAGTCGTAGTATTTAGAATAACCTGTGTTAAAGCTTTCTATTTTCCCCGCCCCCCTCTCATCATCATGAATGGATACGATGGCTCTCTACATTCTATAAAGTATGTCAAAAAGATGAGAATAGGCAAAAGAGAAAAAAAAAAAAAAAAAAAAAAAAAAAAAAAAAAAAAAAAGAAAAAAAGGAAAAGCGTGATCATGTCACTTTCTCTTCATCTTGTAAAAAAAAATAAATTGTAAAATGATCCAACAAAAACGATGAATGATGATAATGATAATGATAATGGCTACTCCTGCTGTTTTGCTGCTGTGGATGACTTTATTATTTTTTTCTTTCTATCGCTTTCATCTTTCTCGCCAATAGAAAACGAGGCATTTGATAATCTGGCGCAGGAAAATTGCCATACACGCCCATCAAAAGCATTAAATGACACACCATGAGGGTCCAAGAGCTTTTCACCGTCGAGGGAAATGTCAACCAGCATCCTTCAATAGTAACAAAGAGTAATATCCGTGGTGTCGATGGGAAGCCTTTTTGTGTGGTCGTCCATGCTGCTTGCCACAACAGATACGGCAGTGTCTGGAAATACCAAGAGTAGAATTGATAATGAAGCGATCTAGCAAAGATGATGCCAATGAAATTGCTCGTAAACATCATCAAGATGATGTCTATGGATGCAATTCATTATATCATACATCAATAGGAGGTTAGAAATCCTCCTCCCCCCTTTTTTTGCCTTTTGTACAAAATTAGAAAAGCTTACCATCATTTGACACCTGACTTTGACGGTGACGGGAAAATCCATTTCTCAATACTGCTATCAGACCACCTTGCCTAAAAGAGAGAGAAAAAAAACAGAGTGCTCATAAGCGTCAAAAGAACCACACTACATAAACACTATAAAGTGAGTATTTTACGGTTGACACCAAATAAAGACAATAAACATGAGCAAAGTAAAGGCATGTCCAACCAACAACTGTGTCGCAAACCCACGGGATACAAACGTCTCTTCCGACATCATTCTCCAGTTGACAGTCCAAGTATAGTCAAAGACGCGGCCAAACTCAAAAGCCCTCGAGAGATACGCTCCTGGATATTCTTTCAAAAAGGGGTACCCTAGTCCAGCTTGAATCAACACCATCATTCCCAAATGCTTCAACGTTTTCCGAGCACCCAACGCCTGCCATAAGATGACGCCAAAGGCTGGAAAGAACAGTAGCACGTTCATCTTGATGGATAAAGCCAAGCTAAACAGGACGGTACTGATCGCCCACTTTTGCTGCGTCATACACCAAATGCAGGCAAAGAGGAAAATCATAGCCACAGGATCGTTAAAACAGCGCAGTAAAAAGATGGAATGAAGCCGCTTGGAAAATCCCAGTAATAAGATGACATAAGGAGGCACTTTTTTGGATTGCTTGTAAATAGCGCAAACAATACCTTGACTCACGAGATAGAGGCCTTCAAATAGATACTGAGCGACACGAATGTTTTGTCCTTTGTTGGTCAGATAGTAAAAGATCGAGTAGATATAGACAAACCCAGCAGGGTATCTAATATGTAGAATAGAGGAAAAACAAAGGGAGAAGACCCCATCGTTAATGACCGCATGCTTCATGCTTGCCGTCTTTACTGTTGGGTATCTTACACTAAAGGTCCGGTATCGCCTTTTAATTTGGTATAATCTCTCTCACCGGATAAGAACCCTTCGACCTCTTGCATATAGGCAACCCAATCAATTTCAGTATCTGAACAAAGTATTATTTCAACTGAGTGAGTGAACAAGGGTTTGTTTTTTTTATTTTGATAAAGGACTTTATTTACATGGCACTTTTCTGATGATGAAAGTGCTCAGCACACATTCACCCATCAACAAGATGGCTGTCAAATGCCAAAAGTAAGCTGGGTCGCATAACAGTTTTAAGGGTACACTTATCAGATCTTGAACTGTAACAGGCTTTTGATACTCTTTGTCAAGACTTGATGTTGCTCTCGTTCGTCTATTTCTTTTCTTTTGTTGATTGACTTTGTACATTACAACTGCTCATGAAGGTAGAACGGAATAGGCCTTTACACAAAGCATAAAATTGGAAAGTTTAGAACCAGGAAAAAAGAAAAAAAAAAAGCCCGCTTCCCTCGCCAGACACGTCGCTGGGCCCATCACAAGTCCATAAGTGGGGGAAAGTAAGGCAGATCCCCCCTCCCAGAATGTAAGATACTCATATACATTTTTCTTGTCACTCTTGAATTCACTTGCTATAGGGGCGGTAGATAGAACCCTTTCTATTACAAATGTAAGCATCACTTCTATAAGCCTAATGGAATCATCAGATCCATCAAGGAAGCATGCTTTAATTATCAAATGTATGTATTTTGCCGCTCTTCCTATTGCTTTTCTTGTCGTCAGCAACCACCATCCATCCCACATTGGAAGCGAAAAAGAAGAATCCGTCTTCACCACGTCCGTCCTGAAAAATAGCAAAAATAATAAATCAAATTTTTTATTATGGAAAAAGTAAGGGTAACCACATGCGATGGCGCAAAACAAGAAAAAAAGGGGAATAGTGTGTGTGTGTGTGTGTGGGAGGGGGAAACAAGCAACATAGAGCGAAGGGTAAAAAGCAAACAAAGAGGCGAATATATACAGTTATTATTCATGGTATGTAAGGTATGGACACATCATTGTCAAGGTAAAAAAAAATGGATGTTTAGGAGACCCAAATGTTTCCAATATGCAGTTCGTTCAACTTTTGGCAGTTGATAACAATGACAAATCCAGGCGGTAAGTAACCACGCTCTGTGTAATCCACATAGTGGATGGGCCGTGTCAATTCAAATGTCCTCTGCTTATAGTCAAATTCAAGATCAGGAGAATACCGTTCGTAATTGACCAGCTCTAACAAACGACGACGAGGGGGAGCGTCCTCCTCCCTCTCCTCCTTCACGGACACATCAAACAGACGAATATCCTGCGGTGTACTGTTATGGTGGTAATGCGATGGCGGACGAAGAAAGTCGATGCTCACCCGTTGAAAGCAATGGTGAGGCATGTCCATGTTGACTTTAATGTCCGAAGCGACCCTATCAATGAGCGTGCAGGAGGTGATTTCCAATACATTCAGCCGAGGACAGCGGAGAGACAGGTAGGTAAAGAACGCATTCCGGAACGATCCGTTCTTGAGGACAAGCGTTTTCAAACAGGGTCGCAGAAACGCGTCAGACGCCGTCCTCCGTGCTTCCCTTGCGAAGGCCATCACGGAAACGTCTGCACTATTCGCCGTCACTTGTACACCCTCGCATGTCAGAGACGTCAGCTGCGGGCACACATCCAGCAGCAAATCCACAGGCATCGGAAAGTTCTTGATGCCTGAGAAACGCATGGAAAAGGTCAATGTTTGCAATCGATGGCTACAACGGCCTATCCAACGGATCGTTTCTTCCATTGTATCTTGTAGGCAAAGGGAGGGCCAGCCCCATACCGTCAAGCTCGACACATTCTGCTTAGAAGCCGCTAAATGCTGGAGTAAATTCAGGGTGTGATCTGTCATGTCACCGACGGAGAAATGCTCAAGCCGAGTTCCCATGTGATCCATGGCTTCAAAGAGCCATTCGTTCATAGGCAGATGCATCAACTGGAGTGATGTCAACGTTCGGCCGCAGGATAAGATGATGTGGGTTAATGCTGCATATCGTTCGGCTAGTTCTCGTTGGCGAACACTGTCTTCCGCATCGTACTCATCTGAGACTAGATCGACAGAGTATTCACACCAGAGTTCAAGTTCCTCCAATTGGGGATACTTGCGGGCAATGTAGTAAAGCCATTCGTAATTCATATACAAGTCGCCTCCATTTTGGTATTTGAATGCACGCATCGTATAGGCTAGCTGAATAGATGGGTTGAGGGCTATGATCGATCGTTTCTCTTCATTACTGCTGCTGCTGTCCATAGGTGCTAAATGAACATTGGTGATGCGTAACGTTTGGAGAAGAGGACATACAGTGTGAATCATCTCCATTTCTGAAAGTGTCAGTGTGATCGCATCCAACGATAAATCAATCAAACGACTCGCTTTGGAAAGAGCAGTAAAGAACTCTTGTTTCAAACGAGAGCTACTGCTACCGCTGTTGTTGTTGCTGTTGTTGCTGTTGTCGTTGCTCTCCTTCAAACTCACCGATAAATGAGTTAAAGAGGACAGCACTGTCTCTGGGGCTTGCAGCAGATGATTTAAAACGGTCAAGCCGTTCAATTCCGTCAGCCGCTTCAAGTGTTTCCATTCAATGAACGTATTTGTTGTTGTATTTGTATCTATGTCCATCGGATGCTGTTCCTGCTGCTCCTGCTCCTCCTCCTCATCAAAATAGCCTGAAGAGGTCACTGGCCTCGCGAGGGCAGGGACGACGGTTTGTTTATTGTTAAAGGAAAATTCGACCACGTTGGGGCATAAGAGTGGCAAAGAATGAAGCTCTTCTCTTGTGAGGGACACATTGTCTACAGACAGTCGCCGCACATAATGGCCTACTATATCCATTTTGACGGATTGATAAAATTGAACAAACTGCCTTCGTCCACGCAGATGAATGTGACGGTACTGTGAAGGAGTGAACAGTCTATGCCAAGCTCTGCAGACGGTCCGACATTCACTTATTTGCTTATTTGATAAATAGTCGGCAATTCTGTTGCAGATTTCCAATGGAAAATAGTCAAAGAGGAAGGAGGAAGCTGAAGCAGCTGTTGTAGCGAGGTTATCATGTGGCTGCATAGAATACGGTAAGTCTGGCTGCTGAAGTTGTTGATTGAATAGCACTGTCGTTGCCATAGATAATATGTCAATAATAAAATAAAGGGGTGGGGGGACGTTTCTGGGTGGAAAATAAGATGTAGAAAAGAGAAAGTAAAATAAAGGGGGTTTACTCTGCTTATTTGCAAACAACTGCAAGCTTAAATAGGGATCTTCAAGCACGTCCATTGGACAATCTTGAGTTGGTTTTTTTTGACTCATGGGGGACAATAGAGTGAGAAAATACATCCATTCATTCATTCATGCATTGTGGCACACAACTCAAATTGCAAGAAGCAGATTGGTCCCCGCATTTTTTTAAGACAACAGAGTTAAATGAAGCTGGTTTTTTTTTTTTCTATAAAGACAGAAATGTCTATATTTCCGCCCTCCTCCCTCCCCCGCCCAATCATTCATACCATCATTTTCATAAAGATAAACCTATGAAATGATTTATTTTAAACGAGGGAATAGAATGTCAGCTTCTGTCTTGTTCACAGTGATATCCTTGCCGACCTTAAGTGATAAGCTGTCCTTGAAGTAGCGTTCGTCTTTAGGAACACCCAGCTGATTCAGTAGGCTTTCCATTTTCGTAGGCATAATAGGCTGTAGTAGAATACCAGCCACTCGACATGCTTCTAAAGAATAGAATAAAATGGTATCCAAACGTTCTTTGTCTTCTATATTTTGCGTCATTTTCCATGGTTCATTTTCTGTGAAATGCTTATTGGCCTAATAGAAAAAATCATAAAGTTCTTTTTTTTTTAGAAATAAAGGCATTATTGTTTTTCCTTGTTCGTTTTTTGGTTTACCTGAGACAACATGTCAAAAATGAAAGCATAAGCCTTATTGAATTCTCTTTCTTCAAAAGCCTTGTTGAAGTTTTCTAAATGTCAATGAACAGGCGTCAATACAAACAAAGCATACGGCTTGTGGCCATGTAAGTCAATGAGCTTCTTAGCTCTTCTTATTTATTACCTGGTACTGCCCGAATCTGGTCGTGTAACATTTGATCGTTGGGATGTACCGTGGCAGTGTTGAGACTATTTCCAGGAACAACACCACTCGGAAGCAATGATTTTGCCGTTGTTCTGTTCAACAGGTTACCGAGTTGACCTGCCAAGTCTTTCTTGTATCGAGTCTTGATCATCTTTTCAGAATAGTCTGTAGAGTGACGTATGAATTATCAGGCGAATCTTTTTTCACTTTTTCCCAACAATGTAGAAACCTTACCGCCGTCATCTGCCAGGCCGCCATCTCGGACAAGATAATACCTCACAGGATCTACGCCATACGTATCCAGCACCTCAAACGGATCCACTACATTTCCTCGGCTTTTAGACATTTTCTGTTTGCCCATTGTCCAATGAGCGTGAGCCAATATTTGTTTAGGTAGAGGCAAATCTGCTGCCATTAAGAATGCTGGCCAGTAGATCGCATGGAACCTAGAATGTACGTATCCATAAGGGCAGCATAACCAAAAGATGAATATCCAATGATCCCATCCAAGCATGCCTACTTTTATCCCGACCCCTCCCCCCTCCCCCTTCTACTGACCGTATGTGGGTTGCTCTCTCTTTTACCTTACGATATCTTTGCCCACGATCTGAACGTCTGGTGGAAATGCTTCTTTGTTGGGCGAGGAGTGCTCGCCATGCCAAGGATATCCTGTAGCTGTCAGATAGTTTGTCAACGCATCCAGCCAGACATAAATTGTATGCTCGGGATCGTTTGGCACCTCAATACCCCAGTCGAGCCGTGATCGAAGCCTTGACACAGATAGATCAGCCAAACCTGCTTTGATCCATGAAAGCACTTCATTTCTCCTGTTATGAGGGACAATAGCCGTCGGATGACTATCAATCCATTCGACTAATTTATCGCCAAACAAAGAGAGTCTGAACTTGTAATTCTCTTCGCTCATCCATTCCACTTTCTGTCCGGATTCTATGGCTACCATCGTTTTTTCGCCTGTTTTTTCATCAGTGACTTCTTTGACCTGATTCGGTGCATAAAACGCTTCATCGGAAACGGCATACCACCCTTCATGCTTGCCTTTGTACAAATAACCGTTTTTTAATAAAGTGTTCTAATGCAACAAAAACCTTTTGAGTAAAAAAAAACTCTCGTCTTATAACTCACAAAGGGCCTCCTTTCCATTCTTACCCAAAGCTCCTTGACAGCTTTTTTATGAGTTGGGCTTGTTGTTCTTTGAAAACTGGTATATTCTATGTTGGCGGCTGTGCATAATTTCTGAACGTCAAAGGCTTTTCAATTTAATATCTTATTTTTTATCACGTTTCTTTTCTCTGCTTCTATAGCTTTTACCCTAAAACTTTCAGATACTTTGTCACAGAATTCAATGGGTTGCATATTGTTTTTCTTGGCGGCTTGTTGAATCTAGAATAAGCTTTGGTTATAAACAGATAAGGCAATCTATTGTGACTGCATTCTGTTTACCTTTAATCCATGTTCATCTGTGCCTGTCGACATAATAACCTCTTTTCCATGTAGTGCATAATTCCTTCTGATAGTGTCGGCCAAAACTGTCGAGTACAAGTGTCCTATGTGCGGGACTATTGTTCCGGTTCATTGTCAATCAGTTCAGCAGTTTGTTTGTTTGTTTTGCAGGATCGCAGTGAAAGGAATGTAGCAATGTACCTGCATTGACATAATAAATGGGTGTTGTGACAAATGCCTTTGAGTGTTTCGCAAGCCTTGTAGCGTGTAAGCATCTTGTCTGGCTTTGAATGAAAGCTTGTCTAGAAACGCTGCTCAAACTGACAATAAGCATGGCTGGAAGTCTTTTATGAAAAATACTACGTGATTTGACAAGCAGAATGAGGGGCCCTGATTTTCTAGTTTTTGAATGGAATTTGTTTCTCCGGTTCCTGACTTGATTTCATGCAGATTGGGGGTAAAATCAACTTTCTGTACATAGATGTTTGCGTGGTGTATATGCAAAGTCTATAACATATTACTCGTCATCACTTTTTGGATTATAAGTTTGAGATACGGTCAATGGCATCTGTTTAACTGACAACCTCGCTCTTTTCGCATTTTTGTCAATAGAACGATGACTCTTTATCAGAAAAGGAAGGTATCGCAATAGCAACGCGTCGATAAAACCTAACACAAAACGACAACCCAAGTAGCGTCACATTACTCGTTTTTTTTATTTTCTTTTGCTCTTTTTTCACGACTTTTTTTTTTTTTTTTTTTTTGTTGCCTGGTTTAAACAACAAACAAATAAACAATGGATTTCGCATCACACCAAGTTGTTCGTTTGTTATTGTGGGGGCCCTCTTTTCTTTCCTTTCATTTGCATTTTCTGCAATTTCCTTGTATTTTTTTACAAGCACTAGCGCTATTCCAAACATGCGTTCGGCATCTTCTACCACACTACTCGTCTATGAACAACAGGCAACATCTAACCGTTGCACGACACTGAGGAAAACATTGCCGCTTATCCCTCTATCGCCTTTGTTTCAGCTATCTCGAGAATACAAAAAAGTCGTCGCGCAAACCAAAGAGACACTCTTGTTTGACTGCCATTCTACTGGAAAGGAAGGACAAGAACAAGGCCAGCTGCTAGAAAGAGATATTCTGGAAAAAAGATTGGCCAAAGCCACGGAAAAGCTGGATCGTCTGTCAACGACCCTCCCCTCTATTCAGCGTTCATTTTTAAACGATTTCAACATCTATGACGTCGCCAAAGAGATCGCCCACATTAACAGTAGCTTATTTCGATTGGTCTCCCTTACTACCGTCGATACGAATGTCAAGAGTGGCAAAGCCTTTCACCCCAACGATACACCCAACACAGACGAAGCGGACATCCACAGTGACACGAGTGGCCTAAAGCCACTGCTCGACTTTCATCACTATCTATCCAATGCCTTTGCACATCAAATCATTATTGAAACGGGCGCTTCTTCATCCTCCACACCGACAACAACCACGTCGAGAAACAGTACCCGAAAAAGAAAATACTGCATCATTGCTCACTTTATTCATATTGCTTCCATCTTGTTGTCTATTTATCGCGATTTTTCAGGTTGCATGGCTATTTTGGCATGTTTACAAATGCCAGAAATACAACGCTTACATCCTTTATGGGCCGCTTGCCCATCCAAATTCACCCAGTCCTACAAAGAAATGGTAAAGATGCTATCTCCCGACAATGACTATCAGACCTATTATGAACAGCTCAAGTTACATACACTTCGTTTCATGATACCGAACGATACAAACACATCTCCAATGATAGCTGTCCCTTTTATCCAAGCGCACCTCTCCATCATTCAAAAACTCATCCAACAACATGCATTCGTCTCACCCAAGACGGCCCTATCACAGTCGAACCACCCCCATAGCAACCAACACCCCGTCGTCCTCCTGTCCGTCGCAGGTCAAGCACTCGCTTCTTCCGCACTGAAAATCTTGCAGTTTTGTCAGCATCAACAGACCATCGACCTTTCCGAATTCGACGCCTTCCTTTCCAACCCTGCCGAAACGCCATCCGCCACAACGAACAGTAGTAGTAGTAGTAGTAGTAGTCGCCGCCTTCGTCGATTATCCCTTCATCGCACCAGTCGCATGTTAAGCGGTAACAGCCATCGACGGGCGACGAGCGACAGTAGCAACAGCCAGTTTTGGACCACGGGCCATCTGAAACTGTCCTGTCAGATGTGCTCGGATTTGAACTTGATACGAAGCAATGCAAATATTTACCATTGGCTTGTTTCACGTGCCTATCTAACAAAGCAGCAATTGAACATGGAGAGTGTCTTGATCCAACCTCTTGGCTCGGCTGAAATGCTCCCTTCACCCCACTTGGATGAAGAGGAAGAAGAAAAGGCCCTTCTCCAGCATTGGCATTTATTCAGATGGAGTCTGTATCAAAAGCACTACCAACAACTGCAACAGCAACAACGACAACAACAAGAAGAAGAGGACGAAATCAAAGAGCTGGATGTAAGTAAACCGTTATCCACCATGGACAGTCATGTACAAGGTGGACAAGCGTCTTCTAGAACAGCAAGTAGCACTGTAGCCGTGGATGATCCATGCCAAGAGGAAGCAGATACGAGAATCAAAGTAAAGGACAGAGAAAGCTTATTGCAAGAAACCAATAGTAACAACAATAAAATAGAGAAAGAGGAACAGATAGGCAACACGACATGGAGCCAAACAAATAGAAGCAAAGCCCACCAAACGATGGCCTTTTCTACTGCCGTTGACAAAAATCGATGCAATGGATTACCACGCCAAGGCAGTGAAGAAATGACAAAGCACACGATAGTAGATGATGAGGACGAGGATAGTCATACTATTATCATTTTAGCTGAAAACGATAAGGAAGACTGGACTGGGTATGCATCCCATCATGCGCATGGTACATTGGAGTACAAGACATCAAGCACTGAGTCTACTTATCCAGTCGATGGAAAAGTTACTGTTGAGGAAGAGGAGGATGAAGAGGAAGAATGGACAGGTTATCCGGTCGATGTTGCTTCTCAAGAAGAAGACGACGAAGACGAGATATGGAGAGGTTACCCTATTGCTTCAGATGACGAAGAAGATGTCCTCACACATGAACATGCAGTCGGAAAAACAAAAGTAGAGGAAATGATATTTCACAAAAGTAACAGTACAGATTTGCTTAGTTCTTCCAGAAGCTCTGCCAATACTTTACAGGAAGACAGCCAGAAGGCAAAAGGCAAACCTACCACGCCTATGACTTTCTCGCGGCATTCAAATTCACAAGAATTTGAAGAATGGAAGGGATATCAACAAATGATCATGAAAGAAGAAGGAGGCCTTTGTATAAAAAATAATGAAGGAGAAGCCTTTTCAGACCCTCAATTTTGGAATCATACGCCAGCTATCGGAAAAGCAGCAGCAAGACGTATGCAGCAATCGCTCTATACAAACTCGGTGGAGCTTGATCGGAAACGTTTACCATCCTCTTTTATTGTATCATCTTCTACAGCCGCAAACTGAGTCCATTTGAATAACATTGCCGTTGAAAAAAAAGAAAAATAACAGCAGAAGAGTACTTTAACAAAAAAAAAAAACAAACCCCCCATTCCTTTTCCTATATCGTACAAAATTCTTCATTCTGGAAATTCTGTGTTTAACTTTTTGACATTCTAATAAACACGACAATTTGTAACAAATAAAACGACCTTGCTGCTTCCGTAAAAAAGAAAGGGTAGCACACAAACAGACAAGAGAAACTTTTTTTTTTTTTTTTTTTTACTTTAGCCAACACTTTCATTTAGACGAGTCTCCATACCCGCACCCCACCTTTATACTTTTGTGATAGATTTGCTTCGTCTCTTAAAAGCACTGTTGAGCGAAGTCATAGACTTATTCTTATGGCGTACCAACGTAGTTTTCTTAAATGGATCGGATGAGAGTAAAGGCATAGAAATTCGATGCAATAATGTTCGCTGCTGCTGCTGCTGCTGCTGCTCTTGGTCTGAAGGTTCTATACTAGGAGAGGAATAAACTAAAGGCTTTGGTGGATATTGGTTTATGGTAGGTAGCGAAGTAAAAGGAAATTGTTGTAGAAGCTGCTGGGCATGATGAGTCTCTTCCTGCTGTTGTGGCTGATGGGTGTGGTTCTCTTTTTTGTTCTTCTTGAGCTGTGACTTTTTGGATGGAATAGTAATAGTCGTCTGCATGCAAACTTTTGCCATTGTCGTTTTCGTAGGATTGTCCTTCATGCTTCTATCGTGGAATGTTTGTTCAGGCTGTGGCTCCTGTTGCTTTTTTTTTAACAAGTCAAATTTTGACTTTAAATAAGCAGATGATTTACGTAATATACTGGTCGTGTTCTGATGGCTGCCTTTGTTGTTGCTATTATTGCTACTTGAAATATGGCTATGAGCATTAAGTACGGCTTCTTTTTTTGATTTGGATGAATGTCGGCTCCGTCGGCCTGTGCTACTGTGTCTCCTTACACCTCCCTCACTAGCACGGTCTTCGTCTTGTTGTTGACCTATCTGTTCATCGTTGCTTAAAAAGGGCGGCGACGATTGTGCCCTAACGTCTGTGGATATCACAGGTGGTGCTGGAAAAAAAGTAATAGATGGCTCTGGCGACGATTCCTAGATGACAGATCATTGAAAGACCAGTAAGATGAAATTTCCTAAAGTGGAGTTACAACACGATAAAATTTGACAATGACAACAGCCGAATTTCAAAAAAAAAAAATTGTGGTTTTGCCCCTGAAAAGATCAACAATGATAAAGCCAACTTTTTCCATATTACCTGTGAGGATTGAAATCCTAGCTCTATATGAAGCAATGATCTCCGTTTGTCGAACTGTTGTAATAGATCTCTTGCAAAAGAATCGTCATCATAGCAATTGTTCGTATGATGGTTGATAATGTTTTCAGGTAGACAATATGATGTGAATTTACTACGGTTACCACTGCTTGGCGAAGGAATTGAATCTGTACTGGGCATAATACAATGTACAGGATTGAAAGAAAAAAAAAAAAAAAAGAAAAAGAATGGCTCCAAGTTAAGCCTTCGAGTCAAAATTTGAAAAAGAAAAGGATGCTGTAACTCGCTTGATTTTTTTTTTTTTTTTTTTTTCGTACGATGACACTTTTTATTCTTCATTCAATCATATGTGTGTTGCCACGTGTGTATCATGAAATTTTTAAATGGAGTCGATGGTAGGAAATATAGTATACTATTTTTTTGAGGAGATGAAAAAAGTTTAGATCGTTATGGTACAAATTATATACGATAAATGTGTGATTGACTATTAGTTTAAAAAGTTGAGAAAGAATTCAGTAAAGGGTATCAGATTTGCGTATGATTGTGTTGATAATCTACTTTGCATAGATGTTTGGAGATTCGTAGATTTTTATAAAAATTCTTTTTCTTATGTTTGGCGAGGAATACCCAATAATTTCATGTCTTCATCGACGTCTCGTGGGTTTAGCCCTGTGGGTCGAGGTGCCATGGGGAAACCAATTGCATCTTTGGTATCTTGTAAATCAGCTGTTTCTTCTTTTTTCTCCTTTTTAGATAGAACCATTTCACGTCCATTTGGTAGTCTATGACAGTCGGCTATGAGTTGATTCAAAAAAAAAAAAAGAAAAAGAAACAGTGTTAAACTGCAAGTACGAGGTTCAGCCATACTAAAACTGAAGCATTACCTCTCGTCAAATCATTTAATTTAGCACGCTCATCATCCACACTCCATTTCTTATTATTTATTGTTTCTATGAGTGCTCTTCGTAACGCGTTCTTCTGAGAAATGAAATGGATGTTTGCTTGATATTCAAATCCTTCGAATTGCTTTCTATAATTAGCATGCTGATGTCTTCTCCATGCTTCAGCGTTTGAAATTCTTTTATTCCTCTTTTCTTCAATCTCTGCCATAAGTGTCATTAAGTCAGGATGTGTTCCGTCAGCAATTAGATGGGCTTCTTCATTCAGCTCTTCCATTTTTTCGTTGTACATTTTATCCCTTAATCTCGCAAATTCTATCTCTATACTTAATAGGGCATTGAAGGCTTCCTTATGTCTTTGATGATAATCACTGTCATTAACATCTACAAATAGTAGAAAATTAGGGGAAAAAAGAGCCATCTCCAACAAATGAATTCCAATGCAATGGATTTTGCAAATATTTACCTCTTTGTTCAGAAGCCTCTTCCGCATTATGACCTCCTTCCTCTTTGTTTTGCTGTTCTTCAACTTGACTCCCAGACGCTGCTACCGGCGTTGGTGACAAGTTATCTATACCATTTGCTGGCTTCAAGTCAGATGTTGTTCCTGATGGGGGTATAGAAGATGTTGAAACAGTATCTGTTGGGCTTTTGCTATTTTTATCATTGTCAACTTCAGCATTTGCTTTTTTCATACTGACAGTGTCGTTCTCAAGGTGGCTATCATTCTGCTCTTCTTCCTTCTTAACGACGTTATTCACTGCCTTTCTAACTGCTCCATTGTCTTCATGAGTTTGAGCATTTGACATGCTATTGCGCTCCTCTTGCCTACTATGTCTTCTACGAATACTACGATTAGGTGATTCAATCGGATCCAAATTACTCTTGGAAACGCGTCGTTTTCTGCCACCTCGTTTCGAAACTGTGCTTTCTTCTTCATCGTGGTCTTCATCCATATGGTTGTTATTCGGCACTTTCAACCTGTCACTATTTTTGTTAACCATAGCGGTGCTATTTTTATGATTCGCTTTAGAGTTCTTCTTTTTCAATGTGTCATCTTCATCTTGCTCTGCGCTATAAGGCGTCCTTGACTTTTTAGCAGCATGCTCAAACTTTTCTACGCTGTCACTGTCCGAGTCACTGCCTACTGTCCTCACTCTTCTTTTACTATAATTATTGGTTGTAGTATGGTGGATCGTACCCGTAGTATTGTGACTGTTGACTTTTTCATTCTGAACGTGCTTCCTATCCTTTTCGTCTTCTTTATTTGTCTTTGAAAGATCGTCATCAGCACTTCCTCTACTGCCAGTTCGTCTTTTTGTCATAGAGGTGGTATTGGTTGTGATGGATGGTGCCTTAGCAGGTGAAGCTACGGAAGGTTTGTCTTTTTCTATTTTACCGCTACCCTGTTCATTTTCAACAGCCTCCGACTCGACGTCTTCCTCCTCGTCGTCGCCGTCTTCGTGTTGTGAAACTTCATCTGATAATTCTTCATCATCATCTTGAGGAAGCAAAAATGAAGATGAGACAGGTGAAACGGATTGACTCAAAGGAAAGTCTTCTGGCACAGAGGATAAGGGCGACGCACTGTCATTGATATCGTCATCTTCTTCAACCGCATTCCTGATTCCCATGCCATTGTTGCCAATTGGACTGTTCTCCTCGTTGTTGTCGTCATCGTCTTCATCGTCCTCCGGCACATCTTCTTCTTCAGATAAGGAGCCAGGTGAGCCAGCAGCCTGTAGTAATGCAGATAATTCATCATCCACTTCATCCTCATTATTTATATCATCCGATTTTGCTTTTTTTTCTTGCTCTTCGTCCTCTTCTTCGTCTGAAATATAATCAGTTGGCGTTAAAGGGCCGTCTCCTTCTAGTTGCTCATTATCAAGTATGGAGTCCGGTGATGGAGAAGGCTCATCATCCAACTGACTGTGTCCTGTTGCGATTTTCTCATTCTTTTTATCCGTTTTCTTAGTAGTATTCGTGGTGGAATCCTCCGTTGCTGAGTGTTGCTGCTGTTTCTTTTCCATGGTTTTCTCTTTGTACAGATAGTAGTAATAAGATTAAAGAATAAATACACACACACGCGTATTTCTGTCGGCCCTTTTTCAATATTTGTAATAGACTGTTCTTATAAGAATGCAATAAGGATGGATGAGGTCAAGAAGGGAATCAGAGGGTAATCGTTCTTTAGGGTGGGATAAATTAGAAAAAAGTGAAAAAAATAAATTCACTTATTCTTTGCTGCTGAAGAAATGCCCGCCTTGTGTGTGACGTATCAAATCCCATACGTCCTAGCGGGCATTGAACTAATCATCAACAGCTGCTGCGTTGTGAATAGAGAGTGCAATGCTATGTTTCCATTTCTAATGCCTTCTTTTATCAAAACGTAAGGTTACAGTATTTTCGTCGATGACCTTGGCGTGAGGCTTCAGTTCTTTCGAATTGCTTTTCTTTGTTTTCCTATGGCCAACCATTTTTTCTCGCTATTTACCCTAAGAAATTAATATCGTTTCCTTATGAAAAGATATAGGCTTTTTGTCTCCACACATGCCGTTGTTTCTTGAAGAAGCGCAGAATATATCGAAGAATAAGTGTCCAACACGCCCTGAATTCTGTTTCGATGCTTGCTGTACTGAATGGTTTTTTTTACTCGGTGAACGAAATGGACATTCCGGTTTGCAAGTGGCTTAGGCCTCAGCTCATTGTTTGTTAGCCGAAGTGAGTCATTTTTTTGAAAGCCGTTTTATATTTTCCCTTCCCTTTCCGTCTATTCCTTCCATTGAGCACCTGAACGACGCAACAATGTCTAATCTCACCACCGACGAAAAATTCAACCTCATCACTCGTAACCTTCAAGAAGTTCTTGGTGAAGAGGAATTGAAAAAGATTTTAGCTGAACGGGACCTAAAGATGTATTGGGGTACTGCCCCTACTGGCAAGCCTCATATCGCTTATTTCGTTCCTATGTCTAAAATTGCCGATTTCTTGGCTGCTGGTGTTGAGGTAATGTATCTGTTGTATAAGTCGTATGCAGCATGTTTTATTAGTTTTTTTTTTTTTCAGTAATTAAAGGAACAGGATTGGGATTTTGAAGCCAATAATTCAATGACGGGAATATATCAACTTTATTAATCCATATCAACTAAATAATTGACATACTATCGATTTAGATGACTGTTCTTATTGCCGATCTTCACGCCTTTTTGGACAACATGAAGGCTCCTTTAGAGCTTGTTCAACATCGTGCTAAATACTACGAAGTTATGATCAAGACAATTTTGACTTCTATTGGTGTTCCTATCAACAAACTCAAGTTTGTCACTGGTTCGTCTTACGAACTCTCAAAAGAATACACCATGGATAATTTCCGTTTGTGTGCTCTCGTCACTGAACACGATGCCAAACGTGCAGGTGCTGAAGTTGTCAAACAGGTTGCTTCCCCTCTTTTGTCTGGTTTATTGTATCCTGGTATGCAAGCTCTTGATGAAGAATATTTGGGCGTTGATGCTCAATTCGGCGGTGTCGATCAGCGTAAAATCTTCATCTTGGCCGAAAAGTACTTGCCTCAATTGGGTTATAAAAAGCGTGTTCATTTGATGAATCCTATGGTTCCTGGTTTGACCGGCTCCAAGATGTCTGCTTCTGATCCTGATTCAAAGATTGACCTTTTGGATAGCCCCAAGGATGTCGCTAAAAAGATCAAGAAGGCTTTTTGTGAGGAAGGCAACATTGAAGAAAATGGTGTCTTGGCTTTTGTCAAGAATATCTATTTTCCCTTGAAGACGGTGAATGGTGGTAAGGCACAATTCACTGCCATTCGCCCCGAACAATATGGCGGCAATCTTGTTTATGATAACTACGAGGATCTCGAAAAGGATTTCGCTGATAGAAAATTGCATCCTGGCGATTTGAAGGCTGGTGTTATTGCTGCTTTGAATGAATTATTAGATCCCATTAGAAAGGCATTTGAAGACCCCGAAATGAAGAAGTTGGTAGAATTGGCCTATCCCGCTCCTAAGCCTGTTGAAAAAGTGAACCCTAAGAAGGAAAAGAAGGAAAAGAAGAAGGCAGAAAGAGCTGCTGCTTTAGCTGCCAAGGCTGCTGCAGCTGCTGCCGCTGGCGAAAATGGTGAAGCTGCTCCCGCTGCCACTACGGAAGAAAAGAAGGAGAACGTTGACACTACTTCTAATACTACTGCTGCTACCTCAACAATTGATACTACTTCTACTTCATCATAGACACAATTCTGTACTTTGCCACTGTAACATTATCCCTACTACACCAAGCAAAAAGCATACCACATCACAAAACTTTAAACACGCGCATTTTTATAAACTTTATGATTTGTGAGCCACTTTTAATAAACATTAGGCCAATAAGAATTGAGATCAATTTTAGCCATTCCATGTTTTTGTTGACTTTTGGTTGGCTGAAATTGAACGTTCCTTACGCTTTTCTCTCCTTGCCCAGATTTCATTGAATGAACTTCTAAGTACAAAGGCACAAGATGAAGTTCAATGGAGAGGTAATCTACATTGTGTTTCATCAAGTTCTATTCTTGATATCTGGTTTATGTACAACGTTAGGTGCACAATGGTTATTTTATCAAGGAGCAGCAAGTAAAACATTTAAAAATATGTCATAAGGTTGACTGTATTCAATTTAGTTAAACACATTTTCTATCATAAAAACTTATCTACAGCTGGCGACAGTTATTTAACACAGCTTGCACAATATCTTGGTATGATTTTAGTGGGTGCACTTATTCCAAGCCTGCTCAAAAGTAAACAGAAACAATATCAAGCATTAAACCAGGAGGAAATTGATGATGAAGCGTTATCTGTAGAAGAACAATTGACACGCAGTGAGAATATCACAATGGTAAGTTTCTGCTTCATATGTCTGTTGATAAACAATAATATTGAACGACTCATCCGGAAGTTTACGGCTGCTTCTATCAGGCACAAATCAATCATAGTAGCCCTATCAGTAACAATCACCGTCATAACGTCGACGACGACGATGAAGATATTGTTATCTATGATAATGTTCCCCCTTCAGAATCTTATAATGTCACTCTTCAAAAAGATATCAATAATATACCCAAATTTGAAGAAGGCCCTGTTTCGCATAAATCTGTAATTAAGTTGGCTTGCATGGATATCGTTGCAAACTTCTGCGTAACAGTTGGGTTTGCGATTGTTGGCAGTGGGGTAAATGAATAATACAGTAATTCATGGTAAAAAAAACTGCAGCGTTCATTAACACGGTTTAAACCAATTCACGTAAGTGTAGATGTACCAAGTAATCTACAGTAGTGTGGTTATTTGGTGTGCTATCTTGACTTGGATAATTATGAGAAGATCTCTCTCAATCTTACAATGGATTGCTATCTTTGGTACCACTGTAGGTTTGGCAGTTAGTTCCATGGATAATTTTAGTAACACTGGTACCAGCAGCAATAACCCTCACGCTACAGTGCTTATGTTCGGCACTCTAATGACTCTTGGTGGTACCTTTGGCTACTGTAAGTGTTTACTTTTGCCAGTACTAGCCAGGATTTAGCTACTGACTTGTTTTGGTTTCTTTCAATATATCTTTAAAAAAGCCTGTGTGTATGTTTATTCTGATTACATGATGTCACAATACAATCCACCGCCATTACCAGCAAGAATCTGTTCTTATGTTGGCATGTACACGTCACTTCTATCACTTGTATGGATTGGCGTTTATACCATGCCACAATTCGATAAACTGATTCATATAAAAGAAGGCGTCTCTACAGTTACTGTTATGTACATGTATATTCTTGTAACCATTTCCAACGCTTGTCATTCCTGGAATTATTACGAACTGATAGACCGTACAGGAAGTGTAAGTCTGTTGGTCTACATTTGCACCGGAATGATTTATCTTACAATACGGTTTTAATGGATTTCATAGGTTGCAACTGGTATCTTGCAAGGATTAAGAGCCGTTTTGATTTACATTATCAGTGACAGATGGTATTGTGGATCAGATCCTGCTCAATGTAAGGTTGCACTTTCTTAAAGTTTAAAACCTACTGTTGACGCTAATTCATGTTCTCGCCCCAATATATATAGGCTTTACACCTTATAAAGGTATTGGTTCCGTTCTTGTAATCGGATGTGTCCTATTGTTTACAATAGGTCGTAGTAGAGCTGTAGGAAAGCATAAATAGGTCCGTAACGAAAATAAAAAAAAGATAGCCATTTAGAGCACGACGGCTTTAAAACCATTCTTTGGGTCACTCTATTCTTTAACTTCTTTTCTTTCGCTATTTCGCATTATTTCTGATATATAAATTTGTTAAAAATGACAAGTTTGTCCATACAACAACGGCCTGACTGGACATCTTACCAGCAATATCAGATTTCCTTCATTTATGCTTTTTCAAATACCTTTGATACGCCTCAAGCTGAACACATACCCAACTTTTATAAACTACCCAAGTTTACTCCGAGAGTACGTGAGAAGAAGGAGGAGATCTAACAGATCTACATAGATCAACTTTTTGATGTATAACTGATTGACTATTCATGATCCACAAATTCAAACAGGAGTTGGAAGAAGAAATACAAAAACCAGAGAGTCAATTGATATATAATATTGTCTGCGCTGCGCTATCTAATATTCTTAATAGAAATAGGCTTATAGAGTACGTAAGATGTAAAGAATTTTAGTGTTCAGTTGAGAATGGCTTTTTCATTTATACATAAATGCCAAATAGGTCTTTCAAAGGCACACTTCTACAGCTTTTAACGGACAAAATCAAAGCTACTGATATAGATTTAGAGACTAACCCTCTTGTTGGAGAGAACAACTTCTTCACACTATCTACAGAAATGAAAGTAAGGAAGCAATAGTTGGGCATTAAACATAAATACCATATTGGACACTAATTATTAACAAATTTGTTCTTTTTTTTCAGCTTTACATACTATATAATCTTATGGAATGGCAACTGCAGGACAGCTTAAGTGTCAAGACCCTTATCGATTACAACGTCAACAATAAAAATAATCAGTACTACGATTTAAATCGCATTCGATACAAACCCCTTGGTACTGACGATAAAAAGCGAATCTACTGGCAATTTGGCGAATCAGGTTGGATCTGGCGAGAGGATAAAAGTAAAAAGCCTAGACACAAAAACAAAGTAGCTACAGTGGACAATTGGGAGCTCTTGTGCCGCACCAAAGAAGATATCGAGGACTTGACGAAATCTCTCAAGTCTTCAAGCACTACTGACACCAACAGCAGTAAAAAGAGGCGATATTTTCCTAACATTGATTTGGCAGAGGAAATCGAGACTAGAGGACTCGACTTTATGTTGGAAAAGGAGGAAAAGAAGCGATTAGCTAAGGAAAGAGCCGAATTACGCAAATTGATGCCAGTTGAAGTCAACATTACACGCACACAGTTGCGATCCAGAGGGGTTAGAGCCAACCGCAAATCATATAATTATGATGAAAAAGAAATTTACGGCAATATCACAGATGATGAAGATGACCAGACCTACGAATCAGAAAACGAGGCTAAGATTGTAATAGAAGAAAAACCTAAAACACAACCTACGCGTTGGAGTAGTCGGTTACATAAATATAATTCTAACAGTGTCGCATCTACTGATGACAAAGATAAAATGATCACAGATTGATCCATTAAACATACCACCCTTGCCATTTTATAAAAAGCTTGCTTCGGCGAGAAATTTCTTTCTCTGATTCCTTACTAGCAGTCCTTAGTAGGTTGTACGTACTTGTGATTTAATGTGGCACGTCTGTTTGTTTGCTTCCTACCAGCACCGTGCCGCTACACCCGACAATTGAAACCTCCGGTGTCAATTTTATAATTTTATCAGACAGCTCCCCCTTTTTTTTTCTTGCCTTCTTTCTTCTGATTCTTCTGTTTTTGATCGATCGAGGTTGTTAGATCCACACTTGTTCGTACTAGTTATATAAATCACTTTACTCAATTGAAATAGTATCCATGTCTGTTGTAGATAGTGAAGATCGTCAAAAGAGACTATCAGAGCTTTTAGAATATGTACAAAAGAAAAAACAGGAAAATCTAGCAGCATCAGCAGCAACTTCTACCACTCCATCTCCCACATCATCACCGGTTACTCCAGCTGCAAAAAAGCAAAAGATCTCTTCAACAAGCTCAACAAGCAGGCCCCAGAAATCAGTACCTAAAGCCGCTTTACCCGATTTCTGCTTCAATTCAGATACGTCATGTCAGACATTAGAATTGCCACTGAGACCTGAGGTTGAAGTGCGCCCGTATCAGCGAGAAGCTGTGGACGCCATCATCGATGCTACCGATCCCGATTCTGCTAATCATGTTGCCAAATCGGGCATCATTGTCCTTCCTTGTGGTGCAGGTAAAACCTTGACCTCAATTCTTGTAGCCAGCGCTATCCAAAAGCCTGTCCTTGTTGTTTGTTCAACTATTATTGCTGCGGAGCAATTCTGTAAAGAATTTCTTAAGTTTACGACTTTGATGGCTTCCAAAACTGGTATGTTTGCCGGATCTAAGAAATGGCCGTATAACGGTCCCGCTGGTGTTCTTTTCACCACTTATACCATGTTGGTCGATAATAAATCAAGAACTGCGGATTCTAGACGTATGAATCAATTCATTGACAAAACAGAATGGGGCTTAATTATTCTTGATGAGGTACACTGTGTGCCAGCCAATAATTTTTCCAGAGCAATTACAAAGATCAAAGCCAAGGTTAGGTTGGGCTTGACGGCCACTATGTTGCGTGAAGATGAAAGAATCGGAGATTTAGAGACACTTGTAGGGCCCACTCTATACCATGCTAAATGGAAGGAGTTGGCTGACAAAGGTTATATTGCCAAAGTGATTTGTACACAAGTGGAAACAGATATGACACCTTTGATTAAGGAAGCCCATGATAATGTGCGAATCAACGGTGGAGGTTTATTAAATCAGGGTCATCACCTCAAGAGTTTACTAGCCATTCTGAACCCTAAAAAAATGCAAATTTGCCAACGCTTAATTCAATACCACGAAGCCAAAGGTGATAAGGTGTTAGTCTATTGTGACCATATTGATGCTCTTAAGATATATGCTGAAAAATCCAACCGCCCTATGATTTACGGTGGTACACCTACTGAGGATGCACGACAATTGTTGGCTCGTTTCCAAATTGATGTTCCTCATTTAACCTACGAACAAGAGAATGAATTGACATGGAACGAAACTGCTGCTCGCCGTTCTCTTAAAGCGAAACAAATCAGCACACTGTTCTTGTCTCGAATTGGCGATACCTCTCTAGATTTACCTGCAGCTACTGTTTTAATTCAAGTATCTTCCCATTTCGGTTCACGACGCCAAGAAGCGCAACGTCTAGGCCGTATTCTTCGTGCAAAGAAGAGATCAGAAAAAGGTTTCTATTCAAGATTCTATACTTTAGTTACGAGCGATACCAATGAAGTGACTTTCTCTGAAAAACGAAGACAATTTTTGGAAGAGGATTGTGGTTATGGATACCAAATCTGGAGAGTTGGCGAAGAAGAAGAAGGAGGCTGGAAAGTGGATGCGGAAAGAGATGATAGCATGCCGGCAGATGACGAAGTAAAGATAGATCCGCTAACCTGCACTATTCAAGGAGCAGGCGACAGACCTTTTGCAACAGACGAAGAACAGACAAAATTAATTGCATTCTTAAATAACCTAAAAAATTTCCAGGTTGAAAAAGATGAAGAAGAAGATTTATTAGCTACTAATATTGCAGCAGCCAACAATGCTTCAGCGAAGAGAAAACGTTAGATAACTCTTCACATTTCATATTATAGTAAAATTCAATCTAGAAGAAAAGGGTTGCTCAATACATATGTATATATATATATTATACAAACGCACATCAGGAATTGTACAAATGTTATCCCGGTCATTTTGTAACTACCTATCTCAAATAATTAATTTATGAATTCTATGAAGAAAATAAATGTCTGCTTAGAGCCTCAGTTGCATTGTTCTTAGTGCTGTATTCATGCTGATCCATGTACTATGCTAGAAAGCAGTGATGGCTGAGTTTTTAATATAATTGCTTGCCATCATTTTCGTACCTTTTTCCACTGCAGTGCATCAATTTTTCCAGGGTTTTATATACCTGTCAAAACGGCAATATGTCAAGTGAACAACATCAAAAAGAGCCTCTAAAAAGGATAGAATTATCTGCAGAAGAGTTTGATGCTGGGAGTAAAGAATTGTTTGATGAAATAGACAAAGAAAACAAAAACAATTATGAGAAATGCAGCGCAGTAGAAGCCTTTGATAACTTTTTTCGATGCTATTGTAAGTTGACTGCATGGGTAGGAACTGAGTCAGTAGTGAAAATATCAGTCGACGGGACTAACGTATGTATAATTGAAAAGCTTTGGGTCAACAGGCTATAAACTATTATCGATATGGAGCGAAAAAGGATTGCTCAACAAAGTGGGAAGACTTCAAGTTCTGTCTAAGCACAAAAACTAAGTCAGCTGAAAAGGCAGATGTAAGTCATCGGTAAAAAGCAACCATTTTTATGGATCAAGAAAGCGATCACTCAAAGTAAATCAAATCTTCAACACATAATAGGCAATGATAAAAGAACGTAAAGCTATCAAGGAAGCGATCAGAAGAAGTAAACCCAATTCTGAAGACGTCTGGGAAGGTAGAGGTTAAATTGCTTTAAAAGCATACCCATTTCCAATCTGTATTTAAACTGTAGTGGCTTAAAAATTAAAGCAAGCCGAAGCATTTGTATCATAGTAAAAACAAAAAACACGATTTTCTGTACGTTTCCTTTATTTTTGCTCGTCTTCTTCATTTTTATTATAAAACTCAACACTATAATAACATATAAACAATGAAGTTAGTCAGGTAGTTAATATTCATTTTATTAATCGTTAATGAGCAAGAAGGCATGCAAAGAGTAAAATTTCTAATTGATTGGCATTAGATTTTTAATGAAATTGAACAACGAAACAGTTTCTGTGGAGTTAAAGAACGGCACTGTTGCTCATGGTACCATTACAGGCGTCGATATGAGCATGAATACCCATTTAAAGACAGTTAAAATGACAGTGAAAAATAGAGATCCCATCAGTTTAGACACCTTAAGTATTCGTGGCAACACCATCCGTTGTGTGATTTTACCAGATAGTCTACCATTAGACACCTTGCTAATTGACGATGTTCGCAAGTCGAAGAAGAAGAACGATGGTAAAAAGGAAATAATCATTTCAAAGTTGGCTATTATAACCTATTAATGTTCATATTTCATGATCCATTAGACGCTCATGGTCGTGGCAGAGGACGAGGAATGGCTCGTGGTCGTGGTCGTGGCAGAGGAGGAAGACGTTGAATACAGTATTAGATCAAAAAAATAAATAACATCCACAGCAATACTTATCATTTTGATATCATATAATTGTCAGCATTTTCACGAACGAACTGTTTTTTTCCTACGAATAAAGATTATGCAAGCCAACCTTTTTATTAAACATTTATATACAACAAGAAGAAAAGAAAGAAGACTACTACTTCCAAAACTGAAACCAGTTCAGCTTTTAAGTTTTCAGAAAAAAACAAAAAGAAAGATTAAGCAACTCATCAATGTAATACATGGCCTTGAATACGTTCGTGCCTTCGAAGAGCGTCTAACCGAGTAAACTTTTTACCACAGAAGTGACATAAACAGAAAGGTCGATTTTTTAGATGAATTGTCTGATGCCTTGACAAATCATAAGAACGACGAAAGGATTGAGAGCAACGCTCACCGGTTTTAGAATCGACGACATGGTCACAGATAAATGTGTGTTGCTGTAGTTGTCTCTTTAATAACTTGGTTGTGGAAGAGGTCAGTTTATTCTGATGCACAATAGATGCTGCTGAGTGCCTTCTACTATTATATTGTTGAAGATAAGGGGTAGCATTGGTCATAGCCGTTGGAGGACAGTAAGAGCTTCGTCTCGGTGTAGTTATGAATGGCAATGGTGGTGTAGGCGGTGTAGGAGGCATGGGCGCGAAGGAAGAAGAAGGAATGGATGATGACGGATGTTGATAATAGTGGCTATTGTTATTGAATAGGAGCGAATGAACACCTGGTAAACGAACCTTATCTGTGTTGTTTTCTGAGTTATCCGTGTTTTGAGATGGTAAGACGGGGCTATTGTGATAAGTAGGAGTTGGCGTTGTTGCAGGTGATATATATGCGCTGCTTCCTCGTTTATTGCTGTTGTTGTCACCCTTTTTGTTGATTGTGAATTTGATTAGATCCTGCTCGAAGAAAGCAATCCCCGAGTCTCTGCGTAGATCATTGTTATATGAAGTAATAGTAGCAGAGGACACATTGTTTCTATTAGCGTTCGCATGCTCTGATACAGTAATATTCCGAGTCACTGGTGCGATAAGAAGAGCAGTGTTCGTTTTCATTAGCTTAGCATGTATAATCTTGCCGGGTGGTGTGTGGGCAAGTATATTTTGAAGCTCAAAATCGTTGTGGATTATTTGATCTTCCACAAGTAAATTACAGCGACTAAAAGGTATTCGTTCGAAATATACCTGAAAAAACTTATTGAGTGAACCTGTGAAAGTCAAATAAATAGAGATAATCACATTACGGATGATACCTTTGGATAGTTTTGGGCGATTTTATCGAGAAGATAATTGTAAGAAAGGCTTTCATTGGGTTGCACAAGAATGCTCAAGATCGTTGAAGCGTTGAACATGCATACATCTTTAATTTGAATTCTATTTTTACGAGCAGTTAGAAAAGTTACCTTTGGTCTCATTTAATCGAAAATGTAGCTTACTTGAACGTATAGACATTATTTTGACCAAGCATTCGATTGCAGTTGAGAAATTGAAGAAAATAAAAAAGTTGGAGAAGAGGACTTGGCGGCAGAAGGGAAAAGTCTCTGATATTATATAGGTATATAAGCGACCTATTCCTTGTATGTTTTCCTTTCTTTGTAGTTGTTATTTATAGGAGCGGCAAAAGTTAGGCAATGCCAACGCTCTATACATCGTAAACACCTGTACTTGTAGGGAGTATATGCTATAAATATAGCTTTTTTCCGCTGCGATGCCTGCAATATATAAAGAGTAACATATCAGTATTGGGATCAGTGGCTATGATGCACATGAAAAACCCTGATTGTACTTACTATATTTAATTCGATCCTCCTCGTGTTGCTGGCATTATCAGAAAGGCCCATGATCCGAACCCCTCTACTGTTATAGTTACTCCTTCTCACTTTAATACACTGTGTCAGCTGCCTGTCCATTAAGGGACAAGTGTAGTAGCAGACACTCTGTTCAAAGGTGCAAAAATCGACAGCAATTTCTTTATATGGCTTTTACCTGCAACTACATTTTAAATAGAGGATAGCAGATGATCAAACGTATGGAGAGAATACATCTGCTACCTTCCGTAGGTCAGATATCAGTAATAGTAAGTATAATGAGGTACTGCAATTTGGCTTCTTGTCTGTCTGGACCCTTCTCTCTTACTCCTATTTGGCTCCTGGAGTAAGTAAAATATCCTATCCTTCCCTTGACATGGATTTTTAAAGCATAAATGCCTTGCTTAAAAGTGCATCCTTTTATGTTCCCTAATTTACAATTGATATGATATATACACATTAAAGGAAGGAAATGTGCATTGTAAATTACATTTATTCTATAATTATTTTACAAGGATGAAGTCTTTCATAGAGAAAGTAATGAACATTTACAGAAGAAACAGAGCGGTTGACATGATAGAATAATTGAAGGCTATATATATAGATGAAAATAAATTTGCTACCCTGTGGCGTATTACAATGACAAAACCAGTGATCTATTTGAATAAAAATATATATAAATAGAGCGGTATGATAAAGCGATTTCAAAAGGAGAAAGAGAAAGAAAGAGAAAAAACAATCGGATAGTTCTCCTATGATAATCTATCAGTCTGCAATGAAGTATGAATTATGTGTCCTGCGTAGTGGTATAAGAAACAGTGGTGAGTTTCGACGGAATAGGTGAATGATGATGTTGTTGTTTGGTTATTGCAGCTGTTACTATTGTTCCTCGTCTGCTACTATCGGCTGCGAAGGATGACTATTGTCATAAATCAATTTGCTCGGAAACTTTAGAATGGTTGGGAACCTCTTGGACTCACTCGTTGGCTCCGTGAGAGGCGGCTGATGAGGTGGATTGGCCCAAATAATTTGTGATACCCGATAAGAATCGTCCTATTATAAAATATTGAATCGAAGAAGCTTTCAGTTGCACATCCCAACTTAATACCGTTTCTACTAATAGCAAAAAACCCTTACATTCAAAAAGGGTGTTTCTTCCTTTACAAATTTTAGTTTAGATCTGTTTAATTTTAATTTAATGTATTCATCAAAGACTAATATTTCAGGGTCTTGGGATGGTTTCACAAGTCGATCTGTGATGAATTGAGTGAACATCTGTGAATTACACAAATTTGTCAAAAATGCCTGTGTCAAATTTGTTGCTTGTTAGTACATTATTCTTCGCAATCGTACTTTAAGGAGAACTGTTGGCACTCTTACCTTGCTATCTTTATCGCAATGCTTAAGGAACCGTTCTTTTGAGAAGTAAGTATTTCCTTTTTTGTCGGTATAACTAATGGTTTGCTGTTGCTGTAGGTTGGCTTTATTATTCTGCGCAGATGTTGTAGATGACGAAAAGCTATCCAGAAAGGAAGAATTACCGATATTGTTACTGCTAGTATTGCTATTGGGAGCATGACTGACGAATCCTGATCGATAATTGTACAATAATGACGCAAACATACGAATAAATGCGTCCTGCACTTTTTGTTCGTTGAAACAGGCTGGTAAGCAAGGATGCAGAATCTGCTCCGTGCACTTTTTGTGCGTCACCAGATGGCATTCCTGACAAGACATGAAAGCATTTTCTGAGCCTTCCTCTTCTGTCACCTGCTTACCGCAAACACAACGGTACCCTTGAAATGTTATTGCTTCGGATGGTAAAACCTCGGTCATGATATGTCCTTCCATGTGCTTGATTTTTCTCGGGATTGGAGATACTTGATCGTACGTCGTTGAATAATTATCCATACTGATTGATAAACGTGGAATCCCAGGCTGTTCGGAAGAAGAAGAAGAAGAATGTTCCAAATGATGTTGAAAGACGGCTTTTGGTTTTGACATAAGCGTAGACAATTTCATCCTCGTACCCAAGTCACTCGAATGTTCGCTTTTTAAAGAAGGTCGAGCTGTGGATTTGCTATACGAATGTTGTTGCTCCCTATTCATCATCATACTCGGTTTATTACTGCTCATATTATTGACAGAGCTATTATTAGAAGAGGAAGGCATAGCGGTTGTTGCTCTGACTGGGCTGGTGGGCGCGCTTTGTAATGAAGACGTAGAAGAGAATGCGTAGTTACCAATTGAACCGGTGGATAAGATTGCTGAACCTGGGTACTGCGGTATAACCTTGGTATTTTGGGCTGATGCTGCTGCTGATGTTGCTACAGAGGTAGAAATGGATGTTGCCGTGGAAGATTCGTTTGAGCTTCTTGACATGATTGCACTATGGGTATTTCGACTAACGGTGCTTGATGCTGCTGTCCAAGATGTAGAAGGCTTAGATGCGACAGAGGCGGAATGTGACCACATAAAAGATGAGGTGGCAGTCTCAGCACTGTCCATTGAGTCTCTCCTATTGTAGCTGCTGCTATTACTATTTATGCTATTGGAAGTTGGTCGTAAATATTGATGCTGTTGCTGCTGTCGATTTTGTTGTTGATGTGTTGATCTAGCGGCAGGATTCACCATGACCTTACTTGATTTAGATCGAGTACAATTCAACAACATCTTGCCTTTAGGATAGGCACTCTTAATGTGTTCGGGTACACCATAGGGAATCTTATATTTAGTATGTAAAGGAGCGTATTGTTCGAATGCAGACTGTAATTTACGCCTTTGTCTATCGGGGATAGTCATTGCTCTTTGACTTTGATGCATTGAATTGCTGTCCAAATTTACGACACAGGCCTATACAGCAAGAAAATTTAAGTTTACTTATTTCATGTATTCTGTTAGGGAACTGATTATGTCGTTTGAAAAGGAGCCAACTTACATCATCAGGTACATTGTCATCCAAATCTGCCATAGTACCTTCGAAACCAATCATGTAAGGTACAGGTGCTTGTAAACAAGTTAATAGTCGTTCTGGTAGAACTGGAATAAATACAAATTGCCAATAAAGTGGGAATAATAGATAGCGAAAAGATTCGCAGGCAAGTGAAAGCATGCCTGGGTATTGTGAAAGAAATATTACCTTCCCTTCTGCTAGCAGCGTCTTTTATAAGATATAATGATGATATGTTTCGTCAGTCTAATCCCATTAATGGAATATACGTCAAAGGAGTAATAACCTACCTCGATAACGGCAAGGATCAAATGAGGTGACAATGTACGAAATAAAGGATATAAAGAAAACTAAATAATAATCACTCAGTTAGTAAATGCAAAACGTACACATTGATGCAAATGAATGAATCAATCTTACATTCTTCAACATAGGGACTTGGTTAATGGGTGGCCTGGAGAAAAACAAAGGTTTCCCACTGATAGTTATCCCGATTTCAAATCTTCCAGGAGGCGGCAGTGGTACCTCATCAATGAAGTTTGTCACAACATTTTCAATACTGATTGGGACTTGTTGCATATGACGATGGCCCCCAACACCTACCACATTATCCAATAATATCTTTAACCAGTCCCCGTATAAATCGATCCACGGCATTCGACCCAGTAAGCCTACACTTTTAGGCACCCATACATCCTCTGCTGTACAAGCGCCCATCTTGACAGGCTCTAAAAGATCTCTATAGAGCTCGATATTTTCCTGACAGGTACGGATACGCTCTTCAATCAAGTCTCTCTCTTGGCTGCTTTCACTCTGCGATGCACCTATCACCTGTGCAAAGTCCTTTCGAGCTTGTGCTAATTGAATTGTTTCCAGATCAATTCTGCCTCGTAAATGCTGAGCATATTCAATAGTGCTTGCTGGCATATTATGTTTCACCCATTCTTGAATAGCATTGTTGACAGGTTTTTTCAGCTTGTTTGATAACTTTTCATAAAATACAACGCAAGTGCCATAAATAGTAGCACCTGTTTCATCTGTCAGTGTCTTATTTCAAATTGTAATGTTTAGTTCGATTAGTTATCATCTCCCTTGCTAGACAATTTTGCATCATTGATACGTTACAAATGAGTGGCAGCGTTCATGTGGTGGGTATTCTCCATAATACAATTGTAGGTCCCTTGGAAAACAAAACTATGAATGACGGGAAAAGAAGGCACACTCCTCAATATCCAGCGTTTTTTTTTTTTTTTTTTTTTTTTTTTTCTTTTTTCTTCAAGATGTTTTTCTCTTTAAGCTCTTTTGTATTACCATAGCTGCATAAGCAGGAAAAGGTTCGTCTTGTGAATAATTTGTTTGCGGATACCTTGAGAGAACTGTAGGTGTATATTTAAGGTCAAAGATATTGGGTATCATTTCTTTTTGTGATTGCTCATCGTCAAATTTGGCTGTTAAATCGCTAAGTGTTCTCATTGAATATCGTTTCGAGTCTAATCATCATGATGGGAAAGATATTTCAATACATGTCATTTTTTCCTGTTATCCTCCTCCCCTCTCCCAGAGTTGAGGTTGACAGTCAAACTTACATAATTTTGATTCAGAAGGACTTCTCCACCTTCCTTTAATTGCTCCATCCATATAAAAACTTGATTTTCTTTTGCTGTTCGTACTTGAATAAATGCTTGATCGAGTATTGCTGAACTTTTTTTCAGTGAAAGGTGCAATAACATTATCTCTCGCTGTATCTCTTTCTTTGTCGAAATTGTCAATGACAGATTGGACATGATCTAGCACGCCTAATAACGATGGTGGTGTCGCTAACCGGTCCTCGTCCTCGCCATCGCTGCGAAAAAGTATATTTTTTCTGCTTGTGGTAGACAAAGGATGTTGTAAAGAATACGGCTCTTGTTTTTCTTCAACGCTAGCAATCGGTTGGGTTGGCGAAACGACAGAAATGGTTGCTGATCTACATCGGTGAGAGGAGGATTGCTGTCTGATTTTCTTTTCTGTCAAATTATCCTCAGTAGTAGGAGTCATAGTGCTCCCTCCTTTACCACTGTTGCCGCCGTCACTGCTTTTCATGCTAAAGTTATGAATAATATTGTTGACAGCTCCTTCCTGTTGTTGATAATAGGTGATATCGTCTTCGCTGTAGGCGTGGGTTCTTTTTGCATTTTCTAAAGCGGGTATAATATGCAAATCATGAACTCCTGCTACGAAAAAATAATCTGCTATTTTTTGAGGTGCAGGTGCAGGACTATTCGACATGGAAATGATATACAATGATGGAAGGTATAGTCTTTTAAATAAAAAAATAAAGAGAAAAGAAAGGAGAAAGATGTGGAGAAGAAAAAAAAATCGGTTCCATAAAAAGCTTATGCCCACTTGAAGAAAAAAAGAAATTCTAAATGCACGAGAAGAAAGCCATGAAAAAGGCCAAATCAACACTTTGTTGTGAACCCTGCAGTAAGCGTTGACTGTTTCTTTTCTTCAATGCTATCTGTAATATGATCGATTTCTTACGAATTGACTTATGGACTTGATTCCAAACACAGCTATTCTTTTACAACACTGCGTTCCATGAAAATGAAACACAGACGCCAACAAATGCATGAAGAATAATTAATGGTACGCATCCAGAAGTATTACCCATTGAACAGGCAAACCTGAAGATCACACAATTTTTTTCAAAATACAAACTGTGCAGGTACAATAAGGTATGAATTTATGCATTCGTCGAAGGGTGCATAAAAGTCTATATTTAATATGCCTTTTCGTCATTTTGCTGATGCAGGCTCAAGTCGACAGATTTTTTGGTTTTTTTTTTTTTCATCTATCTCTTATTTATCATATACTTGAATAACAATGTGATCATACAAGTTGTTTAACATATGTCTGTACAGGAGAGGGATTGACGAATCAGATCTCAGATCAAATGATTCAATATACACGGAACATATTGTACGTAGAAAAAAAAAAAAAAGGTGTCGATACGCGTAATGCTTTCTCGTTCTGTATATTTTGCCTTTTTTCTTTCTGCTTCAATACTTTGTCTAGAGTCTTTGATAAACATGGCTCTTGAGCTCACTTGTTGTTTATAAAGATATATGTCTTCAGCGTTCTCTGTATATACAGCCGTTACACTTGTTGCTGTACATAAAATCGATGAACTGATACCGTGATCTTCTCTTTCCGTTGACTCATCCGGGAAGAAATAGGTACTTTTTGACGTATTACAATCATGACTGTTGCCTTTGTCATTTTGTTCCGCCCAACGTCTCTGAAAATTATTGTGTGTGCTTAACAGAAAAAGGTCTCCTTTCGTGGATGATTTTTCTGTACAATGCTTCCAACATGCCATAGAGAGAGAGCAGTTTACCGCAAGAGCAACAACAGGTCCAATTTTACTGAATCTCAAGCAATTAAATTAAATCTTTGAAACAACTGATAACTTACCGTATCCTTTGCTTTTGCAGCTTTCATTGAAGGGTAGGCTTGCTTTGTCAGAAAAGCAAAAACGGTTGAAATACGACTTTTCCCGTTGCTCTTGTGGCATTCGCTTCTCAGTTGATCATTGGTTTATTCGTGGACGGCTCAGTGGGGAGGCTTTTTTTTTTGCCGACCTTTGATGGCCCGAAAGGTTAATGCATGGAGAAAAAAAAAAAAAAAAAAAAAAAAAAAAAAAAAAAAAAAAGAGGGGAAGGGGGACGAACGAAATGGATTTGCTTTTTCTCCTTTCAATAAACATCCGCTCTCAAGTTTGCACATAATATATATTAACACGATGTCTCATCATCCTTCATATACATTAGCTGGACTATGCGCTGCAGGGTAATAAGAAGCAATCATAGACTGACATAGCTCTCAAAATGAAACAGAGCCTCATTTCAACAAACTTATTTGTATATCATAGTGGTATTGCAGGCTTTGTGAAGGCCAGGTCTTATCCTTCATTAGCTGCCGGTCTTGGCGTAGGCGCCCTTTATGGTGCTGCTGGCTACTTGATACAACAAAACAAGGATTACGGTCATGAAACCGCTGTGGCCGCATCTGCTATCTTGGGCGGTGCTATGATTCCTCGTGCCCTTAGGTCTAGAAAGCCATTACCAGTGTCACTTTCTCTTATCTCACTGACTGCGGGTACTTTTTATGCGAAGAAAGTATACGATTATCTTTAGATTCAATTCTTGGAAATTACCGAGCTTTTAGAAGAATCGACATCATATACCTTTTTTCTCTTAACGCACAGCGCTTCCTATCCATTTTGCAAAATCACTATTTTAATAAAAAAATGCTGTATGATGATAGTTATGGAAGCAATGTAGTAGCTTCGAATAGCCAGAACTTCAAATGGGGAAAGTGGTTTATTGATGACTAATCACTCACGAGCAGTGAATCGCTGGACAATAAAAAGGGCGTTCTACGTTCGTACTTTTAATTTCCAGAGAACTACACCCAAGAATTAATGACAGCCACAAACGGTACTAAGGCTTCCACAACATCCATGACTTTATCCATAAACTCTGGACTGACTACCTCTTCATCTGTGAACGTCTTTTCCACTGCAAAACTTCTAAACCGTAACAAATCAATCTCAGGATGATCTTTTGCAATATCTTTCGGCGCTACTTTCAATCGATCTGTGGTATCCAAAATATCAACCCCATACTTTCCATCAAATGCTTCCTTTATAACGTCCGTCGACAAAGCTTCTCGTAAGAGATCTGCGTGCCGGATGATACTGGACCGCATATTCGCTAAGCGATACTTATCTGGCTGCCACATACCCGCCGCAATGAGAGATTGATTGTTTGGTTTGATGGACAGAAAGTAGCCTGCGTTCAGAAATTTACGTCCTGTTTGAGAAAAGGAAGCACTCAGGTTGCGCTTGTATGGCGATTTATCATTCGAAAATCGTAAATCTCGATTTTGTCGATATACAGCTTTCTTGGATTCTTCCACTCGAATCGATGGATCCACATGGTGAATCTCGGTAGACAGTAAGCCAACAAAATCCATAAAATCCTTTCTTGCTGCTGCCCACTCTTTCGATCGAAAGTGAAAAAAATCTCGGTCGTTGTTTTCAGCTAGTTCGGCCAAGAAGACAAGTGTATCTGGAGAAATGGCGTCAGGAAAAGGGCTCCCTTTCGGACGAGGTATCGTAAAGCCAAAGGGTTTTATATGGCTTTCGTTGTACATCTCGACTTCACTGCCATCGTCATCGTGCTCATCGTTCCCATTACTACTCTGATCTTCCGCAGCATCATATGTATCTTTGTCTTCTTTTAGATGGATTGGCTTGCTCTTTGCCTTTTTGTTTTTCGATGGTGTCTTTACTCTGTCTTTTTCTTCTTCTTCATCTTCTGTTTTCACCCTTTTTGTTGTTTTTAGAGACGTCTCCTTGTTCTTCTTGAGCATCCTCGCTTTTGCTGAGGTAATAAGCTCGTCTTCGCTCATGAAATCACTATCACTTTCAGCATAGGATACTGAAACGAAAGAGTATCCTTTAGCCCCACACACATGATGCATCGCTCATTTCAAATACAACGTCTAGCTAGCTACCTGCTTTTCTTTTTCGAGTGTCAGACGCCATTTTTTCGATGCTTCAATTACTTATAAAAAAAAAAAAAAAAAAAAAATCAACAGAAGATCTTTTTTTTTTCCAAAATTATGCAATTTTTTATTTTTTAAATGTCAGAAAATCAAAAAGAGTCATCATAAGGTTACATTCTTATAATGAACAAGCGCCAAACCTTGTCCGCGAATGGCAAAGACAGCATTTTCTGGTAATGCATCACGCAAAGTGGTAAAAGCAGGAACTTCCTGATGGATCCATTCATCGTAGAAGCAACTGAATCTGGTTTCCAAGGGCTTGTTTTTGGGATACTCAATGGCAAAAGTAACAGGTTCCTCGTATTCGTTCACATAAGTAATGATGGAAGAAATATTGTCGTGGCGATACTCCATACCCTTCACCCAAATGTGCTCGATAGGATGTTCATTGGCGGCTGGCTCAAAGTGGATGCGGCACATCAAACTGTTCTTGGAAGTGAAGTAACCGGAAGAAACGCAGTTGAGTTCATCACATGTCTTTTGGATGTCAGACAGAACAAACTCATTCAGGGTGCTGTTGCTGCCATACATTGGAAGCAAGTCTGTTTGGTAAGTACAACGCGTCAGATATTTGTTAAAAATAGAGCAGTCAACGCTGTTGAGTTCTTGCGTAGACAAAGATTGCTTCAGAATGGAATATAAACCCGTCGCGGTGGAGATGATGACCGTTGCGAGAGAGTCACCGGCATTGTATTCTTGCTTGAAAATCAATTTGTTAGGTGAATAATCACCGTTGAAAGGTTGAAGCGCGGTACAAATGGTGAACAAAAAGATAAAAGCAACGCCTGTACCAGCAGTCGCTTGACGATGGTTGCCAGCGACGTAGATCCATGGGAGGAGTGGTAAAGCAATGAAAATAATAAGGACACCCATGAGCATGTAAACTGTCGAGGTAAAAAAAAAACGTAAAATTGATTTAGATTTCGACAAACCTATCGTATCATCACTTAGCCTACTACTTACTGGCAATTTCAGGTGTACCGTCAGCGGTCGCATGACGTAAAGCATCCATGATTAAATAGACAAGCTCCAGTAAAAGGATGAAAGGAACTGTCATTTGGATAACAAAGATGATAGCAGAGCGCCACTTGAAGGTTTGGGGCAGAAGAAGATGAGCAAAGAAAGCCAAAGCATTGAAGACAAAGATATGGATGAAAACGTAAAACGTGGCGATTTTGAACGAAGCAGAAATAGCAGCTACCACCACGGATAACCACCAAAGACCGATGTTACCATACCAAATAGCATCCGTCGAAACCAAGTTTTGCTTCATCTTTTGAGGCAGCACGATTTGAGACAACTGAATTCCAAACAAGACGGCAGCAAAGATATAGAGCGCAGCACCGTAGATGTCGCCATAAGTCATCGAGGGGTTGATCTTGACCATCATGAGAGAAGCAATGGCAAGGAACACAAGAGCAAAGATAAAAGCAGCTATGCTGGCTAGAAGACCTTGGACGGTAAGGCAGGCTTTCTCTTTGAGAAGGGATCCCAAGGATTGGTGGCGGGCCTTTTCTTTTCTCATAAACAAAAAGATGGAAACAAGGGGAACAAGCACAAGGGCAAGAGCATGGATGAATTGAGCTGTGGTGAAACTGTAAGCAAACATAACACGTCCCAAAAGATCGTAGTAGTAGTATAATTCTTGCTCATGGCTGGTTTCTAATAGATCGTCACTATTCGCAATATCTTCCATGGCCTTCAATACAATCTGTCCCATGTATTGTACTGAATGGGGACTGGTGTGAGCCAAGTCATCGCGAACGGTATGATAGTGAGAGCGAGGAGAATAGAAAGCAATATCGACGCCAGGAATACCATGGCCTGTGAAAACAGAGAAATCCGTGTCACTAAGTTTTGTAAACATCAGTTATAATACATTCTTGGTAAATCGTGTAGCCCCTTCTCGCGTCGTTACACACGTACCTTTTAAGCAATCTGAATCTAAACATATCATTACCAAGAGGTGAGGCATGTTTTAATGCAGCACTGGAGCGGGCAATCTTTTGGACGGCATTCAGATTAGAGCTTCTGAACATAATGGCTCTGCCACCTGCACCAGCGCCCTCTGTGATTTAGACCATTCAAAAAAGGGAAAAAAAAAAGCTGGGTTAGTTCCATCCCCCTTTTTTTGCACTCGTTTGAAGAGAGTAAGTTTTACCGAGATTGATAAACAATTTAACCGTAGAATACCATGGATGGTTAGCGAAAGCCTTTGCACCGATCAAACCACCTTCTTCAAAATTATTGAACAAGAAAATGATTGTGTTGCGAGGAGGATGATCGATGAAATAGCGAATCAATTCGAGGGCAACCGAAACACCCATACCATTATCAGTCACACCATTGCTGCTGGGAACGCTATCTAACAATTACATAATGAACAAAAATGTTTTTTCACGTCAATACAACACAGTTCTCTAACGTCGTTGTATGCTTTTCATTTCAACATCAAATCGCTTACCGTAGTGAGCATTGACTAGTAGAGCATCTTCTTTAACCGTTTGACCGTGCAAACGAACCATGACATTACGAGAGCGAACAAACCAGTGTTCATCTATCATTTGGGACAAATATTTTTTTTTCAATTTGTTGTGTGAATTATGTGATCTATTTTCAACTTATTGTTTTCCCCATCAATAAAACGTATAAATCAAACACTTTACTAGGAACAAACCAATCTTGTTGAACAGCTATCTCGGTTGTATCATTGCCAACGACGTCCATTGTCAATCCACGTTTCGTCGCTTCTGCTTGGAATCCGTAAGCTACGGAAGCAATAAAATCACGCATCACACCGTTTTCACGGGTATTGGCAGAATGAGGGGCCGTGAAATGTGTCAAATATTCGTTGTATGCGTGGTATCCTGCAAAATCATGTCGATCTCTTGCTTGAGCATCCGATAAAGGTGTAGGTAAGACAGTTCGATAGCCATGAATAAAGTAAGAGAATAAGAGCAACGCTGTCAACGCTATGCCGTACAAACGATACGTTCTTTTATAATCTTTTCTTAAGGTGGAGGTTGAGCTTCCATCTCTGTGCGCAGGTTTCATCAATGGTGTGTGCTCATCTGTTACGCCTGAACCACTCATGATACGTTATCCACTGTTCTTCCTCCTGTCTCTGTTTTGACGAAAGAATCCAAAAGAAACGTGAAAGAGAAAGTTTGAAAAAAAAAAAATCTAAAAATTGCATGTATTATATACTGAATAATGCAATCATTTGAGCTAGTCTGATCAAGCAGCGACCGCCACTATTTGAGTTTCCGACGTAGGAAATGTTTAATTAAAAAAGCCCAGAGTTCACACTTAGTAAGATGGAATGGCTTTTAAACTCTCATAAACTACTTATTCAAAAAATGTATTTGAGGACGAGCAGGAAAAAGTATTTCACAAAACATTGTGACATTTTTAAACTCATATAAGGCAGAATCAATTGAAATAGAGGAAGCGCCCACTACGCAATCTCTTTGAACAGGACTCAATTGACTTGATCCTAATGCACTTTGTTTTGTAAATCACACAATATACTATGCCTCTTTACAACAGAAAACACCGCAGAAAAAAGGACCCACTGTTTGCAAAACATTAATTCTATTCTATAGCAAAAGCAATGGATGAAGCATTCACAGTAACAGTACATGAAACAGGAGGAAATTGAAAACAGCTTTCTGATCTAAAAAAAAACCAAAAACGGCTGAACCATTTTAGCACATCAAAAAGATTTTATTGCTGATCATAGCTAACTAACTTCTATCACATTGAGCAGAATCCGTTTAATCAATTGTTGCCGTTCAAGCTGATTCTCAAATTGCTGTTTACAGAAGTGAATGTGGTTCATTGGCCATAGAGGATATCCTACGCTAAAGTTATCATTTAAACAAAAGAAAAGCCGTTGTAGCTTCCGAACCATCTAATACGAAAGAGACGTCTACACAAATCACATACAATAGCATTTTTGCTTTTCCAGATATCTTTTGCTGGACATGATGTCTGTGCTTTTGAAATCATGAATCTGTTGACAGTCAAAAGCTTTTCTTTACTTGTGGTATTATCTTTATTCCGAAGCGTTTACCATTAGCTATATACTTTCTAGCTTCAACACTCATATGCTCATCAATACAATCAAGGGCATTTGATTGCAGTCGCCACAAACATGCTTTATCAATGCTTTACTGTCTTAGTCTGCATTTCAGTAGATTCAATTATACAACTCAGCTAACAAAGAAAGAACAACTTCACTACGTCTACTGTTTGTTTTTAACGCTTTTCTCCTACTCTTTCTACTAATGCCTCGCTTGCCTTCTACCACTATTGCACTTCTTCAAAACGTTACTCAGAATATTAACTGTATTGTCTAGGGATCTAAAAAGATGAGTCAACGGAGGATTGTCGCCTTGTTTGTTGATAAAATCAATTACGATATATTATTGATATACTTTACAACTGTTCAGCATTATGAATAAACCTATCTTGATGTTTATCTAATGCAGCCGTGGCATTATAAATGTTGTAATATGATAAGCTGTCATTCTTTATTCCTTTTTGCATGCTGCTGAGAGAATTTTTTGATTTTAAGCTGCATTACTTTGCAAAAATTCGACTTTAAACGTTTCGAACAATGTATTTAGCTTTCTGCGATAACGGTTTCCTCTACTCTGATAAACATAAGTGTCACTTTATCATTTGATACGATCTATCTTGAGAAAATTAACGCCAACAGCGCATTTCCAAGTTTTAGAGCTCGTTGATGAAGTAAAACGCAAAAAGGAGCGGAAACAAATAGGGTACTAAGCTTTTCAGTAGAATTAACAACGTTATTTTATGCAACTGTATTTGATGGTGATTTCAGATGACGAAGAAATGAGCCACAAAAATGTCAATAGGCTAATCTCCAAGAATTAAAGGAGCTCATCTCTTTGCTTGAATCTTCTTATCATTCGTATTTCTATAGCAGGTTCGTCTACCGCGCCAAGTACAATGTTGTAAATTAGTTACTTGTACAAAATTTGCTTTAACCCCACAAATGGAAAGCGTGCTATCTAATAAAGGAAATCAGATGAACCGTCTGGGTTTGATGAAAACCATCAGCTCCCAACTTGATTCTCACTGTGTAATCTGCTCTTCTCTTTCCTCTTCGCGCAAGTTCATTTACAAACTTTTATTCGAAATGAGTCAAAAGCAATCGACAGACGTCATTGCTTCTGGAGCCAACTTAATTGCGAGAAGCTTAAAAAACCAAGGCGTCAAGGTTGTCTTTGGTATTGTTGGTATTCCAGTCGTGGAAGTAGCTGAAGCTTGTGTTTCTTCCGGCATACAATTCATCGGCTTTCGCAACGAACAGTCAGCCGCTTATGCTGCTTCTGCCTATGGCTACTTAAGTGGTCGTCCAGGCGTTTGCCTCACTGTAGGGGGCCCAGGAGTTATTCATGCTTTAGCAGGCGTTTTTAACTCAAAGTTGAATTGTTGGCCTTTAATCCTTCTTTCTGGTTCTAGCGAGACAGATCAAGTAGATAAGGGTGCCTTTCAAGAATTGGACCAAGTAGAGGCGACTCGGCCTTACTGTAAATACAGCGCTCGGCCTGCTTCTTTAGAACAGCTTCCTCTGGTAATGGAAAAAGCCTTCCGAACAGCCATGTATGGACGACCAGGCGCTTGTTATGTCGATTTACCAGCTGATTTTATCCAATATCCTATTCGAAATAAACAACTGTATCACAGTTTACTGGACGATGTCAAACAAGTACCAGATGCACCCCAATCTTTGGCAAGCCCTTCAAATATCGAAAAAGCGGTGAAATTACTTAAAAGTGCAAAGAATCCATTGATCGTCATTGGAAAGGGGTAAACTAAAACGACAATGAAGATGTAAAAATGGCTCTCTGCAAGATTCTTATTCTTATTCTGTTACAAAATTTATCACAATCCTTAGTGCAGCATATGCTCGAGCTGAGACAGAAATACGTAAACTCATTGATGAAACCCAAGTACCTTTCCTTCCTACACCCATGGGGAAGGGGGTAGTTTCCGATCACCATCCATTGTGTGTTGCAGCAGCTCGATCGAAAGCATTAAAGGAAGCCGATATAGTACTACTTATCGGTGCTCGTCTAAATTGGATATTACATTATGGTCACCCTCCCCGTTGGAACAAGCATGTTCGCTTCATTCAAATTGATATTGCAGCTGAGGAAATTGGCAATAATGTACAGGATACACTTCCTCTCGTTGGCGATATCCAGTCGGTTGTAACACAATTGACATCCGCATTAGAACATCAACCGCTACCTTCCATCAGCTCAACCTACTTATCAAGCTTAAAGAACAAAGTAAAGCAAAACGTCGAAAAGCTCAAGCTAATGGGTGAAAAGGGAACGGATACTAGCGTCCTTAATTATCAAACAGCTTTCACAACGATCAAGAATATCCTTCCGGAGGATGGCATTGTTTATATTGGAGAGGGCGCTAATACAATGGATATTGGTCGGTCCTACTTTGATGTGAGCCAACCTCGCCATCGTCTGGATGCAGGCACCGGTGCGACGATGGGGGTGGGTATGGGCTATGCGATTGGCGCTCAAGCCTACTATGGCCTTGACAATAAACGTGTGGTGAGTATTGTAGGGGATTCTGCATTTGGCTTTTCAGCAATGGAATTGGAAACAGCTGTACGTTCAAACCTACCCCTTCTTATTATTGTGATCAATAATAATGGTATTTATCATGGTCTGGAGCCCAGTGAATATGAGTCATCTTTAAAGAAGGGTGACTTACCAACAACAGCATTAACCCCAGAGACACGTTATGATATGATCTCAGAAGCGTGCGGTGGTAAAGGTTGGTTGGTTAAGAATAAGGCTGAGCTTTCAAAGGCTTTACGAGAGGCTTTGATTCAGGAAAAAGATAAAACGTGTGTTATTAATGTTATGATTGCTCCAGGTGGAAGGCAAACTCTAAAATTCAACTGGATGCAAAAGAGTGAAAAAGCTAAACTGTAGATACCGTTATTGATTATGAAAGAGAATAAAAATCTGTTTTTGTATGAGGTACTATTCTTACAGGATTTCCAGCAGTTATGCAGTTGTTTATTTTTTATTTCTTTGAGGATAAGCATAAGCCGTCCCTTTCATCAATATGTAAACTTAAACGGCACACAATGAGCACATAAGCGGCTTGACTATTCTTATTGACTTTGAGCAGCTAACCAGTCAAGTATATGTAATCTTTAAAACATGCTCAGAACGTAGTCGCTGCTTGAAACAATAGCCACACTGATCATCGATGAGAAAGTCTGTGGACAGCTGAAGGTTGAAACGACCCTAATAGAATCTGTCGTAACCACTTGATAATAACATTGAGACTGGTTACTTCTGTAGCCATGATTGTTTAAACAAAAAAAAAAATCCAATGCATAGTAGAAAAAGGAAGCTGGTATAAATGAGCGAACAGCTTATTATTATAGCCCTTAATGAAATGAGTACGGAACAATTGTAGGGATGAAAATAGAAGCTGTTTTGCAATTAAGGGCAAAGCATCGGCTCTCTTTACTTCAACTTGTTGATGATAATGCAACCATACAGTTTAAGTGATGCATAGCAAACTTTTAAAAACCTTTCCTGAGCTTACGATGAAGAAAGCAAAGCCATATAACTACCTTAAAAAGATGTGCGCTTTAGGTTTTAAAAATTAGAAAAGTTAGCAAAGGTGCATGATTTTAAAACAGCTTGGAATCAGGAAATGTGCGTACCTGAGAATGGCTTGTTTATAAAGGTATGGATCTCGAAAAGCAAGGTGTTTCATTGGACGAAGCAGGAATTAACCTACATATTCCTAGGAATCGTGGTTGATCCTACCAGGATATATAACCTTTTGGATGTCATTTCCGCTGAGGAAATCAACTATTGCTATCAAGTTAAAGAAGAGAAGAACAGAGGAAGATTATCAAGGCAATCGCAAGACTGGATTCCCAGACAGAGAAACAATTATATCATCCAAATAATGTGTGGGTTCATTAGAAAAAAAAGCTTGAATAGATATAACTTTGTAGTAGAAAATGCATCAATTCATAAGCCTGTAACTGTTAGGAAAAGTATAGAGACAAGAAGCTACATATGTGCATATCTACTTCATACTCATCCTTTCTGAAGCCTGTTTGGAACGTCTGTCAAGATGGAATTTGCAGACAGACAATTGCCTATTGATACAGGCAGCAGTCTCACTCCAAGTATAATGAGGGCTCTTAAAACGGTTATTTTGAATGTTTGAAAATGTTGGATAACCGATGTTTTTTTGTTTTTTTTGTATACATTCAGTGCAAAACCGATGTGATCATTTTCTTTACCAAATTGCTTGGTTAAAGGCTAAAGGCACTACAGCAAACTCTGCAATAATAAACTCAGATAGGCTAAAAATTGCCCAAAGAACCAGTGTTTAAAAAAAAAATAAAAAAAATAAAAAAAAAACCGACAAAAATACACAACGAAGACTCCGTACTGGTTTTTCTACTCATTATTCTTACTTTACTTTGTAGTAGCCTAATCATAATATGTCGCGTGGAGGTAGAGGAGGTTTTGGTCGTGGAGGCGGTCGTGGGGGTGGCGGCCAACAAAGTGGTGCTATGCAGCTCGTCTCGTTCGATATGTTGAAGGATCTAGGAAGTATTTTTAACCATAACACAGCTTTGTTTCCTGTAAGTGCTCCGTCTCCTTTTCAGTATCATACTCTCGATAATTATTATAGCAAGATCTTCTAAATGTGCAACACTCTAGGAAATTGATGTACCAATTCCTCGCAAACCAACTTCAAATGAGGCTCATGAGTGGAAACTGAAAAAAGAATATTTAAAGATGATCAAAGATTCACCATACTATTTAACGCCACCACCACCGCCACAGGATATTGAACGGTATTCAGATAGATACAAAGTTCAAACAGTCAAACGAAGCTTAAGAGAAATTGAGACAAGTAAAATTCTATAGCAATTGACACTTACAGATCTAACGATCGCACTGACTTTTTTTTTACTACCGACAATAATCAGATCTCGACTTTTTCCCTGATGAATTACAGACAATTATAGATCCTAAGCGAAAGAAAAGTGAGTTTATCATTTCGTTCGATTGCTTGAATTTGAAGAACTAACCAAATCAAATTTCGATATATAGAAAAACAAACAACGACAGCAGCGGATGATCTTAGTCAACTAGAAGCAGTATTGATGAATGCCGAAGATAAGGAAGGAGAGGAAAATGAAGAAGAGACAGAGAAGAAAGAAGATGAAGAAGAGGAAGGCGAAGAAGAATATGAAGACGAAGAGGATTTGATTGGTGACAACGATTATGCCGAAACCTACTTTGATAACGGCGAAGGTGATGATGATGATGACGGCGGAGACGAGGACGCTTATTAAGAAAAGCCGTTACTTGATACTATTTATATCAGTTAATGCAACGCATCTGTATAATAAAAGCCTTGATTAGTTCAAAAATCAATATTACATACTACTTTAAATGAACAAAATGACAAAAGGTCAGTATTTTTATTTTATGAATTGGCTATTACGATGTATGGTTATTGTAGTTTTAGCGAGTCTGGTAAGGACCGCCACGAGGGGGACCGGACATGTGAGAACCCATCATAGGAGGGCCACTCATAGGAGGACCGCTCATAGGAGGGCCACTCATAGGAGGACCGCTCATAGGAGGGCCACTCATAGGAGGACCGCTCATAGGAGGACCACCCATGGCAGGAGTGTTCATTGAAGGACCATTATGCATCGAAGATGCTGGACCCGACATGGGTGGACCTTGATGCTGTTGAGGTGGAGGACCACGACTCATAGGTGGTGGGGGGACCGCATTTTTAGGGGGTGGAGGGATGTTTTGTCTTTGTGGAGGCATTGCATTTCTAGGTGGAGGTGGTAATACATTTTGTTGTTGCATCATCATTGATGGCGGTTGCTGATTGACAAAAGAAGAGGGTGCAGGTTGATTAGGGAAAGGCGAAGTAACACGCTTGGCTGGTGTGGAAGCCATAGTAGGGCTCTTCAATTTCTTAGAAGCAGCTGATGCCAAAGCCATAGGTGGATCGTTCCAAGCGCCTTCAGCCTTTTTGGGTGGTGGTGGAAGGGGTTGTTGAGAGGAAGCGGCACCGGCAATAGGTGGAGGGGCAGGAATGCTTGGGCGGGGCTGGTAAGCATTAGTAGGTGCAGTCGTGTTTGTAGAAGCATTTAATGGTTGGGGTGAATAAGGTGTGGTGGACGCAGCTGTGGGCATGTATGTATTTGTTGGTGCATAAGGACTAGATAAAGATGCGTAGTTATTTGAAGCTACGGGTGAGCGTACAGGAGCATAGTTAGATTGCTGAGTGGTTGTACTGGAAACAGCAGGTTGGTAGGGCTGGTACGCATTTTGCTGATAAGGTTGAGGGACAGGCTTTGTATAGATATTTTGCTGAGCAGTGGTATCTGCTACAGGCTGATAAGGTTGATAAGCAGTTTGTTGATAAGTATCGTTTTGCTGATAGGTTTGTTTTTGAGGTTGTGAATAATCTTGAGCAGCTTGTGTAGCATCATAGTTAGAATGGGTTGATCCGATATCCTTATTTTCAAAAGGCATAGATGGCTGAGCAAATTGGCTAGCAATGCTGGCGGTGCAAGCTTCATAAACTCTATGACGAATGATTGATAATCTGTCGAAAGTTGCTTTGCGATATACCATAGGTGTTAAGTTCAAATAAGTCAAAGCCGCAGTTAGCTTGCCTTGGGACGCCAAGAGCTCAGCATATTCACAGTACTTGTCATAAAGGGGAGAAAGAGGGTACTCGTACGACATCTTAGTTGTAGAGGTTTCAAAAAGATCGGGGTCTTCAAAGCCAATTGCTTTACGAAAAATGGTAACCTTTTCAATCAAATCTTGAAGAGTTGACGCCTTAGCTGATTTACATTCCACCTTTTGTGCTTCCTCTTCTTGCTCTGCAATCCATGTACGTGCTACTTTTTCAAGGTTCCCAGCAGCAAGATAACATAAGGTAGCATGACGACGGTAATCCTTAGCTTTATCACCTACGTTATTACTGTAAGCTTCTTCCAAACGAGCGCCTAAAGCCTCACAGAGAGGTCTAAAGTCTTCAGTTTTAGCGAAAGTACATAATACGACAATAGCAGAGGTCCATTCCTCCAATGCAACAGTAGCTACGATAGAATTCAGGTCTTCGTCAATAATTCTATCCAACAGACGTAAGTAGGAAACTGTCTTCGATTGGTGTTCAAAATAAGCACGTTGAGTACGAGCCAAAAGATCGCCGCCGCCGCAGATACCAAACAGGAGGGCATCAGAGAACCGTTCGTTTGCGAGACAAACGTTAACAGCAGATTCAAAATCACCCAAGATAACGGCACGTGTTATCAACCGGTCAACGTCAGAACTGTTTTCAGAATATAATTGAAGCGGTTCACGACTAACAGCGGCAGCGATAACAGCAGCGGGCGTTCCTTCATTTTGAGGTTGTTCTTCAACAGGCACTGCTGAATCATCTGTTTTGATAATAAATTCATCACCTGCATCATCTCCAAATAAGTTGGATGTGGAATTATCAGCTTCTTCCGTTTCTTCTTCGGGTTTGTCAACATCAGCTTCCTCTTTATCTGGAGCTCCAGATGTTTCCTCAGCTTCAATTTCTTCTTTGCCCTCATCTTTTACTTCCTCAGGCTTACTATCTTCATCTATTGCTGATTCCTCGTTCCTACCAGCAGTAGCTTTCGCAACAGCAGCAACGATTTCTGATTTTTGAAAACCAAGATAATTCATCAATTGCTCCCTAGCATTCTCGGCTAATAAAGTTTTGATGACTTCCCAACTCTCTTTGTCGTCCTTCTCTTTTGCTTGTTGAACACGTTCTTCGATCAATTGTTCAATGCTTTGTTGTTCTAAAGCGATCTCGAGTTCATCAGAGCGCTTGACAGTTTCTTTATCAGTGACAACGGAATTGATGTGAACACTGCGTTTGACAGGTTGTGGTGCTGCAGGTTGACCAGGCTGACCTTTGGTATTAACTTGTGCAGATGCTTGAGTCTTGTTGTTAAAGGAAACAAGTTTACCACCAAAGCCAAATGAAGCACCGACAGGACAGCGAAGCCACTTAGGAGGATGTCTCAAAGCAAAGCTAGAAGCAGTGGCAGATGCAGCAGCGTTCATAGCAGCAGTGAAAGGATCACTATCAACAGCAGCAGCGTCAGTGCTACCGACTTTCGAGGAGTCTTCAGATTCTGTGTTTTGAAGTGAATAAAGGCTAATCTTTCCATCAAACGACGCAGTTGCCAAAAGGTCTGGATTTCGAGGGCACCATTCAGCTTGGAACGTCCAATTTGTATCTTGAGCCAAATCGCCAAGGAGTTCACCACTGTTAGGGTTCCAAATAAGCGTCTTGCAATCTTTGCCACAAGACATCAGAAGATCAGAGTCTTGACGACACCACGATACATCAAGAACGCCTTTAGTATGACCAGCGAGTGTTTTCTCAGGAGAATGACCATGACGTAAATCCCAGAGTGTTACTACTGGATTAGAATCGTCTTCGGAAGCAGTGACAAGTTGCGTAGCAACATCAGGGTGCCAAACAACGGATGAAATACTTCTTTGTCCAGAGGCAAAGCCTCCTAAGTTTGGTGCCGTAAGTGTCATAACTTCTTTACGGTTACGAAGATCCCATACGACAGTATGACCAGTCGATGAAGTGGTAGCTAAAATGTGCTGAACCTGACCGTTCCATGCAACGCTTGTGATATCATCCATTTTTTGTGATTTAGGCCCAGGGGTGTAGGGCTTTTCGGGTTTCGAGATATCCCAAATATAAATTTCGTTGTTGCTGCCAGCCGAAGCTAACAAATTCAGTTGAAACTTGTTAAAGTCAAGGCCGCGAATTTGGCCGGTATGCGTGTTGTTTGATAGAATTTTCGCGTCTTCATCGTTTTTTCCATCTAGCATCTTGCTGGGATCCCACAACGTAAGTTCACCGTTTTCGAGACCACCGACAATGACGCCATGTGGTCGAGCTTCAGAAACGTTACCCCATGCTAATTTGTTGAATCTAATGTCATTGTGAAGCAAATAGATGAATAAGAAGCAAAAAGCATAGTAGGATGAGTAAGTATATACCTAGCGTTACTAGAAATCTTGCCAGCAGAAACGAGACCGTTCGAAGATGAAGCGGTCAAATCGAGCTTGAAAAGTTCGAGCTCGGACGTGTTGGAGAAAGAGTCATCTAAAGCACCAGCAGCTGTGCCTGCAGCAATGAGAGGAGTTTGTTGACCAGGACTCCACGCAAACACAGAAGTCCTGTTTATTTCACTTAGTCTCTTCACCATTTGTCTTGTGGAAAACAGTTCCAAAATTCGTATGACCAGATGAGAGTTGAACGAAACGTAACCGAAACGTAACGGAGCCAAAAGTAATGGCTCGCTTTGAGAGAAGCCCATCAATCGGCCAATCAAATTCGACTCATTAAACCCGCACTTGGGTCATCAAGCTGAGATTGATAGGAATAGTAGACATGAGGCAGTGTGTATTGCAGTATAGAATATTTCCATTAACAAAAGCGAACATACCTCAGACACATGGCTAAGGGTAATTACAACGCTGAAGAATATTTTTTACGTCCTAATAATTCATAACAGAGAATCGAACTTCCGACATATACATTCACTGTGCCTTTTACAATCAGTTGAAGACCAGTAAGAGCAGACTTTTAAGCAAATGCCTTCATAAAGTGGATCAGTCCGCTCTTACTATCCCAACTAACCCTCTAACTTACCTTATTTTAATGAATTTGGGTACATTCTGGTTAATGATAACATAAAATCATTCCACCTGTTGCTTGGTATCGCGAGCAACTACATTTTTAGAGGTTGTATCATTGAGTACTCTACCTTTCTTCTCGCAATATGGTCAGTATTAATAGTCGGAAATAATTAATTACAATGATAATTGCGTCCTTTTACTCCAGAAAAAATCCCCCTCCATCTTGAGCGTATGCTTTTCTATCAACCAACAAAGTTAAATATTGTCTTTCGACAATTATATCCCTTCGTACTGACAATATTCATTAGCCGAAATGTACTAACATCCGTACTTTCTATTAAGGGAGCGTCATTGTTTTGCTTCTCGTCTCCTCAAATAACACCACCTGTAAGTAGTGTATGGACTACGTGATTTTATCATCACCCGCTTGCATATATTTACAGTTAGCGCCAGGTTCCTGAAACGCTGAAGCGAGATTTCTTCCTTTTAATAAAAGAATGTAAAAACCACTATGCAGCTAAGCACAATCACAATATAACCTTACAAGTGAACCTTTCTTGGAGCCAAGGTATTATCCGTCAAATATTGAACTCGTACTTTGCTTTATTTTGTCGTGCATTTGCGCTGAGAGTTTCTTATTATCAGTTTGTTTTATCTCTGCCCAGTTTATATCAGTTCCGTTAGTAATTGGATTAAATATGACGTGGCGATATAACGAAGTGTACCAGCAGCTCGCTAGAAGTAGGAAAAAGCATAAGTAACTTTGGTCAATGCAGTAAAAGTGTCTAAACTGATCACAGTGTTCGATTTGATTGGCTCTAGCTCCGATAAACATAATTTTCGGCCCAAGGAGGAAGCATGTAATTCCCAACGTTGGAATTGCCTTTTTTCAAGTATTCGTCTAAGGCTTACGCAACGACAGCAGTTCATGCCCAAGTATATCACGAGAACTTTTATTCAATTTGAAGATAGAGCCACATATACGAGGTGCAATGCCGATTTCATAGTAGATTTTGCACATCTAGATTAAATGCGCCGATTCTGAACGATTTGTCTTTGCTTGTTGTAGACGTCTAATTGAGCTCATTACAACCACATTAAAGAAAAAGGCTGAGCTCCTAAAAACTGAGACAGTAGTTCAGTTGGGTGAAGGATTTCAATATGTTACAGCTCCCTGGGCGCTTGTATTTATGAAACATGATAATCAAGTGTATAATGAACTCCTGAATAGGAACGTGAAAGAAGGTTATCATCCAAAAGAGCGAACATGGCTTGATTCAATCCGCGTTTGGTAATCATTCGAAAGGAAGTCTTATCAAGAATAAATCATTTCACAATATTAATAGATTATATATTATGTATATAGCAAGGTAGAAACTTTCCACCAAATACGAGCTATCCTAACTGCATTGCATATCAAACCAGGCCCTGAATTAACAAAAAATAGTTTGACAGCAACAGCATCAACGATGGGTGCGGCAGCTAATTCAAATAAAACGCTGCTTGAATCAAGCATACTTCATTGGAAGCAGAATGAGAAATATGGACAGCCTCCAAGTTGCATTTTCGTCATTGATTTATTGGATATTTTAGTGAGCAACAGCAAAGTGATAAATGACAATGAATCTTTGAAGTATTTAAGCTTGAAGTAAGTGTTGAACATACACACTATGGAAAGGGTAATATAAAACTGATCGCTGTGTGTGTAACGTAACAAAAAAAAAAAAAAAGCAACGTAGAACTAGGACACGCTCTTGCAACACTTGTGGAAACTTGCGTCTTCGAGACCACGATTGGTGAGAAAGCTTGGGAGGCGCAACTAGGAGGTGTCACGATGAATCACTCGACAGATCTTTACATTACTGACATTGGGGTGTTGCCCCCAATGCGTGAAGATGCTCTGCCTTACGAGAAGGAAGTGGTTTCAAGATTGCACAATATTTTAGCCTACTATCTTGACCATCTTCGCATGGCTTCCGAGGCTTCTTAGCTTCAGCAATTCGGATCGGTCATTGAAATTTAGTAAACTACTTAACTACACCATTTACAGTTTTTAGCTTCGGTTTAGAGAAAACTGCGATATAACTGGACGGAACGAACCAGGTTTCCGAAAACGATTAAGGTGGAGTCTGAAGACCGAACTATACTAAAATGAAGACGTCTACCTAAATTCGAGCTGGTTCCGTTCTGACGCTAATAGGAAAAGGGACCAAGGATGCTTGTCTTTCTAAATCGAAATGCTGATAGCCATCATCTTTTTTGCTGCATTGACAACGCGGTTCTATAATATCTTACAAGTTTTGCTAAGAAGGATATTTCAGGCACGGACGGCGTCTAATGCTTCTACTGTGTCTGAGACCAATGGATTCTTTATAATCTGATTCTTATACTTTTCTTTAATGTATCTAATCTTCTGTTTAATAAAACTTTTGTACAGGAATAGGGCCAAGAGTTGCAAAGAATGCAAAATACGAAAAAGAGAGGACCTTTTCCCCGTTTAAAAGAACCTTTTCAGTATAATAAGCGAGGAAGTGTTGCTGAAAGACACGTCTTAAGCATTGTAAATCACATTTTTTCGGTTTAGAAATCTGCCTATTTTGTCTAAAAAATCTGGTCCAAAGAAAATCAGGAGTTTGGTCTAAATCTTATCAAAGAAAAAGTTTATTTGTGGGAAGTCAAAAATTTTTCTTTGACACAAGGGCATACTTTATTTGTAGCTCCCCATAAATCTGAAGTTTTTCTGTTGGTATATAAGAAAGATGAAAGCAAGTCTTTCTTCTTTCCCTTTTTCTTACTAATAATATACCCCCTGTAAATAGCCTATTTATTATACTAACAAATACATATTCAAAATGTCCTCAATATCTAACAACAAAGATCTCATCAATTTAGAATCCTTAGATGATTGGCTCGAAAATGACCTTCGTCAATCCGGTATTATCTTGCCCTCTACTACTACTCCTTGCGATCAGAATATCAAGCCGATGCCGTTGCCTTCTCCGCAATCCAAACCCATGACACCGGCCGAGGTTTTGATGGCTTCTCCTCCTATTTCTGAATGTACACCTAATATGGGTCCTGTGCTTGATCTGATAACGTCGCCTTCTCTTAATTTTGAACCTTTGTCTCCTTTGGAGGCATCGAACGCCGGATCTTCTGTAGACACCACAGCCAAACCTTCTGTTATCGATTTGCATCCATTTATCAAAGCCCTCACATTATTAGGAACAATGCAAAACCTAAAAAATAGCAACAGTCTTAACAATCAAGATACCATCAATAGCGCAATCAATAATCACATCATCAGCAACAACATTAATATTCAACAAAGCATCGCTACGTCTACGGCAGCCATTGACACAACTACATCCGCCACTGTAAGTGAAGAGACTGCCATCAATAGTAAAAAAAAACGTGAGAGAGACGAAACATTACCAGATCAGCAAACAGCTCAACAAGATCTAATTGCATTAAAACGCCAAAGAAATACCGATGCAGCCAGAAGATCACGTTTACGTAAAGCTCTAAAGATGGAATCATTGGAAAAAAGAGTTATGGATTTAGAAGCAGAAAACGAACAGTTAAAATTACGTGCTGCAGTTGCTGAAAGCGAGCGCGCCAATATTGAAGCTAAAGAAAAGAGCAGCAGAGTACGAATTTTGGAATTAGAAAGACAGCTCACAACAACCTATAAAGCCTTAGTTCAATACACAACTGCCAAGGCGTAGTCTTCAGTTCCTTCTCGCACTTCATTCTACTTTTTTCTTTTTCAATATAGATATTGTTGTAACTATGTGTTTACTTATCCATATACTGGTCTCTTCTCTTTATCAAAACCCCACAAAAATTACTCAAATCGATAAAACCTTTCCTGAAAACCTTCAAGTAGGTCGAGTAAATTTAAACAAAACTCGACCTTCTTAAAAAACCCTTTCGTTTTTGGAAGAGTGTTGTACCAATTCGCTTCTAAATATTGTCGAGAAAAGTTTTCCTTTTTTCATGGCTTATATTTGTATAGATTTGGTCTTCTACTCGCGCTCTCTCATGGTCAGGTTCTTATTAACTTTTTTTTTCTCGATTTGTATTCTATATAATCTAGGGTTCCTATCTCCAACGTATCTCTTCTGTCACTTTTCATATCAAGGTAATGTACGTAAAAGGCGGTAATTGAAACTATATACATAATTCGGTTATGTTTGTATTAGTTATATCGAATCGAATAAAACACAATTCTTTGTTGAATCAATCTGTTAGACCATTTCGTTTGATGCTTTTTCTTTCTGTCTTCAAATGCCTTTGTTGAAGACAGCTTTTAACCGTGAAAAAAGGGATACAAAGAAAAAATGGAGGAGCATCATCATGTATTTTTGGCCACGACGGCCTTTCTTAGAACAACATAGCATTGCTCGTCTGTTGCTTAGTATAAATTAAACAGCAAGTTATCCTAAAATAACACACATTTGTCCTTTTATGGTATTATGGTTCGCCTACATTCCCGTCATCTGCTGGGCTTTCCTCATGGATTCATACGCATTGTTAGCAGCTGTTCTAGGCGACTTGGTACAGATTACACTAATAGCGTTTAAGCCTAAGAAAGGCTTTTCACCCTACGAGCTTTTAAGTAGTGCAGTTTAACAGAGTGTTCTCAACCCAGACATCACGAACACCTTCCCGATCCAACCCCAAAAAACAAGCAAAGAAGCATGGTTTTTCAGACAATTTCAATATCGTTTGACGCAAATGCCTTCTCGTAGGATGCAGAATATGCTCAAATGATTCAAGAGTGTTCATTGTCATCCTATTAACTCCTTTTGACCGTTTACGTTGTCACTTTTCGTAAATTCGGCATCTTATCCTTATCAATCGACAAGATAGAAGATGCCAAGGCGGTGATAAAAATTGAGAAACTGATAATCTTCCACAACATGATTGGTCTTGTCTCTAGTAAACAGTCGTCGTTGATAAGAGACAGGTTCAAAAATTACCTTTCCATGACGGGAAAGAGTAGAAAAAACCAAAGGAAAAGCGAGGATGGTTGTTATGGTGGTAAGGAAGGGGGGTTGTTTTTTTTTGCGCCTATATTGTTTAATTACTTTAGAGTAACAGTAACCACTGGAAAGTTCTCTTTCATCTTTTGTCCAAAGGTGACGGAGCCTGAAACAGCTTTGGGTATTAGAGAAATACTGGTTCTTAAAAAAATCTGCAACTAAACATTTGCTAGTCAGGAACAATCGTTCTTCGTCTATTTAATTAGCTATTGACATATTTCTTGGCTCCTTGTAGTGATTAGCATTTTACAGCAAAAAGTCCAAAACAATCGCAATAAGCAACACATATAAAAAAGGTTTACAATTTAGCCAAAAGAGATACATCTAGCCTGTTGCCGTATTGTGGAGCCTGAAGTGTTGTTCAGTAATTTTACACGTAATAAGGGGCAAATGTCATCTGATTTTTTGATCTTCCGTTGAAGCTTAAAATCACGTTCTGTCTTTACATTTTGACATTTTCAGCTGTCGCAAAATGCTGATAAGAATTGCACACGATAAAGATATTGCTTGTTTAACAAGACTTACCAGCGAACATTTTACTGCAAACAAACTGATTAATCAATTCCACGGCAATCGAGTTATTGACAAGTGATGAATGAAATGTTTAATTAAATTACAATGTGCAGCGTGGAAAGAGGTTATGAGATCAACTCATGAGATTTATCATTTTACAATAGAGGGGGAAAGGAATGAAAGTGTATTTCCTGCGATGGAAACACTATGGAAAGATGGCAATAACAGTGGATGCAAAAAGGTATATCAGACAATTTAGTAAACATACCAATCGACTTTAAGAATGCCTTTGTCATAGGCACCAATTTTACCGAAAGCAGCGGGGGAGAGATCGATATGGGTTTTGGCACAACTTTCGCAGGCGTCTTTGACAGTAACTGTAACGCTCTTCCCATTGTCTTTGTTAACAACCTTGACCTTTCTGCCACAGTAAGAACTCTTCTTGCTATAAGAACCGTAGAGTTTGCCACTCTGTACGATGATAAAAGTGGTTTCCGTTAATTTTCAGTTTCTACTATCGTTTACATGTTAAATAAAAACTTACGAGAGCAGCAATTAAATCATCGTTGTCATTCCAATCGCCACAAGCGCCCTGGTTGGGAGTGAAGAAAGTGGCTTCACCGCTATAATGTTCTTTGGCCCCAGAAGTTGACGAGTTGCTCTTCTTAGTTGTGGTTTTCTTCTTTGTAGTGGTCTTCTTTTTTGAAGTTGTCTTCTTCTTAGTAGTTTTTTTGGCTGCTGATATATTATTGCAAGAAATTGACTTAATGTAGCGAACAGGAACATATATTTGCGAGTTTCCATTGGAGCCGTAGCTATCAGGTTTATTGTACCAGGAAGCGGTAACAGTGCAATCATTTCCAGAATGATGTGCACCCTTGGCATCTTCCAAGGAATAATTCTTCTTTGCTTTGATCTTAAGGGTTGTAGAGACATCGTTGTGGTTGCTGGAAGTAGTAGGCTTACAACTTTCATTACCTACATCCATCTTTCCACGAATTCTGATATGGTCGTTAGATATTCTGACCTCTGCTTTTTCAATCGATAGCTTGCATGAAGTTTTGGCCTGAACATTAGTGAGCATGGCCAAAAGAGCAAGGACAATACAAGAATGCAGAAATTTCATTTTTTTAAAAATGGTTGAAAAGATGAAGAGAGGTTTAAGCAAGGAATTGAGTAATTCAACCGAAAAAAGAAAGTAATGAAAGCGTAAGTTTACAATTGAAGCATCCGAACATTTACATGGTCCCTTTATATATCTCTCGTTGATGTTGTCCACCAATATATTACACAACGTATATTTGCTGGTTTCCCCGCGCTGAAATCAAAGTCCTTACCTGCAGCAACGCTCAAAGCATCGTTACACCTCATAAAACATGAGCGCACAACTCTGTTTGTGTCGCAGCTCTAACAATGTTACATTCAGTAAAACAAGGGCTCTTTCGCCCCAGGTGAGATGGCGAAGGGGACCCGCAATTTTTCAAAAAAAAAAGGGGGTGGGGGAGCTTTCGAGTTTTGGAAGATTTGGAAATTGAAGGGTTTGTGTGTATTGCTTCGTATGCGCGGTATAAAGTGGACAACGGACTAGACGTACGACCAAAGTTGACAAATTTACAGTAGCTTCAGATATGAAAAGGCATTGCTACAAGTGCGTAAAATGACTGTTCCTCTAAGAAACATCATGAAGATAGGGATCCTTTCTACCTACATTACAAGCAAATACTACATTAGAAGCAAATGTACTTATGTTTGTAAATTTTTTTGCAAATGAATTGAAGCTGCCATGTATATCTTCTTCAACTTTTTGGCGACTTCATTCATGGAAATAATCGTTAGAGGCGGCACTATTGAAGAATTTAGTAATTCTGAAAAAACTCACAATAATACATGCAGTTCCAAATTTACTTCTAGTTTCTGCTGTTACACAGTGATGATATAAAAAAGCATATATTTAACAACATTCGATCCCCAAATGCAGCAATACACTACAACTGCTTTGATATGTAGTGCGGACGAGGTTAGTAGCTTTTTTTTTGTTGAAATCGCGCAAAGTGCCACAAATGGCTTATCCGTTAAAAGACATATGAGTAATGCATATTTTAGATTGGCGGGAGAGCTGTCGTATTGGAAGAATAGTTCTTTGCTGATAAACAAAAGCAATTGTTTAACCTAAAGCTTGCGATGACCATGTATTTACATGAACCATTTATTGTTGCACTTAAGGATACAATGCTCTTAGGGAAGGCATCCGGACGGGGCACCGCCGAGTTTCTCAGTATAATGCATGCTAAAAGTCGACAGTAACAGTCCGTCCGCCGGCTTACTATAAAGTACAGATGTGCTACAATACCCTCGTCAATACTCATCTCGCTCATAATTGTCAGTAAACCCCACTGTGGCTTTTCTAAAGAACCGCCATATGAGTAATCAAGAGATTTGAAGATTCCAAATGAATCAAACAATTGATTTGTCGTTTTAAAATGGATAAGTTTTCGTGATACTTAGTAACTAGAGTTGAAAAACATGCATTCAAAGTAGATTCGAAACGTCATGAAGGAGGCCTGCTTTTTGCGTTTACAGATCAGCAATAATAAATTCTATTTAGAAATACACGGTTTATAGAACTTTAAGGAAAAGTTTCGTACATTTATTCGTCATCTTCATCAGTGTCTGGATCAGTCATATCAATAACGGGCATTTCCATATCAAGATCCATATCCATATCGTTATCTATCACCGCAGATAAAGAAAGCGGATTCTCGACCTTTGTGTCCTCCTCAACGTTTTTGTGCTCAAGGACGACGGATACATTTTCTACCTCGGTTGGTTTTTCTATTTCTTTATCTACTGTCTCATTTTCAAAAGCTTCTTTTTCTACGGATATATCAGTCGTATGAGTTATGCTCACAATTTGATCAAGTTGTTTTTTAGTTTGATTTTCTTTCGTCGTCGCAATAGGTTCTCCAACATTTTCTTGTCCGCTTGGAACAGGAATAACAACTACAGGCTTCAACTTCAGCGTCGGTTTGTCCTCCGTAACATTTTTTACTTCTTCGGTTGGTCTTGCCATTTTCTCTTCAACAACCAGTTCCACATCATCCATTGATTTCTCTCTACGGCTGCTTGTCACATCCGAAGACCTTTCAACGTCAACTTCAGTACCCACTTCTTGTGTTGTAACAACGACTGTGGGTGGTGCGCTTTTTGGTACTGGACGTTGAACAGGCGGTAATCTTGCGTGCATAACCAAATCACACATGGCTAGCCCTTTCTTACAAATAGTTTGTAAATAATGAGATGACTCGTTTAAGCCACTTGCAAACAAACGAGAAGCGTGAGGTAAGATACTGGCTTGTGTTTCAATTGGATGCATGACAGATTTCAGCAGACAATTATAGAGCTCTGCTTTGACTAGCATGCATTCTTCTGTCGTCATATTGAAGGGCTGAATCAACTGAATGAGTCGATTTAGAACAGTGCCATCTATTGAGGCTCTGCTGCCATTCTCCATAGAGAAGCCGTAAATATCGTAAAGGCTGGCTAATGCTTCGAGAGCGGCAATTTGCACATCAGTAGAGGCGGCTGACATGAGTTTCGTGCTGGTGGACAACGCATCCGAATTGGTGACTTCTGTGCGTCGCTTTTTATGCGATTTTTTTTGCTGGTTCGTATTGAAAGTAATGCCTGTTACTTTGTGTTGAACAATGGAGAGGTCATCTAAAATAGCAGTGATCAGAGGCTTGTGAATGTTTTCAGCGAAAGCATAACCACATTTTTCCAAGCATAATGAGACTAATCTATAAATGGATATTTTCAAGGCGCGTTTGTGCTTGTATTCTGACAGTAAGCGATGTAGTATCCTTGAAAAAAGTTTACTATATCGAACCATATCTTGTCCTGAGCTGAAGATAACATATGAGTCGCTGGTATATCTATATCATATACATGCATACACTTACCAATAAAGTAAGCTCGCAAACAGCTTGCTCGTGCTTAAATGAATACTGGGGAGGCACATGTTCAATGTAAAAAACTCACTCTTGTCCTTAAATTCCCGCATCTGTTGCAATAAGCAGACTGTTAGCGACTAATATAGTCGTTTTAGCTATAATAAAGTGCAGCTTTACCAATGATCCTTCATATACACTATAAATTCGGCAAATCAAATCAACAAGTTGAGTAATTGGAACGCCTACAGGAATACTAGTTGGCAAACTAGATGCAATAAAAAGTGTTAGTCATCTTTAAGAAGATCTAATCATACAGAACAATAGCCTACGTTAAGAAAGTGCTTATGCAATTTTGTAATAGTTGAACACGCTTCATTAACACAGGAAAAGCTGTAATATAATCTTTCGGAACAGCTGAAAAGGGATACGATTCTGGTAATTGTGTGTCCTGAGTTTCTATAAAATACAATATGTCAGCCTATGCATTTAAGAATTAAAGTATGCTAAAATTGTTACCTTCATCGATCGTATCAAAGAGTCTGTTTAAACAATCATGTACAGAACCAACCAATCGACTGATACTATCCTTCCATTGTTCTGCCATAACTGATTTGCCGCCTGCATTGTATAATGAGGCTAAACACTCGTTGACTTTTGAGAGCGTTGCCTCATCTAAATCCTTATTTCCATCCAAACAGGATAAACATAGCTGTAGACATTGATCTGAGATGTGTCGAGCGTTCGCTGGGAAATGTTTGACATTACTAGTTAGAGCAGAAAGAACGGTAGGCTATGATAACGCAACAATTATCTATAATTAGGCTAAGCGGTACTATGATTCATGCATATATAACCTACCAAAAGTTCCTGCTTTCGAGCGAGTTGGAGTAGTAACTGATTGTAGCGTTGCATATTCGGTGTTGCTACTTCTCTTTGCAGCTCTGGTTTCTCTGCAGTATATTCGAACATGAACGACAATGTTTCTATAGATTCTCGGTGTATCATAACTGGCTCTGCTTTCTATATTGAACATGACAATATTAAAGAAAAACTCTAGCCTGTATTTCTTATTGTTCATCAGACTTTTATCCTCTTACAGCAAGAAGTCCCAAGAGTTGTGCTGCCCAAGCTTTGGCGTTGTTTATCAATAAATAATGAGAATTTTCACAAGAGACTCGTATCAAGCAAATTGCACACCAACGTGCTGTGACATTCTTTGATTGCAAGAGAGCATTCAAACGAACTGTCCACTTCCTATACATGTTTGCCACATCTTCTGAGGTGTCAAGATTATCATTAAGTAGTCGATGACTGATAATAACATCCAATATGAAGGATAAGCTTTGGTGAGCGACATTTTCATTCGCTAAGTAATGTGTGATTATGTTACTGAGAAGTTCTGGGCTATTGGAGTTTAACATTATAGGTAGGTGAGCTTTACTTTTTCCACCAACTCACGTTTTAATTAGATGATAGCCATTTTGCATTAAGACAAGCCACAATCTAAGAATAAAGTCACAGCAGGCAGGCCAGACAGATTTGGACATTAGGCGTGTCAAGTTTTGGCATGTTTAAAAGATATCATTCCAGTGTGTACATGATTTTATAAACTGTTTAAGCTTTGTCAGTTTTACATCATTTATTAATTGATTTGATATGGCTATAAAAAGTGTTATTGGGTTTAGCAATGTACTGTGGATGAGTTCTTGAGTTTAATTGTAGAAATTTGCGAAATTGTGGTAGATTTTATTTGAGATGAAAAAACTGTTTGTTTTCTTTTTCCATTGCTTGATAAATTTCATCTACGAAAAATAGAAAAGAGGAAAGCAAGGCAAGAAAAAAGATATAATTCATATATAACATGTGATTTACATGGAGTTTGAAGAGGGGTTGGTAGAGAAAATAGATGATGGTTATCTGAATATTGAATTCCGTGGTAATTCTAAGTTGTTTAATTCTTGTGATATAGCTATTGAACACCTTCTGTAAGTAAAAGAGTGTTTCAACGTTATATTCTATTGTTTGACTGGAGTCTCGAACTCTTCTAAACATAAGTGTCCGTATGAAATTCTTGCTTGAAATGTTGAAGTTTTCTACGAGGCATCCTACGCGGCAATTTTTGGGGATCGAATATTAATCGATCAGCACGTACTTTAACCTTGAAAAGTAGTTTTGGTAGAGCCTGCGTGAAAGCAATGAGTGAACAAAGAAGAATGAAAAGCACGGCGAAAGAGCGCATCAGATATATTTTCGACCGATCTAAGTAGGCATTGGAAGATGAGGGAGGGTTTTTATCTTGCAATGACAAATATTTTAATCTGTACTGTGGAAAATATGATAGAAACCCAAATTTTGCTGATTACTGAATTGTTTTTACAAGCAGTTTTTAGTAACGTTGACTATCAATAAGACAAATCGAGATTTATAGCATTTCTAGTCGTTCTCAAAAGGAACAGCCCATTCCTTTTCCCATTTGCTGGTCCTCACAGTTTAGCTAAAGGATCTGAAGATACGAGAGTAAGATTCCAGTAATAAGAGACCACTGTGTTCAATGAAGAATGCTTAACCGCCTAATATAAAAAAAAAAACTGAAATTGCATAAAACAAACAGCTTTGTAAAATGCTATTTATCTTTTATGTCTTACGGAATGAAATGGGTCATTGTCCCTAATGTTTGCAATATTAAATATGTTGCAGTGTTGATGTGTTTACTTTTATATCATCATAAAAAGAACCATACTATACTTTGTTTTTCACAATACAGTTGTTACAAGCAAGCTTTCGACAGTCATTAAGCAATTAATGCTATTTAAAGAAAAATCTATTTTGTCAGTTGTATTCATTCCTTGCAACCGCGAAGATACTCATGATCGTTCGAAAACGTATGCCCGCCACGTCCAAATGAAATGATTTTTAATTGTTCTTTTAAGTTGAGTTGATTAAACTAAGCTTTGAAAAGTAATGATTGGCGCAAAAAGACATGATAGTTCATGATTGCACTTCGTCTCTAAATGAAGAACTGCAGCGACACTTTTGACCATATCAGTTGATAAGCCTCTTTTACCCTTATTGTTGGGATATAAAAACCACGTTGATGAACGTGGTCGCTTCAAAGAATTGTAAAGTAGGCTGAAGGTGAGCATTCAAGCAAGTCACCATAACCACTATAACATTTAAATAGTGGGGTATTCCTCCTCCGCTTTCTCTTTCTCAATGGAAGCAGATACACATACGAATAAGAATAAAGAAGCCGAAAACCAACGGCGCAAACCTTCGCCTTCCGTCCATCGATCCCTATCCAAAAATACTACCGTGTCCATTTCGCGTTCAACACCTTCATTGCCCGATCTAGTCAATCATGCATTGTCGTCAGCAACTGTTGGACTGTCAAACAAAGATTTACATTTATCGATGAGACGAGGGCTTAGTGTTCAGCATACTCAAGAACTGGCTTCTCCACCATCAATAGAGGAACAACCTAGAAAAAATGTGTAAGAGCAACCTGTAGCCGATTTGCAATGGCTTGGCAAAATCGCCTTACTTAAGTTCGACTTTATGGTTAATAGTTTAAGAAAACGGAGACATTCGTTCACTACTTTTCTAAATTTAAAGCTTGTCAAAAGAGCTTTACCGGACGAAGATCTTATTGAGGGCAGCAGGACAATCCTACCAACTGTAGCAGATTTTCAAATAGATTTGTCGAGTAAATTAACCATGAGTGGAAGACCGCCAAAAACACATACAGGCAAGAAGGGACACAGACCACGATCTTACTCAGAGTAAGCTTGATCTTTGAGCCTTTTATACATAACAATGATCACAAATGTATGCTTATCGTCAATTTTTCCATACATGTCATTTAAAAGAATCACCTATAATATACCGCACGTAGAAAGAGCGCCACCTGTGGCTATCACGAACAAAATGCCAGCATACGAATACTATGGATTTGCTATGTATCTAGCATCATTTGTGGCATTTTGTAAGTATTTTTCAATATTGCAAACCACTCCCGCTTGTAATTAATAATCTTGACTCGCATTGCTTTTAAGCTATATATATCATTTGGGCTTATGTTCCTGATGAAATATTGCATAGTCTAGGAATCACGTATTATCCTAACCGATACTGGGCCTTAGCTGTACCGATTTGGTTAATGACACTTGTGTGGTTCATTTTCTTTTCTTTCGTGACCATTAACTTAATGAATACAAAACCTTTTAATTCTTTGAATTGTATAACAGGTAGAAAGAAAATGATAAAAGTTTTCAAGTCGAGAATATTAAGCTAATAATCTGCTAAATATACACAGATGAGCATGCTAATCTAGCGCTTATGGATAATGAACTAATCTCGAACCGACCGTCTGATTGGATACCAGAACTTCACGATATACCTATCAACCTTGTGAATAAGCTATTATATCAACAAGAGGAATAATCATCTGTTTTGCAGCACTGGAAAATTGAAAAGCAGTATGGGTGTAGCATTTTCACAAAAAATAAAATAAAAATCCAAATCACACTTTTTTCTTAAATTTCCAATTTTTGTACTGTCTTGCCGTTTATTTATAACTAAAAAAAAAAAGACCTGATTGATCGATCCAACAATTTCTTTGATCAGCATGGCCAGAAAGAAAGGAAGCGGAAAAAAGAAGAACAGTGGTGAAAAGAAGAAAAACCCTATTGACTTTTCTTCGGATGATCTAAGTGATGAATATGACAGAGGTGGGAAGGGCTTGCCCACAAACAGAATATTAACAAAAATGCTAAAAGAAAAGGAAATTGCAAGAACTAATGTGAATTGGAACCGTTTTTAATAGACTACAGACCGCCTCCTCAGAAGGCTTTCAATAGGAAGAAAGATAAAGGAAAACAACCGACTAATCGTGGAGCTTCAATAAAAGGCAAAGGCATGAAGCGTAAATATGAAGAGGACGAAGAAGCAGGTTACAAATCTTCCAAGACAGCACGTAAATATCAAGAAGGAAAGAGATTGGATGAAGAAGAGGATTATATTCCCTTGGACGGACCTAGTACCTCAACTGCTTTGTCCACCACTACAAATCAAGAAGTTAAAAATCTCGAAGAACCGAAGCTGTTCGTATTCTTCTGCTATCCTTGGATGGCCTCTCTACTGGATGAACCTACCCGCAACAAACTATTCGGTAGAGACTGCAGTTTGCATGCTGCAGATTGGTAATTAAAATTCGGACATAGCATTAATTTCAACTCTTTCTTTGACATTATTTTCTATTTTTGTTGTTATTAGGTTTCATGAAGAAGTCAAATCCTTAGTTCAATATCTTACACCGACACCCGTCGAAATCAAATTAAGAGAATACTTGGTACACAGAGTCAAAATTGCATTACAAAGACGATGGAACACAGCGCGCATATCAGTATTTGGAAGCTTTTCCACTGGTATGTACTTACCAAACAGGTTAGGTTTAATTGATTTCATCAGACCTCAATTTTTATTCTACAGGGACTAATTTTTTTTATTTTTTTTTGTGTTCCTTGACTTCAAAAGTGATATCGATTTGGTTGTTCAATTCGACCCTGAGGTTGGTGCTGTAAAGCAGTGGGCAGTAGCAGATGCATTGAAAAAGGCGAAAATTTGCTCTCACACAGAAGTTATTTCAAGAGCAAAAGTAAGCAATTACTAAAACCTGATAGAGCAGGATAAATTCTACATGTTAAACTTACTCTTTTCTCCTTGTTCTTCATTTCCTCAGGTGCCAGTGATAAAGCTTAGGGATCTAATGACAGATATAAAAGTTGATATAGTCATTAACGCACCTTCCGGATTAGAAAGTTCACGCAAAATTATAGCAATGCTAAGAAGCCAGCCTGCATTAAAACCTCTCTCCTTGATAATTAAACACTATCTAGCTTTACGTCAATTGAACGAAGTATTCACTGGCGGTTTAGGTGGTTATGCTATCATCTGCTTGGTCTATAGCTTTTTACAAGTAAATAAAAAGGGAAAAGGGAAAGCTTATTGGGATTTCAGTTATTTAACATTACTCTACTTTCCATTTCTAATAGAGGCATCCTTTGGTTGGTTCTGGTGCCATTGATCCTATGGAAAATCTGAGTGTTTTACTGATTCAGTTTTTCGAACTGTATGGCTCGAAATTTAACTTAGACAAAGTTGGCATTGATGTTCGTAGAGAAGGATCTTATTTTGAGAGGGTAAGTTAAATAAGGTTCAATTTAGTTGAATATACACAAGCATCTTACAACTTTATCCTTTTATTATTTCAGTATAACAATCAGTCGCATTCCTATTTTGCTATCCGCGATCCCAACGACATTGATAACGATCTTGGTATTAAGTCACATAAAACGGAAAAAGTTGTTGAAGCCTTCCAGTTTGCTTTTACCGCACTTACAAGCAAGATGTTTGCTTTTGAGGAGGAACTGTCGCGGAATAACTACAGACAGTTGAAGGAGAGAACCTTAAGTAATCCGATGGATGCATCAATTTTAAGTAGGATTCTGTGTATTCCACCGGACTTCCTCAAACATCGCGATTTATCGAAGGAAGTTTATGACCAAAAGCGTTGGAAGGGACAAAAGGAAGCCGAAAGTTTTGATTTCGATGCATGAGAGCCTCCACGAATAATATAGCTTGTTAATTGCACAAAAATTGAAAAAACTATTGCTCCTAAAAATGTATATATTTAGTATGCGCATTGTAAAGCAAGCGTTTAATTTACACTAAGACCTACTACTCGCATAACCTGCATTTTCAGGACTTATGCATAAATAAATATACTCTCCACTGCTCACAAGGAAATCGTTGACCATACTTATCAAAAGATTAAACTGGAGGAAAAATCTGCGGTTGATTGTAGCAGTTTACAAAAATGTAGGCTCAGTGATTTTGAGGTCCGGTACAAAAATCAATAGCGATCTCAAAAGTAGATCTTTGTCATTTTCGAAACATCTGAACTCAACAGAAGAACCACGATGGGTAAATCGTCAAAGGACAAAAGAGATGTGGTATGTGCAAATAGTTTTCTATGGTACGAAAGTTCGTAGGCTAAATATTCATGAACTTGTTCTCGCTAAAAGTATTACCGACTGGCAAAAGAAGAAGGTTGGCGTGCAAGAAGTGCTTTTAAGTTATTGCAACTTGATGAAGAATTCAACTTTTTAAAAGGTGTGCAACGAGCAGTTGATCTGTGTGCTGCACCTGGTAGCTGGTCCCAAGTGCTTTCAAAGCGTTTAAAGTAATGAGGGAAGAAATCTCAAATGTCTTTAAATGATCGGAAGTGCTAACAATCTCCCATAGTGAAAACCATAAAGAAACTCCAGAGATGCCAGAACCTAAAATTGTAGCTGTTGATTTGCAAGCCATGGCACCGTTGGAAGGCGTTATTCAATTGCAAGGCGATATTACCAAGAAATCAACAGCAGAACAAATCATCTCTTATTTTGATGGTAGTAAAGCAGATATAGTGATATGTGATGGTGCGCCTGATGGTAAGAGAAAAAATAAAACACTTGTTACCCTTAGGAAAGGAATTAACCTTGATATATAAGTGACGGGCCTTCATGATATGGATGAATACATTCAAGCGCAACTATTACTAGCTGTATGTATCAAATTGAAAAAAAAATTGTTAATTAGAGAGAAAATTTGTATTTATTCCAAAGGCTTTGTAGGCTCTCAACATTACAACCCACGTACTTCGCCCAGGAGGCACCTTTGTTGCTAAAATATTTCGTGGCAAAGATATAACATTACTATATAGTCAGCTCAAAATCTTTTTCCCTACCGTTACCTGCAGCAAACCTAGAAGCTCCCGTAATTCTAGCATCGAGTCCTTCATTGTTTGCCAGAATTATCAGCCGCCTGAGAACTACACACCCACAATGGCTAACCCTTTATTAGACTTTCAATATGATGAAGTAAATCAATTGACTGGCCCTAATAGGACTATTGTACCTTTTATTGCATGTGGCGATTTGAAGTAAGTCTTCTTTTTTCTTTTTTGTTTTCTTTCACGAGGATCAATGTGGTAAAATTAGCTGATTTTTTTTTTTTTTTTTTTACGCCTTTAGTGGCTACGATGCAGATAGAACGTATCCTTTACAAGACTCTTACAAACAATTAGATCCTTTGCAACCACCCATTACAGCTCCCTACAAGACAGCAATTGAATTGAAGAGGAACAACTTCTATAATAAATAGTGTTTGTTTTTCGGTTTTTTTGTTTAGAAAAAAAATTTGAGCTTTTTGATTTTACTTGTTATCTTAAGAGTATTATTAGTGTATGGAATATTTGAGAGTATGATGTTTATATATGATAGTTTAGAACATTCTAAGAATAGATTTTAATGTCGTGCATCAGTGATTTCTTGTTGTGATGCGGTAAGAACTGAAGGTGATTGCTGTGATTGTGATTGTCGTTGCTGGTAGTGTAGTATCAAAGCTTGTTGCCTTTGTACATATTGCACAGGGTATCTTTGTCTTAATTGGTCTTGAAATTGCGCTTCTTGAGGTGTTAGTTGCTCATGAGGTAAACGTATGACAGCATTAGGAGGCAAAGGATCCTCTTTAATGCCTTGCTGCTGCAATTGTTGTAACTGTTGGCGGTGTTGTTCTTCCAAGAGTTTATTCTGTCTGTATTGAAACATTCGTAAATACATCTGATCCGTTTTCTGACGTAAGATTCCGTGAGCCTGTCGTGTCAAAAATCTTTCTCTTTCAAGTTGTCGTCGTTGGTCGGCAAGGAAGCTTTCGATTTCTTCATATTGGGAAATTCTTGATTTAAATTGTTCCATTTTGGTTTTGATGAGATGATATTTTGTTTCCAATAGATCAACTTCGTTCTTTTCTTTCATCTCTTCATCCGTTACTTTCTTTTCAGCAATAGTGGCAGTCATTTTTTCGTTGTTATGTTCGTCGTCGTTCAAAGAGGAAACTGCGACTTTAGGATTCACATTGGCAGCTAAGAATGCCACTACCGACATGATAGGATTCTCTACATCATCCTTTTTATTAAAATCCAATAATCCCAGTTCTCTTATTTTGCTATCCACGCGTGGATCAACCAAAGGCAACTTCAGGAAGTGCAAAACACATTCGTCTTTTGTTTTGGTGGCCACATGTTGAGCTACTTTTTCCCAATCTGTAAACATTTCCAGGCCTTCCAACAACAGCATTTCTTCTTGTTCAGTCCAGTTCTTCTTTTCCACAAATTTTCGCTCTTTTTCTTCTAAACCTTTCTTTTTGTAATCCTCTTCCGCAGTATGACTTATCAATTTCTTACTACCATAGCATGATGAGCAAACAAATCTCTCTGTATTTTTAAATTGGTAACTTTCTCTCAATGAGATTTGACATTGACATGATTCACATTTTCCCATTTGTTTCTTTTCCTCATATATCTTTGCTGCTGCTTCATAGATATCTTCACGTAAATCCAGGTTTAAGTCTAGCATGTATGATTTAGTGTTCTTCTTACTGTCTACTGTCCTAGGAGTCGTGATCTTATTGTCGGTAGGAGATGCAGCAAAGCTCTTAGTAAGCTGCGGCGGATTATAGACATTTTCCTTCCCATCATCAATACTATCGTCTACACTGACTGGTTTATGAAGAGCTGCTGGTAGTTCTGCTACTACTTTCAATTGCCCTTCAAATGGTGGACCAATAATGGTCGGTTTTGCTGCTGGATCCATCTATTCCATAACAATAGAAAAAATAGTTATTTTCCCTAACTCTAACCCAAACAATTAAGCAAGCTCAAAAGATATACCTGATAATTGATTAGACCCCATTGTTCCAGAAATGCATGTACACGTATAATAGCGCATACATCTCCTGTCATATTTCTCCTACAAGCTGTTACTGTCAGATACTCCATAGGATTTAATCGATATGTATTCACCATAAAGTCTCGAATTTCTTTATATACTGTAGGTATTTTTGATTTATTCTTGTTGTTGAAGAATTCTGGCAATCCACGTTTCTCAATAGGGTGTATCGAAGATAAGTCAAACCATGCTGCATATGAAGGAATAATTATTTCATACTGTTGGACAGGCATGTACTTTTTAGCAGCTTCAACCTGTTGTTCTTCTAAGCTTGGCTTCTTTACTTTTTTGGCGTTATCGGCTGCACTTTCTTCGGTTTCTCCATCCATTTCATCATCGAAACCGTCAGATCTTTTCCGCTTTGCAAGTTGATTTTGATGAAGTTGATGTTGTTCACGTGCTTGTTCTCGTAAGTTTTGGCTATCTTTTTGCTGTTCGGGCAAAAGATAATCTATGGGTGACATCCATTCATTGTACTTTGTACTGTCCTCAATCCAATTTATCTTAACATGCCAGGGACTCTTCATTTTATCGTTAGACAAGTCCAACTTATGCTCCTTATCCATTGCCAAGGTCAATTTCGAAATTCTGGTGTTATAAGAGTCCGGCAAACCAAGCCAATGCACGCATACGAAATCTTCGCTTTCTACATCTAATTCTTTTTCACTATCTATTTTAGGTTTATCTTCGTTGGTACTATCGTAGATTATTCTCCAATGCTTGTGTCCCTTTTCAAATATTTGATTTTCTTTCGTATACACAATAAAGGTAGCTTCGTTAATATCCTTAACAAGAATACCTAAAATAATGATATGGAATAAGTCAACATTTAGTTACAGGAGCACCTTTCAAAGTTATTCATTCAATCTACCTCCTAATTGTCGTATAGATGAGATCCAATTATCTCGCCCATCATCATTTTCCTTCTCCATCTCTTCTTCTTCATCCACTTCCTCGTCCTTTTTTACATTCGTAGTTGCTGGTTCTTTATTGTATAGAAAAATACGTGGTATACTCAACTCAAAGTTATTACTGGCTAATGATTCTTTTATCACCTCTACCATTTTTAAATATGTAGTGACTTCTTCGTTTGCTTCGAATCGCCAGTCTACAATCTGATAATCAGATTTGAACTTGTAAGCTGCTTTCAAAATTGTATAAAGTGGTGATTTCGAGGTCATTGAATCATGAACTGTAAAGTAAATGAAAGGAACAGCAGCCGTATTACTGTGTTGGTGTTGCTGTACTTTTTTACTACTGTAATGACAGATGTGGTCTAACTGGAACTTTTGAAAATGGGCTGTAAAGTATGCTAAATCAGGAGCACTAAAGCTAGTATCGGCACCTTCTTTATCTAAATCAATGCGTAGGTCGTTGATAATATTATCAAAGTAATTGATTACTTTCGGCTGTTCATAGTACTCCAGGTCAACCCTCGGTTTTCTAGGAGCTGTCATTTTTGATAAAGAGGAGGAGTATGTTACTGACCAAGTTGAATGAAGAGATGATGGAGGAATTTTCGACTTAATGAGAAAAGAAAAATCAACGCGTTTAACGAGCAGCAATGAGCGGAGTTTGGAGCTTCTCCGAACCATCATGCTCCGTGAAGCAACCAGTTCAAGCCACTCAAAAATGTTGGAAATGCCAGACTGAGAGTGTCCCTTAATTACTCTCAAAGGTAGTTTTACCCCAGCTTTATAATTAATAGCAAAAATAATAATGTACAAATCAGCATCATTACGAAAAGTGGCAGGTAAACTGACTTATTTCAATCTTTAAACCAAGGACGCAGAAATACTACAATTGTTTTAAAGGTTAAAGTATTAATTGTTTGCTACACTAACCGATAGGTTCCTTCAATAAACAACCCTTGTTAATACAAACCTGTCGCCGTCAACTCCACCGTAATGCCATCCTCCAACAGGAACTTTCCATGTCCCCTTCCTTCAAATTAGAAGAAAAAGCTGCTGAGCTAAGCTTAAGGCCTGCCACTCTCAAACAAGCTCTAACACATAAATCGTTTAAACACGGCACAGTTCCCACTAACGAACGTATTCAATTAATTGGCTATCGTGCTATTCAATTTTTCGCCACGGAAAAAATCGCAAAAGACCCTACAAACAATCAAGAAAGTCAAACTATGATCAAAAGTATCCGTGAACTCGTGAATTTTAAATCGAATCCATTTGAGACATTGGGTTTACAAGAAGGGTTCCAAGGAGAATTGGTAAGATAGACTTAGAAATCAAACGGTAAGACAATGGATATTTGACCTGACCAACTTGTTGTCTTATGACTGGACCACTTCTTATAGCCAACAAAAGAAATTCCACATTCTGTGAAATGCACAACACTTCAAGCTATCACAGGCGCTATTTATCACGAGCGCGGTATCAACGCAGCAAGAGATTTCGTTCATAAGCATATCTTTCCTCCCTCAAATTAATAACATGTCTTCATCATGAGGAAGACTGAATCTGTATATTTACAAAAGAAGGCAATTTTATGTATATTAAACAGAATAATAAATCTTATAGACCTCAAGACTGTTATTGTTTCTGTTGGTGGTAAATGCAATCTTCCGCTTTTTATTTCAAGAGAGTATATTCTCCATTTTCCTGGTTTATAAGTTTAGTAGAAGTAAAAAGTAACTTTTGTTATGCGTCTAACGATAGGGATGTTCAGCTTGTATATTTCTAAACCGTAAGAAACCAATGTAAAGTTAGTTCAAATGTCTCAATTTGCGTCGATGTAAAAGTCTCTCAATTACCTGGCAAGCTCAGGCTCCCATTTATCACCGTTAGCCAAAAGCTTTTCTTTATTGTATAACAGCTCTTCATGGGTTTCTGTGATATATTCGTAATTGGGGGACTCAACAATAGCATCGACAGGACAAGCTTCTTGACAAAAACCACAGTAAATACACTTTGTCATATCAATATCATATCGGGTGGTACGACGAGATCCATCCTCACGAGGTTCAGCTTCGATAGTAATAGCTTGGGCAGGACAAATAGCTTCACACAATTTACAAGCAATACAACGCTCTTCACCTATTAAATAAAATATACACAACTATATTCAATACTTCTGAATTAAATTCCCTTTTCACATCCACTGCGTTGCACGTATAGCTTTGCTATGTTTCTTTCTTTTTTGTCCCTTCTTACCAGTGGGATATCTTCTGAGTGCATGCTCGCCTCTGAAACGAGTAGAAATAGGCCCTTTCTCAAATGGATAGTAGATTGTATAGGGTGGACGGAAGAAGTTTTCCAAAACTATCCACATGCCTCTAATCAGTTCTGTCAGCAGTAAATGTCTAGCAGCTACATCTAATACACCCATTGGTTTTCCACTGATTTGATGACTAATGTCTCTCTCTTTTGGTTCTTCTTCTGCTAGTTCTTCCTCATGCTTGAAGTGCTGTTTCATAGAGTGGTCGTGAACAGGCGTAGCTTGCTGAGCCGTGATAGTTTGACTAAAATTTCTAGTAGTACTGCTCACAAGGGGTGCGACTAAAAAGCGAGAACGGACACCGGCGGGGCCTATCGTCATTTATTTATTTGTTTATTTTTTGGTTAACCACTGCTTTGCTCTTGTCAATATTGTTGATCTCGACATCAAGTAGAAAATTCCCCATACCTGCGATGACTGGACGTAAAATAGAGTTGTTCTGTGTCAACAATTTGACTAGTCGAAGATGACTCATGACTGCAGTATTTTAATTTAAGAAGAGTGGGGAGGGATTGATTGCTTTATCTGAAAAGAAAGAGTGGGGAAAATAGTTAAAAAAAATACCAAAATCAATCAAATACCCCTCTCAAGACAAAACGGGCTTTCTCCACAAAAAATTCATCTTTCTGTGGAGAACAAAAATAAATTCAAGGGGTGACATCATGGTCCGGAAAAGACTCATTCTCCACACTTGACTTATGTAAGCATAGCTGTTTTGTAAAAGTGAGGCGGAGAAAGGAGGGTAGAGCTCCACATTGCCCGAAAGCGCACAAAAAGCAATTTTTCTGTCCCCTTGCTATTTTGACAGGTGCATCTTTTAGATACATTACCCCTCTATTTCTAGAATAATTTTTTTCATAATACACCAGTATGTTTGCGCTTGAACGCTCTCTTAGTAGATTAAGCTTAAGGCCTTTCTCCACTGCAATTAAAGGTGAGCCTACCAATTGCTACTATAAAGAGAGTACGAATCATTAACTCCCAGGGGTTTGCGTTGTTAATGTAGCTACATCTAATTCCCAACTCAAACACTATGCTACCATCTCAACACAACAGTCAGCAACAGAGCCAGCGAAGCCGAGACATAGAGACTTAAACTTAGAAAATAAACCTCATCTCGATAAGATCGATTCTATTTTGGACTATTCCCCTGAACCACCTTTATCTCACCTTGATCAACCTAAACTTTTCCCTTCCCATCGACCTACTGAAATGATGCTCAATAATGATCGTGCTGTCAACTTGGTAGATACTGCTCTAACTCCTGAAGAACAATCTAAATTACTGAAAAAGGCTATTGTCGTCAAACGAGTCACTATGATGAACGCCAAAGGTCGACAGAAAAAGATGTATGCCCTTGTTTTGGTTGGTAATGGTAAAGGCTTAGCAGGATATGGTGAAGGTAAAGATGAAGAGACCAATCTTGCCATTCGAAAGGCAACCAATCGAGCTATTCGCAACTTGCAGTACTTTGAAAGATATGATGATCGCACAGTTGCCCATGATATTTTACACAAGTTCCATGCGACACGTATTGAACTGAGAGCTAGACAACCTGGTTTCGGTATTAGAGCAAACCATGTCATTCACGAGATTTGTAAATGTATTGGTATTCAAGATATTAGTGGTAAAGTCAGAGGATCTAAATCGCCTATGAATGTACTCAAGGCAACATTTGAAGCGTTTCAACAACAAAGAATGCCAGAGGACATTGCAAAGATAAGAGGCAAGAAGATTTCAGATATTCAACATGTGTACTTTGATAGTCAATGAGTTTAATGCTTTGAAACACGTTATAAAATATCTACATACAAGCGTGCCAAATACATAAAAATTACATATTTAGATGCACAGTTTCTTATTTGCAGAACTATAGTTCCCCAGGAGCATGTGAAGTAGGCAGGATGGAAGAGCTGGTAATCAGGTTCAGCATTTGAGTCAGATAATAAAGCTAACTTGTAAATTTTCTCATATATGTGAGTTATATAGCCCTTGATGATCTTATGATTAAAAGATAAGATGTAGTAGTGATATCATTTGAGTATGGCTAAAAAGAAAGACAGATCTGGTACGAGGAATACGAATGAGTTCTGATTCAGAGAAATTAGCTGTCCTCGGAAATACAGCCAAATTTTACAATTATAAGGGAAGTTTGAAAGTTGAACTCCCAAAGCAGTAATGTATTCGATACGTTTATTACGTTTTAAGTCATTATAGATATCCTATTCAGGATCAAATGCAACGTTTATATACAAGTAACAAACAGGTTTAAGGAAACAAAAGAAGTCCACTAAATTTAGCCCACACTTCTTCGCTGTTGCTCCGGCGTAGTGGTGCAATTTAACTAAACTGTTGGTGTTCTCCTTGTTGCTGTTGTTGTTGATCATCAGACAAGAATAGTTGACTTAACCCAGAAGTGGGATCGAAAACTTGATGTTGGTAAATTGGAGTGGTAGTAGTGGTGGTTGTTGTGGTTGCCCCTGTAGGTGTTATCATCATTGCAGCAGCGGCCACAGCGGCGGCTGAACTAGGTTGCTGTTGTTGTTGTGAGTGTTGTTGTGAATGCTGCTGCTGAAAGTCTACCATATTTGTCATTAGTATATCCATTGAGGAGCCATCACTGGTTGCGTTCAGATGAGCTGCATCAGTATGGCCTATAGAGTCTGCTATATTCGAACGGTAACCACATGGTTGTTGCTGGTTATATTTATCAGGTATCATAAAAACAGACGACGTTTGTAAATTGCTGTCGCCCATATTAATATGAAGGAATTTGTTGGGTATCTCTTGCTGTTGTTGTGAGAGGGGTGATGGATGAGATGAATATTGTGAATTTTGATCTGTTGATAATATAAGGATGTCATTATCTGAATCAGTAGTAATTGCGCTGTTTGTGATATTCGCTGGTGTAGGTTGGTTTTGACTGGGATGGTAAGTATACATGGATAAATTATGACTGGATATCGTCTGCTGTTGTTGCTGTTGTTGCTGAACCCAACTGCCTAACTCATAATAAGGCGGCTGCTGCCGATCCCTTTCCTTTTGACGGCATTGGTATTGGTACTGATGAGGTGGCGGAGCTGGTGGTAATAAAGAAGCAAACTGTGTTAAATCTGTCATTGTAGCGCTCGATTGATGGTATGATGCAGGTGGTATAATAGGTGTGGTTTCCGCGGTAAGCGTATCTCTACCTTTTGCGGTAGCAACAATAGGCATCACCAAAGATGGGCTAGCGGTAGCAGTGTACATATCGTTGCGGAAAGGAGATTGTTGTTTTGATGATATGACATGGTGGTAGACGGGTGCAGACATACACTTCTCTGCTCTAGTCATCTTTTTTCGATCATGCGGTGTTTTAAAATCATTGTTACTATCTATATCAGTCATTGTAGCAAATGTGGGAGTATTTGAAGTTGATAAAGGTTGTGGTTGTTGTTCTGACGGTTGTGGCAGAGCGTAATGGGCGGCTAATGTTGCATCCGGCGAGTGGTGTACCAACTTCATTATCATATCTACAGTCACATCGTGCTGTAATCGAGCTGCATTCTTCATCGAGTTATTTTCAGCATGATTCATTTCATATTTATGTATACTTAAGGCCATAGTTAAACAATGAATAACATGCTGTACTCCACGAATCGGATAATTGAATATGTAACTTGGATACGTTTCTAGTAGCGTTTGAACAATACTAGTGATGTTGGAAGCAGAGGTTGCGCATAATTGTTGATGAGGGTAGCCAATGAATTCAAACTTGGTCTCTGATAATGGGTTCAAGACATATAGACGATGTAGCAGAATGACACTTAAATGATATGTTATGTGTAAAAAGCCAATATACGGATCAAGAATAGGATGTTTCTCCACAGGATAGTAGTCTTTAAAAGAATTGTTCTGTCCGCATTGTTGTGGTTGTTGTGGATGCTGCAGTTGATGCTGAAGTGAGGATGTTGATGATGTAGGTGGATAGATTAGACCAGGTGGAACTTCATAAAGAAAGTTTTCAAGATGGGTATGTAGAGAAAAGAGCTTGGCTTGTTCCTCCACCATTTGCTCTTCGGTTTTATGTTTGCCTTGAATTTGCTGTCTTAACGTCAATCGCCGTGATGTACAGTAGATGTCCGACAATACCTTTCCTAATTGGATAAAGATATTCTGATTTACTATCAGCTCTTCCAGGGCAGGCCCTTCCTCATTAGTGACCATAGGAAACGCTGTTGTACATTGTTGAATATTAAAGTAAGGTGCTTGGCCTAGTTCAATACTCATTAACAGGTCCATCATGAACGCTACCCAAAAAGTTCGTCTTTTGATCTCGGCATCGCAATTTAAGCTAGTTGCTACAACTGCTGTTGCGGAATGAGTGTTATAATTATCTCCTTTTGTTCCGATTCCTGGGGCCAAGCCTGATCCCTTTTCTCTATCTGCTTCCACTGCTGCTGTCGTTACCGCTGTCGTTGTGTTCGTACTGGAACGTGTTAGACCAAGGTCGTGACACATTTGTACAGCTATTCCAAGATAGAAATGAGAGCGATGAAAATAACCGGTTCTTTGAAAACATTCCTGGTATTTAACTAGCAATAAAATGCCTTGAATAGTCGAGGTACGAGGTATATCCATAAATTCGTCTAGTAAATCAATCGCTTTCTGGTAAAAGCTGTATCCCGGAGGTAGCGTTTCAGTTAATTTCCTCATTCTTACGACCTCATCACCATTATCTTCATCCATAGCATTGTTATTATGTTGACTGGTGAATGAAGGAACGAGAACAAGATCACTATTTTCCTCTGCTAGTAAATGATTGGGTGCCCATTTTGCAGCTACAGCACACATGGCATAAACAAGGAATTTTGAAGGCGGCTGAAGATGATTTGTTGAAACGGCTGACGACACAGATGAATAACCATAATAATTACTATGTAGTTGCTTTAAGAATGTGGGTTTATGTATCATTGGCAAGTACTTATGAACGTGATCAAAATAAACCTCTAATAACGGTTGCACTTCATGGATGAATCGTCTGCTACAAATCAGATGATCTGGAACTAATGCTTCGACAAGGAAATGCGTGCTATTATCGCTGGTCATGTTGTTGTTACTGCAACTGCTAGTGGACTGCGGTTGCGATGCAACGACATAAAAGGAGGCCGTTGAGGAGATAGGTGAGTCAGCAGTAATATCCGATAATTCATCACTTTGAAGTTGCTGTAATTGTAAATCATGGTAGTCTGGTATTCTATCGTCTCGTTCTTTGATATCGTTTATGTACAATGCTTGTCCAATTTCATTGATAGCAAAACGATCAAACGATGTTATATCGCTGTTGTTACCCATTGAAGAAAAGGGTGCTGATTGGGAAGGCGCCTTAATATTGTTATTGTTCGCAATAATCTCTGTCCCGTGCCCCAGCTGCTCCCGTTGTTGTGTTTGTTGTGCAGTGTTATTTTCCTTCTTTTCGGTTTCTTCAAATATCTTTCTGACTGGCATTGCCATCGATTTTAATGCTTTTTCTACACGCTGCAGTCTATTTTCTAAATTATCCATGTATTGCTTGGGCGGGCCTTTCTTAGGTGGTAACTTTGCAAAGACACACTCAGTATTGGACTTTTTACACCTTCCACAAGGTTGAGCACCATCACATTTGACCTTTTTCAACAAAATTTATAGTTAAATGAGTGTTGAAATAGCGTGCATAAAAACACGCGAAGGCATTTCACAATCGAGATGCAATTACACTTTACCTTTCTTTTTCTACATTCATCGCAAGCTCTACTGATTTTGACTCGTTTACTACCACCAAGCGATTTATTCTTTAAGGAAAAGATACTACCACCACTTTCCATTGACAGCGATAATTTTATCCGGTTAGCCAGAAAAAAGAGGGGTCAAAAAATTAGGGGGTATTTTACGTAAGCGAAAGAGAAATAGGGGTATCAACGTGTAGTAATCCTTCGATAGACTGTGTAATTGCTGTATTAAAAAGATGAAAAGAGAGGAAGAGATGATTATTGCTAAGAAACGACCACACCTATGTTGTTAAGCGGAAAAGGGTTTGTTTTTATTGTTATAGGCAAATGTATAAAAAAAGATGCATTTACCCAAATTCTGATCAGAAAAGAAAAAAAAAAGAAAAGGAAAAAGGCGGAGGTTGTAATCATTTGAGAAAGCACTTTCTAAATGAATGGGACAAAATATGCCAATATGACACGAAAACTCCAATTTTGGCTCAAGAAAAATGGGATGATTTGTTGTGGCCATCAAAATGGATAAAAGAAATATCTTGAACAAATCAAAATGCAAGTAGAATACCACTATAAAACAGACAGCGATACATTTCAGTCAGCTTTGATAGCACCGGAAAACTTTTAACCTCACTGTTCTTCCAACGAAGAAATGAATCCGCACATTACCTGCTGCTTTTCGCTTTTCAACTATAAAACCATTATTTGATATATCAAAATGGCTTCCTTTCAGTGAGAAATGATCGTCAAGATAGGTGTAAAAGGGTTCTAAATCATCTACATCCCAAATGGAATATCTTTTGCTACATGATTTTGTTAACTATGGTCTCACATTTTTTCCTTTCGAATGTCAAATCATGGGGGATAAAGTAACGTCTAGTTTGATTTTGGGAGGTACAGTTTCAAGAAAAGTTTGCAGGCACCTATTTGAGAATTAGGTTCCAAATTCTCTCTCAAAATTTGGCGATCTTTTTTCCCATTTTTAAACTGTTTTCCATTAACTGAAGAAAACAGTAGCAATTTTTTTTTTATTGTGATTTCTACAAAACAGGAAGACTATAAATATAGGTTAAAATGTTGTTGTTGATGTCGTATTAGTTGTAGGCTTATTTAATGATGACTTGACTTCCACTCCCGCACTGACAGCAATAACACGCATGATATCTGTCAGAGACACTACACCAATTGCCCTTTCTCTCTCGTCAATCACCCAAACCCTATGGGATTTAGTTGCCAATAATTTAGCAACAGTATAGCCAAGGGTTGTATCTAAACGGACATCAAAAACTGGTAAACGGTCCTATACAGCATTGTCCATAATCATATGATACAATATGTTGGTAAGTGTTCCGCAATGATATTTTGAGTTTTCGATCTCGTTCATGCCTCATACCTGTCCATCATTGATACCTTGTTCTGAACGTACAAGGCTAACAAACTGAAAGCAAGTTTTCCATAATAACTGATGTCCGTAACTTTTAATTACATGCTATTTTTGTTAAAGGAAACAACAATTAATTGTCTGTAGAAGGAACAAATCCCGACCTTCAATCAAGGGATTTTGCAAATATCCTTTCAATATTGGTACCCATTTGTCTACCCTATTTCTATCCCCCTACCTTAACATCTGTTAGACTTATATTACCAAGAACAACTCCCAGATGCCCAAGAACAGCTACTGAAGAAATATTATGCTTACCTACCATGTTTCAAATAGAAATGAGTGAGTAACTTTTGAAAACATTGAAAAAGGTTCGCCTTTTCAGTTTTACTTACTCATAAGAGCAAGGGCATCTAGTACAGGAGAGTCAGCATTGACGGCAATAACATCCGATTCTCCAAGTCCCAATTCTTTGAGCTGTAAACCATTAAAAGAGGAAAGAAAGTTTTGAGTAACTTCGCTTCGTTTTCGCCTTCAGTTAACAACGTTTTATAAATACTGAAAACTTACAGTTTTGTTCATCATGCATCCAATATCTGGAAATTGCTGCTGATGTTCGTAGAAATACTTCACTACCGTTGATTGCGATAGAATACCCTAATTATTATACCAATTGATTAAACTCTAAATGAAAGTCTCTTATTTTTTATCTACTATATCATATATACCTTGATACTGCCCTCTGGATTCAGAACACAAACTGTTGAAAAGAAAGCATCGTAATTAAATTCGTTAAATCAACAATCCTCATAGCGTCAACGGCAGTAGTGGCAAATGCGTTTTTCGTAGGTCAAACTTAAATATATAGCATATCATCATACTTTACCTCTGTGAGTTCCATAAGCAAATTCTTCCACTGCTGATAACAAGGTAGCTTCTGGCATTATTGAATAGAAAGGATTTTTCTGTGACAGATCTAAGAGTGTATTGAAGAAGCCGTATGCAGAAGAGCGTCTTAGTTGACAGTTTATGTACCGCAAGCATTTTAAATTGTATTCCCTTCCTACCACTGACAAATTTGACTGGCACTTCTTGGCCGTCTAATGCATACTTCATTATATTCTTGATTTCGAATGTTAAATTTTCTTGCTTCAACTGGCTTTGGTGGTTGTGAGGATGATGTTGGGTTAGGTTCTCAGGAAACCCTTCTTCTTCTCCTTTTTCTGGTGGTGGTTGTGGTGTGTTTTCGAGTAACAATAAAATATAAGCAATTACGTCGCCATAATCGAACATGCCAATATAGGATTTGGGATGAGGAATGGCGGTCGATACTTTGTTAATTTGGGAATCATAAACAGGTGCTGAGGAAATGTTGTTGTTGATCAATACGTTACAAGCCTCTTCTACTGGTAAGCGACCGTCACTGTATTATTTGAACCGTAAGTCAAACCTTCTTTTGTTACTTGACACGTATAATTTAAATTTAACTTCTTTATAAAATATGACACTTACATACTAATGACCTTCTGATCTTCGACAAGATTGGACGCTTTGGTGAGAGTCCAATCAACTGGGACTGTTGTGATTCCTTCACGGTGGGCCATTGTTCGTTCGTTGTTTAGGATTAAAAACTTGGATTGATGCAGGATAGAAGAGGTGTTTTTTTCCAGCGGAACTCGTCCTTCCGTTTCTATAGTAGTGGAGTACAATGATATTCAACCAATCATCTTTCGAATCATTATCATGCAGCAGCATGAATTTTTGTTTATTCTTGTACCAAACAGCTCCCAACTATTTTGCGTCGATGAGGCATACCGAAAAAAAAAAAATCAGATTATATAGCGCTTCATGTATAGCTTATAAAGCCCTCAAAACAACGTTTGGGTGCAACTTTTACATGTTGGTGTACAGTTTCTAATACAAAAGACCTATTCACCTGCATATTATTTATTTGCAAAAAATGGCAACACACTATATCAACAAGTGCATGTGTGGGACTTTGCATGCTATACTCTCGAACCTTTACACCTTCTCTAAAACGTTGTTGCTTTTTATAACAGTGGATTTATATTGAACGATGCAGACAGTAGAGTTGGTTAAGATTAGTAACTATATCATCGAATATACCAGCGATAAGTGCGCCTAAGTATTTGAGTATATCTCACGGATAATTAATCCAGCCTGATAAATTGCTCGCTTCGAAAATAATTAGTGAGGTGACGGTCAAACTAGGCGCGTCTATCAATGGTATCGAATTTAGTTACTCTTCCTCTGGTATACAATATCGTAGAAAATTCTAAGAAAATGCTTGGCTGCATCGAAATGAGGGTTTACACTGAGAATATTTGAAGACAGATAAATCTTGTGGATAAGTATGCATGCATGCTGTTGAGGCGAACAGCAATCACATAGTTTCTGAAAGCCTCATATATTCTTTAGTAAATTAAGTCCTTGCAATAAAGCTTTCGACGTTAAGGGTGAGCTACCTGTTGGTTATATACCTTGCTCTTCCGTGAACCAGCCTAACATCTATAATAAAGTCATATTGTACGTACGCTGCATTGCTTATAAATACCAACCCAAAACCATATGGAACGGTTGTACTTATAATTGTGAAAAGCATTGCTTTATGGGAAAGTGGATTAAAAGAAAATATTGTAGTGTCTATTATATACATATAGTTTTCTTCATTGCTAGCCTATCTATGAACTTATTGCCCGTTTCACGTAATGAGCGGCATTTGAAGAGCAACTAGTTCATAAGTCGATGGGAGGACATAAATCAACTTCTTTAAATAGCTCTGTGTGCTTTGTGTACTTGATTTTATTTAGTAACTTCCATAAGAGTTTGTCTATAACGAAATTGTAGTTTATCATTTAATTGTCAATCAAGACCAGAAAATAACTTTTATGGACCGTGTTAATACCATTAAATGAACACCAAGATTAATTTTGTATTTCTCATCTCAACTTGACAGAGCAACTGAACATTTAACTTGCACTCTACTATACCGTATTACAATTGCTCTTCTTCCATGTGATTGTACACATACAGCATCGTTTAATTATTGACTAGCCATTTATTAATCTTTTACTTATTACTGGTATCAAACTACGAGATAATTATCATGCTTCATGCACTTACAACAGCGTTAACAAAAAATACGTGCTGAGTTTCAATATGCATGAGGCGAGGAGCAGAGGCAGCAGAGGGACATTGGACTCCTATTGAAGGCTTTCAAGAGATCCTGTAACAGTGGTGAATCCTTCTCTTTCATAACCGAAATGGTATGTATAGCCATATTTTTATGCTGATATCGATTTTAGGACAGTGAACGAATGAATGCGGATGATTGATTATATGATAAGTATTGGATATGGATGGATGGAAAAATCGAAGGATGAATCAAATAGAGACATTAATTTAGTCAGATAGGCAAAAAAAAGCATGACATTGTCGACTGAATTTTCTCAACATTTACAATATACAATAAGCACAATCTATACCGAGCTTCAAACGTTTTACATATGTTTTCTTTTCTGAACGCTTAACGATACTCGCCATTCCATTCTTTCGTTTCACTGTCGGTCAATTGGATTATGCAGCCCTCACATGCAAAAAAAAGACTACATTGAGCATCAAACTAAAGAAACTGTTTCATTTGTTCTTGATAGCCTACCAGACTTCACCACAACAGAAAGAAGCGTGGACACGTCTCAGCCGGTCACGGTCGTATTGGCAAGCACAGAAAGCACCCTGGTGGTCGTGGTCTCGCTGGTGGTCAACATCATCACCGTATCAACATGGATAAGTACCATCCCGGTTACTTTGGTAAGGTCGGTATGCGTCACTTCCACTTGAAGAAGAACCCCAACTGGCGTCCTGTTGTCAACATTGACAAGCTCTGGACTCTAGCCGGTGAAGGTGTTCGTGAAAAGTACAAGAACACCGAAAAGGTTCCTGTTATCGATGTTCTTGAAAAGGTAAAGTAGATTTGAGCAAAATGAGCACTCATTTGGAAAGAAGGAATGCTTTGGGTAGATCATTAACAAATCGCCGTTTGTCTGTGAATTTAATTTAGGGTTACGGTAAGGTTTTGGCTAAGGGTGTCATCTCTCAACCCGTCATTGTCCGTACTCGTTTCGTCTCTGCTCTCGCTGAAAAGAAGATCAAGGCTGCTGGTGGTGCCATCGAGCTTATTGCTTAAGCGATTTCCCTCAATCAAATATCTTTTTACAACGACCTATATAACTTTTTTTACTACAGCAAAAGTAAAATAAAACCAACAGAAATAAATTGTCTTTACATTTTTGATTTTTGTACATAGTCAAACATTTTATATCTGGTTAACCGAAGCATGTTGTTTTCAACTATAGTTATCTTTCTATAATCTTTGTTTATTCGGTGAGAAATTTACAGATGGGCAATTTGTATGTATCTAAAACCCAATATTTTTGTCTGACGCCGTCCCAGACGCCGTCCTCTGCCCATGTGGAAATTGGCATGTCTATATATTCCGTACTTAGACCAAATTCCCGTAGATCAATCTCGGATATGTTGCAATAAATGTCGTGGAAGAACTGATTGGTAGCACCTAATCCGTTGAACCAAGTATACACACCATTCTCATTCAACATGTTAGGTACAAATTCATGAAAAGCTAGTAAATCATCATAGAATTCTACATCAAATAATGAAGTCAGTTTGAAAAGGCCTAGCTTCAAATTGCCTGTGCGAAACACAATTTTTTTTTTTCTTTTTACCTCCGTATGTATCAAAGAAAATGCCATCAAAAGCAATATCAATATGAGATAACATATCTTGCCATCGCCCAAACAAAATCTTGACGCCAGGCTTCTTGTCCCAACCCAGCTCTAACATGTGTGCATAAACGTCCGGATGCGCTTCTATAATATAGTGATTTTTTGGATGATATTTCTGTAATTCTGTATCGATCAATCCAAGTCCAAAGCCAACATTCAAAACATTCAAGCCTTCTTTAGGACACATCACTTTAGCATGCTCTACCATAAGAGGACCTTCCCAGCCCATCATGACAGCATCATTATTCTCATCCATCAATTTATTGTCATCATAATGTAGTTTTTGGTTTAGGTAAGCTTCATTGGCAATAGCTGCTTTTTCGGCTTCTTCATCGTCACCGCCAAACATCTTTTTCAGGGCGCGGATCAACAATTCTGACCGTACACCTTCATCCACTAAGCGCTGATATACTTTATCATGTTTATTTTTCAATGCGAGTTCACCAGCTGTGATATCTGATTTATCCGTTAAGTTGTAGGGATGCTTTTCTGATAATAGCCATTCCACCATGTCGAAGTGACCGCACTCGGCAGCGTGGTGAAGAGGTGTGCGACCTAACTCATCGCCACTGAAACATAGATCGACGTTTTTTTCTAATAGTTCTTTAGCTTTGTCCTAGTACATACATGAAGTTAGACAACTGAGGTTGAATCGAAGTTTTTATCTTGGAGATCTTTACTAGATCGTTAGCGATCACGGCTGCGATAAGTTCATGACCAAGTGCCAACTCTTCTGCCGTATATTCGGCTGTTTCTGCTGTTGTAGATTCCTCTTCTTGATTCGTTGTATTTTCAAGCACCTCCTTTTGGTCTAGCTCTTCTGTTAATTTTTGCCTCTTGATTTCTTGTTCTGGCATACTATACGCAAATCTTGAAGCGAGTAAAATACGTTCAACAAAATAAATCAAAAAAAAAAAAACTAAAAAAAACCAGCTGGAGACGACAGCTTTTTTTTCCATTGAAATAGCGGTTATTGAATTATTTGTTGCAGATTTTACCAAGTAAGCCGCTGGTCCTATATCTATTATCTTTGTTTAGGCTAACAAAGAAAGGGATACCATATCCTTTTTGTGACAACAATCTATCTTTGAAATGCCTGTTTGTTGTCAAGAACCGATAGAGTTTTGTTGTCAAAATTTAGCGCGTTCTCAGCAACTCGTCCGCGTTGTTTTTGTTGTCAAAAAGGTTCTTTGTTATCCAAGAGTATTATAACAAATTTATATGAAAATAAAAACGTTGTACCTTTTTCCCTTTTTTTTATCAGACGCTAGTTACTCCTTCAAAGAATTATCAAGAAAGTGTTAATAGTGGATTATTAGGAAGATAGATTAAGGTCTTATGATTACTACCCGCAACGATCTCAAGTGAAGTAAAATATTACCTCAGAGCGAAATAGAAGAAGATTGGAAGCGAAAATATGAGCATTGCCATCGAATACTGTCGTATGGAAGCAATGTGCTCTAACTGCCGACACAACTAAAGCTTTTTTGCTTGGCAGTAATATATCATTAATAAAGCAGGCTCCTTCAGACAGACTATTCGAACAATTATGAGTTTTAAGCTGGAAGGCTGCTCTATGTAAACTACGTGGACGGTGTTCTTAGAGCAGAGCGCAGTATCTTAAGGAAGGAACACGAAGGCATCCAACAAAAAGTTATTGAGTTATGCAGGTTCACAACTAAAGCGTAGCTTTTCATGGGTTACCACTTTACGAAGACCGCAACCTTACCGTCAAGAAATACGTTTATGACCGAAACATTTGGTACTACATCTGTAAGCTAGTCCTGGGCCAAGGAAAGGTCTATAAGGTCTACCACATTTTTCTTTGTGTTTACCGGGTTTTTTAAAGGCTTAAACTTTGGTCTACCCGGTCTACCAGGTCTACCGGGGGGGGGGGGTTAAAAGGTTTAACTTGTCTACCAGGAGAGTCTACATTGACCACATTGTGGGAAACTGTACTAAACGGACGGATATAACGTGAAGGGAGCATTGAAGCCTACTTTTCAGATAAAATGCTTGACTTAATATTTTCATAGAGAAGATTCTGATTGCTCAATTCACTATCAAATAATAGAAAACGAAGAACAGCGTGCTTTACGGACTCATTGATTCATATTGCCTTCCTAAAATTCTGAATGATATGGATGCTTGTAAATGGTTGGAGGATGTTGATATAACAAAGCAGCCCGAAGTCGATGCAGCAAGCTAATCATTGATGGAACAGATGCCATCAAATCCAGCAATTGAAAATACCACAACAGCACCATCCATTTCTACTCACTTTTATTAAGCGTTCATGCTGCAGATGGTTGAGGCAAAAGCCCCTACCGCTAATCCGGAAAACGAAAACCCGAGTTTATTCTCATTGACTTCCACTGTGTCATCCAAATGAAAACATATTAGCATCAACGAAAAGGCTCCGAGCTGCCTGACTAGACAATCCAATGATCCTATGCTAACAGCCTTGAAATTATTCTTTAATACTGTTAATTTTTCAAAGCTCGAAAATGAGACATAAGAAACTAAATACAATTTGCTTTTACAAAACCAATAACACTAACGAATGTTTGTTGCCCTAATAGTCTAAAAGACCTTATAGGAGCTCCAGGCAACTCTAAAGATGTGTTAAATTGTTTTATACATACAAATGGCTTTGTCGTAACCTTTTTGTTTGTCCGCTTTAGCGATGAAAAAAATGAATCGGCTGCATTCACTCTCCTCTCCAAACTATGTCCAATACATTGCAAACAGCGCAATGTTTAAGGAAAAATACAGTACAGTATTTCAATGAATCCACAAATGCGCAAAAGTCAAAAAATGCTGGCGATGCCAACTGGAAGTTTTCGAACTTTGAAGAGCAGGCATAAAAACAAGAGTTGAAAAACCTGAATGGTAGAACTCAAACGTGGTTGTTTGGTAGTTAAAATAGCTATCTTAATCAGCCTGGGTGCCGCTTCACACAGGCGGAATGATGGCGCTGGTATAAAGTAGGCAGGTACACAGGACGTAAACCTTTCTCGGCCTTCACGACAGCGATGAGACATACCATTATTCTACCAAATTAAAGGTTCTGTTTTCATAGACCCTGTCAATATACTGTGGAAGTAATTTATTATAGTATAAAGTTACAAAGTGTTCTTAATGAATGCCTGCTTAAGGCTAATATGACTGCTATACCTGCTGAACAGTTCCAAAGTTAAACCCTTTCAATAGCATGCGACCTAATTGAACCTTTCCAGCTAATGAGGCTTTCTGTTCATTTACAAAGGTTTGTTAGTACTTGCTTCTTTTAGTGTTGTTGCTCTGATAAACATAAAACGAGTAGCTTAGAGATGCTGACGTTCGAATTGTTCCAAGCAATTTTTTTCGTACTGGAGGATTTTTGTGAACTGGCTGACTATAACACCACGTCGTTTCAAATTGTTAATCGTGTCTTTCCCTACAGAGAAAACATCCAGAGCTATTTTTTAGACGTCTTGAATAATCGAGTCATCATAGCAAATACCATTATGTTCTTCTTTTGAAAGATAAACCCAAACAACTATAGGGCCAATCGATGTGCTATCAGTGTGCTTCGCAATAAAATCGCCGCGTAATTTCAAAATGCTTCGCCCACAACGACAAGGATGTGTGTAAAATGGATTGCCGTCCGCTTTGTCAAATGCAGAATGACGAACCTCCCTTCTTAAAAAACTATCAAAAATTGTCACTACCAATAGGGCAATATCTTGGCACGATCCAAAATGTTCAACCAGTACCGAATAGTTCGAGTTACAACTGCAAGATTTACTTTGCACTGTATTCCAATGATGACATATGGAAGAGCGCGTGCAAATTCATTGAATGGGAAACATACCATATGCGCTCGCCGTCCACCATATATAGTACTTTCATTAACAGAGTATGCGTTTGTTGTGATTTCACTACGTTTGACCACAGTGAATATCATATTTTTATACTTGTTGATTTTCAATAAATCAAAACCAGGCCAAAGAGGTGGTGTCATTGATAGGGTATTAAGGTCGTCCTTGCTTATGGTCTTGGCCGCAATTTTTTGCTGCTTGTTGTTGAAGGAAGACGAAAGACTACCTTCTTCGTTTAATTGTCTATCGTCAGCATTTTATTTTCGTGTTATTGCGCTGTTGCCAAGATAGAAAAGTAGGTATTCGCGCTATTTTGCGGGATCAAGACATTCTCGCTGTGTAAGCATTATGTGTACGATTTCAGGTGAATATATTGGGATTGCAGTCCCTACAAAAAGGCATTTCACATGCGCGCTTTAAAGAGATAGTAGAAATGTGATCTCTTGTCCGATTTTATTCTTTTTTCATTGACTATAGTCTTTATTGCACACAGCACTCAGGGATAGTAGAGCTTAACGGAAATTAAAGGATAAAAGGGTCTAATGAAACTGTAACACTAGGGAGCTTGGATAATTACTGTAAAGTATGCATTTCAAGAGACTGAAGGTTTACGTCACGACAACCTGCTCACTTCATGCGGGGTGCCGTCATTCTTCCCGTGTGAAGAGACGTCCAGACTAGCCAAACTAGCTAATCAAGCTACCGAAACTACTCAAGCTACTCAACGGATCGCCATTAATTTTCCCTTGTCTGCCATTTAGGTATTTTCGCACCTGCTACTCATAATTTTATTGTCTGCCAAACAAAGTTCAAAAACTTCCGTTTGGCATTGCACGCATTGTATGTATCAAAACGACTAGAATTATGTTAATGCATATCAAGGCAAATTGCCTGATGCAGCCGAAGCTATTGTTTGAAAGTTGTCCATCTTACTCTGACAGAAGATCAATGATTATATCCGCTAAAGTGTCCCTGTGTTTGCAATGTTTGCACCCTACATAAAAAGTCTGTACACTCCACCTGCAATGAAGCCTAAATTTTCAAATTATTTAAAGTTTCCAGGCAGCAGAAAACAGAAAATTTGCCAGCTTTACCTATACCCACAGCGCCTAGCCCGAGCGCAGTTTTTGCTCTATTCGGCACTTTACTAATGACTCTAGCCTCTTTTAGAGCGTAAGCGCCTAAACCGCCGAAACCAATGGCTCCAACGATTTTGCAAGAGGTGCAATCTTGAAATTCATTGTTAACATTTGCAGAATCGGTAGAATTACTCAGTTTTGATTCAATTTTCTAAAGTAAAAGGTATGAGCCGCCCTGTTTCCAATAAGTTTCAATCGTAGAAAGAAATTACACTGATCATAATGATTGTTGCTCACTTTGAAGTATGATAAAAAGCTGTCGTAATGCAAGGAATATCAAATAAACAAACAGTGGTCAGCGAATTCTGTTTTTAGCACTCAGTTATATGGAGATAACCGTTATTAAAAAAAAAAAAAGTACTATTACAATAGATTTGTTTAAATAGTTCATTACATTTCCCCCTTTACAGTGAACTTGCTTTTCAGATTTTTTGATATTTTCAGTTAATTGTTATCAACCAGCTAACTATTATTTATCGTTTTGTTCTTTCTGATATACAGTGTAAAAGCCGAACATTAAAGATCTTCCGAATCGAAGCACACAACCCGCAGATTTTATTATCTGTTCAACATTTCTAACTTCTGCTTTCTAAAAGACCAATATTTCTCTCTGATGATATCTTGTTTTTCTGCTAGTTCCTGACACATAATCAGAGCAGCAGGATCAATCGTGGTATTTCCATTTTTAGCATTTTGTTCGTATATATCCACATAAGTACTTAATAGAAATGGCGATTGTATTTTCGAGTCGATGAGTTGCTTCAAAAAGGGTTCAATGGTATTCAAGGGCTTGTTTGTCTTTTCATGCAGACTATCGAATTATAATCAATACTATGACCATGAAGGCTCCATATTTGAAGGTTGAAAACTTACGCTTTCAAATATGACCAGCTGCTTGAATTATTCGGCGCCAATGTAATCTGCTTCTTTGCGAATCTACATACAGTTAAGCGAATGATGTTAACCGCGGTTAAGTGATCAATATGTTATTAACAAATAAACCGTAGTGTTACTCTATTTCTGTGGCAATGTTTTCGTCTGTAGGTTTTTGTGGATTGTTAAACAGAATGAAAAATCTGTGATTCCACGCTGAATTATTCCTCACGTCCAAGACCAAGAGATCATTTGTATAGGCTATTTCACTCTCCCAAAATTTAAACCTTTTCACAACCCACTGTCGATAAGACCATGCATGATAATTTTTTGGATCCTCATCCAAAATACTGTTGATGAAAGGGAGTTCTCTCGTTCCGTTATCCAACTTATCGACAATGATTTGACGGTGATGCCAAATTTGATAGTTTTTCATTTGCGCTGGCGCTATTTCGTCAATAAAATTGAGTTCTTCTTCTAGATCAGCTTTCAAAGCAAAGAGGATCTGTTGTCTGTAGTTCCTATTTCAAGGTAACCAATTTCAGTATTGAAGTAAACGTACGTGTCTCGAAAGAATTGAAGGAGTTAAAAATTTACCAGACAGTATAATGCGCTGGATTCATTTCAATGATGTCCTCTGTAAGCTTTAGGGCTCGTTCCGTTTTTTCATTTGTGCGAGTCACTGCTCTAAAGTAATCCATAGCATCAGAATCTAAATTGAAAACAATATAACTTGTTTGTAAACTATACTCCAGAAGTTAACAGTTTGCTTGAGAATATACTAACATTCTTTAGCATATGCTATAGGTACAAGAGGATTTGGTCCATCATCTTGACGTATAGGTGTCACATCGTTCCATTCAGGTCTCTCACTATATAACATATCACTCATCTTTGAAGTATGTCGATTAGAGAAAACATGGTAAGGACGTTCTGGAATTAAAATTAAAAAAAAAGACGCGTGTGTGTTTCTGCATGCAGTAACAAAAAAGTATAAAAACCGTCTTTTTCCTTGAGCGGGCTATCTTTTTTCTTTTATTTTCTTTATAAACTTATTTACAAATGATGATCCTCCATCCTTGTTCAGAGCAAATAGTATGTATTTGCAAAGCTGAAAAGCTGGAGTAGGCCAATATAAATTCCTGGTCCTTCCTGGAATATGTTAAAGGCTGATGTGAATAGGTTTTCCCCAATAATTTCAATCTTCTTCACTATCACTGCCATAATTCGCCAAGCTTCCCAGAGCTCCTGTCGCATTTTGAGGTTTACTGATATCCTTACTGCTCGTTACAGTATTGTTTTTCGAAAACTCCTTCAAGTTTGTAATTACTTTCTGAGGAATGATACCTCCTACTTTCTCTGATTCGTCTATTCGTTTCTGCTGTTCCTGTAGTTGTTGATAATATTGCTGATAATAACGATCGTAATCTTCTTGTGAATATTCATAAGTCGCATTGAAATTGTACGTCGGAGAAGCTACAGTCTCTGATTCGGCTTTCTGTTTCTTTGAACTTTCCTCTAATTTCGCTGATTCATCTTTTTCTAATGCCCTCTTGACAGATGTAAACTCGGCGGGCAGTTCTGCTTCATTATCTTGCTCGTCAAACTCTCCGTTCTCAAAAGCTTCCATAGCTTCTAACATTTCTTGCTCTGAACGGTCTTTCATATTCAAACGATTGGCTGCTTTAGGATCTGCAGTTGCCCAGCGGACATTGAGAATCTCGTTATGTTCTAAACTTTGGTTCATCATAGCCTCCCTTGCGAATTCAGCATTTGCCCTAGTTTTATAAGTAACAAATGCAACTCCACGTCCTCTCAAAATCCTAACTAATATTTGTAGTTCATTAATAATTGAAGGATTAGGTCATTCTTTTTATATTGGTACTACCTCTTTCTAAGGGCCCAAATTGGCCAAACTGACGTCTAACAGCATCCTCTATGTCTTTTGTCTGTGCAATTCGACCAACGTACAAAGTTCTGTTTTCCCGCATAAAACCACCTACGCCGCCCATATCTTGACGAAAATCACTATTTGACAATCATTATTGCGTTAATATGCTAAATACTTGGCCTACTATCGTTAGATAGGCATGGGCAAAATTTTTGCTACTTACGTGAATTTGTCACGTCCAAAACAATCGATCGTTGTCTCTTTCATATCATTTTCTGTAGGAATCCGGTGCCACATTGTACAATTGTGCCCTTTTGCACACATGCCTTTGGCAAAAAATAAGCAGAAGTATGCATTTTTGTTCTTTGAGCCGAGTGTCTCGCCTGAATCTCTAGCAATATTGACTTTGAACTTTGGTCTCACGCTTTTCAGTAGTTTGTTATAGCAAGATTGATCAACGGAAGGTTAGCTAAAAATTGCAAAAGTAGTTACAATTATAATGTTTCGATTATAGTGTGTCAATACCTGTGTCTATGAAAATCTCTTTCCAGACCAGAGTAACGATGATGCCAAATGTTATATGTTCCTCCTTCAGGTCTCTTTTCTCTAAGATATTCATCAAGTTCAGCTTGGGATACCTAGAAATATTATACTAGTTTAGTCTACAGTTTTTACTATCCATTGCCAGAAAAGGTTTACTTTACTTGTACACGTGCAGGCCTCATTCTCTGTGTGTTGTCCATGACGATGGTTGCTCCAGAACGTTGATCGTTCAAAAATGGATATTTGAAAAAAAAGCGAGATAAAAAGCTAAATAAAAGCAACCCAAATTTCTATTGGCTAATAAATCTGTCAAAGGTGTAAAAAAGGAAAGCTGCGGCATTCATCATTCTGATTACTTTTATTTCTTCAATTTTTTTTTGTCTTTGGAGAAATGGAATCAACCAGTGCACAAGCCAAGGCTTCTTCTACAAACTCTAACGATAGCACTTCACAATCAGGAGTTCATGACAAGAAAAAGCGTAATCACCGTCGCCGTAACAACAAGAGTGACAAAACCAACGTTGGCAGTAGCAGCAGTAGCAAGAAGGAGATAAACGAAGCGCGTGATAATTCTGCGAAAACCGAAGAAGGACCAAGTATTAGTGCTGAAGGGCACTCTACAAGGGAGAGGAACGAAAACAACAGTAACACTAAGAAGCAAAAGGAGACTGTAAGGAGAGGTAGGAAGCCGCAACAAAAGCGTCAACCACCAGGAAAGCAAACCAAAGAGCAGCAACAAGAGCAACGACGAGAGCTCTTAAAACGACTGAAAACGTCACTACGAGCAGAAACAGAAGAAAACAATGACCATACAAAAAACGACGAAAAGAAAATTGAAAAAGGAAAGGAAAAGGAAGCTGACAAAAATGATACTGAAAGGGAAGAGATTGATGAGGATACAGAGGAGGATGAAGAAGTTTGCTTTATCTGTACTCGGCCCATTGATTACTACGCTTTAGCACCTTGTGATCATCGTACTTGCCATATGTGTACTTTAAGGTTGAGAGTGCTTTATAAAACAAAGAATTGCGCTTACTGTAAGGTAAGGCGACAACTAATCTACAGATATGCTTGCGTATATGAGCCTCCTGATTATTAAACACAATAAGTAATGCGCAATAGGTTGAAGCAGCAAAGGTAGTTTTCACAACCAATGGAGAAAAGCCGTATGAGAACTACAAACGCGAGGATACACCTTACTACGATAAAAAGTATGGCATTCGTTTTGAAACCGAAGAGATGTACAATGAGACGCTGGTTTTATTACAACACAATTGCCCAGATATGGAATGTGAAGCAGATGCCTTTGATAGTTGGAATGAATTAAAGCGTCATGTTAAACAAGCACATCAAGGCAAACTACTGTGTGATTTATGTTTGAGGAACAAGAAGATTTTCTCACATGAACATACACTTTACACCAATGCTCAGCTTCCGAAGCATTATCGAGAGGGTGACGCCTCATTTAATAAAGAAGACGAAACTGGATTCACAGGCCATCCAGAGTGTGTCTTTTGTAGAACAAGATTCTATGGTGGTGATGAGTTGTTTGAGCATTGTAGAATCAAGCACGAGCAATGTCATCTTTGTGTGAAGCACGGTATCCAGCATCAGTACTATGCTAATTATAATAGCTTGGTAAATACAATAGTCGTAAAGCTGGCATCATCAGAAATGGAGAGATTCTAACTGATTTATAACTGTAGGAAAAACATTTCAATGAGGAACATTTCTTGTGTCAATATAAAGAATGTTTGGATAATAAATTTGTTGTGTTCGATACAGATATTGATTTGAAAGCGCATGAATTAAACGAGCACAGTGGAACACTTTCACGTCAGCAAAGAGCCAAACAAAGCCGTGTTGATGTGAACCTAAGCTATTCGGGCGAACAACCTCGTACAAACAGTAGGAATCAGCGTGCTGATAGTAGCAACAGTAGCCATACTGGTAGTAACACCCCAACCTTATCAGCTGCTGATTTTCCCAGCATTGATGGTCGTCCAGGGCCAGCTTCGTTGTTGGTCTCTCAGCGAGCTGAAAGCGGGATAACTGAAAGAGAACATTGGCCCTTGTTAGGAGAAGAACCTCGCACAGATAGAAGCGGAAGATCATCGCCTGCCGTCAGTAATGAGCCGGATACAAGCATCGTATCACGCCATGCAGCTGCATTTGATCGAGTGGCGAATCTTTTGAAGAACGTCGAAAACGTTATTAAATTCCGTCAATTGATTACAGGATTCATCAACTTGAGCATAGATACGGCTGCCTTCGTAGATAAGGTTTATGAACTGTGTAAAAAAGATCCAGAATTCACTGCCAAGGTTCTAACAGCGGCGAATGATTTGGTTGATGATAAAACATTAAGATCTGATGTAATTCAGATATGGAACAAAATGAAAAATCCAGTGAGTTTCATTTTCTTAAATATTACACAAAACAAAACTTCATGATTTAACCGATTAAAAATTATTCATAGGAAGCTGCTACGACACCTCGTGTATTGGTTGTTAATCCAGCGAGCAGTAGTAATCAATCAAGGCATCAGAATTCGAATAAGAAAGCGACTGGTGTTTGGGATAAAGTAGCATCAGCTGCTATGGATGCTGGTGCTAGAAGGACTAACTTGCCACCAATTGGAGTCTCGAGGACTCCATGGAGTGGTTCTTCTACCCCTCAATCTTTTTCCGGCACTGACTTACAAGAGTTATTCCCTGCTTTACCTAGTTCGTCAACTCGCAGTTCGCGAAGAGCTGACATCAATGCTATTCTTAGAAAGCCTAATACAAATCAATGGGCTGAACCCAATAGTCCTTCTTCAGGATTAACACCGGCTACAGATTCAGAATATTCAGATATAAGTGATACCAATACTAATAGAAAGAAGAAAGGGAAGAAGGGTAAACAAGTTCTATTCCGTGTAGGCTTATAGCGCTGTCTGATGCTGCAGCTCTATAAATAAGCAGTATAGAAATTTTAATGAAAAATATGTATAATATATATATTGTGTACATAGATATTTACTCATGAATAAATGTAATATATATTGAAGGGTATCTCTAAAACGCTTAGAGAACAATAGAATCAAAAGGGCAAGATTATAGTATTGGTATGATATAATGTGGATACATTACGTATTTTACGATGGATACATTACGTAATTTACGGAGGAGTTTGATGATCATCGTCTGTTAATGTACTGGAGCTTGTTGCTTGGGCCATTGAGAAAGGTGAAAGGATCATAGAGCTTTTAGTTGAAGAATCTGTTTTTTTTTCTGTAAAGTCCCACAATATATTCAAAAGTTCTGGACCCAAGGAATATAGATCGAGCATAAATTCCTCTGAGAGAGATAAAGAAATGTGTGAATACTATGCATGAAACGGCGTGAAGGGGATATAGTTTTTCATACCATCATTTTCCTCAAACAATGTATCGTGTCTTTTGTGGTTCGTCACAATGTATCTTATCTCCTCTATCTGTTCTGGTGAGCTCATACTTAGGCGCTTCGCTAATTCCAGAATATCGACACCCTATACCAAGCTAAAAGTCAACACAAGAACACTCAAAAGTTTTGATGTAGTATTATGATTATTCGGAATGCCTACCTCTGGTAATCCCCATGCTGACCGAATCGGCTCTTCTTTTCCTTTATAATGTATGGCGTTGACCTTATCCAGATCTTCCGTACTATATATCTCATCTACAATAACCCCATCCTGCAGTGCTGTTTTCTTTGTTAGTCTATATCCATGCATGCCTCTATATAAGTCATCTGATTCATTACTGTACTCGTTCAAAAAATGGATATGACTATTGCTAGTTGTTGACGGTGATGCTGCTGCTGCTAACGATGCCGGGTATTTATTGTTAACAGTGTAATTAAAAGTAATAGGCGTTAAAGCTGTTGCTCCGTCATTGTTATACAGTGCTGGGGAAGAGGCACCTGGGGGTGTCTTGATCTTTTTGTTGGCTACAGCTCCTGTTGTAGAACCTGAATACGATGTTGATGAAGATGGACTCGCACGCCGTTTTTTGCTAGAGGACCCATCATGATGCGTATTGGACGTAGAAGATGAATCTGGTATTTCTATGGTTAATAAACGTAGTAGCTCTGTTGATGGGTTGGTGAATACAATTCTATGCATAATGGTATAAGTATGATCACGGAAATGGAGATCAAATAAAATGTTTTCAGGTTCTGCCAGATTGTTGGTAAAATATAGGACAACACGCATGTCAAACTCCCCCCAACCTTTTTCTTGTATTAGATAAGGCTCTTTCGTATAGACTGACATGATAGAATTTGATTGTTAAAATTTGCAATCCAGATTAGAAGATCATGTTCTTTACCTCGCACTGGTTTTTCAAACGTTGGATGTAGGTAATATTCGACCCGATCCAGCAAGTGATTCAACTTGCCTCGTTTCTCGCGATTATTGTCAACGGCTACTAATTTCACTTTCCAATTTCGCCATGGATGTCCTTCTGCTGCTTTTGCACTGCCCTTTATAATATGGTTCTGACAAATAATTTTTATATTTTGGATATACTCATTCTACAGACAGGGAAAACCGAACCGTATGTGTTTAGATTCACAGGAATAAGTTGTTCCTAGACCATTGCATTCGCTTCTAATTACCATTGGCTGCTACAAAAAAGTTCCTCGTATGTTTGTATTGTTTCTGCTCGCTACAGTAGGTGATAAGAGATCTTCTAATTTGCAATGCTGATCGGCCTGACTTGCTTGTCTTCTTTAGTCTACTTAACAATTAACTTTTGAGAAAAAAGGAGTTAAGCTTATCCAGCGCCTAAAAGCAAAAGCAGGAATTGATTGAAATAGCAACTCATTGAAAGAAAAACTTACAAAAATAAATGAACAATATGGTACAAGAAAACTCAAATTATTAGCATAGTGGCAATAGATTGTCACTTGCACAGTTTTTCCGAAAAGAAATAAAAAAAAGAGAGAATGCGGTGTGGTTGTGGTACAGAAACACAGAATCAATTGAAAAATGGGTCCTTCTTCATCACCCAGCTGACGTCAATCTCCGCATAGACTTTTACTATATGTTAAGGCGGGCGGAAAGACAAGAAGCTGTTTCATTGCTATTGGCGAAAATCTGTTTTCTCCCATCTCTTTTACTCTAAATGACGGTCAACAGTTTTTATTGATACAAGCAGAAGTATTAATCTCAAAAAGCAAGTTTACGCTTGGTTGTGTTCTATCACGAAAGATTCAAGGGTTGCATATATAAGGTAGTAGTATGTTTAGTTTACGTTGAAGGAAGGTGGTAAAGCTATACATTGTCGGCAAGTCTTCCTCGCTTCTCGCTTAAGCCTCTAATCCCATAGCTTCTTTCAATAATCTTTTCCTTTCTTCAATTTCTGACTGTCCCATGACAGTATTACTCATCAGTTCCTCGTAACTAGAATGCACTGACATACCATCTTGCTTCAAGACATTATCGACGACTTCATCCAAGTTTTCTAACGTTACAAAAGTATTGGAATGCTTATACAGTGCTAGAATCCGTTTACATCTTTCCTGGCTCTTTTCCGCCTCCCATTCCTTTCTGTTATTCTCCTTCTGAATTTGTCTGTTATCATGTGCTTTTTGCGATAATGTATCTAAGTGAAGCATTTCAACTACTTCAGCTTCATGTTTCTTTTGTTGTTCTTTTTCAGCAAGGCGCCTGTTTTGAATTTCATGTTCTTTATCTCGATTGGAAGCGATCTTTTCTCGTTTAATAAGTTCCCGTTGACCGTGTAAAGCTAAAAGTTCGTGAGCATGCTTATGACGGGCTTCCGTAAGAGCTTGACGATAGAGTTTTTTGGGGCTGGTAGTGCTTGTGGTTTGTTGTTCTACGTTTTTCTTTGCGTTTTCTAAATGCGATGGAAGTGATGTGCCTAAATCGCGACGTTTTTTGGTAGGCTTGATATCTTTGCGGGAACCCTCAGGCGGTGCAAACCCCGGTGCATAACCTTTACGTCCTGGTATATATTCGCTTGCTGAAGAGGAAGAGGAGGATGCATATCGCAATTGTGTAGCTATAGCAGCTATTGTAGTTGATGGTTTAGCACTTGAACCGATACGAGTAAAAAGTGTAAGAGCTGGCATATTTAACTGAACGACGAGCAAAAAAAAAAAAAAAAAAAAAAAAAAAAGGCACTTTGGATGTAAATTGTGGAGGGGCTGTTCTTGATTGCCGTGACAAGGGGTTCCAAAATGTTTGACAGGACAGACAGTGTTTTTACTTAGTTTTCGGACTTCAAAGTCCATTTTTAATGACAGACTTCTTCTTGGTTTTTGCGGACTCTACGCATTCTTTCATCCAATTACGTATATTATCATCTTGCAAATCACTGTATACAGTTTTTTAGGATAGATTTTGGATTCATCAAAGCAAAAAAAAAAAAAAAAAATGATCGCAGAATAATGTATAATAAGTTTCCAAATCGAAATACGGATATTTATGTATAGTAAAAGATGCATACATGAGTGTAAACTTTACACAGTTTATAAGGTAGATTGCACGCGTAATGGAAGACCCAGACTGCACGATCTTCTTTAAGGCTCTTTATATACTATAAATTACCCCAATCGTGTAGAATTAATAGATGTATACTATACATAATAAAATAAAATACACGCATGATAAACAAAAGGATGTTGGCAATTATCTGCTGGGACGAATAACTGGAGCTTAAACGAATAATAGATACTCTATGTTGTTAAAAGAATGTCATACAGGCAATCGTACGTAATTAAAACTATTTCAATTAGATTCTAATTGCTTTATCAATAAACCCACATCTCAAACATTAGTCATTTCCATAAAACGAATATCGGCACAGAGCATTAAATATATGAAGATCTGTAAATCTCACATGATTATTAAACAGCTTCTTTTTATTTTCTTACCGTATGTACTATGTCACAAACCCTTTCTCTTGATTACTCCCTGTAGAGTATACGCAGCTACCCGGAGCGGGTGGACTTGCAAATTTATCCATTGGTTGATTCAGTAAGATAAATATACAATTAGAGTAATTATATCCGTCTACTTGGCCAAAAAACCCGGTTTCCCAGTGGAAGTACGAACGGGTAGCGCGTCCATTAATCGATAAAGGCTTAAGAATTTCCGTCATTGATGCTGATTTGCAAAAGTTAGGCGATGTTTAATATGAAAATGCAATCACCAGTAAAATTTAACAACAAAACAACCAAAAAGAAATCAACTTGTCTAAATTCAAACAAATGGGCTATATCGATAAAATGAAGTACTTATGTGAAAAGTTTGAGAACAAAGGAGACGCTGATTCTATGAAAGACAAGATTGCAGCCCGTTTTCAACCATATCTATCACAACTCATGATCCATCTACAACCATCTATGACAAGAAAAGAGTGGGAGACGTTGATACTAAAAGCCAAATGTAAATCGAAAGGTGATGTTGATAAGTTATTATCATACTTTTACACCGATGAAACCATTATAACTCCAACATATCCCTACATCAGGTAAGCTTTAGCATTAACTGTTGAACTTTGATCTTTCGGTCAGCTCTTGCAAAATGATAATATCATATCATGGTACAGAAACCATGTCTATTCAGCAGTTTGGAACAATGCATTTTACACGATTAGTGGGTTCACATCTAAAAAAGCTGAGTGTTATTTCAGTATAGCTAAGAAGTTAGTGACGTCAAAAACCAACGGATTGACTTTATATTACGTGATATAAACAGCAATTTTGACTAGTTATCAACTGAGGGAAAAACAACGTTAAAAGGTTTAAAAGAAGACTTTGTTAAAGGAAAACCCTTACAAAATCCGATGCTTGGAAATGAAAAAATAAACTTGGTAGTGTAAGCATTATGAAAAGATTCGAAGCCATAATTGCCAATGGGAAGGTTTGAACTTATGATATTTGCGACTAGATATACTTCGAAGTAACACCATTGGCCAGCTATTTTTTTCACTGCAGACTACGGATTACCATCTCAGGAAATCCCCACTCTTAACTGCTGCTGTAGGTTCTCTCTGATCCAATGGATGTCCTCTTCTCACTCACCAACCTTTTAGTTACCCCTATTTTTATTCTTGATCTCAAAGGGCTTTTTGATTATTTGTATGTAAACAGTAGGATCTGCTAAGGGCAATTTTATATGACCATTGTACCCGTTGGATTATCAAAATGAAAAGAAAAAAATTAATTTGTCAATAAAAACCTCTGCGGGGTTCGAATTGATGATGGCTCTCGAATCAACCAGAAGAAATCAAAGTAAAAAAAAAAATGTATAAAAAAAAGTTTGATATACGATCGCCATTCTTTTTCTCCGTTGATCCTTCATCACACTGTTTTACCATGGAAAAACTACTACAATGGGCAGTCAATAACAGCGATAAAAATGCTTTAGCTGAGCAAGCAGAAGCTATTCGAAGTGGTAAAGCAGCTGCAGATCCCTCTAAGTTTGATCCCAAAATTCTTGAAGCCATTTTGGGTAAAGACGATGCAACACGTATGAAAGGTAAAAGAATCGCAAATTTCATTGCTTCACTATTACATCGATATTTAAAATAATAACTGATGGGATACTCCCTTTTTGCAGAGGCTGTTGCTTGTATAAGTGATCCAAATGATACTGTCGAGAACAAGGAAATAGCATTAGATAATTTAGAAATGTTAATCGAAGGCATTGATAATGCTCGTAACATTGAAAATATGAAGTTATGGCCCGATATCATCAAGCAATTAGCATCTGAACATCCTGAAGTGCGTAAAGGAACTGCTTGGGTCTGTGGTACTGCTGTTCAGAATAATCCGGAAGCGCAAAAAGCCGTAAGCACTATCAATATTTGCCTTTGCTGTTGTAGTGTTGAGTGAAGATTAACAGAAAAGTCTTAGTTTTTGGATAATCAAGGCCTAGAACCGTTATTGAAGTTATTGAAAGATGAGAACAAAGAAGTTCGTAGTAAGGCTCTATATGCAGTCTCTGGTTTTCTGAAGCATTTCGCGCCTGGCGTAGCTGCCTTTGATCAATTGAATGGTTTCACCACCCTTCATGATATGCTTAAAGATCCTGAAATAGACCCCAACATGTTGAGAAAAGTTGTATTTCTGTATAACAGTTTAATTTTTGACGATCAATCGATTGGTTTGACGCAACGCTTTTTGGAAGACGGTACATTTGAAGATTTACAAAAGGTCTTGGTGAAATATACAAAGGAGCAAGACGATGAAGATATGGTGGAGAAAACACTAAGAACCATCCATACATTGGTTACAAAGGCAAAGATGAGAGTGCCGGATGAATTGAAACAGCATTGTAAAGATGCTCGCGATAAGTATGGAGCAGATAACCTTGCATTAGTAGAAGATGAATGGAAAGATTTATTGTAAATAAATACCTGCAGCCTGGCAGTCATGTTTGAATACATTACCTTTTATATACAGCGAAATAAACTTTGTAAATATTATACGTTCAAAAGATGAGTAGTATCCAATGTATTAGTTTTCATACATGCTGATGGCAATGGTAAGCGCAAATAAAGAAAGACAAGTTTTCTCTGAGCGTATTGGATGTATATGAATATTACGAAAATTTCTTCCTCTTTTAAGCAATTTCATTCACATCACGATAAGCAAAGTTGATATTATGTATCTCTTGACATAAAACGGGCCAAGAGATGCTCAGTTTTCCTGTCTGTTTCTGATCCAATCGTAGCATTTCGTACATAAACTTGAGGTTGGGCTGTATAATAACATTCAATCGACGAGCTCTTACAAATAAATATGCATGCACCAGACGGCAGTTTAAATATCGCATCACATAAGCGATGGTAATAGCAGCACTTCGACTAACACCGACACGACAATGAATTAAACAGATTCCATTATTCACACGAGCATTCTCTACAGTGTACAAATTTCAACATTTGTTAGTTTCTTTTATCGTATAGAGCTTCTCAAGAACATAGTGATGTTTACCAACAAACTGTATCACTTCTTCCAGCCTAGTTTCAATGGAATCAATGCCGTCATCATATAAATTGTCCAAGTACAGAAGTCTGAAATTCTCGGTGTCAAGATTCGCATTTTCTCCTACACTGACAACATGCGTAATGTTCAATGCTTTCAACATGGAAGGGTTCGTAGCATGGTTCAAATTGCCCAGATATAAAAATGGTAATATCTTAGAAGGAAAAGAACCCTCGAAGCGCGGAGAAAAGAACCAAGGATAGCGTTCTTCTTCTTCTTTTGTAGGTGAAAGCTGTACTTTAGCATAAACGGCTGACTTTGTGATAAATTCTTGACTCTTTTCATCGATTGCCGAGGATAATGTATTCATCAATTCTGACGTTGCAGTATTGCTGCTTGCACTGCTGCTATTATTATTGGATACAAGATTCAAAAAGGTATCACTTTGCTTTACGCGGCTTTCCTTAATACTAGCTCCATCAATAGTTGGTGGGGATGTCATTTTTGAACGTTGAATACTTGCTTCTTCAACTGCTTCCTGATCGTCCGTCTCCTTCATTTGTGCGTCGCCATCTCTTGCAAACGACTTCTTCCCTTTGTTGGTATCACTACCTTTGTGTTCGTCAGCATATCCTATTTTCAACTGCTTCAGTACTGCTGTGTTACTCGTATCTTCGTCATCTTCGGCCACCATATTACTTTTTTTTCTCTTTGTCTGTGGTTCGAGCATTTCTCGACCTTCAAACAGCAATTTTTCAATTTGTCTCAATGTTTTCAAGTCCGTTGCGTATACAAAGAACGATCGTAACCTTTGTAAATAAAGGTAGGCTTCGGGTAAAGATAGATTCTCACGGTACATGATCCACGTCAAGCCCAGTATGCTGGTTTCCGTGTAGCCGTCAGGACAATGAATTAAAATACGCCTATTCTTTTTGTCGGCCTGTTCGTGTATGAAAGCTAGAAGGTGAATAAGGCGAGAGTAGAAGGTGTCAAATTCTTCTTCGGGGATATTGGACCCGTAGGTGTCAAAGTGGATGATCTCAGGTTTTATGTCGTCATTAAGGGTTTCACTGGCTAAGATAAGGGTGGATGGAAGAGGCATGTCCGCAAGATCGTGAGCATCGATGCATATGGTAAATTTATGAGGATTGGTATCTTGGAATATATCATCGTCTCCTTCACTGTTATCATGAGTCGTATTTTTGTGGTCCTGTTCAATCCCTGAGTCGTGATCTATGTGAATGCTATTGCTAGTAGCATCACTCAGTACAATATCTTGTGTTGATACAATGGGAACATCTTGAGTATTACCCAACTATGCATTTAAGAAGTAATGGAATACATATTAGTGAAAGCACGAGGATACTTACATTCACAAAAGATAGAGAGAGACGTACCCAAACATTTGGCGTAATTTCGCTTGCTTTACTCATTTCTCTCATTTCATTACTTTCTAATTCATAAAGATCTCTTTTCTGTAACAAAATACCATCTGAATTATACAAGACGTATTCCGGATAACTTTGTTCAAATATCCAAAAATTAGTGTCCTCTAGGACAATGATTTTGTATTCAATATGATTGGCCTGCAGTACGGCCCTTTTGCCCGCAACTTTGGCTACATGATTTAATTGATCTGCTCTTTGTTGGAATAGTTTACGTTGTGCATGTGCCATTTTGACTGCTAAATTATTCGCATTATGACCGTAAAGGATCAAATCACACAAGGTCGAAAACCTCGCTATCTGATTTTGGAAGTTTCTTAAATTGATAAGGGAAGAGATATCCCGTTTGGCTGCACGACTGTTACTATTTGGATTATTGTTGATGAACTCTTCTGAATCGAGATGTATGAGCTGCTCTGGTAGAACAGAATCCACTAAGCGAGCGCTTATTCCTCTTCTGTTTTTCTTGTCCTTTGACGTTTTATTCTTATCGCTTTCCATATACTGAATATCATCGTTGCAATGCACAAGCATAAGTCCCCGATAGTTCGGTGGTAAACACCGCCTCACCCCAAAAAATAGATTCTGTGCATTGTTGTTTCCGTCCACGCCATGAAGCCACGGAAATACTACGTCGTCTGGTGGTAAAGGGAATGATCTGTAAGCTTCGTATACTTTGACAAAATTATTGACGGATATTGTGTAAATGTTTTCATGCTTATGATTAAGCAGTTCGGCTGGAATATCAAAAAGTTCGTGCTGCCTCGAAGTTGACATGCTGTTGGCTTTTTTTTTTTCAAGAGTACTACTATACTAACGACGTAAACTCTTTTTAAGTTGCAAAATTGAGAAAGAAAAATGGGAAAAAAGAAAGATAAAAAAGGTTAAAAAATCAGGATTTGGCTTCAATGCTTGCCGGAAAAAAAAAAAAAAAATTAAAAAAGCTTTTCTTTTTACGCAACTAAGTCAATTTTTGATTTAAATCTGATAAAATGCCTCTTCAAAGCCAAGCATAGGTTCTGACTTTCCTTTTTCTGAATCTTTATACTTTCTTTAATTTGTTGTTGAACTTCTTAGATTGGGACACTGAACGACAGTTGTTCTCAGCAGATATAAACGATCTGTAATGCCTAAAGAAAAGTCAAAGAAGCATCATCATCGTCGTCATCATCATCATCGAAAAAAAGATAAGCAGCTTAAAAGGTCCGTTGATAGTGAGGATGATATAGATATTCTTGATCAATTAAAAAAATTAGCCAAAGAGCATAATGCAAAAGAAGAAAAGATGGTTAAGAATACATCTAGAACGAGTGCTCACCCTCGACATCACAAAGGCGATCGTCGTGAAGAGGTCATGACTCCAATGACTAAAGAGGACTATGAGAAACAGCGATCTATTATAAGAACAGAGTTGGATCCACAAACTGGACGTATGAGGTACATGTCGAATAAGAAACTGACTTCATTTACACATATCTTAACTCACTTGTACGATTGTGATGTTCTTTTGTCTGGAAAATCATATGAAATAACAAAAAAAAAAAGGCGGGTAAGAGCCACTGGCGAAATCTTAGAGTCTATTGTTAGTAAAGAAGAACATCACCGAATCAATAAATTATCAACGATGAACGATGGTTTATCCTACAGCCGCACAATTATCAAAAAGTCGATGGAATGAGTTTCAACTTTCTTGAGCGATCTTTGAGGGCATTATATTACTGAACCTTGCACGAAAATGTAAATCCAACTTTTTCAGAAAGCCCGAATCATTTGATATTGCTATTTTATAACACAATAATCATTATTCCATCTGATTATGCCTCAATGAATAAATCAAAATTTCTGTTCTGAAAACAAATGATTTCAGAAATGCACAAAGTTAGTTTAGAGCTCCAGTAAAGCCGTGCAAATCAAAATACACAATGTTAGTTCTTTTCTGCAGATCTTTTCAATACTTTATCCATGTATAACGAATGCGCGCAACAAGTTCCACGACTGTGCGGCTATAAGATGTTTTATGAAAAAGTTTTTTTTTTTTTTTTTTTTTTACATTTCTGGGCAGAAGCTTACCCTCAAAATCATGATCCCCTTCTAGTTTATCCGCTTCTCCGTCATCGTGTTAAAACAAATAAGGCTGACTGTTGTGCAGCTTTATTATCACGTAAATAATCTTTTTACATTATACATATAATTCATCAAGCAATTTTAGTACAAGTCAAATTATTTTATTGAATTCAGGAACAAAAAAAGAAGTATGAACAAGGTCTTACTGTTCGTCGTACAAAATTATGATGTCCCTGCCCTTTTCATTCTCTTTGATTACACAGCAATTTGTAATTAACCGATTAATAAAAAGACAACAATAAAAGTTTGAAAGGCACCAACAAAATGTCAATTCTGAAACTAGTATTGTTTTTCCTTCACGTCCTTCTTTGAGAGCAACTATCGAAAAGGGAAAACAAGCAGATGGTGAAGACAAACGTCAATTTTGTAGGCTTGTTCTATCCTTCCATTCTTTCCCTTCTTCTCTTACTACTTATTTTTTCTTTTTGCTGTGTCGTATACGTGTGTGTGAGAGGCTCCCGAGAAACGTGTACACTGTGCTCCCCCCCTCCCTTACACCGAATTCAATTACTTTATCCACTCTGTAAAAGACTTACAATAGAAGCTATTCGAACCCCTTTTCCTTTTGCTGCTTTCTTTCTTCTCATCTTTTTTTTTTCTTTTTTTTCTTCTCTTTCTTCTTTCTCTATCTCTCTTTTTGTTTAGATTTACTTATAGTATCTTGACACCTGAACTATTTACAACTCAGATAATCACTAAGCACACCTCAGGAACCAAACAAAGAAGAGTAGTGAGCTCGAGATGCAACAACCCGAGATCCTCATCAACACACCACCATCATCAAGTATACCTACTATCAATTCAGGAGTCTTAAATAATAGTAGTACGAAGCAGAGAGGGCTTACATCACCTCTCTATGAATTACAGCAGCAATATGATTCATACCGGCGTGGCAGCGGCAGCAGTAACAGTGATTACAAGAGGAGCTTCACTGTCGAAACTTTGAATGAATATTATCTCAATACTAGCAGTGGTAAAAGTCACTACATTAATTCTTCTTCTCTAACACCTCGATCAGATATCAGCACTACATCAGAACTCTTGACACCCTCTGCCGCTATCCGTGATCAATATTACAAATCAAGTCGTTACTTACAGGATAATGATGGAGCGGATGAATTAATGGACGATGACGATGATAATAAAAATGAAGGCATTATTGCCACAAGTTTGATGGTTAATGAAAAGTTGCAAGAGGCAACTGGAGATATATTGGATTATCGTCCAGGTGTTGTTTACACAAAACCTAATGATACACAAAGCATTTACACTTGTCATAGTAGCAGTCGTAGTACCATGAACGATTCAGTTATCTCTTTACGTACAGCCATTATACCCAATACAACATCTACTACCATTCATAATGACACAGAAGAGGAGATTCGCTCTATTTCAAGTACTAGAACTGTAGATGATCAATTACAGGGAAGAAAGACTACCATTTTAGGTGGAGGAAGTAACATGATAGACAAACTCATGAGGAAGAAGAGTAAAATTTCAAGGTCTGCTTCCATTTTCAACAAAAAGAAACCATTAGAGCAGCAGCAGCAGCAACAACAGCAACAACATGTCACACCTACTGCTTCAACTTCCTCGCTCAGTCTATTGTCAAAGCTATCAAAATCAACAGCACCTATGCGGGCCAAATTATTCCACTCCAGCACGAATCCACAAGGCTCAGTTACCAATCATGGAAACAGTATTAAGCAACAAAAGCAACTATTAACTTTACCAGGAAAGAAGCATGTCGCTGAAAGTGTTTACAACCTGCCTATTACAACATCAACAAGTTCATCCGCAAGTTTATTGCAGACACCCAACTCTTTCTCAGCACAGCATTATCAAGATCACCGTAAAATGTTTATTTTGGAAAAATCGCAATCAATCGCCACCTTGAATATGCCACCACAAACAGCTTCGACTCCCTACAGCATGACTACTTTAAACAGTGCACCTTTATCTACGTCTTCATCTACAAATTCGGCAGTCTCAAATACCATGGTAACAGCTATGACCTTAGTGGATGAGCCTGATTCTTATTTATCCACACCCAATTCCAACACTGTTCAGGAGGACATGCTTCTCTCTAACTTTTATCCAGCTTTACTGTCTAATGTAGCCCAAGTATTTAAAAACTCAATTATCACCAGTACAAAATCGAAAGACAGTATCAAATATAAAGACGCTTTCGATGGTAGAGAAGCAGTGGTAGGTGCATAACTTTAAAAGAATAAGGGGGGCGGGGAAATATACTAACAAAGAAATCTAAAGGAACAATGAAAAACTTAAATCACTCTTTTAATGTATGAATAGGATAAGCTCGCTCATCTGATACGAACAAAAGATAGAAACTTGGCCTTATTATTAGGCCGTGCTTTAGATGCTCAAAAATTCTTCCACGACGTGAATTATGAGCACCATCTACGAGATTCAACCCAAGAGTTATATCAATTTAAAGACCAATCCTCTGTTATTGTTGAAAATAGGCCTCGTAGTGAGTACTACAATAATCAACAAAAAAATGTCATGATTAGATCAGAGTTTACAACAGCAGCGGCTGAAAAGTTAGAAATTGAGGGCAACGACCTTAACGATTGGCCAAATGGTGTATTTACGATTCTCACTGATTGTTATTCACCAACATGTACAAAAGAAAACGTGTGTTATTCTGTACGATGCCCAAGACGCCAAGAAAAATATTTCGAACAGCAACAGCAACAGCAGCAAAAACAGCAGGAGCAAAAACATCCACGAGCTAATAATAGATTATCAAAGGGCCCCCCTTACAAACATAGCAGTAATAGTAGCAACAGTATCACAACCACAGGTCAGCAAAGTGGAAGACAGCATAGTCGAGAAGGCAGTCTAACACTCCTTCACAAAGAAGAGGAACGGCAGCAAGATCGCCTGTGGATCAACACTGTGCCTCAAACCATCCTTGATTCACTTACAAAGGAAGAAAAGAAACGGCAAGAAAACATATTCGAACTCATCTATACTGAGAAGGACTTTGTAGATGACCTGAACTATATCAAAACAGAATGGATAGACGGTATTTTGGAAAATGAACACATCACAGGAGATAAGGCTACTATGGTGCATGAGATTTTTTGGAATATTGAAGAAGTCCTTCAAGTCAATTCAACATTATCAAGCTCCCTTTTGAATCGCCAAGCAGAAAACCCTGTTGTCAACCAGGTGGGTGATATTATGTTGAGCCATGTTGCTCAGTTTGAACCTTTTGTTCGTTATGGTGCTCATCAAGTCATTGGGAAGTACATGTTTGAAATGGAAAAGTCGCGCAATCCTTCATTTCTAGAGTTTGTACGAAGAACCGAGCGACTGCCGCAATCGAGGAAACTTGAACTGAATGGCTATTTGACAAAACCTACTACACGATTGGGCCGCTATAATTTACTTTTGCGGGAAATTCTTAAACATACTCCGACAAATCATCCTGATCAGGAGACCATTCCTCGTGTCATGACGATCATTTCCAAGTTCCTCACTGATGTCAACCGTGAAACAGGCAAGACGGAAAACGCATTCAACTTGCAATTACTGAATGATCGTTTGATCAACAAGCACATTTCCAATTTCGATCTCGATCTAACCGCACCCAACCGACAATTGATAATGAAAGGAAGTTGGAAGAAGGGCCCAGCGGGCGGTGATTATGATATTGTTGTCTATCTATTAGATCACTGCTTACTCTTCGTGAGAGCGAAACAGAATGAGGAGAAGTACAAATTACATAAGAAGCCTATTCCGTTAGCCTTATTGTCATTAAGTTTCCCTGATCATACTAGACGAGCGAGTACTATTTTACCGCTGGGAAGACCGAGTAATATATCGAGTACAGATCTATTGACATACTACAACAACAACTACAACGACAACAACACTAACAACAATAACAGCCACCATTTTACTGCAGCAGCTTATACCAATACTATGCCTATTATTCCCCAGAAAAAACTTTCAACTGATTCCCTCAAAAGTACTTCTAATCACCTCTGTAATACCAATAATACCATCTCTCATTCCCCGTCACAGCCGCAACCACCTATATATTCTACTTTCCACACTATCAATAACAGTAACTCCACTTATACCAATCTTAACAGCAACGTAACTGCCACTAGCCCGTATCACAACAATAACAATCAAGGTCATCATGGATATCCTATCTCTTTTGTTCATTTGGGTAAGCAAAGTACGGGCATTATAACCTTGTACGCACCAACGTTAGCAACTCGAAAACAATGGGTTGATAAGATTGAAGGCCAACGCAAGGCATTGGTGGAGAAACATAAAGTCCTGCATATTCAACCTGCCAATGAGAATTTCTTTTCGGCGTTCAACAAGGTCAACTGTGCAGCTGTGTTTGGTATGGTCCTCTCATAGTTGATAACAAAACCATATCTCTAAGATTAAATGTATAATATAATAAGCTAACGTGCTTATTTTTTATTTTTTTAGATAACGGTAAATCGCTTCTTTTGGGTGGAGATCAAGGGGTTTATCTGAAGAAAGAAGGCAGCGGAGACAACCTGATTCGTATTCTGGCCATGGATAAAGTATCCCAGATTGATATTTTAGAGCAGAGCAATCTTATTTTGGTGTTGGCGGACAAAAACTTGTACACATATTCTTTAGACTCTATGTTAAATTCTCAGGACAGCAACGCTTTTGAAAACTCTTCTACTGCGAGTCATCATACTGTCATCAAACGAGGCAGGAAAATCAGTAGTCATGTAGCTTTCTTCAAAGTAGGCTGTATCTTTGATAAGTTGACAGAGAAGGAAAAGACCCTTATTTGTTATGTAAAGAATAATGCCATGACATCTACTATTCGAGCCTTGGAGCCTCTGGAAACGACATCCTCAACAACAGGGGCGAATGGCTCGTCTTCTTTGAATATGAATCAGCAGCAAAAGAATACGACTAAAAAGAAGATAGCAGTAGGAAAAAAGTTCAAGTTTAGAGGACATCATGAAGCAGCCCTAAAGGCTTATAAAGATTTATATATTCCTGGAGAAGCCACTTCAATCCAATTTTTTAAAAACATAATCTGTGTGGGGAGTGAAAGAGGATTTCAGATGGTTAATATCAGTTCTGCTGAAGTACAAAGTAGGTGTTTGGTCGCTCTCTAGTGATTGTATCGTATAGCCAAGTTTGTTTACCGTTTATTGATATCACATAGGTGTGCTTGACCCTAATGATGAAAGTAACAATTCACTCTTACAATTATACGAGAATATGAAGCCCATCTCCATGTTCAGGCATAAAGACGGCAATATATTACTTTGCTACGATGGTAAATGTCCTCTTCATTCCTGAACTTTTATGCATCAACCTGATCTTTTCTTCTTTTTTTTTTTTGTCATGTACAGAATTAGCATTTTATATCGATAAAAAGGGCAAGCGCGTTCGCAAAGATTGGTTTATTGCTTGGGAAGGCAATCCAACAGCTTTTGCGTTTCGATTCCCATACGTTGTCGCGTTCAACATCAATTTCATTGAAGTCCGCCATATCGACACCGGGGATCTACTGCAAGTCATACCTGGGAACAATATTCGCTGCTTAATACCAGATTCTACAGATCGCATATTCGGCGTCATGGATGACCGTATGGCAGGTTCTGAAGTGATATTCGAGTTGAAATTAGTGGATTCTCACCGTCGAAAAATGAGTATGATAAAGAATAATAGTGGTAGAAGAAGAAAATACAACGAAGAAGATATTCCTGTGGCTGCTTTATCTGCAACTGTCAGTGGAAACAATGGCGCTGTGAACAGCAGCTCTTCTAGGGATTAATCCTTTCTATTTTCATGTTGTTCATTCCAAAAATTTACAATCCTTTCATGTACATAAATCATTTCAAAATGTATTTTATAACTCGCTTCTTATAATGAAAATGCTGCCTTTAAATGCAGCTCCATGTTGGAAGAACTTTGCATTGTACTCTGTCAGCGTTTACGTTCATGTGTCTCTAGCGGACGAAACTAGTTATAAATATCGTTCGACCTGACAAAATGTCTCGTCTATACTTTGCCTGTGTTTTTATTGTTATTTAATCAGATTTAACCGCGCTTAGAAAAAGATAATTGGAAGTAATATATGTTCTTTAATAGTAAGTGGTAAATTTTTTTCATGCGACTTCTAATGGAGGACATATAGCAAAATAGCTCAAGAACCACTACGATTCAATTTTCAATAATTCTTGTCACTGCTAAACTATTGTATCAGTATGGCAATTAGTGTAGCCAATCATAAAGTTTGGGAGGCTGTTACGAAGGTTCAGGGATGATTCAACTAAAGCAATCTTTATTACAGTATTAGAAGTAGTAGGAATTAGAAGAAAAATTGACGTAGATCTGAGTGTCTGTTTCGATAGTCAGCAAGTAAAAAATGTACCTGCATCAATATCCGTGATACTGAATAAAGTGAGGCTGGCGTTGATAGTATGTTACCGCTCAACTGTAACTTTCCGATGACACGAAAACTGCATGAATAAACAGTATAGTTTATTTGAAGCAAATTTTGCCTAGCACTGCAAATATCTCTAAATTTTATACGGTGCCGAACAAGATTACAATCAAATGCATTCAAAACTCGATAAAGCAAATTTATTATAGAACTTTTAACAAACCAAAGGTTTTAATTTTTGAAAAAGGTTGATTGTTAACAAATGAATATTCATTTTAAGATAGTGTAGATGGTGTAGTAGTATGGCAAGGATCGACTATTAGAGGGGTATATTGTAAAGGATATCGAAGACGTAAAGAAAGAATATGGCTTATTCTTTCCCTTTGACCAGTCGTAAAGGCCACGGTGAACAAAAGATCTTTTGATGCCTGAAGCAGCGAGAACACATGGGTCTATTATTAGGTGTGTAAACTACCTTGAACTCATGTACCTGATCACAGCATGTAGGTTCTTCAGAAACGCTTCCTACAGAGGATAGATCTGACTGTTCATCTAGCCATTGATCGAATTGATCGTCAACCATAGAAGGCTTTGGTAGGTTGGGTGGAACGACATAGGAGAGATTAATTGTACTTTCAGTACTGGAGATGTTGGGATTAGATTTAAAAGCAAACGAAAAGAGGGGCGGATCAGGTACCAAGACGTGTTCTTTAATGTCAGGATCCAAGCCTTTGCATATTTTCTTGTATGTAGATAATTCTTCATCTAATTGTTGTCTTTTTCTTTTGCATGTTGTGAAGTTTTGAGGGTCTTCAACTACAGGCATATAAAGCCAGTTTTCTGTTCCATGGCAGATAAAGGAAAGGTCCATTTCTGCGTGTGTATTACTTCTGGTTTTGCTCCGGAGAGGACTTGTAGGAGGTACATTTTGATTCGAGTTATGCTGGGGTATCGTGTTGGTTATATCAATAATGCCTTCATTCTTAACTTGAGCGAGCAAGGGGGATTTGTCTTTTGGCTCGGATGATCTCGACTGCTTGCTTGAACTTTCATCATCGACAACTACATTCTGCTGTTTTTTCTGTTTTTTTGTTTTTGGGGTAGGTTCACCGAAATAGTTATCGTTATTCTTCATGACGTAGAAGTCTAAATTACAAGAAAAAAAAAAAAGGTTTAGTATAGCTGATGAGAGTCAATTAATGAGCTCTTGTTACCTGCATAATCAACAGCCTTTCTTTTTCTTGAACTTCTACGACGAGGACTCTCATCGCTGTTTGGGGTTGTAGGCGTTAACGAATGGCTACTATCTCCTGTAGTTGATGCCTGACTGAGCGGAGGTGCGTAATGACCGCGCTGATTACTGTAAAGCTGTTAGCCCATTAATATAAACTATGAATAGATTGGAAGGGTGTTTACCTCTGACATGATGCGCAGCGGCATTCACAGTTACCATCACCAAAATAATGATCTCCATAGAACACAGTCATTTCTTCGCCACATTTGATCGGTTTGGTAGTATAAAAGGTCACTCTGCTACCTTCCGCAACAAACTATTAAGCAAAATATAAAGAGTAATTAACTTATAGGAACAGAGAGGGGGCAATAACGTTGGAAACGTACGCGACAATTAGCTTCGCAATCATGCTATTTTCAAAGTGACAGGTATATTAATATTTACTGAAAGTATTTTAAAGTATTTTTCCATGCTCACTCACATTCATGAATTTGGCGGGACCAAGAAATAAGCGTGCAGTATTATATCTTGTGGAGATCATGACGCTAAAGTCACGTCCTTCATCGCGTAACGCTTGATCATCTTCTTCAGAAAGTATGGCAACAGTACCAACACAACATGAAACCTTCTCGCCAGCTTGCCAGTCTCTGATTGCAAGAACGCAACCTTCCATTTCACCAGTATACCTGACGGTGGAAGCTATCTCGTAGCCAGCTCTGGGGGAAAACCTGCAAAAGGATAAATGCTGGTTAGAGAATTTTGAGGACAATTCATACACATTAAAAAGCAACCTTCAAAGTACTTACATGTATAAGTAAAGACTAAGGTGGTGTTTAAAGTTTTTAAGCTCTGTTTGGCTATAATTTTTGGTAAGGTTCTTAAAGTAGGGAAGTCTAAGACAATGGGAATATTAGTTTCTAATACGAACATAATCGACAGAATTGTTTTTACGTTTTACTTACTTTAAGAACGAGGCAGCAGCATTTTTAGCAGCAACAGATGTAGATCCTTTTACCAGAATATCCTTTTGAATGATTCTGATTGCTTCATCACGTTCATCAAAGGTACAATCCATAGAAGCATTCATGCGCGTAGTATTGAACCACAAATGGAGTTTATCCACAAAATAATCAGTCAGGACATCATCGTATTGGGAAAGACTTTTGAAGTCCATTGTGCAATAATGCGTAAGTAATATTTGTCTCTTGTAATATAGTCTAAATGAACTTTCACGCTTCACTAACTCACTGATCGATTAACGATTAGAAACAAAAAAACGAACGCACTGTGTTTCCACTTTTATTAAATAAGGGGTGAATCAAGCAGAAAGGCGTGAAATGTATACTCCGCCTTTGTTGATCAAAAAAAGGAAATAAAAAAACGCGTTATGATTTTGTTGTTAGGTATGTTCAACGTGATTCTGCAGTCTTTTTAATAGTGTTTCAATCGTATTGTTTTTGTCCGATGTAGAGTTAGTTTTGTCTTTGGCTTCTTTCCATCTCTTGTTCCTAATAGTTTCTTGTGTGTTTTGCTTTATTATATTCGTTTCCGTCGCAATTTTTTTATCGAGACTCTACCAAGCTTGGTAGTCGTTCAATGGAACTCAGCAGATTCACAACTATAGATATTGATAAGAGGTTTGTTTATCACATATACAAGCCTATACAACAAATATTTATTGTCATGACTATAGAGTTATCAATACTGATAATTTCACTATTTTGACAATTTTAAGCTAATCAGCGTATATTTCAGTTGTTGTGAAAAAGACAACAATGATATGTTCTGTAGTGCTGCTATTGCTTGTCTCAATCCAACAGATCGAAAGCTAAAACTAAAACTAATTGCTACATTGGTAACATTTAGATTTGTAGGCTATTAACTATTGTGCCTTTCAGAAAGGCAATGACCGTCTGACTTATTAGGATTAACCGGCTCGCTTTATTGTGAATAGCTAACGATTAGAATCTTTACCAAACCAACAGAAGAACAGAAAAAGCAAAGTATTTAGGACTATGGCAATTTATGAAGAAAAATTTTTTTTTTAAAACAAGCCAATGGAGCACATAGTAATGTAGAAGAACAGAAAAGGAGAGCATGAGTGGATAAGGTTTGTGTCTCAGTAAAGTACAATGCCAAAAGAAAGCAGAATGACAAGAATTATAAAGGACGATTCCTTGGTAAGAAGGCGTGGATAATAATATGTACAATGATGATAGAAAAATAGATATTTGCTTTTCTCAGTGAAAACTAATCATGTTTGTAGACTTGATAAACTATTTCTTAAAGGCTATAGAGATTTGTTTCTTTACAATTGATTTGGGTGGGCTGATCTTTGATATGGATGAATTAATCTCTTCTCCACGGCAACTGCAAATATAAAAGAAACAGAATATTGATGCTTAACGAATAGCGAGTCTCTAATGTTGAAAGGGTTCCTGCCGATAACTTTCCTTACACAAGTCAAAGTAAACATCAACAACTGTGTTGACGTACTGAAAGCCATAAGCTACTTTCTGTTGAAAGGAAGAGATAATTGCGTTTGGGAAATGGAGATCAGTCTAGAAGTGTGGTGTAAGTCTCTGAACCCTGTATTAGGCTAGTCTAACCATCACCTATATGATACCTATTCTCAGTTTCACATTCTTATATCAGCAAACAAGTTTTCCTTGTCTTGCTTCCATCCTAATTAATTTTCTTGATATGCATGAGGGAAATGTCCCACTGCTACGCAGGGGAATAACCTTTAGGTTTTACAGCTATCACAACCGGTCACAACAGTTTCCTGTGCAGCCGTCAGTTTGAAATATCTAGTAACCAACGGTTGCAAATATAGACATTAGTTTTTTCTTCCTTCTTGAAATTTTTTTTTACATATTCTATAGCACACCATGTAATTTTCTACTTCATTTCCTTCTAGTAAAATTCAAATGAATAACAAAGCAATTGAACAATTGTATTGACTGATCAAATGTTTAAGCATGTTTCTTGATTGCTTTTATGAAAACCTGCTTTTTTCAAATGCGAAACACTGTAATAGTTATTTCGACAACGAAAGCTAATCCAGCTGACGCTTGCCATACCTATATTTATCCAACGAGGACTATAATACATGATTGGGCGGTCATGGAACAAAGAAAGCATGAGACTTACCTTAGTTAGTCGTGGCCCACAAAATGAACAGTTCATAGTAATTTTTACGTCCGCTTTTGATACAAGTAAATGAATATGAGGAATACGTTATCTTATATTTCTATGTACACTCATCACACATTTTATTAAAAAACGTGTGAAGGTCAATGCGCGTTTTTGTGACCTTTGTAACCAAAGGATTAGCCAATAGATTTTATTGCTGTTCTTAAAAAACAGAAAAAATATGGGGTAGACAAAAAAATATAAAAAATTCAGGAACAAGAAAAGTTAGCTATGCGTAAATTGTGTTGAAAAATGTGTAAAAGAAATGAAAAGGAGACGTTTTTTTGTGATTGCATACTATATCATATTTCTAGAAAGGAGAAAAAAAACCAGTTAAATCAAAGAAAAATCATACTTTTAAAGGATGAACAGCATTTCGTTTTCTCTTTTTGTTGGTTAATAGTGGCTTATGTTGTTGATGCTTTCTATTTTTCATATTTAGTAAGATGGAAGCAGCTTCTAGCATTTGGACTTGTTGATGCTTTGTTAAGAGAAAGGAAGATGTATATTCCCATTGCTCTGTATGTTCCCATTGGTGTTTAAAAAGGCAATTCAAGTGTTTATACACTTTACCACAGTCACGACATCTGTGCTCATTTCCGTCTCCTTCGTCTTCAACTACATCTACTACTTCCTCTGCTTCTTCAATATTGACTATTTCTGTAGAAGCTGTTGAAGATACTTCTGCTGTAAAAGATGCTGTTGATGATGCAGAATGGCTGCGTTTCCTCTTTTTTTGAACAACTGTACTCTCACTATTATCATTCATCTTTTGTTTCTTTTTCTCCGACCATGTCACGCGACTACCTTTATTATTTTGTTGTTTTTGTTGAATGATTGAATGGTCAATGGTATAGTTTTCTGGTAAATTCATAGTTGGTAACTCTTTAAGGTTGAAAATGCTTAGTTTCTCCACATGCCGGTGTCTTTCGATTTGGTTATTATCGGATATAGTAGTGTAATCATCTCCATCACTGCTACTGCTGTAGGAAGTAGAATCGGGCGGAGAGGGTAAACTATGCTGTTGATCATATGGAAATGGTTGCGATTTCTGGTCTTTTCTATTATTGAAATATAGAATAGTAGTCATTTCTGAGTATTTATCTGGTATAAGAGAATGCAATGATGAAAGGAAAAGGAAGGAAAAGGAAAGAAAAGTATAGAAAAAAGTTGAAAGTTTGAAAATTAAACAAAAGAATAAATTGAAATATTTCGTATTCAACAGCAAAAAAAAAAAAAAATAAAAAAAAAAATAAAAAAAAATGCACATGTGTGTGTATTCTATACCTTTCTCTTTTTTCCCTTTTCTTTCTATACATGAATGTGCTTTATTTGGTATTTTTGGTGGCTTGTGTTCCATATCACTTGTATTAGAAATCATGCAGTTGAGCCTGCATTTAAAACAATTTTAATGGGCAACCTTCTTTCTTTTCAAAATTTCCAAGTGTATTTCTATCTCTGCCTCTTCTTCTTCGCTGTCAACGTCTTCTTCTTTTTCTCCCTCACATTTGCTACTCATACCAAGGGTTTCAACGTCACTACTTGCATCGTCTGCAATGGCATTCTCACCGTCAGCGTGTACTTGTAGTTGCTGCTTGATTTCGTCCTTTAAAATCCATGACAATAAACCACGGATCGATGGTCTGACCATAGCTGTATCATGGTACATAGCAGCTAACAATACCCTCACGGATGCTGAAAAGACTATATTTTCTATTACTTCTGCCATGAACCCGGTTTTCATTCTCTGCGGTAGCATGCGTTCCATGAACGAAAATAAAGCACGAGGTACCACGTAGAGGACCATTTCACCCCGTCTGTGTTTACTCTCTATCAGCAACGAGAGACCACAAAGCATGCTGCCAATCAAAGGCGCTACTGAATCTAAGTTTTGCTGAGGAATTTTGAGCAACCTATATCCGATACGAGTGCGAATCAGGCAGACGCAATACCAAATAATAGCAATAAATGTACCCAAAAACGCGGAAGACCGGACCGTCGCAATCAGTGCATGGACAATCCATCTGCTTGGATTGTGTACCAGCTGTTTTGTACGAAAGAATAACAAAGGAGCAAAATGGAGAAATAAATTGACCTGTTGTTGCAAAGTACAGCATTAAAATCAGGCACACTCGTTTTTTTCTATGTAGAGAAAATTATTTGATCTTACTGTGAAAATCTTTTTAAATCCTTTCAAAAACCGGCTTAGGGCATTGACTTCACAACCCCATCGGCTACCCTCATGTGCTACTGCGCAGTGAACTCTGCCCGTCAAGGGGTCTCCGAATGATCGTGGTAGTTTCAGTTCGTCACAATAATTATACAAGAAGTGGCTCAAACCTGTATCTTTCTATTGCTTTCGGGTTATTTACAAATGTATTGTCCGTATTCTTATTGATAATAAACTTATAGCAGACTTACACCGTAAACGATTTCGTTGTGCTTTACCATTCTCAGGAACGCTTTCAGTCTTTCGTCAATTCCTGCCATGTCTGTAATCCATCGTGCATATGATCTAACACAGGCAGGGATAGAGTCATTACTTCAACTTCTTTTTTTAATTTCTTTAACGGTGAAATTTGAGAATACCTTGGTAATTTTTGCGGTCGATAAAACCATGTGTACATAATTTCTGCACAGGCCAACATGAATACACCAACATTTCCGTATTCTAATATCCATTCCGGTACAATTTGCCTTGATTTTGGCGATGCGTACATTCGATGTGCATAAACGTCTGCTGCACGTACCAGCGCAAACAATGTCAAGTCCAATGTTTTGATACTGGGGAACAATCGGCGAACAAAACAAAATGATATGAATGCAGATAAAAAGAAAGCTGATTTTTGCGATTTGAGTCGTACAAATGATGGCTTGCTGTCTCTGTACTTATTCAAAACACACTCGGTCGTCGCTGTTGTCGTAGCTTGAGTAAAAGCATTCGCGATGCTTTTTTGCGCAAGTTGCTGTTGCTGTAACAAAAAATGGTGCCCACTTAGGGCGCCAGCCAATAGCAATGGGAATCCATTTCGTAATATGCTATCTTTCAAAATGTGAGGTAGAGTGACAAGACAGGCTTTTTGAATGCAAGCAAGTCGGCTCTTATTATCTTGTTGTCTATTTAATATTATTCGAAACAGTAGCGATGAGATGGCTGGTACAGTGGTAGCAGCCCAGCCTATGCCGTATGCCCTTATCATTGTTTTGAAAACTGCTTTAGGCTGTGCTGGAGTGATATTGCTTTTGCCATTGTAGTTCATTACTAAACTGTCGAGAAGATATAATACTGTCTATCGAATAATTATTGTAGATTCTAAATACTAATATTTCTTAAAGGATACTTTATTGTAACTTATGCACACAGTTATGATGTATAACTTTGAGGCGCAAAAACTGAAATGATTTGAAAAGAAGAAGAGGTAATCTTTATTGATATTCTGACTTTAATAACTGTAGTTGAGGATACGAAATTTGAAAAAAACTGATCGTTGAACTGAAATGAAAGGTTACGCATAAAAAAAAAGCTGCTCGTGCGTGTGTACATGCACTTGCATGCAAAAAAGCACATGATTTTTTATTTTATTTTTTTTTTTATATGAAAAGAAGGCTTTAATGATTTGTCTTTACTGTTTTTCCTTCCAATAATTATAAAACTTATCCCCGTTCTTTTTCATATCTTCACTTAAATCATCCCATTTGGTATGAGGTTGACCTGTTGCTGGGTCCAGTTTTTTTCTATTTCTTAGTCGTTCTCTATCCTCTCTGAGCCAACCGAGACAAAGGCTGGTCAAAGGTGAATCTAGTAGTCCCTTTTCTCTGTGTTCTGCTTTAATAGCATCTAATTCGGGCCATACATCGTCTTTGACGTTATGTAAAGCTAATACCCTACCATCAGCTACGTGAGCGATATGTGTTGGCCAGTCTCCTAATCCATCAAAAATATGTGTGGCATAAACCTGTTATAAACAACATATCAGTAAATCTATCATTCTTTTATTTGATTTTTTTTCCTCGCAAATATTCAAAGGCTGGACTTACAATCGTGCAACCTCTATCTTCTGTTTCCTTTTTCAAAAATGCCAAAAAATCAGCTCTTGCGAGCACATCTAAATCGACTGTTACTTCATCCAACAATAGCAGCTTCCATGGATGTAATAAGCCCATCACTAATTGCACTCTTCTACGCTGGCCATCCGATATTTGATGCAAACGCCATGTTGTTTTCACATCCAATACTGTAAGCAATTCTTGAGTTCTTTCAGGCCAACGGTGACTTCCCATACTCTTTAGTAAATAATCGACTGTTAAATCCGATTTCACCACTGGATTGTTGGCCCATTCTGTTCCCAGATAGGTAACACCCTGTTATGCCCATAATCAGTTTGCATTTGCATAAATCTATCTGCGTATTCTTACAGTACAATACATTACCTGTGGCGCTTCTATAAATGCATCTTTTCCTAGTACTTTGACATGATTGTTATGCAGCATGCGTTTACCAGCCAGAATACGTAATAACGTAGTTTTGCCTGCCCCGTTGGCGCCTACTAAAATGCAGCGATGACCCGCATCTAAAGTAAGATCGAGGTGGTCAATGATCGAAGGTCCACCATAATCGAAGTAAAGGTCTCTAACTTCAATGGCGTGCTCAATTTCTGGAGCTTGACTGGTAATATTGGACATCTATTCGTAAAAAGCTTTGACAAGTAGTTGAAGAGAACAACCGATTATAATCCGGGAGCAGTTGCAGGAATTTGCAAGAAATACTGCAGTAATTTCGGTTTTTGATTTAGACGTTCCTATATAAAAATGGTATTTTTATTTAACCAAATTTAGACAATTCAAGTAATTATTTTTCGACTACCTACTTCTTAGTATTTACACTACGACCAGTTCACCAACCGCCTCACACTGAAAGAAACCTAGTGGATAAGATGTGAATCGCAATTGCTCTTCTATATTTATCGACGAATCAAATATGGCGTTGGAAGCATCACTCGTTCGACAGTTGGCCAACAGTATACTTTGGCATCATTAATCTGCTTCAACATTCAGGCTTTATCATATAAACAAATACAACAAGCATCAAGAATAGGGGCGTGTCCAAACGGATGTTTCTGTTTTAGCTCTTCCTTTGTTATGAACCGTTAAATTGATGTACTTTCTTCGTAGCCCCTCATAGGAACGAAAATCATTTAAACCGTAAATGCGAATTGTTTTAATGGTTATTGTTTAAATCAACGTATTGAAGCTGGTTCCTTCACCAGAGTTTAATTATTTATGTGTATGTAGTTTTATTTACCTAATAATCCCCTGAAAACCTTTCTTTGCCTGATCTTTATTAAAGCGAAAAACCTGTGTTATCATAAAGGTAAAGAAAGTTCTCATCCATTAGAATCAATGGGATGATTAGGCAAATAATAAATGTATGATGAAAATGACAGGTCGATAGAAAAGTAGGATATATATTATATACAAATCAAGTTATAATTAGTATAACACAAGTCAATTTTCAATGACTTGCGCTTTTGCTGCTCTGATTTTCTTTCGCTCTTCTTCGAATCGGTGGACTCTATTGATACGCTCCTGCTCTTCTTTTTTGATCATTATATCCTTTTTGGCATACTAAATAAGAAAGTTAAATTTTTAATGAAGATTACACTTTGCTGTCCACATCTGAATGATTTCTTTACCTCCCAATCTGACGTAAACTTTGCAAAAATGCTAAAGAACTTATCCGGTTTCGTCGTGGTTGGATTTTCACCAAAATACGTCAAGACATCTTTATATGCCACGTCCATAGATGTATATCGCACTTCAAGTTGATCGAATTTTGTCATTGCCTTATCATAAAATTTTTCCATGCTATCATAAAAGACCTTATCCGCTGTAATTGTGAGATTCAGATACTTTAAAGTATTATCTAAAGATTCCAAATCAGCCTTGAGTTCGTTATAGTCATAAATGAGATCGTTCATAGTAACTAATAAAATCGACAATGGAAAGATGATGAATGTACGATTTCTGTTGGAAGGAATTTCTGCTCAATCCTCACCTCTACAAGCATCTGAGCAAAAGCTGAGGTCGGGTATAAGGGGTCTGGAAACCTCAGGGAATTGTGTTTCAATCATTTCAATAATAAAATGAAGTAAGGTTGTATCGTTTGAAAAGGATTTTGTATCAATCAGCTATACCATAACATATAAGTTTGGTTAGCATACTTCTTATGCTCAATAGGGTGCTTGTAGTCCTTGCATTACCTTATTGATACTGGCAACACGAATACCAAATGCGCCGCCTTGAAGATTATTGCCGTTGAGGAAATTTCCGATGAGTAAAACAAGCTAGTCATTGAAGATAAAGATGTATATAAGCCAATAATCTCTAGGTATGTTATACAAGCACTGCTTACGTTAAGAAATTCCTTGAAAGCATGGGAATGACGGAGTGCAGTCGAAGCCTCCATTATACTTGACATACTTTTGGTAATATGTGTATATCTTTCATTAAAATTGATCTTCAATAGCATTGATTTGATACGCTCAGTATACCTTGGTATTTTCAATACCTAAGTCAAGACATAGGATAAACATCAATAAGTTATGGATGTACATGGTTTTTTTTTTGGTTTTCCTCTTGTATATTAGTAAGTCAAACCTCCAGGCAGAATAGGTCTGGCTTGCTTATCTTCTTCTTCAAATAGGCGCTTGTACAGCTTGTTTTTCCATCATAGTTTGTCGCTGCGCGCATCTTTTCAATTTCATTATATGTTGGCAAATTCGACAACAAGTTTACCAACATTACCTCATCAAAGTGTGTTGTCTCCAAATTCATAATCATATCCACAATTTGCTCCACTTCAAATTGTTTGAGTTTCGTAAGCACAGATATGGTAATATTGGCTGCTTTTTGAGAATCCAAAATACGCATGATTTTTTCTTCATCCTTCTTGCGCCATTTTTGCCTTTCTTCTCCATCAATGACAGCCGCTGTAACTGCTTCTGACGTTGCCGGCAGTAAAGTATGCAAAGCATCTTTATAATTTGTCATCATCGTAACAGTTTCAAGGGGTGGTTGGCTATCTGTTGATGAGCTGTTTGTATTCATAACTTGACCAAAAGTTTCTTCCACCTTTTGAAATACCCCTGCTCGATCCAATGTATTCTCGAGATTTATTTCATTATTGTTATTGTTGGTATCTCCGTTGTATTTTGATATTTGATGCAAATTTTCTAGTGACTCGTTCCATATAGTTGACTTTATACTGTCTTTATTCAGTTTTTGCCATTGAACTATACGAGTTTTCACATTCGGATACCGACTTATTGGCTTTCTATTAAGATTGAGTAAAGTCGCTGTAGACGCTTTATTGAAAGAATGAGTACCCAGCATTGGTGGAGGTGGAGGTGGAGGCGGAGGCGGAGGCGGTGCTGCAAATGTTGATAGTATTAGATTAGCGTGTACCTCGCTGGTTGATCGCGGTATATCACTGGTATCAACTGCTGTATGGGAAGGTTTTGAGGGCGGTGAAAAAAATGGTGCGACTTTGTCCTTACAGTTGTCATCGTTGATCAGAACATCATTATCCGATTGCGCTTTTGCTGTTGACACGGCTGTTGGTTTAGTACTAATTGTTAATTCCTCTGCCGTATTTATAGAATTTTCATGACAACCATTGATGGGTGACGAAGGGCGCGACCAATAAGTAGTGTCACTAGTAACTGAACTAGTGCATGATGAAGAGGTTGGTATAATATGGTCTTCCAATGAATCATCAGAAAAGATACTGTCTGTAGACGTTGATGCCGGAGACAGTTCGTTATGGAGTAACGAAGATGCGGTCGTTATTCCTCCTATCATCATCTCTCTTGGAGTACGCCTGTCTTTTTGAATTATATTTCTATGAGCTTCTAATCGGTTAAACAGTCGCTCAGGAGTTTTCCCCATTGTAGTTTGAGGACTGATATCCTCAAAACCCTGGAAGGGTTCAGTGATGAAGGATTCAGCGTATTTAGAAGAAGGATAAACCTTCACAGGGGAAATCTTGAAAGCTTTTGCTTCTTGTTGTTGCAATACGAGGCTATCCTCATCAGGTATTAAATACTGATGAGCATATCTACTAGAAAATGTGTTTGAGCGCTGTCGTCTACGTTTGGCCGAATCTGAAATAAGATTGGATATACTGCTCGCTGAAAACTGCTGGGCAAGTTGAGATTTGAACTCTTCTGTGATACCCATAGCGGTTGATCGTCTATTATCAGGTAATGCCTACCCATAATACAGGTAAATGATTTTGATAGTATAATTTGAAAAACAATTAAAATTTTACCATCGATAGAGACTGCTTTTCGACACCTTGTATTGCGTTTGACTCTACCTTCGAGCTTTCAGCAAGTCCTTTTGCTGAATTCTTTTCTAAATTATTACGCGCGAGCATTCTAGCATAGGACTTGGCAAAATCTTCTTTCTTGATTACAAGTTCTGTATCTTCTTGATTTGCATACACAGGGCTATTATAGTCTGACTCAACAATGTTATAGAACTTGTCCAGTTCTCCTTCCAACCGTGAAATGTTATTCTCGTACTCTCGCTGAATCTCTTGAAGCTTTTGTTGGAGTGTTGACACAGTATTTTTAGACATTGCTAATAAGTCTTCTAAAGACTGGATTTTCTCATTCTTCTCCTCAATAATATCAACAGTTTCTTTTTCTTTCTCTACTCCGTTTTTTTCTGGATAGGATGCATCTACCATCTGCTGATAAAGCTTTTTGTAACTGTCAAGGTCTGCTTTCAACGCTTCAATTTTCTTATTCTTCTCTTCAATCATCTCACCATCCACTTTCATTATCGTAAAATCGTCATAATTCGAGTTGAGCGCGGGCGATTGGTTTTGCCAATTGACGAATAGGTCAATATTTCTAAAGTAATTTATCTTATCATTATTATCGCTCATACTGGTGTAAAGCAAGATACTTTGTAAAAGGTTTAGTAAATGGTCATAGCATTGCGTTCCTTCGACTATTTCCAACAATGTCTCGAATATATAGTGAGGATCTATTAAACTTTTAAACACCCGTTTATTGTTGCCTCTGATCTTTTTTGCTGGTAATGACCGCGTTATCACTGCTTTGCTCTGCTTATACGACTGTCTATCCATCAATTGCTGTTCATTTGATTGAGATTCGGATATCACATTTTCATCTTCATGCTGTCGCTGCTGTTGTTGATCTTTCTGAGCTAACGTATAGTACTCCTCAATTTGTTTGTATATTTCCTGATTCCGATATGCCTTATTCAAAATGATGCTCAACCCTGCAGTATCCATCTGCCTCCTGAATTCGCTACGTATAGCTGACTGAGTTACAGCATTCAAAATCGCGTTCACTAGCATCATATTGTATAGCTTACATGAGACAAAAAGGCCATGTTAGTCTCACTTTGTACTAAGAAACAGCAGCTGCTCATCACTTACTGAGTATTCACATTCCTCGCTCTCCGGAAGTGCTTTGGAAACCACAACCTGCCTCCATGAACTTATCCATATTGAAAACGAATTATTCTTCGGAGAGCTTTTGGATGAGAGGTTTTTCATGGCATTCAAAACGGCTAATTGTCCTTGAGGTTGCTTGTAGCAGCATAAAAACACGAGAATCTCACAAACTAATTTTCTACAGTGTAGATGCTCTGAATCAATGCTACGAATAATCTCTTTTATGTAGTCAGAATGATTCAAAAATTCATGCACACCAACCTTTGGCAAAAAGCAAAAAATATGTACTGTTAATATATTTCTGTTTCATAATTGGGAATATCATTGCACGGGTATACATACAGAATTGCTGATGAGAGCTTTTAGACAATTAAGAAGATTGTACTCTAACTCTGGTGACTTTGCGAATTCTTGTCTGTGACGAATAAGTGAATTCATCAAGAACAAAACACCTCTCATGTTGATAAATTTGAATACCCATCTATAGAGGTATATTAATTCAATACAAGTAAGATTTTCTTACTTTCCCGTCGAGGTGCAGACCTGGAAAATTTTCATTACCTTGATGGTGATGTTTTCATATGTAGTTCAAGTGCAATTAAAGTTTTTATAGAAACTTTCTTATAAGCAAAATCTTCAGAAAGCTTTCTTATAAAGAAATCAGGTTCTTTGCTTTTGTTATGTATAGACAAAAATCTGTAATTCTCATAGTCGTGTATGTCTATTGTAAAATACGGCCTCGAAGTCTTCGGACTGGTATCAATATTCTGGTCTCGTAATAATGTTGTCTTCAATGCATTTGTAATACTCCGTTAATGCAAAGCTCGTTATCACTCTTCACTAGCTTTGATCTCGACTATTGGCATACCTTGTTTTTCTCTTCAAGTGATAGTCGTGGTTTGAATTGGCAGTCAATCATTGTGCTATTCTCATTCGTTATACAAGACCCTGGATTTGGTTTATTCAACAGGTCCATTTAGAAAACACGAAAAAAAGGGAGCAACACTGTATACCTCAATGGCTTTTGCGTAAGAAAAGATGAAAAGAAGAAGGAGAGGGATGAAACTTATTAGAAAAAATGCCCTTAGCAATAATCGTAAATTGAATTGGAAGTGACAAAGACATATGCTTTATTAGACATGTGAAATAATTTCTTGTTTCGGATAAGGTTGACTCAACTTTAGCAAAAATTATTTTTCATAAGCCTAGATTTGATATGTTAACAGTAAACGAAAAGTCTTACTTTTTGTCGAGGCTTTAAACCGCTGGAAGATATTGCCATTACTGACAGAGTATTATACAAGCAAAGACTCATGGTTTTTGATTTTTTTTTTGGTTTTTTTTTCTGAGTCTGAGTTTTTCAGCAAAAAATGCTTTGACTGTTTAAACAGGAAAGAATGAGACGAAAAGAGCACATGCTAAATGTTAGATCATCATATAAGGTGTATATATAAGCTTATATTTATTGTTGAATCAGATAACTTTTTTCCATTAAACATCAATAACTCGGCTCAATTTTTGAATTCTATTCAATAAAACATCGCCTTGCTTGATGACGGCTTGATATTGTGCATTTTTTGCGTCGGGTCTGTTTGTTTCAATAATGCCGTTTACTTTATCAATAACACAGTTAAGACGTCCAGCAGCAATAAATTTATAGAGATCCCTATTGGAGAGGTATGAAGCAAATGAGTGCGCTTTCATTGTCGGATAAAATAAGATCGTAAACTTACTGATCAATGTATTCTTCACTCACACCGAATGCTTGCGCCATACTCGTCACTGTTAAAGATCGGTAGCTTTCTAATAACTGAGCATATGCCAAAATACGCATCTCACGAATGTAGTAGCGCAAATGTGGTAAGAGGTAACGAGATGTACGCAGATGGATTTGTTCCACTTCAGCTAAAGAACGGAAGAATTGAGCATACTTGCCATTGTATAAACTGGCCATAAGATCTTCAAGATGAGGGATATCAGAAATAACTTCCAAAATTTCTGACGCATCCAAGACCTATAGTTGGGGAATTCCGTTTAATACCCTTCTTTTGTTCATTCATTCTTTTGACTTTTCAAAGATTCATACTCTCTTCTTTATATCAACACGCTTCATACTGATCAGACTTGTTAAAACTGCATATTTGACAAAGTCTTGATAGGAAAAGATTTCTGTGCTGGTGAAAGTGCTGAGTGTATCCAAAAACAACGTGGCTGCACCCTTAAAATCGCGAATGGACATGAGGTACACGCCTTCATAGACCTTTAATCTGTTACGTCGATCCCAATCACCGCCTTGTTCAATGAGTTCTTTAAGCTTTTCAATATTTGAGCGAACTAATTTGTTGTCTCCAAAGAAAAGGCCGATACGAACAAGGGTAAATACAATATCTATAGAAGTACCCAATGTGATTGATCTTTTCAATAAGGCTTCGTATGCTGACAGAGCATTCTCCTACATACAGATAATAAGCTGGTCAATTATTCGCTTCGAGCAGTTTGATGACACTATTGAATATTACTTTGTCGCCAATCTTGGCATAATAGTCTGCTTTCGCTAATAAAGCTTCATTCACTTCAGTTTCTCCTTCGTTTTGTACTGCATTAGCTGCCTTTTCATCAAATTTCTGTAATTCCTGCTCGTTTTCAGCAGTCATAGAGTCGTATAGAGATTGATCGAGTGGTTCTTGTAATTCCTCCACCATCAATTTGTAGAAGGGTCCCATTTCTTTTCAAAAATTGTAAAAGAGAATCGATTAGTTTCTTATTATTCGTATGGGTATAGGCAGTACTTACTATTTTTCTTGATTTTTTCAAAAAGTTTTTGTTTAGCATCTTCTCTCAAATCAACTGGACCATGACTTAAGATAAAGCGGTAGTGCTAAAATTGAAAAGTTACTAAAACTTAGTTCGGAACAATAAGGTGTAATATATGAGTTTGGCTTGATATGTTACTGCGAGTGTAAGGTCAGGAATGTTGGGAACTGTATTTTCTTCAATTACGGTGGTCATTTGTTTTATTTGTGTCTGGAATTTTAGAATGGAAAGAAAAGGTTGTAACTGTAAGCAGCACGCGTAAAAGAAAGCGGGCAGCTCTCTCTCTTTTGCTTTTTTTAAAAACCAAAGTCAGCATTGGTTGGGCTACAATAAGCATATCATTTGAGCTTCGGCAATTTGGCAACCCGGTGACTGTGAACGCGTAAGCATAATATTCGTATTAAGCTGGGCATCATTTAAGTGTGGAGCTCAACAGACCTCCCGACAAGGACAAAGTTCAAGCAAAAGTCTGAGTTATCGAATCTTTCTAAAAGCAACGTGAAATTGCGAGCCTTTAACACGACTCTGTTTTTTTTTTCCATTTTAACAATTCTTACGTTTTGAAATAATGGTCACTGCTACAACTAAATCCGCACCAACTGCTAGATTAGAACAGATCGATGCGTTAAAAGAGAGCAAAAAGTTGGAAGAAGCTGTCAATTCTTATAAAGCCATTTTGAACGAAAACTCTACATCAGACGAAGTATCAAGAGAAAAGGAATATGCACTTGGTCAGTTAGGTCAGGTCTACAGAGACCTTCGGTAAAGTCGATGACAGTGTCAATGCCAACAATGAAGTTAGTTTTGCGTGTTAACGAATACCGTCATTGTAGATTACCTCAAGAACTTGCACAACTTATTCGCTCATCACGTCCTTTCATGCTATCCATTGCCAAAGCAAAGACTGCCAAATTGAGTAAGCTATTCATTTAGATGAGCGGATCTGCCATCAGTATATTAACTCTTATCTTTCACTAGCTCGTACACTTATTGACTACTTTAGCGATATTCCCAACTGTTTACCACTTCAAATCGAAGTTTGCAAGGAGAATATTGAGTGGTGTATTGAAGAGAAGCGTATGTTTTTGAAACAAGCACTTGAGACTCGTTTAGTAGCTCTCTATTTGGAAAATAAGATGTATCACGAATCATTGAATTTGATCGCTCAGTTGTTGAAGGAATTGAAACGTTTGGATGATAAGATGGTACTTGTCGAAGTTCAGCTACTCGAAAGTCGTGTCTGTCACGCGTTGAGAAACATCCCAAAAGCCAGAGCTGCGCTCACCTCTGCACGTACTTCAGCCAATTCAATTTATTGTCCACCATTATTACAAGCTGCTTTGGACATGCAATCTGGCGTTCTCCACGCTGAAGAAAAGGATTATAAGACAGCTTACTCCTACTTTTTTGAAACATTTGAAGGTTACTCTAGTCAGGAAGATCCTAAGGCTATTTTAGCTTTGAAATATATGCTATTGTGTAAGATTATGCTAAATTTGGTAAGTGATCTTTAAATAGGAAAGCCATGGGACTGCATAAGTACATGTATAAATGTGTGTGTGTGTGTGTGTGTATGTAAACCGGCAAGTAACAATGAATTGTTATATGCATCAATATAGACAGAAGATGTTCACTCTATCATTGGAGGAAAGGTAGCATTGAGATATGCTGGCCCGGAAATTGAAGCAATGAAGGCAGTTGCCAATGCACACAAAAATAGAAACCTTCAAGAGTTTGAAACAGCTTTAGCAACTTACACAAATGAATTGAACAACGATCCCATCATTCGTACACAACTTGCAGCCTTATATGATACACTTTTAGAGCAAAATTTGGTTCGTATTATTGAACCATTCTCTCGCGTCGAAATCAGCCATATTGCCGAAATGGTAAAACTACCTACACAACAAGTCGAAGCAAAGTTATCACAAATGATTTTGGATAAAAAATTCCATGGTATTCTTGATCAAGGCGCTGGTTGCTTAATTGTGTTTGAGGAACCTGAAGAAGATAAAACCTATGAAACAGCTCTTGAAACTCTGAAGCAAGTTGATAAAGTTGTATCCAGTTTATATCAAAAAGCTGCTGAACTATCATAAAATAGGGGATAAGCATAGTAGAGTCTTAAGGATAATATATCAGTGAGAAATAAATAAGCAAAACAGCATAAAATTCAAAATCTGTCTCCGTATCTGTTGTGCTTATGCCATCAAGTGTGCGCTAATGGATGAAATAGATGAACTGGAGCCGTCATCCTTCATCTTACTTAATATAGAAGGGCTCCGGCGTATTACTCCCAAGTTGTTCATTTTTTCAAGACATAAAAGAAAGTTTTTACAGTTTGCGTATTAAAAATGGGACGAAAACTTTTATTGAACTGATTAAAAAAAAAAACCAAAGAATTGAATAGTAAAAATATAAGTATAAAGTAAATATGCAATCGAATGAGGTAGAATAACAATATACAAAAGTAAAAAAAAACCGTAACAGAAAAATGAGAGCTATTGTACAGCAATGGGTGGTGTGCCAGTCCTTTCATAATCATCGGCAGCTCCAATATTAGCATTTGTAGTGAACCTTGTACTAGGCTTCACAGGAACATTTGACTCTGATGCTCCCATTTGCTCTTTAGCGAGTTGCATGAAAAAGCCATCATCCTCACTATTTGTGTAATAATCACCGTCATTTGGAACCTCCCTGGCCTTACGTCCATCATCCATAATAATACCTACACCATGATGTTGATGAGGCGTCATAGGATGACGGCCGTGGCTCGTTTGACGATGAACACCGTCCTGAGCACCTAAATGGTTGGCAGAATTGTATTCATCCGCGAAATTCGTGTTGAGATGCGTTTCTTCTTTATCACCGTATCCAAACATATTCTTGATCTTTCCCGTTAATGATGTTGAGGCTGAAGTATTTTCTTGCTCATTGTTGACGTTCGCTACATATCCGGTACGACTTATTGGCTTTTCTTCTGTCCAAGAACCCTGCTTGCTGGGTTGCTTCGCATTTGCTGATGGACCATTGAGACCAGAAGCTCCATAAGCAGAAAATACTTGCTCATTGGTAGTATTTACAGGCGCTGAACCATCATAATCGCCGGTTCCTTCCTTGGCGAGGTTTTTTGTTGTTCCGCTTCCTGAGCTTGTAGGAGCACCTAAACGTTGAGAATCAGCTTGTAAACCTGAGGGGCCGTAAGCGGCAGAAATAACATTTGCATTGGTAGAATGATTCAACTGAGTGCTATCCGGCGTTTTATTGCCAGTCATCGAGTTAGAAACACCCGTAGTAGAATGATCCTGTCGATGCGTTGACAAGGATTTTGCTTGAGGTTCAAGGCCTGAGACACCGTAAGCAGATGACAGATTTGCATTCGTTGCATTAGCTAACTGATGACTATCACCCGTTGTTTGAGCAGTCGAAAAACCGGAGGCGGGGATAGCACCACTCTTCGTTGCAGCGGCACCACTCAAGGGTGCAGCATCTGCTTGTAATCCTAAGGGACCATAAGCAGCAAAGACTGTTGCATTGGTAGCATGGTTTAATTCTGATGTGTCTGGTGTTCCAGATTTTTGATTATTATTTACAGAGGGAGCATGGGTGTCTTGATGATCAGCTAAGCGCTTCGATTGTGCTTGAAGGCCAGATGCACCGTAGGCAGCAGTAATGGGATCATGACCGACGTTGGAGGAGGTTGGAGATGCGTTATGATGGCCTGTTCGTGCAGTGCCGCCAATAGAACGATCATGGTCCGTTAATCGACTCGAAGAAGAGGGTTGTCCTTGGAGACCCGCTGGCCCATAGGCAGCAAAGACTTGTTCATTTGTTGAAGTACCTTGCCTATTTTCCTTGTTGGCACCGTCGGCACCATGGGAAACGGGTGTACCTTTATTTTGCAATCGACTACTATCCAAAGGTTGTGATTGTGCTTGTAGACCTGAAGGACCATAAGCTACCAACGTTTGATGATTGGTGGCACGATCTAAGAGTTCCCCTTGCGTGTTGAATTCACCCATATCTCTCCTTTGTTGTTGTTGATTGCTAATGCCTTGTCGGGCTCCAGTAACACCGCCGCTTGCGTTCGATGGTGTCTCCCAATGAGAGGCAGATGGCTGATGCGGTTGTGTTGCGAGATATTTAGGTCCGTTAACATCAGTAGCAGTAGCAGCAGCGGTAGTAGTATTCGTAAAGGGAATGCCTGTTTCACCATAAGTTGTCCCGTTTTCACTTGGCCTCCCGCCCTGGATGGGTTTCCGATCAGAGACGGCCGTGGCAGGATGAGGAGCATAGGTGCCAGCAGCAGCAGTAGTATGATTCATGCTATTGCTTCGCTGCTGTGATGAAGGTGGGTTGTTGATGCCTCTACTCATGGTGTGATCGGCTTGTGGGTCACGAGGCATATTCGTCGTGTAACTTCCTTCTTCACCTTCCAATACTGGATCTTGATCATCGAGAACGCGACCGATATCGCCTCTTTGTACAGCAGCAGCGCCTATGGCACCAGGCGCCGTCTGACCACCCATACCTTGCTGCTGTCGATCATGATCCGTGAATTGTTGGTTACTATAACTAGGACCACTTTCGATGGCGCCGGCGGTGGGTCGACCACCTTCAATTTCTTTTTTAGGCAAGGCACTAGGAGGCAAAGGAGGGAGTTCACGATGGATAGGTGCTCTTGAGAATTGATGCTGATCATGACTTTCCAATAAAGGTACTGCGCGGAACTGATCGCATGTATGAGCCAAAGCATCAAACCATTCTTGAGTCTCACGTCTGTTTCTAGCACGGAAGACATGGTGGGTACCCAAGCCGAGAGCAGAACGTTTCTCTTTACCTCGGAGCTCAATAGAATCATCAGAATCATTTCGGTCAAGGTTACAATGAGGAACAAAGATGGAGTAACTGGGAGCGGTGGGATTATTTTGGAATTGTTGAGGAGTCTTATAACCGTGTAAGAAGCCAGCTAGTAGTTCACATAAAAATAAAAAAATGGAGAAGGGGATCGTGGTTTCATTAGCATGTCTATGGATTCCATTCGTCGCACCGTTTGAATGAACATTGATGCCTTTTATTTACCTGGTGTAAGAATGTACATGCCTTCTACCCAGCCTCTTACGGATGCACCAGACTTGTGATGAAGAGGACCCACCTTTACAGCACGACAATATCTGCTGTTCTTGTTAGGATAGTCAACCATTTGCTCAGTCTTGTAAGAAGAGTTTTCTGACAATAGATTGTATTGGTTACGACGAATGAATTCGTTCCATTCCGTACCAGGCTTGACTTGATCGAAGTGGTCCATCACTCTAGCCAGGTAATCTGGGACCTCCAACTTATTTTGGATCCTCCATTCTTGGAAGTTGTGGATAGTATGGCGCACATTTTCAATAATCTTTTGTTCAAAGATACCGGTTTCCTTCTGCAAGGTGATAATGTTATCATGAAGCTCGTTTTCACGGTCACAGAGGCCTCGAATACTGTGAATAATGCTCAAATTCAGCATGAAGGGATCTTCACTTTCATTCGCTTGTAAAGGAGCACGTTGGAAATGCTGTATGCCTTTATCCAACCGGGTAATTTGTCGATCCACATGCATACGGCCATCGAAAATGTGAGAATTTTTAAGGCCTTTATCCTTGCTGATAGAAGCAATCATTTGTCTGATGTCTTCTTTAATAGCACGAAGGGAAGGAATAACCGACTTTTCAATATAACCGGCCGATTCATGACGTAGAATTCCATGTTGCATGGTGTAATCACGAAGGGAGGCCCAAACATCTTGCACGCCGCCACGGCCAGGCTCCAAGAACTGTCCATTGGAGTTTTCGAACGGAACAGCAACGACTTTAGATGCATTGATATAGCCTTTGGCCGTTTGTGCTTCGACAGCAGCGATTTTTTTGAACAATTGAACCTATAATGCATAGAGGAGGAGGAGGATCAATTACAAAAAACAGATACGGTTACTTGATACACACACACACATGACCACTCTTCCTTAAATGTCATCCCCTTTTTAAAGGTGGACCCCCCGTTGAACTTACCATATTTTTGATGGCTATTCTCCAGGATTCAAGACGAGTACACAAAATATCTACAGGATGCAAACAGTTGTCCATACGGTAGATCTGTTTAGTCTTGGCATTTCCAGGATGACGAAGGGTACTGAGTCTCCTTGGTTGAGCACTGAACGTAGGAGGAGGGTCTTGACCAGGCTCCAAATTGAGGTTATCCTGACGATCAGTCCAAGGAAGACCTTGCTTGGTAGCCACCATTCTGTTGCTGCTATCATCGACTCTGTTGCTTTGATTCAAAGGGACTAACTGTCCTTGTTGATTTTCGTCGTTGTTATCGTTACGCCAATCTGCGGCAGGAAGAGCTTTTTGACCGGGCATCATCAAACTGCGTGAATGATGGGTCACTTGAACATTCGGCATAGCCATACCTTTCGGCAGATGAGGTAATACTGCATGGGTTTGTTGCGAACTTGACATGGTCTTACAAATTAAGATATTCTTTTTTTAAAGAAAACGTAATACTCATTCATTCACTCACGTCAAAAAAAAAAAAGTAGAAAAAAAGACCTTTCAATCTACCTCTCGTCTAAAAAACCTTTTTACTTTATTTAATGACCATGAAATTCATGCTATTCTTTCATAATGTATACGTGATCTATTTGTCTATTATTTTTTTATTTTCTGATTTCTTCAGAATGATGTAAAAGAAGATAGGAAACTGACCAAGCAGAAATATGCAATTTGAAACCGTGTCTGAGAAATTGCTTTCATTTGTTAAGGATGAGTTGTTTGTGTGTGAAACCCATTGGCCTGATAATCAAAACAAAGCTGTACACTCACAAAAAAAAAAAAAAAAAAAAAAAAAAGGCTGAATTGAATCTCAATTGAAAATTGAACTGACAACATCACACAGTTTATAATGAGAACAGCAGTAAAAGGGGATTTACCTTGCGGCTTGTACGCAGCATGCAGGATGTAGTATCTATATTTATCAAACAACAAACAAAGTATAACGAATATAAAAAGGCTCTCTATCGCTTCAGCCCTCATTGATTTTCCTCATCTTTTTATTTCTTTTCTTTTTTCTTTTATATCCTCTCACCAAGAGATACACACACTACACACACACTCCACTATACATACATACATACACAAAATCAACAAAATGACTGTTAACTTTGACGAGGACCTTCCCCAAGATGTTTACGAGTTCAACGAAATCCGCAAGAACATGGATTGGGAAAAGTCCGGAGTGGCCGCTCTTTTGAAACCTGCTCCTGTTACCCAGCATTTACCCTCGTTCGACGCAGAAGGCAAACCTTGCTTCAAGCCTTATCGCGGATCAGGAAAGCTCGAAGGAAAATATGCTCTCATTACTGGTGCTGATAGCGGTATTGGTAGAGCCATTGCTATGTGCTATGCTTTGGAAGGTGTCAAAGGTATCACTATCGTTTATCGTGATGAAAGAGAAGACGATGATGCTTTATACACCAAGAAGACGATTGAAGCGCAAACCAACTGTCAAATTCATTTGATTGCTCGTGATATTGGTTACGAAGAAAACTGCCGTGAGATCCTGGATGCTCACTTACAGACTTTTGGAAGAATTGATATTCTTGTGAACAATGCAGCTGAGCAGCATAAAGTGACGCGTATTGAAGATCTTGATTGCCCCACAGTGGAACGAACTTTCCGCACCAATGGTAAGAACGAACCAAGTTAACATTTTAAAGCATGCATGAAAACTTATCGCATTTCGTGTGAATTGTGTTAACCCCCCCGCCCATTCCCGTCCCATAGTGTTTGGTCCTATTTTCATGACGAAATTGGTGTGTGCTCATCTCAAGGCGGGTGGTGTCATTGTTAACACGGCGTCCGTTGCTGCTTACCGTGGTATGGATGTCCTTGTTGATTACTCTGCCACCAAGGGTGCCATCGTGTCATTTACTCGTGCTCTTTCGCAGCAATTGGCCGATAGACGCATCCGTGTGAATGCTGTTGCTCCCGGACCTGTTTGGACACCTTTGATTCCTAACACTTTCTCCAGAGAAGAAATTCAAAAGTTTGGCTCCTTCCCTCCTTTGAAGAGACCTGCTCAACCATGTGAAATCGCTGCTGCTTTCGTCTTTTTGGCTTCCGATGATTCATCTTTCATTACCGGCCAGGTAGTTCATCCCAACGGTGGTACTGTCATTAATACCTAAATATGAAAAAGATCCTTTTTGTAGAATAAAAAAAACTTTTTTTTTTTTTTGGGCGTTTCTACGTAAAACAAGAGAGAACAGTAAAGTCGTGGCTCAGAGTTTGATGCCGTGTAACGATGATGTCGCTCGGTCCACCAATAAGGTTGTGAACACATGATACAGGCTTCATTGATACCTGCCATTTATAAAAAAAGGGGAGAATCATACGAAAGCGAAAGCTTCTCTCGTAGCATTGTCTACAACTGCACATCAAGCTGTTGCTATAGCGCTTCGACCAAAAAAGGCAGAAACATTTGAGTTGGCTATTGTGGTACAGACATCGGCTTAGTAGTTTTGACAGATACCGTTAGGTTATCCAAAGAAATTTTTGTTTTCATCTCCATTGGATACATGGTATCGTCATACAGAGGAAGGCGAGCTACTATACATGAATTCTTATTATTCAGACCAAGTTGACAAATTACCGACCGCATTTAAAGAAAGCCATATTATGCTCAGTGTTGTTCTCAAGAACGTAAATATGTCGCTCCTGGATCTGAGCAACAGGCTATTATGCTAATTGGAGATACAGAGGCTATGCAATTGGGTCAACATAGCGAAAGTGTTATTTTTTGGAAACCATACTTACACAGCCATAGATGACTGTATACTTCACCACTGAGCATAACTCTAATTAGACCTGCATCTACCGCCAAAAAAAATATTTGAACCAACAGGGGTAAGTTGTTGTGATTCTGACCCGAAACTGTGGTTTTATTAGTTTAAAGATGGCTACAAACAGTAGATACATTCTCTGTTCAAGCGATCGCTGTTGGGGGGTTCTTTCAATTGACCTTCATCTCATTAAACATACTATGCAGCGTTCTATTGCTGCAGCGCGTCAAGCTATTGTTTAGAAGGCTTCTCATGCTTTTAACATACATTAACAATAAAGATAGCTGTACTCCCTTTAACTCTATTATGAGCAGGTCTCTCTCTCTTTCTATAGCGCAATTGTAAAGGTATTTTGTTGTATGATGCAAATGGTTCTTTATGAGCAATTTTTTAAAAAGATCTGTCGTCTCACGCCTTTTACCCTAGAACAACTACGTGGATCAAGCAATAACCGCCGCATTTCCCCTAAACTCCCTTTGGACTAAATAACTTCCACCCCGAGATTTAGGGGTACTGGATCTTCCAATCCAGCAATCTTATCTTGTTTGGCATTGAATGAGTTCAATATTGCATTATATAGATCGATGACGGCTTCTCGGAGTCATGGAGTACCTAGCCTACATATTCCAAAGGTTTCCTAGAATGATTCAGGGCTCTCAACTGTCGTTCATGAACATTTTCGATCTTTTACACGTGCAAATGACTCCTCTTTCTTTTCTATCGCAAACGAGTCGTATTAGTCCCTCCACTATTCTTTTTTTACCAACACTTGCTGTCCCTGATGAGTAGGAGATCGACCTTCTGATGTTAGGCGCCTATGAGTTACAAAAGTTTTTGTTCCATGATCATGTCCAGCTACGCCTCAGATAAGGCTACCTCACCGAAGTGCTAATAATTGTACATTTACCCACTATTACATCGTTTGTTTTGGTCAGGCCCACCTTCGACTGCGACTTATCTTGCATTACCATTGCCTGTTTACGCCTCATATTCAACCGCCTATCACGTCTGCTGTCACTGACTGCACTGATTTACAACCCATATTGGCCTTCTTTTCCTCTGCAAAAGATTCTAGGTTCCTGAATCTTCTGGTTGCCAAATTACCGGTCCTTGCTTTCACCAACCGAACCTCCCTCTATAAATATCCTCAGTAATTAACAATGACTTGCTTTTTAGCGTTCATCGATTCCACTACGTGCCTCAACAGTGTGATATCCTCTCTTGCGGAACACAATTCCTTATGGCGAATGGATGCATAGAGTTTTCCCTCTCAAAATCGATTTTTGCCTTGTAGTATTGGTTACTCACTGATCCTGCCGATTACCCGAGCCTTGTTTCCCTTCCCTCTTTTCTTGCTCTTGGGAAGCTCCAGGTGTATAAAGATTTTTTGGGCGATCTCCTTTAGTTGCTCGCAGGCTTTGGTAAATTCGGCGCTTCTAATTTAGCCCATACACCATTCCTACCTTTCACTGAACTTTCTGCTCATCAAGTCTTTGTCTGTGCTTTACTGAGGCTTACTGTGCTTTCATCGTTCAAGAAATACCATTTGTTCCATCTAATGTTTTTGCATCGGTATTCCGTATCCTCTCTCCATTTTAAATCTGATCTGTCTTTTTGAACAGCCATCGCTTTCAAATCTCACATTGCATGTGATGGCTACACCTTTGAACTGTATCCCTTAGTCTCAATATTTCTTTATTTTTACCTATCCCTAGTCTTCATATTTCCTCATAACGGCAGTACGAGGACTTTAAATAAAACCGGAGCCCCACTCCCCTAATTTTTCTTTTTTTTTTTTTTTTTTTTTTTTTTTTTTTGCACGACATCAAACTCTGAAGTTACGTCTTTGCTTTCTGAAATGACTGTATACAACAACTAAAACGGCGTTCGATGTCCCAAACGTAATAAAGTTTATTCATCGATTGTAACCTCACACTCATCCCCCCTCCCCTTCTTCCTCTGTCTTTTCAAATGCCCCTTGAATCAAAAAAAGGTTCACCTTCAAAGCTGCTGAATTATTACCAAACCCAAAAATATGCCAAAATTGATATTCCTAAAAATGAGATAACCTCGTGTGCATCCCAGGCTTCATACTTTTTAAGTAACTAGACCCATTGGCTTTCAAGCCTACTACCAAACACACGCACACACATGCTTTATCCACACCCCTTCAATCATTTTTTTTTTTGCTCTATTCTTTTTTTGCACTGTTACTATATCAACTACAATTAAGCTTTTTTTTTTTTTTTTTTTGTCCTATCCCTATTTTCTTTTTCTTATATTCCTATTTTATAAATAAAATGGACATGAACCTTTTTAAAATCGATTTCAAAATTTAACATTCCTTTCTTTCCAAGTTAATTGACACTTGTTTCTTTTTGAAATTTTTACATCTCTTTCCAATCCTCTATTGACTTCTCCATTACTGTTTCGTTTATTCTATTCTTTCCTTAATACTACCACATTGCATCATGATAACAACATCTGCTCACGATATTCATCGATTGTTAGAAGATAGCAATCTATTTAATCCATTCCAGAGGCAGCCAGCCACTAATTTAAGTTCTGCCTACCGCTCATCTGATTTATTGAGCTTACCACCTAGCCAGTATCGCACTTTATCATCATTGAATAGCATTCCCCCATCAGTTCCTCAGTATAAATCACGAGCTGCATCAGAAATTTTACAAAATCAACATCCACGTAGAGATAAAAGCTCAGTTGAAGGTGGTGATAATTACCATGAACAAAAAAAAAATAAAAAAATATGACGTTTTTTGTCAAGTCAGATGAATTGACTAACTCTTTCCCCCCTCTCCCACCTCCGCTTTTCATTGACAAACGATAGCCGAAGCCATCGACAAATGGTTCGAAAATATACAACGCTACGAGCAAATGCTTGAAGAAGTAGCTGATGCCAGTTTGGATCAAGGGTTCAAAGATGAACTGCAGCAAATAAACCAATGGTTCCGTTGTAGATCGGACGCAGAGCGAACAGCCGCATTTTATACAGTACTTCAAAACGCCTCTCAGATACAAATCCGCTTCCTTATTACTGTATTACAACAATTAGCTAAAAGAGAACCTTATCCTGCTGGACAGGACACAAACAGCGGTAAGAAGATTTAGGGAGTCAATGAGACAAAGGATGAGAGTACTTGACTCATTCGTCTTTTTTTTTTTTTTATAACTGCTCGATAAAAATAGAAATCTATCAAGCATCCTCATCTTATCAACCCTCCTCTCTCTTCAATGCAAAGTCATCATCCTCCGTCATCTCTGCAGGTTCGAATTGTGATTCAGCAGCAGCGAGAAGAAGACAACAGCTCTATCCGTTTTCTTCATCCAACAGATATTGTACAGTGACGAGCTCATCACGACAACCGCATCATAAACTGACTACCACTACAACCACTGCCTCTGCTATCAGTGAGCCCGATGACGTACGAAGACGCCAATACCTCCATAGAGACTTCTTTTCCACCGCTTCTCGGCCCTTGGAATTAAGCAATCCTGGGCCCCTCTATGAGAAAGCCCTCGCTGCAAGAGCTCAACTTCAAGCTTTCAACAGTGGCAGTATCAGCGGTTCGAGTGGTGGTAGTACAACAAGTGGTTCTTCAACCACAAGCTCGTCCATCATCTCATCCTCATCATTGTCATCTTCCGACCACAATGCGGGTAACACAGGTGGCCTATTTTCCTCACCACCACCTAGACTACGCTCATCATGTTCCACAACTGACATTTCACCGAATGCTACTACGAATAAATCTTTGTTTATCAAAAGCAATGATTGGCCATTTCCTCTTACAAAAAATAATCATACGTTAACTCCATCTACAACAACAACAACAACATTATCATCATCCTCATCCTCTGTCACGAGAGACAGTAGTGCAGCTTCGTGGGCTTTTGGCTCCCTTCGCGCTTCCTCCAACTCTTCTGTGATGAGTAGCGGTGCGAGAAGTAATAAAGAAAAAAAAGACGTTTTACCTTGGTCTATCCTGGAAGAAGAACCTCTAGCTCCTACTACTACTACTACTACTACTACTACTATGAACAATCCTTCAACAACAACATCAAAAAGATCAACAGGTATATCTACCAGTTTATCTGCATTAGAACAAGCTCAAGCAAGACTTCGACAACAAGAAAAACGCATGATGATGAATACTTCTCAACCTCCTCCGCCTGCGCCCTCCAGCTCTTATTCATCAAGAATGAAAATGTCACATACGGGTACAGTAACAGCGACAGCCGCGAGAATTCCTAGTCCTAATTCATTGCCCTCATTGACAGAAGGAGTGGTGACGACTCATGCTCCTTATGACAACTTGACTGTTACAACAAAGAAGGGGCCTTTACTAACTCCTCCTCCTCCTTCTATGATTGAAGACGGCAACAGTGAAAACAAGCTTGACATAACACCATCAGCAGCAGCAGCAGCAGCAGCAGCAGAACAAGAACATGAAGAGGAAGAAGAAGAAGAAGAAAAGCCTTTGACAGGCTTAGCCAGAAGAAGAAAACGATCCTCAGCAGCCCGTGCATTAAAAGATAAAATTGCTGCTGAAACGGTCGATTTCGAATTAATGAAAGATGTCCAAATGTGGTTAAGAACCCTTAGATTACATAAATATGGTCATGCTTTTATTGGCTTGAACTGGAAACAAGTTATACGTATGTCAGATCAACAGATGATTGATGCTGGTGTAAATACTGTTGGTGCAAGACGCAAATTATTAAAAGTCTTTGAAAATGTACAAAGGCATTGTATTGAGCATGTAAGTGATGAAACGTATATATGTATATAAACACAATACACATAGAAACTAAATGGTTATACTTTTTATCTAAATTTTAGAATATTGAATATTAAAGCTGCCACATATACAACACACGACACAAACTCCATTCATTTTTTACAGTTTAATGCTATTTTTTTTTTTTATTCTAATTTTAATTTATGATTGGGAACTACAACAGCCTCATTTTGTACTACCCCTAGAAAAAAAAAAAAGAAAAAAAGATTGAACTATCAATTAAAAAAGCAAAAATAACTTAAAGAGTTCTTTTTTTTTTTTGGTCTTTTATTTCTTCAATTACACACAGCCTAATGCTTCTCAATAAGATAGTTCTATTCGTAGCAGCTTCATTTACGTCAGTTGTTCTCGCCTGTGAAATGGATTGCCGTAGAGGCGTTTCCAAAGGCTTTGCTGAATTCTACACTCCTGTCGTCAGAGACATCGTTGATAACTTAAACTCTCAACTTACCAAATCGATCGCTAAAGTCACGGTGCCTTCCATTATTACGAATGAAGTTGACAAATCAGAACTACTAGAAGATCTGGAGACATCCATCGAATCCAGTTTAGAGAGCTTTATTACCGTAGCTACATCACAATCCAAATTAGCCGAAGGCTTCTATCAAGTTATCTTTAACGAAGAGCTTCCTTATAAAGGTGATTGTAACAACCCTAAGCGTTTGACAAGAAAGATGCCACCAGCAGGAGAAAGTTGGACTTTGGAAGAATGTAAGGCTCTCGTTTCTTGTCCATTAAAAAGTAGCTATAAAAAAAAGGACCTTGAAACGCTCTAATCTGTGATGAACCTTTCAATATTCAAATAGGTCAGAAGATGGATTATCGGTGTGGAAATCCTCCGTCCATTTGTCACTTTTTAGATGATGTTAAGCAACGTTGTATTGGTCGCATGCGCCGTCAATTAACAGAACATGCATCTTACGATAATGGAGCCCTCGTCAGAACGCTCGTGCGGGATACTCGCAAATCTATATATGGCACCTTGAGCAACAACGCGGTGGGCAAATTGACAGAAGATACTCAAGTAGACAATTACATAACAAAAGTCATTAGTGCTATCATTCAAACTTTGGATTATTGGGTAACCGATGATGTTCGACACCTTTGTGAAAAGCCTTCTCAGACAGAGCTTTGTAATAGTTGGGATGACGAAATCAAGAAGGAAATCCTCAAATGGCCTTGAAACTGATCATAGAACGTCTTTTTCCTTTTGGAATAAAAAAGTAAAGTTATATCGAACTTATAGAGCTTTAACCATTTTGTACCAGACTCTTTCACTTTCGTTCAATGTGAAAAAAAAAAGAACCAACCAAAATACATGGATGAGAAGAACAGAGTCGGTTTATTGAACAATTAATTTATTCCTTTCTTTTGCCAGTTAATGTCTCTTGTCTTGACTGCAGTATTGCTTTCTTTATAAACGACATTGTATGATTGTATTGAAATATCTTATTCCCATTGCCCCAATCAGGATGTATACCTAGATAGCTGTAAGGATCATCCACATTTGTTGATTTATGTTTCCCTTTTCCAAGTCTCAATTTTCTAATGAGATGAGCGTCAGAAACCCAACGATAGAATTGTGTGAGATAAGATCGACAACGTCCTGAAAACGCTATATAAGTCGGTTTCCTACGTAGAACAAGAAACTTGAGGTCAGCTCCAAAAGAAAGTCAAGTTAGAGTACACAGTGACTTCAATTGAAGTCTCTTTAAAAACAAGGGTCAGTATTTTATTTACCCTTTTGATATGGCATGGGCACACGCATAATCCAGATCTGCTGTCAATATAACACGGTTTGATTTTTGTATGATAGACTCATATAGTTTGATTTTATCGAATGTTGTTTGGGTAGATTCTTGCACTGCAGAATCCCAGATATAAATGGAAGACTCATGGTTCGGTATTGTCTCTTTCATTGCCTTATGGATGGCCTCTTTCGTCAAGTTTGAAGTCTTCTCTGTAAACACAATCACTACTTTCTCGTTGAAGTTTTGAACAATACGCTGTTGAGAAAGCCCACAGTTCATGTTAGTGTTCCTCCTCTCTTTTGCAAATAGATATGTACAAGCCCCAGAAAAAGTAGTATGTACTTACTTTGATATTATCTGTTAACATTACGGCGTCCTCTGAATACCATCTACAGAAAGGCGAGTGCCCGCCAACGATCACTGAGGTAAATCTACCAAAAGGAATTTGTTTCAAGAGTTGATTATTGATTATTGCCGGGCTATTATCCACTAAGGGTGCCTAAGATCCAAATTGGGATAGTCAGCGATGTTGAGAATTTTTTGTTTTTTGTTGTTACTAACTGCTTTAGTTGAACTGTAACATACAGGTGCGATAATACCATTCTTTTGACGGGCAAGCGGTCCCAAATGTGCTATATTTACAGGAAGAAGGTTCAGTATAATGAAAAATATTTTGAAAGTGGTAGTCCAATGGATTACCCATTTTCCCGTTGGCTTCGTATTTAGGCAAGACGACTTGATCAAAATGTATAAATGGTAAATTTGGATAGCCAACATACACTGATGTGACAGGCTGCTGCTTTTCATTGATTCTTTTAAATAGATTTGTATAATAAAGACATGCTGGTATTGATCTGTGACCACTAGTTATTATAAAGGCTGGTATAGACGTCGAATTCAAAACATTATTCTCTTCCTGATTGTCAGAGGATGAAGTTAAAAACCATGGCAGCTTATCGGTAAACTCTACTATAGAAGGCAATTGCCAATCAATTTCACAGGCGTAGGCTCTCACAGCTAGATTCCATCTGAAATGATATATCTTACACTTTTTGTATTTTGATAACTGCCAATCGATAAAGTATTTTTGAAGTATGACAGGTAACAACTCTAACTCTAGAATGTTTTGCTGTCAGAACATGGTGCAATCCATCGTTTACAAAATATCTTGTACTTCACCAATCTTTACTTTTATTAATAACCATCGTTTTAAGCTGTAGGCCCTCTTTAGAAGAGCTACCAGCTAGATGTCTGCCCAGAACTAATGCCTGCAGGGTGGATTCAATGCCGCCGTCCGTTATTACCCATACAGGACTGCTATTTATCGCTTTGCTTGAATGCCGCCGACAGCCAACTCTGATAGTTTTGACTAAAGGTTTTACTGTGGTACAGATAGGAAAAGCCGTTGTATGATGCTTCGCGTTGCATAGTATCAGTTTCTTATACTGCTGCAACATGGCCATTGTTGGAATGGTGTTGAAAAGTATAACTGTTGTACCTGGAAAATGAACAAGCAACCCAAAAGAAAAAATAACAAAAAATAAAAGGCAGCTGTGACCGTGCTGATGAAAGGACAAAAAAAGCGGGGTAAAGCACAAAGATTGCTTTCGTTGGCTGTGTATGTTGCCTATCATATCATCCTTATTGAGAAGACTGATTCATCAACCTTTAATGGCATAACTGAGCTTCCCGTTGACATATATAGAGATATTGAGCTTCTCAAAAAATTTTAATGTACTATGTTTCTTACATTTTTTTAAAAGGGAAAAAAGAAACCAAAAATTTACTGTCTGCATTACAGTTTATTAACTTTAGATTTGGACAACACACACAAAATTTTTAGACGATAAGGAAATTAAGTTTAAGCGGATGTAAGATAATAGTAGACCGTTAAGAATAAAATGTTAGACAGTTTGCACAACACTAGAAAGTATAAGGTTTTCATTCTTTTTACCTGTAATTATCAAACTGGGTTCGTTCCAGCGATGTTGAGGGAGAGGAAGATTTTATATTTTTGTCCGCGTGAATTCTTTTGGCCTTCCTAAAGCCTTCCAAATAGCACAACTAATTTTCATCATATTCTTAGCAGCATTGACGTCTCGATTCCACAGTATATGGCATGTCTTACAAACAAGTATACTGCAAGTCTCAACGCCTTTCAACCTCTCCAAAGTATCGTTCGAACAGCAGGAGCATATTCTGGATGTCTTGTATTCATCAATTTCAAGTACTACCAAGTCTCCGCTTGCTTCACGTCGCTTTAGTGCACGCCACAAAACACCCACCGTTCCACATCGGTGACCCTTCAATGCGACATTGTCTTTAGCGAACATACCATTACCAAATACAATGAGAGGCACTTTTTTGACATCACCGACACTGAAAGGTTGGGGCCTCCATTTGGCATTTGAACTACTATTACAAAAAACATGTTACTTTCTATAAGTTGTTGATGATGATTGCTTATGAACTTTACCTATCTTTCTTATCTAATTCCATTTTAACTTCTGGCGTCCCTTCTTTTATACTCTTTTTCTCTGGTGCTCCTTTCTTCTTCTTTTTTCTTCTTTTCTGAGAAACCGCCTTGCCATTGTTCTTCTTCTTTGAACCCTTCTTTTCTTTTTCTTCTCTCTTCTTCAATCTGAGATCCCCATTATACTTTGTACTGCCATTAACTAGCATATTTACCATTTTGGCTGCTGCACGTTTCCGTCCTTGGTATAAATGAAATCGATCTTTGGCAGTGTCATCACCGTAGAAAGAAAACAAGACTTCCAAGTGCTGTAGGATGTATGCTGCATAACAGTGATATTGGGCTTTGGAGCCTGTCTTGGCAGTTGGTATATCACTTTCGATGTTCTTTATGGTACCAGCTTTCTTCTTCTCTAGCCTTGCAGAGTACCTGGTGCTACCAGTCATATGGTAGTATTCTTTGGTAGAACAGCTTCGCACCTGGTGCTTCGTTACGTCTATCCCAATTGCTGCTGTGAAAACGTCTCTTCTACCAGGATCAATGAAGCAGGGTCTATAACCAGATTCGACTTCGGCATAATCAAAATCTTCCAAAGTCAACCGATGGTCTTCGATGGTTTTCTCTTCTTTTGATTTCCTCTTCTTACTAAAAATAAAGTCGACAGTGAAGCCATCCGAGCGGACGATATTACGGAATAGGGTCTCTTGGCTTGTCTTGAGGTCATTCAAACTGTTGTCACAAAAAATGAAATTCAGTAAATACTAATGACAACATTTCTGCCAAACCTTTTTTTTTTTTTTTTTTTTTTTTTTTTTTTTTTTTTTTTTTTACCTATCAAATCCCATCTTCTTAAAGCTGAACACTTGATAAAACTTTTCGAGTTGATTTGTATAGCCTTTCGGAGCTATACCGGGAAACATGAATGGAAGGAGCGAGTTGACGCTTATGGAGATGAAACGCCAATGGAGCGAAGGCAGAGGGAAAGGGAAGAAGCGCTTCGGTAACGGTAATCTACGGACATCGTAAGCTGCATGTTCGTCATGTTCCTTTTCATACGAGGATAGGATGTGCCATAATGCTTTGGTAAACTTGGCGGGATCGGATGATAAGGAAAGCAGCGTAACCTTTTCCGTTATAAGTTTCTCAAAGCTTTTGCATAGCATCTCTATCTTGCTTTTGTCTTCTTTACTAAGCATGATTCTATCAGGCCAGTTGGGTTCGCCTTTGCAAATTACTTGGTAGCAGTATTCTTTTGATATTTCCACTGCGTCGGTCTTCTTCATGCTCTGATTATTATAAAGCAAATACAAATGGTTAGAAACTAAGAAATCGAAATTATAGTAGTGATAACAATACGCACAACAAACATGTTTTGCAGCTTATAGGTTAGATATTTAAGCACTCGTTGTTCAAAAAGCTCAACAATAGAGTTAGTATACGAAACGCTTATCTCCTTGGCGGCTTCTGTGAGACAGTGGCTGTAACCTTTAGTGAAGCTCTGACTGATTACTATTGTCGGATGCTTTTCCTTAAAGTCATCAAAATAATTTTTGATGTCGTCGTTCAGCGCCTTCTTGTGAGTAACCTTTTTGCCCGTAACGAGTTGTCCAACAGAATACCAAAATTGCTGTGTGAAGACTTCTGAAGGAATGGCATTCTTATTATGCACGAGGTAGGCATTAACAAATAGCTGGCAGCGAAACACTATAGCTCTGATGTCCTTGCAGCAGGAGATGACCTTTTCCTTGAACTTTTCACGAAACTGTGGTAAAACGGCACTGTCGATAGGAAGCTTCCTCGCAAAAACAGTAGAATCATGGCCAAGGACAGATGAAATGGCCTCGTCCTTTGATTGTATGTGATTAGGACAAAGAGGCGAACGAGGAGAAGCATGGTCATCATTCCCACAACTGGAACACTCTACAGCCTGTGATGCTGTTCTCTTCTTTTTCACTGCTTTCTTCTCTGCTTTAACACTGGCGCTCTGTTTTCTCTTCTTATTGCGAGTCCCAACTATATGTGGAAGAGATGGTCTATTACTTGGCTTGTGTGGCTAAAGGCAGGTCGAGGCTCAACTTACCATCATCGGCGGATATAGCTTTATGGTACTTGCATCCCGGGTAATTTTTATTAAAGTGACCCAAATCATTACAGTCCTTACATTTGGTATGCTCTGAAAAGTGTACAATAAGGTTACTAATGTCTCAAACTACACACTGTATAGTGATATGCCATTACCGGGCGGATTTTCCTTCTTGGTATGATTTTCTTTCACTGAATTGATTTTATCTATGATGATTGTCTTGTACATGTGTGTAGAAAATAACGTTGGTTTGAAGGTAATGAAGTGAAAGAAAAAAAGAAGATAAGAAAATAATTGAAAAAGGTGAAAGATAAGAATGATCACTAAATTTTGGCAACATAACATTTCGTTTAACAACATTTATAATAACAGTATGATTTACGCGTTTAATGTCACATTTAAAAATACGCAGATATTGAAAAATTTGATCCGATACAGTAATTTAGCGTTGGATTTAACAAAGCTGCCATATGAATGGAGAGTACAAACCAGATTTTTGAGACGTCTACTCAAACCTTCAAATTTGGCACAGAGCTCCTGTCTTGCAGCTTCAATTGTTGTCAAAGGTCTCGCATCAAATAATGCTATAAGAAACTCAGTATGTTCTGCAAAAAGCTTCTTTGGTCGAGAGATGCCGGTTCTTGGCTTGCTACCAGGAAGGACTGTACCATCACTAACATTCCAATGATCTGAAAACTTATAAGCGGTGAACCTCGGAATGTCACACTCAACCGCAGCTTTGGGAACTGTAAGCCCAGCCTCTTGGATTAAGTGAATCAACCGTCTAATTCTGTGCTCACTATATTGCTTGCGCTTCTTGGACTTATCCGTTAATGCGATAGTGCTGAATTCTGTTGTTAATTCTTCAACAGCTTCTTCCATTTTCGCATCATCGACTACAGGGCGCCGCTGCATTTCATCATAGTCGACGATCTTCTCCATTTGCCCGAAAGTAACAGCAATTTCATCCAAGTCCATAGCAAAAGTATTTTCGGAAAGCATAGGCTCACTTGCAGGATTATAATTTATGTAATTCATGTTGCAGGGATGTGTTTATTTTAAAGCAAACGAAATCTACTCAAAATATTTCGTCTACCGTAAAAGCCCAGTTCGTCTAAAATCAAAAATCTATAGTCCACTAAAAAAAAAGAAACGTCCCAATTAAGGTACCAACTTCGTCCACAAAATTTTCGAAATCGTCTCTTATGAAACCTAAAATACTGTAATTCCTTTTTTACGCATGATGAGTCAATTCGGTTTTTAAAGTCACTCAAAAGATTTCAAACTTGTCATTTGTCAAGATAACCGTACCTGTCTATTCTTTTTTGAGTGTACATCTTTTCCGTATCTAATATTTAACATAAACCATGAGTTCTTTCGGTAAACTCTTCCGTGTCACGACATTCGGTGAATCCCATTGCAAAGGTGTCGGTGCCATTGTCGATGGCGTTCCCCCTGGCTTGGAATTGACAGAAGCTGACATTCAACCTCAACTCACACGTAGAAGACCTGGCCAAAGCAAGCTTACGACACCTGTAAAGTTCTCTTTGATAAACACCTTCGCAGACAAAAATGATACTAACTATAACCACAATCCTTAGCGTAATGAAAATGATAAAGTGACTATTATGTCCGGTACAGAATTTGGTATTACACTAGGAACACCTATCGGTCTGCAAGTCCCTAATTTGGACCAAAGACCTCACGACTACAGCGACATGGATATCTACCCGCGCCCATCTCATGCTGACTACACTTACCTTCAAAAATACGGAGTTAAAGCGTCCAGTGGAGGTGGTCGTGCTTCGGCACGTGAAACCATCGGCCGTGTGGCTGCTGGTGCTATTGCTGAAAAATACCTACGCCTCGCCTACGGTGTAGAGATTGTTGCTTTCGCATCCAGCGTTGGCAAAGTCACCATGCCCTTTATCCGAGAATTAGAGAATAACGATGATAAACCCGATCCAGAATTGATTGAATTCATGAACACTTTGACCCGCGATCAGGTTGATGCAGATATTTCCCGTTGTCCACACCCCCCTACAGCAGAGGCTATGAAGAAATTGATTGCACAAAAATCGCATGAAAAGGATTCAGTAGGAGGAACAGTAACATGTGTCATCAGAAAGTGTCCCATAGGACTTGGTGAACCTTGTTTTGATAAACTAGAAGCTGTATTGGCACATGCTATGCTATCTATACCTGCAACGAAAGGATTTGAATTCGGATCAGGCTTTACCGGTACAAAAATGTCAGGTTGTGATCACAATGACCCTTTCATTAAAAAGGAAGATGGTACTTTCGGGACAGCAACAAATAACTCTGGGGGTATCCAAGGTGGTATTTCAAATGGTGAGAATATCTACTTTCGTGTAGCTTTTAAACCTGCCGCTACTATTTCACAAGATCAGACTACTGCTAATTATGATGGTGTTACAGGCACTTTGGCTGCTAAGGGCCGTCATGATCCCTGTGTAGTGTCTCGTGCTGTACCTATTGTAGAAGCAATGGCGGCACTTGTCATTATGGAGTAAGTTTCGAACACATTGATGTCAAATAGTTATCAGCTTACTTATCTCTGTCTGTTATAGTGCTGCTTTACAACAAGAATCTCGCCGCTCAGCTATGTCTAAATTACCAAGTGTAGAAGTCAATCATGCATTATTGGGCAAGACTCCAAAATTGGAATAACTGCGATCATAAAGACATTTGTTATATTTCAGAACTCTTATAATAGAATCAAGAGAATGTACCTGCAACTAGACTGGGCACCTATGTACAATCAATCGTTCCATTAAAATTCCAGGAGTTAATGCTCAATGATAATAACATAACTGAGTTTTATAATAGTAATTCGGGAAATACGTATTACATATTTGAGAAGAAAGAAAGCTGATCTGTAATCGATTACTGCTTCCATTTTTCTATTGAAGATTGTTAAGACTTCTAGAATTCGGTTACTGTAAGGTCAGAAGACATGGTTATTTTATAGACTTCTATTTTGATAATTAAAATTTCTACGTCAAATTTAATGGCTGCATCACCATTGTTCAATCACTTCTTGTTGAATCCCTAACAATATTGTGAGACGATTTGGAAGCTCTATGAAAAGATAGTCTAGAGTTATCAAAACACGTATGTTACTGAGTAACCGTCCCCAATGTCTCATTATAGCTCTAGATAGTACATGGAATAACTTAACGGTGACCGTTACCCCCTTCTGAATTGTTTGTATTCGAACCAAGCCTTACAACTCGAGTATCTCTGGCCCATTCTTACTAAGCTTAGTTGTTAAACAGGCAACCTTAAAATGTCCTCTGCATCAGGCGGTAAGTATAAAGAGAAAAGGTTGGATTTACAAATGTCGAAGAATCCTTCAACTTTGATAAAAAGAACTCAACATTTTATGTATTTTTTTTTTGGTCCCAATACCGATTGAAAGGGCGTGTATACCTCACAGTGATTATCCGAATACAAAGGAGCAATCACTTTTTCCTAACACAACATTGCAGTGTATTGTTCTTGATAAAATGGTAGTGAGTGCCATGTGTATAAACACATTGTCAAGTAAAGGACAAGTTGTTCGTGACCATTTGTTCAGGAAGTAATTGAACTAGAAATTGTTTATCTGCTTTTACAATTCTTATTTGAAAATAGTCTTCTCGGTACTCAATGAAAACATAAAAACCCAGAAAAAAAAAAGTACACGACTAATATTCACCAATAACCTATCGTATCAAATTATTGGTGGCTATTAAGACAGCTGACACATTTTGACTGTATCCTTTTCTCATCGATATTATGGAACTGGAAGCAATTTTATGAGCATTTTACATGTTCAGTTTTGAATAACGATTTTTTACTTGATACATCCTTTTATTTCATAATTTGCCACTTTGTAATTGATATTAAAATTAGGCATAAATAAATCATAGACATACCATAGAATTTTGTAACTTCATTTAAGATTTATCGCGTTAGAGTCTTCCTAAAAAAATCATATCAAAGTTGTTGAATGTTAATACGCAACAATTAAACAATTAATTTACGTTGTGCTTGGACACTCGATGACCGCCATTGTCATCAGGGAAGATATGCACCGGATATAAACAATGTTTGTAGCACAAAAAATGCTGCATTGCATAATTCCGTATGAGTCAACTGTAATTATGATTGGAAAACGCCTGGAACAAACCTTTTGAACAGCTATTAAACACAGACGTTAATGAGAAGTTTTAATGAGCTAAGTCATGATGTCAAAAACCGCAATATTTATTAAGGAAAATGTTTCGTTACCAAGACTCAACCCTGCAAACTTATTGTCAAAGACAGCAAACTAGAAGGTCAAAAGATGTTGATCGTATATCAATGATCATCAAAATGCCAAAAGAAACTCCTTTTCAAAGCTATTATAGTCCCGTATGATGACGCGAAAAACTGGACAAGCACTGTATAAGTCTAAATCCATCAATGAAATTGGAGGCTAATCCAAATAGTAACGGTACATACGGTGAACAAATAATATCCAGAAAGGAGCTTTGTATGCTGCTTAATAGTCATAAGAGATGTATACATTGGGTATTTTATTAGTGATTCGTATGATTTACTTAAAGTATATGTTCATTGTCAAATCGTAGCATAATCGTTAAAGTCTATTTATCCCCCTTCTTTTCTGCATGTTTAATTGACTGTTGACCAACGTCAGCAACAGCAGCAGCCAAATCGTCGTAAGATTTATAACCGAGTGATCGACTTAATGACTGGTTAAGTGCTACAGGGTCTGCCATTCCTTTTGTATGGCCCATAGCCTTCCCAATGAACCACTTGAACAACTTCAAGTTACCGTTTTTCAACGCCTTGGCCTAACAGATTCAGTTGTCTTTCATTAGAAGGGCACATAAACATGTTTATATGATGGTTTACTAATTCACCTTATCGGCATTCTTTTCTACAATATCTTTGCAAATACTCTCCAATTGTGCTGAATCAGACATTGTAAGCCATCCATTCTTCCTCACTATATCCAATGGTTCTGAAGGGTCATCTAGCATCAATTTAAGCAATAGCTTGCCCTTATTTACTGTTGTCGTAAGAGTTTAGTGCCTTGTCGAAGAATATAGTGACGTATATAAGGTTAGAGTTTTTTGTACCTGTAGTGGTTCCTTTTTCCAAAAGGTCAAGCAAGCCTCCAAAACGCTTTGAAGAAATTGGGTTGTCTTTGAATGTTTTATCTTTTGCTGCCAAGGCTCCTGACAACTCATTGAGCATCCTTCGTATGACGTATTAGTTAGCCTATGTAGCACATTTTATAGATATACTAAGCTCTGAAGCCCTTACCATTTTGTTACTGTATTTGGGTCTCTCCCCTCACAAACCTAGGCATTATATAGTAAGTTTATCTGAAATTGCACGATATTCAACCTTTTACACTCACTCTTTCGAAATAATCCAGGCATTTGTATTCGTGTAATAGAAGGTTTGCATTAAACAAGCTAAGATTGTACTGTTTCATAATTCTATCCAAAGAAACATCAGGTAGCTCAGGTAAAGAATTGGCAATACGGTCTATAAAATCCTATGAGAGATAAGCAAGCACTTTCAGTTGATAAAGCTATGTGATTATGTGTATTAGTAAAACACCCACTTCTGATAGCAATAATGGAGGAAGATCAGGTTCAGGCATGAATCTGTAATCTGGAGCTGACTCTTTATCTCTAAGCTTGTAAGTTGTATTCCGAAGTTCATCATATCGTCTAGTTTCTACATGTACTGGTATTCCATTTTCGAGCAATTCAATTTGCCTAGTCACTTCTGCATCAATAGCTGCTGACAGAATACGAATTCGATTTAAATTCTTCAACTCACAACGGGTGCCAAATTGACTGTCACCCTGTTTTCTTACAGATACATTAACATCACAGCGCATTGACCCTTCTTCTAGATTTGCTTTGGATACATCGACCCACTGAAGCAATTGTTGGAGCTTTTTGACGTATAATCCCGCTTCGTACGACGATCTGATTCACCGGATACCGTAATTAATATTCATATACCACTATAACTATGCTTGCTTCTGCCATTTTACCTTATATCAGGCTTACTGACAATTTCGATCAATCCTATACCTGCTCTATTTAAATCTAGCAGTGATTCTCCTGGTCGCATATCGTGGATACTTTTGCCAGTATCTTGCTCAATTTGAATTTGGTGTATACCGATTTTGGCCGGTATCTTTGCACCATCAAGTTCTGTAAGCTGTATGAATCCTCCCCGTGAAATCGGTTCTACATATTTATGGGATCCGATGCTATAAGAATTTTTGATTTGAGTGATTAAAGTTTTATTATTCCGGCTTTTACCTCGTTGTTGTGTGATTTGATAACCTTGCGGTAAATCAGGATAATAGTAATGTTTCCGTTCAAAAGTTGATCGCTTTTGTATTTGCCCTTGTAAGCTGAGAGCCGCTTTTACAGCTTGTTCCACTGCGTGGATATTCAGCCTCTAAAAACGTTAAAGTCAATCTACGGCTTTCTGAAAAAAAAAAAACCATTAAAATCTTAGCAAACCTTACAGGCTGGACTCCTGGAAAGGCTGCATCAATTGCGGATACGTGAGTATTGACATGTTCATTATACGAAGTTGACGAATCTGTATTATGATAGCTTCAAGTTAGCTGTAATCAATCGATAATACAGTTCAGAGTTTTATTTAGTTAACTACACCTGAAAATAATTTTGTTTTTGTATTTAATTGTGCATGCACCTCTATACCAATAACAGCTTCCCAACCATCTTTTATGGAACCTTCAGATGTCGAGAAATTTCTGACGGCCTTGAACAACTGAGATCTCAGGTAAGCACATCTTGTTAATCGGAGCATGTTCACTTTTGTTTCGAATGTAAAGGTCAAGGTCCCTTTTCGAATTTTGATAACCTTACATAAGCGACCTCTGAATTTCCGTTGTTCAAACACCGTCTTCCCCACAATGAGTATCTACTGTGCAATGTGCCATCCGAAGATGAAAGTACATTCAGAAATTGTGACAGCTTTTATTTTAGTATTCTTAGGAGAATGATATCTCTCTGCTCTATGCTGCAGATCAGTGGCGAACATTGTCTTCAATCATTTGACGAGTGCATTTTGATTATTCTAAAATACTACAAAGGCTCTTTCTATAATGCCTCTAGTTTTATCTGCACAACACACTCTTTATGGATAATATGACTCAATCATGCAACCTAAAGCAAATATTCAGATGCGTAACGCATCCTTCGTTTCTTTTTGTCTCTTTTCTGATTTTTTTTTCTTTGTAAAGCTTCATAAACTTCTTCCGCAGAGAGTTGTCTATTCTGTATATACTCATACATCAGTATATCCAAAAACTGCATGCAAATGTATGTTATATCTGATACCTATTTTCAAACACAGTGAAGCTGAATGTCAAAAGAAAGAGAATAGATGGGACAATACTACACTAACAACGGATTAAGAAGAGACTTGTCATGAGGTTTTGAACCGCGGCCGAACTAGTATGTTTAAACGTCCTAGAAGTTCACCAGCAGTTTCGTAACGCGTGCTCTTTTAACGTTTTGAGAGAATTATCCGGAAACAACTAAAAGATATAATTTAATCCGTTATCAGAAACGGTGTTGCTTTGAAATTGCCAGACAAATTTGAAAAACTACAGGAAATATACTTGAATACGAATAGGCTCTCAATGGTATAATCTTCGAAGCTGTAGGGTTTGTGATTGTCAATAAGCTCATGTGTACACTTTTCAAGTGGTGTGCATATTTTAGACCATGTTTTCTTACAGGACTATGTCACTGCTCATTATCAAAAGTTGATGAAAGAAATAGCAGTGGAGGTTAGTAATAAAACGCAGGTAATGCACAGCAGCACAATACAGAACGAATTCCAGTGCGCGTAGGAAACTGTGCGACATGACTTAATGCAAACATGGTAGAAATTGTTTTATCAAGGTTCTCATATAGTGAATATATCAATGTTTCCAGCGTTTGCTACTTGAAGAACCAGCCAATCCAAGCCTGAATGATTCAATAACCTAATAACCAACTTCTTAACTGAAGAATGACTGGGATAGCGTAGCTACAATGTGTTCAGTAGATGAAAGAAAAAGGTACGTTCTACATGACAATCTCTCCTTTAAAACTCACAACGACAGCATTTCTTTTGAAAAGTGCAGAATATCTCATTTTCATTCATTCTAAATCGTTCAGTGCGCCTTACATATTTATTCGGATACACAAATATGGCTTGGAGGTAATAATTCGTAGGAGAACTTGTATCAATATAATACTCATTTTGGTCATATCTCCACTTATATGAGCACAGAACTGAACTTTGTGTTTCTTTCCTTCAAAAGAGGATCCCACCTACAATTTACTGTCCATTGAAATGGCTGGATATACATCCAGCAGTGAATATTGGCCAAATTTGAATATTTGTCTGCATCGGTACCATGAGTGTGGTTCCTGAATTCCATTTTGAACGATTTTAAAGCTACGCTTAGACAAGCATCTTGTGGATGAAAGTAGCTGTTTCGCTTATTATAATGAGTTGTTTTAGTTATAACGGATATAGGCATGCAATTTCACTTTAGTCTAAAGAGTCGGTAAGTCTTTCAGTCCGCCAACCATATATTTCCACTTTATCTGTATATCATTGATAGGCTGGGTTGGTTGGGAACAGCCGTGTTAAAATGACTATGGTTGGAGTTAGGCTTTCTTGATTCTGAGTTTCAAGATAAAGCACGATCACTGTAACTGTAGCACAATACATTACCATTTAACCTATGGTGCCGGTTCACTGAAAAGGCAATAGTGGTACATTCTTTTTTGATGGTCTATGAATTAATAAATTTCGCTCGCTTCTCTTACTCTCTCGGTTTTCTCATCGTCAAGTTCGGACCCAACCTTACTTTCGCCATTTCGAGAGATGACCAACTCAAAACTTATTGCTAGTTTGATAAAACGAATTGAAGTCAGAGTATGTCTTTCCTTCTCTATTGTATATAGCTAATTTTGATGTTGATCAATCTTCTATTTAGCTTCCTATTAACAGTTCTGGCAAGTCCATTGAGATGCTGGAGCAAGACCCCTTAACCCAGCAGACGAGTAATGTATAGCTCATATTTTGTGAATTATAATCCAGTGGTTTGAATTAATGGAATGGTTTGGAATTGAATTTCTAGTCGCTGCCATCATTGAATTATCAATTCATAAACTGTCTATCATCGTTAATCAGCTTGCCCTGATTTTAGAGTCAATTTCAAAGGTCTCACTTTGATAAATCGGGAAGCCAATATATAGAGCTTGTTACTGAATTTTTTTTTATTTTTTTTTGTTTGCATGGAACTTTAGATCTATAATCTGTCCACAATAGATTTATATGTTCCTAGTGAATTTCTTCAATCACAATTGTTTATCCTTCGATTGATATCAGCCTGCTTACAGCATCATTGGCAATGGTATGGAAAACAGAAAATACAGCAGCAACAAAATAATGACGAAGTGAAGGCTATTACTTTGGGGAACTTAGCAACAACCACAAATAATCCGTCTGATGATACAAATTATATACTTACCAATTTCCAGTGCAAATCTTCTGCATCTACGACAATTCTTCGAAGCAACAACATTCATACAATAATCAATCCGGAACCACTCGAGGAAACATTAATATCATTTTTAATGTCACTGATTAGCCGTTTCTTAACGCAAACACATATTATTGAAGAACGAACAGAGCAGAATATCAATTCCTCATCGGGAGCTGCTGATCATAGTATTGAAAGAGTTGGTAATACTGCTAATTCTTTGACGAAGCGATTAGATTCACAAGCATTAGATTATATACAAGAAATTTATACAGCCGCTGGGAAAATCTTATACTATACTAGTGCCAGCAATTGGGGAACCTACTATGCGCGAATTCGAAATGCAGTCAATAATCTCAGTGCAATCAATGATAGTGTTGCGATGAATCCTCCTGATATCAGAATCCTTGCCTTTGCAGATCTAGATATACCACGTTTACATACAGTTTTATCAGGTGATTTACCTAGGATAAAAGAAGAGGGAAAAAATAGAAACGAGAACAGTACAATTGATTTACGTGTCTTTGTTTGATTATGGTAGACTTGAGTCCCTATTTTTTGAACATGAGAGTTCAAGGTAAACTATTATTTGCAAAAATGATGAGATTGGCTATATGGAAATGGATCGAAACGAAGCCGAGTCAATTTGCAGAGATTTACACAAAGGCAGGAAGCGATAGCAGTATGTCGAGCATTTCAGGTTCAGAAATTCTGTTCGATATGTGCGACAATGCTGCCGATAGTTCACGTAAGAAATCTGTGTTATGGCCATTACAGACGGTCTTGTTATTGCTCACACCAGGGCATTTGATACAAGCATTTTTGGATGATCATGGATTGCAAAATAGAAGGGTAACTTTCCTTGGGTAGAGTTGTGTGTATGATTGTAATTGACATTAAGTTCTTCAACCATGTCGTTAATAGACAGCCTTTCCGCGCCAATTGAAAAAAGCCTTACACTCTACCAGAATGCAACAAATTGCTGCTATATGTTACATCCATCTTTGTAAAGCGGCTGTGTACATACCTCCAAATGAAGATAACATCTTGCGTCTTATTGCAGCAGATGTGGAAGATACTCTGCGGGACAAAGTGTGGGATTTTTCTCGCGTTTCAGCGATGGATACATTATCTTCTGGTCTGGGATATACAATTAGTCATCTAACTTTGTTAACAGATTATTTCTTAACTGCTGTAAAATTAAATGCAGAAAAAGCGTTGGAAAATTTGATACCCCCATTGGTTGGAGAAAACGAAGAGATACCCATTGTATTCAGGCAGGCATTCATTAATGCCTGCTTAAGCATTGCTTTAGACAAGGATTCAGCGCTACCATGGTGTCCAACGTTAAAATCATTGTACTCGCACATATCTGCACCTCTTAAACGTATTTTCATACACTCTACAAAAATAGTACTAAGCCCGTCTTTATCAAGATCAGAAATTTCTAATTCCACCTTCGTAGCAAATAAGAAACAGAATGGGGCAAGCACAGCAACGATATCAGGAACAGTATCAGTAATGGTGACACCGATTACAGCAGGAAGTACAGCATCCAACAGTGAAAGAAGTTTACAACCTCCGCGGCAAATGGAAACAATTCTACAAAGTATACTTAGGTTATTCAGGTTAGATCCAGCTAGTGCTTTAATGGTAACTGAAATGCAACCTAAAGTTTATTTGTGTATATAGTTTATATTTGCGCATGTATGACTGTGGAACTATCATTATTAATTGAAAGTGAAATTCTATTCTATTACCAACTAATAACTCTAGGGGAATAACCATGGTGACGATGGGCATGAGCGAGTAGACGAAAATGCGGCTACAATCATCTCCATGATAAATTTAATGAAATACCGGGATAAGCGCATCAGGCGCTCGGCAGCAGAGTGTATAGCTCGCTTTTTTGAATTTGAACATATCAAGCAATGGGGTCCATCGGAAACTTTGATTGTTAATTTTTGGAAGATATCGTCACAAACTGTACTGTGTTTAGCGCGCCAAATCCTTGATCAACGCCAGAGTGAAGAAATTATCAAATCATATTTAGAATTGCTATGCAAAGTACTCGTTTCACGAAACGTATTCTTACGTAGTCTAGCGGTAAATCTAACAAAGAACTACTAAACTGCTTCGTATAAATTGACTCAACTCTGTTTTAATAGGATACAAGCTATGAAAACACAATATCACATGAACGCGTACAATCCAGTGTGACCCTAGAAACAGCTCTTTTAGTATCGTTATGCTCACCTATTCCTGATATATGCTCTCTGGCAACAGCATGCTTGAAACATTTATGCGTAGAGGCTAAGCTGGTAGAAGACGATCTTTTGCTTGCTGATACAGCATCTCGTACAAGCCAAACAATAGGTGGCTTCGAACACAATATTGAAATATACGAGGACCTCTCGTATGAAGAGCCAATTTCGAATCAGCAAGGCGCAAGAAAACAGCCTTTTATTGGACGAAAAGCACAACAAAAGAGAATTCGAAAATACCTACGTATGATTAGTGCTCCTACACCTGGTGTATTAACCGCCTGGGAGGAGATTTGGAAAAGATGGAAAATTCTAACACAGGTCGTTAGCAGATTTGGAATAGATTCCTTACGCGATTTGAATGAGGGTATAGGCAGCACCACCGCTAGCACGGTTTCGTCTATGTCAACACCCTCAGCCAAAAAAATTGGAGGATTGGTTCGACATGATAAGGTTAGATCACCTTCTATGAGAACCATTACCACTTCTCCAGTTCCCGTAAGTCGAATCGAAACTGACGACGAGAAACAGACAGAATGGCAAAATTATACAGGGTTTTTAGCAGCATTAGGTGGTAGTCGTTTGGCTGCGGATACGATAGACGAGGAGCTTTTGGAAGTAAAAAGACCGAATAAAGCACATCATGATGGTAATACATCAGTTTCCTCAACTCGTCCACCAGCAGTGACCAACAGTATGGTCAAAAAGTTTATATCAGAGATGATAGAACTGTTAACGTCAGAAAATGTGATGGTAAGAGAAGGAGCCAAGGATACTTTGGGTGGTGACATTTCTCCGGCTCTATACGCTATACTTTTCCAACATTTAGAAGCAGCCATAAACAACTGTTTTTCTGCACAAGGAGATGTTATTTGTGACAGCAAAAATACGCTATTAGTAGAGCAAACGGTGCTGATTTTAAAGACGATTTTAGATAGACTAACGCTTCCCAATGACTGTCTACTCAGTACTGATTTTGGTACGCTAATACTGCAATTAGCAAACTACATTAATCGACTACCCCATGAAAACTATACGACAATGCGTGTAATGATAAAGATGTGTAACCTTACTGAGGTGCTAATGTCGAAGAAGGAACAAGTTATTATTCGTGATGATGTTCGTGTGCGCAACAAGCTATTGGAAATAATTATAGAATGGACAAGTGATTTTACTTTGGTCAGTATGGAGCTTCAGAATTGAAGTCAAAACGTTGCAGATGCTAATGCAACTCTTCCATATCATACTTATAGCGTGTCATGAATGGATCTACGAAGATGTCGTTTAGTAGCTCCCAAAACAAGGAAGTACAGCGGGATTTGGATCAAGTTTGCTTAAAAGCTATAGTAACAATCCTACATAAACTTCCCCTTCAAGCTGTCGAACAGTCTCGTGATACTGACCGAACAATGAGCAAAACTCGACTATTCCGGAAATATTTCATCTATTTTACTCAATTGCTCGATAGATGCCACCGATATGAGGTAATAGATTGATATTTATTTCTAAATTTCTGTAGAATTCATCAAAACATATGCATATATAGAAGGAATCCAGTTCAATAATCCCACGATCGAACGCTGATCTGTTGCGAAAGACGGGTCGGGAGTTACAAACTTTATCGGCGAAACCTTCAGAGCTCTACCAATATTGGAGTCCTTTGAAAGATTCAGCAGTGAGTGCCATATCCAATCTCCTCAGTGCTAATGTTGACTGTGGCTTACAGTTCACTCTCGCTATGGGATACCACGAAGACAGTCGCACGAGAACTGCGTTTATGCAGGTATTGTCGAATATCTTGAACCAGGGTGCTCAATTTGATACTTTGGCTGAGAATATTATAGCCAACCGCTATGAAAAGCTTGTCGAGGTATAATATGTGATTACTTGCGTATAATTTAGCGACGTTATACTTATACGATAACTACTACAGATCATTGTGGACTCTGATATCGATGTAGCACTAGCTTTATGTGATGTTTGTCCATCATCAGAGGCAACAGTTATGTGCAAAGTCTTACTGCAGTGTTTTGAGTCACGTAGTAAGGTACTAACCCTCCTCAAAGCAGTAATAGACAGAGAAGTAAATTCAACAGGTATCTGGGTGAATATTCTTGTTCACGCAGGAGTACCTTAATTGACTATAAGTTTCTTTCTCCCTTTTTGTCATAGACCAAGAGTCAACTTTGTTCAGAGGAACAAACATGGCCACTAAAATACTGTCCACTTTTGCACGTGAAACTTGCGTAGATTACATTCGGTTCACTTTACAGCCAGCTATGGAACTAATTAATAGTCTACCTAATGAAAACTTGACTTGGGAGTTAGACCCACAAAAATTGCAATCGAGAGAGGATATACTGATGAACAGGCAAAATGTTTGCCGAGCAACTGAAATTTTTTTAGACGCCATCTGCAATTCAACCGAAAACGCACCGAGACTTTTTCGACAAGAGCTTGCCCTAATAGTTGAAGCGGTCAACAAACGATTTCCTGATGCATCCAAGACTGCTGTTGGTGGTTTTGTTTTCCTTCGCCTATTCAATCCAGCTATTTTAACGCCGGAAAACTCGGGTTTTTCAAAAGCTGCCTTACCCCGTTCAAAAATGGTCAAAAAACTACTTCTTCAAGCAACGCGTATAATGCAAAACCTTGCAAATAACGTCATGTTTGGTGCCAAAGAAACGCACCTAATTTCTCTCAATGATTTTATCACGAGTAATCTATACCGTGTCGCCAACTTTCTTCGCGAAATATCAGTTGTACCTGTCAAAGGTGACCGATGCATTAAGGAGGAAACAAGGGGTATTCGTATGGATCACTTCGCTTTCACAAAACTGCACTGTTATATGTCAGACAATCTGGACAAAATATCGAGAGACCTTTCTGTACGCCGTGCTAGAACAAGTACGGACACTCAAAAGCTCTTGGAATGGAAAAGAACGATGGACAAACTCTCCAATTTATTAGCACAGCTAGGACCACCCAGTGAACTATCTCAGAATGACTTCAATACAGGCAGAAACTACGCATTTTTGACAAGCAATAATAATTTTTACAGGGAATTCATAAAAAGGAATAAGCATAGAGATTTGAGTCATATCAGCTCAATGAATATCTTTTACAAAGGCGGTAACTCAAAAGGTGGAAGGCCAGTTTTTTACCTGATCACCAGAAATGCTGCAGGCGAAAATGTTGACTTCGAGTTATTGATCTACTATATGTTACGCGTAAGTAATTGCTTCAACTATTCTTACCAAAGGAGCGTATCTAATGACAAATAATTTGTGATGTGTCATCCTAATAGGTTATGGAACCATACTTAAACCATCCGTTTGAGCTGCTAATTGATGTGTCTCGCTTCTGCGAAGACGTCGAAATCCCATCACACTGGTTGAACCAGTTTTTTCAACTTATATTCAGCGAAATGAATGACTATTTGGTTGCACTTATTTTGTACAATCCCAACTTTCATATGCAACGCTATGTACGAAAGCTTCCTCGTATCGTCACAAATAAGCTTGTCAAGAGAACGAAGTTTGCTATCACCCTTGACAAACTAACAAATTACATTGCTATGCCAGACATTCAGTTACCGAAAGAAACGCGTAAGTAAAATCATTAGAAATAGAATGTTTGAGTTGGTTACCATACTGATTTCGATAATGTTTATAGTTGAAATGGAAAAAGTAAAGGGTATGACTATTACCAATGCATATATTGTTACCAGCTTCAAAGTGATGATTCCTGTAAACATAAAGATTGGACAAGATTATCTCATTGTCACTACGGTAAGTATTTCAGCCAATTTCATTGAGATCGAGCGTGACACGACCGATGACATATTAACTTTATTTCCGTAGCTACGTGAGCAAGAAATCTTCTGGAGCCTGAATGCTATATTGAACAATGTTTTTAGTATGACCGATATAGTTGATATATTCATGCCAACCATACCGTCTTCAAAAAGAACTTCCGATGAGGGTGAGTTACACATCGTTCACGACAGTGGTAAAGCAACAATGGTTTTGATTGTGCCAAATTGTGAAGAAATTTACAGAGTAAGACGAATTCTACGAAATAAATTGATCTCAAATCTCAAAAGAAATGATATTGTCATGAGGTTACTTATATTTGAACCTTCCACAATTATTAGTACTTATTGGAAAGGAAGAAGAACTTTGAAACTAACTTTACTAATGTTAGCCATGGTATTCGTCCAACCGACGTACCGGGTCGAATACTTAACATGGCATTATTGAATATGGCCAGTGATGATCCCACCCTTCGAACAGAAGCTCACAATCTTCTCTGCTCACTGTGTATTTCTTTTCGATTTGGCTGTGATCGTAAATTGATGAAGACAAAAGGTAATCGAGAACTGCTGAAGAATTTTGACGTACTTCTTTTATGTGAAACAGTTTCTATCTTTATGTAGATATTTGTATTCCCTCGAATTCGGTGGACTTTATTGTAGCAATTAGTGAGAACCTGGCTCAAGCAGAAGCTCATTTAACCTTAGAATTTCTTAATGAATGTATACTAGGCTTCAATCGGTCAAGCAAAGATAGAATAAGACAATTGACAACGCTAGATTACATGGTTCCATGGTTAAAAAATCTGGCATTATTCGTTACTGCTCCTCATAATGAAAGGAATGCCCTAAAAGTGAAAGATGTGATTCGTTCGTTAATTGTCTTAACTGCAGAAAAATCACATGTAAGAAACAAATTAGCTTTCGATTAATAAGTAGAATAGTAATGTGAGATTATTAAGGCATTTTGGTATGTGTAGGTATACCAACACATTCAAAAAAAAGTTTGGAATACTCTAAAGGATATCGAAGAACTGCATAATCTTGTACTTGATGCACTTGTACAATACTCTGTTGAAAATGGTATTGGTTCTCCCCAGGCTGAAGTGATGGCCGACACCATTGTCACGTTGAATACACATGCTATTCGCGGGAAAGTATTACACCGAATGCGTAAAGTCTTATCAGCAACTTCACAGCACTACCGTCCTTCATTGACAAAGCATCCTCTTTGGCACGAAATTGGCTGTCTCATACGTTTTATGCTCATGTTGTCATTCTATTCTGAAAGTGTCATGAAACATTATTTGGCTGAAGTCTTTCATATCATTGCTTTGATCGTAGCAACAGGACCTACATTCATTCGTTCGTCGGTACATGAATTCGTTGTGAATGTTATTCATGCCTTGGTTACCAATAAACATATAACGGCAGATGATCGTAAAAAGCTCAAATACATATTGGATGAAGTGTGCGATGGGAAATACCGAGTACATTTCGGCCTTAACAAGACATACGCCAATGCATTCACAATTACAGAAGAGACAATGACAGATAATGTGGAATGCATGAACCTAGGCTCTTTAGAAGTGATTGTCCGGTTAATGATAGATGTAACGCATTATGCAGCACCTACAATAGGTAAACTTAGCTTTTAAATCAGCGAAATAGCTGATGTAATTATGGGATGTTAATTCTTTACTTATTTTATAGACATTGCCAATATTTGGCGTGCTCGTTGGACGAGCTTAGTAGCAAGTATGACTTTCCAACACAACCCAGCATTACAGCCACGAGCCTTTGTCATTCTTGGTTGCTTAGCCCAAGAGGATATTGATGACGACCTTATGTTTCAAATTCTGACTGTTCTGCGTAATGAATTGGCCCGCTTTGATGAAAAGAACCCTTGTCTCGTTATCAGTATACTGATGTGTCTTACAAATATTATTGATAATCTGTCCGATACCTCTCGCTATCTGAAGTCTATCTTTTGGCTGGCAGTGGCAATGGTTGAAATGAACCACAGTCAGATTTTCTCATACGCTGTTAATCTCTTGCATGCTGTATTACGAACCTTAGACACCCACAACTGTTTTCAAAAGAGCTCCATCCGAGATGTATTTATGGAAGCGAGGTTTCCCTACGGAGGGATTTCTCAAAAAATTGATAAAGCAGCAGGGCTCAGTTTTGACACACAATTTTCATTTGCTATTTCTGTCGCTTTGTTGAAAGGATTTCGTTATCCAGACGCACGGGAAACGGTGTTCACTTGCCTAACAACGTTTTTGGAAATTGAAACAAAATCTTTGTCGAACATGAATAGCAATATTGTAGGAACTCATCTTTTATTGCCACCTAATTCGTTCAGCAACGTCAATAGCCGGGTTCACGTAAAGTGCCTTGGTTATTTGTGTGGTCTATTACCGTTTGCTGTTAAGAACGATGCATTAAAAGAGCTGCTACAGCTGGCGGGTGTCAATGAGAATGCTATAGATTTGACTAGGGCTAGTATGCTAGATCAACCGCTAAGCAACGCAAGTAATATTGGCATTAATGATTTTTCGCAAGACGCAGTGTCTATTACAGCAGCAACACATCATGATATATATACCATCATTTGGCGTGCCATTGATATACCCAACAATACAACAGGTGTTTTGCTTGTTTCTTTTCTCATTGGACTTCTTAGTCTCGCAGAGAATGAATCAGAAAGATTATTTTTATATGGTCTCTTAGCTAGGGCAGCAGTTTCGACACCAGAGATATTCGCATTAATGTAAGGTGTAATAGTCCAATATTATTCTGTAATTCAGTTGACTTAACAATACTTAATCTGTTGCCGTCCATGAGCGTAGTTATGACTCACTGATACCCAAAATGAACTCTATTGTCGTTTCGAGTAATAACCCAATGTTGATCAATTCTGTAAAGGATATTTTGATGACGGCATGCTCTGAAACAGCGTTCAAGGCAAATGAGCCTATGGGACAGCAACACAGATATCTTGAGGAGATTGGCTTCAGCGCGCTTGGTGAAGTAAACTTTGGTTCTTTGAGCAATTCAACGACAATTAATGCTGCGTTAACAAGTGAGCTACTCAATATGATTTGTGAATAGATATTAGACTTGTTTTTTCAAAACTTCAAAGCAAATAAACTATAAGAATTCCATTAGTGATTTTAAATCTTTATTCTTAAACTTCCTTCCAAAGACACTACAAATTGTCCATTGGCGTTGGAAGGACTGTATTAGTGTTTATTCTGCTTTTTCATCTCACACTCAGGTTCTGGAACAAGCAGTTTACACTTCAGTTTTTTGTAATTATTGCTTTATCTCAAGCAATAATAAACAATAGAATGACAAAGTGAACACGTTGCGAACAATTCAGACTGTAAGCCATTCAAAAGAACGTTAGTGAAGGAATTGACAATCATACTTTCACTTCTGAAAAATCAGAATACTGTGCAGTTATTTGTATGCTTCAGTAACTTTTCAGAACATCTACAGGGCCTATAGTGATAGTAAGGATATCATTATGTCCCACAACCGTTTTATCACTCCTTGTCAAATAAGATGTTCAAAAAATATGCAAACAACAGCAGGATTCTAATTATGATGTTTATTTGGCTGATAATAATGTTAGAGAGAAGCCTCCAGCACAATTTGATATTTTTTTTATTTTTTTTTTCCAGACAACGGAGCTTTAACATTCTTCGTGGAAGCAGGCAAAGAAAAAGAAGAGCAGAAATAAAAAAATGAATATTTGTCAATAATAAGCTGGCCGATGCTTCTCCTTTCTGAATACCGTTTTTGAACAATGAAAATTGACAATACGGATATATATCCTAGAATTGCAGATAAAGTGCTGAGGAAAGTGCGAATACCTTTTTGCGATAAAGATTTAAGAGATCAATATGCACGACCACATCAGTTTCATATTTATGTACCCGATGAGTCAAATGGAGTCGACGAAGAGAGCGATGATGAGATCAAACTAAATAGTGATCTTGCTACTCTGAAAGCCGCATACAAAAATAAACGAGTAGAAAAAGTGACAGAGAGAAGATCGGGTACAAGAGGCGAGGCAATATATACCGTGCTATGGAAGGATGGAACAATCAGTGAGGTAGCTAGTTATATCACATTTAATTCGAGCCTAACACATATACTACAAATGCATTACATTCTGACATGTTAGAATATGTTATAGTCTGTACCTGCTGAAGCTTTAGATGATCATATAGATAATGATTTAGTACGGCATTTCATATACCAGAAAGATATACAAAAAGCACAAAAAACCAATGTATATTGAAAATACCACTCATGCGCCTAACAATCCCAATCTCAAGATGTCAACCTTACTTCAAAAGGCATTAACTGGATATAGATGTATAACTCTTACCCATTTTAAATTATCAATGCATTTGTTTATATGCTGATGAAGCTGCATAAATCGAAGACTTTCTTTTTAATGCAAACAAAACAATAGATTTCGGCTTTTCCATTTTGTTCCCACTATTAGGCATATTTTTCATTGTTTCGTCATTTTTTATATAAATAATTGTAAATCATATATATATTGCTTTAATGCAAGAACCAAATCGTGAAAAGAGTGACGGAGATCTCACTGTTTTGGACAAAATCGCCCAAGTTAGTGAAGATCCGTTTGATCTGAATAGACGCACATTATCTTCCTCATTAGATCTAAAATTGTTCCATCTGTCTAATCAGAACAATGATTCTCTTGAACCAGCATCTAAAAGAAGAAAGTTGGACGATCTTTTAAAAGCATTTGAAACGAGCGGCAAAGTAATCGATTTGACGAAAGACGATTCTCCAAAGAGTTCAGTCACTCATGGAAGAGAAGCATTTGAAACGAGCGAAAAAGTCATCGATTTAACCTCGTCAGACGATGAATCTCTAAAAGATTCAGCAACTGGCGAAATACAACAAATCGACCAACAGCCGCGAATAAGTGATGAAGACGAGCCTGCAATAGTTGAAAACAGTAATAACAGCAGTACTACTGAGAAAGGAAAGCCGCAGATTATAGAAGCACTTAACAACCTCGGTTTTGAAGTTGACGAGGTTTTTCGTAAAGTCTTAAAGACACATCAAGTAGAGGGATTGAAGTTCATGTGGCAGCGTGTGTATGAGAAAAGAGGCGGTTGTTTGCTAGCACATTCCATGGGATTAGGGAAAACATTACAAACAATTGCTCTATTAACGTCGATATATCAAGCATTGAATCGCGCACCTGAGAGCGATAACCCAACCGTAAGTATATAATATCATTTTGATATACAGAAGGCTAGCCCGTGATTTGATTCTCAGTATCATTTATCAATGTAAACTTAGGGAAAGCGTGTTTTGATTATAGCACCCCTTATCACTCTGTCTAACTGGGCAAATGAGTTTGGAAAGTGGGCTATTCCTGATGCAGAGAATGTTATTGGAGAAGTATTCAATTTTGCAGGTGAGACGATAAAGTAAGAGCGTTACTTTCTTTGAGCAATGACTCACTTGTCATTGATTGAAAGAGCTGGAGTACGGCTTTGGGAACCGCAGATTACGATATGCCAAGTATTGGTATGATCAGGGAGGAATTATGCTTATCAACTATGATATGTTTCGCTCTCTGGTGGCAACAACAAAATACAGTGGTGATAAAGATGAATATTTTGAGATGTTTATCAATCCAGGCCCGGACATAGTGATTCTAGACGAAGCCCATCGTATAAAGAACTCATCCTCGGCCCTTTCTAGTCTAATCAGCCGTATGCACACTCGCTCCCGTATCTGTTTAACGGGTTACCCTTTACAAAATCACATTTCCGAGTATTACGATATGATTAGTTTTGTTGCACCTGGATTGTTGGGAAGTTCAAAATCGTTCAAAGGATTCTTTAGAAACGATATAGAGCGGTGTTATGCTGATTCATCACTCAGCATAAAGAAACAGGCAGCAATGAAGATGTACATTTTACAGTTGTTGACGGATGTTGTCACACATCGAAGAGACGGAAGTGTGTTGAACCTGGATTTACCGCCTAAAACAGAATACGTAATTCGATTCAAGTTGAGTCCTTTTCAGTTAGAAGGCTACAAAAATTTGATAGAATTATCGCAAGCTATGAATCCATTGGTTGGCTTATTGACATTGCGTGCTATATGCAATCATCCCAAGATTTTCAAGAATGTAAGTCCTTAGTAGTTGTATACTCTTAATTATTATCTGGCATACCTGACATTGCTGAATTGTTACATTAGCTGATGAAAAATAGACAGATAAAACAGAGAAATTTAGAACTGGACAAGGAATATGGAAAAACTGCCTTTTCAGATGATACGTATATACCCTCTACTGCTATTTCAGCCCGACGTAATTCAAATAGTGATGCTGAGGATGAAGACATAGAAAATTTGGACACTGCAGATATTGCAGAAGATAATGAAGTGGATGCATTCGCTGCTTTTTTAACACGAGGACATGAATGGGCCATAAAATATCTTGACCGAGACGGTAAATAGGGACGAAAACATATAATACTTCCTGCTAAAAGTCGCTGAACTTTAATCATTCCATTTATTGTAGAGGTCGAGACATGGAAATGTTCGGGAAAAATGTCGTTCATTGTAGAGCTAGCAAAGAATTGCCATGTTATCAAAGAAAAGCTTCTTATAGTATCACACAGTTTAGCATGCCTGGGTAAGACTGTCAAACAACAAAAATTTGACATATACCGCAAATACTAAATGCACTCTTGTTCAAATAGAATATATCGAAGGTTTACTGCCTGTACTCGACATCAAAACGCTTCGTATTGATGGAAGCACATCCTTTGGAGAACGTCAAGAAATCATTGACAAGTTTCAACTCAAAGAGGATATTGATGTTATGTTACTCTCAGCCAAGGTAAATTCAAAAAAACAGAAGCTTCTTTTTTCTTTTTTTTTTTTTTTTTTTTTTTTTCTTCTTAAAATTGTATCTTTTAGGCAGCCGCTATTGGTATCAATTTAACTGCTGCTAATCGTATTGTGTTGGTTGACCAAGATTGGAACCCGCTTTATGATGAGCAAAGTATTGGTAGAGTTTTTCGTTACGGACAAGATAAACCTGTTTTTGTTTATCGGTTGATCACAGCTTCAACTATTGAAGAAAGGATTTTTGCACAAAGTGTACATAAAAAGAGTATTTCCAGGTAAATGGTCAGAACGTTGGAAAAGGTCAAAGAAAAGTAAAACGCTTACCTGCAGATATCTAATGTATGTAGGCGTGTCATTGACAATAAGCCGTCCTTGGTGATTTCTAAGGATGAATTGGTTGATTATTTCGTGGCACCGGACGGAAGTATAAGTACAATTGATTTGAATGATGATGTTATTGATGATATCAGGAGAGATTATATTACTTTTAGTACCCTAAAAGAAAGTACAGATTCCATTGTGGATATCAAGACGTACGAAATTGACAAATTAGAAGCAGACGACTTGGACGTTGATAACCCTTACTATTCCTTAAGCCCGTTGGATAGACGACAGGCAAAGAAAGAAGCAAAGCAGTTGATGCAAAAGTGGTGGATGAATGATGATGCAATCCATGATTGATCACTAATAGTCACCTATTTGCTTATTCATACAATAATATACCCATAGGCACTGCTTTATTAATATATAACATACTTTGTTTTGTTTTTTTTTTTTATTACATCAACCAGCATCTTTTTATATCCGTTCATATCAATAAAGTGGCAATTGTTCAATTCTCAATCATGGTTGTAGAGCTAATATCCTGAACTTTTTATTACATGTACTTTAATCGAAATGGTATGTGCTTGGCAAAGGAATAATGATAATAAAGTCTACAGCAATATTGAATAATTCAAAGCTTATTTCGCATTTACGGAACCTGTTGGTGCCTGCAATTGATTATTGTTATCATCACTACCATTACTGCCGTTGGATGTTTGTGTTGTACTGTTCTCGTGATGATTATGATGGAGGTGGTTGTGCTCACCATCACAAAGGTGATCTTTACTGCTGCTGTTCTCCTTTTCCTTATCCTTGTTATTCTTTCGCATTTCTGCTTCTTTCAACTTTTTCTCTCTCTGACGTTTTCTTTTATAGTATCCGTTCTTCTTTTTAGCAGCCTCGTAGCCATACATGAGAATATCATACTGACAAAATAGACAAACCCATTCGTCTGGATTAGGATTATCAAACAAAGTAATATCTGATGATAGGAATCCTCCAGGTGCCATAAAGTCATCATGGTTATTGTTGTTGTTCTTATTTGCCCGTTTTTTATTCTTTTTGCCGCTACTTGCCATTGTGGTTGTACTTGCTGCTTGTACTGGTCTGCTACTGTTAGTTATAGGTGCTTTCTTGGGTGCAGAAGAACTACCTGATTTCTTTCTCCCTTCAGGTGTCACTGCCATTCCCATGGTTTTCGTAGCAAATGCACCCTTCCTAGGATTACTACTACTATCGCTGTCAAATATGGATCCCTTTTTTTTCAATGACTGTTGCTGCTCTTCTTGTTGTATTTGTCGTGCAGAAGGCGCCAGAAATTTCTTGGTAACCACATTTGGGACTGCAAAGGTATCAGAAGTTGGGGGTGAGAACACCTTGCCTTGTTGTTGTTCTAACTGTTTGGCTTGGGCTACAGCCATAAGTGCTGATGAGGGCGTGCCTATAGTGGTTGGGGTAGGAAAAGGAGTGCTTCGACGAGCATAGGATTTTGTAGAATGACGAGTTCTGTTAAGATGAGCAATGGGCCGATCAGAAGTATCTGTTGTGAAAGAGGTTGATGTAGGTGTCGTTGGTGAAGTGACGTTAATGTCTTGTAGCATGCGATCGATTTCATCACTGGCAGATCTATCGTTCGTTGCGGTCGGTGTAGAAGACATGACTAAGGTATTGACGTGTATTGTGTTGGTATTGGTGGTTGGACTACTTTGAGCAACTTTAGGTAATGTCATGGTATCTTTAGTCAATGTACTGGCCGTTTGCTGTGATTGCTTTCTTAAATCAATTTCCTTCTGAAGGTCATTCAAGTCCCCTGAAAAGCTTTCGATCCAATTTCGTTGTTTTCGTTTATTGTTATCATTAGCAGACATAGCCGGAGTGAGCGTGCTGGCAGTGGTGGTGGCGGTGGTAGCGGTGGTGGCGGTGGTGGTGGTGGTATTCGTGGGAGCCGTTGTAGCTGTGGTTGTGGTATTACTTCCAACAGACCACTTTATTTTCTTCGAACCACTATTCTCACTAGCCCCGTCATTTTTAGAAGGAGCAAGTAATGTTCCCAGATGTGGTTGCGTTTCTATTGCACCATTCAACTGTTTTTGTTGTAATATAGAGTTTAGCTGGCGTTGTTTTTCTTCAGTTGCTTTTTCATTGGAGAGTTTTTTCGCTAATTCACTAAATGACAATACATTTGAAGAACTACTAACATTGTTGTTGGATGGAGGGTAAAAGTTGAACATATTTTCTGTCAATGATGATGTTGAAGGAAAATCCAAAACGCCGATGTTAGGACTATCTGTTGGTGAGACGGTCAGAGTTGGAATATTCGCGAATAATGGTGGCATTGCCGGTACTGCTGGTGATAGTATTTTGCTAATCAATTCAGCAGTTAAATCGGCAGTTGCTGATTTTGGGTTATCACCAATGTTGCTACTACTACTGCTACTACTTTGACCTTCCGGTGATTTTTTTCTACGTAGTTTGGGTAACGGTAGTATTTTCCGACGAGCGACTAACTCCTGCTGTAGTTGCTGTTGCTGCTCTGGTGAGGCTGCTGAATCAAGAAAAGATCCTCCTTCAGAAGTAACTGAAGGATAGTCATCCTCATATTTATCAATGTCCAAGTCACGATTGACATCTAAGTTCAAAATAAAATTAATATCCTTAATGCGGAAGAAGTGGGTGTTTTTCAATTGATTTCCTTACCAATATATGAGTTTTGACGTTCATAAACGAATCTATAACGATTTTGCTCCTCAAATGTGGATTCTACTGCCTTTTTATCGTCTTGCTTCGTTGGTGGTAATGGTTTTGATTGTAGCGAGTATGATGATGTTGAAGGAACTGAAGTAGTAACGGGAGGAGTATGATTATTGTTAGTAATAGTAGTAGCAGCAGTAGAAAAAGGAGTAGCGGTAGTGGTAGTAGTAGTAGTAGTAGTAGTCGCAGTAGTAGTCGCAGTAGTAGTAATAGTAGTAGTAGTAGTAGTAGGTAAATCGGCACAATCACTGGTCGTGGTACAGGTTGTTGGTATATTGTCAGCTGCAAAGGAAAACTTAAATTCAGGAGTACTATTGGGTATAGAGGAAGACGAGGGCGAAGTTACTGCTGCAGCTGCAGCAGCTTTAATCTTCTTATTTTGTCTTGCTGTTCCAAAGTTGAAGTTAAAGGATGCAGTTTCATCTGAAACTTTGTGATTTCGCATCATTGTGATGAGTTGTTCCATTTCAACTGGCTCCTCTTCTTCCTCATCCTCTTCTTCAGATGTTACTGTAGTTATTGCTGCTGTGTCTGTTGCCATTGTTACAGGTGTTGTTGTAGCTGTTTCAGGTTGCTGCATTTTGTTGTCCTCCACTTTCTCTTCGGATAGGTTAGACGTATTACTGCTAATCTTTGGTTTGGTATTATTGTGAAAATAGGGGAAATCTTGGGGTATTATTTTGGAAGGATAGTCTAGAGATTGGACGCAAATGGAGTTTTGTGTGAAAAAAAAAAAAAAAAAAAGGGTTAAGGGTTGGAATCGTTTCAGAAAGAGAAAATTTGTTGGTAAACAATTCTATTACCTGCAAAACTAGACTGAATGTTGGAGTTTTGTTGATTAGACGTGTTAGATTGAATGATGGACGAGGAAGACATTGAAGAAACATAATTTTTTGAGGGGGAAGGAGCTTCTTTCTTTTTTCTTTGTCTGGTCATAAATGAAGAAAATTTGTTGCTTAAAAATAGCGGAGGTGGAGTGGTAGCAACAACACCAGCTAAAGCTGTATTCGCGATACTGGACGAAGCAGAAAAAGCATTATTGAACACACTTTGAGTGACGTCGATCTCTTTTTCTTGATTCTCGAGTATAATTTTCCCATTCTTGTTGTTTATGCTTATTTCTTTGATACTATTATAGTCATTTTCTGTTCCAATAGTACCATGACTACTAATATGAAGACGGCTGAGGATAACTGACGATACAATCAGATCAAATGTGCTTTCTGAAGCACCATCACGAAGGGACTGTCTAGTATCAGTAAGCTTTTCTGTTCCCTCAGTACTTAGAAAACCACAAGTATTCTTCTCAGGTTTACTGTCGTCTTTTGTAGTTGATGCCAGTTCTGTACTATTATCACAACACGATGTTGCGAGACTACTGATACCATTTCGACTAGCAGTATTGCTACGAGCATCAGCAGTTTTATCACTACTATCACTACTACTATCACTATGAACAATATCCGTACCATCAACATATATGTTAGAGTTACTTGTAAGGTTGAGCTTCTTCTCTTTATGCTTTTTCGAAAGCTTCTTTTTACTACTGTCATTACTGATACTGTTCTTCTTTTTAGAATGGTTGTTGATTGAACCAACCACTTGTCCCATGACGGCAAAAAAAGCTGTATACAACAGGAACAAAATGAAAACAGCAAAACTATAGTAAAAATAGGCCAATGCTTTGTACAATGCTTGTAATAATGACACTGAAAGAATAGTTGATAATAAGTCTAAATGACAGAAACAGATTTTTACTCGGTTATGTCTTTTCTACCAACTCTGCTGGTTGGAAAGGAAGAATCTGATTCGAATGACGTTCACCAATCTAAACGTAGATCCTTCAAATTAAAAAATAAAGGGCGGGAAAAGAATGAGAAAATATGCAAATTTTTTGATCTGAAAAAAAAAAAAAGAAAAAAAAGAAGGCTAATCGAACAAACTATGGTATCATTGTTCAATGAAAAGTCAGCAATAGCAATATTATACAAAGGCAATGGGCAGGTACGCGTTTCAATACATCATCATTTCTGTACTGGAAAACGCGTGCATAACAATGTATATTGAGAGACCCCTTTGCGGACCTAGTTTGAAAATGAATGAGTTTTTCATGTATTAAAATGCTTAAGCTCAGGAACAGCAATCGACATTCTCTGACTTTTTGAATGAAGGGAATTTTTGGCAGTTCCGCAGAATCTATTACGTAAGCTTCGGAAGTGATGTTATTGGGTAAGCCTGATTTTCAGTAAGCCGTAGAATCCCAAAAACCAAGCTTGCTATCGTTAAATTACCTAAATTTAAATATTAAAGGTGTCTCAATTCTTAACCATTTCGTGCGAAAGTCGTCAAGCGGAAAAAACAGTATTTGCCTTCTTTTCTTAATTTGCTTCAACAATTTTGTGATTCTTATACTTCGAATGGTAAATGTCTAATTGTCCTTTTTTAAACAAAACGTTTCTATTAACGTCTAAGAAAATTTATAGGATCGCTTAAACATAAACAGTCAGATCGAGCATCGTAAGTTTAATACATTTCGAATTTTATGTTTCATTCGCTAATGTGCGTCATTGTGCCCATAGTACAATCAAAATACGTTGGTACTGGACATGCAGATACAATTAAACAGTAAGGACAACCTGATTCCCGTCGCAACTATCAACTTTTTGCCTAACGGTTTATCAATATTTTAATGTCTTGAATTATAGTGAGTGGGGCACAAATCAAGCCCGAGATTCATTGGCCTCATTTATAGGACATAATACATTACTATCCTTCATTTCTGTGGCAGAAAATGAGTGCAAAGCAAGAGTTAAAGCAAACCTATTAGAAGTAAGCATTTGTACTTTATTTTCATTTTTTATGTTTGTCCTTTTCTCAACCTGTTTGGCTTTTTTTTTTTTTTTCGTCTAGAAAATGTTGCAGCCTTGCGGTCCTCCACCTGAAAAGGAAGAACTTTGATTGACACCTGCAGCTGTCAATACGTAAACCTTTGTAAATAGATTTATCACTAGCCAAGTCAAATAAATTCATTGCTTTTTCTGCGTTGCTTATTATGTCGACGGTTGCCTTTTGATTTTGCAGTTATTACGCATGTGCGGCAAGTAGAATGGCAACTTGATTTTGAACTGTTGTGTATGGACAGAAAGTGATCTTACGCTAGTACAAGACTACTGTGTTGCTTTTCCGTTGAAAAGTCAATATAGGTTCCTAAACTGAGAAATAGTACCGTAAATGGAAAAATCAACTGAAATATCAAATATGTTGACCTAAGCATGGCTTTCGTTGTTGCTCTATATCGGACAAATGAGAATTTCTCTCTATGAGTGGCTGTGGTAAAAATATCCTCCTTAACGGATAGGGCTAGAACTCATATTGCCATTTAAAGCGTATAGCATCATAGAATGCAAAAAATACTGTTTGATATACTCATTCCCGTTGAGGACGAGCTATTGATTAAAAGCGCCCTTGCTTTGCCTAACCAATGAGGACTGAATGACGCTTAATATTGTACCAAATCATTTATTATATACGATACCGTAGATATTGTTATCCTTTCATTCATCTAACGAGCAACGATTTCTGCACTTTTGGACTAACAATTTTCAAAGCATCTGTCAACTGAATGAAAGAAGGATGCTACATTACAGTTCGTTTTTACTTGACTTCCCTAAAAGTTTCTTTCTATCATCGCACAGACATTTTGTCAGGATAAAGTACATAAAATTGAAAGAGTACTCTAGTGTAATTACTTAGCAAGCTCTTTAGAAATTGGATTTCTACATGTAATTGACAAAGTTGTAGGTAGGACGGTTTTTTGCGCTCGAGAAGCACTGCCTTGTCTACTATCGTATCGCAGGAAAGTTCATAAAAGTTGGTGAATCGTTCAAGATCATTCAAGTTCATGCTAGAGCCAGGCAGCTCAAAAAGTGATCTGGAAACTTCACTATTATCAACTCAAACGACACTATAAAAAGTCCGAATCATGTTCTGCGAACAAACATATAATTACATGATTTTCTTATCATATATTATTTCATTATATAGAATTTTCAGTCTCTGTAAAAGAAGAAGACAAAATTTCGCGTAAAAGTTCGTTGATGACTGGTAGTTTTGCCAAATCGTCCCTCGTTAACTCTCGTTCGTCTTCTGTTACTGCTGTTGATTTATTAGAGAGTTTCTCCTTCAATTGCTCTCGCTTACAATCCACAGCTTCAACACGCTGTTTGAATTGATAATACAAAATTTCAGCACGTTGCAGTGTTTCCTCAAGGTTGATCGTCAGTGATAGGTCATTGATATACTTTAAAACTTCGTCAAAATTTGTCAAATACTCGATGATAACGTCGCGGTGCTATTCAATTTTGTGAGTGATCAAATCAGTGCTTCTAAGTCATCTTCCCAAAAAGCTTTTAGAAGATTACCTGATCCAAAATAGATAAGGCAACAAAAAGATGGAACTTGGAAGTCAAATAATCTGTCCAGAGCACTTCCCATAAAACCAACATATCATCCCATTTGAACTCGCGTTTGAACCAAACCAGCATCCAACGGAAACAGAAGAAAAAGTTGACACTGTCAGTCTTTTGCAGATGCTTGTAGAGAGAAGGATCCATGAATTGTAGCAATAAATCCATCGTTAGCAGTTGCTTATGCATGCCGGACTGGTCCTTATAAAAGTTGGACTTCTAATTAAACCAAAAAGGAAATGCTCGTTAAAACTGAGTGTTTTTAGTACATTATTCGAAAGAAAGAATTGGCCTTACCATACGATCCATAAAACCAGCAAATGCCCAAAAACTCAACGCTTCGTCGCGAATAACAACATAAATTGGAGATAGTAGGTCGGACATGCCTTGTACGTAACCAAGGTTAGTATTGTACACGTTATAGGTGCATAAAATATCCTTCAAAGTTTCCAAATGTTCGTTCGTTCCAACGTTCATAACAATATCTGGATTCGGCATTGTTTCATTTGCATAAATCGCAAGACTTCTATCTGTGCGGTGAATATCTTTATCTATTCTGAAAGCTTTTAGTCTATGCAAGCTCTAATAACATATGAGGGTAGGAGAACTACCTTGATCCTGAATGGCCGTACCTATTCTGTGCTTTTGATCTTTGAAATAATCTGTTTTCCGATACTCTGTATCTTCACTCCACTTACTCTTCAAAGCCTGATAATCATCTCTGTTATAAAAAAAAATTCATTCATCAGTCCACGGACAATAGGAGGAATTTCATCATCAATTTTTCTATGGGCAAGGTTATTTACTATACCTTTTTTGTTCTTTCGAACAATTTCGCTCAGCAGCAGTTGAATTCCAGGCATAGACACCTGTTAAAAACAGCCAAGCTTCTCTGCGGATGGCTGGACTCAAACCTCCACAAAATATCATTTTTTTTATTGTTGATTCTTCTACCGTCAGTTTTCCATCTGTATCAAAGCAGGTCTCCCATTCAGCTTCACCAACAGGCTCTCTCCTGGTATGTGTTGGAATAGAAAAGTCATTTTCTGACTAACATGGTGTAATAATTGCTCTTTAGATTTTATGTCATTTTACTGGAGAAGAAAAAAGCATTAGCTTACATTTAAGATCTCGAAAACACCCAAAGCAGTATCTTCCTCACCACCATCATGCCCCCATACGCCGACATGCCGATACTTCCTGTCACGAGGAGCTGAATTTTCTGATTGCGCTGCTAGCCCAGCTGCCCATTTCGCCAGGAAGATACGAGCTGAATCATAATCATCAATAGTTCTCTTTACAGTTTCATTACTACATAATTCTTGAACGCTGTGTGGCAAAAGAGGTACGAATGGTCTAGATGCAGGGCTGCTTAGTAGACTAAGTGCTGTATCGCGGGAAAATTTGGTAACTCGGGACAGTTTCTCTAGTATGTTCCACCTGGCTTCTTTCACTGTCTACAAAAGGAAAAAGACGATATATATTTTTCAAGGCAATAGATCACTTGGTCAGTTCATAATATATCATTTTTTACTTACAGCAACAAATGGATCCATCTGGGTTGATTCAAATAAGGTGGGTTCTCGTTTGCTATTTTCGACGACTTTTGATGCTGAAGTTCTGCTACTGTTGCTCTTTACTATATATAAACTCTCATTGTCAGGTGATCTAGGTAATTATTGTTCAAGGCCATCAGCTCTCGTAGACACTATAATTATTTATAAAGCCATTTTTACCTAGTGATATGAATCAATTGTCCTAACCGCGCAAGAAACTCATCGCCACCCCAACGAGTCTGGGTATCGCTGTCCGAGGTGAATTTACCCCCTTGTGTATTTTTCTGAAGTGTGGTACTTTTGCTTTCATCGTCATGGAACCATAGAGGTGCGGAACTATGGCCATCTTTGAAATTGATGGTGATGTTCCCATACCATTTTGAAAAAGAAGGAGGCTTAATCAGGAAGGAATGGATGGCATCCACAGGCGTAGATATGGCGTATAGTTTGCACCCTTCTGATTCTAAAGAGACCATAACGGACGCTATATAAATTGGTAAGTTGTTTGTACGCCCTTGGTTGCCTTTATTGGCAAAGCTGGCTGGGTCCAGTGCTCAGTAAGTTACTTACCATCTATCTCCTCTGCATTGTCTGGATTGACATCCACTTGTACAAAAGCTTCTATGTCTTTTGTCGGAATCAAGGCTTCTGGTGTCCAAGCTACGAGATAATTTCCAACTGACTAAAAGCAAATATTTTATGGCAAGTAGTTAGAAAGTTGGCTTTCAGCCAAAAAAAAAAAAAAAAATTCATGCAGTCGACAGCACTTTTTACCGTACCTTCTCAACAATCGACATAAATCCTGGTATAAAGTCTACCGTATTGCTCGAAGGATGAACATATACCTTAGATTTTGAGTATAGGAGCTTGACTGGTTCTTCTTCTATTTCTGTTGCATTTGATGATGGTGAAGAGATTGTGGAGATGTGGGGATTGTTCATCATCTGTCAATAATAAAAAGAACGATTCTTATTGAGATATTGCGGACGATTGGATTATCTGAAGGCATTATAGACTTACAGCAAAGCTATCATTGTTATCCTTCATCAAGAACTATAATTTGCTTTGATTCTATGTGTTTGCAAATATGATATAACAAGATTAATATGAATTAGGATAGAAAACAACAGAACTGCTAGATTGAACTGGCAATGTCGGTTTTTGAAAGAATGCATTGCTGTATGTCATTCGTTCGTGATCTGGGAAAGTTCAATTCATGCAACTGAACCGTACACACAAGACCTAAATCATAAGGAAGTAGTAGCAAAGAAAACTTCACCTTTACAACTGCTTGACTTTCATGATGAGAGGAGTATATCCTTATTGGTTTTTCAAAGAGTCCACAATTTTCAATAACATTTCCACAATTGCATCACTGGATGGGGTTGAAGAAACACGAGCAAATATGGATATTCGAACTTATCACATGTCATTATTTCTATGTAAATCATTAGCATCACCAGCATGCTGCTGGCAACGCTATAATGATAATTTCAAGTATGCTGCTGACCATCGTATTAGGTACTTTCATATGGGCAGTTTAAAGATAAATCGTCCATCACTTCTTTTCTGGTCTTTCATCCTTATCCAATGTTAACAATTGTTGATATAAATGAAGAGTTTTTCTCTGTGATGACACGCAGAACTAAGAACCTTCTCCTCAGCCAAGCTGCTCTTACACCAATGTTCTTTGCCCACCAAATGAAGAGATTTGTTGGTGGAGTACTTCCATTAATCCTTAAAGCAAGTCTAAAATATAACTTTCGAAATTACAGTGAATTATAGTTATTAGACGCCTTTGAAATTGTATTTGTTTGCGATTGCTTTGCAGAGCCAACTTTTCTTATTGAATTCTCCTTAAAGCTAAAGACATGGTAAGGAAGCAGATTCAACGACTGTTATTTATGAATGCACATTAGACCAAAGAGAGTGATTGAATTGCCCGTGCTGGGAGAAACAGATATGGCATACCTATTGCCTTCTTGATATTTCTTAGTGTAGATTACAACTATAAAGGCCTTCTCCCTCCCGGTGGTCACTACTATGCTTTCTACGGGAAACGATGGTAATTACTTTTCCCAACAACCAATGTACGCATCAATGCTAAGTCTACAAACATTTAACATGCGTCTGCAAAATATTGCAAAATATACATGTCATAAACCCTGCGCTAAACAATCTTTCAGTTTTAAAAAATCAATTGCTTTATCAACCAGGATTTTTTACAGCGTGTTATATGTTATAATGCAGTTAATGGAGAGAATTTTTGTTATGGTGTAGGCTACATAAATTGTCCCTTTCTGAATGACATGCGTAGTCTATCCCACAAGCCTGTTGGTGTCAATGCTGGTCGCACGTCTAAATAGAAACTGAGTGACATCGGTTTGTTTGGGTCCTGCTTTCCCGTATAAAAATCTATAACATATGTCACTTTTTGTCCACATCTATCAACCACCCAATCATGGCGATCAAAAGGTAATGCATAACTACCCGCAAAGATGTGAAAAAGATTAGCTTGAGTATATGTATTCCTAAGGATTTTCCAACTGCTATTGCTCGTTATTACCCGAAAAATGATCGGAGTCTTGCTTTGGGGGTTATATCTTTAGGCTTTCCTTCAAACTTCTCCAACCTGGGCTGGTTGCACTCTCTAACATCAATTCTTTATATCAGTAAACTTAAGAATACAATTCTTCTATTTAGCTTACTCACGTTGTATGCAATCTTTCCCACTCCAATATCTTTTGCCAAGCCATTTCATTCACTGCATTATGTATTGGTACAACTACAGCCATATCTTTCTCGTCTGGGTCCCAATTTTTTCGTTTCATAGCATTAAAAAACATCTGTTCAGAGGGGTATACCCATAGTTTATCATCGGAATTTGACCGAGGAATCGTAGACATTTCTCGTTCCTTGCCTAATGGTATTTTTTGGCCTGGTTGAGGTTGTTGTGAAATATTGGGCATGCGATTACTACTATCGATGGCTTCTGAATCACAGCCGTCTTGAGACGGTGGTATGAAATACTTATACGTTGAGGGGTCCACTGGACACTTCTGTGGCCCGTCTTTATCACTACTGTTTTTGGCAGGTGTATTCGGCGGTAAGAAATGCTTATAGGCATTGTGATCTACAGGACATTTCGGTTGTTCTGTCTCGATTGGTCTTTCGCTGTCATCGTGTTTGACAGGACAGGATTTCGGAACTTCTGCCATTATTTCACTGTTTTAATTCAAGTAGAAAAAAAAAAAAGAGGGGTAGAGAAGTGCTGTAAGTAAAAGGATACGAGGGGTCGGGGATGGGAGCGGTAAGTCCAGAAATCAGGAACATATCCGCTTTGCTGACGTAATATCAACAAGGAATGGAAGAAATGCTCATGTCTCAACCAAAAATGATGAATATACAAAGTAATAGCAGTTATTGATCATTAAGCCTGAGGCGAAAGAACTGAAAATCTTAACGTAGCAGCTCGATAGTAGCGAATAAAATTATTCAAATTGCGGATAGCTTATTCAAGAGGTAACCAAAATTAAGCTTTTTGAAATAAGTTGCACACTTGTTAGATAGGCTGTTATGCGATCGATATATACGGGTGTGTTCAACCAACCTAAAAAAAAGAAACCATTTTCCTTGCTTGCCTAAAATGCTTTTTATGGCGGAGTTCAATCAGAAAATTTGATTTTATGAAAAGCTGAATTGAATCAGACTCACTTGACTTTTTGTTCATTTTACTTAATAGTATTCATAAAGAGGATCGGTCAAGCATGCCATCGTCCAAGGGCAGACAGTGTTGTGGATTTATTCCTATGAAAACCGGTAACTAATAAAAAAAAATCAGTTTGACCTTTTATTCAAGACAGAAAACTCAATGTTCAGTTGATCATAGGTGTGTCACTGATCACCATTATAGGAATCGTTAGTAACAGCATACAATAGCAGTTTCATCGCTCTTGAACTTTTTGCTGAAATCATTTTATTGCACCTTCATTTAGCTGAATAAATTGAGCGGTTTCTATGGAATACTATCGTTTGATTACACAGATAAACTAGCAACTGCAGTGTTTATCTATTCCTTAATTACACTTGTAATATTTTCATACGCATTATATGGTCTCTATACTGTATGTTCAGAATATATTAAAAGAATATAACGAATTTTTACTAATACTTCTCTCATTTAGGATAACATTAGAATATTACGATGGTACACAATGCTTTTTTGGATTGATTGCTTGATTAGCACTATAACGACAGTATGGTTTGCTGTTTCATGGTTTGTCTATACCGACCACAACTTACCAGAATCAGCTGATAATCCGGGAAAAATGGCAGAACATGACATAGTATTCAAATTGGAAAGTCGAGTGAGCATTGCTGTGCTTATAGTTCTGCGTTTGATCCATGTAAGATATATATACCTTTTACGAGAGTAGAGGATAATGCGCACTAAACGACATATTTATTTTAGTTCTATTTTGCTTATGTGGTTACCCGTTATTATAAAGCCATTACACAAATCAGTTATTCAAGGTTGGTAGCAAGTGATAATATTGATTTAGAAGACACCTCCTTTTCAAATAAAGATGCTTCAACATCTGAGTCTGCGTTCAAGCCGGCTCAGGATTGATGTTGAATTGTACTGGAGATAGTATCAAAGATTACAATACCCGTTTCATTCCTGTCGATTGCAACTTGAACAGCTGAAAGTTATAAAAAATGGCCATTCCGGGTACAGTCTATCAGTCCGAATAATTTAATCAGTTCTGGAATTTATTTGCTAGTGGTTCAAAATCTTCCCCTACATTTTATGCTTTTCCTTCGCTTTCGCGGAAATCACATGTGTAGTCTTAATGCACACATGGTCACAAATAGTTTATGCAAACTTCTTGTCATTCAGCGACGTTTCAGCAGCCGACCTTTTTTGGCGCTGAATGCTTTTTCTCGATCGAAATCTTACCTCGCTAATCGTTGTTATGCAACATCGCAGTATTCACGGTTTAATAACACCGCTCCCGTACACTATAAACGACCCACCTCTCCAATAACGAATGACTATGTACGGTTTCGAAAGAGCCAAAAGATACCTTTCTACAAATCTCCACCAGTGTTACTATTTGTTGCTACAGGAACAGTATTATTCGGCGGCTATTATGTAACCCATTTAGAAAGAGTGCCTTTTAGTGGACGACTACGATTTATGAGTATAACCAAAAGACAGGAAGAAGGTGAGAAGGCTAGACAGTTTATTTTCCAAAACGAGACTAATGGAAAAAAGAACAGCTCTCGCTATAGAAGCGTATCAGCAATTGATGGCTGCGTATGCAGGCCGAATATTACCGCCCAACCATTATTATAGTAGAATGGTGAAGAGAGTGGCCGAGCGCCTTATCCGGGTTTCTGGTATGGAGCATTTGCATTGGGAGTTTTATGTAGTTGAAGCCCGAGAAGCCAAGTAAAACATTCATCCAGCCAGATTTAGAGTTTTTACAATTCTATCTAATCGATAGTTTTCCATTTATCAAACTAGCGCTTTTGTTCTTCCTGGTGGCAAGGTATTTGTATTTACTGGCATCTTACCCATTTGTAAAAATGAAGGTAGTAGAACCCGCACCCCCCTCTTCCCCCCCCCTTCCATAGCAATGTCAATGTCAACCATGTTTCAAAATATTAATGCACGTTACTGTCAATAGATGGACTTGCGGCAGTACTGGGACACGAAATAGCGCATGAACTAGCAAGACATACTGCTGAACGATTCAGTTATGCCAAAATTCTGTATGCAATGAATTTCACCCTATACTTCTTGGGACTGCATTCAATGATGGCTAAGGATTTTGCTATCAATTATTTGATGATGATGCCATTTTCACGTAAATGCGAGACAGAAGCTGACGATATCGGGTTGCAACTAATGTCGCTTGCTTGCTTTGATCCAAGAGAAGCAGTGGGATTGTGGGAAAGAATGGAAGCAGTAGGAGCATCAAAACTACCGCAGTTTTTCAATACCCATCCAAGCCATGAGAACAGATTCAAGAATTTGTCAAAGAAGGTACGTAACACATTTCTCTATCTCTCCTATTCGGGTTTAGGATTGACGAAAATACGCTATGCTCACCGTTACCACTTTCCGCTTCTACAGCTACCTGCAGCTTTACAAAAGAGAGCTGAAAGTGATTGTCAGACAGAAATGAGCACTTTCGATCGCTTTAGGAAAGAATGGGTTCGCTGGTAAACACTTTTTTACAGCAATTTCAATCAATGTTCATTTGCTTATTCAACTGTGGAAACAGATGTGTACGCGTTTATGTGCAATAAATCGAGTTTTGAAAAAGCAGAAAATATTGATGAAAACGTCGTAAATGGAAAATCGTTATGATTCTTCCCTATTCAATAGTGAAACTGATGCTCCGTTGAATATGACCTGCTGCTAACGTAATACTACATTGCATGTGAGGGTTATAGTATGTTAGAGAGTTTGTGTCATTTTCGTCGAGACAAATTACAGATCATTATTCTTTTCCTAAAACCTTACTGATAACTTGGTATATCCATGATATCAGGTGATCTAAAAGTTATAAAGCAATTTTGATTCGAGAAACGACTACATTCTAACTTTACGCTTTTTTAGCTGGTATGCTGCTTTAAAGGCATTTTTATTTTCGTTCCAAATGCATGTTATTTTTGGCATAATTGTTTCTGTCATCTTCCGCTTTTCAAGTAGAACAGGTAAATAATACATCCTGTTTAATGCAAAGACAGCCAACTATATTTTGTTTTGGTTTGGAGACTACCGGGCCATCTAAAGTTTCTCAACTTGAAAAATAAGTGGGCTAACTATAATCTGTCCAATGCCTTCTTTACGTTGAATTTTGTTCATAAATCATCTTTGCTACGTGATTTAATAACTGAATCGTATTGTCATCACGCTTTTTTGTGTAAAGGGACGATTCTTGCTTGATACAAAAGGAGGTTATAGCAATAAACGGGTCTAATGCTTTTTAAATGATCCTGCATTGATTTAGTGCAATTGTCTATGATAGGGACTGATTCCCGGTTTCGACGGTTTCCGTGTTTGTTATTCAAACTCTGATTTCTACCTTGTCAATAGAGGTAGAACATAGAGTAACGAATTCTAAAACTGTGTGTAGGCACTCGAGTGTTGTAGTTGATAATTCATTCAAAATATTATGCAGGATAAAGAGAAAAAATCAAGCAAACCATTAGATAATTATATGAGAAGCATTTTCCAAGTTTTGGCGCTTTCCAAACGGATACTCTAAAGGCTGCCCAAAATGAAAAGTCAATAATTTATACCATGCTGAATACAGAGCGCGGTAACCAAAGCTTTGAGAAGTATTTGAGAATCAGGGTTTGCACGCGATTGGGAACAGTGAAGAAAATCAAATTATGTACACAGAAGCATTTCTTTTTTTATGTATAAATCTTATGACGCACACTCTACATCTAATTTAAATGAACAAATTCTGCTTGCCTTATTTTTGCATTCTAATTTATTTGCATGCGTCGATAGACTTAGTTCTTTATGATATCATCCGATTTAATGTCTTCACCGGACGCAGGTTTCTTTTGGAGGGAAAGACCCATTGTCTTTAAGAATTCCTTCGCCTCTGAATATTCTTTCTCTTGTCTCACTTTATCCCAACCCAATTCTTCTGTCATGATATCAATGACTTTGGGAAGAGCACTCAAGGCGGCTTCTGCATTCAAGAAGGCCAATCGGGTACGACGAGCTAGCACATCAATGGCAGTACAAGCATATTCTTCACGGACTGCGTAACGCACTTCAGCCTCAATATAAGGATAGTTATGGGCGATGCGGTTACCGTAAGAGGGCCAGTTCATACCCGTCTTATCATCGATGGAACCCACAACCCAAGCACGATCGCCATAACTGTCAGCAAGATGTTTTGCGACCTCTGTATCCATACCAAAATCTTGGACAAGGCCAATGAACATGCTCTTGTGGAAGCCTTCGCTGCCGATCATAAGTGTATGTTTTGTAACACATGGCTTAGTGGGTTTGAGGTCGTATTCCTGAATGGCACGATCGACAGTTTCTTCGGCCATAGCACGATAGGTAGTCCATTTGCCACCAGCAATAGTCAACAACTTGTTTTCACTTACATTGATCATATGGTTACGAACCAAGGATTCTGTGTTCTTTGCGTGGGGATCACGCACAAGGGGACGAATACCTGACCAAGCAGCTAGCACATCGGAACGACGCACCTTGACATCTACAAAAAAACAAAAAAAAGGATAGGGCAAGTAAGTAATTAAAAAAAAAAAGGAAAAAAGGCTCACATCCGGTGATGAACGTTTCCTGCAGTTACCATAGTATATACTTTACCTTTACTCAAATAGCGTGAAACTTCATCCAAAATCCATTCAACTTCGTCCTCTTTAGGCACAGGGGTGGCAGTCACTTCGGTTGGGGAATCTGTAGTTCCTGCAATAGTGTTGCCTTGCCAAGGCAAGAAGAAAATCACACGTCCATCACTCGTAGCAGGGTCAAGTAAGCCCATATTTCGCGGGCTATAATAATTGGGCAAGATAACATGTACACCGGCAGAAGGGGCAACAATTTCCTTATTTTGAACGTCATCCATTTTACGTAAACCATCGGTAAATGGTCCGGTAGCATTAATGACACCCTAAAGTTAGAAAGTAAGCATTAAAAGGAATCAGTCAATTCGTCTAAAAAAGCATCTAGTTAATTCTATTTTTCTGTTGTTACCTTTGCCTTGACCTCCCATTCATCTCCTGAGAGGCAATCTCTTACTTTGGCACCCTTAATATGTCCATCTTTGTTTTTAATAAGATCGACAACTTCTACATGGTTAGCTACAGTAGCACCGTTTTGAGCTGCGGTAAGTGCTAGAGCCACGTTCATACGAGCGTCATTATGCTGACCTAAGGTTTATTTTTGGAAGACCGGCATGAGCTTTTCTATGAACTAATAACTTAGATCTGTTGAAAACTTACCATCGTAATATACAATTGCTCCAGCCAATTCATCTTCTTTCAGCATAGGGAAGACTTCCAAAGCCTTGGACCTTGTCAAATAATAACTACTTTCCAATGCTTCTCTACCAGCGAACAAATCGTACAACTTGCAACCAAACCAATAATAAGGTATCTGCCACCATCTTTAAAGGGGTCAAAAAAGGACAAAACTGTGTCAGACCCAGTGTTGGACGTTGAAAAAGATCTGAAGCCAACTTACTTGTACACTGGCAGCATAATCGGTAATTCACTTGCAAGATAAGGAGCATTTTTAATAAATATCTTTCTTTCATGTAGGGCTTCTACGACCAATTTATATTGTTCATAGTCCAACTCTGTAATTGCTTTCTGAAGATATCGAACACCACCGTGAACAAGTTTTGTGGAACGAGAAGAGGTTCCTATATAAAAATGTCAAAAACCCAACAATAGAAATCATATGTCATTACATTTTCCAAAACAAAAAATAGAAAAATAACTCCACACAAACACACACACTCTCTCTCCCTCCTCTCTGACTAAAATGAAACAGCCGAACTTGCGTCCCAGCTTATATCCGTTTTTTAAAGTGCAATTTATATGCCCCGGATTATCCCAGTTTGTTTACCTGCGGCAAAGTCATCTCTTTCAACTAAGGCAACTTTTAATCCTCGAGTGGCCGCATCAACAGCCACACCTGTTCCCGTCGCACCGCCACCCACAATAAGTAAATCATATTCTTCTTGGCTTTTTAGTTTGGTTAGTTCTTGTTCACGTGTGGGTGCGTGCCATGTAGGCTTTTTCAGTTGTTCGGCATAAACAATATTGTTCTTTAATCGAAATAGCTTTTGCTGTTGTAGATGTTCATTGTTGTTGTTGTTGTTATTATAGCAGTGAAGATATAATGCTGCTGTTGTCGTGGCTGTTGTACCACCTAATACCAGCTTTTGGGTTCGAGATAATCTGCTCCACATTTATATAGAATTGATTGAAAGAGTTGTTTGTAGCGTAAGGGTCCTTTTTCTTTAGTTGACTGAAAAATTAAGTGTCTGTTTTGAGAGAAAAAGAAAAGAAAATACAAAGATTTATTTTTTGTTTCGATTATGTGTGAAAGGGCCTTCAAAGAATTGTTTGTTGCTTTAAAAAAGCGGGGAATTTTTTTCTGTCATTTTTTTTTCAGCATCCGATCCCATTGTCTTCAGATCTATGTAACCCCGTATTATATATAATCTTTGATAATGCCCTACACTAACCACCTAAGAACATACTTGTTAAGCCGAGAAGTTTTAAGGCAATCTGTTGAAAGCATTAAAGATTTCTGCATGTAAAGACAATGAACTGAAATTAGCAATTCCTATAAGTTTAGTTTCTTCAGGGCTCTGATGAAGTAATCCTTTGTTCATCCTTCATGTTGCTGCTATTGACAGTGTTGCTGTTGACGGAGCTACAATACAATCTTCAATCTAAAATGAGTGAAAATATCATGGAGACTTAAAAAAATGAGTGCTAGTAATTCCACTGAAGGGTCTTAAGAAGGCTCTTTTCAGGATGGCTACCCTTTTTTTTTTTTTTTTTTTTTCTGTGGATGATGACAAGGCATCCTACTGGAAATGGCGTATCACCCTTGCCTTTAAATCTTTTCTGATTTGGTCCCAATCCTTTGATTCTTGTTAGTAATCAAAGACTTGCTAAACACTAGGATGATTCATTGATAAGAATCTATAAAGTATTTAATTTGTTGCTGTAAGTGAACTTGTTGAAAAAAAAGTTACAGTTTCACGGGCCTATAATCCTATTTGTGTGCAACCTACCTATGGGCTGCAAAGGATCACATTATGATATACGCATTATTGCGCTAGAGAAAGGATGACATTATCATTAGATGCACCAACAATAAATATTGTCTATATGCTTACATTTATTTGATTTAATGACTAGTATGAACTCAATGTAGAAATGTGGGGGGGGGAAATGTACTTAGCGCTGGCGCAGTTGCTGGACTCTCCAGTCATTTGTTTCTCTTGAAAACCAATGACATCGCCCGACAGTAGGATGATCATTTGAAAGTGTGGTGCACGCACACCTGCTTTTTTTATTCTTTTCAGTAATGTTGTTTGTAATATTTTGAAATAAAAAGTGCATATGGTAGTTATATACTCTTTCCAAGCGCCGAGAACCTTTTTAAGTTGCAAAGCCCTTTGAACAGTATGTTGAAACAGAAACTTCTCGTGCCTTCCTCCTTTATGAGTCATTTTAATAAAGATGCCCGTTCTATTTTCTACATTATTAAAAGTATTTAAGTTTGGAAATCACCAGGGACGGATGGATAGCTGACGTACTCAACCTTTTCAACTTTGTCAAGCATTATGTTTCTACAGCTAAATATGAGATATTATGAACTGCAGTACGCAAAAGTCGACGAATAATAGTAGGCTAATATTTTAAGATGTTCAGTCAACCTGTGAGTAGGAGTGCCAGGGTTGCATACAACTCCAGCGAGTAGAGGTTAGAAAACAGACGTTCAACGGTGATACAGAAGCAATGAGGGGATAGATTGCATGTTTACGAAAAGTAGATGTATGATTTGGAAGACTTATTTCTATTTAACATTTAGAATGATATGGTTTTCTAACACTAGCGCAATTTGAAGTTCTCTAATATTTACTTGTCTTTCTTGTTTAAGGCTGAATTAATGAGTCACCGCCGGTTCTGATTTGATACTGTGGCTACTATCTGATGGCCTAATAAACTCAATTTACAGTGTCTGCCTTGCTCAAAAGTCTTTTCCTGAAATTATTGTCTGTAACTATCTATTCATACAGAGACATTAATACATTAGATGACTTCATGTAGTAATATAAGATTACTCGTAATACTAGCAAGGAGCTACATAATTTCAACGATTTATGGTAAACCTATACAATCGGCGGCTCCTAACTTTACAGGATACATTGTAGAGCCCTTTGAATTTATCTAAAGATTTTATCATTTTGTGTTTTCTATGACAAAGATACCAAAATTACAAAAATCCCCTATAGATTACGATCTCATACAAAGGCAAGCTATTAAAGTGAAATTGTAGTCCAGTTGCTTTTCATCATTCTGAGATATTGCTTCGACATTTCTAATATTAATTGAACTTGCGCAACACCAGAAAAAACGTCAATGATGAATATCTACTGCATTTGTTAGTATTCCCGCAAGATATTTAACGAATTATGTTTTATCTATTACAATGCTCTACCGCTGTCAGATTTATGCTGTATGTATGAATTTCTAACATGGTAAGAAATACTAAGTATGAAAAAAGATGCCAGTTTTTTTCTAAAAGAAGGCGTACAGTACAGTCGTTGCGGGTAGTAATGATAAGACCTTAAACCTATCTTCCTGATGCTCCACTATTAACACTTCCTTGATAATTCTTTGAAGGAGTAACTAGCGTTTGATAAAAAAAGGGAAAAAGGTACAACGTTTTTATTTTCATATAAATCTGTTATAATACTATTGGATAACAAAGAACCTTTTTGACAACAAAAACAACGCGGATGAGATGCTTAGAACGCGCTAAATTTTGACAGCAAAACTCTATCGGTTCTTGACAACAAACAGGCATTTCCAAGATAGATTGTTGTCACAAAAAGGATATGGTGTCCCTTTCTTTGTTCGCCTAAACAAAGATAATTTGATAAAATCTGCAACAAGTAATTCAATAACCGCTATTTCAATGGAAAAAGCTGTCGTCAAGCGCAGAATTGCCAATTTTGGAAACTAAGAACAGTATAAATATTTGTCAAAAAACGCCCATAAAGCCAACCTAGGAGAAAAAATATCTCAATGTGCCATGTTGGTTGACACGGTCAATGATACATAATCAGCCTTACAATGATATGGTTAACACGTAAAACGCTTGGAGCATATATTTTTGGAGTAGCTAGCGATGAGATCATTTGTACATAGAAACACGTAAAGAAGTCGCGCTTTCCATTTGGAAAAATGTTCGGTGACAGAGAGAAAAGTCTATTGTAACGCAATGATGACGGAATTTAGGTAGCTAAAATTTCCGTATTTGGTATGCATACAAATTTAAAAAAAAAAAACTTGCATAAAACTCGCGTGCAAGAAATTCTCCTTTCCCCGCGTTTTCCTTCTCAATTTTTTTTATTTTTTTTTCCAAAAAAACACTAAACCATTGTAAAGCAGATTGATGCACAATATAACAGAAAGAGCGTATTATTTTATTGAACATCACTTAGGACTGGAATTTGCCTCTGTGGCGCTTTTGTCTCTGGCGTTGGCGCCTATTTTAGCAGGCTCTTATTGTTCAGTAAAGACATTAGAGAATCCATTTGAGAAAACTCCATCAGCAACAATACACCAGAAAGCAACTCACCCCAGAAGCAGTAGTAGTCAGTTACGAAGAAGTACAAGATCTCGCAGCGTCCATTATGAACACGATGAATCCTACTCTTCCTCCTCGTCGTCATCCGATGATTCAACTATTGTAGACGTATCAGAAAATGGTTACATACCAACCAAGGATGTCTCTAAAGTCATTACACTGAAAGACGCTTGGATATTTCCCCTTATCGCTTCAGCTTTTGTTTATGGCTTTGAAAACTTAATTGATGTAGTCGATCCAGAGTATATTAACCAAGGCATGAAGATTTTGACCTCAGCTTTATTCTGCACAGTTTTCTCTAGCACTACGGTGGCCTTGTTAAAAAACATTCTACCAGCTAATGTATACAACTATTTTGGCCGATTCAAGTTTAGTTATAGCACAAAGAGTAAAAGTAAGTACAGAAAAATTAGTTTGTTTTTTATTTTTTCCGTTCAATATGAAACATGGAGATTTTTTTGCTTGCTGTGGTTGAGTTGGTTTATTTATGCATTTTCGTCCTTTTTCCTGGTTTCTGATCATCGTAGGATTATGTCATTTGAATGTCACCGTTAGTTATCTTATTGTTTTGGCAGTCTCCGTCGGATTAGCAGCTGTCTACAGTTATAGTCAGCATTGGATACTTCGTAACGTCTTTGCCATGTGTGTAGCCGTATATGCCATTCGTTCCTTCACTTTGGAATCATTTGCCACTGGTTATTCTTTACTCATTGGTATGCTTGTCTACGATTTCTACTGGATTTTTGTCACAGATGCTTTATTCCAACTTTCCAATGCTCTCCGTGACGCCCCTACAAGCATCGTTTGGCCCAGAAATATCAACATGTATATCTTTGATACTTTGTTAAAGAAGGATCTTTACTTTACAATGTTTGGTTTAGGCGAGATCATCGTGCCCGGTAAATATTTCGCGAATCAAAATTATTACACAAGATCGAACACCATGACTTAAACTCCGACATTAACCCTTCATTATACGCACCCCCATAGGCATTTTCATTGCTTACTGTTTAAGATTTGACCGTTTGAATTCATTTGCCAAACAACAAAAGAACAACCACAAGCGCCATGTTCTTCCATATCCTATGCCATACTTTTTCACTTCACTTACGTCCTACATTATTGGCGCTGCTGCTTCTATTTATTCTGTACATTTTACCAAACAACCACAATCTGCCTTCCTGTTCGTCGCTCCCATCATGATCGGCTCTATCCTCCTATTGGCTACCATTCGCGGTGAGTTTGTTGAAATTTGGGATTATGCTTCTGTCTTGGATACTATCAGCCATTTTGGCGGTTATGCTGCTCATGATGACGGTAGGCAGTCTCGTCAATTCAAAGGTGCTCGTCGCAGAAGCCTTAGCAAAGAATACAATCGTCAAAGAAGCAGTCATCGTCGCAGCAGTGATGAAACATTAGTGGGGGTGGTAGACAATGTGATTGAAGAGACAAGCAAAACCGTTCAGCCTTATGTGGAGGACGCATACGAAGGCACCAAGCGCGTAGTGACGCCTTATGTAGATGAAGCTATCAAAAACACAAAGCGGGCTATCCACGATGCTGCAACCTTTGTTCAACAAGAAACAACAATTGAAGAAGACGTCGTTGAAGAACATGAAAAGCGTCGACGTGCTACCCGTAGCCGCGGACGTAGACCATCCAAGTCCGTCAGCACAAGTAGAAGAGGCAGAGGTACCAGTCGAGTGCGTTAAAACAAAAATCCAAAGCGATTTGTCATAAAGAAAGAAATATCTTCATCTCACTATCCCTTACTCGTATTTTTTAATAACACTTTTCATCCATTCCTTCCCGTTCTTATTTACTTGATATACTTATTCCTCAGATTCTTTTTTATTTGCTTCTAATTGTTTTCATAAATGTATGAATAAAACCACCCAAAAGAATGGTTAAAAATTGCAGGTATCTGACTTTGAATTTGATATTTTATACTTTGTGCAAACGATGGAACCCCCTTTCCCCAGCTTTTTTGACAGAAGGCAACAACAACAACTCATTGTGAACTGAAAATGGTCATCGCTCTACGATCAACAAGTTCTCTCTTCAAAAATAGCAGACTGTGTCTTAAAGGACAGTTTGTATTTCGAGTAATACCCTTTTGCCAGGAAATGTTTTGGATGTGGTATACTGTCTAACTGACTATAAGTGAATAGAACCACCTTTCTCGTCCATCTTCAACATGCTCAGCATCAGTAGCAGCAGCGGCCATTGAGGCGCAACGGCAAAAGAGTTTGTTGGGAGGAGGAGAAAAAAGGCAAGATGCTCAACATGCGAAAGTAGGTTGTTGTATCCGATAGATTGGATCTTACAAAATTGGAAGGCTTATCATTAACAGTAACTCTGATAGGGCAAATTGACAGCTCGAGAACGACTTCATCTATTACTTGACAAAGGATCTTTTCGTGAATATGACGCTTTCATAGAGCATCGTTGTACAGATTTTGATATGGATCGACATCAGTTTGTAGGTGACGGTGTCATTACCGGCCATGGGACAATTTATGGACGCCGTGTTTTTGTTTACAGCCAAGACTTTACAGTATTAGGAGGATCGTTGAGTCGAACCAACGCTAACAAAATATTAAAAGTGATGGACCAAGCCATGTTAGTGGGAGCACCTATTATTGGACTACAAGATTCTGGAGGAGCTCGCATTCAAGAGGGTATAGATTCTCTGGCAGGATATGGCGATCTATTTCGAAAAAATGTGATGGCATCAGGTGTCGTCCCACAGATCTCTGTCATCATGGGCCCCTGTGCAGGAGGAGCAGCGTATTCACCCGCTTTGACGGATTTCACTTTTATGGTTCAGGATACCTCTCATATGTTTGTGACAGGACCAGACGTAGTCAAAACGGTGATGAATGAACAAGTAACACAGGAAGAGTTGGGAGGAGCGAGAACACACACAAGAAAATCCGGAGTAGCACATCGATCGTTTGCCAACGATCTGGAAGCATTGCAAGGATTGAGAGAATTTTTACCCTATTTACCTTCATCCAACAAACACTCTGTACCCCCGTTAAAATGTCAAGATCCTGTCGATCGTCAAGATGATGCATTAAATACCATTATACCCCCCAATCCCAGTATGGCTTATGATATGAAGGAGGTATTAGAAAGGGTAAACGAAGCATAGTTCAAAAATTTATAGCTTTAGCAAAGTCATCTAAAAACGCGTATTTTTTCCATAGATTATGGATACTCATTCTTTCTATGAAATATCACCCGATTATGCGAAAAATATCTTGACAGGCTTTGCAAGACTAAATGGAAATTCCGTAGGAGTGGTTGCTAATCAACCACTCGTTTCGTCTGGGTCATTGGATATAGATGCATCAACGAAAGCGGCACGTTTTGTGAGATTCTGTGATGCATTTAATTTGCCTCTCATTACGTTGGTGGATGTTCCTGGATTTATGCCAGGAACAGCACAAGAACAAGCGGGTATCATTCGTCACGGCGCCAAGTTGTTGTACGCTTTTTGTGAAGCAACTGTTCCAAAATTAACCGTCATAACACGAAAGGCTTATGGAGGCGCATATATTGTCATGAGCTCTCAACATTTGCAAGGCGACTACAAGTAAAGTAGATACTAAAGACTTGAGTTTCAAAAAAAAAGATAACTGTTAGGGACAGAAAGGGGCCGTTGATTAACCGCAATTGATTATAGCGTGGCGTGGCCTTCTGCTGAGATTGCAGTGATGGGTGCGTCAGGTGCAGTAGAAGTCATTTTCAGAAATCATTCTGATAAAGCATTGAAAAGGAAAGAATACAGAGAGAAATTTGCCTCCCCGCTTTTTGCGGCCAAGAAAGGTTATTTGGAGGATATTATCACACCCAGGTAACCACTATATACCCATATTTTATATATCCTGCCATACTGATGACAGACTCCTTTCATTTCTCGCTTTCAGTGAGACCAGGACACGGCTAATTGAACAGTTAGAAGTTCTACAGAGCAAAAGCCTATCACTTCCGTGGAAAAAGCATGGAAATATACCTCTTTAGCTAACCCTATTGTACTTGAACGTTTACCTTAAACTTCGGCATTTAAGGCTACACAGATCAAAGTGCCTGAAAGACGAACAATGGATGCAAGAAGTGCTTTCAATGGTGGATGTCGTCCCTCTTCATGGTAATTTCCGTTACATAACAATTTCGAGAAGTGAATGATAAAGGCCACAATACTATTCAAACAGCTCTCTATATAATTTTCAATGATGAAGGATTAGCAAAGTTTTAAGTCTATACCCTAAATATTTACAACACTTGAAGTGCTGCTTTTCTCCATTAGTCAAGCACAACAGCCAAGTATGTTAAATGCAGGTACTACGGTATTGTTGTATCATTGGTTTGATCCGTTGAACTGTTATAAAGCATCTCCTCGTCTTACTTGTAAAGTGTCTATCGCCAATATATTTGTTCGAGCGGAAAAGCAAACTTGAAGCTTGGGATGGTACAGCATTCTTCTTTCTCTTCTCAACTTTTTTCAAGTTATTGACCCCATTCTCATCTGTTGACATTAGTAAGATTGGCAAAGAAATGGACGAGCTGGGAGAAAAATTGCAAGTGATGTTATTCAAGGTCATCTCTGAGTCACTAAGCCCGATCTTTCAAAGTTAAGTCATCTCGAGCGGTCCCGTCGATAGAAAAGGTTCCTCGTCTTGGATTTCGCTATGACTATCAAGGTTAATCTGCCGAGGAAGCAATACGGCGCTTTTACTGCTGAATCAATGTCCAGCCTTTCTCATCACAAAAATTCCAACTTTCGGAATATGAAACCCACATTTGGTAGCATCATTTATGCTGCAACTTTGTGGCATCCTGTCTAGAACTTAAATTGCCCAAAAATAGGACGCATCTTTTTGATAGGCCAAAGGAGAATATTTTTACGGCCCATTGAGCATGAACTCAACCATTAAAAAAACATTGCTGTAAAGTTACGCTCCTTACTTTTCTTTATTGTTATTCATCAGATCCCTTTGTCTCTCTCTTTTTTCTCATTTACTGCTTATTTTCAGAACTACAGTATATTCTGTTGATTTTATTATCCCTTAGTGTACCTTTCTCATCAAATTGAAACAGAGAATTAAAGAGACTTTACTGCTAGAAAATCAGATACATGACACAGCAACAGCCGTTTTTTACAAGAACGGCAACAGAGCCAGCACTATCCGACAGAGCAAAAGAAAAAGCTGCCTCCGCATTAGACATCAGGACAGCAACCACAGCGGCTCCCACCATGAAAAGTCGTAGTGCCAGCACAAGCTCTCTTTATCCACCGGCGCCTTTAAAGTTCAAACTAGTGAAGCAAAGGCCTCTTCTATTCAAAGCAAGAATGACACAGTTTGACCTTTCCAACACGGATAGTTCCAACGGTACGTTTCGAGGTTTCTATACGCTTTTTTGGATTGCTATGGGCCTCTACGTTATCCAAACGGTCGTACGATGTTATGAACAAGAAGGCATACTATTAAGTCTGGGCTTTTTTCGGCTATTTTCAAAGGACGGGTTTACCCTCTTGATTTCGGACATGATTATGGTTTCCATGACAACGTTTAGTGTTTTGTTTTCCAAATTATTCGTATGGAATGTTTTGCCATATGAAACGGTAGGATACATTGTCCAACACACATGTCAGGCATTTTTCTTATTTGGGAATATTTATTGGACAATTTGGAGGTAAATATGATAAAGATGTTACAACAACAATCCGCATAAACCGTCAGGCCGGAAAATTTTACATGTTACAGCATGGACAACATCATATTGAAAAAAAAGGTTATATTGCCTTATGTAGGGAATGGCCTTGGGTTCAGTCTGGCTTTTTTACGATGCACACCATAGTAATGATGATGAAGATGCATTCGTATACAGTCCTGAACGGAGATTTATCAGTCAAATACAGACGGTTAAAGCATTTAAAGAGAGAGTTACCCAAGCTCGTAGCAGCAAGTAACAACAATAGCAATGTTACTGCAGAACAAGAAGATACAATCCAAGACATGGAAGCAGAGATATCTTTTCTAGAAGGAGAGATGGTGCATGGAAAAGCTACGTTTCCCAACAATATTACCTTGACAAACTTTTTGGATTATTTACTCGTTCCAAGCCTGGTTTATTGGATGGAATACCCTAGAACAGAAAAGTAAGTGCTTGTTGTTACCCTTATCATATCAAATCAAAAGAGATATTAAAAATGTGTCCTCGTCTGTTGTTGTGTACTGGATTGTAACAGAATCCGTATTTGGTATGTCTTTGAAAAGACGACTGCAACACTGGGCTCCTTCTTGATGTTATATGTCACTACAGAGCGTTATATACTACCCAAATTATATGATCCGAGTATGTCAGAACCACGGGTGATATTGGAGCTCCTATTCCCTTTCATGATAAATTACTTGTTCATCTTTTATATAATCTTTGAATGCATTCTAAACGCATTTGCTGAACTTAGCAGGTACTGAAGAACACACCATTTGAAGCGTCAAACATTTCATTTAACCTTTCAATATTTTGACTATGTCTCCAATAGATTTGCGGATCGTAATTTCTATGATGATTGGTGGAACAGTGTCACTTACGATGAATTCGCTCGTAAGTGGAACAAACCAGTTCATCATTGGCTTCTACGACATGTCTATGCCCAATCGATCCAATCGTACAAACTCTCCAAGTTCAATGCCACCTTTGTTACTTTCTTATTATCGTCTATATTTCACGAGCTGGTGCTGATCATAACGAGTCGAAAGATTAGGCTGTATATGTTTGGTATCCAAATGCTTCAATTACCTATGATTGTCATCGGTCGAATGCCTCTTTTCAAAAAGCATTTCTGGTTGGGTAATTCTTTTTTCTGGTTGTGCATGTTTTTTGGACCACCCTTGCTAGGTATCTTGTATTGTCGCGAAGCATTTTGGGCTACGTGGGCGACGCCGCGCACTATGCCTATGCTCAATAATAACACGACAATGAGCGCTATTTCATCTTTTTAGGGTACAGTTACTGTTGTATCCTGCTGTTATAACCAAATATTTTATTTATTTTAGACTTGCTCTTTATCACAAACTTCTCCCTAAATAATTGTATCCTTCAAGAATAAAAACTGGCGGGGGGGTGTTCCCTCTCATCAATAGCAGATATTTGTGAGAAATAGCTCTTATCCTATAGTTTATGAAGAAGGGGTTGGATGAGGAGGTAATAGCTGTAACAGAATAGCAGGCACTTGTAATCTGCTAATGCGGTCTTGAATTTTTGATCGTTCCGCACTATTCCAAACGGATCTTATCTGCAACTGCTGTTGGAAGAGTGATTGCTTGCGTTGCATAGCTTTGACTTTCCTTTCGAATTGATAATACAGAACTTCGGCCCTCTCTAACGTAGACTCTAGAGGTATATTACCGCTGAGATCATTGATATACTAATTTTTAAAAAGTAATCAATACGTCTCGTCTAGACTTTGTAGCTTTGAGTTCCATTTCTTTCTTACCTTTAACACTTCATCAAACTGATGCAAGTCTTCCAAAATCACCTTTCGATGAGCGTCCAATATCGCTATAGCAATAAACAACACCATCTTATCTGTCAGATAATCTGTCCATAATACCTCCCATAACTTAATGACATCTTCCCAGTCAAATTCACGTTTGAACCACACCAGTAGCCACCGAAAGCAACAGAAAAGATTTGAAGTTTCCGTTTCCTCTAGTCGCTGATACAATATGGGATCCATAAACTTGATCAAGCTATTTAGCAGTTTAAGCTGGCCATGCATACCGGACTGATCCATATAAAAGTTCGACTGCACTCTCTCCATAAACGCTTTGAACGCCCAGAATGCCATCGCCTCGTCTCCCATGGCAACAAAGAGGGGGGCCAATAAATCCGACATGCCTTGTACGTACCCCAGGTCCGCATTATAAAAGTTATAGCTCACCAAAATATCCTTCATGATCTCCAAATTGGGGTTGGTACCAACATTCATTTGTGGGTCTGGATTAGGCAACTCATCACCTACAAAGGCTTCCTGAGAACGATCTGTACGATGTACATCCTTATCAATACGGTGCTTCTCATCTTGAAACTCTCTTGATTCACGCACTTCAGGATGGTCGAACCATTTGGCTTTGATGGAATAAAAGTACATGTCCCTTTGGCTACGACGAATAGCTTCACGTTCGTTATAGTTGGAATCCCACGGATACAAACCGAGCAAAAATTTCCATGCTTCAATGCGAATATCATGGTCCAAACCGCCTTGAAAAATGAGTTGACGAATACGTTGCACGGGCACGGCTAATTTACCTTCATGATCAAAGAGGGTAACCCATTCTTCTGGAAACAACGGCGGACGGCGTGTATGCCTTGGTTGATTCAACGTGCCGAAAAGTTCCGGCATATCGCATAACAAACCATCTACATCATCTGCTAAATAATAGTCACCTTCAGACAACGAAGAAAACGAGGTTCTTTTCAAACTAGAGCTCCCACCATGATCGCCAGCGCTACTACCGCTACCGTATTGCAAAAGATAATAAGAGGCAGCTTGGTAGTCATTCACCGTACATCGAATCAAGCTATGCCTTTCGAGAGCCATTTGAAATGGTACGGGTAAAAGAAGAATAATGGGTCGGGCAATAGGATGGTACAATATTCCAGCTGCTGTTTCCTTTGTATACTGTTTTAGTTGTGACAATTTCTCTAGTATGGTCCAACGAGCTTCAGTTGAAGAAGGGTCGTTTGCAAGGTAGATGGAAGAATTAAATGCTTTATGCCCTGTTGTGAAGCTGTTGGCACTGCTGCTACGTTGCTGATTGGAAGACTCGATATTGTCTATCGTAGTGGAAGCTGCACCATCGTGCTCGGTAAAATGTCTTGGCAAGGGTGAAGAGGGTGCAGATGTGTTACTGGATGTAGACCTACTGTTTCCAGTTGAGTGCTCTATTGTCTTTGCTATAGTTTCTTCTTCATCACTGGCCTGGCACAAGAACATGAAAGGAATATCGTTCGACCTGTATCCCAGTCAGTATCAGTAACTTTCGATGAGCCAAAAAGCTTATTTGATTTTTCAGTCTCTACCTTTTCAACGGATGAAATGCACTAATAATATCTACAATGTTGTATCCCGGCCATGACTGTGCGTCCAATCTATAATCATTTTTACTGCTACTTCCATGGTGAACAGATGAATACCATAAAGGTTTGTGCACACTCCCATCTTTTGTTGTTATCACGATTGAACCCTGTTTATCACTGGACGGAGGGCAAAGATAAAGAGAATAGATGCTTTTGAACGACAAATTGAAAAGGACTTCTTCGTCTTGTGTGCTGCTTAAATCTAAGCTAACCTCTGGAAAATTTTGATCTACAGTGAGACTACCGTCTAACTCTACAAACGTAATAATGTCTTCAGAAGCTATTAAATCTTCAGGTATCCAAGCAATGAAAAGTTCAACATCCTCCTGGAAATTATAGAGAAAAGAGTGCATACGTTAAACTAAAAGTCATAAGCTATTTGCAAAAAGCAATGATAGCTGTACCATTGATGTGGAATAAAGGATTAGAAATCCATGTATTTGCTGGTGGTTACTATTTTGTGAATCTGGCCTAGCACAGCAGTTTGATTGCTCTTGCTCGGTTGAAGAAGTGTGCTGAACTTGTTTTAGATAGAACCCAGATTTTGAATAGATGAGTCTGACCTTCGTCGTTGAACAGGCGGTTGTTATCAAAGGAGAAGAAGGATTCGTTGATTCATATATAGCAGTTCTAGCTGTTGCTGTTGTTGTTTGTGATTGATTGTGAGACGGAAACGGATGGAAGGGATGGTTGGCGGTCGGATTACAAGAAGGATATACGGAAGGTATTGTTGGAGAAAACGTCGAGCTTACAGAAGAAGACCAACTTGGTTGGTGAGTCAGAGCTGAGCTATACATGGCCTATTTGATTGCCTCATAGGTAAGATAAGACAGATTATTTTCAAATAGAATAGTCAAACGATCATTCATATCTGTAACATACTCTTTGTTGTCTTTCTTGGAGTGCTAATCTTGAAGTTGGCTGATGTTGTTCACTCATCGCTGGTACAAGTTTGATCTGCTAACTACAAAAACAATAAAGGTAACAGAAGAAGAACAAGTCATTTATTTGATTATAAGCAAACTTTGATAAATGATGCTTAGCCGAAGGATTTCTTGTCATCCTTAGTAATTTTTTTTCGATTTTTTTACTTGGCAACCTGTTGCTAAAAAAATTCAGGAACCACTCAAATTCTTTGAAAGCTTACACTACACTTTCTTTAAATAAACAATGGTAAAAGTTTATTGTAACAACTTCTTTGCAATGTCACTAACAACCTTTCGATCAGCCCTCACTGCATCAAATTTCCAAGCCTTCATCACTTTACCCAAATCTCTTCCCGATGTAGCGCCCACCTCGTGAATGACTTCCTTCAACTCTTCTTCAATCTCTTCAGGTGACATTTGTTTTGGTAAATAGGACTGCAATAGTTTCAATTCATCACTTTCTTGCTTGGCTAATTCTGGTCGGCCACCTGACTCGTATTGTGAGATAGAATCTTGACGACGCTTGATGGCTTTTTGCAAAACAGATAGTAAGGCCTCTTCTTCACTGGAGCCTTCGGCAAAGTTGGCACTTTTCACGTGATAGGTGAAATCACTTAATAGGCCTTTTACGACATTGAGCTCGGTTTGTTTCTTTTCTTTCATAAAGGTTTTACGATCATCTTTGAGTCGAGTGATGAGCGATTCTAATAAAAGAAATCTAATTTGTATTGGTTTCCCTATGTCAACGATTTCCTGCTTTGCTTATCTTACCTGCGCCGACAGCACCACTGGTATAATATCTGTTCAAAAAAACTGGAACACGTTTAAGGCTTATTCTGGCAAGGAAAAAAGATGACATTTTAACGCAGAGACAGAAAAGAAGGCGATGTTAACAGACTGAGTTGCACGCATTATTATGCACATTTTTGACATGGGGAAGTGTGGCCCAAAAAAGGGTTGTTTGAACTGATTGTACCCCGCTTCCAAAAATTTTTAAAACAGTGTGTAGAAATTACATCATTTGGATGTACAGTGCCTCCACCCCCAATTTTCGCTTTCCACCAAAACTGATTTCGTTTTGGTCCCCGACCAATCTTCGTTTTGGTAAGAGCTCATTTTTCGCTTTTAAAATAAAGAGATCGACTGTAAAGTACGGTGAGACTGTTTGTCAGAGTTTTTAGATTGAAAGGTCAAGCAGGCTTTTTTGGGATTGCTTTTTTTTCAGTGGTGAAGTGGAATGGATGTCTCGACAAAGAAACCAGGTTGAAATAAGGCACTGTGCCCATCTGCAAGAATAGATCAATCGTTGATTTATCCGTTGCAATAGCAAAGTACTAAACGAGCTTGGAAGATACCGTTTTATTAAATGAGAATACCGTGTTATTATATAATGATTTGTCTTAGATCATAGTGATTGTGTCTCAGTTTTCTTTAAAGAGTGAATTAGTCAAAGCATTGATGTGGATACATCAAATCGTGATTTTTTTAGGGAATTCTTTGGGACCATCACCTTTGGACCGGTTGCCGGAGACGATAAACTCACCGGACAGAGCTGGTATCTTATGTAATAGTATGTAATTATTAACTTCCCGCCTTCAAGAACAGCGAAGGCACACTCTACATATTGGATTCTTTGAGAGTAGCAGTATACTAAAAGTAATTAATCACTGGTATTGATAGCTCAATACTTTATTAAAGCTCAAGGAATAATATTAGAGCCAAACTATACATAATACACGATACTACTTGTTTCTTGTTTTTCTACGCTTTGAGCAATCAAACAACAACATGTCCTCCCAGTCATGAAAACGCTTCAAACCTTTTTCGTCTTCCTTCAACCCGTCTAGCATCACCTTCGTATTTTTAACAAAGTCTTCATCTTCTGGTTCATTTTCTTCATGGTACCCGTTCTCATATTCTCCGTCACTGTTGGTGCTGTTGCTTATAAAACTAACTTCATTAAAGATATCATCAGCAAAGTTCAGCGTCTTGACCTCGTTTTTGTACTTTTCCTCCAGAATGAAGTTGAACTTGGCATAATTTAATTTCACTGTTCGTTTTAGAGAAAGGATGGCCAATAGGAGCTTAGAAAACTCAGGGTGAGTGACGTGACGAGATTGGGAAATTATAACTTCCTTTTTTGTAGATAAGCATTGTATCAGAAGGCAGTAGCCGAGATCCATAAATTGTAAACTTTGTGCTTTGCCATTGACAAGATATAGCTTCCAACTTTTCCGTGAGAACACTGCTGTCAACTTGTTTAGACCATAAGTAAAGTGCATGTTTTTTCAACATATTTCCCTTTCTAATATCAGCCTTCACGCCCTTTACAGACGGCTTTTCTTCTACTGTCAAAACATCGGTGTCATTATTCATATCACGTAAAATGAAGTCCAATCGTTGTAGTTTAACGTCTTTTTTAGCTTCCTTTAAAATCTTCGTAACCTGACTCACACATTCAGAGCGCTTGGTTTCAAGCTCTTCATCATCGAGGAAAGCCTTATCCCACACATTTGAATATACATGCAGCCGAAACCAGTCTTCACCATGAGTTCTATTAAGCAAAGCCTTTGTTGACCAAAGCTGAACACTCGCAGACAAAGCGCATCTGATGTATTTACAATTTGAAGATAGATTTTTCTTGGAGTACCATGTAGATAAAAGAGTCTCAAGTTCAGACGTGTTCTTGCAATTAGAAATTTCAACCAACATGTCCCTTTCTTCAAGAGTAACCAAAGGTTTTACTGCAATCCCAGCTTCGTCCTTCATCTTTTTTAAGTACTTGTTGAATCGTTTTGGAAGTTTTGCGTGTTAGAGGTTCAATATTCCATCTTTGCCATAATATGTGGCTGAATAACTTGATCCAACAGCCGTTCGATGGACTCTCGATGTCCCCTTCTCCTTGCGGAAAAAGTTGATCGAGGTTGCCCAGTTGAAGGCATATTAACTTTATCCTGAATCGGAAAGCAATATACAATACCCTTAGCTCCCTCAGACAGATCATCACAATCCGCCAGAGTTGTGTTGAGCCTTTCGCCAGAGTTTTTACGTCTTGCGAACGCTCTGTATGTAAAATAGTCTGCCAGACTTTCGTTTTTGTCAAGTAACTTGTAAAGTGTTTACTAATCGTGATCTCGTCTTCAACTAAATTAAGCATTTCAGTGGTGCATAAAGTAAAAAGTATTACTACGCGCGCGCAAAAGTCAAGAATTTATCAGTGTTTCTTTTGTCAATTCATCACTTTTTTGAATTGACCAATCAGATTTCAGCATTCTAACAACTCCTGAGCATCCATCCTTATCGATCTCAAATAGTTAAGTATTTAAATGTGAGAAAGGAAACATTAAGGTGAAGTAGTACACATGGTCTATATTTTCAGCAAGACAGCTAGCCTGTAACTTGCTGGGATAGAGACTCTCCACTTTGTAGAGTGATCTTAAGGGTAACCGAGGACTGAAGCCGTTGTAAAGCGTTGTCAGTAGACCAGGATCCGACATTAACGATCGTGTACCAGTGATATTTCCATAGAGTTTCCAATATGTTGCATACTAATTCTAGTGTATAGTTTTCTGTAAAAGCATTATCGTTTCGTAGTTTCAGATTGAGCAAAACATGCCATACGTCTTCAGGAGACCGTAAGACATGAGAGAGAGAGAGAGCTGAGACAAAGCAGCTGACCAAAAAGACCATTTCATAGGGCAGCCAACCACGAAGTGAAAGTCATCCTCAATGGAGGCTGGACATAATTTACATGTAGGCGAAGACCAAAGCCGAGGACAGAGACGATGTAAAGATGACTGAGTGCTTAGAGAATCACGTAACAACCGCCACCAACATGTAACGACTTTATGAGGCAAACGCAAAGATCAAAAAACTTTCCAAACCCTAGGATGACAAAAACCAGATGGGCAAAGATAAGGAATCTGTGGGATGCCAAGCGTAGCGGACGGACCTGCCAGCTTCTCTTTCAGGTAACGTTGTGACCAATACTGCCGTAAGATACGTGGAGTCAGTTTGATGAACGAGAGTGCCTTAGTAGCACTAATTTGGATCCTCCAGTGGTTGCATATAGGAGCCCAGTGGGATGCATCAATGGTAACTATTTGAAAGGACCGTTGAGAGGCACTCGTGAATCGCATGTGAGGCGGTGGGACATCCTGTAATAAATCTTGAGGCATGAACTTTTTGAATAGAGGGCGCCATTCAAAGGGAGGGTTATCGTGTTTTAGCAGCTTGAGTACGTCACCAGCCATATTTTGGTAAGGCGCGCCGCCTCGAAGAAAATTGGTGAATTGATTATAAGGGTAGGACCAAGAGATAACGTTCGCCACAGTATAACATAACGGGATTTGGTTAGTGTCATAGTAATCAGCGGATGTAGGTGGATTGGCAGACGCAAGAGCAAAACGTAAGGGTGTATCGGCTAACCAACGACCTGGCGAGCTCGAATGTCCCGGAAGAGCCGGAAGCTCTGTCAGGAGTCTGGTCAATATGGATAAAGTCGGAAGTTGTTTGAAAAGAGGTAGCAGTGTTCTAGAATACTGTAGCCATGGCAACAAGGAGCGATGACCTGTGCAGAGGTACACACAATAGCCTATTAAGGGTGTAACAAAGTCACTGGCGGTTTTTGGTCGAAGTATACGCTGAACAAAGATAAGCTGAAGGGCTAAATGTTGCTGATGGATGTCAATAATACCTAAGCCGCCAAGATGCTTGTGTAAACATATGGACCTTCAAGAAGGAGCTGGACGGAATGATAGAATAAACTTACAAACGACAGTACGGATGTCATTCAGCCAGTATCTTGGAACCGGAACTACTCGTAACAAATGCCAAATTTTGCTAAGAATTTGTGAATTAGCCACTAAGGACAAGCCTCGGACTGAAAGACCGCGCTCCTTCAACTTAGTGCAATGGAGCTTAATGACATGTGTGATACGATTAAGGTACGATTTCAATTGTTTGGGTGACGAGTAAAGTGGATAGCCCAAATAGCGAACTACCGAAGCACTATGTTTGGTGTGGTATTTGATGCCTTCCGATTGGGCAATGGTAACCCAGGAGGGGCAGCTTTCCCCAGACAGCGAGACAATATCGGTCTTCTTAATATTCACCTTTGCATTACTTGCTGCGCCATACAGTGTCAATAGATGCCCCAAAATAGGCCATTCTTCGGGAGAGGACAAGAAGACCTCCAAATCATCAGCATAACTAAGTAATTTGAATACAGGCGAGCAATGCCACTGAATAGGACTATCATCCTCCCCTGTTTCCGGGTGCTTAATAACGGGGGTTTTAGCAATGGAAAATTCCTTTGTTTTAAGAGGAAACAGCGATACACCTGTAAGGGAGAGACTAAAAGAGTACGGAGAAAAGGTTCGAACATTAAATTGAACAGCAGAGGGGAGAGAGGATCACCTTGACGTAAGCCGCGACCTTGCATCAAAAACCTTCCTAAAAAGCCATTGATGGAGACGGAAATTGCGGTTGAGAAGAATAAGGACGATAAAGCGGAAATCAAATGTGTGGGGAAACCGAAGCGTAACAATACCATGCGAAAATATTGAGGATGGACATGATCATACGCTTTTTCTTGATCAAGCATCACAGCCACTGCAGTAGCAGCACGAGGATCAGTACTTTTTCGAAAGATGTCCATAATCGTCAGGTTGACCCAGCCGTTATCAAAAATCAAGCGATGTGGCATAAAGCCTGTCTGATATGGGTTGATTAAACTTGGTAGAACGGTGTTGAAGCGATTGGCAAGTAACTTTGTGAACAGCTTGGCATCCGAATTGATTAGTGACAAGGGTCGCCAATTGCTTAATAATGTGGGGTCACCTTTCTTGAAAAGCAGTACCATCCTAGTTGTCTTCCACGACACAGGTATATTGCCATGTAGTGCATCGTTTAACACCATCAAAAATAAGACCTTGGCCTTAGGGAACTTAGTGAATAAGAACTTGTATATTTCAAAGGGCAACCCGTCTAATCCTGGGCTTTTAGCATTAGGAGTGTGTTTAGCGACATCAAGCAAGTCAGCGGCTGTAAAATCAGCCCCCATTGTACTAGAAGTTTGTTCAGATAATTTCACATTATCTGGAATATTTGCCAGAATGGAGTCAGCTGCAGCTAGGTTAATTTCCTCAGGCGAATACAAATGACTATAAAATCGGTGAAATTCCTGCAAGAGCTCGGGAGTAGTTGTCAGCATCCGGCCAGTAACACTGCACCGTAATGCATGAATGGTCTGCTGCATTTGTCGTAACTTAATGGCCCGATAGAAATATTTTGTATTTCTTTCCCCTTTTTCGTGCCATCGGGTAGCGGATCTAAGTAATACTTTTTCCATTTCATCCTTGGCCTCCTTTTCCAAGGTAGCATTCAATTGTTGGATTAGTATTTGTTGGCGTGTGGCATTTCGTGGGTGACTATCCGCAAGCAAGTGCTGAAGCTCCTGTTGTATTTGGTGAAGATTCCTGCTTCGTCTCTTTTTGAAACCATGAGAGAAGCTTTCACAGGTATCTTTCAAAGCGCGCTTCAGACTTTCCCAATTTGTTTGTGCAGCTGTGTCATCAAGTGATTCAATCGACACGAAAAAGGAGTTGATAACATCTGTCAATAGTGCAACAAAAGTATCATTTCGCAAGAAGGAAGTGTTGAAGCGCCAAAAGCCGGGGCCAAGATCGTCTCTTTCCGAAATCAGATCAATTTGCAATAATTGATGGTCTGTCCAAGAAGAAGGTAAGAAGATTTGCTGAGGATTGGAAATACGAGACTGGTGAGCCTTGTTGCAAAAAATGTAGTCGATGGTAGAGGTATGGCTGCCACGGTGGAATGTTGGTTTACTGTCCAAAAAGCAATTGTCAAAGTTATCTGTAAGCCATTGATGTCAAGAGATGAACCGAGGATCATCACATCGATCAATAAGCTTCAGCAGAGATAGATTGAAATCGCCAAGTAAAATAGAAGGTGATTCATCAGGCACAGAGGTGGCAAAAGGGGAGGACAGAAACTGTTCTAGAAAGGGCAGTCTGTCTGCGGATTGTGCAGGACCATAAATGTTAAGTATAGAGCATTCGATTTGTTGTAATACTTGATTATATATCGTAGCCCTGATACACCGTTCATCTAAAGAAACGGTAGCATCATGAATTGTGAGGTTCTTGTTTAAACATGTGATAGCACAATGTTTGGTGAAAAGCACCGAACAATGTGGAAATAAATAAGATTGAAAGTAGTTATGTTGTTGTTCTGTAAGATGATCTTGAAGATGGAAAGCTGAAACTTCCTGTAAACATAAAATATCTAAAGAGAGGGATGGGGATTTGAGATATGATAAAAACACTCAAAGAGTGTTTTTATTAGCATCCTTGAAAATACTACGGGTATTTAAGGATGCGATGCGCACTGGTTTTTTACTCATTACCCTTACGGGTGTTCGAGGTGGTGGTGTTGGTGGTGGTAAAATCATGACGGCTAGGAGAGGTGTGCTTTAAACGATCAGAATTACGTTTAATGGATCTAGTAACAGGCGATTCGGTAGACATAGCGGTAGTGGGCGAGCGACGTAAGATGGTTTCAGGTTTACTCGTAGAAATGCTGTCGACATCCATTGATGATCGAATCTCTATAGGGCATATTTAGAAGCAGCAGTACCATCTACACCTCGATCAAGGGGAGCAGCGAGGGTAGGCTCGACGGTGGGGGTCTCAATCATGTCAAGATCATTGCTCAAATCTGCTTCTTCTGATTGTGTCCTCAAAGATACGGAATCAATAATATTCTCATTCCTATCCGTAGCGCAAGCATTGTTTTCACTCAAATTTGAAGTCGTTAGATCGTCATATACCTGGAGATCTTCCGCAAAAGTCGTTTCTTTGACTGGTGGAGGAAGAAGCTCCTCTTTAACTCTACAACGGCGCTGCGTGTGGCCGGCGCCACCACGACGAAAGCAGATAATTTTTTGCAGCGCAGAACAATCTTTCTTGACATGGCCAGCTTCACGACAATAATAGCAAATAGATTGAGCACCCTTATAGCTGGCAGGGACAGTGATATCCCAAACTTCAAGGTATAACATCCTTTGCAAACCTTGATACTGTGCTTCAGTATCTGTAATTTGGCGGTCCAAAAGGACAGATACATCTCCTTCAAAGAAACCATGGTTCAAACGCTGTATGATTTGAAGAACACGGCCATAGTTACCCATTGATTCCGTGAGTTTCTCGATCAGCACGGCACGTTCGTCACTGACAGGTAAGGTCAAGGTGACCCGACAATGGTCATTTGCTTCTGCCTTATCTTTATAAGGCACAGCTGTATATTGAACACCCTCATGGGTGAATCCAGATTCAAGCGCCTGCTTTGTATGCGCGTCATCCTTAAATTTGGTATAAAAAATCAAATCTCCACGAGTACGTTGCCCGCGGAGGGAAATTGGATTGAAATAATTGCCCACGACAGGGCCAATCTGGTCCACTACACATCTAAAGGCCTCTGACTGGTGGCGAAAGTAACGGCTCGGGACAGAGAAAATGACAGCGCCTGGCTGGATAGCCGTGTTGACTATGGCATGCACGCGTTGGGACCTGTTCGGCCACTTCGCCTTCTTCAAAAAGTGTCTCCACAGTGTAAGATTCTTTGTTGCCCTGGATATCGTATCTACTGCGAGGGCGAGGAACATTGGTCTTCAGGCTATTAATCACAATGGTTGACCAACTAGTCCCGTTTTTGGTCTTGGCTACACTCGTCATTACAATATCAAGTGTTATATCTACTGCCCTTTTGAATTCATATGAAATAATAAAATTGTAACCTGAATTTAAACAAAAAAAAAAAAATAAAAAAAATTTATCGGTCATACGTCATCAAAAAAATTCACTATGTTTGGGATGCAAAATTATCCCCTTTATGTGGGCGACTTTAATAATCTCTTACTTGGTTTTACTTAACGCCAGAGAGAAGAAGGTATTTTTGAATTAGTGAAGAAAGCATGATTGTTAAAATCAGTGAAGAGCTAATTGGGGCAGCACTTATTTTAGTTTGACTGTGGATCTTTCCCGCTTGGCGTGTACTGAACAAGAGAAGCATGATCTCTGGAATAGGTGAAGAGCTAATTGGGGCAGCATTGAGCTAGAATCAGTGCCTCCACCCCCAATTTTCGCTTTTAAACTGATTTTGCCCAAGAACTCATTTTTCGCTTTTGTCATTTCCAAAGCTCGCTTTTACATCACTCAATTTTTGTGCTTTTTTTTTAAACTTTTGCGTTTACATTTCAATGAATAACAACTTTTATTACGAAGACGGGCAGGGCAAGATTTTGGAAGAGCAAGGAAACGACGCTGTGGACTGGGAGGAGGAGGTTGATCCTTATAATCTTGGTACTTTGTTGACTTTGTCACAGTGTCGAGCTTTTCAGAGTCGTTTTCCTACAGACGATATAGAAGAGCTCGATTTACAGATAAAAGAGTTATCCAAAGAACTATCGCAGGGTGAAACTAGTGGCAAGAAGTACAATGTGTATTCTGATAACCAGAAGTCAGTGTTTTATTATTTTAACAAAATCAAGCTTTGGAAGGCTGCCCCTTCGGGACGTAAAGCGAACATTGAGCCACGAACAGCACAGATCTGGGCCTAGAGACTCAGAGAAGATCCCAGCTGGAACATCTATGAGAAGCAGACGAACAAGATTAACCGAGCCTTTTCAACTTCAGCAGGATCATAAACAGCATCTTCAGGAGTTTTTCGATAACTACCCTCAAGCAACGAGGCATGATGCTGTGGAAAGTCTCACTGAAGCATTCGAGGTTTTTAGTCTGAAGGAAACAGTAGTCGGCAATTTCATCCTTTATGAGCGCAATTGGCCATGAAGCGAGTAACTTGTGTCGCGAAATAGCCCTGAGATTCTTGAAGCACATTACACGTGGACATATGAATGGGCTATTAATTCGGATATGAATTACGTCGAGAACTGTGTTATTGTGGATGGAGCTGGTTTCAATATCAACATGAGAAGCCCTTTCGCTCGTTCAATGAGAGGCACACCAGCAATTGTTGAAACACCAACCACTCGCGCGATCACTCACACTGTTTTAGAAGCCATAACAACAAACGATGTCATTGCACTTGAGATCAGAGAGCCTCTAAAGCCCAAAAAGATGAAGATTGCTGGAGGCCGAAAGAGAAATGCTTCTGCAGGTAAAAAGATGCCCAATGAACTGTTACTGGGTACTATATGAGATTCATTGCTAAAACATTGGATGAAATGGACAAGTTTCCTGGAATGAAAGGTTTCTACATTGTCAAGGATAATGCACCTATTCATACCTCACAAGATATAGCTACAATGGTTGAAGCAAGAAGTTATAAGGCGACATACCTTCCTCCTTATTCGCCTGAACTCAATCCAATTGAAAACTTTTGGTCATTTGTTAAAGGTGCTGTCCAGCGAGTCAGTTTCAAGACACTGAGGACTTGAAAACTAGAATTACTGAAGCAGGCAAAAGTGTTAGCAGAAAAGCTCTTCATAACATTTCAAATCACTCCGTCAATAATTTCCAAAAATGCCTTAATAAAGAGCCACTTTAGTAAAACTTGGGATCAAACACGAAAATTGAGTGATGTAAAAGCGAACTTTGGGGAATGACAAAAGCGAAAAATGAGCTCTACCAAAACGAAAATTGGTCGGAGACCAAACGCAATCAGTTTGTCGGAAAGCGAAATTGGGGGTGGAGGCACTGTCAAGCCATTTGTTTACTTGGATTTTTAGTCACCGCCTGCTAATTGGGACAAAACTACCAAAAAAAGAAAACTTAAAAGGGGCAGTTGAACCAAAGGTCTCGGTGAGCAAGGCATAAAATGGCTTTCTCATATGTTGAAGTATGCAGACTGTTACTAAAAATGTTGAGCCAACACTACATACAGTCAGTACGGTTTTGATTCAAACCACCCTAATGTTTGATCTAACCTTTGCACATTTTGTCGTATTGTACATTGTATTTTCGCCTTTGTCTCACGATAGCTTATTAATTTACTTCAAATTAACTTTTTGTAACAGATTCTTTCCTTCATATATTTTTTACGTTTACTTTTAGAGCTAAATTGATCTGTGTGAATGAATCATGAAGAAGTAGTTCGAAAGAACATCTAAAAAAAAAGAAAGAAAGAACAATGACAAGGTTTGACTTGTAATGGGTAGAGATCACTTACCAGCCTCTTTATTTTTGCCATTGGACTACGTATTATATGTATATATGTGTGTATATTTATATTCATGATATAAAGGATTGCTAAGAGAAAGAATGATAGTTTTTTTATTGTTGTGGTTGGAAATTATTATTGTTATTGGTATTGTTGGCAGCGGCAGTAGTAGGCATCATATTACCATCCAAAAGTGCACCGTCTGGGTTATCCATGGTTGGACCTGTTATTGAAGGTGTGCCCAAGAATTGTGAACCATCGATATTATCAACATTATGGAAATCTAAAATCTCGGAATACATCATCACTTTCCATGTATCAATAGGTAAATCTGCTTCATTGAAAGACCAATCGAACTTTTCAGGTGCGATGGGTTCGTCAGTAGGGTCGTGATAAGGAGTTAAGTAAGGATGAGCTAATGCTTCTTCGGCTGTGATACGTTTGCGAGGATCGAATGTTAACATCCTTTCCAATAAATCGATAGCGTGAGGGTCTTGTCCAACAAATCTTTGACTGAATGGGATAGGATCGCGCTTAGGAAGGTTTTTGACGAAACGAAGAGTCTAAATGGTTGAAAAGAGAAAAAAAGAGTTTGGTTTTAGTTTTTCAATGACTTGGCTGTTTGTCCAGCCTATTTTTCGTTTGCTGACGATTCCCATCTTTCCCGTTTCGTTTGTTTCTTTCATCTCATCCCCTTTTCCAGCTTTTTGTTTAGCGTCTCGTTCTCTTCTTTATATACTTTACATTTTCGCTACAGATTGTCGCAATGACATCATCAGGTGGTGTACCGAGAAGTTCAGTAATGATTGAAAATTGATGGACATCTACAACAACAGAATGAATATTAGTAAAAAAAAGTCTATCTGCATGTAGTTCGCAAATAGCAAGCGAAAAACGTACGATCTTTTCCAGGGAAGAGTGGCTTTCCTTCCAACATCTCTGCAAAAATACAACCAGCACTCCAAATATCTACAGCGACATCATACTTTTGCCAGGTCAACATGATTTCAGGCGCACGATAGTATCTTGTGGAAACATAGCCTGTCATTTGTGGATCTTGAATTCGAGCAAGACCGAAATCACAGATTTTTAAATCACAGTTTTCGTTTATCAAAATATTGCTTGGTTTCTACAAAGACATATAGATTAATGACGTGTTAATTATGTAGTTGCAAATGCATTTTGTCTAGCCCACTTGGGTCAGTCCTTATGAGAATCAGCTTACAAGGTCACGATGAATAACGCCAGCGGAATGAACGTATTTCAAACCTCTCAAAATCTGATAGAGGAAGTATTGAATGAATTGCTTTTCTAACGGACGTGATTGTAATAAACGATGGAGATCTGTGCCCAATAGTTCAGTAACGAAATAACTAAACAGGGGAACCAGTGTGCATGGTGAGTCAGTATGAAGTCTTGTGTGCAGCGTGTTTTCTTTTGGGGGCTTTCTTTTTTTTTTTTTGTTGTACGTAATATGTAACAGAGTCTAGACTTACATATCTTCTAAAGGTGAAATAAAGATATCACTCAAGCTGATAATCTAAGGAAAGAGACATCTTTAATTTGCATTTCTTTTTTGTCCTGTCTTTTTAGCTCGCCGGTGTTCCTTACATTTTCGTGTCGCAGTGCTTTCAATAACTTCAATTCACGATATGTACGTTTAGCCAACACAGGTGCTGAGAAAGGCTTCAAAATTTTCTTGATAGCTACATTCATCCCTGTTAACTGGTCCTTGGCAGAACTGCAGAATCAAATAGCAAACGCATTAATTTATCAGTTGGTTGCAAGACATTCTTTGCTTTATGAGACAATCAGAGGCAAAAATTGCTTACCAAACAAGACCGAAGGCGCCCATACCAACGGGTTGTAAATCAACATATCTAAAGCAAATAGGTTACATTACTATTTTCGGGCCTTTCTTCCAACCAGCTTCAGTTCAAGTGAGTGCTATTACCTTGTAGTTACTTCGAAAACTGTGCCAAAAATCGAAAGTTTGACAAACTCGGCCATGTTATTGGTTACTGTGGAGGTTATATATGTGTAGAAACGTCTATATTAGAGACAGGACGAGAAGAATAAGAAAAGAAAAAGACGAGGGAAAGAAGAAAAAGGTGAAGGGTTCTGAAAAAAAATATGACGGGATGAAAAAAAGAAAAATAGAAAAAATGGAAATGGGCGGACAGGAACAAACAGCAGAGAAAGTAGAAAATTTTATTTTCAGTGTATTTGTGATCATCCAGAGTTAGCAAGAAAAGCTGGTTCCCCGCAAGACCCGCGGAGTCCCTGACGTCACGATCAGTTGGATGGATGCATTCATTCACCTATCAGTGTATTGTGTTGTTAGATGAATTTCCAATCTAGACTTGGTTTTTTATAAGTAGTTCAGAAATGTGATTTTGCAAACAGTTGTTGATTCAAGATAGGCGCTGATATGTGTTCTGGAAACATCAGGGCATTTAGAAACGAGGCTTCTCTTTTGTGCAAAACTTATATTTTGTCTGTGCTACATATTACGTCATAATGATCATCATCATTTCATGCCATTATGAACGTATCTGGTTATTATCGATGGTGAGGTCCACAAATGAAGAATCAGTGCTACTATTACTTTGATGATGGTTGACTGATAAAGCGTCTTCATCATCGGTGTCGTCGAAAGCCTCAATGCTAGCTCTTCCCTCACTTTCCTCTTCTATTTCTACTGATACGTCCTTATTGTAATGAAAACGACGCTTTGTCAATCGATTATGCCGTATTTTAGCCCTTTGTATCAAATCACCCCATAATAAATCATGCCGGCAGTTCTGGCATTGTCCTTGTATTGGCAAAAGATCAAATGGTTTGGTCCATTCTCTCCCTAGGCACAAAATGTGACCCTGGAAACGCTGACAGTACCAGCATTCGATATAGCATTCCTTATCTACGTCAATCTCACTTTGACAAATATAACATTTTATATTTTCCAAATCAGCTGCTGCATTATCAACGGCGGACAAAACTTCCTTTTCTAAAGTACATAAAAAACACATCTGTTTCATATAGTTTACCGGAGCTAAAAGACCCCCCACATCGATATTTGTTTGCAAACAACTTACCATAAGTTCTCGACTCCTCTAATAGATCCTCTATGGAACCCAACGATACAGTAATATGTTTTGGTAATCGACAGTTTTCCAAAAATAGTGCTTGCATTGCAGGCACGACGAATCTGACCTTCAACGGTAAAGTTAAGAAAGGTTCCGCATTCAACAAAAGTTGTGCAGCCCACATCTTGGTTAGCAATAAGTTATTGTACCGTCTACTTTGCTGCTGTAATAAAGTCTTTAATTCATGTTCAACGTGTTTGATATGACGGCTTTGCAATGGTTTTTGCCATGCATTCTCAAACTGTAGAGCATGAATCTTGCTAGGAAATCCGTGAACCAACATTACAAACTCCCTGGCAAGGAAATGATTGAAAAAAGTACATCTTGCGTTAATGACGAACGATCGATCGGAGCTGATCAAAACCAACGACAATTTACCACGGCCTTAGTTTTTTTGTTCTATAGGCGCCTTGAGTAATCTCACCATTATGCTGTCGTAATCGCCGCTTTGGATTGGGTGTTGAACCAACATACACTTTATTTTTATGTCCTTCTTTTAGTGAACGGATCAAATAACAACAGTAAAAGGAACAGTAAGAAGACATTTAAATTTAGGAGAAAAGGCAAATTTTGGTTGCTGCCAGAAAATGCTCACTTGAGCGTCGGAACAAAAATTGCTGTAAGCAGCAAAAGCTTTAGCTTTGGTGTAGAAACGCCTCCTATGTTATTAGGAACCGCATAGTTTGGTGTCAAAATTTTTCAGGCTAATTAGATCGGAATCATCACTTGAAAAGGAAGGGCTTTCTTTCTTTAAACACAAAGGTATTATTTTGGATAAATGGAATACTGATGCCCTTCGAAATCCAGGTTTTATGATTTCTTCGATTTGTGGACTGTTTTCTATTTTTCGGGTTTTAAAAAAAAATGGACAGCTAGTGCATTTACGACATCCAATAAAATAGTTTTGATTGAAAGAGTCACAATCGAAAATTTAGGCCGAAAAGGGCAACAGAACGTAAGAAAAAAAAAGTTTGACAAAAAAAAAAAAAAAGAAAGACCCATCAAAAATAAACAAAACTTTCTTCATCTTTCTTTTTCAATCATCAGTTTTTGAATCATGAGTATCTCTGCATCCAAGGCTAAACGTCTCGCAGCCAGAGCTGCTAAGAAGGGTGGCAAGGGTTCTGGAAAGAACACCCCTCTTACTTCATCCGAGAACAACTCTTCTGAAGATTTAAGCATGAGCAATCTCAAGATCAGTACTGACCGTACAGCCACTGGTGTTTATTCTTCTCAAGAAAGAAGCAGAGATATCAAGATTGATTCTTTCTCACTCAATTTCCACGGTCGTGTTTTGATTGATAATGCCTCTATCGAACTCAATTTTGGTAGACGTTATGGTCTCATCGGTGCAAACGGTTCTGGTAAATCAACCTTTTTGCAATCCCTCGCTTATCGTGATATCGAAATTCCCAACCATATTGATGTAAGTATTGCCCTGGTTTAATGAGAACTGCTTGATTCGGCGGTATACATTAAGGAATCAAGAGTTCCCTGCCTATACGCGGATTTGATCCGGTACAATTTGAATTTGTTTATTGACAGCCAAAATAATTACTTTTTTCATGAATTATAGATCTATCTTTTGAACGAAGAAGCTGAACCTTCTGAAATGAACGCTGTTGAAGCTGTCATCGATTCAGCTCAAAAGGAAGTTGCCCGTCTTGAAAAGCAAATTGAAGATCTTTTAGGTGAAGAAGACGGAGGTGACAACCCCTTATTGGACGATATCTACGAACGTATTGAACAAATGGATCCAGCCACTTTCGAGACCAGAGCTTGTACTCTTTTAGCTGGTCTCGGTTTTGATACGAAGCAAATGAAAAAGATGACCAAAGATATGTCTGGTGGTTGGAGAATGCGTGTTGCCCTTGCTCGTGCCCTTTTCATTAAGCCTACCTTATTGCTTCTTGATGAACCCACTAACCATTTGGATTTGGAAGCTACCGTTTGGCTTGAAGAATATTTGAAAACCTACAACCGTATTCTTGTTATGGTGTCTCACTCTCAAGATTTCTTGAATGGTGTCTGTACTAATATCATGCACTTGACTCACAAGCGTAAGCTTGTGTACTATGGTGGTAACTACGATATGTTTGTCAAGACCAAGGAAGAAAATGAAGTCAACCAAGCCAAGGCTTATGCTAAGCAACAAGAAGAAATTGCTCACATCAAAAAGTTTATTGCTTCCGCTGGTACTTATGCCAACTTGGTTAGACAAGCTAAATCCAAGCAAAAGATTATCGATAAGATGGAGGCTGAAGGATTGATTGAAAAGGTTGAAAACCCTTTGCCTTTCAAATTCTCCTTTACTGATGTCCCCAAGCTCCCCCCTCCTGTCCTTGCCTTCCAGGACGTTTCTTTCGCTTACGATGGTAACATGGATCATTGTCTTTACAGAAACCTTGATTTAGCCATCGATATGGACTCTCGAGTTGCTCTTGTAGGCCCTAATGGTGCCGGTAAGTCAACCTTGTTGAAGTTGATGAACAACGAACTTATTGCCACAGGTGGTCGTGTTCAAAAGCATACTGCTTTGAAGCTCGGTAAATACTCGCAGCACTCTAACGATCAACTCGACATGAACCTCTCGCCTATTGACTATATGCGTAACAAGTTCCCTGAGGAGGGTACTGATATCGAACACTGGCGTCGTCAACTCGGTCGTTACGGTTTAACAGGTGCTCACCAAACCTCTTTGATCAAGACTCTTTCTGACGGTCTCAAGTCTCGTCTTGTTTTCGCTGAATTAGCCGTTCTTCGTCCTCATATCATTTTGTTGGATGAACCTACCAATCACTTGGATATGGAATCTATTGATTCACTTGCTGATGCTATCAACCGCTTCAGTGGTGGTGTTGTGCTTGTTTCTCACGATTTCCGTTTGATATCTCAAGTCGCTAAACAGATCTGGCGTTGTGAAAATGGAAAGGTGACACCTTTCGAAGGTACCATTACTGCTTACAAGGAATCTCTCAGAAAGAATGTCAAGTTGTAAATTTCCTTCTTTTTTGTTCCTATTGTTTTATTCCACCTTTTACTTCATTTAAATATTCTATTTGCACGCACAATACACTTACACGCACACACATGCACCACACGCATATACACCACGCAGAAACACTTACAAACATTTTCTGCACTATATATAATTTCCTGATTCCGTGTAGTCCGGTGTTCTTCACCTCATTTTTTTTCCCTCTCTTTTTATACATAAAATAAAAAGGTAATGGGTATAGATGTTTTTAGACGAATCGTTAAATGCATTTTATTGAAGTTTTAAATTGCTCGACTGATCCTTGAGCATTCATTAATGAGAGATACTACCTGTTTTTTGATTTTTGCATAATCTTGCAATTTGATCAAGTTCATTTCATTTGTCTCCAAATCAATTCCAAAAAAAACGATGGATTGTTTGACCACCAATTGAATGGGCTGCAATGCCGGTAGGTGCAAGCACGTAGTGTAGGTTCATATGCTTATTGCATGCGGTTAAGTTCTCCCACTAGACTGCTTTAATCTTCTACTTCATTTCAGGGGTCAGAATTTTCGACTGGAGTACCTGCACTACGATGATTGGTAACGAAGCCTCTTTATTGCATAGGTCCTGCTTATTAGACAATAAAATGTCTGCTTCACCTAACATTTATTAGTTTGACCTTCTGTTTATCCGCACCCTTTCCCTTACTTATTGTTCCTATTTTTTGGTTCAAGAAACCCTGAGCGCATGTTTATTTCTGTTGATGGTGGTTACTTTACGCGATAACCAATGCAGAACTTGAGTATTCTATTTACAAGTCCCAGGTCCGATATACATCAAATACAAGGCTTGCTTCCACTGCTTGGCATAATAACGTGAATGCAAACAGCGATTGCAAGACTTCGGTATGTGTTCTCTTGATGTTCCCGTCTTTACTGACGATGCTTTATATGTATGCAAATAAACTAAAAATAGCAAAGTTTTCCTGAATAAACAAAATGAAGATTTCCGAAAAATTTTTGTTGGCACCTGTGCGTCTAAAAAATCGCACGAGGAAGAAAGATTAAATGCTGAGCGTGCCTGTCGATTATGTAGTTTTCAACATTTGTTCAAAATCTGATAAGAAGATATTGGATGAATTATCCCCATTGCTCAAACACGTTAGATACATGTGTGCACGTTGCACGGTTGCTCATTGATATTACCCAAGACGTGAATTTGGTCCTCAGCATTTTCAATGATGCCGCCTCTACCGTATCAGAGAAATATTATGGAACTTATCAGAAAGATAAAACTCCATTCTGCCGTTTTTGGTCATGACTGTTCTTACCCTTATCAGAACAAAAGTATCGGTCATTCGTCATGATAAACTCTTGGTGATTGCCTATCTCAAATCTAAAGTTTATGCATTGCCGTTTTCCGTAAAAACCTCAGTAAAGTATTTATGAGAGAATGATAAAGAGTGTAAAAAATTTTCCTCAGCGGTGGCTCATTTACTCGGTCCACCAAAGGATATACAGCGTCATGGTATATTTGTTTTATGGATCACGGTCAAATATACTTCTAATTTAGGATATACCAACATAGAATAGGAAAAAGGTTTCATAAAGTTTTACACGAATCATTGCCCTTAGCACTTTTATAAACTAAGCAGAATAAAAACATGACTCCATATGCGAAGCATGTCGATTCACTGCATCAGTATTGGCTGCAGTGGTAGAAGGAGAAGAATCCAGACGAGAGGAGAACTAAGCAGATACGCAACATTACTCTCCAAAAGGAAACCGTAAGGAATCCTGTCATCAGCCATTTTTTTTTGAATATGCGTGCCTAGTCCGTTACGGTTGCCAATCCGTAAGAAAAATTAACAGCTATATTCAAAGTCTAGATGCAATAGAAATCTTCCGTTTGGTTTGCACGTCCTTTTAATACTCTTCAGCCACAGGTCTTTTATAGCCTCTTCGTTTGCTAAATATATACAATTGCGTATCGTTTAAACATCATTTTAAGCTTCTTAACTTCATACAGCTTAATGTATTCTTCTACAATGATATTCAGCTTTAATATTGATTTATGTGCAGCTTTTAAAGAGTCAACCTGGTCTTTATTTTGATTACCAAAATCATATAACCAGAGACCGCCTACGGGCAGTTTTCATATTGTAGAATTTGTTTCTAATCATTTCTTCAATACCGTACTATTTGGAGCAATGTCGGAGGAAGTAGCAAAACTACGCGGATCAGAATAGTATTCTTAGATACTTACAGTATTAGCCATGCTCAACAACAAATAGATAGAGTATCAACATCAGCATCGCTTTATGTGAAAGGGTCCTTTTTTTGAAATAATACTCGACAATCAACAATAGGTTGTTCCTGTTTCTTTTAGTATGAGTAGTATCAGTATTGAAAGTACCTTAAATGTTGAATTCTACCTATTATATGTTTCATTGCTTTCGAAAGCACACCAAGTATTCTTAAGAGTTCTACTGATAATGACAAGACGACTCCACAAAGAGAGGTCGTTGCAAAAAGTACTGTAAACGGATTTGCCCCCTTGATATCTGCATATATTCGTCTTACGTGCATAGTAAAGACATTATCAAAAAGCTTTTTTACTCAAGACGACCTTCTGTTTCCTCCTGAACAATGCTTTGTTGTAGTCAGCGAAAGCACTTCTTACCAATATCGCACTTTTTTACACGTAAATACTATCGCGACCTTAAAAAATCACGTCAGTTGCCTTTCTTTCGTATTGTTGGCGAAAAATCTAAGTCACGAACAAGTTACTGTTTCGATCATTTATTTTTGCTTACTGCCTGCTATTTTGAAAAAAGACTTTTCTTTCTTAGGGCTGTCGAGAATTATTCTGCTCCATATCATCGTATAAGCTGCTTGGCACTCGTTCCATACGGCAGTCTTATTAGTGGCGTTGAGGGTCCTGTCCACATACAATAGATAGAAACGAAGTAAATCGTATTCTTGTCATTCAACGAGCTACTGCTCAATTAAATGATAATTGTACACGCAGGATACTTTTCCTTGTAGCTACAAAGAAAGACCTCCATGAAAGATAGTTATGAACTTATTAAAATACACTCAACGGAAGGGTCACTTCTTTCATTTACACTGTGCTAACCGATTGAAACAATTCTTAAGCCAATTTAGCCTTTTTTAAGTTCGCTTTGCATCTATTTGATTTCTGTGCAGACAGTCGCGTGTTTCCGGTCGTTTAGTCGTCATTTTCATTACGTTTAATTCGTGCCAATGAAATGTTTGCATTTTTGCATTTAGCAAATTTCAGAGTAAAAAAAGAAACCAACGTTTTTAAACTTCCCTTAGGAATGCTAACTCAATAAGTGAAAGCAGGATAATAACCTTGCTCAGCTTACTGATGCTGTCTAGATACCAAAGGATTTCCATAGTTTAATAGTCCAAAGGTTCAACAATGCTCGCGTAAAAAGTAAAAAGTAATCATGATATTAGTACACTTATTCACAGACATATTATAAAATGGATATTGCTTCCGGGCGAATGGAAATCACTGAATTTTAAACGACTTTAAATCACGATGTTTCGAAATTGTTGGTGTGACGCACGATGTCAAGGCCGCGCTCATCATTTGATGCAACAATTTACCATAAAGGTAAAGAAAGGCCCTTTTAAGAGACCTAGTATAAGAGCCATTTAGTATTCTCTTCAACCTCTTCCTTACGTTACTTTGTTCTTTTCAACTTTTTTTAACTACACTAATTTATTAGTTAAAGATACTGTCCAATGTATAGCACTCAAAATCCTCAGAAGCATCCACAGCAAAACGACCTAAACCCTTATGCATTCATCATGCCTCTAGCGGCTTCCATTGAGCCGTTGCACAGTACTTCATATATGGATAGAAACAACCTCGCAAACCATGCAAACAACGCTATGTCTCCTCAGTATAGCACAGCATTGAATACAGCATCGGCAGGAGACCTTTGCTTAACTTCTTATAATGAGCACTATGTATATTCCCCTTCAGCAACTGCTCCAACACCGATGCTCAATAATAATACTTCCTATTCTCTTTTCCCAACTACAACGCAACAGCCGCTTGCTAATAATCAAATCCATTCACTGCAAACCTCAATAAATGATTCCTTCTCAGCCATATCATTAGAGATATCATCAAACGCATTCAAAGATATTGACAACAACACCAACAACCCTTCTTTGATAGATTTTGGTTTTGACAGTATATTCATGCCAGACCTGGACGAAACCATGAATAGTCATAGGGACTATTACAACAGTAATGGCATTAATAATGAAGCTGTTAATCCTACATATGCGTCTACCAATGTATTTAACTCTGCAGAGTCCCGTTCCAGTGAATCAAATCATGACGAAGACGATGAAAATGAGGACGAATACCTACTTTCACCAGTTCACTCGCCTTTGCTCAACAATCTTAATTTAAATATGTCAGGTCCAGAACAAGACAATAGAGAGAATCCTACCATAAAAATTAACAATTCAGGAATTCAAAGTCAGCCAGAGAACTTAGCATTAGATAAAGACGATGATAGCGACAGCATCTTTTCTCTTCCTCCAACAGAAGAGGAAGATCCTGAAAATGACGATAATGACAGTCTTTACTCACAACAAGTTTCAATAGTAGATGACACATCTGATTCAGTTTTCGAACCAGATGAAGCAGTAGAGACGCTTCCAGAGTATAATAGACCAAAAAGCATCAGAAGAACAGCTTCTTCGTTATTAACCTCGAATGCCAAGACAGGACCTATTAAAAGTATAGAAACCACAGCGGCCATTACTGCTGCTAATAATAGAAACCTTACGAAACCGAAACGTAACCATAATAAAAGATCTCTATCTTCAACCTCAAAATCATCCATTCATCCTAGTGCTCGCAATCATGCAACTGCTGACGACGGAGCAGTCACCGTTTGTTTCAATTGTGCAACGACAAATACACCTTTATGGAGAAGAAATCCAGAAGGAAAGCCCCTTTGTAATGCATGCGGCCTTTTCTTTAAACTTCATGGCAAAGTGCGACCACTGAGTTTGAAGACTGATGTAATAAAGAAACGAAACAGATTTGCAAACAGCAAGAATGGTACCAAAAACAGGAACAAGAAGACCGCCAAAAAGGTGAAGAAAACAAAAAGATCCGCAGCTTCTTCTGACCTGCGTAGGAGCCGCGATCCGACAATAGCTAATAATTAGAATTCCAAACGAGATGGATTAAGCTATATCAACAACTCTATCTATTTTACCCATGTAAGAACCTGCATATCAAGTGTTCACTCTTTCGACGTTACAACAATATACTATCATACCATGAAGATCCCTTTCCCTCTTGTCTCCCCGTTTTTTGGTTTTTTTCCCCATATATCATGCCATTAACCTCTTTTGCATCGTATTTTTTTTTATAAGTAAACTGCATTGCTCAATAACGAACGTTCTGTTCATAAACAATTCAATCATTCTAGCTTTGCTCTTAAATTTCTTTTGTTTATTGCAGCATGTTCGCTGTGTTCCTTTACCACATTAGCAGGGATGAAGGAAATCGTAAATCTTCATAACTTTCTCTGTGGTTTTCTGAAAGAGGTATCATACGGTACGGAAATAATACAAAGTTTAAAACGATGAAAGAAAACCATTGTATACAGTTAAAAAATGGTATCATAAGTGAGAATACGTAACTACTTCGGTTTTGGGTCTAATCACAGAGTTAATTCCTTCTTTCTTTAACGGTTAGCAGTACCGGAAAACAAGTTATTTGAAACAATATCGTTTTTCGGTAACTGCAGCAACTCATTTACATGTTAAGGGCTTGCACAGTCAATACCTTCGCAGATTTCCTTACTTTTCCCTAAGCGTTCTTTTTCAGTCAGATCGGTAGCATGAGTCACGCCAATTTTTCATGTTTTAACACCCTTGCTTAACTATATATGTATGTAATTTATTTTGAAATGTCTTTGCATTTGGAAAGTACATAGTTTTAGACTGTCAAAAGCTTGATAACGATGTTTCCTTAGGTGGGACCCTGCGGTTGAGCGGGAGACTTTTGACTACCTAAAGAAGGAATATTTGACAATCAACTTCATTTACCGAGCACCTATGTTGTTCTGTATAGATCGATCTTCAACAACCTTAAAAACTACTTGCTATAATTGAATCAGTTATTTTGTGTGTGGAAAAAATGCAAGTGAAACTGTTGTAGGTGCAAATTGAGATTTATGGTTTTGCTCTATAATGCTGAGGAAAGAACACATTGGCTCCAAGCCTATTGACACTATGCAAGGCTGCAACAGATACTTATCATCTACAATTTGGATAGGCTAAATCCAGACCTCAATTATCTATCTTTCCTTTTTAAAGTGATCTTTTGTAGATGAGTTTTTCGTTATAGACGGTATAAATGTTACTGAAAAAATTATAATAGCTTACATAATGGAGTGGGAGAAACGTCGAAGCTTACTCGAAAAAGTAATAGAACAAGGTTTTTACTGAATGGTACGTTAAAACAACAGGACTCAATCTTTAGGTAAACTTCTTACGAAGTTGAGCAACCCATTTTTTCGTAGTACTTATGGTTTCAGTTGAGCATGTCATGTCCATGATTTTTGCATTTATATTGTGGTATAATTATCATCCTTTTCTTTATACAAAATAACAAGTCTTAAAATATTTTGAGAGTAACTAATAAACAAAGCATTTAATAAAGGGTTTTGTAATATTGTCGAGGGTAAATTATGAACAAATACTTAATTGTGAATATCAAAGTATTTAAGTTAAATAATAATGTACGGCAAATATCCACGAAATACTCAATAACAAGTCCTGGTGTAATTTGAGGGTAAATGGCCAACGGGTGATAAAACACGAGGAAAGCGTCTCTGTTTTGGGGTATTTGGTTGCCTAGTAGTGGCCGTGTTTGAGACCAGGGTATCATAGTTGCGAATCTCATCAAGGAGAAGTGAATTTGGGCGTTGATAGATAGAGGCATGAGCTTCTTCTTTTTTGGTGCTCTTTCCGGCATCATTTGATGCTAGATGCGTTCCATGTGGCTAAAGTAAAAGATAGGAAGTCAGCATACAGTAAGTAAATTGAATACTGTCGATAAGCAACTTACATTGATATTTTCTTTAACAGAAAGTAGATATTGTTCCCATGACATGCTTCTTTTAGCATTGCTTGACAGCGCTCTAGAAGTAGTAGCTGATAATACTGCAAGTTCGGGAACAGAACTTTGTTTCAGTCTCTTAGTGTGATCGACTTCTTCAGTATCAGTTGCTTTTCTTTTTGTACTCTTCTTAGGCGATGCTACATGGCCAGGAGATGCTGAAGTGGAGTAACCAATTGTGGCGTTTTCAGAAATACTGAGAGAAGAAACCGTGGTAGACTGCTCACAAGTTGCAGTAATGGAGGCAGATGATAAGGTAAGAGTTGCACTGCTTCTTATAACCTTATTGACACGTAAAAGAGAAAGATCAGAAGGGACTGGTTTATGGCCAAGGATAAGAAGGTCTGTATCTGAAATATTGTCAGGAACAGGATTCAATCGAACATAATCTTTTGCATCAGGATCGTAAACCCATTGGTACAGAAAGCCCAGTTCTGCTTGGTAGAATTTGTTGCGATAATCCTTAGGAAAGCCACGCGGTTGCTTGTATTGGATGAGATCGATAACTTCATCAGTATCTTTGCCATCTTTGAAAAAACTTATGGCTGATTTTATGCCAATGCCACGCACAGAAGGAAGGTAGTCACAGCCAGACAGAATGCAAGCTTGACGAAAGGTAGTTGGATTCAAGTGATCTAACTGCAAATGGTTGCGGAAAATATCGTCAAATTTGATTTGTTTGCCATTGCCTTCGCGATCAATCTTGAAGATCACGTTAGAACAGCCAAAAGCTAAATGGTCAGAGTCTTGGGTGATAACGGCATCCACTTTGTTTGTTTTCATGAGAAAGGTAAGTTGTGCATCCGCTTCGTAAGGAGCTACAATACATTGAATTTTTTCCCGTTGTAAATTCTATATGAAAAGAGAATTAGTCTGCGTTACACTGCAGAAATATTACAGCTGTTTATGCTTAAATTAAGAATTGGTGAGGGGCACGCAAAAACAGCGTTAGAACGATAAGTACCATAATAACACCGGACAACATTGCTGTTGTGATAGAACTAGCTTGACGATAACTTTTGTTTGCTTCAGTAAACTTGCCCTGGAGATATAACTGTTCTGCTTTGAATAATGCCTCTGTACGCTTCCTATCATCAGGATATAGCAAAAGCAAACCAAGGAGTTAAATCGACATATACCTTAGAGAAGTTTTTTGAAACTATATTGCATTTTACATGCTTCTATCCCTATCTGTGTCTGCTTTTAAAGGTAAGGGAAGTCCATCAAAGACAACAATAGGGGTAACTTCATAATGCTTTAGTAAATTAATATAAAACATGATGAATTTGGTCTGACTGCAAAGGTTGGCCAAACCAAAAAAAAGAAAAAAAAAAAAAAATTTATGAATTATTTTTGTCGTTGCTGGCTTATGAGATGAGAGTAGACTGATGTCAAAACTTACGATTCGACTTCTTCACCTTTCTTGTAGTCTGTATAAGTCAGTGCGTAAGCACCGCGATGAAGGAAACCATGACCATCAAGAGCAACTGTTTTGCCTTTGAGCTTGCTGATATGAATATCAGTGGTAACAGGTGCAAGAACTGACAAGAGATTTTGTATACCCATATTAGTCAAAGGTAATCAAATAATAATGAGTTTTATGGATACAAGAATCTGTAACTTATATAACTAAGGATATATTGTACTAAGCGCAAACGAAGTATGGAATATCTGAAAAAAATAAAATAAAATTGAAAGTAGTTTGTTGTTGCAGAGATAAAAAGTGAAAAGAAAATTTGAAATGGGAGTGTTCTATTTAAAAGGGCGGTTTGTTTCGTGTGCCTATCCTTTTTATTTACAGCGTGTAACGAACGCGGTGGACCTCGTGATAAAGGTCGCTGATCATGAAGCAACAAGTTGGATATGAGCGCTCTGCAATTCTGATGCAGCAATTCTGTAACAGTGTTTGTTGTTTGTGGTGTAGTAAATAGACTTTTTTTTTGTAAGGTTAAAATTTTTAAAAGCTTGTTTTTTGCACTTCATTATGGCAATAGATTGCTTCTTCTTCAATAACGTATATAAGCACCATACAAAGTTTGTTTGCTTCTCTTAGGATAGAGTAATCATCATTGTAAGCGTATCTCCTCAAATCGCAGTACACTGAATGGGTATGGAGAAAAAAAAAGAACTCCTGCATTAGCAAGCAGATAAGAAGGGCCCAACACAAAATCTTCTTCTGTTGTTGTTTGTGTAAGCTTTGAGTTGCACCTTAATCCTCACTCCTATCTTCCCTTAACTTTCGTGCGATTGCGTTTTAAGTGATCGTTTTATTAACACGCAAAATGACTGCAAATGGACATGAATAATCATAACGATATTGACTGGACTGGTTTGACTGTAGGTTAGGGAGAAAAAAGGAAGAGATGGAGTTGGTCCTTCAATATTTTTGAAAGCCACAGTACAAATGAGGCTAAATGACTCCAATATTCATCGCCCAAGATTGAGTTTATTCTATTTTATGTCATCTGGCTAAAGCAACACCAGCTACTTCTTATTGGTGATAGGATCTCCATTCTGTTTAAACCTGACGCTACGTTTATTCTTTTACATTTTAGAACTCGTCACTGTAGATTCATTCTTCTATTCATTTGTTGTTATCTAATTTAGCGATGTTAGTAACACTGATGTTTTGTATTGTCTTACACGGTAGCCAACCTGATTCCTGTTCGGCTTTTCACACCAATGGAACCTATCAATGCCAGCCTTCTAACGAGGCTGTATCTACACTTGTCGTTACCTGAAAGTGATATATTCATCCGAGCATGAGTCTTTACGATCGTTTTACCGTATAATGATTGTAAGCTGTGGCAAATCATGAATTCTAATCGTTAGCCCAGCAAAATAGACTAAGACCAAACAATCACCATGCTTCACTGATTCCAAATACAACAACACATCTGCACTGGATAAGGTTGAGTGTTAATTTTTGGCTTCGATCTGTACTTTGTATACTTTGTGTATCTCAGTTGTACCGTCGTTCTCCTTCCAATTCCAATTCAAAAAATTGGAGTAGCTGAATCATTTACATGAATGAGTATGCACTGCTTCGTAAGTATTGTTTATGATTTGGCATGATTTGACGAATATTCCTATCATCATTGTTGATTATAGCAGCAGGTCATTGGCAAACAAAAACAGCAATTTCATCTCCGTTAGCAATCCTAGATAGTATATAGCTGCATATCGACGCTATGGAGTCATCTACAAGAAAATACACTGGTGACGCCTATTTCCTTGATTCTGTTCGTCGAGTTTAGCAAGGTAAGTATTTTTCACAACATGCACAACGTGGTAATTGGTTAATTTCTTTGTGAGTTGAAGGATCAAGGTAACGGCGGTAGTACTTTTGTTTACTGTTGTGGATATGAGGTGTGATGTTTGTGTTTCTGATTGATGAGGCGAGTTGGATTTGCATTTTAAACACACAAATTGTAACCTGAAGACTGATAAGCTTTCGTGAATTGGTCTCATTTCCTTTGTAAGTACCAACTAATTTATCTTGCAAGCAATTTTCTTCTGCCTTACTTTGGTTCATTTTTGGTTACAGTTGGTGCTGTCTTTTCTATATCTGTGATCATGGTTCGCAAAAACGACGCACAGAGTCATGTTCCTCAAAAATATCAATAAGCGAGACGTTGAAAAATCACTGTAAAAGTACTGTTCGTGTGAAACATTTGAAGACATCTAATTTTGTTTAGCGAGAATACCTATTAACATTTTCATTTCTTCAGCGGACGATATTGTTGTTGTTTAGTAGCTATTTTTCCGGGGAACAAGTTATTGATGTGATTTGCAAGGACTATTTGAATTCTTCTTCGTTGACGTTGTCTTCTTCCTTTCATAGCTGATTTTGTAACAATTGTCTCGCAGCTTTAAAGAAGTCGTGTAGAATAGTTGGCATCATTGTTCTTTCAACATTTAATACTTTTGTAGCTAAGGAGGGAACAACCTTTATCGCATAACTTATGTTCACAGGACCATCTGAAACAAACAAATTTGCTGCTCAGGCTGAAATGAAATAAAATCAATTCCCGTATCCTTTTCAATTTTCCTGAATCCAACAAAAACGGGCGAGCTTTGCTTTTTGTTCCTATTCTAAAGGGATATAATGATAAGCTACGAACCCTTACTACACTGTTGAATAAGAAAATTGCTCTGAAAGAAAGAACCATGCTCAGATTTCTGGGAACATTGTTACATGTGGAAGCCATTAAATTTTTTATCTGTAGCTTGGCGTGTATACACTTATTCTTTTCTATAAAGGTCAATTCCAAAAATTGAGCCCAAAAAAATCACCCATCAAAAACTCTTTTTTAATCGATTCATTTTGGCACACACTCACACATACACACACAGCTTCTTTCATTCCTATTCATAACCTTGTTAGCATTTCTATTTATTTACATTTTCTACTATTATTCTTTCCTATGAAAAAGGATAACCAGCAACCAAAACAAGTTGTTTGGTCTTCGCAAAATGTGTCGAGTTGGCTGATTGCAAACGGATGGAGTTTTCTTGTAGAGGTATTCAAAGGTAAATCAACAAGATTGGATATAACTTGACTACTTTTGTATATTAAAGGAGCATTCCAGATTATAATATACAATACGATCGCTTCTTAAACCTCACACTTGAAAACGTGAATGAGCTGTTAAAAAATACGAGTGTACCGACCACAGAGAAACAGAGACTTATATTTTCAATACAGAAGCTAAAAGCAGAGGATAAAGTATAGTAGATCTATACGTCGTTTGCATTTGAGTGCAAAAGCTAATGTTTATTTCTAATTGTTAGGCTTTTAGTTTCCAGCCTCAGCAGCATCTGCTCATCAGACCGCGTATTGCCATTCCAGCGCATAACAATTATCAGCCGTACAAACAGAATCGAAAATCAGATTCAATACTTAATTCAGCTGGAACTATTAATACTACACCAACCAGTACAAATACACCTACATCTACTACCTCTACCAATACTAATAGCAGCAGCCCTAACAACCTTCATACACTTACCCTTAATCCTAATCATATTGCCAATAATTACCATTTTGATATCACCCAATATATACCCAAAAGAACATCTTCTAACGAAACAAATGTATCAAAGATGCTTGAAAATTTTCACCCTACCACTAATCTCAACGCAACCTCGGCACACCACCATTCTCATCATCATCACCATAGCAATCATAAGAATAAACCAAAAAGTCCTCGTGCTATTAATGCAACCGATCCAGAAATCCTTAGTAAATTATTTGGGAAAAGATTACCAGTACCACAGGACAGAAGAATCCAAGTGACTTTGGATGCAGATACATTCATCCGTTTATGGATCAGTTACACGAGTAATGCAATAGACATTAAGAGAGCCGTTTTGAAAAAGTTATCTATTGATGCCGAGCCGAGTTATTTCCATTTTTTCCATGAAAATGGACTAAATTCAAGTAAGTAGCTTTGGTTAAGATGTAAGATGATAAGTATGTATTATTCATTATCTATCTTGACTCCTCTCATTTAGCTGTTCCGCTGAATGACGATGAATTAGTTTACATCTGTCGAACATCGGACGATAACAGGACAAATCATATACTAGTAGTACCCTTAGAAGGGTATACTCTTGTCCGCCAGCATTATCAGCAGCAGAATAATGTGTAAGTTAAATTTGAGTTGCTATAATGTATTTCATCGTTTAATAACTTACATATTCGCTTAAATATAATAAGTTACAGTGTCCGCTATATATTGACGCAGACGAGTCCAGCACCAAGTCCGATATCCTCCTCATCCATCACAGGTATCCAATTAACAGATCCAGAGACTCCTAGAGAGGATGACATTCATTATCGCAAACAACATAACAACCTGTCTATTTCGAGATCTAACCAGCAAAACGCGCCGACTACCCCAATAACAGCATTATCCTCCGCCGATCTATGGGCTACACCTCTCTCGACAATCAGCAATGATACCAGAAGATTTTCTTCTAGCTCCTCAGCTTCATCCACTTTACGACCCAATACGTCTCATCATCAAAATGCAGGGAGCAATATACAATATTTATGGCCAGTAGGGGAACAACGCACAGAACATACCACACCAACAACTGATGACCCATCCTTTATGTTCGAGGGAATATCACTTTATGATCCACCTACACCAGTCAATGACCAGAGCGTCCATCATGAGTTACCTACTTCAGCTGAACCTACGGGTGGTAGTAGTAGCAGTAGTACTTTTGGTAACTCTAAAGAGGATGCGCCACCTTCTGACAACGCATTAGGCACAGAAGAGCCAAAGGATAAAATAGCTATGGCGTTTGAAAGACCATCTATCGAACGGCTTTACAGAGATATTGATAAATACTTACCTGGACACGATTTGGATAAAGAAATTATTGTTGATAATCTACAGCAACCTGTGGAGGTCAACCCATCCTCGACAGCGGCCACTCATTCAATCCCTCTCTCTGCTATCAATAACAGAAGATTAGTGCCTCATCGTCAATCTGTTCGTGTTGTTGCAAAGGAAGCGCATCGGCGATGGAAGCAGGCTACGCAACATGTCAAAACAGTCAATGCTTTAGTTAGACGAAAATCAACAAAAATGTGGGATCGACCTGTTGAGCGAGTAAAGCCGGGTGAAGAGGGGCGCATCGTAATTCCACCAACAGCGGCCGCGCCGAATAATACCCCTCATATTGAGCAAAACGACATCGATGTGAATGATAACAATAATACCCTACAAACTGCACCCACGAACGCCACAACAAGCCCAACCGACACACTGACAGCAGATGGTGTCACACCGACGAAAATGCAATGGATGAGAGGCAACCTTATTGGGCGAGGATCTTTTGGCCGCGTTTATCACGCTCTTAACATTGCTACGGGTGAATGGATCGTCGTCAAACAAGTAGATGCCGCCGTCACTCAGTCTGATCAGCGAAATGCTGATCTCAAGGCTGCTTCCGACGCTCTTTATCGAGAGATTCAACTCCTCAAAGATCTCGATCACGAAAATATCGTCCAATATCTTGGCTATGATTCAAATGTAGAAGAAGGTCATATCTATATATTTTTAGAGTATGTGCCTGGTGGCAGTATATCTAGCCTTCTCAACCAATATCAATACTTTGATGAGCCGTTAACGAAATTCTTCACGCGTCAAATCTTACAGGGCCTCAAATATCTCCACGATCGTCATATTCTACATCGTGATATCAAAGGAGGCAATGTATTAATAGATCAGAATGGTGTTTGTAAAATCACAGATTTCGGATTGTCGAAGAATCAACAACACGATAGCAGCCATGGTGCGTATGATCCCTACTCCAACCATTCTCAAATGAAAGGAACACTTTACTGGATGGCGCCGGAAGTCCTAACGAATCATTACAGTGCAAAAGTAGATGTATGGAGCTTAGGATGCACAGTTTTAGAAATGATTACGGGAGAGCATCCTTGGATGGAATTGACGACGCTGGCGGCATTGTATCAAATCGGACTACATAATGCACCAGCGATACCTGATCACATTTCAGACGAAGCCAAGGACTTTTTACAATTATGCTTAAAAATGTAAGTTTTTCTGTGACAAGCAAAAGACGACCCCCATGTAAAAAAACAAAAAAAATACCTGAAGCACTGGGTCCAGACTAATATTTCTTTTTTTTTCGTTTCATTTAATATCACTATAGAAAACCAGAAGATAGACCTACCGCCACAGAACTACTACAGCATCCTTTCGTTCAGCCAGATCCAAGCTTTGATTTTAAAGAATCGCTCAAACAGCAGAAAACGAAATCAAGCTGAAAAATCGGAAATTGTTCACTCAATTCTTTTATATTACCATTGTCCATCTCCCACCCCACAATCTCAAAACCCCTTTTTTATGTCGGACTTCTATCATTTGTCTTAAATCCAAGACATTGCGTACAAAACAAAACAATAACTTATTTATTTTACTTTTTTGTTTTTCTATTAAAAACACTTTAAAGATTCTCTATTTTGCCAATATCTCCCTTGATTTTGCTTTCTTTTTTTGGGACTTCTGACAGCTCGTCCGTAACCACGAAGGAAGTCTTCTTTTATATATATCACGTGTAACGCGTGTAACAATAGACATTTATCTGATCTGTGCCATTGGCCCGCACAAGAAACAATCTAATTGTAGGATTTGTTCGTCCGATATAAAAAAGAAGAAAGCATCCTCTTTTTTTCCTTTTTCTCCTTAACCTTAGAATTTCTGTCCTTCTTGGCGGATTTGGCCACTGTAGATACGTATATAAAACTTCAGACAGCATCTAGTGCAAAGGGATCTCAGTTACCCGAATAAAAGCATAGATAAAGATGGAACAGATTTTGAATCAAAACATTAACCATCTCAATGCAACAATGGCAACAGCGGCCACGCCCTTGGAGATGAATTGGCTCGAGATGAAGTGGGAACAAATGTATGAAGGACGTAATCCACTCATCGTTACTGGTGTATTTTCCTTTTTAATGCACGAGTTCGTTTATTTTGGCCGCTTTATACCATTCTTAATATGCGACTTCATTCCTTACTTCCAACAATACAAATTACAGGAGGTAAGTAGCGAATATCAATTGCCGCTTTAGATTTGTCTTTTCACTGAAAGTGTGTTATTTGTCTCAGGCTAAAATCAACACAAATGAAGATTATTGGAAATGCACCAAAAAAGTACTCTATGCCCACTTCGTTTTCGAAGGTCCCTTAATATTCTTATTTCATCCATTTGCTACCATTCTGGGTATGAAAGTTTCTGCCCCTTTTCCCGCTTGGTAAGTCAAGTATCTATAGGCAAGTTGATGCATCTTTCTTACTCAAATGTATTTCTTTTAGGCAACAAATGTTGACGCAAATCGTCATCTTTTTCATTTTTGAGGATTTTTTTCATTACCACATGCATCGTTTCATGCATTGGCCACCATTTTACAAGAAGGTTCACAAAGTGCATCATGAGTATGCTGCCCCTTTTGGTATTGCCGCTGAATATGCTCATCCTATTGAAACAATGATATTGGGTTTCGGTACAGTTGGAGGGCCTTTACTTTATCACGCTGCTACTACTTTTGTGTTTAAAACTGATCCTTCTTGGGGATTACATCTTATTACCATGTTGGCTTGGATTGTGTTGCGCTTGTTCCAAGCTATTGATGCTCACTCTGGCTATGATTTTCCTTGGTCATTGTGCCATTGGGTACCTTTTTGGGCTGGTGCTGAGCATCATGATTACCATCATCAAGCCTTTATCGGTAATTATGCAAGTTCCTTCCGTTGGTGGGATTATCTTTTTGGCACTGATGTCAAGTATAGAGCTTATCGTAAAAGACAGGCAGAAGAGAAACGCAAATTAAAGATGAAGAAAAGTTTATAATTAACCACACCTAATCCAACAATTAATATAACCTACGATGCTACAGCGGTTAGAATAATGAATTTCGCTGTTTATCACCGTTAATATGTATACAGCTACCTAAAAAAACTACATTGCGCAATAATACGCATCAGCAAAACAGTGCCTGAAACCAATGAAGTGCGCATTTTTTTTCCAACCTTATTAACATTCCTATCACTACTCAAAGATAACGATGCAAAATAAAGTTAACTTTTTGGTGTCGGCTATTGAGGCCGAATAATTTTAGGACAAATCATGATCAAATTGAATAAGACTCGTTATCTTTTCTAGTGGTTAGTAACTGTTATTGCAATTAAGGTTGCAAATCCTTTGGAAGCCAAGGAGAGATTTAGTTAATATAAGCCGAGCAATAAAACTGCTGTTGCTGCCTTATTGATCTATCTTTAGCATTAATTACATCGAACCATCCGTTTCGTTTGGTATATCGGCTGTACTGATATCGCTGCTGTTAAGAGCCGATCATTAAATATTTTCGCTGTACAGAATCTATCAGCCGCACGAACGTCTTTACTGCCTGGATTTCAATTTAACGCCAACACTAAGAAAAAAAAAGAAGTTCAGCAGCCCCCGCAATTATGTTCATCTATTTTTTTTTTTTTTTGTTAGTCAGAGAATCGCTTACGATCATGGCAAACATACAATTGACTAAATATTTACTTTTACGATCTGCAAATCTACCTTGGCTTCTAACTAAACCGAAAAGCCTCTCAATATCATTTCCAGCTAATATAGTTTACAATAACACTGCACTGATAACGGCAACAACAACTACTACTACTACAAGGCGTTGTATTCATGTCGGCCCAAATAAGCAATACAACGGTATTCAAACTGCCGCTCATCACTTCAAACAGCAACGTCATATGCCTTATTTTCTTGAATATCTCATGTGGGCTGTATTTGGGTCAGAAGCTCTCCATTTAATTTGGCTCAAAATGGACTATAAAGAGTATAGAGAAAAGACAGCGCATAAAAAGAAAGTGTTAGAAGAATTGATCGAACGTATTGAACAGGGAGAAGTTATAACAGACAGTTTAAGAGAGGAGATCAAGATGGTTTTGTTAAATAAGCACGATAAGCAACATAAATTGACGGCCGAGGATTTTGACGATGAATATTTAGCTAAATGTGAGTATCCTTGTAGCTTGATTACGAGCAAATGGATGATAGCGACAACGAGATACTGACAATACGTCTATCATTATCTAGTGATCGAACAAACTAGTCATGAGACAGTATCATCTACGAGGAACAATGATGCAGATCAGAATATTCACAAAGAAGAGTCAAAATGGCTAGATGAAGATAAGATTGTGAGGGGAGCAGATAAGAAGTCCTCTAAAGAGAAAGCGTTTTTCTTATAGACTTTACGAAAACATGACAGCATATATGGTTATTTATTGTACAATGATAGACTGTAATAGGAAAACAATTGAGCAAATATCTAAAGAATAGCAGTTTTGACCTGTGAAATCATGCAGCAACGTGGAAAAAGACTAGAAGCGGCTGATATCTCTTCCCAGCGTTAATGTTAGGAACCTAATTTTGTATTCCCCAAAAAATAACATGTAAATAAATTCTATCAAAACTGGGTTTCATTATTAACGGTTTATATACTAATAACTTACCAATGATAAGGAATAAGCAACTTGTTACGAATGCTGACACTCTTGCTTAGATACGCCGATCTCCAAAGGAGCCAGGACAAATGGCCTGACATTTTCGCCCAATTGTGAACCGCTGACATATCAATCAAGGCTTCATAGCTACCAATGTAAGCCATCATGCCCTTATTTTTGAATCTGAAGCCTTTTCCATCAGCTTCAGTATAGTCACCAGATTTTGCAATTGCATTGAGAGCTATAAACGTATGCATACACGATCGTCAGCAATTGGCGTTCCGAAATAATTGTGTATGTTACATCTTACCCTTGACTAAATAACCAGCTTTTTGTGAGGCAACTATATGGAGAAACGTTTGAGTAAAATCTCTATTATGTCAATAGTGGATGGATTTTGTTGTACCTTGAGCCGTGGCAGGCAAATCATATTCTTTAATTGTTGCACAATCACCTAAAGCATATATATTATGATAAGGCTGGCTAGTCTCTTTGTTAAGCACCCGCAGAAGACCGTCTGTTTCAATTCTAGATACGAAAGAAATGATATTGAGTAACTTTTGCCTTTCTGACGAATATTGTACGTTAGAAAGCACGCATACCGTTGCCCCGAAGTATCTTTAGCGGCATCCGTAAAAGATTCAACCAAAGGGTTTTGCATCAAGCCGGTGGACCAAACCAACATACCGTACGGAACTAAGTCAATCATTTATTAGATTTATAAGGCGAGTTCAGTTTCAATCAATTACGTGTTTTATCGCAACAAAGAATCAAAAAGTTCACATACCTTTCCCCTCACCCTTAATTACAAGATAATTTTTCTCTACTTTCTCTACTTGGCGCTCTGTAGTATTTGGATGGATTTAGAGAAGAGTTTGCACAGTAAGATTGAGTTTGGGTCAAATTGATGTAGCAAATTACCTGTCTTGATCTGAATTCCTTTACGAGCGAATTTTTTCGAGGCATAGCGTGCAAGGTGGGAATCAAACGAGCTCAGAATAGTAGGCGCAACATCGTATAACGTCATGCGAGTTTTGCCTATTAGGTTAGGATAAAGCCGTGACAAATCGCTTGAAATGAAATCATATAATTCAGCAGAGAACTCAACACCCTAAATTGTACGAAAATGAATATTAGCCATTGTCATATTATATAAATATTGTGCCAACTTTAGGCTTACTGTTGGTCCCCCTCCAACAACAACAAAATGTAATCGGTCTTCTTTTTCTTTATCGTTTAAGCCCGGCTGTGATGCATACTCAAAACCTACGGATGTAATCAAAAGTTAAATAAATATCAACATTTCCTGAGCTTAAAAGGTACATGTTTTACAATCAATCAATCTCTTTCGTATGTTTCTAGCATCATTGACTTCCTTTAAGAAATAAGCATAGTTCTTAACTCCAGGTATTCCAAATGTTTTCGAATAGGCACCAACGGCAATGACTAATTTATCGTACTCCAGAGTAAATTGTTTTTTCACAGGATCTACAAATGATGGGTATGCAATTGTAGTGTTAACCTGCTAACAGAAATGGTCTTTAGTATGTCATACCATCTATATTTGAAGTACAATGAATAATTTGATTTTTTGTATCTATTTTGTCACAATAAGCTTCATAAAAGTTTATATCCTTTGAATATGTTCTAACAGGTTCAGTGATGCATCTTGACTCCAATGTTCCAACTGCTGTACTGCATATGTGGAAGGAATAATTTCTCGAATATTGAGATCAAAAATAACGTTTTCCCAGGCGTGAAATCAAACAAGCAAGATTTCTTCTTTACCTTGCCAATAATGGCGTAAATACGAAATGGTTTCTAGATAAAAGTTATTATATTCAATATACAGTCTGCTTACTATGATGTGAGGCTTTTACCTTGGAGATACTACAGACACATCGTAATCCTTCTTGTTCAAATCCCGAATCAAACGGAAACCTAATAAAGCAAACCGCAGAAAAATTAGAAGGTTTAGATTGAAAAAAAGATGAAGAATCATTACCTGCCCACCCGGATCCTGTATGCATAGCAGATAAATGTTTTTAAGTCTACAGCACAATTTGTATCAAAATCTAGTTTTTCATATACCTAGAATGATAATACGTCCTACGTACAATTTGCATACACAAATTCATGAATGCGATAAGAATTTAAATTTACTGCTATCAAATGTCCACACAGTTTATTTACCTTGCGATTTTCCTAATGTTCTTGTCCGCGTTTGAATAAAATGCTTCACTATACATATACAATACAAAACCTTTAGGAAATCATAACTGTCTGTGCGCCTGTTCGTTTGGTTTACTTTGAAAATTTGATATTCTTAATCGTAAGGTAACATTACTATGTACTGGACTGGTAGTTACAACGGCATGCCTACCGATAACCGCTTGTGTATTCATAGAGGAGGTTGCTGTAGCAGCATGCCTGGTAGTGATCAGTTTGGAAGCTGTTGGATAAAACCTCCATTGCAAACTTGTGGAAAAGTGCTTGTGGTTGTTGGTTATCAATTCGCGAAACATGTTTGTTGAGAACTGTACAGCAAGGTCAGAAAGATAAGAATATTGCAAGGGAAAAAAAGGGTAAAAGCATTGTTTGGAAACAAAGACAGTTCTCGCTGATCATTTATACTTTAACTACGGCAGTCAGGGCTTCAAAATTCTATTGGAGCAAAGTGATAAATTTTCAAAAACACAGATGAACGCATCAACGTGTAATATGTAAAAGTTGCATTCACCTTAAAATGCCAATGAAGATTATAAATTTTATATCGAAAGCCTTTCTGGCTGTTTCAAATCTGGAAGTGTCTCGTTTTTCAAGGGTTTATACTTGAAAATCATATGGGGTTGCTTATTTCAAGGTGTCTCGTGATGTAGCGCAATAAAAAAGATATGGCTTTTTCAAAAAAGGAGGTAGCTTAAGTAGCACACTTATCTAGCTAATCTCACTATACTTTTATCTTAATAATTCATGCTCTCAACACGTTAAGCTGTAGAGCACAGACGCAGCTTAACCTATCTCGTACATTGTTTTCGCTTAACAGAGTCAACAATTCTCGCAGGGGAATACCGGAAACAGTTAAATATCGGAATAAAGTTGCGTCAAATTGAAAACTTCTCATTTCTGGTTTCAATGACAGGCTTACCTATCACGGACACAGCACCATGACAGACATACATTCTGGATTTTGACAAGCAAGGCGACTTCCAATAATTTTTTAGATAGCCTATGTTGTCCGTCTCCACACTTTTGCTAGTTAAATTGTAGTATTTTCGATTTTAATGAAATCAGTGGTATATCTTTGCGTCCCAGCATTTGTAAAAATGCGTGACAAAGCCTTCGAGGGACTTCTGTAATTCTTTTTAGAAAAAAAGTCCTTCTGCAGAAACCGATGGCGCTTGTTGTATCTGACAAAGTAAACCAACGATTAGATAGGAAAAGACAGTTCAATGGTTCACTGAATTACGAATGAAATGTGCGTTTGATTTACTTCAAGTATCAATACAAGTCAACTAACGCTGATACTTAAAGCCAGCTATAAAATGATGTATGCTTCAATTAAAGATTAACTCAGATTAAATGTAAAGTCTTCAGGTACAAGGAACTCTACAAATCTATTAGATTTGTTACCGTTTCAGTTTTTTTTGCTAAATTTAAATTGTATTATGTAGCGGTAAAGGATCAATATTTACCATGTATAGAACAGCGGTTGATCTTTGCGTTAAGCTCAGAAGTGTAAGTGGAAAATGCACGCATTGACTCGATATACATATATATCACTCATCCGTTTGAATGGCTTGACTATAGGACTGTAATCTGTAGATGCTTGTCCTTCTCATCTACAGTCATTTTCAAAAACTAATGGAATGGCCTGATATAGTTCCTGATCTAGTGTATCCTTTATCCTTTCTTTTCTTTGCAGGTTAGACTCCAATAAAGGTATTGTATTTGCTCTCATAGTACGCCTCTTCGTGAGAGAGCAGAAGTACCTTTTGAGTACCAAGCTTTAAAACGTTTCATGTTTATACCAAAAAAAAAAGATGCATTGAGAAACATGCATTTTGTCAGGGAATTTGTTTCTCTCTTTCTAATAAATCAGTTAATCTTATTTCTTCTGTTAAATGGGAAATCTGTTTTCTTTTTTTACGGAAAGTTGCATTCGCTTCTTTTAAATATCAACAGTGCTACAAAAACTTTTAAAGTTAGTTGACATTAGTTCCAAAAGGTAAGCGACATGGTTTTTAATTTGATTGTGATTGGCTGCTATATTGTTTGTTGGCATGAGTGTTTATTGTGTAGAAATAAACTTAATTTTTTTAGACTCTTATTGCAAGAGCAAAGCATCACCTCCTTACATAGAAGCAATTAGCCGCTAATGATCTGCTACAGCGGACAGTAGAAAAGTGGACCTCATTCAAATTTGACGCCATTTTATTGGCCCCCCACATCGATTGTTGATAATTTTTATTTTTCAGGAACGCGTACCTTTTTTTTGTAATAAAAGAGAATGTACGAAAGTATTTTGTCTTTTTTACCTTTCCTTACTACAATGTTCGCATTTACAATATTTCTGTTTTGCCTCTTTGTGACATTTCCTGGTAAAGTAGTATATGCTTTTTTTAGCGCCATGAGTTTTGTGGCCTTTTTTCACTGATATCATCATCGTTTCCTCACGCCACTACAGGTACCGTAGGAATGTTTCTTAGCCTCTGTGCTAGGATTTTTGCCCTTGTCTTTGTTCGCTTTGCTCTTAGTGTATTTTATGCCACGATCTACACCATGTGGTTTATCTTTACTTGCCCTCTGGAGTTTATCAACTATTATGCCACTGAATTGGTTTTTCATTTCTGCTGGTATATTGGCTTCTGTCCTCACGGTCTTTCGATTGAATGGCTTGTGCTCTTTCTATATGGGGTTATGATCGTGCTTGCTTACGGGCTCCTTTTTTGGATGAAAAAGCCTCCACAGCCTCCTTCTACACAGCCGCACTTTCGTAGAGAATTTTTTCATGGCCTGGATTATTTAAGGCGTCGCGAAGAAGAAGAGCGTAAGCGTCGTGCACGTGCTGCTGCTTTTGCCGGCCGTGCCTTCACTGCCTCTGATTCTGGACACTCTGCTATGCCTGCTTCTACGCCTGCGTCTGCTCCTGCTGCTGCTGCTTCCTCTACATTTGCCTCTTCCGTTGTTCGACCTAAAAATCGTTCACCGGTTGTGAGCCGTGTTCTTGGTCGTAGTATCAGTAGTGGTAGTGGTAGTGCTGTTCTCGTAGCTGAAAAGCCTACATTTGCTTCCTCTGTTTCTCAACAATCTTGTTGGTCTCATGCTGCATCTCGTAGTGCTGCTAGTAGTGCTGTTACCGCCCCGGCCATTGTAGCTGCTGATGAAGCACCTGTTATGGTTCAACCTGAGGTCTACCGATTGCCTTCTTTTCCTTCTGTTGCTGTTGCTATTGATGTGCATGAAAGTAGTCCGCAAACTCTTGTTTCAAGCTACAAATATTTTGGCTCTCTCGCAAAAGGCTTTCGACGTAGTGGTCTTCCGCTCATGTTATGTTTGTGGTTACATCGCAATCGACTTTCTTCGGATCGTTGTGCGCGTGTGCTTGCTCGCAAGGGTAAGTTGGCTCGACGTAACCGTATGCATCAACGTTCGATTAGTAAGGACGATGTTATGGATTGGGAATTTACTGGTCCCTGTACAGAAATTCACTTTCCCTCTGGCTCTCCCATGATGATCGATGAAGATTATACCTCTTCGGATTACTTCTCTTCTTGTTCTGTTGGTTGTAATTCTCACGCTGTTTCTCATGAAATAGCTGTTGACATTATATATGAGGAGGATATTATAATGGAAGTGGCTTCACATTCACTTGCTGGTCATGACTCTACTGTTACTACTGCTAGTTGGCCATTGATTTCAGTGAAGAACACTGATACCGCTGTTGTTGTTGTTGATGCCTCATCAGCAGCATCATCAAGTATTAATTCTCTTACTGTGAATGACGTCTGCCCTACTGCTGTATCGACTTCTTCTTGCTCTGCTGAGGTTCGTGCAACAGCTGTGGCTACTCTTGATGCTAGCGTTGATTGTCCTGAAAGCGAATCTGCTCCTCATTGCCCTGGTGATCAAGGTGCCTCTGCCACGGTTGCTTCTTCTTCCTCTTCTGCGCCGGTTCTTCGCGAATGTCTGGTACGTAGCCTTGATCCAGTGGCCTCTTCTAATTCCGTTTCTTTAAAAGAAACGATGACAACAATCACTGCTGCTGCTTCTTCTTCTTCAGCTTCCACTTCTTTAGCTGCCGATTCCTCCGTTCAACAACGGGTTATCGCCGTTCCTCGGTTCAGAAAATCTGCCAGGAAAACACCAACAACAACAACAATAACAACAGCCACAACAGCCGTAGCCGCAGCAACAGCAACTAACACCACCACTACCACTACCATTACTTCCGCCTCCTCCACCACAACAACTGCAACAACATTATCAGCGGGAAATTCTACTGCTAACGCAGCCTCCGATGATGATGATGATGATGAGGATATGATTGCCGAATTGGCACGTGTCATCGACTTGCAGTTCGAAAAGGAGTTGTAAAACAAAATTAAATATGCAGTAATGGTTGAATGGCCGTTACGGGTTTTGGGAGGGATTACTTTTTTACAGTAGGGCATATTTATCTTTTCTTTAATTCTTGTTTTACAGTAAGTTTTTTTTTTTTCTTTTTTTTTTTGCAAAAAAACCTCAAGAAATGATGACTAAATTTGTTTATACTGTTTTTTTTTCTTAGAACTCTTTGTTATAATGAAAGCAAAAATCTGTTTGTTATAATCAAATCAGAAATGAATCAATGGGGCTATGGAGAATTGTACAAACTGCTTTTGGCTCATTGTCTGCCAAAATTCTTCATGCGGGCATATCAAATGGCGGTGATTCAAGCCTTTGTAAGTCGCTCAGTGGTGTATCTCTAACTGTTCTCTGGATTACAGTTACTGTCGAAAGCAAGAAAGAGAGTCTTTCTGTTATTTTATGACTACTCTTCCGTGGTGATTTGCAAAGGCTTCTTTGTTTGATTCTTAGAGAACCATAGATAATCATTCCTCCAAAAAGGTTCTCCTTTTTGTTGTCTCCGTTGTCCATCTCTCTTTAACGACTCAAAAATGCTGAATTAACCAACAGAAACAATCATTAGAAGGCGTTTTCCTTACAAAGAACTGCTTTTGTTCCTCAGAAGGAAAACATTTCTACTCGCTTCTTTTCCAGCAAACATAGACCGATGGGACATTTAGAAAATAGTAGAGGTGCTGCACATCAACACTATCTTTAGGTCATTTATTACTATCCTTGTATGCATTCTTTCTGGTACTGGAATCAAAACTATCTGATCATACGATTGAGCATGCATTTTACGTATTCTAATCTCTTGGCCATGTTCTTTTTCTAGCTTGAATTTAGGGTGATTCGGTCTCTTTATCTACTCTGTCAATCTATTTCCACTACCTAAATAACTCGTTCGTATCTTATTGCTGTCTGGACGAACATGGCTAATTACTCTCTGCACAATACAGTTATCGTGGCATTTCCCCTGCTCAGTAAAGTCAATCTGTATTGTGTACACTCGCTAGCATGGTAGGCGGCATGCTTGTCAAATATTCTTCTTCTAGCTTGGGTGCCTCTCTCTTCACTCTGTTTATTCTGGTTTCACCTACCTCAAGTGTTCTTTCATGCTTTCGCATCATCTGAATAAGCATGGGGTGACAATAAAGCCATCGTGGTGTTTCTGAAATAAGCAAAAAAACAATGATCTCTTATCTTTGGTGAACAGATCAAGCAACCTTTATACTATCTGATAAAATGACATTAAGGCTAACTGAATCAAACCCAATAGTGCAATATACTCCTAGCTACAGTGTGAACAAAATCTATCTCTCTGATGTTACTTGAAGGTTCTTGATCATTTCTATTGAACACCTTCCGGTCTCAAGCTATAAACAGTTATTTAGTTTAAAGAACCAGCCGAATAATCTCATTCTATGAAAACAGTTGTCTCTCAACTCTACGGTGTCAAGAAACTGTATAATCTACGTTATCGCACTGAATTATGCTTCTTCGTATCATTCGATTGCCCTTAATGGCATTGGGCTCTTTTTGAAGAATGTTGTGCTTCCAGACAGTAAGTAAGTATATCACTTTATACCTTAATACCAAAATGACACACGATATTTATCTGCTGTACAGTATACTTACGCTATATATTTCATTGCTTTATCCAAAGAACTACAACTTCAATCTTAGCGCTTCTGATTTACTGTCTGGTCAATGCATTGCTTACTTTAATAAAGGTACCTTCTCTTCTTTTGCCACGTAAGGCAGAAATGGGAAAATCCATATGTGCACTTTTGTCAGCACTTGATACTACGGTTAGTGACATTTTATTTATTTATTTTTTATTTTTATTTTTTGGCCGCCTGATGATACAACTAACACTGTTTCATTCTATTGATAGTAAATGCTTATATGATTATTACTTTACGCTTTTGCTTCCTTGATCAAGTCCTTGGAAGTTGACAGTATTATTATCCTGCCTTCCAGTATCTTACCTTGAGGGATTTAAGATGTTTTCAAAGGCTATGTTATGCCAGGTAAGCTATTCCAGCTTTGTTTTGATTCCGAAGCAATTTTAAAACGCACACTTATACTTTTGTTTTAGCAATAGTGTTAATCCTTTCAGCTAAGCATGGTGGTGTCATTAGAGCAGCGACAGCTGTGTAATCTCGGCTTCCATGGTCGCCACTGCTTTTGTCTCATTTAATTCAAAATACTGTCCCGATGGTTGGCTGATTGTCAAATTATCTGTTAATCCTACATACTTCAAAAAATGATTACTAACTCAACTCAAGCTTTAGAACGATTGTACATGCTGAAATTTCCTGTACAATAGCCTTCCTTGGTATCCCATTGTTATGCCTTTCTATACTGCTCAAAGGTCCCTGGATCCTTCATTTTAAACTTGCGGAGGATTGTATTAGATCCTTTATTGCGAAAATGATGAAAGATAGGTAAGTGTGATCTGATAGATGGGTTAAATTCTGTAGAGCAATTTTACACTCTTTATGTTCTACCTGGTTTTTTAGGTCTTTTTTTACATTCCCAGTTGCTGGTCGCCAGGTCAAAGTAACTAACAGCCTTTCTTCCTATTGTTCGCTAGCGTAAAAAATCCTCCGATATCTCCCTTGCAAGTGAAAAACAAGAAAGCCCAATGATCAGATATACGAGCGACATCTGCTGCTCGTAACCCGGATACTTGTTTTGCATAGCAGAATCTATGATTGATCAAAAATAGCAATCCTTTTTATCCCTTCAAAATTCGCACATCTGTATTCTTAATATACGTGACTATACTATAATTCTATTCATATTTGAAAACATCTTGAATATCAAAATAAAGTCATTTACTTAAAAGCAGTTAATCAAGCATTTCTAATGGTATTTATTTTCAGTCAATTTGACCAAATTAGAAAGGTAAACCAACAAAAGAAAGCGAGAGGCTGAATTAAGTAACCATTGCTGTTCATAGCTTCTTTCGCAGCGAAAAGAAAAGGGCGTTTACATGATCAAGCAATTCACTACCCACAAAATCATCTTACATCAAACAGTTTTAGTATTCGTTGTTTTTTTTTTCACAATAAATTTCAATTTACTGAACCTTCAATTTGCATACACAATAACACTCATATCATCTGCATCTTGGTTTTCACCGTAATCATATCCTAGCAAATAGTTACTTACCTTTTTTTTTTTTCCTTTTGTATGCAAGTCTCAAGATGTTTTTGTTGATGGGATGCTACGAAGGCTTCTTCTTGTTCCAGTTGAGGAAACGGTAGAAATAAAGATGCAATCTATTGTAAACTTCCAGAAACAGAATTTAGTGTCCTTCACTCACTTTAAGCGCTCAAAAAGAAATTACCCAAACCAACTTCAAATCGTTTGAGCTCTGCTCATTGTGTTCGTCGAACATCCCCACATTAATTTTCTTTAAGCCAAATGTCAATTTGCCATAGCAATCATTACCTATTTCTTTAACTCAATTGCCTCAATTCTCTGATAGCAGACATTTAACAACGAAACAATTTACAAAGCCGAGCCGAAATAAAGAGTTACTGCTCTGTGGTGATTCTTCCAACCAACAAGAAAAACAGGAGTTGACCCTAGCAAATGAGATAGTAGTAGGCAACTTGAAGACTTAAATAGACTGGTTAGTGTAATATTTGTAGCAATTATCGGCTGTTGGTTATTCCAAAAAGCACAGGATGGATGGATTGTTTTAATAAATAGTATACAAAAAAACTGATAATTAGTTTCCACCTTAACAAAAGCAATAAAGTTTGTTGTCGTATACGATGAATCGACAAAACTGGAATACAACTACACAGTGCATTCTGATGCTTGCACAGTGTAATTGCTTAAAAACCAACGAACACAGTTTATAGGAAGACATTATACTACTATAATGAACATATTATTAAGCCTTCGATTTTGTTATTGCATGGGCTATTAGAAGACTTATTATGACCTGCAACTATTCAATATAAAAAAGCGAAAACAGTTGCTTCCAAAAAATAAAAAATAAAAAATTAAAAATTAAAAATTAAAAAGTTCAAGTTTAAGATATTTTGAAAAGGTATGGAAGCGTAAAGAAGAGCTCGAAGAAGTACAAGATAAAACGTACAGATGAAAGTAAACATGCCATATGATATCTTAATTATACTTTATTGAAGTGGTACACAAAAACTGCAGTCAACCTGATCAAACGCGTTATTTGAGATTATAAGGTTAAAAAATCAATTATAGAAGCAATATGCAAGTCTTAACGGTGTCATTTGGCCACAGCTTAAATACAGACAGAGATGTGGTGATCTTTTGCATGTACACGACGACGAATTCAGAAAGGTAAAAATCAATTTAAATTGCCTTACAGTCTATTTATTGATTTTATAAATACACAACACAGCACTCTTGTAAAGTAATGTCCTCTACAGAAGCATGCACCAGTTTGCATACTTGCCAAAGTTGAGGAGTGCTCGAACAAATATTGTTCAATTTTGACAGCTATAATCAATGGTCAAGGTTGTGCCCAAGCTTTTTGCAGAAGCAAGTAAAGCTATCTTCACTGTTTTAAACAAATAAAGAGGTTTAGATATCTACAAGCAAAGTAGAAAGTATTTAAGAGCAATTTAATAATTCCAAAATATATATTCAATTTGTCCAAAAAGATATTAAACATTATTTTCACATTTAAAGTGAAGCGACTGTTTGCCAAATAATGCCGGACCGATTTGGCCGAAAATTCCAGTGGCACCATTCATGATTCAATATCAGATTAAAGATACGCTCATCCCAAGCATAAATACGCTTGAGACAAGCCCCTGAACTTACTTTTCGTATTTTTCACCATTTGGGGAATTAATCAGCACAAAAATTATCGGGCATTTTGGGAGTAAATCTTATTAAAGCATGAAACAACCGTTAAAGGAAGCTTGTCAATTGAAAACAGCTAATCCCAGTGTAAGCATGGAAGAAGCTGTTCTTTTTGGTACGCCAGCAACTTTATTTTCTTTTCGAAAAAATAAGTAAACTTGACACTTTGCAACTATCATAGTTGATTGTTATGTAAAAAAAGAGGATAAAAAGGCTGAATCTGGCAGATTGATCGTAACACCAAGCGACATTCGGTTCCACAGTAACGATGTGTCTGCAAGCGAAAATAACGTGCGTGTTTACCTACAATAGAGCTTCATTTCCAACATCAGTTGATCTAACGTTTGTTTAATAGTTCGTTCTACCGTTAAATACAATTACTTGTGTTAAATGTACAGGAGACGAAGCATTGAACAAGCCTCAAAATACTATATCAATTTCAGCATATACTAATGATAAAGAAGATTTTGCAGTATACATTTTTCTGGAAGACTCAGGATTGGAGGAGGCTAAATCGCTTGTAGTTAAGTTAAATCATATTATACATGATTCAAAAAGCCACAATGTTAGTATGACATATAACACCAACAGAATGTCAGAAAGCATTATGATTTACTCAATGTACCCGCATTTAGCATCTGCCTGTTGAAGAATTATCCCAAGAATTACGCGACCTGCCTGCACCCACATCTAATGGCTACAAGGCATTAGTTAACCGAGCAGACTCTGAACTTCAAAAGCGACTATTTGACGACAAAATACTTAGTCAGCAAGCTGATGAACTAGAAGCAAACAATCCCACAACCACATTAGCGAAACAAGCATTAAATTCATATGGATCGTTTAAACCAGATCGTAAGTGAAACGCTTTTGTACAATATAAGAATAAAAAATTAAACTATACTTACTCCATAGCGGACACACTGCCAGCCGATATTCCTACTCCAGACCGCCCAGTTAATTGTAACTGTGACGATCATCTTGACCGACAAGAAGTCCAACTTCATTTACCGATATCCGCCAAGCGTTGCTTTGAGCTTATGTTTTCGGATGTAGAAACAGCATCCCTTGTTACGAACTCTGTTTGGGAAGACAAAACTACTGCTATTGAAGGCCACGGTAAGTTTTTTTTTGCTGTATATTAGATATTGTGATTTGGTCTATACTCAGTAAGCGAGCTCTGAATTTTCGTATTAGATAGATTTGTCTATTTCAAAATGGGAAACTATTGAAGGGGGAAGGGTTCAGCGAATCTTGAAATACTGGATGCCCGTAGCGAATCCGATTGGTAAACATTAAAATAATAGGAAATCAAAACGTGAGAGCAGTAAATTTGGCAATGATTTGGGTATCTAACATTGAAAGTAAATAGTCCGTATGAAGGAAGCGGAAGTGGTAGAGACACAGATGTTAATCAACAAAAAGGATTATATGTAAGTTGATGTTACGATTACATTAAAGATATATGCAGTACTTTCTCTTGTTAATCAAAGTATCTCCTTGTTTACTGACTATACAGCTGCTATACCGTTCAAATCTCAACTAAAACTGCCGCATTACCATATGCTGAAGCATTTATACCCTCTGTTAGATATTGCATCACATGGGTTAGTGAATCAGAATGTAAACTAACGTGCTATTTAGGTGTCCGGTGGGTAAAGAACGTTCTCGTAAAAGGTAATAATTGAAGAGGATTGCAGTCGAACTTTCTGTTTAAATGGTTAACATGGTTCATGCATTGGATAGCAATTGTCACTAGGGCTGCTCTTAAGGGGATGTCAGACAGTGTACACATTTTTACTACCATTATAAATGATGCTGCAAAGAGGGTTAAAGCATCTGTTGATGAGCTTCGCCTCCAAAACATGGAATATAATCAAAATCTTCAAAACAAATTGTCAGATGGTGATAAGCAACAGGATGATCTTCAGTATACAAGCTATTCATCCCAATTCGATTTGAAGAGAAGTTCAGCAATTCTCATTCAAAATCAATTGAAAGACGCGCAGTTGGAAGGAACATATGGCAAGGACAAGACTCATGACGTTCCAACTCAAAAAAACGATCAGAAAAAAGAAATGATTATGGCTACTGCTAATGTGCATTCAACAAATCAGACAGCTGCCAGTTATACAGTGCAAAGGTTTCAACCTAAAGAGAAAAGCACGTTGACACTGAATGACATTAAAAATGCTCAACTGAATGAGAGCAATATAAATAGAAACTCAAAAGTTAAAGATGGCGATAACAAAAGGATAAATGTTAAGTATGATGATATGGTCGAAAGACAAGAATATAGACTATCGTGTCGACGCAGTCAACTTAAAACCAGGAGCAGTAGTAATATATGTCTGGCGCGATTCCTTACGGTGATTGTTTTGATTATATTAACATCGTACATGACATTTTTATGGACAAAATGGAGTTATACAGTAGTTGAGGACCCGGCTAAAATAAAATCTACGACCAACGCAAGGATCCATATAGATAAAGTGTGCCAACCGCATCTTGTGTATTTGCAAGATATAAAAGAGGGTTTAATGACCAAAGATGGAAACAGACGTTTCTATATTGATAGCATCAGGTTACTCTTCACATCTTCAATGACAAAAATGCAAAAGTGCACCTACTAACATTTTTCATTGAATACATTATAGCCACAAAAGCTTTCTGCAGTTTCAGAAGGCGAAAATAATTGTTTCAGAAGAAGCTTATGCGCCATCTTCTGCTAGGAGCTTCCAATGGTTTTCGGATACTCACCGTAAATTGTCAACGGAGCTAAATGCAAGGCAGGAAACAATTGCAATGTTACGTTACAACGCATTGGCTCTCTTACGTACCTTGAATAGGCTGGAATTGGATTCATTTGAAGCAGAATACGCAAACTGGTTATTAGATATGCGATTACAATGCAAGTACTCTTTTGTAGTGAAAAATATTCAAGAACAGCGTAACGCAATATTATGTGAGGATATAGACCGACAAATACAAATGATGTTTGAGTCATAAATTGCTACTTTATTCCTGTGTTGGAAACTATGAATGCATTCATCGAACAATTGCTACCGAATATTTCAATTGTATCATTGCTCAACGCGATCTCTTAAAGCTTCCTGATGTAAAAACACATTGAAAGCTTATCAACTGCCTACATACAACATGATGATTGTTTTCATCCATTGAGAAATTACACAAAAAAGACAGTTCTTGGGTGATGTTACTGCTTTTCGATGAACTTCTTGGCGAATTTTGTTGCTTTCTACAATTAATTGCACAATATAGGCTTATTATCGTCAGTGAATGAACAGAACCATACATGGTGTTACCGCGAATGTTACGTCGAAATGCAAAAGTTGCTTTCGAAATGCTCTATTCTTTTCAAAACATATCTATTTTGTTTTCATTTGGCAATGATTATTGTACGATGACTGTTTTCGGGGGAATACATACAGTGCTAACTCTAGTAAGAGTAATGTGATCTTAACAAAAATACGAAGATTTTGAGTAGCTGTAAGATAATGTGTCCCAAAATACCTTTTTAATGTTTGTCATTTCATCATCGTTTGATCTATTATCAAGTTTTTTATCCTAAAAAGGTACAGTTCTTAATGCATCCCAAGCTCAGCCAGAGGTGGTCTGGGAACATTTCTTTAACTTTTACATATATAGAGTTCATCCAATTAACAGCGAGGACCATACCCCAAAAAGGATCTTTTTGGCTTTTATGACTAAAGAGTATGGCAAATGTATTGACAGCGCCTAAGCAAGGTATTCTATTATCGTTTAATCCTCAATGCTGTTTAATAAAGCTTAGCAAACAAATATGGCTTCTGTTCTAACTATTGACAAAGTCTTCCTATTGACGCTAAGTATGCACAAATCTCATATGGAGCGTTTTTGAAGAATTCCTGTTGTTCAACAAAACCTTTATGTCTATCCAGATAGAACCCATGTCTGTCTCACTTCTTATCAAAGCAGAAGGGGTACAGCCGATTTGATCGAAATAACCGTAAGGCCAACATTGGTCAAAAAATTGCATCCGGAGAGAGCGTGACATTACGTTGTCGTTGGTTGATTCTCTACAAAAATGAGTTCTTCCCAAACAATTCATACTTACTCAACATTTTCGTTTCACACTATCTTTTGTTCAGCACCATGGCCCACAAGACTAGGGTAAGACTCAAAAAGTTGTAGAATCACGTTACTATTCGCATGCATTAAGTATAAATTCTTTAAGACGGTACTAATATATCAAAACGGCAGAATAGTATAAGCATATAGTTGTATACAAAATAAAGATTTATTTGAATCGAAAGTAATGACATTGAGTAAAGAATAATTTTTGCGAATAGCTACTATCTACAATGGAAATGTTCAAACGAGTGTGATGATTTTGTCTGTGGGGGGAAACAGAATGGAATAAGCATGGAAGCCCTTAGTGGTGAACAATTTCCCATTGTTGGTTGGCAGCAACAGTACCAGAGCGCTTTTCGTACAAGATAATTTCAGCACCATCTTCATCTTCAGCACCACGGATATCAACGACGAGGTCAGGGTGGGAGGCAAGGTGGATGTAGCCTTGGCTATCAATTTGCCAGCGTTGCTTGGCTTGACCTTCTTCATCTTCAGCTCTCTCGTTTTGAATAACACGGGCTATTCACAAGATAAAAATAGTTTAGCGAACATATAGGCTTAACCTGTCAAATACTTCTATAATTACCCTCAGATTCAATCTTCTTGCCCTTGATAGCAAGAACCTTTTGGGACTTGCAGTTGACGAAGTAACCGTTGTCATAAGTCCACAATTGATTTTCGTTATCGGAATCGTCCTTTTGCTTCCAGGCACAGATTTTAGCACCATCTTTGGTGGAGGCACCTTCGACATCAAGGACACGGCGGTTAAACTATTGATATTTATAAGAAATGATGCGTAAATGTCTGCTACTAAAGTACTAGTCAACGCCCACCCCCTTTTCTCATAAGCTTAAAGTCACTTAATATACTCTACCTTGGAGACAATGAAGAAGCGACCTTGCATATTGATAATTATGTAGAGAAAAGTTGAGTGATTAAAACAGAAAAAAACAACAAGCCTCCCATAGGGAAGGAAGTTGGTCTTCTTTTTATATCTTTTTGTTCGTAACTGATGCTAAAAATGGATACAGCCCAATTTTTGTAAAGTACACATTTTGAAACTGACGTCGCGGTGATGAATGATGAGTGAAATGGGTTATACTTTTAATTTTATTATTATTTTAAAAGAACGTTTGGTTGCCAAATTAAGTGAGTGCTACGCTGAACCGTTTCGTTTACGCCCCAACATTTTCACTTCATATAGAATAAAGCATAAAATCTTAATATAAGAAAATCTATTACGCGTTTTTCATATGTATGTGTTCGACAGAGCCTCAAGAAGTCTACTCAAAACAAGGTATATTACATTATGTATTACAGAGAAAGTTGTATAGAAGATCAACATACAAATTTTTGTATCTCAATATAAGTTATAAAATGGTTATTCAGGTATTTATAGAGGAAGACGTGAGCCGCACGCAAAGAAAAGTGAAAAAAAACCAAAAAAAAAAAAAGGTTTTTGCTGTATACCAATGAACGAGGGCAAAGTGATTCGAGAAACTAAATTGCCCAACTTGCTGAAATGTCCAGCTCTTCATCTCCGACGAATGGTTGGTTAATTGACTTAACCATGATATCGCCACACAACAAACACTCGCTTGCCACAATGTCATCCAGTTCCTCCTTCAGCTGTTCGAGCCTTCCCATTACAATATCAGGATCCGTCTCGTTCTCTTCATGAACTGCATCCGCAGGGAAAATGACATTCTTTGCTGTGTTCATAAATGCTGTTGTGGTAAAAATAGGCGATTTCGTAGACGAGGCTGATTTTGGAGATGCGGTTTCCTTCGCGATAAGATTTTGTATAGCTCTTATCCTCTTAATATTTCTTGATGGTAGCAGCTTATACATCTGTAGTTAGACTTAGGTTGTGAGCAAAGAGCATAATTGGATTCAACGAAGAAGGTGCTTCGGACACATTCTCAAAAGAAGAGGAGAAGGTTTCCCAGCCATTTTAGAGTTTTTTCTTGGTACTTTACCTTATCTGTCAAACAATTGCTATGGAAGCCATGTTGGCATGGGAATATATAGAATGAACGAGAATAAAGCGGACGATTGCAACAGTAACATCGGTCAGCTGCGTTCACGAGCGCAAATCTAAGTGATCGTCAACTTATGATATTACTATGACAAAATCTCAAAAGATCTTGTGTTCAAAGGGAAATAAACAAACCTGCTTTTTAAATCACGAATGTCCAAGCGTATGCTATCTCCACTTTTGGTAGCTTCATCCATTTCCATCTTAATTTCGTCGATTGTGTCATTGTATTGCTCTAATGCTTCGCAGATTTCTTCCTATGATGCAATCTTTAGTATGCGATGCTCTTTCATAAAAGCTGTCATATTATTCAAAATCACATACTTTGAAGTCGTTTATAACCACAAAGTTTGGGAAATATGGTAGTATGTCTTCTATCTTCAACAAGTTACTTTGCTTTAAAAATTCTAGCGCAGATTTAATATCTTTATTTTCTTGTACAACATGTTTGGCGATGGACAGCCAAAGTTTCTTTCGGAGGGGAGTATCGTCTTCCGGCTTGTCAGCATTAATCCGTGCCAATTCCATGTCGTTATTCTACAGTTTATATTACGATTCAGTCAATCCGGATGAGCACACGAGAGTCATAAAGCTCTTACCTTTAGAGCTAGATTCACTGCTTCTTCATATAAACCCATTTGACTATAAATATGTACACAACTTTGAGTTCTTCCATTTTGTGTGCACAGTCTCAATGCATAATCTAGGTTATAATGCATTTGTCGGCCCTTGAAGTGGCAAGTTTTAGTCGTTTAGTGAAAATCAGGTCTCTCATTACTAACTGCTAACGGAAGAGTGTTACCTCGTTCTTTAGAAAAGTCAATAAAGCTGTTTCATCTGTCGTTTTTTGGGTAGCATAAAGTGATAAGAGCAGATTATGGATAGCTGGATCAATATTGTTCAGGGTAGTGACAACGTGTGACAAATAACGTATTGCCTGATTCTTTTTAGAGCAGTGAAGTAGAGCAAAAAAAAATACGTCAAATCAAAGCAACTAGCAAATACATTGAAGATAGGTCCACGCTTACTTGAGTAGATTTCTCCAAAGCTTTTGCATGATCATATCTCAAAAGTGCAGGAATAAGTTGCCTTGGATTTAAGTTATTTTGCCTCATCCAAATATTAACTGTTTCATATGGATCATTTTCCATTAAAACTGGAGAGAATCTGTAAAATACATCGGGATCGGCCTAATGATGAAATTTTCTCAATATAACAAATTTTTGGGTGGTTTCATGTAAACTTGCGTTAGAATGTATCTGCAGTTACCTCTCTGCTAAGAACAGCTAGGGCTTTCGACCAGTTTTTTTCCTTGACCCAATAACCAATGACTTTTTCATAATCTCCGATTAATGAAGCAAAGAATAAGAATTCGTCGTCCCGTCCATAACTAGTCATCAAATTGTACGTTGTAGGTCTGTGGAGGTTTCCATTGTAGCTTTCCAAAAATTGCCTAAATTCATCGCGCACTTCGTCCAATTGATCAAGATAATATGCTTCAGAGTTTGGCACTATACTCAGCCCTTCCGAAGAGCTTAGTGAAGTATGAGATGACGACACCATATCTTCTAATTCATTCAGTTTTGAAAGGTAGATTTCCACCAGCCATGTAGCCAACATTGTCTTTTGCGTTTGATCCTACGTTTGAGAGGAAAGGAATGGTACATAATAAGCTTTGAGAAAACCGCCATAGCAGTAGATGTTTTTCAAATAATGGATATAATCTTACATTCTTTCGTAAACGACTCAATTTATGCGACAGATAAACTCTAAGCGCATCTATTTCATCCTTTTCAACAAACATTAACGCGACTTCTTCGAATGGCACAGTACTCTCTGCAAAAATCTCGGCGCTCATCTTGAACCGGCGTTGTCCGAAATAATCTCTTGCTTGAACAGTAGCTACTTTATCTTTTTGAGCAGCATCCTTACAATAACGAAGAGCAGCATTGTATTGCTGTTTCTCCAAGTACAATTTCCAGACATCACGTTCTTCATTGTTGATTGTAAGTTCATACATAGCGAGTGTCGTATAAATCCAGAAAGTCTTTTTGATATCATCTACAGTCATGCCAATAACAGCTTCATCACTTGCCTAAACGGAAATTAATGTACAGTTCAATTAACGTCCAAAAAAAAAAAAAAAAAAAAACCAAAAAAAAACTTAAATGTCTAAAAGGCAGGGTATATTTACTGTGGGTATCATTTCCTCATATACTATCTGATCATTTAGTTGACAAATTGCTCTGACCCTGTCCTTGTACAGTAATATAAAGTGAAACTCTGTCAACGCCACGGATATAGGTATATCATTTGTAACTCCATGTCTCGATTCGTCATCTGTAGGTATAGCTGGGTATCTACAAATCATATACAAATTAGCATAACCTTAGCTCTAGAATAGAATGCTATGATGATTAATTCATTTTACTGTAAAAGTTGAACATCATCTACTACACTATCTCCTATGTTCTGCGAGCCATAAACTAACGATCCATGATAGATACCAGGTCCTGTCAACCAAGCGAATGATTCTGCAATACCCTGTTGCTGTAGTTCATGGAAACGACTAAAAAAGTGCAGTTTACTATGAGGAAGTTCGCCTGGCAATTCCTGATAACCTGGATTAACTTCATATTTGGAGAATAAATTCTCAAACATCGCACGTTCGCCCTTTTCATCATTCATCTTATCGCTGCTTCCGGTACTAAAGTTATTCACTCCTGCTACTGTTGATGATGACACAATTGTTCCCTTACTGGAACTAGTACCATTCACAGCACTACTGCTACTATTTGGCCCCACATACCCAATAAATTGGTAAATGCGCGTTGGTGTAGTAGCCATGACAAAATATTTGCGATTGTTCACAGGAAATTGTTCGAAATACAGTCCAGTAATAGGCATTGTCGATTCATGGATAGAGTACACTTGATTAAAGTATTTATCTTCTTTCTTGAAATATTCATCAGCGGGCTCTAGACACGTTTCGTAAATCAATCCGTTCTTTGTACCAACTAGTATTTCTCGAGTAGAGGAGTCTGTAATGGTTGCTTGCTTGTTCCAAGCAACAGACGTAATCGTAATCTCCTAAAGTATGGTATAACGCGGTTCATTCCCTGCCATGCAATATTTACTTCATCCTCATACTGCTTTTGATGGATCAAACCTTGAATTTCGTTAATGGTTTTGTTCGTTTCCACTTTACAAAATGATAGTAGTTTTCACCGTTTTCAGTTGTGATAATCAAATGCCTCCCTGTGGGGTCAAAAAAGATTTGCCTCACTTTGCCTTCGTTTGCTTTACGTACGATCTCTATCTCTATATTTCAATGATGTAACAGACTTAGTCACAAAACACAATTGTAAATAAAGATAGATTCCTTGCAACCTTCAACTTCTAATGGATTATCCAAATCAATTCTTAATAAGCGAAAGTTTTCCAAAGCAACTACCAAGATATTGTTCGAAACAGCCATGTCTACCATTTTGGAAGCCATTTGAAACTGAACATAATCCAGGGCAAATATAGGTTCCTCAGCTTGACCAAAACCTGTAGACACGTAGCCTGTTTCCAACTGATATGAGGCCAAACAAGTAAATATACATAGGTGCGCTTCAGGGTGAGTATATTAACTTTATCTATGTCATTTCCAAATGATTGCTTACTCGAATATTGTTATCCTGCCCTTCAAAATCGTGCAGTGGTGCGAAGGTGTTGATGTCGAATTGATTAGTTGAGGCTCCATGAGCCGCTTCTGATGACTCCATAAAGTCATCTAGAATGGACATGATGGCGAGGTTCTGTTCGATGCGGTAAGATTAGATGTAAAAGAGGGGGTTACTTTGTATTGAAACAAGTATTAAGTAATGCAAAAATTCACCACTGTAAAAATTGGCATAGTCGTGTACAGCCAAAATTGAGGCAAAACGATGGGTATTCAGCTTCCGCTTTCAAATGGTTTAATCAAATTCCTGAATTCTTTTGGTTGTATAAGAGCATGGTCGATTTGCTGTAGAGCAGCAACTGATTTAATAATAAAGCCGATCAACCACGGGTTTCGACGAGATCCTCCTTAGTTTACAAAGGAATTATTCATTTGTTCTTAAGCTCGCTTCCAACGTCAAAGTGCTCTTTTTAAGAAAAGATGTGTGGTTTATTACAAGATGTACGGTACAATCTATTTACTATTGATTACATGCATATAAATTCATTATTGTACAAAGGAAGGATTGAATTTGTTGTTTAATCTGTACCGAAATATCTAATGGAACACGAAGAGATTGAAAGGATTAGTATCAGTTACCTTCAACAGATACAAAGCTGCTGTATATTATTTTTTCATCCAACTATACCTGCAACCAAAATCACCACAGCCGGGCATTATATACTTATCATCATTCAAGCCAGCATCAACTTCACCACAAACGATCTTAACCTTAGGATAACGCTGAACGAAAGCATCAATACCTTCAGGTGAACCGATCAAGTTCAAGAAAATAATATGATCTTCCTTAACATTGTTATCCAACAAAACTTGAACAGCTTGCATTGCAGAACCACCGGTGGCTATTGTAGCAAAAAAAAAAAAAAAAAAAATATATAAGATTAGCAAGAGGGCAACTTCTCAATTTCTGATTTGACAGCAATTACCTAACATAGGGTCTAATAAGAGAACATATCGAGAAGCAATGTCCTTGGGAAGCTTGGAATAATAAAGCTACCATTCACATTGAACTTTCAGTGAGAATCATTACTAAATGGAGTCGTGTACACCCAGTAAATCACATACCTTGGGCTGATGGGTTTCTTCATCACGTTGGATTAAGATCTTACCAATTCTCACGCTTCTGTAAATCCAAACAAAGGTTTTATGCATAATGTGTTCAGTTAGTCATTGTTACTCAATACGAAAGGCTCAGAAAAGTCGATATATTTACCTGCAACATTCACGCAAACCTTGCTCCATAGCTTCACCGGCACGCATGATGGAGACACCACAAATACGGCCTTCAAAAGCAATACCATCGTATTCAGCTGCAGTAGGAGTCATAACAGTTTTATCCACTACAGGTAGATGGTTCAATCCTACAAAATAGCAATAGAGTAAAACGTATTAGCTTCTTTACTATATCCAGACAACTTCAAAATTGCTTTTATACAATCCACAAGCATAAAAAAGAAGTTCTTCCCAACCATTGAGTTTAAAAAACTACTTTTACCTTCTTCAACTAGGAGACGAATAATACGATCAGCATAGAAGATGAAATCAGCACGAGGGGTATTCTTGTCACGAATAATGGTCATAAGACCCTTTAATTGCGTGGTTTGAGCAAGAAGCTTGACTTGTTCGGGCAATTGGTAATTGGACATGATCTACTGAAGTTGGCTGCAAGTTTGTTGGTTTCGTTAAACCAAGAGGAAACTAAACAAAAATTTATTTTTCCCAAGTTTTCACAACTAAATTCAAATGGCGCTCCTTGATTCGCTGTCACATTTTTTTCTTTTTTCTTTTTTAGTGTTCCGTTGTGCCGTCCCTGAAAAAGCACAGACCAAACCGGAACGAGGTGTCACCAGCAGCCAATTGAAAAGCTTGCATTATGCGTGTAATCTTTGATTTAAGGTGGGCACCGTCCGCCTGGGGTCGATATTATCGGCCACAAAAAAGTAACTTCTCCGGTCACAGAGGAATGAAATTATTCGGTTACAAGAAATCCCAATTGGCGGTTCTGAAAAAGTGGCTGTTGGTAAATTGACGAAAAGAACAAGATTTTTCCTTGGTCAAATCAGTCACAAGGTTCGTTATTCAAGCAATAGAAGAAACAATTGTGAAATGATGAATGAATTCTGCAAAATACACAGCAGGAAGATAGTCGCCTTCTTTTAATAATTCTTAAGCTACGGGCTCTACGTCCTTTTCTAAGGGCACCTAGAATTAGTGTGTAGCGTAGACGCATCCTCAGCATAGTATAATTTCACTAGAACCTCACTTAGTAAATGTTCGTTCTACTCAGCTGAAGAGTAAGAAGGGCACTAAGTTTATAGCCATTGACTCATAACACTTACCGATCTATCGCAGTAACAAAGTATCTCACACATTCCAGCAGTACAGGTTTGGAGGGAAAAGTATACGACACAGAGTAGGCATGTTACATTAAGAAAAAAGTTGAGCACGAAAGTCATCTTTGCCCAATTCAACTTACATGACCAGTCATATATACAATGAATTCTGGTCCATCCCAGAAAAGGAGACTGCAAAATAAGTAACCCTACATGTATCGATGGAGAAGCGAAGAGAAAGAACTTGTAGTCAACGCTTTGCGTGACCCTTTTGGACCGCCGTTATACGATACATAGACCAAAATCTTTAAGCTTCATGAACGACGCTTAAGAAATGAAAGGCAATTTGTAAATGCATGAATATATTGTCATAAGTGCTTGTTAGCCAAACGATAGGAAGTTATGTATTAGCAAGGTATTATTGCCATTGCGTAACAGTAAGGCAAACTGGTCATAAATGTGGAAAAAGTGCTAATAGACTTGAAATAAAACGTACGCAGAAGATTGCAAAAAAAAAATATCACAATTTACTAAAATTTTGTCCACATAATTTAAATACAGGAATGGGTGAGCAATTGCATTCACTGTGGAGCTTTAAAGATCACTTCACGTTCATATACACCTGTAAGCCTAGAGAAGTACAAAGTATCAAACATGCTATACTTATCACGATGAGCCAACACTTCAATACTTTTTTACTTCGGTCTCATTGAAACTGGCTGAGTGTAACCTGCAGCCTTGAGAGAAATAAATTGTAGAACGTGGGCTAAAAATTCCCCCTTTTTTTGGCCTGTTAGATTCATTTTTGACGCTATGCTTACAGTGAAAGACTTATCGTTAAATGAGCGTGACAAGTTGAGGGTACCATTTCTATTAATTGTCATGTCAAAGCTTCACACTGAGTAATTTAACAACCTCAAAGAAACTGCAAAATGATATTAGTTTACTGTATAGCTCAGTTTCTGACCAATACATGGAAAACTGGAAAGACGAATGTCAAAGAGTGACCTATACAGATTGTCCGGAGACTGTGTCCAAAGTAAGCATAACATGAACTGGAGCGTACCTAGATTTAATGGATCTTTAATCAAGTCTCATCGAAAGGTACAAAAGGCCATCGCTGATCTCGGCATCAGCGACTGCCAAATCATACCTGTGGAATCTGATTATTATGATTGGGAACTCCAGCAAAGAGCGTGAGTTTTACATTAGTAGGCTTCACCGCAACTTGTTACTTACAAGATGATATCTGCTGCTTAGTTTCCGTGTTAACATGCCTTCAAAAGAACACATGTGTAAAAGTGTTATCATGGAGAATACTCGCTGCATGCATGAAGATTTTTCAGGTAAAATTTTCAAGCAAAGGAGAATGAGAAGGCGGGTCTATTAATCAGATCATATTAGATCCAAACTATTCAAAGTATTACTGTGTTATCACCCAGGTATCTTCAATGGTCTACCAAAGCATTTATCTTACGATCATGTTCAAAGTGTTACTGAGTGTCTTTGAATCAATAGTATGTCAAGCCAGTCAACACGCAAAAACTATTGAATTTCTGTCGTGGTTTGAAGAATAAAGAGATTAGTAAAAAGTATTATAACTATCGATTAGCGCCACCAGAGGTAGGTTACTATAGCTTTGTTTTCCAAATTCTATAGCTAGTTAAACATTTCGTTTAATACCATATACATAGATGGCACTTGAATTGACTGGCTTCGAAAAAGGCGGTGTAGCCCCTCTGGGTATGTTATACAATAGGATGGAATGATCGAACTTTTGTATTTCAAAAGGTTAGGGAGAAGTTACTTAAATCGCATTTTTCATCCAGGTATGAAACATTCTATTCCAATCATTATGGCTGAATCCATTACCAAATTGAAGGTAAGTTCTCTTTTCTGATTTGCGTGGTATTCTCAATTTATTCTAAACATGTATCTACTGCAGCCTCCGGTAATATGTTTAGGAGCAGGACATATCGATTGGAAGCTTAGTATCCCTATATCCACTTTAATAGAAAAAACCAACTGCTTCGTAGCTGATTTAGAATAAAAGAATATAATAGAATGCGTATACAGATTCAGCATTGTGTCCTTAGTAATGAATATTATACGCAGAATCATATTGTAATAAATTTGTCGATTAAGCTTTGATGGCTTTTGTCTTTCTTTTCAGAACAAAATTTTCTCGTAGGTACTGTGCTTCTTTCATTTCAGCCTAATAATTTTGATTTGCTATGTTGAAGGCAATATCTCATATAATGACTCAGTTGTCAATTTACATAAAGTCGACAAAAAATGGTCGCGAAGAAAACTGCCGTTTTGGAATCTCAATTGAAGATACGGCAGTATTACGTAATCTTACTGCTTTGATAAAAGCATTGTCGAAGTGAATATTGTGTTTCCTGTTTTTTTTAATGGTACAAGGAAGATAATCGAAACTGAACATGGTTTCATTCTTTCTAAAAACCAATTTTACCCTATTGTAAGCCTGCCCCACCTCTTTTATTCATCAGTTTAATAAATGCCGGACGACCCAAAGCAGATTTTAGTAACGTGAACAGTTAGATAAAGGGGAGAATTAGTAAATAGTTGTGGGCTTTTAATGTTCTGACTCAAAGTTTATACCTACTAACTCAAAAAGTGGGATACACTGTTAAAAAGTTGATGACAATGCATTTACAATTAAGAAAAGTGGTATTGATGTTGACGTTCAGAAACTGCCAAAACAAGAATATATGATGACGAACTTCCGGTCATAAGTAAATGACAGAAGCACAGCATTAAGAACTAATGGTGGTGAAATAACTTAAACTGATCTTGAAGATGATTCAATCACCAGAAAACCAGAGGAAAACGAATATAACACACCAGCGACTTCCGGAGAAAACTACACAACCATCTTTCATCGGTACAAAAGACAAGGAAGGCCAAAACAAGGCGCCGAACTCAGTTTGACTATTCTTAACAATATGGTTGGACTATCGCATAGGTTTCAACAGTAAGTGCAAAGGTTACAGGATCTACTCTAATAACTAGTTTTGCACTATCACCCTGAAAGATGAAGACACGGCAACAACCAATAATGCAAAAAGAAAAAAAAAAAAAAATAGCAAACAATGACAGTACTTTGGGAAGTAGAACAATTGATTTTGCTGTAATCAAGCACATCATGAAATAAAGTGAAGAGCGGATACAGATTCCTTGTCTACTGCGCAAGATGATTCTAACAACTACAATCTTAAAGCTACTAACAGCATAACATTATATTAACATTTGGTTCTTACGAACAACTACTGATTCAGTTAGATTAGAGCAATAAAGCTACCAGACAGTTCTAGCTTAAGGCCGGCATGAATTCAGGCGAGACCTTCATCAGCAGACGGTAAACAAATCTTTCTAGCCGTAATCCACAACCAAAGCGAATACACTAGGTTAATAACAATAACAGAGCGCTTTTCAATTCAAAAAAGCAACCAATGAGAACATATGCTTCCGAAACATCGTTACAATTAAGGTATGCTTATATAAACCATGACCACGTTGCAGTAGCAGCTGAGCGGATTCAACATCTTCGTTTGAACAGAGCAATGATGTTGAATCGATGGACAAACAATCATCAACGTCCCAATCATACATTTCGTCTTCGTTATTGTCAGCATCTCCTTGAGATTCAGTAGATACTTGTAGACGTTGCAGTAGCAGCTGAGCGGATTCAACATCTTCGTTTAAGCAGAGATATGAAGCTGAACTGATGGAGATACAATCATCAACTTGACCATCATGCAATACTTCTTCATTATGGACATCACCTTGAGGTTCAGTAGATACTTGCAAATGTTGCTGTTGCAACTGAGCGGATTCAACATTGTCGTCAATATATGATGCTGAACTGAAGGAGATACAGTCATCACCTTGACCATCATGCAATGCTTCTTCATAATGGACATCATCTTGAGGTTCAGTAGATTGTTGTTGAAGCTGAGCGGACTCAACATTTTCTTCTAAATTGAGACATGATGCTGATGGAGGTGGACTGAGTAGTGGTGGCGGTGAATTGTCGACAGACGATGGGGTATGGCATCGTTTTTGTCGTTTGACTGTACAACTGTTTTCAAATGATATGGGTGCTGCCCTCTTGCGTTCAATTTCGTCACTGTTGGTGCATACTTCGCTAGCATGTTCTTTAACTATTGATTCATCTGAAGAGTCACTACCGTGTCTTCTTTGCCGTTTTAATGGGCGATGACTTTTCTAAAGGTGTGGATGCCACTCTTTTGTTTTCAGCCTCAACATTGTCGTGCTGAGCGCGGTGATGTTCCATTAACGACTGGTTTGCATGTGATTTGTAAAACTGGATAATCGTATCATAAAGAACACTGCTTCCGTTCGTCTGTAAAAAGCCCTTCATATCAAAAGTGAAGGAAGATGACGAAATTCCGTTATTATCTTGCTTTAAAGTCTTGAGCACCATGTCATAACAGGTCTCCTTGGGAAAGGATAAACGAGAAACTTGTCGCAAGGAACGACTTGTACTGTCGTCAAAGCCAACGGTCCAAATATTAAGGAAATAATGAGACACATTTTCCGTGAGTAAGAACAAGTGTGTTCTATCCGTACTAGGAATCTTGCGAACCAAGGCAAAGTCAATTGCGACAATCTGATCATTCAGTGGGTCGGTTCCACATCCGTCAGCATTAGGTGAAAAGAGTCCTAAGTCTTTTTTCAAGTTATCAGCATAAACTTCTACGAGGCGAACATACGGCTTGTTATCGTCATGAGTAGCATTATTGTCAATTTCGCTATCACCATTCTGCGAAATTGTAACGAAGACCTTTAAGTTGTTGGAAGTTCTAGTACAAGCTATATGATCGATAGGCTCTGTATGAAAAATTGAGGAAAAAAATGTCGTGTTACAAATGATTGGTGATGATAAATGATATTCAAAAGGGCTAAAAAGACTTTACGGTTCTTTAATTTAACAAATTCAGTGAGATCGACAGGATCTCGAACACGGGGAGCATTGTACGTGTAAACCTGAGTACGAATGCGGTACATCAAAAGATGTCCAGATGTAAAACCTAACAGAATTCTTGGATCAGAGTGGCTCTTTCGATTCACCTCTTTGTTTGCTTCTAGCATATGAACAGTGGAAACAACTGCTGATGACGGAATGGAGTTGTTTCTCAGTTGTTCTACTCTCTATTGTATGTGATTAGTTGGTTAGAAATTTTATGTGACAGTATCATTCTATACAACTTACTTGAGCAGTTAAACAGTTTTTCGCATTGTCGAAAAATAAAAGGGCTAGCTGCTCTGCAGTATCAGTACAGATCACCAAAGCTAGTGTCTGCTTAACTTGACTTGTACCATATCGATTTTTATATACCTATAAAAAGCAAAATAATATAATGTGAGCAAGTGAAGCAACGAACCTATCTGAATGTATATTTTTACCATATTAAAAGGAGCGTCAGATATGGCCGCTTTGATGATATGGCCAGTAGGGGCGCGTTTGAAATGTACCGGTAACGTATCATTTCCATCAACGTAACGAAACGTAACCTCAATGTTACTGTCGTTGCTTGACATAACATTGGTAAGCGTTACCAAGACAGGACTGCTATTAATGCTGCAAGTCAGGTACTCTGTGTTATTTGTCTAGGTGCAAAGAAAACTTTTTCAGAACTGAGACAGTTTAATCAAAGAAAAAAAATGGTTTACTCAACGCGTGCCTGATGAGTTTCAGACAGGTCCATGGTTTCAGTCGTGAGTTCAATAGTGACTGAGTCATGATAAACAAATTCAGCTTCTTCACGAACATCATTAATACTACAAATATAATCCAGGAAGAGTAGACGACTTGGTGATTGTTTATGGTGGTTGATATAGCTTGCATTTCACGTTCTTAATAGTTAAACTGGATTCTTATTGCGCGTAAAGAAGGCTTTAAAGAGTCCTAATTGGTTAAGTACAAAAGGAGTGTAAAGGCTGAATTGGCTAATGGATTTAAAAAGTAAGAAATATTCTTTGTAAGAAAAATTCTTTGAAAAGATCAATTTATTGTAAAAAGAAAAGAAAAACAAGCGTTCAATCGCCCTTCCTTTTATAACTGTTCACTATGAATTTAAACTTCTGACTCGAGGAAAATTCTACTCCTTTTTTTTTTCTGTCACACCTTTCTTAAGTCCATGAAAAAAGTTTATCGATCCGACGAACATACATTCACATCAAAAGGCTGATACATATCAATTTTGACACACAGTTGTTCTCCATTTATTGCAACATAAGACTTCCGTCAGATGGTACCATTGAATGCACATAAGTTCTCTCACTCAACGAAGGCACCTGAAAAACAACATAGATACGTATTTATTTACAGCTCCTTTCGCTTGAAAGTAGTGAAAGGACTAAGTACTTTTAAGCTTTCCTAGAAACACGTATTGGCTGCTGATCACTTGAGCAGTTCAATAATTGCCTCCATCAGTGTAACCAAAAAAGGTTAAATTTGCAGTTTATTGCCCAGTACGCTTAACACTCGCCGGCCAAGTAATTGAGTAGCTTATTTCTACTTTAAGCTTGACGATCCTTCCCAAGACCTTAAGTAAAAGCAATGAAGAGCATGGTTAGGAACTCTACAGTCAGTTGGATTAACCCTTTTAACAAGGACGAAAATCGAAAATGCTACTATCATGTATAAATTGTTTATTTTTCAAAAGTGGTATTTTTAGAATCAAAAGATTATTTGCGCTATTTTACAGAACTTTGAGTTCTCTTTCTTACGAGCATGCAGACTAACTTGCATGTGAACGTCTCGCATAGTAGTTTGTTTGTTTTTTTTTGTTTTTTGTTTTTTTCTTTTTGACAGTTTTCATTCAAAAAAAACCTATTAGCGTTCTTATTTTTCGTCAGGTACTTTCTTGACTTGCTTTCTACTGCATCAAATTGTCGTTGCTGATCGTTGCAAATACATAGAAGATGATGCAGGTGCTTGGCATTTTTTTCAAAAAGTAAAACTCTTTCAACGTGTCTCACCTAAAACATGCGTTACAAAAAGGGCGTATACCAGGTCAAGTACAGTTCTAAGGAGATCGTCTATTCAAGTGACCCAATCAACAACTGGTAACAAGTTGAATTGTATGAGAGTTCACTGCTCATAGTAAACGACCTAGAAATGTTCCGGAAAACCAATATTACGGCCGCCTTGAGCTGATCATGCGTGGTGGTGTATAGAAAAAGATCAAAAGTCATCAGGAAACAGAGTGGAGCAACGACAGAGACGATTTCTGAACAGCTAACAACCCCTAAAGTACGTTTGTTTTTCTTTCTCTGTGTATGTGTGAGTCATTGTTTATTTACTAATCTAGCAATACCGTATAATACCTGGCCCCTCTATTAGGGGAAGAAAATTGACAATACGACACCCGTCAGCTGATATTTTTATGGTGTTTTATTGGATTTTTTTGTACAAAACAAACTTAGTAAGAAGCATAATCATCTTATTGAGCGTATACATATAGGTGCTTACAGATATAATGAATCAAGAATACTATGATATACACTTTAGACAACTGTAAGATAATACAAAGTGTGAAAAAGGGAAAGAATGCAATGCATAGAAGAAGCTATCAATATATGGAAATGAATATAACAACAAAGATCGGAAACAAGTAAAAGAGGGGGGATAATGTAAAGATTCACATACTAGATACATTTACATGTTAATAGAAAGAGAGGACCATTTTGTCATTTATATGTCACCAAAAAATTTCTTCAAGACACCGTCCGCACCTTCAACAGTATCAATAGCTGTGTCTTTAAAGTCTTTCTCATTTACACCATTGTTAATAAGCAAATTAGGTGTATCATCAGGGATTTTGTCAAGGGCATCCTTGATGGCTAGCCTTAAAATCTTGTCCTTGATGTACTTGGGAGAAACAGGTCCATCTTCTTGACTTAAAAAGTAAGCAGCGAGCCCAGCTACGTGAGGTGAAGCCATGGAAGTACCGGAAATAGTATTGGTGGCCCATCTGCTTCCTTTCCAAACAGATAAAATGTTTAATCCAGGAGCAAACACATCAACGCAAGGACCATAATTGGAGAAATAAGCTCGTTCATCGGCAATGGTAGAAGCACCGACAGTGATGGCTAATTCGGCAGCAGCAGGTGAATAATCACTATAATTGCGACTCAATTAGCATACACGATGAGAGCTTTAGGTATAATTACGATTGACAAACTTACCAAGCATCACGGTTATCGTTACCAGCGGCAACTGCAAATACAAGACCGGATTCAACTGCACCATTAACAGCAAGATCCAATGATGGAGATTTGCCTCCTCCCAAACTCATATTAGCTACTGAACCCTTGAATTTCTTATCGTTAGTTTTTCTGGCCACAGAGGCATCTTTGATATGCTCAGTTGTTGCCCAATCAACACCACGTACGACATCACTCATAGAACCTGATCCATTGGAACGTAATACTTTGACTGCGACAGGTTGAGCCTTCTTGGCAATACCATAACGCTTACCAGCAATTGTACCACTACAATGACTACCATGACCATTGCCATCTTCATCTCGATCTCCTGCAGGTACCGTTTGTCCCCATGAAGCACGACCTTCGAAGTCAATATGGTCAATGTTGATACCTGTATCAATCACATAAACTTTAACACCTTCGCCACCGTTAGGATCATGCTCGTATTTTTGATAATTCTTGAAAGTTAAAGGGTCAGGATGCGATACACGAGCAAGGCCCCAAGGAGCATTACGCTGGAGTTCGTTTGCATAAACCATTGAATCATGTTCTACAAAAGCAACCTAATATTCAAACCCAGTGAAGGATGAGCAAGTTAAATAAGTGTCATCTGTTCAAAAAGATAAGACGACTTACATCATCTGATTGTCGAATAGCGTCTAAAACATGATCATCAAATCTTCCAGAATAACCTTTAAGTTTTGGCGTATCATAGACATGTTGAATACCAGCAGTGGCTGTATGAGGATCCAAATAATCACTCAACCTATATCGGCCATTGGACTTTTGTGTGAGAGTGCTGATCCAGGCAGCATGTTCTTGGATTTGATGTGTTTGCAAGTTATTTTTCAGAATAACAATGTAGGAATTGGAAATGACCTCTGTTTCAGGAGAGATATACAAAGGAGCCATTTCATTTTTAGGGTCTTGGTAAGAGAAAGGTTTGGCTTGGGCCAAAGAAGCAACCATTAAAGCACTAGCAAAGAGACTAAGTTTCATCTTGATAAGAAAAGTATATGTAATAAAGAATCAAAAGGGAAAGAAAAAATGATTAATTATAAGGGAAAAAGATGGTTTTGATCTTATACTATTTATACGAACTCGGATGATTTTTTTAATGCACGATATCTTTAAAGAACAAATGATCATTGAAGAAAATGAACAAAGAATCAGCATAGCTGTAATAATGTGACCCTGAAACGTAATAGTTCTAACGTTCTACAGGTTCAGCCCGGTGATATGCTTTGATTGAAATCGCAAATTCTGTACTTTTTCACACGCCACTGTTTCAATCACATCTTTACCAAATGCACTACAGTCGTTCAAGCAATTTGCAAAGAAAATCACGTCTTTGAAAAATAAGAAAATTCCAATAACTAACTGTTCGAGAATTCAAATCATGGATTGTGAGCTAATTTTTTCTTTTTGAGCATTTTAATATGATTTTGAAATGCTGTTATTTGTTTCAACGTAACAATTTTCCAATGAAAAAGTTGCGAAATCAGCTTTGCTCACAATTCACGATTTTGAAACTTTTTGAACAATCATTGCAATTTTTATTTTAAAAGTCCGTGATTTTCTTCGAAAATTGCTTGGAAGAGCTGCCTATGAGAAATAAGCATAATTTTAGTCTTGGCCATTCGGTCGAGTTGACAAGGTACTGGCATTCAATTTGTTGATACTTTATTCAACAACCTGCTGCTGCACATATCGTTCTAGCTACATAACTTCTAAAGATCGCACCACTAAATTTCTATGCAATATGATTGTTGTACATTTAACATCGTGAATCAATGTGATATGTCGCTATTTGCAAAACTCAGACTCAAGCTGCTAACAGATAACTGCTGATATACAGTACGCTCATAATGTTATCCAGTTGTTATTGGTTGTAATAAATAGATCAAAAAAAATGAAATAGTGATACCATCCCCCTTTTCTTATTCGTACCCCTTTATGCTGTTTAAAAGCATTCGAGAAATAGCAGACAGATACAGTAACATGCTGCGGTTGATAATTCAAACCAATGGAAACAAAAGAGAACTCATACTGTTAGCAGTATCGAACCAATAATCAAACTCCATCTTTAATTTAGCAGAACCACTTGGACGTTCGTAAGCCTAATGCTTGTGGAATTACATATTCCATGCAATTTTCCCAGGAATTGTCCTTAGTTCTTCGACAGAAGATGTTACATATTTAAAGCAAGTCAGACGCCAATACCAGATGCTCAAGTTGTATTTGCTGTCAAATGACTAAACTTAATGACTTTTGATACTTATAAGAGTGAATTGACGAGAAAGATGAGGTTATTTCTACTGTTTAAAATCGTAGTAGCAGTGGAGACAACTAAAACTTTCTGCAAGGATTACAAGTAACCTTGATGCAGTACATAATGGTTTCGAAATATTATCCTTCATCAAATAATCACAATACTGATGGTATAGGCACATCTGCAGTCATTGCTATAAATATATAAAAAAAAGAGGCGGAATCGAAACAAGTGAAGAAAAACCAAAAAATAAGCAAAAGTTATACAATTGATCAAACTACAAATTTCAAATAGCCTTTTAAGAGATAATGCAGAATTGGACCAAAATGCAGCAATCCAAGTAGGCATAAAAGAGCACTCTGCTTACCCATTATGTGAAAGTATGCTTTCAGTACTTCAATCTCCAATCAGTCATATTTATGAGTTAACTAGAATACATCAAAAAAATTGGAGATATAGATGTATCTGAAGGCAATCTGAGGCGAGGGGTTCACTAAGTGTGAAACTTTGCTATAAGTTTTCGCAAGAAGCTGCTTTGACTACGAGAGCATCAAGCTCATACAACAATAGCAATACAGCTATTAATGAAACTATGTTAGCCGGAGAGTTTCAAGAGGAACTTTTAAATTCTCAATCACCTTTCTCTTTGCCTTGTTTGGTGGAAAAGAAAGGGCTATGCTATATCTTCAACTCTAATGAAAAGAGTCAAGTGCTATCGTGGCTCAAAATGTGTGCGTTTGAAGTTCTTGTTCTTCTAGCTTTAGCAATAAGAACAATATCTTTGATAGCTGAATCATTGATCATGCAGGAGCTTTCTTCACTTTAGGAATGACGCGAAGACCATCAGCTGAATAATGACTGATAATCTACAATTGAAGCTTGTGTTCGAAAACTGTTATTTGATTGTTCCATCTGAGTACTAATAAGCTTGCATTAAACCTTTTTTGTAACCTTGGAAAGGTGGTAAAATCCAGGCAAGTAAAATTCATCAAATTTCGAAATGTTCCTGAAGAAGAGTTCAAATCACACAGATACACAAGCATTAAGTATAATTTTACAAATTATATGTAACTCCGGTAAAAAGAAATAGTAGCAAGTTGACAACTTCATGTCCATTTTACTTACTGTTAGCCCCCCTGCGAAAGCATGGGTTAATGATCAATATCGTTCAAAATATACCAAGCACAGCTACTATTACTTTAAGGTTTCAATGTGAGGAGTAACGTGATTTATGTATCTACGACATTGCTGGTGACGCTAAAACCCAGGGAAAACATAGCAGATCGAATCTTTGTAGATACTTCCTGCGTAAGAAGCTAGAATAAACAATATTGTTGTTTCCAACTCTCAATCTAAGATACTTACTTACTACACTATTCTTAATCACTAATGGAGGAAAAGATCATAGGCTTATTCAATGTGTTTAAAATAGCGTCTATTTCCAAGCTCGCTATTTGCTCCTCATTTATGCCTGTAGAACCCTTTCTTCTAGAGATGATCTTAACGTATATTTGTTACCTGTGACTCCGCTAAATCTAGGTAAGTTGCTTCTTGATATTCTCTCTGTTTGGCTACCATAAATTCACTTTCCCCTTTATTTTTTCCCAATCCTCTTCTCTATCTTTCCTCTTTTTATCTTTATATCAATTGGAGTCCAATGGCACCTGCAATACATGAAGAAGATAGTGATTGGGAACATACCGACACGCATTATCTGTTCAAGAAGCCTATTGAGAAGCCTGCCAACGATGAGCGAGATTACCGACTTATAAGACTTTTCAACCAGCTCGAGATTTTGTTGATCAGTGATCCCGAGACGGATCGTGCCAGTGCAGCACTGGATGTCCATGTAGGAAGCCTAAGTGATCCGGTAAAGTATATTCTCAATTTATTATTCTTTTCGTTTTGGTTCTATATCAAATAATGAATAGAAATAAAAAGAAAAAAATAAAAATAAAACAGAAGGTGTATCAGGATCAACTAAAAAGATGATTCCCCAATTATGATAAATCAACAAAATAATAGCCAGAATTGCAAGGTTTGGCTCATTTTTGCGAGCATTTACTGTTTATGGGAACAAAAAAATACCCAAAAGAAAACGATTATTACAGTTATCTTTCAGAGCATTCAGGTACAATGTCAAATGTTGAAAAAAGACAAAAAAATAACCATTGAATTTAACTTTAACCATAATATTTCGACTTTTTATCAAAATATAGGTCATGCGAATGCTTACACAGGAACAGAAAACACAAACTATTTTTTTGAAGTCGGGCATCAATGGTTGGAAGGCGCACTTGATCGATTTTCGCATTTCTTTATAGATCCATTATTTTCGGAAAGTTGCACAGAAAGAGAGTTGAAGGCTGTTGATTCTGAGCATAAAAAGAATCTTCAATCAGACTGTTGGCGTATTGCTCAAGTAGAGAAAAGTCTAAGCAATCCAAATCATCCATGGCACATGTTTGAAACAGGCAACTTAGAGACATTGATGGAGAAGCCCAAGTTATTAGGCATAGATATTAGGGATGAGCTTTTGAATTTTCATGACAAGTATTATTCTGCAAATATAATGAAGTTGGCGGTTATTGGAAGAGGTACATATAAACACAGTTAGCAGCAAGTTAAACTCCAGACACTAAATTTTTTTTACTATTCATGACAGAATCATTGGAACAACTTACAAAATGGGTTGTTGAAAAGTTCTCCAATGTAGCAAACAAAAATATACCCATTCCTTCCTTTGAGGGTCATCCTTTGACAAAAAATGAATTGATGCGACAAATTTTTGTTAAATCAGTCAAAAAAAGCCGTACTCTAGATATAACCTTTCCTTTTCCTGATCAAAGTCTTTACTACGAAAGTCAGGTATATTGGAAACAACTACTTTCTTCTATACAGGGGATATGACTATTCATTATACCATTTATTTTTAAAGCCTGCTCACTACATATCGCATTTGACTGGTCATGAAGGCCCTGGCTCTATATTATCCTATTTGAAAAAGAAGAACTGGGCAACGTATCTCAACTCGGGCATGTGCTTCGGTGGAATCGGGTTTGGGTTTTTTCACGTTAGCGTTGATCTCACTGAAAAAGGCTTAGGTAAGTATATGGAACCATGTGGGTGATGCTGAACGAAAAGCAAATTAAATTAACCCTTTCTTTCATTTTAACGTAAGAACACTATGAGGATGTTGTTGTGTCGATTTTTGAATACATCGAAATGTTAAAGGAGTCAGGCGTCCAAAAATGGATTTTCGACGAGATTAAATCATTGGCAGAGATGGGTTTCAGGTTTTCTGAAAAGTGTCCACCTTCTCAGTATACCTCATTTCTAGCACAACAGATGCAAGAGAAGTTTCTTCCTCAGTGGATACTCAGCGGCAGTTGCTTATTACGAAAGTACAATCCAGAGTTAATTGAGCAGCATATGGATTTACTGCGTCCAGATAATTTCCGATTGACACTAGCTTCCCAAGAGTTCCCTAATAATCTGAAATGTACCAAAGTCGAAAAATGGTACTCTACGGAGTATGAGGTGCTTCCGTTATCCGAACAATTATTATCAGTAAGTACAATAGCTCGTTTCATTGCTAGTGAATAATAATTATTGATCTGTATTTTTGATATAGAGACTTTCCGATATCTCGATAAACACATATTTCAAATTGCCCGCGATAAACGAATTCATTCCTTCTAAATTGGATGTCGATAGATTGGATACAAAGAAGAAAAAGATGCAGCCCGATCTGCTAAAGGATACACCTTTAACCCGTATATGGTATAAAAAGGATGATACGTTCTGGGTCCCTAAAACAAACGCGTGGATATTTTTTAAAAATCCTTTGTTTTATGCTGTTCCTCGTAATGCCGTTATTTTAGAGTGAGTATTTGATAGCAATACTTATGTAAAACTCCTGAAATATACAGTTAAACTAAACCTGAATACTTCTCGTAGACTATTCATCAACCTGTTAACCGACTCCTTATCTGAATATTCGTATAATGCTGAGGTTGCGGGACTGCTTTACTATTTGAACCGAGAATCAAAAGGCATTACAGTAAGTCTCTTTAAAGATACCAATTCATAATCAGTAATTCATGAAACGACTCATCCCGAAATAACTATCATAGCTATATATTGGTGGCTATAGTGACAAACTGCCCTTGCTTTTAGGAAAAGTAGTTGACAAGATGAAGCATTTGAAAATACAGCCGGATAGGTTTGCCATTTTCAAAGATGAGCTTACACGCGGATACGAGAATTTCTTTATGGAAGCGCCTTATCAGCATTCTGCTTACTACATGTCGTATGCCCTGTGCGAGAGAAAATGGACATGTGATGATTATTTGGCCGAGATCAAAGACTTAACCATAGAAGAAGTACAAAATAACATTTCAATGATTACGTCTAATTTACATATCGAAGGTTTAATTCATGGCACTTTGGAAAAAGACGAAGTGATTGCGATGTTTCAAAAGCTACAAGATATTCTGAACCCTCGCCCTTTACTATCCAGCCAGTTTATTGGAGAGCGTGCTGTGCTGTTACCTCCAGGTGCCAAGTATGTCTATCAGTTACCAGTGCGCGATCGTGATGAAGTGAATTGTGCCATCAATTACAATTGCCAGATTTGCAATGTAACAGACATTGTGCTTCGAAATCGCTTAAGCCTCGTCGCACAAATAGCACAAGAACCTTGTTTCAATCAGCTTCGTACGAGGGAACAGTTAGGCTACCTAGTCTTTAGTGGCATTCGTAGACAATTAAGTCAATTGGCGTTTAGACTTATCATACAAAGTGAACGTGACCCCATTTACCTCGAGAATCGTGTACTGGAATTTTTGGAAGCGTTGAGAGAAATCATTGTCAATATGAGTGAACCAGAGTATGAGTCTCAGATCAATTCTCTCATTGCAGAAAGGACAGAAAAATATAAAAACCTCTGGGAAGAAGGTAACAAGTATTGGATGGACATTGAATCGGGCTATTATGAGTTTGACGATGTTGACAAAGACGTACAAGAATTGAAAACGATTACCAAGGACTCGTTGTTAGCCTTCTACGATAAGTTCATTATGCCAGATTCTCCCAACGCCAGTGCTTTTTCCGTTCATTTACAATCCCAAAAAAAGAAGGCGCTCACTAACGACAAAAGGAAAGAAGATGAAGAGCGAAAGCAAAACTGTTCAGTAGACCAACTGAATGCAACTCTAAAGTATCTCAAAATCATTGATTCCAAAACAATGACAGAAGACAAGCTAAAAACACTGGTAACAGACAGTGGTGGAGATACCATGCTTCAAAATGATGGAAAGCTTGACGAATTTTTGAGCATCAGCCTCAAAGTGCGAGAGCCCAGTATCAGGAAGCAGGTGACTGAGAAACTGAAGCAAGGACCAAGCGGACTATCAAAACGAAATCATGCAAAACTACCTGAGCACTATGAAATTATAAAGGACATAAACAGCTTCAAACAAAGAATGCGCCTCTCTGTTGCGGCTGTACCACTTTACCCCTTTGGCAATGTTTAAAAATGCCTGCAAAGCCTGCAATTTCATATTTTCTCATTCCTCACAAAAAGTATCGACCATTTATTGATACACTTTGTTTTAACCGCCGTTTCAACCATGTATTTTATTTCTATTCGTATATCTACAATCAGGTTAATATCTAACTTTGTAATTTATAATTTCTTTTTCTTCTTCCTTTCACTATATTATCCGCACTCCCTTCGCCTTATTTTTAATAAGTATACATAAAAAAATTCTCAATCATACAATAATAAACCAGCTTTGATCCACAGTAAAAAAAATGACGCAAAACTATGACTTGCCAAACTTCCCTCTCTTCAACAATCTGATACAATATGCGACGAATACGGAGCAAATTGCTATTGATGATAGTAGAATAGGAAGGAGTTTTACTTACAAGGAATTGATTACTGCAGTAATCAAACTTAGGCATGAGTTACTAAATGGCAAAAGGTAAATTAGTCTAGGCTTATATGAATAAAGTAAATAGACTCATCTAAAGCGCTATGTTATTTATTCAGTTCTTTAAAAGAGCAAAGGGTGTTAATTCTATGTCCAAGGTAAGTCCAAAGTATTCTTTACCATATTCATACCGAAACCTGTCTGAATACAGCTTCATATAGTGGTTTCCCTTACGTTGTCGCTTTATTAGCAGTTTGGGCAGCTGGAGGTATTGCCGTACCTTTATGTAAGTGAGCTACTGTTTCAGAATTCCATCACTGATCCGATAATTATCCTGAAGCATTCTCTTCATTTAAGCTCATTGTTATTTTTGTGTATATGCCATATAGGCACGACACATCCATTACCGGAACAAATCTATACAATGCAGGACTCACAATCGTCACTTATTGTTGGACACCCTCTCTTTGGCGAACGAATAAGCCAACTGACTTCAGAGATAACGATTTCAGTCCTAATCAAAGATGATTCCTCGTTTTTAAATATGTTAGGCGGAGATGATTTACTACAACAAACGCAAATAATGAATGATCCTGTAAGCTTCGATGCAGGAAATCTCATTATATACACCAGCGGCACTACAGGTAAACCCAAGGGTGCATTGTCAACACATGCCATTACAGATGCTCGGATTTCTGTTCTTGTCAATGCTTGGTATTGGACTGCCAATGATCGTATTCATCATACTTTACCTCTACACCACATTCACGGTATCATCAATGCACTGTTATGCCCCTTGTACATCGGGGCCACTGTCGAAATGTTTGAAAAGTTTGATGCAGCACAAGTATGGGGACGATGGGCAGCAAATATTGACGATAACAAGCAAGAACGACCAGCCATGACAGTTTTCATGTCAGTCCCCACTGTTTACTCAAAATTGATTCAGCATTATAAGAAACAAGATGTGGAGAGGCAAGCACAATTGACAAGGTCATGTAAGCAATTCAGACTCATGGTATCCGGATCAGCATCATTACCAACAACTTTAAGGAACCAATGGAGAAAAATTAGTGGAGGACAGGTCCTGTTGGAGCGCTATGGCATGACAGGTATAATACAAAAAGGGCGAATATATGAGATTATTAAGAGTTTATAGAATTATATAAATTGTTTACGGTTAAATCATTGTAAAAATTGAAACAGAGATTGGTATGGCACTTAGTCAAGAATATATGATATCAGAAAGAGTGGAAGGAACGGTTGGATTTCCTTTGCCTGGTGTTCAAGTACGTCTTATATCACAAGAAACTAATCAAGATGTTACTGAAGACAGAAATGAGCCTGGTATTCTTCAAATCAAAGGGTGCAATATTTTCAAAAAATATTGGGAAAAGCCCGAGGCAACCAAGAAGGAGTTTACAGAAGATGGCTGGTATAGTTATAGTTAAAAAAAGTATGCTTTCAGATTTCTGTGTTCTAACATTATAGTATAATGAAGGTTCATAACAGGTGACGTAGCTCAAAGATTGGGTTGTCGTGGATATTATCAAATTATGGGTAGAAAAAGCGTTGATATAATTAAGGTAACATGTCCTATAGATGCTAAAAAAAACCAAAAAAACTCACAACATGTAAATAGACAGGCGGTGAAAAAGTCTCAGCATTAGAAGTAGAAAGAGAATTACTGTCATGTGATTTAGGAATACAAGACGTGGCTGTTGTAGGAATTCCTGATCCTGAATGGGGTCAAAAAGTAGCAGCAGTAGTTGTTATGGAGGACAACAAAGTGAGTGATGTATGATAGCAACAAAATACTGGAGTAGAATGAAACAGCTATGCTGACTGAAATGATGAATTTGTAGGAACTTGATTTGGCTACAATGAGAGCTGTTATGAGAAAAAGGGTTGCTGTATATAAAGTCCCAGCCATTTTAAAAACCATCTCAGAGTTGCCCAAGAATGCAATGGGAAAAGTAACTAAAAAGCAAGTTATGGCTCTGTTTTAGTTATTTTTGCACGTCAAGCGGGTGATTAAAGAAGTGCCGTACGAGTAGGGTAATCAAAGGAAGAGTTTAATTAGACTTGCTCTCATCGTAATCATTTTATCAGCAATTTCAACATATATATTACTCCATTACTAAGAAAGAACAATAAAACAATGTCTTTTGAAGGGTGCCTTTCAAATGAGAATAGTACTGATCTCATCTAACTGAAGAAGAGTGAGATCCACCAACCCCTCACTCGCAAAAGCGAACTGATATTGATGACAACCAAATGGATATAAAAAATTATACGCCACCTCATCCAGACACAAAAGTTGAAGTGTAAGTATTTTAAGCATTCAAATAAGAGCAGTGAATCGATATGAGACTTCAGATTAAGCCATCCATTATCAGCAGACGTGCCATAATCCCGGAAATAGTAGATTGTCGACTACTGAAAATTTTGATCAAAGAATGTCCTAGAAGACAAATGAGTGCAGAAGAAGAGTTAATTATTGAGCCGGAGGTACATCAGTACTATTTCCTTTTCCTTCCTTACAGTCACTGCTTCAACACATGTTCAATAAAAGAATATTATAAAATCATGCTTAAGAATTAAATAACACATCGTCTATACGATGTATTTACTGGGTATTCGGGGCATCGAATTACAATAAAATTAAGTTATTTTGACAGATCTGAGCAATAATTCGCAACTTATGGTGTGCTCGTAAAAGCTGACTGTTCTATGAGAAAGATCCCACATTTAGCACACAAAAAGTGTTCATGCCGCCCCTAAATTTGATTTCCCGCCCAGGGGCAACCGTTCCATGGTTTTTAAACGTCTTGCAACCCCGCCCTTCTAAATGGACCTTAAAAAGGCCTTTGCGCGCTATTTTATGATATGGTTTCAACTCACAATTTGTATAACGCACCTGGAAACCTGCGGGCTAACCATTACATAATACACAGAAAACTGAAATGTGCATTCAGCGGTAATGAATAAAGACTACTATACAAATGTTGTAGAACAATAAGACAACACTCAATTCTCGACCTGTTTCTTTTCTGTACCTACATCTTCAATTCGTTGTTATAGTCTCAAGTCTTGAGAGCCCCTTCTTTTTTTAACTTAAGGTGGGCTTATGATAATACCGTCTAAAAAGAAGTGAAAATTACAATTACATTGCATAAATCTGCTCGACTGCATATTAATAATGTTGTAATAAATTGCAATAACAGTTTACTGCTGTATCGATAAATCGAAGAATTTACAAATGTATAAAATCTGCAACGCTAGTCTATGTTAAATGCTAATGTCATTAATTTTGACAAATAGTAATGGATTACATTTGTCATCGTTAATACGTAAACGTTACGATGAAAGTACTGGAACTTTTTTTTTAAGTTCATGTAGATTTCCATTTTATTAAATATTCGTAATGTTACATCAACAAGGGAATATGACAGTATATCAAAGATGCAATAGGATAAATAATATAACATTGTGAGTACTTCCATGCTTACTCAACACTACAGTCAGCTGCTGAACTTGTGCCGATTATTTCGTCATTGTTCTGTTTGATTGATGCATTGTTGTGAGTATCATTTTCAGTTGCTGTTAAATCGTTGATATCGTTTGCTATGGTATCAGAAGAGGTACTATTGTCCACTGTAGTCGCTGCAATATTACGAGATAAGATTTCCAAAAGCCGAACATATTTTTCCTCCATGACTTTATTTTTTTCAGTTATACCCCCACACATACTCATCATCTTCAGTTGAGACTTTTGCATGTATTCGTTGAAGTCCTTCATCATCTGTACTTGCGCTTTATTCATTTCTTTCAATTGCTCCATGAACATACGCTGTGAATCCACAATAAGCGCACTACTAGTACTCATATTATTGCCAATATGTGCTGAAGATGGAGATAATGCTGGTGTCGTAACTCTAGCTGCAGTCGATTTTCTTCGCTTCAATAGATTATGATCTAATTCTTCGTCGTTCACATCATCATCAAATAAATAGACTGATCTCCTCTTTCTATAGTTTTCATGACCACCGTTACCACTATTATTACTATTGTTACTATTGGCATTTTCGAGATGAGAATATATTAGTGGTTCGGTCACAATTGGTAGATGATGTAGATATTCGTCCATATACTGAAAGTGATTCCAGAAAGAAACTGCAGGTAGAGAACTGGTAGGCTGTTGCATCTGTACAAAGACTCTTTCAGCATTATATTTCGCCATTAACCTTTCCCATTTATACATGATGCTAGAGCGGCTTCGCTGATCGTTAGTAATGCTATTATATTCGTTGGTAAGTGCAACCCAAGCTGCTAAGGATTTATCCTCATCTTCACTCGATAATCCATTATAATGTTTACGGTGAAGTTGGATTAGAAGCGCAACTTTAGATTCCGGCCAATATGTTTCTAAGAATTGTAACTTTTCTTGGAAGGTAAAAGGCGTCGTAAATCGTGCCTGAAGTCGTTGTTGTTGTTGTTGTTGTTGTGGGGTTTTCTGTGGCGTTTGTTGTGGTGGACTGCGAGTATGAAGAGGGGCGGGAACATGTGAAGGCGGCTGAGCTTCAGAATTGGTATAATTAGACTGATGCTGTTGTTGCTGTTGCCGCTGTAAAATTGAAGGTGGTTGGTGCGTTAGATTATTGCTACTACCAGTTGGAGGATGGAATTCAATAATTTGAATTTGCGGTTGTTGCTGCTGTGGTGGTAATGACTTTGTTACCTGCGGTAACGTTGTTTGATGCTGTTCAGAAGGTTGTGATACTTTTGGATCCTGTTGAGGTTTCTGCTGCTGGGCTGTTGAATTCGGCTGACCTTGTTGTTGAGGAGTTGACACACCAGAATGTGCTGAAGAGAACTGTTGTTGTGATTGTTGTTGACGTGATGACTGCTGCTGTGCTTGATTTTGCTGTGCTTGCAATTGCGTTGGTGAATCTGTAGGTGGATTCGGTGTAATAGGCCTATAATTCCTCATTTTCAAAGGAGTCCCGTTATTAGTAGGTGTTGCTGCTGAAAAACTGGTTGGTTGTGAGGCAGTAGACTCATGCTCAGGAGACGCAGGAACGACTGTTGGTACATTTTGCGAAGGTGTTATGTTGTTGTTGCTACCGTTCGCTACTACTGCCGATTTACGTGACGCTGTTGCGCTTACCATCTTTTCTCCATTGAAAGTTTGAGGCACAAATATGCTATTTGCCATCACTTGCCTTTTGTTGCTTAACAGCGAGGAGGAAGATGTCTAATAGGAAAGGCAAAAATTTTAAATTGAAGAGTCGGAACAATTTTTTAACTTTTTTGCCCCTAATGAAAAATATGCTTGACGTTTTTGCCAGACACAAAATGAACAGCGTGTTTCTGTAGGCGACAGAACTTGAAAAAATCAACCACAGCAACAGAGAAAGAAAATTTTCGAGGAAAAGAAGGTTCAAGATCTTCAACTTACTATTCCCCTTAGAACAGTTTTTTCTCTTGAGCAATTACTTAAAACCGATCACAAAACAATTCGTTTTTATTCATTACATAGAAAAGGATCGAAATAGTAACTCAAATGTAAGTCTCGAACGTAGAATTGTATCTAGATCAACAGGTCAACTAATCGACTCTTAAATTTGGAAATTAAGGTCTTCCTCTGCCCTGAAAATGATCAATCCCAACTCGGATGTCGCCAGACGCGGTCAGGCACTTCAACTCAACATTACAGCCGCAATTGGTTTGCAAGATGTCTTAAAATCCAACCTGGGCCCTAGAGGAACAATTAAGATGTATGAATTAAGAAACGCGTAATAACTATTAGTTGTTCGATGCGACTAACATTGAAATTTAGGTTAGTTGATGGTGCCGGAGGAATTAAGCTTACCAAGGATGGTAAAGTTCTTTTGAGTGAAATGGTAAAGCTCGCAATGAAACTAGTAGTTGTTCTCGAACTGTAGATTTTAACTTTTGACGTTTCCACTTTGACCCCTCTTTAGCAAATTCAACATCCTACAGCTGCCATGATTGCCAAGGCTGCCACAGCTCAAGATGAAATTACAGGAGATGGTACCACCTCTATTGTCCTATTAGTTGGTGAATTGTTGAAGCAAGCCGAGCGCTACATTTCTGAAGGCCTTCATCCTCGTGTAATCACTGAAGGTTACGATCTTGCCAAAAAGGAAGCTCTTAAAGTAAGAATTCTTGTTGTGCTTATCTCGAATCTCACGCTGTATTAATGGGAACCTTCATCTCTCGAATTGATAGTTCTTGGAAGAATTCAAAACAGCAAACGTTGATATTGATCGTGAATTACTTATTTCAGTTGCTCGTACTTCACTCCGTACCAAGGTTCATAAAGCCTTAGCTGACACACTTACCGAAGCAGTTGTAGACGCTGTTCTTGCCGTTCAACATGAAAATGAACCTATCGATTTACATATGGTTGAAATCATGAAAATGCAACATCGTTCTGAAACTGACACCAAACTTATCCGTGGCCTTGTTTTGGACCACGGTGCTCGCCATCCTGATATGCCAAAGAAGATCAAAGATGCCTTCATCTTAACCTTGAATGTCAGTCTGGAATACGAGAAATCAGAAATTAACTCGGGCTTTTTCTATTCAACACCTGAACAGCGTGATAAATTAGTTGAGAGTGAACGTAAACATGTTGATGATAAAGTACGCCGTATTGTTGAATTCAAAAAAGAAGTGTGCAGCGGTGAAAATGCGAACCGAGGATTTGTTATCATCAACCAAAAGGGTATTGATCCCCTTTCGCTTGATATTCTAGCTAAGAACGGTATTTTTGCTCTTCGTAGAGCTAAAAGAAGAAATATGGAACGTCTTCAATTGGCTTGTGGCGGCATTGCTCAGAACTCAGTGGATGATTTAACTCCTGAAGTACTTGGCTATGCTGGTAATGTGTATGAACAGGTCTTGGGCGAAGAAAAGTATACTTTTGTTGAAGATGTCAAGGATCCTTACAGTGTAACCATTTTGATCAAGGGTCCCAATCCTCATACCATCGCTCAAACAAATGATGCAGTTCGTGATGGTCTTCGTGCCGTTAAAAATGCAATCGAAGATAAGGCAGTTGTTTTGGGTGGTGGTGCCTTCGAAGTAGCATTATCACAACATTTAATCCAATATAAGAAGCAAGTGAAGGGCCGTGCCAAGATGGGTGTACAAGCCTTTGCAGATGCTATGATGGTGATTCCTAAAGTTTTAGCCCAAAACGCAGGTTTTGACGCACAAGATGTGATTGTGGCCTTGCAAGATGACCACATGGATGGACATATTGTTGGTGTAGACCTGAAGACAGGAGAAACCATGGATCCCAAATTGGAAGGTGTTTGGGATAATTACCGTGTTCATCGTCATATGCTTCACTCATGCTCTGTTATTGCAGGCAATCTCCTGTTAGTTGATGAAATTATGCGTGCAGGCAGAACTTCTTTGAAGCAATCTCAAATGGGTGAACAATGAAATGATATGTAGGAGAGATAAAGAAATTTTTTTTTTGTAAAAGTATAGCTGTCTGATTATATATATGTTCATATATAACCTATGATTTCCCTTTTCTTTTTCTTCTTCTTTTTGATACATTTCTTTATAAAAAAGTTGATATTGGTAACAAGCAGTTTACATTTAAGGAAATAATTTAAGGGCCTTCTTTAAGAAGTTCTTCACAGATTTTTTTTTGGATTGCAGTCATCGAGAAAAGGATGTTCCATAGCCTCTTGCGCGCTTATTCTAGCAGCAGGATTGTATTGTAGCATACGGCCTAACAAGTCTTGCGCTAATGGATCCAAACACGGGAAAATTTGCTGCATTGACTGCAGTGGATAGGAAGAAAAAGACGGTCTATAATTTGGCATTTGTGTCATACCTGGCCAAATTTCTTCGTTTGGTGTACCCAGAACGCGGTAAACCTTTTGGAGTTGCTCCTCCGTATTCTTACCGTAGAAGATAGGCGACCCTGTAAACAATTCTGCCATGATGCACCCAACAGACCACATATCGAGTGAATACGAATAATTACATGACCCTAGCGAAATATCAGGTGGACGATAAGACAACGTTACTATTGAATTGGAAAGACTATGACACGGTACGCCCATCGATCTGGCAAGGCCAAAGTCTGCCAACTTCAAAAAGCCGGAATTGTTGACAAGTAGGTTGTGTGGCTTCAAATCACGGTGAATTATTCTGTGATTATGACAATAAGCTAAACCATCAAGCAGCTGGAACATGAACGATTTGATGACAGGAACAGGTATGCCACTGGGTGCTATTCGTACAATCGGTGTTAACAATGATGGCATAACAGTTGTTGTTGTTGTTGTTGTTCGAAATTTTGCAAACTGATGTATGTAAGTATATAGATCTTGATCCATATATTCGAAGACGACTGTTAAAGATGCATCTGTATGCACAACATCGCATAATTTGATGACGCTTCGATGGTTGAGTTCCTTTAGTAAAGATATTTCCCGAATTGCGGTGGACGGCGCACCTTCATCCGGGTCCAGCTTTATCTCTTTTAAGGCTACAAGTTCTCCAGTTAAATGATTCCTTCCTTTGTATACTCGACCGTATGCGCCTTCACCCAATTTTTCCATCTTGACGTACACTGTCTGTTTTTTATCAAAGCTCTCATAGATATTGTTAATCTGAATTGTCATTGATGTTACTGATCTATTGTAGTTGTACTTTAATTTCTGCTATGATAAAGGTAGCAAAATCGGGATAATATGGAAACGTGTTATTGTGGACCTGAAGTAAAAGAAAACAAACCATTTTTTGATAAAAGACGCATATTGTATATATAGAGAACTGAACGAAATATGTATTGGTAAAAAAGTTGCCAAATATGTTGGGAATAGTGGAGATCAACGTATCCTCGTGATCTGAAAGCAGCCGGAAAAGCTTGTAAATAACTTGCTTCTTTGTCTTCCTTTTTCATTCAATTGATAATAAATGTGAATGTACCTTAAGCCTAGGCCTGTAACTGTTAGTACAAAGAGTAAGCCTACTCTAACCATAAAAGTATACCAGAACAGTATAATAATCCATTCTTTTTAACAACATAACGCTTTGAATGAACACTAAGAGACTTATCTCTAAATTCATACCCTTAAGATACTCAACCTAGGTTGATGAATGTACCAACAATAATCCATCATTTTATTTAATTCAACAGTTCATTATGTTACTTTCAATAATTGTACGCATTTAGCATATATTGAAAGTAAAGATTCCATTATTTGTGCGCTTTTTGCAATTTTTCCTTGACTGAATCGATATCTGACTTGACAATTTTCACCTTCATTTTCAGACGTTGTTCTTCACTTCTAAGCCTAACAATCTCCTGCCGCAGTTGTTGTACTTGCTGTTCTTCATATACTTTGTCAGTGGTAACCTCTGCACTGCCACAGTTAGCATTGTTTTCTTGCGGAACGTTCTGATCTGTTGAATCATACTTTTGGTAGTCGGTGTTAGCATCTAAAACCGTTGAGTTAGCAGGAGGAAAAGCATAAGAAGGCGCGAAATGCAAAGCTTCGTAGTGGTGAGTTGAAGCCATATTGTCAAAGCTTTAATAGTTCAAAAATGTTGATAAAGCCGGAAAGAAAGGATCTTTTATACGTCCTGTATAGGTTTCGCATTAAGTTTAGTCAATATACTTTAGTCTTTTTTACGCTATCCCTTTCAATGCAAGCTTTACTGCTTTTGAAAGCCTTTTTATCGTTAACAGTCTCCTTTATATACCTTTATTTTTTAATACCGAAAATATATTACTGTGAAACTGTATGCTGTGGTAGCTACTTTTGATAAAGTACATCCATTTTCCAAGCTCATAAAAGTTACAAGGTTCTAATAATAAACATGCCATTTGTTTATAATAATGATATAACGAAATTATAGTAGTTAACACTCGAGAGTTTGATGCTGTCTATTCAATGCATCAAAGTTGAAATCCATATCCTTAGAAACTCCTGTCTGGAAAGCGGCAATCATAGGCGTCACTATCAGTCAAGTAACGGTTGTTAGCGAACAAACTCAACGCAAAGATTAGGAATTTATGCACATTTAAACATACCAGACACATAATTATTCATAAGTGCCCACTTATCAGTTCCAGGTAATCCATCGGGGTCTCGATTGATAGCTGTAAAATCGGGTTTAAAAACAAACTTCTGCTGCCCTTTTCCAGTTTCTGATGGTTGTTTGACAAAGAGAGACCCATAAGTAGCTTTATGGAAATCCGTAATATGAATAGGGCATCGATAATCTACCATAGGAATATTAACATTGAACATGCCGTGTTCAGGCCAAACGGCCCTGTCTTCAACAGTCATATCCCATAAATGTTGTATAATATCACTAGCTGTTTCGCAGCAGTTCTTTATGCATTCTGGTTTCTGATTGCAAAAACAGAAGGAGACAGATATAGCTTTTCTACGATTCAAGACGGCTTCCCTACATATTAAAACAAACTGAAATTAGTGGGCGATTTTTCACAATTCTAGGCCGAAAGAAGTTGAATAAGAAGTTACATTGCAGCTCCAATCGTTCCTGAAGCGAGTGTAAAGATTCTAAATGACCAAAATTGTTAGCCATAAATTTCTCGTTAATAGAAGATCTTTCTTGCTCACTGTTTTACGTTGTGATATTTCTTCCAAAATTCGGTCCACCTATAACCAAATCAAACTCTTCATCCTTAAATAGATGGTTGAGGGCAATATTGATACAAGTAGCAGGTGTTCCGCTAAGCTGTTGGAAGCAAATTAGTCAAGATAGATTACCAAAATAACTTCCATTACTGTATTTACCAAATAGAAATCGTTATCGTTTTGTTTTTCTTCTGAGATCTGCTTAGTCTTTCTGTTGAAAAACCGTAGCTGAATCTCTTCTTTGATCATGAACGATTTAGCGATCCATGACTTCTGGCTGTCCGGTAAACACACTCTAGAAAATACATAGATAAGCATGATACAACAACCTCAATTTAATATGACGTATAGACTAACGAGTTCTCTACCTAACATCCCATCCTAAGCTTTCTAAGTGCTCAATAAACGGTAAAATGAAAGGGGATTCGTCAATGCTTGGTGGTCCTAGTGTATGACAGAAATTAAATTAAGGTTAAGCTTTTACATCAAACTATAACGATCGGTATATCATGAAATTTGCTCAAAGTCAATATATATGAAGGTTACCGTCATCATTAGATATCAAAACCTTCATCTTCCTTTACAATTTTCAAAAAGTCGCCCTTAGAAACAGATAAAAAAAAGGGAAACAAGGACCTTTAAAGACACGAAGCATTCCGACAGTGAATTAAAAGAAAAAAGTGAAACAACATATGCTGAAATCCTCCTCAGTTAATTGGAAGGGGAAAACAAAGCATATGGCATCAACAAAGCAGATCAGCTCACATAGAAACATGAAGTGACTCTCGTTTATTTGTTTTTAAGATGTTGGAATCCCTCGATGAACTATAAGAGAAATTACATAGTAAATTCGGGAATACTTTTCTCCTGATGGTAGTCGAGGATGTAAGATAAAATACATAGTATGTCAGAAACTGAATGATATTGATTTGCATGCAAATTAGCAAGCGCAACTGCTTGCTTGGGATTCTGTGGTATTTAAATTGATCTTTTGCACTAAAGCAAGTATGAATTAAAAAACATTAGCTCGAGAATATGTATATGACAATGAGTATTTCACTTTACTTGATTCTTTTTGTTCGTTTTGGTTGTTCCCATCAATACCGGGTAATGATTGTGCAATCTTTCTGAATAAAGTCTTTACCTATGTAACATTACAATGGGTTGGGATATCGTCATAATCATTCTGATTCAAAAATAATCAAGTCTTACATTATGCCCCGCTTTAGCACTTGTTTCTATAAACATAACGTTCAATTCCTTCGATCTCTTTTCAGCATCCTCCACCGTCACTTCTCTATATCGTATATGTACATTGTTATCCCAAGCTGTTAATTTAAAAACGGTATTATTCCTCAACATGTAACCAAATCCAGCTTTCAGTACCTCTTTTCACTCAAATCAGATTTGTTTCCAACAAGTACAATAATAACATCGTCCCCTCTCTCGGCTCTCACGTCATCTATCCATTTGGATGTGTTCATAAAAGATTGGCGATCTATGAAAAAACCCAAAAAAGATGTGAATTTAACCAATGATAAATAAAAAATAAATAAATAAAACTTACTGGATATATCGTATACGATTACTGCAACAGAAGAGTCACGGATGTAGCTAGGAATCAAACTGCGGAAACGTTCCTGATATCATACAGGTCAAATGACAAATTCAATTAAAAAGGAATACAACGTATTGTCATACCTGCCCTGCTGTATCCCATAGTTGTAAGCGTACAGTTTTGTCTTCAAGATACATTGTTTTGGATAAGAAATCAATACCAATAGTCGCCTATAAAATTGCCGTATTTTCCATTGATATACATAATCAAATGATGGCAACCTCAACAATCTGTTCTTACTTGGTATGTATTGTCAAAAGTGTCATACATAAAGCGAGTAATAAGTGAAGTTTTTCCAACTATTGAGAACATGGTCGACGTAAATGTCATTTGTTGGAGATTAGCTCGAGATGAGTCGCTTTGCATGTGTTTGTGGGTAGCGATATAATTGAAAAAACTCGGTACAAGGCATTTTACCACTTTGTTCACCAAGGAAAACCAATTTGTATTTCCTCAAAGGACTACTAAATTCTGAAGTTGCCATGGTAACTGTTGTTTGCGCTAAATATACAGTCTATTTTTTCTATTTAAACGAGATAAAAGTCAAAAGAAAAGATGACAACGAAAATCATGTTAAATGAAAATATATTCCGAATTTCTGATTTTGAAAAAAATAAATAAATGATTTTTGGGGAAACACCCGTTCCTGTGGCTAAAAAGAAGACTGAACAAGTCATGTAAGAAATCGAGCTGCTGCATAATCAACTATTCACATTTTAGCTCAGAAATGGAGAGCCAGTATGGTTATTCTTCTCTTTCATATAATTTTTAGTACGAGTCTGTTTTATGGATTTCCGTCTTCTCTTCAAAAAGCCTCTTTATTATAGGTAGAATCTTATTTCTTCTTTGCTTCCATTGCCGCTACATGCGCTTCAGAAGCCCATTTCGCCATATCTACTTCAATTTCTTCATATTTCTTAATAAAAGGATGCTCCAATAGTTCAGCATACGTTGGTCGTTTGTTAGGATCTCTTTGAAGGCAGGCTGCAACAAAGTCACGGGCTTCTGGGGAAAACTGATCGGAAGGTAGCGAAGGAGGTTCATCATCAATAATAGCTTTCAATTGTGCAAACATATTATCATATTTGTATGGATATCGACCAATAGCCATCTCGACAAGTGATATACCCAATGACCAGACATCGGACGATACAGAATAAGTATTTGCAGCTCTGATACGTTCCGGCTAAGATTTACAATTTGTTAGTGTGCATGAAGAATTCAAAATGTGTAACAGCCAACCTAATAAACACGGATGAATACTTTACAGCCATATAACTTTGGCAGCCAATATTGGTTTTTGCTAAAGATTTTTCCAATTGACCAGAAACACCAAAATCGCATAATTTTACTTGACCATTAAGATTAGCAAGTACGTTTGTCGGCTTGACATCTAGTGGTTTTAGTAAGTGTACATATCAGTATCTTTAACAAACATACTCTTCATATGTCGTGAATGTTTACCTCTGTGAATAATTGAAAGCTCATCCTTCAAAAACTTTAGGCCTTTTACCATCTAAATGGTAAAGGAAAGTCAATAAATAAATTTGATCCTAACTGAAGACAGTATGACCTACTGATATGGCAATCTTGGCCAAGACATCTTCAGGCACACCTTTGCCGTATAACTTATCTAGTGAACCCGCATCCATATACTCCATGCAATAATATACACATGATTCAATAAAGAAAGCACCATAGAATTCGACAATATATTCGCCTGAACTCTTGTGCAGAATATCCAGTTCCATTAAGATTTGATGTAATTTGGTCTCGTCTAATTCCAGACGAATTTCCTATACGATTTCAAAAAATAGTAAGCGATAAACTACTATAGAAATGATATCCATGAGACTGTTCCTGTTACCTTCATTGCCATAGTAACATTGGTAACACGATGTTTCACTTTTTGTACGGTACCATATTGCCCTTTGCCCAATTCTTCTTGTAATATAAGATCATCCATTTTAATCGTGAAGCTATTTCCATTGCTAAAGTCCACACCATCGGCATGAATAATTGCTTTGCCTGAAAAATTTAACTTCCCTGAAGGATCAACATATTTTGAAAAGTTGGCAAACGGTGTTTGTGAAGGTTTAGGTGAAAGTCCTAGCTGTGATAAATTTAAACCTGGTTTTCCCATTCTTCCACCACCAGGGCTATTATTACTATTATTGGTTATGCCTCCCAAGGCTCCTAAAGTGGGTGGTATTGCACCAGGTCTACGACCTCTTAAACCCCCTGGAGATGGTCCAGAAGGAGAAGTCATACCAGCATTACCGACAGAATAAGCACGAGCAACATTCGGACTACTACTGGTGTTGCTATTTCCATTGCCTGATGGAGGTGGTAAGCCACTGGTTCGACTCATAGGCGGTAATACTGAGCGACCTGGTATTCTTGGGGCTGTAGGTGGTGTAGGTGCTGATTTTGCTTGTGGAAGCAGCGTAGGTCTATGTGGCATACCCTGACCCATATTGCTACCTGCTGGTGGTGACGTCTTTTGTCTCTCAAGGTTCGTTTTATTGGTATCGCAGATGGACATCTCTGAAAGTGGTTGATTGAGATCCATGGTCGTATATTTTATTTATTTCTGAGATAGGATGTTAATTTATTGTTGCGCAGAAAAAGAGTTCCACCAATATTGAATTTTCAAGTTATGTTCTCGAGTTGGAATGATATTTATTAGTGAACAATGCTGTTCTTTTATTATACTTGCTGCTGCTGCTGCTACTGCTACTGCTGCTGCTGCTGCTATATGGGTTCGCACTTGCTGTTATGACTATTTATGTATATCAATGTACGTAAATAAAAGAAATGGTATATAGAACCTGTTTCATTCAATACGCTGGAAACAATAATGGTCTATTTCCTCTTTTCTTCAAAATCAAATTAAACTTCTTTGATATGACTATAATATCAATTTTAAACGTAGAAGAAAGGTACGTTAAGAATAAAGAAAAGAGTGACTAAAGGAACAAAAAATGGTTGCTGAACCCGCAGCCCTCATTGAAAGAATTGCACAAAGTGACGTATGACCTTCAACCGCTGTCCAATCAAATTGTCTCGATAGCCGTAGTTTGGTCATGTCTGTCTGAAAAGCTTAACTTTACTTCCAGAAACAAATGTTTGTGCTTACACAGACTACTTACATGCTGTACTTCAATACGCATACGTAAAAAATCAGGAATTTATACATCGGGCATAATATTTCCACTTTTTTATACAAGTGTATCATAGAGTCGATCTATTGGGAAATAACAGCGCCATTTGATGATGATTTATTATGGATAGAGGTATGTAAAAAGTAGATTCAAAAATTCAATTTAACAATAGCATCTGATGAATCTTTGGACCGAACCATTGTTATCAGATCTCGTCCTTCCAATCTGATGAAAGCTAGCTCTACATCATTTATGATAAACCGCTCAGTTAAAGGCTTGCTCTTCTCATTATCTTCCTCCTTTTTGCTACCGTCCTCTGTCTTCCCATAATTTCTGATATAGGTGATCAACTCTGCTCTTGTCATTTCGTGTCCTGGTACATTGAGTAGCTTTAAAAGAATCCTGATCTTATGCTCGACCTCTTTCTTTACGTGTAAATAAGAAGACAAATCTTCAATGGGAGCCTCAGTTTGTAGTAATCGGTCAATAGTATTTGAGATATCGGTCGACCTATTTGTTGTTTTTGTTGTTGTATTGGACGATGATATTGCTGATTGGGGAGCATTGTCATTGTTACATTGCGCAAGAATAAAGTTCAGCGATCGCTGATACACAGTCCTAATATATTTAGTTTAGTTTTTTTTTTCCTTTTGTTTAACTTTTCTTCATTATATCACGACCGCTACCTTGCTTGCAAGTATTGTTTTCGGCCTTCAAGTGCTTTTTTCACCACCCTTAACAATTTTAAAAGTTCATCAACAAGTGGCGTTAATTTATTTGTGTCACCTTTATAGCTATCATTACTGCTTTCACTATCATTTAGCATTGCAAAGCATGCTTGCAATCCCGCCGTCACTTCATGAGAGGGAGCTGCTGTATACGAAGAAGTGATATTCCCATTATTGATACGATTACCCAAAATTTCGTCGTATCCTGCGTCTTCCAAAGAATCTAGTTTTTTATTGATTTGAGATATTTTTGCCATCCGCTCTTCTATTCGCTTCTCTAAATGCCTAATGTCATTTGTTACATCGTCTGGATTATCATCGTCGCTGCTTTTTGCTACATGCGAGTTATCCAATTTTTCTTTCAGCTCCTCAAGTTGCCCGTGAATTTCCTGCTGAACTTTTGTCTCATCAAGCAAACGTTTATGCTAACACAGGAAAGAAAAAAAAAGAAAAAAATTGCGGAACTTTAGTACGATAGATATCGAAGAAACAGATTGTCCACTTCACACTCTACATCATTTTGTTTCGTTTGGATATCAGTCTCATATTTTCGTACTGCTTTCAGCTGATTTTCGAGTTTTCGTTCCATGGTTGCAGAGATATCATTGGATGGTTCAAGCTTATCTGAAGAAGTCGTAGAAGCATGATCATTTTGCTGTGAAGTACTGTATTTACTCAGTTCTGACATTTGCTATCGTGGAAAGAGAAAACGGTAAACGGTTCAATACTAATACAAGAAATTATGATCCAAGTTTGAATTACATTTGCCAGCGTTGTACTTTGAAGACTTATACTTGCTTGATACTTTCCGAATCTTTGTTCTCGTTCCTGAATCTGCTTACTATATACTGTTTGGTCGCTTCCATTTCAGAGCAATTTGGGAAAGAAATAGTATTATTCGCTTGTCGTTTATGAACAAGTATTCTATTTACCGCTTTACTTACCACATCTCATTCAACAGTTTAGCAGCAGCCAAAATACGTGCAATATCTTGTTCGTTCCGATTTTCTACCTTACTATTTCTTGTTGATCTGTATATTAAGTTGCTCTTGATTCTATACAATTACTAAATGAGCTAACCGTTTAACAGACATGAGTATTCAAATATTCTTCAGTCCTTTTCACACCTCGATAATATCGGCTCGCCTGCAACGAGTGCTGCTAATCGCACTTCATGAGGTTTAGCGTCTCTGAATAACTTCCGTTTACGTGAAAGAACATCTGTTGCAATGTCGTCAGCTGGTTTCTCGAATTCAAAGCTTGCAATGTTTCTAGTATAATTAAGAAATTTGTTAAGTTCTTCTTGGAGCGGCATTGAAGCTGCAGTTGCAATCTGTTGAATCTAGGTCTCAAATATTCAAAAGAAACAAAGGGAATCGTTCCAGCTCTGAACTAAAAAGGGGAAAACATCAGTCGGCCAATGACTGCTGCCTTTTTGTCTTTGATGCAGATCAATTCAGAAAATTTTTGACGCGATCAATTTAAATGAAAATTCTACCCATATTGCTCTTGTTGACGACTAACAGAATTTCCTATAGATCGAGTATGACTGAATAATCTTGGGACCGAACTAAAAGTGATTATGTGACTAAGCTTGTTTGCGATAACCATTCTTCAATTCTATCAAACATTTATATTGACGAAAAATAATAATGCTGTTGATTAAAAGCTTCGTTCAGAATGTAATTTGGAACCAGAACTTTCATTACGAAGGGTAATGTCATCAACGAGTATTTTATGTCTTTGTCATAATAATACTTTATCTTTGATTAACGATTTTAATGTTAGAAGCGAACTTGATCCATATTTGTCATACATAAGCAATAAGAGACAATCTTGCTGGGAATAAAAAAGAAAACAATCGGTTTCGAATCATTTCTTTCGACCTTGTCTGTAAACCTGTCACTAACAGGAAAACAATTGAAGAATTTTCATTATGACCAATCGATATATAGTAGAGCAAGTCTTTGGCTATTTTGGGCTTGTATTCTGGTCATTGCAGCTGGCTCCACAAGGTAAGTAAAATAATGTCATGATAGCTGTTCGATACGCATGATGTATAGAATAATCTTATGCATCTAAACGGTATTATAGCATATAAGACATACCGTCGAGGCACATCTACAGGTGTGTCCGTTTGGATGATGCTCATTTGGTCCATAGCAGGTGTTTTCATGGGAGTATATAATATTGGGCTCGATGTGTCGATTGGTCTATGGATACAGCCTCAAATCTTTACATTTATATCATGCATTTGTGTGTTTCAAGAACTTTTATACCAACATCAATTGCCACAATGGACTGTCTATGTGGGGTTCGTGATTACTTGTGTCCTGTTAGCTGCTTTAGAAGTAGGTCTGGTATACGCGTACAAGGTGAGTAATTGCCATTTTGCCCGACGTATAGCTTTTGAAGGGTCATTATCTAAAATGCAACGTCATTTGTTAAGCGTGCCGAGCAAGTCGGCATACAAGGTGTATTGACTTTGTTCGGTGTTCTGCCTGTCATATTTATTCTGGCAGGATTTTTACCGCAATACTACGAAATTTTTCGTAAGTTACTTTGCCAAACTGTGCATTGCTGTATATATTAACGTTGAGCATATTATGTAGGCAAAAGAAGAGTAGTGGGTGTTTCACATATATTTTTGGCGATGGACTTTTCAGGGTCAATATTTTCCATTATAAGTTTAGGTAACGAATCATTTCATTCATACATTGAATTGATAGAACGAGCTTTTACTTATAAGCTACTTGAATTGGAAGTCTTTCGTGATGTAATAGACTATCTTGATTTGGCAAATTACATAGCTATTGCCTGTTTCGATGTGGGGATACTTTTACTGTATTACGTCTTTGAATGGTATCAGAAAAGACTACTGACAAACAAAGATGTATACGAAGATTATAATGATACTGAAACTGCGCAAGATGACAAACCATCACCAAACTCAACGCAACCGTGATACCCACCGTTCTATGTTCCTTTTATCAAGGCTTGAAGCCGGGCTAGAGCTTTTATATGTATATTAAGACTTGATTCAATATTACCCTTTGAACAGAAAGAAAACTTTGGAAACTATTGAATAAAAATAACTGTAGGCGATAAGCTTTACCATTCTCTGGAAAAAAAAAAAAAAAGAATGCAAATGAGAGCAGGAATAATAGAAATTTGTAGCGTTAATCGTTATACACTGCTGTTGGTACAGAGATGAACATCGGCTATTATGCCAGTTATAAGATAAATAGACTGAGGAGGTTATCGTTATATAGTATTCAAAGAAGTTCTCAAAAGTATCATTGTGCTTTAGATAGTATTGATGATAGAGACCATCCTTTCGAGCAAGGTATAAAAAAAGGACCGTAAAGGATTAAAGGAATGTTCGTGGAAGTGCCAAATTTATAAAACTGTCGACTCCAAGTAACTCCGAAAATTGAATCATTTTTTCTACCGTTTCAAGATCTCTTCCTACTGACATTTCATTACGATTCCGATATAACGTTCAAGCCCATAACAGTTTGTTGAAGGTTCACTGATGTCCAATAAAGTAGTAGTAGAAAAACGAAAACCTGCTGAGGGTATGTTCATTTACAGTTTACAATTCTATCTTTTATCGTTAATCAGTCATCGATCCATCTATATTTAGGATCGATTCATAAACGTGTCCCTCAACGACCCGCAACAGTGCCAACAGACATATATATATGCAATAAAACCAAAACTCAGGCTATTATAAAAAGAGTGAAAAGATTAATGCTGAGAGAGAAGTATGTTCGTTGCCAACGATTTATATGATTTTTGTCGCTGCTATTGATACGCTTGGAACAATCTATAGTCATAAATCAATAACTATTCATGGCTTAGGAGCCATGGTAATCCGTGCCTTATCAATGGCTTTAGCTGCCCAAGAAGCACTCGAAAACCAAATTGTCCTCAAACCTACAACAGAAACAGTATATCTGGTCGATGATATAATCCCTGATGATATGGATAAAGACATCCAAGTTCAAAAGAGGGCAAATTCAGTTATTCACATAGCATTAGAAGCGAAAGAAGGGCTTAACGAATTGCAACATAAAACAGGAAAAATAATACATCATCCATCGCGAAATAGAAGGAATAGGCAATGGCAATAAAGAAATAATTTCTATTTGGCTAAATGCGACAAGAGTAGAGTCGCTTCGTTCCGTAAATGATTATCTGTCGGATCAATATCAGGTTGAAGAATTAGCGAAAGGATTTTATCATACAAAAGTTGCCCCAACTTCAATAACTGTTCTTTTGGCAGCAGTCGTTTCCATAAAGCCAGTGTTTTGAGGTATTTACAATGTGCGTAGAAAAATCTACATTTTGCTTTTCCACTATTATCATCCAGATCAGACTTTATAGACGATGTGGCTATTGTGTCTATCAGTGTTGTCATTTGATCTTCAAGTAATTGAAGGATTTCGAATGCTAGATCCTATTCCCAAATCAAAAATTTCTTTTTCAGTTCATGTACGCTAATGAAAAATCACTTCTTCTCAAAATATTACCTTGTAGGGTTTTTCGTTCATATCGACATAGTAGGAAATTTGTTCCAACATCTGTGCAGCATATCTCATCTGTTTCGATGAAAACACATCTAGAGTATTTAACATACTTTTCATTTTTCTTATCATCGTTTTTTCGACTGTTTTGTTTATCATTTCAACGTCAGACTCATGACCGTTAGAAATGCCGTATTCCGATAAAATGGTATGCCAATGCATACTATCGAAATCTCTGGGGTCCTAAGCAAAAGAATATGATAAATTAGCTACTCTCGCCAAGTCACTCACTTGCAGTACTTATTGACACTTACTGAAAATGGGTCCCAAGTGACCAATTCCAACCGCATATAGAATTCGAAGGCACCTGGCAAGCATAAGCTACCGTAGGCTTTTTGATAATCATCATAGTATTCCAATTTCCAGGCTTCAAATTTATCTTTTACAGCATCTATCGATCTGAAATCACTGCCAACATCTGCCATCAGCTCCACAATTTTTTCCGATTCTAAATGCTCTATCTTAGATGTTTTATTCTTATAATAGTCTTCGCTCATTTCATCGTCAGTCCAATAGCTTTCCTCTCTTATGACTTCTTCTTCACTTTTTATTGATACAAAATCTGTGTGACGCTCCAAACGTTGGTGTTTTTCAGCTCGTCGTCTGGCACGGGCCGTTTCCGAATTTCGTAATTCTCTCACTCTACCGAACTCATCTACTTCCGGCTCTCCTGTCATTTCCTCATCGAGCTGTATATTAGTAAATGTACATAAATCATCCAAATTGAGTTGATATCTGCGGGATATTGCCGTCTCGGTTTTAGTAAAAATGATATCATGCATTTCAGCTTCCAGTTTCTCTAGCTCAGGGTACTGCGAACATTTTAATTCTTAAGAATCACCATAAAAAAAAAAAGTAAATAGTTTGCTTTCATGCTTTTACCTTGGCATCCAAAAATTCTCCCAGATCATTGACATACTGAGCCAGCTCTTGAAAATAATTGTATCTCTTGCTGTTTCTTTCAATATCCTTGACCAAATCAGATTCTACTACTTCCGCATTGTTAATGGATTTTTTTGTTTCTGTCATGTTCCCTTCACATTGCTGAATAGCTATTTCTATATCATTTTGGTTCATGTCTAAGGTACGCATGATATCGGTCAAATTTGACAACTGACAGGGCTGAGGTATCACTGCTGGTTTGTAATTAGAAGGTGGCTGATAAGGATCGTACACCTCTTGCTTTGGTCGTACTCCACCAAACTTGATCATGTCAGCTTCCCATCTGTCCATATCCTCAGATCGACTATCACCACCTTCCGCTTCTGCTTCGTCTATCATTTGCCTCGCCCCGTCCAACCTTTCTTTTTCTTGACTTTTGGCCGACAGCTTATTCAGGTCTAACTTATCTCCTACGTATTTCTCAAAATCCGCTTCATCATCATCACCAACTTCATCCTCTTCTCTTATGAGCCTTGATCCACCCTTTAAAAGTGTCAAGTGAAGACAAACAAATAATTTAATTTAGATTCATTCTCTATTCTTCTGTGAGAACTGTAGCCATTAAGTGATGCTTACATTTTCGCTGTCGTCGAGTGCGATAAAATCATCACCGGTTTCTGTAATACTAATGCCTTTTCTTAGCTGCTGTCTCTTTTTTTTCGCTGCTAAAATTGCGCCGGAATCTGGTATGGCTCCCATACCAGGAAGAGCGGCATTCATAGTCGCTGAAAACTTTTCTCGTAGTAAGCTGTCATTATCGTCCATGTCATTATGCTTGGGAATAGTGGATCTGACTGAAGCAGGTAAACTGGGTGTGCTTGCACGAAGCTTTTCTAAAGTCTCGTTATCATAATAAGAAGACGGCTTCTCCTCATCTAAGTCTCCCATAATGGTACTGAAAAAACAAGAATACTGATTAATCTCAGTTCCTATAATTGCTTTGCCTTGTGATCTACTGTTTTACTTTACTCGACTTGCATTTGTGGTGCAAACTTTCGTGAAGGTTTTAGGTTCTTTTTCAACTGGAAAGCTTCGGCGTCACCTCCTTCTTCGTCAGCGAAACTCAGAGTGCTTATTGTTGTTTTCTTGGTGGCAGCGCTCTTCTTCTTTTTTGAACTTATGATTGTTTTTTGGATGATGGCTTCTTCCTCAGCTGCGATTGAGAGGGAAATTAAGTATATCCTGAAGATAATAGTAATATTGCTCAGGTGTTAATGTCCATACCTTGTTCCACCTTTATAGGTTCATCGTTATCTGAAGTTTCGACTTTTCGTCTGAGGTTCTTAGACCGAGAAGTTTTCTTAAACATTGTCGCGATGAGTGGAAGCACGCAGTTAGTAGGAGAGCCTATTTGTTCCTTTGTCTTTCAATGCAAAATTGTTTGTGACTTGGGAAATTAAAAGTAGTTGTTAACGGACTAAATGTTGTCACCTTGGCTAAAGTGCTTTTGATTCGCTAGCTGAACCGAATAAGGAACACCTGCTGGATTTGAATTTGATAATTGCAGCTTCAAAGGCAACCCCGGGTATTAAGGAACTGTAACTGACTTGGTTCTTAATCGTCTCCACAAATCCTTGATTTCTCATATGGCAAGCTTAAAACCCTTCGTAACTCTGCTTGGTCAGCCAATACTGTCTTGCTCACTACAAAGGCAAGCATTTGCTATTACAAAATTTACTGCCACTCAAATTCCCAAAACAGCTATTTTGGGCATTCGCCAGTACAGCAGCCGTCAACAGCAGCACGGTGACAGAATGATCTTGTTACGAGATTATGGCGTATTTGGTAGTATCCCAATGTCTGCTTATGTAATAAACGGAATTAAGATGGGCTAATCATAAGGCAAAAACTCTGTATATGCAACATAGCTACCTACATACCTCCAGAAACTTCACCTGCTCTAACAGATTTTAAGAACTGGAGGTTAACCAAGTGGAGAAATTTGAAAAATAGTGTCCAAAACTTTTTGTGGTAAGGAAATTTAGGCTTGACGAATTATATTAGGGTTAATCAAAGGTGCCAAAACATATTAGTGTTGGATTAATCAAATACAAATCAGAGTATGAAAAATGGAATTCAGCAAAATTCTTAGCAGAAGCTCACGAAACTTACAAAGACATGAACGAGGCATTCGCGAGGTAGGTACATAAAAAAAAAGGTCTTTAAAATAATGATGCTAATGTACAGGTGTCAAATAACTATATAGAGGTAATCGTGACATTCTGGAAGAGGTATGCTTGGACTCCATGTATAGTGTAAGTTATTATCAGCAGCAATAGTTCCTGACGCACATATTCGCGTTTGATGATCCATAATTTACCAACATCTTTTCTTAATGGGAATTCAGAACCTGAAAAATCAATTAAAGTCCCGTGGAAACAATGTTCGTTGGGAATGGAAATATCACGGTGATGTCGAGCAACCAAGGATTGTTTGTGTCCGTTTAGTGGGCAATTCAGGGTTAAGTAAAGGAGGATTTGCAGTTGGGCAAGTAGCAGTGAGAATGTTCACCAAACAGTCTATGGCAGTTTTCGATAACAAGAAAAACAAGCTGATTGGTGGTGACCCTTCTAAAATCCATAACGTACTAGAGTATGTCGTTTTCCAAAAGACAATTTCTGACCCAGAGGACATATGGAGAATTTATGGTAAAATCGCCTCACCAGAAAAACTGAAGCAAAAAGCTCAAGAATTGTCTTGAAGAACTGGTGGTGGAAAGTGTATAAATGTATAAAGTAAAGAACCAACTACGTAGCCAGTATATTTGTAATCTTATTTCCAATAATTTTAAAAACAAATTTAAAAGTACAACTCATTTTCTAAAAATCGATCCCTGTCTTCTCTATCCATTCGAATTGAAGTAGAATTTGTACCAACACCAACACATTCGTGCTATTACTTTTTTGATAGTTTCTTCTTTTTTTAATTGATTAGTTATGAACAAAGCTTTTGACAATGAGAGAAAGAAATCAAAATTTTGCTACAATACATAAAATCTAAGCTTCGACAGGTTGCTCAGCAGCAACAGGTGCAGGAGCAGGTCTGAAATCTTGAGCAGAGGGTTCAAGAATAGGAGTATCATCCTTAGGTTCGAGAATGGTGACAATATCAGGTAAAGTTTGCTTGGGACCGTTACGGCCAGTAGGATCGTTGTCTAACATGATTTTAACCTTGATACCCAAAACACCTTGACGTAAATCAACGTGGCGGACGGCAGTTGTGATGAATTCACGAGCAGGGTTACCGGAGTGAATCATGAAACCTTGGGAGAACTTCATGGCCTTAGCACGAGCAGCACGGACCTTACCAGAAACAACAACTTCGCAACCCTTGGCACCAGATTCCATTACAAAACGGATGACACCATATGCAGCACTAAGATTTATATTGTATCATTAATGCTTAATCATCTCTACTCAGTTATGCATGTTTGTGAATAACTTACCGACGGACAGCCAAACCGTTAAGAAGCTTGAACTTGACGGATTCACATTGAGCAATGGCACAAAGACCACGGTTTTGGACACGTTCAGCATAGAGTTCGACAGCACCCTCGGGGAACTTGAAACGCTTTTGAACGAGAGTGGTCAACTCACGGATACGACGACCCTTTTCACCAAGAACATTTTGTGTATGAGTAGCACGAATAATGATTCTGGAAAGTTATGTTGATGAAGAAGTGCAAAAAAAAAAAATTGAAACTGTTAGATATCTTCGTCGTATACTTGTAAATCGATCAATTTAAATGTATCGTACTCTGTACGGGCAGGAGTAACACGAACTTCAACACCAGCATAGCCATCTTCGGCAAGTTCACGAGTGAAGAATTCGTTTAATTCAGCATAGAAAACACCGTCAGCGACCTAATAATCATTCCAATGTGAAATGTCAAATTGTCAGCTTAAGTTGTTGTTGCACACTATATCCATCAAAACAGTTCAGATGACTTACGAACTATAGTATTTAAAAAAGGATGTCAGCTTAACACTTTTTAGCATTCAAAAATAATCGATGTTTTGTCTACCTTTCTCTTCTTGGAGATTTGAGCAGCCATGCTATTTATATGGATACGTTAAAAAAAGGAAGGATGGATGGCTATCAATTTTGATTATTCTGATGTGCTTCCTCGACCTCTCACCAGACTCTACTCAGTTTATTTGCTGCTAATGCTTCTTCCGCTTAGAAACGATTAAGCTGTCAGATGTTTTCGGCTCGGAGAGTTGACTAGGCTTAAACTTTTCGCTATATTAAAGCCCTTACAAAAGAGCGCTCCGGGTTGCAAGAATACAGTCACCCCCGAAATCGTAGCTTATCATGACGGTCAGAAAGGAAACTGTGGGATCTTTAAAGTATAGCAAAGTGCCCAAGAATATCGTTCCTTCTTTTAAATCGTTATTATGGGTAAAGTCTATACATCAGCAGTATTGTATACATCCATCAATCCTTCAATGTTAACTAACACTTCCATCCGTTTGTTGTTTATGCGATCGCTTTTGTTTTAAACAGCTGTTGGCAAGAATAAGTAAGTTTAAATACATATTATTTGTTTGAAGATTGGCATTTCAATGACTAACATCAACTCGCCCTTTTTTCTTTATCTAGGCGTCTTTCTAAAGGAAAGAAGGGTTTGAAGAAGAAGGTGTAAGTAGACTGATATATACATTTCTACACAGTCGGGAGAGTTGTTTTATGATCTCACTTTGCAGCTAGTTTAACGACGGCCTAATACAAAAAAAAAATTCCAGAGATGATCTACAACAAAATTATGAAGACGATTGGACAATCGAAGTATTTCTACAACTCTTGTCTTAAATGGATTTATTCCTCCACAACATTTACTGACATTGACATAATATATTATCATGACCGGCATTGGACACATTTTGATCGCAACTCTTCCGTCTGACACAGTTATTGAGACAGTAAAACTAAATATTCTTGTTTAATAGTGTTGATCCCTTCACCCGTAAGGACTGGTATGATATCAAAGCTCCTTCCATGTTTGATGTCCGTCAAGTCGGTAAGACTTTAGTCAACCGTACTCAAGGTCTTCGCAACGCCAACGACTCTCTCCAAGGTCGTGTTGTTGAGATGTCTCTTGGTGATCTCTCCAAGGACGAATCTCGTTCTTTCCGTAAGATTCAATTGAAGGTTGATGAAATTCAAGGCAAGAACTGTCTTACCAACTTCTACCGTATGGACATGACCACTGACAAGCTCCGTTCCATGGTCAAGAAGTGGCAAACCTTGATTGAAGCTTTCGTCGATGTTAAGACCACTGATGGCTACCTCGTTCGTCTTTTCGCCATCTCTTTCACCTCTCGTCGTCGTAACCAAATCAAGAAGACCACCTATGCTCAATCTTCTCAAATCCGTCAAATTCGTAAGAAGATGTTCGAGATTATGACCGAAGAAGCTTCTGCTTGTGATCTTAAGGAACTTGTTGCCAAGGTTACTTCCTCTGCTTCTCAAACTGCTCAAGACGCCATTGCTGTCCGTATCGAAAAGGCCTGTCAAGGTATCTACCCTCTCCAAAACACTTACACCCGTAAGGTCAAGATTCTCAAGGCTCCCAAGTTTGATGTCTCCGCTCTCTTGGCTCTCCACGGTGGTGCTTCCGCTGCTGCTGAAGATACCGGTGCTAAGGCTGCCAAGGATTTCGTTGAACCTCCTATCTTATCCTCTGTATAAAGGTATAATCCTAAGCTTGCATCAATTTTGCTTACTGAAAAATAAACCATAAGATAACTTGCTTGTTTCTTGTCACAAAATTTTACGACGCTGTTTATTTATGATACGATGTGAGAATGTGAGCGAGTGGGAAAGGGTGTAAAAAGCCATTCAATAATTGGTACAGTATTAATAATTCGATTGCGTTAATAGAAGGTCTCAAATATCTGAGAGAAACAGTTAAACAAAGGTGATTACTTGTCGGTTGGTCTTTGAGCATGTTGTTCATCAACTTACCTAATGTCTAAAATGTCAGGATTTTTTCCAATTGTTAAGAGCCAGAGTGTTATCATTACAAGCGGGAAATCTTGAACGAATAGTAATATATCAAATCTGTTTTGGGTCCATCCGATTAGTAGATTTTTTAAGTAAACAACCGCCTGGGGTAAGTAATAGGGTGCGTTTGCGGTAAGAAACATAAGCCAGGATAACCTGTAATTGTATACATTTTGTACTGTTGGGAAATCAAACTGTGCACGTATTTTAGCTCGGCTTGTTGATATACTCCAAATGATTAAATAAACCAAGAAAATGAGTGATGTTGGTATAAAACTGGCGAGACCAATAAGAATTGTTGAATAAATACAGAAATATTTGCGGGTTGATTGATGACGTTTGGTGCTCGTTGTAACTGACAGAGGCATGAATTTTGACATTAATAGTAGTATAGCTGAAATGATGACCCATGCTGTTATAATTAATCCAAGGGACAAAATGTATAAGAATACTACTAATACAGCAAACTGCCATTCGCTGGAATCCATCACTATATGATCGGATAAAAAGCGGGTGATAGAGGTTCCTTTCAGCTTCTCAACTCTTAAAATGCAGTACTGACAGATATTGGATATTGAGAGTAGTACGGCAAATGGTAGAATGGGGTCCTTTATGCAATGAATCACTGTAATAATATACGAAGGAAATTCTCCTAAAGGCAAAAATAGGCAGTACAAGTTAGCATTATTGCGATATGCAAGCCGCTACAATAAAAATGCATACGTACGTTTCCCATTTGAAGCGTAAAACAATAACTGCGTTACAAGAATAATTAGCGTATTCACCCAGCAAAAATTTGCCAGCATAGCGCCGTAGCGATGAATTACGCGACCAAGTGTCCCATACCAGTCAATGGTAATTCGAATGCCCAATTCTTGATTATCAGTGAAGAATTCTAACGATAGCCCTGTGTGGTTCCTGCTTGTATCTCGATGAAAAGTAATACGATCAGATACACCCTGTTCTAGTCGTCGATAGAATTTTGGCTCTACCCCATCAATTGTCTGTAGCATCATTGGCTTACAGAATGCTTTCTCCGTCCTATTATCAGTTATAGATTGTATACGCACATTGTATGCGAACACGGAACTTTGGATGTTTGGAAATTTGTGTATGTTTTGGTATGAGGAGGCATTGAATGACAGTCCAGTTGACATAACGCCTAGATAGTTAGGCAAAGTGTAAATCACTAGATCAGTTAGAGATTGGTATCCTTGATATTACTTACTCCAAAGTGTTGCATTATGTACAATTGGTCGTTCAGAAGTGGCATAGCTCTGTATGAATGCAGGACCTTCCGAAGACTTTGCATAACACCTTTTTGCTATACCCAGGTATTTGGACAAACCATTGTTTCGTATCGTCATTACCCGATTAGGTATTGCTTTTTCTAAGTTGGCTGCCATAATTGATGGAAGCAATGTAACGTTCGGAATAAAAGGAGCGCATTCCAATTCGGAAGAGCAATGAGCAAGAAACCAGCAGCTATCATACTTTTTATCGATGTTTGTCAAAATTTTCAGTTGTCTAACGTCGAATGGAATAAGGGTAAGTGATGGTTGATCATTGTCAAATAACACCTTAAGGCTCGTTTCACTGGGGGAACGGATATGCCGTTTTTCATAATCAAATATTCTGAAGATAGGGACTAAATATAAAAAGTTATTGATTACTATCATTGTCGGCTTAGTGGGTCAATTAGCATACGTACCATCGGCATTAGAAGATGAATAGTCGTTGTCTAGTAGTAGGCTTTGACGAAATATCTCCATTCGAGCTTCAGTTGTGGGCATTTGACCCAAGTCCGCAATTTTGACGACCGTAGAAGCCAACAATCGAATCAGTTGGTTGCACCACAAAATAGCCATGTGATCAATACCCGTCCATACATTTGGAATTGATGTTGTATAAGCAGTGAATCCCTGGGTCGTTGGTACGATTTCGTTGATACTCACGCCATCAGAATGCACTATTGTGTCGAGTGATCCGCCAGCAATAGATATAATGACAACATTGCTCAATTTTTCATGGTTTTTCTTCCAGAAAAAGGTTAAATCTTGGTAGAGCTGATACATTGTACGTTCAAGTAAAACAGGTGCAGCTAAATGCGGTGTGGCTAATGTGATGACAGTTTGTATACTGTTAGGAATGTAGTTAGGCAACATAAACATGGTACGCGCAACAAGGCCACCCATTGAGTGGGCAATGATTATAACAGATGTTGGCTTTTGAGCGGTATTGTATAGAGACAGAATTCGTTTTATCGCAGCATTCATGTACTCAGCTTGGTCTAAGAGTACGCCTCCATCAAGTGCAGATAGCTCTTCGTTCAGATCAACTGTAAAATGAAAAAAAAAAAAATAAAAAAAAAATGAGCTTCTTGATTAAATATTCCGTTTTTGCAATCTTCAATATATAGTACCCGTAAAATAATCTATATTATGGCCTGAACATAGGCCTTTGTGATAACAGTTCGTCGTTGCTGAGGCAAGTGACCGAATTTGTTTATAGCTGCCAGCTTGCCCTGGTATGAATAAGGCAGGAACACCATATAACTGTAATAAATTAGCGTTTAGCTCCGTCTGCTTTCAATCTACACAGATGAGATAGTTACCGTATCAACTGCATCAAGATTTCCTTCACGGTAAAGGTACAATTTATACTTTTTGGACAACGCATGGTCTGGTGGTTCTATTTCTGTGTACGTTGGATAGGAATAACTCATTAGACAATTCTGAACGTCTTGTCTTTGAAGGGGTGAAATGACAGATGAGATGCGTGAAGATTGACCAATGAGCGAGTCTACGAAGGCATATAGTGTCACGACGGTCACTACAACAAATAGGCCTAAAAAGAGGCAGATACTTTTCCTACGGCGCTGTATAATCCTTATGGATAGCTCATCATACCTAGAAAGTCCAAACATGTAGAAGACTGTAACAGAAAGCCTGTATTTCAAGTTTGGGGAAAATTTTTATTTTCAATTTCTATAAGTTCTAACGAATGTCTATAATTTATATGAGTAAATTTCCTCTTTGATGCAAAGGAATATGAGAAATAAGAATATACATGTAATAAAGGATTATGAGAATCTACAGAGTTATAATAATGTAAATAATGTTATACAAAAATAGTGCAAATTATATATTTTAATCACTTTCGGTATCAGGTTCTTTGGTTCCGCCTTCGATTAACCATTTGAGATGACGAGCACGGCGACGCTCCTGTTGAGCTTTGATTTCATTTCTAGTTTTCTTCTTCTTTTTTGAAATCTTTGCCTTCACTTTCTCTTCATCAATGTGGGTCTCATCTTCCACCGCAGAAACACCACTCTTATATAGTTTTCCAGCTTCCAATTTCCAGCTTTCAGGGCATAAAGCATTAACAAATTCTGTACTATGCGAAATCATTACAACAGCGCCTTCCCATTTCTTAATAGCAGTAGCGAGACCACCCAATGCTTCACGATCCAAAAAGTTAGTAGGTTCGTCAAGAACCAACATATGACAATTGTTCCACATGGCAGCAGCAATGACAACCTTCACCTTTTGACCACCAGAAAGGGCACCCATCTTGGTATATTGAGCAATATCAGGATCAAGGCCAATATCGGCGAAATGCTGACGAATGGTAGGCATGGTTAACTCACGATACAATAAACCTTCACGAGAAGCTTCCTTGTCATCAAATTGCTGGACTAATTTCTGGAAACCTAATTCTAACAACTTTTCACGAGAGAACCAGCTGTTGTGCTTGGGAAGCTTATTCTTCCATTTGATTTCATATTGGAATGTCTTCTTCAGCTTTGTACGACCTAAGAGTGCTTCAATTTGACGCATTTCACCGTTCACAGAAATAGGCTTTTCCATTTGTTCTCTCTCTTCTTCACTCCAAGCACGAGTTTCTTTTTCAGCAACTTCTTTGTCTTCACCCGTGGAATAACGCCATTGTAGATAATCAGTGGGAGTCTTTTCAAGATGCTGGTTCAAGTGGTGGAAAGCATGCTGAGCAACGTAACCGATGCGAAGAGCAGGATGACGCCACACAGTACCTGTTTGAGGAACCATTTCACCTGTTAAAAGCTTGATCATTGTGGATTTACCAGCACCGTTGGGGCCAACGACAGCAACACGTGATGAAAGGGATAGAGAGGCAGAAGCGTTCATAAGGGAGGGTTTCTGATTACCAGGGTAAGTATATGAACAGTCTGTCATCTTGAGTATAGCCTTAGTGTTTGATCTAACACCTTGTAAAACGGAAGGCTTGGGGAATGTGAATTCAACAGTAGAAGCATCAAGCGTATAATAGGTACGAGCAGCAGGATAGATCTTGACGAAATCGGACAGATTACCATGATACAAACGAAGCTTCTTCTTCTCGTAATGCAAGATTTGTGTACAAACATTATCCAAAAAGCCAGAGTCGTGAGACACTATAAGACAAGTGACTTGTGTTTGAGCATTCAGATAGTCTTCGAGCCATTTGATATTCTCCACATCCAAATGGTTAGTAGGTTCGTCCAACAAAAGAATATCAGCCTTCGATAACATGGCACGAGCAAGTTCGAGCTTCATCTTCCAACCACCAGAAAGTGAAGATACAGACATAGCAAGACGAGCATCATCGAATCCAACGTCACGGAGCGACTTTTCAACTTCAGAACGGGGCAAATCCTTTAAAAGATCATCTGCAAGAACGTAATCGACGATCTTTAAAGAAGGATCAGCAGCTTGAGAGTTGTAATCCACCAAAGCGGTACGTACTTCCTCTTGAGGAGGGAAGTTTTCAACTTTACCATTATGAATTGCATTCATTAAAGTACTCTTACCAGCACCATTCTGGCCACAAAGACCATAACGTTGTCCTCGATGCAATTTGAGCCTAGTATGACTTAACAATAAGCGAGTACCATAAGCAAGTGAGAAATCATCAACATGACAAATCTCCTCTCCTTCTTGTTCATCGATCGCACTATCGTCGCTCTCCTTATTACGACTCTTGAAAATGGTATGAACTTCCTTTAGAACGTCGTCGATGAGAGCAGGAATATCTGATTTCATAATGAACGCCTTCAAATAGGGTGTGAATATTTTATGCCATCTGTCATTGAGGAAAATTTCTTGACGAGCGAGATCAGCTGCAATATGACCGAGATAATTGATGAAGGGCAAGAAAAAGGAATCAAGGAAACCCTGTACTTTAGTGGCAGCCTTCTTGACAGCAGCAGAAGCTTCTTCAACGGTGACATCTGTTAATTCATCAACTGACTTCTCTTGGGCACCACCAGCAGCGATCAATGTCTGCTTAGCCTTATTTGCCAACACGCGAATTTCCGGGAAGGCAGCACCTTCAGCTTGACGATCAATACCAGGATACAATTGAGGCAAAAATTGTGCAGCTGTACGAGGGTCACGAACGAGCTTACATAAATTATCAGTAATGACAACTGTTTGTCGTAAAATAGTAGTTGAACGTTCATTTAAAGCACGTGTTAAAAGAGGCACCATAATAGCTAGAGTGGGACCATTAACTTCAGCAACAAACGTTGTCTGGGCAAGTTTCTCGATCGTTTCGGGCACCAATGTTGGATTCCCCATACAGAGGACAAGATCCTTCATGTGCTTTTGAATATCAGGATTACCACCTACAGAACAGATTTTTAGCATAGCCTTTTCAGCTACTGTAGCGACATCCTTTTTAGTATCTGCGAGACAATCAGACACTGCGGGAATGATCTCTGGTAAACATTCACCAATTTGTTCAGGAGCTCTTTCAGTAAAACGTTGCAACAACTTGAGAGCGCCGATTTTAGTTTGCCATTTCTTGGAATTGCCACAACCGTGCCCCATACCTTTAAAAAGGACAGGTAGCAAAATTTTGGTAGCTTCAGGCGGTATCATATCAACGAGTGTACGGGAAACAACTGTTGCAGCCTCTTGGACAACCTGACCCTTATCCGCATATAAATCCAAAAAAATCTCAAGATAATTGATCAATAATGGTTCGACCTCATGAGTCATAACTTCTGCCATAGCATTAAAACCGATCAAACCGCCTTCACGTTCTAAACCTGACTTTTTGTTTTTGATAGAAGCTAATAGTTTGTCGAAGATTTTATAGGTCTTGATCATAATCATGCCTTTCGATTGAACAAGCTCGGCAAGGGCTTGAGCAGCTTGCTCAACTTCCGCAGATGTAGGAGCTGTGTTAATCTTATTGAGAGATTCTTCGACCAAAATCGCTTGTTCGTTCGCAGCAGCTGTCATGGTAAATTACTCTAAATTTGCTTCAAAGTATTGTAGATGTTTGAATGACTTTTGTAAACAAATTATAATATAGATATAAGGTCGTTGAATAGATGCAGAGATACTCAAGTAAGTATACTCTGATGAACTAGATGATCAATAAGGATTGGTAAAGAGAAAAAATACGAACTTATTGAAAAGGATCAGAATATCAATTATTGAAAAGCTGAAAATTTTGCTGAGAGTTTCTAATTCAGGTAACCTGAAAACGAAGTTATCCAATTAGATGCAGCCAATAAATGGACAAAGCTCCGTGGTGGCTTTTATCTGATCTCAGTTACCGAAAGTTGCATGAATCAAATAAATTCCAACGATTTAGCAAAAGTGACAAGTAACGTTTTTCATATATCAATCGAATCAGTCACATATACCCAATATCAAGATTGGTTTCTTTTCTATTTTTATACTTGTTGTTTCTGTTATTATGAATGTTACAAATTGGTACTAACAGTATCACATACCATACAGTTAACCTGAGTCTTCAACATCTTCTGTAACCAAATCAGGAGATATCTTAACAGATATCGTTCGATCTCCGAAATGACAGTCAATAATTGCCTTTTAGACGATTCACAATTTTTTAATGGACAATATTCATTTTTAATTTAGATTTATTATAAAACATTTTTAGAATAAATATTGGATACTCACTTATTTAGCAGCATTAAGGATGACATACAATCGAACCCAAGAAATGAGTCTCTTTCAGTAAGAAAGTGGCCAATAATGGTCTATTGACGTTATCTTGCAGTAGGCTTAATTACAAAAGCTTGACAACTTTTTTATTCAATGACGATGTGTTACGCGAATAACCAGATATTTGTCGGTGCCTTTTTTTGACAGAGTTCCAAAAAAGGTCAATATCAAACCATTGTTAGAGGGCTGAAGGACATAATATAACAGATACCATAGCGGAAAAGGATGGTTATATTGTCTGTTGTCAATGTTTTTGTCTCACTTTTATTTTACGTTTTATGATGCATACTATGACCCATGTTCAAACAATAATTTATGAAAAGAAAAAGCAAATTTTTGAAAAGAAAAAATCAAGTGCTGTTCATGGTAAATTGCCTTTTGAAAGCCTATATACCTGATCATATATATACTTATAGATTAATCATCGTGTACTGTTAGATGTAACGTGTTTTGATTGCGGTAAAGGGGATCATTACACCCAACAATACTTTAAATGTGAATTGTATAAGACAAAAACTGCAGATCAAGGTAAGCACCTCATGTGGCTTTGAAGTTGGTAAATTTATCGATATTAAGAGATTTTAATGTACCTATAGTTGAAAGAAAAGAAAAAAGCAAGGAAAGAGAAGAATGAAGGCCCAGATAAAGACAATGTCTGTTGTACCAAATGCAAGCAACCAGGACATAAATCGGTGCGTTCTCCTCTGTGTCCTCAACATGTATTATCAAAGGCAGAGGTTTTTCAACATCATTTGGGGAGTAATTATAAGGCGTTTTCAAGAAGGTTGCCTCTTGATAACTGTGTTTTTGGTGACTATCGCAACACATTCAAGTCAAAAGTTGTTGAAGCTTGTTCTGTTATCCGAAACTTGGTTCTTTAAAACCAAACTCTTCGTGAATTATTACGTCTTGGAAAATGCCACTCTTGCTGAGCCAAAGTGTATAAAATGTATCTTTACACAAAATTTCTGGTACTCTATGATACAGCTGGTGAATGGACAAAGACCAACAAATAGTAGGCTGATATCAGAACAATTACTGAGCTCGTTTGATTCTTTCAAAACGAGTTACCCTAGCGCTGTCAAGCTCTTTCCTGGACTTAGTCAAGCCATTACAGAAGCGTGTACCGAAATTGCTACTTCCTATACGAGCAGTATAGTGGAAAATTTCGAGGAGAAACTTCTCTATTTTTTTATATATAAAAAACGAACAGCATTTGTGATAAGTTGCAACTCAAAATTATTTTGGATCTTATGGTATCTTCTACATAATGTAGATAATCATTTTACCATAGCAGTAATTCTCATTCAATGGAAATTGAATCAAGTAATGTATACACTCCAGATTGAGTAACATATCAATCTAAACAATTTTCCTTTTGCATAAATACAGCCCAGCTATATAATTCGGTCGTTGAGCCACTTCTTTTTTTTTTTTATCTTCCCCGCTAGATATACTTTCGATCGTTTATTTCCTTTTGTAGCTCAAACCTCTAGAGGATTGCAGATGACTGATCACACAGATTCTTTACGAGAAAGACAAGCCCTCTTACCAAGTAGCAGCAATAGTAACAGTAAAAAAAAAGGCTGGAGATACTATCTGATCTGGGTGTGGAGATTCATCGTTTTTGGTATGACCGGATCACTGAGTGTTCAACTTACAAGTTCATTGCTAAGGTTTCTTCATGTATCAAGTAAGTAATCTCGAACTAGACTTTATTGTATTTCAAAGCTAAACTGACGGGATCGTTTATGTTTAGTGGAAAAAAAATTGTTTTACTACACTGCATTTTTCTTTGCTGAATTAATGATATACACCTTATTGATAATGATACTCGGCACTCTATTATTCCAATGGAGATTTTTCTGTCTCGTTGCCTTCAAAATGTGGTCGTGGGCCTTACCATCCAGAATCAGAATTTGGTGCTATGAACATTTGCACAGTCATAGAATAACTCTTTAGAATCCGTATATTGTATGTATATAAGAAGCAAGTAACATTTGGTAGCATTATTGTCATTTTTGTATTGATGAGTTACATCAACCACTTCTTTTTCTATCACAAAAAAAAAAGATAAAGCATTTTTATACCCAGGTCAAAGCGTCTGATAGCAATATCCAAGTTTGAGTAAAGACTAATGATAATTTCAAAAATTCAGAAGCGGTGAAATCTCAATTGTTTGCCTTTTGCCTACAAAATTGGTAGCACTTTGTTAAGTTGATAAATTTAACAATTGGAAGCACTCACTTCCGCGAAATCGCATAGTAAATAATCTAAACATTATGAGAACTATCTGTGAAACATCAATATAGTTGTTAAAGCATAGTTTTCTTTTAATAGCTTGTTGTTAAAGAAATAACCGTTCTAATTTTTTTCATTTTTTTTTTTTCTCATTTTTTTTTTTTTTTTTTTTTTTTTTTTTTTGATCTTACGGTATACTGCGATCATCATATGTCATTCAAAGATAGCAAATGAACACTCTCTAAAATGGGACATTGAACCCTTTGTCCTTTTCGGATACAAAATAAAGTAAAGTAAAGGACGTTTAAGAGACAAGAAGAATCAAGTTTTGGTATTTTATTGCGTGTATACTACAGAAGAAGATGGTGGTATATATTTCAATTCTAAATAGGCTAGTTGATTGACATTGTCATTTATACAATAAAAGCCTATTTGATGGAAAGGTAAAATAACAATAGGTATATTTCCTTGCCCTAAATGGGAATCCGAGATTTGAAGCAGATGATATGATTCTAGTTGATTTTGAGAGCGTAACGGATAGTGGTTAAATTGGCTTTGATGTATCGGATAGGTCTTTGAATGAAGTGATACTGATTCGATATAATCGGAAAGTTTATGTTGGTTTTCTTGGTCAAATTTATGCCAAGTGTCAGATGTCATAGAAAACGGTGTCAGAAACTTGAAGTACCATGAACCTTTAATGCTTTTATAGTGATCTGAAGTGACAGTAGTAGTCATGTTGCCATTTGATGCATTAGGATTCAACTGTCGTTGTTGCTGAAACGGCGAAACGGAAAGCAATGATGATCCCGTGGAAGATGAAGAAAGAATAGAACCGTCGTAACTGTAATTGTTAACAGAAGTAGTTGCACTAATCCTTTTACTGTAATAATCAGGTGTCAATGCAGGTGTAGGCGGCGTACTCGCAGAGGCCACAAGGTGCTGAGGAAGGGCTTGCTGTTGGTGCTGCTGTTTTGCATGGGGAAGTACACCCTTCTTAAATAGAAAGGAAAATGGCCATCGTTTCTTTTTTGTTGAAGTGGTTGCAGAAATACTTTGGTCAGGAGTAGAACTAAGCACATCGTCATTGCTATTGCTAGCAGCATTGTTACTTACTTTGGATGTTGCTTCTTCGTTTTTGAAAGTATTATCAGCGACTGCTGCTGAGTCTACTTTGATATGTTGGAAGTTCAACGACTTCATTGCATTCGATAAGCTTTCGTCTATCATGTCGTCATCAATACTCCTTAAACTGTTTCTGAGTACTTTCTGTGGTTTCTGTTGTTGTTCTTCTATTACCTTTCTGTCGCTTGAAGATGACACTTGCTTAGCAGTTCTTTCTTTATCATCATTTTCGTCGTAAAAGATTGTTTCATTACGTATAGCGTTTTTTGCAGCAAGCAGTTCCAGCTCATTCATGGGTTCGCCATCAATATCTGTGTAAACGTCTGGATCAATATTGTATTCGCTGTTATTGTTATCATATCTGTCATCACTATCTTCGTTTCTTTCCAGTGTGTTTCTCTCATTGTGTTCTCTGCCTTTCGATCTTTTTCTGTTCTTCGGTTTAATAGTACTTCTTTGTGAATGAATATACTGAGGCTCATTCTGTTGCTGGTAATACCAGTTGTATACCTGCTTAAATACATTAGTATACAAAAGAGGTTGTGTTCCAGGTTAATTTTTGCTACTCACATTCTCAGGATACTCTGTAATCCCTTGATTGATGAAATGCTGCTGTTGCTCTTCCAAATGTCTCAGACTTCCAGTTGATAATGATCTAGATAGCTTTGGTCTACTGTTACTAATTCTTATTTTTCTTTGTGGAAGGGAGTAGTGATATGTATTGTCATCGACTACTGGAAGCAACGGCGTGAGGTGCTGTAATGGTAGACGGTGATGGTGATAGTTTGGTGGCGCTAATGTTGAATACGGATAAAACGCTGTGGGATGTTTGTCACTGTAATAGAGCTGATGAGTCATATTATTTTGTTATTTGTTGGTAAGGGAGAATAAAAAAGAAGGAAGTGGAGAAGAAAAAAAGCAATGTCCTTTTGTCACTGCAAACAAGACAATTTGCAGTTTTTTCGTTTTTTTTTTTCTCGTTTCTCTTTTATTTGTGCGGTTACGTTGTACTACACTCTTCCGCGATAAGTGCTTATCACTATATAGAAATGCTAAAGACAGTTTCTGTAATTAATGCAATACAAACAATCGCATGAAAATAGCTTAAATAAAAATAGAAGAGTCTACAATGGGAAAAATCTAGACCTTGAGGCGTAAACTTGTATTTCGCTATGTCCATATTTCTGCTTGTAAACGGCATATCCATAGTTTTGAATGTAAATTTGTATAAATCTAAGAACGTCATAATTAGGAGATACCTGTTTTAAAACAGAATAGCATATAATTTCAAGTCTGGCTTTTCATTGTTAACGATGCTTCAGAGTCTCGTGTATGGACATCCTTCCTAACTGCTATGCGTACGGAAAGTTCCAGTTTTGATGCGAGGTAGCCGAACTATAACAGGTTCGGAAAGCATTCGATTAGCAACTATCATTGGCTAAAATTAGATATCAGATAACAATCATTCAAAGTAAACCGATTATATCCCGTTAACACATTTTAATGGTTTAAAGCACAATAATGTATTCCAACAATTTACAACACATGCAACAGCATGAAGCTTTGCCCTCATTACAGCCTCATTCAATATCTCCTTCTACGCAGGAACCGAAAATTAGCACTAAAAAAAGACCAAGAAGGGATAGAGCATGTATGATTATACCGATTTATGTGCAATAGATACTTTGCGTTTGGTCATTTGAAAGTTTCCATAATCACTTAAACAAATACTTTATTCTGTCATAGGTGATCTGTGTAGACGGAAGAAAATTCGGTATAGGCTAACTATTGCTACTTAGCGTAAGTTTTGCTTAAATAACTCTTTCTCTTGATTTTATTTTATCTAGCTGTGATTATGATCCAGCTTATTCACAAAATCCATGCAGTTCCTGCAGAAGTTATAACAAATTATGTACGTTTAATGAAGCGGCTAAAAAGAGAGGGCCACCTAAAGGATATGTCGATGGGTTAGAACAGCGTTTAAAACGTATGGAAAAGTTATTACTGGATATAGCAGCTAATGGAAAACTACCACCAGACATGGTGAAAGATCTTCTTCAGCAAAACGACAGTGCGGTACAACAAGACCCTATAAACGATGGCAGAGATGGTTCTTATTCTTCAGATATGGACTCGTGTCAAAGTAATAGTCAAAAGTCGCCACACAGTGCGTCACCAACGCTAAAGGTCGGTACAGAGGAACAGCAACAGCAGCAGCAGAATGAGCATCTGTTGCCTAGAATTGAATGTCTGACGCCTAACGCCAAAGATGCTAAACGGCCATTTTCATATATGGGAAGTTCATCTGGTGTTTACTTATTAACTCGCCTATTTACGGAAAATACTGGTCACCAGTGCAGCAATGAAGAGAAAAATGCGTTGCCACGACCTGTTAAAGGGCATGAAGAAGATTTGATGGTGGCTCGACTTGAAACCGGAGCTTCACCATATAGGAATCTATGCAAAATACTAAATCCAGGTTGGAAAATGCCGCCTAAAGAATTAGTAGACTATCTCATCAAGCTCTATTTTGAAAAGTTAAATACCTTCCTCCCAATCGTGGATGAGGAGAAATTTTACGAAAAATATCAAAAAGCCAACCATGAGCCTCAATTTATACCAATTATTATGGCTGTTTGCAGAGCCGCTTTCCGTCTGTTGAGTGATGGTCATCCTCTTCTTGAAAAATACAACATTGTGGACCGTAAACAATACTTTACCGATATATGCTTTCAGTTAGAACAAAATTTTGATTTGGACTTTTTAGAACCCACAATGGAAGCTATTCAAGTATTACTTTTACAAGCAGCGAACACAGATAAATGGGGATCTCAAAGTTCAGATTGGATTGCTACAAGCATCGCCGTGAAAATGGTGAGTAGCACGCTATTAAGAAAAGTTTTTTTAGGGATGGACTCAAAGGAAAGAAATAACATATTGTACTAACTTATACATGATCATGCCTTTTAAATCATCCACTTCTTATAGGCGCAGGATTTAGGGTTGCATAGAGCAAATACACAACAGAGCGGAATAACAATTAGAGAAACGGAATCTAGGAGGAGAATCTGGTGGTGTGCTTATATAATCGATCGCTGGGTCTGTGCTTCATTGGGCAGGTACGGTTATAAGCTCAAAAGCGTCAGACAAGCAAAACTTTCTATTTAGACTACTCTATTAAGTATAGGCCTTTGACCATCTCTGACGCGGATTGTGATGTAGACTATCCTGACGCAGAGGGCAGGAAGTATGTATCCTTTGAGTACCTGGCTAAATTATCCTGCATTCTAGGTGACGCTCTGCGAGGTCTCTGTACACCCAGAGCTCGCCTCATGTCTGAAAAGGGAGTTGGTTTGGAGAACATATCCCGTAAACTGGAACAAATGTTACTGGAATGGAAAAAGATATTACCAACAGACTTGAAATTGACAGATGAAGAGCTGTCCCAGATTTCCCGAATGGGCCATTCGGATCCAGCATTGAAGCGAAAGCTAAATAGCGGAGGTGAGTTAACTTGAATAAAATATGACTGTGGCGGGAAAAAACAGTAGAACAAAAAAGAAAAGAATTAATTCCTGCTCCATTTCCATTTCCTAAATCAGCTGGTAAATTACACCTCGCATATTATGCAGTTTATTTATTATCAAAGCGCCCATTAATATCGCTAGGAACTGGCGAAGAATCTACAGTCCAGATGCCCAGCGAGTGTCAGATGGCGATTAGACATTTCATGGGCATTATTAATGTCATCGATCTGGCAGAGCTTATTTCTGGCTGGTCTATATTCAGTAAGTGATATTGGCAAAGATCAGTTGAAACTTCAGTGCTGAATTTTATCGTTGGTCGGTTGCACTTACACTTTTGATGTGAATTGTATTGATGTAAATCAATAGGTTATTGTCTCTCAAACACTCAAATGCTTCTGTTTCTAAATTATAAAAACGCTGACTCTCGACTTGTAACAGAATCTACAGCATTCTCGGAAAGGTTTCGAAAACTTCATCTTGATTTAGAAAAATATATAACAGAGGTAAGATGATCAGCATTTATGTGAGCGTTGAAGAAATTGTTTACTAAATAGTTTGACAATGTCTTTTCAAAAGCCCTCCATCATTCCGTTCCTAGACGTTCTTTCGAAAATTATAAGCTCCAACGGAATGAAAAGCGTCGATGAACAATCACCAAGCACTGAAAAGAACAAACTCGGCGATATTTTTGAACAGCAAGTAGATAGTATGTCTTCTGAAATTCAATGGCAAGGTATTTGTCGGTTTTCCATTAGTTTTAGCATGTGTATTAGCTTCAGCATTATTAACAGTACGTTGAAATCTAGAAATGGTCAAATTTTTAGCAGAGACAGGATATCAACTTTAAATTAGATTCGAAGCACAATGTTGGAAGACTAATATACCTTTAACTATTACAATTATTGTTCAACACTTAGTTTATCCGCTAAACACACACGACTTATAATACCTGCTCATACCAGTTTTGTGATCATTGAAAGGAACCTAAAACCGGATGTTATGTAAGCCTGCGGGAATGCTTCAAACTCAGTCGTTTACCTAAGCAGCCCATTTTTCGTCGTTTAAACTTTTTTGCCAATCCGTTTTTAGAAATAAAAGAAAAAAACTAAATTCACTTTAAATTCAAATGGATTCAGGGTAAATCTATCGCATTTTTCCTTCTCCATACCAGCCTCATTTCGAAACATGTTCGACTTCAGCAACAACTCTCACCGTCGCTACAATCCTCTTACCAAGTCTTGGGTCCTTTGCTCTCCTCACCGTACCCAGAGACCCTGGCAAGGACAACAAGAATCACCCAACGTTGAGCAAAGACCTCAATATGACCCCAAGTGTTATCTTTGCCCAGGCAATGTTCGTGCCAACGGTGAACACAATCCCAAATATGACTCTACTTTCCGCTTCCCCAACGACTATGCTGCTGTCAAGGCCGATCAACCTGAACTTGAGGTCAACGATGACGACCTGCTCAAGGTCGAAGGTGTTCGCGGTGAATGCCATGTCATTTGCTTCTCTCCTCGTCACGATCTTACTTTAGCCGAGATGACTGTTGAAGAAATTGAAAAGGTCGTTGATATTTGGACAGAGAGCTATACCGAAATGAAGAAGAAGGATTATATCAACCATGTTCAAATTTTTGAAAATAAGGGTTCAGCTATGGGTTGTTCCAACCCTCATCCTCACGGTCAAATGTGGTGTACCGAACGTATTCCCGAGGAACCTAGTAAAGAATTGATTGCCTTGGAAGAGTATAGCAAGAAGCATAGTGGTAAGTGTCTGTTGTGTGACTACGCACAACGTGAAATGGCTGATCCTGAGCGTAAGCGTACCGTGTTTGAAAATGATACCTTTTTGGTGGTGGTTCCTTTTTGGGCTGTTTGGCCTTTTGAAATAATGGTGTTACCAAAGACTCACATTGGTTCTTTGCCTGAAATGAGCAGCAAGCAAAAGACTGATTTGGCCGACGCTGTTCGTCGTGTTACTTGCCGCTATGATAATTTGTTCCAAACCAGTTTTCCCTACTCTATGGGTATTCATCAAAAACCATTCAATGGTGAATATGATTACGCCCATCTTCATCTCCACTACTATCCTCCTCTCCTAAGAAGTGCCACTGTTCGTAAGTTTCTTGTTGGTTTTGAAATGTTAGGTGAGCCTCAACGTGATTTGACACCAGAACAAGCTGCTGCTCGTCTGAGAGACCTTTCCGAAGTCCACTACAAGACTCAGATCGAAAACAACTAGATAGTATTGCATTTTTGCTTTTTTATTTTATTTTATTTTATTTTTTTATTTTTTATTTTTTATTTTTTTTGTTTCTGTGATAGCATTTTCCTCCTTTTAATTTGAGTTCTTTTTTGTGATTTACCACTACTTGTCTTATTATTCCTATAAGCGTGTTTATTACATTTTGTACATAATCATCAATAAACGCTTGTTAATTTTGTCATACGGTAATTTATTACATTAAGTACTGTTTGATTTTCTGCAGTGAAAGTTCGAAAAAATGGCTTATGCTGGAATAGCACAATAAAATTTTACGAGGAGGAGTGTCTTATTAGCGAGAATACACGAATTCGATAATACACATAGGCAAAGTTACTCGCAAACTAACGTCCACACAGATTTTTAATAAGAATTTTAGCGTACACTAAGAAACAAAAATGTTTACAACTCTCTTAATTTCTAAGTTTCCGACTTTGTTTACATGAAAATACATTACTAAAATTCCATAGAGTTTGCCGGGTGCAAAAGTATTTCATTTTTGGCTTGGTAGATAGTACGTCATTTTAATTCGTTTGTTGCTGCGATATTCAGCAGAGAACAACATTCCTTTCCTATTCTAATATATTTTGCTGCTATTTAACAACCATTCATAGCTGTACAGCAAAAGCACATTATTGGATTATATATGCAGCGATGCCTGACACAGCGGTTTCAAGTAATAGAAGTAGCATTATGATGGATCCATCTGAGGATTTCACGGGACAGTTTATGTTGGAGAATCAAGATGCCATCAATACACATATCCAACGACATCGTTGGGAACTTTTTTTCCGGCCAGAGTACACATTTGAGTCTTATATGCACGGCTCAACAAAGCCTTTGGCTAATACGGCTCGCCATCAGCGCAATATGGATTGTTTGGTTAATGGTGCAAGGTTGTCCTCCTTGCCGCCTTCACAGCAAAACCTCGAATCTAAAATGAATGCGCCCCGCAGCAGACCATCACCTTATAATTTAAGTAGTCGACCAAGTTTTGACGGCACCGCTTCATTTAGTACAGCTTCTTCTTCACTACCAACTACAGAAGCAGGCATACCAACGTTACCAAATTTGGCTGTCAATTCTGCTTTTCTGAACAGCAGCAGCGGGAACTGTTCTTCTTCTACAATGACAAGCTCAGAATGCGATAAAGCCTTTGTTAGAGAACGATTAGAGTTGCTGAAAAAAGTTAGAATGCAAGGAAAAGATAATGATAATAGAAAGAGGAATAGTTTAACGGCTTCTGACGAAGAGCGACCATGCATTCTCGCTGACGAAATGAATAATCGTAGACAGAGTTTTATTTTTGATACCACAGCACGATGGAAACAGCAATTCACAATAGCAGCAAAACAAATACGAAGCGAAGTAGGGAAAGGTGATGACTCAATAAGCGCCATCTCAGATAAGGGAACGATCAATAAGTTGGAAAAAAGCGAACAGCAATTGACAGAAATGAGAGGAGCGGACGAAAAAATGCTGCATTCAAAGAGTAACAGTTGCTTATCAATTTATTGCCGCCGTCCTTCTTTAATCTGTTTTATACTAGGCTTTTTTTGCCCATTATTCTGGTTATTTGGAGCTATACATTTCTCTTCTTGTGCAAATAGACAGAATGCTGCTAATAGACGAATGGATCATGTTTGGAGACGTAGATCACGCACTGCGTTTATTCTCACAATGATAGGTCTCATGGTCGCACTTATAGTTATTTTTGTATTGAAGCCCGAGACAGTGGGCTACAGACAGAGTCGCTCGCAAAATGATACCGACTAAAAATTATAAACGTGATGCTTATATCACTGACAAGACAATACATTATTTTGAATATAATTTTATTACAGACTTACATGGAGAGGGAAAAAGGAGATATATGCAAAATATTTCATTTTAAATTGTTGAAATACATAAATAAAGTGAATGGTAACGAGCATTTTTACAAATGATATATAGTAAATATATGAAAACATGAATGAGCAAAAGATGAAAAAATGTACAAGTGCAGAAGTATTCGACTTAAATGTTTACTGCAGAAAATGTACATTGGGATTAGGACTTATACTCATAGACATCATGCCTGCACTCACGTCTTCGTCTGAGCTTTCCTCCTCTTCACTGTCGGATTCTTCTTCGTCTTCGTCATCGGCTATCCATTCAAAATAGATATTGTCCACAAAAATACGACTGCTACCCAATTTGTAAGGATCAAAGGGGAAGAAAGACTGTACGGTTTGCAATAAATTTGCATTTCCGAGACCTGGTACAAAGATTTCACGATTCTTCTCTAAAATAGGGTATACATACATGAAATGAGTGTTTCGAGCTAATTTCGCAAATTGCTGTACGACGCCAGGAGAACAAAGTTTGAGAGGGTTGAATTTACTCATAACTAAACGAGGCAAGTTCCTTAAGCCGACACACCAATTACGAGGAGCTCCACTACCAAAGCCAGACTCAGGATGTGTGAGTTGGCGTTCTTCATAAGAAATGCTGGATATATCCTCTTCCATTTCCTCTTCAATCTCCAATTCATTTGTTACCACCAAATCTCTCCAGCGGAAGCAAAAAATATACATAACAGCTTGAATAACAGCATAAAAAACGTCATGTTTTGTACAGTCCAGGTTTTGGACTTGTGATTCATATTGCCACGCGTAACTTTCGCACCATGATGTTAATGCTGCTACAACGCGTTGAATAGTAGTTGAGTCTAAAAACTTGGCACGAGCGACGTACGATTGAATATAAGCAGAAGCAGCAACGCGAGTAACATTCGGTTTCATAGAATCGCTGATATGGTGAAGCAAATGATCGAGAAAATATTCGCTGTACACATTTACGTTCAAAGAACAAAAGAAGAACAATAGAAATTGTGTATACCTCGACTTGAGTGTTTTTAAAACAGCACGGTCAAAGATATCAACCAAGGCATAAAATATTTCATTTTGTACGGTAGCTTCACTGTCTTGAGCATGGCGAGCAAGAAACTCAAAACATAATGTCATCATTGCGTCTAATTTACGGACCATGTATTTGATTTCCTTAATATCATCTTTCGTGTCGGCTCCAATGTCTGCGTTTTCATCGGAATCGACGCTGGCATCGTCCGACAAATCTATGTCATCTTCTAATTCTGGTTCACTGTCTTCTGAGTCATAATTCTCATCAAACTGCAAGTTGTACACATCAAACTCAATATCTGCATCCACTTCATCCAATTCGATTTGAATTTGCGCATCGATCTGGACCATCTGATCCACAACCATACCAAGCACTTGTTTACGTAAAACTGGAACATAATCGGTTACTTGCAAAATGTTTTTGATGTAGGCGGCTTGCTCTGCTGAATTGAAACGTTTGTGGGGCATATGACGAACAAGGCTAACAAAAAGTGAATTGGAGGCTGTAGGGATGAGTTTCAGCACACATCTTAAAGCTTCATGATGCCGCTCGTAGGACATAGTACGAGTAATATTTGTGATTTGGGGTATATTAGAGCCTAAATTATATGACCTGATTAGTGCATATGTTATTCGAACATTGCAGTTATTCTGTCACTTACGATATCTGAAACCTGACACAATCGAATTCAGAACAGGTACAATATAGAATGCATGTGCAGATACAAGATTCTCCATGAAATCCAAATAAGTGTTCATAAAGTCACCGTTACGGAAGCTCCAGTCAATTTTCAGAGCAGCTTCAACAAGGCTTACGCAGGATTTGTCAAGAAGAGAAACATTTTGAGACAGGACAGTCAACCAAACATATAACTGCAAAGAAGACTGTGCTCCAGGGCTTGAATGATCTCTTGAAAGTGTTTCAACAAGTTCGTTGTAGCGAGAGGGATTTCCCTATTGTAACAAGGAGATATATCCACATGATTAGTATCATAATAGGATAAATTAAGCATATAAATAAGAAAATAAACGAAGGAAGAAGGGAGTGTAGAGATTCAAAAAGTAGAAGTGATCCATAGCAATTCCTCTAGTTTCATTTAATCATCATTAAGGAGATTGCTAGTATAATCCGTTTAGAAAAGCTTATTGTTCTTTCTTTTTTTATTAAGCCAAGATTTTAGTGCGTTCAATGAACTTCATAAAAATGAAATCCAACTACGTTATTCCTGATTATCCCATAAAAAAAGAATGAACCTTTATAGCTTCTTTCTTTCTTGTCATCTCTATGACAATCTTTTCCCTTTAATCCTTCAAACTTTCGAGAAAGTTCATGTATTATGGAATAATGAATGAATATATACTTTTTGGACCCGTTAAAAGTTTGTAAAGGACAATTACCCGAACGTATGAATACCGTTCCCCTATTTGCCAAAGTAAAACAAACTCGGCAAGAGGGTAAACATACGGGGACATGCCGCAGTAGTTGGTTGCAATTTTCCGACAACAGGGAAAAGAAGGAGTTGTTCCACATCCCATTGCCGCTTTTAAAATGGTTGATTCATATTGTGATATAAGCATCGCGGATTGTAGGTTGAGCAGAAAATAAACAGAGAAAAACACAGTAAAACTACTCTCATTTGAATTATAAAGAATAATTCAAAGAGAAGGAATAGTTTACCTGTTCTTTTTCTCGAAGAGCACCTTGAACATAAGTGCGCATCATGAGTTTCATGTTGTTTAACTTTTCTTTGCTGACGTTCTCATTTGTTTCTTCAATCTCGGCTAAAGGCGTTACTAAATCAGAAGTTTTTGCGAGTTGTTGAGTCGTCGAATTTATACGTCCTTTGACAGTGGTGGAAGTTAGGGTGGGTGATCGGACAGGCATCGTACTAAATGATCGATGAATGAAGGAAAAGAAATTTCTTGTATTTTCTTTGTTTTCTTTTTTTTTTTTGTTTTTTTTACTGATTAATAGCTGGCTTAACCGTCACATGTGGCTGTGTTCAAATAGCTACAGCGTGCATATGACGAAACTTCTTGCCTTTCTTGGAGATTAACAAAACCGTTAAGATACAATGTTAGCTAAAGTTACAAGCATTTATTTACATTTCATAGGTATTTCAGGATCGGAAGATTGTGGATGTATAGTGTTTACAATTGCACTTTTTTCCCTGTTAACATAAAAAATGCTTCTTTATACTTTGCCAAAGTATTTTCAATGACATCAGCTGGTAATTCAATACTAGTGGTCTTATCGAAGTGAATTGATTCCAGATAGTTGCGTAAAAATTGCTTGTCGAAACTATCTTGAACTCTGCCTTTTTCATATGCATTTGCTGGCCAGAAGCGAGAGGAATCTAAAGTATTTTTATAAGTGACCTTCTCACAAAAAATAGAATATGCTCTGAGATTCAATTTACTCACCAGGTGTCAAAACCTCGTCAATCAACGTCAAGTTGTTATCCTCATCTAAACCAAATTCGAATTTTGTATCGGCAATGATAATTCCTCTCTTAGAAGCATATTCACTTGCTTTACTATACAGAGCAATAGCAGACTGTGTAATCTTGTCAGCAATTGCTTTATCTCCTAATATATCAACCATTTTTGAAGGATGTATATTTTCATCTACATTCATACAATACGATTAATCTATCTTGCACTGGGCTATAATTTTTGTGGTCATTCCTTACCATGGTCTCCAATTTCAGCCTTGGTGCTAGGGGTGAAAAGCACTTCAGGAAGCTTTTCACTCTCCACTAAGCCTGTTTCAAGGGGTATATCGCAAATTGTTCCTTTCTTTTTATATTCGGCCCAACCAGAACCGGTGATATAACCACGTACAATTGCTTCAATTGGAACGACACGCATCTTCTTCACTAAAAGAGAGCGTCCCTCTAATTGATCTCTGTATTTTTGAACAATTTCAGGCATCTGGTCAAAATCAGCCGTTATCAAATGGTTGGGGATGATATCCTTCAAAAGATCGAACCAAAACAATGAAATCTGTGTCAAAATTTTGCCTTTTCCTGGGATAGGCTATGTAGAAATAAGCCAAGAAGCTGGTTAAAACATATTGCTATCTGCTCAGTTAGTATTGAAGTTCTATTTACATTCTTCATAATGACATCGAAAGCACTAATACGATCCGTGGCGACAAAAAGAAGAGATTTCTCGTCTACTTCATATAAGTCTCGTACTTTTCCACGCGCAACAAGTTTAAGGTCAGGGCAATTACTATTTTTCAATAACAGGTTACAATTTTTCAAGAATGCTTTTATTAGGCCATTGAATATTGCAAATACCTGTTCAATAGAGCGGCCATTATAGTTATTATATTTGCTAAGATAAGTAATTGAAAGATGCTGAAATTTGGGTCTTCGATCTTTCTGAATCTTAAAAAGCGGGGAAAATCTTATCTGTGACTGAAAATGAGATGATGACTCTTCTAAGTGGCATTGAAATATTGATCATCGCAAAGACAGTTTAAACAAGGCAGTGAGAAAATAGAGGTATCTTGTAAATCTGTATCCAACGGTTTGATATAATTGTGGCATAAAGGATAACCGCGTATTACGCTTTGAAGTATTATTATTGATCAAGTACATAAATTGAATAAAATGTCTGCAAGGATAGTGGACAAATATGAAACTACCAATTATCAGGAAATGATTGAGGCAGCTGCTTATATCGTTATGCCCTGTTCATGATTGGTGACACTTTGCTTTATTCTAATGTTGGTTTGTGTTCACGAAGACAACTTCTACAATCCTGCTTTACGACAAGCTTATGGGCATTGACTAAAAATAAAGGAAAGTTATCGAGAAGACTAGCATCTTCTGTAAGTAAACAGATTTATTAATCTGACACGTTAACTTGCAAAAACAGAAGTAATCTTTATTTGATAGATGTTCAGGCATAATATAATGTGTTGTGGTAATCTATTAAGCTTATTGTTTCCGAGAGCTTTTAATACTGCCAACATGGCCGTACAAACGTGTTGCTTTTAGCTAGCTTCGAATGAAGAGCTTCTCATACATCTTTTACCTCAATGTATATACATAAGTACAAATGATTTAAATATCGAATTTGAGACTCATTTTGACCAAGTCTTCAATAATGTTAAGGAAGAAGGAGCAATTGATCTGTTTATGGCAGTCAAAAAGGAGCTTGACTAAAAATAACAACATTTGTCTGTTACAGACTTCCTTCTTTTTCGAAACACTGCAGTACAACAGATGTATGTTGTTGTGTTTTTTGAATAGGCTAAAAATACAATAATCGTATCACGACTCTGACAATCTTTTTTACCTTATGTCAGATACTACTAGTCGCGCAAATTCAATTGCAACTGGTTCGTAATTATATGCATATCCAGACTATGCAGTTCAGATCGTGTAGATGTACAAAGAACAATGATCATCTTGTCGAAAAATTGTAGATTCTATATTAAAGCTATAGTCGTCCTCTGTTTCATTTATTTAGCTCAAAAATTGCATCTTACAAAGCATTTGTCTGTGCACCAGCAATTTCTACTTGTGCACCTACTTATTTTAGCATTCAATTGTATAGTAGTGGGACCCAACTGCGTTATCCTGTTCCCCAAAGAATCCTTTAAGAATATGTGGCACCATACCACGCTTGTCCTACGCATTACAGCTTTGCTAAGAGTTTATATATATCCGCCCCTTTCTACTCCTTTTACGGAAATTCATTTCAAATTGAATTCTGGCTATTTCACTCCACAAAACGCTTAACTTACCTTTTTCCTCTGTGATATACATTCAACTCAATTGTAACAAAAAGACATTCATATTCTATTGAAAAGAAAAAGTAGAACAATCGTACCTTAGTTACAGTAACCCCACACCTTTCGTTTATATCGACTCTTTCTTATATCACGCTCCTTACAAAAATTGTCACATCGACTATACATTTGATCCTAATTAATAATATGTTCTTTTCACGCACAACCGGCTTACTTATTGCAACATCCATTGCGCTTTTGTCGCCATCACACGTTCACGCATATGGACAAATTGCTCAAGTAGTTGATGCCAACAACTTCTGCGTCTTTTTGCCTCCCAATGATTCTGTTGATAGAATTATTTCGGATACAGAATGGAACGCACAGGCATTCTGCATTGGCAAGACCCCATTAGCAAAGAATGCTGGTAAATTGAAGTCAGGATTCATTCAATCAGCGCACTTTGTTGCTACCGATCAATATGTTCAAGTCACTGGACAAATCGATCCAACCAAAGCTAGATTAGACTTGACAGACGAGGGTGGACAAATGGACATCAAAGCACCCAAAGGATCTTCTTGTGCCGGTTGGAAATACTATGTAAACTTGATTGAACCTGCTGGTCGTACCTACTGTATGCGCTGTTGTGTGAGTTTACCATTGTATTTGCCTAAACCATAATTTGAACACATATCACTAATACATAACTAAATAGAATGATGACCGAACTTGCAACCGTGGCATTTCCGAAAAGGGTTGTGCTCACATTATCCCAGGTGATTATAGTGGACCTTATGGCGATAAACCCAGCAGCTCCTCACCTGCAAATATTGCTGATGACAGTGATAAAAAAGACGAAAAATCAGCTGCACCTAAACCTATCAAGACCGTTGCCACGCATACAACTACCAAAACGAAGACCTCCACTAAAAAGTCTAGAACGATTACCGCGATTGCTGGCACCGGAATTGCAACAAATGCTATAACGTCTGGTACCGTAATCAACAACGCCAACGCAGACAAAGCTGACGCAGACAAAGCTGACGAAGGCAAAGCTAACGCAGGCAAAGCTGACGAAGGCAAAGCTGACGCAGACGAAACCAACGCAGAAAAAGCTACCAGTGATGACAATCCAAGCAGCAGCGGAAATAACCCTGTTACAGTTACGAACGATGCACCTATTGCTACTGAAACAATCAACGAAAGCGATTCTGCGAGACAGGAAAAACCGAAACAGGAAGAACACAACAGCAATGAGGACGTTACTACAATAATTGATGCCGCTACTCCTACTGTGCAAATTGCTCCGCCTTCCGGCACGTCTGTTATTAATCCTAGTATTGCTCCAGTTAAAGGAGAGTTGCTGAGCGATGATGGTACCATTAAAGAGCAATCTGTTAATGCCGTTAATGCATTCCAGCCAGTGATTATAACAACTGCTACTATAATGATGACTATGGTCTTCTATTTAATTTTATAAATATAACAATAATTATAACGTCTAATAAACAAAACGAGAAAAATTGTAATTATGCTTGTATACCTTAGAGTAAGAGTTTCATTAGAGTCCCTAATCTCGATATATTGTTTGGCATGGTACAATATTCAGGAGTGGAAACCATTGGTACTTTTGACAACTCAAGATTATTGGACGATTTCATCGTGATTCAGATCTTATACTAACGCTTGAAGAATGACTCTATCATTAGATATGAAATAGTATTGCCAATACCTATATTTTCGCTTGGTTAATAGTTGCAGTTACTTTTCACTCTTTTTAAAAGCTAGACACCGCTTTACACCTAAAGCTAATTACAACTTCACCGAACAGTCAATGCGAACCTTCTTCCCGTCAATAATGAAATAGACATTTATTAAAGGGTAAGATGATCAAATCAGAAGCTACATAAACCCAGTAGGTCAACTAGCAAAAGCTATAACACAAATATATACTTCATTATGTAACGTCAAAAACAACCTTTTCATTCAGGCATAGTGCTGTCTTTTATGGTATAAGCTTTTATTCAAGAAATAAAATAATCACATACATCGTACCATTATGAAAATTATACCTAGTACTTCGTAATTGCTTCTTTCCTATACAGCTCCCTGCAAAATGAACAGAAGCCTCTACATCTCGAATGTTCAACAAAATTTTACAACCTAAGCTGTTAAAACGTTATGGAGCGATACACGCGTAGAAATACTTGCAGGTTTTTCATATATTGGCTCTTTAACGATTATTTTCTTCTGGTAAGTAGAAGGTAAACCGACACTAAATCGTATCTTCAACCTAAACAAGAAGTTTCAAAATAATTTTATTAATAGTAAAGCAGTAATGATATATTTGAATTAAAGAAAGATAAAAGATGAAATAACCAACTAGAAGCTTATTATAGAAGATTGTTTAAAAAGACAACGACTGCTAAAAGAATAGTATAAGTGTAGTAAGTGATCGATTTATCGGTAGCTGACGAAGCTTGCTGAGCTTGCGTTTGGGTTTGGGTTTGTGCTTGAGCTTGAGCTTCAGCATTACCACTTTGATCAGTAATAGAGTTTGCAGAGGCGGCACCTGCTTTTCTCAATGTATCTTCTTCGTAATGATCATCATCGTCGTCATCGTCGTCGTCGTTATCATCGTGGTGGTCGTGATGGTCGTTGTGGTCGTCGTCATCTTCGTCACCTTTATGAGGGTCCTTATCACCAAGACATTCAGCTGCTGTCATTAAATCATATCCTTTATTCTGGAGAAAGTTGATAATCTCGTCAACTTGATTAATGGAAGTTTTATACAGATCATGTTGCAAACTGATATATCCAGGATCTTTATGAGCATTCAACCCACTATCACCACCATTAGCAATTTTCTCAATTGATTTTTGAATACGTGATGCGCCATCGTGAAGCATATGCACGTTGTAGTCTGTAGGGTCAACATTCCACATAAGCGTCTTGTAGCCGAGTTTTTTGAAAATAGCTTTGACACGAGTATCTGCTTCGCCATAAGGAGGGCGAATATAGGTAGGTCGAATACCAGTAGCTGCCATAATAACTTCTTCAGTAGCCTTGATTTCATGAACAATATCTTCGTTTGACAAACTCATCAAGTGAGGATGAGAGTAGGTATGAGAAGCAATATGATGACCTGCGTCATAGGCACGCTTTATAATATCGGGATATTTGGCAGCATGAGCACCCATGACACAGAAAGTAGCCTTGATTTGTGCCTTGTCCAAAATATCCAATAGATTATTCGTAAAGTTCGAAGGCCCATCATCAAATGTTAAAGCCCAGTGTTTGGCTGTAGGGCAACCGTAAATATCGTCAGGTGTAGCTGGATTACCGCAAGTCTCAAAGCATTTTTCATTATCGGTACCATCACATTTAGCATTCTTACAGATACCAGATCCAATAGGACGAACCTTTCCAGGTATATCCGAAAGATCCAAATCCTTCAACCAAGCTTCGTTTCTGGGCGTAACGACCTCTGGCTTATCAGACTCTCCCCCCTCTTCTTCCTCCTCCTTATCATCATCGTATTCATCGTATTCATCGTGGTAGTCATCATCATCATCGTCGTTATCGTCGTCATAATCATCATCATCATCGTCGTGGTCATGCCTGTGCTTTTTATGCTTGTGTTTCTTTTTGGCTGCTGCCAAATTTACCACACAGAGAATAATCAAAATTGTCAAGAAGAGAACTGGAAGTCTTTTTCGACAGAGCATATTGATGAATGTAGGATAATAAATAAAAGAGGCTTGAAGAGAGCATTTTCATTCTTCCCACTTCCTTTAGTATTTAACATATTCAAAAATCTCCTAACCATTAAAAAGATTGCCATCGAAACTCTCCTTCAGAATCTACGAGTAAGCATTACGAACATATTAAGAAATTGTCGTCAACATCAAAATACACACAACTTAAGGCAAGCTTAATTGATTCTAAATTAACCTCTGCCGCTTTAACCGTTCAAATCAGAAATGGACAAGCATCTGCTGTCAATAATATTTCCGATATATATTACACTATTGGAGTATCTGCAATAAAACTTGCAGCCCACATAAAAAAGATACAGAAAAAAAAAGTATTCGACGACAATTAAATTATTGTGATAAACATTAATTAAGATAAGGATTAGTTAACGCATCTGTGACAGATAACGTTAGACAATGATTGGTATCGGTTTTCTTTTAACTACGCTCTAGTCTACTTTTACAATATCAACACATTACTGCTTCAGTTTTGAATGATCACTAGAAAACGAAATATAACAATTATTTACACATTTTACTGGGATAAAAGAGACGTTTGAAACTTACCCTTCAATATTCTCAATAGAAATATCCACGCCCTCATCTTCGTCGTCAGAACGAACATCTTTGGCTTCGGGACTAGTCACCATACGTACGATGACTTTGAATATCATTATTGTCCAGAACAGAATAAGCAGATAGAGACCTATCATAAGCCCAAGAATAATATACTTGACAAAATGGGGGAACCAGTATCCATTCAGCGGATCTAATTTGAATATGGGTACATACAATTCCGGTTCCGTCAATGTTGACAATATGATCTTTCCGTAAAGATACACCCTAGTGTACATCCATGAAATAACCATAAAGCAAAATGCTGTATTACATATGACACCAGGGACTACATAATTCAAAGCTTTCGCAAACTATGATAGGCAGAATTTGGATTCAGACATGACATTCTTGCCACTCGTTGTCAGAAAATAGAAACTTACTGCTAAAAAGGCGTCAGGAAGATCCATGCAAACAAATACTGCATTACCGACTCTTGTAAAGTTACAACCATAACTCAAACTGACAAGTAGCAGTGTGTTGATATGATGCAGCACCAACTCTCTGTAATCCTTACGAGGTGCTTCTATTTGAAGAACATAAATTTGCTGTAACCAAAATGCAAATTGTATGAGGTAGTAGTATTTGAACGATTTGGTGTAATCTGTCACTGGATAATCTCTCCAAAAATAAGTTGAATCAAACCACCAAGGCGAATTGTACATAACATACTAGATAGGCAAAGCAAATTCATAAATAACTTTTGAGTAAAGCTATTCGGTATGAGACAAATGTGATTTTGAGTTTACTTACAATGCCAAAACTAAATGCAACAGTATAATAAATAAATGCCCATGACTGTTCTGCAAATCTTTGATGCTTTTTGATAGGAACATGAGTAATTCGAGCAAGCGGAAGTAAAATATAGTCCATAGTGGCGGCTCTGAGAGCGGTGAATACACATATATAGAAGAATAAGAACGTCAAATCCCACAAACTCTTCTCATAGCGACCATCGCTTCTGCGGTTGCTAATAAATATGAAATGCTTCGGTCCAGGTAAATTAAGGAAGTATCCAACGACGATGACGAGAATAATTTTCAGCGGAATCTCTATCCAAACGCGAATGACAAGGGAGGTGATTAGCAACCTCGAGCTGATTCATAGCCTGTCTCAGTTCGGTACAGAACTGTCAAAGAAAAGCAAGCAGGGTAAATTGACAAAGTTACCTATTTGTCGTTTTGCTAAATACTGTGCCAACTCTTTAAAAGTTGACTCCTTATTATTCACTTTCGGTACATGTTTCGGTGGGATCGTCTTGTTCATGTCTCTATTTGTGTGCTGCCAGTTGAGTAGTCAAAGTAGGCGCTACAGTTTCAAATAAGAAAGTAATAAAAAAAAGAAAAACAAAATTGTGATCGCAATTACAGTTCATTTTGACTCGTGAAACGTTTTAGATAATAGTACTAGACAATCTGAGTTTGAAATAGAAAAAAGAGACTTTTCAACATTTGAAGCATATGAAATAAACAAGCTAAGTCACAATTAATCCAAAATCGCTGAATTTCCTTGTCGACTATGACAGTTAAATTCTACTACTTACAAAATTAATCTCAATTGTTTTTTTTTAAAAAATCCTTATAACTAACCAAAGTAGAGATTTATTTTGATATATAATACTCTCAATCACTAACTTAGTGACTTCAGTAAAGCTGTCTATGTTTCTAAGTGAATACACTCGAACGTCAACTGTAACTTGATTAACAGTATTACATACTTCATTCATAGAATAGCTATTACCAATCATACTCGAAATATTTGATCCAGCCGAAGCAATTTTTAGCCGAAACAAAAACGCGGATATACATGATTCTAAGTGTCAACGTTTCATAAGAATTAAGAGAATTCGTATATGTTTTCCGGACTAGCATTTTTTTCGGGATTTAAAATAGTGATTATGGTGACAGAAATAAAGGTCTGTAGACACGACTTTTTACAATGATCGTAGGCTTGATGGTTTCTGTAGGCCCATCACAACAAACATTTCTTTTTGCCAAGTCGTCCGAATCAGTAGCATGGACAATGAGTTTGAGGTTTTGACATCTTTAATACCAACTTTTTTTTCGCTTTTCTCAGTGTGGATATCTTTTTGATGGATCCTTTCTCCTTTGCGGCCACGGGCTGAGCTTTCGGGAAATCAATAATGACAAAGCGAGAGATACAGCCCGAAGTATTTTCCTTTACTTTTCAATGTTTGCTGCTTCTCCAACCATAAATCATGGGCAGTTTTTATCGTATGCCTGTTGAAGTCTTACCTGTATGCACACAATTAAATTGAAAATTAATACCAGTAGCCTTCCACTGCTTAACAAATACTGACCCGTATGGCACGTGTTCTTGTTAAATCCTTTAATGATATATTCGGACGCATTTTTTGAGCGCAAGAACACGTTTTGGTAATATGGCTCCGCAAACCGACAATAGATATGTAAAACCCTTAAAGTTATTCATCTATTCTGAAGGGACCATTGAGACTAATATTTGAGTATCATCTCGTTTGGCTTTTCATTTGCTACATAATACCCTCCTGTAACTGCAATAAAATGAACTTAGTCTGTGTGACTGATTGACTGGTTAAACTCGCTAATAATATATTTGATTTTGTCTCATAGGATTGAAATCAAACTCTTGAAAAATTGATACACAAGTCAGAATAACGAATACATTTGTAGCAAACCCTACGCTCAAATACCGTTTGTATTTGTACACTTGGCATTTTAATTCAATCCGAATGGAACAATAATCAACTGACATGGACCGATAGGAACAGTTGCACCAGCTCTAGTCAAGGAATTCGTATGCAGCTGTTATCTAATCAAATTCGATCAATGAGTCTGGTGAAAAGTGCTCTGAAAATCCAGTACATTCTCTACTGCTGACAAATACAGGGCATCTGTGTGGCTTTTGAAACTATTTGTGCAAATAAGGAAGTCTTCACTTCCCTTTTACTTTCCGAAAGAAGGGGAGAAAAGTTGATTTCACAAAACAAAAAAAAATCATGATATTCTGCGACTATTTGAATTGAGGAACGTCATTTTTTTTTGCTTCTTTTCTTCCCCTAACTCACGTTTTCGTCGCATTTTCCAAGTTGCTCCAATAGAAAGAGACAGTAAGATGGGTCTTTTGTCACTGGGAACACCACTTCATTGGAACGAAGCAAAAGAGTATGCTGACCATGTCCATAAGCACGGCATCCTGCAGTTTTTGAATATTTACAACAGTCAGAAAGACCAGAAAAAGCAACGTTTGCTTTGGGGTGATGAAGTAAGAGCCCGTTGAAACATACTGCTCCTTAGTTAAACAATCATGTTTCTTATTTTTACTCTCAAATCTTTGGAAAACGCATGCAACAGATTGAATATTTAGTTGTCAAGTTTAACGACAAGGAAAAGTCTACCAAGCTATCTCTTCGTGCGTTTGACATTCTCGAAAAGTTGACAAAACCAGAAACCGATTACGTAGAAGGATTAACAGAGTAAGTAAGGATTTACTAAAGAGAGATGGGTAAGACTTCTTTGTTTACAAGATATCCCTGCAACTTTCCACAGTAAAGCCCCCGATGCATTATGGAGGCCCGAATATGGCCGTTATATGATTGAAGGCACACCAGGACAACCCTACGGTTCAACTTTCCGCGATCTTATTCAAGTCGAAGCAAATATGAAATTAAGACGCAAATTGGCACATGATGCTATGGACCCTGATGAACATGCTGTGTCCCTTGTCAATTATCCTCGTCTCGGCTGTCCACATGAACTTTACCCTGACTACGAGCCCAAAGGCTCAGCATGTCAAAGTCTGTTTGTTCCAGATGAAATTATTAACCCACATGCTAGATTCCCGTAAGCTCTTCTTTCTCTAATGCTTAGACGTGCAGAATGGCAGAATAGTAAACAATAACTCTACCACTTCACTTAGGACTTTAACAGCGAATATCCGTAGACGCAGAGGATCCAAAGTGAAAATCAATATGCCTATTTTCCATGATAACAACACACCCAAGCCTTTTATCGATCCCACCATTCCTTGGGATCGCGACTTGTTCAAACATGACAAAGAAGCTAAGGAAGGGGCAGCCTTACCGGATCATATTTACATGGATGCTATGGCATTTGGTATGGGTTGTTGTTGTTTGCAACTTACCTTCCAAGCGTGTTGTATAGATGAAGCTCGTAGATTATACGATCAGTTAGCACCCGTGACACCGTTGATGTTGGCTCTTTCTGCTAACTCACCTATTTATCGTGGCTATTTGGCTGATGTGGACGCTAGATGGAATGTGATCTCTGCCAGTGTAGACGATAGACCGCCAGAAGAAAGAGGAGAAGAGGTAAATGTCGCTCATTGAAGGGGTTATCATGCGGACCAAAAAAGGTATATAGTAAGACATACCGATGCTAATTTCCTGTATTGTTCCATTTTTTAGCCTCTTAAGAACAGTCGATTTGTGATCAATAAGTCTCGCTACGACTCTATTGATTCTTATTTATCTAATGACGCAACTTACAAAGCGAAATATGACGATATTGACTTGGTGTACGATAAGGACATTTACAACACATTGCGTGAAAATGATATTGATGAAAAATTAGCCAAACACATCGCCCATTTATTTATTCGTGACCCTCTGGTCATCTTTAAAGAATTATTGGATGTTGATGACAAACTATCATCTGATCATTTTGAGGTAAGCAGGAAGAGAGAGAGAGAGAGAGAGAAAGAAGATTGATAAAACTCTTTCTAGATACATGTGCTTATGAAACTTGAATATTGATTTTTCCTGTTTTTGTTTTTGCGTTTGATATTTGTTGTTTCTCTCAACAGAATCTGCAGTCAACAAATTGGCAAACAATGCGCTTTAAACCACCACCACCCAACTCATCCATTGGCTGGCGTGTAGAATTCAGAAGTATGGAAGTACAAATGTCTGACTTTGAGAACGCCGCTTTTTCAGTATTTATCGTCTTGCTCACTCGTGCCATTCTCAGTTTTGGTCTCAACTTCTATATCCCTATATCAAAAGTGGATGCTAATTTACAGACTGCCCATAAACGCGATGCTGTCTTGAACGAGAAGTTTTATTTCAGAAAACATGTTTTCAACAATCGCAGTAAGACGGATACAGAGAAAGAAGAGGATGAGGATGCATATGAACTAATGACCATGGACGAAATAGTGAACGGAAAGGTGAGATGAGATGAGAAGTATCTTATAAGAGAGTAATAAGAGACTGATGAAAGTATACATTTGATTTAGGAAAATGGATTTCCCGGTTTCGTGCCTTTGATTCACAGCTACCTGAATAGTACGAATATTGACATTGAAACGCGTTGCAAACTGTCTTCTTACATCAGTTTGATTAGCAAACGAGCTAGTGGTGAGTTGATGACAGGTGCTGCTTACTTGAGAAAGTTTGTTCAGAACCATCCTGCTTATAAACAAGACTCTGTTGTATCGTCTGAAATCACGTATGATCTTGTTAAGCGCGCTGATCAGATTGCAAAGGGAGAGTATCATCCTGTCGAATTACTTGGTAATTTCTCGGCATAAAGGATAGCAATAATGTTGTGGAACGAGCAATCAAATATGTATACATAATATATTAACCACATCTGATTCAGCTATCAATTTTATCTTCCCTTTTATTTTAAGCTTATCATCGCTACTACTCAACATATTGTATCTATCCGATATCTTTCTTTTTAAATTAAACATGCAATCTATTGTAACAATAATACAGCCTGTACTTAGACTCTTATCAACGTAACAAATATTATAGGCTTACAGATACTATCCTATGAGCAGATGCTTTCTGTTTGTTATTTCTTTGTTTCTCATTAAACATATCGTTTCATCGTCAATGAGCACGCTTTTTGTTGTTTGAGTGATTTGGTGGAACGTCATGTATGTCTCATTCTTTGATGGTTCTTTAGACATTTTGTATGTATCGAAACCGTTCGACTCTTACTTGACCCATGTTTCTCTTCATTACACCTACTGTCTCTATTTCAAGTAGTCAAATTAATCAAAAGACTCATTTGAAACCAATATGAAGTGATCCATGCATATATATATATATATATATACAGCACTGTGTTGTTCGCTTTTCGTACTCCCCTGGAACAGAAAAAGGAATATATCTCAGATTCATCATACAGGTTTTGGTGATAGACAATTTATGGTATTTGATTGGTTCCTTATTTCAGGTATGAGTGCTTGCATTCTTGAAGTATTATGCGGTAGACAAGTGAAACACAATGGTAAGCTTACGCTTTCTTGGTGCCTCTAGAAAGTACCTGTAAACTTAAATCATCTTTTTTTATACATAGTCGTTATACCCTTCAAGCTTCTTTTCTTGACTATTCTATCGTTCAGCTATATGTGTGGCTGTGTACATGTCATCGTAACTAGCAAATTTTTCCTTTGTATTTCTTTTTTCCATACTATGCTTAGCTTTAAGCCAACCCCACTATAGCTTGCCACAAAAAAAAAGAAAAAAAAAAAAACGGAAAAAAGTTAAGGGGTATTTGAATTACCAAAAACGACATGTTTAAAGAAGAGGCAAAGAATGTTTCTGATGATTTTTTCAGCTGGATAAAAATTGAAAGAAAAATGGATATATGTTTAACAAGACGTGTTTATCTGTGAAAAAGAATAGGAGGAAAATTGATAATGCTATTGATATCAGGAATAAGCTATATACAAAATGAATTCATAAAAGTTACATTACGCCTATGATTGCTACAGATTTGAAGAAATCTTCTCAAACTTCTTCTTCCGTAAAAGAGCGTCGATGCCGCGCTGAGACACATGTGCATTGTTGGTGATATCCAGATTCTGTACCACGAGACAACCATCAGCAAACATCCTTAAGGTTGCATCTGTGATTTGTGTCTGACGGAGAATCAAGGTATGTAATTGAGTAGGTATATCAAAAAATCCTTTCAGACTCTCATCGTTCACCTCAGGTCCTATCAGCTCCAGTATTGAAAGTTTCGGTAATTGCAATATTAATGCTGCAAAATCGCTATTGATATGTCGGCACCGTTTTACTGATAGGGAGATCAACCGAGGATGTTGCTTCAGAAAGGTGACGAATTCCCCGTGCTGTAAGGCATCTAATTGTGCAATTTGCAAGTGACGTATCGACGAGGGAATCGTATTCAAAGAGGTGGATTGCACAGGTGTTGTGAGAAGAGATAATCGTCGCAGCCCAATCATGCCTGAGAAGTCACAATCGAACATGAAAGGAAAGCTGATCATGCCGCCCATTTCCAAAGTGTGTACATTTTGGCAATACCGACCCATGAGTTGCAGTGTATCTGCCTTTACACTAGTTGCCTGACCCAACGTAATACTGACAAGGTTGGGGCAGTAGCGAATCAACTTTCGTACTCTCATGTCTACTCCGTATTTGTTGACTGGTGTAAGATCGATTTCTCGCACATACAAGCCGTAAGGAAGTACAGAGTCTGGCAATGATACAGTGTTGACAAAACCAATGAATTGCATGTAATTCTTAAATTGAAATTTCCTGGTTCAGAAAGAGGTCATGGTGTAACAACCCTTTTACTTTAGTAACACTTCCCAATTTCTAGTGTGTGTATATTTACTAAAGTTGAGTTTATGAAATCATTTATGCTAATTACCTGTACATGCGTTCACATACAAAACCAGCCCATGCTCTACAGACTCTCAGGGCTGTTAATGCATACGGACTAGAGGCATCTTCACCTATTAACATGTCACAGATAATTGCTTGGATTTCGAATGGCAGTTGTTTGCTGCTGTTTCGCCTCACGCAGACTGTCTTTTTGGGTTTTGCCAAATGAGGGCTCTTTTTCATTAGAGGAAGTTTTATGCGATGTATAAGCAACATATTCTTTCACTCGTCGTATAGTAGAAATAGAAAAGAAAGAATCAACAAAATTGGCAAGTTATTATAGGGAAAAAGAATAAGAACAAAGAGAAAAAGGGAAAGCAATTAGGCTGGGTAGGGCCTATTTGACAGGCTCAACACCAGTAGCCCAGTTTCCGTACAGTTTATGGATTCCGAGTGTCAGTCGGAGTCGAATAAAAAAAGGCACCATCAATGCGTCGAATTTAGTTTTATGCGACCCCTCATACAGCCCCCTCAATTTCCTTATTGAGACACTATTTATTTGCTGCCATTGCATACTCAGTTAGCACTTTCGCCACAAACCAATCTACTAAAAACATTTGAATTTGACATACTTGGGAACGGAGCTATATGAATCATCGTTCAACCATCATTATTGCTAATCTTAACCATTGGCTTACTGTCATTGTATCTATCATTGTGCTCGTCCCAACGATTGAATAGAGCTGTTTATCAGTAATCCAATGAGCGTTAAGGACAAATTTTAAAACTTATTCAAGCTGTTTTCAGTACAAGACATTTTTCCAGCCCAGTATCAAGCTTACCAGGATTCAAACTGATAAAAGCTGTAAGCTGCACAAATTACAATTTGTGCAATGAGAGGCCTTATTAGTGAATTCGAATGTCATAGTTAGACAAGCTGCCCCAACTAGTTCCTTTTTTTCTTTTCAATATCTTGGGTGTGGTTGGTCAATCGTTTAAGTGATAAACTCCTTTTACTATTTTCCCGTATTGGTGCTAGTTTGTTCTATCCGTGTGTGCGCAGAATCCTTTCAAATCTGGTATTTTCTGTTCGCTTTTGTCAGCTTGTGCTTTTTAACGAGTAGATCTTGTTCTGGGAATTGCCTTTTGCCGGAGGTTCTACCTTTAGTTTTGTCACTTATGCCCTTACTATCTGTATCTTTTCTAACTTTCGAAGTGCTGATTTTGTCTGTCCTCTCCAGCTTGTTGCTGATATTACACATTTCTTCAACCTTGCCTTCATGCTGTTCGCGGAAAATGTTTGCAAAGACGTGTTTGCCTAAACAAGAAAAGTGGCGGGTAATTTTTTGATTAGTCTAGGTTAAGTAAGCGTCAAAAAGGTTGCGTAATTTTTTCTTAATAGTCAAGGTTGGGTGCCAAGAAACTTGCGCTCTGAAGAATTAAGAATAAACCGGCAATATAAGGCTGTCCTTTTCTTTGGTAAATAATTTCAACATTGCGGACGAAAGCTCAAGCAAACCTTATGATGTATTGCCAATTCTATTAATAGTCTGTAACATATATAATATTACCTCTCTTTAGCTATTCGCAGCAAGACGATAGAAAATGTAGAAGAGGATATTGCTGAGCCAAATGTATGAACTCTTTTATCGAAAATTTTTCATCAAGTAATGGGTAAATTCAGAACAACAGCTACTATTAAATCAACAACGGAATTGTTTGATATTTGGATTCAGTTTTGTTTAAAAAATTATCCAAGTGCCATGAGTCATTAGGGCTGTATCTTGAGAACTACACTCGATAATGGCCTCAACCTTGTACTCTTTTTCAGTAAACCATGTAGCACCGCTAATTGCTGCTTTCCGCTTGGGATTCGATGGTTATTTCTGCCATCAAACTCATACTGGAGTTTTTAGTTGTATATGATACATGTCTTTAAAAAAAATTGATTGCCTTGAAATTCCCATTTCATAAATATACTGCTTATAGCAAGGGGTCAATCTAAATCATAAACAAATCTGTTCAAGTGGATGCGATAAAACTATACGCCTGTAGCACTCTAGTTCCAATACTATTCAAGGGAGACACAAGTCGGTCATTTTGCAAAAAAGCATGAGGCTTGTGGTTATTTTGAATGACTTTATTCAGTTTTGTCTCAATTTATAAGCCTACATTTTCAAAAAGCGTATCTTGCAATTCTTATTCAGCGACCCGCCGAAAACAGAACACAGGGGCAGCCAATAAGAACTGTCGACTTTTTGATGAACGACGGCATTATTGAGAAATCAATGCCCCCACACGAAATTCTTGCATTCCTCAATATCGTATAAGCCTTGCTTTCGAATAACGTCCACCTTAAAACAATTTTTCGTTGTTAGCCTCAAGCTTCTCTGTTTATGATTGTGGTTGCGGCTTATGTCTTTGTCAAGGTTGACTTACTTGTTGTGTTATGAAGTTCAAACTAAGACACCTGTATGGTCAACATCAAGGATGCTTCCTTATGAATTGCCACAATTTTAATAATTCAGATATTATAAGTTTGAGCTTTTTTTGTTCATGTCTTTGTAATAGATAGCAAATGTAGTCAAGATGCCTTTAGATTTGGCAAGAAAAAAGGGGATACAATTTTGCTCAAATTGGAAAATTTAGTGGGGACAGAAGAATGACGACTTTTTCTTTTCTTTCCATCACTTTTCGACATGGCTCCCAAATCCATAAACACCAACGATGATCGTGAAGTGAAGGTAATTATCGCCCTTCGAAGCCATCTGCGTTACAGCCAGGATACAGAGAAAAAGGAACGACTGTAACTTACGCGTTTTCCTTTCACTTTTATCCTTTCAATAACTTATAGATAAAGCAGATTCTTGGCAACATCGGTCAAAATTTTGCAGAATTGGCCTATTTGATTCTTCAGGGCATGGACGTGCTTTCTGTCAATCAAGCAAATTCTTCTAGTCCGGCTGGCGAAACCGTCGCCAAAAAGAAGAGAAAGAGATTCCCTGACGAGCCTATTCCACCTCGTTCTTCTTTCTTTCATTATATGGAAGCAGCCCGTAAGAAAGATAAAACCGATAATAAGAGCAATGCTATCGCACAATCCAAACAATTTGGTGAACAGTGGCAGAATATGTCTGATAAAGAGAAAAAGGTAGTGAAGGCCTAGGAAGGAGATGACTGAGCTTTATTTTTCTAACATGACGAGTGTTTCATATGTGTATTGGAATTTAGCATTATATCGATATAGCTGCAAAAGACCGTGAAAGATATGATAAGGAAATTGAGGCTTATGTCAAGAAGCACCCTGAACATGCCGAACTGGTTCAAGACACCAGAAAGCACAGAAGTAAGCAAGTTAGAGAATCTACTCCTAGCTCCCCTATCAAGGAGGACGCTTCGCCCTCGAAGAAGGCTAGAAACGAGCCTAGCTCTCCATCTAAAAAAAAGACAAAGACTCTTCCTGAACCCAAACAAAAGAGTGCGCTCAAGAGTAAGAGGAAATTGTATTAGAAACTGATATTCAAACAGAAGATATTGAAAGCGTTCTGACTCATGATAGTGTCCCCTGTGAAAAAGGAAAAAGAGATGAAGGCTCTTACTAAAAAGTCCAAAAAAACAAAGCAAGTGACTCCTGATGACACATCCTCTACCTCTTCAGATGACGATTCTGAAGTTGGAAGTGATAGCGATAGCGTAACCAATCCTAGTAGCGACTCCGATGATCCTTCTGACGATTCCTCTGGCGATTCCCCTGATGATTCCTCCGATGATTCCTCTGACGAGTCTTCTGACGAGTCCTCTGATTAAGACAAGAATTAAGTAGCAAACGCAGTATAAACTTTATTGTTTTCTAATTGTTATGAACATGATGAAACTTTCACGCGCTGGCTTATACCATTCATACGTAACAGAAACATGAAGAAGTTCATCGATTAATTGAATGGATCGCTTTACAAAATCTCAAGATAATAAACTAATCATTTTACTCACATTTGAAGCCATTAATAAGACTCCTTGATAGTCGGCCATATTAAACCTTTCAAAAGACTATTACTACTGTGGATAGTATCATCGTCATTGTAATTTCCCTTATCTTGTTCAATGCGTGTGGTCTCTGCTGTTAAAGAACAAGAACTTTCGTCTTCTAATGCTAGCCAGATTCGCTTGCGCTCAGGTCCAGCACTATCACCACTGTCAGCATCTTTAAACAGCACTTTTCCTTGCTTGAGGTTCGTCATGTAGGTTGTGGTGTTTGATTTACTATCTGCTGTTGGTGCTTCTATAATCTTTAGCACCAAATGTTCGTCTTTCCTTGTTATTGCATGATGCTGATAATAGCAATACTCATCTTCTTTTGCCTCTTTTCCTTCTTCCTCTTCTTTGTTGATGTCTTGACAATCTTTTAATAACGAATTACTACAGTTATCAAAACTACTAAAATTGTTTTCATCTGTAATGGATTCACATTGCTCCTCATCCACGATTAATAATTCATATTCTATTTCGGCGTAGTCAGACCAACTTCCCAATATGAAGGTTTCGAACATTTGTTGTTGTTGATAATGTTGAATTTGCTTATCACGAAGATACATATCACTGCTATTATTAGCAGTCTGCTGATGGTGCAAAATGATATCCAAACTGCTATCATCTTCCTTCTCTTTCCGCGTTTGAAGCAGTAAAAGCTGTCTTCTTCTTTTCTCTTTTTCTGCTTGAATACTTATTCGAATTAAATTTTGGCTACTATCATGTAACTGAAACTTTTCTAAATTGAGAAATGTATCAAAGAATCGCTCTGCTATTATGCCATTCTTTTTGAGGTCGCTCAAACAAAACTGTCCAGGTGTCTTTGGTAGAATCAAATCGTTCCTGCGGCAAGAACAAGAATTTAGCATATAAGTCGATTTGGAGACTAAGATACGCCTATGTCATAATAGCAATTATTTTACATCTGGCGTATCAAATCATCGAAGTGAATATATTCTTCATTCAAGTAATCCAGCATGGTTGCTCGTAGGCTATCGGCAAAACAAACGTGTCAACAGCACATTCAAACTATAAAAGAGAGGTATTTGGCATATATACCGTCTGTCTTGTTCGGCCCAGTATTCAAGCAGATCAAAAGTAGTAATGATGCCATCTCCATCACTATCCATACATCGAAACCTTTACAGAAAACCAACAAGTAGAAGGTGAGTTATTGAAACGAAACATGGTTTAAAAACTGTAGAGCAGACCAATATTCTATTGCAACGGGCGTGCTTTTGTCGATTTCTGATAAAAAGAACCCTATATATGGGCAATAGAGAGTGTTACCGTTTTCCATATATTTTTGTATATTTTTAGGCCATGGGAACCTTTCAAATCGTTACAGATGAAATCAAAATATTGTAAGGCTTTCTCTCTTGACGGTTTCTGCCCTACTCTTTTGAATGCAGGTATTTGACCGTTTTGCATAATTTGTTGTACTATTTTGGTAGGTAACACACCGTCATTATAATTGGACTGCAGATCTATTTGATTGATGATCAGATCATGATCTTCGTCCAACATCCAGAATTTGCAATACAGTACATAAAAGTGTTTATAACTAAAGCAATCTTTTGTCTATAGGATTCACATTCGAAGGTGTTATTGCGAGTATACAGATAATGAAAGGAAGAGGGTCACTTAACTGTATTCAAATCTGTTTCGGGCGTAAGTCGCTGAATCATTTCTGTAAATTTGCATCTACGGTAGTGCGTGAAGCTCATTTTACCCAAAGGGCATTTAGCGTCGTAAAATAATCTGCAAATGACTGTTTCAACTATATTGTATACGTTAAACGCAATGTCAAGCTTCATGATTAAAACGACGTTTTAATGCAGATACTGTACTATATTTTTCTTGGAATGTTGGATTCTCAACCAAAAATTGTAATGCTGGATGATTAAAAATGATATCTGTTTGGAAGAGACAACCATTAAGAAAGTGGGTAAGCAGTATAAACAATGTTAATTTAACGATAATAGGAGGTCACAAACCTTCCAACACCGGTAAAAAGTCCTCTGGTATCAAATAATGGTGATAGGTTTCGTTTGTGCCTTTATTTGTACGCTGCAACAACAGGATATTGAAGAAAAGTCTTTCTTGATCATTTTTGCACTTTGCTGTCAAGTAAGACCAACAGCTATACATTCAACAGGCTTGTTAGGAGGCATACCTCATCTGTATATCTAAATAATCTCTTGTCTATCTATAAATGTAGTTTTACCGCTCAAAAGTAGGAAAACTGATTACATTTTGGTCACATGCATCATTATTATCGCTTTCTGCAGTTGTTATTGCTGCTTCAGTCGCTTGTTCGTCTTCCTGCCTCAACTCCTTTTCTTGTCTTTTTAGATATGTAGTAGTCATGCTAATATCACTATTGCTACCAGCACTACCAATATTGTTACTGTCGGTAAACGCTAATGCAGTTTGAAAAAAGGCTATATTCATGTAGAACGGAAGCTGGCATACTTCGGTTACTTTCGAAAATTGTGATTCGGTGAGATAATGATGCTGGCTGCTCTGAAAGATCTGCTTCGCTTTCATCAGTTTATCATCAGATACAGCAGAAGTTGTAGAACCACATGGATGAGATTTAAGATAAGTTTTGTTGTGGATTTCAGCTGATAGAATGTGTTGCTGTAGTTTGGAAGAAATGCTCGGCTCTTCTGGAGTGACTGACATGGATGGAAGATGGAGGAAAAGAAGATAAGAATTTGAAAATGTGAAGGAAAGTAAGGAATTTTATGCATGTCGGTGGTCTTTACTGCTGTTTTGCCGGATGCATATTCAGCGAATTCCTGCATAAGGAAGATTCCCCTTAAATATAACAGATAACGACAATTATAGTGAGTCAAAGACTGGTATAGGCACTTTATGCAATACAATTTAATGATACACGGAAATGCTTCAAAAAATAATAAATAATTCATACAGAGAAAAGAAAAAAAAAAAAAGACACACAAAAGTGGAGGAAATAATACAGAGTGGGTATTAATGAAATGTACAGCGATGAAAACAGCAACTTAATCTGTCGTAAGCCAGGGATGATCTAATACTTGTTGAATGTTAACTCTTTGGTTCACGTCGCGATTCAGCATTTTTTTAATTAAATCAACAGATTCTAATGCAGAACAAACAATAGAGTTAGTAAAGGTCTTCAAAGCCAAAAAGGTAATTATGCTGTGGCATTTACCTTCTGACAATTTAAATGGTATTCTTAGTTCTCTATCCAAAATTTCTTCAATGTTGTAAAACGGGTTTTCTCTGTAAATCAAGGTATACAGTAAGGTGCCACAAGCCCAAATATCTTGCGGTGGTCCAGCATACGATTGACCTAGCAAAATCTCTGGCGCAGCATAGTCCAATGTACCCACAAACGTCTCATACGGTCGTCCTTGCTTGACATAGGCTGCACTACCAAAATCAATTAACCTCACTCCACCCTTCATATCTAGAATGACATTTTCATCTTTAATGTCTCTATGTACAATTTGATGTGCATGCAAATGAGCCACCGCCAATGCCACTTGTTTAAAAATCGATTTGATCTCTTTTTCTTTCAAATGTTCGTTCATTTCAATATAATCGAATAGATCCATGCCCGCACCATACAAATCCATCACGACATAATAATGTTCGTCGTCTTCAAAATAGTCCAGCATGTCGCTGCAGTTGATATGAGGGATTTTGCGAAGCGTGTGAAGAACATGAATCTCAGCCGGAATGAGGCCCAGTGTACGATCGCGTGTCCAACAGTCAACGAGGATACGTGATTTGATGACGTATTTAATGACAACGCGTTTTTTTGTGGGATCTCGTTTAAGATAAGCCAGCTTAACGTAGCCGTAAGCGCCTTGACCAAGTTCATCAATGATTTCATAATCGTTAATGCTCACTTTCAGTGTTTGCGCAGAATATTCTCCTACACGTGGCCAGATTGTATCGTTGTTCGCACAAGCTGCTGATACTGCGGAAGTAGTGTTAAGCTTGGTAGAGGAAGAAGATGATGATGATGATATTGTCGAGGATGCAGTAGTAGAACTGTTAGTGTTGCTGCTTTGGAAAACACTCATACTACTGAAACTACTGGTATAACGGTGGCGATTCAAGGAAGGTGGAGAAGGGGTGGCTGACGGCGAATAGCTCGATGATGGCGTAGAAGATTGAGCAGAAGATGAACTAGGACTGAATGAAGGTCTCGAATAACTAGTTACATTTTTGCTTAATTTTGTTATTTCATCATTCTTCACGCTAGTTTCCTCCCGCTTTCTGATGTATCTTTTCCTCTGTAACTGGGTATTCTTGTTGCTGTTCAACTTGCTCATTGAGGGTACATTGACAGATTTCGCACGAATAATATTGGTTTTAGTAGACTTTTCAACCTGCTCTTTCTCAAATTGAGCTTGTTGTCTTTTACAAATATAGGATGTAGCATGTCCATATCGTTTCAGCACCACATCACGATCGAATGTAATCCATAAAGCATACTTTGACTTATCGACCAATTTAATTTGTATGTCAACTTCAAAACGTGTTCCATCTCGGTGCTGCACAGTAAGGTAGGGAGAAGTGCTGTTGCCTTTCATTCTACTGTCATTAGCATGTAGAATGTCACGACACATCGTGTTGTTTAAAACATAACCATCGTCTAATAAGAGCTCATCACGTTCCAAATAACGAACTAACGTTGAGAATTCTGGCATAATCTTATCCATTGTAACATTCTCATTCTGCACAAGCGAGATCGTGGCATCATCATAACCGAACAAATGTTTGGCAAATGTAGGGTTGCAAGATAAAATAACATGCGTGGCGCGATCGACAGTAACAAGGTCTGCCAAAGTTGGCATAGATGTGATACGAAGTGTTTTACTGTGGCTGGCCGAAGAGGTTGTGGTAGTAGTAACCATAACAGGGAAATAAGCATTGTGTTTTGTACGACATCCAAAAAACTTATCCTGTTGTGATCCGTTATTGCCACTAGTAGTCGTTGTTTGTGTATGTGAAGTAGTTGCATTAAACTGCGGTAAGACCTTTTGAATAGGTTGACTGAAAAAATCTGTTGCAGAGGAGGACGCTGAATATCCTAATAAAAACTGAAAAGCATCTGCATCATCGTCGTCATCTTCTTCATCTTCACTATCTTCAGTGTCTTCTTCCTTGGAACTAGCAGTGCATGGTATTATGCAGTCGTGATCGTCCAATTTGATTTTGAACGTTGTTTGAACTAATTCTTCAAATATCCAAATAAAAATAGTCGATGAGGAGGATTCGCTCTTTTTTTCTTTGAGCCATAAGGAAACAGAAGACTTGGAACCATCCTGTTTAACTATCGGAATCTATAAAGCCGAAATGTCAAAATGGAAATACAAAACAGACCATGAAACAGTGTTATGGTATAGCTTACAATGTCACCACATATCAAAATAGTTCCATGTAAATGATTATTCATGGTTGTGTATCGGTTTTCGTCTTCTTCTTCTCTTCTTTTAACGATTTTTTCGAGGAGAAGCGTTTTATGACTTGGTGCAATAAAATCCAATATATGTCTCCCAATAAAGCGGTTGTTTGCTTTTGTGCTCACAGAAGTACTGGTTGCATCTGTACCTGATAATAACCGGTCAGCATTATTATTAGCGATGCTAATTCTCCAGTTATCCTGTGTTGTAATAACTGCCTGGTTTTGTGGTAAATATCTAGAAATATTTGAAGCTGCCGTGGTTGCATTGTTATTGATACTTTTACTGTTTTGAGGTAGTGGACGATGGTTTAAGATATCATAAATGTTACTTTTGATTGCTGTGGTTGCCAATAATAGAGATGTGTTAACAGAGGGGTATATGGAAGATTCTTTTCTAGCAATTGTTGTAGACGAGGAAGAAAAAGATGATCCTCGATGCCGCTTTGGTGAAGTGTTTGTGCTGGTAGAGGTAGGAGATAATAGCAAAAGTGAATCTTGCAGTGCATTCGTATTAAAATTATGATCTGATGTATTTGTAACTGATTCACTGTTATCTTTGGAAGCGGAAGTGATTGCCATATCAAAAGGATGGATTGCTTCATTTTGCGGCGTTAGCAAGCATTCTGAGGATGTGGATGCTGTAGTAGAGGATCTTAGACTTGGTGATACAGATTGCTCTTCTCTATCGTTGTTGTTATGATTATTTGCTGTCAAAGTAATAAAGTTACTATTCTTATCATGGAATCTACAAAAAGAGAATGTTAGCATTTTTGTGGACAGGTAAAGACATTGTCTATGCGCAAATAAAACTCTCACTTTACCGAGAATGAGCACACATGTTCTCTGCAGCCATCAAGTGTGAGCAACCAGATTTAGCAAATCGAAAATTGTAACATGTCAAAGAATAGTCGAAAAATAATTGAGTTACGAATAAACTTATATAGAAGAAGTGTTCTCCAACTCTTACCAGTTTTCAAAGCACACATAATTGCAACTGATGTAAACTAAGAAGCTAATGATTAAGGCTCTTATATTCTTAGGTTCTTAGTGTATGAAGAAAAGATGAGATAATGAATGAAGGAAAAGGTAAAGAAGTAAAAAATTTGCAGAAAAAAAAAAAAAAAAAACCAAAAGATAGGCTTTTTTTTCAAAAAAAGTTCGAAGCGGAGCATGTAACGGATATTCCAATCAAAGGTTTCTGATGTTAAAGATTTTTTGCCTTTTTTAAACAAGTCAACGTAAAAGAAAAACTAGATTTGATAACTAAAACTCATATAAGTCATTCAAAAGGAACCTTTGGCTCTATCGATCACGAAAACGTCAATCATTCAACAGCATATTAGACTTACTGATAAACGAACTAATAAAAACCTGCTGGAAATCATTCAAAATAATGACTCAGGGCAGACAGGGCAAAGTATAATATTGATCTTGTGACTGCAAGCAGCAGCATTATTTCTGCATTTTTGACGTGCAATTTCAAAAAGACGCTATAAATCGAAACAAACACTATTATCTTACGTACTAATTCACCTATTATAAAGCTGTATTGTATAAAAAGGTTTTAATGTCCAGATTTGACCAAGCTGAAGCAATCGAAGAGCTGCAACGCTATCGTTTGACAAATGAACGCTCATCTGAAAGAATATGTCAGCTAGGAGCCAAGCTTATCAACGAAAAGTATACATCGAAGCTCGGCGATCAGGGTACAATTCTAACCAGTATAAACACTTATCGAATTGAAGTTAACAGTTTATTTGAAAAACATAGTCTGGCCATTTTACGAGCAAATGACAATAGCAGCCCTCGACGTTGGAGATTTTGAATTAGCTGATTACTGCATCGAAAAGTTGAAAATACGTTTTACGGAAAAATCTCTTAGATTTCGTCGGTTACTCGGTATGCGATGTGAAGCAAAAGGAAGTTTAGCAGAAGCGCAACAAATTTATGATAGTATTTTACAAGAGGATGATACCAATATGGTAAGGAATCAGCCTGTTCAATATGCACTGTCGAGTGATATCCGGACTGAATAATAGATTGCTGCTTTGCATCAACCAGTTGGCTGCAAAACGCCAAATTGCTTTATTGAAAGCTAAACAGGACGATGCAAACATGATTGAAGCCTTAACGAAATATCTTGATACATATTATGACGATCACGAAGCTTGGTTGGAGTTATGCGATGTCTATTTGTCGAAATATATGTATGAGCAAGCCAGTTATTGTTGTGAAGAAATGATGTTGCTCCAACCCTCCAATCATATCACCATTTTAAAATATGCTGATATTCTATATACGCTAAATCAAATGAAGCTGGCTATGAAGCACTATTGTAAAGTGTTGGAATTATGTAAGGACAATGTCAGAGCCTTATATGGATTGCATTTGGTAAATTGCAGTATTATCGTTATTCATGACGTTATTGATATTAACTCTTGTCATGTGTGCCTGCTCCTTAAATTACGTTAGTGTGCCAGTAAATTACTTAACTGCGAAGAAGTCAGTCATGCTTCAGATTTACATGCTTTAGCTACTGAACGTTTATTAAAAGTATATAAAGAGAATGTACCTGAAACAGTGAGAAAATCCCTGATGGATTATTTACAACAACCCACCGAGGGTACAACAGGAGTAAGTACGTCGTAAGCGCATGGAAAAGAAATAAAAGCGATAGAAGTCTACTAGTTCTTTGAACTATTGTTGTTTCTCTACCTTTATTATTACATTGCTTTTTATTGTTGTAAATTCAATACTGAAGACCATCGTTTTCTGATACTTCATACAATCCAAGACGATCTTCATCGAATGTTTCTATCGACTCTGCTACACACTGTTAGCTTTGATCACATAGCGAGCTTCTCAAAGACTTCATGTACAACACCGAACACCTATGCTACTCTTTTTCCAATTATTTGATTTCAATTATTGTAACTTTAGCATTTAATAGATTCTTATTAAACAATAAGGACACTTTTTCACCGAACATTTGTATTACGAACTATTGGAGCAGATCGTTATTAAGATTAAACAGGCGAAATAACAGTGCAGCCACAGAAGGAGAGAAGAAAAGAGAACAAAGCTCTAGGCTTCAGAATATTATGGATGTTAGATAAATCGGACAACTGATGTTAAGGCTTGTAATAATATTGCACGCGAAACGCAACTAAAATTTGTTGCAGTAATGTTTAGAGCATACTTGAATCATGAATTTTTGTCCAAAAATGTATGAAAAGTAAAAAAATCTACAGCTGTTAATAAAGATTTAGATGTAGTATTTAAGGTTCAGTATAATATAAGCAACCTCATTGTAATTTTAACATTAATAGTTCGCAGCGAATAATATACGTGACCACTTTAAATAAGATATTATTTAGAGAAAAGACGTAACACTGCTGATTGTTTTGATACTTATTAGACATCATCAACTACCAATGTGTTATTAGGAATCTAGCAACACAAAAAATTTCATACTTTCCAGTAATTTTTTATCTCAGATATCTTTGATTTTTTACAGTCAAGATTCGGACACTAAATTAGCAGGTTGTTATGGAGATTTAAAGTTTAGACTGAAATTAAAGAGTTTCGATCGCGCAATTTGCATTACAGTAATATTGCCAACGTCTTCTTTGACCACTGCAAACCGTACAATAAGTAATCCTTAACGATGTTTCATTGTAATAAAAAATGTAATAATGCAATATCAATTATCTGCAAACCGTACAATAAGTAATTCTTAACTATAAGAAAAGGAGAACTTAAAGACGGTTCGCGTGAGGCTTTATAGCCGTTCAATGGAACGCTGTTTGAAATTTATTTATTTATTTTTTACTTCAAGGTTACAGTTTTTTAAATTTTCCGTCACAGCTCAGCCATAAATTTATACGGTTACAGTCTTTCTCATTAAACTGTCTCGGTTTTTTTTTGTGGAGAATTTTTTTCTTCAAAATTGTTATTACCTCTTTTTTTTTTTTCCACGGAGAACGAGAAGGAATCAAAATCAGTCAACATGCTGAAGCTGCTCGCGTGGTGGAATAAAGTCTTTTAACATTTCAACGCGTAATCTGTAAGTTTTGCTAAATACTTCTGTCAAGCAAATTTCTGGTCATCACGAGATAGTAACCCTTCACTTTTATCTGCCTTCGCCTTTCCGAGAGCAGCTCATACAGGAAAAAGAAGTCAGCGATTACGAATTTTTCCAATATTCTTGTTTCTAACACTGGTTCTACAATGATCGCGCATGAAAAGCGTAGACAAGTAAGTGAGGTTGTTCATCCTCGCTTCTCCTTATTCTATATACACTAAAATCCGATGTGTACGTTTTCATTCATCTTTACAGGACGATGTAACTGCTTACCAATGCTTAATGAAGCAAGAAAAAAATCCTCTTATGAATAAGGACAGTAGTGGCCAGAAGAAGGTTTGTCTACCTACCATTTAATTTACAAAGTAAAAGACTAAATTGGAATTTTTTTTTATGTTTCGAAACGATTGCAACGCGCTGTAAAGAATGTAAGAAAGAGGATTCAAAAGCATAGAAAAACATCCAGAAAGCACAAAGAATCATCTTCAACAACGGTAAATGATGGAGACAAGGACAGTATGAAGGGTATAAATTATGAGAAAAAGACATCATCGAAATTAGCAGAGTTGAAACTGAGGAGACTAATGCATATAATGCTATCGTTTTGATTGTGTATAAAGCGTCAGGAAACCCTGTGACGGAAGCCATCCTTATTGCGGATTCTGACGAGGAAACTGGCAAAAGTGATGATGGGGAAAAGGAAGATAAAAAGCCGTAAGTTAATAAAGTATACATTCTTTTTATTTTGCTAGTCAAAAGGATTTTTAACATATTTTTTTCGCTAATCTCGTTACATTTTTAGTTTGGCTACAAATGCAAATAAAATACAATTATTCAAGCATGACTTAAGCCGTCTTAAACCCAAAAAATGGCTAAATGATGTCTGTATCGAATATGGTTTAGATATTTTGGTTCGAAAGTATCACAAAACCCAGAACGTTGTTGTGTCTTCTCCTTTTTTCTTTCAAAAGATACAGCAAGCCGAAAGGTAAGTAGCTGATTATCGTTCAAACGGCATCTCAACAAATTATCGACGAGCTATTGTGATTTTAGACATAATTTGGATGCCTATACCGCGACAAGAAATTGGTTCAACAAAGATATTTTCAAAAATAAACTTTGGCTTATACCTGTCAATAAATCAAAGTAAGTCATAAGGCTGAACATTATAAGTAGCTGTTACTTATTTACTTTCTCTACTCCAGGATTCACTGGATTTTGCTGGTGATAGTTTTCCCGGGTCATAATAAACGGTACATATATTTTTCGGATTATCATAGAACCAAGAGCTAATATTTTGAATTCCAAGTAGGTCAATAATCTGTGCCTTTGACTCTCTGAATGGAGATAATGATTGTATTATTGATTATATTATCAATTTCATGAAGCTGAAGTACAAGAAAGAGAAGAATGCTGAAATGGTGGCTCCTCTTGTTCGTAAAGTTCGTATAGGAAAGCAAAAGAATAGTTATGATTGCGGGTTACACCTGTTGCGTTCAGCAGAAATGCTCCTTAAGAAGGGATGCAAGACCATCAAGCTGTTGAAGGTAAACAAGTAATTACTTACAATGCTACTACTTGTTGAGATTTGTAATTGACACTTCTTTGTTATTATGGTTTTTCCATTTTCTCCCTTAGAGGGTTAAAGCAGATAAGGTGGACGGAAAACATTTGAAGGGTACGATTAACATAGAAAAAGAATGGGATACAATTCCAGTTATGAAGAGACGTCAATTGAAAAAAGATATTCTAGCATATGCGCAATTTTTGAACAACAAATAAAAAGATAACAACCATTTTCTTCGCCAGTTTCTCTTATGGATATTATTGAAGATAGTTGATTATTTAGGGCCCTTTGGCAACAACTGCATGAAATGTTCCATGTATTTCTTGTTGAAGCGTACCAACCTCATCGGTGTCACAGTGTTTCGATATTATTGACTTTATCAGTTGATGGAAAAAATAGTGGCACCTGAGCAGATAGTCATTTTCTTTTACAAACCGTACAGTGTTTCAAACAATCTGGCTTTGATCCGTTCGCGACTTATATAACAGCGTCGTATTGGAAGTTGTTACAGTAGCAGTATCAACCGTAGAAATCATACTGACAATATCTAAAGAAGAAAGCACTTTAAACGAGCAGTGTAGATTGACTGTTGTATGAAATAGTAGTAGATAGTTGAAAGGCGATTCATTAATATACTAAATGTTACGAATAATGATTTGGGGCTGACAGTGCAACTCAATTTGATTTGGACCACCATATAATAGAACCAATGAATTCTCAACTCATGAAGACTAAATTAGCTGTTACTTTCGCAGCTGAGAGAAAGAGCCATGACATTTTGACAGAATATTTGGACTTACGGCAATTGATTTTGCGTTTTTGAAGGCAAGAATGAGGAACCTGATACATCAAACATCCGTCAACTTTCTAAAAAAGATATACCAGGATTAACGAAACACTAATAATAATAATTCTTACTGGTGACTCCAGTCAAAGTACAACTTGAAAAAGTCGCGACACTCAGTATTGAGTATACCTTAACTTAAAAGAGCCCAACGGCTACATGGAAAAGAAGAGTTGACAGGAGAGGTTTATTCCTTTATATTGATGATATTGATGATAAAAAGTGACGGCCAGACTCGCCTAGAAATGAACGATGGAAATGAAAAATAAACGAGCAATTTTAATTTAAAAAAGCGGATGTATCCAAACAAAATTTGCTGATTATTCTCCCTCTCCTATGATAGTCATTCTTGGCTTTTCTTATTTTTTTGTTGGCTACAGTCATTTTAGACCTATGTCTAGCCCTTTTCGTAGTAGG